AACAATTATTTGCTCGGCCATCTCCATGGAAATGGGGCGATCGTCTGCGAAAAAACAAAGGGTTCTTCTCGCCGTTTTATTCGTTTTCATTGCCAACAATGCGTCGAATTCTATTGCTGCTTCTGTTCCCGTCGGTCCACGGCTCGTTCAAAATGGTTGTAATCAACGGCGAGCCGGCCAGTTACTCGGACTATTCGACCGTCTCCGAGTCGTGGACCTCTTGCGTGTCCTACTGTTATTACTCGAGCACATGTGTGACCGTGTACAGTCCTGACACCAGTGGAACTTGTCGCGTCTTCCGAATTGATCAGATCTCAAGTGTTACACAGTTGTACGACACCACCGGACAGACAATCGCTATTAAAGTTCGTTTTTAAAACATCTTGAAATGTTTGAACTAAAGTTACAGATGGTCTCAAACTCGACAGACGGTTCCTGTTCCTCCTCATCATCTGGAAACTCTATGACTGTAATTCATTCCTCTTTTTCCCTAAAACTATTGTCCATTTACTCTTCTTTCAGGGCTACGTGACCACCAACTCCACCTACCAATCCTACAATATCACAGTTTCGGATGCGACGTGGACGTTCAGCACAGACACCCAATTGTCTTGTCTCTCGGACTTTCAGCTATTCGTCCGGCCACTGGGACCGTGGTGTATTGGGGTACTTTATAGGGATATATTAAAATATACAAACTGTCTGACAGGTCATCACCACCGGATGCATTTCTCAAACGGACAGTGTCAGCCAGTGCTCCAGTACTTATGGAGGGATCTTGAGTGGATTGCAGACTGTTGAGGAGTATGATTATATTCTGTGTAAGAGTCATATTTAGGCAAAAATATGATATTTTGCTTCAGCGATTGGGCAGCCATACCTTGAAGCTCAATCAACGTACACCAGATACGGCTACTGGGTCAACGGCTTCCGTAACTCTTCGTGTGTCTATCCGACCGCCAGGACCGCCGCATGCAACGGCACAAACGAATTCTACTTCACCGATCCGCTACTATCCGCCTACGACGGCTACATTTGGGCGTCCGGCCAACCGGATGGAATCACCTCGAAACAACTTCAGAACTGTTTGAGCGTCGACTTTTCGTCGGCCGAGGGTATCGATGATTATAAGTGCGTTTTGAAGACGATTATTCGAATCGAGAGGAAAAGACTACTTTCAGATGTAATGCGACTACAGTGACATCTTCAAATTACACACTGTGCTATGCGGGATATGCCTGCGGACTTGAACCAGCTTAATTTTATTGGTTCTCAACGAAATTAAATACGCGAAATCAAAAATCAATAGTTTCTTCCATTATTATGAACGTTTGTCTCGTTTTGAATTGGACTTGGAGCCGCTCAAATTGCTATCACTAACCAGTATTTCAGTTCTTGAGTTGTCTCTTTTTGTGACTCTTTTCAATCTTTCAAGACTCTGCCAAAACTGTACTTTATTCCATTTCACATAGTTCAAGTACCTCTCTTCGTGAACACAAACAACAGAAAGTTCGATTGAGGCACACTCTGATTTGTGATTCTATAACTACAGTAAGGATGTTTTCATATGACACTTTCTCGTCGTCGCAAAAGTGTTTTGTCCTGGGATTCTTCGTTAATTTTATTACAAATTCTGAACATCGACTACAAAATACTGGTGTTCACGAATGTTCATACACCAAATCAGTTTATTTCACTTGGCTGCACCGCTAGTCTCTTCGCCATTTCCGCAAAAAAAAAATGTTCTATGGAATTGGTTCTAGTCGTCGTGTAGTTTAATCCTGTTACGAGTGACGAGTGACGAGTGGCTCAAAACATTCAAACGACAGTAATCGCGTTAGTTACAGTAGTCAGTCTGAAAGTGAACATGGCGAATGTTTTTCAAAACAAACCAAGGGGAACACGAAGAAAAGTGGACTCTGGTAAATTAGCTGGATGGTGTCTAACTCGCGAACCAAAACAGTGTGACTGGATTTTAGACTCGGAGGTACTGTACTTGCTCTATGAACATTTATTTGGAAGCAAATTACCTGACAGCTAACTCTTGACATACCTAGGATACTACAAATTATAGAAATCTATGAGACGGGTCCACGTGTGATACAAAGCTATCCGGGTATGCTTTCCTGTGTCGGCTGAATACATTCGTGATGAATTCTGTCATCCGTTTGCCCAAATCTCGCTAATATGCAATGAGTTCATCGTATCCGCAAACACGCCAGCAGGCGGGTGCTGACGCTCGGAGACGCGCGAAAGGCGCAAGCAAAATCCAATCAATCGTTCCGGTAGATTAATCGATATTTACAGAGCCGGGCAACTAAACAGCGTTGAGCAATACACTAAATCGTTCAAACCGTTGTTTATTCGTAATGACATGTTCAAATTTCAGAATAACACAAAAATAACGTTCAAGATCAAATTCGTGAGGGGCAAGAATGACAAAAGGCTCAAAACAATCTAGTGGAGTCAATGCAGGACTCTATACGATGAAACAGAGGAACTTTTCCTGATTTCCGCAGCCGAAAACTCGTTTTCACTTTCGGATCTCTTCATTTTCAGCACTTTTTCTTGAAGCGAACTCATCGAGGCGACTCGTGAAATGCTCGACGAACTCGACGAGTTCTTGGCGAAATGGACAGGCGGCTGGATTGTGGGTACTCCATTCTGAATAGCGAATCCAATAATATTCAAAGATTTCAGGGCGTCGCACTTACCACTCCGACTGTGATGTTGAGCGAGTGTCTGGATTGGGATCCTTCGGATTTCGCCGACGCGGACAGTTTTCTGGGTGATGACGATGACGTGGCAAAGTTGTTGGCCGATTTGGACGGGTGAATGTGATGAAAACCCGTGAAATCGGAGACAATTTCAGCCAGCGAAACGGGCACTTTCATGGTTTCCAAGTACGTAGACACTACTTTTCGTGCCCTCCAAACTTTTATATATATATATGATTCATCGAATCGCGCGTTCTCTGTGCGGCCCAATGTTCCGCCCAGGGTTCTCTGATTTGGGATGCCTCCCATTCATGTGAATGGTTTCGTGGCCGTATAATAGCGCGAAAGTGGTTCTGAACTTCTTTTGTCGCCGAACGGATCGGCGGAAGCATGTGAAGCGGAGAATGTGATGCAAGATCGGATGATTTGTGGTGCGAAACGGGAGGAATGCGGTGAAGCTTTGTGGCAAATCACTTCTGAAACAGTCGGCATCATTGAAACTTTAATCTACAGTATCTTGTTCGCAAATTACAATGATCGGGTTCATGACGGCCGTTATCTTTAATCTTTTTACTTCCTGCATGTCTGCCGGGGAAAACAATCGAAAAAATGATGTTCCGCAAGTGATTTTCAGTCTTACAAAATAGTTAAAGTCAACGTTTTCAGCCAGCGAAAGATCTCGACAAACTGAGCACAAACATTCAGGAATCAACGATAGATGACGCTGTTTTTCCGATCGAAAAGTGTAACATCAACTTCTTTGCAACTTTTTCATCATCATCGTCATTATCATCATTCATGAAGTCTCATACAAAGCCGACGTCATCAGCGTTCGTCGATCCATTCAATTTGCCGACAGTCACGTACCCATCAGACTCTATCCATTATCATTGTCATCTTTCTTTTCCCCTTCTGTCTCTCTCTCTCTCTCTTTCTCCTCCCACTTCCCCTTCTCTCGTGTAGGTCAACAATTAGAAAGGATGACAAAGAATCGGAGATCCTTTGCCTATATAAACGTGTTCGACCGCCCCAACACTCCCAATTCATTCTCCTTCAATTCCCCGTTCAAACATGAAAATCACCAAAGCAATCGCTGAAATTGTGTCCGAATTTTCGGGTCTCAACCGTTCGCCCAACTTCAAAAAGGCGTCGACATGCTCGATGAGCAGCCCGCCGACTTCTGGGACCACGTCGCCGGCCAGGAAGAACTCGGGACCATCGGTGCAACAGGCGCCAAGACGCTATTCAGTGGTTGTCGCCGTCGGAGTGGTGAGTAGACAGACTCTAAATGATAAACTATAGTCTATAATTCCATTTCTTTGCAGAGTCCTCTTCCCCAACCGACTGGGACCGGCGATAAGGCGAAACTCATCTGATCAGCTGTTCAAACACACCTACAGTACCCGAAGTCATCATCGAAACCGAGTCATCCATCTTTTACTCTATTCGATCTCATTCTGCCATACACTTATTTGTGTTCTAGTCAGTATTCATCCAATAAATAGTTTTATTCTTTTTGTACTCCTGAACAAGGTTTCCAAATAACCAATCTTGAAATTAAAGGGTCCTGGTGAATCTGTAGTACTATAGAATTATAGATGAGGGCTAAGGATCAAGGATAATTATGTTAAGGGCTTTGTTGAAGGCAATGCTAGACTAATTTAACTAAATTGTTCAAAGGATCACTCCGTGAGCCCAGAATCTGTCAGTGTAATGAATGAATAGAAATAAGGAGCAGGTATGTCAGTTGAGCATTAAAATGTCGAAGTATGTTCTCACTTGTCTTGCTGGACTTTGTAGTCAGATTCTCCTCTAACGGTTTTGCAAAGATCGACAGATTCGATTCGCAAGACCAAAAACGTCTGTCAAACCGTCAAAGTTTCCACATGAAGCGGCTACAAATCAGTCGGAGACACAAGTGTTCACACATCGTTTGCTGACAACCGAATCATCATCGAATCAACGGCCTATTCCGCCCGATTTCACCGCCCGGAAACCGCATTCTGATTGATTTGCACCACTGAGGTGTGCACAAAATACAATCGGATTACTGTAAATTTTAGGACTTGAAAACAAGAGCAAGAGGACGGTGGCAAAACAAAATACAATTGGATTAGGGTAGGAAATGTCAGGCGACACAGGAAACGGTAACATGATCTTTTTCAGAGTCTCCTAAATTTGTTTTCATCGACTGTTTCTGTTCTGCAGAGAAATGTTCGGTCGCAACAACATTCCATAACAATTCATACCGTACCCAGTCAGAAGTACTCACTTTGGATTCCATCATCTTTGATCTGATGTTCTCGTGGTCTACCTCATTGTGTTTTCGATTTTCTTACAAAAATGTTTCCAAACATATTCTTCTGATCTAATGTTCAATGAATCCGAAAGAATGTGTATATATACTGGCCTACTTTGAATCCATTAGTTGTCTACAGTGTTCTTCCGAAGAGTTCTTCACTTTTGCTATTACTTTTATACTAAAAGAATTCTATGCGTACACAAGTCGCCCACTAACTCAGAATTTCTTGATAAATGCAAACGTTTTGATGAAGAATCTCCTAAACTGCTCCGTTTTTCAGCTCGAACCCAATCATGAAACCGATGTCTCAAATGGTGTCCGAATTCGCCGGCTTCCAACACACTCCCAACTTCAAATCGCCTTCTTTGGCGCCCAGAACGTCTTCAGAATGTTCGAGAAAGAACTCAGAAGCGTTGACGATTCAACGTCGTCATTCTGTGCTCATCACAGTTGGAGTGGTACGTACTTGACGTTGTTTGAGAAGAACATTGAGTTTTCAGAGTGAAGTGCCGATATTACCTGCGAAGAGTGACTGAAAGAACCACGGCAAAACAATGTGAATACAGTTGTTTGTATATATATATAAATGTTGCCTTCTATTTTGTATAAATAAAGAGGACTACTGTAGCTGAGTCTCAGTGATCAAAAACTGTTTGAAAGATCATCTGAAGACGTCACTTTTCAAAACAATGTTTGAAATTTGCGAATTAGGAGTGCAAATTGAATGATGTCAAGTTTTTTGAAGTATTTGTTTTTGTAAAAACGTTCTTTGAGTATGAATACGACAGAAGAAGTACGTCATGAAACCAAGCACTGGGGGACAAACAAATCACAGATCACAATGCTATCGTAGATTTCCGTCCGAAACAGCTGATCCTCATTTTTGACACTTTTAGGTACATCACACATCCACTCGAACACACTGCAATCGAACAAAGAACAAGGAAGGAGACGGAGGCACTTGCGAGACCACAGAACACACAGTTCTCACGCCCGAATGGGGGCGCGGCCACACAGAGAACGACGTCTTCTTCGTATAAAAGGATCCTTCTGGTGGCATCGGAACATCAATTCCCTCTTCCGATTCAAAACAATGAAAGTGTCTGCCGCCCTCGCCGAGATCGTCTCCGACTTCTCCGGATTCCATCACATTCACGCCTCCAAGCCTTCTCCGGCTTCTTCTTCTTCTTCCCATTCTGCCACGTCATCGTCTTCTGCTCGTCTCAATATCACAGTCGGAGTGGTCATCCAGGGACCATCCACCACAATCAGAAGGACCGACAGTGCCAATGACTTCGAATGCATGCAAAGAAAGGACTCGACTGCTTCCAATGCTTCCTACCTAATCGTCGAATAATTTGAACAACTTTTGACTTTTCATATGATCTTTATGTTTTCATGATCTCGAAAGCAAACTGCAATAATAAATACGTACTCTAAATTGAATTGATGTCGACAAACACTTTTATGACTGTGTGAGGCAATGTTCACTCGACAGATTCCGCCCTTTGATTCTTCTGAATAAAGAAGAAGTTGTATGAACGCTTTTCCACAGGAGTGTTCGTAATTGTCATCATTCTGACATCACTCCCACGTTGTCATCCAATTATTCGAACGCGGAAGGAGTGTCTCCGTCAAGATCACACATCCCTTTCCGATCTCCTTTTCGCGGACAGACAGACAGTTCGCAAGTACGTCATTGGTTCCATTTTGCGAACATCACACATCTTCGTCGTCACGATCGGCGGAAGATGATGACGGTTTCGAACCACTAGGAGACAATGGATATCATCGGTTTCTTTCACGTGAACCCCCCGATCAGAGAAGCCTCACGGTCCCGATGAAAGGGGCGGCGTCACACAGAGAACGACGTCTTCTTCGTATAAAAGGATCCTTCTGGTGGCATCGGAACATCAATTCACTTCGATTCCCCCTTCCGATTCAAAACTATGAAAGTGTCCGCCGCCCTCGCCGAGATCGTCTCCGACTTCTCCGGATTCCATCACATCCACGCCTCCAAGTCTTCTCCTGCTTCTTCTTCCTCCCATTCTGCCACGTCATCGTCTTCTGCTCGTCTCAATATCACAGTCGGAGTGGTCATCCAGGGACCATCGACCTCCATCAGAAGGACCGACAGTCTCTCGAGTATCGACTCGACCACTTCCAATGCCTCCTACGTGCTCATCGAATAACTTTTCCTGTTTTGCCAAACATGCCATGACTGATCTTATTTGAATATCTGATCTCAATAAATTATGCCTTTAAATTTCAAAACTCTTTTTCTTTGCAGTAGTATCATGAGAAGTTCTGATTTCTTCTGATTCTCACTAGAACACAAGTACTTGCATTGAAGCACATCTTATTCTTTTTCATGAAAGTATCCGTGTCAACTGTTTCAGCTTTAAGACGCTTTCGAAAAAGAGAAACACATCGGATCTCCGACAAGAACATCACTGATCTGTTCTTCATTTGTAATTCGAAATGATTGTAATCGAAACCTTTTGCTATCATCAATTTCTAACCGTTTGATCGGTCATTGTCCTCTTCAGGTTGTCCCACTGAATGACTCAACTTGAAACAAAAGTGGATTGGCTATTGATTGAAGAATCAGAAGAGTATATTATAAATTAATAATTTATTGATTTTGATATCAAATATTAGAATAAGATCGGTGAATTGTCATGGCATGTTCGGTCAAAAAAGAATAAGTTATTCGATGAGCACGTAGGAGGCATTGGAAGTGGTCGAGTCGATACTCGAGAGACTGTCGGTTCTTCTGATGGAGGTGGATGGTCCCTGGACGACCACTCCGACAGTGATATTGAGACGAGCAGAAGACGATGACGTGGCAGAATAGGAGAAAGAAGAAGCCGGAGAAGACTTGGAGGCGTGGATGTGATGGAATCCGGAGAAGTCGGAGACGATCTCGGCGAGAGCGGCAGACACTTTCATAGTTTTAAATCGGAAGAGGGAATCAAAGTGAATTGATGTTCCGATGCCACCAGAAGGATCCTTTTATACGAAGAAGACGTCGTTCTCTGTGTGACGCCGCCCCCTTTCCTTGAGTGTTCTCTGATCGGTTGGTCCTTCTCTGTTCACATGAATGCGAGAAGAGGGAACGATGATATTTGTTGGTTTGAAACCGTCATCATCTTCCGCCCAACATGATGATATTGAACAGCTGAGATAGATGATGACTGGATCTGTGATCTCCGAATCCTTCTCGCCTACATTTTACACTTTTCATCGGCTGACGTCAGATCGAAACGCACTTCCATCTTCAGATCAATCGATATCACACGTCGCTACCTGAGAAATCTGCTAACGTAATGGGGATTCACAGGCTCACAATATCATATTTGTGCTCTTTTCTGAAAACAACTCCAATTTGCCTTTCAGTTTCCGTGAATGTTCATGCATCGAGGAGTTCGAACAATCTTCAGAACACATTTTCAAATAGAAATCATATTTCGATCATAGGGTCTTGCTAACCCAAATACTACTCATAACAAGTTGATATAATTGAATCATATTTATTGCTTGGCTGCTTTTTCGAGATCAGAACATAATAAAGATCATAATAATGTGTCAAAACATCATAAATCGAAGTTGGAAGTTATTCGATGAGCACGTAGGAGGCATTGGAAGTGGTCGAGTCGATACTCGAGAGACTGTCGGTCCTTCTGATTGTGGTGGATGGTCCCTGGATGACCACTCCGACTGTGATATTGAGACGAGAAGAAGATGATGACGTGGCAGAATGGGAGGAAGAAGAAGCCGGAGAAGACTTGGAAGCGTGAATGTGATGGAATCCGGAGAAGTCGGAGACGATCTCGGCGAGGGCGGCAGATACTTTCATTGTTTTGAATCGGAAGAGGGAAGTGAATGGATGTTCCGATGCCACCAGAAGGATCCTTTTATACTCGCGAGAAGTGGTTCTCTGTGTGGCCACGCCCCCATTCGGGCGTGAGAACTGTGTGTTCTGTGGTCTCGCAAGTGCCTCCGTCTCCTTCCTTGTTCTTTGTTCGATTGCAGTGTGTTCGAGTGGATGTGTGATGTATCTAAAAGTGTCAAAAATGAGGATCAGCTGTTTCGGACGGAAATCTACGATAGCATTGTGATCTGTGATTTGTTTGTCCCCCAGTGCTTGGTTTCATGACGTACTTCTTCTGTCGTGTTCATACTCAAAGAACGTTTTTACAAAAATAAATACTTTGAAGAACTTTACATCATTCACTTTGCAATCCTAATTAGTTATGTTTTAGGATGATTTGCCACACAAGCGACACTGATGACCACGTTTTTGAGTGACGCGGCACTTCCGACACTCACTTTCGGCGATACGGTCACCTGAAAACCATAAGATTTCGTTGGAATCACTGTCAAACTGACCGTTTTCTTCTGCTCTTTCACACAACAGAACGTTCTTCGGACACAATTCCGGTACTGAGAGGACATGGTCAGACAGATGACACAATGCGTCGTGGCGTTGATCGCCACGAATATGTTGAGAAGGTCCGTGATTCCGGTGGTTATCGCTCTGAAAAGAACCAATTGATGCGGGTACATTCTCTAAAAACTCACAAAAACCCGGGTTTCGTGGTTAGAAATCCTTGAAACACGTAAATCATTCCCAGTGGTCCTTCAGCAATCATGAATGTCACAGTCATCAGAATGACCAAATTGGTCGTGTGATCTTTTTTGGCACTGAAAAAGTCAGTCCTACTTGAATGATAATTACTTGCAAAATGTTACCTGTCACCTTTCTGCGCCACACTTATTTTCCGTCTTGAAACCTCTGCACTTTTGAGCTCACGAATTAACAGAAAAGTCAGAATAGGGAAGACGGCTGCTGGGATTATCTGAAATTATCGTCTTCCACTATAAAAACGGTACTCTTTCCGATTGTCACCTTCAAAGTACCATCGGTGAATAGAAAAATTTGCAGCGCCAAAAGATCGTTTTTCAGGAACAGATCGTTGTTGATCAGGCCGAATTGCTGTTCGGTGTAGTTGGCCGGGAAGTTCGAACAACTGAAAGTCAAACAATCTATTCACTTTTCTGTTCGCTGTCAAGTCGCACTGTTGAGCAGGAATCCACGGATCGATCTCGATAATTTCGAGGCGCGCCCAGTAGAACATCGAGATGAACGAGCTGAAAACGAGGGAGATGAGGATGAGTTTCCATCCGAACGGCGGCTGGGAAAGGCGGTCCCATCGGGGGTTCAGCGAGTTTTTGACAATCAGAAAACGGACGGTTGCCATGAGCACTCCGAGCCACGCGGACAGCCGTCGCAAGTCGTCCTTCAGGGCAGACGCCCACAGGTCCAGCACTAATTTCAGGTAACTCGACGGCGTCCAGCTGAAATTTACATTGAATGTGAGTGTGGCGCTAGGTAGTACGTTTTCCGAGAGGATTCCAAACGTGTTCTGAAACTCAAGGGAGGATTTCTCGAGTTCTAGAGGTCGGCAGAATTCAATTATTTCAAAGACTATACTTGTTAGACTTACCACTCATAATCGGGATTCACCAACTCCTCCAACTCGGCATAACCGCAGAAGACCATAATGAAAAGATCGCAGGCGCCGATTCCGATCATGAGCACGTTGGTACTGCTGGATCTCATCGGCTTCCGCGTCAGAATGATCAGATGGAACACGTTGAGGACGGATCCGATGACTGCCAAGCCAAACTCCCACGTCCCCAGTGTTTGGACGGCCTTTTCGATAAAGTTGAGCACTGCCACAAGACGGTCCCTCGTCGCATTACTGTACTCGTTGAAATCGGCGAATTCGGACAAAACTGTGGCGGCCATTGTTCACTGTCGGAAGAAGGATTGATAAATGGAGTGGCGGGGTGTTGTTTGCTGAAAATATTTGAACCAAATTGAGTTTTGCCGCTGGAAAAATCGAGTTACGTTTGATCACGATGACTAACCGGCAAGATCCGAACGATTTTTGGTTGCTGGCAATGATCCAGATGTTTTGAAGGTATCTGAAAAGGGATGGACGAAATGCCACAGAAAGTGAAGAGCGATCCTAGGGAGTTTATGAACGAGATGGGTCTTTGTGGGTTTGAGTGGTTACAGACGATGGTCCCTCTTGATCAGAGCTGCGGAAGGATCTACTAGGAACATTTCTGATCCCGCAGTTCTCAAATGGTGTCAGATCGAACTAACCGAAAGTGTCCTTGTGCCAAAACGTGTGTATGTTTAATTTCAGATGTTCATTGACTAATGACGTCTAGTCCCTTGGTTCAAGGTCATTTTGACAGTCAGACACGTGATTTACAAGCTGCCCCCCCCCCTCTCTCCGTCTCTTTCCCTCTTCTTCCGTTCCCACTTCGTGCACTGATCCCTTTCGGTTGTCTTGCACTTTTTCCCTCTTTTCCGATGGAGCGATTCTTTAAAAACAATGGTTTGGCGCCTGCTCCAGCTTATCCGTCCAACTTGGACCAACCGAGATGGGCACCATCGGAGAGCACTGGTTAGTGTTGACGTTTTGTTAGAAACAACCAGTAAGGACCTTGTTTTTTGTCAAATTCGAATGAGAAACACATAAAACACAGATTTCATTACAAATTTCGGTCCGTACTCACAAAATGTGAACAGTCCACCGAGCAACTACGAGTCCCCGCAAGTTACAGCCGCTCAGATGTACTATCCGCCGGAGAAGGACGTTTTCTTCCCGGCCTATCCGCATCATCAGGACCAGGATCCGTTTGGCTTCTACGGGTATCCAGGGACCGAGCAGTACTCTTTTGAAAATCATCAGTTCGAAGGAACTGTGGGACCGATGAGAGGAGGAGCTTACGACGTCGCGCAAAGAGAACGCAGTGAGTCTTATTCAAACTCGTGTATCTCCGCTGCCCGTAGAGTAATCAAAAAGTGGTCAACGGATAAGATGTACATAATTTCTTTATGAGCAATTTGTTAGTTGACAAATTTTTCATATCTCCACCGGTAACTGAGATATATTCAACCATTTTCAGTCCATTCTCATTCTACGGCTCCGTATTCAGTTCCACACACAGACTATGCATATCAAAGTGAGTTTTTTGACGAATTCCTAAAGCAACGAAATAATTATTGTTTCAGACAAACCGAACACTCCCAATCAGGACGAAGACAGTCCGTTCGACCTGAAATCTCTTTGCCATCAAGTTAAATCGACGATGTTATTTGACAGGGTCACTCAGAAGAGGCTCGGCAGACAACTGCTCGGAATGGGCCAAGGGACCGTATCCGAGATGCTCAAGAATCGGAAGACGTGGCAGGAATTGACGCGAAAAGGACGGGAAGCCTACAAAACGATGCGCGAGTGGGTCAACGCTTCCCAGGAGGATCGGCGCCGGATGCTTGAACGGGTGGGGCCGGAGCCGGAGCCAAAGCCGAGGGGCGAGAAGAAGAAACAAGCGCGGACCGTGTTCACTGACGAGCAGAAGACGGTGCTCAAGGAGGCTTTCCAGAGGTTCCAGAAGCCGAGTGCGGAGCAAGTGAGCCGGCTGGCCGAGCAACTGGGACTCGAAGAAGCCGTCGTGTACTTGCACTTCCAGAACGCTCGAAGACTCGCAGTCGCTCACAGTTATTGGCGAAATTAAATGAATATCTTGTTTTTGTTCTATTGTTTTGTCGGTTTTTCCAAATAAACCGATACACAGCCCACTTTATCTCCAGAATTCAAAGTCTGAAAATGACCGTAGTTTTTGAAGGCGCACCACAAAAACGTCAATTTTTCCGCAGATTGGAAGGCTGGGGCTCTGTGACTAATTTTAAAAAAAACATGCCTTGAAGTATATAGTGTGGATTCTTAGCTGCATGCATTTCCAGTTTGCGCCACGAGGAGGTGATCCAACACAAGCAAACCATATATTTTTTGACCGAACTACTATCAATCGGTGTTGAGAAAACCGCCGGATTGCAAGCACATGCGGATCCAAAAAGTCCGAATGTCTAGTCGCACAACACCATTCCATTTTTGCTATTTTCAGAGTACTTTTGTTGTCGTCACTCATTTTCCGATCACATTTTCAGTTCATTCGAACATTTCATACAGTCACGTACGCACCTCCAAACTGTTCTATGATCCCCATTTCTCTCTCTCTCTCTCTCTCCGATCGTCTCCGATACCATACCAGAGGAACTTACCCGAAAAAAGGGGCGGGGCGTCGAGTGGGCGGCACAAAGAACGACAAATTGAAACGCGGTATAAAACGGATCGGCGCCAAGGCGTTGATCTTATATTTTTCCCCTACTAAACCATGAAAGTTCCCCATGTGATTGCCGAGATTGTCTCCGAGTTTTCGGGTTTCCAACACACGCCCGACTTCAAAGCGTCCCGATCGACCGGCGAGTTCGAGGACGAGGTTCCCCCTTTGGGAAATTCTTCCGTCCAGGAGCACCACGGACACTCGCTGTACTTTGGCAAACACTTGAGGAAACCGGCGGAGCTCTCCTCGGATTCGGACACGCATTCCAACCACTCTGGCGGATCCAAGAAGCACGGCGGCTTCTCGGTGCATTTCGGAAATCTCTTCCACTTTGGGCACCACAATGAGCATCACAGCGCGAGCAAACCGGCTTCCGGAGCGTCGACGCCCGCCAGAAAGCTATCGTCGGGGAGTCTGAGCGGTGCTGCCCATCCGAAACATTCCATTCATCTCACTGTCGGAGCGGTTAGTCCTTTTTTCGTTTTCTGAAAAGTTTGAATACAAAGATTTCTATAGTTTCTCCAAGTTTGATACAAATCGGAAAAGTAAAAGTTGACTATGTTGCTGAATGGATCGCATAGAGATCTTGACAATTTCGACTAATGACAATAGTTGTGTTATCATGATCTTTTGTTTATAACTTTCACTACAAGTCTCACGTTTCTTTTTGCAGGACGAAGTTCCGACGATCTGCGCGACGCCTCCGAACGAGCCGAACCACTCGCACTTTGTCAAGAACGCGGCGTCTCCGAACATTTCGCGGGTGGCCAGTTACAGTTCGCTGAAAGAGAAATTGTACAAGATCAAGCGGACGACCAGTTCGGACAGTGAGACCGATTTTCCGGACAAGAAGGTCTCGGTGTCTTCGTATCGAGTCGTCGGAATGTGAATTCATTATTTTGTGCCTAAAAACCCTCTATGATCTCTAGAATCGATTAATCAATAAACTTGTGACTATTCCACGTGCTTTCTCTGTTTCATCGGAAAATCGACCAAACCCATCTCAGAACCTGATTAGAAGGAAACTGAACCAAAAACAAGGGAGAAGAAGAAGAAGAAGAAGAAGAAGAAGAAGAAGAAGAAGGGATCGGCCGTCAATGTTTTCGCATTCCTTTTTTATCTTTTTCTTTCTCATTGAAAGGGATCAAATATCGACACGTGATTCTTCTCTTTTTGCCGGTCCAAACATTCATTGCAAATCGCATCGGCAAAGGGGAAGAACTTCATCTCGATGATCTTTATGGAAATAAATTAGAGTGAAACTAAAGTCTAGTTGTGGAGACAATCCAAGTTAATAACGGTTGGGTGGTTTGCTGATTGGTTTAGTGGTCTTTTGATCAAAAAACAGTTGGGAAAAGTTTGAGAACACAGCCTAGGATTTCACTTTGATTTTCTATGAAGACATGTAAGACATCTGAATGTATCTACAAGGATTGAAGAAATCGCATGGCCTAGACTTTTTCTAGGCCACGTCCGAAAGGCGGTGAATGTTTGGCGTCAAAGTCAGAGCTTTTAAAAAGTATGCTCTTCATAGTGAGAAACAAAGATCATCGAAGGGATTAGGACGTCAGGCGGACACTTCTAGACCGACAAACACTTTGGATTCCTTCAAAGAACACGCGGGGGAACATTGAATGCGCACAGAGAACAACGCATCGGAGTGACCAATGAAACATGCGGGCTTTTTGGACCTGCTGGCCCGATATTTGAAAAATTTGTATGCAGAAGGTTTTATGAACCCGACATTAGATTTTAAGGTTTCAAAGATTTCAAGGACTACGCTAAACGATTGCATAACTTCGAGAAATCAAATCATAGTTCTCTGATTCCCAAAGTCTCATTTTTGTTGATATCATGAGAACACTCACGGCTTCATTTGTCACGCGGGCGCCGAGGGAGACACCTTGCCGCACACGCGTGCTCTACATATAACTAGTAAATTGAATTTGAGTCGGCCAGTGGAAAAAACCCGTTACCCGCGACTTTCGACATTATTTTTATCGGTACAAAGAAAAATAGCCAGGCGTACGTTCACAAGAGCTTTTTTTCGGGCCGGTTTTCTGTCTCAGAGCCCGGCCTGATGGAATTCGAGTGGGTGAGCATTCCTTGGCGGCCCAAACACCCGGAAAAAAAGAATCTTGTAGCTCATACAATCCTAAATCTGATCCTCGCCGTTCTTTTGTTCTCATCAGTGTGTGGAGCAGATTTTCGACATTTTCCTGTAATTTTGTAAGCTTTAAAGTGTCATTTCTCGAAGGTGTCTAAATACCACTAGAATGCGTGCCCCAACACACTCTTCATTAGCTTCATCAGTTATTCTCGTGAAGACATGCGAATAATCCCCTCTCTCTCTCTCTCTTTTTTTCATTTCCACTTTCCCAATGACATTTTCCTCCAATTTGAGTCATGAATGAAAAAAGAGAAGAAGGGAAATGAGTCATGATACGTCGGCTGCTGAACGAGAAACCAAACATTCGTCATCCGTCCACGAGACACTCTTCTTGTCTGCCGCGCGGCGAATCGAGCTTGTCACAGAGTTATGTGCTGCAGATTTATCGATAAATTTATCGATAAAACATTGACGACGACACTTTTGAGAATAGTCACAAGTGGGCGAAATTTCTGAAAAATCCTAGAAATAAATCGCACGCTAGGAAGTTCATATTTCTTATTATTATCCACATCTTATTAGAATCCTCCCCCCTCTCTCTCTCTCTCTCTCTCTCTCTCTCTCTCTTTCTCTCTCTCTCTCTTCCCTCTCTGCTCCCACTTCATCTCATTCGCATTCGCTTGCCAACCTCTAATTTCCGCTCGCCTTCCTCTCTCTCTCTCTCTTTTCAATCACATTTTCGGGCACCATGGCACCCATAAAACATGGTGCATCGGCCGTAATTACGTGTGTGCTTCCTCTCTCTCTCTCTCTCTCTCTCTCTCTCTCTTTCTCTTCTGAGCACTTTTCGTTGGCGCGCAGCAAAAAAGTGGAAAGCGAGTGCGTCCATGTGCGGACACTCTCACAAATCAATGGCCTCCTTCTTTTTCTTCTTCTTCTCTCTCTCTACTTCTTCTTCTTCTTCTTCTCGAGAAAGAGAGAGAGAGAGAAAGAGAGAGAGAGAGCACAAGTGAAAAAGGCATATACACCGACGACCGCATACGGAAATGTGTTCGCTTCTTCTTCTTCTTCTTCTTCTCCCCCTCCTCCTCCTCCCCCTCTTTCTTCCATTTTTTCTCTCGGAAATGTAATGTGCAGTATCATCCGTCTCTTTTTCTTCTTTCAGTTCCCCAACTTTCAAACTTTCCAGATAATGGGTCGCAAAAACAAGGGAAAAAGTGTGGCGGAGCCGGTCGCCAAACAGTTGGCAGTCATCAATTTGAGCATCGGACAGCTCGAAACGTTCTGTGATAAACTGCTCGTGGTCCAAGCGGGCAAGTACAATTGGTAAGGGGGGGGCATACCGAAATAATATTGTAGTTTTGGTTTTGTAACGGGAAAACGACGATTTCACCACTTCCGCTTCCCATAGAGAGCTCTTATTTGTATGTATACAAAAAATGATGTCATATTTTCCCCCTCCAAAAACAATCAAAACAACCATTTCTCAGGACGGTGCACGTCTACCGGGGCGTGTTTTTCCGCTCGACCTACCTCGTCTTCGACCTCTACTGTCACTGTTCGCAGTCGAATTGGAGCCTCGAGGCGGAGGCGCTCGTCTCGATCGCCAAGAAGACATCGCACCGGATGGAGCACCACTTTGAGAACAAACGGAACTGCGTCGCGTGTCCGCCGCTGATCGCGTGGGCGGATTTGATCGATCCGGCCAACGGGTACCTGGACGGCGAGGGGAACGTCGACTTCGAGGTCGACATTTCGGAGGTTCCGAAGAAGGTCTGGCGCAATGCGGCCGCCATTTCGAAGGAGTATCCGGGCATCCGGAACCTCGAGATCAACGTCGGAAAGTCAAAGTTCTTCTTGAACAAGGAGGTGAGTCGGAGTGTTCAGTCGGGTGCCAAGCGAGGAGCAGCGGTAATTTCTGAAAATTAGAAATCGGTTAGAGTGGGTTCTCATCAGGTTTTTTTTCGGGTTTCCTATAAGATCTCCGTTTTTTTTTTGCAGTTATTGGCTCACACGTCCGTTTTCTTCAACTCTGAACTCGAGAAGGGAAAGTTCAAAGAGAACGAGGCGTACATTCTCGAAGAAATCTCGCCGATGGACTTCAAACTCTACCTGGACCTCGTCTATCTTCCGAAACAGTACTTCTCAGGTAACCTACACCATTTCATACTTTTAAAAACTGTTTTCTCTTGCAGCGTACTGCGCAAAGGACATGTTGGAGGTGGCGAATCGCTTTCAGAACACGGAAATTGTGATGACGTGTCAGAATGTGATTCTCGAAGATTTGAAGGAGAATAAGTTGAGCAGCAAGGATAAGGCCAAACTGGCGGAAGTGTACGACTTGGCCACCGTCAAAGTGAGTCACCAACTTTTTGGCTACCGTAATCCCACTAATTTCCAGGAGCTGTTCAAGCCAGAGGCGCTCGTTCCGCACTCGAGAAGACCGCGTTTCATGGCGCCCGAGGATCCGAGAAATCTTTCAGAGGACATGGACCTCGGCGGCTTCTTCCCGCCCACAATCATCCACAAACATCTCGAGACGTGTCCGATAGGCCAAATCGAGCGGAATCAGGAAGAAGAAGAAGAAGAAGAAGAAGAAGAAGGAGGAGGAGGAGGAGTGGAAGAGGAAGAGGAAGAATTCGATCAAACGATTCCATCGACTTCCGGTCTCACCAACTACTAATCATATATGTCTTTTTGAGATTCTTTCTTCTCTCGAAAAAACCATTTCTGTGAAAAATGTATTACATATTTGGGAGCATTATAAACTTTTACGACTCGGCCGAGCATTCGAGAATACAGACTGTTAAGATTATGGATAATGGCCTTGCCGTTTCACTATAAAGCCGTCCGGAGCGCTCAGTTTTCACAGAATTCTCCACTTTGACATCATGAGAAGTTTCTTCCTTTTCCTTTCATTTCTGGCCACCGTCGGGTGCTATCGGGTCAGCGAGGCACTCAACGAGCAACTGCAGGACAAGTGCGGAAGACGTAGACGGAATTTCAAAGTGTCAAAATTTGAAAAACGAACACTATTTGTTTTCAGAAACGTACCAACGCAAAGTGATAAACGGAGCGGAAACGTACCGCGGCGAGCATCCGTGGGCCGCCTCGCTCTACATCCGCTACAACGGATCGGTGATGATCGGGCCGGCGACGATCATCTCGCCACGTCATCTGATCGCGTTCAACCTCGTGCGCGACAACCAGGGATACCACAGCATTCTGAAGAAGTTGCGCATCAGCGGGACGGTGCTGTGCGAGGGTGTGCACCTGCTTCTTCCGCAGAAGATGCTCTCTGCCTTCGACATTGATTTCGAGTACCTGAGCCCGTTGAACGCGTCGCGCAAGTTCCGCGACTCTGTCAATCGGATCACGGTGATCAACGGATGCTCGAGTCTCGGAAACGACAAGTTGATGGTCATCGAACTGCGGGAAAGTCTGCGGATCACCCGGAACAGAAGACCCGTCTGCGTCTCCAATTCGGCCAAGAACTGGGATCCGAGTCTTCATGCAAAGTTCCCGGTTTACGGGGTGAACAGGACGGGGATCCTGGTGACGGCGGAGTTTGCGCCGGTTCTCGAGGGATGTGACGCCAAAGTTCCACTTTCATGCGCCAAAGCGGTCCGCCAGGATCAGGGACTTTGCCAGGTAAAGGGGAAAGGTTGTTTCCAAAAAGTGCGTCTCGTTTCAGGGTGATTTCGGAGGAGCCGCCGTTGCGACAGTGAACGAACACGCGACAGTGCTTGGGATTTACGCAAAGGGCAACATCAAGTGCGGCAGCGATCCGGCCACGATCAACGATTACCAGTTCATCAACATCGGCTACTACCGGGAGGGCATCTGTGAGGTCACGGGAGTCTGTGCCGCCGCCCCTGACAATGATGTGACCACGGTCCCGCCGGTTATCACTTCCACGGTTGTGAGCAATGCCACCGAGACTCCTGAGGTGACTTTCACGAGTGTCGGAAATGCGACGTACGTCACCGAGGCTCCAGAAGTGGGAAATGTCACCGAGGTGGCCACTTCTCGACCGAACAGCACCCAAGTGCCTGAAATCATTGTCACGTATGTGACTGAGGTGGTCACTTCTCAACCAAACAGTACCGTGATCCCTGAAACCACCTCCACTGGAGCCACTGTGATCGACCTTCTCAATGGAACTCTCACGGCCGAGACATTCGAACGACTGAGTCTGAATGCTTCTTGTGGAAGCGAATCGGATTCCGATTCGGACGGATCGTATTCTGGACACGTCAAGGACATTCACATTCACATTCATTTGGACGGACGAAGAAAGGCGGATAATTGATTTCTGTGAATAAACATTTGAGCATTGAATGTTTTGTGTCATTTTTTTGAAATCTTTAGATATGTGGACTTCGCCTGGGCATTGGAAATTACAAACCAAATGTCCTATGGACGTCAACTAAAACATTACCTAGACACATTGGACATTACATTAACACATATTGCTTGTTTTGTGATTATTGATTTGATAGGAAGCTTGACAAGTTCAAGTTCGCCACATTCCCACAATCAGCATATTCCCTCATGAATAACCATATTCCAGCATGATATAAAAACTCCTCCTACTGTTCCAGCACATCTTACAAAAATGGTGTCCTCCTTCCTCGTCCTTCTCGTTTCGCTGTTAAGCACCGGCAGCACGTACCGTCTGAGCGCCGAGCAGAATCTGGAACTGCAGGAGACGTGCGGACGCATGCGAGGCTCGTTCACTTCTGGAGAAATAGACGTTTCTCGCAAGTTCGTCGAGGGAAATCGCGCCAGTACGCTCGAATTCCCGTGGGCGGCGTCGGTGAACGTGGAGGGCATTCTGACGGCTTCTGTGATCTCGCCACGTCACATTCTGCTCTTCAACATCATCGAAATGGATCCTTCCAACGGAACTTTAAGCATCTTCGACGATATCGCGCTCACGCAGAAGGCCGAGTGCGACGTGAACGATCTGCTTCTTCCGGAAGAGGTCAACAAGTACATTGAGGTGGATTTCGTCGCCAAGCAGAGTGCCGTCGCTTCCCCGCAAGTCGCCAAAGTGATCGTGCTCGACGGATGCGTCAAGATCGACACGTTCAAACCGATGATCTTGGAGCTCGCCGAGGATTTGCAGTTCGACGAGAACCATCGTGCCATTTGCCTGTCGGATTCTGAAGACAACTGGAACACGACGGAAGAATTCAGCGTATTCGGGTTGGGTCCACGTGGCAAGAGTCTGTCGACGGCCAAATTTGCTCCGAAAGAGTGCAGTCGCAAGGATTCCCTCGAGAGTTACGTCGAATGCGCGAAGCCGTTGAATGAGAGCCAGGGACTGTGCGCGGTGAGTTTCCAAAGGTTTACCTGAAAAATCGGAAAGGTTTAGGGAGACTTTGGAGGCGGCGCCGTCGCCGAAATCAACGAAAGAGACGTTTTGCTGGGAGTGTACGCCGAGGGAAATGTGCAGTGCAAAACGGATCCGCGCAAGCACCGAGAGCCCGAGTTCATCAACATCGGACATTTCAAAGACTCGATCTGCAGACAAACCGGCATTTGTGTCGATGTGCAGGCATTCAGTACGACGACGACGACGACGACGGTGGAAAGTTCGAAGAAATTTACTGAGGAAGGATCGGGAGATTCGGAAGAGACGGACAGTTTTGATAGTGAGGAATCGATCACCGCCGAGACGTACGAACGGATGAAGATCAAGGAATCGAGCGGGTCTTCTGCGGAAGACTTCTCGGCACACGTCAAGAACATTCACATTCATATTCGGCTCGATGACGAGCAAGATGTTTAAATTTGTTGCCAATAAAGGATTTTCCTTTGAGTACTCTATACTAACTAGAAAATTATCCGAACTTAACATGGGCTTTTAGAATGATGCTTATTTGGCTCGAAAGAGAATGTTCAGGGAATTTCAGAGCCACCTACCTTGGTTTCCTCCTCCTTTTCTGTGTTTTCCGCGTCGTCGATGTGCGCCCACAGTGTCCGCCTTTTCGTCGTCCAATCATCTCTCTCATCTCGAATCGTCCCTATAATTTCGTATAATTTTGCACCGCATTGTTGCTGTGACGGAGAAATTGAGCGAAAAAAGAATTTTCTAATATTTTTGAGATTCGAAAAAGCGGCGAAACAAAAGTCTTGTGATAATGGGGCTATTCAGCGTATGTTTGTTTCTCGTTTTTTTACGTTTTTTTTTGGCGGTCCAACATAATAGAACTGCGCAGAATAGAACCGCGACACAATAGAACCGCGACATAATAGAACTGTTTTTGTGTATTTATATGAGCATTTTGTCCGTTCCTTTCAATTAACTTTCGCAAAATGTTTCGTCTCTCGAAAAATTAAGCAGAAGGCCACAGTTTAAACCTAGTAAATTGGTTTCCTTTCGTTTTTGATAGTACAATAAAATTATTTTCTGTGGGTTTTCGTTACCGTAGAGAAGAGGGATCACGACGGAAGTGAAATTAATGAATGCAATAAATTGATCACGAGATTCAAAAATTATATTTTTCTACAAAACAATTATTCTACAGAAAGGTTTAAAAGGCGCTCCAAACAGTTATATTGTGTCGCGGTTCTATTCTGCCCAGTTCTATTATGTTGGACCGCCGTTTTTTTTTACATCGCTGAATTGGATTTTTTGACGTAAAAAAACGAAAAAAAAACATTTTTTTCACAGCCTGAATAACCCCCATAACAAAAACAAAAAGTGTTAGACTTACCTTTGTTCTCAAAGACGCTCCGTCCATCAAGCCGACAAAAGGGTTGTCATGGCCGCAGAGAGTCGATCTGAAACATTCAAAACGTTAAAATAAGCTAAATGCACATTTTTCAAAGAAAAATCGATACAAATTTCAACTCGTCTCTCACTAAAAGCTTGCAAACGACAAAAACAACGAGACAAGCGCATGTTTTTCGTTGCGCGCGTAGGTCAAAACCGAAGAAGTGGCAAAAGTGAGTGTGCGCGACGGGGCGGCCGTTGGAAAGACTGGCAGCGGACGGGGAGGAAAAAAAGAGAGCGAGTCCTCTCGGAATGGACGGTCCGTCGAGGGAAAACAACGCGGCGCGCACCAAAGTGCAGACATTTATAACCGGGTCAGCGACAGTTCAAGAATTTCACACCTGTCACAGAGATTAAGAAGAGTGACCGACTGCTTGATTGACACATCGTCATACGTGTCTGTAGTCTGGTGCGCGTAGCGTTGTTTTCGCTCGACGGACCGTCCATTCCGAGAGGACTCGCTCTCTTTTTTTCCTCCCCGTTCACTGCCAGTCTCTCCGCCGCGTCGCGCACACTCACTTTTGTCGCATCGTTGCGAGTTTTGACCTACGCGCGCAACGCGAAGCATGCGTTTGTATCGTTGCTTTCGGCGTTTTCGATCTCCTTTAGGGAAACAAGTAGATTTTTGTATAGTTTGAGAAATGAAAACCTCTCACTTTCGTCGAGAACCATCCATCCTCTTTTATTTCTCCTTTTCCGCACACTCACTTTAAAGGCGCATACTGATATTTTGTCGAATCGCTGCGAGACCCGTTGATCCAAAACACAGAAGCCCTTGAACGCCTCACAGATTAAATTTTGTTAACAAACACATCAGCGCGAATCTTCGGAAAATCAAGCTACGTCTCTCTTCAACTGTTGCTGCCGTTTTGGGCCATAACTTTTATGATCAGTTGCGCACATTTTCGAGTATAAAAGAGCGGCCAGCCGCCTGGTTTTTCATCATCCTTCGTCAAGAATGAACTTCTACTCGCTTCTCCTCCTCGCCATCCTCTCCGTCGCTCTCGTCGCCGCAAACGGCAGCGTCACTCGTGGGCCCGGAAAAATCGGAAGAGGACCACATCACGCACACGAAGGAGAGGGGCCGGACCATCATCGGATCAAGAGAAACCTTTCGGAAAGAAAACTAGACGGTCATTTCAGGTTCGATGGAAAACTTCCAGAGAAGAGAGATCATTGAGTGCTTTGAGCAATAAAGTTTCGAGCAGCATCATCAAGAAACTTCTTTAAAATTTGTTCGCGATCTTTCAATCATTTATTCGATAGTTATGCATATGATTTCGGTCCTCGGAAGATGTGCACAATGTCTTTCGGGTCGCCCGTCTTTCGGTACTTGGCCAGCTTGATCGTGATGTGGATGTCGTTGTCGGTTTCGTCTTCGCTTTTCACAGGGCAAGCGACAGGGGACCCGGTGCCAGTGAATCCGTCCTGTTGGGATCCAGTTTCGCCTGAGGGTTTAGAAGACGTTCCTCTAGTTTCTTCTACTCCAACTCCGGTTCCAATCGAGTACGCAGTCGTTTTGTTGTCAGCTTCAGAGGATTCCGGATGAGCAGAACCAGTTTTAGTCACTGAGCCACTTTCCGAATCATTTTCAATGACATCCGAGTTGGTGACCCGTTTCGTGCCAATCTCAACATCCGGCCACTCTTCCTCTTCCCTCTCAACATCACTCGTGGTGGTCCCACTGGTCGGAGCAGTCGTGGTAGTAGTGGTGACCAAAGTGCTCTCCCCACAAACACCCGTCAAACTGCACACGGAGCGGGCGATCGCAGTCAGGTTGGCGAAAGTGAACACTGCGTTTTCGTCCAACTGAGCACACTCGAACGGACCGTCAATGTACACGCCGAACGCCTGGACAGTATCCGCAATGCGTCGTGCGGCGGCTCCTCCAAAGTCGCCGTTGCACAGCGGATTCTGAGCAGTGACACAGAAAATGTCCTTGGAAGGAACCGGACACGGGGTGAGCGAGAGTTTTGTGTGCCGCAGGGTCGCGTCCATCACGTCGCCGCGGTTGTCTCCGTATCCGTAGAACGTGTAGGACGGTGTGGGGACAGACGCTGAAAAGTTGTATTTCAGCTACTATCAGTGCACGCACGGCGTTTCTTTCACAAATTTGAATTATAAAGGCTATGTTCCCATTGAAATGCGCCGCTAGCAGTCGTGTTTGTCCCCGTCTGACTCACCCGCAATACAGATCGGCCGGGCCTTTTGCTTCGCCGTCACCGCTTTCGTCAGCTCGACGACAGCAAGTCGGTTGAGTCGGAACGGCCGTTTGCACCCGCCCACAACAGTCACCTTCCGCAGCGAGAGACGGTCCTTTCCGGAGAATCGGTCCGCCCGCAGCATGTCCAGAAACACGGAAGTCTTGCGGACGACGTGCTTCGGGAGGACGAGATTGTGGCCCTCGCAGTTGAGACCGCCCGTTCCGATCGGATCCATGTTGTCGCGGAAGCGGATGCCGTCCGTGCTGTTCGTCAGAAAAATCGAGTCGTAAGTGAGAATATGGAGATCAGAGATGAGAGTTCCGGTGGTGTAGACGGTTTTCGCGTGGGCGTCAGTCAGATAGACGGCCACACTCCACGGAGATTCGCCCGCGTGGGCTGCGGTTCCATTGAGCACTTTACGGGAGTAACGGTACACCTCTGGAGAAGATTTCGATTATGGAAAACACCACCAACAAGAAGGTACCTTTCATGTTGACTCCGCACGTCTTCTGAAGTCGTTCGTTCTCCTCGACGGTCAATTTGATCGCATTTAGGCCGACAATCAAGAAGAGAGCCCCGAAGGCCGCGGAGGTGGAAATCATGGTTCCGCAATGGAAGGGAACTCCTTCCATTGCCGCTTTTTGTCGAGAGTTAATTCGATTAGGAAGGGAATCGTAAAACGGACCCCAAGTGGGTGAAAACCATGCGAAATAGCAAAGTGATCGAACATCTCGGGCACCGATTTGAAATTCAGACCTTCATTTTTTGTGAACATTGTCCGTCTTTACCATCGATATATTGCGTCCCCGCAACACGTCTCGCCTCTTTTTTCCATGCGTCGTTTCCGACGGGCAAAAAGACAGCTGGCCGAGGAGAAATCGGCGAGTAATTGGGGGGAAAAGGCAGAAAAGGGGCCGTCTCGGACGGGTGTTCCTCTCCTTTTTCGTATTAAATCCATGAGCCCGATTTGTAGTTTTCTGATTCTTTTTTCTAGTTTTAGAAGGAATAATTTGTACTAATTTTAGTTTTTCCTGAGAATCTTCTAGAAAATATTGACATTTTCTTGCTTCACTATCAGTTTTTCACTTTCACTGTTCTTTGTTTCTTCCTGTGCTTCGCAAGTATCGATTTTTTAATTTCTACTCTAAATTATCTTGAAGTTCGATGAAATTCTAGATTTTCACATGTTTCTGTTGTCAACAACAATTGCAATTGAATTTTCTCCGCCATCTCCGCCAAAATTCGAGGTTGCCCCCAAATTGGACGGCTGCCGCGGACTAGTTTTCGCACGTCCGCCACTTTCTCTTCCACCCTTTTACGAACTTCCACGGTCTCCTGCACGAGAAAAGCGCAAGCAATTACGCGTGCTCTCTGCGTCGCCGGCAGCATTCTCCTTGTCTCGCACTCTCTCGCTTGCCTACTGTCGCTCGAGAAGCGAAATGAGAGTTGGCGTGGCGCTCGGAACGCCGCCGGAAGAATACTGATTTACCTTTCCGTTTTTCTTCATGAACGTGTTTATCATGAGCAAAACTTGCAAAGAGCAACAAAAAATTCTGAAAAACATGCCGGCGTCAGTACGAAATTTGCATTTTTCGTGTTGCGGTTGATTATGCGTGCTACAAGTGAGAATCAAAATCATCTTCCGTTATTTCGTGATGAAAACGTTGCCCGATGGTTTTTCATGACCACATCATCAAAAATTTAACGGAATTAATCGTGTAAGCCACACTGGGAGCACCGATTTCACACTTCGGTGGCCAACGAAGTTTCATCGGAGACTTCAGATGCGTGCTCTCGGAAGAGTACTGATTCATTTTTCCCGCTTTCTACGGGAATATGTTGAATATGATCAGTACTTCGAAGCAGCAACAAAAAACTAGAAAAAATATTCTGGAGTGTCCACGGAGACGTCTTCTGAAAGAGCGACAGTTTTCTGCTGACTTCAGATGCGTGCTCTCGGAAGAGTACTGATTCATTTTTCCCGCTTTCTACGGGAATATGTTGAATATGATCAGTACTTCGAAGCAGCAACAAAAAACTAGAAAAAATATTCTGGAGTGTCCACGGAGACGTCTTCTGAAAGAGCGACAGTTTTCTGCTGACTTCAGATGCGTGCTCTCGGAAGAGTACTGATTCATTTTTCCCGCTTTCTACGGGAATATGTTGAATATGATCAGTACTTCGAAGCAGCAACAAAAAACTAGAAAAAATATTCTGAAGTGTCCACGGAGACGTCTTCTGAAAGAGCGACAGTTTTCTGCTGACTTCAGATGCGTGCTCTCGGAAGAGTACTGATTCATTTTTCCCGCTTTCTACGGGAATATGTTGAATATGATCAGTACTTCGAAGCAGCAACAAGAAACTTGAAAAAATATTCTGGAGTGTCCACGGAGACGTCTTCTGAAAGAGCGACAGTTTTCTGCTGACTTCAGGTGCGTGCTCTCGGAAGAGTACTGATTCATCTTCTCATTTTTCTTTATGAACGTGTTCATTAAGACCGCTACTTACAAACAGCAACAAAAAAACTTGAAAAAAATTCGAAGTGACTACGAATACGTCGACAGGGAATAACTACAGTCTTCCGTCGGCTTCTTTAGAAGCGTGCTGTCGAAGAACGAAAAAAACGATTTTTCGACTTATTTCAACTTCAATGTGTTCTATATGCGTTCTTAAAACAATCAGCAATCAAAAAAATCCGGACATTTCGCGATTCTGGAGTACGGAATTATGATGCTATATTCACAACGTCTTCTACTAGACGGAAGAGTCAGAATACACCAGTTCTTTTGAAATATATGTCAGAAAAAGTCATAAAGACTGGTAAAATTACAAGTTAAATGATAGTCGAGTGAGAATGAACGTTGCCGCCGTCGGTGGGCCTGTGAGAATCTGATCTACCGTAAGCTTAGCTCGAGTCGGTCTACTTCAAATCTACGTTTCTCGCTTCAATCTCAACCAATCTGCTCGTTAGAGGTCGCAAAAGAAAGCTTATGAAATTTGGAATCGCTTGTAGGCGTTCGTTTTTTGAGAATTTCTGTCTAGCTCTCGATTTTTCGAGAAAACACAAAAAACCACTACTTTTACAACTGAAAACTTGAAATGTACGTATCTCCGTTCAAAGTGCATATTTTTTTCTTGGTCAAAATCGCAAAATTGTAGTCCTTCCCGATGTCTAAAACTTGTAGGTCTCACATTTTTCGAAAAAACATTTTCTGATTTTTTAAGTGACCGAAACGTTTTTCTTCTGTAGTTTACTTGATCCCATTTAGTCAACCCGCTTTTATTATACAGATTTCTTGTGTCCAATAGTTAAATCTAATCGTGTATTAACAAAAAGTATCAAAATGGTTGAGAAAGCTGGGTTGTACCTGCCCCTTGACAATTTTTAAACCCACGTTTCGAGAAAACTGGCTCTCTTCAACACGCACGAATTTTTTGATCAGCTAATTGCAGAAAAATGTTCCTAATTTTTGTCCTTGCTTGTTCTGATTTTTTGAAATTTTATTTTTTGTGTTAACCATGTCGCCGACAACTTCTTTTGTTTTCATCAAGAAATTTTTCGATTGATAATGCAAGCGCGCTCTACGGTCACGCGTTAGAGATAAGAGACGGCTGAGTATGCGCATTTCGCGATCTAGCTGGCACATTTTTCGATCAGGAGACCGTGCTTCTTTCTCCTCATTTCATCCCTGTTTCAATGCAAATTTCACCCGTTTTCCGCGATTTTTCCGAGTTTTTTGGATCACAATAATTTTGCGAATTTTTCAGTACAATATGGCGGAGGAGGGGGCTCCTGATAAGCCGCCGGAGGCCTCGATAGACATTATGGCAATTTTTGCACAGCACCAGTTAGATTATAAGAATGCGATCGAGGAAAGAGATATTATCAAGGCGTTGAAGGTGGCCGATGATACACTTGTAACCAGTTTAGGTGAGTAAAATCAGAGTGCGGTGAGAGAAAACTGAAGAAATCCGATTTTTCAGCAGTTCACAATTATAGCGCTTTTGATGGAATGGCCCGCTCCATTCAGATGAGCATTCGGTTCATTATGAAGTACGAAACGCTCATCTATCAACACGAGGTGATTTATCAAAGTTTTCAAGCCAAAAAATCCAAAATTTCAGGCCAGATTGCTCTCCGACACAACGTTATTCTACATCTGCGAATTCATCAAGGAATTCTCGCACTTCCGCGGATTTCCCCTCACCCGAACGTTCATAACTCCCCATCGGAGGCGGCAATTGGAGAAAACTTTGCGTACGCTCAAAAATTATCGAAAATTATCTTTAGAAATGATCTGACGCTGCAGAATTGTACTTTGTTGTTTCGTACCAACCACAAAACAGATTTTTACAATTTTCCTTTTTTTTCAGAGCCTCCCTTAAAACGTTTATTTTTCAGACGCGGAGCCGTGTCTGTTCACAATCCCGTGCCGAGTGAACGAATGCGAGAGCTACGCGCCGAATGTGGCCGACGGCTACGTGGAGATCTTCCGCGACCTAATCATGCCGCCCGTATACGAAATGAGCGCCTCGCGCCGTCACGTAGTCTTCTGGTGCCACGACGGCCGGTTCTTCGGCCGCGGACTCGTCGAGAACATGATGCTCGCGCCGCAAATCGACGAGTGCTTCTCCGTCCCGCAACAGCTCGATTTCTATCCGCTCCGCGACGAGGAGGCGAGTCAAATTAGCCGACTTTGAGGGCTTTTGGAAGAAATCAGTGTCGGAAGCTATTTAGGGCAGGAATGCAAGCTTTTCAGATAGTAAAAATGTCAAGAATGACTGGAATCCAAGGACTTTTAGTAGTTCTTCATTTATGAATGGAATTTACTCGTTTTAAGCGGAAAATGTGCGCATTTCCCGAAAAGTGCAAACTTTTAGTGTTTTTGACGGAAAAGTCGAAATAGCTAATATGATCCCCGATTTGCAGACGATAACGGGTTTCCGCGCGTTCGACTTTGGCACGCTCTTCGAGACGGACCTCCGCCATTACTTCGTGGGCGACTACCGAAGATCGGTGAAAGTTTTGAAGTTCTACAACAATCTGGACTTTGATCCGGTGTGCGGAACGGAGCCGACCAACTTCTGGGTGACGCAGGCCCGCCCAAAACGGTCCATCATGGCCCCGCAGGTCGAGGATCCACGCAGCTTTGTCGTCCTCACGTTCCGAGGATCGTCCGCTGTGGTGAGAGGTCTTCACAAGTGGAAATAGAAAATTGCGATATTTTGCTCAGAAATTCACATGAATGTTGCAATTTTTAGTGTTTCCACAAATGTATGCCTATTTCACGTTTTAGATCCGCATCTTCCCGGGTTATTGGATAACCGCAACGCCGCCTCTCTCGAATCAACGTCCGATTCTGTACCTGTTGGACGGCGTCGAGAAACGAGATGTTCGCATCGGAATATATCGATGTGGTACGCGTTTTTTGCAATTGTATTCGTTATTGGCCGAAGATACAGCAAAACAGCAGAAAGGCGATTTTTTCGATTTTTCCATTAATTTCCCGCATTCAGGACGAGGAAAAACATGGGCGGTGCACGATGGAGCCCTGTATTGCGGAGAAATGACGTTGCAGATGATGGAGGAAAATGACGGCGACGAACGGAATCTCGACAATTACGTTCTTTTCGTCGATTTGAGGGTACGCAGTCGGAAATTGAGAAATGACAGATTTTTGAAAATTGACTCGGAAATCATTGTTTAAATCCATTTTTGCAGGAATTCCGTACGCCTTCTCCGTTCCAAGTCACCGGACTGGCCTATTCTCACGACACGATCTATGTGAAGGTTTGCACTTTTTCTAGAATATTGATGATCTGATAGGGATCATAATTTTGAAAAGTTATCAATTTTGGTTTGAGGGACCTAACTCAAAGTTTCAGCTGGAAAAGTTCTTCAAAACCTCCATTTTTGCAGTGCGGAGACTATCCGTGCGTGAGTTTCGATCATATGAAGTACTGGGAGGACAACTATCGCGGATTCGTGCACAAATTCATGTTCGCGGCAGTCGAGGAGTGGATTCGACGGAAAAAAGAGGACGGAGTCGAGGATCCGGTCGAATATTATCAGGAGAGCCTGGAAGATGTGCAAGAACCGCGAACGATCGAATACAGGGAGGTTTTCCCGGATTCCAGTCCAGAATGCTCCGATTATGAAGATTATGAATACGAAGATGAAGCGGAAGAAGAAGAGGAAGAGAGGCAGCTGTTCAGTGTGCCGCCTCCGCTAATGGGCCCACTGGATCCGTACCCTCCGGTTCTTTCACAACTGCTCGGCAAGGCCAAAGCCGTTCGCGAATGCGGAATATCCACGGAACCGTTGAAGTTTGACGGCTACGGAAGTGAGTTTCAGACATTTTTCAGCGAAAAATGCGGGATGCCTAAAAGATGATTTGTTTCCATTTGCCAGGACTGCTGAAAAAGTACCGTTACGCGAACTACCTCAACTTCTTCGCCTACATCGTCGCACCGCGCCTTCCGTGCAACGCGCCTCGCTTCCTCACCAATTACAACGACAGTATCATCGAGTGGGAGGACGCGGCGACGGTCGCCAAAAAGAGGGTGAAAGCACTGTTCGCAGAGTTCGAACGGATCAACCATCCGGGAACGGACCTCTGGAAACCGCAGCGATTCCTCAAATTGCACCCGCCGCCCGAGGACGATACCACCGACTAGTGAGTGCGCATTCGGAACACGAATCTGACAGAGTAGTCAGAATTTGCAGTTTTTAGACGGAGGTCGTTATTTTTGTAGAAATGATTCAAACAAGTGAAGTGACATGAAAATGATTCATTTTCAGCTTTATTTGAGTCAATGAACACGAAAATTAGCGTTTTTTTTAGAATGCAGTCGTTTCAGAGTAGTTGTGCACTGGAAAATGGAAATGAGAACAAGAGTGACAATTTTCAAGCCTAAAGCTAACTGAAATTTAAGACTACCCTTTGTCCGAATACAAGGACCCCTTCAAGGAAACCGACAATATGTGGTATTTGCAGCGGCGAGTACCGCCTTCTCGTCATGGTCTGGTCCCTCGTCTCGTTCACCGGACAACTGAAATTAGCGTGGCACCTACGAAGGAACGTCTGCGGGTTCGACGATCCCATCAATATCGAAGTGATGAAATAGTGAGCCCCGAAAACTCTTTTCAAATATCTCATCCGTTTCAGTCTGACCCAAGTGCTCCAATTCGTGCGGGATCACTACGAATCGGGCCGGGAATCGGGCCTCCTCGCGGGCTTCGACCGCCCGATGCTCGAGTTTCTCGACGAGCAGGACCAGCGGGTGCCCGACACTCAGCAGCTGTTCCTCACGATGAATCCGTCGGCGATCCTGGACATTCGCATCGGACAGGGCGTGCTCGACGAGAGCTTCCGGGACAATCTGGACGTCAAAATGGTGTTCCGACTGCAGCACCGGGACCCGAAAGTGCTCGACTCGCTCTACGAAATGCGCACCTCGCGGCTGATCATCGCGGCCCAGAATTCGTGTTTTTTGCAATTCATCGACGAGAACGGAGTGCTGGATCTGAACAAGGCGTACCCGGACGATCCGATGCTGCACCGGCTCATCGTGCAAACTCATTTTGTGGGCCACGGACTCACCGACCTCGAGGGATGCGAAAGGCACGCGCGCGCCGGCGTTTTCGATCGATTGGGGTGGACGCTCGTCAAGGCGCAGAGATTCATGTGAGGAACAAAGCCTTTCCAAAGCTGTTTGACCGGCTTACAATAATCCGATCCGATCATCGGAGCCAAACTTTGCAGACTTCTTGGGCTTGGGTTAAAGTGTTTTGGGTCGAAGTTTCTTGTTGCCGAAAAGACCCGATTTTTGCAAAAACTTCGGTCGTTTCAGTCTGAACCCAGTATATCTCGGGACAAGATAATCCGATCGGTCTGAAACACGTTCTTAAAATACTTCATTTCGACCAAGTCGTCGACGTCAAACTAAATTTTGCAGAAGACGTTGCGAAGTCCGTTACCGTGGCTACCTGTTCGCGACGGAGAACGGCCTGCGGAACTCTCCGAATCCGCTGGTCGGCATCTCGGGCGACTGCGACGACGCGCGCGCCGTTTACTCACTCGACGGGACCGTGCTCTACGTGCATCGCCTCCTCCGCGCCATTTACTCGACGATTCCGGCCGACAACCCGATGGCGGACGACAATTTGCCGGCGGATTGGCTGCTGGCCGCCTGGCGCGGACTCTACGATCGCAAAATTCTCGAGATTCTGTCCGTCGAAGCGGTGAGTCGCTGATTTTAGGAAATTCAGACGGTTATCTAAATATTTATTTTTAAAGTTGAAAACAATCAGTTTTCAGTTTATATTCTCGTTAAACTTCAAGCACATTTTCAGCGAACTCGAATCGCTCATTATTACTACACGAATGGGATGATCGAAGCGTTTCACGATCTGCTAAAACAGATTATTATCGATTGTGAGTTTCAACCGAAACCTGTCGAGCTATTATCGATATCTATTTGCAGCCACGTCGAAAGACTTTATGTCGGTCCGCTTCATTTTGTACTGTTTTCCGCGTTCGGCGCAACAAATAGTCGCCGAGCACCGACCCGGAATCATCCTCTGGGAGAAACTTCCGCCGGACGTCAATCATGTCAAAATGTAGGGAATTGGACCCAAACTTTGCAGACTTGTTGGACTTGAATTCAAGTAATTTGGGTCCAAGTTTCTGACCGAATGGATAATTTTACTCTGGAGATATTATGCATTCGCCCGGAGAGAAATTTTTCACTCCAGCTTGCGGGCTTGAATAGTTTGTCGCGAATGCATAATATCTCGAGAGTAAATAACCCAATCGGTCTGAGACTTGGGCCCAAATTACTTTAACCCAATTCCAAAAAGCCTGCAAAGTTTGATTCCGATCGGAATATTACAAAAGGTAATTTCTTGCAGGATAACGGACATGTGGCCGAAGAACGAGTTCGATCGGGCGACGCGAGTGCCCCGCAAGATGTACGTCGACAATCGGCGCGTCGAAAAGAGCGTCTTCCACATGATCGGACTCAGAAATCTCAAAAACTACTACACGTCGGTTCAAGAGCGACTAAGTCCCATGTTCAAACAGTTTTACGCGGTACGCATTTGGATTTTTAAAAATAGTTTCGAATTAAAACAATTTTTTAAGCCTCTATGATATTTTTGATAGAAATTTACAAAAAATCCTCATTTTACCAACCCGTTCGAATCCCTCAGTGCATTCAGAAAGACTTCCCCGTGGCGGACCGACCGTACCGCCCGAACACGCCACCGGACTCGAGGTTTGCCGACCAGGAGCTGGAGGCGTCCTCCTCGGCGCCGGGACCGTCGAATGCCGGTCCCAGACGGGCGGCCTCCGAGGGAAGCGTCGAAATCCCGGAGAACCCGGAGAACTGGGAGGCCGGAGCGGAAGCGGAAGTGAAAGTGGAAGCAGCGGGAGCGGGAGGATCCAACGGGTCCACGTGCTCGACGGGCTCATTCGGACCGACGCAGACGCCACCGGTCGAGCGGAAATCCTCTTCGGGCACGTCCATTTCGTCGCGCGCCACCTACGCCACGTCATCGGACGGATCGGGACCGTCGGGGGCGGCGCCAGCTGCTCCGACCCAACAGCAGAAGCCGAAGACGAAGCAGTTCCAGAAGAAGCAGAAGAAGCAGAAGAAGGGACGGAAACGCTTTTAAATTTCATTGCATTGCTGTACCATTTCACTCGGTTCATGTCAAATTACACTTTTATACCATTCATTTCTAATTGATCCTCATGATATTCCGACAAAAATTGCAGTTTGTTTGAACGTCCAGAAAACATGATTCTTGTGGAAAGAGCGAAAAATGCCTTCAATTTGTATCTTAAAAAATTTTTCTTGATTTTTCATTAAAAAATATTATTTGTTGAAATATTTGCCCATTCTTGTGAAATCTTCATTCTGTGCCCTTTTCTCATCGAATTTATTAATCCACCTAAATTATTGACTCTTTCTTGTACTTTATTTTGAATTATCATTTTCGCGCCCACGCCCACGCCCACACAATTTGCCGCGTAATTTCTTGCTTTCTCGTGATTTCGCCCACCCGAAAATCAGTATTCTCGCAATTTCTTCACTTCACACTGTGACACGCTTATTTATGAATTAATTCGGCCGGAAATTTGCCTTTTTTTTCCGATATTTTTCACCCGATTCTCATCAATTCGTTAATACTTTTTGGCTATTCTCGGACAGATTATCGATCGATTTCAGATGACGCGGAAGCCGGAAGACGCGTTCCGGGCGGTTCAGAGCGCACTCTACGGCAACGACGTTTTGAAGGCGATCGCGAAGTACGCGACGCTTTTCGCACTCGTCGCCGGTTTGTTTTGCACCCAAATATGGCTTCTGTGACAAAAAATACACGGAGCGCATTCTCTGAATAATTGAGAATGTCTTTGATAAAGTTGGGCATGTTTTTAAATAAATTGGCTGAAATTTGAGCAACAGCGTGGAAAACGGTGGTTTTCGAAGGCAACTGTATTTTTCGGCTCTCGATGAAAACCAGAAGGCAAATTGGCTGAAATTTGAATAATTGTAACCAATACCATTGAGAAATGTGTTTTTTTTTAAATAAAAATGTGTGAAAAACTAGGGACCGTCACAAGTTTCAGCCCAAAACGTGAATTCGTTCGGTTTCAGACAAGAATCTGGACGAGAAGTTGACGGAAGCGGCGGAAAACGTGGCCGACGGGATCCGCAACTCGACGCCCGTCGTACAGAAACTGGCCACCGACGCGGTACGAAACTCTTTCTCGGAAATGGGATTTCCTGCGGTTTTCAGGTCGTCAAACTAGGTCTTCCGCCCGGAATTCTGCTCCTGAAGCAGTCGAATCGGATCGATGAGACGGGCCTTCCGCTCGAGAGAGTGCTCTTGCTCAACGACGGATACCGCAGATATCTCGCTAAGAAAGATTGTGCGTTTGGGTGCTCGTTTCGATCGGAACGATAATTTACACGATCAGTCGGATTGGATCAGAGCGGCGGGGGTCCAAACTTAGCAGGCTTCTTCGGCTTGACTGATTGCTTTTGCCCCGAGATATAGTGATTCAGAGCTGAACAGCCCGGGCTTTTCGCGAAAACCATGGGCCCTAGATCGGTCTGAAACTTGAACCCAAATTATTTCAATCCAATTCCAAGAAGTTCTCTCGATAAGCCCGAGCCAGCCAATTCAATTGCCTAACCCTGCTTTACGCGGCTCCCCTCGTTTGTGATGCTTTGAAAAACTTCATTTTTGCAACTCTTACGGTTCGCAACTATCAAGTGACGTATAAGTTGCGAAATGTCAGAGCTGCGAAACGTTCGGTTGCAAAAACAAATAGTATCCAGCCCTATATCATCCGCTTCTCAGGCATATTCCACGTGATGGCGTTCGGTCTGAACGTGAGCAGTCGGCTGGGACTGACGGATGACGCCGACGGACGACTGGTCCGGTTCGTCGGAAACCCGACTCCGATCCACTTTCCGTCGAAGCCCTACCAAATACTCATGTCGAAGAACCACACGATAGTCCGCTGCATAGACAACACGGTCTACGGGTGCGGAAAGGCAGTGCACTTCCAGATGGGCGCGCCCGAGGATCACATGGAAACGCAGTTTGTCAAGGTTGACACGCGGGGAAAGGTAAGAGCGGGAAAGCGCAATTCTTTCGAATGTACCATTTTGCAGGCGGTCTACGACATTCTCATCGGCGACACGTACACCATATTCCGGCTGGGCGTTCCCAATAATCCGGCGATCACGGACCTCTTCCGCACGCCCGAAATGGCCTCGCTGCCGCCGATGCCGTGGCTGCCCGAAGTGTCCGATTCGGAGTTCGTCGGCCGATTCGTGGAGCTCGTGGTCGGCGAGTGTTCCGAGTACACGCGACGGCACCACCTCGAACAGGGAATGAACTGGGCCATCTACCCGTTCGACACCCTTCCGTACCCTAGAAAAGAGATGGTCTTGAAGAATGTGGGCAGGAACGGTCAGGAGGTGAGAGAAGCACGTATTTTGCAACTGACGTTGATCACAAAAATGCAATTGGAGACGAAAATGAGAAAAGCGAAGTGCTGAGTAACATGCTGATAAGGCTTTTTAGATAGTGAGCGCCAGTGTGATTTAGCAACAAAGCAAATTTTATAACGAGAATGTGTGTTGCGAGTCGGAAACTCATCAACAACTCTTATCAGTCGTTCCGTCTGCAGGTGGTCGTAAACGGCGTTTTGTGGAAATTCGACGCTGAACCGGAATGGGCCTACCGTCCAGTGCTCATCTTTCTCGATGGAGTCCGTCGCGACGAGGTCCTCACGCCGCAGAACTCGCAAATATGTGAAAATGGTATGTTGGATTGGATCATAGTGGTACCACGGGCCTTTGAATGACATCCTTCCGAGTTAACTTTTTTTCATTCAAATTGAGGGTTCGAAATGTGAATATCTATGAGTTCTATTAAGAAAAAGTACGCTTTATATAATCATTTACTAGTTTAGAGCCGTGAATTATTTCCCGAATACTTGACGGCGTCTTACACATTACTTGAATGAAATATGAATATTTTTTTTGATAGACAAGGGTAGAATTTTTTGAGATCTACAATTTGCACTTCACTCCCAACCTTTATGATAGTGTTGTTTCCGAGGAAAGTTGGCAAAAGGCCCGATGACAAGTATGGATAGGATTGTGTCCATGTTCCATTTCAATCAGATCTCCAATTTCAGGTAGTGTCTGGCTCAAAGACAGGCAGACTCTGTACCGCGGAAAAGTACAATTGGCGGACGTGAAGAGTGTCGAAGAAAAATATTATTTGGTCGCCGTTCTGGCCGAAGTCCCGCTGCCCTACAAAATTCCGAATTTGACGGTGACCGACGACGGACTCAGTGCGATTATTTATGTAAATTATCTATGTTAAACTAAAGGAGTGTCTCACGGCGCTGCAATCTAGTCATTTCTGACTTTACCCGGACTGTAAAAGGTTGTCAGGTTGCCCCAAGTGCCTCTATTTCTTCTATGGGATATGTATGATCTTCTAGTTTTGTCTTAGTTGGATACACGAAAACACTTGGTACGAGCCCGAGAGTCGGAAATGTCCAGATTGCTGGAATGTCCTTAAGGGACAGTATGTGCCATTCTCTAGGCCACGCCCCTTTCTTATGTGTAAATTGTCGAATTATTTCAGCCGAACTACTTTTCCGATCCGACGTTGCAGCACACGATTCTGAAGCAGATGATTCCGATGCTCCGTTACCAAGACACACAGTTTCCGAAAATCGCCGGATTCATTGCGAACAACCTGACGGAATTGGGGCAGAAAACGGAGAAACTGCTGGAAATTGTGAAGAAGAGCGGCGGATTCGCGTACAACTGCACAGGTAGGTAGCGGCAATTGTGCAAAAAGTGACTGTTCGACTGACACTGTTTTCAGAGCCGTTTTCAGGACACATCAACGCCGACAGCTCGCTCTATCTGCTGGCGCCCCTCGCCGAGTACTGGCGTAAAGCGTGAGTTGTGCACAAAGACGACAGTTTAAATTTGTTCACCGGAAATCTTGAAGCCATGTTGTGCGCTTCGGAATACATATATATCAGTGTAGCAAATTGGGCCGTTTCTAATCGATCTATCACCTTGGATTTTGCTCACGTTTCGACTAAATGCTGTCGAATCAATGATTTGTACCAAAACTTTACGACCCCGATGCTCGGCCACAGGTATCCAAACGGCTTGGGACGGAGGCGGTCCCGTCTCGTGGTACCAAAGGAAGTGTTGCACGGAGTGGGGATCATTTGTGTTTCCTGGTTCACGGTACCTAGTGCAGCATCTCCCCCGTCTCGTGGTTCCTTTCGCCCGCGTCCCAACTGTTTGGATATCTGGCTCGGCCATTCTGTCGTTTCCCCAATGAACCCATTTTGCAGTCCTGGCGACGACGCTCCGATCGTGATCCGGCAGCTGGAGGCCCTTCCGCTTCGATCATCGTATGCCACGTGGCAGGGCGTCGCCAACGCGCGCTGGGAATTCAGTCTCGACTACGCGCGCCCGCCGATAATATCGGTGCGGGAGGTGTCCGCAGAGGACGACGTCAAATTCCTGATGGCCCAATTCAAGCAGGAGTCGGGCATTGAATACACGGGAAAGCCCGACAAGATCAAAACGTGAGCACTTTTCCCTTGTTGTCTTCAAGTGAGATTTTGACGTTTTCAGCGTTCTTTTCTCGCTGAGAACCATGATCAAAATGGTCGAGAAACTGCAAGTGGTGGCCGAAGAAGCCGCCGATATTCTGAGTCGGTTCCCCGATCACAAGTACCGCGTCGCCTTCGCTCAGTGAGTCGGCACACCTATTCATGGATATGATTTGTGGAAATGTTCTTCGAAAAGTGCCAATTTTCCGCCACGTCTACTCCATTTTACGAAAATAACGAAAATTGCATCGTTTTCTGAAAACGTTGGAAGAAAAATTTTGGCACTATGATTTCGACCAATTTGCTCGATTTTAGGTACCTGGACAGTCTGTCGATAGTGATCGAGAGCTTCCGCACGCCCACAGTGATCTTCCGTGCGCACCGCGAGAGCCGAGTCCACGCGCCCAACCTGGTCCGTCCGTTCTACCGTACTCCGACTGTCGGCGGCGGCCATCCGGACGCAGTCGGAGTCTGTCGACCGCTGGACGTCCTCATCAAAGCAACCGGGATCGTGAGCGAGCCGGACCGAAAAGCACACTATTTCCCGCTGAAAACGCGTATGAATCGAGAGTATTTAAAGTATTTCTGTCCCGAATTGGACGAGCACATTGACGAGCACGGAGTCGTGAATCTCAACGCGGTTGGGCGCCGAATTTGATATTTTTTGAGCCGAATACTGAATTTGCAGGTTTGCGAACAGGATCAGGAGCTCTGGCGATTCCGTGCCCTCCTCAATCGCATCTTTTTCGACCATCCGGCGCAATTCCATTTTCTGGAAGTTCGGTCAGACTTTTCTCGGCTTTTTTCACAGTGCAAATGCAATATTTGCGCTTTATTAGAAATGGCTTAAAGTTTGCGCAATTTCACAGGAGCATTGCCGAGTAGATTCTCCGGGAACGTTTTCTTTTTGATTTCAGCAAGAACATTCCGGACGGCGACAGTCTTCCGAACGATCAAGTGTACACGATCGAGACAGAGGACGAGTGCCGCGTGCGCATCTCAAAATGGCTCTTCTCGACCTTCTTCCTCTTTGACCAATCGCGCCGCAGTTTCGCGGAGATGCAGGGGGAAACGCCGCCGGACGAGTTCAAACTGTGTGTCGACTCGCTCGTGCTGAAGCTGGCGATGGAGGCGCTCGTCGACATGAACATCCTCTGGGAACTCGACATGGAACTCAAACTCGCCGTCTTCTACTTCTTCCACGAACACGCCGCGCCGATTCCCATCGACGATCTCATGAAAATTATCATTTGTACTGGTGAGTGGCGCACATTTTGCTGAGAAAACTCGGCCACGTGTTTTTTAACTTGTGAAGCTGCAACTTCTCACAAAAACCTATGATTTCAGCCGAGGAAAAAGACGCGGACGTGCTGCGAAAGCTTCTGGAACGGGAGAAGGAGCGAACGGAGGAACTGATTCTCGAGAATCGGCCGGCGATGATCACCGTCTGGAAGGAGTCCATTCTCGAGATCTGCAAGATTGAATCGTGCGTTTTTTTTTGTTATTTCTTGCCTCCTCGGTATTTCAAGCCTACTTTCAGAAATGGGGGGCTTGAGTCTGCAAACACCGAGGGGCAATAGCGATGAATTGAGCTTAAGTAAAAAGTCCTTTCAGACTCGTCACGCGTCTTCTGGAGCAAAAGAAGGCGATCGACGAACACGTCTCGCTGATAATCTCGAATCCGTACTTCGCCGGCGGACCGCCCGAGAAGCCGATCCCCGTGGAGCTGACCGTCGAGTGGGTGCGGGAGACGTTCCACGAAAGAGAAGACGTCGACGTGCCGATTCCGGAGACGACGCGCCAGAAGATCAACGACTTCATCGCGTACGCGGCAAAAAAGGCCTTCTCGGCGGTCGTCCGTCGGTTCCCGAAGCAAAGAGTTTGTCCGCCGCCTTTCATGAACGATTTTCAGCTGGTCGACAATATCAAAAGAGGTTCGGAACTCGATTTTTCGAAAATATTGTCTCAATTACGGTTTCCAGGTCCCATAAATTTGAATTTTTCATTCATTTCTTACGGCGAGAGTTCATAGAACTTTTTTATAGTGTCAGGGAGCACATATTCGTGATGAAACTATGAATCACTTCACAGGGTTTCATCAAAAGATATTTACTGACATTCAGATTTGTTTCCCCGATAACTACGCTCAATTTAGCGCTCTTGCTCCCTCGGTGTTTGCAGACTCAAGCCTAATTTCAGAAATTTTGGCTAGAATCTGCAAACACCGAAGGGGCAATAGCGATGATTTGAGTTCAACTGTAGTTTGAAAACAAAGTTTTGGGACCCGGAATTCGGAATTGAACCAAAAAGTTGCTCAACATTTGTTTTCAGAGAGAATTGCGGCGTTGGACTTGTGAAGAAGATGTGAACTCGAAGAATTAACACAATAAATCCGTTTTTTTTTGTAGCTGTAGACAAATTCCTGCCGAATTGATCGATCTTCCCATAATTTTGTTCGCGATCCGCATTCCCATGATTCATTTTCCCCCGTTGTTCGAATTCCGAAAACCTTGTGATCTTGTAATTACCGATTGTCCAATCATTCCCTGCGATTTTCTATTTTATTTTTCATGTTAATAATCCTAATAATAAGTGTATCTAGTCTTGAGATGTAAATTGAAATAATCGTTTACGTTTATATATTTAACCGTCCACCATTTTCTTGTGAAATTTTCGAACAATTGCAATTCTCGTCCCTAATGAATTCTAACTCTGAAACGTTTTTCCGACCGCCGTCGACCGCTTAAAAAGAGTCGGGAAAAAGGGAAGAAGTGATAAATGTAACGATAAGCAGTGAAATGTGGCATGACTCGAGGAATAAACAATGATGTTTGCGAAGAATTTCCAATCGTATCGATGCAAAATGGAGAGCAAAGACTGAAAGTCACTCCCTGACCATATTATTCAAAAAACATAGTTTCTGCGTGCATTCAAACAGTTGCTTTATAACTCAAAAAAGAACGTTTTGTGGAGAGCAATCATCAACGACTTCTTTCTGCAACGTTTTGTTCTGGAGATGGCGACGCCTGCGAATAAAAGCCACAGGTCGCCTTCTCTGTGGACAAGAAGGTGTGCGGCGGGCTGTTCTCTCATTTATCTCGACGAAACCAACACATTTATTGCAATAAGGAAGAGTACGGAGACTAAAACGTTGTCGCGAGTCAAGTACTGATGCGACACAACAAAAGAATATCCAATTGTGAACATAAATAATCATCTCAAACATTATCGCTGAAGCTCTTACTATTAGAGAGCACTAATAGAATAGAGCACGGTGATTTTTCCTGGCGGTTGCGCGGAAGTTTCTAGTCCCTTTTTATAAGCTTGCTTTAAAAAAAGAACAGCAAAAACCGTACCTCAGAAAAAATCACCGTGTAGGGTGATTTCTCATCGGCGGGAAATTCAAATATGTTTCGCATGTTAGCGCTGTCACACCGAGGCTGCGTTTTTACGGAAATTGCAGCCCTCTCGGCTCTGATCCACTCATCTCTAGAGTAAATAATCGGATCGATCTGAAACTTGCACCCATACAATACTTCAATCCGATTCCAACAAGCCTGCAGAGTTTGCGTTTGATCGGATGAATGAAAGTGGGTCAAAAGTCCAGCTTCGAAAAGCTTGATTCGACCTTTTTCGTTATCGGTACTGTGGAAAAGGGTTCAGTAATGCGGACAATTTCAGTTATTCAACTTTTTCATCGTGCCAAGACCGTAAAATTTGAAAATTCAGTTTTTGGAAAAACCTTTATCTGTAATCGATTCTATTCGTATAATTGCACAAAGACGAAAACACAACAGTCTTATTCAATCATGTGTGATCCGTTCGTCTCCACTGCCAGCTTTTGTCCACTCAGCAGGAGTTCCGTTGTCGCCATGAACTGCGCGTGCACCAGATTCGTGCGGTCCACCGGCGGCAGGTTATTCCAGTTGCTTTTGAGGGAGTCCATGTGGTCGGCGTGTCCCTCCACAATTTGGAGTGTTTCCTTCAGAAAGTTCTCGTCGCTAACTTTTGGGTCAGCGTACAGTTGAAGTCCTTGGAAAAAATCTGTCAAGTTATCCACATCCTCCAACGCCAACCGCATCGTGGCTTGTCTCGTGTTATCCTTATCGTCAATCGGCTTCTCAATCAGCTCAGTGATCATTCTCGAAATGTTCGCTTGACTCGTTTTGAATGCTTCCAGCGAGCGCTGAAAGAAAACGTTTTTTTAAACATCAGTATCTTCAGTAAACACAAGCAGAACTGGGGCAGTCTGGAAGTTTCACTCACTTGCACTAATTCGATCGGACACAAACATATTTGGTCCAAGTCTCAGCCCGATCGGATTATATGGTCCAGAGATTTGTGGATGTGAGCCTGAAAGGCCGGGTCTCGGAACCAGATAATCCGATCGGTCTGAAACTTGGACCCGAGATACTCTAATCCAAGTTGAAGAAGCCTGCACGGATCGGATCCGACAGAGTTATTGCAAGAGGCCGAGGCTTGCCCAGGTGTCAGACTCACAATGATGCCCGCGTACTGCTTCTTGAGATGATCCGCCTTATTAAACTTGGCCGCCACTCTGATTTTGCTCGAAATCTCGCTAAACTTGCGCGCCGACGTGTTGATCTCATCGGTCACTTGTGAAATCGCATCGTACGCCGATCGGTTCATTTGCATTTGCTCTGCGGCTTTGTCCATTCCAACTTGAGCAAGAATTCCCACATTTTCGATGGCACTTATTTGTTTATGGTGCTCGATTTCCCGCTGGCTTTCTGAAATGAATGAATAGGTGTGCTACCAGTCTGGAATGGATCCCACCTTCGCGCGTAGTCTCAAGAAGCGCTTTTTTCATCTCACCAATCTCCGCCAGATTCGATTTCTCAGTGTTCTCCGCGTATTCAATGCGCTCTTTCTCGCTCTTGGCCGCAAGCTCTTGAGCTCGATTAGTCTGGACGGGAATCAATTATATTAGGTCTTTGATTTGCAATCTTCCGATCGGACCAGACCTAGATCTGTATATCTTTCAAGAGCACCCCGAAATGGAATTGATCGGAATAGAACTGCCAAAAATCTTTCATTTTGGGGTGTTCCCTGTCTCTCTTGGAGCCAAGATATTTCAAACTTCGATTCAAACTCAAGAAACATGGAATAGTTTTGAGCCGATGGGAACATTGCAACTTGTCGCGAACCTGTTCCTTTTCGATGGTGATTCTCTCGATCGCATCTTCGTTCGCACGCCTTTTCGTCTCCTCCATCCATTGCTTCTCCTCACTTTGATAGGCTATTTGATCCTTCTCGCGAGCATCCTGCGCCTGCCTCAACGCATCTGCAATAAACACAATACGATGAAGGACTGGACCCAAACACGGCGTGTTGAAAAGTGAACTGCTTACCCAGCTCTGCCGCGGTCTCCTTGCGTCTTCCGCTCAAAGTCTGCTCGTGAAGGGACTGACTCGCTTTGTTGGCCGCCTCATTTGCAGCCGTCAACTTTCTCATCTGTTCCTCATGCTTCTAGAAAGAACTCATGAAAAAAAGGCTCCAATTCGGCTCAACTTCCGCACCGGCGTCTTTTCCGAATTCGAGAGAGACACATAAAATCGAAAAGGCGCCGGCGGCGATAATTCGGCGTCAAATCGGCGTCAACGCCGACACCTAGTTCGCCAAGAAAATCATTACTGACACACAATTTTCTGGCGCTTTTCTTTTTCACTGTCACATTTTTTCTTTTTTTTTTTACAAGTATTTTTTGCCTTGCTCTGATTTACTTGCAAGATTGAGAGATGATCAACTTTCAGAGCAGCACATGACAAAAAAACAAGCGACAACCGTTGGATACCGGGAAAGGTAATGAATAGATCTAATCCGTGCTTTCATTCAATTTTTTTCTTTTTTCAGAACTGAAAAAACGGCGAAAAATGCAAGGAGACGTCGTGCATCGGTGACAATGAAGCGTAAACGAGCGGAACCCGAGTACAAGACCACCTTCGTTTTAATGTAAATTTTCGACTTTTAAACCGATAATGTGATGTCTTAGTGACTGTGAATAGTATTTATTAATACTTATGTTGAGTGAAGTTCTTCTGTAATAAAGCAAAGTTTTTTTAAAAAAATAATTTAAAAAAAAAATAAATATAAAAAAAAATAACGATTTTTCGACCCTGGTTTCCCTGCAAAAGAGCGCCAAATCGGCGCAGAAGCAAGCTCAAAAACGGCTCCAAAAAGACAAATCGGCGCCGGAGCTGTTCGGGCACGGCTCCAGCGCCGATTTTTGAGCCAAATTGGCGCCTTTTTTTTCTGAGAAGGGACAGGTGCTTAGAAAAGGCACGAGGAACGAACCTCCGTATCGTTGTTCTTCTGTCGGTTCGCCTTGGTGAAGACGTCGTCGGCAGAATCCAATTGAGAAGAGAAGCCTTTCACTTTCTCCGCGTGCTCGCGTCTCTCCTCCCTCAACTTTTTCTCATGTTCCGCCTTCTTCGCTGCGATATCTTTACGGAGCTGTTCGGCCATTCTGAAGTTTGATAGAAATATTTTAAGACGAAAGGAACAAATCGCTACGGCGCTTATCGCAAGCGGTTATATACGCAAAAATATTCCTCACTCTTATTTTCGCCCGCCCATTTCTTTCGTTTGGGCGGAGTGTAAATTTCATATAAAATCGTTTGAGATAAGAAGTTTTAAACTATTTCCTCGCTCTCTTACCACAAAAAATTAAAATCTTTTGAATTTTCAGGCCAGCTTGTATACCAGCAAATCAACAGAATGGGAGTGAGTTGAGATGGCACCCTACAAATACCCTCAATTCGAAACTATATATCTCAGCTGCCGATGAAGATATCAAGAAGTTGTCAACTAATAAATTGCTAACTGAAACAATGTGTACATTTCGTTAGTTGACAACTTCTGGATAACTCCACCCAGTGAGATACATTGATTCGAACGGGCATAATCGAATTTCAGGGTGGCGAAAGCAAAGAAGTGAAGAACTTGAAAGACGAACAAGCCGCGAACGATAGAAGATACGCGAATGAACATAACACACAGATACTGGGTTGGATAATAATATAGGACAACTCTATCATGTTTTATGTTCAGCGCATCAGGCGCAATCAGCAACGATGGACAAAGAGCTGGCCAGGAGAAATGATGCGTTGGACCGTCTGAGGAAAGCGCAGGCTGAAGCTAATGAGTGAGTGTGAATTAAGTTAAGCATAGTTGCACTGAAATTATATTCCTCGCGATAGTTTCTAAGTCATGTAACACTGCTTGGAATTCTGACTGATAAGAACATTGTTTACCGCAACACTCTTTCCAACTTCTGCCAAGATCACTGTTGAAATTCGTCATCTTGCTAATTCTTAAATTGTTTACACTTTCTTGCCATCTCGGTCTCTTCCTCACTCTTGCTAACTCTTACATGACACATGTCCGGGTTGTTTGTTGTCCATTGACCGAGAGTTGACCTTCACGGAGAAACGGACAAAAAGTGAATCGTCGAGTCTTGACTCTGACCTGCGAACGTTTATGATAACCGGGGGGGTCTGACCAGGAAATGTTTAAGAAGTTATGCTCCAAGAGACGTTTCGCTCTTTCCCTCCATTCTGCGTCGACCCATGTAAAACATCGATACTTAAGGAAAAACGAAAATGAGCTACGAGCAACGCGTGCGGAACAAGCCAAACGGGCGGCCGAGCTTCAACGGCAACAAGACTTCGAACTGTCTCAACTGCGGGACGATTCGGAGGCGGAAAAGCTGCGAGTGCGCGGCGAGTACGCAGCGAAAGCGGAGAAACTGGAAGAGGAGCACAAGGCTGAAGTGGCGAGAGCTCGGAAAGAACAGGAGGATATCAGGAAGCAGAGGGACGAGGAAATTCGGAAGGCGGAGAGCGAACGCGGCGAACTGCAGAAGCGAAAGGCGGAGGAAGTGGCGGAGCACAAGAAGAAGTTGGAGACGATGGCAGCGAACCATCGGAAGGAGGTCAACGAGCAGTACGATCGGATGCTCCAGCTGACGAACGAGCACACGCAAGCGGCGGTGTACGTAACGTTCTCGACTCTAAAATGAAATTGAGATTTCAGAAAGCGCATCGCCGATGAAACCAGCAAACGAATGGCAATCGTGGATGTGGCCCACAAGCAACATCGGGAAGACACCATCACTGCCATCTACCAGAACATTTACAAAGAGTACATGGCGATTCAGAATCGAGGAGAGAAACTCAAACAGGCCGTCGTCGATTTTAACAGCGTGTTGGAGGTGAGTTTCAAAGAAAGAGTTCAACGTTTTGGACAAAAATGCTTTCAGGTGGGAGACGGCGCAACAGAAGTGCCGTACGAGATCAGAGAGATGAACAGCGAGTTCGGCACGGAAAGCGCGTTGATGAACAGACAAGTGAGCAACTTGCGCCAGAGGATTACCAACTCTTTCGACATCTCCGAAGAGTTCAAGAATGCGTTGATGGTGAGTGAAATCGGGTTGGGTTTCCGAGATGCCGACTTCCGGATTCCGCGTTCCGGGCATATTTTTTCATTCCAATTTCCGTTTTCCATGTTTCGGGTCAAGAATCGAGTGCTGAATAACTATTGAAAACAATGTGAATATTTAGGAACCCCTTGAGAAGTACACGAAATCTTGCAACCAAGTCCAGGGAATCTCGTACAAAGTTATCCTCGCTGTACAGGTTGGACAACTGGCCAACTATTGCATTTCAACTTTTTGCAGAACAACAATCTGAAAGCGTTGGAGCCGATCAGAGAGGCGCTTCAGCCGCATCAGGAGGCTATTGAGAGCATGATTGCGGAGATGAACGCTCAAAAGTTGAAAGAACATGTGGAGGAAACCATCAAGAATATTCATCAGAAGAGTATCACCCAATGACCCGTCTGTTCTTCTTGTCTGCTATATTTGTTACGTTGAACTCATTTATTAGAACTCCTCGTGTTCCGATCTATTTTTATTCGATTTCAAACTGGTTATCCACCAGTATCATACTTTAAAATTTCACCCTTAACAACCCTCCTTCGAGGATAAATTGCAGAAGTTATGAGTGGAAATCCGCTCTCGGATGAGTTGGCCTCGATTGAGTCAAGATTAACTGAGCTGAAACGTAGGATCCAAAACGACTTTGTACCTCAACAGGAATTGAATTATCTCTGGGAAGAGAGATATCATCTGGAAGACAGGAAAAAACAGTTGGAGAAAATTCTGGTAAGTATACGTGGAACATTGAAAATAACTATTTTCTTTATTAATTTATGGGGCTATTCAGCAGCAAGAGTACCAAAAATACGGAAATTATTCGGCTGGAGGTAATGTGCTAACTCTGCAGAAAGATCCAGGAATTCTTGGTTCTGTGATAGGCAAAGTCACTAGCGTGTTCAAGACAAGCGGACCAAGCAAAGAGGTACATATCTTCAATATTCACTACCAAAAGCTAACAAGCCAAAACATTTTGAGGAAATCCAAAGACAACAACGCTTAGAACTGGATCGAAAAGATGCTGAGAGTAGGAGAGCGATACAAGCTGCCGAGCAGGCCGAACTCGACGCCATTATTCAGAAGTCGACGGAGCAGTCTCGACAGAGAGTCACGGAAAATGTGCGGCAAGCAGATCTGAAACTGCAACGACGTTTGGATGATCTGTCGGCCGAGGAAGAGGAACGACGAAGACGGAACCGCGAGGAGGAAGCGATAAATCGGCAGAGAGCGGATGAAGAAGCGAAACGGGAGCAGGAAGCGAGACAGAGAGACCTGATGGTGAGCAGTGGGGCATCCGTGCGGGGAATGGCCAAAAAAACCCCGGTCCAGACTTTTTGAGTTGGTAGCATAGGGAATACGTCACTACCATTGAAAAATCACATTTTCCGGGGTCCAATAATGATAATACCCCTCTCAAGTTTAGTAAAGTTCAGTAGTTTTTTACCTAGAATAGGATTGAAACTTGAAAAATGAACATTATTTGTTTGTAAGAGCCCCTAAAATCGTGCGAGCAATTCCATTCTTGGCTTGAATCGAGTTGCTCACTAACTGCTATTGTTAACTTATCTCTTCGTATAGAATCATTGTCCCTAGTAACCTTCGTCTCTAGTACTCTGCCCAAATACCGGTAGATTACCTCGAGGACGAATTTTTTTCAACAGAGCGCATTTTCAGGAGCGCGAGTTGCGCAACGCCGCTATCCGTGAAACCCTGGCTCGTAAAGAGCAAGAGGAGCGTCTTCGAACCGAGAACATGCGCGCCGAACAGCTTCGCAAACTCGACGAAGTCGATCAGTTGAGACGTACTAAAATGGAGCAGCACCGACAACACATTGACGAATTGAATGCGCGAAACGCCCGGGAGAAAGAGGAACAATTGAAGAAGCTGAGAGATTTGGAGGACGAAATAATAAAGAGTCAGGAGGAGGCACGCTCAAAGTTCGAGGAGATGAACAGAAAGTGTCGCGAGCAGATGGAAATTCTGATGGAGGCGATGAAGAAGTCCCAGATGACGAGGACCATCGAGGCCAACTGGAACAACCGGCTCCAGGCGATGAAGTCGACGGAGAAGAGAATCGGTCGCGCGGTGGCCAGGGTGAAAACGCAGCTCGCGGTGGCCAAGTACAAGGAGACGAATCCGGAGATTTTGAGAAGAGAGTTTGATCAGATGAAGACGGAATTGTCGGAAGTGAAGAAAATCATGGACAGAGAATCCGACAATCTTGAGAAGATGTACGAGTTCTCGGGAAAGCAATTCGTGTTGGATATCGGGGTAGGCCAGAGAACCTGAAGAGTGTTTTCAATCGGTATTCTTGCAGGACTCGCTCAGATCGGTCTCTGTGGCTTGCACCAACTTCTCCCAGTATCTCGACGCAATGTACAACTGCTCCTTCACTAAAGAAGAGTCGAAGAAAGTGTACAACGACGTGGAGCTTCATGAAGAACGAATCGTGGCTGCCTACAAAGACATTCCAACTATAGAATCACTGAAGGAGAAGCACGCCTCCGGCTGGCAGAGCTCTTCGTCGTCTGCCGTCGGAGCCATCACCGATGACGGTCATGTGCTCGTCATTGAGGAGATGGACTAATTTCAAATTCATTTGAACATTTTGCATCCGCTTTTTAAAACTATTTTATGCTGCTTTTATTTCATGTAACCTTTTAGCTTTGATAAAATTTCCCAAATGTGTGTTGCATAATGCTTGAAATGAGGTCATCTCGTCCGACTCAACTACTTTCCTCTCTTTCTTGTTTGATTTTTTACTGATCAATTTTCAGACTCTCGCCGTCACACGCAAACTCCTCGAATTACACGTGAGTCGCAAAATGAACAAACACATTTTGTTTATTCCTCATTGCGTTTCCTTATCAGTTACGCATGGCAAAAATTGAAAAAAAAGCTGATAAAATATAGGAAGAAATGTGATGGGGGACCGGAAAATAATACTGTCAATTTCAGCAGACATCTGCAAAATGGCCGACCAACCGGATGGGGATGATCGAATCGGGTTGGAAACGTTTTTCGAATCGCTAAGACTCCAAAAAGCAGGAAGGGATCATGCGGAAGCGCAGATGAGAACAGCAGCCTATCAGGTAATTTAGGTATACTTTTTAGAGTATGACGTATAGGCTGGAAATGAGACCCGCTCACGAGTAAACAACATTCACAGGCCCTTGCCGGACACGTCAATCAGGCGCGCGAAGAGGCCCAGGAATCGGCGAACAGGTTGAAAAACTTGGAAAATGATCAGGAAGCGGATCGGCAAAATCTTCGCATCGCCGAAATCGGTTCGATATCCCGTGCTTGCCATCATATTCAATCATTCTCCAGAATTCTCCTGGCAGTTCAATGAGGACGGCGGACAGGCGAGAGCTCTCTGCGACGCCCGTACTTTGTCACCCAAAAAGGCGCTGGAACCTTTGTTCAAAAGCATAAAACAAGACGTTTCGATGATCCCTCGACGCTTTAAGCAAGTTTACGACTCGGTAAACGATAATGCTCTTTCGGTGCAAACGACGCGTTACTTTCAGGTCAACCATGCCGTCAAAATCAAGAGCGCGGAAGCTGCCAAAGAAATTGAGCATTTTGTAAGCAACGAATCTCGCTGACTACTAAGCCTTCTCGAGATTTTCAACATTTCAGGACGCTCTCTCGAACATAGAGAACCTGTTAATAGCGATAATCAATAATGCAATGGCAATTGCAAAGTTTGGGCCGTTCGACGAGAAAAACGACGAACGAATTGTTCGTTTTCTGATGATTCTCAATCGTTTCTCTTTCCGATTTGCAGGAGTGTTTCCAGACTATGAAACAGAATGTAATGGGCGTTCTGGACGACACTGAACAACTGGGAAACATGTGGAATGCCGGAAATGCGGATGCGGCCTGGCTGAAATCACTGTGGGATCAGATGCAGACCACGAAGAAGAACGTGGATGCGCTCGTCGAAACGTGGAAAAAATGCCCTCTTTTGAGCGCTTAAATCATCATTTTCTTGTTAAATTTTCTCAAGTTCCCTAATAAATACGTGGACTCATCAGGATTTGTGGTTCCACAAAAAAACAAAAGGTAATCCGACCGCCCGTCAATTTCTTTTATTACTTCTCAAAAATGCGCGGTTGGAACGATTGTCCAATGGAAATGAAACACGAGATCATCAAGAAAATGGAATTTCGAACCCGGTATCATAATTTCTATGTAACTTTTCACATTACCAGCCAAATTCGCAGATTCTGTTTCCGCCACGTGGCAAAATCCACTCAGATGGCCGTGGATTCCGTCCGGCTCTTCGTGCCGCGCATCCGAATTCACGCAAAGAACGAGAACGACGTCACGATGCACATATTTCTGGGAATCGAGAAGGAGATCAAGATGGAGTTTTCGAAAGAGGAGTGGGGAGTCACTCATATCAAAATGTGAGCAGATTATGAATGTCTTACGTACATTGCTCAAAGTCTTATCCCCAAGGCACACAGGACTCAATCGATTGAGCAATAACTGATTCCCCGTTTCAGGAGCGGTCACTCGGTTACTAACAAGAAGAGAAAGAAGAAGATCCGCAACGTGAAGTGCGACAATCCGGCGCTCCTGGCCGTCACCATCTTCAAACACGTGGCAATTCACCCGAAAACTCTGCTCGGCGGCGTCGAATTCGACATGAATCTCTCTCGATTCATTCTTGAGAAAATCGACGAAATGCTCGAGGGCCTCCAAATTCGTACTCGGATAATAACAGTTCCGAGTGAGAATCGACCCCTTCCTTTTGTACTTCGTTGTATGGGAAATGATCTGGTCGAGGCGCAGTTATTGCTGGAATATGAAAACCCACAGCGAATTCGTGTGAGAAGGAAGGTCGATGTGTTCACGAGAAGAGTGAGCAGCACGATCGACGAACGCGATTTCGATACGTTTCGCTTCATGTGTGCGTTGGTTTTGGTCGATACCTCTTCTCAAACTAACTAGATAGTTCTTCAGCTGCCACATACTTTCGCGCATTCAAAATCGGCGATAATCCGGCTGCTCGTGTTGAATATCTGCGGACTGAGCTTGGTGCTGAGATCGAGAAGCAGTGAGTTCACGAAGGACCGCACTCACAAACGCGTCTGCATTTAGTGGCGAAATGGACTACAGCACGCGTTTTTTTCGGGACGGTTATTTTGTGTGCGGGCGGATCAACTCGTGCGGAGGCATGCAGCACTCTTCGAGTGTGGAGTTTCGAGACAAAACGGTTAGAGTTACACCGATTCCCAGCTCATCCGAACGGTTTCAGTTTCTCGAAGGATGCCACATGCGAATGAGGTGTGCCGTGCACTCGGATCCGTTCGAGTACTGGTATCAGAAGAGGGTGGAGGAGCATCTCGATTGGTTCGAGTGTATTTTTCCGAAAATCAACGGTGAAAGCTCGCTGGCGTGCGTGCGCCATGAAACCGGTTTGAATTATAAGCGATGGAAATACGGGCCATCCGAACAATCGGATAAAAGTTCTGTAAGAGACTTGTCGGACAATGACGAAGAATCGGATTGTGAAGAGGATGAAGAAGATGAGGACGATGTTGATGAAGAAGAAGAACAGAAAAGCGAAAAGGCACGTTGCACCTTCTTGTGGATTCTGATGTTCTTCGTCTTTTTCCCGATTCGTTTTGCTCACATGAGCCAATAAAGTAGCTTGCCCATTTAAAGCTGTAAAAGCAGAAGCACTGGTAGACTACAAGCATTTATGACAGTCAAGTTAAGGCAATTATATATATATATATGATACATACGAGTGTCGTCCGTTTTAGTGATTCGGGTTAAATGATTTGTGTGATGTGAGCAAAAGGGTGCGAATAAAACATGTCACGCGAGTCAGAAGAGGCCGAAAAGCGGCAGTGTGAGGATGATGGCCACGTATCGCTTCGAGTTCTCCAAATTGCTATCGTCGTCATCGTAGGAGCTGCAAAAAAGTAGCAAAAATAATTCAGAATTAGATACTATCAAGGTAATCTTTCGGCTTTCTGCGTACGACCACACGCCCACTTTTCAGTTCCCGCGCAATAGCGACATTTGCCGTGGAACGCGTAGCGGTCGGGCGCAGGAGACCAAGAAGACTAATTTCTGCGCTCACTCGTCGTCCTCATTCTCGTAATCGTCGTCCTCGTCGGCCCCGTTCCGTCTTCCTCTGTTGCTCCTTCTTCTCGGCTTCCTCTCCTCTTCCTCCTCATCCTCTTCATCGTCGGCCTCTTCCTTACGCATCCGTCTTCTGTTTTTGTTGTAGCTCCGTCCACGTGGCATCTCATCTTCCTCCTCCTCCTCCTCGTCATCGTCGTTAATCTCATTTCGTCCGCGTTTCGGCTTTCTTCTCTGCAATAGACAATTGTCACAGAGTTTTTATGTGCTTGTAAATTGAAAACTTGAAGCGCCGGCCTAAAATTGTCAATTTTCCAGCGTAAAGCATTCGCAAGCACTGAAAATCGATAGAGTTTCTCGAAAACAAAGCAAAATTGGCACAAAATTCGTGTTTTCAAGAAAAAGACTGCAATGATATGAGCGAATAGTGGAAAAGACAATTCCAGCCATGATTCGAGCTTCTGAGCTGACCGGAGAGTGATCCTCTTCCTCCTCCTCCTCGTTCTCGTCCGTTTCCTCGTCGTCAAGATTGTTGTGGCGGCGCGACGGACGATTGTTCCGCTTATTCTGAAAGGCATAGGCTTGTTCAGTCTTTCCAGTCTTTTTTCTACCGGTAAAATTAGAAAAAGCCGGGTATTTCGACCTTTCGTCAATTCTTGTGAACGCAATCAATAAATTTTCAAAAAATGTGTTCGAAAAGTGTGATTATGCCCAAAATGTTATAATTTTCCTGCAATTTTCCGAAACTGACCGATCGGCGGGCCTCTTCCTCCACGGACTCATCACCATCTTCGTAGCGAGAAGGACGGCTTCTCCGATCGTTGCGACGTGGCTGAATTTCTTCCTCCTCCTCCTCCTCTTCTTCTTCCTCGTCCTCTCTCCTTCCGCTCCGACGGCGCTTCTCTTCGGATTGTCGGACCATGTTCGGTTTGGTGGCGAGCTCCTCGAGCTGCGAGTCCGCGGCGCTCTTCTTGATCGTGCGCAACTTGAGGATGGCGTCGGAAACGAGACGGCCGTCCTCCGAAGTGAACACGTTTTTCGTGTCCTCCGTGCACAGATCGTCATCGGCCGCGCAGTCGATGACCGCCGAAGCGGCGAAAGCGACGAGCACGGAGCACAGGCACACGTGGCGGATGAGCATGGCTGCAATTTTCAATTTTTAACTGGCGGTTTCTTGCAGCTTTGGCCACTTTTGAAGAAAATTGGACTTCTGCACTGCGCGCCGGGGAATTGCACGGATTCTCCTTATAAGAACACGGCAACACGAATAACATCAGCGAAAATCAGAGAACAACAAATTGTTGATCACAAAAACAACGGAGTGATCGGATTTCCCACCGAAATCGAGAAAAGTGAGCAAAAATTGGCGCCTTACACAAAAAGAGTTTAATTTCGCGCGCGACGAGAGAGCACGCGAATCCAGGAGACACGAACGAACGTTCGCACGTCTGTTTTTCGCAAAAATTCAAAATTTCGAGACATGTGTCGCTAAAAAATTGCTTCCGAAACTAACAAAATTCATGGGGGATCTCTGAGATCATCGGGAAGCAGAAAAAATGACAAAACAAATACGGGTATACGGGTAACAGTAATAAAAAATGTGGAAAAACAGAAAAAAACAACGAGATCGCATTTATTCTCCCTTGTACATGAGCCAGACACGTGGCGACTCGATGTACGGCTGGTTGCAGTCGTCGGTTATGTAGCCCGAGTGCTCCTGCAGCATGTGGTCCTTCATGTCGTTCCAGTTCGAACACTTCTCCTGGCACACTGAGCACAGGTAGCCGTGGTGCTCCTGCAAATTTGCGGAAAATTTACTCAAAATGGCAAAAACCCCCTCAAAATGCATGGTTTTCCACCCAGTTCGAGCCCAAATGCGTACCTTGTGATGGTCCTCCATCTGCAGGTACCGATTCGCTTTAAAATCGCACACTGTGCACTCGAACTTCAGAATTCCGGTGTGAATTCGCTCGTGCGTCGTGACAGCCACCTCGGAAATGAACAGTTCCTCGCAGAAATGACATTGGTACGTTTTCGTGAACACATGGCACATTTTGCGGTGTTTTCGCAGTTTGCGTGGCGTTAGGAACTTGAGGTTGCAGTCGGGGCACCGAAATCCCGAGTTGGCGCCGCGGTGGAATTTGGCGCGGTGGCGGAAGAGCCGTTGGGCGGTGCACATATTGCGGATGGGCCGGCACTCGAGACACAAGTATGTGAGGTCGCACTCGTGGTCGGGTAGGTCCGCCGCGGAAGGCAGGCATTTGAAGCACTGCAGACATTGCACGAACTCAGAACACTCCTCGTGCTTCTTGATCAGATGGATGTTGAACGAGATGTCGTTGCGAAAGCGTTTGTCGCAGAATGGACACTGCGGCGAGCGCTGGAAATGGGCGGAATTTGTGGGGAAATGGAGAGGAAAATCTGGAGAAATGCATTTTTTTCTGTTTTGAATCTGGCTTTTGCGGGCACCTGGAGATAATTTTTGTAATTATTTAAAAATAAAAACAATAGAAACAGTTTCCTTTTTTTACTCATTCGAATTAAAATGTGTTCAGTTTTTCGGAGAAAAGATACCAAATAACCTTCTTAACGTATCCAAACTTTCTGTTGAGCGTATTCTGCGGATGGACGACGCCGCCGAACGAGTTGAGGCGCGGAATGTGTCCCTCGGAGTTCTCGCCCGGCAACGGAATCGCGTCGATTTTCACTTCCTTCGCGTACTCGTCGAACTCGGATTCGGGCGGAATGTAGCTGCCGCTCATCAGCTCCTCCATTCGGTTTCGCTCTCGGTCAAGTTCACTTAAAATTGCATAGATTTATAAACTTTAGCAGCAAATTTCGGAGAACGTACTACATCTCGTCGGTGATTCGCTTCTGCTCGTCTAAAAAGGCAATATAGGCCTTCGGATGGTGGTCGCGCAGGTGTCGCTCGAGTATGTTCATCTCGCCGAACCGATTTTTGCACGCTTTGCATCGGAACATGCTTTTGCGCACCGAGTTTCGAACCTGTTCGACGCCGAGCCGAGCCGCCGGGACCAGGTCCACGTCCGGCGCGAACGGCTCTTGCTGGTCTGCAAAAATCGACATTTCAAAGATTTTTCAATGAGCGTACGATGCGGAAGATAGAGCTGATCGAACTCGGTCATCGGATCGATGTCGTTGAGCGTGGCGCGGCACTCGCGTTCCTTCTGAATCGGTTTTCCGTCGCCGCCAAGCACAATTCGCTCTTTTGGCACGATTTTCGGCGGATTTCGAAGGCTCGCCAGCAGCTCCCCGACTCCGCTCATTTTTTTCGCGTGGCCGCCCGGATCATTGGCCGCCTCTTCCACCGATTTTCGAATATTCTCCTCGCGAATCTTCTGATAGTGACGGTATTCGTCGACGGCGCTGAGGAAGACCGGCTCATTCGGCCCCGCGATCTCTTCGCCTGGGAAAAATTGAAAATTGGGGGGAAATGGGCATGAACATGGGTGATAATGACTAGGTTGCGGGGAACCACAATTTTAGGACAAGAAAATGTAAATTTGCGGGTTTTTATTGTAAACAGAGTGGAATTAAAAGAAATAACATTCACTTTCGCAATTTTCGGGCGATTGCGTCATCTCGTCGACCATTTTTGAGCCTGTCCGACGTCTTCAACCTGAAAATTTGTTCATGCTTAACGAATTCCTCTGAAAACTGGCACGAGCGTTCGAACTGTTACGCGCATGCAAGCGCGCCCTACCGAACATCGTCGGCGTCTCTTCAATCTCGCACTCTCTAATTTGAATAAATAAACAGCTGGCCTAAAATTTGCGTAGTATTTGGTGCCAAGTACGCAAAATATCTAGAACAGTGTTTGCACAGGGGCGACACGCAGCCAATGGGCGTACGCCGGCGAAAAGGCGGCAAACGAAAATTTTGAATCGGTGCGTAGCGCCCTTCGAAAATAAATTCAAATTTTTATGGCGGGAGTTCTGAATGAACACACGTGAACTGGGAAAATATGCGTGACAATTGAAATGTTTCGAAAAACAAATTCTTCCGCATTGTCCACGAGGAGTCCGAGAGATTATCAGTAGAGCGCACTTACATCTTCGGCCACGACCCCGCCATCTTTAACTTTTTTGAACTTGATTGCAAAACCGGTACACTTCATGAAAACTGATAGTATTTCTCGAAAAACAAAACTACATTCTGTTGAAGCAATAAGATGAAAATTATGTAGTCGTTTTTATGTGTGGTATATTATGAGTGTAATTTTTTGCAGAGACCGCACGAAATGCCCCCGGGCGCCTGCAATATCCCGGTCACATAAGCAGGGTGCTACATGCGGGGGTATAGCTCAGTGGTAGAGCGCTCCCTTAGCATGGGAGAGGGCTGGGGTTCAATTCCCCATACCTCCAGAAGTATTTTACGCTTTTTTTTTTCAAAATCGGCTCGCAGCTCGCGAAAAGCCGATATTAGGCTGCGTGCTGTGCCCCTCCCGCCACAACCGTCCAGCGAGCCCACATTACGCCAGTTGTGACCTCTTTCCCAATGACCGAGACGTATTAATTCGTCTATACAATATATGGACTGAGGCTCCTCTTGGTAGGGACAGTAGGATCAATGTAATATTGAGGCATTTGGTTACCTTGAAAGTGTTATCGTTACTTCTGCCGTTTTTTTTTACTTCTTTTCTAACGCTTGGTCAATTCTGTTTTAGAACGATAGGATGAGCCGAGATCAAATTATAGACTTATAAGTGATAACCTTAATTTCATCATTTTCACCTAAAATTAGGACTTTTTCTTGATAAAACATCTTTCCCAACTACAATCTATTTGTGACCCCAGACGTTCTGTTCCCTCTCCCTCTTCTCTCTCTCTCTCTTGTCACTCTTTCCACGCGACAAAGAGCCGCCCCGCCCCGTCTCCTCTTTCTCTTCGTCTTCCTTCTTTGCCTTCCACCAGAACCCCTGATGACGGGCACACAACATGCAAATAGTGTGCACACTGGAGAGAATTAGACACATTTGACCTTTTATCTGAGTCTCGCATCAAGAAAATGAGAGAGAAAGAGAGAGAGAGAGAGAGGGGTCACACCGAGCAGATCAGATGAGGTGCGCTCACCGGAGACCAATTATGTGTCCTTCTTGTCTTCAGATGACCCCCCGTATTGTGTGTGCGGCCTGCCACGTCTATTCCCATTTCAAAGTCACAACACTTTCATATTTAGCAGTGTTCTTCTCTCTTGTCCCCTCGGTCTTGCCGTTTTTCAAAAATATCGGCTCGAGAAACAATAGCGATAAAATCGTGTTTGTATGTAGTTTGTCGTTCGAAATTACACACCCCCTTTACCCGTTCTTATCAATCAAACTTACTTTTGTGTCTTCTTATCGCTACATGGGCGGGAAGCAGCTTATTCTGTTCTCTAATTAGCCGCATTTCGTGTGTTCCTCCCCCATACGGCTCGCGCGAAAATTCGATATTAGGCTGCGTGCATCGGGCCGGCGAGCCCACATTACGTACTCATTCGTATATTCATCGCCATTTACCTGGCTCATTTTGAAGAGCCCAGTAAAATTGAAATGTTCCGCGAGTGACTGAAATTGAGAGGAATTACAATTTTTGACGATATCATTCCAGAGTATTCAGTTTGCACCTCAATTCTTATTCGCTCACTTTGCTCTCAAACACACACACACACACACAATCCGCAACAGTTTCAGCGCCATGTCTATCGAAATGACCGAGGAGTCCACGCTCGTCATGAACACGATCCGCGAGGCAATGGACACGGCGTTCCGGAGAGAGCGCATCGAATCGGCGCGGTACATGGCAATCTACACGTGAGTTCCCCTCTGCCAATCAACACAAAAAGCAACGTTCTCTGTGCAGAACCGCGTACACCTATGTGGCCACGGGAGTCTGTTTGAAAGTGGACGGCGACGGCGGCGATAAGAAGGCGCGGCACATGTACGACACGGTCATCAACCACATGACCGACTACGTGCGGACCATTCTGGATAAAGGCGTCGAGTTGAGCGGCGAGGTTTTGCTCGAATTCTACACGATCGAATGGAAGAACTACCGATTCTCGACGGTGGTGATCGACGGAATGCTCGCATACCTCAACCGTCACTGGGCCCATCGAAAGATTGACGAGAAAGATACGGAAGTGTGCGTTCTGTACAAGTTGGCCATCATCATCTGGAAGCGAGAAATGTTCGATGTCCTCGAGACGAAGCTGATCTCGGCGGTGCTGGATCTGATCAAAGCCGAGCGCAACGGCCAGATCATCAAAACCAACTACATATCCGGACTGATTGCATGTCTTCGGGAGATGGGAATCGAGGGCGAAAACAGGAAGACGAACAAGGAGAAGAAGTTGGACGTGTACAAAGCGTCGTTCGAGGTGCCCTTCATCGAGGCCACCGCAGAATTCTACGATAACGAAGCGAGACAGTTCTTGAGAAACGGAGGAAGTGTGTCGGACTATATGAAGAAAGTGGAGAAGCGACTGGAGGAGGAGTACAACCGGGTCCAATTGTACCTTCACACGAGCACAAAGACCCCGCTGATCGCCAAATGCACAGCTGTGCTCATCGCGGACCGTCTGCCCGTCTTCGAAGAGCAGCTCGCAGCGTTTCTCGTGGCCCACGTGGCCCACGACGACCTCAGCAGGATGTACCTGTTGTGCAGCGAAGTGGAAAACGGAACGGACGGACTCAGAGACGCCCTCGAGAGGTTTGTGCTCAAGGAAGGGCTGACGGCAATGGAGGAGGTGGCTGAGAAGGCGATAGCGGATCCCAAACTCTATGTGCACACGCTCTTGGTCGTGTACAAGAGATACTGGCGGATCGTGAAGGACGCGTTCAATAATGATGCCGGATTCTTAAAATCGCTCGACAAGGCGACCGCCAAGTTCTGCAACTCCAACGCGGTCACCGAACGTACACCTCTTGCGCAGAAATACACAAAGACCGCGGAGCTACTGGCCAGATACGTCGACTCATTTCTGCGAAAGAGCAGCAAGAATCCGGAGGAGTGGGAGCTTGAGGAGCTATTGAACGACTCGGTTAGTATTATGAGTACTCGTTGAGGTTACAACTATCAATTTCAGATCTCGGTCTTCAAATTCGTCGAGGACAAAGATGTGTTCTTGCGGTACCACACGCGGCTGTTCAGCAAACGGCTCATCGGCGGCGTCTCGGCCAGCGACGAAGCCGAACAGATCTTTATCTCGAAGCTCAAAGATCTGTGCGGCTTCCAATACACAATGCGGCTCTCGAATATGGTCTCCGACGTTCAAGTCAGCAGGGATCTCGCGGGCGACTACAAGGAGAAGCGGGCGGCCGAGCAGAAGGATGGAAGCAAGTCTACGGATCTGGCGGTTCTGGTTCTGAGCACTGCGCAGTGGCCAGTGTTCCCCATGACTAATGTCGATCTTCCGAGGGAATTGTCAAGCAGTCTCGAGGCATTCACCGAGTTTTACAACACAAAGTTTTCCGGACGGAAGCTCACGTGGGTGTACTCACAGTCGAAGGGAGAAGTCCACTGCAACGCGTTCTCGAAGAAGTTCGTCTTCGCCGTAAGTTCTCATTCTTCTATTGTCTATGACTGGAAATTCTGAAATTCCAGGCCACAGCCGCTCAAATGTCCACGCTTCTCCTCTTCAACACGAACAATGCCTACACCTTCAACGAGATCAGCGAGGCGACAAAGATGGACGCAAAGACAACGGCGGTCATTGTGGGATCACTCGTCAAGTTCCAGGTCTTGACGTCCGATGTTCCGCTCCAGGGAGACGAAGCTCCCAACACGGCCACCGTCAGTTTCAACAAGAAGTACTCGAGCAAGAAGGTCCGAGTGGATCTCACGAGGTTCTCTGTAAAGGTCGAGGCGGTCAAGGATCAGGAGACGGTTGAAAGGACGCTCGAGGCGGACAGAAAGCATGAGATCGACGTGAGTTTAATCACAAACACTCCGATCCAAAGCTATTCCATTTGCAGGCTTGCATTGTGCGCATTATGAAGATGCGGAAGACGTGCTCGCATCAGACGCTGATGTCGGAAGTGATCTCCCAACTGTCGTCCCGATTCAAACCGCAAGTCGAGAAGATCAAGAAGTGCATTGGATCGCTTATCGACAAGGATTACATGAAGAGGAAAGATAATGAGAGGGACCAATACGAGTACATTGTCTAATTGGCCCCTTTGTCCATCTTGATGTGGCCTCCATATTGTGATATTGTTCTTGTTCTGTTGGTTTTTGAAGCCCGTTTTTATGCGCCTGTGAATTTTTGTTAACGTTAATAAACTGTAAAGTGCTTTTATGAGTTTGACTTGTTTTACGGGTTGATTACCGCCATCCCAAGATGTCTGTGAGCGGTGTCACAAAACTGCTCACTTCCCCAATTCAAGGCTGACCTTTCCCGACGTCTCTCCTTCTCTAATCTCCCCCCACAACCAGACCAGTTTTCGGGCCGTTCGAGCGACCCCAGAAGGTGCGACATGGAAAGAGTGTGTGCTCGTGAGAGACGGAGAGAAACCGTACAGTTGTGCACGTCGCAGACGGTCCTCGGTCCGTCCTCATCTCGTCTGCATGACGACGTCAGCCGATGACCCTACTGTGAGCGGGGCCGTACCGTGCGGACCACCTTCATTCGTTCTGTGCGCTCGCAGCGGATTGTTGTATCGGTTGCGCAAGAGTTCTGTTTTCTGCTGTTTTATTTCAATAGCACACTCCAATCTCCAGTTATCTCCTTCCCGCCGTTCTCACTCTTTCAAAGTCAAATTGTTTCAGGTGATCCAAAAATGACCAGACGAAAGCAGAGCACCCGCAAGACGGAGAAAAAGAATATTGACGTGCCAAAAAAAAGGTGCGCTTTTTCCCTCTCCCGCGCGCGGCGCGGCTTTTGCGACGTTCACCAAACGTTTGATCCTCAGTCTGTGCATTTTTGCACGCCGGTGTTGCTCTGCGTACAGTGCATTTTATGATACGCGCAAAGTTCTCTTTTTTAGTTGTTGATGAATTTTCTCCAAATATTCATCTCTTTTAAGCGTTTTTCTCCACTTTCTACCTCAATTCGACCTTTTTACGGATTCCAGTTGAAGTAATACGCGAAGAGAAGTCGATGCGATGAAAAGAAACGCGTAAGTAAATGGAAGTAATGTTTTATTCAGAAAATATACGATTTCTCGAAAAACGTCTCTAGATCTTCTAATCTTTTGATTTAAAAAGTTCACTCACATGACTGTGAATGTCTTCGAATCAAAAAGAAGTAGAGTGACGGCTCGCTTTCGCGGAAAAACCGATAGTTTGCCGGAAGACAGTGAAATTTCGTTGAAAAATTTTTTTTTTGCTTCTACGAACTGTCACTCTACTTTTTTTGGTTCGAAAACATTCACAGTCATGTAAGTGAACTATTTAAACAAAAAAATTAGAAAATCTAGAGACGTTTTTCGAGAAATCGTATATTTTCTGAATAAAACATTACTTCCATTTACTTACGCGTTTCTTTTCATCGCATCGACTTCTCTTCGCGTATTACTTCATCTGGAATCTGTAAAAAGGTCTAATTGAGGTAGAAAGCAGAGAAGAACGCTTAAAAGAGATGAATCTTTGGAGAAAATTCATCAACAACTAAAACAATGAACTTTGCGCGTAACATAAAATGCACTGCACGCAGAGCCACACCGACGCGCAAAAATGCATACCATTTGGCTGCGTATGTTGCGAAAGCCGCGCCGTGCCCGTTTCGATCGATACTAGGTGTCATTTGTGGACATGGTTAGGAGCAGTAGAATTTAGGATTATCTATTTTCAAATTACCACCCAATGACCAAAGTACAGTGGGAAAATAGAAATAACTGTCTTTTTTTCAGCAAAAAACAGACCGGTGAGGCTGTGGAAATGTCGCAGAAAGAGGCCCGGATGTTCGAAGAAATCAACGATGTGATCGGAATCGTACTGCGCAGAGAGCCAATGACGCCAGAAAAGTACATGGCGTACTATACGTAAGTTCATCCCTTTCTCAAACTTCAAATCAGATAATGCTTCAAGAAACTTGTTCAATTTCCTGTCGGAAGATGTACCATTCAACGACGCCAAGGACGAAGAATATGGCAGAGAACCGAGACCCGAAAGCGAGCGACTAATGTACGATATGATAAAGGAGAAGATCAAGGAGCACACGAAGCTCATTCTGAAGAAACTGGACGTTCAGGACGGTGTGGATCTGCTGAATGTTTTCATGACGGAATGGGAGAACTTCCGGTTCTCGGCAAGAGTGATCGACGGAGTCTACACCTACCTCAATCGACATTGGACGTCCCGATCGCTCCGGAAAAGAGTGGAGTACGGAATCAAAAACCTGTACATGATGTGTGTCCTGACGTTTGAGCGCGAGGTGTATTCCAAGATCGCGAAGAAGTTGATGTCAAAGGTTTTCAAGCTGATCCGCGCCGAGCGGCTCGGAACGATCATCAACACCAAACACATCTCGGCAGTTCTTGAATTTTTGGTAGATGTCGGAAGAGACAACGCAAAAGATTCGTTGCTCATGTACAGGACGGCGTTCGAAGATCGACTCTTGAGGTCGACGCCTGAATTCTACGAACACGAGGCGTCAGAGTTCTTGGGAACCGGACGAAGTGTGAAGGACTACATAAAGAAAGTGAAGAAGCGACTGGAGGAAGAGAACAACCGGGCCCAATTGTACCTTCACCCGAGCACAAAGGCCCCACTGCTCGCCAAGTGCACAGCGGTGCTCATCGCGAAGCGACTGCGCATCATAAAAGCTCAATTCGTAGATCTTCTTGCCGCCAGGAACGACGACGATCTCCACACAATCTTTCAACTGTGCAGCGAAGTGAAACACGGACTGGACGGGTTTCCGGAAGTTTACGCGGAGTTCGTCGCGAACGATGGTCTGACGGCTATGCAGGAGGTGGCTGAGCAAGCGTTCACGGATCCCAGACTTTATGTGACAACCCTTGTCGGAGTGTACAAAAGGTACAGAAATCTCGTGAAGGACGCGTTCGAGAATAAGGCCGGATTCTTAAAAGCGCTCGACAAGGCGACCGCCAAGTTTATCAACTCCAACGCGGTCACCGATCGTGCACCTCTTGCGCAGAAATACACAAAGACCGCGGAGCTACTGGCCAGATACGTCGACTCATTTCTGCGAAAGAGCAGCAAGAATCCGGAGGAGTCGGAGCTCGAGGAGCTATTGAACGACTCGGTTAGTATGATGAGTACTCGTTGAGATTACAACTATCAATTTCAGATCTCGGCCTTCAAATTCGTCGAGGACAAAGATGTGTTCTTGCGGTACTACACGCGGCTGTTCACCAAGCGCCTCATCGGCGGCGTCTCGGCCAGCGACGAAGCCGAACAGAGCTACATCTCAAAGCTGAAAGAAGTGTGTGGATTTGAGTACACGGCGCGTCTGATGAAGATGACGTCGGACATCCAGATGAGCACCGATCTCACGAAGGAGATGATGGCGAAGACGGCGCAGACGATCGACAGAAAGTCAGTTGCGGATATGTCGGCACTCGTTCTGCGCACTGCCTTCTGGCCAGAATACACAATCACAAACCTGAATCTGCCGAGGGAACTGTCGAGCAGTCTCGAGGCATTCTCTTCGTTTTATAAAGAAAAGCATTCGGGAAGGAGGCTCACGTGGGTGTACTCGCAATCGCGCGGCGAGATTGAATGCATCGCCTTCTCGAGGAAGTGCATCTTTTCCGTAAGCGCTCATTTTTGTGATAACTGTACTGTAAACTATAAACTTTCAGGTCACGGTCGCGCAAATCTGCACGCTCTGCCTGTTCAACTCGTCTGACGCCTACTCCTTCAATGACATCTCCGAGGCGACAAAGATGGACGCGAAGACGACTGCGGTGATTGTGGGGTCGCTCGTCAAGTGCAAACTGCTCACGTCCGATATTCCGCTCCAGGGAGACGAAGCCCCCAACACGGCCACCGTCAGTTTCAACAACAAGTACTCGAGTAAGAAGGTGCGAGTGGATCTCACGAAGTTCTCTGTGAAGGCCGATAAGAATAAGGAGCAGGAGGGCATGCACAAAACGTTCGAGGCGGACAGAATAAACGAGATCAACGTGAGTTTACTCAAAAAAAAAAAAACGTGTGAAACACTTGAGCAATTACATTTTCAGGCTTGCATTGTGCGCATCATGAAGACGCAGAAAGAATGCTCGCATCAGCCGCTGACGTCGGAAATTATCTCCCAGCTGTCGTCCCGATTCAAGCCGCAAATCGAGATGATCAAAAAGTGCATTGGATCGCTCATCGACAAGGAGTACATAAAAAGGGACGATACTAATAAGGACGTCTACCAATACATTGCCTGAATCTTCACGATCTCCTCTTGTTTTAGTTGTGCAATTTGTGTTCTTCGCAATTGAAGAATTCCGTTTCGACCTGTATTGTTTCCATGATTGTATCATTCGATGACCCGTCCCCATTGCCATTTGAGCTGAAAACTAGAAACCCAACCCAAACAAACCAACTACAAAAGAATGACCGAATGTCAGCTGCTCTTTCATCGTCCAAAATCACCTGCCAACTCACTTTTCGCGCTTTCCAAATTCCACGTTTTCGGCTACAATGATGAATCTCGACGAAATCTCGTTCACACCCCCGCAATGGCTCCTCATTTATTACTTCTCGGCCGGATTCGTCAGTGTTCTGATCAGCACGTTCTGCGTTTATTTGATTCTTTTTCGCAGTGTAAAGATTGGCAATTTCAAGTATTTTCTGCTTTGGTTTAATGTACTTGCAGCCGTTTTGCATACCGCTTTTTGCAGGCTCAAATTTGCAGATAAGTTGCGCGGTGACCGATGTGAGTATGACGATTCTGCTCCGACCGGTGGCTCTTCTGCCCATTTGGGCCTTGTATTCAGTCGGTTATGCGTGGAAGTTGCTTGGAATTCCGTTCCGAGAGACTACTGTAAGTTCCGGTAACTTTAAACTTGAAAAATATAGCCAACCTTCCAGTTATTCTTCGTTTTCTGGGTCGGCGAACAGTTCGCCGCGTTGGTCTGTTGCTTTTTGTACAAACATCAGACGATCAGCCAGTTGGGCAGCAAGTTGATATTGTCCAAGTCCGTGTTCACCTCTGCAGTCGTTTCCTTTCAATTCGCCATTTCCGCCTTCGTCGTCTTCTTTTTCTACGTTCAAAACGATCAGGAAACGGCTTTGCGAATCGCTCATCAGGTTGGTCACTTTGTGGACATTTGACCCACTTGCGATTACCTGATCGAGTGCAAACTTTGCAGGCTTTTTGGGCTTAGATTGAAGTCTTTTGGATTGGGTCATTTAGTCTGTGGATCACACTTGAATCCAAGTCCAAGAAGCCTGCGCAAGTTTGGGCTCGATAGGATAATCGCAAGTCGGTCAAAAGTCCAGGCCTAGATTTTGTGCAATAAAAACGCTAAACTACAAAGTTGTAGAGCATCAAATTCTCTATCGATTCGTATATTTAATGCTCAAAAAAAAACTGAAAATCAATGGAGAAAACCAAACAGTTCAGATCTATCCCTCATTGGCTTACGAGTTCGACTCTCTGCAATCGTTTCAATTGTTCGCCGAAAACAAAAACTATCCGTTGTTCCTCGCGTTTTGCGTTTTTGCGGGAACCATTGTGGTGCTGGCGGTCGGCGGTCTCACCTGGCACATGATTCACATTCTGAACGGAAATCGACGCAAAATGTCGGGCACCAACTTTCAGAGACACAAAAACGCGGTGAACAGTTTGGTGGCGCAGGTGAGTGTCTATTCAAATTTCAATTAAACATTCTCATTTCCCGTTTCTAACCTCATCATTGGCGCTGATTCCACCGCTCATTTGCTTCATTGTCGTCATTTTGGAGCCGATTTATTCGCAAGGTTCTGGAGAGTGAAGTGTTTCGAAAATCATTCAAGTTATTTCAGAAATTTCCTACCTAATGTGTGCCGTGTTCTCTTCTCATTCGACTATCAACTGCCTGATACTGATTGCCACGTCACCAGCGTACCGTCGGATTTTCACGAAAAGAAAACCGAGCTCGAACAGTTCTCCGTCGGTTTTCATGAAAGTCGCGTCAATGTCTCACGGGTGAAGTCTCTGGCTAGCAAGATATTTTAAAAATATTTGTTCGCTATTATTATTGTTATTGTTACGCTCACAATTTGTCTACAAAAACAGTCCCGTTCGTTCCCTGTCAACTTTTGCTTCCAACAAATGAACAACAATATTGTACGACTAATGGTGGTGTGCAAAAATAGAAAAACGCCGACGGATTTTTGATCTCGGGTTACGGTAAGGTGCGTGAAAAGCATAAACAAAGTGTCGAAGAGATCGAAAAATTATTCACCGTGAGAGAATGAAAAATGTGTGTCCAGTGTAGATGACAAAGTAATATTTCCTGTTCGGCTCAATTCCTTCGAACTAATCGAATTAGTGACACTCTCGCACACAGACAACACTTTTAATGAAAATTTAGAATATCTTGTCGTCTTGTCTATGGCAAATGTCTCCTCTTTGCTCTCAATTCAAGGTTGTTCGTCACCGCGCGAAAACCTGCGAGTGACGAGCGAATGGATTCACGTTTTCCGCCTCACGTCCGTCGTCTGTTCATTAGTATGCTCGCCAACTCACCGCCCCATTCGCCGACCATTTCGACGAGAAGCACATTCAAAATTTCAGACACATTGTCTGAAATGAGGATAGAGGTGGCGCCGGACTGGTACGTGTACAGTATGCACATGACCGCCGTCCTCACCACCCCTCTCAATCTGATCGGAGTGCTCATCATTGTGTTTTGTCAGACGACGCAAGTTCAGTCCCTCAGGTGGCATCTTTTGACATATCAGGTTGGTTTCTGACCCAAGACCCTTCAAACAAGCCCTTTGATTTACAGATTTGCTCAATGATCACCGATTTCCTCATCAACATCGGATGCCTGCCGGTCATTTATTCGCCATTTGCAATCGGCAGACCTCATGGAATTTTCACGAGTATTTTCAACTTTTTCGGGTACAAAACGAGTACGGAAGCTCAATGTGTGAGATTTAACATCATGAACTTGTGATATTACCCCACATGTGATTCCTTCAGGTTATTGTGTTTGTATCTATTTACATCACAGCTGGAAGTGTGGAGCTCCTCTTTTTCCTACGCTACCAAGCAATTCTGCCGGTCAATCACAAATACAAATTGACGCTCGGCAAATCGATTCTACTCACTGCAATCTATCAAATCGTCTTGATCACCCTAATGATCATCTCTTTCACTTCGGCGGTGCCCGATCAAGACTTGGCCCGTGCTCAGTTCCAGCAGCTCTATCCAGAGTTCCAATACCTGATCACCGACGAGCACGTCTTCTTCGTTTGCATCGTCGTCGAAGCGGTACACGTGCTCTTTCTGTCCACGTGTCTTTTGCGACTCGCCGCCGGAATGGCAATGGTTTTCCTGCTGGTTTGGATGTCGAGCAGGGCGTTACACTCGTTCCAACTCTCGACACGCACCAGGAGAATGCACTTGCAACTCATCAAAAGTCTATGCTATCAGGTGATTATTTTGATGATTCTTACTCTCTACGTGAGTTTTCGAGTTTCTGACGGTTTCGTTTTCGTGACAACAGAGTGTCGCCGTAAAACTGAACTCTGATATAGAACAGTCAGAGACCACAAAGCCTTTTTGTCATTCTCTTTTTCTGACAATTACTAAGCCAAAGTTTTTCAAGCGTGATCTATAAACACACTTTCAGATATCCGTACCCGTGGTGGCCTTCTACGGACCATTGATCGTCTTGATTGCTCCTTTGATATTCACCATTCCAGATACTCAAGGTAACGAGTGGAAAGGCAACATAACTTCCATATATCCATACTTTTTACAGTATCCTTCTTCTTCTGCCTCCTCTTCATGTCGGTGCACACGAGTTTGGGCACTCTGAGCATGCTCTACTTCCACCGTCCCTACCGAAGTTGGCTCATTCGGACACTCGGCAAACGGACGCTCGTCACTTCGCACTCTGGATCGCAGTTCAAAGAGAATGCGCACTTTTCGCGTGCCGATTTGGTTAAGCACTCTTCTGCACTTTTCTAAATAAATGTATGAACAACAACAGCACGTGAAGTAATGAGTTTTGTCAAGAATCGTCACCGTGTGATAAATGAACAGGTTTTATGAGAAACAAAACAAGAATGACGTGATTTGTAACGATTTGTGAATCTTAAAACATAATGTGTTATTTAGGATATAATTTTCAATCGAAATTCAGTCCATATGTCTCGTTTTTTCGAATATTCACTCAGAAGAGTGCAGAGACGCCCTCCTTAATCCTATCGGTTCGCGCAAAGTACTTGTTAGTTTTGAACTGCGATCCAGAATGCGAAGTGACGAACGTCCGTTTGCGGAGTGTCAGAATGAGCCAACTTCGGTAGGGACGATTGAAGTAGAGCATGCTCAGAGTGCCCAGACTCGTGTGCACCGACATGAAGAGGAGGCAGAAGAAGAAGGGCACTGCAAAAAGTATGGATATATGGAAGTTGTGTTGCCATTTATTTCGATGTTTACCTTGAGTATCTGGAATTGTGAATATCAACGGAATAATCAAGACTATCAACGGTCCATAGAAGGCCACCACGGGCACGGATATCTGAAAGTTCGCTTGAAAATTGAAACATCTCAAGATTTCGTGAAATCACGTTCGAACAAGTTTATTGCACAAACTCTTGTTCTTTGAAAGTTCTTCATCTTTTCGGCGAGGCTATTAGACCGGAATGGCCAAATTTAAAGACAAAGTAATTGTGTATGAAAGTTAGAATCGAACCTGATAGCATAGACTTTTGATGAGTTGCAAGTGCATTCTCCTGGTGCGCGTCGAGAGTTGGAACGAGTGTAACGCCCTGCTCGACATCCAAACCAGCAGGAAAACCATTGCCATTCCGGCGGCGAGTCGCAAAAGACACGTGGACAGAAAGAGCACGTGTACCGCTTCGACGTGAACACAGAAGAAGAAGACGTTCTCGTCGACGATGAGGTACTCGAACTGCGGGTACATCTTCAGAAACTGCGCCTGTGTCTCGGCTTGATCGGGCACCGCCGAAGTGAAAGAGATGACCATTAAGGCGATCAGGACGCATTGATAGAGTGCAGTGAGTAGAATCGATTTGCCGAGCGTCAATTTGTATTTGTGATTGATCGGCAGAATTGCTTGGCATCGCAGGAAAAAGAGGAGCTCCACACTTCCAGCCGTGATGTACATGGACACGAACACCACAACCTGAACGATTCTTGTTACATTTCTCTAATATTCCAATAAATTTGTTATTTCTACATATAATACAAGACTTCTCCCCCTGCGCGAACTAACTTTGTTAGACTCCATCAGGAAGATGTTCTCCATCTGGTTTTGTGACATTATGAAATGCCACATGTATACTGAAAGCAAAACAAAACTCACACATTGAGCTTCAGTAGTCTTGTTATTCCCGAAATAGGTAAAGACTTTTGTGAACAACCCGTGAGGTCTGCCGATTGCAAACGGCGAATAAACGACTGGCAGGCATCCGATGTTGATGAGGAAATCGGTGATCATTGAGCAAATCTGTAAATCAAAGGGCTTGTTTGAAGGGTCTTGGGTCAGAAACCAACCTGATATGTCAAAAGATGCCACCTGAGGGACTGAACTTGCGTCGTCTGACAAAACACAATGATGAGCACTCCGATCAGATTGAGAGGGGTGGTGAGGACGGCGGTCATGTGCATACTGTACACGTACCAGTCCGGCGCCACCTCTATCCTCATTTCAGACAATGTGTCTGAAATTTTGAATGTGCTTCTCGTCGAAATGGTCGGCGAATGGGGCGGTGAGTTGGCGAGCATACTAATGAACAGACGACGGACGTGAGGCGGAAAACGTGAATCCATTCGCTCGTCACTCGCAGGTTTTCGCGCGGTGACGAAGAACCTTGAATTGAGAGCAAAGAGGAGACATTTGCCATAGACAAGACAAGATATTCTAAATTTTCATTAAAAGTGTTGTCTGTGTGCGAGAGTGTCACTAATTCGATTAGTTCGAAGGAATTGAGCCGAACAGGAAATATTACTTTGTCATCTACACTGGACAAACGGAGAAATAAACAAACAAGCAAACAGACATACTCTCCAAGAGAATGATGTTTTGCTGTTTTTCGTGCACAAATTTTCAGTTGAACTCATTAAAATAATATCAAAACTTGCAAAACAACAAAAGCTCAAAGTCAGAGAAGATGTGTTGTGCAAGTTGTGTTTCCGTGGCAATTCCTACTTTTATAGGACCTTTTGATTCTCTCCGGCTTTACGCAATTTTCATGTTAGGTACTTTTTAGCTATTTTAGCTTGTTAGAGTCCAAAAATTTATTCCAGATTGTATTATACCAAATTGTGATAAAAAGGGAGTGTTAGAAAATCGTTACATAAACTTTATTTTGTCGATCCTTGCTTCCGTAGCTCCATTCTCTCTTCATACTTCTCAATCTCGCATGAACAATCCGTGACAGTCTTTTGAACTTTTCGTGTCTTTTCAGTGATCCCATCTGGTTTTCTCTGTGTATTTCTTTGCAACAAAACTGCAAAAAGTGTTGATTCAAGAAAGAAACTCTCAAAAAAGGTATTTCGTTACCAGGAGGGGGTGTCAAGTTGTACTGCCCAGCGTATCCCAGTTTATCGATCATTGGCATGAGACTGTGGAACACCAGGTACTCTTCACATTTGTTCATGAGTCTCGGGACTGACATATGTTATATATATATACAAGAGGCGTCTGTCTGTCTATCTTTTTCTTGGGCAGCAGAAAGAGAGACGCGGACCGGACAAAACCGAACCCGCAACATTTTAGGAGCAGGAAATCGCAAGCGAAAATGAAACAAACATTGCGTTAAGAGTCTTCCGACGTGTCGTCGATTTTGTCTTTCACACTCTATATTCTGAGCCTATGGGCGACGAATAAGTGTAAAAACAATGAGACTTTATGTAACTGACCGCGTAGAGTTCATTGGTCGCGTAATTGTCATGGTTCCTCCCGGAAACTGTGAATGTACACTGCCGGTCATAATTATAGGTTCACTTCAATTTTTCGAATATTTCGAAAACTAGGCGCTGTATTCAAAAAAGTTCTTAAGGGGATTTTCGGTCACCCAAGGTACCACAAATGTACAAACTAAACCATTCGACTTCAGTGAGAAATTTTCCAAAAATCGTGATTTCTCGAAAAAGTGACTTTAGCGGTTGGTCATAATTATAGGTTCACCACTGAAATTAGCCAGAGGGTCAACTGAATAATTTTTAATTTTAGCCATAACGTCTTCTAAGACTGATTATGACCGTTTTTACATCGATTTCCGACAAGCTTCTCGGTTCCCTGATTTTTTGAACCAACTTTCATTGAGTTTTGGGTCAATCATAACTTTTCGTCTTAAAATCGAACCTAACTTCGGTTTTTTGGCCGGACGACAACAGGATCATTCTGGAATGAGTATTTAGTAAGGTTTTGTGAAGTTTCATTGAGAATCTACGAGAATTTGATATCTTTTTTTCTAATGTTGAAGTGCTTTGGTCGACTAGTCCCAAGTAAGTTTACATCTGGTTTTTGCTCAAATTTGGAGCAATCTCTGAGAGACTTGACGGCAACATGAAGGACCCAACCAACAATGCACTTGCCAAGTTTGGTACAAATCCGATCATTCTGACCAAACTTCGGAGACGGTTGTCAGTTTCGATCCTTCAAAAAATGCAGAAAAATTTCATGCTCTGGATTTGCTCGGGACTAGGGGGGAATGAAAGGCCCTATAAAGGGTAAAAAACGCGAAAAAGGTTTCATCTCTGTTTTGGTGTTTAGCCGAGATATGATCAAAAGTATGAAAAAACGGTACATCTTTTTCGAAAAGTCGCATCTCCGTCAATTTTTGAGTAAAACACTCGGTAAAAAAAGGAAAATGTAGCTAATGAGATGGTCTTTAAGCATACAATTGATTATCTTTGACGAAACAAATTCTTAAAAGAGATATTCAACAAAATATGAAAACGTTTGTACTTATGTACACTATTTTGCGAATACAGTTTGACGGGACTATCACCATTAGATTCAGCGTCCAAAATAAAGGCCGCATGCAAAAATTTTGCCTTGGGAAATCGCTTTGACGGAAAAAAAGTTATCGACAATATGCTTTGCCCCTGTTTTCTTGTGGTTCTGTCTGTTTGCTAGCCTGTATCTCCTCAACCGGTAGAGATACCAAAACGTTGTCAACTGTAAAGTTAAAGGTACATGTCTAAGCTCTAAAACTTTAGTTGAACGCTTTTTGATATCTCTACTCGTTCACAAGTTATGACCGTTTCCGAGTGATCATTCAAAAACTGATATTATCGCATTTAAAGGACCAGGGAACCCAAAAATTTTTTGATTAATTTGTGAAATGTTTTTGTGACTGTTTGAATTGTCTCTTATTGCCTCATACACTGGTGAAATGCTGCCTCTCAAAAATGCCAATGAACGAAACGGCATGCAGTTGAAGTTGTGGCCGTGGCCTTGCGCCAATGGCCGAAAAATATATAAAAATAAATGCGCTTCTCGGCCATTTTATTTTTTCCGCTTTTTTACAGGTTTTTTTCTAAAAATTCACGGTTTCTCCCATTTTGGCACTTCATATCGACTGAATGAAAACAATATTTTAGCAGTGAAAAAATAAGTAAGTGCCGAACAAATGTCAATCAACTGAAAAATGGGAGAAACCGTGAATTTTTGGAAAAAAACCTGTAAAAAAGCGGAAAAAATAAAATGGCCGAGAAGCGCATATATTTTTATATATTTTTCGGCCATTGGCGCAAGGCCACGGCCACAACTTCAACTGCATGCCGTTTCGTTCATTGGCATTTTTGAGAGGCAGCATTTCACCAGTGTATGAGGCAATAAGAGACAATTCAAACAGTCACAAAAACATTTCACAAAAACATCAAAAAATTTTTGGGTTCCCTGGTCCTTTAAGGAGTGGTCCTACAATTTCGGTCTCAACATAAAAAGTGCTCAATAAGAGGCTAGACATCAAATGTCGTTCAGCCTGTGTTGATCCGATCTCTTTCGAAGTGTGACTCTCCTACCGTCAAGTAGAGAAGGGTGTTCGAAACAAGCATGAGTCATAAAATATTTCGAAAGAGATCGGATCAACACAGGCTGAACGACATTTGATGTCTAGCCTCTTATTGACCATTTTTTATGTTGAGACGAAAATTGTAGGACCACTCCTTAAATGCGATAATATCAGTTTTTGAGTGATCACTCGGAAACGGTCATAACTTGTGAACGAGTAGAGATATCAAAAAGCGTTCAACTAAAGTTTTAGAGCTTAGACATGTACCTTTAACTTTACAGTTGACAACGTTTTGGTATCTCTACCGGTTGAGGAGATACAGGCTAGCAAACAGACAGAACCACAAGAAAACAGGGGCAAAGCATATTGTCGATAACTTTTTTTCCGTCAAAGCGATTTCCCAAGGCAAAATTTTTGCATGCGGCCTTTATTTTGGACGCTGAATCTAATGGTGATAGTCCCGTCAAACTGTATTCGCAAAATAGTGTACATAAGTACAAACGTTTTCATATTTTTGTTGAATATCTCTTTTAAGAATTTGTTTCGTCAAAGATAATCAATTGTATGCTTAAAGACCATCTCATTAGCTACATTTTTCCTTTTTTTACCGAGTGTTTTACTCAAAAAAATTGACGGAGATGCGACTTTTTCGAAAAAAAGATGTACCGTTTTTTTCATACTTTTGATCATATCTCGGCTAAACACCAAAACAGAGATGAAACCTTTTTTCGCGTTTTTTTACCCTTTATAGGGCCTTTCATTCCCCCTAGTCCCGAGCAAATCCAGAGCATGAAATTTTTCTGCATTTTTTGAAGGATCGAAACTGACAACCGTCTCCGAAGTTTGGTCAGAATGATCGGATTTGTACCAAACTTGGCAAGTGCATTGTTGGTTGGGTCCTTCATGTTGCCGTCAAGTCTCTCAGAGATTGCTCCAAATTTGAGCAAAAAAACCAGATGTAAACTTACTTGGGACTAGTCGACCAAAGCACTTCAACATTAGAAAAAAAGATATCAAATTCTCGTAGATTCTCAATGAAACTTCACAAAACCTTACTAAATACTCATTCCAGAATGATCCTGTTGTCGTCCGGCCAAAAAAACCGAAGTTAGGTTCGATTTTTAAGACGAAAAGTTATGATTGACCCAAAACTCAATGAAAGTTGGTTCAAAAAATCAGGGAACCGAGAAGCTTGTCGGAAATCGATGTAAAACGGTCATAATCAGTCTTAGAAGACGTTATGGCTAAAATTAAAAATTATTCAGTTGACCCTCTGGCTAATTTCAGTGGTGAACCTATAATTATGACCAACCGCTAAAGTCACTTTTTCGAGAAATCACGATTTTTGGAAAATTTCTCACTGAAGTCGAATGGTTTAGTTTGTACATTTGTGGTACCTTGGGTGACCGAAAATCCCCTTAAGAACTTTTTTGAATACAGCGCCTAGTTTTCGAAATATTCGAAAAATTGAAGTGAACCTATAATTATGACCGGCAGTGTATAGTTTAAGATTCATAGTTGTCAGTCACACTTTGTGCTAGGTTCTCAAAAGTTTACAAAAACTGGATGGATGGTTCAGGATAGATAATAATCCGATCGGTCTGAAACTTGCACCCAAACAACTTGAATCCAAATCGACGAACAATGACCGTTGAATGAAAAGCTGATATCATATATACAAACTCTAATAGTTTGAATCGAATTCATTCATGCCCAAAGTGAAGTCAGTAAAATCATCAAAACTGAAGTGACCGTGAAAACGGAGGGGCAAAGTCTCGTAGTGGTCGGCACTGTCACAGTTGTCGTCTCGCCGTTTTGCTGAAATGAATGTGGAGCGACAAATGACGATGAAAACAAGTTCGTCTACCTCGACACTATAACTGACAGTGAACTTTGAAACGTTGCGGGGATTGGTGCCCAGTGTGTAGACTCTCATGTAACTTCCCTGGAGTGTGTGCACTTCCGAGTTGCTCACATTGCTCTTGAAAGTGACCGTAACCGGATCGACCGGTGCGAACTCATCGCCGACTTCGATGTTCAGCGAGTCTTCATCCGGCCCCAGCACCAGGGAACCGACCGAAAATCGAAACGTCTTGAAGATGTACTCGAAGCCAGAGTCTGCAATTAAAAATGCTCACCTTTTTCGGAGGACAGTCAAAAACCGTACTCATAGTTCTCAGTGTTCGATCGTAGGACCACTCGGTAGACGGTTGCCACGTGGATCGGGAAGTCAGGTGACCAGCCAATCCTGGCCACACTGTTATCGATCCGGCGTTCGCCGGATAGCCGAGACTAACCGCCGCCGAGCCGTGGGTTACGGTAATTGTGAAAAAGTTGGTGGCAATTTGCTGGGGCATCAAGTTGGCAAAGCAGTTACCACTGAAACATTGTTTTAAAGGGTACAGGGGTTGAAACGTGGCACGAAAACCGATACGAAATGACAGGATGGAAGTGGTTAGTGGGCGATCCTGACTGGATCTGAACGGACGTGGAACTGGATTGGGTCGTGAGGTTGGTCAGAAGAAAGCTTTCGGTGTTTGCATTAAAAACGGTGACTGATGAGTTGGCGGCGAGCGGAAATTCCCATGCAAAGTTACCGAAAGTGTACGAGGTGAAGTTGGAGATTGCTGGAAAAGGTTGAGAGTAGAGAATTATAGGTTCACCGAGACATCGACTCACCCGAATAATCATTAGCCAACAAAAACGTTGTCCTTCCACCCGAATCGCATGCAATCTGATTCTGCTTCACCAATGTCAACGAGGATCCGGTGGATTTGAGTGTGCGTTCGGTCAAAGCGCCGATGAACGTGGAATTCACAAAAGTCCCGTCGAAAACCAGAATGGAGGTGTAGAAAAACGTGCATGCGGCCGCGTCGATGCTCAAAACAATCGGACCGCCATCGGAAGAAGTGAAAAGCGTGGGCGTCAGTACGGGAAGATCTCTCAACTCCAAAATGGTTCCGGTTTTTTGTTGATTGGAAGGGAGAGAAGCAGCTGAAAAGGACTTATGTTTGAATTTATTAAAATAATTCCCTGACTTACCACTTCTATAGGTCCATTTTACAAAAAAAGATGCGAATCCAGGTGCTGTGCTTAACACTAACCTCGCATAATTTCCATCGATCGCCAATGAGTTCACAGTGTGAGTTCCGTTTATACTAAAAGTCCGGACTCTTTAGAATATTATGATTTTCCGTACCGGTAGGTCCCATTCAGCGTGTCGGTTATCGCCAAAAAGTCCTCGTCATTGACGTTGAACGCACTCGCTTCGAATGTGACGAACGAGCCGGCAGGAACGACAAACTGATGTTGAATACAATATTTCTGATGCCGAAACATTGAATCTCACGCTAAGTTCACAAAAATAATTGGCCGGAAATATGGCAGGAGTCGATCGGCCCGTCGGCAATTGTCCATTTTCAGTTATTTCAGTGCTGGGACACGTGAAATTCGGATCGGCTGATGTTAACACAAACAGGAGAAGCGAAAGTGAGAAAGGAAACATTTCTGTTGGAAAAAAAAAGCGGAGAGCAAACAGTTTGACAGGGTTTTATATGGGCAGTGGCGGGAGATAAGAGGAGAGGAAACTATATACACTCAATTTTTGTCTGGAAACGTGACTCACTAACAAATAGTTATGGGTCTATTCAGCGTATGTTTGTTTTCCGTTTTTTTTCGTTTTTTACACCGCTGAATTGGGTTTTTTGACGTAAAAAAACGAAAAAAACGGAAAAAAATCATTTTATAGTGACTGTGAGTGTCTGAAACAATGAGGGTCGCTCTAATCAAGTCTAAAGTGTGTAAATATCACTTTTTGAATATGAAAAGCACAGTATACTTTTAGAGAAACATTTATTCGTCAAAAATGGCCATAAACCCAGGCCGCCGAAGGTGTGATACTCTTCGCAAAAAGCCAGTGAATCGGATATAAACTCACTTCGCGATACGGTCGATGAATGAAAATCATGACGATGGTCGACGAAAAGCCGTGCAATGCGGTCAAGACGAACACCAAATTGTTGAGGGACTGGTTGTAGTACTCGAGAAAGATCGACAATAAAACATAGGAAGCTGGTGTCAGGACAAGGACGAATGGGAGCAAGATCTGGAACGTTTCGCAAGAATTTTCGGGAAACACTTTTGCGGATTTCTTGTTCTGACTACCGGGAAATTGATTTCGAGATTTCTACTTCCGTTTTCCCACAAAAATCGATTCCAAGCAGCTCTAATGAAACCAATTCAAACCTGAACGGTCAACGCAATTGCAAACTTCTTCTGTAAATCGATAGTTCTACTCGAGATGCCCGATATTTTCTGATCGAGGAGCAGAATGTTCGAGTATAATAGAATCAGAAATGTGAACGTTTCCACGGTCAGGACGACAACCAGAAATGCGACACAACTGAAGGGCACTATGAAGTCAACGGCCAAAATGAAGATGTCATGGGTGTTCAGTGAAAGTGCCGGTTTGCAGGGAAGCATCTGAAGTGGATTAAAAGCAATTTCTTAAAGAATCCAGAACCCCACTTGTTCTATAAACTGTCTCGCATAAGTTTGTTCGGGAATCGCGGTAAACGCCGGAATCATGACTAAGGGACACATAATATAATTTCCAATGATAAACGGCTTTCGGAAGTGTGCCCAGCTAGTGTTCCGAGCGAACAAAACATAGTAACGATTTTCAAAAATTGACAATATCGATACGGCAACAACTGAGAAAACGTTTGAAGAAGTTGGACTTGTTTAATTGTGAGACCAACCTGCTATCAGTACAATTATGATAAAAGTCTGTGTAGCGGGCTCATTCCAGACGCCCAAGGCAATTCCGGAAAGCGAAGGCAAATAGAGATAGGGGACGGTGAGGTAACTGATGAAAAAGTCGACGAACGCGGCGAGCGAATGCAAAACGAACATTATCGATTTGACGGATTTCATACGGGCCGGAGTTTTGACCAGAATACAATAGGTTCCAAGGAGACTGACGGGCAACTCAATAAAAGTGATGACGTGGAGGAGGAGGGTGTAATTCTCCGGATCTGCCAGGTTATCAGCTTCGGACACGCAGGAATTGGTCATAGTCCGCAAAGAGTGATGATGTGAAAGTGAGGCGAAAGGATAATCGGGTATTGCAAAAAAGTAAATTGAATTCCGTCTGTGGGCATAGAGCATAGAGAACCCGATCAAAAACTTTGGAACGACGGCATATCAATGGGCCTATTCACCGGATTTTCTTTCGTTTTTTTACGTCATAATACGAGCCAATTAATCGATAATTCACTGGTTTTTATTTGCGTTATTACCTAACAATTGTGCGAAACGTGCATTATCAAAACAGGTGTTTTTCACTTTTTCTTTTCCGGGGGATTTCACGCAAAACCCCAATTTTCAGTAGTTTCCAAGAAACTGTGTTCAACAAAACACGGTTCGTATTTTCATAACACAAATAAAACAATGTTTGAATATAATTTGTTTATTACACTTTATCATCACTTCGGTTATTAAATGAGTAAGCTATGACATGTCAATAGAATAAATATATAAAACGTGCAATCGAGTACATACTCCCCCGAATTGCCTATTATTCATCGTTTTCAAGTTCAATTTTCCAAATTCCGGTAAAACTTTGCTGCTCACTACCATCAGCCTGGTTATTTTTATTACTATTATTAATATGCATTCCGCTTCCGTCGTGTTCATCGAAATCGGAAATGTAGGGAATTCTGAAAGAAAAAACCGATTTTTTGAGACGCTAAGGTTAAGCTTGGTTAAGCAAAATGGTCCGAACGCACTTTTTGTCCCCGCACTCTTTAGTGTCGTCCGTATCATCGGCAAAGTATCCCACGTGGTCGTCCGCCACTCTATCCTCTACTTTTTCGATCGTTTCGTAGCGCACCGTCTCCAATTCTTCGTAATGTCTGCCCAGTTCGTTGTGCTCGTAAAACTGTTCGGCTTGAGGCGCGTACTCCTGCCGATTGTCCAAGTGCGGATATTGATAGGACAAGAGCATTCGAGCATTGTTCAAATTAATCATTTCGTTCGAAATGTTCTTCCGTCCGATTCTATTCGTCCGCGCATTTTCCGTGTTCTCATTTTCCACAGCCTTCTCTTTCCGCTTCTCATTCGTCCGTTTGCGGTTCTGCCTGTTCGGAATCGCGTACGGCTCCATCCGATTTTGCCTCGATAGGGCAAGGAACTCGTCCAGCCAGACCATCCGTTTGTAGAGCTCCGAAGTTTGAATCTGTCGCCCGTCGCGCTGAACCTGAAAAATGCGAAATGTTTTAGTAATATTCATCGAAAACTCAAACTGCTCACCGTGCTCTCGAACGCTCTTTTCTCGCGAAAGAAGCGGTCGCGAAGGTTCTTCCAGTGGGCCGTCAGCTGCTTGACACTTCCGTTGAACTTCATCCGCTCTTTGATGTTTTCCCACGCATTCTGCCGATTTATTATGTCTTCTTTACGGTTGCTCTGCTTGTAAAGGCACGGATTCGCGCGCACCTCGGCGATCAGCTCCCATTTGAACCCGTCAAGCTCCGCTTTCTTGCACACCTAAAATGCTTAATATTAGAACTTTTGTCTTTCAAAATTTGCCAATACTGGGTCTGAAACTAGCCTGAATTGACTGAATTACATTGTTTTCATTTTTTGCTCGAAAAATCAGCAAATTTCGCCGTATTAAAAGCAGTATTTCAGCAAGAATGGGCCATTTTCTTGATAAGTACCTGAGTGTGAACCTCGCGGGCGAAAATGTACGGATCGAGGAAGGCGAACTCGGCGAGCGACGCGAACAAGTGCTTTTCGCGTCCTTGCTGCACCGCCCGCTTCCGCCGCTGATACCGATCACGAAGATTCTTCCAGCGCATCTCGAGCGACGCGCCGTCTCCTTCGTGCTTTATCGCTTCGGCCAGGCGGGACCACAGCTGGTCCTTCCACTCGCGGTCCGAGAATCGCTCGTTCTCGTGGTCGTACAGACACGGATTCTGTTTGACGAGCCGTGGAAGATGCACGAAATACGCAATCTTGTTCGACATTTCTTCTGCAAACTTGTTGTGAATACCTGGAAAAATAGGGGCGGAAAATGGGAAACAAGGAAAGAAGAATGATTTGCGCACGAAAAATCTAGCGAGGTTGCAATTTTCGTGCGCATTTTTATGATTTGACCTACGAGAACATTACAGGTCTAAAATTTCGCGAATTTTTCAAATGTTCACAATAGATACGTAAAAATGTATTAAAAATGGCATCTCGTTAGAATTTGTTTTAATTTTCGATGGGGGCTCATTGGACAGGGAGGAAAAAAGTGATCGAATACCCGGGGTGCGTTAAAAAATTGGGGGAAAAAAGGCTCTAAAATATCAACATGTACAGTCAAAGAGGTTAAGATATCCGAATATTATTAGTATTTATAGTGTTCTTTTAGTCCTCGTGCTCTCCTTCGTCGTTCAGCAGCGGAGATTCTTCGCCGCTTCGCAGTTTTCGCAGCGATTTCAGGTCGATGATGCACCGTTTGAGGATGGCCAGAATCGCGAAACAGTTCTGGAAAAAAGGCACATTTTTTGTTTTATTTAAAAAATTGCTGATTTTGATGGTGCGCATCAGCAACGATCTTTCGATGCGTACCAAAAGCATGAAAACGTAGAAGACGGCCTTCCAGCCGAGGTCCTCCTGAATGATCGGAATGAGGAGTTGTCCGACGGCCGATCCGGCGGATCCCGTTCCGTCGAGCAGTCCCGAGACGGTCGACATGGCCTGCGTGTTGCCCGCGAGCGCCGGCTGAGAGCCCAAATCGATGGAGATGGAGCCGACGATGAGGTTGTACGGACCGGAGACCGTCACGCCGACCGTCGTCATCACGAGCGCATTCCAGAACATGTAGGGACCGACGTGCGCGTAGAAGTAGAGGCAGCCGATCGAGCAGAGCAACATCGCCACGATCAGCGGCGACCGCTTGCCCATTTTGTCCTGCAAATTGATGTTTTGTTGAAATCGATCAAATTTGGGTTGAAGGAAAAGTCGAGGAGCTTTTCAAGCGTACAGAAAATTAGAAATCAGAACTTTGCGAAAAATCAAAACAACTAAACTATCTGATCTGGGGATATAGTGGCTCGAAGTCGAAAAGACGAGGTTTTTTCCGGAACGAGTATTCCCTGTTTCGTCGCCTTACCGTAATGTATCCGCCGAGCACACTTCCGATGATTCCGCCAAAGTCGTACCAAATGCTCAGCTGATCCGCCTGTGACTCCTCCCAGTTATAGGCGTCTGTGAGGTAAAGTGGAAGCCAGAAGAAGAACGCGTAGTTGACGAGTTTGAGGCAGGCGTTGCAGATGCAGTAGGCGAGCACGCCCGGCAGGAGGACCGCCTTGAACAGCGAGATCGGCTCGCCGTGGAAGTTGTGGTGCTCCTCCGTGCTGCAAAATTCACAGTGGTACACGGAATGAGAACTCGTAAGGCTGGAAACTGTTACAAGTGAGTACTCATTATTCTACAAAACCACACGTCTTCACTGAAACAGTTCTCATTCGGCGTGCTCTCATTCAATTCTCATGTCTTGTACCGTTCTTCACAAATGTTCGGTTTCGATGAGGATCGAAGAAGTTATGAGGGAAAAGTGTCAATTTCGCATGCTCCTCGGACTCGGGTTGAGTGTGATAGTGAAAACGGGAAAAGGGCGACGGCATTTCAGTACTTTTTGTTGATCAATACGAGCATAATTTGCAAAATGTTTTCCCGTTATTCTAGGCAAACCAATGTTACGAAAAGGCATTCAACGACCACGGGACAACATACTGACTTCCGGGTTTCCCACCTGTTAGACCGAGATCGAAGGCGAATTCTGAGAACGGACAATTATGAGTTCACATGTTTTTTCACTTTCAAACCCCCGCAAAAAGACTCCCAGACACCTCGAAACCAAAACTATCTTTTTGGAAATGTGTGTTTCAAAACGTCCGGGAGTCCGTCAAAACGGTCCCTACCTGTTCGCCTCGACGTTCTCCGCGTGTTCGTCTTCGGGCGACGAGTCAATGGCGGTGACGACGACGAGTGCGCCGGCGGCGATGAGCACCGAGTTGAGCAGGAAAGTGTACTCGTAGCCGAGCGGAAGCACGAGCGCCGTGAAGATGGATCCGAATATGTTGCCGACGGGCTGGCAGGCCGCCCACACGCCCATCACGAAGCCCCGATTGCCTTTTCCGAACCAATTGGCCATTATTGCGATTTCGGACGGCCATCCGCACGCCTGCACGAGTCCGAACGCGATGTACGTGATGATGTAGTAGGGCACCGAGTAGAAATTCAGCCATTTCGGCACCGTTCCGAACAGCGTCAACTGCAAAATGGTATTGGTTTTAAAAAATTCGTCAAATGCTGAATCCTTCACAGATTCTGCATTTGCTCACCGTCACGGCGCTTCCGATCATTCCGGCGGCGACGACGAACTTCGGATTGAGCCGGTCGCCGAGCCAGCCCCAGAAGAAGAGCGCCGCTGCGTAGGCGGCCATGAAGATGGCGTCGAGGGAGCCGAGGAAGTGCTTCGCGTCGGCCTCGCTCGGGAAAAGGGGCTCGCGACCCGACGAGTTGCTCAGCCAGTCCGCTTTTATCGACGATTTGACGCCCGACAACGCCTTGCGACTCGCGTGGTACAACCCGTAACTGAAAACCCAAGGTTTTAAATCTGGCTTAAAATCCGTCAAATACTTAGAATTTTCTGCGATTTTTGAGGTTTCTCATTAAAAATTCATCAGAATAAACCCATTTTTCGCACTTTCTCGAATTCGAAGCGGAAAACAGAAAAATCGCATTCAAATCTATCAATTCTACCGATTTTGACAAAAACCCAATATTTTTTGCACAAACCTGACGAAGGTGACGACGAAGACGATGGCCTTCCGCGACGACATCTCCTGCATTATTTCAACTTTCAAAATAGTGTCAAAAAGTGTGGTAGATGGACGGCTTGTTATCAGTTTGGTGAGCACAAATGTACTGATTGCCGACGCACTGATAAAAATGGGACAAAAGTACTTGAAAAGTTGATGATTACATGGTCAAGGACGGGGGGCCTACAGACTACGCAAGGGCACACTTTATTTTTGTCGAGAATAGTACGAAGAGTGATGAAAAGTACAGAAAGAAATGTTTTTGAAGGGGAAAAGAAGAAATACGAGTGAAGAACAAGTGTTTTTTCGAATGTGTGGGCGAATGAATAATTGAAGAGAAAAAGTCGATTATTTAATGTACTTGTCCATGAACTTTTTGTGGAACTCGGATCGGATGGCGTCGTTGATGAACGTGACCTCCTTCTTGCGTTCCTCGATTCCCTTGGCGCAGTTTTTGAACACGACGTCGTCGTCCCACCGTCTTTTCACAGTGAAATCGCCGGCCACCGATCTTCCAGACGCGGCGGCACTCGGAGCGTCGTTGAGAAGCGGATTTCCGGCCAAGATGTTGGCCATTCTCTGCTTCTCCTCCTCCTCCTTGGCCACTTCCTCGCGCGCCGCCTTCTCCTCCGCCCGTTCCTTTTTGATCTTCTCCAGTTCGGCCATCAGCGCCGCCGTGTCGTCGTCGTCCGAATCGTCGTCGTCGGAAGAGTTCAGTTCGTCAACGGCCTCGTCGGCGTCCACGGCCGCTGCCGATTCCGCCGCGATCTGGTCCATTCGCTGGCGTTTCGAGTAGCTCGACGAGCTCGCCGAGTCACGCGCACGCTTCTCGCGCACCGCATTTCGCTCTTTGTCCTCCAGTTCCCGACGCAAATCCTGCAACGTATTTAATTTCAGCTCAAACGCTTGTTCTCTAACTGACTTTCTTGCGGAGGTCCTCCTCGGTTCCCTGTCCGGTCTGGCGGTACTTCATTTTCGTGTGCGACGGCATGTCTTTCGACGAATACTGGTTGGAGAGCTTCGAGAGGTCGCCCTCTCCACGGGCGGTTCCTCCGCGAGCCGGGTAGAATGTCGGACGATGGGCGGTGGTCATCTGAAGTTGCAAAAGCGTGAAAATGAGAAGCATTCGAAGAAATATGTAGGAAAAAGAGGAGAATCTCGAGACTGTACTAGAACATGTTCCAATTGAATTCAACAACGCAATTTTCAAATTTCTAACAGCAAAAATATTTCACAAACTAGGAAATTTTGACAAAATTGATTATTCGAGTTTACGCCGCTTAAAAATTGAAAATCAAGCAGAATTTTGTTGTTTTCTATGGTAAAGCAAAATGAGAACAATTTAAGACAATTTAAAGCATTTTTCCGACAATAAACTGAGAGAAAATCGAGCAGAATTGAGCAGCAACGCTTCGAAAATCAATGTGACTCACGGCGGTCGAGGAAACTATTTCGGAGTATTCTAGTCCGCGCGTGCGCGGCCACGGCCACCTCGACCAGTTCGGACTCAACCCAGTATATCTCGATAGTAAAAAATTGGATCGGCCTGAAACTTGGACCCAAAATAACTTATACCAAGACCAAAAAGCCTGCCAACTCGGGCAAATCGTTTGTAATCTAGCTAGGAAATTTCGTGAAATAACCCCATAATTAGGTCCGGTTAGAAATACTCTCGACTCGGTTTAGATTACGAAATCTCCTAGCTAGATTACAAACGATTTGCCTGAGAAGTTTGGGTCCGCTCCGATTATTGCAATTAGGTCAAAAGTCCCGGACTTTTGCCAGCACTTGTCGAAGGAGTTCCTGTTCTCTCCGCTGCCTCGATCCGATTATAAGAAAAAAGTAGAAAATGTACTTTTCACTTAGAATATTTATTAACTGTAGTAGAATTACTTGAATAAGAAAAAACGAAAAATGCATACAAGATAGCGGTATATATATAGTGGTTGTATATAATAGGTGTCAGTCAGTGCCCGTGAATCATAACTAATATGTTAGATTAATAATAGAACTGGCGTATGAATGAATGACTAATATGTTAGATTAATTTGAAACCGTTCTTTTTCACCCTGAAGGGTGACACCGATTTAATTGGACCGTGTAATCGTTTTCCGAGCACATTTTCAATAATGTAAAACTGCTTTATTACATATTAATTCAAGGATATGACAAAATAAGTATTTTTTTTTAAATTTGTCGCGAAGGAACCAACTGATCGTATCGCTTTCCATTGCCCCTTTGTCATTTGGTCCTAAAAACCGGACACACATTTGTACGGAAAGAAATTGAACGCAATTAGTCTCACCACGTTTCATTCGTGGCACTCTTTTGTTCTTTTCATCTTCGGTCCATTATTCAATCGGCGAGAATGCTCCATTCTGAAATTAAACAATGATAAATAAAGTGAAGGGCACAATTGCAAACATTACCTTTTCTTTCGAAAAAATTCGTAAAAATCCATGTAAATAGGGAGGAAAATTAAAGAAAATAGGGAAGAGACGGTGGGGGGCGACGGGTGCCGCCCGAGGGGAAAAAGTAAAAGAATGAGGGGGAACGCGAGTGGACGACAGGGGGGAGAAACGAGCAAATATACAGAGAGACGCAGAGGAACCACGTGTTATTGCTTGGAATACAGTCGTCGAGTCAACAAAGATACGAGGAAGTCGACAAAATTAGTTTATTGGAAGGGCCTGAGCCGTACACAATTTTTTGTTATGGCCATACAAAACTGTCTCATCTTTAGAGACCTATATCTCGAGAACCGATCTTTATTTCAAAAAGTTGTCAACTGAAAAAATGTTGCAAATTTTGTGCTGAACAACTTTGTAATTGACTATTTCCTTCCAAAATGCTTCATCTTCAAGTTATAAGGTTCATTTAGTGCTAATCGCCGAGACGAAGGTCGATTTGCGCTGGTTTTTCGCGGTGGTGCACCTGATTAAAATCCATTTTCGAAACTCGGAGTTGAAGATAAACACGACCAGACTGCAAGAAAATCATTGAATTTTCATAAAATGTCATCCCAAACGTACGGATCAAAGATGTGAAGAAGATTGGAGGAGAAGGAGGTGGTCAAGAAGATTTTCCATTTCTCCGAATCGCCGGGGATCCAATTGTAGCCCATGTCGTACCAGAAACCGTGCATCACAAAGACGACGCCTTGAATAAGCACCTGAAAACATTAAAAAATTGAAGGGGTGTCTGGCGGGCCTTGTGTTTTTTAGGACCTGTATTCCGAAATTGATCTCCCGCCGTCGCACTTCTTTGCTGTGTGTTCCCATGTAAATCTTGGTCTATAGAGACAAAATTGAGATAAATGAAAATGAAAATGAGGCCCAGTTCACCTTAAAAGCCATCAAAATCACTAAGGTAATCAAGTCGAGGCTGAAAATGAGAATGCACAAAATGAGCTGGACAACCATTGCGTAGAAGACAATTGCGGTGCCACAGTTCTAGAAGAAACGGCTGTTTTCTTAAAATTTGGATAAGTTACCTCGTTGCGAACGCCTTCAGTGAACACCCAGCCAAAGTGATAAAAGGCGAATGTGCAGTCGCCTAAAAATGAACAGTTTTGAAATGTAAATATCTCAGCTGCCGGTGGAGATATCAAAATATTGTCAACTGATAAGTTGTTCATTAAAACATTTTGTACATTTTATCAGTTGACAACTTTTTGATATCTCTACAGACAGCTGAGATATGACTCTTTAAAAGTGTTACGAGCTACGAGAAGATAAAATGACGCTAGGACGGGAAGGAACCAATTGACGATAACGTAGAAACGGAGCTTATTGGATCTGAATATGCTCTTTACAAAAACCAATAAGAAATGTGGCTTACGAGTAGATCTTTGTGTATTTGAATGGAAAAACCGAGGCACAGAACCGATTGAGCGACATCAAAAAGAAACTGGCGAGGATGACGGGGAGCAGGTAGATGCTCAAGTTTCCGAACCAATTTCCACGGTTCACAATCAGGTCAATGTTGCTGAAAACCTCTAAAATTCCACTTTTTTCGCACTTTTCTCATACAAAACAACTCCGAGAATGTAGAAGAGTCCGCTGTTGGCGCAGGCGACGAGTTGAGCGCAGTTCTGGTTGATCATCAGAAAACCGAACGGAGATTTGAGCGCCGGGATACGGTAGCTGCCGATTATGACGAGGACGAGGAGTTGGAAGCCGAGCACGCACTCCTAAACTTTGACTTTTTTTTAAACTACTTAAAACTCTCGCGTCTTTCGTTATTCTAATACAGTATTTACGATATTTAGAACATTTGTCATTGAAAATAACTTACCGTAGAAACCAAAATCCCGGCTAGAAGGTCATCGTTACTGTAGACGAACGTTTTGTCGTAAACCGCCAGGGCAGACACGTTACGAACGACCATTTCGAGCTGTAGAAGTGGACAAATTTTAGGAGAACAAAATCTTCCATTGAGAGTTCTATTACCGGTTTCTACACACCCAGAAAACGGCCCTACTGTTTTTTCAATCTTTGCTGTTCCCCTTTCCAACTAATTACAGCCTTTACAAAAACAAAAAGACCAAAAGATTTCGACCACGGCAGGACTCGAACCTACAATCCCCAGATCCGAAGTCTGGTGCCTTATCCATTAGGCCACGCGGCCCCACTTCCCATCGGTTGTGTGCGCCGTTAAGTGTGTGCTGGCTGGCTGGCAGTTTGGCCGCTGTGAGGGCAGGGAAGACCCGTCGGCCGACCAGCCTTATAAGTAAGACTAGGGAGTGTGTGGAGGGTAAGAGACGCCGACGTACATTTGTTTTCCAGTTTTTCAGTCTGGTTTTTATTAAAAGGTCCGGAAAAAGAGAGTCGGAAGCAGGGTGAGCTCCCGAGACTGAAGTCCCGGGAATTGCCGGGAAAAGTAATGGGAGAACTTCCCGAGAAGCGTCGGTACCAGAGATGTTGGGAATAAAAATTTTACTCTACGGAACACGGAACACGGAAGACGGAACATTTTTTTTTTACGGAACACGGAACACGGAAAACGGAAAAAACTTATTTCTACGGAACACGGAACACGGAACACGGAAATTTTTTTTTTACGGAACACGGAAAAAAGCGTTTTCAAGAGAATTCCAGTGATTTTTTATTAAATAATGTTTTGTTTAATTCGATTATCTGACTGACAAGGCAGCTGTTTGACTCATGTGAAAGTTTTACTGAAAATTTCATAAAAATAACAAAACCAACAACACTACAGTAAACAACTATAGTAAAAAACGACTGAAAATGGAATCCACTTGTGATCGAATTTTTCCGCGGAAAATATAGTTTATAGGGAACACGGAACACGGAAAACGGAAAAAACTTATTTCTACGGAACACGGAACACGGAATTCCCAACATCTCTGGTCGGTACCGAGAAGTGTGAAGACTTGTCGTTCCCGGGAACGACAAGTCTTCAGTCTTCTCGCTACCAAGAGTCTCGGTAGTAGTCGGTACCGAGAAGTCTTTAGACTACCGATCGCTAAAATTTCTCAGGTAAAATTTTAAACTTTTCTTGGCTCTTCTGAAGACATTCTCAAACTTTCTCAAGACAAAAAACTTTTCCAAGACCTTTTCAAACTTTCTGAAGCACTAAAAACTTTTCTAAGTCTTTCTTAAACTTTTTCAAGAAATTCTCAGACTTTTTTCAGATATTCTTAAACTTTTTCTAGCCGAAATTATTTCAAACTTTCTGAAACTTTTCTAAGCAATTCTCAAACTTTTCCAAGAATTTCTTAGGTGGCGCTTGGAAAAGTTTGAAGTTTTACCTGAGGTGAAGTCTCGGTATCGCCACCGAGAAATTACGAGAAGTCTGTGTTGAAGGGCTGAAACCGCTTTTTTTGTGGAACAAAAATTTTTTTAAAATTAAAAATTAAAAAAATTAAAAAAACAACTTGAAATGTATTTTTTTAATTAATTTTTTTAAAAAAATTTTTTTAAAAATTTTTTTATTTGTTGTTTAATTTTTAAAAATTTTTTTAATTAAATAAAAACATTTATTTCCACAAAAAAACCGGTTTCAGCCTGATTTCAGGCTGTTTCAGGCTGAAAAACCCTTCAACACAGACTTCTCGTAGTTTCTCGGTGACGAGGACATCACTTTTTCCGGCAATTCCCGGGAATTCAGTCTCGGGAGCTCACCCTGGTCTTCCGACCGGTCACGGTGACGTTAAAAAATTAAAAAGTGGTTTAACGTTTGAGACATCATTTTTTGGACCCCACCACTACCACCACCAATAAATTCCAATAAAAGTGTGAAACGAAGCTCGTGGTGAGTACGTTGAAACTAGAAAACGAGTGAAAGAAACGATAGTTGGCCAGCTATAAATACTGCTAGCCATCACGAGCTCAGTCATCCGTGTGATAAGCAATTAGACGGTCCCTGGCGGCTCAGGCCACGCATCCTGACTCACTTTGGCTGGAAAAGACCGTTGTTGTGCACGAGCCAGATGCTTTCTATTTTCGGACAACTGTTGAATTTGATTTCTTGATTTTCCGGGATGATGAGTAATCGGCTCATTTCATGATATTTCTCGCTTGCGTGATGACCAATGGCCGCTTACAAATTCTGTATTTGAGTGCATTTTTTGTACTTTTAAGTGACAAAATCATCGCATGGAATGGATGAATCAATGTTTAGAGTTTGGGCTATGGAAAAGGAAAGGAAAATACATAGTTCTTCGAAGAAATGTGCCATCTTTTGTACTTTGCTTAATAGACGATAATGGTTGAATGCAAATGAAGTACTTTGTTCGTATGCACACTTCCTCATTCACTTTTTTTTCTGCTGTACATTGAATAAAGATTTTCTGTTTTTTGAACCAATTCAATTGGATTATATAATATAATTACACTTGTGCGATCAAACCTCTCTCTCTCTCTGAGAAACCACCTGTTCCCTCAACTGATACTGATTGTTCAATGCGTTTTTCGTGTTCAGTGTCATAATAATAATAATAATGACTTGCAATTACACCGACACCTACCTTTCCTCTTCCCGATTTCTGTCCACTGCTCTGCACATTCTCACCATACTCGAGATCCCGTTGCATGCATTCGGACTATATCTCATCGTTTATAAGACACCGAAGGCGATGGCGTCCGCCAAAGGAATGATACTATTGTTGCATTGCACGTGTTCCGTGCTCGACATTAATATCACTTTTCTTGTGGTTCCCTACATTTGGATGCCTTCTCCGTCCGGCTACTTGGTCGGACTTCTTTCGACGTTCGGAGTCAGTTCACAGATTCAGTTATTGATTAGCGCGGAGATAATGGCAGGTAAGCACTTTTTATTCGAACCTATGTATTTCAGTTGTCGGTAGAGATATCCAAAAGTTGACAATTAACAAGTTGCTCATAAAGACATTGTGTACCTTTTCTCAATTGTCAACTTTTTGACATCTCTACTCATAGCTGAAATACATAGCTTTGAACGGACAGTATCACAATTGTATTTTCCAGTTGTCGGCCTAGTGTTCGTTGCGTTTTTCGAGAATCGTTACGACGCAATAGTGATCGGTTGGAGCGGTCAGAGATCCGAATCGCGAAACATCAAACGGATCGCATTTTTCGCCGTCGAAACCGTCTGCGGAATGACGTTCTGGGCCTACGCGTTCCTCACAACTTCAAGTGTCGACAAAGGAAGAGTCATAGCTCTACAAGTACTCAAAACCGGTCAAAAGTGTTCAGAACATGTCAGACTTTCAGCAACTTCCGTGTTTGCCCGTGTCTTTTCTTAATCATCCCTACTTTTTCAACTTTACAAGTGAAACTCCGAACATGTGGCAATTATCGATAGCGTGGCTCGGTTTGGTGTTTTGGGAAAACGTTTATTTCTTCACCTACACCTCCTACTCGCTTTTCTTCCAACACAAAGTGGTGTCCAGACGGACGCAGGCGATGCAGCGAAACTTTTTTGTGGCCATGTCAATGCAGGCGCTCATACCCTCGGTTGTACTTGTCGTGCCGTTGTTTTACAGTTATACGAGCATACGAGAATGGAATCAAAGTTTTTTTGAAAGCTTAACCCCATAACAACATGTTTTCAGAGAACAATAACTTTACAGTCATTATCATCGGAATAAACGGACTTCTCAATACGATCGTCATGATTCTTGCCCATCACCCGTACAAAGAAGCAGTTAAGGAGATGTTCCTAGTGGCCCAAGGACGATATGTTACGAGTTTCATTCGAAATGAGCGCACCTCAAATGTGGTTTCAGTTTTTTGAATTCGAATAAAAGTTGTGAGCAACAACAATAGAAACAATTGGTTGTGCCTGACTGTGACACTTGACGGTCGCCGAGAAAATGCGAGGACGAGGAGCGGAAGAGCGACTTGGATGACTAGGGATCGGACAAACTTGCGTTGAGGATCCATTGTTTTCAGGGATAACTTGCGTCCATAGTCGTCCAAAGCTCTTTTCATCTTCACGACAAGCACTGTGATTTGGGAGAAGGAGATGATAGTTGCGGCCATCGGTTTGCCACTTTGCCACTAGTTAGAAGAGCACCGGGGCATCCTGGATGTACTCGGTCAGACAGGGGAGCTCCTGAAAACAAGATAATCCGGAAAACGATTTAAATAAGTAAAATCTAGAACTTGAAGACTTTATAGTCCTCAAGTTCGACCTACCCTGAACAAAATATGAAAAATAGATACCTGGAGGAGGATCAGTTTTCCAGACGATTGATCCAACGGAACCGAAACATAAACGGGATAGAAAACCACGACGACTATTGTGTAATTGAACACAAACCACGGTATTCTGGCACGACTCCACGATGAATGATAGCTCGAAACTATCATATAACGGTTTAGAGACAACCATGACTGAAGAAATGAGTTGATTAGGCGCCTGAAATAAAATGAATGCTACCCATCAGCCACGTCTGCATATCGGAGCGCTCATCCGCGTGTTCTTCAGTAGGCCCAACGGATATCCGGCAGTTCGGGCAACAACATGTACGGAGTGGTGAGGACGCTCATGCCGAAATCCACAAAACACCCCCAAAAGTGCAAATGTGCTCATTGCACGCCGGAGTTTTGCACACAATGCAGTAGGCGCCGAGAAGGTAGACGGGGATTGTGAGAGGAATCCGAGTAGATGGAGGAGGGACACAGCAAGGAATTCGGGGGTGTCTAGGAAAGTTGGCTGACGGTCCGGCGAGCAGTAGACCATCGGTTGAAAGTCAAGAAGAGAAGAAATGCGCCGTATTTCACTTGTTGCTACACCATTGAACACAGCGGCTTCAACAATATCACCTGTCGTTATTAATGTCACTCATTCCGTCTATTATTCAGTCTTTTGCTGAGAACTTCTTCTCCATTTGCATGTTTCGGCTTTCTCTCCCACAAAATCTGGTCAAAACTGACTTGGAAGTTACGAACCAGTCCTTGAAGTTTGACCTAAAACAGTTCATAGTGTATAAGGCAGACTTGCCAGATTACGGGCCGGCCCGGTCGGCCCGGCTAAAAAGGCGCGAATTCAAATTTTTGGGGGAAATCTATTTTTACGTTTTTTTTGCGGGGATCAAAATTAAAACTTTTGCTTTGATGCCAATAAAAACTATTTTTGAGAACTACATTTCTTTTTTATGCTCGATACTTGCAAAATTCGTTAGTTCTACGAAAAACAAACATTTTATTTAATCAATAGTTCAAAATTTGGATTCCCGCGTTTTGAACCGGGCCGGGCCGCGTTGGAGTTTTGAAAATTTTGGCCCGGCCCGGCCCGGCCCGGCCCGTGGCAACTCTGGTATAAGGGACCAGGAGGACCCAGGTAACCGACCGGGTCGCGGACCTCGCCTTTTCACCCCTCGATCCCATCCCCTACAAATCTAATCACATTCCAGAGCTCATCGGACATCCGGCTCGCCCACGAACTCGCCGGATTCACGTGATCTGTCACAGCTACATTCCAACCTGGTCCCCGATCTCACTGAACCCTTTATAAACCCAGAGGGTCTGTGGCCAAGACTTTGCCCCGCGCCTTCTTCCTATCGTTGTCTAGTGAAAACGATAATTTCCGCTCAAATCCTGTTATATTAACGAATAAGTTGAGTTGATGCTTCTCTAACAAGACTTAAATCCGATTTATTTGAAATGAAAATCAGTTCAACGTCTGAAAAACAACAATTATCCTCTGAAAATCACACTCATCGAGGTGCCCAAATCACTTCCATCTCGTCGTTTTCCCTTTGATAACACAAAAGTTACACTGGTCTTGACGCATCTCAAATAGTCTGAAACTAACAATATTAATATTGTACCAGATATTTTCCCGATTTCTTCTCTCACCCATCACAGTCTCTCGATAACTCTTAATGATGAAAATGGTGGGAAGTGCGTCTGTGGCGAGGTAAAACGCGAAAGTGACTTCTTGAAGTTTTCCGAAGAACGGAGCGGAACAGTTGAGAAATGTGGAGATGTAAATCATGGAAATGGGAAGTTGCATGAAAATGATGGGGATTGTCGTTTGCGACACGAGCGCATAGAATAATTGCCATTGAAGACGTCGGAATTTGGTGGAGCCGACGGACGAGATCATCAGCGATTTGGTGGAGAGATAGCACTTCACACCGAAGAACGCCATCACTATTTCTGAACTCAACTGAAAAAAGAACCTTTAAAATCCGAGTAACGGCTTACCAGAACAGTTGTGCAAAGGCACATTCCGATGAACGAGTCCCAGTTGTTCACTTCTGTACCGTCATCGAGTTTCGGGTAGAAAAGGACACCGACAAAACCGATGGTCTCAATGTCCACTACATTCAGTGCAGGAAGTACGGTTTCTCTGAACTGATACTTATCAAAAAAAAGCAGAGAATTTTCTCAAATCGTACCTCAAAACCTTGTCCACAAACTCGTTGCGACGCAGGAAGATTGCACACGAGAATATCCAAATGCTCGCGAACGCAATCGGGGATCCGATCCAGAGAAACACGTTCAGGGGACTACTGGATGTCCACGACACATTTCTGAGCATTTAAACTTACAATATTTATAAGACACTTGAAAGCGTACCCGGTAAGAACTAGGTAACGGTAGAGGAACTGAACTCCAAAAATTGACAGCGAAACTGCAAACGAGCCGCAGAAGATTACTTAAGAATGGAAATAACGAGTGAATTAAAGAATAATGACATACAATCGACAATACTCAAAAAACTGCCAGACAAGACTGCTTTGTGTGGGTCGGCGATCACGAAAAACGCAGAGTCTTGACAATACATTATCTGCAATTAGGATTACGCCAACTTCTTCTAGAACCAACATTTTCGTACAAGTTGGGACTTTGAGTTCACAAATCCTGTATAGAACTCATCAAGATCCACATTTTGCGCTCCCAGTTTGTAGAAAAACGTCGGTTCTAAATGCATTTAGTGCAGAAAACTGACCGGCAATATCATCAACTCAACCACCGAGAAGAACACCTCAAACACGGAAATGTACACCATAACGTACTTGTAGGCGCCCAGATTTTTCGGCGATCTATACAATACCAACTGAATGAGCAGTAAGTTCATGCACATTCCGAATATTGTGAATCCTTGCTTGATTCGATCCATGCCGAGAATGAGGCTAATGTTCTAGAAGCATCATAGTAGTGGATTCCCCAGACGACACCCCCACAATAACAGTCGGTTTCTGGGAACACGATATAAAAACCGAGTAATTAATATTATTAAATGGTCGTAAGAGATTTGTTCGCTTGAGTCTTGGAGGCCGATGAAGTATTGAACGATGATCCTTTTCGGAGCGGCAAACAACAACAGCACAGGAGCTCTGAACATAATTTTAACATTATCATTATTATGGAAATTGCCAATTCACGCACCGAAAGTGGCTCTTCGAAAGGTTTTGACCATGAAAATGGTGGGAAGCGGGTCGATTGCCGGGTAGACGGCCACTGAGACCGTGATGAACGCACTGCAATTGCCAATGTCAATCTGGAAAAGTGGGCAGAAGAAGACGATGGAGCACGGGATGTAGAGCATGATCAGCGGGATGATAGTCTGAACAAAGAAGAGAAGAGTGATCCGATTGATATTGTCGGTTCCACTAACCTGGCAAACGAGCGCTTTGAAAAGTTGCTGTTGTAGTCCTTTGGCCAACGTCGACGTGGAGTGCGAAAGAAGTTTTCGCATTTTGAGCCAGCAGTTGATTCCGTAGTAAATGACCACGAACGATGAGGATCCCTAGTGGATAGAGGCATTTTTGAGAGCTTTTCCTCAGAAAAATGTTACCACAATGAACCAGAGAATGGCCATTCCAAAGACCGCCGACGGCTCAAACTCGTGTATTCCTTGCTTATCTTCCGGATAATAATACGGTCCCGTATAGACGATATCCTCGATTTTCAGCTCGAAATAGTCCCAGACATCTTTTCTGAACTCTTTATTGATATTTTTCGTGAAGAAAAAAGCGGTTACCTGATGAATTCGGTGAATCCGTCGCTATCAGGGAATATAAAATAGCAGACGAGTCCCCAAACGATGCCGTAGACAATGGGCACGAGGCACCAGAGAAAGAAGCGATGACCCTCGAAAGTGGTCCGTCGCGCCTTGTCCAGTGATCCGTATCTGTAGAGGAAGTGGATGGCGAGGATGGAGACGGAGCAGCCGTAGAATCCACAAATACAACTGTTCAGCACTTTTATCATTTGTCGACTGAAGATCGAGTTGCGCGCGTCCACGATTACGATGACACGCGAGGCGTACGAGTGGACAAACTGAACGGGTTTCAAATTATTTCTATGAACACATCATCAAGACGCCCCACATGATAACAGAACTTACAGGCTTAGTGAGAGTCGCCAAAAGTCCATAAAGTATTTCGAAAACCGAAATGTAGAGCATAAGATATTTATAGTTTCCGATCCGTTCCGGCGATTTCGTCAGAATCAGAAAGATCATGTAGCCGTTGAGGATGAGGGTGAGCACGACGCAAACGTCTTGAAGGTAACCGCAAAAGAGCGACCAGCCGCTTTGCAGCATTTTAAGGCCGAATAGAATGGGTGGCTGAATGAACTCGAGCGACGTGGGCTCGAGGGAATGAGTGTTAGCAGTACGGACAGACAGACTAAGTATAGGGCTCGAATTGTTGGGACATAACAAGCGGGTGAGATACTCAATGAAGTTAGAAGAAGTGAGATGCTTACAAAGTGTTGCGCAGCAAATGTTTAATCAGTTATAAGACCAACCTTTTTCTTGACGCAATTGGCCGGTCTTGCAGCGATGGGACAAATAAAATCGATGCGCCTCCAATGTAAGCGAGGCTGGGAAGTCGGTGAGACTGGCCAAATGGATTGCTGCACTTCTCCTACTTTTGCAAAACTTGCCACACAAAGTTTTAGCCGACAATTTTGGAAGTACGGTTACAGAATACTTGAAACAATTCATGGGACGCAAGATTATTCGCCGACAACATGCGTCTTAGTCTGCGGAGCGTGTTCCCCGAAAAGCACACAGTGTTTCGATCGATTGCGCATCATTCGGTCGTTTGGTTTGCACTGGAACACCTCTTTGAACGCTTTCATCTGCGACATTAGCGAATTGATTCGATGGTGGTGACTGCTGTGCGTATCCTCGACGCCTTCAACGCTATTCATCTGGAATCAATCGATAATCAAACTCGACGCGAATATAATCTCACTTTCTGGCAGAAAAGTGTCGGAAACGCGTAGAAGAACAGTTGTTTCTTGTCCAATCTCTCATACTCTTCAACTTCGCGGGACTCGCGCGACAACGTCTTCTCATAACTTTTCCAGGCGATTCGATAGGCGGCCAGGTCGGCGGCGTCTTCTTCGAACGTATACGTGGCGTCCGAGCAGACACTCGTCGGGAACGTGCGGCACGTCTTCTTCATCTGGTACCTGACACAGTCCGTCCGATTACTGCCCCAGACTCGAAGCGGCGAGGGGTCGTTGCGGCCGAACACAAAAGTGTGCATGATCTCGTGGATTAGAGTTGTGCCGACTCCGCCGTACTGTAAAAAGTGACATAAATCTCCGGTAAAGATAGCATAAAGTTTTCAACTGTTCAACAAATTGAAGTGACTGACCAAATCCGACTTGAAATCAGTTTTGTAGGCCAGGAGAACAGGAGTTGTCACGCCGGTTAACAGAATGTAGTTGAAAGCGATTTCGGATCCGAATCCTCCGATAAACTCCATTTTGCTCTTCAAATTCCCGAGCTCTGGCAGTATCTCGTACTGCTTTTCTTTGAAATATTCCAAAAGATCCGATAGAACGATAGCCTCATGGATTGCTTCGAGAACATTTGCATGTACGTCAGGTAGGGTCAAACTGAAAGTTGACAATTTTCATATTTTGCAGTCACACCTCACTTCCTCTACCTGGCCCGAATATCCTGAATACCCCGTGTAAAAAAGACCATTGTCTCGAGGCTGAACTCTTGAAAATCCGCCACAGTCTTCAGCGGCAGGGCGTCTAGAGCTTTCACAAACTTCTCGAGGGAACCATTCTTGTTGATGAGCCACGGGGTGTTCTAGGAAATTCATAAATTATACTATAAACATTTACTTCTTGAGGAAATACACCAGCCGCACAATAGTTGTCAAACGTAGATATTTGAACCCTGAACCCGCAGTATACTGACCATAAACTCGTCGCGGACCGCTCCTTTCAATTCATCATACAGCACCCGGATTTCCCGATCGGCAACGGGCATTTCAATGTTCGAAATTGTCTCCAACCAAAGACCAATGTACATGTTGCGAAGGTTCAACTAAAGGAAAAACTTATCAGAGAACTCAAAAGGAATACTGTTTGGTATTAAGGTCATAACTCGAAAACTAAAAATGTTGGTAGGAAATGTTCCTACAAAGCTATTTGGCACAAAATTTGCTACAACTTTTCAGTTAACAATTTTTTGAAACATCTATTGGTTCTTGAGATATTGGCCATCAAAGATAAGGGAGCTGTTAGGACTTTCTTTAACTAAAATCTGAGAAAATACTCACATATCGATCTTTGGACCGTTTCAAATGAAATCCAGAGGCAAAATCAATGGTCATAGGGAACAAGTCAACTAGTTTCTGGTGAAGATCCGGATGGGATTGGTTGCTAAAACATTTTCTGTTAATATTAAAAATCCGGGTCAGGTACAAGTTTATCGCCTCCTTCGAATCCATAAACTCATCCAATAGACTCGCGCGTTCTTTGCTTTTTGTCATATTCTGAAAGAGTTTTTCGAGATTTGCAGGAAAAGTACATACTATTTCCCGAACTTACAACATCCTCATTTCCAAAGTAGAATTTCTGGTTTTCCGCAATCAATGCCTTCTTTATATTCCCGAGGCTCGTCACGAAATCCCGCTGTTTGGTGGCCGGACACACGTGCGAATAGAAGTCGTCACATGGATGAATGGAAAAGTCGACGTGACTCAAATATCGATCGATTACTACGACACTCCGATATCCCGCACCGTTCAAAGAGCACCTACCTTTTCAGAAACTCTTGAAGAAGATTTCTGGGTTCCTGAAGAGTTGGCGCTATTTGGAGTAGAAAGAGAAGGAGTAGGAGCATGTTTGTGTGAAGGAAAACATTTTCGGATACATGTTTTATACGACAATGATTATTCATAATGGCATTGAAATTGTTTATGCTCGAATGGGAACTGTGGATCAAAAGTTCAACGCATAATTGTGCGAGTTCGTCGTATTTCGCAAATCTATCTTCAAGGTGTTTCTAAAAACTCTAACTCAGGCCCTTTTTTATTCATTGAGGCCCAAATGCAGGCGCCAAAATATCAGGACTGCTGAATTGTCATCATTTCTTGCGCTGTGCATAACTGCATCCTACTTCTTCGAGTGTTATTTCTTTTGTCTCCCCTAAAGGAGACTTTCCAAAATTAGAAAGCTGACGCTAAATTTCTTTAGGTCATGTCAAGTCGGGCGTACCTCAAACTTGGGTAATTAAACCGACGCTATCGTCGCGTCGCCGCTCTTCAGCAATGCGCGCAGCCGACACGTCCGAGGGACGGCGAGAACGAGAAATCACCACAGCACACAACATTGTTAGTGCGGCCGCCGCCAAGCGATTTTTCGAAGAAGACGAGGTGGAAACAGAGGCGGTGGCGGCGAGAATACGACGTTTTCATTGTTAGCGAAAATGTGATCGACATAGAGTGACGGTCATTTCACAGGCAGAAAAAAAAACTGGATGTGGGTCAAAAATGGTCCATCGATGAGCCATCGCTTCATCCATCGGAGAAAATGTTCGTAAAATGGGCCACAGGGTGATGGGCGAACCGTTGGGTCATCGATGATCGACAGGTATGATTACTATTTTTTACCGCAATAATAATGAAGCTTAAGACGGAGAGCCCGTTCATACAAGAAGATAATAGTGTTTTCGTCGCCAAAAGGTCTCGAACTGCTCTCAGCGAGCAACGTATTGTTCGTAGACGGTACATTCGACTGTACTCCGACTGGTTTCTATCAACTGTTCTCTTTCCACGTTTATATGTGAGTCTATTATGCAAAATCTATAGTAAGGAAACTATTACAGTTATCGGAATCAGTTGTCTACCATCCAAAGAACTTTCTTGCTACGAAGCAGCCATCAAAGCAATTCGTATTAATCCGTTGGCTACGAATTGGGTTCCGAAACTTTTACTTTGCGGTAAGCGGTTAGAAAAAAGTGTACACGTTGCAGGCGAAAATAAGTGCTCAGATTTCGAAATTAATATTCGCCGAGCATTTGCATCGCAGTTTCCGAATATTGACATTCACGCCTGTTATTTCCACTTGATGCAAACGGTGCTGCCCCGAATCAGAACTGCCCGAATCAGAACTGCCACGAATCAGAACTGCGCCCGTATCAGAACGCGCCCGAATCAGAACTGGTACGAATAAGAACTGCCCGAATCAGAACTGCCCGAATCAGAACTGGTACGAATCAGAACTGCCCGAATCAGAACTGCCACGAATCAGAACTGCCCGAATCAGAACTCCTTATGGCAATACTTCCTAAATCAGAACATGAACGCGTAGAAAAAAGTGTTTCCTTAGGACTTTTCGTAGTGTAGGTATTCTAGAAGCTAGACATTAAAATGAAACAGATCATTGGTAACAAAAACAAGTGTGAAACAGAAAAAAAGATTGTAAATAAGCAGAAAACGAGCACGAGAACCATGCAGAAATTGGGAGAAAAAAGAAAGAGAGACAGAAGTAGAGGAAGAAAGGTAAATGCAGAAAAATAGGAGCAGATAAGATAACGGGATAGAGAGAAAACAAAGAAAAACAAAACTTTTCATGGTTTTATAGCCAACGAAATACTCCGCAGGTAATCGAGTCCGGTCAACGGGAGGTTAGGTGGCGTCGGCTTGTTTTTGAGAGCTTTGACGAGCCTTTGATCTTTCAGTACATTGCTGGTTTTACGGCAAGATGAAACCTAAAAACGCGAAATTTCATTCCAAATTTCGTACTTCTAACCATACTTGGTGGTTCTTGTTGATCTTCAGAGCGTCGGCGTCACACTTCGTTCTCACGTCTTCTTCCTTGAGCTTCATAATAAGGTCTGACAAGCGTACTTGACGGAGACCGTTCGTGATGTAAACAACGGACTGAATATTTTTCAAATTTTAACTTTTGAAACTACGTTTCGATTCACATACAGATAGCATTCTGTGCCAGACCTCCACTGCGTTTGTCGTTCGATGGACAGCGTTTTCTGACAATCCCGCACACGACCAAATTTCCGGTGGAAATGTCGGTGGATTGCCGCCCGTTCCAGAGATGTAATACTTGTCGAGATACGCAATAAACTCTGCAATTGGAGCCATTCATTTGCAGTCTTGTACATTATTTCGAAAATTATACCTTTAGCACTGTTGTTCGCTGGAAGCGAATTGGTGATTAATTGAAAATAATACTCCGTTATCACACATTCTGCAAAGGGTATCGCTCTGAGCAGGTTCCAGAAAGGTCGCAAAGCTCCGCCTGAACTGTTTATTAGTTTTTCGGTCGGGATATGAAGCTAACCGCTCATCATATCCGTGTAAATGTTCAGTTTAGTTGCTTTTCGTCTCCACGATTGCATCAAGTGGAAATAACAGGCGTGAATTTGAATATTCGGAAACTGCGATGCAAATGCTCGGCGAATATTAATTTCGAAATCTGAACACTTATTTTCGCCTGCAACGTGTACAATTTTTTCTAACCGCTTACCGCAAAGTAAAAGTTTGGGAACCCAATTCGCAGCCAACGGATTAATACGAATTGCTTTGATGGCTGCTTCGTAGCAGGACAGTTCTTTGGACGGTAAAAGGGCATACGCAACGGGTCGGACAACTGATTCCGATAACTGTAATAGTTTTCTTACTATAGATTTTGCATAATAGACTCACATAAACGTGGAAAGAGAACAGTTGATAGAAACCAGTCGGAGTGCAGTCGAATGTGCCATCCACGAACAATACGTTGCTCGCCGAGAGCAGTTCGAGACCCTTTGGCGACGAAAACACTATTATTTTCTTGTTGTTCATCGCCTCTTCGTGAATTATGAACGGCTCTCCGTCTTAAGCTTCATTATTTTTGCGATAAAAAAGTAATCATACCTGCCGTAATCGCAAAACTTCCTACTACTTTGCACTCGTTGTCGACAGACCGACGATCCGGGTCTTCCATTCTGGCTCGCTCTACAATTTTCCGCATTGAGTTGTAGTCACCTAAATGTTTTTATTACAAAATTCACTCTATACAACATGTGAAGTGATTTTCAACGTACCAGCTCTCACGATTACTTCAGCACTGTAACGACTTCTGATTTGATTGTATTGCGCTCGTGAAGTATGTGTGGACGTTTTGGCGTTCTCCCGGAGTTCCGATTTTACCAGTTCCATCTAAAACAATCATGCTATTCCGATTCTAAATGTACGAAAGAAGCTTACCTGAGTCTCAACTTCATCTTCTTCGTGTCGAGAGTGATCTCGAATGACTCGAAGAGTTCCATTTGACTTGTCTACTGCGAATGATGCGTGGCAGCCTAATTTACGTCCTCTGAAGTTATCTTTTTTGTTCTTGTTGTGGTGAAATAGAGAAATATACCTGTGGATGCAATGGTACAAGGTTTCCGTAGTAGACTCCTTCTTTTTTTTCATTGGCCAACCACCAATCACTTCTGTGGCGTTTGCCTGTCCTTTTGGCATGCTTCACTCTGTAATTCGACACAATTCTGATACGAACCAGTTATATTTCAGGTATTCGCAAAGGCAAAACGCGCAAAATATAATAAAACTATTGAAAATAAAATATAAACCCGTTTTCTTGTATTAAAACCTCATTGCTCAGCGTAAAATGCAGTGAGAAAGTTAGTCCGCGGCCAGCTACAATATCCCAGAGATCCTGGATCAGAAGCTTTCCTATTCATTTTCGGTTTTTTTTAAATTACCAGTTCTAGCTTGAAGAGTTCTGATTCGGGCAGTTCTCATTCGTGGCAGTTCTGATTCGGGCAGTTCTGATTCGTGGCAGTTCTGATTCGTGGCAGTTCTGATTCGGGCAGTTCTTATTCGGGCGCGTTCTGATGCGGGCGCAGTTCTGATTCGTGGCAGTTCTGATTCGGGCAGTTCTGATTCGGGGCAGCACCATGCAAACGTGGAGACGAAAAGCAACTAACAAGCTGAACATTTACTGTGATATGATGAGCGGTCAGCTTCAAATCCCGACCGAAAAACTAATAAACAGTTCAGGCGGAGCTTTGAGACCTTTCTGCAACCTGCTCAGAGCGATACTCTTTTCAGAATGTGTGATAACGGAGTACAGTGCGCGTCATAATGATAGCACACCCCCCTATTTTGACGATATGGAGAGAACTAAAGAATATGACGGAAAATGGTGATTGTCATTGTTTTCTACGCCCAAAAAAACCTACGTAGCCAATTTTCTAGGTATCCCACGCAAAAAATAAGACTAGGGTACCAAAAAATCGTTAAAACAGGCGCGTCATAAAGATAGCACACCCCTCAAAAAATTATACACTTTTATTCAATTTTTAACTTTTTCTGTGGGTTATAACTTATTTTTGATTTTTAATTATGCTTTTGATGTTTTTTTGTTTTATTTATTCATATTTTGTTGGAGTTACAGTAGTACCAAAGTTTATGACATCTTATTTCGTAACTACAGTAACCCGGAAAAGGAAGATGGTTGCTGACACGATTTTCAACAGTATTTTGACTTTATTGGTGTACAAAAACATGATAAATGAAACAAAAACAAAAATGAAGAATAGCTATCAATAATTCGTTGATCCTCCGAAGTTTTGAATAACTTCACAAATTCTCTTCGGCTTACTTTGAGTAAATGTTTCAAGATAAGCTGAAGGAATTTTGTTCCACTCATCGATAACAGCAGCTTCTAGCTGAGCAACTGTTTGATACTGCTTTCCATGACGATAAACAGCTCGAACGAGGTAACCCCAGACATTCTCAATCGGGTTCAAATCAGGAGACACAGCTGGCCACTCGAGCACCTTGATCTTCTTGCTGGTGAACCATTGTTTGGTGCTTGAACTACTGTGAATTGCGGCATTGTCTTGTTGGAACTGATGGGTCTTCTTTCGATTGAATCTGTTGAAGAATGGAACAATCGAATCATTCAAAACCTTCTGGTAATCGTTCGAGTTCATACGGCATGTTACGATTTTCAGAGATACGACTTTTGTTTTAGCGCCTGTCACATAAGTGACAGTTTTCAGGTTGTTTATCTGGTCAAATACTCCTGCCACTTTCGGTTTCAATGTCGGATGGTCGTCATTTCCTGAGTACATTCCAAGAAGAAGACAATTGTGGGCATTGTTGGGATTGTCGACGTTCTGCAAGACTCCAACGATCTTCGTCAAGTCAGCACCTTTGTCGCCGCCAAATCCTACAACGATATCGTCACCGGTTGACTCGTCGAATCTGAGACGGCCGTTTTTGTGCAGCGTAGTGAGGCGCCGAGAAAGAAGATTCGCCGTGTCCCGAGCCGTAATAACAGCGGTAGGCACGACCACGTCCTTTCCAGATCTCGTCTTCTTCTTCGTTCTTTCGATTACGATGAAATAGTCAGCATCTGGGTCGAATCTCTTCTTAATCTTCAAAATTGACTGCCGAGAAGAGAAGATATCGAATTTTAGCTTCTTTTACAGAAACCTTTGAGAGTCTTTGAGAAACCCGTCGGAAAACTTCCAGTGTGTCGAGGCGTCGAGAGTCGTGGCGAACGAGTACGCCTCGTTAGAGGCAATGTACTGGATGAAATCCGTCAAGAAGACATCCAGATTTTCAGGTCCCACGTACTGCTCAATCGCTTTGGTAACCGTTTGGAACCGCTGTCTTTTCGTCTCCTTAGTTTTCAAGTCGTTGTATGGTTTCTGAGCGACATTGGGGCTCAGGCAACACTCCTTCAGATGATTGACTTCCTCTTTCATGGCCTCAATCTTCACCATGTGGACTTTTTCAACAGACGCTTTCATGTCGTCTTTGACTTTGTTAATGGAGATAATCTGTTCAACCTTCAGTTGTTTCAGCTGGTAACGAAAAACTCCAATCAACTCGTTCTTCTTCTCGGTGATTTCTTCTTGGAGTAATAAAACTCCTTGTCTCTGGTCGAAGACAAGGAGTTTTATTATTCACATTTCAGTTATAAAATATGACTGACCTTCCGTTCAAACACGTTCTAATTGAGGAGAAAACCCCGTTTGTTGAAACCATTTGATTTCTGTAATATAATTTTTGTGCAATATGGATTATGAATCTGAGAAGTCTTTTGAAAGAAGCAGAGCAAAGAAGACGGTTGAACGAAGAGTTTTATGCAGTTCTCAGTTTCTTCTTGACGTATTTCGATGATCTAAACTTTATTCTGAGCCTTTTTCTACAACTAGCATGCGTGAAGACCAAATTGATTCAATTTCTGACACAATTTCGGAATCCGTCTCACTGTCGCCATTCACAAAAATTCTAATAACTCTGTCTTTTCTGAATATTTTTTGCCAGTCGAGCGACCAAAATGACCGCCATTTAATTTTGAACAAAAAACAAGTTCCTCCGTTCAAACTCCTTCGGTTTATTTCCAAAAAAAAAAAAGATTATCGAAAAATTCAGGCCAAAAACTGCAAATCTAAATAACTCAGCTATTTCTTAACGATATGCGAGATTTCCGTATTTTTTTTCCGTTTTTCCGTTCAAGATTCAAGAAATTCAAGAAATTCAAAAATTCAAGATTCAAGAAATTCAAGAAATTCAAAAATTCAAGATTCAAGAAAATTTTAAAAATCGTCAAATGTGGCAAGTGCAGACTGCACAACTTCTCACTGCTACAGTAATCGTTCGACCCGTGCGCACGTGCTTTTCAAAAATTTAAATTTTCACCGATTTTGATTTTCAGTAAATCGGGCCAAATCGATCTTCCTCTACGCCGAAATGCCGCCAGAAACGACGACGGTGAGTGTGACACGTTTTTTTTCCAAAAAAAAAAAATCATATTTTTCAGAGCCACCGCCCTCAGAAGACTCAAAAAAACAAGAATGTCAGCGATTCTGCCCCGCCGGGGAAGCCATTCGAGTCAGTAATTTTTACAAAAATACAAACGGAAAAAATAGTCGAAATTGTTTCACTACAAAAAAACCAGAAAAACTACAAAAAAAACCAGAAAAAATTCCTTCTACTCATTTATTCGGTTGTTTTAGTCCTTAGTAAAAGTGAAAACAATTTGAAAACAATAATCGGTTTTTCAGTTTTTCACCGGAAATATGCCTTTTTCCATTTAAATTTTCTCAAAATATCATTTGAAATGCAGATGCATTTTCATTGATTTTTTTGCAGACACGAAGAAATCCGGGAGATTTTTGAAAACCTGATATCGACGAATGAGCCGTCGCAAATGGCAACCGCCACTGTGACAATTGGACTGAATATGACAATGGAGTGATTTCCGATGAAATCTCTATTTTGAGAACTGATTTTCAAGTCTCCGGATTCCACTGAAGACTTTGTTGCTCAAGAAGAACGAGGTGATTCGCCCACGAATTCTGAAGCCGCGTCTGAAAATTCGGAGCCGGTTCTCTCGCTGAGCTCGTCGCCTCCTCATCTGGCGCGAGTTCTTCCTTCAATTGCGAAATTGTCATCGATCGCTCCCATTCCGGAAATTGTCGACGTCAAAACAGAAACTGGCGGAAGAAATGAGCCGGTCACCTTTTCGCTGTTATTTGTGACGACGAAGATACATGGTCGAGAAATTGACTCTCTCTTCCTCTTTCCGACATTATTGCTATGCAAGAAGTCAATCACCCAACCACCTCTCTTCCTTCCTTGCCCCGGATATATAGATGTAGTCTCTCCGAAGTGACTTTTGTTCTTTCAGCATCATGCACCCAGACAGGCATTAAAAACCACATACATATTGAATAGAAACTAAACGCCAGCGGATTTATCTAGGATTTAGTTGTTATTAGTATCGACTATCTTCAGACTCAGGTTTGCACTTTTCACAGTTGCTTTTTCATTTGACCTACTTCTGACTGGCGACTCAGTACCTCTTTTTGATCTGATTTGATGGTTGGTCAGTGATAAAGACGATGATAACGCCACTTTTATGCAGATAGGAACAATTCTGATCGGATCGGTGTTTACTTTGGTTTCTGATTCCTGATAAAAGTGAAGCTACACAAAGCTTTTAAACTTCGCACGTCATGTTTCGACTCGATCGGACGGTGTGATCTCTGATCTTTTCGTCTCCATCTCTGTCTATATTCCCCACATGGTTGTTTCTAATTCTCTCACTCTCTCTCTCTCGTCTCGACCATTGTTTGCCAATGCAAGCAGACAACGAAACAGATCAAAAGTTCTCTCTCTCTCTCTTTCTGCAACTATTATTGTGATTCATGCCTTCTAATTTCCAGATTTGCAGCGTCGTTGCAAAAGTACAGCCGCACTTTGGAGGCCGGCCGCTCGTGCACTTTTCGCTTGTATATTGATCGGTTCACGTGACACTCATTTTCCTATGACCTGCAATGTGTGTGGAGCAAAAGAGTCGGAGTATCATTTCGGTGGAATGTGTTGTAGGTAACCGATTCGATGATTTTCAACGAAGATGGCATTGTGATTTTCAGAGCGTGTGCGGCGTTTTTCCGGCGATGCGCCCACTCGAAGAAGGTGTTCATCGTGTGCACGTGCAAGAAGCGAATGGAGAATTCGCATCCGTGCCGGTACTGTCGAATGGGACGATGTCTGGACATCGGCATGGAGTTGGACAGTGAGTCGGAACGTGAAAAATACCGTTTATTCAACACTACAAGGTAGAATTGTAAAAAGAAAGTTCGTGGACAATTTTGAGATGTTCTGACCCTTGTATTGCCCAGATCAGCTAACAAATTCCTTCTAAAAAGTGTAATGTTGTCTTCCAGGAGTGCAAGTGCCACGTGACAAAATTGATGCGAGCAAAGCAGTGATCACACCTTCGGAGAGTCCGCCAGACTTTTCTCTCCTGAATGTGAGTGTCCTTTTTGTATTTATGACTAGTGCTTTCTAGGAATTACGATCAGATAGAGCATAAAAAGTAAGTATTAGCGCTATGAAGCTTAACTCCAATGTACTCTCATAATTCCCATTTCCAGTGTCGAATAATCCCTCGCGAGACCCCAAATGTCTCTTCGACTCTCTCCAAATGGGGAAGCTTTGAAGATCGACGTGCCGAGTTGGGCAACTCGAAAATCACGACGCTGAATGTGTACGAGGCGACGTGCTACACAAAATCCGACTGTTTCTGCATCACCCAACTCTTCCAGGCGGTCTTTTCGACGATGCGAGAACTGTCCGAACGGGACCAGGTAGGACCAAAGCGGATGAAAACCACAACAAAAATGATTTACAGACGACCCTCGCGTCGAATGTTCTGCAAAAATGGGTGCTGATGGAGTGCGCCATCGACTATGCGGCCAACCGGGACAAATGGGAACGGATCAAACGGAACGGAGAGTTCGACAAAATGATTGTGAGCTTTTACGGAAGTGCGATGCCAGAAGAGACCCGAATGAAGGATTCCGACTTGTTACAGTTAGTTTACCAATTTTCTATTTAAAAAAGCAAGACTACTAGTATCTCTAGTGGTCTTGGGGTTCAAGTCCCGCATAGGGGTCCTTTGGAAACCCCTGTATTTCCAAGGTACGGGACATAAACCGATCTCGGATTTTTCCTGAACGGGCGGTGTTGGTACATTTTCCTCTTGGTTCCGCTTCGCTCCCCTGTAGCATAGTTGTTTTTCAATTTCAGAAACTTTTGATGCTCTTTAGATTGTTCGCTCCCTACTGGTACAGTTACTACAATGTGACCCACGTGGCAATCGCCGATCGGAAGTTCGATCACTTCGAGTACTCGGCGCTCTTCCTGCTGCTCATGTTCGATTACGGTAACTTTGTGAGACACGCTCAAGAATCGGGAATCATTGAAAATCATTGCAGCGTACACGAATATAAGTGAGGACTGTCGAAAAATGTGTGAAAACGTACGGAAAGTGATATTACGCGAGTTGAAAGGATACCAAACCGACAAGAATTACGAAGAGACTCGACTTCTCGAGACTGTCGAAATCCTTTCGGTTTTGGAAAAGGCCGAGAAGAAATTCGAGGAGGAGGTGCTGATTTGCGAGATGCACAATATCAGTTTGCATGAGGACTTTTTGCAAATTTCGAAAACTTGTAAATATTAGAATCCACTACTCACATCAGATGCCATACTTTCTTGTCTTGTTGCTCAAATACTTTGAATTTTGCATATGGGTGTCAAAAACGAAATGAATTGACTATTATCCACTTTGTCGCGTACGCAAAATTGGTTTCTGTGCCATGACCAGGGTTTCCACCTGCTACTTTATTGAGTTTACATATACGTACATGATATTATCCAATCCCCAATTCTCCATCCAGTTTTTAGTTTCACATGACTTGCCAAGTGTGCGGAGCATCGGAATCCGAGCCGCATTTCGGCGGAATTAGTTGTCGGTCTGTTGATTTGACGATAAAAAACTTAGTTGACAATATTGTTTCATTTCCAGAGCATGCGCCGCCTTTTTTCGTCGATTCGTTCACTCGCGGAAGGCGGCGATCATGTGCAAATGCGAGAAGCGAGCGACGAATTCGCACCCGTGCCGGCAGTGTCGAATGCAAAAGTGTTTGGAGGTCGGCATGGATTTGAAAAGTGAGAAAAAGTCACATACACTTTTCTACGATTACAACCGAACATTTGAAGCATAACTTTATTCAATACCTACACAGGTGAATCGCGGATGAGGCATTATGGGCGCATATACAATTCCTAATGGATCCGCCGTGATTCATCTGTGTAGTTCTGATAAAACTTTCGAGATCTTGATTTAAAGTCTACTGCTTTTCTTCGGAGATTGACGCTATGACAATCGGTTGTGGCTTTTCACGATATCAATAAGAAACACATTCAGAGGTGCAACTGACACGCGACAAGCATTCGAATCATGACGGAATCGTGGCAAAACGACGTCCCCAACGATCGGAAAGCCCTCCGGAAATTTCGTTGTTGGATGCAAGTTTGACGGTCATGCATGATCATTTCCTGAACATTTTAGGGCCAGATTCAGAGTTTCCTATAGTTTGAAGACTTATATCTCGAGAACCAATGATGATTTCCAAGAGTTGTCAACTGCAAAGTTGTTGCAAATTTTGTCCTAAACAACTTTGTAATTGACAATTTTACCATGAAATGTGTCGTTTTCGAGTTATGACTCATTTTCTTAGCAATAGCAGAAGCTAGACTCCAATAAAGCGTTTGATGCTCTAACCGATAATACTGACATCTTTTCAGTGTCGAATAATCTCTCGCGAGACCACAAACATCTCGTCGACCATCTCCAAATGGGCGTATTTCGAGGAGAATCGCACGAAACTCGTCAATTTCAACTTTGAAACGCTCAACATTTACCAACTCTCAAGCTTCACAAAATCGGATTGCGATTGCATTTCACAACTGTTCCAACGCGTTTTTCCAATGATGAAAGACTTGTCGCAGAAGGATTTGGTGAGGGTCTCGAAGTCGAATAAAGTATATTAAGAGTTTCTAGGACAAGTTGGTGGCAAACGTGATTCCGAAATGGATAATGTACGAGTGTGCGATCGACTATGCACAGAACCGCGTGCAATGGGAAGAGTTCCGGAAGACTGAGGAGCACGATTTGAAAATTGTCCAGTTTTTCGGAAGCGCCATACCGGAAGAGAAGAAGCTCAAGGATTCCGAGGTGTTACGGTACGCTACACTCTTTTTCTTGAGGAAAACAGTGGCGAAAAACATTTTTCATCAGAATACTCGGGCCCTACTGGAATGCGTTCTACGATGTCACAGCTGTCGAAATTGCCGAACACCAATTCGATCGATTCGAGTACTCGGCCATTTTTGTGCTGATTATGTTTGATAACGGTGAGTCTACTGGTAGCATATTTCATCAAATCTGCATATCAAACTCTATCAGAGTCCGTCGTAACTAACTGTAGTAGAAGGCCACCCCAGTATCGTTCATTCATGACACTCTATCTCAGCTGCCTGTGGAGATATCAAAATATTTGCAACTGATAAAATGTACACAATTTCCAGATGAGTATTTCATCAGTTGACAACTGCTTGATATCTCTACCCACAGCTGACCTACGTCGTTTTGAAAAGACGGTGCACACATATCACATAACATTTACTTTCAGCGTACACGAATATAAGCGAGGACTGTCGAAAAATGTGTGAAAACATTCGGAAGGTGATATTACGGGAGTTGAAAGCCTATCAAACGGACAAGAATTGCGAGGAAACTCGATTCTTCGACACGGTAGACATGCTCTCAGTTCTGGAAAAGGCCGAGCAGCGGTTCGAGGAGGAGATTTTGGTTTGCGAGATGAACAATGTCAAGTTGCACGAGGATTTTGTGAAAGTGATGCGGAATTGTAAACGATAATGCTATGCTTATTCATATTTATTGCGGATTTACGGGAAATCGATGTGTACACATGCTGGTCTCACAGTTATTTTTGCTTTTCTTGTTCTCTGGTCTTTTTTCCCATGACAACCCGTTGGCTTTTTGCCTAACTGAATTCACAATATCATCGCTCTCATCATGAATAATAGTCTTTCTGATTGCCCAATATTAATGCTGTCGTCAGTTCATTTACCACGTGCCCTTACCTTTACAATTCCATTCATTTCGATCCACGTGTTTCTTGTGATAATATCCATTTCCGATTTGATCTCCTCTCACGAAATGTTTGTCGACCCGGAGTCGAGCAAATACAAACGATTGATGTCGAAGAAAGTGTTCAATAAAAGTGTCAAGGTGAAATTGGCGAGTTGTGAGTGCTAATCCAGTTCCAGAAGAGCATTTTGTTAACCGGCCACATTCATTGCATCATCCTCTTGCTTCTCTTGATTGCCTGGATTACGGATTAGTGAGTGAATGACCAGCACGATACAACTGAATTGTGTGTTTCGATGCAGCGTCTTATTTCGTGTCCGAAACTTTGACCAAACTTCGGCTAAAGATCTCGAATGGGAGGTGGCCAGTGATGCTCTTTTCCCAGTTATCTACATGGTCTGTCCATGTTTTTGACATCATTCCCAATTTCAGTTGTTCAGTTGGTATCCCTACTTTTCGTTACTTGGATGAAATGCCTGCCTCATAAGTTTTTCCGCTTGTGCTCAATTCTGCTGGTAAGTTTTGGATCACGCTATTCGCCGTTTTGATTGTTCTTCAGACGGCTCAACTTTTCCTGGTGCTCTTCTACCTGTTCCGTCGGTTCGATGACAAAGAAATGGGACCGAATCAGAAGATAATCAACAAAATTGTCAAGTGTAAAGAGTGTCTTTCTGCCTGTTTTCCCCACGGCATACGCTTCTTTGCAGATACGAACATTGTGATCATTCTGACGCTCCCCTTTTTCTTCTTCAACACCATCTATTGTGCTGTGCTTCTGTTCAAAATGAGGTGAGCCAAACGTATCCAATATCTTCTGTCAATTTCTTTTTTAGTCTCTTCAAAATCATGAACGAGTGCGAAGACGATGACTTGTACGAAGTGATTTACGGACGAAACGACACTTGCATCACGAAGTCTGTATCGTAAACTTTTGAACTATTTCATTTAAGAATACATCACAGCTGCATTTCATGAATCAGAAACAGCTGAAATTGCTTCAAATGTTCAGTTCCCCATTCATTTAAGGTTATGCAAAACTTTGAAAAGGAGTGACCGATGTGTATCTGTATCTTAGTGTATCTCAGCTGTCTGCGGAGATATCAAAAAGCCGTCAACTGGTAAAATGTTCATAATTTATTAATGAACAATTTGTTAGTTGTCGATTTTTTGATATCTTCACCGGTAACTGAGATAAACGGCATTAAAGTGACCTCATAGTTCAGACGAGATTGTTGACGGTTTTGGAAGATCCTGTTCATGTGCATGACGTGAGTTCAATTCGAAACTTTAACAACAACACTTTTTAAGATGACCCAAACATACAGTACTTTGTCCGTGCACAAAGTACACGCATATTCAGCCAAATATCATTCAGTCGTCCACTTCACAACAACAATAATCATCAAAATCGACTGATCTGAAATTTGCCGAAAATGTAACATCACTTTGTATGTTGTAGTTGTTTTCTCACTCTTTTCAGTCTTTCTCTGTCTCTCCCCCTTTCTCACTCTCTCTCACTCTCTCTTTCTCGCTCTCTCTCTCTCCGTCTCCTACTTCATTGTCGATTCTCTATTTCTCTCCATATGCTCCATTTCCCCCCAAAATGATTTGTCAAATTTGTCATGGTGCATCGGCCGAATCGCATTTCGGCGGCTTTTCCTGTAGGTTAGCGCATCTCAAGCGAAAAATGCCTCAAAAGTCTTTGTTTCAGAGCGTGCGCCGCGTTTTTCCGTCGATTTGTGAACTCGCCGAAGCCGTTTTCGATTTGTACGTGCCGAAACAAAAAAGTGAATGCGCATCCGTGCAGACACTGCCGAATGAGAAGGTGTCTGGCCGCCGGAATGGTCAAGTGCAGTGAGTTGGAAGATGCCCCATGTTTGGAGGCCCATATCTCGAGAACCGATGAGTATTTTGAAAAGTTGTCAACAGGAAAGATGTGGCAAATTTTGTGCTCAGTAACTTTGTAATTGATAATTTTATACCAAAGTGTTTAATTTTTGAGTTATGACCCTATTTGTGAGCATTACTTGTCGGTGTGAAGTTTTTCAGTGAGAACCGTGCGACTTGAGTCTTTAATAAGATTCAGAGTTGAAATTGGAGAAAAAGTGAACTGAAACTTTTCATAATCTATCTTTTTTTCCAGAAGTGGTCGAAAAAGGAACTCGAGACTTGAACATATCAATTCGAAAACTGGAACCCGCACCCTCGCCGCCACTTTTATCTTTTTTGAATGTAAGAGAACCGTTTAATATTATAATTCTCGAAAAAATCCTTCTCAATGTCTGTACTGCCATTAGTACCAGGCCGTTTTTGACATTTACCCTAAAAATTTAAATCTAACGACACTTCTATTCAAGTCGATGTATCTCAGCTACTAGTAGAGATATCAACGAGTGGTCAAGAGATAAAATGTGCAGAAGGTCTTGATGAACAATTTATCTGTTGACAACTTTTTTAGATCTCAACCGGCGACTGAGATATACTGTCTAGAATAACCGGTAATGAGGTAGTCTTCTGCTACAGATGGTATTTGTCCAATTCGATCAGATTGTTTCATAAGAGTAACGTTCAAGTTCAGTACCAAATAGTGCCCCGTGAAAGTGCGAACATCCATCACACACTTGCCACGTGGAGCAGTCTGGAGCACTCGCGCAATGAGCTCTACGGCGGCCGATTCGACGATCTCACTTTCTTCGAAATGTCGTGTTTCTCACGGAGAGACAGTTTACTCATTTGGGACTTTATGCAGAGCATATTTCCCCATTTGAAGCACTTGGATAAATTGGAAAAAGTGAGTACTTTCGAGTAAAGAATAAATGAACACCGTTTTCAGGATTCATTACGCTTCAATTTTGCGCCGAAATGGGGAACTCTGGATCCGGCGATCGATTATACGGTGAATCAGGACCATTGGCAGAACATTGAGAAGGCTGGCGAATGGAAAAATATTGTATGGAACTATTACGGTCGGAGCATCCCTAAAGACAAAAGAATGAGCAAGGAGGACGTGCTGAGGTCGGAGACAACTTTGCCTGGAATCCGATAATATTGATTGAATTTCAGAGTATTCGGTCCAATTTTCCACGGATATTATGAGAATGTGGCCAAGGAGATCTATCGAAGAAAACTGGACCGAGTCGAGTTTATCGCCCTCTTTTTGCTGATATTCTTCGATAGCGGTGGGTTGTATTTTAAGAATGGAATAATACAGTGCTGGCCATTAATATATGAAAAAATGGTTTTTTGAGGATAACTTTTTTTCTAGTTATCCGGGGACCCTGAAACTTATACGGTATACAAAAAGTACCGTTAGGCAAAGTTGCGGACTTTCAAACTGCATCATCATTTATTTTTTTTTCAGAAAATGTATTTTTTTCATTTTTTCGATTTTTCGATTTTTGATGTTTTTTATTTTTTTCGATTTATTTTTTTTTCTGTGATATCATATGACTCTAAAATGATTTGTAGACATGGGAAAACCTCGTGGAAGACAAAATGTGCCCGTAGATGTTAAAAAAACGATCATCCGAGGTCGCCAGCAAGGCATGAAGTTGAAAGATCTTGCTCAGCAGTTTCAGCTCGGTATTTCCACGGCTTTCAGCATTTTGAAAAGGTTCAAGACGCAGGTAAGGTTTAAAGTGTTTGTCAAACCCAATAAAATATTTAGAATACCTGCATCGGTCCAAAGACGCCAGGAAAACCTCGTGGAACCACCAAGGCCATGGATCGGAACATCCTGAGAGCGTCGAGAGAGGATCCCAGAAGGACTTCAACGGAAATCCAGATGGTTGTGAATTCTCCCACGGATCCAGCACCTTCTAGAAGAACAATCAAAAGACTTTTATAAGATGCTGGGCTCCATGGACGACGTCCAGTTCGCAAACCAGAAGAACCGGAAGGCTCGAGTTGCATGGGCAAAAGCTCATCTCACCTGGGGACCTCGCGAATAGGAAAAACACATCTGGTCCGATGAAAGCAAGTTTAATTTGTTTGGTAGTGATGGAAATTGCTGGATTCGGCGTCCCGTTGGAACCAGATATCCTTCCAAGTACCATCTTCTAACAGTCAAGCACGGAGGAGGATCGTGTATGGTATGGGGATGTTTCTCGGCCAACGCTATGGGACCTCTGAGACGTATCAACGGAATAAACGTCTTCTGATTGTTCTTCTAGAAGGTGCTGGATCCGTGGGAGAATTCACAACCATCTGGATTTCCGTTGAAGTCCTTCTGGGATCCTCTCTCGACGCTCTCAGGATGTTGCGATCCATAGCCTTGGTGGTTCCACGAGGTTTTCCTGGCGCCTTTGGACCGATGCAGGTTTCCTAAATGTTTTATTGGGTTTGACAAACACTTTGAACCTTACCTGCGTCTTGAACCTTTTCAAAATGCTGAAAGCCGTGGAAATACCGAGCTGAAACTGCTGAGCAAGATCTTTCAACTTCATGCCTTGCTGGCGACCTCGGATGATCGTTTTTTTAACATCTACGGGCACATTTTGTCTTCCACGAGGTTTTCCCATGTCTACAAATCATTTTAGAGTCATATGATATCACAGAAAAAAAAATAAATCGAAAAAAATAAAAAACATCAAAAATCGAAAAATCGAAAAAATGAAAAAAATACATTTTCTGAAAAAAAAATAAATGATGATGCAGTTTGAAAGTCCGCAACTTTGCCTAACGGTACTTTTTGTATACCGTATAAGTTTCAGGGTCCCCGGATAACTAGAAAAAAAGTTATCCTCAAAAAACCATTTTTTCATATATTAATGGCCAGCACTGTAGTTATCGACAACTTTCAGGATACACGAACATATCGTCGGAATGTGCTGAAATGTGTGAAGCGATTCGGAAGATGGTATTACGCGAACTGAAAGGCTATCAGATGGAGTGTAATCGCGATGAGATGCGCTTCTTCGAAACCATCGAAGCACTGACGCTTATCGAAAAGGCCGAAAAGAAGTTTATCGAAGAAATAATGATTTGTCAATTGTATAATGTAAAGTTAGATGATGATTTTTTGGATATGATGACTGTACAAAAGTTGTGACACAGATTATATCAATGAATGCTTGATTGTGATACAAAATTATAAAATTTATGGAGATTTAGACATTGATCCATGCGAGGGCTATGAAAAGTGTAAAGTGTTGGTTAGCGTCACAAAAAACCTGTAGAAACCTGTTAATTCAAAGTGATATAACTCAACTGCCAGTGCAGATATCAAAAAGTGGTCAACTGAAAAGTTGTTGCAATTTTTGTGCTTAACAACTTTGTAGTTGATTATTTCATCCGAAAACCCCTCAATCTTGAGTTATGGTCTTGTTTCTAAACAATCTCCACTAGGGGGCCATATCAATGAGAATAGGGCGAGCAAAAGTACTTTGGCGCCCAAAATCAGACCCAAATTGACATTTTTTAGAGTTTTGTGTCAATATTTATCAGTTTTAAATATTATAATTTTATTAATGAGTTCGATAGATGGCTGGACAAAGTTTCGTTTATTTTGAAGTCACACGATAACAGGAAACTCCAAAAAATCACGTCTGAAATGAAATATAGCACTTCTTAATACAGTTCCATCTTTTTTTAAATAGTATTGCGTACAACGGTCACGTTAAGCGGAGATTTGGGAACAATGTAGTAGAAGAGGGAAAGTACGAATTGGCGATATGGTGCATGCACGAAAATCATCACAAATGTGGAGCCAAATCCGTGAAACGAGAACATTAGACATATAAAATTATTGTAGGCCTGATTGTGATACAAAGTGAAAAGACTGTAGAAAGTCATGCAAATCGGCGCCAGAATGACGATCATCAGGTAGGCGCTCTGAACAAGTGTATCTCAGCTGTGTGTAGAGATATCGAAAAGGTGTCAACTGATAAAATGTGCACAATTTTGCATTGAGCAATTCGTTAGTTGACGACTTTTTGATATCTCTACCCACAACTGAGATATATCGGTTTTGATTCACAAACCTGTAACGTCAAAGCGATCGCAAACTTCTTCTGCATATTCATCGTTCGTTGCGATGCGGATTTCAGTTTGCCAGTGAAGATATTGTAGAGCGTGAGTATGAAGAATACATATAATGGGATCACGAGTAGAGCAGTCTCAGAGGCCAGCGAAGCAAAGGTTACGGTAAGGTCCAAGGACAGCACAAACAGTTGTCGGCCCTCGAAAGTCAGTTTCGGAATGCACGGAAGTTGCTCATAAACGGCTCTTCTCGCACTTTCCTGCTCGGGCAATTTGAAGTAGGGAATCAGAAAGAACAGCGGGACCGTCGAGTAAATGAAAAACAGACACGGAAATCTCCAGCGACTCCACCAATTATTCTGGCCAAACAATATAAAGTATCGATTCTCGTACAAGGCCAGAACCGAGGCACCCATGGCTGAAAATGAGTGGGAATTTGTTCTCAACGCAATTGGACCACTCTTAGGAATTGTATATGAATCCACAGCGATGAGAATATCACCCACGCGTTCGAGCATTAGCATAATATATATATCAGACTTGCCAAATCCCGGGCCAGCAAATCGTCGGCCCGGCCCGGCCCGGTCGGCCCGGAAGTTAGACCTCAAAAAAAAATATGCAAAAAAAATATGAAGGAAGAGGAAAACGCGTGCGGCAAAATTGCTAAAATGGCGTGCCAGAGTTGCAATCAATCGCTCCGCCCACTCTTGAGAAAATTTTCGTAATTTTTGTGAAAATTTTGCGACTTGAAACAGCAATTTCTATTTCCAAATTTCCAAATTTCCAAAAATTTTCTATTTCCAAACCAAATATTTCCAAATCCAAATTTGACTGATTTGTTGCAATTTTAAGTCTATAAAATTATGTTCGTTTCGAAGTTCTAGTTCGCTTTGAATTTTTAGGTGCATCCTCCCGGGCCGACCGGGCCGGGCCGGAAAAATTTCAATTTTGGCCCGGCCCGGCCCGGCCCGTTGCAAGTCTGATATATATATATATAATGATGATACCCACCTGCTAACAGAGTGACAAACAGAAAGACCCAGAAGCCGGGAGCGTCGATGATTCCCAAGTTAAAACCGGCGAGAGCCGGGAAATAAACGTAAGGCAGGTAGAAGAATGAGACGGTGATATCGGCGAGCGACTCCCAAAAGTGCAAATTGAGCATGAGCCACTTGACGTATCGCATTTGCGCCGGAGTTTTGTACAGAATTACGTAGGCGCCAAGGGACAGCATTGGAACTTCTAGACAAGTCATCAAGTGCAGGGAGAGTACGATGAAGTCGGAGGTGAAGAGATAGCCAGAGTACGGTACGCATTCGGCCATGTCCGAGAAGCACGCGATTCTTATTTGTGTTGTTTATGCGACAGAGAAGACGAATGAGAAGAATATGTTCTAGACGGACGGGGAATAGCGAGAGTCACCGAGAAAACACTAATTAGGTTTGATGTCTTTAGCTTTTTGACACGTTTCAGTGTTATTAAACAACAATTATTGGTTTTAAAATTCTTTGAAACCGAGCTAACGCTCGAAAGCGGCTTCACCTTGTGTTGAACCGATCTGAAGAAGCTTACGATTATGTATAGCCTAGAGTTTTGAGCAATTCTGCATTTGGATCCGATTCTTTCCGCTGATGATTGCCTGCTCAACTCATATCCTTCAGAACTGCCATTTCCCTCGGCTGTCTTCATAAAAAGTAATAGAAAAACACAGAAATGCAGTCTCTCAATCTAATAATATCGCCGTATCATCTGTGACTAACACCACCTATTCACATCGACAACTTCCGTCCGAATTGCCCGAATTTGAATGCATTTTGACAGTGTGTCACAAGCATATATAACAATGTTTACCACCTTTTTCTCTCGTGTGAACAGACGGCGGGAACCTATCAATCTTGACCGTGAAAAATCAACCGTATCATCTATTTCCACTTCTTCTCGCTAAGATAGAGAGAGAGAGAGAGAGAGAGACAAAACATTCATCATTTCAACTTTACACTTTTTCTCTTTCTTCTTCTTCTTCTTCTTCTTCTTCATCTCCTCTCCCTTTTCTGGTCATTTTTGTTAAAACAATACCATGCGGCTAGTTTTTCTGCTGGCCATTGGGCTGTTTGCCACGTGTCATGCCGGCTTTTTCGACTCGTTAGTTGCAAGATTCACAGGCGGAGGAAGTAGTGAGTTTTATAGAAAAAAAAATGAGGATAAATCCAAGATTTTCAGATAAAATTTCACCGCCATCTAGTTTTTCCACATCATCAGCAAATACGCGGAAACCGTCGATCACAGATGAGAAGGCCAGAGTGAGTGTTTTTCAAACCAATGTATCTCAGCGGTCAGTGAAGTTATCAAAACGTTGTCAACTAATAAAATGTACAAAATTTCTTAATAAACAATTTGTTAGTTGACAACTTTTCGATATCTCTGCAGGCAATTGAGATATATCCAGAATTGTTTGCCATTCTTATTTTTTTACCAGCACACATTTCTCAATGACCAAATTCGTGTGTGTGTAAACCTTCAGGGTCATTTCATATCAAATCTTGGCCGTAGTTCAATACCAGAATGATATCACAATCGGTTTTCCTCGGAAATCAGAAATACTTCCTTCTTCATTGAGTCAAAACGGCCTCTATTAGACCGTAATATTTTGGCGCCTGCATTTGGGCCTCAATAAATAAATAAGGGCCTCAATGGATAAATAAGGGCATGAATTTTTGTGCTAAATAACTTTGTAATTGACAATTTTAAACGAAAATGCCTTGTGACCGTATTTCTGACCATAATTCACACCAACTGCACAAAACATAGCGGCGTGAAAGTTAGCAGAGAGAACAGAGTTTAATTTCCGAAAAAATGATGTATTAGCCAAGTTTTGTGCACTATTTTTAGTCCTTCAACAAGACGATTTAACGATTTCATGAAATGTTTCGCTTTCAGAAATACCTGCAAAACTTTGGCTATGTGCCTCCAGCCAACTCACTCCAATCGGCGAACGGAATGGCCGGCGACATTCAGAGTGCCGAGCAGATCTTCAAAAGTGCCATCAGGTAAGATCTGTCTCATATCGCTTACCTCAAATACTTTTTTTTCAGAAAGTTCCAAGAATTCGCGGGTCTCGCCAAAACCGGCATTCTGGATACGGCGACAAAAGCGAAAATGGTGCTGGCGCGGTGCGGAGTCACTGACGCTCCTCTGGCATTGACTTCCGGATCGAGCAGTCAGTTCAAGTGGCCCAAGAACAAGTTGACCTACTCGATCGAGAGCTTCTCTTCAGATTTGCCCAAGGAAGATGTCAGGTAGGAACTAGTTTTTCTTGATGACAAACAAGAACTGCTCGGCAAACCTCTGCAACTTTTGCGCAAACTTTGAGCAACTTTACCCAAATCTCCCATCGTTTTGCAGACGTGCAATCGCCGAAGCGTACAGTCAGTGGGCCAAAGTGACGCCGCTCGAGTTTTCAGAGGTGCCCGCCGGCAGCACTTCGGACATAAAAGTCCGTTTCGGCTCCGGCAACCACAACGATCCGTGGCCGTTCGACGGAGAGGGCGGAGTGCTCGCGCACGCGACGATGCCCGAATCCGGAATGTTCCATTTCGACGACGACGAGAACTGGACGTACAAGGACGCGAAAAAGATTGCGAGCAACGAGTACACGGACCTGTTGGCGGTGGCGATCCACGAGGGAGGGCACACTTTGGGCCTCGAGCACTCGCGCGACGAGAAGGCCATCATGGCGCCGTTCTACCAGAAGACCACCGATGCCAACGGGAATTATGTGTATCCGAACCTGAAGTCGGACGATATTCAGGCGATTCAGTCGATTTATGGAGCTGGAAGTGGACGATCCAGCGGCGGTTCGGACTTTGGAAGTTCTGGATCGGATTTTGGTGGATCTAGTGGATCTAGGACCACCACGTACCGACCAACTACGACGACGAGAAGTTGGTTCGGAAGATTCTTCGGAAACACGGACGACGATGACTTTAGAAGCGCCACGACGACAACGAGAAGGACCACTCTCTGGCCGACCACTCAGTCTCCGTTCTCCGGCGACACTTGGGGATCCGGATCCAGTGGATCATCGTCAGGTGGAACCGGAAGATGTCCCTCTTCGATCGACGCCTACACGCCCAGCGATTCGTTCTCCTACGCGTTCTCGGGCTCGCAAGTCTACACGATCAGCGGCACGAAAGTGACAAAGGTGCAGCCGATCCAGGACCTGTTCCCTTCTGCGCCGAGGCCAGTCAGCGGCGCGCTCTTCAACACAGTCTCCGGCTCCCTGCTGCTTTTCTCGTCGAACAAGGTGAGCGCGGGTCAATCTGAAAATCTGAAAATCCCAAAAATGGCTTCCAGGTGTACAGCTACTACTACTCTCGCATCCGCGCAATCTACCAAATGGACAGCGGCTTTCCCAAATCCCTTCCCTCCGATCTCGGATTTTCAGTCTCCGGCGCACTTCGATGGATCAACGGACATCAGATTTTGTTGAGCGTACGTCGTTTACATTTAAACTTTGCCATTCACCAGACGGATGATATTTTCAGAGCAGTGACGAGTTTGCCGTTTATGACGAGTTCTGGAATCAAGTGACACTCAAAAATCGCATTTCCTCATACTTCCCCAACTTGCCGAAAGGTGTCAAGGGATTGGAATCTCGTAAGTTTTAACGTTGAGATCTGGTTTTTGGGGTTCCATAGTGCATAACTGTACTGTTTAGAAACTGGGTCATAACTCAAGAACCAAGCATGTTGCAGTAAAACTTTCAATTACAAAGTTATTTAGCACAAAATTTGCAACAACTTTCTAGTTGACAACTTTTTGAAATAATCATTTGTTATCGAGATATAGGTCCCCAAAGTATGAGTAACTGTGAAGTCTCCATATATCTTTCACCTGTGACTGATGTTTGATCTCAAAAGAGCAAAATTGTTTGGAAATGACATAAGTCTCTGAAAAGTTCATCGAAACTACAAAAACGCTCCCCCCGAAAGTGCCTGAGGAAGTGTAGAACATTCAAATTTCGCCCCAGCAAACATGACGCTAAAACTTGCTTTTGATAACAATTTCCAACCGAAATGTTCGATTTCAGCGGCCGGAAGTGTGGTGACGGCGTTCACATCAAACCAGGTATTCGAGTACAACTCGCGCACGAAATCAATCGGCCGCCAGTCCGGATTTTCGAGTTACATCGCCTGCTGACTCAAGATTATAGCCCTCTTTTGACATTTTCTCCATTTTTTCCCCCAAAATCGCATTTCCAAGTGATCTATCCTACTAATAATAAACTTTGCTCAATTTTGAACAAGGCAAAACGAGAAAAAAGTCGAGTCATGATGAATAAGTGATGCTTTTTTCGCTTCCAAATGTGCATTTGATCTTGTTAGAATGTTTCCATGGCACGTCTTCTTCGTTTTTCGGCTAATCCGTTTGACGTAAACAGAAATGAGCCGAAATGAGCAGAAATGCAATGTAAATAACACATTTTGCACTTGTGCGTCGACGGTATAATCCATTCGGTTTTTTAGGTGTTTGACCCGTTACACCTGTGAAATCATTCGGAACAGTTGACTAATCCGCATGTGATTCCTGTGTGAAAATGCAGACAATTTCAATTGCACTCGCATTTCTAGTGCTTCCCTAGTGCTCTAAAACACAAGAGACGTCTGTCTGTCTGTCCGCTGAATGAAAGACGGAGCGGACAAAACCGAGCGGCCACAGGTGAATCGCTGATGACGCATTATGGGTCCACCGTGGCGCATGCCCCATTGTGGACGCATCTACAATTCCTATGACTTCCACGCGCGATCCGTGTCCGTATTGGTGACATTCTCACCGCATAAGGCCGATTTTTAGTTTTATCGATGTAGTTTGGACAGTTTTCAAGGTATCATCGCGAAAATCACCAAATATACGTAACTTTGTGCTCTGAATCCGATTTTGAAGTCGCCGGGTCAGAAATATTTTCGAGCGCCACGTTGCAGCGACTAATGGGGTGGCCCTATAAACTTGCAACGCACTATAGAGTGCTTCCCTAGTGCTCTAAAACACAAGCGGCGTCTGTCTGTCTGAGGCGTGACTCAATTTAGTCACCCCTCGGGCACAAAGCGTAAGTGTGAGTTTTATTTGGCGGCAAAAGTAACTTTTCATGTGATATTGCTAATATCTGCCTATTGTACTGCCTCCAAACTCTCTGGCTAACTGTTTTGTCGGGTTCCTCCGCCCATCCCCAATCTCTTCTATTTGCTCACCGTCCTGAATCACTAAGAAAGTGTTCCAAAGGTTGTGGGGTCGTCCACACAAACAAATATTGTCGACATCTTCACAGATGACTCATCCGACCAACACACGGCTTTCACATTTCAATTACGCTTCTCGCCGCTTTTGTGTTTCTATGCTCCTCTTCTTTTTTTTGGTTTCCCACTCGATTTTGGGCCATTTCTCGAAAGATGAATTCGTTTTTTTTGCCAAAAAAGTCAAAGATCCAATTAATTGAAAACGCGAAAACCAATTGTAGGTCATAAAACGAAATTGGATTCGAAATTGGAGTTCAACAAGCGTTTTCCCCTCGTCGCTCCGAATTTACATTATAAAATCGACAGACTGCACATCAACAAAACATTGACAGGTATGTAAAACCGACACCTTTTTTCACCTGCCCCACGCCATTTTGAGTACTCTTTATCATCGTTCTCTCTCTCTCTCTCTCTCTCTCTCTCTCTCTTTTCCAAATTCATTATCATGCATTCGCATTTCCACGTTTCCCTTATCAAAACGCAAACAGAGTCCGCCCTCCCCCTATGCCCATTTCACAATTTGTCTATTCGGACGTATTGAATAGAAGAGGAGAACGATGAAATGGCCATATTGGATTCAATTCAATCATACACCTTTTCCTTTTCACCTCTTTTTTCGCATCATTTTTAGTGCGTCCAGCTTATTCCAAACAAGCGTGGCCTAGAAAAAGCCTAGTCCATACAGGACTGGATGGGATAGTTTTAGCATTTAGTTCAAGTTCCATACAAGAATTATAAGAATCCATAGATCTAGATCCTCCTGACCCATTTCCTGGTATCTCTGTACTATTTTAATCATTTCTTGGGACTGCTGTAATGTCATAAACCCTCCGAACCCTATTTCTATTTTGACATGACCCCCTGCCAGCCCATCTCCAACTCTTTCTCGTCGGTTGGTACATTCTCGCATCCCCCCGACAATGACTCCTTCGTCTATTTCAGCCGGACCATATGTGTGATGTTCAACAAACACCTGACGACAGTATGCCTCAGTCTTCTGTTCCTCGTCTCACTCTTCTTTGTGATCTCGCGGACGAGTTGTGGCGGAGACGGAAGGCAGTTTCAGAACGGAATGTGTGAGTTTTCAATTAATTTATTAATTCGTTTATTCATCGCAAAAAAGAAAACCGGTAAAAGAAGGGAACATCAGAAGGAGGTATGGCTGTAAGTTGAACTTATAGGCCCGTAGAACGAAAATTGTGCTCTTGACAACTTCTCATTAGTTCACATTTTGCCAAAAAACGAGTGCTGAACTTTCTGGAGCCCAAGTTTGAAACCAATTGGTTCATTACTCTATTTCATGAGGAAAACGGTAGCTGCGTCAAATTTGAATTAATTTCCGTCCCATCTAGTATTATCCATCTAGTATGATTCGAATAGTTTCCAGCGTTCGTCCAACTCCCATTTCAACAAGAAACGACGCAGAAACCGGATATTGTTGGACCAACGCGAGACGATTTCGACGATGTCCCACTGGTCGAATCGTTGACTCCGAAGTCGCCATCAAAAGAGGAAGTGGCCGATCAGACGGACGATGAAGTGATCGGAGGAGAGTCCGCGATGAGCTACTTCAAGAAGTTGGCCACCAAAACACGGGATTACATGAGTGGTAGGGTCAGTTTCCCGAGAATTTATTGAAAGAAGCGTATTCAAAAAGAACGTTTCAGATGCATTCTGGCGAGAAGATCAAGATTCTCTCGGCCTACGCCTACAAAGATCACTTTTCGGCGGTCATAGCGACTCCTAAAAAGATTGGGTAGGCGTAACCAAATGAATGTTTTGATTGACATCAAACACTTTCAGCAACACAGTATTCTGCCGATACCTCGGTCCCGACGGGCAAGAAGTGGCCGATCCGGTCGAGTCTACCGTATACCCGTTCTTTGTGGTTTACTGTAGTCGACGCAGCAACACCACTTGGCTCGGAATCACAAACGACAAGTCGGAGGAGGTGAACGAAGAGAACTCGGCCAACTTGTTGAGGAGAAAGTTCAAAGGTACCGAAACCGGCCGATTTCCTTCAACTTTTTCCGCTTCCAGAATACCAGCACAACGTGTCGTTTTGTCTGGCGCCGGTGTACGGAAAAGAGCCGAAATGGCTGCATTTCGTGGAGCTCGTCGAGCACTATAAACTCCAGGGCATCACGCATTTCTTCATCTACATCCGCGAAATTGGCGACTACGACAAGAAGATCATCGCAAGCTACGTGGCGTCGGGAGAGGTGGAGGTCATTGAAGTTCCCGGCACGGTCAACGATGTGATTGCGCAGCAGTTGATGGGCGTGGCCGTGAGTTTCTGAGGGACGAAAACTGACAATCATTGTGTTTCCGTTAGGATTGTCTGCTCAGAAGTCGTACCTTCTCGAAATGGTCCATTTTTGCGGACATTGACGAGAGGCTCATAATGACCGACGATCGAATGACTATTGACGGATTCTTCAGGTGAGGTCTCAGTGAGCTTTGAAAATTCCTTCGTGAGTTCTGCTCAACGGCTCACAAGAGAGACATTCTTTTTGGAATTTCAAATTCATCCATAATTTGTCTTGTAAATTTCTGGAATATGTTCCTCTAGACACTTTTTGTTTGCCAAACACGCAGCTCAAACCCCAACTCTCGTGTATTCATGGTTGTGGCCGTGGCCTAGAAAACATAGATGCGAAAACTCTTCCCCGCTAGACATTTGAAGCCCTTGGCTCTTGATTTTGATTTGTGTTTTTCTAGACCACGGCCACAACTTTGATTGCGCGCTGTTCGGTCAAAAGTCATATCCAAGAGCTGCGAAAGACATCACAAAAACGAAGAGTAACCTTTCAGAAACCTCTCTGACGAGTCGATCGGTTCGGTGGCGTTCCCGCAGAGATGGATCATGAAACGAGAGCACATTCCGGAGCAGTTCACGAACGACGCACAGATTGTGGAGAAGATGCCGACGAGAGCGTGGCACGAGACGACGAGCGCCGCGCTCAAAGGGCATCCCGTCTGCCACGAACAAGTCAGCTGCTGGGCGAAGAACGTCGTGCACAACGAAAAGGTAACCGAACTTTTTACCCCCCGTCGCTACTCAATTTGCATTCTCAGGCGGTCCGAATGTTGGTGCACGAGGTGACGGACTTTTATCCGGGATTTCAGGAACTCTTTCTGGACCCCTCAATCGGTTATATCCGGTAATTCACCTTTTTTCTCATATTTTTGAGCTCAAAAAGTGTTTCAGACACTACCGTGACGTGGAAATGCAATCATGGGAGCAGAACAACGTGGCGAACCTCAAAAAGTTCGGACCCTTCTCGAACACCTCATATCCGGCGTCAATAGGCTCGAAACTGTTGAAAAATGTGTTGGATCGAGTGCATCGGGTCTACAATTAATTTATCGATTTTCTAAATTCTAGGACCTACGGGTTATATTGTTGTTATTGTGATGTGATGCTTTTTATTGTAATTCATCGGGTTGACGATTAACAAAATGAAGGTTGATTTCAATTAAAAGTATTGATTGGTAACTGCACAACTCGGCGTACGCGCACTTTTCATGATGGAGGGAATCCAGGAGAACGTGGCATCCCGATAAGGTCGATGCACCAGAATCATGGTGAGAGTGGAGAAGAATCCGTGAGACGCAATGACACAGACGATCAGGTTGTTGAGGGTTTGATTGAAGTATTGGATGATCATTGACACTACGATATAGGTGATCGGGATGATGATCAGTGTGAACGGTACGAAAGTCTGAAAATTGAAATGTAGCCGAAGAAGCCTAGAAAATGACGAACCTGAATGGTGAGCGCAATCGCGAACTTCTTCTGCAAAGTGTGTGTCCGCTGCGAGACGACATTCATTTTCTTGTCGCGTCGGATGATTCTCGTGAAGATCAAAAAGAAGAAGGAGAGCACTTGGACGGTGTAGCTGACGGTCAGGTAGGCCATGCAGATCATGATCAGGTCCGACTCGACGGCCATCACGTACAGGTTACGGTCCCGGTAGGTTGGTTGCAAGGCGCAGGAGAGGGCCTGAATGAGTAATGTTACTAGACAACCAGACAAGGAGTTTCGGATCAATAGTCCTAGACCTAGACTTTTACCAACTTCTAGTCATGTTCTTTGAAGTTATCAAGCACAAAAGGTGTTTTAGTGATCGGCTGTTTCTTAGCAGCACACAGAACATTGAATTGTGCAGAATTATAAATTATGACGCCTGAAATTCAGCGACCTAAAACCGGAACTGTGTATGTGAATGTACAATAACGAAATTTACTAGCCTTCCTCTAATACACTTATAAAACGTTGCGTACAGTATTCCTTACCTTTGATAACTCGCCAATGTCCACATCTCGATCAGGAGTGAAGAATAGCGGTGGAACGAAGCCAGTGATTGCTAGAAGAAAATTGAGAAACAAGTATGGCTCCCGAACTTTTTTCCACGTAACATTGCCGAATAGCACATGGTAGCGATTTTCGAAAACGACAAGAATTGAGAAGCCAATCACTGAAATGGGTTGGGTTTTTGAGGAATTTCAGTACGTAGCCATAAAGTTCGATTTGTCATGCGAAAAAGCTATTTTTCAATGGCAGTGGTCCCAGTTCTTGTGCAACCACCTCAAAAATTTGGGTGCCTGGGCTTTTTCACGTGAGAAATTGAACGGCACTCACAGAATTCTCATTGCTATTCAAACTTGACTTACAACAGACAATTGTGACAATTCCGTAGCACTCGATCGCTGGATAATCCCAGGCACCCAATGCGTATCCGATTGTCATTGGGAAGAAGACGAACGGAATGAAGACGACGCTGATGGTGACATCGCACAAGACACTGAATCCGTGCAACATCAGAAATATCCATTTGACCGACCTCATGCGACTCGGCGTCTTCGCCAGAATACAGTAGACTCCGTACATGTGAAGCGGAAGTTCGATGCAAGTTTGAATGTGAAGAACGAGTTTGAAAACGTCCGGATCGGCTAAATATTCACTGTTAGCGATGCAATCATTCATTGAATTTAACGGAGGCAAATCGAATTGTGCGCAATAATAATAATGGGTCTGGGGAGGGGGAGAAGGATCGATTGCACCTGCGACACAATTAATTGAATAACAGCTATTATCGTTTAGAAAAAGGAAAATAATAAAATGAAAGATTAGAAGTATTACTTGATTATTGTCTGACCAAAAGTATCAGCGAACTTTGTGACCTTTGTCGCACCTAATACTGTTTTTATGCGATCACTTACAGAAAACTCGTCCTAAAACCTGATAACATGGAAAAGTTAAAAATATATAGTAGATGTGCTTACTGTCCGGTTAGTTTTCATCGACTTCAACAGTAAGGGAATCCAGAAAAACGTGGCATCGCGGTAGGGTTGATGCACAAGAATCATGGCGATTGTGGAGAAGAATCCGTGGGAGGCAAGGGTGCATATGGCAGCATTGTTGAATGACTGATTCAACAAACCAAATATCATTGCCAGCACGACGTAGGTGATTGGGATGATGATCAGTGTGAACGGTATGAACGTCTGAAAAGCAAAGTTCATAGTTGACGAAAAAGGAAGAGAAACGTACCTGGATGGTCAGTGCTATTGCAAACTTTTTCTGCAAATCATGCGTTTTTCGGGACATCATCGGAAGATTTCGATCGCGTTGGATCACTTTCACAAACACCAAGAAGAACATGAAGAGGACTTGGAACGTGAAATTGACAGCCAAGATTGCCAGACAAATGGTGATCGGCAGGGGGTCTACTCCCAGGATTACCAGTTTTCGGTCCTCGAAGGCTGGCCTCAAGGTGCACGAAACTATCTGGAATCTTCATTGTTTTTGAACTTACTTTATCATTGCTTACCTTTGAAATCTCGTTGAGAGTTTGATCGGAAAATGTTTGTTCCGGAGTATAATAAAAGGGCGGAATGAAGCCGGTAATTGCTAGAAGAAAGTTGAGAAACAAGTATGTTTTGCGAGTTTTTTGCCAGAACGGATTGCCGAACAACACGTGATATCGATTTTCGGTGACAACAAGAATTGAGAAGCCAGTCACTGAAAGTATTGTCAGTCGAGAGCTTTTCGGTGAATGTGACGGGCTCACAAGAAATTAGAGTGACAATCATGTAGCATTCCAACAGTGGATGATCCCAAATTCCTAATGGATATCCGATGGTAAGCGGAAAAATAATGAAAGGAAGAAAAAGAAGGCTGAAGGTGACATCGCTCAAGACACTGAATCCATGTAGCATCAGAAATATCCATTTGACCGAACTCATCCGTTTAGTAGTCTTGAACAGAATACAGTAGACTCCATAGATGTGCAATGGAATCGCAATGGCCGTTTGGATGTGCATCACGAGTTTGTACACTTCCGGATCGGCCAAGTACGCAGAGTTCCCGATGCAATCGATCATAGGGTACAGAGGGTTTATTCTGAAAGTTGGTGACCAAAACGGCCGAGTTCGCCTTCACCTGCAGTAAAAGTAATAACTAAAGTGTTAGGCCGCAATGTCATAGCAAATTTAACAACTTTGAGGCGATCATGAAAACAAAAATTGACGAATGTTATCAAATAGTGGTATTCTTGATGGAAACATGTGTTCAACTGACTTTTCTGTACCCAAACTTCAGGGCTAATGGTAGAATACTGAATGGTATCAGTTCGGAAAGCGTTTGGGAAACACTTGTCCGTAGTCACTAGAAACGGAAGTTCAAGATACTCGTTTTGTTTATAAAACTAAAAAAGAAAGCTCGCGAAAGAATTCTTGAACAACAGGTGCGACATAAGTTGCTCAAATTCTATTGCATTGCAACTGTTGCTCTCAATTCAAAACTCTGGCCCTTCTGAAACTTCATAAAAGTTTATCATTGAAAATCTAAGAATGTATAGTAGCAGTGCTGACTGTCCGATTAGTTTTTATCGATTCTATCATTAGAGGAATCCAGAAAAACGTGGCATCGCGGTAGGGTTGATGCACAAGAATCATGGCGATTGTGGAGAAGAATCCGTGAGAAGCGATGATGCAACAGGCCGCATTGCTGAGTGACTGATTCAGCCATCCCGTGATCATTGCCAACACGATATAAGAGGCGGGGATGATGATCAGAGTGAACGGTAGAAAAGTCTGAAAGCCAAAGTTGATAGTTGAAGAAATTGGAAGAGAAACGTACCTGAATAGTCAAGGCAATTGTAAACTTTTTCTGCAAATAATGCGTTTTTCGGGACATCCTTGAAAGCTTTCGATCGCGTTGCATCACTTTCGCAGAGACCAAGAAGAATATGAACAAAATTTGGAAAGTGAACGCGACAGCCAAGATTGCCAGACAGATGCTGATCGGCTGGCGCTCCACAGCCAGAACTATCAGCTTTCGGTCCCTGAAAGTTGGTTTCACGTTGCACGATACCATCTGGAATCTTCATTGCTTTTGAACGTACTTTCTAATTGCTTACCTCTGAAAAATAACTGAGAGTTTGATCGGAAAATGTTTGCTCCGGAGTATAATAAAAGGGCGGAATGAAGCCGGTAATTGCTAGAAGAAAGTTGAGAAACAAGTAAGTTTTGCGAGTTTTCTGCCAGAACGGATTGCCGAACAACACATGATATCGACTTTCAGAGACTGTAAGAACTGAGAAGCCAATCACTGAAAATATTATGAGTCAAGACCTTTTTGTGAATCAAACTCACAAGACATCAGAGTAACAATCATGTAGGTTTCCAGCAATGGATAATCAAAAATACCCAATGGATATCCGATGGGAAGTGGGAGAATGATAAAAGGTATAAAAAGTACGCTAAAGGTGATGTCACACATAAAACTGAATCCATGCAGCATTAGAAATATCCATTTGACCGAACTCATCCTCTTAGGAGTCTTGAACAGAATACAGAAGACTCCATAGATGTGCAATGGAATCGCAATGGCCGTCTGGATGTGCATCACGAGCTTGTACACTTCCGGATCGGCCAAGTACGCAGAGTTCCCGATGCAATCGATCATAGGCGAGGGCTTTTTTATTCTCAAAGTTGGTGAACACACAACGGCTGTGACTTCACCTTCACCTGCAGCAAAAGTAGTGACTGAAGTGGTAGGCCGAGGAAATTTAACAAATCATAACAAGAATCGATTAAATTTATCGAATTGTGGTCTTGATGTTTCACTTGCGCATTAACAGAGAGTTAAACATCCATTCACTAACAACTTTTGGAACCTGGAACCGAGCTGACGCTCGTGTGCGGCTCCTAGAAACGGCAAACTTTTCGATGGCATGAATCGGCAAAGGGGCGGCAAGGGCACGGCAAGGAATCGGCAAAATGCCGATTTTTGCAGCAACCTGCCGAAAATTACCAGTGCCGTTTGTTAGATTCTCAGGACCGTTAGAAAGTGCACGTGCTCATTTCTCTAATTTCTCCGTCACAACTTTTTCCGTTTCAGAAATGAAAGTGGGGACGGACAACGAAATAAAGAGAGAAAGACTGAAACGGAATGAAAAAAGAGCTCGCGAAACACGTTTTGGAGAACAGGTGCAATGTCAGTCAATGAAATTATGTAGAAGGCAGTATTGCACATTTCCATCTATTCAGTCCGTTTATAGTTTTTCAAGTTTGCCAACTCGAAGTTTATCATTGGAAACCTAGAAATGTTGAAACGCGGAGCTTGTTGTACAGTGAGTCTTCATCGGTTTGAAAATGTTCTTCGGAATCCAGGAAAACGTGGCATCGCGGTAGGGTTGATGGACAAGAATCATGGCGAGTGTGGAGAAGAATCCGTGGGAGGCAAGGGTGCATATGGCAGCATTATTGAATGACTGATTCAGATACCCCGTGGTCATTGCAAAAACGACGTAGGTGATTGGGATGATGATCAGTGTGAACGGTATGAACGTCTGAAAACCAAAGTTGATAGTTGAAGAAAAAAGAAGAGAAATGTACCTGGATGGTCAGTGCTATTGCAAACTTTTTCTGCAAATCATGCGTTTTTCGGGACATCCTTGAAAGCTTTTGATCGCGTTGCATCACTTTCACAAAGACCAAGAAGAACATGAAGAAGACTTGGAGCGTGAAATTGACAGCCAAGATCGCCAGACAAATGGTGATCGGCAGGGGGTCCAACGTCATTATGACCAGTTTTCGGTCCCCGAAGGCTGGCCTCAAGTTGCACGATACTATCTGGAATCTTCATTGCTTTTGAACGTACTTTATAATTGCTTACCTCTGAAAAATGACTGAGAGTTTGATCGGAAAATGTTTGTTCCGGAGTATAATAAAAGGGCGGAATGAAGCCGGTAATTGCTAGAAGAAAGTTGAGAAACAAGTATGTTTTGCGAGTTTTTTGCCAGAACGGATTGCCGAATAACACATGATATCGATTCTCGGAGACTGTAAGAATTGAGAAGCCAATCACTGAAAGTATCATGAGTCGAGAGCTTTTCGGTGAATAGGGCTCACAAGCCGCAAGAGTGACAATCATGTAGGTTTCCAGCAATGGATAATCAAAAATACCCAATGGATATCCGATGGGAAGTGGGAGAATGATGAAAGGAAGAAAAAGAAAGCTGAAGGTGATATCGCTCAAGACACTGAATCCATGCAGCATTAGAAATATCCATTTAACCGAACTCATCCTCTTAGGAGTCCTGAACAGAATACAGTAGACTCCATAGATGTGCAATGGAATCGCAATGGCCGTCTGGATGTGCATCACGAGTTTGTACACTTCCGGATCGGCCAAGTACGCAGAGTTCCCAATGCAATCGATCATGACGGCGTCACCTGCAGCAAAAGTTACTTGAACGGAAAAAATGGCATTGCAAATGCATTGTTATAAGAATTCTATCAAATCAACATCCATTAGGTTGAGAAAATGACATTAGTATTATCAGGTTGGTGTCTGAGCGGACCGGAAGTAAGTTGTATCAAATGAAAGGCAGAGAATACAAAACACTTACCACGGTAACTCAAAAACGTTTTCTCCGTCCGTTTGTCCGTCCCCCACGTTCAATTCTAAAACGAAAATACATAATTGTGACGGAGAAATTAGAGAAAGCGTACTTTCAAACGGTTCCGAGAATGAAAAAGACGGCGGAGCGCTGCGGGTCCACGTTGTTTGAAGAGTCCAGAACTCGACTTGACATCGTTGAGCATGTCTGGAAAAGTGCATACAGATTAAGAATATAACAAAGAAGGCAACGAGTCGAAAAGTAATTCCGACAGGAAAACCTTCGGCACCTTAAACAGGACTCTCTTAACGCACTCACACCCTGCACGACAGGTGTTTTCCTATATTGCACTGCGTTGATTCCAAAATCGATAGATCCCGCAATGCGTGGATGCATAGCAGACGCGTCGTATCTCGGCGATCCGCAAGTGTTCAAACTAGTCCTGCACACCCAGACATCGCTTCAAATACCCGTCCACATTTACGGAGCCTACTGTATTCTACTCAAAACTCCGACTCACATGGTCTCTGTCAAATGGCTATTGTTCATGTTGCACTCGTTTGGAACGTGTTGCGATTTGCTGTTCAGTCTCTTTTCTGCACCATACGTACTATTTCCCGTGTCTGCCGGAATTCCTCTTGGTCTTCTCAATTATCCGACTGTGGAGACGTATCTATCGATTACCTTGATTGCTTGTCCGTTTGTAAAATTAGAGTAACATTTGATAAACCTCTTGACATTTCAGTATGTGCCGTATCAATTGTGGTCATTTTCGAGAATCGTTACTCTCTATTGTTCGCCAAAAACCTATGGAAAAACGTGCGCAAACTATTCATAATCGCCAATTTCTGCTTTGCTTTTCTCGCCTTCTTGCCGCCGTTTTTCTACAAACCCGATCCGAGCACAGCTATTGTCGAGTTGTCAAAAGTGAGACGAAATGATTGAGCGTCTGGAAAACCGTTTAAAATCTCGCAGACGCTACCTTGCATTCCAGAGACTTACGATAATCGTGACGTCTTCATTTTATCGATCGATTCCAAAGTGATTTTCGTATGCATAACCACTTTGACAGTGGTCTTGACGGTCGAAATTTGGACGTTTGCATTTTTGATCTTCTCAAATGTGACCGTTCAAAAACGAAGGATCTCCACGCTCTCACGGAAAACGCTCGATTTCCAACGAAAGTTCATAACAGCTCTGGCTATTCAGGTCACGACGTTCTCTGAAACATAAAGAACAACGAAACGGTTCAGACAGGAATGCCAATAGTTGTACTTATACTTCCGATATTGTATGTTCTGATAGCGATCCGGAGCAACTATCACAACATGTCCTACAATAATTTGGTAATGTGTGTGCTAGCGTCTCACGGATGCTTCTCAACTATTGTCATGATTCTCGTTCACCAACCCTATCGAGACGCCACGTTTTCAAAGTGCATCAGTCCCCGGATAGTCATACCTTTGGCGTCTGTTTCAAGGTTCTGAAGGTAAGACCTCGTCGAAATCTGAAAATTTGAGCGTTTTAACAGAATGCTCCGTAACTGAAATGAAAGCACCTGCCAGGTTTCCGGCTTTTGCCCCCATGGCCTGATTTTCCAAATGTTTACGTCTTCATAAATGTAAAGCGGTATTTTCAGGTACACAGGATTTGCCCACCCTTCAGGACACCTTCAGAAATGTCCCCGATTCACGTCTAATTTGATTATGTGCATTCTCGCAATTCACGGACTCGGTACCATTATATTGTCATGATCCTCGCTCATAAACCATATCGAGATTCCACGTTTTTAAGACTGCCAAGAGAGGCTTAACGAAGTGATCCCAGTGTTTTCTAGGTATTATAATTAAATATATTGTTGATTGAATTGATTGAATAACGCCTCAGTCTCAGTGTTCGCGCTGATTGAAGGCGTTAATCGAGCTCTGGCAATTTCAATGATACGAAAACAGTGTGGCAATGTCGCAGATCGCGATATCGACGACGGAGGAGATGATCAATGACCACATGGGAGAGCATTCCCATCGATTCTCACGATAATAATAACCATCCCCATTCCTCGCCGTTCCCAGGCACATTCACGGTGATTCGATTAGCGGAACTCCGTTAAATACCCCGGAATCGCTCTTCTCAGTATATTCTATTCTCTTCTATTCTTTCTTCTACTTTCTACATTCTTCGACTTCTACGATTCCTTCCGAATAAATCGTTACACCATAGCCCGCACCTGTTTGTACATGGTGACCCAGGCAAGCTATGAGTGGAAGAATTCGGATTCGAATTGGAACGGCGAAGAAGCTTATTGCTAAGCGTCTCGCTCACACGCTACCAACCAAAAATGAGATCAAGTCATTCAACATCGATGAGATCGTCACACTTCTGGAGGATCTGGCCGGAGACGTCGAAAGTCTCACCAAGCAAGTGGTGACGTTGGAGCGGTGTGAGCAGGAATGGAGGCACCTCGAACAACTCAACCCGGACGAGGTCGCGGAACGGGAACGGTACGTAGCGAAATACCAGGATTTCGTGCCGTTCATAGCCGAAGGACGGCAAAGAGTGGTCCTCATCAAGGAACTCTACACGGTCGGTCACGAACGACTAACGGAAATGGACAAGCGGGAAGCGGAACAGCACCTCACAGTTGAGGAACTAGCTGTACAGTTGGAAGACGACATGCAGAGCGGCATCCACAAGGAAGTCCGACAGGAGCAAGGAGACAAGCAGGACGGTAAAAGACTTGTCACCCCAGCCCGACAGGATTCAATGGATACGAATTCAACGGAACGGAACACCGGAGGAGCAGTGACTGACCCCAGAAGCAACAGGGCAGCACCAACGAGTCTCCCGGTGAACGAAGGAAGCGGATTGACGGATCTTCCGAGGACTGGAAGCGTCGGTCCACCTGTGCAGACAATCGTCGCTCCACCAGTGCCTGTACATTCTATCGGTTATGCGGTACCAATGACCGTCGGACACATTCAACTGCCTCAGATGGCACTACCAGAGTTCAGTGGAGACATTCTGGCGTATCCAGCATTTCGAGAAGCTTTCGAATCGATCATGGGAAGCTTGGTAGTCGACGACCTCACGAAGTTGCACTACCTCAAGTCAGTGGTCAAAGGAGAACCTTCGAAGCTCATTGCCCACATTCGGACAACTCAGGCCAACTACCAACTGGCCATCAACGCCTTGGATCGGCAGTACGGAGGACGTTTGAGAGTGAAGCAAGTCTTGATGCAACAACTGCGAGACCTCCCGGACATCTGCCACAGCAGCGAGGCAGAAGTACTTCAAAGCTTCGTCATTCAAGCAACGTCCGTGTTTGAATTGATGATTTCGGCACAGTGCGATGTTGACAATTCGGTCACAGCCAGTCTCATCGAATGCAAACTACCGAAGAGAATCATCGCGAAGATCTACGGAACTGCGAACAGCGACAACCCGTTTTCGGCTGGCCCACTACTGGAGCGATTACGGGACATCGCCACCGGAGAGATGTTGGTGGACTCCATCTACAACAACAGGCGAGGGGACAGACATCGCAACACTACGACAACCATGGCCGCGGTACATCATCAACACAACAACAAGCGGCATGGACAACCACAAGGACATCGCAACAGTGGAGAGACACATCAGCAGCGGAATCGGGTGGACAAGCCATGTGCGTTTTGTGTGGAGGATCGGATGATGCATCAACCAAAAGATTGTCGGAAGTACCCAACAGCTGATGTGCGCAAGGAACGAGCAAAAGAGCTGCGTTTGTGCTTCAACTGTTTGAGTTCTAGTCATTCGGCGAAGCACTGTCAAGGAAGATGCCAAGCGTGCCAGGGAAGACATCACGAAGCAATGTGCTTCCATCGGGAGAATAGCCAGCGACAGGGAGGATTTGGTTCGAGTCCAGGAGGATTCGCGGGCGGTCCACCAGGAGGAGTCGTTGGAAATCATCAAGGAGGATTCGGTGGATCGAGTGGCTACCAAAGAGCAGGAGCGCCACAACAACAGCAACACGGACAGTTCAGCCAAGGATCACCTGCGGGACATCAGAACCAGGCGATCACGCGCTACCAAGGACGACGACAATTTGGCCAGAGAGACCGACCAAGAAACTATGGAACACGAGTGCAGACTCATTTGTCGGAGGCAGTCGAGTTGGAACCGGATGAAGTCACTCACTCGACTCCAGCGGATACGGAGGTGACGGAACCAGAAGGGGATCTTCCCAGTCAACAAACTCATGAAGCCTCAGCGGATGATACGGAAGACCCTGCCCGGGAAGACGGGCCAGAAGCAAGGCAGATAAAGCCAAGTCCGATCAAGTCACTACCAGTGATCATGATGGTCACGGATCTACTCGTCAGCAACAAGGATGGACATCATTGCATCGGGACAACTTTCTTCGATTCGGGATCAAACACCAGCTACGTCACGACTACGTTCGTCAAGAAATTGGGATTGAGTTCGATTGGATCGAGACGACTGAAGTTGAGCACCTTTGCCCACAAAGGTACTCAGTACATCGAGGCTGAAGTCTACCGAGTCGGCATCAGAACCAAGGCGGGAACGGTCTACGCGGAACTCTGCGCCATCGAACACATTGCGAGCAACATCGTCAGTGCAGCAGTGGCCCAAGAGGAAGTGGAGAAGCTTTTGAAGCAGCAGTTCGTCACTCTACATCGGGAGAACAAGGACGTCGACATCATGATTGGATTGGACTGCTACCTTCAAATCCTGGGTCAAGTCAACACACTGCGTCTGTCTAATGGTCTTCAGCTCAACCTCACGGATTGCGGACCAATTGTGTCAGGAAAGGAGCAATGTTTGGCAATTGACGCAAACGTTTTCATGTCAACTACACAAGAATCGGGAGACAAGGAGTTGTGCGACGCGCTCAAACAGTTTTGGACTCTGGAAGCCATTGGAATTCTGGACGTCAACTCACGGACGAAGGCAGAGGAGGAAGCGAACGAGTTCTTTCAAGAGACTACGTATCGTCGGGAGGATGGAAGATTCGTGGTTCGACTACCTTACTGCGACAAGGATGGCATCAACGACAACCGGAAACTGGCGTGGCATCGACTCATCGGAACCATCAAGCGATTGGAGAAGGATCCGGAACTGTTGAAGAAGTATGGAGCAATCATTGCCGAGCAGATCGGATTGGACTTCTTGGAGCGGGTCGAAGACGAAGGACACACGGACGGCGTTATCGTACACTATCTGGCACACCACCCCGTTATCAAGATGAGTTCCAAATCAACGAAAATCAGGATGGTATTCGATGGCTCAGCTGTGTTCTTCAAAACCGAACGCTCACTCAACGATCATCTGCACACTGGAGAAAGCCTTCTACCGCAGATTCAAGGTGTCATGCTCAGAATTCGTGTCAGGAAGATCTTGCTCTCCGCGGACATCCAGAAGGCATTTTTGCAAATGGAACTTCACGTGGAAGATCGGGATGCAACTCGCTTTCTGTGGAAAGATCTGGAGTCTGGCAAGATCGTGTGCTACCGATTCAAACGGGTACCGTTTGGATTAAAGTCGTCACCGTACCTTCTAAACCAGTGCCTCAAGACGCTGTTGTCAAGTCAAGATCAGCCTATCGCAAGGGACATGGCCAGGAATCTGTACGTCGATAATGTCTATATTGGAGTGGACAGCATCGAAGAAGCTAAGGAGGCCTACCATCAGTCGAAGGAGATCTTGAAGCAAGCTCAGATGAATCTGTGCCAGTACGTGAGCAATTGCACGGAATCCAACCAGTTCTTTGCCGAGCATGAACACGCGGAACCGGAATCTGTGATGCAGAAACTTCTGGGAGTGTCATGGGACACAAGCACGGATGAGTTCATCTTCTCGTTTCCTTCCGTGGCTGCAGAACTGATGACCAAGAGGAAGACACTGAAGATCGTGGCGGGGATCTACGATCCTCAAGGATTTCTCACCCCAACGACTTTGGCGGGAAAGCTGTTTTTTTCCAACAACTTCATGGATCGAATTGGGATGAACCGTTGTCAGGAGAGCAACATCGACAGTGGCAGACGATCATGAAACTGGAAGGGGGATCCTTGGAGAATTCCTCGACGACTGTTCAACGATGAGATCTGGAATTCCGCGATTGCAATTCAACTGCACGTCTTCACGGATGCAAGTCAATTGGCATTTGGAGCGGTGGCTTACTTGAGAATTCTGACCAGCGCTGGAGCGTTCAGTCAATTTCTCATGGCCAAGTCCCGCGTCGCCCCAAGGAAGGAACATTCGATTCCTGCATTGGAGATGGTTGGAATTCTGTGTGGAGTCAGAGCTGCGAACTACGTCATCAAGGAGATGGACATGAAGTTTGACGGAGTTTTTGTTTGGACAGACTCCCTGTGCTCGCTCGACACTTTAGTCAACAACGGAAACAGTGGAACCAAGTTTATCAGGAATCGAGTCAAGTCAATTCTGGAGCAATCGGAGGGCTTCGAGTTCACACACGTCCCCGGAAAGCAGAATCCAGCAGATTACCTGACTCGTGGACTGAAGTTCGCGGACCTGAAAGAATCAACAAGTTGGATCAACGGACCAGGATTCCTGCAGGAGACCAAGGACCTACCGCTTCGTCGATTCACGTTGGATCAAGTGGCTACTACACTCATGACATCGGCGGAGGTTATCCACGAGGTCCCAATTGACCCACACAAGTTTGGATCGTTCCACCGAATGCTACGGACGATTATGGTCATGCTTCAATTCATGATTATGATCACCAAGAGACGTTTACCAAAGGAGCAACGGGAGCAGTACAACCTGACCAACCACGAATGTGCTACGCGGGCAAGAAGGATAGCGTATCGTTGGGCGCAATGGATTGACCCTCCGTCGGAACAAACAATACGCAATCTACGACTACGCCAGAATCCGGAGGGCATCTGGATGTACCAGGGCAGAGTGGAACAACGGCCGTTGATTTTTCCTTCCTCAAGGACAAATCAGTCGTCTTATTGTTCTCGATCTACACGAACGGTTCAGCCACGGCAGTCCACTTTTTCACGTTGGCACAACTGAGAGCTGAATTCTGGATTCCAAGAGGTCGCGCCTTTTTGAAGAAGTCGATTGGGAAATGCTACGGTTGCCGCTACTTATCCACACTGCCGTATCGACAACCTGATTTTTGCGGCTTTTTCCGGACCTCAGAATCGCCCCCGGCTCGACCATTTGAGAACTGCGGAGTGGATTTTTGCTGGACCATTGAAAGTCAAGATGGATGGAGCAGTTCGGAACATCTACTTCGTGCTCTTCACATGCCTCTACACTCGCTTCATCCATACGGCCGCAATCAAAGACATGGAGACTGTGACGTTTCTTCACACTCTACGAAGAATGTGCGCAATGTTTGGAATACCCAAGATCATCGTTGCGGACAATGCAACTCAGTTTGAGATGCTCAACAACGTGTTGACGGAACTTCAACAACAACAACGGAACCGGATTGTCAACTCGACTACTCTCCCGGAATTCAAGTTCATCAAAGCTCATTCACCATGGGCTGGAGGTGTCTACGAACGGATGATCGGCCTGATAAAGAGATCACTGACCCGAGCTGGAACGACACGCGTTCTAATGAGCATCGAGGACTTCACGACAGTTTTGGCTGAGTGCACATCCATTGTCAACAGCAGACCGTTGACGTACGTTGCCTCGGATGATGACATCACCCCCCTACGACCGATTGACTTTGTGTATCCTGCCAACCGCTTTGACGGGGTTATGGATTTGTCCTCACCGCCGGATACCGATGGACAATCATGGGAACGTCGATACTTGATGGAACATTGGAGTCAATCGTCGTCAATCACGGAAGACTTCCAACGACGATGGGACAAGGAGTACATTCAAGTACTTCAGGAACGACATCAACAGTCGCATCGACAGACGTCTACGGCGAAGGCCACCCCGAAGGTTGGAGATGTTGTTCGGATTGAAACGCCGATGGTTGGAAGAACGAAGTGGCCGATTGGACGGATCGTCGAAGTGAAGACGCGGTCAGCGAAACTAAAAAAGGGAGCGACGAGAAGGATCGTGGAATATCCTTGGAAACTTTTGTACCCACTGGAGACTGAGATGAACGAGGCGACGGAGACTACTACTACTGACGAGACAGCAACATCACCGAACGACGAAACGACACAGTCTCGAACCCCTAGAAGATCAGTCCGAATTGGGAACAGAATCAACCAAGTGACATTGGCTCTCACTCTGTTTGCTCTTTTCACAACAACGACAGCGGAAACGTTCGGAGACAATGGGACGACTGAGGCGACAGGACAGCAAGTGGAATCGTGGTCAACGAAGACGTCATACGAGGCGATTGGATCGCTCAAGGACAGGCTCGGATCAATAATGACTTCGTGGCTGTACACACTGGCAATCTTCGGAGTTCTTCTGGCAATCAATGTCGCAATCACAGTCATGCGCGTTATTGGAGGTGCTTACGAGACCACAGCATGGATTGTTCGACTGGTTGGAATGGGATCGCAATGGATCGGAAGACTGTGTTGTAAATGCTTCGGAAGACGATCGAGACAGCGACTCCCGACTATCATCGTTGCACTGATGTTGATTGGCATGGCGGACGGATGTAACGAAATCGCTTCGATTCAAGCTAACGAGAACGTTTGTGTCATGGCTGGAAAGAAGAACAAGTGCTACCTGAATACGCTCTCAATCTTGAATGTACGACCGGACGGATCAGTCGGATGTTTTCGCGTCAAGAACGTGGATCACACATTGGAAACATTCGTGGAAGTTCAAGCGGAAGCAATCGTGTCAACATGTATACAGAAGTCACATCACTTCACTCGGGATTTCGACATCACTCATGAGTATTCTCATCGATGCTCGGGGGCTGGAAGCTGCTCCGGAGAGATTTGTGAAAATCTCACGGCAAACGACACTAGTCTACCGGAATTTTCAACGATGTCGAAGAGCGCTCCTGGATTCAGTCGATGCTACAAAACATGCGGTTGTGTGTCGTGTGGAGGATGCTTTTGGTGCTCCCCATCATGTCTCTACTCGAGATTGTTTGCGGTACCCAAATCGACATACGTCTACGAGATTGTGACATGCCCAACGTGGAAAACAGTTTTGGACGTCAGAGTGAACGTTAACGGAGATCGTGGAAAGCACCGGATCGAACATGGAGTACCATTCTTGATACCTCGGACGAACATCACACTGGTCGTCACTGGATTCTCGACACCACCGACTCCAGTGCACGCGGCAACGTTCATCAAACGATGGAAGACAACTGATCAGAGTGCTCAATTCGGCTTCACCTACACGTCTGTTGCGCAGGCGGGAACGCCCACCAAAGGGATGGTGGGTGAATTTCAATGTGCAACCTATCAAGACGCTCTTAACTTCCGATGTGTCTTCGATGAGCATTTGTGCAGTTGCATCGCGCAAGGAACCGTGCTCAGATGTCCGTGTCGACACATTCACCTCGATGCGGTGCTCAAGAAGACGCTACTACCGAGAAGTGAAGCAGGGATCGCCATACTAACGGAAGGAGAACTGATCAAAACGAAGCTGACAACGAGTTCTTTGGTTTCGATTCAACTACAGTTCAGGAATCAATCGATTCATCGGATCGTGAAAGACGACAACTGCAGCATTGCAACGACGACGATCACGGGTTGCTTCTCCTGTGGAAAAGGAGCGTTGTTGACTGCGACGTGTACCTCCATGGTTCACAAAAGGCTCGAAGCGACGGTCAAGTGCCCGACGATTGGGGTGGATTTTCTAGAATGCGGTATCGGCGGAGTGCGAGGGAAAATCAATTTCCATTCGACCCAGCGGAAGATCGAGGAAACTTGTTCCATTTCGTGTGGAACAGTTAAGCAGGAATTCTCCTTGCAAGGAGAACTAGCGGAAGAAGCAACGTTCGATGCGTCTGCACTTCGGGATCGGTTTGCGGAATTCACTCAGAAGATCGGGGAAGGAGGAATTTTCGAAGTCATCACGGGAAAGATAGCTGCCGTTTGGAGCACCATCACTTCATGGATCGGCTCGGGAATCGTCATCATGGTTGTGCTGGTTATCGGAGGAGTATGTTGTGTCCAGTGTGTCGGAGGAACGTCGGTTGGCTGGCGTTACATTCCCTTTGCCCGGGAGTGTCGCAGATCGCGATATCGACGACGGAGGAGATGATCAATGACCACATGGGAGAGCATTCCCATCGATTCTCACGATAATAATAACCATCCCCATTCCTCGCCGTTCCCAGGCACATTCACGGTGATTCGATTAGCGGAACTCCGTTAAATACCCCGGAATCGCTCTTCTCAGTATATTCTATTCTCTTCTATTCTTTCTTCTACTTTCTACATTCTTCGACTTCTACGATTCCTTCCGAATAAATCGTTACACCATAGCCCGCACCTGTTTGTACAGGCAAGCAGAAAGCACCTGTCAGAAAAAGTTATTCGATATTCCTATACAAAGTTTTGTCACTTTTTCTCAGTCTCTCTCCAAATGCAAAGCTGTATCTCCAGTTATACAGGATTCGCCCACCCGGACACGTTCAGACAAGTGCTGTCCGTCCAAACAATGCTCTCTCTCCCGATTCACTTCTACGGCGCCTTCTGTATTCTGTTTCGAACGCCCCCGCGAATGAACTCTGTCAAATGGATGATTCTAGTGTTACACACCTCGAGTTTTCTCAGTGATATTGTCATTAGTTGCGTTTTCCTTCCGTTCTTACACTTTCCAGTTCTGGCCGGAACCCCTCTGGGTCTTTGGAACGAACCTCGATTCGGAGTCTACCTCGTTTGCACTTCTATCGCCTGTGAGTTTTTCGATCGAAAATTGGTACGCAAACAAAAGTAATGGTTCCAGTCGTTTGTGCCTCAATCGTTTGGATATTCGAGAATCGCTACTATCAAATTTTCGCGAAACAACGCAATCCGTTGTGGTGCAAAGTGCGAAAAACGTTTTTGTTCGCCAATTTTTTCTTCGCGCTCGTTTTCATGATTCCTCCTATTATTGCGGTCCCTGATCAGACCATCGCTATTCAGACCGTTTCGGAGGTGACTTTCACTGGAAGATCTGTCTGAAAATGGCCCGATTTTCAGATACTATCATGTAAAATCGACGAATTCTACGAGGGCCGTCGTGTGTACGTACTTGCACTTGGCCCTCAACTCGTGTACGTCTGTTTGACGACCGCACTCTTTATCTACATAACTGGCGGCGTCGGATTCTTTGCGATTTGCACTTATAAACTATTTTCAAGAGATCAAAAGTCTTCGACAATTTCTCAAAACACGCACAAGTTACAGAAGAACTTTGCGATCGCGTTGAGTATTCAGGTGGGTTCATTTTACAGTCTTCCAGACTTTACCCTCCACAATCATAGACCCTTGTACCATTCTCAATACTCGTCCCGCCTTCAATCTACGTTGTCGTGTCCGTGTACGAGAACGTGCACATTCAGATAATGAATAATTTGATTGTGTGCATGCTCGCATTTCACGGCGTTTGCTCCACTATTGTCATGATCCTCGTTCATCAACCGTATCGAGACGCCACGTTTTCAAGACTGTTCAACTTACTTTGCATTTCTTTGCAAGCGAGGCCGAACGGAGTGACTCCACTGCTTTCTAGGCACTAACTATCGATTATTGCAATAACAATCAATCTTATGAAGTTTTCACAACAATTATTTGTCATGGGGAAACATCTCTCTGACAACAAGAACTGGCATATGGGCACAACAATAAAAAGTCAATAAAATTAACGAACAACGCTCAATCAAAATGATTAATTCGGAAGATGCTCTCTCCCTTTCGCTTCTTCTTCTTCTCAGTTTTTGGCTTCTTGGGCGTCGTCTTCCTCTCCTCTTCATAGATTCCCAACTCTTTCTGTCGCTGAATCTCCGCATTCTTCGCCGCGTACTCTTCGTCTTCTTTGTCTTGGAGCAAGTCGAGTTCTGCGCGGATCGCCATGTTCCTATCGTGCGCTTCTTCGTCGTTCTGAATGAGAACATTGAGAGATAGGCTTGGTTTTTTCGGGCAGAGGACCAGGGGTTTATATTTCTGTCAAAATCTCTATGAACGGAACAGCACGCAGTCAAAGTTGGCCTAGAAACATCCTAGGCCACGTGATCTCTTCCGGGTTATTTTCCGGCTCTAAGGCCCGCTATTTGGGACGATCCAAGCGAATATTGTCAATAGCTAAACATACCTCGTCATCAGTCAGATCGTCGCATGACTCGCAGTCCAAGTAGGACGAATCCAGAAACTGGTCGCGTCGCACTCGCATCAACTTCATCGGAAGATGCTCTTTCCATATTTCAAAGTCTGCCGAGATCACTTTTTCCGGCTCAACCTGCTCCAGCGGCAACGGACGCATCTTCTTTCTTCCCTGCAAAAATCGACATGTTCCCTTCTCATTTCAATTGCAAAACCGACATTCTGTTTGATTCGCTCTTCCAACGGCAGATAGGCACATCTCTGATTGATCATAAACTCAAAGTTGCCCTTCAGAAACAAGCACACAATCGTGGCAATGTTCCGTGCATCATGGAGGCCACTGTGTGCTTGTCCTTGGAAAGTGAGCCCCAACAATTCGAGCATATTCTGGATTCCACTCTTCTGAAAGCGTAGAGAATAGACAAGTTGATCTATAAGGGTGACGTACTCCATTCTTTTGCGGGAGCATCATTCCGAATCGGTTCTCGAATGCTCGCTTGATGTTGATGAACGATCGGAACATGTGCGGCATCGAGATTCCCGAAATGGCGCACTGCAATTGCATGAACTTCCACATGTCGTGCGGCCTGAAATATTGTAGAACATAGTGAGGTGAGGACAGAGTATTTTTGATTGGCCAACTGACCCGTCAGTGACGAATGCGAATCTCGATTCGGCGTCCCGACCCATTCCACAGTCCCTCATCCACTTGTCGAACTTGGCGAGCGCTTCACGAAAGTACGGCGCATTGTCCACTGTGCTCTGGTTGATTTCTGAGGAAAAAACGTTCGTTTTTTATCGCATTTCATTGTGATTCGATAGAATCTGTGTCATTTTCAACATCAATCGATATGAGAAACGACGGACACTTGAAGGAACACTAGGAGAATGACTGACTTGTGAAGTCGGTGCAGAACTTGCTGAGTATCGGGTTCAGGAACGGTCTGACGAACGATCGGAAATGACTGACCTGAAATGGATTCGAAAAACTTTGAATTGAAACTGGGGAAACACTCACAATTCGATACTTTCTGCAATCGATAAGCACGGCGGCGAACTCGATGATTTCGTGCGGGTAATTGTACACGATTTCTTGACAAGTGCACTCGAAATCGACCGCCTAAATGTCAATTTGTACTTGCATACATTCTAAAAGCAACAAAAAGCGTACAATGAGAAAGTCAAAGTGTTTGAGCGTACTGTCGTGGTCGAGCGTTCTCGGTACACGGTCCTGGAGAGTCCGTTCCTTCCGATACAGGGCTCTCGCCAGGACTCGCAGCCTTTTCTTGTCTTGTGGGCTGAAAACGGTATATTATGATATGGCCCGATGAATGTCTTCACTAACCACCGCATAGTGGTAATCCTCCGAACGGCCTTCTCCAACTGCTCCTTCGGCATGTAATCCACGTGTTTGAGCACGTCTCTCAGGTACTTTTTCGAAACTTTCGGTTTGAGCAGACTGACGTGTGCGGCCGGTGCGATTTGTTGTTCCGGAGGGATGGGCAGGTCGCTTCCCGGCTCGATTATGGGCTCGTCCACGACATCCGCGTACTTTGCCGCTTCCGCATCTTCCGAACTTTCGTCCGAACTCGAATCATCCGAAGATTCGTCCATTCTTCTTTTGCCGAATCGGAGGAAATAGGCGCTCACCTGTTTTTTAGCCTTGCTCGATACTGAAATTATATAGATGGAACTTGGCTCAGGTCCGATTCTTAGGCTATCTCGGGTTCAAGTTTCAGCTTCACATATCTCGGGACCAGATGATCCGATCGATCTGAAACTTGGTCCCAAAATGCTTCAGCCCAAGTCCCAAAAGCCTGCAAAGTTTGGTCCCGATCGGATCATTGCAAGTTGTCCAAAAGTTCAGGCTTTACAATGTTGGCCCCAACTATGAACTAATTGTGAAAACCATACCTTTTTCCCGTGATTCTTCTTCTTTCTTGCTAATTTGCAACTTGGATTCGAAATCTTCAGTAAAGCTGTCATCTTTTTCGATAACAACAGAAGAAGAACTTTCGGAACTTATTGGAATTTCATTAGAATTTGAAGAGTTTCCTGGCTCCTCCTCCTCTTCTTTTTTGGTCGCTTCCAAACTGGATGGTGCATCGGCTGTAAAAAAGTCAGTCAATAATCAATAACATACAGACCGTTTCGTATCAACTTACACTCTTTCTTCATTTTCTGATATTGCTGACAGATATTGAACAGTCGGTCCATACTTTGCAGATATTGGCCATCATCTTCGTCCTCCATCGTGTTCTAGTGAAATCGAAACGGCTAAATGACGAAGAACTCGCTGCCCTTCCGTTTTTGTACGACACTCCACTATTCCGCGCGTCTGCCCGCTTTTTAGCGGGGACGATCGGACGATCGGTGAAATGGGACCGATCTGAGAGGAAAATTCCAGAGAAACTTACTCTTTCTGAAGGATTTCATCAAATCTTTTAAAAAATTGATATGAGATCAGTACTCAAGGAGAAAGTTTCAATTGCAGAAGTTTTTGCAGAAAATCTCTACCGGCCTGAATATTACTTGGAGTCGGTTGGTTCAAGCGATGTGAAGTTTCACACGCTACTGACAAAGTCAATTCATTTTGGACCATCGATTCGGGACCAGATTTCGTGAGCCTTCACGTCGTCCGACCAACGTTTCTTCTCTTGCCGTCCTCTTTCCAATAACGAGAAAGTATGATACGCTAGAAACCACGAATCACCTGCCGCCTGAATATTTTTTTTCTCGACACTTGTTTTCCTATTTCAGCTTTGTAGCATTTCCTGTCCAAATGAAAAGCTGTATCTCCGGTTACACTGGATTTTCGCACCCGGAGACCTTCAGACATGTCCTGTCCGTCCAAACAATGCTCTCTCTCCCGATTCACTTCTACGGCGCCTTCTGTATTCTGTTCCGAACGCCCCCGCGAATGAACTCTGTCAAATGGCCCATCTTCCTATTGCACTGCTTCAGTTTCCTTTGTGATATTATCATTAGTTGCATTTTCCTTCCGTTCTTACACTTTCCAGTATTGGCCGGAACTCCGTTAGGCCTGTGGAATGAACCCAGATTCGGAGTGTTCTTGGTCTTCACTTTTATGGCTTGTAAGTTTTGAAACGTTCACTATTATTCTATGCTCTCCATTCAAATCACTATATCTCCGTTGGCATTGGAGATATCAAAAAGTTGTCAACTGATAATTTGCTCAGTTAGACATTGTACACATGTTTTCAGTTGACCACTTTTTGATATCTCCATCGGCAGCTGAGATACATTGATTTGAATGGATTTATCTTGTTTTACAGTTGCCGCCGCGTCAATTTTGTTGATTTTCGAGAATCGCTATTATCAAATTTATGCGAAACAACAGAATCCGTTTTGGTGCCGAGCGAGAAAGCCGTTTCTGATCGCTGTTGTCTCATTGGCGCCAGTATTTCCATTCCCTCCCGTCTATATGGCGCCTGAACAGAGCATGGCAATTGCGACAGTTTCGGAGGTTGGTTCTATGTAACTCGTTTCGATTCCCAAGACGTATTTTCAGATACTTTCCTGTAAAATCGACGAATTCTACGACGGCCGTCGTGTCTACGTACTTGCTCTCAATCCACTAATTGTCAATGTTTCTATGACAACAGCCACGTTCATGTACGGATTAAGCGTGCTCGCATTCTTCATCATTTCTGCTCGCAAACTATTCTCAAAAGATCGAAAACTGACGACAATCTCACGAAATACACACAAATTGCAGAAGAAGTTTGTGATCGCGTTGAGTCTACAGGTAGACAGACGTTTCTTGAATCTTTTTCGAAGCATTGCTATATTGCAGACCCTTGTCCCATTCACAATACTCGTTCTGCCGTTGTTCTACATTGCCGGCTCGGCATCGTTTAGTCTGCACAGTCAGGCGGCGAACAATCTGCTCATTTGTGTTCTCGCATTTCACGGAGTCGGTACCACTATTGTCATGATTCTTGTGCATCAACCGTATCGAGATGCCACTTTTTCGAGGCTGTATAGTTTGCTCTCTTGTTCTTTGCAAAAGAGGCCGAACGGAGTGACCCCAGTGTTTTCTAGGTACTAGTGATGAACTGGTTAGAATTAGTCTTTATTCATATTTCATTCAATCACAATCTACTTTCTCGCTTCAATCCATAATCTGATCATGCAGCACACTAATCCGTTTCCTGCTCAATTCATCCGGATCCTTGTGCTTCAGCGCATGTACCGCTTTCACGTACACGTACAAATCCTTCTGCTCCTTTTGCTGATTCTCGAACACGTGAAAGATGGCCAACAGCGTCACAAATCGACTGGGACCGTCCACACTTCCGTGTCGTGTCAGACAGTATCGGAAGAGGCAGTGCGCGTAGATCTCCCGTTCCTTTTGCAGGTGTTTCGCATCGTCTGAGCAAAGATCCGGCACTGCTGGAAACGTGGTCCCTTGTGGTCGGGTGCCATCCGAAAAATCAAACCTGGATTGCAGACGACGATCGCTTTGAGCAGAACGTACTCGGTCTCATTGACGTTATTCCTCATGAGGGCTCTCAAAGTGCTCTGCAGAAAGGCTCTCTGCTTCTCGACAAGCGGTCCCATCTTCCGGGCGGGCGGTCCGTAGACGGTCCCGTCCGGATAGACGAGTCGGTCCGATTTCAACTTTGCAAACGTCGTGAATGCATTCGTCAAGTTGGCACACATCAAAGTGACATGTTTCATTAGAACAACCTGGAATAAGATGCTAATCGCTTCGGATGCGATCTTTCGTCGCGGCGCGTCGATCAGAAAGTCTGTGACGTCGTCGCCGTAACGTCACAAATCAGGAACCGACCTTTGCGTCCATCTCGAGTGCATTCGCGAAATCGAACGTTTTCGAGTACTCGATCGAGGCCAAACAACTCGCGTGCACGAAATTACGACTCCGCCGCTTTGGACTGAAAATATTGAATCACTTTTTAAAAATAGAAAAGGAATATTGTTAGGGAAGTATGAGAATCAATTCTTGACGAGTTTTGCGAAAAAATTGCATTTCCCAATGTCATTTATTAAAAACGATCATATATATATCTCGGCTGCCGGTAGAAGTAGCAAAAAGTTGACAACTAATAATTTGTTCATTAGTACATTGTGTACATTTTATCAATTGTCAACTTTTTGATAACTTCATCGGCAGCCGAGGAGAATCGTTTTGAATCGACGGTATCACATTCATTCATGGTCAAGACAGTAACTCACAGTCCTGTGTGTTTGGAGCATTTGACGGGCTGGTAGCTCATCGCCGGAATCTTCGTGTTGTCGTAGATCACTTTCGAAGCGAGCACGGTCCTCAGATCGCGCACGTCCTGGAAACCTATCGGCATTCCGTTGTTGTGCACTCCTTCCAGCTTCGTCTCGACCGCCATCAGTCGATCGATAACTCGTGACACTTTATCCTCGAAACTCAAAAAAGAGAGTCTGTTGTCGAAAGTGGCTCTTTTCTCGACGATTCTCGCGCGCAACGCCTCTCCTTCGTCGCATTTCACTTCGGCCTTAATGGCCAGAGGATCCATTCCCGACTGAACACACTTCTCGAATCGACACGCTCGACACATCCTTTGGGATTCTGGAAGATAAATGATATTGTGAATTTGTAAGGCTTTACAACTTTAAATCTTTGGAAAATGACACCGTGGTCTTGCTAGATAATAGTATAGAAACTGTACCTGCTGGTTTGTCGGTATCCAGACAATTGCTGAGTTTGAAGCATTTATACTTGTGACCAGATATTATGCTTCTCCGGAAAAACGTCTTACACCCAACGCACGAGGGAACCTGCAAATGCAATGTTTAAAACTGTTTGAACGATTTTAGTTTTTCCCTACCCCATAGTGGTGCCCAGCGGCCGGATGTCTACAAATAAGGCACACCGACGGACACTGATTCTGAGGAAGTTCTTTGTAAACTTTCGCACGTCGGCTCTTTCTCGGCTTTGAACTTTTTGACGGATCTTTCGATGTCGACGGCTCTTCTACGCACAACTCCACGACTTCTGGACTTCTGAAACGTACAACTTCAATTGGAAAGTTCATAATACCTGTTTTTACTTGTCAAGTGACTCGCCGACATCCTCCATCGAGCGACCTTTTCAAAAACAAGACTTCAGATCAAGAATCGAATGAAAGATGACCTAAATGACCTAAAAGTATTTTCTGCCGTTTCCGCACCTCCCCCATTCGTTCCTGTTCTGTCGAGATCCGCCGATCCCTATCTTTTGTGCCGATCGTAGTTCGTGACGTCAAAACGGTCATCCACTTTGTCGATTTGATTCGATTTCCGCGCGTGTGTGGCCAACAGATCAACGATGTTTTGACCTGTTTCGATGCGAATTACGTCACAGCATGGAAATTGAGAATTTTTTTGAACTGGGGGACTTACATGCCTATGGTAGATTGGAAAAATGATTATGTATTATTATGACTTCGAAATTTTACAACTGATAAGGTTTCATTAAAAGGTTTTCAAATATCTCTTGTCAGAAATTTTAGTCTGTGATGAGAAGCTTATAATTTCCATGGAATATCGTACGAACTGTGATAGAAGGGCACCTCAATACCGTATATTCAGAACGATTTATCTCGGCTGCCGGTGGAGATATCAAAAAGCGATCAACTAATAAAATGTGCAAAATGTCCAGATGAGTATTTCATTAGTTTACAACTTTTTGATACCATTACCGACAGCTGAGATATCCTGCCCTGAATGTACGGTATTTGCGGTGGCACAATGATTTAGTGGTTTCTGAGCAAGGAGAAAGTTCCAGTTGTGGTTGTCCGCCTCGATGTATCCGAGTTTATCCGTCCATCCGCAGATCAACGAGTCCATGTCGCGTTGCGTGAACTTCTGAATGATGAAACCCTCAAATCAGGACCCGAAAAGAGTGAATTTACCGTGAGAAACTCTTCAGAGTTCCGATTGAGATGATTCCTTTCCTCGAGAAGAATTTCCTTGAATCTCGGCGTCAGATTCTCGGTCTCCACATTCACAAATCCAGCTTTCTTCGCAATCTCGGCGATTTCGTCGAGTGTCCTCAGAAAGTACGCTCTTTTTGCCACGTACTCTTTGAACTTGGCACTCTGTTCGCCCTTCCCTTTTCCGTACATTGTCATAAGGACTTTGCCGCCGGGTTTCAGAGCCTTCTGTAAAGAACTAATGTACGTTTTTTGCTACTATTCGTGTTTTTCGATAAAACTTACATAAACTTTGGCGAACAGTAGCTCAACGTCGGGAATATGTTGGATACAGTCGCGAGAGTGCACAAAATCGAACGACTCCTCCTCGAAGCGGTAAACGAGCGCGTCGGTGATCGAGTAGCGGAGCCTCGCGTCCTTCTCCTCCTGTACTCTCTCCAGCGCTATCGCCAGCATGTTGGCCGACAGATCCACGGCGTGCACGTTCAGTCCGAACTGCTCGGCGGCCTGTTTGGCCCCTCCGCCCGTGCCCACGCCAATGTCCAGAAGGGCCTGTCCGTGCCGGAACCCGCCGAACCTGTTCAGAATGCTCAGATGCTCCGGCTCTCCGCCCGGACAGATGAATCCCCGCCCGAACATCCATTCGTACACGTCGATTCCCGTCGAAGTGTACTGCGTTTTGTCGAGGAAATCACGGAAGGTGACGGTCGTGTCGGAAGACGTGGCGGCGAACACTTTTTTGCGGAAAACGAACATGAAATCGAGGAAATTGTGCTCGACGCACAGCGAATTGTCCACTTGATCCACCGTGTACAAATCCAGTCCCGCGTGGTTTCCCTCGGAATCGATCGTTCGGAACACGTCAAAGTAGTCGGTCAGGCGGGCCACCTGATGCTTCTCGGCGTTTTCTGGAAAAAAAACCATAGAGCTGTTGAATCCTCCTGAGCTAACTTACTCAAATCCTCGCGGAAAATGACGATTCCGTCGGTGGCCACAATGTTCGTCGCCTTCTTCAAAACGTCGGTGAGAAGATCGGCGTTGGCCACAGTCTGCAAAAGTTTTGTGTAGTTTATAGTTTGCTTCGTTCTCCCCTATCTCTCGTTCGTTCCCGTTCTTTTCACTGACACTGATTACCTGGTAGAGGGCGTTGTTGAAAATGAGTACATCGACATTTCGGACGTCGTTTATGTGCTCCAGACTCGTGTGCACTTGAGTTTTGGCGTTAAGCACCTCGAATGCGGTTGCATAGCAACTTCTAAAATGTTCCCTGTCTTTGAGACACCGTATCTCAGCCGAGCGTGCAGATATCAAAAAATTGTCAACTAACAAAATGTGCGCAATGTCTTTTTGAACAATTTATCAGTTGACAAATTTTTGATACCTCCACAAACAGCTATGTACCACTCACCCCTCTTCCAAACTCGGGGACACAATGTGAACAGTGGAAATGCGCTTGCTCAGTTGCCGTACATAATTCAGAGCCTGACGTGGAATCGCGGGAAACATGATGAGAACTTCCAAGAGAATTTTTTAACGAAAATACAGGAAGTGAGGAGTTTTCAAGACTATTTAAACCAACAGTTATTGCGGAACTAAATGATAATCGCTCTCTTCCTCGTTGATCGTGATCACTACCACATGGCATCGTTGCCGACGTCGAGATCGAGAGAGAAAAGCGAAACTTCTCGAACCGGTTTCCATGGCAGTTTAAGAAGATCCACACTGGTTGGGGAGAACAAGTAACTGAATTGATCGAAAAAAGGATAGGTACAGCAGACGACCGGTCATAATTGTTCCTGGTTTGGTTCTTGAGAGTCTAAACCTCTACCGCATTTCCATCCGATCGATGATCAGAAGTGCACGTGGCAACAAGGCGTCTTTTGCCGTCCCCATTATTTTACTTCCTCCTGGAAAACGTCGTTTTGTCTGTTCCAAAGCGGAAGTTTTATGTACCGAGTTCAAAAGTACGAAAAACAGTGATTAGACGAATAGACAACGTCGGCGAGACCTGTTTTTTTTGGTTCTGTCTATCGATTTCGTGTACATGTGCGTGCAAATGATAACTTTCCTTTTCTTATCCGACCACGCTTGCAATTTGATCACTTTCAGGGTACACAAAAATGAGCGTGGTTCCCAAGGACTCGGACCCGCCGGTTAAGACCCAGGAGACTGCGATCGATCAGGATAGGTTAGTCAAAACAAAACAGGATTGGCCTAAACTTTACAAGCTTCTAATTGGTCCAAGTTTCCGACCGATCGGATAATTTACTAGTGATTCGAAGCCAGTTTAGTCCTAATCCAAGACTTTGAGCAAATCCTGAATCATTGTTCACAAAGAGCATTACAAATTTAACGGAAGTCATTCGAAAAGTACTGTAAACAATGTAATAGAGGGGCATGACAATACCGTTCATTCAAGACAATATATCTCAGTTACTGGTAAAGGAGTCAAAATGTTGTAAACTAATAAAATGTTTATTAGGAATTTGTGTACATTTTATTAGTTGACAACTTTTTGATATATACACAAACAGCGGAGATATGTACATCGTTTTCCAGCAAACGCTCGCCCTTACACGAACGCTCGACGACATGGAGCGCCATCTGGATCCTGAGTATAATGCAGTTCGTGGACGGTCTCCAGTTCTCCGTCTACTACATGTCCATGTGGCCGTATCTTTCCGGCCACGACAAAACTGCCGACATGGACTTTCTTGGATGGGTCGTCGCCGCGTGCAGTCTCGGCTGCAGTATTGTGAGTGCTTTTTCTAAAACGCTTATTAAATTGTCAACAAAATTGCAGTCATGTCCCCTCTACGGCTACTGGAACCAAAAAACGCTCTCATGCAAATGGCCCACCATTTGCGGTTTCCTAATCGCCGCACTCGGACAAGTGATGTACGGAGCGGCGAGTGAAATTCAGGAGAACGCAAAATGGTACATGCTCGCGGCCCGATTGATAACCGGATTGGGAACGGGCAATACGGCCGTCATGAAGGCCTACTCGGCCACGGCTTCCGCTCCGAAGGACCGCCTCAAAGCGATTTCGTATGGAATCGCCGGCACCGTACTCGGCGTCTCTTTTGGACCCGTCATTTCGGTGAGGTTCACTTGTTTTTGTGACTATGATCTCAATTTAACCGAATGCGAATCCATTCAGGCCGCATTCACTCCGATCGGCGAGAAAGGTGTGACTCTATGGATGGTCCGACTGAACATGTACACCTCCGTCGCCTACCTCATGGCGCTCATCTGCATCACCGTCTCGGCGGTCATGTTCTTCTTTTTCACCGAGGACTATGCCGGAATAATCGAGAAGGAGACTCACGACGAGAAAAGTGAGTTCGAGACAACACAATAACATGTTAGACGTGAGAGTGTTCTCAGATAATAGCACTATAATCGTCCCGAAATACGATATGATGCCAGCGTTGATTTGCATCTATCTCAACATGATCATCACGAGTATCGCTACTAATATTGAAGTGTAAGATTCAAATATTGCCTCGAGACTCACTAAATGATTCCAGAATCTCTACCCCGCTCACCACTGTTCTCTATAACTGGAAGGACTCGGACGCGATTCTCTACAACGGAATTCTCGAATTCTTTGCTTGCATTCTGGCCGTCCTTGTCAACTTTGCCTTTGCGAAATCATGGATTGGAAATGTGTACGTGCCCGGGAAACAAAAAACGATGAATCGGAATAGGTTTCTAGGGATCGAAGGCGGCAAATAGTGATCGGAATCGTTTTGTTCATCGGTTTCAACGTGGTCATTTATCCGTGGTCTTTCTATCCGGGACCACTCGATTTTCTGCCTCCAGGTTTGTTCACATTGCCTCTGTACACAGAGTTACCATATAACCCGTGAGACTACTATACCGTCTTATTCAAAATGATGTATCTCAGCTGGTTGTGATGATATCAAAAAGTGACCAACTAGTAAAATGTACAAAATGTCTTAGTGCAAAAATTTGTAGTTGACAACTTTTTGACATCTCTACAGGCAGCTGAGATATATCGTTTTGAATAAACGGTACTCGAGGTGCCGCTTTAGAGAAGTGATTCTCAAGCAAAATTCTTTTTGAACAAACGTGCTAGAAAATTAGGCTACACAGACTGTAATATGATAATTTTTACTAAAAACGATAGCTTTTTGACACTCCTTTGTTTAGGAATGAACACGAGCGAAGTGGGCGGCTGTCTGCATTCGTACACGTGGTGCAGCGGGACCACCCGAGTGCCCATGGTCCTCTACATCTTCGTCTTCGTCTTCTTCTTCGGCATCGCGTTCCCGTGTGTCGAGTCGCCCGCCTGTGCCCTCTACTCGGAAATACTGGGACCACGGAAGCAGGGGACCATGCAGGGACTGTTCACTTTCGGCGGAACCGCCACTCCTTGCATAGCTTCCATCCTTCTCACGTAAGTTTGGAAAAAAGTTCTGAAGTTGCGAACTTTTACCGACTTTGTATGGCTCTCAAGAAACTTGGTCCTTTTCAGATATCTGTTCCAACACTCTGGCTACCGGTACGTGGTCCTTTTCCAGTTCACGAGTCTCTTCATCGCTCTCCTTCTCGTCCTTTTCTACTACAATCGATTGGTTCCGTTGAAGTTGCGGGAAGTGTCGAGGGGCAATGTGAAAACCGAAGAGGACAGTCCTTTTTGAAGCTCTCATTTCCCCCGAAAAGCGGCAACAAGACACTTGTTTTCAGCAATAAAATCTGTTGTTCTCTGACAAATTAGATCAACTCTGACTCTTGATCTCCTCCCACTTTCACTCCATTTTTCCATAACATGTCAGTGCCCAATTCGTGTCTTTTACAAGCCTAAAACATGGGAAAACCCGAAAACTACACAGTTCTGCTGCAAATTCTCACTTTCATCGAGCTTCCCGTCTCTTTCTACGGCGCCTACTGCATTCTGTTCAAAACTCCGCCAAAAAGGAGCTCTGTGAGTTTCAAGGATGACGGTAGTCATTTCCAATGATTCCATTCAATTGTGGGTGCGTTGGAGTTGGAATCGGATGATATTGCAGTGAGATCAATTACAGTTTCACTTGTTTCCTGTATCTTATCATATATCATCTGTGAAACATGTGCGTGAACTGTATGTAATCAGTTTTCTAGAATAAACTGATAACAGATTGCTGATATGATATCCACACTTGCGTTCAATTCAAGATCGAGACAATGACGAAGATCGTGTGGATGCTCTTCCTCCTGCTCCTTGTCTCCGGAATTGCCTCCACAGACGCCGAAAGCATAATCGACAAGAACAACTTGATCATGTCACTCAACGGCGCTCGTCGGAAGTTCGCCGACGACCACTTCATTGCGAACATGTGGATGATGGTCAGAACGAGAAGAGAAGAAGCCTACAATATCTTCTTTTCAGAATTGGAGTGAAGATCTTGTCGCTAAGGCTCAGAACCTGACATCGGAGTGCGATAAACTGGTGACCGGACCCGATTATCGATACTTGTTTGCAAGTGAAGTATTTTTGAGCGTGAAAAGGAATCGGAGAGCCGTAGAATCGCATGATCTCGGTTCCGACGGCACAAAGTGGAGCAGAGTAAACAAAGAGAAGACGGAATCCGAGATTTCCATCGCCCAAATTCTCGATGTGATCATCGCATTCCCTGGCATTTATCTTGAAGCGTTGCTTCCAATTCAGACCCACATCGGATGTGTGCTGCACAAATGTGTGGACGACCAGCCGTTCCTCTGTCTCGTGGGACCACAGTGAGTTTTGGGAATTCGAGTGAAGCCTGACAGAAATGGATAATATAATTTCAGTGGAATGATATTGGAAGACGATGTGAAGATCGGAAAACCAGGATCCGCGTGTGAGAACGGAAGGAATGCGGGGTCGTTGTGCAGAGCTTCTAGATAGTTTCTGATGGTGAATAAAGAGAATATTACGCATGCATTCATTTTGACTATAGAGAATTAAAGTGAAAGCAATAGATTATAAGAAAAGCAGTGAATCGGAGAATGATTTGACACAATTTGATTAAATTGTGGATATAGAATGGGCTGGTAGGGCCCGGAGACATTCAATATCAACAATGAATGCAAGTAATTGATGAAAATGGGAGGTGGAAACCGGTAAGAACCGGTGAAATAGTTATATTATTTTTTCCATCAATACACCTCTAGGTGCAAACTGTCGTAGTCATCTTGTGTGAAATCGGTCGGTCCGGAAGGCGAGTAGAATCTGAAAAATGAAACGTTAACTATTGAAAAGGACAACAAGTTGGGAACTTACTGTTCTCCTTGCTCCTGGAGCACATTGACGTTTTCCTCGCTTTCTCCGGCAGTTCTGTATTCAACCTGCTCAAAATTCGTCGGTACTGGAGGCGAGTAGAATCTGAAAAATGATGCTAACTTTAAAAAGACACTATGAGTTGGGAACTTACTGTTCTCCTTGCTCCTGGAGCACATTGATGTTCTCCTCGCTTCCTCCGGCAGTTCTGTATCCATCTTGCACATAATTGGTCGGTCCTGGAGGCGAGTAGAATCTGAAAAATGATGAAACTTTAAAAAGACACTATGAGTTGGGAACTTACTGTTCTCCTTGCTCCTGGAGCACATTGACGTTTTCCTCGTTGCGCCCGGCCTCTTCATCTTGTCGCTCACCTGCCATGGGCACCAATGCGTACCTTTTACCGTTGATTTCAATGTATTTGACACCGTTGCGCCCTTCCGTCAACACTGGTCCGTTCTGCGGCTCATACTGGACTTCTGGCTGCACATTCTGCACAACGGGGATCACTTCGCAATCGTCCGGAACTTGAATCCATTCAACCGGTTCAGCATTATCCACCATCATCTGATCGGCAACATCTGCATCCACATGCTGCACTTCTTCCTGCTCATCTCCATGATCTTCCGGCATGTCGTACACCGCTTCGTATCCATCTGGCACTCCTGCAATGTCTTCGTAGTAGATCCGTTGGGCAGCAGGAGGTCCATTCGACCGACTGTTCTTGTCGAGGTACATGTCCAGCCACGTCATCTGATTGAAATGGACCCAAGTTTGGCGCACACTCGGATACTTTTGTATCTGAAACAAATGTACACATTACGAATATTTTAATTTCAAAATAACTCACCCTCACTTTCGTCTTCACGTACTTATCCCGAAGACGCTTCCAAAGAGTCGCTAGTTGAGCAACATCTTCTTTGAAGTTCATCTCGACTTTTATAGTCTCCCATGCCATTTTCCGATCCGTCACATTATGACATCCTTTGCTAACTTCATAGAGACACCGATTCTCCCGCACTTTCTTGATGAGACGCGCATTGAAAGCTTCCTTTGTGCAGCTCTGCAATGATAGGTTATCATGAAAGAACAGTTGGATCAAGACATTATATCTCAGCTGTCAATGAAGATATCAAAAAGTTGGTAACTAACGGAATGATCATTGGAAAATAGTAATCATTTTACTAGTTGACTACTTTGTGATATCTCCACAGGCAGCTGAGCTACACCATTCTGAATGAGGCTCTCATACTCACCATTGGGGTCACCGGTTTTACGGCAGAAGGTCCCCTTCCCACGATGAATGGGTCCAGGAAAGTGAAGCAGTCGAACAAGGGCGACATGGACTGACTCTTTCCCGTCTCCATATTCTTCTTGCACCGTTGGTACCGATCCCGGACGTTCTTCCACCGACTCTCCAACAATTCTATGCCGCCGCCGTGATTGATCTGTTTCGCAATGTGGCTCCACAGCTCATCCTTCAGTTGGCGATTGCCGAATTGAGGGTTCCCGCGGTCGTAGAGACACGGGTAGTTGCAGACAATGGTCGGCAGGCTAACGTAGTACATGTATCTCTCATTCATTTCTGCAAACGCGAAAGTTAATGAAGAGAAGAGGAGAGGAGAGACGAATCGAGGCAACGGGAGGAGCACGAATGAATGGACCGAATGGTTAGCTACTCTTGGAGAAGGGGTAAAAAAAATGTATAGGGGCGGAGAAAAGTTCGCATACTGTAACATAAGGGGATGTCTTAGTATTCAAATGGAAAGTTTCGAAATGGGATAAACTTGGGAAAAAGCCGAAAGGGAATGTATCAAGCTTTCTCCAAAAGTACTTGCTAGTAAGAACAGACGACTCTCCGACATTTCGATACTAACGTGAACCACTTATTAATGAATTGCACTCTGGAAGTTTACGTGGGTATACGAAAGCTGAGCACCGAAAAGTCGGAGAGCCTAGAAGACATGTTCCGAGAGGATCGGAGAGGATCGGAAGGCAACAAAGACTGACGGACCGTCTTGCACATGTTAACAATCATTTGCAATCATTTTGCAGATAGTCAGTCTCAAACAATGACAAATGAATGCGTACCAATGGGAAGAAGAGCTGTCAGTTGGAGGAGTGAAACGTGGAATGAATGATTTGACACTTATGTGGGAGGGGTATAAGATGAGAGCAGATATTCACGTTAAGCGAAGATTCGTTAAAGGTTACGACCACTGTGCACAGCTGTAAACGATACTTTGACCCCTTTGCGGAAAGTTCGTATACTGTAAACATGTAATAGACTTCAAATATAAAGTTTCGAAAAGGGATAACTTGGGAAGCAGCCGAGAAACGACTAAAGCTCTTAATTTTATAGAACAACGCATTGATCTTGGATACAAAAGGGTTCTTCGCTCCAACTAATGGATCTTCCCCCTTTGGTTTGCATTCATTTCACATTATTTGATATGTGGCAACTCATTCATTATCAGCATAATATGTAGTGAGAAGAAGATCCGTCAGTTGGAGCAAGTGTCAGCACAGAAGCGAAACGCCTTCCTCTCATCAGCAAGAAATCAACTACAGAAAGTATGATAATCTCGACGAGATCTATCCGAATATGTAACTTTCATCATCACTTTCTGATATGTTCTGGCACCGTTCCCCATTTGTTTGTACCCTGATCTTCCAATGGCGATTGATGTCTGACATACTCATTAACTTCCAATTCTCATAATCTTCTATCACTTTTTCTTCGAAATACATGCTGTTCTAGACCCACAATAGTCCTGAATTTTATGTTACGCGCAAACTTCATTTTTTTTAGTTGTTGATGAATTTTCTCCAAATATTCATCTCTTTAAAGCGTTTTTCTCTGCTTTCTACCTCAATTAGACCTTTTTACAGATTCCAGGTGAAGTAATACGCGAAGAGAAGTCGATACGATGAAAAGAAACACGTAAGTAAGTGAAAGTAAGGTTTTATTCAGAAAATATACGATTTCTCGTAAACCGTCTCTAGATTTTCGAATTTTTTGGTTTAAAAAGTTCACCTACATGACTGTGAATGTTTTCGAACGAACAAAAGTAGAGTGACAGTTCGCAGAAGCAAAAAAAAATTTTTCAACGAAATTTCACTGTTTTCCTGCGTATGTTGCGAATGCCGCGCCGTGATATACGACTATAGTAAGTTCAGGACTATTGTGGGTCTAGAATAGCATGTAATTTGAAGAAAAAGTGATGAACGACTATGAGAATTGGATGTCAATATCTTTCGGCACGACTAGATCAAATATCAACAGGTACGGTTTGCGCATTGGAAGATCAGGGTACAAACAAATGGGGAACGGTGCCAGAACATATCAGAAAGTGATGATGAAAATTACATATTCGGATAGATCTCGTCGAGATTATCATACTTTCTGTAGTTGATTTCTTCTGATGAGAGGAAGGCGTTTCGCTTCTGTGCTGATACTTGCTCCAACTGACGGATCTTCTTCTCAGTACATATTATGCTGATACTGAGTTGCCATGTATCAAATAATGTGAAATGAATGCAAACCAAAGGGGGGGAAGATCCATTAGTAGGAGCGAAGAACCCTTTTGTATCCAAAAGCATTGCGTTGTTCTATAAAATTAAGAGCTTTAGTCGTTTCTCGGCTGCGTGGGTGGGTCGCCGCGCCACCAAAATGCGAAATCGATGGTTAAGAAATGTCAAACTTCGGACTGGAATTTCAGCATCTCAGAGGTCTCGTAAGCAGCTTTTGAAAACTGGAATATAGGTTTTGAAAATCCCTTTTTCGAACTGTGTCGTTCGTTTGTGCTGGAGATAACACCGACTTAAAAGGTTCCCTTGATAGTCGTTTCTCGGCTGCTTTCCAAGTTATCCCTTTTCGAAACTTTATATTTGAAGTCTATTACATGTTTACAGTATACGAACTTTCCGCAAAGGAGTCAAAGTATCGTTTACAGCTGTGCACAGTGGTCGTAACCTTTAACGAATCTTCGCTTAACGTGAATATCTGCTCTCATCTTATACCCCTCCCACATAAGTGTCAAATCATTCATTCCATGTTTCACTCCTCCAACTGACAGCTCTTCTTCCCATTGGTACGCATTCATTTGTCATTGTTTGAGACTGACTATCTGCAAAATGATTACAAATGATTGTTAACATGTGCAAGACGGTCCGTCAGTCTTTGTTGCCTTCCGATCCTTTCGGAACATGTCTTCTAGGCTCTCCGACTTTTCGGCACTCAGCTTTCGTATACCCACGTAAACTTCCAGAGTGCAATTCATTAATAAGTGGTTCACGTTAGTATCGAACTGTCGGAGAGCCGTCTGTTCTTACTATCAAGTACTTTTGGAAAAAGCTTGATACATTCCCTTTCGGCTTTTTCCCAAGTTTATCCCATTTCAAAACGTTCTATTTGAATACTAAGACATCCCTTTATGTTTACAGTATGCGAACTTGCACAAGGGGCCAATATATATCGATTGTTTACAACCTTGCACAATAGTTGTATTCGTTCACTGTATCTTCGCTTAACGTGCACATCCGTTCCCCCTTTCCAGATAAAGTCTCCGCCCCCGTCTCCGCCCCTTTACATTTTTTTTACCCCTTCTCCAAGAGTAGCTAACAATTCGGTCCATTCATTCGTGCTCCTCCCGTTGCCTCGATTCGTCTCTCCTCTTCTCTCCTCTTCATTAACTTTCGCGTTTGCAGAGATGAATGAGAGATACATGTACTACGTTAGCCTGCCGAGCATCATCTGCAACTACCCGTGTCTGTACGACCGCGGGAACCCTCAATTCGGCAATCGCCAACTGAAGGATGAGCTGTGGAGCCACATTGCGGAAAAGATCAATCACCGCGGCGGCATAGAATTGTTGGAGAGTCGGTGGAAGAACGTCCGGGATCGGTACCAACGGTGCAAGAAGAATATGGAGACGGGAAAGAGTCAGTCCATGTCGCCCTTGTTCGACTGCTTCACTTTCCTGGACCCATTCATCGTGGGAAGGGGACCTTCTGCCGTAAAACCGGTGACCCCAATGGTGAGTATGAGAGCCTCATTCAGAACGGTCTAGCTCAGCTGCCTGTAGAGATATCACAAAGTAGTCAACTAGTAAAATGTAGAAATTCTCTCAATGAGCATTCCGTTAGTCAACTACTTTTTGATATCTTCATTGACAGCTGAGATATAATGTCTTGATCCAACTGTTCTTTCATGATAACCTATCATTGCAGAGCTGCACAAAGGAAGCTTTCAATGCGCGTCTCATCAAGAAAGTGCGGGAGAATCGGTGTCTCTATGAAGTTAGCAAAGGATGTCATAATGTGACGGATCGGAAAATGGCATGGGAGACTATAAAAGTCGAGATGAACTTCAAAGAAGATGTTGCTCAACTAGCGACTCTTTGGAAGCGTCTTCGGGATAAGTACGTGAAGACGAAAGTGAGGGTGAGTTATTTTGGAATTAAAATATTCGTAATGTATACATTTGTTTCAGATGCAAAAGTATCCGAGTGTGCGCCAAACTTGGGTCCATTTCAATCAGATGACGTGGCTGGACATGTACCTCGACAAGAACAGTCGATCGAATGGACCTCCTGCTGCCCAACGGATCTACTACGAAGACATTGCAGGAGTGCCAGATGGATACGAAGCGGTGTACGACATGCCGGAAGATCATGGAGATGAGCAGGAAGAAGTGCAGCATGTGGATGCAGATGTTGCCGATCAGATGATGGTGGATAATGCTGAACCGGTTGAATGGATTCAAGTTCCGGACGATTGCGAAGTGATCCCCGTTGTGCAGAATGTGCAGCCAGAAGTCCAGTATGAGCCGCAGAACGGACCAGTGTTGACGGAAGGGCGCAACGGTGTCAAATACATTGCAATCAACGGTGAAAGGTACGCATTGGTGCCCATGGCAGGTGAGCGACAAGATGAAGAGGCCGGGCGCAACGAGGAGAACATCAATGTGCTCCAGGAGCAAGGAGAACTGTAAGTTCCCAACTTGTTGTCCTTTTCAATTGTTAACGTTTCATTTTTCAGATTCTACTCGCCTCCAGTACCGACGAATTTTGAGCAGGTTGAATACAGAACTGCCGGAGAAAGCGAGGAAAACGTCAATGTGCTCCAGGAGCAAGGAGAACAGTAAGTTCCCAACTTGTTGTCCTTTTCAATTGTTAACGTTTCATTTTTCAGATTCTACTCGCCTTCCGGACCGACCGATTTTGAGCAAGACGAATACGGAACTGCCGGAGAAAGCGAGGAAAACGTCAATGTGCTCCAGGAGCAAGGAGAACAGTAAGTTCCCAACTCGTAGTGTCTTTTTAAAGTTTCATCATTTTTCAGATTCTACTTGCCCCCAGGACCGACCTATTTTGAGCAAGACGAATACGGAACTGCCGGAGAAAGCGAGGAAAACGTCAATGTGCTCCAGGAGCAAGGAGAACAGTAAGTTCCCAACTCATAGTGTCTTTTTAAAGTTAGCATCATTTTTCAGATTCTACCCGCCTCCAGTACCGACGAATTTTGAGCAGGTTGAATACAGAACTGCCGGAGAAAGCGAGGAAAACGTCAATGTGCTCCAGGAGCAAGGAGAACAGTAAGTTCCCAACTTGTTGTCCTTTTCAATAGTTAACGTTTCATTTTTCAGATTCTACTCGCCTTCCGGACCGACCGATTTCACACAAGATGACTACGACAGTTTGCACCTGGAGGTGTACTGATGGAAAAAATAATATAACTATTTCACCGGTTTTTACCGGTTTCCACCTCCCATTTTTATCAATTACTTGCATTCATTGTTGATATTGAATATCTCCGGGCCCTACCGACCCTTCTATATCCATATCCATATCTAAATCATTCTCCGATTCACTGCTTTTCTTATACTCTATTGCTTTCACTTTAATTCTCTATAGTCAAAATGAATACATGCGTAATATTCTCTTTATTCACTATCAGAAACTATCTAGAAGCTCTGCACAACGGCCCCGCATTCTTTCCGTTCTCACACGCGGATCCTGGTTTTCCGATCTTCACAGGTTTTTCCGCGAATGTGAGCTTTTACTCTACTTCTTTTTAGTTCGAAAACATTCTCAGAAAGTAAGTAAAATTTTTTAACCAAAAAATTAGAAAATCTAATCACTTTTTTCGAGAAATCGTGTATTTTCTGAATAAAACCTTACTCTCACTTATTTACGCGTTTCTTTTCATCGTATCGACTTCTCTTCGCGTATTACTTCACCTGGAATCTGTAAAAAAGTCTAATTGAGGTAGAAAGTGGAGAAAAACGCTTTAAAGAGATGAATATTTGGAGAAAATTCATCAACAACTAAAAAAAAAGAACTTTGCGCGTAACACAAAATGCACTGTACGCAGAGCAACACCGGCGTGCAAAAATGCACAGACTGAGGATCAAACTTTTGGTGAACGTCGCAAAAGCCGCGCCGCGCGCGTATTCAGTTGTTTGAAGGCGCCGAAAAACATGTTTGCCCGGGAAAACGATCTACAGACTGCGCGTTGGTGCACATTCGTTCCTTCATTTCCGCGTTTTACTCCTCTAACTGTCCGCTCTTCTTCCTTTCAGTGCGTATTTGCTTGTTATCGCACTGTCTCCCTAACAGAGAATTTCAGAATTGTTAATGACAGCTGTGACTTTAAATTAGCGTTTTGCCCACAAGAAAGCGCACAGTATTACACTTTTCTGTAAATTAAAGTACGGCTCCTCAAAAACTGAAATTTCTCAGTCATTTTTGCATTTTATGGGCCGTCTCTGTGCTCAAAATGACCGCCTTTGTCTGCTGAACAATTGTAAGACAACTGTTCTTCGATTCTGTCAACTGTTTTCTCAAAACTTCCGAAAGTTCGTTTTTTCAAGCCAAATTTAAAAACGAAATTACTCTTCGAATTTTCACTTTTACACGAGCACTCTGTGATCATTTTGTAGCTATCGGTCTTATGAACAAACGTGAGGCAAACGTTTTGAAGGAAAACTGCATAATCCGAAAAACTCGGATAAACATCGTTTTCAGTTGAAAAACCGTGTCCCGTAAATCGACACTGAGAGCCGCACGCAAAAAAAAACGCGCAAACATTTTTTTTTCGCCGAAGGGGAGACAGTGTATTTTTTGAAAGTGATAATCTCCAAAATGATTACAAATGAATTGTCTCATGTGGAAGAAGGTCCGTCACTTTTCCTTGTCTTTTTATTCTCTCCGAGCATTTATTTTTGGTCTTTCCTAAAATTCCGAAATTCGCTACTTCGGCATGTCCTTTTAATAACACAGTATACGCACTTGCACAAGGGCTAACATTAATCGCTTAACGTGCACATCCGCTCGCTCCTCTAACAATAAGAGTCGCTAACCATTTGGTCCATTCTTTACTGCTCCTCCCGTTGCCTCGATTCGTCTCTCCTCTCCTCATCTCCTTCTTCATTAACTTTCGTGTTTTGCAGAAATGAACTACAAATACCAATACTATGTACACCTTCCGCGCATCATCGTCAATTACCCCTGCCTATACGACCGCGAGGACCCTCACTTCCGCAATCGCCAACTGAAGGATGAGCTGTGGAGCCACATTGCGAAAGAGATCAATCACGTCGGCAGCGTAGAATTGCTGGCGAGTCGGTGGAGGAACATCCGGGTTCGGTACCAACGGTACAAGAAGAATATGGAGACAGGAAAGAGTCAGTCCATGTCGCCCTTGTTCGAGCATTGCACTTTCCTGGACCCATTCATCGTGGAAAGGACACCTTCTGCCAGCACACCGGTGACCCAAATGGTGAGTATGAGAGCCTCATTCAGAACGGTCTAGCTCAGCTGCCTGTAGAGATATTGAAAAGTAGTCAATTAGTAAAATGGTTACTATTTTCTAATGATCATTCCGTTAGTTACCAACTTTTTCATATCTTCATTGACAGCTGAGATACATTGTCTCGATCAAACTGCATTTTCAATGGAGCCTATCATTGCAGAACTGCAAAAAGGAAACTTTCAATGCGCGTCTCATCAAGAAAGTGCGGGAGAATCCGTGTCTCTATGAAGTTAGAGGATGGAACTATGTGTCGGATCGGAAGATGGCATGGGAGACTCTAAAAGTCGAGATGAACTTCAAAGGAGATGCTGATCAACTAGTGACTATTTGGAAGCGTCTTCGGGATAAGTACGTGAAGACGAAAGCTGAGGTGAGTCACTTCAAGATTTGAAGATTTGGAACATAACCATTCGTTTCAGATGCAAAAGTATCCGAGTGTGCGCCAAATTTGGGTCCATTTCGATCAGATGGCGTGGCTGGACAAGAACAGTCGATCGAACGCACCTTCTGCTGCCCAACGGATCTACGACATTGCAGGAATTCCAGATGGATACGAAGCGGTGTACGACATGCCGGAAGATCATGGAGATGAGCAGGAAGATCATGGAGTTGTGCAGGAAGAAGTGCAGCATGTGGATGCAGATGTTGCCGATCAGATGATGGTGGATAATGCTGAACCGGTTGAATGGATTCAAGTTCCGCACGATTGCGAAGTGATCCCCGTTGTGCAGAATGTGCAGCCAGAAGTCCAGTATGAGCCGCAGAACGGACCAGTGTTGACGGAAGGGCGCAACGGTGTCAAATACATTGAAATTAACAGTGCAAAGTCAATGCCCATGGCAGGTGAGCGACAAGAAGAACAGGCCGGGGGCAACGAGGAGAACGTCAATGTACTCCAGAAGCAAGGAGAACAGTAAGTTCCCAACGCATAGTGTCGCTTTAAAGTTAACCTATCATTTTTCAGAATCTACTCGCCTCCCGCATCGACCAATTTTGTGCAAGATGGATACGGAACTGCCGGAGAAAGCGAGGAGAACGTCAATGTGCTCCAGGAGCAAGGAGAACAGTAAGTTAACTCACTGTCCTTTTCAATAGTTAACGTTTCATTTTTTTTAGATTCTACTCGCCTTCCGGACCGACCGATTTCGCACAAAATGACTTCGAAAATGTGGAGGTGTACTGATGGAAGAGACAATATAACTATTTCGCCAGTTCTTACCGGTTTCCACCTATTTTCATCAATTTCTAGCGTGCATTTTTGATATTGAATGTCTCCATTTAATCAAAGTTTGTCAAACCATTTCCCGATTCATTGTATCATCATACCCCACTGCGTTTACTCTAATTCTCTAATGACGTAATAATTCAATGTGTAATATTCTCTTTATTCACTATCAATCTATCTCGTGCTGGTCGTGCTGAACATTGTAGGTGTTCAATAGGTGTACCATGTTACATGTAGGACAATAGCATGAGTGTTCTGTGAGATGATTCATCTAACCATGGTCCTGACAAGAAAGAACATGCATCTTTCACTTTAACCTGAAAATGCATCTTCTCCCACGTTTTCTCTGTCTTTTTTGTGTTACTCTATCCATGAATATCACAATTGACCCTACCGCGACACTCGAATATTTCAATGAGAGAAGAGCCAGATATGCGAAGAAGTATGAAGTGGCGAACATGTGGAAACTGGTGAGTGCCCTCTGAAATCTATAAAATCGGGTCTTTTCCAGGAATACGACGAGGGACTGGCCTCGAAAGCGGCACTTCTGGACGTGGCGTACGCCGAAAAAGGAGCCGACTACCGGCTGCTTTTCCACTCGGCCGATGCGTTGGCCAGTGCGTACGAGCAGTATCTGGAGACGGTCATGTCGTTTCTGAAGGAGAACGAGCCGGAAATGAGGGCGGACGCGTGGCGACGAGGCGACAGAGACACGCTGTTCAGCATGGAAGTGTTCGTGTGCGGCCAGACGAGAGTGGGCTGTGCTCCGTGCTCGCCGACCAAATGCAGACGCGGACTGCGCGACTCCAAATCGAGAGAATGGCGCTGGCTCAGTTGGGATGCGATCTGTTTGATCGGACCTGTGTGGGTGGTCGGACGAATTCTTCGGTTGAACAAAGATGTTATGGTTTCAGGACGAATGTGACTGAATTGAGAGAAGAAACGGGGGAGCCAGGGACAATGTGTGGAGACGGAACGAAAAGTGACAACGGATTGTGTGTCCGAGGATGAAACGACATTGTTACAGTATCAAACGTTTCCCCATGAATCAGAATCACATGTACTTTTTGTATTTGAAGTGTCTGAGACACTCTAAACATCTTTTTTACGTGTTCTGACCTTCTGAGTCGTGGCTTTCCGTGACCCTTAGTTCCTTAGGATCTTCCAGTATTCATCGAGAAGGACAAGAATGCAGCTTCCACTCACTCTTCTTCTTCTTCTTCTTGGAATCTTCCTTCTGCACAGTAAGTACCATCTTTCTTTCATGAACTTGAGCCAAATTTGTAGCATGTACCGTATCGAGTGCTCCGCTGGAATCCGCAAGCGTCAAAATAGATCTGATCGCGAAGATGAATCAGATAAGAGCCAAGTGGGCGAAAAGCAACAACGTGACGAACATGTGGAAACTGGTATTCTTCCTAACATCATCCTTCAGAACTCTTCCAACTCCTCTCACTTTTCAGGAAAACGACAAGGATCTTGAGGCGAAAGCAAAGCAGATCTTCAAAGAGACCGGATGTGATGGCATGCGCCCCGGAGACAACTATCGTGCTTTCCCATTTTTGAGTGATGTCTATGGAGACCAATACGAGTCGGTCTTGTTCGCCGCGTTGGCGGAATTGGAGAAGTTCGCGTTCAAGAAAGGAGTCCAAGTGCTCAGAAATATGGAATTGAACACCGGTTTCGCGCTGGAGCTCAGCAATGCTCTGCAGAAAAAAGTGGGATGTACAGTCGGGCAATGCAAGGGATGGCACGTCGATCCGAGGGACGATAGACGGCTCCCGTGGTCGTTCTCCATGTTTTGCATCATTGGTCCTCAGTGAGTCTTCTTCTTTTTCCTTCAGTTACCCTTCGGATCCACTATTAAAGGACCCGACTTCTTGCCGATGATCAGCCGGGACCGGAGTTCCTTTGGTACGGTACGGAGAAGGGCGAACCGGGGACCAAGTGCGGGGAAGACGGAGTTGGCGACGAGGAGGGTCTTTGTGTTGCAAAGTAATGACTATATTGAACTGGGTATTAATCGGAAATAAAGTTTGAAATTGTTAGTTCAGAAGGACACTCAACGCCGTCTATTTAAAGCAAAATATCTCAGGTGTCGGTTGAGATATCAAAAAGATTTTAACTAGTAAAATGTATAGAATTTCTTAGTGAACAATTTTTCAGTTGATAACTATTTGATATCTCTACCGGCAGCTGAGATACAGCGTTTTTGGAGTGTGCAGCTCTATTGCTGTTTGGGGACCTCCTCAAGTTCCAAGTACTTTTCGAATAGAGAAACTGTCTAGAAAGACTGCCACGTAATCTCTCAGTTACCGTAACGCCACGTGTCGGTTGTTGTCACGTGGACTCATGACCTTACTGATAGGAGCAACTGAAAAGAAAACTCGAAAAAAAAAGTTCGCACTTGACCAGTTCTCAAACAGTTTGCAAATTCAATCTCATCGAAACAGAAGATGAAAACGTCTCTCCTTCTTCTTCTTTCTCTCTTTCTCGGAATCATTGCTGTTCACGGTAAGTGTTGTTAAGGACAAGAAATATACTTTTAAGACAACCAATATTCCAGAAGCCTCGCCTCCTTCTGGCTTCAACATATCCAAATTCTATGATGAGCTTAACAGGAGAAGAGTCAAGTTGGCGACGGCCTACAATATTGGAAACATGTGGAAACTGGTGAGGTGTCTCCGGATAACTGTTGTGAACCGATAAGGGACTGTTAAGAAGCGCGACGTGATACTCGAATACAAATCGAAGCTGATCGCGGCGAAAGGATGCCACGTGGCGGTCGTCGGCAACGGATTCCGTGCTTTTCCGTATGGGGGCAACAAACCGGCGTTCCTCTACAATCAGTTTATCAGCCGATTTCTTAGTGAATGGGAGAAGAAGGACTTGAAAGTCGGACTAAAGGCGTTGAAATTGATGGAAGCGAGCAGTGCGTTCGGCGAGGAGTTGATGCATCCGCTGCAGAAACGAGTCGGGTGTGCGGAGACGGAAAAGTGTCAGGGAAGCTACGTGGATCCGGTGTCGAACAAGAATATGACTGTGAAATGGTCGTACGTCTGTTTGGTCGGACCCGAGTGAGTTTGGGCTTGGAACAATCGAGAACTACACTAGCTATTGTAGGACCAAGCTTCTGGCCAACAAGCAATCGGGACGTTCTTACGTGTATCGTGGCGTCAAGCACGGAGCCGTGGGATCAAATTGCGAACATGGTGTTTCCGACCAGCAAGGACTGTGTGTGTGAACAATAAACGGTTTTGATTCATGAACCTCTGTCTTCTTATCGATTCAGAGAGTTCACTCGGCCGAGAAGGACCAATTTTGAATGCATATATCTAGGTCAGAAGACGTCGTATCGGTTTGAAAATGTTTGTGTCAAATCTTCATACCTAGAGCATCATTTTATCAGTTGACGACTTTTTTGTACCACCTTTCCCACAACTACTGTAGCTCTTGAAAGTTGGCTCACGTGCTACAGTAGCCCAACTGGGAAAATGAAGTTTTGGGTATAAAGATGTTGAAGATGTCTAGTGTACACATTCAGAACTAGATAATATTCGAATTCTGACGCGTTCCAAACAGAAAACCCATTTTTTTGACCTCCGAATGAACTGGAACGTAAAAGGTCACTATGACAATGGTCCCTCACAGTTTAAAACCGAAAAGCCGAAAAATGAAGCCGGCTCTTCTTCTCCTTCTCCTCGCCTTCACAGCTTTTCAGTTAGCGCTATGCGATCGTGAGTTTTTTCAAAAAATTTCGCAACAGAAACAAAATGCAAGATTTCAGGGAACTTTCCATCAATTTTCACAGGCGAAATGTGTCGGTAACTTGCCATATTCACCTTGACTTTTTCGGTTTTTTCAGCCGATTTCAATATCGAAACTATTTCCAAAGCGAATTCGATTCGAAGGGAATACGCGAAGAAAAACAACGTGGCGAACATGAATAAACTGGTAGGGGAGCACTTTTTGAGAACGTTTTTCTCCAAAATAACTTTAGACTATGAGCTTCCACCTGATAACCATTGCTCAACGACTGGCTCCGGAATGCGAAAAAGTCCGTCCCGGCTCCATTTACCGTTACGTTCTTCTGAAACCGGATGCGGCAGCGGCGGCGCATGAGGAGAATTTGAAACTTTATCTGGATTATACTTATGCTCGAAATAGACCGCTTTGGAACGAACGGGTCCGGAGCATGGAGCAGGACACCGCCTATCATCTCGAGTTTTTGGTCGCCGAACAGCGACAAATCGGATGTACTTTTGCAAATTGTACGAGGACCGTCAGGGATGAGCAGACGCTCGAGTATACTACCATCAACTACGGAGCATTGTGCTTGCTCGGGCCTGAGTGAGTTTGAAGCCGAAGTATCTCAGCTGCTTGTAGAGATTTCAAAAAGTTGGCAACTCATGAAATGTACACAATATCTTGATGAATAATTTGTTAGTTGACGACTTTTTGATATCTCATTCCGTTTCTGAGATGTATCAAGATTTGGAGGCGTTGCGCAGAAAACGGAGACATTGTCGGTCTATTCTTAACTTTCAATAGCCAGCTCAGAGGCGTCTTACAGTCCTTTCAAGCTCTTCTTTGAAATTGCCTTTTCCAGACGCCTCTTCCAAGGGGACCGTCCGAAATGGTACGCGTTCGACGAGAAGAAGGGCGATCCGGGGTCCGCGTGTCTTCAGGGACTCGTCAACGACGACGGACTCTGCGTGCTGCCGCCTCCGCAACGTGGCGTCACCAGAATTCCCAAACCGACGTACATCCCTCCGAGTACTGCTCCGCCGGGCACCGCGCCCACAAAACTCGGTCAGTTTTCGGATGAATCGTTCGAAAAACCCCGTTGTTTTGTGTAGAGACCGATGAGATTAACGATTTCTTCCTTTTCAATGAGTTGCGACGGAATTGGGCTCGAAACAACGGAGTGTCGAACATGTGGCGAGTGGTAAGAATCTGAAGACGTCGTGCTGCTTTTTACCAGTTGACAACCTTTTTGTGCCGCCATTTCTAAGACTACAGTAGCTCAAGTCGTCACTGATTTCAGTTATTTATCAACAACTCTGTCTTTTTTCTAGGAGCCCGACTATGATCTGCGTCTCAAAGCGCAAAAATTGGCGGCGGAGGACTGTGAGAAAGTTTGGCCGACCGAGAACTATCGCTATTTTATGAGACATACGGATAAAACGAATAAAGAAGTGGCCGCCGCGACGCACGAGATCTTCAAGACGAAGATCGACACGATTCTCCACGAGTGGGACCGCAAGGAGTTTGAAAATGCAATCTTCCGGCTCGAGGAACTCGACCGGGACACCGCCAGCGTCATGGAATTCCTCATTGCGGAGCAGAGAGACTTTGGATGTGCCTCGGCGTCGTGTGCTCGGACGGTCCTCAATCCGAAGACTTTGGAGTATCAGACGATCGAATACGAGAATCTTTGTCTCTTCGGACCCAGGTATGATGGTCCCTCACCGACCACCAATCACAATATCCTTTGGTTGCAGCGGAAAACTGATGGCCAATCCGCCGTACAACTATAGTCGGACCCTGCCGCCGTTCAATCAGAAATACGGAGAGTTGGCGTCGGATTGTGGTCCCGATGGAATCAAAGAACCGAAAGAGGACGGAGGTGTGCTGTGCGTCCGCAAAATTCCCCGCATTTCGATCGAACCGCGGAAACCGGTGGCTCAGGCGCTCGTTATGATCGAACCGAAGATGGAGATGATCCAGATTACCGCCGTCTCGGAGCATTCTCTCAACTGGCGTCTCGTTGCGATTCTTGTGTGTTTGGCTATAATGAACTGAATGTGTTTATGATTCCTTCCCTCCATTTGCTTCCCTGAAAGTCATCCAGATTCTGCAAAGTTTCGATTGCAACCTTGTATAACATTGTGACACTCCAGTACCATTCATTCAGAGCTTTGTATCTCAGCTGCCTGTCAAGATATCAAAAAGTGGTCAACTGACAAAATGTACACAATTTCTCAGTGAACATTTCATTAGTTGACAACTTTTTGATATCTTCACCAACAATTGAAATATTTAGAATTGAAGAAACTGTACAGTAGAACATTCGGGAAAAAGTGTTAAATGTTTAGAATTTCCGATCCCGAGCGCATACAAATTACAAATTCCCGCCAAAATTGAGTAGAACGCACTTTCCGAATCCTTTTTTCTGTAAATAGGTCATCTTTTGACAAAAACATTGTGATAAACATCTTGTTATTCTGCAAGTAAATGTTTCATGTTTTCCCAAACAAACCATCCGATTTCACGATTGTGAAGTGACCAGACATCCAATGTTTCAAAGTTATTCTGCAAAGAAGAGTGTGACGTGTAAGAGAACGACGTTCCAGTTGTACCGTCCATTCAAACCAGTACATCTCAGTTGCCCGTAGAGATATCAAAAAGTTGTCAACTGATAAAATGTAGACAATCTCTTGATGAACACTTTATCAGTTTACAACTTTTTCATATCGCCCACCAGTATTCGATTTTTGAGAAACAGTAGTGTGAGGGAAAGCGCGCGAACTGCTCCCGAACATTACACATTCTCTTCCATCAGAACATCATGCCTGCAAACTTCAGCTCATGCTTCACAGTCCTGAACGAGTGGCGCCGTCCGATATCCATGCATTTTCCACTCGCGCATCCTGAACTCTGAAGGTACACTCGGACAAGGAGTCCGCTAATCTTGCACCTCCATCAAATCGCTCCTGAAAAGTGAAGCCTTCTGCAAAACAAAACTCGACCACGACCATGGAAGAGATAGTCGAAAAAACAAACAATCAAAGCGGAAAAGGCCGTCACACTTTTACTTTTACGGTGAACTCTGGCCAATTGCACAACTCCTCGAACTTGGTAATCGATCGATTGGAGCCTATAAAAGATGCGAAATTATCATCAATTCACTTTTTTTAAAAGTTATTCTCATTCAAAAACGTAGCATGCGCCCATTTGTAACAGTTTGAGTTTGTTGGCGCCGGCTCTGAAAACCATCAAGATTCTGTCATTGTTTTAGTGATTTTAGAGTAGAAGAAAAGACGCACAGACTTGCAAACACACACAAAAACCCGAAACTTGCAAAATGGCATCACGGTTTGACGGTGAAATTTGGGCAACAACATGAATCGTCTCGGGACCTACCGGAAACCTCTGTGTAAACGGCACGAACAAGTGGATCCTTCCGATGGTTGTGTGTTTGATTATATTTGATTTTTTAGTGCGTGCAAGTAGTAATAGAACACTTTTACGGTGACTTTTGGCTAGCCAAATAAACTGCGATGTACCTCAAGGACACGGCGTCGCAACCAGGAGCACGAGGACAATCCGTCTCATCCTATCTTCCGGTGATCGATTGATTGGAGCTAAAAAAAGGTGCTCTTTTCAATTGGGAAAGCAAGAATTGAATCAAGCTAACGGGTGACACCAGAGGATGGGGGGACATCCGATCATAATAGTTTCGTGTGACGTACCGAGTAGACTCCATCTCTTTGTATCTGTGGAAACGGCGGGAGCAACTCGGTCTCGGCTGGCTCTTTCCTAAAATTTCACATTTCCAATTGATTCGCTCAATGTGATGAGCAAAAAAAGTCGATTAACTCGAGCGATAATTGGTTGAATTACGCACCTGACTTCATTGTGGCCGAGTCTCCGAAGTTCTCATTCCACTCGATACTCAGCGACGTATCCGTGAGTTATATCTGAAAATGAGCGGGTTTTCGTCTTGAAATTCTCTCTCAACTCACCGTATCCTTTCTCGATCCTTCCCCAGTGAAGCCGCTGGCGGTTGTTCCGGTCGGACCGGCAACGGGCCATTCTCAAGTGAATCGGAAAGAAGAGACGCAGGGCGCAGGTCACTTAGGTCAAAACGGCGGAGTGTCGTAACCAATCAATTGAGTGTATGTTTTGTTTTTGTTGATCGACCGAAAAAAGACTACAATATTCATTGAACGTTTCCGATTGCTAACCACGGTGGTCCGACGGGACCGGGGGCCGAACTTTCTCCCTCTCCTCACTGCAAGGACCGTGTGTTTTGCAGGCAGTTGTTGCCACATGATTTGATCTAAACGTAAACATGATTTCATGTTTGTGAGATGACCACACACCCAATTGTTCGATAAACAACATTCGCCAGTTATTATTTAAGGGTCTCCTGACTTTTTTCCTCAACAACATTATTTCACGATGCTCTGCCTTAACATTGCGTCTATTTTTGTCTTTCTTGCAGGTAAATCAAATCAAATGCCTTTAAAAAAATTCAAAATCTATTACAGTTCCCGTCCAAACCGACTTTTTTCTTCGCGACAAACGAGAAGCCGAAAAGGATCACATCCTAAAAGTGATCAATGAGGAGAGAAGAAAAAGTGCAAAGGCGCACAACTTTGCGAACATGTGGAAAGTGGTAGGAACATTCAAAATACCAACAAAAAAGCATTTCACTACTTTTTTCATAGGAATGGAGTGAGGATTTGATGAGACTGGCTGAGGAAATGGAATGTCAAGAAGCAATTGGAAGGAACTATCGATGGTTTCTGTACGGTTCCGATTTCAATGAATATTTGGGAATCCCGAATGACCATGGCTTGAAATCGACCTTGAAAGGTGTCAACAAACGGGTCATCGGAACGGGCGAATCTCTGATGCCTCCACAGTCGAGCATCGGATGCGTTCATCGAGGAAAGTGTGGAAAGGAGGAGGTTCTCTGCCTGATAGGGCCATAGTGAGTTGTTTTGACAAATTGCGATTTGAACCATTAAACAGAGCGTCAAAAGTTAGATCATTTCTCTTAAAAATCATTTCAGGACCAGCACCAAAAGTTATGCATCTTTGGACACCTATATCTTGAGAACCACATCTTTTTTCAAAAAACGTGCAACTGAAAAGTTGTTGCAAATTTTGTGCTAAACAACTTTGTAAATGACAATTTTATTCCAAAACCGGTCAATCTTTGGATATTACCGTGTTTCTAAGCGCGTATCTTTGTTTTGTCGCTTGCGCGTTGCCCTGATGGATACTGCCTAAAAATCAGACTATAACTCAAGAAGGACGGGTTTTGGACTAACATGATTAACTACGAAGTTGTTTAGCACAAAATATATCAAAACTTTTTAGTTGACCACTTTTTGAAATAATCATTGGATCTCGAGATACAAGTGTCCAAAGATAAGGAGATTTTTAAAGTAGGGCGATGAAAATTACTTGCCCTAATTATGATTTTTGAGTAAAATTATGTATCTAATGTAACTTTTTTGTTCTATCTAATGATACTAGTAGTTTCTATACTAAACAAAACGTTTAGCTCGACGTTCACTGCTTCTCAAATCAAGGATGGACCCGCCGGATCGGAATGCGGAAGGAGCGGACAAAACGAAGACGGACTGTGCTCCACGGCTCCGGATATTCCAATTTACATCTATCTATTGACTGTTTTTTATGTTTGTGCTTCTATTTTAAGTGAATATAAACATTGATATTGATAATTTGGGTCTAAAAGCATACATGTTTGACAAAAATGAAAACCTTCTTTCAAAGCTATGTATCTCAGTTGTCTGCGAAGATACCGAGAAGCAGTCAACTAATAAAATTTACAAAATCTTTCAGTGAACAATTCATTAGTTAACAACTTTATGATATCTTCACAGGCAACTGAGATATATCGTTTTGAATAAACTGCATTGGGCGAGTTTCTGTTAAGCACGGATGTCTTTGTTTTTCCCTTATTTTCGTGACATCCTTGACATCTAAAATCGGAGAAACTGATAAGAACACGTGGAAACCGATAATCAGTTTCTTTAAAAGATTAGAGAATTGTCCATTTTTCCGACTATCAGTGAAAGTTTCCGTCATCCGAACAACCTTCAGTCAACAATGAAGATTCTTCTCGGAATCCTTTCAATCTTCCTCCTGTATGGTGCATCAACCGTCACGGGCACAGGGATTCGTGAGAAGCGCTTTAGCAAGGACAAGGATCTCGATCATTTGAACGGTCTGAGGAAGGAAGTGGCCAAGAAGCACAACGTTGCGAACATGTACAAATTGGTGGGTGCACCAACAATGGGACCCGACGTTTCGAGACTGCAACGCCTCGATTCCCACGTGATCCTAAGTAGTTCGGGATAGTTGCGAAACGTCGGGGTGTCCCGGCAACAGCCAGAATCCATTCAGAAGTGGAATGACAGTCTCGCGGAAGAAGCGAAAGATTTGCAATGTGGCAAAGCGGGCGAAAGGTTGAGCTGGTTTAATGCACCGAATCGCGCCGAGCTGGACAGACTGGTGAAGGCGCTTGCCGACAATATCAAACTGAGAAAGACGGTTTCGAATGGATTCTTCACGACATTCTCGAGCAATCAGTTGAGCGCATTTTATGCGCTCGTTCCGGGACAGACCGAGATCGGATGTGGAACCACCAGTTGTCGCGGGAAGGATATGGAGATGTGCTACGTTAGCCCAGTGTGAGTTCTATCTTCAACTTGACCTTTCCTCATCCATTTCACGTTCAGGTATGGCTACTTACCAGACATTTTCAAGGAAGGCGCCCCGGGATCGGCGTGCGGAAGTGATAAAGCTGAAGACGGAGTGTGCATTGCCTCCGCCGCTTCTGCGCTCTCGGCTGTAGGAATACGGAAATCCCTTCTCCTTCCCTTTTCCACTGCCCTTTTTGTCTTGTTTCTGTACTTCTGAATAAATGACTAAATCTACATTACACTCTTTTTAGCTTCCATATCGACTTTATTGATAAGATAACAAGAAACAAGATCTCAGACGAGAGTAAACGAGTGGCCGGGCTTCGAGAGCACATTCCTCATCTCGATGCGATCGTACTGTTTTTGTTGGATGATGGCAATAGTGAAACGGACGAGCAGAACTGAAATTGTGCAGTTTTGTGTAAAAGAGCAAGATCTTAAACTGGCTAAACTCACTGGCGCTAAGGAAGCCGTAAATGAGGGCCATCCAGCCGGAATCATTGTTTGGCTGCATTGCCTGATAGTGGAAAAGAATGATCATGACGACGGAATGATCATGGCAGTGGAAAAGAATGATCATGACGACGGAATGATCATGGCAGTGGAAAAGAATGATCATGACGACGGAATGATCATGACGACGGAATGATCATGGCAGTGGAAAAGAATGATCATGACGACGGAATGATCATGGCAGTGGAAAAGAATGATCATGATGACGGAATGATCATGGCAGTGGAAAAGAATGATCATGACGACGGAATGATCATGGCAGTGGAAAAGAATGATCATGACGACGGAATGATCATGGCAGTGGAAAAGAATGATCATGACGACGGAATGATCATGGCAGTCGAAAAGAATGATCATGACGACGGAATGATCATGACGACGGATTCGAGCAAAAGCACTGATGCATGACGGGAAATGAACACGATGTGCGAGTGGACATCCGCGGAAGTTAGGAACCACCGGATCGGGTTGTGCCTACCGGATCCTCTACAATGAAATCGTAATCAGTCGAATCTAATCAGTTGTGAAGATAACCTCAAAACTGATAAAAACTGATAAGAATTTCCCATAAAAGCCGGAAAATTCGTAAACTTCAACACCTCAAAATGAGATCGTTCTTCGGGATTCTGGCAATCTCTCTTCTTGTGCTCAACTCCGCGTCGGCCAGTCCGATCCGATCGAAACGGATGCCCATCTCGGAAGTCATCCAATTTGTGAACGGAGTCAACGAGGCGCGGAGACAGGCGGCCAAGTCATTGAATGTTGCGAATGTCTGGAAAATGGTTTGAGGTGTGAATGTAACATTTGGGCAATATTATCAATTTCCAGCAATGGAATGACGTGCTCGACACGAAGGTGCAGGCGATCGCGTCGAGTTGCTCGGACATTGCGAGTATCCGCGTGGGCAGCGACTACCGCTACATGAAATTGGAGGGTACGGACATGAGCGCACAGGCAGCCCAGCTCGAGATGCTCGGAAAGATTTCGGAGCAGAGCGAAGAGGCCAGAAAGGCCGCACTGAAGCACATCGACGAGAATCCGGGCTCGGTGATCGAGCTCGGCATTCCGGAACAGTCGAGTTTCGCGTGCGTCGAGTACAATTGCGGCCAGCAGAGTCTGCTGTGTCTTATTGGGCCCGAGTGAGTGTCTAAAAGGTGCTGGAACTGAGCAAACGTGTGTTCAGAAGCTCGCTGATCAACACGGACGTCAAACGGGGAATCGCCGGGACCGAGTGCTGGAGCGGCAAAAGCGAAGACGGACTATGCATTCAGTGAACGCTTTGGTATTTATTGAGTGATAAAGATTCATTTATGATTGCAATGACTCAACAAAAATACGAAAATAAATAGCATTTGTACCTATATACAGACATGATAACAATTGGTTGATCCATTGGTTCCTAGGACTTGGTAACAGTGACGGCTGAAAAGATTTGTTTAGGTCACACATTCAAATGTACAGTAATCGGGTCTTACTGTAAGTGACTCCCTCGTCGAGCGTGGCTCCCGCGTCCTTCGTCCCATCTTCGTACTCGTAGCAATCGGTGTCCTTCTTCTTCTTCGATCGATTGTACTTGGTCGTCGACTCGCCAGACTCGGACTCCTCCCCAGATTCTCGTTTCTTACGGCTTGACGCAGTGTCACTGGTTCCATCGACTGAAAAAAAGATGTCGAAAAGGGTTAGATAGTCTTGAAACTGACCATAGAACTTGCAGTATCCGTGCTGAACCTCGCGCTTCGGCATGTGTGGAGCACACGCGAGGGCGACGGCCAAAAGCGCGAAAAGGACGATCAGGGAGCGAAGGGAAAGCATGGTTCCGATGCGATTGACACAAAGTTTACGCGGCTTTTATACTTTTCCTTTTGCCCCCCGCAGCCGCCGGGGGGAACCCGTCAACCTTGGACTTCTTCTAGATCGTCTGTGTACCTTTCGACGTCACCAACACAAATCAGACACGCGGAGGAACATTGCGATCGATCATCTTGTGATGGCAATGAATCTGTCGCCGTCTTATCGAATGATCATAGAAAACGATTTTAGTCTTCTCACCGTATTATGTCACAAACTAGCATAAGCCTACGCGCTACGTTGCGGTGTGATAATATTCAAGTTTTTTGGGCTAGATCTATGTGTGCCAAAGATGGCTATTATCGATCGGATCTCACGTTATCAATTTCTTAATCAGTAGCACAATGAAAATGATTCATTTTTCAATTCATTTTGCCAAAAATTAACTGGACATTTGTGATTTGGTGTGGAACTCTGTTCGCCGGTAACGACAAACTTTCGAGTCGCTTCAAACTTTCAAACTTCCTCCTACAGCTCACTTCGCGCTGGCCGCCATTGACAAGGATAAAATTGTGACGGACGTCAACTGGTTGCGAAATAAATGGGCGAAATCCGAACAAGTGGCGAGCATGTGGAAAATAGTGGGATCACTGGAAACGATCAATACTTGATCGTACTGTGTTTTTTAGCAATGGAGTGAGGATTTGGTCAAGAAGGCCGACGCGTTGAAGTGTTCGGAACTGAAACCGGGCACAGATTACCGTTACCTAATGGTGAAGGATGGCGGCGAATTGAGGAACGTGGCAGAATTGAGAGAAATTGTGGACTTCCACAGAACGAAACCAATGGCTGAACGCGAAAGAATCTTTGAAATGAGCGAAGAGTCGAACGCAGGCCTTCGTGAAGCGGCGCTTCCGGCTCAATCGAGGATCGGATGTGTGGAGAAGAAGTGCGAATTGCCTGTTCTTTGCTTGTTCGGGCCTCAGTAAGTTGGATCGAAACTGTATGAAAAGTGGCTCATAATCATAATTTCAGCGGTTCTATGAAAAAGACAGCCGCGCAGACGAAGCGAGGAGCGGCCGGATCGGAGTGTGGACATGGGACCAAGGAGGACGGACTGTGCTCGGATTCTGGAAACATTCCCTTCTTCGTTTCGATTGCGGTTCTGTTCATGAGTATTGTGTTGAATTTCTGAACGAATAAAATGATTTATCATGGACCAAGAGGATTCTCGCAAAAAACGTGGATCCTATCGATTAATAGACAGTTTCATACTCTCATCACTTTGCCACACAAAGTCCGTGCTTGTCGCCAACTCCATCTTCCCCGCACTTGGTCCCCGGTTCGCCCTTTCTCGTACCGTACCACGCGAACTCTGGTTCCCGCTGATAATCGGCAAGAAGTCGGGTCCTACAATAGTGGATTTATGAGGAAATCCGTACGAAAACTCACTCGGGACCAATGACGCAAAGCAACGCGTACGCCAACGGAATCTCTGTCTTCTGGTCCAACGGATCGCGCATCAATCCTCGGCACTGCGCGCGCGTACATCCCACTTTTTTCTGCAGAGCATTGCTGAGCTCCAGCACGAAACCGGTACTCTTTTCCATTTTTTTGAGCATCCTCACTCCTCTCTTGAATGCCGATGTCTCCAATTCCGTCAACGTGGCAAACAAGACGGACTCGAATCGGTCCCCGTACGATTCGGCCAAAAATGGGAATACACGATAGTTGTCTCCGGGACGCATGCCATCACATTCGGTCTCTTCGAAGATCTGCTTCGCTTTTGCCTCAAGATCCTTGTCGTTTTTCTGAAAAGTGCGAGGAGTTGGAGGAGTTCTGAAGGATGGCGTTAGGAAGAATACCAGTTTCCACATGTTCGCCACGTTGTTGCTCTTCGCCCAATCGGCTCTTTTCTGGTTCATCATCGCGATCAGACTTGTGGTTTGCATCGAACCGCCCGATACGGTACATGCTGCAAGTTTAAGTGCTGAATATCGGAAAAAAGTGGGTGGACTCACTGTGCAGAAGGAAGATTTCAAGAAGAAGAAGCCTCATTCGTGTGATCAGCAACTGGAAAGTCGTAGCAACTGAAAAGACTGTAAAAGCCACGACGACTAAAGAGAGGGAAGGTTAGAGAACACGTAAAAAAAAAGATGTTGAGGGTGCGAAAGGTGCACTCATGTATAATATTTGAGTGTCAACAAGAGATTTTGTGTTTTAGGGTATCGCAGAACATGGCAAGTTCCATGTTCCATGTGTTTATCGTGAAACCGAGCTGGCCATGAACATGGACTGTGACGGATGTTGTTGCTGAACCGTGAACGTCTTCTTGTTGGACCTGCCGGCCGACGCACTGATTGTCGCGACGAAGACGGTGGCACGCGAGGTGAAGAGCCAAGTACGGAACTCGCGGTTGAAGATTATGATGACCGCGCTGAAATTCGGATTCATAAAACGAAGGAAATCTTTCAAGCCAGAGACTTACGGATCGAAAATCATGAGGAGATTGGAGGAGAAAGTGGTTGTGAAGAAGAGTTTCCATTCGGTAATCTCGCCGGGCAACCAGTTGATCGCATTCGAGATCCAGATGCTGTGGAAGTTGAAGACGAGTCCTTGAAGCAAGACTTGGAGGGCGAAGTTCCGCTCCGTTTTTCTCGCTTCCTTGCTCCACGAGCTCAGTTCGTTGCGCTACAATCCGTTTCTTAAGCATGGCTAGGTTACTGGCAGTTACTTTTATGAGAAGAAGGCAAAGAGTCGAAAGGTCGGCTGCCAGAATCACGAATGAAAGTGCGGATTGAGAGGAGAGGAGGAACGTTTTGAAGGATGTTCCGCAGGATTTAATGGTCAGATCGGACGTGAAGAGCCATCCGAATTGAGAGAATGATAGTCGGCAGCTCACTGAAAAAAACTGAATAATTGATTCATTTTTCGATCGCTATTATTACACGTACGTCCAAAAATGTAGTACGAGGAAATCGAGACGGGAATCAGCCAGCAAATAATGACAAGCACTAGGACCATGTTGTGGCTGAAAAGTTTTTGAAAGTTATAATAATCCTACTAACTATATTATTGGTCTAACCTGAAAAACAGTTTGTAGTAGATCGGAAAGCAAATCGCACACGTTCGGTTGAGTGAAATTAGCAGAAAATTGCCGGTGATTACGGTCAAAATCAGCGCGGAGCAGTTGCCAAAGTAACCGGAATTGAGAACGAGCACTCCAAAATCACTGAACGGTTACACTAGTTTTGCAAAGGCCGAGACATGGACAAAAACAACTTACAGAACCAATCCGAAACTGTAAAAAATCAATACGGTGACACAACCGATCAACTGTGAAAAGTTCTGATTGGCGGTCAGAACGCCGAACGAGCCGCGCATCGCCGGGATACGGTAGCAGCCGACGAGTACGGTAACGATGAGAATGAAGCCGATTGAGACTACCTGAAAGTTACAAGGACTGCCCGGAATACCATAACTTTTCTGTCAAATGTACAGTACCCCAGAAATAGTGGCACCGGCGATGACGTCATCTGTCGAGCGGGTGTACCTTGTGGACATTGTGAGTAGAACTGAAATGTCGAGAGTATGATTGTGAACTGTGAAGTTTCTCACGCTTCACGGCTGTTGAGGGTGTTCGTGCGGAAAAGAGCACAATAGCGGAAGTGTGTGAGACAAAAAGTTCACGAAAATGTTTAGGGAGAGGGAAAAAAGCGATTATGGTTGGGTGCAAAATAGCTTATTAGAGGCAATACTGAAGATGTCCATTCTAGACTGTATATCTCAGTTGTCGGTGCAGATATTGAAAAGTTGTCAACTAAACAATTGTTAACTAAGAAATTCTGCACATTTTACTAGTTGACACCTTTTTGATATCTCCAAAGATAGCTGAGATACATCAACTGTTCCTTCTTTGTACCGCTAGTTCCAAGATCTCAATATACAACTGAAATTTCTAGAATCTATTCACAGGTTTCAAGGGAATATCTACAGTTGAATGATTAGTGATCTCTCTGACAACGCCTACATAAAAGGAGTCTAAACAAAACAAGCATTTCAGAGGCCAACGGTCATCAGAAGAACTGAGAGATTATCAGATGGCTCACGGAACACAAATGAGGGCAGAGATTGTTTGAAAGCAAACTAGAGTTAAAAATTTAAAAATTTTAAAGTCCTGACTAATAGAACCACGGATAGGGCTTTCAAACTATGAAGCAAAGTCTGACTCACTAGTCACAGTGAGTCAGAATGACTTATTTTGAAGTCGGCGGGGTCTCATCGTGAAAAAAAGTATTTTTAACACATTCCGTGGCAAACGGAGTGTGTACGTGAGAAGAAAAAAATTTGAATGAAACAGAGTGTGATGACGTCGACGTCGTCGACGGAAAATCTTCTGATCTGTAAGTAATTGCACACAAATGATCGTCAACTTTTTTTACGAATCTCTCCATTTTTGAGAAGGGAAAAAGGAAGGGAAAAGTGCGAATGAAATATATTCGGATCATCTTTTATATTTATTTCATGAAAGCAGGTGATGCGGACCCGTTCCAGTTCATTAGCAATTTATTCAATTCTCAGAATCAGAAGAATGCTTAGAATCCAAAGTTTTGCAAATATTGTGTGTTTTGACCGACATTTTGATCGACTCTTCCGGCTTTTCAAAACGTTTGAAACTGTGGCCGCGTGGCCGTCAAAATGCAAACACTACATAGGCCGTGTACTTTTCGAGGACAAACTTGTAAATCATCTCTTCTTTCGGTTTTCTCACCAAATCTGCCTGTTGTTTCGCGTGTTTTGCTGAAAATTGTTGCGACAATTGTGTTACTCTTTTCTTAAAACATAGAACCGTTCGAAAAACTTGGCAAAACTCAGAATTGATCGCCGAAAACCGAAAAACGTGGAATTTCCGTTTTTTGTTGTCTAATGTCCAAAAATGTTTCAAGAATTAGAAAAATGTCTTCGAAAGTGAGAAATAGATTGCGACACTGACACTCCTTTTCAGAGATTTTGCCGCTCGTTGAAAGTGAAATTTCCGGGCCGAGGACCTTTTCTGGCAGAATTTTAAAAGAAAAAATGACAAAAGTGGAGGCCTGGTGTCATCCAAATAGTCCTCGCATCGAAAGAACACGACACAAACCAACCACAAAAACAGTCGAAAATGTGTGTCGTTGCGCGCGTAGGTCAAAACTCGGAACGATGCGACAAAAGTGAGTGTGCGCGACGCGGCGGCCGTTGGAAAGACTGGCAGCGGACGGGGAGAAAAAAAAGAGAGCGAGTCCTCTCGGAATGGACGGACCGTCGAGCGAAGACAACGCGACGCGCACCAGACTACAGACATTCATGACCGGGACAGCGACCGTTCCCACCTGTCACAGAGATCAAGAAGTGTGACCGACTGTTTGATTGACACATCATCACGTAAACAGATCATCGGAACACACTAGTCTGTAGTTTGGTGCGCGTTGCGTTGTTTTTCCTCGACGGTCCGTCCGTTCTGAGAGGACTCGCTTTCTTTTTTTTTCTCCCCGTCAATTGAATCGTTTGAAACGGTGGCCGCGTGGCCGCGGAAATGCAAATTCTAGGCCGTGTACTTCTCGTGGACAATTTTGAAAATTCTCGTTTTTTCCGGTTTTCTGTCAATTCTGCCCGTTCTTCGAGTTATTTGCTGAAAATTGTTGCGATAATTGTGCTGATTTCTTGTTGGAACGTAAAAATGTTTGAAAAACGTGGCAAAACCCATAATTGTCCACCGGTAACCAAAAAAATCGGAATTTTCGTTTCCCTCTTGCTTTTTTCATTGTCATCCATCCGCTGGACTTGCTAGTAATTCAAATGTATTTTTTGTTGCTGGAATTCGATCACAAGCCTCGTTTTTCTATTGTTGAATAAAAAACAGTTCAAAAATAACTAGCTGTTCAAATTTTCGCTTTTTTTTGCATGACCAATCAATTTTCGATATACTTGCAGGGACTCATAAAAACTCAAATACGATCTGAAAATTGTTCGACGCCATCCATCCAAAATCCCAATGATTTGGTCTCAAAAAACGCGCCGTTTTTTGGTCTTTCGAAGCTCGCCCAAAAAGACCAATCTTCTCGAGTTTCACGAGCATTTCCGGCAGCTCAAGGATACGTGATTTGCGCATTTTCGCTCATTTTCATTCCACTTGCTTACTTCACCGAGTTTTTCTTCACATGAGTCCGGTTCATCATTTTCCCCAAAAATCACTTTGCTGTTCGCACTCAAACTTTTGTGAGCCGCATCTCAAAAATCGTTTGTTTTCTCATTTCGAGCCAGTACTCATGCACCCATGAAGATCAGCTGGAAACATTTATGATTTTTCAGAGATTTATTTTTTTCACGATTCTATTCCTTGAAACCAGTTTATCTCGGGACCAGATAATGGGATCTGTCTGAAACGTGGACCAAACACATTTACATGCAAGTTTTGAAAGCCTGCAAACTTTGGGTCCAATCGGACAATTGCAAGTGGGTCAAAAGTAGGCTTTCGAAAAGTTTGGCCCATTCTTGCCTTCCCTCGAAACACGGAAGGTGAAAAGTACGGAAGCGGCGTCCTTCCTTCCTTCTTCTCTCTCTCTCTTTTCAAATGTCTCCACTTTGGGCTCCAAAACGGGCGGTGGGCTCCAAACGAGAGCTCTTACTCTGGAGCCAGAAAGCCGCCCGTAAAAAGAGCACGAGCATGCTCAGAGACGCAGAACGGACAGAGAGGGAGAGGACGAGCGCCGGCGCGGGCCGCTGTTTGTGTTGGTTGGTTGGCGTATGTGAAAAGAGAAAGAAAGAGAAGAAGCTTCTTCTAACACTCCTCCACTCGCACAAACTTTGCTCTCTCTCTCTCTTCCTTTTTCTCTTCCTTTTTCTCTAATTCTCGCACTTTCCCGCTCACTTTCTATCATTCACAGATTATCAGAGAGAAAGAGGACTGCCGCCAGCAGCTTCAACGGCTTCTCGCGACCTCTTCCAAACTTGCATTCCTGTGATCTTTTTTATTTTCGCAATTCTGGCCCGCAATGCAAATGGAAATGTTTATCTTATAACAATGGCGCTTTCATACCTCACAATCGTTCCTTTTCATTCTGTTTATAAACTTTATAAACTTTTCAGAACATTTGGTAAAAACCAGGACCAGCCTTTTCGAACGACCCACTTGCAATAATACGATCAGACCCAAACTCTGCATGCTTCTTGGATTTGGACTGAAGTGTCTTGAGTCCGAGTTTCAGACCGATCGGATAATCCAGTCCGGAGATTTACTGATTTGAGGCTGAAAAGGCCGAGTGTTGGTAAAAATTGCTCCCTTCTCGGCCTCTGATTCACATATCTCGGGACCCGAAAGTCCGATCGGTCTGAAACTTGGACTCAAGTACAAGATGCCTGCAGAGTTTGGGCCCGTTCGGATTATTGCAAGTGAGTCAAAAGTCCAGGCCTTTGCCTGGGCCGGCCTATCCAAACGAAGTTGCTTATCCATGAAGCTTTGCTAAAATTTCGAAAACACTAGAAATGCACTAGTTCATCTGGCTAAATTTAGATTATTTACAATCTTCCGGCTGAAATTGTTGCCCCTCCGCACTCTTGTTTTCCTTTTTACTTTCATCTTTTGCAGCAAAAAACGAAACGTCACAAGATTTTAGGTCGCATGACTTTACTCGTCGAAAAGTGCTTGAAATGTCGAAAAAAAAGCGGACCAGCTGACTTTCGGATCTCCGCCCCTTGTTGTTGTCTATCTCTGAGCCGACAACACAAAATAATGAGAAATGATGCGGACTGCTCTTTTCTTTTTCCCCCTGCGCATCCGATTCGCCGGCGGGTGTAATAATTGGCGGTGTGCGGAGCAACATGCGAAAAAACAGAGGAGAAGCCGACGGAACACGCCGTTTTTTTCCTATTTCTTCCAAAAAATGAGTGTTTTTTCGCTCGCTCTAGTTCTATGAATTTGGCGGACAATTTTTTGAGCCAGGTGATTTTTTCGTCTGAGAAATTGTCGTAGATGTTTTCCAGTTATACCTTTTTCTCGTATTCCCCCCATTTTCTGCAAAAATTTTGATAAGGCGTCTCATGTACTTTTCGAAACATTAAAAAACAGCGGCGCTCCTCGATGGATCCTAATCGAATCATGCAATTGGCAGCACATGGCCAACTTTCAATTAATCGCCTTCTCCTTTTTTCATTTTTCTCTCGCTCGCCGTCTTGTTTGTGCATATACCAGAGTGGCCAATGGCTCTAAATGCATTCGCAAACACCCTTTTTCCTCGTGGCTCGTCACCGCATTTTTGCGCGCACCGCCCCAGTTTCCGCCGCGGCGATTTTTGAATCGTTCCACAAAATATTAGAAAGTCGTTTGAACGTTGCTGTTGGGTTCATAAAAAAAGGCCTTCTGAACCAACTCGTCGAAATTATTCATTAGTTTTCATGCAGAAGTCGACGAGGATTAGTTGCCATAAAACATTACGACGGAATCCTCATTTTTTATTCTCAAGAGATTTCAGACGTCTAGACAATGTTTTCTGAAGTATTTCCTCTTGAAATTGCTCCTTTTGTGGCTCATTACCGCGAGCTGTGCGAATTGCTGGCCGAGGCCTGGACTTTTGACTCACTAGCAATGATCCGATTGGATCCCAACTTTGCAGGTATTTTGGGCCCAAATTTTAGACCGATCGGATCATCTCGTCCGGAGATATGTGGATTTGAATTCGGAAAGGCCGAGTTTTGCAAAATTTGCGGTCAAAAGTCCAGGCCTCTTGCCCCCAAAATCTGAAAAAGTGTTTCGATGGTCTCAATTCGGCAGAAACTCCAAATGTTTCGTGTTTCGTAATCAAATCAAAAACCACTTGCTCTTTCCTCTTCGTTCCCCTAATCCATTGACGTTTTGGACATCCTGCGCAAATCCGTTGGGATTGATTATTTTAAGCTGAAAAAGAAGAAGAAGAAGCCGTTTTGAGTCACGTGCTCTTTATCTAATCCCCCGCCACTTTGTATCCCTTAGGACTGATGAGAAAGGCAGCAGATGTACTATAAAAATGCAATATGAAAGTCATGTTTCTAGTACTGAAAACCGTGACAAGTATGTCTGAAAGAGTTCCGAATGCTTTGTAAATGTTCTTGTTATGTTGTGTTGTGAGGATGTGGTCGGAGAGTCCAATGACTGCCTCCTGGAATGTGTTATTGTCCGATCGGCCGTCTCTTTTCCTCTTTTTTGCTGCAAATGTGCGCCGCCCATCGATTCGTCCGACAATCCGGCCAATCAACATGTGTTGTTTCCGTCCATTACTCTGTTTTTCGACGTGTGATCTGCGTGTCCGGATTGCGTTTCTCTTTTCATTAAAAAAGTGCTCCTGCTTGCACATGTACACTTTTTACTTCAAAAATTTTTATTCTCGCAATATCTGATGCAGAAAGTCATCGCTTTACCCGTTTTTTCTATAGGAACACCGATTTTTCCGGGAAATCACTGTTTTTATCAGAATGTTTCGATTTCCCATAATAGAACTGGGAAATTATCTGGGAAATATCTTCTGAATATTGTAAGAGTTGTTTTCCTATTTTTGCCTACGAAGCAGGGCTGAGGCCCGATTTTGGCCGGCAAGCGGGGCTCTCGGCCAATGTTGCACATATCTCGGGACCAGATTATCCGATCGGGCTGAAACATGGACCCAATATACTTAAATCCATGCCCAAGAAGCCTGCAAAGTTTGGGTCCGATCGGTAGATCACAGATGGTTCAAAAATGCAGGAGAAGGGCCGGCCAATTGCCCAGCACTGCTGAGAAAGTAGTTCACCGTCTGTTGAACGAGCCAAAAGCTAACAAGAGTATTTTCATAGTTGCACTTGACTGAAATTCCAACGTTTCCCATTAGAATCGATAGAAATGCCCGTCCAAAAGTGTACTACACGCGTTTTCGCAGTTTCCAAAAGATCATCGACCAGTCAGTTCTCGTCCAAATTGTGCACCCATCTGATCGCTGTTATCAATTTCCCTTTGACTTTTCCTGTCCTCTTCGAAACGGCGCCCCGTCGTTGGAGGTTTTCCCAAATAGAGTGCTTATCAGTAATTTCCCTTTTCTGTTTACGAAATTGTTTCCAACATTTTCAGTTTCCGCGCCGGTCAGTCAGCCTTGAATCAGCGAGAAAGCCACGTGATTTTGCTCGCTTCCCGGAATTTTACTATTTTTGAGCTGAACCGTGTACGTGTACGACCCTGAAAGGCGATAAAAATTGACTGTTCAAGTGTCATAACGACAATCGGAAAGTGTGAAGATGCGAAAATCACGTCACTATTTGAGGTGTAATCGCTAGAAAAGAACAGAATGAACAGAAAGTGTACTTGGCAGATTTTTACTGAAAATAGTTTAGACACCCTTGGCTTCTTTGTATCTCCAAAGGTCTGAAACTTGAACCCAAAATAGTTGTCCAAGAAGTCTGTAAAGTTTGGGCCGAATAGGAATACCACAACTAGGCTAAAAGTCCAGGCCTTCGAAAGCCTGAACATTGAATGCAAAATGTGAAAGTGTCAGAAGATCAACGAGAGATGATCCTGAACAAAAATGTTTTCTAGGGCGGTGCGCCGGAATCCGCATCGGCTTAAGGCTTATCGCGCGCTTATCATCATCGGCGCAGCAGTTATCACAATCGTTCTCTTTCAAATCGTTCTGCCCCAGACTTTCCGATAATCGGGTTCAACCTTTCATTGGAAAATTACATTTTTTTTCCGTAAATTTAGAATCCGGCCCAGAATTCCGATATTTCGGTCAGTCCCCTCCAATTCGAATCGTCCCTCCGTGTGTGTGTGTGTGGCCTGTGATGGTCTGTGTGCGTCTATTTTCTCGCGCACTTCGTCCCTCTCCGTCTCTTTCTCTCCTCTCTCTTTCTGGTCCAACCACTCACACTCACACGCGGCCACAGCCCCGCCAATGATGATGGAGAGAGAGCGAGAGAGAGAGAGAGAGAGACTGCGGCCGGCCGACAGGGGCAACAAAACGTTGACGTTTATACCCCCACACACACACACACACACACCTCGTGCGTCTGATTTTTTTCTTCTTCTATTTTTCTATTCCTCCACTCCTCTTCGTCAACTTGTGATGACACCAAGCGGCGCTTTAGATGGTTCTCGAAAATTCCAAGCGAAAACTCGGCCAGTCCGTCAGAATTCTGAATGAATTGAAAAGAACACTAGAAAACGAACAATCTTTCACACAATTTGAACAATTTCGTAGGGGCACTCACTCCGTTTCCGCCACTTTTTCTGATTCCGCCTCCGCTTTCCGTCTTCCGCTTTTTCTCAACTCTGATTCGATTGCAGTAATTGGAAAATCTGTAATAGGATAGTTGGATCAACAGGTATCCAAACGGCTTGGGACGGGGGGTGGTCCCGTCTCGTGGTGTTGCATGGAGTAGAGACTATTTACGTTTCCTGGCGCATGGTACCCAGTGCAGCTTCTCCCCCCGTCTCGTGGTTCCCTTTGCCCGCGTCCCAACTCTTTGGATACTTTGTTGGAACAAGAAAAATCAATTTGTCAGTTCAAATTTCCTCACTTTTCCGGATTTCCGGACATTTCTGAATTCTTCGATGAGCCCGGCCCGGCCCGTTGCAAGTCTGATCTGGGCACAAGTTCTGAACCTTCGACGAAATTTCATTCGATCACGCAGTTCGCTCCGTCTTTTTTTTCGCGTTTTGCCCCGATTTCGTCGCAAAGTCAGTGTGTAGTTCAATGTGATTTGTGTGTTCCCTTTTTTGCATTTGGCATATTTATGCAAATTTCGCTGGAATGTGATTGATTTCACTGGCCTCTTTCCTTGTCATTTTTTTTCCGCCGAATCGATGTGGACGTGATGTTGTATCTAAATTTCACTAAACGCGTGTTAAAAATCTATTTTCCCTGGAAATATCGGAGTTTTTTTCAGATTTTCCCCCCGAAAATGGTCGTTTTCGTCGTGTTTTCCCGCCGGAAACCACCTGACTATGCAAGCGCGCTCCATCGCACTTTCTCGTTTTCCTCCCCGAAACCGCTCGATTCGAACGTTATTTCTCGCGCTTTTTTGGCCATTTCTCATCGGAATCGCATCTTTTATCACTGCTGACCTCGTTTCATAGTTTTTAATCGATATTTTTTGCAGAGAAACCTCCGCCGACCCCACCAGTTTCCTTCGAATCCGCGCGGAAAAAGAGAAAAAGAAAGTGCTCAGAAGATCCGAATCAGCAGAGAGAAATGCACGGAAGCGGGCACAGTCTGACGGGCGCTCCGCATCAGATTCCGCCGCCACGCACGCAGGGAGCGGCCACCGGCGGCGGACAACTTTCCGCCACCGCCAATCAGTTTGTCGACAAAATCGATCCGTTCCACAACAAACGCGGAACTTCGCGCAGATTGTGAGTCATTATCGAATCAATGAATCGAAAAAATCTGGAAATATTTTTTTCAATTTCAGGCGCATCAACAACAGCAGTCGGTACAATGTTGACATGGCCCAAGAGCTCATTCAATTGCCACTCATCAAAGGTAAAACACGCATATTTTTGCTCAAATGTTGACTTTATTCCGGTAAAATACTAATTTTTCACTCATACTCTAAAATTTCAACGAATTTCTCCGCAACATTCAATAAAACTATGAATTTTTGTACAGATACGGCGGCGAACGAGCAAGCGGCGTTGGTGATCGAAAAGCTGGTGCAATGCCAGCACGTGTTCGACTTTTACGACCCGGTTGCGCAGCTGAAATGCAAAGAAATCAAGCGAGCCGCACTCAATGAGCTCATCGACCACATCACGTCGACAAAGGGCGCAATAGTGGAGACGATCTACCCGGCGGTCATCAAAATGGTCGCCAAGAACATATTCCGCGTGCTGCCGCCGTCGGAAAACTGCGAGTTCGATCCTGAAGAGGACGAGCCGACGCTCGAAGTCTCGTGGCCGCACTTGCAACTCGTCTACGAGCTCTTCCTGCGCTTCCTCGAGTCGCCCGACTTCCAGGCGTCGATCGGCAAAAAGTACATTGATCAGCGGTTCGTGCTCAAACTGCTCGACCTGTTCGACTCGGAGGACCCGCGCGAGCGAGACTTCCTCAAGACGGTCCTGCATCGCATTTACGGAAAATTCCTCGGACTCAGAGCCTTCATTCGCAAACACATCAACAACATGTTCTTGAGGTGAGCGCAAGAAATGGCAGAAAAAGTACATTTCAATCATAAAAATGCGATTTTTCAAGTGCAACATTTGAAAATTCGATCATTGTTCACCTGAAATTGTTGTGGAAAATTAATCAATTTGCAGATTCGTGTACGAGACGGACTCGTTCAACGGCGTCGGCGAGCTGCTCGAGATTCTCGGCTCGATCATCAACGGATTCGCGCTGCCACTGAAGCAGGAGCACAAAGTGTTCCTCGTGAAAGTGCTCCTTCCGCTGCACAAGCCAAAATGTCTCTCGTTGTACCATGCTCAGGTGAGCCTTGAGCCGTGAGCACTTGGACAAGTTCTTTTGCAGCTCGCCTACTGCGTCGTGCAATTCATCGAAAAGGACTCGTCGCTAACTCCGCAAGTCTTCGAAGCGCTTCTCAAATTTTGGCCGCGTACGTGCAGCAGCAAGGTGAATTTTTTAAAACATTTTAGTGAAGAAAAACTTGAAAATTCAAGTTTTTCTGCCTAAAACTGGCCAAATTACTGTGACCTAATCGTGCTCCGTTTTCTGAAGGAGGTGATGTTCCTGGGAGAAGTGGAGGAAATTCTCGACATTATCGAGCCGGAGCAGTTCAAAAAGATTATCGATCCGCTGTTCCGGCAGTTGGCCAAGTGCGTGAGCAGTCCGCATTTCCAAGTGGCCGAAAGAGCACTCTACTTCTGGAACAACGAGTACATATTGTCGCTCATCGAGGACACCAGCTCACTGGTAAGTTATCATCCGATCGGAGCCTAGCTTTGTCTTGGTTCAAAGTGCTTCTCGGGAAAATTTCAGCTTGAAAGGATCATCTGTGCTGGAGGTGTATCGATTTGAAAGGGATTTTTGGTCTCTAGACACAAAAACGCACAAAAATCGATCTTTGTTTTGATGCTTTTAGAAGAAGACGATTTTCAACTAAAACAGCAGACTATCTTTGTGTCTGGTCTAAAGATCGAAAAAACCTTCACTTTTCCGTTCCAAATCGATACATTTCCAGAACAGAAGCTCATTTCAAGATGAAACTTTCAAGGTAAACACTTTAAACCAAGACTGATAAAGTACTTCTCTCCACGAATTGACTCGGTTCCAGGTGATGCCGATAATGTTCCCGGCGCTGTACCGAATCTCGAAAGAGCACTGGAATCAGACGATAGTGGCACTCGTCTACAACGTGCTCAAAACGTTTATGGAGATGAACGGAAAGCTGTTCGACGAGCTGACCTCCACGTACAAGGGCGAGCGGCTGCGCGAGAAGCAGCGGGAAAAGGACCGTGACGCGTTCTGGAAGAAGATGGAGGCGTTGGAGGCGAACCCGCCGCCCGAGGGCAAGGAAGTGACCCCATCGCTGTTCCCCGAGAAGCTGACCGACTATTTGAAGAAGGACGGAAGTGCGGTGCCAGTTGCACCGCCCGTTTCAGCAGCAGCCGGAGGAGGAGGAGGGGACAAATCGCCGTCGGTGGTGAAGAAGACGTCGACGGGATCGGAGACGAGTCCGAATGCGAAGAAGTGAGGAGGCACGCGCAAACAAATAGAATACTCGTTTTCCAATGAATTTAGGTGAGTGCTGGTTTCAATAATTATAAGCACATTCACACGGAAAACGGGAAGGTTGAATGAGTATTCTTTCGACAGCACGCATCTGAAGTCAGGCGGGCCCCACAAAAGCAGCCAGCAGTTCACGGATTCGTGTCTGTATCTCGCTTTATTTCGCTTTTTGTATTTGAATCCCGGGTATCCAAACGGCTTGGGACGGGGGTGGTCCCGTCTCGTGGTACCTAAGGAAGTGTTGCATGGAGTGGGGACTATTTATGTTTCCCGGTTTACGTACCCAGTGCAGCATCTCCCCCCGTCTCGTGGTTCCCTTTGCCCGCGTCCCAACTCTTTGGATACCTGTTTGAATCCCCCACGCCCGTCCGATGAGACCGGTGTGCTTTTGACTTAATTGTAATTAACCTAACGGACCCTGACTTGGTACCGATCTCAAAAACCGCTAACAGCGCTCACCTCGAAACCATTCAGAAAGTTTATATTGTTGGTTTCAGATAAAGCCCTCTGGACGCTCGATATCACACACACTCCCACTTCTTCTCTCCAAATGCCCTCATCGATGAAATAACTTGAAAAGAGAAGAAGCCAACCAGTCGATAATTGTATATGCACAACTTTCTCTCTCCCTCTCCCCCTTCCTCTCCCAGTTTTCTCTCTCGCGCAAAAACAACAACAACATTAATATTATTGATGACTCTTTTTTCCTCTTCTTCTTTAATTGTATTTTCCCCTCTCTTTCTGTACTCGTCACTTTTTTTTTCGTTTCTTTTTTCCGTGCAAACATTTGGGGCGATTTCTCAATCGTTTGTGCACACCTTCAAAATTCGTGTTTTGCTCACCATGTCTCGTGTTTATTTCCCACACATAATTTTCTAATAATTTCTGATTTTCCAGCAGCAAAAATTGCGGAAATTTTTGAAACAAGTGCGCCGCGAATCGAAAAAACTCAGATTTTCTACGTTTCTCCCCCTATCAATTGCTCTTTTCTCTTTCCCTCTGTCTGTCCCGAACCCCTTTTCAAAACTCGTCGTCGTACCCAAAAATGTTTGTTTTTCTGCAAAGATCCCTGAAAATTTGTGGATTTCTTCCGAAAATCCTCAAATTTTCCTCCCCTCACCACAGTTTATAGTTGTAAAAGTCATTGCCCCTCCCCCCCTCAAGAAAATATTGTGTTTTATCATGAATTTACACGATTTTCATTTGTTCAGAAAAAGTCACAAACATTTTCGGCGATTTTCAGTTGGACTAGACTGACATAAATGTATCTGAAAAGCGCTGAAAAAGTAAGCAAAATTGGCTTGTTTTGCAGACTTTTCTAGATAAAACGGGTCGTCGAAAATGGATGGGAGACGGGTAAATGCTACGAAAATCATTGGACAAAAACGACAATTTTCTTTGCAGAGCCGCTCAAATTCCAGCAATCGATCGCCGAGACGGAAGCACAGAAAAGTGCACTATTTGAGAAAAACACTTGTTTGATAAAAAATTTTCAGCGCAAGCACAAATCGCGAAGATCTCGGAGCCCGCGGAGCCGGACCAGAAGCCGTTCGTTCGAAAGGGGTCACTCTGGAAGCGGTCCCGCCAGAATCCATGTCAATCCCGCGTTTGGGTACCTTAAAATGAGAACAATTCAACATGTTGACGAAAACCCGTTCAGAATGCAACAATCGGTGCCGTTCGGAACGCCGCAAATGTACCCGTCGACTTCGCAACTCCTGCAGCAGAATAACATGCTCGAGGCGGAAGTGCAACGGCTCAAGAACGCGCTGCTCGCCGAGCAAGGCGCCAAAAACATTGAAATGCACCGCGCACAGATGATCAGCCAGGAGATTAGGTCTCTTTTTGAAACGGGAACAAATAGTGTTTCTTCGGCGTCTTGATGTCGAAAATGATACAGATTAACCATTTTCTTCCTGAGAACAAGAAAAATCGATCAACATGCCCAACATTTCGGTCGTTTGTTTGCAGGAATCTGACGATGCAACGAGACGCGGCGACGAAGCGGTGCAACGAAGTGCTCGACGAGCGAAGAGTTATGATCGACACGAAGAACGAGATGGCCAATGTGAGGGAACGCTTTTTGTACCAAATTATTCTACAAAAGGCGATCCAGCTGTCGCATTTTGTTGGCAGCAGTTTCGAAAAATTATCGATGAACTTTCAATCGTTTTGTTCTAATTTACATTGAAACCAATCGTTTTTACCAAGTGTCTCTATTCAGAGAATGCGCATATTGGACATTGCGAACCGTCAACTGCAAGACGAAGTGGCTCAAGCGAACCGGTATTGCGAAGACAAAAATGAGGTGAACATTTTTTTATTTCTTCTCTGAAAAATGGCTCCGCATTTATTGATTTCCTGGCTCAGGTTCTTTGTCGGCGGAAAGTTCCGTCGGCGCCGGTGGTTTCGCTTTGAAGCATGGAAGCCATCACGCTGAAAAACTAACAATTTCCACTTATTTACGTCGTGTTCGCTGTTCGCCTGCTTCGCACTCTCTTCTCTTTCTCGGTCTTTTGTCATCCGAGCATTTCTCATAGAAATTAACGAAATTTGATGAGGACAATTCGGCAATGATGATAATTGCGAAAGGGTTATGCGAAATTGTTTTCAGAAAATTGCGTGCTTTGCAGTGAATTCATGAAAACACTGAATTTGACTATATTTGCAGGAAATCCGCGGTCTGATCTACCAGCAAGACGTGAAACAGCAACAGGTCGTCGCGCTGAACGAGCGAAACGCGGCGCTCAAGACCAAGTGCGAAGCGATGGTCGCGCGGAATCGGCAGCAACAAGAGGAGTAAGTTGGCGGCGGGCGGGAGATGCACGCGTGGCACAGCAGGGAAAATGGCCGGCGGCCGCCTTGACTCGCCCCGCCGGTTCTGTCCTCCTCCACTGCCGAATTCGGTTCGAATGCACCTTGCACTCTACGCCTTTCCTCTCAATGGGCTGGTATGGTTTATAAAGGATGCGAAAGAGAAGTACGGGAAGTTCGAAGACTTGCGGAATTGCCTTCCACGGCTCCGCGAGTTCAAAACTATCACCACATTTTTTGTGTTTGCGAACATTTTGAAACACGGATGACGACGGACAGTGTGTGCCTTCGATAATATTCCGGAAAATGTTCTATTCTTCTAAATTTGCGCTTTCCTGAATGAAGATCACAAAAACACTTTTGCAGAAACAGCGCGAAACAACAGTTCCTCGACGCGGCGAAATTCGATGTGAAGCGATCGGAAAACGATTTGCAATGCGCAAATATCGAAATAAAGTAATCACTGCACCGATTTCTATCCATTTTTAATATATCTTCTTCCCAGACGCTTGATACGAGAGCTCGAAAGTGCCCAACGAATGGAGTCGACGAGTGTGGACGAAAGGGGGAAAATCGAGACGATTCTGTTGCGGAAGGAGGACGAGATCCGCGTGGCAAACCACAAATCGGCGATGGCACTCAAAACGGCACAGGAGACGATCGACAATCTGGAGAATCGACTGAAATCGGAGAATCCGGCCATTCACAATGATATGACTGTGGTTAGTGCGTCGGAAATCGAAAGGGAACGGTCTGGAGGTTTTTGCGAAAACCTCAGGCTTTGCTAAGGCCTGCAGATTTCTGGACTTTTGACTCACTTTCAATCATCCGATGGGATCCAAACATTGCAGACTTCTTAGACTTGGATTGAAGTATTTTGGGTCCAAGTTTCAGACCGAGCGGATTGTCTAGTCCTGAGATATGTACTGCAGTTTAAGTCCAAGAAGCCTGAAAAGTTTGGGTCCGATCGGGTAACTGCAACCGGGAAAATGTCCGAAAGTTCCAGGAAGCAATATACATGGCGATAGAGACGATGAAAACGACGTACGAGAAGCAGCTGGCACGCCTGGAGACCGAGATTGAACTGTTGAAATCGGAGCGGATGAAACAAGAAGATGACGTGGCAGATCACGAAGACGGAGAAGGAGAAGGACACGGAGTCATCGAGGAACTTCCCGAGTATCTGCAGACGCCGCGAAAACCGGATCCCGCCAAAATGAGCACTCTTTTGGTGCGTTTTTCTGCGTTTCGATAATTTTGACTTACGGAAAAGGGAAAACGAAATTTCCTAGAGCTCTGGTTTCCATCAGGTTTCCGGGAATTCGGAAAATGTACAAGTGGTGCTCCGAACAAGTTTCCCGCAACTTTTTCAAAATGCTCTTATTTCCGCAGAAAACGAACCAAGTGCGAATCGACGTGGATCGCCCTCATCTGGTGCGGCCGCCGCGTTCCGCAAGTGGACCGCCCGTCGATTCGCCCGTGACGTGGCATCGAAGATTCCAACTGATGGAACGGAAGATCAACAGTGGAGAGCCGGTCGTCGTTCCGCTTTTCGGGACCACTTCACTCAACACAGGTGTGTTTAGAAAAGTGCGAATTACTGGTTTCTGAGCGGAAACCCTAGGTTTTAGTAGTTTTTCGGTGTTTTACGGGCAAAAAGCTCCTTATGTTTCTGAAATTCTGCTTTCAGACGATAAAGCTCCGGAATGTTCTGCCGCAATCGCCGACGCTTCGACGTTTCCGTCCTCTTCCGTTCAGCCGATGGAAGCAGAAATGAGTGGAACGGAAAATGAGGAAAAGCACGAGAAAATGCACGTGAACATTACCGAAGAGGAACTTTTGAGCATCGAAGACCCGGAACTGACGTCGCCGATTCAGAATTTGGAGCTGATTGAAGAGCAGCAATTACTCGCCGAAGAGGATTAGAATCTTATTGACAATATATATTATATATAATAATATAAGTTATTGTTGTTTTTTTTTCATCAGTCCTTCTCACAATCCCAATGATCTTTATTGTCCGAAGCTGCACACAAACTGTCATTCCACGCATATTTATCCCCGTATATTCATCGTATTCTAAGCCAATGAATTTTTGATCACTCTCAATCAAACGGTTTTTTGATTGATTTGTGTTCAAATGCGTCAACAATTCTATTTCCAATGTTATTATAATCTTGTATTTTTGAGGTGTTTGTCCGAATGTGCCACACTTTGCGCCTAAAAAGAACAGTTTTTGCGTTGCGCTCTAAGTAATCTCGTTTTTATCGGTTTTCAGTACAGAACTCGCAAAAAAAGTGGAGTCGATTTGCAAATTTAGTGATAGAAAGCTTATGGGATTTATTTTAGGAACGCCATTAAAGATTCAGAAAAATGAGCAGCAGAATTAGAGCCGCATAGAATGTAACCTCTCGATCTGTGCCGGGTCGAATAGATCACTGACCACATGATCACTGATCACTCGTCCTCTGATTTCTCATCGATTCCCACGACTCGAACACAAATCGATGACCACCTCGTGTCGGTACAAACGCCTCATTTCTCATTTGTCACAGTCATGTACTGCCTGCCCGTCCGGCGTCTGTTTGCCACGTCTTCCGTTCCGAAAGCGATCAAATGGAATGTGCGAACTTTCACGAGCCGAGCGCACGAACCCGAGTTGAGATATCATTCGGCCGCGGAGGAAACGGGCAAAGGTAAACGAAAACGTTGAAAGAATTTTGTTTAGAAATTGATCGGAAATAGTCTGTTCGAGTGTTGAACTGAAAATTCTTGAATTTCCGTCTATCAAGCACTCAAACTGCTCCTATGCTTGGTTTTCTCACATTTTCTCACTATCAGTTTGTCGCTCCCGCAATGGTCAAAAAATTGTGCGTTTTTCGAAGATGCGTCATCGCTGTTTTCAACAATAAACAACGATTATAAATTGTGAAAAAGTACTGAAATAAGATCTGACATACACAGAAAATCGTTACAGATAATGCGAAAAAACCGGTGATCCTGATGATTGGATGGGCGGGCGCCGATCCGAAGCACGTCGACAAATATGTGAATGTGTACAGCGACGAGGGGTATGATCATAAGCACTCAGAGAAAAAAGGCGTTCCGGAACGGCACCGGCACCGCTCGGCGCAAAATGAGCGCAAACTCGGCACCGGTGTCTTTCAAAAAGGCGTCTTTTTTTCACTGAGCATAATATCGACTGATATAATAAAATGCTCATCTTCAGTTTCAAAGTCGTCTCAATCTGCCCGCCCCGTTATCATTATCAAGTGCCCGACGAGTCGATCGGCGAGAAAATCGCACCGATTTTCAGGAAATTTGAAAATTCGTGAGTATTGTTCGCGAAAAAAAAAGTATTTCGATATTTTAGTCCGGTGGTCATTCACTCGTTCTCAATGAACGGCATTCGCGGAGTCATTTCGTTGCACAAGAAAATGGGAAAAACGGATTTCGAGCAGAAGATCAAGGGAATCGTTTTTGACAGGTAAGCTTCTGACATCGGAACCAAACATTGCAGTTGTTTTGAACTTGGATTGAAGGAATTTGGGTCCAAGTTTCAGACCGATCGGATCATCTAAATTGCTGTATTGTCGGCCTAAAAGTTTTAGACTAAAACCTGTGTATCTTGGGAGCAGATAATCCGATCCGACTGAAACTAGGACCCAAAATACTTCAATCCTAGTCTAAAAAGCCTGCAAAATCTGGCCCCGATCGGATCATTGCGAGTTAGTCAAAAAGTCCTTTCAGTGCTCCGTCCCGCCCGCACAGCCATCAAAACGGCCGAGCGATGATGCTCTCGCGGCCACGTGGCAAATTCTGGAGTGACGATGCGAGAATGCGGGCGCACAAGGCCGTCGAGGATGTCAGGAACTTTTTCGTAAAGACCTTTTATTCTATTAACTTCAAAACCCCGAATAACTTGCAGCTTTGGCCGATCTTCGCGCACGCTCCCTCGCTCCGCCCTCGTTTTTCCCTTTTCTGGCACATTCAGGATCGCGTGAGTCTGCCGAAGCACCAGTTGTTCATCTACTCGGCCGCCGACTCGATGGTGCCCGTCAAGTACCTGAAAGAGTTTATCGAGACTCAAAAAAGCCGTGGCAACCGCGTGGAATCTGTCGATTTCGGCGACTCGGAACACGTGGCACACTTTCGTGCGCAACCCGAAAAGTACAAAACGACGTGTAAGGAATTTGTGTCGAAACTTTAATGTGTATTAAAAACAGAATAAATGTAATAGAACAATTATCGATTCGTCGGGCCAGTTGTCGATTTTCCGTTGCGCGTGGCCACCGAACTCGGCAACGACTGAAATAAGGTTTTTAAAGATTTTTTTCAGATTTTTTGTTAGTATTACCCTTGATGAACAATTCGAGAAGCACAGTAATCGGCTCTGAACGTCACGGTTCATTGTCAGCAGCATGATCGGATTGATGAACGACAAATTACCCGAAACGGTGGGGTAATAGAGACGGAATGCGCGGACACGTGTGCGCTGGAAATTACGAAACGTTTTCAGAATATATCTTAAGAAAAACCGTACATCTTCATCAAACGCCAAAATGTATTCGCCAATGTAGAAGAAGAAAGCGATGAAACAGAAAATGACGAGAATGAAGACGGAGAAAGTGAGGCGCGCGTCCTGGAGACGTTTCGACAACACTGCTTGCCTTCGGAAAAATGCTATATTTCACCGTTTTACCATCAAAATCAACTTACTCGACAATATATCCGTCGGTTACTTTCCGCGCGCGAACCATCACGATAGCGATTTGAGAGTACATAAAAATGATCGAAACGCAGGCGACGAAAAACGTCGTCATTACGGTTAGCGAAGTGTACTGGAGATGGGCTTGACTGGCGATTGTGAGCAGAGTGATCTCGTTCTCGAAGTAGGCGTCCGTGTTGAGAAGCGCCGGGAGGTAGATGAGGAAGGCGATGAGCCAGTGGAGGAGGCCTATGAGCAACGGGTGCGTCTGGTTGAGCTTCTGAACAGAAGTTGGGTTAGGGAATGCTTTCGGGGTAAGTTGGAATGTTGTATGATCCAAAAGAGTTGAGCCTAAACTACTTTACTGTCGAATTCAAACGCACATAATTCAGATATCCATGCGATTTGCAAACTGTCAAATATCTCTGTCCGGATATCAGAAACACGCCGACTGCCCGTAAAGTGAACATGAAAGGTCCGCTATTGCAAAAGAACACAATTGTGTACGGTTGATTGTTGTAAAGAAAGTAGTTGCCAATTCGGAAGTACCGTCCAGAAATGAGACACGAGAATATGAGAACTGTGGAGATGTCGGCGAGACCCTGGAAGCCATAATTGCAAAATGTAAGCATGAGAAAAGTAGAGTTTCATTTCGAATTTCCTCATTTTTCTAGTATGCCAAAAAGGAGCTCTGTGGTTTGGCATAATAATGACGTCAAACGACTACTTGTTTTCGGCGACGCTCTCATTTTAGTCTCTGACTTATTGTGTCTGATCAGAAAACTCTTTTTTTTTTCTCTCTCTCAAACTCGAACGAATTCTCGTAGGCTCACCTGCGAAACCATCAAAGTATAATAGGGACTTTGAAAACATTTGTGCTTTCTGCGCGACATGACAAAATCCAAAAGAATGCATGCATAGACGGGAATGAGCACAATCGCCTCGACGAGAAACACGTCCATCTGCCAGATCGGAGTCAACATTCCGGTCTTCTGAAGCGGCGCCTGAGAATCGTTAGTTTCAGAGTACTCGGCGGTCATGATCCGATGGGTTTGAGAACGTGAGAAGAGTCAGAAAATGGGGAGGAGGAGTCAGAAGGGAAACAGATGACTGCCTCTTCTGATCTATGCCGAGATCAACTTTGAAACTCATTACTTCGTGTTGACTGAACTCCACAAATATCTGAAAGCCAAGTGACCAAACAAAACGGAGCCGAAATTGCTTTTTCCACTTGCGGATTCAAAAAGTCGCCTCCCACGATTGTTTTCCAGCACGAGTGGTGTAGTCTAGTGGAGTGGCTACGGAGATTTGAACGAAATTAGTCACCATTCGCATTGAGGACACTGCACTCGGCGGGGCGCGGAAAGTAGTTGCGAAACGTCTACAACAAAGAGTTTTCAAATCGTCTCTGAGAATCTGACCGGGTTCACAATTCGAATCCAGGACCGGGTCATGAGAAAACATTGAACGTTTTCGACTCGTTTGCCAGAAATTTCTTGCCGCACAAAATTGTGTGTGTGTGTGGCGGTTTTATCAAGAATCGAAACGGCCGAACAAATTGAAAAAGCCGGAAAGCAGTTATCGATTTTTCAAGCGGGTGAACGAAACTTACAAACTCAAAATCACAAAAAAACACGTATGTTGATGTTTTGAAGCTTTCATACTGCTAATAAAACCCGTGCCGACCCGTAACAAGTCTACTGAAAAAGTCGAGATGAAAAAACGTCAAAACATACTGAAAACTTGAAAACCCCATTTGAATTCGAAATGTTTCTACATCAGTCGGGCCCGTGACAACATAATAAAAAAAATTTGCATAAAACAATTTCATATTTGCGAAACGGATCCATTGACCATAAAAATGGCTCGTTTGGTGTTAACGGCCCTGTGAGCCGATTGATATAAAAGCACCGTCCCTCTCTGGTCGCCCTCATTCTTCCCAGCATAATGATGAACAACGCGGATCCGGCTCCGGCCCAACCAGAATCCGTTCAAATCGTCGAAATCTCCATGGATCCTCAGGAACGGGTCCCGACAGTGCCGGTCGCTGAACACGCGCCAATCTATCCGATTTGGAATCCGTTCTTCGGTTATCGATTTGTCGCCCAGCAAGTGCCGGATATTGTGAGACTGGAGATGCGGGTACAGGCGCTCGAGCAGCAGAACCGGGAATTGAACGCCGAGATCGGTGCGATCATTGGAAACCTGCAGAATATTCGACAGGTACGGTACGAGAGGTTTCACAACTTCAGGAAACTGGTTTTATAGGTTCTCGAACGAAACTTCGGGAATTGAAGGACGTGCTTGCAGCCGAATTGTTCTGTTCCTTTTTTATCACTGAAGTTCCGATCGAACATCTTGATTTACGTATGCATCTTGATCAAATGACAATGCAAACTCTCCGTGATAGTAGACGAAACAGATGATGCAGAAAATGATGAGGATGAAGGCGTGGAGGCAGAGACGTGCTTCTCGCGACATCTTCGTGCGTTTCCGACTGAAACATTCATTCATTGTTGCTGTTTGCCGACCATTCCGGTTCACTTTTTTTCAGGTCAAGAAATCAGGCTGGAGAGACTAAAAAGCCACCAGAGATTGACGTTTTGGAAGCATTCGGTTCAGGGCTGGGCATTTGGCCGGCACGGGCTTTTCGTTGGCCGACCCTTGACCTGGACTTTTGAACCACATGCAATATTCCGATCGGACCCAAACTTTGCAGGCTTCTTGGACATGGGTTGAAGCATATTGGGACCAAGTTTCAGCCCGATCGGATTATTTGGTCCCGAGAAATGTGAATCATTGGCCGAAATTGGCCGGAAGCCCGGGCTTTTTGGAAAAAATCGGCCAATGATCCACATATCTCGGGACCCGACAATCCGATCGGGCTGAAATTCGGACCCAATGGCCCTCAATCCAAGTCCAACAATCCTGCAAAGTTTGGGTCTGATCGGAATATTGCAAGTGGTTCAAAAGTCCAGGTCAAGGCCCGGCCAACGAAAAGCCCGTGCCGGCCCATTGCCCAGCCCTGATTCGGTTTCAAAAAGTATTGTGAGCAAGTAACAAACAAAATAAAAATCATTTATTGAGTTGACATTTTCAATCGAATTCACTCCGGTTTTCGGCGCTCACGGACCGGTGAGAGTGGGCGGAGCAGCTGGAGTCGGCGGCAGCGGAGCACCCTCGCACTTCATACTGATCATGAAGACGTTCGGACGGGCGCCCGGCTGTTTGAACACCTCCACAGCGTCCGTGTCGTTCGCGGTGCACTGCAGATTGGAAAAGAACGTTCGGTTTTGTGGTTTCGACGAAAATGAAGGAACTTTGAGTGCGCATTGCAGAGCAGCATTCGTTGCCAACATTTTCAGAAGAAATCTTCACGCCTAGTACTTGTGTACAACCACTTTCAAGCTGACTGTAGCTCATGGAAGTGAAGGGTCAGAAATTGGCATTATTGGGTGAGCTACAGTGATCTCAAGAGTAATGGTACAAAAAAGTTGAAAGTTATGTTGAATTTATGGATACCTCCAAATAACTGATGGCCAGTTTGTCGTCCTTCATCATCGATTTTTTGCGGCACACGACCAGGTTCAAAGTGAATCCGGGATTGATGAAATCCACGTTTGGCGTCGTGCTGAAACCGGTTTTCCAGAAGTTTTCAGATCTAAAAAAGTTTACGTGTAGGTGTCGACATTGGTGGTTTTGACCTTGATGGCGAAACGGTGCTGCGATTCGTTGATCACTTTGATGCTCGCCTGACCTTCCGGCGCCACCCATTTGATGAACGAAGTGCTGAAAAGAGAAGCGACGATTTGCAACTGTGTGTGTGTTTGGTTGCGAATCGTCTGTCGGAACTTACTTGAAAGTGAGGGACATTGTTCGCAAGCGCTCGGTTACACTTTTCGCACAACGAAAATAATCAGTTTTCTCGAGCAACTTCCGAAAACCAGTTTTTCTTTTGGTTGACCGTCACGTGGAATTGGAAGGACTACACGGGGGAAATGAAGATACAGAAATGAAATGAAATGTTCTTGTCAATGTGTAACACAGATTTACAGTTTTGCTGACATTCAAGAAAAGTTGAACTCTTTGATGTAATGCACTTTGTGAAAGAGTCCAAGTCAGAATCAGAATGCTTCTATAAATCTACATTTTCATTACGGTAACCCACCCTCACGGTACCAAATGATACGTGACGGCAATTCGCGGCACCTTTTTTCCTAACAACTATCACACTTTTCTCAATTTCAAACTGTGTGTTGTGTCGAATTATGCTGACAGAGAAGTCAAAGAGTATTCTCAGAAACGTTCACGCATGAACGACTCCATTAGTCAAGAAACATTAGTTAGCCGACTGACTCGTCATACATGAAACTTGACACATTGTCCGCATTTATAGGAGCTCCTTTTTGATACACGTTCATTCATTCATTCTTCTAGAAGCTCTCGATTTGTGAACTCTTCAGATGTTGACTCCTTACTGGCAAATGGATGTAATGACTGTCGAGACCGTTTTCCTCTATCCCATCTATGTGTTCCTGTTGATCGACATTTGGATTGTGCGAAAGAAACAGACGATTTTTAAAAGTCCCTATTACACTTTGGTACTTTGTCAGGTAATGTTGGCACCGGATATATTGTGAACGTGTAACTTCATATGGTTTTTGCAGGGACTCGCCGACATCTTCATCATTCTCACAATTGTCAGCCTCCTCTCGGCTAGATATTTCTCAATCGGCAACGAGTTTCTCTACCGACTAGAACCCTTCGGCATGGCCTCTTTTCTCTCGAACATCGGCCCGCTCATGTTCACCGTTCGAATCTTCGGAGTCTTTCTCATCAGCACTCAAAGATACGTGGCAGTCTGTCGGCACGGTGGCTACTTGAATCGATTTCTGAACGGAACCCGTCCTATGGCGTTTTTCGCCGTCCACTGGATCATTCCACTCCTCATTTACACGCCCGCGTTTATGGTCAGCAATGCTCATTTTGACAATTCCAACACTTTGTTCATTGTTAACACTCAACTTCATATGCAGGCAAGTGTTGCGAAGACAAATTTAAGGAAAAAGAAAACGAGTTTAGACATTCTCGGTAGTCGTCATTTCGTCGTTTCTGACGATCGGCGCCACTGTCGTTGTCATGAACATTTCCATTCTTCGTGCACTTTTCAGCACTCGAAAAAGCGGACAAATGTCTGACGTTTCTCTGTAATCAACTTTTCGGGATCTATGAGAAATGAGCAGTTTGCAGTCGTCAACGATCGGCTCGCTACCAAGAAGTGCGTCTGGCGATTCATGTATTCCTTCTTTTCGTCATGTCGCTCATCACATTCTGCTATTATCTAGTCGAGTTTTTGCTGGCCAGCCAACCGGAAGTCAGTGCAAATGTACAACACCAACACTTCAAAACTTCAATCAATATTCAGGACTCCTCTCGTCGAGTTCTCCGCATCTATTATCCGCTCATTTCCGGAAACTTCTCCTACATCAACCCGATTACTCTATTGGCGCTCAACAAAGATGTGCAGAAAATGCTGAATTCTCAGTTTTGCGGCAAAAAGGTATAAAGTGAGACGGAATCAGTAATGAATGTGTGCAGAATCAGATAGATATCTCAACAAGCAACAACAACAACTACAACAAATGGTCGAAATGAACAGCTTTCCTGCAATGACTATTGTCTCTCCGCTCAAAGAATCGAACTCTTCGGGGGCGAGAAAAGCGAATTTCAAGTGTTCCTACGACTATCTCCATTGTATCGATCTGTTTCACCTCCGCATCACTTTCCAAGACCCAACACAAGTAGAAGCAAAACAATAATTAGTTCAAACTTTTCCGGCATATCACTCTTATAAATCAACGACAGAAAATGATACCATCAGAATCAGCTCGACGAGATCTATCCGAATATATAACTATCATAATCACTTTCTGATATTTCCTGAAGAAACACACTTCCCACGGGGGAAAATGGTCGTCTCATCGAGGGACATCGTAGAAGACAGAAACAGAGGTACCCAGAATGGTAGTAGTGCTCCGAATTGAACCGTTCAACTTAGAGCAGACGTATCTGGAATAGATGCAGAGCTCAGCACTAGTTTATTCAAAAAACCAACTCCGCCGACATTTTTTCCCACGAAACAAGTCGATAAAGTCGTTTCCTTCTTTTCTTCATCATTTTTGCGGAAATGCAATAATTTCCTCTATAAAAGATATACTCTAGAGTCTAGACGTTTCGATGAAAGCATTTTTTCTGCCGAATATGCTCACTGATGTGTTGAGACAAATCAGTTAGATCTAATAAGTTGCGAAGAGGAAAACAAAGGAGAAAATCTTTGAATCCGTCCTTTTTTGTCGGCGACTTACTTGGCTCGCTATTCCAACATTTTCAACTGTGATATTGTATAACTTTGTCCTCATCAAACCTTGTGCATTGAAGTGCAGCGGATCGAATCGGGCATTGCTCTGAAACTCGACCATTTTTTTGTTGCTCATCATTCTCCATGTCCGACCACTGGGACGTTTTCATCGTCAATTGTGAGACGATCGTCTGTATGCCTATTTATTTCGTAATTCTGCTGACGATTGGCATTAATCGGAAAAAAGAGGCCGTGTTTCAGACGCACTATTATACGCTCGTCATCTCTCAGGTTAGCATGTGATTTTTGAGGCACCGTGAGATCACATGACATCTCATAAGGTCCAGGAAGGTCACACAAAATCTTGTGACATCCCACGAGGTCCTCATTTTTTCCTTCTTTATTCCAACCCTTTTAGGGCCTTGCCGACTTCTCAACAATTCTCATATTCTTCCCGGTCACCTACGCGAGAACCTATGGATTCGCTAACAAGTTTATATTTTCGCTCGGCCAATTCGGTGCCGCCCGTTTTCTGGTGACATTCGCGCCGTACCTACTGATCACCAGAGGAATCGGAGTGACTTTGATAAGCACTCAAAGGTATCTGACCCTATGCCGCCCACATTCACGGATTGAACATGTGAGTCGATCAACTTTGATTAAAACTTTACATGTACCAAGTTTCAGAAGATAAAGTACCTGGCGCCGAGATATGTAATACTCTTTCATTGGTCCCTGTCCTTGGCCATCTACACCCCGGCGTTTATTCTGAGCAATGCACACTTTGAAGACGAGCGATCACTGTTCATAGTCTCTTCGGAAACGTTTAATTTTGTAAGCGCACTTCTGGTTTCTCATTAAAATTTCATTAAAAAAAAGTTCAGATCTCTCCCCTCTGCGTCACCACTTCCTTCGCGTTTTGCACTCTTCTCACCGTCCTTCTCTACGCTATCATCATCAAATTTTTGTGTTCAGCCAAGCAAATCGCGTCGAGTTCCAAGTAAGACGCTGATGAAAACGAAAGATGATGGTGGAGTTTGGTCACGGTCGCTGCTTTTGCTCTTTACACATTTCTGTGTAGTACGACACTTGCCCAGGTGAAAAGCGGGTAGACTCACCTGTTTGCACTGAAAAACCGATTTCTACGTAAGAAATTAGTGATTTTTGAATGTCTTCTTCTCGAAAACACAAATAAAGTCGTCCTAAACTTTGCAGAAAGTCCCGGCAGTCCCGCTCGAACGAATACCGCCTCGGCGTCCACGTCTTCCTGCTCACTTTCATCGGAATCCTCATATTTGCCTACTGGCTCGGAGAGATGCTGTTCGGCGCTCGTGAAGAGGTTCCTCGCAAACCGCGCCCATAATATTCCCTTATTTCTTTTTTTCAGCAAGAAACATTGAAAGAACTCCGACAACACTATCCACTGATTTCGGGCAATTTCACATTTCTGAATCCGATAATATACCTGGTCGCAAATCGAGAGATCCAGCGAGTTTTGAGGAAGAATTTGAAGAAAAAGAAGGTCAGCTGACAAATGTGCTATTGGATAATATTCGAAAAAAACAAGGAGTTTTCAGTCGACGGTCCAATCGGTCAGTGTGGTCGGAACACAAAAACGAGTCGGACTCGCGATGGGAATCGACAAAATTCGACAAAATTTTCTGAAGATTACAGTCATAAAATGAATACTTTGAGCCCATCTTGACAGTCTCTCATGTATTAGTCACAGTCAGAAGACGGCTATGAATCCAACGCGCTCGAGATCCATCTGCTCATTTTTTTGTGCCCCCCAAGAAGGTTTATATCAACAGGAAATTGCGTTCTCTGAACGAAAAAAGAAAGAAAACAGAAATTCCCTGGGTGTTTTCGGCCGTTCTCATTTTGATTGGAATCCTGAATTGTCGGCGGTCGACTCATTTCTCAAACTCACAAAAATGGATGGTTCCACTGATCTTCAGACTACTTTGACGTGAGCTTTTTGCGAACTGTCTTGATGAGATTTTTGAATGTGTTTCTTATATATATATATATATATAATATACAAGATCTGTCTTTTTAGCACACGTGTGCTTCATAAATTGCCATTTTCCAGAAACCTAGTGAATGTGTTCGACGCCTACGCGTACATTTTCGCGGCAATCGACCTGATGATCAACACGTTCCACGCGTACATTTTATCGAGAAAACACATGAGGACCTCTTCGACGAACTCGATCTTACTCGGAATCGCACTCGTTGACATGGTGTTTCCGTTGATTTCGATCAAAAAACAGACGAGGATTTGGATGTTCGGAAGTGGCAATTGGTGGGTTCTTTTCGGTTTCTATGCTTTCTCCACGTTTTTCATGTTTCTTTTCAAATGTGCCAATTCTAGCACCGCCGTCGAAGGCTTGTTCGAAACGAATTTGGACTGGGCCCTCTACACTCTCCGCGATGATTTCCGACGGTGTTCCACGTGGCTCGGCCTCTCTCTGGCCGCAGTTCGAACGATCGCCGTCAGAAATACTATGAATCACAAGTGAGGATTTCTCATTTTCTCGGATACCGCGACGTTTCGCAACCAGGACAGCTCTAAAATGGACGTTTGGCAACTGAAAATTGTGAGAAAGTGGGAAAAGTGGTCGTGCCAGCTGCACGCAAACACCACGACGATCATTCGCAGACACACGTTGTTTTTCAGGACATGCTTTATTGAAACTACTTATGCCATTGGATAAATCATACAAAATTACTCAATGGTGTAGTACTTCGTATTTCTCAAAAATGATATCGAGGGCCAGATTTAGGACCTCAAAGTACTTTTCGACGCCCAACTCTAAAAACCCTCCATCTTTGGGCACTTATAACTCAAGATCCATTCGTTATTTCAAAAAGTGGTCAACTGAAAAGTTGTTGTAAATTTTGTGCTTAACAACTTTGTAGTTGATCATTTTATCCGAAAACTTGTCATTCTTGAGTTATGGTCTTGTTTCTAAGCACTATTCACAAGGGCGATGAGAAGTGCTTTGAGGTCTCAAAACAGATCCTACTTATCGGTCGAAAATCCAGTTTCCAATCACTTGCCAGTCCTAAACCCCACCGTCTCTTTTACAGTTTCAAGTACGTGTCCCAGTCGCGGTTCGGCTGCAAACTCATTCTTTCCGTGATCGCCCTCAGCTCATTTCTCTCCGCTTTCTACTATCTCCGCTTCAAAATCGCCGAAAACGGTACTTACTGGACACCGCCCACCGAGTACAATTTCTTCTTTCCCCAAACATTACCTGTTTCATGATAATTTCAGGTGCGAAGGCTACGCACCCGGCTACACGGCGCCCAATTACGTATATCAGGAGCAGGCACTGTACACGTTTTCCAATGCGATTTTCCGGAAGGTCTATTATATTTTGGTGGGCGCTCTTGGAAAGGCTAGTGATATTATTGATCAGATCAATCACGGCGAGCTTTTTACTGATTTTCAGTTTATTCCCTGCATTCTGTTCCCAGTGTTCGCCGTCATTTTGATCCGAGAGTTGCGAAATGCGAAGAAAGTTCGGGCACAGGCCACGAAAGATGGTAATGGGACAAAGTGGGACACCTCGAAACATTTTTGTTCAACATGCTCATAATTTTGTTCAGAAAAGACTTGACGACACGGCTGGTAATCTACATGACCGTCTCATTCTTCGTCATCGAGTTCCCGATCGGAATCTGTTTTTGGATTGAAGCGGCCGCGAGCACAAGTGACTCAAAGTGAGTTTTGTGATAAAAATGAGAACAAAACGAACAACTTTGAACCTACAATAGATCGGAATTGCAGAAGCGTCGCCACCAGCATCATAACCCTCCTGAACACGGTCTACATCGTCATGACGCTCACCCATTTCTCCATTTGTTTCTTCATGTCCACACAATATCGGCGGACTGTGATCAGTGTGCTCAAGGGCGGAAAACACAAAATATCGTCGTCCGTGGTCAGCGTTGTGCAGAATTTGAAATCCGAAACCACTGCTTTTCATTGAATAGTTTTTATGAAGATTGGGAAAAGAAGATGAATTCTATGTCTGTTCCTCTTTTTTACACTGCAAATCACTGATACTTTGTTGAAAACGCAAGAAGGTGAGCTCTTCTCTCTAAAAAAAGCGCAAAACTTCAGGTTTTATTGGAAAAATTGCGAAACACAACGCAAAAAATGCTCGTAAATCGACATGGCCGGGGGACTAGTTCGTGTTTCTCTTCCATCTGTGGAATGCCAGTTAAATTCATTCAAATTGCCGTCTTCGCGCGCAAATTCTCGACCCGACAGTAGAATTGTGACAAAATGGACGATTATGCATGCAAAAACGTGCAAATTAGGATATTTTTACATCACCCGGAAAAATGATCACAGAAAACCAATGTCAATGTTTCCTTTCCACCGGCGCCCGGGACGTTTTCCGCACGCACCTCATAGCCTTGCGGCCGGCCGCTGGTTCGAATCCGGCTCGCTTTTTGCAATTATTCGTCGAGTTTATTTATGAGACAACAGTGATATTTCTATTTAGGCCAATAGTTTTTGGGAGTTTTGCATGAAAAAGCTTTCGAAAAAAGTGATTGTGATTCTTGAACGCCGGATGAACGAGGAAAAAGATCCACGGAATGGCGACGGCGTCCAAATCGCTGCCGAACGAACGGAGAATCACGGCTGAAACCGGGGAAAGTGTTTGAAAAGAAGTGCGAAAGGTCAGGAGGATCCTACCGGCAAAGGTGCCGGTCCGCCCGATTCCGGCCGAGCAGTGAAGAATGAATGATTTATTGAAGGACTAACGCCGCTTATACAATAAACAAAAGAAGAAAATTGAAGAGAAACAATAGTTAAAAATTTGAAGGGTTTAGGTTAAGGTATTTGTTTAACGGAATTGAACTAATATATGACCTGAACAATTCAGAGGAGTATTTGTTGGCAAAAAGACTAGATGGTAAATTATTCCAACAGTTGACAATTCTATTAGTAATAAATTAAGCGCCTATTTTAGTGGAATTTTTTAGATTCGACTTAATATAAAACGGATGACTTCGAAGAGAGTTGAAACGGGGAAGAAATATGTGTAGCGAGTTATGGATGCTTATTTCCTTAGAAACCAAAAGCTTGTACATGAAAACAAAGTCATTAACTAAACGTCTATATTCGAGTGAAGGGATATTACAAAACTTAATAGAATCAAAGTACGAAGTGTATGGATAGCTAAATTTTTTGAAGACACGAAATATAGAAGATTTTTGGACAGATTCTATGAGTCTAATGTGGTCTTTAGAGGTGGGTGAGAATACAACCGAGCAGTATTCTAACAAGAGTGGTCTAACATAAATGTTGAAACAGTTAATGAAGATGTGGAAGTCTGCATGGCGAAGAACGTTAAAAAATATGTTGACTCTTTGATGTGCCTTGCGAAGTGTGACGTCAAGGTGATTTGTGAAAGTAAGATCAGAATTGAAAAATATACCCAGGTCACGAATTACTTTTGTTTGTGGTAAACACGTGTCATTGAGTGAGAATTTAGAGTTAATAGACTTGGAAGATTTTTTAGAAGAATAAAAAGAGATTGCCTCACATTTGTTAGGGGCTACATTCATTTGCCAGCTTTCGCACCATTCATTAAGCTTTACTAGATCACGGTTAATGGAGTCAGGGTTAGTTGAAAATAGTTTCTCTGGAAACTCGATTGCAATCTAATTAGAAGAGTTTGCAATCTAAAAAGAAAATGCTCTATTTCGCAATCTAATCAGATTTAATTGAAGTTCCAGTAAAATCGTATTAGATTACAATATATTTTTCCTGAATTGCAATCTAATAAGAAAAAATTGCAATCTTATTAGAAAACATTGCAATCTAATTAGAAAAATTGCAGTGCTTGTAATCTAATAAGAAGATTTTGCAATCTAATTGAAGCAAATTCTATTTCAAACGAGTTCGTATTAGATTTCAAAGTTTTCTAATTAGATTGCGATCGAGTTCCCAGAGTTTAGGTCGTCTGCATAAAGTAAGAAATTTGATTCGAATGAGTCACCGATATCGTTTATAAAAAGAAGAAAAAGAAGAGGACCGAGAACAGAACCTTGAGGTACACCAGAAAGAACGAGACGTTCACTAGATAAGACACCATTAACACAGACACGTTGAGTTCGGAGGGTTAAAAATGCGGAAATCCAAATCACGAACACCATAAGAATTCAATTTAATTTTGAGTTTGGAAATGGAAACAGTGTCGAAAGCTTTTTTGAAGTCAATGTAAACACCGTGTGTTGTTTTCTTTGACAAATTGTTTTCCACGATATCTGCTTGGTAGGCAGTGCACGGTCTCCCAGAGCGCGAATGCTAAAGAAGGCGCCGGTGTAAGGACGGAGTGTCGTAGCAAGATTGCATCATTTCGCGCAATCGGGTCGCCGCACTTGCTTCTGCTGCAGCTGTTCAGTTATTTTCGGAAAGTCTCAATCAATTTTCATTCGATTCTTTTTTATTTTTTCTACTTCTCTCAGATTCGAATAATGAAAGAAAATAAACTTGATAAAAGCTGTCAGTTTGGCAGGAACTCTCCGTAAAACCCTTGTTTCAGAAACGAGAAATTGAGGAATACGCAGAACACTTGATTTGCAGCTCGACAGAAACGGAAGTGACCGTTTGAATAAGTGAAAAAAGAAAGAATCGGGGTCAGTTTGGGTGAACTCCAAATGCTTCCCCGAAAAAACGTTGTTCTAGGTATTCTCGAGTACTGGGAAAGAGCACTGTTTGGAAGAACAGAATAGAGACGGAATGATGCACTCGGACGGAATCTGGACGACATTCAACAATAATTTATTAAAAGCTTAGTCGGACTGATGCCAGGAAATGCCTGTATCGTGTAGAAGATTGTAATTCGACAGTTGCTGAAGAATGAGGACGAAGTGGAGCCTCACGTCCCGGACGGAAGCGAAACGACTCGTGAGGGTGTTGATAACGGCATGCAAGGACTCCAGTCCCTGCTCTGTCATTCTCCCCCAACTCCTGTTCTCGCGGAGGTACGGAACGAGATGAGCAGCGAGCAGATGGAGCTTCGGGGTCACTGAAGCATCAGGTTGCAAATCGCGCAGGTTTGAGACGAGCAAATCGATCACTCCTTCGATGCGATCGATGTCCGCATCTGATTTGATCTTGTTGTCGGCCTGACTCATCAGAAATTCCAGATTTCCCATCACCTTGCGCATCATGTCGATCTCGTTGCTTGGAGGGAAAACAGCGAGAATCAGGTCGATACTCGAGGACCGAAGAAGCTTCCTCACTTGGTTTCCAGTCAACTCTTGGTACCACACTCTGTGATCGCATCCGATTGATCGAAACGCCTCTTCGAGATGCTTCCTAGTTGGGCCATTCGATTTCTTCAGCATTCCATCCAGTTCCTCTCGTTCAGAAATCACATCTTGCAGCACATCCTCATCATTCTCCAACTGCGCACTCAGGGAATCGAGAAGCTCTTGCAAATGATCCTTTCTCTGGTTGATGTCCATGGACCATGGTTCCGACGCGACAATCAACGCATCGATACTTGCCTTCCGCGGATTTGTGCTCATCGTCCGGAGTGAACGCGAAACCGCAAACACAGTGGATGTTCTTGTTGCACGTGGTGCACTGGAAAGAAGAGATCTTTCCAAATGCGGATTTCTTCGATATCGAGGCGACACAGAAAGCTGATCCACAACGATGAACCTCTGATCTGCGAACGGATGCATTTCCAGCCACTTTCGTGATCACTTCCATGACTTTTTCCGCGTTGCCAACAGCGGAACGGAGACCTTCTGCACGCGACGCATAGCACTGTTCTTCTCTCTCCAACGTCTTCAACATTTTACATTGCTTTTTCAGATCAATGGGGAGCACATCCGGTCCGTAATCTTCTCTATTGGCGAGGGCAATCAACCAGTTAACCACGTACGACTGCACAATGCCGAGAAACACGTGAAGTTGGGGGGGACCAGCCATTTCCGGATTAAACTTCAAAAGTGGAGACCCCTCCTTCAGAAGCTGCTCCAGTGTTCGCAAGGGACCTGACAGCTCGAATGGAAATGTTGCCAGGGTTGCTGCATGTGATCCGTGGCTCGACCAGCTCGCGTTGCAGGCAAAACAAGGAAATTTGGACGACTGGCCAGCGTGGTTGAAGACGGCGGACAGAAATTTACAGTCTCCGAGCGCTCTTTTCACAACTTTCCGAGTCACAGGGTTCCCGTTCTCCAGATAAGTGACAGTTTTCAGGTTGTTTATCTGGTCAAATACTCCTGCCACTTTCGCTTTCAATGTTGGATGGTCGTCATTTCCTGAGTACATTCCAAGAAGAAGACTATTGTGGGCATTGTTGGGATTGTCGACGTTCTGCAAGACTCCAACGATCTTCGTCAAGTCAGCACCTTTGTCGCCGCCAAATCCTACAACGATATCGTCACTGGTTGTTGGCTCGTCGAATCTGAGACGACCGTTTTTGTGCAGCGTGCGTAGTGAGGCGCCGAGAAAGAAGATTCGCCGTGTCCCGAGCCGTAATAACAGCGGTAGGCACGACCACGTCCTTTCCAGATCTCGTCTTCTTCTTCGTTCTTTCGATTACGATGTAATAATCAGCATCTGGGTCAAATCTCTTCTTAATCTTCGAAATTGACTGCCGAGAAGAGAAGATATCGAATTTTAGCTTCTTTTTACAGAAAGCCTTGAAGTCTTTGAGAAACCCGTCGGAAAACTTCCAGCGTGTCGAGGCGACGAAAGAGTCCCACGCGTCGAGTGTCGTGGCGAACGAGTACGCCTCGTTAGAGGCAATGTACTGGATGAAATCCGTCAAGAAGACATCTAGATTTTCAGGTCCCACGTACTGTTCAATCGCTTTGGCAACCGTTTGGAACCGCTGTCTTTTCGTCTCCTTCGTTTTCAAGTCGTTGTATGGTTTCTGAGGGACTTTGGGGCTCAGGGAACACTCCTTCAGATGATTGACTTCCTCTTTCATGGCCTCAATCCTCACCATGTGGACTTTTTCAACAGACGCTTTCATGTCGACTTTGGCTTTGTTAATGGAGGTAGTCTGTTCAGCCTTCAGTTGTTTCAGCTGGTAACGAACTCCAATCAACTCGTTCTTCTTCTCGGTGATTTCTTGCAGCAATAAAACTCCTTGTCTCTGGTCGGTGAGCTTTTCACGCAAAAACAGTTTGTGGTTCTTCTCCTGCTGAAGCTCCTGTTTGACTTCCAGCAACTGATTCCGGAGATTATCTACTTCAGCTTTCAGCGCCTCATTTTCGGCTTCCAACGAGAAGATGCGGTTCCGCTCGGCTGCTTGCTCCGCCCTTCGAACACCTCCGCTGACACCATTCGATTGCGAGGCCTTTATCGCACTTGATTTTCTCCCCATGTCTGTAATTCATCTTTTTATCTTTCCTCCGCTTCCCTTCAACTCTTTCATGTTCCCTTTTTCAACGAATAAATCGTCTTTTTCAATGTTTTCATAACACTATTCACATTTATATGACTGACCTTCCGTTGAAATACGTTCTAATTGAAGAGAAAACCCCGTTTGTTGAACCCGTTTGATTTCTGTAATATAATTTTTGTGCAATGTGGATTATGAATCTGAGAAGTCTTTTGAAACAAGCAGAGCAAAGAAGACGGTTGAATGAAGAGTTTTATGCAGTTCTCAGCTTCTTCTTGACGTATTTCGATGATCTAAACTTTATCCTGAGCCTTTTTCTACAACTAGCATGCGTGAAGACCAAATTGATTCAATTTCTAACACAATTTCGGAATCCGTCTCACTGTCGCCATTCACAAAAATTCTAATAACTCTGTCTTTTCTGAATATTTTTTGCCAGTCGAGCGACCAAAATGACCGCCATTTAATTCGGAACAAAAAACAAGTTCCTCCGTTCAGACTCCTTCGGCGTGTTTCCAAAAAAAAACGATTATCGAAAAATTCAGGCCAAAAACTGCAAATCTAATAACTCAGCTATTTTTTAAAGATATGCGAGATTTCTGTTACTAAAACGTAGCTAGTGCTCTAATTGCTCGGATCCAGGTTCCAGGCGCACAAAAAATAGGTGTATTGCATAGAAAACATGGAAAGAATGCGAACTCCGTTGAAAATTAATTAATCGGCAGCCGCGTAAATCGACACCAGCCCGCCTGTTGCAAGTGCGCCCCATTGATCATTCGCGCTCTGGGAGACCGTGCAGTGCACGACAACCGGGTTCATTTCGTTCTGAATCGAGTCGAGGAGCGCGAGGACCCCGTCGGCACACATGGGCGCCGATTGGTCCGGCCAGTCGAGGTACTGATCGTGTTTGACCGTGAACTCGGGGTAGTCTCTGGAAAAATATCTAAAGTGGATACATTTACCGAGAAATCTATCCAGAAAGGCGATTCTTCCCGCATTATCTCCACTTTCAAATGTTTTGCAACATCGCGGAACTCACGTGAATTTGACGGAAAGCACGCGGGTGACGATCTCTTCTGTCGAGTCGAGCGATTTCGAAGTGCATTTCACTGTCAAGCCTTGGAACGTGAGCTCATCGCCACTTTCCTCCGGATAGTACTGTGCGCATTTGCGTGTTTCTGAAATCACAATTAGTCGGAAACTATTGCGGCGGCTCACGAACCGTCCTCGAACAGTTTGCACAACATGACCACCCGTTCGGTTCTGTCCTGCCGCAGCATCCAGTAGAACTTCTCGATCGTCCCTATGTAGCCGCGCTCGTCGTTGCCAATCGGAGCCTGCGTGAGTCGGAGCACGAGACCGTTGCGCAGGACCAGGTCGTTGGCGTGGATGAAGTTTGAGGTGAACAACTGGCGGTAACCCTTCAGAATCACTCGTCCGAATTCCGCAAAATATGTGGCGTGCCTAAAAAAGAGGCGTTTACGAGTCAATGCGCACCATTTTTACCGCGTCTCTTTCCGATCGGTTCCCGTAAGATTTCTGCTTATCGACAAAGGAACTGTCGAGAACTGATTTTTGCAGAATCCAACGAAGAAACCGCTGAGTCCCTTCAGCGCAAGCCTCACGGTCGACACTTTCATCGCTTCCTTGAAGTTTTTGATGCTATCGTAAAGGTTTTGCATGAAATCAATGACTTTTCCTTCGGCACCGCTTTGGTCTTGGGTTCTGAAAAAAAGCGATCGAATGCTGCGAACTGTTGAGTCGGGTAACTTACTCTCACTTTTTTGCGTATCGGCGAGTGACAACAATTTCTCGGTAAGACTTTTCAGAAAGCTTTTTTGTGGCGGAACCGGAACCGGTGGTTTGGCTGCGGCGTTCGATCCTCCGTCCTGATTAGCACTGCTGCTCGGCAATAATGCTTGCTTCTCTTCCTTGTCCTTCGAATTCGGTCAAATCGACAACCGACATGTTTGACGACGACAATTACACGCGTGGCTGGAAGGTTTGTCTCTTCTTTTCTTTTCGTTTTTTTTTTGCTTCTGTAGCCGTTCATCCTTCTCCCACACTCTTTTCACTGGTTTCAAACAACGATTATCGTTGGAAGATCCTCCTTTCTCCTCCTCCTCCTCCATTTTTTGTTGCTTTTTCTCACTAAACCACCCCTATTCTATTCTTCTTCTTCTGAACATCATCTTGTACAGGAAGCCGCGTTGGCGGTCGAGATGACGGCGTCTCCGCATCACAACAACAATCATCTGACAGATGCGGCGATGCGCACGTTCAAACCGCCCAACTACGATGATGGTAAGAGCTGGTCCCTAGCTGATAATTTCATTTTTTTTTCTAAAGTTGCCTGCTCGTCAAGCCGTTCCCGTCCGTTGGCAATGCGACGCGAACGCAGTGATCTCGGACCGTCTCTCGCTTCCAATGGTGGAATCAACTTTGGAATTGTCGGAAAGAGCAACGCACAAAGATTGGCATTTCACAACGAGAGCAGTCCCGGACCGGCACACACGCAGTTTGGTGAGAAACCCATAGGTGCGGGATATTTGAGAAACGCCAAAATATTCTTCTGACCTGTAAAGTCGGAAATGCCCAGATTGCTGTCCCTTAAGGACATTCCAGCAATCTGAACATTTCCGACTCCCCTCCCACTCGCCTGTCCCTAACTGCCGGCGCGCAATTCAAAATACCTATGGAGAAACCGTTTTAAACCAACTTTTATTTTACCGCTTCCTGCAGGTCGCGTTCCGATGACACCTCCGGCGAATGCGGAGGTCGACTTTTCACTCAAATCGATTTGGCGGAGGCGTACCTACAAGTGGAAACCGATCCGGAAGCGTCAGAACTTCTCTGCATCAATACGCATCTTGGACTTTTTCGCTATCAACGTCTGCCATTCGGAGTGAAAACGGCACCAGCGATTTTTCAACAAATCATGGATTCACTCGTTGCCGGAATGGAAGGAACGACGGTCTACCTGGACGACCTGATGATCTGTGGACGAACGGTCGAAGAGCACAATAACCGTGTTGTCGCCGTTTTTGCAAAGCTGGACGAGTACGGATTCCGCATCAAACCGGAGAAATGCCATTTTCTCATGCCAAAAATCGATTTTTTGGGATTCCAAATCGACTCTGAAGGACGCCGCCCGGATCCAGCCAAAGTCCAGGCGATTCTCGACATGCCGCCGCCGAAAAATGTGACGGAAACGCGAGCTTTCCTTGGAATGGTCCAGTTCTACGGATCTTTTGTGCCTGCGCTGCACGCGCATCGACGGCCGCTCGACGCTCTCACCAAAAAGGACGTCAAGTTCGAATGGAGCGCCGCCTGTCAGAAGGCATTCGAGGCTGTCAAAAGGATGCTCAATTCCGACCTTCTGCTCACTCATTACGACCCAAAGTTGCCGATCATCGTCGCTGCCGACGCCTCGCAATATGGAATCGGTGGCGTGATCTCCCATCGTTGGCCAAATGGGACGGAAAAAGCGATTTTCCACTTTAGTCGTGCTCTGACGGCCACTCAACAAAGGTACAGTCAGATTGAGAAGGAAGGACTCGCTCTCGTCACCGCCGTCACCAAGTTCCATCGTTACCTTCATGGCCGCCGCTTCACTCTCCGAACGGATCACAAGCCATTGCTGACAATCTTTGGCGGATCCAAAGGAGTACCGATTTATACTGCAAATCGATTGCAAAGGTGGGCCACCATTCTGCTCAACTACGATTTCGAAATCTCGTACGTCAAAACAAAAGATTTCGGACAGGCCGATGCCCTGTCACGCCTCATCAACCAGAAAGCCCGTCAAGCTGAAGAAGATGAGGTGATCATCGCGCAAATCGAAGTTCAAGCTTCGCCGGAACTCGCCAGTCAGTGCAACCAGCTTCCAGTCACCGCCGCAATGATTCGAAATCATTCAAAAACGGATCCGCTTATTCAAAAAGCCATGGCGTGTGCAGAGCGAGGAGTCTGGCCGAAGGATCTCGAAAAGGAGCCCGCGTTCCAGCAATTTTCGAGACGCCGGGAACAACTGTCGATTGTCGAGGACTGTCTGATGATGGCTCATCGCGTCGTCGTTCCGCAACGTCTTCGTCAACGGGTTCTCGTTTCGCTTCACAAAGCACACCCGGGAATCGTCCGTATGAAGTCACTCGCTCGCAGTCTCGTCTTCTGGCCCGGAATCGACAAGGATATCGAGCAGGTTGTGCGGAGCTGCGACAACTGCGCCGCCGCTGCCAAGAATCCGATAAAGAACGTGCTCTACTCGTGGCCAAAACCAGCTGCTCCGTGGACACGCGTGCACGCCGATTTCGCCGGACCCGTCGACGGAGTCTACTACTTGGTGGTAGTAGACGCATATTCAAAATGGCCGGAAGTAATGGCGACCAAATCGATCACATCGACCGCCACCATCAAGCTCTTCGAGAAGATTTGGGCAATTCGGGAATCCGGAGACGCTGGTGACGAACAATGGAACACAATTCGCCGCGCAATTGTTCCAGTCATTCTGCGAGGAGAGAGGGATCAACCACGTCTTCGCACCACCCTATCATCCGCAATCAAATGGCCAAGCTGAACGGTTTGTCGATACTTTTAAGCGCTCACTGAAGAAGCTGAAAGCCGAGTCGAAGGGAGAGGACGCGCTCAACGTCTTCTTACAACTTTATCGTTCGACTCCGTGTGCGGCGGCGCCGCAGCAAAAGTCGCCCGCCGAAAGCTTCCTCGGACGGCCGATCCGCACGCCATTGCAACTACTGCTGCCAAGGACGGATTCTGGAATCTCTGAAAGGAATCTGGTCATGGAACGACAATTCGATGATCATCACGGAGCTCGTCTGCAAAAGTATCGACCGCAGGAAGCCGTCTACGTCAAGGACTTTCGCAATCCACTCAAGCCAACTTGGAGTGCCGGGATTGTGATAAAGAAGTTCGGGAACACCGTCTACGAGGTCGAAGTGGACGGTTTCCGCTGGAAAAGGCACGCCAATCACCTGAAACCGAGGATTCGCCGTCAACCGCTGGAGGAGCTGATCGACACGTTTGGACTGGGAAGATCGAGCGATTTGGACGACACGAAGGACTTGGATGGCCCAAAAGATTGGAAGGAGGATCGAAAGGATGCCGCGTTTTCGAAGGATGCCGAGGATTCGAAGGATTCTGAGGATGTTTTGGAGTCGGAGGAGGATTCGTTGGTTCGTCTGGATGCTAAATCGCTGCCTGCTTCGCCTGTGCACTCGCCGACTGTGCCGATCGTCAGACGCTCTGCTAGAAGTCGAACTGCCGTCAAACAATTCGATATGGACCCGACACAGAAAAGTTATCATTGATAACTAGGTCCTCTCTGCCCCCATTTACTTTCTTATTTTTCGTGGGGAGATGTTGTGTACTCTTCCATACACACAAACTTGTTTTTTTCTCAAGAACATATCAATTATCCTATAAATTCATACGTCTAGAACGACGTAGCAACGATGATGAGCACAATACCTCCGAGACTTCCGAGAATCCAGGCCAGCGTAGCACTACTGAAACCATAAAATTATAAATTCCAGAAATGTTTCTCAAAAACTCACTTGGCCGTCTCGGTGGTATTCGGAATCCATATTCCACTGGTGGTGTTTGCAAGGACCGACTGTTGTTGCTGTGACTGTGGAGGCGGGCCTGTGTGCACGACGAGCGGCGGGGCCATCAGCTCGGCAAACGCGGCGAAGAACGCGTCCAACTGGTCCAGAGAGTTGGGGGCCGAGGCGAAACTGGCTGTGAAATTGGAGAAGTCAACTCCGATGAGACCGAGATTGTCCAGCCACTTCGCCATCTTGGTCAGCTCGTCCCTCGCAGTCGGATCCGTCGTCAGATCCTTCAGATTGGCCACCGCCGCACTCATCGCCTTCACATCCGCTGCAGGTATTCCGGCGACCGTCGCAGCATTTGAAAAGAGATTCTTGTAGTCGGCCAGGACTGTCGAGTCACTTTCCACGATCTGATCGCTCCACGTGTGCAGTTCGGCGAACAACGTCGAGATATTCGTGCTCAGAGCGACGACCGATTTCAGATGGATGACGTCTTCCGAGCTCAACTGAGGCGGCGTCGTGGCGACTGCCTGCCCGATCGGACCAACGTGCTGCGGGATCTGCTCGAACTCGGACTGTTTGTCGAGCAACATCTTCATCGCGACGAGTCCTTGCGTGGCGGTTCCGATCACTTCCGAATGAGTGGAAGGGTCCTCCAGAAGTTCCAGAGCGTTCGATTCCGCCGTTTTGAAGTCAATACTGCCCATCTTGTCATTCAGTGCTGTCAACTTGTCAGGAGTACCAGCTACATCGCTCAAAATTCGTTGGACCTTGCCCACCGAGAAGGGTGACTGATCGCTCTTCAACTCTTCAGAATTCGAAATGAACGTCATCACCGATGCGTAGTCCTTCACACCTTGCAAACAACTGAACAGAGTCCCGAAAAGCTTCAATGCCTTCTGATATGATAATATAACACTCATCTTGTCGCTCAAGTCCTTCGCTTTGACTTTGATCGGTGAGTCCCTCTGAACTGTTTTGACAATTGCCAGGCTTTCAGAGACTTTCTTCAATAGATCGTTGGTCTTGTTCATGTCTTTGTTGTTTCTGAACTCATTGAACACCTTTTCCAGATCGGCGCCTTTTTTTCCTTCGGCTTTTGCACAAATATCTCTGACCATGATAATTCCAGCCTCAGCTGCTGTCAGATTCGTTTCAATATCGCTCATTGACTTTCTGATCCTCTCCATCCCCGCGTCAAGTTCCTTCGCATCCAATTCCACGTTCATAAAATCGGTGGCGTTTGGCTGGTCCGGAGTGAATCGATGGCAGTTTCGGATTGCTTCGGCATTATCGATGAGATTCTTTGACTTGAGATGCACGCATCTGAATTCCTCCGCGAACTTGAAGAATGGTTTCATCGCCACTCGCTGCTGCTCACTTCCCAAATCCGATTCAATATCTTTCAATGAGGGCGAAAGAGACTCCACACTGCGCAAACCCATTTTAAAACTGTCGACCCGCGCAACTTGACTGATCCACTGAGAATTTAGATCGTCGGACAGGAGATTCAAATCATCATATCCTCTTGGAAAACCGAAGGTGTAATTGAGATGACGGGAGTGCGGTGGCAAGCTACGCGAAATCGAAAAGTTCTTGATGACTTCAAGGTACTTCGTTATATCATCAACTTTCCTCGAAGCATTGAAAACGGAGTGAAAGTACTCTTCGAAGGACGCGAAATCGGCTGTATCCGACAATTTCTGTTCAACAGTTTCAAATGTATCACTGTACTTTTTGACTCCTTTCGCTGCTTTCGAAAGTGGAGACAATTCTGATGTGGCACTTTCGATTGTTGCGAATTTCACCGTTTTCAAATCCGCAGAAACGAGATTTGTACCATTAATGTAGCAATCGGCGGCTTTTTTTAACTGGGAAAAAAAAACAGCAGAACTATCTTCACTGTAGTCCATGGTACTCAGACTTTTATACGTACTTTTCCAATCAGTGCCGCAATCATCCAACTGAGTAACGAATTTCAGCTCAATTCCGTTCTGAGCCATCTTCTCGATGTCCGCCTTGAGCCGTTTCTCACTCCAATTAGTGATGTTTCCGCTCCCGTCAACCAACTTCTTCACTTCGTGCAGCGCCTTGTAGACACCCGCGAACCGCATCGCCCTCGAGTTGGCCGTCAGCGTACCTGGCAGGTCTTTCAGCGCAGTCAGTGCTTCCGTCAGTTCGGTCCCGTTGATTCCGATGATATCTGCCGGAGTGACACTTCCCAGACGGAGCAGTTCGGAAATGAGCGCGTCGGTCATAATGGTTTTCTGGGCGAGTGCCCGCTGCAGGAAGATGCCCGTCGCGATCCTGGCGATCGTCTTCATCTTTTCGATGGTCGTCTTCAACGGATCGGCTGCAAACGGATCTGTTGGATGAGTGATCCACTCGGTCCACTAACCATTCGGAGCTCTGATCGGACGGGGAACATCGGAGACGGTTCGGTCGAATGGGTTCGGATTATTCGGGTCGGTGTGGTTGAGCGAGTTCGTAGCGAGAGCGGTCAGAAGAAGAAAAAAATCACGAATGGATCTGAAGAGAACGAGTGTCAAACTGACTGGGAGTGTCCTCCGAAACTCACTCATTCCGATCCTTCGCTCTGCGTTTGCCAGATCTTTTTGAATTCGCGGTGAACTTTGATTGCTTCTGATGTTTGAATCCTCGAGGAATGTTCGACAAGGACGATTCGAGAACACAGCAGAGTGCCACGTGGCGAGGTCAGGGTCAGTGGGGCAGAGGCCGAGCAGATAAGAAGCAAGGTAACGGGAACGTCACGCAGAAAAAGGATGAACTTTTTGGTCAAGAAGGCGGGCGCGGCGGCGAAGAAGAGACGTCCGATCGGCGGCCAGAAGGTCGTCTGTGTCGCCTCTTTCTCCAATCTCACAGAGGAGAGCTTTTGATCTGCAATTGTTCAATGTAATTTTAGTAAAACGTTTTGATAATGTAAGTAAAATACCTTTTTTTTAAATTGAAATTGATCGAATTTTTTTCGAACTTTGCTGTAATGAGGTCGTGGCCGAAGTATGCAAGTGCGCTCCGCTGCTAATCGGCTACTTGAAAAAGTTTGAATTTCAGTCAAATTTCCCTGATTTTTCTGAAGTTCATAGCTGTTTCCGAACTGGAACATTCTTTGGTGAAAACTATGATCATTTTTACTTGAAAGATAAGCAAACTCCAAAAAAACCCCTATTTTCTTCGCGTTTTCATCCCAATTTAGCAAAATTTCAGAAAAATGAGTCGGGTACCGAAAGGACACAATTACGAGCGTGTGGGGACCCGTTTCAGCCGGGAAACAATCGAAAATCTAAAGCCGAAGACGGTCTTCAACGATAAATGGGTAATTCTGAAGAATGTGGGCGCGCGGAGGCTCCCATTACTACGACGTGTGCGAAAGTCAGCGAATTTGTGAGTAGATTTTTCGCAAATATTGGAAAATTGCTTTTTGAACGAAAAGGAAAACGTTCAAGGAGTGTTGTACGTCGAAAACGGCGACGACGGAATGAGCTCGCTGGCGAATCAGGTGGAATTCTTGCACAAACAATACTCTCTGGGCAATTCGCACCGGTTTACGAGTCTTCTGGACTGCGGACTCATCAACAATCACGACTACTTCATGGTCCTTCAAAACAGACCCGGACCCACTCTTAAAGTATAAATTCTCTCTGAAAATGTGTAAAATCCGTGAAACGCGATATTTCAGGCTCTTCTGGAAGCGGCGCCGTCGGCCCAATTGGCCCCTACGTCCGCCGCGTTCATCGCCATCGATCTGATCAGCACCGCCGAACTTTTGGCCTCTACCGGCTACGTTTTACGCAATTTCGACGCGAAACAGTGGAAATTCGACGTCAAATCCAGAATGTTTATAAGATCCAGTTTTTTTAGGAATGTGGGAAAAATGGGTAGAAGGGAAAGGTGGTCCTTATTTGGGGTCCAACCATTTCACACTATGTAGCCGTTCTCGTCGTTGCCAATAGAAGCCTGCGTGAGTCGGAGCACGAGACCGTTGCGCAGGACCAGGTCGTTGGCGTGGATGATGTTCGAGGTGAACAACTGGCGGTAACCCCTCAGAATCACTCGTCCGAATTCCGCAAAATATGTGGCATGCCTGAAAAAGAGGCGTTTACGAGTCAATGCGCACAAACAACGTAATAATGTTTTCCAGAAGGGCAAGAAGATTCCCTCGTCGAACTTTGTGTTCAAGGCGCCCGGAACGCTCAAGATCAAGAAGGTGACGAAGGAGGAGGCGGCGACGTACGACTACATCGAACTCGTGAAACCGCCGCCACCACCACCGGGCGTCCACGTGGATCCCTTCCCGAGAGGATTCGATCTTTCCGTCCAGAAGTAGACGCTTCTCCTGAATGCACTCGTTCATGTGATTATAAACCATTTGTATCTCTAACTAACTAGGATCTCAAGAAAACCCAGAGCATTATTGAACCAAACTGTTTTTTGTCGGAGCACAGAGGCATTCATCAAAAATCAATGCGATTTTTGGAATCCCCTTGAAAAAAAGCTTTTGCAGCGTGTAGTTTACAACCCGAATGACCGACGCAAATCACTTTCTAGTAAGAGCTCCGGCTGTAGTTTTCTGCAAAATTACATGTTTTGTGCAGACAAAATTATAGATCTAAGCGGCTGCTCCCCAGTTATGTGTACTCCCGTCCTTTCCGCGTTTTTCCCTCACAAAATGGACGCGAAAAACGTGCTCGAAACTTTTATAAATTTGGATCCCGACTATCGCGGAGTTCCAATTCCTCTTGGCGTCGGGCCAAGGATCGCAGCCGTCGTGCCGTTGATCTATCACATTCCGACTGTATACGTGATGTGCAGCATCATGAAAGTGTCCATGGACACTTTTTTTTTCGGGAAACGAGCGTCATTTAGCGGCCATCCACACGTCATGTTGGTCATCGTTTTGCATCAGTTTTCGGTAGCCTTTTTATCGTACTTTAAGGGGGTCCTAAAACTGTTTGTACTTTCATACTTTATAATCTTTCGATTTTCAATGTGTTCTCAATGAACGTTTAAAAAAGTCCACTCGAAACGACCTCAGCTTGATGCCCTTCTGCTAGAGTATTCACGAAATGTACTTATCGTGATTCTCGAGCACTTTTTGTCAACTTTAGTGTCTAATCGTGAGGGTTTCAACAGCTTTGAGTGTTAGAGGTCGCAAATGAAAGATCTCGGTGAGTACGAGAAACCCGCACTGCTGTGCTTGACTTTGAAACAGTGGAACAGTAGAAAACTCCTTACTCGAACCGAAACCTCACTTTTCCGTGTGTCAGACGTTCTGCTTCATGCTCACCGACTACCTCAACTTCCGAATCCCGTCGACGGGCCTGATGACGTCGTGGTGCGCATCGAAAGAGCCGTCGCACCTCATCAAAATCTTTTTCTGGACCACACCCTACTTCTCCTACCTACAATATCTGTTCCCATTTCTGATGGCCATTCTCAGACTGGTCCCGATTCACTTTTCAACAAACGCTCACAAGGTATTTTCGAGTCGTTCGATGACGTTACTAAATGAATGACATTTCAGATGAACAACACAACAGTGCGTGTGGCGATCCCTTTTATCTTCGTCTATCCACTAGGCTTCACCTGGTTTCTCATCCCCGCACTCGGAGTTTGCAGACAATTTCTGCCGCCCTATGCGTTCGGAGCCGTTTATACACATTACATCGACTCGTGGTATCATGTAAGTCATTCGCTGCATAGATAATAGATTGATTACATTTTTAAGCTGGGCGTCGGACCATTCATGATCTACAATTCCACGTTTTGGTTTTTATTAACCTTCATCGCCAACGCGATTCTCTATCGAAAGTTGAGAAGTTTGGGAAACCAAGGAAAAAGTGTACGGCTTCAAAGGGCAGAACTCACACTCACATTGACCACAATCTCGATGCTAGTCGGCTACATTGCAAATCTGATATTATTGGTTAGCATTTCATTCGTTCTCACTGTTGTAGGCGGATCCTAGGCCGCGGTCGCTTTTTTTCAACAAGTCTCCGGAAAACGACATGATTTCTATGGATTTCAATTCTTTTTGTCTTGAGAGAAGAGATTACTTATTGCGCGGGTTGTTCATGTTTTTAAAGACGTTTCCGTCGATGTTCACACCGGATACGCGAGTTTCTCCAATAAACAAACAAAGGTCTAAAACATGAACAAGACAATAATAGAAGAGCTTCAAAAGACGTGTCGTCTTCCGGAAAAGCTATGAAAACACGCGGCGACGGTCTAGGATCCGGCGGCCCGATCTCAATAATATAATTCAGGTGATGCACGGCTTCTTCACCACCTACACACAGTACTTTGTGCCGTTCCGTTCGTTCGGCGTCGACGTCGAAGCCGTCCTCATTCCATGGATCGTTTTCCTCGTTCATCCGGCCTTTAAAAGTCACAGTCGTGCGCTGAAACAGTGGTTTTGGAAAGTGTCGAAAGGAGAAGAAGTGGCCGGAAGACAAATTGTTCTGTAGTTTGTTTGTTGCACACTGTTTTACAAATAAAAATGTGAAAAATAACGAGACATCACGAATTCTACATTCTGACTACTAACAAGCTGTCAAACTAGTGATTATGTACGCAAAAACGTCTCCAACCAGCCAGCCAGTCTCAGTTATTTTCTCGCATGCTCGTCAATAATGCGTATGTGAATCGCAATCCCGAGTACGTGGGCGTCGAGGTCCAAATTGGCATCGTGCCAACTATTGTCGCTGTGGTCCCGTTGGTCTATCACGTTCCGACGGTTTACGTGACTGGGAGCATCCTCACTGTCTTATATTCGAATGCTATCAAAAAGAAAGACTCCACTCTCAATTCTCATTTCGTGTTGGCCATCGTTTTGCATCAGTTCTCGGTGCCCCCCGACTCATTAATACGATTTTCAATATTGTCCCGTTCCAGACGTTCTGTTTCATGCTCACCGACTACCTGACCTATCGAATTCCGGTCACTGGGATATTGACGGAATGGTGTGCATCCCAGGATCCGGGTCATTTGATAAAAGTGATATTCTGGGCGACCACCTATTTTTTCCTGCTCACCAACGATTTTCCGTTTCTCATGGCGGTCCTCAGATTGGTTTTGACGTATTATCCGACTACTTGTGACAAGGTATACTCATTGCACAGTCTGAATGTCCTAAAGCCACATGACCAGCTGAACTATTCGAAATGCTAGTGAAAAGGGAATCATTAGTGCTACACTTGACGACGCAATGAAAACAAAAAAAGTTCGGAAAGTTGTTTCGAGAATCAGCAGCGGTCGGGCTTTTCCTAAAATCGAAAATGTTATTCGAAAAGGACTAGCGAAAAAAGTGTGAATTGGCATAGAATTTAGTGAAATTCAAACGTTTTTCTAGTCCTGACCGTGTTTTCTAATGTTTCAGTGTGTCTTTTTGAAACAGGGCCCGGCCCGTCCGTTTCACGTCTGGTTTCCGATGTCTCCAATCGAATTCGTGTTCAGATCAACAGAAATATCATCCGCTTCTCGATCCCATTCATCCTTTTCTCCCCGTTCGCCTTCACGTGGATCCTGTTCCCGGCTCTCGGAGTCTGCCGGCAAGCTCCGTCGCCCTTCTCGTTCGGATCCATTTACTTGCATTTCATCGACTCGTGGCATGGTGTGAGTTTCTTCTCTCATAGGTTTTCCCACAGAACTATTATAGCTCAAAGTGTTTGCATGGTCATTCGTCAATTGCATCTTCATGTGCATCGCCTCAATTATTGCCAATGCGATTCTCTACCGAGAGTTAAGAAGATTGGGCACGAATCAACGACAGAGCAAAAGGCTCCAGAAAGCCGAACTAACCCTCACTCTCACTTCGATTTCCATGCTCATTTGCTACCTTTCACATACTATATTTCTGGTAATATCACTCATAAAACCCTGTGCACTTTTCCTGTTCAGGTCATGTTCGGCTTCTTCCCCGCCTACACGCCCTACGTGTCGATGCTCCGTTCGTTCGCCAGCGACCTGGACACCGTCGCCATTCCGTGGATCTTCTTTTTGGTGCATCCGGCGTTCCGGGAGCACACAAACTCTTTCAAAAAGTGTCTGTTCGGTGCGATGCCCTCAAAAGTGGAGGCCCGCAGAGGCGCCACGTTTTGATGTGATCCTAGGAACCATCTCAATAAGTATACAATGTATTTTTCGTCTGCTATCGTCAAACTCTTCATTAAACTTTGTTGTAGTCCTACCTATGGTTGTTTGGCCAAGCTCGAAAGTTCTCGGCCGGCATTTCGTTGAAATCGCTTTCCGAATGCTCTTTGAGCTCTTCCCCTCTCTTTACGCGAGGCAATTATCGAATCGGAGTGCTGCACCTCGTAATTACCATCAGATCTCATAGCTGCTCACTCAACTGGCTCCCCATTTGTCTACTACTACTACTTCGTCTTCTTCTTCTTCTTCTTCTTCTTCTTCTTCTTCTTCTTCTTCTTCTTCTTCTTCTTCTTCTTCTTCTTCTTCTTCTTCTTCTTCTTCTTCTTCTTCTACCTCTCAGCTCGAATGTTCGCCATGCTCGCCAACAACGAATACGTGAATCGGAACGCGGACTACGTCGGAGTCGAGATTCCGATCGGCGTCGTTCCGCGGATCGCCGCAGTCGTCCCGTTGGTCTATCACATTCCGACGGTCTATGTGATGGGCAGCATAGTGACCGTCTACTATTCGACTGCGATCAGGAAAAAGGACACGACTCTCAATCCACATGTCATGTTGACTATTGTACTCCATCAGTTCTCGGTACGGGTTTGCAACTGAACGCCTACGAAACTAATTACGCCTCTCTAAAGAACTTGCTTTCCTAATGGCAAGCAGATGATTTTCCATCTGAAGCAATGATAATTCTCAAATTTCTCAAAACCAAGTCTAGCGGAGCTGGTTTGCTTCTAATTCGGTACTACACTGTAGCATCCTTAGTCCGGTCAGGGAAAGGCCCCAGCTTTCAAATAAGTGGACAGTGGGAACCAGAGAAATGAAGTTTAGTTGAGTTCCGGATGTCCATGTTGATCTAGATTCCTATTTTAGTCCAGCCCGGCTTGGCTCAGTCGCTTGCACTTCGGTTAGCCCTAGATATCATAGTTTTCGCGGAAACTAGCACATCCAATTTGCAGACGTTCTTTTTCATGCTCTCCGACTACATCAACTACCGTCTCCCGTCGACCGGAATGATGACTTCGTGGTGTGCGTCTCAGGATCCCAACCATTTCCTCAAAATCCTTTTCTGGACATCCACCTACTTCTACTCGCTCACCAACGTTTTCCCATTCTTGCTGGCTGTCCTCAGACTCGCACCCATTCATTATCCGACTACTTGCGAAGAGGTTTGACAGATTTTCTGAAGTAAATATATATATAATTTGTTTTGATTCTAAACAGATAAACTCGAAAATAGTCCGATATTCGATCCCTCTCATCTTTTTGTATCCACTCGCTTTCACGTGGTTTCTGATCCCGGCGCTGGGGGTTTGCAGACAATTTCCGTATCCGTATAGCTTCGGAGCAATCTATTTACACGTCATCGACTCGTGGTTCGATGTTAGTCTTAAATAAATTGTTTAAACTGAAAAGGATAGTTTTTCAGCTAAAAGTCTATTACTTTGTGTTTTCCCTCTCCACCGTCTGGTTTTTCGCCGCCATCTTCGCAAACGGCGTTCTTTATCGAAAACTGAGAACGATTGGGCATCACGGAAAAAGTATTCGCATTCAAAAAGCGGAACTTTCCCTCACTTTGACCTCCATTTCAATGCTCATCTGCTACGTGACCAACACTTCGTTTTTGGTGAGATTTAGCCCATTTTCACTCAAATTACTTCATATTTTCAGTTAATCTACTCATTTTTCACCACCTCCTCCCAATGGGTCGTGATTCTCCGTTCGTTCGGCAGCGATTTGGACGCCGTCGCCATTCCGTGGATCTTTTTCCTCGTTCATCCGGCGTTCAAGAATCACAATCACTTTTTTCGAAAGCTTTTTCATGCAAAACTCCCAAAAACTATTGGTCTAAATAGAAATATCACTGTTGTCTCATAAATAAACTCGACGAATAATTGCAAAAAGCGAGCCGGATTCGAACCAGCGACCGGCCGCAAGGCTATGAGGTGCGTGCGGAAAACGTCCCGGGCGCCGGTGGAAAGGAAACATCGACATTGGTTTTCTGTGATCATTTTTCCGGGTGATGTAAAAATATCCTAATTTGCACGTTTTTGCGTGCATAATCACTAGTTTGACAGCTTGTTAGTAGTCAGAATGTAGAATTCGTGATGTCTCGTTATTTTTCACATTTTTATTTGTAAAACAGTGTGCAACAAACAAACTACAGAACAATTTGTCTTCCGGCCACTTCTTCTCCTTTCGACACTTTCCAAAACCACTGTTTCAGCGCACGACTGTGACTTTTAAAGGCCGGATGAACGAGGAAAACGATCCATGGAATGAGGACGGCTTCGACGTCGACGCCGAACGAACGGAACGGCACAAAGTACTGTGTGTAGGTGGTGAAGAAGCCGTGCATCACCTGAATTCTATTATTGAGATCGGGCCGCCGGATCCTAGACCGTCGCCGCGTGTTTTCATAGCTTTTCCGGAAGACGACACGTCTTTTGAAGCTCTTCTATTATTGTCTTGTTCATGTTTTAGACCTTTGTTTGTTTATTGGAGAAACTCGCGTATCCGGTGTGAACATCGACGGAAACGTCTTTAAAAACATGAACAACCCGCGCAATAAGTAATCTCTTCTCTCAAGACAAAAAGAATTGAAATCCATAGAAATCATGTCGTTTTCCGGAGACTTGTTGAAAAAAAGCGACCGCGGCCTAGGATCCGCCTATAACAGTGAGAACGAATGAAATGCTAACCAATAATATCAGATTTGCAATGTAGCCGACTAGCATCGAGATTGTGGTCAATGTGAGTGTGAGTTCTGCCCTTTGAAGCCGTACACTTTTTCCTTGGTTTCCCAAACTTCTCAACTTTCGATAGAGAATCGCGTTGGCGATGAAGGTTAATAGAAACCAAAGCGTGGAATTGTAGATCATGAATGGTCCGACGCCCAGCTTAAGAATGTAATCAATCTATTATCTATGCAGCGAATGACTTACATGATACCACGAGTCGATGTAATGTGTATAAACGGCTCCGAACGCATAGGGCGGCAGAAATTGTCTGCAAACTCCGAGTGCGGGGATGAGAAACCAGGTGAAGCCTAGTGGATAGACGAAGATAAAAGGGATCGCCACACGCACTGTTGTGTTGTTCATCTGAAATGTCATTCATTTAGTAACGTCATCGAACGACTCGAAAATACCTTGTGAGCGTTTGTTGAATAGTGAATCGGGACCAGTCTGAGAATGGCCATCAGAAATGGGAACAGATATTGTAGGTAGGAGAAGTAGGGTGTGGTCCAGAAAAAGATTTTGATGAGGTGCGACGGCTCTTTCGATGCGCACCACGACGTCATCAGGCCCGTCGACGGGATTCGGAAGTTGAGGTAGTCGGTGAGCATGAAGCAGAACGTCTGACACACGAAAAAGTGAGGTTTCGGTTCGAGCAAGAAGTTTTCTACTGTTCCACTGTTTCAAAGTCAAGCACAGCAGTGCGGGTTTCTCGTACTCACCGAGATCTTTCATTTGCGACCTCTAACACTCAAAGCTGTTGAAACCCTCACGATTAGACACTAAAGTTGACAAAAAGTGCTCGAGAATCACGATAAGTACATTTCGTGAATACTCTAGCAGAAGGGCATCGAGCTGAGGTCGTTTCGAGTGGACTTTTTTAAACGTTCATTGAGAACACATTGAAAATCAAAAGATTATAAAGTATGAAAGTACAAACAGTTTTAGGACCCCCTTAAAGTACGATAAAAAGGCTACCGAAAACTGATGCAAAACGATGACCAACATGACGTGTGGATGGCCGCTAAATGACGCTCGTTTCCCGAAAAAAAAAAAGTGTCCATGGACACTTTCATGATGCTGCACATCACGTATACAGTCGGAATGTGATAGATCAACGGCACGACGGCTGCGATCCTTGGCCCGACGCCAAGAGGAATTGGAACTCCGCGATAGTCGGGATCCAAATTTATAAAAGTTTCGAGCACGTTTTTCGCGTCCATTTTGTGAGGGAAAAACGCGGAAAGGACGGGAGTACACATAACTGGGGAGCAGCCGCTTAGATCTATAATTTTGTCTGCACAAAACATGTAATTTTGCAGAAAACTACAGCCGGAGCTCTTACTAGAAAGTGATTTGCGGTTAAGTCGGTCATACGGGTTGTAAACTACACGCTGCAAAAGCTTTTTTCAAGGGGATTCCAAAAATCGCATTGATTTTTGATGAATGCCTCTGTGCTCCGACAAAAAACAGTTTGGTTCAATAATGCTCTGGGTTTTCTTGAGATCCTAGTTAGTTAGAGATACAAATGGTTTATAATCACATGAACGAGTGCATTCAGGAGAAGCGTCTACTTCTGGACGGAAAGATCGAATCCTCTCGGGAAGGGATCCACGTGGACGCCCGGTGGTGGTGGCGGCGGTTTCACGAGTTCGATGTAGTCGTACGTCGCCGCCTCCTCCTTCGTCACCTTCTTGATCTTGAGCGTTCCGGGCGCCTTGAACACAAAGTTCGACGAGGGAATCTTCTTGCCCTTCTGGAAAACATTATTACGTTTTTGTGCATTTCAGAGACTTTCAGGATTTTTGGACTTGGATTTAAGTATTTTGGGTCCAAGTTTCAGACCGGTCGGATCATCTGATTCCGAGATATAGTGATTTGCGCCCTTAGGGCCTTTTCGGCCTCTAACCGATCCGATCTGTTTGAAACTTACACCCAATATACTTCAATCCAAGTACTAGAAGTCTGCAAAGTTTGGGTCCGACCGGTTTATTGAAAGCTGTTAAAAGTCGAAACTTTAGACAATTTGAGTAGTTGCGAAATGTCCCGAACGTCCAAAAACACAAAACTTTCAATGACTGTCGATAAAATGCTTTAGGCCTTCGATGAGACTGATTCCAAGGGACTCTAATCCCAACTCTTGAATACATGAAAGTGGTCGCCGTGGCCTAGAAAACTCAAATACGCTCTTCAACTCACCGCGTCAACCCAAGTTCCTTTGTTGGGTCCGTCCAAGTTCCACGTCTGCGTCTGTCCGTTGGCGAACACACGAGTGAATCCTTTCACTTTTTCCGAGGAAAGGTTCAGATCGAATGGCTCGCCGGCCGGAACGGCGACTCCGAGGGCGAACGCGGAGGCGGCGGCCACGGAGGCTAGCAGCAGAAGGAGGGTCTTCATGATCGGAAGTGCGGTACGATCGGCGAAGATCTCCTTAAATACGGCCGACAAGGAAGTTCTGGAGACCTTGACGCCCACTTGGTCTTTAGTCGAAAATAGGTCAGTTCAGGCAGGGAGAAACGGTCGTTCGTTTAATTCTGTGCACTTCTTCATTGTATAGAGATACCCGCGAAGGCTAACATGACTTTTTTGGCCGAGATAAACAAATGAAATGCAGACAAACGTACCCGGAAGTTTGCAGGAAGTTTCGTTGAAAAACAACAAAAGATGGTCGGCAAGATAACGGGCGGATAGCACGTGAAGGCCGACGAAGCATGATGAAACGAAATGCGTTTCGGACATCAGTGCGGTCCGATAGACTTTTGTGAGAATAGTAAATTAATTTCACGCAGAGGGGCGGTACATTAAACTCTGAGCAGGACGTATTCCCATCTGACCCAAACTTTTTTCCCAGTTTTAGACCGATCGGACAATGTGGTCCGCTATCCGCCCTGAATAACAAAAAACAAAAAGAACCCGTAAATGATCGGTGAGAAAAAATTAAAAAATCGAAAGTGCCACATCAGAATTGTCTCCACTTTCGAAGGCAGCGAAAGGAGTCAAAAAGTACAGTGATGTAACCGCAACTGCTGAACAGAAATTGTCGGATACAGCCGATTTCGCGTCCTTCGAAGAGTACTTTCACTCCGTTTTCAATGCTTCGAGGAAAGTTGATGATATAACGAAGTACCTTGAAGTCATCAAGAACTTTTCGATTTCGCGTAGCTTGCCACCGCACTCCCGTCATCTCAATTACACCTTCGGTTTTCCAAGAGGATATGATGATTTGAATCTCCTGTCCGCCGATCTAAATTCTCAGTGGATCAGTCAAGTTGCGCGGGTCGACAGTTTTAAAATGGGTTTGCGCAGTGTGGAGTCTCTTTCGCCCTCATTGAAAGATATTGAATCGGATTTGGGAAGTGAGCAGCAGCGAGTGGCGATGAAACCATTCTTCAAGTTCGCGGAGGAATTCAGAGGCGTGCATCTCAAGTCAGAGAATCTCATCGATAATGCCGAAGCAATCCGAAACTGCCATCGATTCACTCCGGACCAGCCAAACGCCACCGATTTTATGAACGTGGAATCGGATGTGAAGGAACTTGACGACACGATGGAGACTATCAGAACGTCAATAAGCAAGATTGAAACGAATCTGAGAGCAGCTGAGGCTGGAATTATCAAGGTCAGAGATATTTGTGCAAAAGCCGAAGGAAAAAAAGGCGCCGATCTGGAAAAGGTGTTCAATGAGTTCAGAAACAACAACGACATGAATGAGACCAACGAACTATCAGCCGTGGTGAATTCGTTGAAAACCAGCAATCTTACGGGAACCGATCGGAAAGAGACGCGGTAAAAATGGTGCGCATTGACTCGTAAACGCCTCTTTTTCAGGCATGCCACGTGTATTGCGCAATTAGGACGAGTGATTCTGAGGGGTTACCGCCAGTTGTTCACCTCGAACATTATCCACGCCAACGACCTGGTCCTGCGCAACGGTCTCGTGCTCCGACTCACGCAGGCTCCGATTGGCAACGACGAGCGCGGCTACATAGTGTGAAATGGTTGGACCCCAAATGGGGACCACCTTTCCCTTCTACCCATTTTTCCCACATTCCTAAAAAAACGGGATCTTATAAACATTCTGGATTTGACGTCGAATTTCCACTGTTTCGCGTCGAAATTGCGTAAAACGTAGCCGGTAGATGCCAAAAGTTCGGCGGTGCTGATCAGATCGATGGCGATGAACGCGGCGGACGTAGGGGCCAATTGGGCCGACGGCGCCGCTTCCAGAAGAGCCTGAAATATCGCGTTTCACGGATTTTACACATTTTCAGAGAGAATTTATACTTTAAGAGTGGGTCCGGGTCTGTTTTGAAGGACCATGCAGTAGTCGTGATTGTTGATGAGTCCGCAGTCCAGAACACTCGTAAACCGGTGCGAATTGCCCAGAGAGTATTGTTTGTGCAAGAATTCCACCTGATTCGCCAGCGAGCTCATTCCGTCGTCGCCGTTTTCGACGTACAACACTCCCTGAACGTTTTCCTTTTCGTTCAAAAAGCAATTTTCCAGTATTTGCGAAAAATCTACTCACAAATTCGCTGACTTTCGCACACGTCGTAGTAATGGGAGCCTCCGCGCGCGCCCACATTCTTCAGAATCACCCATTTATCGTTGATACCCGTCTTCGGCCTTAGATTTTCGATTGTTTTCCGGCTGAAACGGGTCCCCACACGCTCGTAATTGTGTCCTTTCGGTACCCGACTCATTTTTCTGAAATTTTGCTAAATTGGGATCAAAACGCGGAGAAAATAGTGTTGTTTTTGGAGTTTGCTTATTTTTCAAGTAAAAATGATCATAATTTTCACCAAAGAATGTTCCAGTTCGAAAACAGCTCTGAATTTCAGAAAAATCTGGGAAATTTGACTGAAATTCAAACTTTTTCAAGTGGCCGATTAGCAGCGGAGCGCACTTGCATACTTCGGCCACGACCCCATTTCAGCAAAGTTCGAAAAAAATTCGATCAATTTCAATTTAAAAAAAAGGTGTTTTATTTACATTATCAAAACGTTTTATTAAAATTACATTGAACAATTGCAGATCAAAAGCTCTCCTCTGTGAAACTGGAGAAAGAGGCGACACAGACGACTTCTTCTGCTCCTGCTCCATCCGCTTCTCCTCTTCAACTCGCTCGGCGAGCACTTGCCGCTGCTCCCGAAGCATTTCGATCGCTTTTCCGATCTCCGCCGCCCTCGCGAGACCGAGAAGACGACCGAGAAAGGGCGAGACGAGACTGGACGAGAGCGAGACAGAACCGAGAAAGGGCGAGACCGAGACGACACAAGGGCGAGACACCGAGATTTCTCGCATTTTTGCGAGACGAGTCTCGACGAGACGACACACTATAAACTACTAATTTATTTACATACAAAGACAAATATACAAAAATTCTAAAAAATAATATAAAATAAGAAAATTATAACTAGGAGAGAGAGGTCCTAGTGACCCCAATCCCGTTCCTAACCAATCTGACTAGCTCTCGGCCTGGAGCCATTCTCGTGAGAGAGAGGAGAGGAAGACAGAGGATAAGCACCTGATGTTTATAGTGCTCCTCTGTCACATCCCCTCCCTCCAAGCAGTGGCGTCCCTGCCACTAAACTAGTTCAGATTGTTGGCGGTGGTGGTGGAAGCATCGCCTTTGTCACTATTCCGAACGGGAATAGTGACATGCCAGCCTGCTGCATCATGGTGATCTGCCGTTGTTGAAGCAGCACTTGATTTTGCAGTGTCATGACCCGTTGTTGCGCTAAGGTCATGTACTGCATCCAATCAGGTGGCGAGTCCTGATATGGAGCTGGCGTCCAAGGTCTTTTTCTCTCCGAGGGTCTGTCGCTCTCGATGATGGTTTGAGCCTCCGATCTGGGTCTCCTCTTTCTGTTCCGATTGTGATTTCGCTTCGATTCTGCTTCTGCGATCTCCTTCCTGACAGCATCTGCTTTGTTTTTCAGATCTTTGAGCGTCTGCTGATGCTTCTGCTCAGCATCTTTTCTTTCTCTTTCCTCTCTGAGTCGTTTCCTCTTTTCAACTTTCTGGCCAGCTTTCTCGATCAATTTCTGCGTTGTCATGGTAAGATGACGTGACGGTCTTACTACCACGGATTTGATCGGCGGCTTTGCTGATGGCGAAGAAGCAGTTGGTGGTGGTTTTGCTGACGACTTTGATGGGAGAGTTGAGACAAAGCTCCGTACGGCCGCCTTTACACCTTTGGTGGGCAGCGGAGCTTTGGCTTTGCTCTCGTGCTTGTGAGACACGAATTCTTTTGCCGCAGCTGGGGTTAATGCCATCGTCGTCTGAAAATTAATAATTTAATTTTCTGGAAGAGACGTAAGGTTGGAAAAAAATGATCTGGATTATCCCGAAAGCGTTTTCCAGGTCAGGCTCCTTCTCTCGAGGCATTCGTCATCGTCGCTGTCTCGCAGAATCCATTTTTTTCCGTATTCTCCAGAAACGGAATTTGAACTCCCTCCAATTTGGCGGCACAAAGTGCAGGAGAGCGCGCTTGCATTGTTGTTTACTTGTTTTTGTTAACTCGTTTTCTTCAACATTTTCCTCCGTTTTTCTTCAGGAGAGAAGCGTTCTCCGCTCAAATCGTCCAGATGTCGCGTGTTCTAGCGATGATGTGTCCTCGCTCGTGTACCGGACATGGATTATGTATCGCTTCTGACGAGGGAAAATGGAAAATGGAAATGAGAACAACCATCGGAGCCAAACTTTGCAGACTTCTTGGGCTTGGGTTAAAGTGTTTTGGGTCGAAGTTTCTTGTTGCCGAAAAGACCCGATTTTTGCAAAAGCTTCGGTCGTTTCAGTCTGAACCCAGTATATCTCGGGACAAGATAATCCGATCGGTCTGAAACTTGTTCTTAAAATACTTCATTTCGACCAAGTCGTCGACGTCAAACTAAATTTTGCAGAAGACGTTGCGAAGTCCGTTACCGTGGCTACCTGTTCGCGACGGAGAACGGCCTGCGGAACTCTCCGAATCCGCTGGTCGGCATCTCGGGCGACTGCGACGACGCGCGCGCCGTTTACTCACTCGACGGGACCGTGCTCTACGTGCATCGCCTCCTCCGCGCCATTTACTCGACGATTCCGGCCGACAACCCGATGGCGGACGACAATTTGCCGGCGGATTGGCTGCTGGCCGCCTGGCGCGGACTCTACGATCGCAAGATTCTCGAGATTCTGTCCGTCGAAGCGGTGAGTCGCTGATTTTAGGAAATTCAGACGGTTATCTAAATAGTTATTTTTAAAGTTGAAAACAATCAGTTTTCAGTTTATATTCTCGTTAAACTTCAAGCACATTTTCAGCGAACTCGAATCGCTAATTATTTCTACACGAATGGGATGATCGAAGCGTTTCTCGATCTGCTAAAACAGGTTATTATCGATTATGAGTTTCAACCGAAACCTGTCGAGCTATTATCGATATCTATTTGCAGCCACGTCGAAAGATTTCATGTCGGTCCGCTTCGTTTTGTACTGTTTTCCGCGTTCGGCGCAACAAATCGTCGCCGAGCACCGACCCGGAATCATCCTCTGGGAGAAATTTCCGCCGGACGTCAATCATGTCAAAATGTAGGGAATAGGACCCAAACTTTGCAGGCTTGTTGGACTTGAATTCAAGTAATTTGGGTCCAAGTTTCTGACCGAATGGATAATTTTACTCTGGAGATATTATGCATTCGCCCGGAGAGAAATTTTTCACTCCAGCTTGCGGGCTTGAATAGTTTGTCGCGAATGCATAATATCTCCTGAGTAAATAATCCAATCGGTCTGAAACTTGGGCCCAAATTACTTTAACTCAATTCCAAAAAGCCTGCAAAGTTTGATTCCGATCGGAATATTACAAAAGGTAATTTCTTGCAGGATAACGGACATGTGGCCGAAGAACGAGTTCGATCGGGCGACGCGAGTGCCCCGCAAGATGTACGTCGACAATCGGCGCGTCGAAAAGAGCGTCTTCCACATGATCGGACTCAGAAATCTCAAAAACTACTACACGTCGGTTCAAGAGCGACTAAGTCCCATGTTCAAACAGTTTTACGCGGTACGCATTTGGATTTTTAGAAATATTTTCGAATTAAAACAATTTTTTTAAGCCTCTGTGATATTTTCGATAGAAATTTTTACCAACCCGTTCGAATCCCTCAGTGCATTCAGAAAGACTTCCCCGTGGCGGACCGACCGTATCGCCCGAACACGCCACCGGACTCGAGGTTTGCCGACCAGGAGCTGGAGGCGTCCCCCTCGGCGCCGGGACCGTCGAATGCCGGTAGTCGGTAGTGTAGTCGTACGTCGCCGCCTCCTCCTTCGTCACCTTCTTGATCTTGAGCGTTCTGGGCGCCTTGAACACAAAGTTCGACGAGGGAATCTTCTTGCCCTTCTGGAAAACATTATTACGTTGTTTGTGCACTTCAGAGGCTTTCAGGATTCTTGGACTTGGATTGAAGTATTTTGGGTCCAAGTTTCAGACCGGTCGGATCATCTGATTCCGAGATATAGTGATTTGCGCCCTTAGGGCCTTTTCGGCCTTTAACCGATCCGATCTGTTTGGCAAGTACTAGAAGTCTGCAAAGTTTGGGTCCGACCGGTTTATTGAAAGCTGTTAAAAGGCGAAACTTTAGACAATTTGAGTAGTTGAACTTCTTCATCCTATCTCTTCCTGCGAAGGCTAACATGACTTTTTTGGCCGAGAAAAACAAGTGAAATGCAGACAAACGTACCCGGAAGTTTGCAGGAAGTTTCGTTGAAAAACAACAAAAGATGGTCGGCAAGATAATGGGCGGATAGCACGTGAAGGAAATTCGTTTCGGACATCAGTGCGGTCCGATAGATTTTTGTGAGAATCGTAAATTAATTTCACGCAGTCCTGAATAACAAAAAACAAAAAGAACCCGTAAATGATTTGTGAGAAAAAAAATGAGAAATTTAATCCTTTTTCTGCGTGACGTTCCCGTTACCTTGCTTCTTATCTGCTCGGCCTCTGCCCCACTGACCCTAACCTCGCCACGTGGCACTCTGCTGTGTTCTCGAATCGTCCTTGTCGAACATTCCTCGAGGATTCAAACATCAGAAGCGATCAAAGTTCACCGCGAATTCAAAAAGATCTGGCAAACGCAGAGCGAAGGATCGGAATGAGTGAGTTTCGGAGGACACTCCCAGTCAGTTTGACACTCGTTCTCTTCAGATCCATTCGTGATTTTTCTTCTTCTGACCGCTCTCGCTACGAACTCGCTCAACCACACCGACCCGAATAATCCGAACCCATTCGACCGAACCGTCTCCGATGTTCCCCGTCCGATCAGAGCTCCGAATGGTTAGTGGACCGAGTGGATCACTCATCCAACAGATCCGTTTGCAGCCGATCCGTTGAAGACGACCATCGAAAAGATGAAGACGATCGCCAGGATCGCGACGGGCATCTTCCTGCAGCGGGCACTCGCCCAGAAAACCATTATGACCGACGCGCTCATTTCCGAACTGCTCCGTCTGGGAAGTGTCACTCCGGCAGATATCATCGGAATCAACGGGACCGAACTGACGGAAGCACTGACTGCGCTGAAAGACCTGCCAGGTACGCTGACGGCCAACTCGAGGGCGATGCGGTTCGCGGGTGTCTACAAGGCGCTGCACGAAGTGAAGAAGTTGGTTGACGGGAGCGGAAACATCACTAATTGGAGTGAGAAACGGCTCAAGGCGGACATCGAGAAGATGGCTCAGAACGGAATTGAGCTGAAATTCGTTACTCAGTTGGAAAAATGCATGACCCACTGGAGTTCCTCGTTTGAAAGTCTGAGTACCATGAACTACAGTGAAAATGGTGCTGCTTATGTTTTTTCCGTATTAAAAAAAACAGCCGATTGCTTCATTAATGGTACAAATCTCGTTTCTGCGGATTTGAAAACGGTGAAATTCGCAACAATCGAAAGTGCCACATCAGAATTGTCTCCACTTTCGAAAGCAGCGAAAGGAGTCAAAAAGTACAGTGATGTAGCCGCAACTGTTGAACATATAATTTCGGATACAGCCGATTTCGCGTCCTTCGAAGATTACTTTCACTCCGTTTTCAATGCTTCGAAGAAAGTTGATGATATAACGAAGTACCTTGAAGTCATCAAGAACTTTTCGAATTCGCGTAGCTTGCCACCGCACTCCCGTCATCTCAATTACACCTTCGGTTTTCCAAGAGGATATGATGATTTGAATCTCCTGTCCGACGATCTAAATTCTCAGTGGATCAGTCAAGTTGCGCGGGTCGACAGTTTTAAAATGGGTTTGCGCAGTGTGGAGTCTCTTTCGCCCTCATTGAGAGATATTGAATCGGATTTGGGAAGTGAGCAGCAGCGAGTGGCGATGAAACCATTCTTCAAGTTCGCGGAGGAATTCAGAGGCGTGCATCTCAAGTCAAAGAATCTCATCGATAATGCCGAAGCAATCCGAAACTGCCATCGATTCACTCCGGACCAGCCAAACGCCACTGATTTTATGAACGTGGAATCGGATGTGAAGGAACTTGACGACACGATGGAGACCATCAGAACGTCAATGAGCAAGATTGAAACGAATCTGACAGCAGCTGAGGCTGGAATTATCAAGGTCAGAGATATTTGTGCAAAAGCCGAAGGAAAAAAAGGCGCCGATCTGGAAAATGTGTTCAATGAGTTCAGAAACAACAAAGACAAGAACGAGACCAACGAACTATTGAAGAAAGTCTCTGCGACCGTGAGAAAAATCCAAGACCATCTACTGCCAAAAATCAAGGACAGTGCTCAGAAAGTGAGCGACAAGATGAGTGTTATATTATCATATCAGGAGGCATTGGCGAGTTTCGGGACTCTGTTCAGTTGTTTGCAAGGTGTGAAGGACTACGCATCGGTGATGACGTTCATTTCGAATTCTGAAGAGTTGAAGAGCGATCAGTTACCCTTCTCGGTGGGCAAGGTCCAACGAATTTTGAGCGATGTAGCTGGTACTCCTGACAAGTTGATAGCACTGAATGACACGATCGGCAGTATCGACTTCAAGACGGCGGAATCGAACGCTCTGAAACTTCTGGAGGACCCTTCCACTCATTCGGAAATGATCGGAACCGCCACGCAAGGACTCGTCGCGATGAAGATGTTGCTCGACAAACAGTCCGAGTTCGAGCAGATCCCGCAGCACGTTGGTCCGATCGGGCAGGCAGTCGCCACGACGCCGCCTCAGTTGAACTCGGAAGACGTCATCCATCTGAAATCGGTCGTCGCTCTGAGCACGAAGATCTCGACGTTGTTCGCCGAACTGCACACGTGGAGCGATCAGATCGTGGAAAGTGACTCGACAGTCCTGGCCGACTACAAGAATCTCTTTTCAAATGCTGCGACGGTCGCCGGAATACCTGCAGCGGATGTGAAGGCGATGAGTGCGGCGGTGGCCAATCTGAAGGATCTGACGACGGATCCGACTGCGAGGGACGAGCTGACCAAAATGGAGAAGTGGCTGGACAATCTCGGTTTCATCGGAGTTGACTTCTCCAATTTCACAGCCAGTTTCGCCTCGGCCCCCAACTCTCTGGACCAGTTGGACGCGTTCTTCGCCGCATTTGCCGAGCTGATGGCCCCGCCGCTCGTCGTGCACACAGGCCCGCCTCCACAGCCACAGCAACAACAGTCGGTCCTTGCAAACACCACCAGTGGAATATGGATTCCGAATACCACCGAGACGGCCAAGTGAGTTTTTGAGAAGCATTTCTGGAATTTATAATTTTATGGTTTCAGTAGTGCTACGCTGGCCTGGATTCTCGGAGGTCTCGGAGGACTTGTGCTCATCATCGTCATCGTCGTCATCATTGTGTGTGTGGTGAAGCGAGTGAAGAAAGTGAATTCGAAGGACAAGGAAGAGAAGAAAGCATTATTGCCGAGCAGCGGTGCTAATCAGGACGGAGGATCGAACGCCGCAGCCAAACCACCGGTTCCGGTTCCGCCACAAAAAAGCTTTCTGAAAAGTCTCACCGAGAAATTGTTGTCACTCGCCGATACGCAAAAAAGTGAGAGTAAGTTACCCGACTCAACAGTTCGCAGCATTCGGTCGCTTTTTTTCAGAACCCAAGACCAAAGCGGTGCCGAAGGATAAAGTCATTGATTTCATGCAAGGCCTTCACGACAGCATCATATACTTCAAGGAAGCAATGAAACTGTTGACTACGAAGCTTCCGGAGTCGGGACTCATCGGTTACTACATTGCATTCTGCGAAAATCAGTTCGCGACAGCCGTGGTGAATTCGTTGAAAACCAGCAATCTTACGGGAACCGATCGGAAAGAGACGCGGTAAAAAAGGTCCGCATTGACTCGTAAACTCCTCTTTTTTAGGCATGCCACGTGTCTTGCGCAATTAGGACGAGTGATTCTGAAGGGTTACGGCCAGTTGTTCACCTCAAACTTCATCCACGCCAACGACCTGGTCCTGCGCAACGGTCTCGTGCTCCGACTCACGCAGGCTCCGATTGGCAACGACGAGCGCGGCTACATAGGGACGATCGAGAAGTTCTACTGGATGCTGCGGCAGGACAGAACCGAACGGGTGGTCATGTTGTGCAAACTGTTCGAGGACGGTTCGTGAGCCGCCGCAATAGTTTCCGACTAATTGTGATTTCAGAAACACGCAAATGCGCACAGTACTATCCGGAGGAAAGTGGCGATGAGCTCACGTTCCAAGGCTTGACAGTGAAATGCACTTCGAAATCGCTCGACTCGACAGAAGAGATCGTCACCCGCGTGCTTTCCGTCAAATTCACGTGAGTTCCGCGATGTTGCAAAACATTTGAAAGTGGAGATAATGCGGGAAGAATCGCCTTTCTGGATAGATTTCTCGGTAAATGTATCCACTTTAGATATTTTTCCAGAGGCTACCCCGAGTTCACGGTCAAACACGATCAGTACCTCGAATGGCCGGACCACTCGGTGCCCAAGAATGTCGACGGGGTCCTTGCGCTCCTCCACTCGATTCGTCACGAAAAAAACCCGGTTGTCGTGCACTGCTCGGCCGGAATCGGGCGGACCGGCACCTTTGCCGGTAGGATCCTCCCGACCTTTCGCACTTCTTTTTAAACACTTTCCCCGGTTTCAGCCATCGCTCTAGGCCGTGACATGGTGGCCAAATACGGAAATGTGTCGCTCGACCATTGGATTGTGACCCTCCGCCAATTCCGCGCCAATGCCATCCAGACGCCCACCCAACTCTCGTTCGCCCTCTACGTCCTCTGCTCGAACCTCTGTGCGGTCAGTCCGAACTACTCTTGATCTTGGAAAATTTCTGAAAATTTTTCATGACCCGCCCGTGCAGCGGGCCCACTTTTGTTATTTGTAATTTTGTAACAAGAATTGAAGAAAATTATTTGCAGGGAATCGATGTCGAATCGGATAAGGCGTTGAAGATGATGTTATTAGCGATCAAAGATGGACACACGCATTACAAGATCATCCAGGAGACGAAAGAGGAGAGAGAGAAGGCGGATCAGGAATTTGACGAGGTGTTAGAGAAGTTGAAGAGTGAAATGAAGAAGGATAGACTCATGAGCGGCTCGGAGAGCGAGAAGGAGGACGAAGAGAAGTCGCCGATATTGAGCGAAGAAAATGATGAGGAAAAGGAGGAAGAAAATAAGGAGGAGGAAAAGGAGGAGGAAAAGGAGGAGGAGGAGGAGGAGGAGGAGGAGGAGGAGGAGGAGGAATGGGATGATGATGATGAAGATGAAACTCAGATATCCGTATCGGTAGTTGAGACGGACGACGACGAGTGGTCGTGGAAGAAGCAAATCAACATCTAGTAGTGCCGTGCAATCGAAGATTACAGAAAAAGAAAGATTGCGTAACGATGTGCCAAATGATAATCTTTTGTATTGTCCTTTCGATATGGCCAACTCGATTCTCAATAAATTATTTGTTTGTGAGCTCTAACTTGCTATTCCCGTTGTTTTCAATCTTTCGCCGCAACGCACTGACTCATTTAACTTGATTAATGTCCCTGGTACCCTTTAGACAAGTTTTACCAAGATCTGTCCGATCTGGGCCCTGATCATTATATTTTCTTTTACTCATTTGAATTTTTCGTCGTTTGTTCTTTCCTGAACTTTTGCTGACATCCGTTGGACCCACTAGAATGCCTGGCACGAGCACTAGAGAGAGAGGAAGAAAGAAAGAGCTGACTTCTCGCATTGCATTACCGTCAGAGAGAGAGGAAGAGAGAAAGAGCTGACTTCTTGCATTGCATTAACGTCAGAGAGAGAGGAAGAGAGAAAGAGCTGACTTCTTGCATTGCATTAACGTCAGAGAGAGAGGAAGAGAGAAAGAGCTGACTTCTTGCATTGCATTAACGTCAGAGAGAGAGGAAGAGAGAAAGAGCTGACTTCTTGCATTGCATTAACGTCAGAGAGAGAGAGAAGAGAGAAAGAGCTGACTTCTTGCATTGCATTAACGTCAGAGAGAGAGGAAGAGAGAAAGAGCTGACTTCTTGCATTGCATTAACGTCAGAGAGAGAGAGGAAGAGAGAAAGAGCTGACTTCTTGCATTGCATTAACGTCAGAGAGAGAGGAAGAGAGAAAGAGCTGACTTCTTGCATTGCATTAACGTCAGAGAGAGAGAGAAGAGAGAAAGAGCTGACTTCTTGCATTGCATTAACGTCAGAGAGAGAGGAAGAAAGAAAGAGCTGACTTCTCGCATTGCATTACCGTCAGAGAGAGAGAAGAGAGAAAGAGCTGACTTCTTGCATTGCATTAACGTCAGAGAGAGAGGAAGAAAGAAAGAGCTGACTTCTTGCATTGCATTAACGTCAGAGAGAGAGAGGAAGAGAAAGAGCTGACTTCTTGCATTGCATTAACGTCAGAGAGAGAGAGAAGAGAGAAAGAGCTGACTTCTTGCATTGCATTAACGTCAGAGAGAGAGGAAGAGAGAAAGAGCTGACTTCTTGCATTGCATTAACGTCAGAGAGAGAGGAAGAGAGAAAGAGCTGACTTCTTGCATTGCATTACCGTCAGAGAGAGAGGAAGAGAGAAAGAGCTGACTTCTTGCATTGCATTAACGTCAGAGAGAGAGAGGAAGAGAGAAAGAGCTGACTTCTTGCATTGCATTAACGTCAGAGAGAGAGGAAGAAAGAAAGAGCTGACTTCTCGCATTGCATTACCGTCAGAGAGAGAGGAAGAGAGAAAGAGCTGACTTCTTGCATTGCATTAACGTCAGAGAGAGAGGAAGAGAGAAAGAGCTGACTTCTTGCATTGCATTAACGTCAGAGAGAGAGGAAGAAAGAAAGAGCTGACTTCTCGCATTGCATTACCGTCAGAGAGAGAGGAAGAGAGAAAGAGCTGACTTCTTGCATTGCATTAACGTCAGAGAGAGAGGAAGAGAGAAAGAGCTGACTTCTTGCATTGCATTACCGTCAGAGAGAGAGGAAGAGAGAAAGAGCTGACTTCTTGCATTGCATTAACGTCAGAGAGAGAGGAAGAAAGAAAGAGCTGACTTCTTGCATTGTATTAACGTCAGAGAGAGAGGAAGAGAGAAAGAGCTGACTTCTTGCATTGCATTAACGTCAGAGAGAGAGGAAGAGAGAAAGAGCTGACTTCTTGCATTGCATTACCGTCAGAGAGAGAGGAAGAGAGAAAGAGCTGACTTCTTGCATTGCATTAACGTCAGAGAGAGAGGAAGAAAGAAAGAGCTGACTTCTCGCATTGCATTACCGTCAGAGAGAGAGGAAGAGAGAAAGAGCTGACTTCTTGCATTGCATTAACGTCAGAGAGAGAGGAAGAGAGAAAGAGCTGACTTCTTGCATTGCATTAACGTCAGAGAGAGAGGAAGAAAGAAAGAGCTGACTTCTCGCATTGCATTACCGTCAGAGAGAGAGGAAGAGAGAAAGAGCTGACTTCTTGCATTGCATTAACGTCAGAGAGAGAGGAAGAAAGAAAGAGCTGACTTCTCGCATTGCATTACCGTCAGAGAGAGAGGAAGAGAGAAAGAGCTGACTTCTTGCATTGCATTAACGTCAGAGAGAGAGGAAGAAAGAAAGAGCTGACTTCTTGCATTGCATTAACGTCAGAGAGAGAGAGGAAGAGAGAAAGAGCTGACTTCTTGCATTGCATTAACGTCAGAGAGAGAGAGAGGAAGAGAGAAAGAGCTGACTTCTTGCATTGCATTAACGTCAGAGAGAGAGGAAGAAAGAAAGAGCTGACTTCTTGCATTGCATTAACGTCAGAGAGAGAGGAAGAAAGAAAGAGCTGACTTCTTGCATTGCATTAACGTCAGAGAGAGAGAGAAGAGAGAAAGAGCTGACTTCTTGCATTGCATTAACGTCAGAGAGAGAGAGGAAGAGAGAAAGAGCTGACTTCTTGCATTGCATTAACGTCAGAGAGAGAGGAAGAAAGAAAGAGCTGACTTCTTGCATTGCATTAACGTCAGAGAGAGAGAGGAAGAGAGAAAGAGCTGACTTCTTGCATTGCATTAACGTCAGAGAGAGAGAGAAGAGAGAAAGAGCTGACTTCTTGCATTGCATTAACGTCAGAGAGAGAGAGAAGAGAGAAAGAGCTGACTTCTTGCATTGTATTAACGTCAGAGAGAGAGGAAGAGAGAAAGAGCTGACTTCTTGCATTGCATTAACGTCAGAGAGAGAGGAAGAGAGAAAGAGCTGACTTCTTGCATTGCATTACCGTCAGAGAGAGAGGAAGAGAGAAAGAGCTGACTTCTTGCATTGCATTAACGTCAGAGAGAGAGGAAGAAAGAAAGAGCTGACTTCTCGCATTGCATTACCGTCAGAGAGAGAGGAAGAGAGAAAGAGCTGACTTCTTGCATTGCATTAACGTCAGAGAGAGAGAGAGAAGAGAGAAAGAGCTGACTTCTTGCATTGCATTAACGTCAGAGAGAGAGAGGAAGAGAGAAAGAGCTGACTTCTTGCATTGCATTAACGTCAGAGAGAGAGAGAGAAGAGAGAAAGAGCTGACTTCTTGCATTGCATTAACGTCAGAGAGAGAGAGGAAGAGAGAAAGAGCTGACTTCTTGCATTGCATTAACGTCAGAGAGAGAGAGGAAGAGAGAAAGAGCTGACTTCTTGCATTGCATTAACGTCAGAGAGAGAGGAAGAGAGAAAGAGCTGACTTCTTGCATTGCATTAACGTCAGAGAGAGAGGAAGAGAGAAAGAGCTGACTTCTTGCATTGCATTAACGTCAGAGAGAGAGAGAGGAAGAGAGAAAGAGCTGACTTCTTGCATTGCATTAACGTCAGAGAGAGAGAGGAAGAGAGAAAGAGCTGACTTCTTGCATTGCATTAACGTCAGAGAGAGAGAGGAAGAGAGAAAGAGCTGACTTCTTGCATTGCATTAACGTCAGAGAGAGAGAGGAAGAGAGAAAGAGCTGACTTCTTGCATTGCATTAACGTCAGAGAGAGAGAGGAAGAGAGAAAGAGCTGACTTCTTGCATTGCATTAACGTCAGAGAGAGAGAGGAAGAGAGAAAGAGCTGACTTCTTGCATTGCATTAACGTCAGAGAGAGAGAGAGGAAGAGAGAAAGAGCTGACTTCTTGCATTGCATTAACGTCAGAGAGAGAGAGGAAGAGAGAAAGAGCTGACTTCTTGCATTGCATTAACGTCAGAGAGAGAGAGAGGAAGAGAGAAAGAGCTGACTTCTTGCATTGCATTAACGTCAGAGAGAGAGAGGAAGAGAGAAAGAGCTGACTTCTTGCATTGCATTAACGTCAGAGAGAGAGAGAGGAAGAGAGAAAGAGCTGACTTCTTGCATTGCATTAACGTCAGAGAGAGAGAGAGGAAGAGAGAAAGAGCTGACTTCTTGCATTGCATTAACGTCAGAGAGAGAGAGGAAGAGAGAAAGAGCTGACTTCTTGCATTGCATTAACGTCAGAGAGAGAGAGAGGAAGAGAGAAAGAGCTGACTTCTTGCATTGCATTAACGTCAGAGAGAGAGAGGAAGAGAGAAAGAGCTGACTTCTTGCATTGCATTAACGTCAGAGAGAGAGAGAGGAAGAGAGAAAGAGCTGACTTCTTGCATTGCATTAACGTCAGAGAGAGAGAGAGGAAGAGAGAAAGAGCTGACTTCTTGCATTGCATTAACGTCAGAGAGAGAGAGGAAGAGAGAAAGAGCTGACTTCTTGCATTGCATTAACGTCAGAGAGAGAGAGGAAGAGAGAAAGAGCTGACTTCTTGCATTGCATTAACGTCAGAGAGAGAGAGGAAGAGAGAAAGAGCTGACTTCTTGCATTGCATTAACGTCAGAGAGAGAGAGAGGAAGAGAGAAAGAGCTGACTTCTTGCATTGCATTAACGTCAGAGAGAGAGAGGAAGAGAGAAAGAGCTGACTTCTTGCATTGCATTAACGTCAGAGAGAGAGAGGAAGAGAGAAAGAGCTGACTTCTTGCATTGCATTAACGTCAGAGAGAGAGAGGAAGAGAGAAAGAGCTGACTTCTTGCATTGCATTAACGTCAGAGAGAGAGAGGAAGAGAGAAAGAGCTGACTTCTTGCATTGCATTAACGTCAGAGAGAGAGAGGAAGAGAGAAAGAGCTGACTTCTTGCATTGCATTAACGTCAGAGAGAGAGAGGAAGAGAGAAAGAGCTGACTTCTTGCATTGCATTAACGTCAGAGAGAGAGAGGAAGAGAGAAAGAGCTGACTTCTTGCATTGCATTAACGTCAGAGAGAGAGAGGAAGAGAGAAAGAGCTGACTTCTTGCATTGCATTAACGTCAGAGAGAGAGAGGAAGAGAGAAAGAGCTGACTTCTTGCATTGCATTAACGTCAGAGAGAGAGAGAAGAGAGAAAGAGCTGACTTCTTGCATTGCATTAACGTCAGAGAGAGAGAGAAGAGAGAAAGAGCTGACTTCTTGCATTGCATTAACGTCAGAGAGAGAGAGGAAGAGAGAAAGAGCTGACTTCTTGCATTGCATTAACGTCAGAGAGAGAGAGAGAAGAGAGAAAGAGCTGACTTCTTGCATTGCATTAACGTCAGAGAGAGAGAGGAAGAGAGAAAGAGCTGACTTCTTGCATTGCATTAACGTCAGAGAGAGAGAGGAAGAGAGAAAGAGCTGACTTCTTGCATTGCATTAACGTCAGAGAGAGAGAGGAAGAGAGAAAGAGCTGACTTCTTGCATTGCATTAACGTCAGAGAGAGAGGAAGAGAGAAAGAGCTGACTTCTTGCATTGCATTAACGTCAGAGAGAGAGAGGAAGAGAGAAAGAGCTGACTTCTTGCATTGCATTAACGTCAGAGAGAGAGAGGAAGAGAGAAAGAGCTGACTTCTTGCATTGCATTAACGTCAGAGAGAGAGAGGAAGAGAGAAAGAGCTGACTTCTTGCATTGCATTAACGTCAGAGAGAGAGAGGAAGAGAGAAAGAGCTGACTTCTTGCATTGCATTAACGTCAGAGAGAGAGGAAGAGAGAAAGAGCTGACTTCTTGCATTGCATTAACGTCAGAGAGAGAGAGGAAGAGAGAAAGAGCTGACTTCTTGCATTGCATTAACGTCAGAGAGAGAGGAAGAGAGAAAGAGCTGACTTCTTGCATTGCATTAACGTCAGAGAGAGAGAGAAGAGAGAAAGAGCTGACTTCTTGCATTGCATTAACGTCAGAGAGAGAGAGGAAGAGAGAAAGAGCTGACTTCTTGCATTGCATTAACGTCAGAGAGAGAGAGGAAGAGAGAAAGAGCTGACTTCTTGCATTGCATTAACGTCAGAGAGAGAGAGGAAGAGAGAAAGAGCTGACTTCTTGCATTGCATTAACGTCAGAGAGAGAGAGAAGAGAGAAAGAGCTGACTTCTTGCATTGCATTAACGTCAGAGAGAGAGAGGAAGAGAGAAAGAGCTGACTTCTTGCATTGCATTAACGTCAGAGAGAGAGGAAGAGAGGAAGAGCTGACTTCTTGCATTGCATTAACGTCAGAGAGAGAGAGGAAGAGAGAAAGAGCTGACTTCTTGCATTGCATTAACGTCAGAGAGAGAGGAAGAGAGAAAGAGCTGACTTCTTGCATTGCATTAACGTCAGAGAGAGAGAGGAAGAGAGAAAGAGCTGACTTCTTGCATTGCATTAACGTCAGAGAGAGAGGAAGAGAGAAAGAGCTGACTTCTTGCATTGCATTAACGTCAGAGAGAGAGAGGAAGAGAGAAAGAGCTGACTTCTTGCATTGCATTAACGTCAGAGAGAGAGAGGAAGAGAGAAAGAGCTGACTTCTTGCATTGCATTAACGTCAGAGAGAGAGGAAGAGAGAAAGAGCTGACTTCTTGCATTGCATTAACGTCAGAGAGAGAGGAAGAGAGAAAGAGCTGACTTCTTGCATTGCATTAACGTCAGAGAGAGAGAGAAGAGAGAAAGAGCTGACTTCTTGCATTGCATTAACGTCAGAGAGAGAGAGGAAGAGAGAAAGAGCTGACTTCTTGCATTGCATTAACGTCAGAGAGAGAGAGGAAGAGAGAAAGAGCTGACTTCTTGCATTGCATTAACGTCAGAGAGAGAGGAAGAGAGAAAGAGCTGACTTCTTGCATTGCATTAACGTCAGAGAGAGAGAGAGGAAGAGAGAAAGAGCTGACTTCTTGCATTGCATTAACGTCAGAGAGAGAGGAAGAGAGAAAGAGCTGACTTCTTGCATTGCATTAACGTCAGAGAGAGAGAGGAAGAGAGAAAGAGCTGACTTCTTGCATTGCATTAACGTCAGAGAGAGAGGAAGAGAGAAAGAGCTGACTTCTTGCATTGCATTAACGTCAGAGAGAGAGGTAGAGAGAAAGAGCTGACTTCTTGCATTGCATTAACGTCAGAGAGAGAGGTAGAGAGAAAGAGCTGACTTCTTGCATTGCATTAACGTCAGAGAGAGAGGAAGAGAGAAAGAGCTGACTTCTTGCATTGCATTAACGTCAGAGAGAGAGGAAGAGAGAAAGAGCTGACTTCTTGCATTGCATTAACGTCAGAGAGAGAGGAAGAGAGAAAGAGCTGACTTCTTGCATTGCATTAACGTCAGAGAGAGAGGAAGAGAGAAAGAGCTGACTTCTTGCATTGCATTAACGTCAGAGAGAGAGGAAGAGAGAAAGAGCTGACTTCTTGCATTGCATTAACGTCAGAGAGAGAGGAAGAGAGAAAGAGCTGACTTCTTGCATTGCATTAACGTCAGAGAGAGAGAGGAAGAGAGAAAGAGCTGACTTCTTGCATTGCATTAACGTCAGAGAGAGAGAGGAAGAGAGAAAGAGCTGACTTCTTGCATTGCATTAACGTCAGAGAGAGAGGAAGAGAGAAAGAGCTGACTTCTTGCATTGCATTAACGTCAGAGAGAGAGGAAGAGAGAAAGAGCTGACTTCTTGCATTGCATTAACGTCAGAGAGAGAGAGGAAGAGAGAAAGAGCTGACTTCTTGCATTGCATTAACGTCAGAGAGAGAGGAAGAGAGAAAGAGCTGACTTCTTGCATTGCATTAACGTCAGAGAGAGAGGAAGAGAGAAAGAGCTGACTTCTTGCATTGCATTAACGTCAGAGAGAGAGGAAGAGAGAAAGAGCTGACTTCTTGCATTGCATTAACGTCAGAGAGAGAGGTAGAGAGAAAGAGCTGACTTCTTGCATTGCATTAACGTCAGAGAGAGAGGTAGAGAGAAAGAGCTGACTTCTTGCATTGCATTAACGTCAGAGAGAGAGAGAAGAGAGAAAGAGCTGACTTCTTGCATTGCATTAACGTCAGAGAGAGAGAGGAAGAGAGAAAGAGCTGACTTCTTGCATTGCATTAACGTCAGAGAGAGAGGAAGAGAGAAAGAGCTGACTTCTTGCATTGCATTAACGTCAGAGAGAGAGGAAGAGAGAAAGAGCTGACTTCTTGCATTGCATTAACGTCAGAGAGAGAGGAAGAGAGAAAGAACTGACTTCTTGCATTGCATTAACGTCAGAGAGAGAAGAAGAGAGAAAGAGCTGACTTCTTGCATTGCATTAACGTCAGAGAGAGAGGAAGAGAGAAAGAGCTGACTTCTTGCATTGCATTAACGTCAGAGAGAGAGGAAGAGAGAAAGAGCTGACTTCTTGCATTGCATTAACGTCAGAGAGAGAGGAAGAGAGAAAGAGCTGACTTCTTGCATTGCATTAACGTCAGAGAGAGAGGAAGAGAGAAAGAGCTGACTTCTTGCATTGCATTAACGTCAGAGAGAGAGGTAGAGAGAAAGAGCTGACTTCTTGCATTGCATTAACGTCAGAGAGAGAGGTAGAGAGAAAGAGCTGACTTCTTGCATTGCATTAACGTCAGAGAGAGAGAGGAAGAGAGAAAGAGCTGACTTCTTGCATTGCATTAACGTCAGAGAGAGAGAGGAAGAGAAAAAGAGCTGACTTCTTGCATTGCATTAACGTCAGAGAGAGAGAGGAAGAGAGAAAGAGCTGACTTCTTGCATTGCATTAACGTCAGAGAGAGAGAGGAAGAGAGAAAGAGCTGACTTCTTGCATTGCATTAACGTCAGAGAGAGAGGAAGAGAGAAAGAACTGACTTCTTGCATTGCATTAACGTCAGAGAGAGAAGAAGAGAGAAAGAGCTGACTTCTTGCATTGCATTAACGTCAGAGAGAGAAGAAGAGAGAAAGAGCTGACTTCTTGCATTGCATTAACGTCAGAGAGAGAGGAAGAGAGAAAGAACTGACTTCTTGCATTGCATTAACGTGGAGCTGACGCGACAGATCTCAATCGGGCTCAATCGGGCCAAAGCCTGAAATACGGAACACTATCAGGAAAAGTGATTTCCGACAGTTGTTGATGCGGAGAATCCTTTTCTGAAGTCATAATTGCACTTTCAGCGACCTATTTAAGCCTCGGGTTCGGCGACAACTTTTTCTGAGATCATTTCCTGGTAAGAACTCGAAATCCGGAGAATCTGACAACATGATTGCATAGTTTCGCAAAATTCTTTGCGTTTTTTTCAATTACAACCTGCATCAATGTGGGCCGGAGTGTCGACAGAAAACAACGGGGACAGCAGGTCAGAGCTCACAAACAAATAATTTATTGAGAATCGAGTTGGTCATATCGAGAGGATTACACAATTTGGAACACCGCTAGGCAATCTTTCTTTTTTTATAAACTTCGACTGCAGGGCACTACATGATCGTGCACCATTGCTTCTTCGGCGGCTCCTCTTCCTCCTCCGTCTCTATTTCCGAATCGAATATCTGCGTCTCGTCCTCCTCCTCCTCATCAGTTTCTTCGCTCAATATCGGTGACTCTGAACTCCTCGACTCTGAACCACACCTCCTCCTCCTCCTCCACCGAGGCTCCTCGACGGCTTTGAACCACACCTCGTCCTGCGAGTCCATCCAGGAGTTTTCTTTCCTCATCTCGTTAAACTGCCTCATCCTCTCCTTCTCCTTCTCCTCCGCTTCCTTGATCTTCTCTATCTTCCTCTGCTTCGCCTCCTTCTTTTCCTCGGCTTCCCTCTCCAACATATCTATCAACTGCTTATTTTCCCTCTCCACCTTCTCTCTTTGCCCTTTTGTCCCCTCAAAATTCTTGAAATCCATGTGTCCGTTTTTGACGGCCATAAGCGACTTGCTCAACACCTTCTCCGATTTGACATCGATTCCCTGCAAATAATTTTTTTTAAAATTTTTGTTGCAAAATTACAAGAAACAAAAAGACTGACCACGCAGAGGTTCGCGCAGAGGGCGAAGAGGGCGAACGAGAGTTGGATGGGCGTCTGGATGGCATTGTCGCGGAATTGGCGGATGCTCAGAATCCAATGGTCGAGCGACAGAGTTCCGTATTTGGCCACCATGTCACGGCCTAGAGCGATGGCTGAAACCGGGGAAAGTGTTTAAAAAGAAGTGCGAAAGGTCGGGCGGATCCTACCGGCAAAAGTGCCGGTCCGCCCGGTTCCGTCCGAGCAGTGCACGACAACCGGGTTCATTTCGTTCTGAATCGAGTCGAGGAGCGCGAGGACCCCGTCGGCACACATGGGCGCCGATTGGTCCGGCCAGCCGAGGTACTGATCGTGTTTGACCGTGAACTCGGGGTAGTCTCTGGAAAAATATCTAAAGTGGATACATTTACCGAGAAATCTATCCAGAAAGGCGATTCTTCCCGCATTATCTCCACTTTCAAATGTTTTGCAACATCGCGGAACTCACGTGAATTTGACGGAAAGCACGCGGGTGACGATCTCTTCTGTCGAGTCGAGCGATTTCGAAGTGCATTTCACTGTCAAGCCTTGGAACGTGAGCTCATCGCCACTTTCCTCCGGATAGTACTGTGCGCATGTGCGTGTTCCTGAAATCACAATTAGTCGGAAACTATTGCGGCGGCTCACGAACCGTCCTCGAACAGTTTGCACAACATGACCACCCGTTCGGTTCTGTCCTGCCGCAGCATCCAGTAGAACTTCTCGATCGTCCCTATGTAGCCGCGCTCGTCGTTGCCAATCGGAGCCTGCGTGAGTCGGAGCACGAGACCGTTGCGCAGGACCAGGTCGTTGGCGTGGATGAAGTTTGAGGTGAACAACTGGCGGTAACCCTTCAGAATCACTCGTCCGAATTCCGCAAAATATGTGGCGTGCCTAAAAAAGAGGCGTTTACGAGTCAATGCGCACCATTTTTACCGCGTCTCTTTCCGATCGGTTCCCGTAAGATTTCTGCTTATCGACAAAGGAACTGTCGAGAACTGATTTTCGCAGAATCCAACGAAGAAACCGCTGAGTCCCTTCAGCGCAAGCCTCACGGTCGACACTTTCATCGCTTCCTTGAAGTTTTTGATGCTATCGTAAAGGTTTTGCATGAAATCAATGACTTTTTCCTTCGGCACCGCTTTGGTCTTGGGTTCTGAAAAAAAGCGACCGAATGCTGCGAACTGTTGAGTCGGGTAACTTACTCTCACTTTTTTGCGTATCGGCGAGTGACAACACTTTCTCGGCGAGACTTTTCAGAAAGCTTTTTTGTGGCGGAACCGGAACCGGTGGTTTGGCTGCGGCGTTCGATCCTCCGTCCTGATTTGCACTGGTGCTCAGCAACAATTTTTCACTATCTTCCTTGTCCTTCGCGTTCACTTTCTTCACTCGCTTCACCACACACACAATGATGACGACGATGACGATGATGAGCACAAGTCCTCCGAGACTTCCGAGAATCCAGGCCAGCGTAGCACTACTGAAACCATAAAATTATAAATTCCAGAAATGTTTCTCAAAAACTCACTTGGCCGTCTCGGTGGTATTCGGAATCCATATTCCACTGGTGGTGTTTGCAAGGACCGACTGTTGTTGCTGTGGCTGTGGAGGCGGGCCTGTGTGCACGACGAGCGGCGGGTCCATCAGCTCGGCAAACGCGGCGAAGAACGCGTCCAACTGGTCCAGAGAGTTGGGGGCCGAGGCGAAACTGGCTGTGAAATTGGAGAAGTCAACTCCGATGAGACCGAGATTGTCCAGCCACTTCGCCATCTTGGTCAGCTCGTCCCTCGCAGTCGGATCCGTCGTCAGATCCTTCAGATTGGCCACCGCCGCACTCATCGCCTTCACATCCGCTGCAGGTATTCCGGCGACCGTCGCAGCATTTGAAAAAGAGATTCTTGTAGTCGGCCAGGACTGTCGAGTCACTTTCCACGATCTGATCGCTCCACGTGTGCAGTTCGGCGAACAACGTCGAGATATTCGTGCTCAGAGCGACGACCGATTTCAGATGGATGACGTCTTCCGAGCTCAACTGAGGCGGCGTCGTGGCGACTGCCTGCCCGATCGGACCAACGTGCTGCGGGATCTGCTCGAACTCGGACTGTTTGTCGAGCAACATCTTCATCGCGACGAGTCCTTGCGTGGCGGTTCCGATCACTTCCGAATGAGTGGAAGGGTCCTCCAGAAGTTTCAGAGCGTCCGATTCCGGCGTCTTGAAGTCGATACTGCCGATCGTGTCATTCAGTGCTATCAACTTGTCAGGAGTACCAGCTACATCGCTCAAAATTCGTTGGACCTTGCCCACCGAGAAGGGTAACTGATCGCTCTTCAACTCTTCAGAATTCGAAATGAACGTCATCACCGATGCGTAGTCCTTCACACCTTGCAAACAACTGAACAGAGTCCCGAAACTCGTCAATGCGTTCTGATATGATAATATAACACTCATCTTGTCGCTCAAGGCCTTCGCTTTGACTTTGATCGGTGAGTCCCTCTGAACTGTTTTGACAATTGCCAGGCTTTCAGAGACTTTCTTCAATAGATCGTTGGTCTTGTTCATGTCTTTGTTGTTTCTGAACTCATTGAACACCTTTTCCAGATCGGCGCCTTTTTTTCCTTCGGCTTTTGCACAAATATCTCTGACCTTGATAATTCCAGCCTCAGCTGCTGTCAGATTCTTTGCAATATCGCTCATTGACTTTCTGATCCTCTCCATCCCCGCGTCAAGTTCCTTCGCATACAATTCCACGTTCATAAAATCGGTGGCGTTTGGCTGGTCCGGAGTGATTTGATGGCAGTTTCGGATTGCTTCGGCATTATCGATGAGATTCTTTGACTTGAGATGCACGCCTCTGAATTCCTCCGCGAACTTGAAGAATGGTTTCATCGCCACTCGCTGCTGCTCACTTCCCAAATCCGATTCAATATCTTTCAATGAGGGCGAAAGAGACTCCACACTGCGCAAACCCATTTTAAAACTGTCGACCCGCGCAACTTGACTGATCCACTGAGAATTTAGATCGTCGGACAGGAGATTCAAATCATCATATCCTCTTGGAAAACCGAAGGTGTAATTGAGATGACGGGAGTGCGGTGGCAAGCTACGCGATTTCGAAAAGTTCTTGATGACTTCAAGGTACTTCGTTATATCATCAACTTTCCTCGAAGCATTGAAAACGGAGTGAAAGTACTCTTCGAAGGACGCGAAATCGGCTGCATCCGACGGTTTCTTTTTAACAGTTTCAAATGTATCACTGTACTTTTTGACTCCTTTCGCTGCTTTCGAAAGTGGAGACAATTCTGATGTGGCACTTTCGATTGTTGCGAATTTCACCGTTTTCAAATCCGCAGAAACGAGATTTGTACCATTAATGAAGCAATCGGCTGTTTTTTTTAATACGGAAAAAACATAAGCAGCACCATTTTCACTGTAGTTCATGGTACTCAGACTTTCAAACGAGGAACTCCAGTGGGTCATGCATTTTTCCAACTGAGTAACGAATTTCAGCTCAATTCCGTTCTGAACCATCTTCTCGATGTTCGCCTTGAGCCGTTTCTCACTCCAATTAGTGATGTTTCCGCTCCCGTCAACCAACTTCTTCACTTCGTGCAGCGCCTTGTAGACACCCGCGAACCGCATCGCCCTCGAGTTGGCCGTCAGCGTACCTGGCAGGTCTTTCAGCGCAGTCAGTGCTTCCGTCAGTTCGGTCGCGTTGATTCCGATGATATCTGCCGGAGTGACACTTCCCAGACGGAGCAGTTCGGAAATGAGCGCGTCGGTCATAATGGTTTTCTGGGCGAGTGCCCGCTGCAGGAAGATGCCCGTCGCGATCCTGGCGATCGTCTTCATCTTGTCGATGGTCGTCTTCAACGGATCGGCTGCAAACGGATCTGTTGGATGAGTGATCCACTCGGTCCACTAACCATTCGGAGCTCTGATCGGACGGGGAACATCGGAGACGGTTCGGTCGAATGGGTTCGGATTAATCGGGTCGGTGTGGTTGAGCGAGTTCGTAGCGAGAGCGGTCAGAAGAAGAAAAATCACGAATGGATCTGAAGAAAACGAGTGTTAAACTGACTGGGAGTGTCCTCCGAAACTCACTCATTCCGATCCTTCGCTCTGCGTTTGCCAGATCTTTTTGAATTCGCGGTGAACTTTGATTGCTTCTGATGTTTGAATCCTCGAGGAATGTTCGACAAGGACGATTCGAGAACACAGCAGAGTGCCACGTGGCGAGGTCAGGGTCAGTGGGGCAGAGGCCGAGCAGATAAGAAGCAAGGTAACGGGAACGTCACGCAGAAAAAGGATGAACTTTTTAAATTTTTTTCTCACCGATCATTTACGGGTTCTTTTTGTTTTTTGTTATTCAGGACGGATAGCGGACCAGATTGTCCGATCGGTCTAAAACTGGGAAAAAAGTTTGGGTCAGATGGGAATACGTCCTGCTCAGAGTTTAATGTACCGCCCTTCTGCGTGAAATTAATTTACGATTCTCACAAAAATCTATCGGACCGCACTGATGTCCGAAACGAATTTCCTTCACGTGCTATCCGCCCATTATCTTGCCGACCATCTTTTGTTGTTTTTCAACGAAACTTCCTGCAAACTTCCGGGTACGTTTGTCTGCATTTCATTTGTTTATCTCGGCCAAAAAAGTCATGTTAGCCTTCGCAGGAAGAGATAGGATGAAGAAGTTCAACTACTCAAATTGTCTAAAGTTTCGCCTTTTAACAGCTTTCAATAAACCGGTCGGACCCAAACTTTGCAGACTTCTAGTACTTGGTTTGAAGTATATCGGGTGTAAGTTTCAAACAGATCGGATCGGTTAAAGGCCGAAAAGGCCCTAAGGGCGCAAATCACTATATCTCGGAATCAGATAATGCGATCGGTCTGAAACTTGGACCCAAAATACTTCAATCCAAGTCCAAGAATCCTGAAAGCCTCTGAAGTGCACAAACAACGTAATAATGTTTTCCAGAAGGGCAAGAAGATTCCCTCGTCGAACTTTGTGTTCAAGGCGCCCAGAACGCTCAAGATCAAGAAGGTGACGAAGGAGGAGGCGGCGACGTACGACTACACTACCGACTACCGGCATTCGACGGTCCCGGCGCCGAGGAGGACGCCTCCAGCTCCTGGTCGGCAAACCTCGAGTCCCGTGGCGTGTTCGGGCGATACGGTCGGTCCGCCACGGGGAAGTCTTTCTGAATGCACTGAGGGATTCGAACGGGTTGGTAAAAATTTCTATCGAAAATATCACAGAGGCTTAAAAAAATTGTTTTAATTCGAAAATATTTCTAAAAATCCACGGTCTCCAGAGCTGACAATGGGCGCAAGTGCGCCCCGCCCAATAGAGCGATACATTGGCGCGCGCGAAATTTGTGTTTTTTGCCAGATTAGCCACGAAAAACCGATAATTTCTCATTTTTCTCTCGATAGACCGATTGTATAGGCTAACAGCGTTAATTTTGGTCAAGTCGCAAATCACATTTATCCGTTTGAAGGTTTTTGGCTAAAACTGCGTGAATTTCAGTTGCTTTTCGGTAATTTTCGCGGTTCGAGCGCTCAAAATGCTTGTATTTACGTGATTTATCATTCTCAAAACCAATTCTGTCTGAAAACGGTCAAGAGAGCGCAAAATGAGAAGTGCGGTTTTGAGGCGGCGATCGGCGACGAAGGCGAAAAAGCGAAGTCCGCGAAAAATGCGCTAAAACGTCATTAATTCTGAGAATTAGTGTGTTTTCATGTCGAACAATCATTTTTCATCGCCTTTGACCAGAAAAATCAGAGAAAACCTGCTCAATTCATGAAAACGCTATTTGGCCGAGGCCACGCCCATATTGTCAGCTCTGGAGACCGTGAAATCCAAATGCGTACCGCGTAAAACTGTTTGAACATGGGACTTAGTCGCTCTTGAACCGACGTGTAGTAATTTTTGAAATTTCTGTGTCCGATCATGTGGAAGACGCTCTTTTCGACGCGCCGATTGTCGACGTACATCTTGCGGGGCACTCGCGTCGCCCGATCGAACTCGTTCTTTGGCCACATGTCCGTTATCCTGCAAGAAATTACCTTTTGTAATATTCCGATCGGAATCAAACTTTGCAGGCTTTTTGGAATTGGGTTAAAGTAATTTGGGCCCAAGTTTCAGACCGATTGGATTATTTACTCTGGAGATATTATGCATTCGCGACAAACTATTCAAGCCCGCAAGCTGGAGTGAAAAGTTTCTCTCCGGGCGAATGCATAATATCTCCAGAGTAAATTATCCAGTCGGTCTAAAACTTGGACCCAAAATACTTGAATTCAAGTCCAACAAGTCTGCAAAGTTTGGGTCCAATTCCCCGCATTTTGACGTGATTGACGTCCGGCGGAAGTTTCTTCCAGAGGATGATTCCGCGTCGGTGCTCGGCGAAGATTTGTTGCGCCAAACGCGGAAAACAGTACTAAACGAAGCGGACCGACAGGTTTCGGTTGAAACTCACAATCGATAATAACCTGTTTTAGCAGATCGAGAAACGCTTCTATCATCCCATTCGTATAGAAATAATGAGCGATTCGAGTTCGCTGCAAATGTGCTTGAAGTTTAACGAGAATATAAACTGAAAATTGATTGTTTTCAACTTTAAAAATAACTATTTAGATAACCGTCTGAATTTCCGAAAATCGGCGACTCACCGCTTCGGCGGACAGAATCTCGAGAATCTTGCGATCGTAGAGTCCGCGCCAGGCGGCCAGCAGCCAATCCGCCGGCAAATTGTCGTCCGCCATCGGGTTGTCGGCCGGAATCGTCGAGTAAATGGCGCGGAGGAGGCGACGCACGTAGAGCACGGTCCCGTCGAGTGAGTAATCGGCGCGCGCGTCGTCGCAGTCGCCCGAGATGCCGACCAGCGGATTCGGAGAGTTCCGCAGGCCGTTCTCCGTCGCGAACAGGTTGCCACGGTAACGGACTTCGCAACGTCTTCTGCAAAATTTAGTTTGACGACGACTGGGTCGAAATGAAGTATTTTAAGAACGTGTTTCAGACCGATCGGATTATCTTGTCCCGAGATATACTGGGTTCAGACTGAAACGACCGAAGTTTTTGCAAAAATCGGGTCTTTTCGGCAACAAGAAACTTCTACCCAAAACACTTTAACCCAAGCCCAAGAAGTCTGCAAAGTTTGGCTCCGATGATCGGATCGGATTATTGTAAGCCGATCAAACAGCTTTGGAAAGACTTTGTTCCTCACATGAATCTCTGCACCTTGACGAGCGTCCACCCCAATCGATCGAAAACAGGGGGGCGCGCGTGCCTTTTGCATCCCTCGAGGTCGGTGAGTCCGTGGCCCACAAAATGAGTTTGCACGATGAGCCGGTGCAGCATCGGATCATCCGGGTACGCCTTGTTCAGATCCAGCACTCCGTTCTCGTCGATGAATTGCAAAAAACACGAATTCTGGACCGCGATGATCAGCCGCGAGGTGCGCATTTCGTAGAGCGAGTCGAGCACTTTCGGGTCCCGGTGCTGCAGTCGGAACACCATTTTGACGTCCAGATTGTCCCGAAAGCTCTCGTCGAGCACGCCCTGTCCGATGCGAATGTCCAGGATCGCCGACGGATTCATCGTGAGGAACAGCTGCTGAGTGTCGGGCACCCGCTGGTCCTGCTCGTCGAGGAACTCGAGCATCGGACGGTCGAAGCCCGCGAGGAGGCCCGATTCCCGGCCCGATTCGTAGTGATCCCGCACGAATTGGAGCACTTGGGTCAGACTGAAACGGATGAGATATTTGAAAAGAGTTTTCGGGGCTCACTATTTCATCACTTCGATATTGATGGGATCGTCGAACCCGCAGACGTTCCTTCGTAGGTGCCACGCTAATTTCAGTTGTCCGGTGAACGAGACGAGGGACCAGACCATGACGAGCAGGCGGTACTCGCCGCTGCAAATACCACATACTGTCGGTTTCCTTGAAGGGGTCCTTGTATTCAGACAAAGGGTAGTCTTAAATTTCAGCTAGCTTTAGGCTTGAAAATTGTCACTCTTGTTCTCATTTCCATTTTCCAGTGCAGAACTACTCTGAAACGACTGCATTGCAAACCTTCACATAGATCGGGTCGTGAGAATAGGCCAGTCCGGTGACTTGGAACGGACAAGGCGTACGGAATTCCTGCAAAAATGGATTTAAACAATGATTTCCGAGTCAATTTTCAAAAATATGTCATTTCTCAATTTTCGAGTCGAGGGTGAGCTCCCGAGACTGAAGTTCCGGGAATTGCCGGGAAAAGTAATGGGAGAACTTCCCGGTACCAAGACTTCCCGGGAACGACAAGTCTTCAGTCTTCTCGCTACCAAGAGTCTCGGTAGTAGTCGGTACCGAGAAGTCTTTAGACTACCGATCGCTAAAATTTCTCAGGTAAAATTTTAAACTTTTCTTGGCTCTTCTGAAGACATTCTCAAACTTTCTCAAGACAAAAAACTTTTCCAAGACCTTTTCAAACTTTCTGAAGCACTAAAAATGTTTCTAAGCAATTCTCAAACTTTTCCAAGAATTTCTTAGGTGGCGCCTGGAAAAGTTTGAAAATAGCCAAGAAAAATTTGAAATTTTACCTGAGGAGAAGTCTCGGTATCGCCACCAAGAAATTACGAGAAGTCTGTGTTGAAGGGCTGAAACCGCTTTTTTTGTGGAACAAAATCTTTTTTTAAATTAAAAAAATTAAAAAAACCACTTGAAATGTATTTTTTTAATTAATTTTATTTTTAAATTTTTAATTTGTTGTTCAATTGTTCTGCTTTTTTTATTTTGTTGTTTAATTTTTTTAATTTTTTTAATTAAATAAAAACATTTATTTCCACAAAAAAACCGGTTTCAGCCTGATTTCAGGCTGAAAAGCCCTTCAATATTGAATATTCAACACAGACTTCTCGTAATTTCTCGGTAATGGGGTTATTCAGGCTGTGAAAAAAATGATTGTTTTCCGTTTTTTTACGTCAAAAAACCCAATTCAGCGGTGTAAAAAAACGAAAAAAACGGAAAACAAAACATTCGCTAAATAGCCCCATAACGAGGACACTGAAGACTTCTCGGTACCGAGACACTTGGTAGCGGGAGGACTGAAGACTTGTCGGGAAAGCGCTTCTCGGGAAGTTCTTTCATCACTTTTTCCGGCAATTCCCGGGAATTCAGTCTCGGGAGCTCACCCAGTTTTCGACTGCGTACCCTCAAATCGGCGAAAAGAACATAATTGTCGAGATTCCGTTCGTCGCCGTCGTTTTCCTCCATCATCTGCAACGTCATTTCTTCGCAATACAGGGCTCCATCGTGCACCGCCCATGTTTTTCCTCGTCCTGAATGCGGGAAATTAATAGATAAATCGAAAAAATCGCCTTTCTGCCGTTTTGCTATATTTTCGGCCAAAAACGAATACAATCACCATCCACGGAAGAGCCAGAGCAAGGAACTCCATCCCGAAGAGCAATGGTGGTGGATTCCTCCGAGGAACTGCAATCCAGGCCACTTCATGGAGGATTGCAGACGCACCTGTACTCCCCCGTCAGAAGCGACACATAATCCATGTTCGGTACACGAACGAGGACACATCATCGCTCGAACACGCGACATCTGGACGATTTGAGCGGAGAAGGCTTCTCTCCTGAAGAAAAACGGAGGAAAATGTTGAAGAAAACGAGTAAACAAAAACAAGTAAACAACAATGCAAGCGCGCTCTCCTGCACTTTGTGCCGCCAAATTGGAGGGAGTTCAAATTCCGTTTCTGGAGAATACGAAAAAATCGCCACAGCAGCGGAAACGCACCGACATTCCGGCTCTTTGCAATGGAGCGCACTTGCACAGTCCTTTCGAAGAAGACTATTTTCCGCAAGTCTGCGGCAGCCAATCAATTTGATATTTCGAAGTATGAGCCGAATGAAAATGAAATGAACAAAAATAGTAAAAAATCATTAATGTGTCGCATTTATTTCAGACAAGTAAGTAATGATGGGAGAGAATTGGGGAATTGGGAGGATCGCACCGGAAACTCTAACAATAATTGGTTTTTGCATAAAAATGAATTATTTTTAAACAAGGAGTGCGTTTTGTGGGAAAGAATTGGATAAATTTGAAGAAAACAGCTGAAGTGTCGAACTTTTGCTCCGCGTGGCAATCGTGTGGGAGCAGAATGACAGCCTGAAAGACAATCTTTTTGAACAAACGCACGGCGCGGCTTTCGCAACATACACAGCCAAATGGTATGCATTTTTGCGCTTCGGTGTGGCTCTGCGTAAAGTGCATTTTAATTGGTCCTTTGCCGGAAAACAGTGACATTTCGTTGAAAAAAATGTTTTTCTCAAAAACCGTCTCTAGATTTTCTAATTTTTTTGTTTAAATAGTTCACTTACATGACTGTGAATGTTTTCGAACCAAAAAAAAGTAGAGTGACAGTTCATAGAAGCAAAAAAAAAATTTTTTCAACGAAATTTCACTGTCTTCCGGCAAACTATCGGTTTTTCCGCGAAAGCGAGCCGTCACTCTACTTCTTTTTGATTCGAAGACATTCACAGTCATGTGAGTGAACTTTTTAAATCAAAAGATTAGAAGATCTAGAGACTTTTTTCGAGAAATCGTATATTTTCTGAATAAAACATTACTTCCATTTACTTACGCGTTTCTTTTCATCGCATCGACTTCTCTTCGCGTATTACTTCACCTGGAATCCGTAAAAAGGTCTAATTGAGGTAGAAAGTGGAGAAAAACGCTTAAAAGTGATGAATATTTGGAGAAAATTCATCAACAACTAAAAAAAATGAACTTTGCGCGTAACATAAAATGCACTGTACGCAGAGCAACACCGGCGTGTCAAAATGCACAGACTGAGGATCAAACGTTTGGTGAACGTCGCAAAAGCCGCGCCGCGAACGGTTTGGGAAATCGATACGGAACAACACGTGAGTTTCACTCACAAGAAAAGGTGTGACTGCTTTCAGATGCTTCCGATGGAGATTGCCTGGAATGGAGAGAAAATTCCAGAAAAAAGAAATAACTCGTAGACACCCGCGAACCGCATCGCCCTCGAGTTGGCCGTCAGCGTACCTGGCAGGTCTTTCAGCGCAGTCAGTGCTTCCGTCAGTTCGGTCGCGTTGATTCCGATGATATCTGCCGGAGTGACACTTCCCAGACGGAGCAGTTCGGAAATGAGCGCGTCGGTCATAATGGTTTTCTGGGCGAGTGCCCGCTGCAGGAAGATGCCCGTCGCGATCCTGGCGATCGTCTTCATCTTGTCGATGGTCGTCTTCAACGGATCGGCTGCAAACGGATCTGTTGGATGAGTGATCCACTCGGTCCACTAACCATTCGTAGCTCTGATCGGACGGGGAACATCGGAGACGGTTCGGTTGAATGGGTTCGGATTATTCGGGTCGGTGTGGTTGAGCGAGTTCGTAGCGAGAGCGGTCAGAAGAAGACAAATCACGAATGGATCTGAAGAGAACGAGAACGAAGAGAACTCCGATCTGTGCTGGAAGGGAACAAATGAGTCTATAAAGAAAACAGATTCAAATGAACACTTTTTTAGAAACGTGTTCATGGCCAGATTCTCGGATTGGTTGTTCTACCAGTTGCCAGGATACTGTGAAATGTTTATGTACACTTTTTAGATGAAATTACACGAATATCAATACAAAATGTGATATCACAACAAGTACACTCGAAAAATTGAAAATGCAACTCGTTGATCCATCCTTTGGCGTCACCGTTTGACCTTTCATTGTTTTAGTTGTGGTTTGATCATTCTGAATTCAGATTTTTCACATAAGAACTCATACGCTCCTCGAGTTTACCTCAGTTTCATAGCTAAGAATAAACGAGGAAATGCTGCGCGAATCGCTTCCCAATGTATAGACTCTCATGTAACTGCCTTGAAGCGATTGCACTTTCGAACCGGTCACATTGTTCTTGAAAGTGACCGTAACCGGTGAGGACTGTCCGAAATTGTTGCCGACTTCCACGTTCAACGAGTCTTGATCCGATCCCAAAACGAGAGAATCCACCGAGAACGCAAATGTGAGGTATGTTTGCTGATAATTGCCATCTGCAAACAAAAATACGAAACTGCTGATTTTAAGTTAAAGAAGGTCTGGTACATTATATTTGACAAAAATCATACTTGGGGCCTCAAAGTACGTTTTGTAGCCCTACTCTAAACTCTTCTTATCTTTGGACACTTATATCTCGAGATCTGATGATAATTTCAAAACGTGGTCAACTAAAAAGTTTTTGTAATTTTTGTGCTTAACAACTTTGTAGTTGATGATTTTATCGCAAAACTAGTCATTCTTCAGTTATCGTCTAGTTTCTAAACACAATTCACAATGGCGACGAGACGTGAAATACACCGTCTGTTTAGTGTCGGACATCGTTCAAAACTCACCATAAGCTTTCAAAGCGCGGTCATAGGCCCACTCGGTGGACGGTTGCCACGCAGATCTCGAAGTCAGTTTCGCTTTCCGGTCCGTCGAGACCGCTATGGACCCGTCGTTCGACGGATAGCCCACGCTGACGGCCGTGGATCCTTGGGTGACTGTGATTGTGAAAAAGTTGGTGGCGAGTTCCTGGGGTAGCATATTGGCAAAGTTGTTTCCACTGCAATTTATTTTTAGGTGTCTTAAAGATTCGACAGCTGCCTCAGATCCAAGGATCTATCGACTAATGGACCCGCTTGTCGCGCGGTCGAAGGGCACCCCAATAGCGTTCATTCAAAACACTATAGCTCAGCGGCCTGTAGAGATATGGAAATGTTGTCAACTAATAAAATGTAGACCAATTCCTTGTGAGCATTTTATTAGTTGACCACTTTTTGATATCTCTACCGGCAGCTGAGATATAATGGTTTGGATAAACGCTACTTCTACAACAGTATTTATGGTGACTGATGTGTGGTTAAGTTGACTTTGTGAAACACGATTCACAAAAAGAAAGTGTAGTTGAGAAGACCTCACTGGAGCTCGAGAGATTCCTGTGAAATAAAGTGCCCAACCTGTAGTTAAGTACGGTACTGTAGTTGCTCGTCGGCGATCCGGGCTGAATTCGAACGATTGCCGAACTCGAAGTAGTCGTCAGATTTGTCAACAGTAACGTGTTTGAATAACTATTGTAGAAAGTGAATGCCGCGTTGGCAGAGATCGGGTAGAACCACGCATAGTTGCCAAAACCGTACGAACTGAATTTCGACACAACTGAAAAAGTGAGTCTTACGGATGTATATTCTATATTCATAATATAAACTGACCGGACCAATCATTACTCAACAGATACGTTCTCGGATCGCCGTTCGCATTGTAATGACATGAAATGTCGTTGTACTTCACAATCGTCACAGAAGAGCCGGACGATTTGAGAACATCTGTGTTCAGCGATCCCAAAAGGCTCGAATTGAGGGACGGTCCGTCGAAAACCAAAACAGAGTTGTAAAATGCGGTGCATCCCATAAAATCGATATTCAGTGCGACCGGACCTCCGTCGGTGGACGTTATTTGCGTGGGTGTCAGCGAATCAAAGTACCCCAACTCCATCACATTTCCAGTCTTCCGTTGATCCGTCGGGAGGGACATAACTGAAAGGTTTGCGGTTTTTAACACCCGGTAATCCTATGACTACACCATTTCCATAGGTCCATTTCACGTTAAAAGATGCCTGTCCAGGTGCTGTGCTCAACAATAGCTTTGGCGTTTTTCCATTGATCGCCAGCGAATTGATCGTTTCAGTTCCATTTACACTGAAATGGACGATAGTTAGTGAATACATTTGAGGGTGGAACCAACCGATAGGTCACGTTCAAAGAGTCCGTAATCACCAGAAAGTCCTGATTGTTGACGTTGAACGCGCTCGCTTCGAATGTCAAAAAATATCCGTCGGGAAGCGAGAACTGGAAAAATGGTTTGTGAGTTTCGAGAGAAAAAATGGGACCACGGTGAAACCGATAATATCAGACTTGTCACAGACCGGTTCTGGTTTCAGCCTTTTCCTTTTCGATATTATAAGTAATGTGAAGGAACGTACCGAAAGTTCGCAAAAGTAATTCGAGGGAAAGACGGCCGGAGTGCTCCTTCCGTTCGGCAATTGTCCGTCGACAGTTATCGGTGAGGTGGGGCACGTGAAATCGGGATCCGCAGCAGATGAAGCGGAAAAAAAGAGGGAAAGAGAGAGAAAAAGTGAGCGTGTTATCATCGTTTTCGGTCGAATCGAAACTCTATCGCCTCGTTTTATACGGAGGATGGTCGGGGGGAGCGATAAGACGTTGTGTTCTGATTCGAAATGTTGGTTTTGGTTGAAGTTTTCAACTGAGAACTGAAAAAAGATTTGAGAATTTCAGAGAACGTAAGTTGTTTTGCTTTTGTTCATCGAAAAATTGTTCATTTTGCTTGAGATTCATGAGATTCAGATTCATGTGAGCCAAAATGTGTTTGGGACAAAAATGATTCACTTCTCAAACACACTCGTCACTTTCAAGAGTCTTTGTACAGAAAAAAGATAAGGACGCGTCAAACTAGAACTTTTAATACTCATAATCGTTCTTTGGAATTCCGCACCAATAGCACTGCTATTTTTGGTGCGAAAACTGGTAAAAGAGAAAAAGAACCAGAAGAATTGGAGCGGTTATGCACATTTACACGCAAACATTTAAAGGAATCAAAAGTTTGTGGTGTGAAATCGTTAATTCGTATGTACAAACAATTTGAACTTAAAATTTAGTACTCGTAGAAGCGGAAGTGTCCCAGAGTTGTTCTTCAGTTTTGATATCTGATCGCTTTTGTTTCTCTACGTCTCCTTCTTTTCCAGAAGACTTTCCGTTACTCAGAATCGATTCGATCATCATTTTCTCCAATCTGAACAGATATTATAGTGTTGTTCTCTGAAAAAGTCCTACTTTAGAACGGGAACTTCGAAGAGACAACTCCAGAAAAAGGCGAAGATGTAGGAGAGGAGGGTGGCCGGAACTGCGTAGTAGATGAACTGGAAATATTGAAAAATAGATTCCATTCTGATGAGATTTTGAGAATTACAATTTGGAAAGTGGAATAATAGTGGATACTGGTGTCGTTGATATTCAGGTAACAGTAGAGAATGAAGAAATGGACGATGTAGGCGCAGTAGGAGAGTCTTCCGAACGGCTGCCACATCGGATGCGACATGAACGCGTCGATGGGTCCTGGAGGGAAAAGAACATGAGAATTACGGTCATATAGGATTACTGTACCTCCCCATCCCATGTGATTGGCCACTATGACCCACGACACTGCGATCGCCCAGCCGAGACGCGAAAAATTGTAAAAGGTGGCACGGGTGAAGACGCTGAAAGACATTGAAAGTGGATAAAGTTTAGATTCGAATGTGTACCTCCAATGGGATCCTTTGTCATAGTCATAAGTCGCAAAGATGCAAGCGGCAGCGATTCCGAATGCTATTATCCATCCAGTGACCGCCAGTGCCCAGTTCAGTCGCACTTTCCTCTTTCCGTAAGTGGCCAGACAATATCCGACCAAAAGTCCGACCAGATACGGAGGACAGCGGATCCAGGGCTTGTCGTATATTATATCGTAGAAGTTTGTGTTCACACTGTAAACAAGGAATCATACAGCAAGCAGATGAGCCTTAGAAACCAACCCATTTCCGAAGAAATCCGCCGGGAGATCATTGATCCCATAGAGCACATAGACAGTGATGATACTTCCCACACAGCCAGCAGTTATCAGGGCTACTCCGGCAGCAAAGGAAAAGTAGAGAGCGATAAGAACGAAGGGAGCGATCACGTACAACTGGGTGTCCACTCCCAAGTACCACGTGATTCCGTAGCACTGTTCTTCGTTGGGTAGCAAATTGTTAATGTAGATCAGGTTTCTCCACCAGTACTGTTGACACGCGTTCACTTGAGGGATTAGCTGGTCTGCAAAAGAAACGGGAGAATTGATTGGTTTCAGTAGGACTTACTCATTTGTGCAGCCGCCGAAGGGCCTTGGATATAGTAGCCGTAGACTGTGAAGAATCCGATGAAGATCATGATGGGAGGAGTGAGTCTGAGGTATCTGTGCACGTAGAAGAGGATCCACGTGACAGGGCTTTTGATTTGATTCACTGTCAGACGGGTTTTGAAGAATAGGTAAGAAACGACAATGCCAGAGAGCAGAAAGAATGTGTCCACGGACAGAAAGGCGTTTAGTAGCAGATGGTTCCAGAAGTGCTTGAAGAACCCGGTGACAGTAAGAATTTGATCTGAAACTAGTCTTTAAAAGTATGCTCAACTGGTAGCACTCGCCTGGGAACAGCATATAGGTGAAAGTGTGTCCGGTGACGACCCACAACATGGAGAGGAATCGAATGCAATCCAGTGACTTGATGAATCCCGGTTTGTGCTCTCTGACCGACAACAAGAGCTCCGCATTGGTCCACAATGAGAGCGTGAGCAGTATTTTGAGCATCCAATTCTCATTCCTTTCCTTCATTCCGATCGCCTCGCGAACGTAGTCGACTGACGTGGCAAGCAGGGCGAAACAGACGACGACGAGGAGAAATGCACTGAACGCCCACCACGACGACGTCTTCTCCACCGCGAATCTCGAGCAGAATGCGGAGCACGCGGTGAACGGCATCGAGGATATCTGATTGTAGACGGTCGGAAGGTCCGAGGAAGTGCACGAGTTGGGCATGCACACCGCGCTTCGGAAGAAGATTGTAGAAGGGACTCCGTTGATCAGATTGCATGTGGCATTCTAAAAAGTATCATGTGCATTGAACAAAAATCATGTATCGTACCTTTCCCGGCAATAAGATCATGTAGCAGTAGTTGGTCTCATACTTCTCGCCACTGATTCGTTGACATTCCTGGTAGGATCCATCGAAGATCAATGGAATTTCGAACAGCCCGGAAGACGGAATCTTACCCCAGGCGTCTAGTTCTGTGAAATCGATATGAATACTGTCCTAGTCATCTTGAACTCACGTTCCAGCGCATAAAAGTTCTCCTTGATCTTCTGCGCCTCTTCAGCCGTACACTTTTTCTCAATCAAGCACTCGACAGAGACTTCCGACACAATGTGCAAAGAGTTTTGCCACGTGGCAGTGTCATTTGCACATTGAGCACTTACTCCGGCGATTGTTTGAGATTGTTGGGTACTTGGAACGAATACGTTCTAGAAAAGTTGGTTAGTAAAGTGAGACAAACAATAGACACAATACCTTCCACTCTTTGGTCCCGATCACTGCAGGAATCAGGAGCACAAACAAAGAGAGGTTCATAGTAATTGCGAAGCGTTGAGCATCGCCCTAAAAGTTGCATTTATATATCGGAACAATCGAAAAAATTGACGTATCACCCGCTGCGACCGAGTGACGATATTTTCATTCAGGAGATAAGCGGTTTTGCGTGAATTATTCAAAGTCTGCTGATAATACATATAACTAAACATGAAATCATTCTTGTTTCCTTAACATATCACGATACCTGCTTTGTCTAACCTTTAACGATCATGAACTCATCGAATCTACAGTAATCCGTTCAATTTTATCATCCAATCCGCCCACGCATTCACATATTTTTTGTTCATTGATCACTACTCTTATCAATCGTATTATGGAGCACATACTCCAAACTGATAGGCTATTTTTTTTCTTCGAAAAATTAAGATACAATTTGACCCAATCATTCATAGGAAGATCGTAAAGTCTTTGGACTGACTCAAAGTTGTTCCAAACCCGGTTATGATGTCATTTTCCATTCATTTGTATGTACAAACAATTTGAACTCGTAAACACTTTAAAGTTTAGTACTCGTAGAACCTCCAACTCTTTCAGACGACTTTCCGTTACTCAGAATCGATTCTATCAACATTTTCTCCAATCTGAACAGGTTGTTTTCACTTTTTCGCGTAAAAAGTCCTACTTTAGAATGGGAACTTCGAAGAGACAACTCCAGAAAAATGCGAAAATGTAGGAGAGGAGACAAGCCGGAACCGAGTAGTAGATGAACTGAACATGCAAATTTTGACACTGATATTGTGAACGATTTTGAAACTTACAATTTGGAAAGTAGAATAGTAGTGAATAATGGAATCATTGATGTTCACATAACAGTAGAGAACAAATAAATGGACGATGTAGGCGCAGTAGGAGAGTCTTCCGAACGGCTGCCACATCGGATGCGACATGAACGCGTCGATGGGTCCTGGAGGGAAAAGAACATGAGGATTACGGTCATATAGGAATACTGTACCTCCCCATCCCATGTGATTGGCCACTATGACCCACGACACTGCGATCGCCCAGCCGAGACGCGAAAAGTTGTAGAAGGTGGCACGGGTGAAGACGCTGAAAGACATTGAAAGTGGATAAAGTTTAGATTCGAATGTGTACCTCCAATGGGATCCTTTGTCATAGTCATAAGTCGCAAAGATGCAAGCGGCAGCGATTCCGAATGCTATTATCCATCCAGTGACCGCCAGTGCCCAGTTCAGTCGCACTTTCCTCTTTCCGTAAGTGGCCAGACAATATCCGACTAAAAGTCCGACCAGATACGGAGGACAGCGGACCCACGGCTTGTCGTATATTATATCGTAGAAGTTTGTGTTCACACTGTAAACAAAGAATCATACAGCAAGCAGATGAGCCTTAGAAGCCAACCCATTTCCAAAGAAATCCGCCGGAAGATCATTGATCCCGTAGAGCACATAGACAGTGATGATACTTCCCACACAGCCAGCAGTTATCAGAGCTACTCCGGCAGCAAAGGAAAAGTAGAGAGCGATAAGAACGAAGGGAGCGATCACGTACAACTGGGTGTCCACTCCCAAGTACCACGTGATTCCGTAACATTGATTCTTGTGATCCATCAAGTTGTTAACGTAGATCAGGTTTCTCCACCAGTACTTTGCACAGATATCGACTTCCGGTAGAAGTCGGTCTGAATGAATCTTTTATAGTTGAACAGACCTCCTCGGATTACTCATTTGTGCAGCCGCCGAAGGGCCTTGGATGTAGTAGCCGTAGACTGTGAAGAATCCGATGAAGATCATGATGGGAGGAGTGAGTCTGAGGTATCTGTGCACGTAGAAGAGGATCCACGTGACAGGGCTTTTGATTTGATTCACTGTCAGACGGGTTTTGAAGAATAGGTAAGCAACGACAATGCCAGAGAGGAGAAAGAATGTGTCCACGGACAGAAAGGCGTTTAGAAGCAAATGGTTCCAGAAGTGTTTCGGAAAATCAGCAAGTGGAAGGATTTTATCTGGAAATCTGATCGGTTAGCAGAAGGATATCAATCAATAATCTATACCAGTAAACACAATGTACTTGAAAGTGTGTCCGGTGACGACCCACAACATGGAGAGGAATCGAATGCAATCCAGTGACTTGATGAATCCCGGTTTGTGCTCTCTGACCGACAACAAGAGCTCCGCATTGGTCCACAATGAGAGCGTGAGCAGTATTTTGAGCATCCAATTCTCATTCCTTTCCTTCATTCCGATCGCCTCGCGAACGTAGTCGACTGACGTGGCAAGCAGGGCGAAACAGACGACGACGAGGAGAAATGCACTGAACGCCCACAATGACGACGTCTTCTCCACCGCGAATCTCGAGCAGAACGCGGAGCACGCGGTGAACGGTAGGAGGGCGAGTTCATTAAATAGTTTCGGAAGATCTTGAGCATCACACGAATCGGGCATACAGACTGCGGATCGGAAGAAACTGGCATGGGAACACGTGGCATTCTGAAATATGACTTTGCTGTTTCGATGTTAAAAGTAAGAAAAAGGAGGTGTACCTTTCCAGGAGCCAACACCAAGTAACAGTAATTGGTCTCATACTCCTTTCCACTGATTCTTTGACATTCCTGGTAGGATCCATCGAAAACTAGGGGAATTTCAAAGATTCCGGACGATGGAATCTTACCCCAGGCGTCTAGTTCTGCAAAAAAAGTTGAATACTGTCCTAGTCATCTTGAACTCACGTTCCAGCGCATAGAAGTTCTCCTTGATCTTCTGCGCCTCTTCAGCCGTACACTTTTTCTCAATCAAGCACTCGACAGAGACTTCCGACACAATGTGCAGAGAGTTTTGCCACGTGGCAGTGTCATTTGCACATTGAGCACTTACCCCGGCGAAAGCGGCAGAACGATTGAAAGTTATCTTCGATTCTTCACACTTGACTGCTTTTGAGATTAGAATAATGAAAAAGTACAAGTTGCGGGAAACGCTCATACCTTTCTATCTGACACTTTTTCAAGAGCATTTCATTTTATACTCATGCTCATTGTTGGTTAATCGGTTCGTAAATCATTCAATCTTAAACTGATATAGTCACAAAACGAGGCAGGAAACAGTCGTTCACAAACTACAAAAAGTGCGGCAATATTTGAAAATCGAACGTCATTTATGAGAAAAAAACCAGAAAAAAAAATGAGAAAGAGATCATTCGATGCTTATTGCCGGGAAAGATAGAAATCGACAGACTTCCGACATTCTTCCAAAGAATGCCATAAACTATGCGCGTCAGTTACGATGTTTGTCTGCATTTTCACGTCACCGTGTTGTCAACTCCGATTTCTTCGATTAAAAACAGTTGCAACTCGGTGTTTTACCAAAATACACGCTTTTTCGTAGGAAATCACCAAGAGAAATGCTTCAAAAAGTGAGTTTGGGATAGTTGAAACCAGAAAAATAAAGTTTCAGATCTGCAAATCCGCCAAAAATACATGCTGTCGTTGTGTTCTCAAAAAAAGCAATCGATCGATCAGATCGGATCTGTGACGAAAAGGAGGATGTGGGGGGGTCTATCTGGAACGGAATCTCTTCGCGTATATAACACATTCGTACGCCGTCGCCCGCTTTCGCGCCGATGGCTGCGAAACCGAGACAGAAGCAGAGACACTCGGTCCCGGTCCTCGTGGTTTTATCGATTTTCGGCGTCGCCGTTCTGTTTTTCAAGTTTTCTGTGAGTATGAGAAAATTGAGACTGGATAAGAAACTGGGAATCGGATTTATTTTTATAGGAACTCTTGGTAAATGCACGAACTTTCCGGCAACGAACATTCTTGAAAACGATCAATAATCTTTCAGATCAGGTCAGTTTTATTTATTTTTTCGGGCGAAAGTTAAAGTATTTCAGCTTACATTTGAAGAAATCCACAATAACTATGATTTTGTGCAATTTTCGGACATTCTCAAGTCGTTGGGCAAGCCACCGTATCTGATTTTTGTAAGTTTTTGCTAGAACACTTGTAATTTTATGACTTTCAGTACGATTCCTCAAATGTCGACGTGGTACTCAACCACATTTGCAATCTGAAGTTCATTCCGAACGCCCTCTCTCGGCTCGTCGCGATTTCGTTCGATCAGAAGGCGCAGGAGGTTCTGAAGTTGAATTACCCTTCCGTGCCGAGTGTGCTCATCGATTTGCAACCGATTATTGTAAGTATCATATGTTAGTTGTTGGTCAAGTTAACAAAAAATTGTCAACTGACAAAATACTCATCGAAACAGTGTGCACATTTTATCAGTTGACCACTTTTTGATATCTCTCTTGGCAACAGAGATATATTGTCTTGAATGAATAGTATAGAGTTTAGCAAGTGCCTATTGCTCATTGCTATGAAAATTGTAGAAATTTCCAGAAAACCCTGGACACGTCGATGGAAAACCGACGATACGTGATTTACACACTTGCGTTGGTGACGCACGCGAAAGTTTGCGCCTCTCTCGCACTACGTGGCATCGATTTCTGGTCTATGCATCAGGTGAAATGACTTTCTGGAAGTTTAAGCATGAAAGTTGTCTGAAAACGTAGAACTTTGAGAGAACAGAACTCGGAACTCGAAACTTTCAGGACACCTTGTGGATCGATAACTTTGAGTCTATGGAAATTGAGGACCGATATCCGGACGCGTTTCTTCTCTTCGACACTGTTGGCAATGAGGTAGGCCGGAGTCTTTCCTCAAAAGGTATGAGAACATGTTAATAACATTTGAAGCTGCCCCACTACACCCGAATGCAAGACTGGATATGCGGCGCCACGTTTTTCGTGCGAGCCAATCCGATCACTCATCAGTTTTTTCAACAAGTACGCCCTTTTCATGCGTGTTTTCAATAGACACTTGAAGTGTTCAGGTGACCTCGTTCATGCTGTCCTACCAAAGTCCGGACTCGTCGATCATGACGTACTTGTGCGGCCACCACCAGTACCGTTGCGAGTTCCTGCCGCGTTGGATCGTTTCCTCGTTCGACTACTTCGAAGGTCCCCGTCAGTTCGCGCCGGTCCTCCTTCAAATGGACGCTCCGAAGAGCAATGAGACCAAGATGGAGCTGTTCGAACGGGCCCGATTCGTTTTCCGGAAAACCGACGGCACTTGCAATGAGATGGCGTTCCGCAAATTGAGGTTAGACATGAGATGTGTATTGTCACGCCGATCAAAAGTTGAGAAAAGGACAACGAGCGAACGAGATTGTTTTCTCCTTCAACTGTCGTTTTTCATCGGTGTTTGATACAAAAATAGCGAAAAAAACACATAAGCCACGCCCCCTTTTTAACTTTTGGTCGCCGTGCTGACTACCGTGATTACTTTGAACAATTTCAGAAATTCGGTGAGGAACGGTCTTCTGGAGCGACTTCGAAAGGACGGAAAAGTGAAAGAGAGCATGATGAAGAGAATGATGTACGCGCTCAAAAATATCTCGAATATCGATCCGTATAACAGAAAAGATTTTCTGAAAATTCATCATTCTTTGATATGATTGAATTCGAGCGTTTCATTAATTTATGATCTTTTGATGTTACCGGTATCCGTTTCAGTCTTCATAAATTTACAAAAAAGTTGAAACAACTTCAAATTATACTATCAATATATGTAAGTTATACTACGGAAAAAAAAATAAATAAATAATATGAGCAGATTGGTCAACAGGAGGCCGAGAAAAGTTGAGAAATTAAGAAACTCTTGTACTTGCACTGTTTCCACGTTCGAGTACAGTTAGAAACGTGAAAAGTGGATGTAAAAGGGAGGAAGCAATTCATTTTTTGAAACATTTTATTACCGATCAAACAGCAACGTGTCTATGATGAATGGTGACCGGAAACCCGAGCGATGACTTGAGAATCAGCTCCGGCAGAATGTGATTATCGTCGAACGCGGCGCTCGCACTCACTCGGTACTTGCGGAAGAACCACGAAATGACCGTCTTCTCCTCCATTATCGCAAACTTTTGGCCGATGCAATTCCGCGGTCCCGCACTGAACGGAACGTCCGCGTAGGCGTGTCTTTTGCCAATGTTCTCCTCGGAAAAGTTTTCCGGATTGTAGACGTTCGGATTCTCGAAGAGAAGCGGGTTGCGTTGCAGAATGAGCGGCACCACAAGTATTCGGGCGCCTTTCGGCAGGAGGTCACCATCTGCAAGTGGAAATGGATCCTGAAGTCTTAAGCAAAAGTAGCTTACTGATGACCACATCCTCCTCGACTTTTCTGCCGAAAAACGGAACAGAAGGGAACATTCGAAGCGACTCTTTCAGACACTTTTCCAGATATTTCATTTGTTTCAGGTCGTCGTTCGTGCAATCTCTGTCAGAAGAGCCGAATATCCGATCCACTTCTTCGATCACTTTTTCTTGAATGTCAGGATTGTGGGCCATGCACCAGAGGGTCCAGCCCATCGAAGAGGAGGTTGTGTCGTGGCCTGCAGAGAAACGGTATCAGCTACGGTACCAGTGTGGATATCGAAAAGTTGTCAACTAATAAGTCGCTCATTAACACATTTCGCATCACTTTTCGATATTTCTACAGGGCAACTGAGCTCACCCTCGAACATAAAAGTGTCGACTTCTTCGCGAATATCCTCCTCGTTCATCAGTCCCTCGTGTCTCAATTCCAACAACAAATCCAAAAAAGCCATACTTCTCTTGTCCTTCTTATCAGCATCCAGGTGAAACTGCTGATATTCCTCCCATTTCTCGCGAATCACCAATTTAGTGAAGTCGGTCACCAGTTTCAGATGTCGATCGTACTCGAATCCGTATCCGGTCAGATACCAGAGCGGCTTCAACTTGAGCCACGGCTTGATCTGCCAGGCGAATCCGATTTCCATCAGACGCTTCACCGACCTGTGAATGAGCGTGCCAGAGTAAGGTGCGTGTGGACGACGAGACGTGCTTACATGACATACGGATGATTGTGGTTGTGTTGAGCGTCTATCGTGGTTCCCATCGAAGTCTCGCAAATGATATCGAGTGCCATTCGTTTGATGTGCGGGTAGATGTCCAGTTCGATGCCGTTGTCGGCGTGCGGTTTCAATTGATCCAGGAACACCTGAGAATGCGAATTGTTTCGACTTGAACCCGAAAAAAGCGCCAACCTTTGCCTGATAATCGTGAACGGTAAGGAAGCCATTGAGCACTTTGAAATGGAACGCCGGCGTCAACATTTTCCGGCGTTGTCGCCATTTGTCTCCTGTAAAATGACGGACGTCGATTTCATCAGGTTTCCATCAAAAACGTGTTCCCCAGTCTCGCTCTCTCTCTCACCTGTGGACGTCAACAGCCCGGTGCCCAGCCACGGAAACAGTATGTCGTACTCGTCGGCCTTTGTGATAATCTCGTTCGACTCGAGGATCTCCTTCGCGTAAACCGGATTCACCACCGCCAACAATGGCGCGGGACCCACCCAGATTTGGACAATTCCCGCGCCCTTGCGGCAGTACGCGAAACCGAGCTCCATGACTTGGTGCGTGAGCTGTGCCACGTTGAAAATGTTCACCATGTACAGGTTTCCGATGAGCGGCAGCGAGAGCGGTCCGTCGAACTTTCGGAGCTCTTTGTACAAGTGCAGACGGTCCCGGATCGCTTCATAGATGGCTTTGTAGTAGAATATCGAAAAAGCGAGGATAAAAGTGGCGACAAGGAGGATGGGCTGCATTATTCGTTTTTCTCAAAGATACCAAATGACTAGACACTTGTTAATTTGTGCGTTAAATAAAAAATGCACATGGTCTTGCACTTCCGCGTCTCTCGGCTCCCAGTTCTCTCTGCGTCCAACACACGTCTCTTATCAAAGACTACACTTTGTTATGAGTTGAGTTGAGGTGGAGGGGGGGGAGGAAATGCCGAAGACACATGTGATGATGTTCTCTAGTGTGTACGCGCGTTTGTGAAAGACTGGTCATGTAAAGTGCGTTGGAGAGACGCTCACACACACAAAATATGTGAGGACTGAACAAAACAACCCCTGAATCATAAAAAACATTTTAGTGGTATGATGGCATTGCAGATTGAACCCTAGTTCAACAGTTTTCAAAAGCAAACTCACTTTGTTTTGACCTAAAAACAAGCGAACCTTTGCTCTTTTGTTTCTCGGTCAATTTTGACGATTTTTTGACGTTTAAAAAACGATTTGAAAGACAATTTTAGGCTCTACAACTTTGTAGTTGATCATTTTTTACGATCATGCCTGCGAAACGAGCTATTATTGCACATACAAATGATAGCGGTCAGACCCCGCGGCATTTCACTTCAATCTGATATATATCTAGGCGCAGAGACATATTCATGGAAAGTGGTCAATTATAGAGTTGTAGAGAAGGAGATTATCTTTCGATTAGTCTTTTGATTGTGAAATAATATTCAAAAATGACAGAGAATATGATTGGGAAACGACTGTCGGAGTCAGTGACTTCAAATCACCATTGGTCTAGTAATAAATGTTGTTTTCAGTAAAGTTATCAACTACTTTTTGATGTAAAAAACTTAAAGAAACCAAATGAACGTAGACAATTTCATTTTTTACTAGCAACTTTTCTCCCTCAACCACTAGACCGCCTGACCACCGCTGTCCCTCCATTCCAAGAAACAGCCCTCAGTGTCATTGACTTCCCGTTTTCAATCTTCCGTCTCCGTTGTGGTCTAGTGGTTAGGATTTATGGCTCTCACCCATAAGGCCGGGGTTCGATTCCCCGCAACGGAAGAAGTCTTTTTGCTTCTTTTTGCACTCTTTCAATGTCTGAAAAGTATACGATGTCAAAGGAAAGCTATAAAGGATGAAAGGGCGCGGAGCTTGGCAGCTATGGTTTTTAATGATTGTAATTATGAATTGATGGTAGTTGAGACGGATGGCTGCTGGGCGCCACTGTTTCGCTGCGTTCTCGTCAATTTAGGGCGGCAGAGAAAGGCGAAAAAGTCTGAAAAACAAGGTGCATCCTCCACACGTGTGTGTACGTGAACCGACTGAAAATCGTGTGGCGATAGTTCTCGATGATGAACATGGTGGGCAGAGGGTCTATGGCCGGGTAGACGGCGATTGTGATCGTGACGAAGCCGGTGAAGAAGCCGAGATCCGTGTCGAGGACGGGAAAGACGAAGAGGCCGGAGACGGGCGCGTGCAGCAGCACTATCGGGATCGCCGTCTGCGAGTAAGTTTCATCATTTTATGAATTTGAGTGGGGGGTACCTGCATGACAAGGGCGTAGAACAGTTGTCGATGCAGGGATTTGGTGACTTTGCTAACGGTGCCCGCCATTCTCACGTGTCGCCGAATTTTTTTGTAGCAGCTTCGACCGAAATAGAATATGGCCGAGAGCGAGGAGATCTGGAATGCAAACGATTATAGCTCGATAATAAAACGTTTTCGAGTAAAGTGTTCAATTACAAAGTTATTCAGCACAAAATTTGCGACAACTTTTCAGTTTACCACTTTTTGATAAAACTATCGGTTCTCGAGATATAGGTCTTTGAAGATAGCAATTTTTCAGGGAAAAAAAATTCCTTGGAAGTCTTTTATGAATTTCAAAAGTGCTCACCACAATCATTTCCTCGATGACGATTCCGAGTGCGGGCCTCAAATTCAGATATTTCATGCCGCTTGCTGCCGGGTCGGTCGGCCAAATGAACGCGGCAATGTACACAATATCGGCGAGTCGCAAGTCATAGGAATCGATAATACTGTTTGCGATTTCCGCATCCGTTTCGGCGGTTGGGGCGAACGTGATTCCGGCGGTGAGGGCCCAGATTAGAGCAAAAGTGGGCGGGATCAGGAGCCAGAGTATCAGTTTCGAACCTTTGAACGTTTCGAGCGAGTTTTTGGAGCTGCAACGTGGATTACTGTAGATTTCGGGCGATAGGTACTAGAAACTTACCCACAAAGTGCCAAGTGTCGGTAGTAGAAGTGAATTCCGAAAATGGCCATGCAAAAGCCATAGCAGCCCGCGTAAATTACTAAACTCAATGCAACTGATATATCTCAGCTGTCTGTGGAGATATCAAAAAACTGTCAACTGACAAATTGTACACAATTTCCTAATGAACAATATATTAGTTGACAACTTTTTGATGGCTCCTCTAGAAACCGAGATATAACGTCTAGACCAAACGACACGTACCCAAAAGACAAAAGTGTGTGGTTCGGTTGAAGTATTCCTTGCGGCGAATATCCTTGAACACCACGAAAACCGAACCGGTTGTGTGGTACACCTTCAAAACAAAGTACCGTATAATCCGAACATTTTCGCGCGTACCGGCAAACTGACAGTATCCATCATCGAGTAGAAAATTTGAAATACGGAAATGTAGACCATCAAGTATTTGTAGTTTCCAATCTTTTTCGGCGAGTATTGTAGGATTAGGAAGATCAAAATCGAGTTGAGGAGGCACGAAATACACGTGGAAATGTGTTGGCTCAGATTTTGAACTTCTTGCCAAGAATAGGAAGGCATCGAGTCGGCGATGCGAAGTGTTCCGCATAAAAAAAACGATATTTATGTATAATAGCCGCCTCCAGACAATTCCCACCGAGACGTCCGTGGGCGCCAATTAGTGGAATCGGTTACTATACAATTAGATGGAGGAAAAACACTTTATTCGCATAAATCAACGTCGCCAATTTTGCGAAACGCGTCCGCCTGACTCATCACCTTCTGATAGTCAATGTACGTCTTCTGGAGCACCGTCACGATCGACATCATTTTGAGCGTGCGGCCCGCGTACTTTTCCAATTTGAGATCGGTTGCGTAGTAGTCGTGGAGGTCCGATGAGATCGTTTCCATGAATCGTTCGGCGCCCTCCAGAGAGCACCCGGTTAGTGTTTTGCCTGCAACTATTGTGGTGCATTTATGTGCTTTGGAACTTTACCGCTTATGAAAATAGTGCTTGAACTCTGGCCGGCCGGCGCATACAGCGCTAAAATTGAGCAAAAAAGTGGCAATTTTCCTTTTTTTCAGCCTTGAATACCCGCAAACTGTTCGATTCGGCCAAAGTGTACGAAACGCGCGCTTTTGAACTTTTCATCGCCGTGGCATCGGAGAAAAAGATCACCTGAGACACAAAACACGATTTGACACAGCATGTAGGCGGTTTCAATTGAGGACGGCTTCAAATCGAGCAATTTGACGGCCAACTCGTCGAAAATGACGGAAAAGAGCGGCTGGAGGAGTCGGTCGACCTGTTCGAACTCTTGCGTTCCCAGTCTGCTCAGGTTGTGGTGGACCACTTCGACGAGGTAAAGAGCGTCCGAGTCGGAAGTGAACAGCACCTGGGAATGTATAATACTTCATCATTTCACGAGCTTCGTCAATAGGGCACCTTCTCCGAAACCACTTTTTCGCCGAGCAACTCCACCGACATCGAGAGCCGCTCCAATCTCGCCCACACATGCCACGTCGTTTTCAGAATCATAATCTTCTCCTTTTCCGTCAATTTGCGGAAATTCGCCGCGTACATGAACCACTTGGCCGCGTGTTTTATCAGTCCGCACCGCGCCTCTGTCAGATCCTCGAATCGCATCGTGTTTGCGATCTAGAGAAAGTTAGGCCATGGAAAAGAGCTAGGCCGCCGACCTCGATGAATCGTCTCTTTTGATTTCGTCGAATCACTCGCAGTCCGTAGTCCATCTTTTTCAGTGTGCACAAGCGGGAATAATCCGCATCCTCGAGAAATGTGTCGTTCTGGAATTATGGATATTTTTTAGATAAAAAAAAAGGTCAAAACGACCTCCGAGAATATCTGTCGAATGTCCGCCATAAGAAGTTCAAAGTTGTAAAGCCGAGTGTCGGTGATCGCGTATTTGAGAAACTTTCTCTTCGAATTCACTTTTTCCGTCTTTTTCACATTCTCCTTATCGATTTTCTCCTCAAACGTTGATTGGATTGTCGAAGAGATCGGATCGCGGTTCTGCTGGATTTCTGAGATTTGCTAGTAGTTTGACAATATTCATTACGGACGCACTAGTGAGTACTGTTTAGAAACAAGACGATAACTCAAGAATGACCAGTTTTGGGATTAAATGTTCAACTACAAAGTTGTTAAGCATGAAAATTCGAACAATTTTTCAGTTGACCACTTTTTGAAATAATTGTAGGATCTCGAGATACAAGTGTCCAAAGAGGGCGACGAATAAACTCACTGTGAGGACACATTCCCGCCTTGAGACACTTGTTGAATCGACATGCTCGGCAGTAAAATCTGAACGTTTTAAAGGTCTATTCTATCCGTTTTTCTGTGAAACGGGGGGAAGGTACCGTTCAGTCTGATCGATCGGACATTCATGTTTTCCCGTTTTGCACGGCTGTTTCACGTCCGCCACCAGGGTTCTCCTGTAAACGAATATTAGCGTTTTCGGTAAAACGTGAACTACTCCGAGTTTCACATCGAATATGAGTCCACGATTGTTGTAAAAACGGCTATTATCCGTTTAAAATGCTCACCTGAAAAAGGCGGCACACGCCCTGCAAGCGGCCACTCCGAAATGTGAACCGTGCGATGGATATGTGCAAATTTGGCATGAAATTCTCTGAAATTGACTATCATTCTTATTTCTGAAAAAGCTAGTGGCGTCACGCTTTTTCATTTCTCAAACGGGAAAAAAGTTGTGACGGAAAAATCGATAAATGAACACGCGAACTTTCGAACGGTTATGAGAAAGATGAACTCCACTCACACGCTTTTTTTCCGTTTCCTCATTGTTCCCGGAGCTCGTGCTGGGCTCCATACGCGCTTTCTGAAACAATCTTTGAAGAGCTTTTATGAAAATTATACAACAAAACGGGTAGGAAGGAAGAGAGGAGAGCGCACAAGGAGTTCGTGCTCAACATCCGAAGAGAATAATCGACGGACCAAATCTGGTGGAAAGTCCATTTCGCCCCCCCGAAACGGACACTATTATCTGATTCACCGGTCGGTCCGCTCCCCGAGACAATGGGCAGGGATATCGAGAACGCGCATCAAACTACAAATCGATAGTATCAATACCAATAAACGGGAAGGAGTCCGCATGTTTCTTTAGATATGGAGGAAGAGCACTTAACACGTCAATGTACAAATATTATGAACAATCACGATACTTTAATTCAGTTGAACGCGTTAAATGATTATTTGAAAGACTTGCCGACAGAGTTTAAAAGTTCAACTAAATTGTGTGCGTGATTTGTGCCAGGTCATGTCCGTCCAAATCGGTCGATAATCTTTTTGACTCAATTGTTCAACACAATTCTGATTCGAAATGCGAAAAATGTTACACAGTTGAAACGATCGGGAGACGATTCCGAGATGATCTCAAAGATTGCGAAGAGACTTTTGAAGGTGATGGCACTTTGGATGGGAAATGACCTTCTTGATGGAAATCTTGGGGCTACGGTAGTGGAATCGCAGAGGGGAAGTGTTCAGAGTTTTACAATATTCGTTCGTCGGTCGCATTTGTCCGTCTAACCCCGATACCGTTTATTTGAAGCGCTGTATCTCAGCTGTCTGTAAAGATATCAAAAAGTTGGCAACTAATAAAATGTACACAATTTCTTAATGAACAATTTGTTAGTTGACCACTTTTTGTCATCTCTACCACCAGCCGAGTTGTATTGATTTGAACGAGTGATATTTCCCAGGACCTTGAATTTGTGAACTTCCACCGTAAAAGAAGACAACAACACCAAGATACAGATACCGCCCCGCTTCCGAATCCCGTTTCAGGTACAGTACCCTGAAATTCCGTAAGATCACTTGAAAACATCTCCGCCTCGGATCTTGGATTTCAAAGATCAGAGTCTCCGATACCAGCGGTGCCTGAAGTGTGATCTTCTGCCACCCTTTAGGATTTCCAAGTTTTATTCAAAGTTGTGTCTTCCCCGTCTCTTCCACTTCCACTTTCCCCGACACTCGTCCATTTCCACTGCCCATCACAGCTTCCAGCAACATTTTCTCCAATCTGAAACACTTTTTGTTTTCCCCGCAAAACTTGAACATTTTGGCCTACTTTAGCGTGGGAACTTCGAAGAGACAACTCCAGAAAAAGGCGAAAATGTAGGCGAGGAACGTGATCGGAACGGCGTAGTAGATCCACTGTAAGGCCACGCATTTTGAGGTCGTGTTTACAAGAGTGACCAGTGACTTACTACTTGAAAAGTCGAATAATAGTGGACGGGAGAGTCGCCGATGTTGACGTAGGCAGAAATGAGAAAGAAGTGGACGATGTAGGCGCAGTAGGAGAGTCTTCCGAACGGCTGCCACATCGGATGCGACATGAACGCGTCGATGGGTCCTGGAGGGAAAAGAACATGAGGATTACGGTTATATAGGATTACTGTACCTCCCCATCCCATGTGATTGGCCACTATGACCCACGAGACTGCGATCGCCCAGCCGAGACGCGAAAAGTTGTAGTAGGTGGCCTTTTCGAAGTCACTGAAATGTTAGGGATCTGCGGAATTCTGCGGAATACGGAATTCCGGGACTCTCTGTGATTGACTAACCTCCAGTGGGCGCCTTTATCATAATCATTCGTCGAAAAGAGACAAGCGGCAGCGATTCCAAACGCTATTATCCATCCAGTGACCGCCAGTGCCCAGTTCAGTCGCACTTTCCTTTTTCCGTAAGTGGCCAGACAATATCCGACCAAAAGTCCGACCAGATACGGAGGACAGCGGATCCACGGCTTCTGGTAGATCAGGCGACCAAAGTTTACGAGATTTCTGCAACACAACCACTAAATATTGTTGCATTTTTCAAAGAGCTCCAATAAACAAGTACTTACCCTTTTCCAAACTGATCCGCCGGCAGATCGTACTCTCCGTAAAGTACATAAACAGTGATAATACTGCCGACACAGCCTGCCACAACTGCTACCGTACCCCAGACGAATGAAACATGGAAAGCCAAAAGGAAAAGAGGCGCGACGAGGTACAATTGGGTGTCGACTGCCAGGTACCATGTGATGCCGTAACACGCGTGGGTACTGTCGCCGAAATTGTTGATGTACAGTAGGTTTCGCCACCATGAAGATTTGCACGATTTCACGTTGATCGTTTGAGAATCTGTCGAAAAGCAAGCAAGTATAAGTGCCATAAGTTCAGAGCAGGATATGTCAGCCGCCTGTGTTGCTATCAAAACATTGTCAACTAATAAAATGTTCAGAATTTCCTAATGAACATGTTATTAGTTGACCACTTTTTTACATCTCCACCCGCAGCGGAGATAAATCGATTCAAGTGGACTCACTCAAACCCACTGCTTGCATCGGTCCTTGAACGTAATCACTGTAGACAATGTAGAAACCGAGGAATATCATGTAAGGCGGAGTTAACCGAAGGAACCGATGAACGTAGAAAAGGATCCAAGTGGTTGGGCTCTTGATTTCACCAGGTTTCGGACGGTTTTTGAAGAAAAGGTAGGCTAGGACTAGGCCAGACAGCAAGAAAAACGTGTCGACGGACACGAATGCGTTGAGGAGAATGTGATTCCAGAGGTGTTGCGGGAAACTCGTGATGGGCAATAGGTAGTCTGAAATTGACAACTTTTCCAGGATTACTGTACAAGTATGGTGGTACAGTACCTGGAAACAAGAGAGTGCCCATAGTGTGCCCGGAAACGACCCACAACATGGAGAGGAATCGAATGCAATCCAGTGACTTGATGAATCCCGGTTTGTGCTCTCTGACCGACAACAAGAGCTCCGCATTGGTCCACAATGAGAGCGTGAGCAGTATTTTGAGCATCCAATTCTCATTCCTTTCCTTCATTCCGATCGCCTCACGAACGTAGTCGACTGACGTGGCAAGCAGGGCGAAACAGACGACGACGAGGAGAAATGCACTGAATGCCCACCACGACGACGTCTTCTCCACCGCGAATCTCGAGCACGCGGCCCCGCACGCCGTAAACGGAATATCCGTTATTTGATTGATTAGTGGCGATAGATCGTGGCGGTCACACGATTTGGGCACGCAAACTGCGCTTCGGAAGAAGATGGTGCTGGGCTCGAGTTCTCCGGATTTGGTCGTCGTGCAATGCGTGGAATTCTGAAGAGTTATCGCAAGTGAAAACTGTAAGTTTGTGTGGCAAATACGCTGTCCAAATGTCTAGACTGAGAATTCTTCAAGGCCAACTTTGAATGCGTGGTCCCTTAAGACTAACCTTCCCCGGAACCAACATCACATAGCAATAGTTGGTCTCATATTCTTTCCCACTGATTCTTTGACATTCCTGGTAGGATCCATCGAAGATCAATGGAATTTCGAACAGCCCGGAAGACGGAACCTTTCCCCAAGCATCCAGTTCTGAAAAGTTTGTCTTAACCGAAGAAAATATTATCGGTTCATCCGAATCTTACGTTCCAACGCGTAAAAGTTGTCCTTCAACAGCGCGAGCTCGTTTTTGGTGCATTTCTTGGTCAACAGACACTGTAGGCTCACTTCTGAGAGCACACGTAACGAGTGAAGCCACGTGGCAGTGTCATTGGCGCATTGAGCACTTACTCCCGGGATTGGATGCGAATTGGAGACGGAAAATAGAGAAGTCTAGAAACAAGGTGAAGTTAGTATTGCTATTGAGTTGAACTGACCTTCCACTCTTGAGAATTCACTTGACAACCGCCTAGTATAATGGAAAATGTGAATAAGAAAATGAAAAAGTTCATAACGATCTTCTAAACTAATTTTCCAATCGTCACTCACTTTTATACCTGTTCCGCCCACCACTATATTCGGAAAATGACGTTGATATCAATTTTTGAACTGATATCATAGATAACATGAAGTTTTCCAAGGTTCTGTGAATTTTTTCGACTTTAACTATGTCATAGACCTTTTCAGTCATCAAAAGTAACCCAAGCTGTTCGAATTTCGTGGGTGGAAGCTGTGAAAGTTGAAGAAAAAAACAAACCTTGAAATCAAAAACTCATCGATCACCGAGAACATTTCGTTATCAGTCAGTGTCTGTGGGCACAAACTGCAAACTGATAAGGAGGGGAACGAAGAGTTGATAAATGATTAGAAGATGATTTAGTGCCGGATTACTGAACACAGTTCGAAGTTTAGGACACGTTTTTTGAGGGCCCACCTAGAAGTTCTGTTCATGCTTATTCAAGACTGGATATCTCGGTTCCCGGTGGAGATGTCAAAAAGTTGTCAACTAGTATATTGTTCATGAATAAATTGTGCACATTTTATTAGTTGACCACTTTTTGAAATCTCTACCGACGGCTGAGATACTTTGCTCCGAGTTCGGTCCCCACTTTTTCAACAACTAATACATTTCCTGGTTCGCAGTGCTCCTCCGAAACGGCCCGATATCCAGGCGACTCTCCAGGCAACCCGATGTGCGCCCACAACTTTCGCAATTCGTATTTTCACTTTTCACTTTTTCAAAGCGGCTTCCCAACCAGTCCGACGGCCGCAAAAATGCGAAAAATGTCAGTGGCTCCGACGGTTTTACGCAATATTTTCGGTCCGATCATCGTTTTGCTGTGCGCCGCCCTCTTTTTCGCACTTGTCATCTTCGGATACTCGTCGTGAGTTGAAATGGGATAGAAAGTGCTTGGGGGGCAAAAATACCCGTATTTTGTGGATTTGGAATTTGCACTATTGTGGGCGACTATTGTAGATTCGAGTACGAAAGCGAGTACAAACAAGAGCAGGAGGACTTTGAAGAGTACGGAGTCGCGGTCAACTATGTTAGCTCATTTTGTTTGCCAGCTTTAAAAAATCGTGTTCAGGAGCAATCCCGTCTCGTGCAAACGGTTGCCTCTGCCAACAGTTATCAATCGAAATATCAGTTCACCCAATCGGACGTCTACAGTGAGTTCATCTCGCAAATTTTTGTGTTAAATCAAACTTGAAGGTATAATATCGGGATTTCTGAACAAGACCCTGTTGACCGTGTCGACGTACAACTTCATGTGGGTCAAGAGTCTCACGTGAGTGCATTCGGGCGACTGTAGTCTGTCAATTCCATCATTTTGCAGAATGCGTCGGATGTACGAGCACTCTCTGATGCTCAACGACACGTCGGACATCGAGTTCCACTACGCCTCCACCAAAATCGTCGACATCGTCTTCCGCTCGCTGCTGCCGATTCTGACAACGTTCGCGTGCGGCACCGGCATCTCGACCCTCCACACCCTCGTCACTTTCGTCCTCCGCATCCTCATCCGTCCCAAGCGCCACGAGGCGTGGACTGTGCAGAGGAACCAGGCCCTCCGCCTGACGGTCATCTGCTCCATGGCCGTCGCGATTGTCTGGTTTGCAGTCTGTTTTGTGTTCAGTGAGTTGGCGAACGGGGTTATTGTAGATCCAATGTGTTTCTGTAGCATCTTTTGCTCTTTCCAAGTGGCAAGACGTGTCTTTTGTGAATGCGATGAAGATGATCATGAATCTAATGTCAACTCTACCGCCGGATCTTCGAATTGTAAGTTACACTGAGCTTCCGAGAGTATTATTTTCCCGCCAGGCGACCGTAACCCACGCGCACATCTACGCGGCGTTCTTCTACGTCATCAACACTGCGTTCGGATACCTCCTGCTCTCGCTGCTCATTCTCATCAAAACGTGGCGCATTTCGGCGTTCGCAATCCCGTTGATCAAGGACATTGACACGGCGAATCAGGTGGACAAGGATGTGCAGGTGAAGTATCGGAAGAGGAGGGCCGAGTGGTTCGGAACGACGAAGCAGCAGGACAAACTCGAATGATATCTGCGCTTTTTTGAATAAAGATTACTGTTAATAGAGACATTGTTTTCTTTAAAACTTAATACAGTAGCAGCCAATCAATACGCCAAGAACGTTGCGTTTTCACATAGGGACCAGGTTCGGCTGAATGGAAATGGAGCATTGAGAGGTCTTCCGGAAGGTTGATGATCATGGATGATCATGGAAGTCTATTACTTTCTTTCGAAACACTGTAGGATTACTGTAGGGCTACGGTAGCACTTGCAGACAGAAGTGGATGAAACGTGCATCAAAACACAAATCGACCCGATTTGATGATTTTTTGAACCCTGTGGAAAACAATGAAATAGTTCCACAATATCATCAATCAGACTGTATTCGTGACTTTTGACCGACCGAGAACTGGATTCTTCTCTCTCTCTCTCTCTCTCTTTCTTCTCAATTGTAAAGTCTTTCCAATTTGATAATATTTTCTCCTTGTTTTCCAATAAAAAAAAGTGCTTTTCTTCCAAAACATATTTCAAAGAATTCAATGAATCCTATTAGGAAACTGACAAAAACTGAAGCTGTCGGTGAGTGTTTTTTTAAAGACGTTTTCTGTTACACCATCAGTATTGTAGTATTCCTCGTCATCAGTAACACGTTGTTCTTCTCGGTGCCCATTTTCTTCATCATTTTGGGAATCTGTAAGTGGAACCGATGCTCGGCCAAAGAGATCCTTCCGATCGGAATGATCGTCACCGGTTTCGTGATCATCATCGATCGGATATTGTTCTGGAGACGGATTTGGAATGAGACAAAGTACGAGAAAGTGTTTCCGAGACCGGAAGTCGGAAGTATGAACCAGCTGACGACGTGGGAGGAGAAGCGGAAGCAGAGCAGTTCCAACAAACTCTGGTACCTCATGGCCTACTTCAAAATCATGGTTTTTGTCTCGTAAGTTTCACGGTGCCCTAAGATCTGGTCCCTCAAGTGCGTGTGTGTGTTCTCAGAGCGCTTCTCGGCGCCATCTGGACGTACGGTTTCATTTTCAAAGCCAAAAACCGCGATCAGTGCGACGCCCTCCTTTTCGTCTCCACTTTTTCGTTTTCCGTCTTCACCATGCTCATATTTCTCGTCGGTTACATCGGAATTCCGGACTTTACATTCACACCGCCCGGCGACAAACTCGATCAGATCGCCGTCGCCGCACTGGATTCTGTTTCGTGATTCAGTTGGTTCAATGAATGGTTTTTCTTAGAAATATTGATGTTTTCAAGTTTTTTTGATCGGTTTCATATCCGATTCTCATATTTTATCATTATTAGCACTATAATACTAAAACTAAAATAGCTAAAATAGCCTAAAACGTTCCAATTAGTATCAAAATTGTGATCCCACAATAACAAACACTTTGCTTTGACTTTTGACCCATCTAGACTGCCGTTCTATCATCATCTCTCGTTTCTTACATTCCTACACTTTTCAGTCAACAAACTTTCTGCGATAAAACAAAATGGCCGTCAAGAAACTATCAAAAGGGATCGCTATTTGTAAGTCACTTCAATACCGTTTATTCAAAACGATGTATCTCAGTTATTTGCAAAGATATCAAAAAATGTGCAACTGATAAAATGTACAGAATTTCTTAATGAACATTTCATTAGTTGACATCTTTTTGATATCTATAATAGCAGCTGAGATATACTGTTTTGAATGTATGGTTTGGTTTATTTTCAGTGTTTCTTCTAATTTCAAACCTCATCTTCTTCGTCGTTCCCCTCTTTCTCATTTTTGTGGGAATCTGGAAATGGAGTGCGTGTCCGGGCGACGAGATCCTTCCGATTTGGATGATATTCGTCGGCGCACTCATTATAATCGATCGATTGATATTCTGGAAGCGGGTCATCAACGAGACGCGCTTTGAGAAGACGGTCCCGCACCCGGGAATGATCAGTTTGGAGCGGGTGCTCACTTGGGAAAAAGATCGGATGGAGTCCACTTCCAGAAAGATCTGGTACCTCATGGCCAAACTCAAGATCTTGTTCTTCGTTGCGTAAGTTATGCTTTAACTAGTCACTCAAAAGGTTTACTCCCCCTTAACTTTTTCATTTTTCAGTGCATTCCTCGGAGCGTGTTGGAGCTACGCGTTCATCTCAAAGTCGAAAAGTCGCGAACAATGCGATCCGCTCATCTACATTTCCATCTTTGCTTTTTCTGTTTTCTCGATGACCGCCGCCCTCGTTTCCTATCTCAGCTCCTCGTATTTGCATTGTACGGCTCCCGGCACAAAACTCGATCAGTTGGCCGTCGCCGCTCTCGAAGCTGTCTTCTAGACATTTGTTTTTCGGCAATAAAAGTTCCAAGTATTGTAGTTTTCATAAGGGCAAGGGGGGACAAGAAAAGATGTTTTGGTTGATGTGATAAGACTGGACGTACGCAACATTCTCATCTAAAACACATGACTTCTGGTCCAACCTGACTATGTTTTTGTTTTTTTTAATTTAACAATCAATTTCAGTTACAAATGATAAACATAACTCCAATTAGGAAGATTACCAAGCGATTTTCAGTTTGTAAGTTTGACCGGGTATATCTCGGCTGCCAGTGGTGATATCAAAAAGTTGTCAACTAAGAAATTGTTCACTGAGCAATTTTGTACATTTTCTCAGTTGACCACTTTTTGATATCTCTACAGACAACTGTGAATTTTCAGTTTTCAGTTTTCCTCATCGTCACCAACACCCTCTTCCTCCTAATTCCCCTATATTTCCTGGTCATTGGTACCTGGAAACTGACGGATTGTCCCGGAACCTTCTGGCTTCCCTTCTGGCTCATTTCCGTCGCACTTCTCATTATAATCGATCGATTGTTGTTCTGGAAGAGGCTTATAAACGAGACGAAATTTGAGAAAACGTTTCCGCGGCCGGGCATCGGGAGTATGGAACGGCTGCGGACTTGGGAGAAGAACAGGGTGTGGAGCACTTCCAAAAAGTTGTTGTACTTGATGCAAACCCTCAGATCGCTTTTTTTCATCGCGTAAGGTTTCTTTGAATTCTCAAAGCCCTAATTTTAGGCGGCTCTTCTGACTCTAGACTTTTAGAGAATTCTAGCTCAACATCTGAAACTTTACCAAACCTGACAATCATGTATTCAAAACTGTTAATTGATAATAGTTACTAGCCTTGAATAGTTTAGACGCTAAAGTTGTTTTTTTGCAGAATCCTCTTCGGTTTCCTCTACTCCTACGACTTTGTGTTTTCTCCCAAACACTCTGGCCAATGCGATCCTCTCGTTTTCTGGACAATATTCTCATTCTGCTGTTTTGCCCTTCTCGTTTACACGTTCTCCTTAATCGGTACCATGCACATTCACTCCCTTTCCTACCTCGAAAAGTTCGATGAGACCGCCATCGCCGCTTTGAATCGCGTTTTGTAATGTAACGGTATGAATAAAACGTTTGATTTTCACAAGGATAAACAAAAAAAAAATTGAGGATAAGTACCAGTTTAGTTTGACAGGTTTTCAATATTTTAAAGCTCTCTAGACAATTAGCTACAACTTTTCAAACAAGCATTTATCACGTCTTCACAGATTCCACGTCACCGACGGCGGCGTTTCTGGCTCCGTATCCGGGTTTCGTCCACTCCGCCGGCACGCCCTTTCCGAGCAATTGGAAGACGGCGTTGAAGAGGAAAAGGGTGACAAAGTGGACGATCCAGACGTACCACCACTCGGACCACGTGTCGTTCGCCACGAAAACGTTGACGATCACCGGGGCGAGAAGGGCGGCGAGGCAGTTCAGGAACGAGTTGACGCCCATTATGAAGTGGTTGTGCTGACTGAAAAACGTACGTCGTTTGAACGAGATTTTGACTCAAAGTGCACCACTCACGCCGCATAAATGGCCGAGCTTCGGAAGAACGCGCCACAATTGAAACCGATGATGGAGCACGAGAAAATGAGCATGCAGAGTCCGAGCACGGGCTCCGAGGTGGGAATGAGGGCGAGGCCGAGGAAGGAGAGGCTCATGCCACCCAACGCCAGATTGTTGTACACTTTGACGGACGTCTGCGGCGTGCAGCACGTCATTTTGTCGGCCGCGTATCCGGCGATGAGTTTGAGAAAGAACGTGACGATTTGAGGAATCGCGCTAAAAGTCCCGGTCTGCTCGACGGCGAAGCCCATCACTCTGTTGAGGTAGGTCGGCGAGAACTGCATCGTCAACTGGATGCCCATAAAGTTGCCGATGGCCGAGATCCAGATCGAGTAGATGACCGGATCCGTGAGGATCGCTTTGATCGGCACCGGCTGCCGCTTCTGCTCCCCCTTGTCGCGTTGGATCTTCTCGAGTTCTTTGGCGGAAACGAACGCGTGACGCACGGGGGATTCGCGGTAGAAAAAGTAGAAGAGGACGAAGAGCCCGAAGGTGACGACCGCGTGGATGTAGTAGACTGCGGGCCATCCGAGCGACGAAGTGCACAGGGCACCCGCCACTGGCATCGTGAAGATCGGACCGATCTGAAGAGCACCTACATATTTAGAGGTCAAAAAGTTAGTAACGAACTTGGAAGAACGTGGTGAGGACGGCGATGTAGAAGGCGTTCTGCACTTGCATCGACCACTGTCTCGTCACGATTCCGATGAGGGTGAAGCCGGTGGAAAGGCCGGCGCCCTGGAGGAAGCGCATCGCGAGAAGGGGGTAGAAGCCGATGTACGCCATCCACGGGATCAGGGCCGTCGTGACGGCTGACAGCATTCCCATCCAGAAGACGATCGAGCGGGATCCGAATTTCTACAAAAGAAGAGGGTTCTTATGAGAGACCCAGTACTCACCTGAATGAGAAGCATCACTGGATACACAGCGACCATGGCTCCGACGGCGACCAACGAGAAGAGGAGACTCTTCTCCGAAGGCGTGTAATTGTACCGTTCCTCCACGATTTTCTGCTCCAAATGCTCCACGTTGTCCGCAAACGATCCGGAACCGTCCGCCAACGTCATTTCCATATCTTTCAGGTTCTCAATAGCACTTCCGTTGGAAGCCCCCTCTCCGGACATGCAAATGATTGTGAAATTGAGAGTGAGGGTGTCGGATTGGGCGATCGAAAGGCACAGAGTGCAAATGATCAGAATCAGGAATCGGGTTTTGTGCTTGAAATTGAGCTCCTCCGAAACATCTCCCGAAGAGCCGAACTCTTGTTTTCGAGACACTGAGAAGCCGACCATCGGATCCTGAAACCGATAAAATATAATTTGAAAAAGAAGAAGAAGAAGAAGAAGAAGAAAGTGTGAACAAAACCAGAGAACCGGCCGATTTCTCTCTCTTTTTCTCTCCCACTTCCTCCGTATTTTATAGGCGACGAATCGAGGAGGAGGAGGAGGAGAAGAGAAAAGGGGAGGATCAAAAGTTGGACTGGAGGGTTCAGTTCAGATACGGTAGAAGTGACGTCACAAGTTTTGTGGTGGTCACACATGCGTTTGATGTTTTGGTATGGGAAGTAAAGAACAAATTTGAGAGAAGGACGAGCTTCTGAGACGCTTCGCAGTTGGAAAAATCGAGAAACTGAGGGGAAAGAGATAGGTGCAAAAGTGTGATATAATGGAAAATGCAATGAAGAATGATGATAGATGAAAGCTTCAAAACGGATAAGAAAACAAAGGGTTCAGATGAATGAAAGTGAACAAATTATCCATAGAAAGGCAAAAAGAGCAAAACGAAGGTGTTCCGTAGCATAAGAAATCTGGAGTTTTTCGTGTTGAGCTCATTCAAAGTCCTCAAAATGTTTACAATTCACAAAAAATCTATGGAATGTATGAAAAGCACTCACTTGTTCTAACAGCCAACAAAGAATGACTGGTCAAGAAGGCGTCCGCGTACACTTGGAGTCTCGTACTGGTCTATGTACTGATCTTCCTGCACCCTCTGTTATTCTGATCAATTACATTTCCCCATTCTCGTCATCTCACAATTACACATTCCTCGTTGCATTTCGTGTCGATCTCTCTCATTTCTTTTTTCGGCGGCGGCGTTCTCTCTGCGAGCGATTTCCAAAAATCGCCCGAGACTGACTTTGTGACGCAGTCGTCGTCCGTACACTCTCGCGGGCGCTGATGATCTTTCGAAGATGAACCCCTCCCCATGTGAGCGCTCGCGTGTTCTGTGATCATCCTCTGATATTGTGGTAGCAGAAGGGAGAGGGGGCAAACAAAACAATGCAAAGGGGACTGATTTGCATGAAATGTACGCTCGAGGACAACGTCACGGGGCGAGTCCGACTGAAATTTTGCTTCTTTGACTTTCGCACCGAATCGATGAACTGCTAGTTTGGTGACGAACTAGTACACTCGGACGAATTGTTCAAAGATTGAGGGAAGGTTTCGGAATATCGGCTCAAACTATTATATTGTCACTTCTGTGGTCTAGAGAAGTTCAGCAAACAAAAAAGTGCGTTAGTATGGAACTATATGTCTGGCAAAACTGCAATTTTCCAGTTTCAGTGGAGCTGAATGACAAAATTTCGATCAAATTTGAGATTCCAATGTTTTCTTGTGACTCAGCAACTTTCCTCATAAAAACTGAAACCTCTGCAATATCCAATGCTCCCATATTGAAGAAAAGCTTCGTGTTAGCTTGCTATATAAGCTAAAGATAAACACTATTCAACTTTGTTCAATGATATCCTCATGTCTAGTTCAACAAATCACACTTGATTAATGAACGTTGATAGACTGTCAAGAAAGAGAGAGAGAGAGAGAGATGGAAGAGAAGAGAGACACAATATACAGAAGAAGACCACGAGAAGAAGGGGATCAGGAAATGATGAGATGCTCCAACTAGGGTCACGGACCCATCACTGTTACGACTACCCCAATGAGCCGCTGCATTCATTTCTGTTTGGCTTGCCTCGTGTTGTCGTTAAGCACTGGCAACGAATGTATTAAAGTTTTGCTCCAAGCCTCGACAGATGCACCATGTGCTCACAGTGACAAAAACGAAAAATTCGCGTCTTCTCACTGTTATTCGCAGAAACACGGAGCGCCGGATGCAATTGCGCTCCAGTGATGTCGACTCGGACGGGCGGCCATTGGATGTATTGCGTAATACAGTTATGGCGTGGGCGGTAGGCACGGTACTACTAATGAAGCATGTCGAATTTGTTGTCCAAGTCGCACCGTTTCGTATTTTTTTCATTCACATTTCCATTTCTCTTCTGTATCAGGCCGTGTTTCATTGTCCTTGAATTCGAAACTCTGAGGTCGCCCCTTGCAAAGTTTAGTGTATTAGAAAATTCCCGACGACCTTCTCTCTAGAAAATATTGTAATTGAATAATTTATATCTTCCTTGTCCTCAACAAATCCGTTTCACTTACATACATGAACACTTTCAACTTTTCCCACATTGCCGGGCCGTGCCAGGTGCACATTACTGTTCCCATTCCATTTTCCCATTAAATGTTGCGAAAGTGTTTTTGCACTCGAATGTTATTTAGCCTACGGCCGCGCCAGACGATCCTCGCCCTCTCTTTTCCACTTCTACTCATCCACTATCGATTTCTTTTCAGTTTCAAGCAATGGTTTACGGATTCGTCGTGAAAAAGAGCAAGGGAACGTACGACGTCTTCGATACTGAACAACGCGCAATTGTATTTCGTGTGAATAGCGAGCAATTCGAGCTAGGGCAATGGGTAAGAGGAAAAAATAAAGTGAGTCGGCTCTTTTTTGATATTTATTCCCTTAAAACCCATGTTTCAGGACCTCAAACTGGAAACGCAGCCAGAAACGACGCAGGTTTCGACGAGCAAGTCGGTGGATGAGGAGGGCAGAGAAACGACGACGTTGTGGGTATGCACGATGGTTCTGAAGCCGGACATGTCTGATTTCGATGTGAGCGTGCAGGAGAAGCATGCCGGAGCCGTTTGGGCGCCACTCATCGGCTGGATTTCCGATCCGCAGGAGATTTGTAAGGATCAGCTGGTCAACGAGCAAATTCCAGTGAGTTTATGGAACATTTTCAAAGAATGAAACACATTCTGAACATCAGGTCAAGATGAAATACCAAAATCACTCTCTTCCGTACTTTGAAGTGTTCGAAATGGTCCCGACAGCTCAGCGACACCTTCAAAACGAAGTTGAGAAGGAGTGGCGCGACGAATGCAATCGGATCCGAACCGAGGGACCGTTCTTCGGGAGACCCATTTCATCGGTGGGTCACTTATGAATATTCAAGGTCATGAAGGAGATGAATTCAGCTTTGGAATGTGTACGGGTACCGAAAATCACTTCAAACGGGTCTGATGATTGGAGAAGCAAAGCATGGTGGATACGGTCAACTTGCTGCCAACGACATGTACGTGCCAATGTCCGGAATAATCCGAGCAGTTCACGATAATAATCCGGAAAGGTTGGCGGCGGCGAAGGTACGTTTTTCTCACGACGTGCAAAAGAGCCGTTTGCTTCCAGATCGGAAAGTGGTTCGAAGTTACGCAGTATTCTAGGCGGAGAGCCAATAAGCGGATTCCGGTCGACGATCCGTACCCGACTGCGATCATCAACGGAGCCATAGAGGTAGACAACGTTTTTATTCGTTTGCCATGCACACTTTTTGCAGGTATCCATTACTTTTCGCTTCGAGCCGGGGCTGTTCGAACCGATCGCTAACGAACACATTGCCGATTGGTCGGAACGTTCGCGAGGCATCTACAACTCGATCGTCATCAAGAACGATCACTTGAACTTGATTTCCGTTCCCCGTCCGGCCGCTGTCTTCATAATTCAGGTACGTAGAGTTGTCAGTGTGTCAGAGTTTCGTTTCAGCAAGTGGAGAAGAGATTCGGAAAGGTGGACGAGTACGAAGTTGAAGCTGGGATTCGTCTTAAACGCGGATATCAGTACAGCTACATCGAGAACGAGACGAACCCGATCTTTGAGGTCAGGAAGATCCGGAAGATCGGACAGATCGATCGTGGCGACGGTGGAAGAAGAGAGTCGTGGAACTTCTCAGCGCTTCTCGCAACTGTGATGAAACCGGATTTAGAGGGTTTCCATGACTTGATAAAGAGAAAATATCAAGATCAGGTGTGGAGCCCATCCGTTGGATGGTTGTCGGATCCAGAGAAAGTGTTCGAATCGCAAGAACTTCACACACCACGCGCCGTGAGTTTCAAACAATTCTTCCAAAACGATGTTTGCTCCGTTCATTCCAGACTGTCCTGAGAGAAGAGACGAGCTCTCACACGTACTACACCGTTTCCAAGTTTCTGAAAATCGATCCGAACCTTCCAAAGATGATCGATCCGAAAGCAGTCAACGTGGAATGGAAGCCAGCGAAAGAGGATCTGAAAGTTGAAGAGATTCTGAGGAAATTCAGAAGCGAAGAACTGTTCCTGGAGGTGACTAGATCTCAATGCATGAGAATCAGAATCCAAATCACCTTCAGCTACACCAAAAACATGGTCTCCTGAGCAGCGGGAAGGTGCTGAGAGGGGTGTGCATCAAGAACACCAACACACCGTTCTACTTTTTCTCCCCCGCACTCGGACTGATCCTTTTGGACGAACACGAACGGGAACGCCGGAATATCCCTCTTCCAGCGGTACGTTTTTTGTAGAGATTTATAATTTGAAATTTAAAAGTATATCAGAGAGCGTTTTGGTACTTTGTGGAGGTCACCGACTGCCGCAACGGAGGACATCCGAGCTTTGAGTCGTATAGGGCGATCAATGGAAAAATGACGTCGGGATTTCCTACCGTATTTCTGCACAATGAGACGTTGAAGGTAATTGACATTATTAGATGTACATATGTATCCCAAAACATTTGCGCAGATGAAAGTCTTCATCGAGATGGACGAAATGTTCCATGAAAAAGGTCTCGCGTACTGTGAACACATCAACCTCGTTCAGATAGATCAAAAAGACGTGCAGAAGATCTGGAAGGTAAAATTATCGTTTAGTTTTGCCTACTTATTTATTGGTAATTGCAGGCACTCGAAAAGCGATACGGAAGCCGAGAGAAAGCGTCGAAAGAAGTGAGAGAGGATCGGCTGAAAGTGTGCGTTACGGTCAAACTGCGCGAAGATTTCGTGCGGGCGTTCGAGCAGCACTGCTATGCTCCGATGTTCAAGGCCGTCGAGTTTCTCGAAGATCTGGAGCACATTGGCAGCGGAAAAACGGTCCCATTGAAGGAAAAATCGACTCGTTAACTGTTAATACTCTTCTTCAAAAAAACTCTGAGTTACTCTTTTCTCTTTTTATGTTAGTTCTCTCTGTTATTAGTTCTTTTCGGTTCCCCCAAGCTTCACGACCCGTAATTTTAAACCCCTTCGCAATTAATGTACGATAGATTACACTGTTAAAGTTCATTTTTTGCCCTGTCACAATGCTCTTGTTCTCTGTATTCTTTGTGCAAATCGGCTTCTGGTTAATCAGCCACTTACCTTACTTGTGTTTCTCCGCCATTTTTCCTTTCAATCGAATGTTTTGAGTTGCAGCCATGGTCTACGGATTCGCCGTCGGAGTCAGGCAAAAATCGTTCGATCTCTATTCGCCAGAAGAGCGGGGAATTGTGTTCGGCGCGAACAACATCAACGCGGAACTCGGAAAATGGTACCAAAAATCGATCAACGTTAGAAAAAGAGTTGCTGCATGATAACAAGTGATCTGAACTTGTTTTAGACGTTTGTGCCGATGGATACTCCACACAAAGAGGTACTGATCACGGTCGACGAAGGAGACGGATCATTGATCATCTACACGATGGTTCTGAAACCGGATCTGTCCGAATTCGACGCGAGAGTTCAGCAGAAACACGCCGGCTCCGTTTGGGCTCCGTACCTCGGATGGATTGCGGATCACGACAAGATCTGTGAGAACTTTGCGATCGAACGCATGTTCGCGGTGAGTCGATATTGATTTTAAGCGAAAAACTTCAAAAAAACCAAGAATTAGGTCAACGTGAAGTTCCTGCTCGGCTCGTCAGTTCCGCACTTTAAAGTTGTTGGGATCCTCGCGTTCGCCACTGAATGTTTCTTTATAAATGAGGAGGAAGTGGCGAAGAAATGGGAACATGAATGCAAACGAATCCGAACGGAGGGACCGTTAATCGGAAGACCCACTTCTTCGGTAAGTGTTAAGATGCCGACTGATCCACGAATTCATGATTGCAGATCCAAAATGTGTACTGGCCCATCCGAAAAACGGTGACCGCTTTGATGATTGGCACGGTGGCAGTCCGCGGAAATGTGTTTTCCAAATACATGTACACGCACCAGTTGGGGATTCTCCGAGAAGTTTACGGCTATCAACCGGAAGCAACCGTGGTAGACCTATTATCGAATCGATTTTCGATATGCACATTCGAATTCAGATCGGCAAATGGTACGAAGTCTCCACAAAATGGTACCGGATTGTGGAAACGAAGCAGAAAAGAGCCAACTTTTACACGCTTCGTGCAACTAAACCCAAACTCATTCATGAACTACTGCCGACGAGAGTCGTTAATGGACAACTGGAGGTGTGCACACTCTCTTGGTATATTGTTGGCTTCTCAATTTTGCAGATCACCCTGAAGTTCCAGTTGGAGCGAGGACTGTTCGAGCCTTGCTCCAACTCGAAGATTGCCGATTGGTCAGTGCGTTCCGGCCAGGTTTACAAGAATATTGTGCTTGAAAACGAGCACTTGAACCTGATTTCTGTGCCCACCCCTGTCGCAGTTCACATTCTTCAGGTATTTTACACTTTCCTCGAGTCGGCTTATGTCATTGTTTTCCAGAAAATTCAAAAAATGTTTGAAACCGAAGAAAATATCGAAATAAAAGTGGGCGTAATGCTCAAGACAGATTACCTTCGACGATATCAAGGAAGAGAGAAAGAGGCGATATTTGAGGTGCGAAAAGTGAAAAGTATCAGTCAGAAGAGGAAGGGAGAGGCTGGGAAAATGGTGTGGAACTCGGACACTTTTCTGGCCGATGTGATGAAGCCGTTTCTGGGGAATTTCGATGAGAAAATAAGGAAGAAATACGAGGATTTCGTGTGGAGTCCGACCATCGGATGGCTGCAGAATGATCTTCAATTGGAAGCATTCCACTCACCACAGACTGTAAGATCTTTGTGATGCTGAAAACGATGAATCTTTCATTCATTCCAGATGGTTGTGAAACAATTACCGGATGCTAAGCAATCATACAAAATGTGCAGGCCTCTGAGCACCGATCCCAGCGCCCCATTGCTCATGAGCTCCGTGTCTTTCGGCACTGAATGGATGAAGGCGAAACTGGCGCTTGGGATGGAAGAAATGATGGTGAAACATTCGACGTGCATGTTTCTTGAGGTTCGTTTGGTGTGGCGTACCACCGAAATCGAGCGCCATTCTTCAGTTGCATCAAAAACCGAACGCCGTGTACCATCACGGACGTTTCGAAGGCATTTGCATCAAACGCATCGACACGCCGTTCTACTTCTATTCCCCTCAACTCGGACTCATTGTTCTGGACGAAGAGGAACGGCAGACACGAAACATTGCCCATCCGATAGTGTGTTGTGACGACGGACACGATGAAACACTGAAAACGTTTGCAGATCGGTGCCTGGTATGACATAACTGTGAAGGATCGTCGCGACGGAAAGTACGAGTCGAACGAGTGGTTCCGAGCGATTCACGAGCAGAGGTGCGAAGGATTTCCCAACGCACATCTCCCGGGAAACGGGATTCAGGTACTTTGAATGGAAGTGTATCTAGAAAATGCGATTTCAGCTCAACCTGACGATTGAGATCGACGAGCGATGCTGGAAAGAACTGAAAGAGAAGAGTTTGATGTACTCTCCTCTTGTCAATTTGGTGCAAGTTGATCGTGAAAATGTGATGAAACTGATCAGTGTATACACTTTTTACTCACTCGAAAACGTATTGTTGTCCATATAACTTTCAGGCGCTCGACATGAAGTACGGTAGGAGAGAAAGAGCACTGGAGGCGGTTCGGAAGGACCATTTGTTAGTGTCTGTTGTGGTGGAACTACGGATCGACTTCGTGGAGGCATTCCACGAGAATTGCTATGCTCCGTTGTTCGAAGTCGTCAAACTGAAATCGGATCTGAAGCACAAGACAAGCGGAAGAATGGTTCCATTCGAATATATCGACCTTGATAATGTTAACACTTAATATAAGCATTTTATCGAACAATATGAGTAATACGATGCCCTCTAGTGATATCGACCCCGTTCGCGTTTCCTCCTTTCCTCATATAACTTCATTTTTCAGTGCATCGAGCCAGTGAATAACTTTATTGCCTTTTGAACAGTTTGATGACATCTTCCCGATCAATTTGCGGCAAGTTGACGTGCTCCGAGTACGCTAAATGCCCACCACGCCCAACTCGGACTGATTCCGCTGGATGGAGATGTTTGCCGTACGTTTATCTCATCGTTATGCATAGAAAAATAGCTTTCAGGCTCTCGACCTTCAGTATGGGAGCAGAGAAGGAGCATTGCGGACCGATTTCATGGAGCCATTCGAGAAGATTTCAAACTATGCTCCACTGTTCACGGTGATCCGATTCCAAACGGATCCTGTTAACGTTTTGTTGTTCTTCTTCTTTTTCTTCTTTTTCTCCTTTTGTCCAGTCCGGATTTGGCGCTCGTGTACACTAACTTTTCATGTCCTAAATTACAATAGAAACAGTAGCGATTCTGTAGTAGCTGCCACAATACAACAAAGGCGTCATTTTGTTGAATTAGGTGTGTGTGACTCCTCTGTGATAAATCAAATTTCGTTCCGCGAATAACTCGTGAATTTCCCAGTAGAGATTCGACTAACAAAAAGCACCTGCCTACCCAACTATTGTCGACAAAACGTGACTGAAAACCTAACTTGCTCAACACACAAAATGTCCAACATGACAGCAGGAGGAGTTCCCAACTACACTTTGCCCCAACTGATTTTAACTGTTTCACTCATCCTGGTCACATTTGGTTCCATTTTGGCGACACTTCTCATGTTCCCCGCCTACATTCACGTGAATCGTTTGAATCGGAAACGAGATGAGCAGGTGCGGTTTGTTTGTTTTTAGAAACGACAATATCCGGAGGTGTTTTACAGTCTTCCATATTCCCGTTGCTCAATCATTTCCACTCGATTGTCACCTACTTGAATGTGCTTCTAATTGTCGAACTCTTTTCTCTGTTCGTGACCGTGCACAACTATTCGAAAGACTCTTGCAATAGATATCCGAATTTCGATAAGACTGCTCGCTACTACAAATTTCTCATGTTACTCATTATCTCGGTGTTCATATCGAATATTCTCACTGAAGCCCAACACATTTTTCTATCGCTTTTGGCCGTCCAGAGATTTCTGATGTACTTTTTCCCGCACACGGAAAAGTACGTGGCGTTGTCGCGGAAGGCAACGACAAGAGTTGTACGGCTCGTTTACTTTTTGTTTTACGCATACACAATTTCGTTTCTTGTCTGGCTTTATTTACAAGAGCACACAATCGAGAATTGTAGGTACATGCAGCGTTTCGTGGAAATCAAGTTTGTAAGTGTCCGCACTTTTTATGACCTTTTCCGCATTTTTAAGACTAAAACATTTAGGTAATTTTTGTGGTTCTCAATGTGCTTTTGACGGTTTCCGTCAGTTTATATATACCTATCATGATAAGCACGCGCAAAGTGTCAAATTTAGCGTCGGCTGTACAAAATCAGCCTCAAAAGTACATTCTGATTCAGACCGGGCTCATTTTTGGCATCAAAATGGCAAGTTAATCATGTTGGAAACATGAAAATCATGTTTTTCTTCTTCAGACGTACACTCCGTTCTTTCTGCTATTCTTCCACGAACGACTGGACATGATTGCGCTAGTTTCGGCGATTTTCGACATCATCACCACTCCGCTCGTCATCCAAATCTCGTACTTGAGCTGCAACAAACGCAACGCCAACGCATTGGGATCCACGTATTTCGGAAGCATTCTCAGAGCGTTGTTTGCCTGAAAAGTTCAGACGCCGAGCAGACGATACTTTGTTGATGTTTGAGAGACTAAAATGAAACCTGTGAACCCGTATGATTGTATTTATGAAGACAGCTGCAATGTGGGCAAAGGAAAAGAGTTTGAAAGGACAATTTAGGGCTAGGAGATCGGGTTTGCAAGTTGTGAGCTCGTGATGAGTAAAGGGAATGACATGGCTTGTGAGATGAAGAGAAAGTGAGACTTTACCTTCACTTTTGGCGCCCAGATTTTCAAAACAAAAAAATGGTTATTGTGTTACAATGTTACAAGTATTATTTCTTGAATACGTCAAAACTGTGGCGCAGCAGTTTGAATTGTTGTCGTTGCGTGTCTCCTCAGTGCATTTGGAATGAGAAAGTTCGAGATGAAGACTCGATACGGTCTATAGACGAAAACAACTGAAAGTGTGGACAGCATACCATGAAATGCGAAAGTGATGATTCCAAAGTTGTTGAACGCTGAAAAAAGTGAGTAGAATTGGGCTCTGGCTGAGTAATCAGGTTCCAATGGCACGCGTTTCACCTCTATTCTCATGGTTTTTCCATATCACATCCGCCAATCGACAAAAAACTGTTTGTCAGTGTATGCACACGTCATTCTCTCTATTTTGCCAAGCCGTGTAAAGTTATCTCTGGTCACCCATAGAGAAAATGACCGCTGACAAACAGTTTTTTGTCGATTGGCGGATGTGAATGGTATTTTTGACAAAAACCGAATCGATTCCCTTTGAGACGCATAAACGCGTTGGGAGTCAAAAATTACGACGGCAGCAGGCTTTGGATTACAAACTAAAGAAGTAATTCACACAATTGGGGCAACGTGACAACTTGTTACAGTCGGGGAAACGTCAGAAATGGCCAGATTACAATCTGGTCATTTGTGGCTCGAGTGCTCGTATCAGGTATTTTAGTGGGTACAATTGAGTGAAATCTGAATGAATATGAACAAATCTAGTACAACAAACAGTTGGGGCAACTTGACAACTTGTTACAGTCGGGGAAACGTCAGAATTGTGTTGTCAGCCATCATTTTCGGACCTGGAAGCTTGCTGGAAATTCTTTGGATTCAACTATTCAAAACGATTTTTGCTTACAATGGAACCGCGTCGATCTTGAAAGTGGTCGGCGGGCCTTAAATGCTGTGGTCATCAGTTATTTGACAACATTTTTTGAAGCGAGCGTGTTGAACCTGTAATTTGACAAAATATCGATATATATTTGAGAAACTTGAGTGGAGCGGACATTAGTGTTGCGGTAACTTTTCGGTTTCCGCTCGAACATCCTCCTCAAATCCACTTCGAAACCGATAAAGTGATTGACTCCCCCAACAGTTCGGATTACTGTAGAAAGTGGTCGTGTGTCCGTGGTACTCCGACTATCAAATTTTGTTCCATTTGTGACGCACAGCACAAGTACACACTCAGACGTCGTCGATTGTCCGGAAAACACCTGCAAAATAGCATTAAAGGAGTGCAACACGTTTCAACGTAATATTACATAATTTTAAAATGATTTTAAAGGTGTGGGATGTGCAGTCCCAAAATAAAAACATCCTCTTACCATTCTTCGGATCGATGAGTCGGTCGCGGGCCGTGCGAATAAGAGTGTATCGATTTTTTGTTTGTTTGTGTGTACGTCTACGGGTCAAACGCAATTGTGAGACCCTATAATACGAGTACTATCCATCTGCAAAGCGTTGTCATAACTTTACAAAGATAACTTTACATTTACTTCGTGTTGTCGTTGAAAACGTTAGCGAAATGGAGGGAATGGCGTGTGCATACACTGACAAACCGTTTTTTGCCAGTTGGCGGATGTGAATACGGAAAAAACCATGAGAATAGAGGTGAAACACGTGCCTTTGGAACCGGATTGCTCGGCTAGAGGCGAAAATTGTAAACTCACATTGATTGTAGTACTTTTTGAAGACTGAAACGGAAAAATAGGCGCAAGGGAACATAAAAACGGATATTTGAATGGAAGTTTGGATCAGCAACCCGATTAGGAACGTTTTATGGAGAGCGAGCGTTTTCTTGGAGGTAGACCGTTGCCGCACTTTTTCTGCCAAGTTCCGGATGGTCAGAAACACGAAGGCGACGACTTCGCCGGTTGTTAGAAAAATTAATGTGACGGTAATGTAAAGGAGTCTGCTCAAATCAAGGGTGAACACAAAGATTCGTTCCTTGACTACGTAAGGGGTTAGGCAGGGAAGTTGCTGGAAGCACAGTTTCAATGATGATAGCGTAGAAGCTCTATTTTACCTCTAGAACAGATTGCCGCGCCATTTCCTGATTGGGAATCAACAAAGTGTAGGGAAGAATGAACAATATCGATTTTAGGTATACACTCATCAAATAGAACTTTCTGATTCTGCACCAAATCGAACTCTTGCCAACTGCCATACAATAGTATCGATTCTCGTAGACTTGAACAAGAGCGGAGACTGTAACTGAAATGAAGTGAATGAATAAAAAATGAGTTGACGAATGAGAAGGACGTAAAACTCACAGCCGAACAAAGTGCAACACGACTGAGTTTGCAGCATGGTGCTGAGTCCCGTGATGCTGATCACGCCGAGCGGATATCCAGAAAGTGTGGGTGCGAATACGTAAGGAATGAACAGAAAAGTGAGTGCAAGATCCAGAAATGAGCTCCAGAAGTGTGAGTTCAACATGCTCCATTTCATAGTTTTCATGGTCGACGGAGACTGCGTGACGATCATCCATCCGCCGAAAATGTGAATCGGAACCGAGATGCCAGTCAGAATGTGACAGGTTAGGGCTAGAAAATCGGGTGAGCTCGTGTAGGAAGTGTCGGGTTCGCAAGTTGCGGCCATGATGAATGAAGCGAATGAAAGATGTGAGATGAAGAAAAAAGTCGGCGGTTTGTCTAATTAGTATGTATACCTTTGACGGACAGGTTGTCAAAACAACACATGAGGATGTTTTTTTCATCTTTAGGTGCTACATGATCGAAAAATAACGGAAAGATCACTACCAGAATCGAAGCATGAACACATTTTAGCTTTCAAAACTTTGGGGCAGACAGGCAACATTAATAACATCAGTTCTTGGTGACAGACAGGGAAGTCGCTGAAAATGTAGTGTCAACAACTATTGTAGATCAATAAACATACCTCAAGGACGATCTTCCGGGCCATTTCCTGATCTGGGACCATCAACGAATAGGGTATTAGGAAGCTGATAGCCGTGATATAAAGGACCGCCACGTAGAGTTTTCTGAATTCGCTCCAAAAGATGTTTTTCGAGTATGCCATGATATAATATCGGTTTTCGTAAAGATGAACGATAGCAGCGACGACCACTGAAACCAGACATTGAAACAAAAACTGACAAAGCTGAAACTCCTTCACATCCGAACGCAGTCCCGACAAATTGCAATTGTAGAGTGTTGCTCACCCCGAAACATTTTAAAACTCCAAGTGGATATCCGGAAATTGTCGGTGTTAGCACGTACGGAATAGTGAGAAAAGTGATGGTAATGTCTAATAAGGAACTCCACAAGTGCAGGTTGAACATGCTCCATTTCACAGATTTCATGGCGGCCGGAGACTTCGTGATCATCATCCAACCGACAAAAGTGTGAAGTGGAACCGAGATGACAGTCAGGATGTGACACGTTAGGGCTAGGAAATCGGGTGAGCTCGTGTAGGAAGTGTCGGGTTTGCAAGTTGCGCTCATGATTAGTAAAGGGGAGAGTGAAAGAGATGCGCAAAGAAGCCATTAGTTACCAAATTTATATATATTTTTTTGTTTTGTTTTGTGAAAACACTAACAAGACTCATGTTCAGAGGATGATCTCACTAAACTCGCTGATTACTTGAACCATTGTGTGCCTCATAAACATTGTTATAAGATCTAACAAGAGAAAAGTTCATTCATTTTCATAGTTCTACTTCCGATTTCATTTCCGGTTTCAAAAAGTCTCAGTTTATCCGTCCCCACTTCGATTCCAAAAGTCTCACAGCGCTCAATGATCGATGGAGTTTCGCTTGGCGGACTAAAAAAGCATCAGGCCCGAATGTTTAGAAAATGTAAGCGAAATTTTCCTTGTGCCGTCCACCGCCTCGTCTCCTTCGAAAAATCGCTTGGCGGCGGCCGCACTAAATGTTGAGTGCTGTGGTGAGGCCTCGCTCTCGCGGTCCCTCGGACATGTCGGTTGCGCGCATTGTTGAAGAGCGGCGACGCAGCGTTAGCGTCGGTTTAATTACCCAAGTTTGAGGTGCGAACCTGGGAATGACCTAAAGAAATTTAGCGTCAGCTTTCTAATTTTGGAAAGTCTCCTTTAGGGGAGACAAAAGAAATAACACTTAAAGAAATAGGATGCGTGTTGAGCGGAAATGGAATTTTGAAATCCGGAAGACGGCAGACAGAAAAACATTTTTTTACGGAAAACGGAAGAAAATTTTTCTCACGGAAGACGGAAGAAAACTTGTTTTTTTCCGGAAGACAGAACAAAAAAATCGTGAATGCAGAACCGTTTTCTCCGGTTTTTTTTTTTGAAAAAAATAACTAAAGCAACAAAAATTTTGGATCTGGGTCACTGCCCGTGGAAATTCGCGTTCTTCGGGGGCCTGTAAATGGCTTCTGAAAAGCTATTACTCTTTTACGGTAAGAAGAAAAAATCCCGGAAGACGGAATAAAATTTTTTTTACGGAAGACGGAAAAAACATTTTTTTCCCGGAAGACGGAAGACATCCTCTCTCATCGAAAAAACAAGTTGCGCTCATGATGAGTAAAGGGAAAAGTGAAAGACAGTTTGTTCATTTTTCAGACAATTTCGCTACAATACGAGAGGGTATAAAAGCATAAATGTGGAAAGAATGTCCATAAATGAATGTGCCTCATATGCTTGCTGAAAGTACTGAAAGCGGTTTTAACTTGCAACATTGCGAACAGCCGCAAATTTCAAAAGTAGCGGATCGATAGCGGGGATGCGACAGCAGCATGGCTATAGTGGTGAGTACTCCGTGTAACGAGAATATAATGAAATCCAAGTTATTCAGTCCCTGATTGTGATAGTCTCTCCCCACTGACATTGCGATGTGACTCATCGGAAAGAACAGTGCGAAGACTGGAACAGAGGTCTGAACTATCAATGCGTACAGGAACTTCTTCTGAAGCGTCAACGTCTTCTGGGATAGTCGTGTGCCGTTTCGCAACAAAGTCTTCACACACAGAAAGGCAAAGGTCATAATGGCGATGACGTGGAGTGCAAAAACGGTTACAACGGCGTAGAACACGGGGCGAACGTTGAGGGAGTAAACGAACAGCTCCGATTTGAGAGTATCTGGCAAGAGGCATGGAAACTGCTGTAATATAGTGCCTCTGCGAGTTTGAAAACGTTTATAGGATAGATGGAAGTTGTTGACTCACTCTGAAAGTGATTTCCAGAGCGGTCTTTTGGTCGGGAGTGTTCAGAGTGAACGGCAGAAGAAACGTGGCCATAAAGGGATAAGCGACGGAGAATACGGCGATCCGGTGACGACTCCAAACAGTTTTTCCGGCTGTCAAGATGTGGAAACGGTTCTCGAACACTGTGAGAGTTGCAGTGGCAACCACTGAAAACGATTATTGTCCTCGCTTTCCTGCTCAAGCTGCTCAAGGACACCTACGTGCGAGTAGAGAAGCGGCCGAATGCGCTTGAAATGCCGTGCCGACGCCCATCCATTTGAGTACTCCATTCGGCACACCAGCTAACGCAGGGAACACCATGTACGGGGTGGTGAGCAGACTGATCGAAATGTCGTAGAGAGAGCTCCAAAAGTGCAAATTGAGCATCGGCCATTTGACTGATTTCATAGTGTTCGGAGTTCGGAAGATGATTATAAAGGCTCCGAAAATGTCGAGAGGAACTTCGATGAGGGTCGCACAGTGCAATGACATTTGAAGAAATTCAATCGATGCAAAGTAGGAGGTATCGGGAACGCAAACATTTGTCATTCGGTCGCCACAAAGAGAAAAATGAGGAATGAGGGAAGGAGCATGATGAGTATTAGTAAACCAAACTTCCACCTGCTCTCTCTCTCTCTCTCTCTCTCTCTCTTGTCGCAACTGATTCTTATGAACGACCAAACTAATCAAGTTTTTAAGAATAGCTGGTTTCTTTTACAACCACCTGTTTTTTGTGCTGACTTTTCGGTTCCATCAAGCACAAACTCGAGGCAGAAATTGAATTGAGACATGTCGAATATCTGATAAACTTCACAAGTTCATTCAATTACTATCTACTCGACTCGTTTTGATTTCCGTACAACTTGTCAGAGTTCTCGAGTTGCAAATATGTCTCTGAAAATCTGAAAAGTAGAAACAGCTCCAGAAAACTATCAAAAGTGTATTCCCAGTTTATTTTCAATACATGCAGTCCAACGAACGAGCAGATACGATGATAATATTGTTGTTCTCAATTTTGGTAGTAAACTCAGCGGTCAACTCTTGTCCGTAATCATAAATCTCAACGGTGAAAACGATGGAACGGTGCGTGTCGTCGACGAATTCGGCAGAAATGAGGTCGACCGAGTAGCGAGTGAATTTGGGTAAACTGACGAGAAATGCGATGATTTGACGCTTGGTGTACTTGTCGGCGCAAAGTTGTAATACAAAGTTTCTCGAAAGAAATGAGGAAATCATCGCCGAGTTCCTCTCGTCGACCGCTTGTACAAGTGTCCTCACGTAAGCAGAAATAATCTCAAAGACGTATTTGTTATGCGGAGGGACGACGTCCACAAAAGATCGGATGCTGTTGCCACACCACTCGGTGGCACTCTTCAGTCGGTACTTGTCCGCCGAAAAGTGCAACACGAGCATGTACTCGGCTTTTGGCCCTTCTTTATTGATTTTCGTGTAGACTTTGATGTCCTTGCTGTCGCGCATGAAGTGACATATCTTGAAATCGAGATCGACCGAAAAATCGGAAAACAACGAGCTCAGAAACTGTACTTGTTCATCTGCAAACGTTGGCGGATGTGTTTGATTGTTGAGAAACGGAGAAACTCAAGAAACTCACCTTTAGTACGGTTTATCTTGCACCCATGCAGAAAATAGTCATCGTCGAAGAGTGCGCCGATCGAATCCTTGTCCCTCGATTTGACAACTTTATGGAAGGTGGCTATGAACTCCTTCACGATGACTTCCGATCCATCGCCAGCTTCGACGGAGCCTTCAAGACAGAGAAGAGCGAGAAGAAGTAAGGGAACGGACTGAAACATTGACTGTTTGTGCGGAGAATGGCCACTGGACAGGGTTTTAAAGGCGAGTCTCATAATCGAATCATCATCCTCTGATGCGCGGAGGAGGGACACGCGAGCTCACTTTTATGGGAACGAAGGGACTACTTAAAAACATACGTGTACAATAGAAATGTTCGCTTTATACACTTGAAGAAAGTACTAGAATTGATTGGAATTTGCAATAGGGCGAGCAGCCGAAAATGGAAAGCGTTGCGGATCGATAACGGGGATGCGAGAGGAGCATTGTGAGTGTGGTGACGACTCCGTGGAACGAGAATACAATGAACATGAAGTTGTTGAGCCCCTGATTGTGATAGCCTCTTGCGGCGGACGTTGCGATGTAGCCAATCGGACAGAACAGTAAGAGAACCGGAACGGACGTCTGAGTGATCAACGCGTAGAGGAACTTTCTCTGAAGAGTCAACGTCTTCTTCGATAGCCGCGTACTTTTTCGCAACAAGGTTTTGATGCATAGACCGGCAAAACTGAAAATGACAAAGACGTGGAGTAGGAAAAGGGCGATGACGATGCATAATAAAGGCAGAATGTTGAGGGAGTAAACGAACATTTTCAATTTGTAGACTTCTGGTGGGAGGCATGGAAGTTTCTGCAAACTCATTCATGGTTTTAACTTCTCGTCTTTGCCATTTTTGTCGGAAAACTTACATTCAATGCTATTTTAACAGCAACATTTTGATCTGGAATGCTGAGAGTGAACGGCAGCAGAAAAGTGGCCATGAAGGAGTAAAGTATGGATAATACTGCGATTCGGTGACGACTCCAAACAGTTTTTCCGGCTGTCAAGATGTGAAAACGATTCTCGAATACTGTGAGAGTTGCAGTGGTCACCACTGAAATCGTTGGCGTTAACACTGTTCGGGTGAAGTAGCACTAACATCCAACGACTGTGACGACCCAATGAACTTGATATTGTGTCTTTATGCCGACCGATTCCATCAATCCATACGGAACTCCGACCGCGACGGGAAACAAAACGTACGGAGTGGTAAGCAAACTGATCGAGACATCCAGCAATGAGCTCCAGAGGTGTAAATTGAGCATTGGCCATTTGACGGATGCCATAGAGTCCGGGGTTCGGAAGATGATAATGAAAGCTCCGAAAATGTGTATAGGGATCTCGAAAACGCTTATCGCGTGTAGTGTCATTGAAATAAAGTGTGGAGATGCGACATAAGACGTATCGGGAACACAAACACTTTCATTTGAAAATGTTGACATCTGGTTGGGTGAGCAAAAAAGAAAGAAGTCGGGAGAGAATCGAGTTTCACCTGATCTCTCATTCCTCTTTTTCTCTAAGCTGACTCAAACAAACAACCAACCCGATTAAGTTAGAGGTCTTGTCATTATTTTTACAATCACCTGCTTTTCCTACAATTTTCAAGCAGACTTCAAGCCCAGGAACACAGGTACTTGCTCTCCATACGTTCAAAAAAATGTGAATACATGTTATTTATTTACTACACTAATGTGCCCGTGACTTGATCCATCTCCGACTCGCCCAGACAGCAAAAGAGACCGTAAACACGACGGCGACAACGAGATGATAGCAGGAATAGACGACGAACTGCAAACATTTCCATTTCCAGTTTCCGGCAACTTGAAACCGAGTACCTGTGGCCGGATGGCCAGCTGGAGCCAATCAATGACCACTCCGGTGAGAATCGACTGAAGTCCTAGGGCCACGAAAGTGTTGATTCCGAACAAAAGTCCGAAAAGTCTCGAGTCTAGGGAGAGTGCCAACGTAGATTGTGCAATAGTCGTAGTCAATTGATAGGTGACTCGATACAAGATGTAGCACATGTAGAGAATCCAGATCTGATGCGATTTCGACATCCAAAACAGAAGACCGCCCTGGAAAAGTGCGCCGACCGCCAGCAGAAGATCGCCCCAACGGTTCCAGTTGATGTTCAGCTGACGCGTGATCAGATCGGCCGGAATTCCAAGGAATGGGACCAGCGCTTCGGTGATTCCGTTGTACTTGTTCTGCTCTTCCGGCAGCGTTCCCCAGAGAGTTTGCGTGTAGTTGGTCACCTAAATAAACGTTCTTATCGATTCGGCCCCCTCGGCGAAAGTTACCTGATAGAAGGTGCAGCTGGAAAGTGCCGACCAGATGGACCACTTCAAAATCAGCGGATTCCGATAGATCGCCAACAAGTTTTGGCGTAAATTCAAGAAGAACAGTCGCACGTAGTCGGAGTACGAGGCGTCGTTGACGAGCGTTTCCAAACTGCCCGACACTCCGTTGTCCTCCAACTTTTTCTGATAAGCGTCTCTCCACGGAACGTGCGGCAGAATCAGGGCCAGAATGACTGCAAACGCCATCGCGACGAGACTGATGATGTTCAGGGTCTGATAGTCGGCCCAGTTTAGGCCGATGAGCAATTGGGCGAGTGCGTAGGCCAGAAAACGGCCGACGAGAAGCGCGGCACGAGTAAACGCTGTGGCTCTGCAAATGTCGGAATTTAGGCGGAAATATCACACGAGACTCACGATTTATACTCAGTTTTCGGTACTTTCACATAAATATACGCAAAATAGGCAATCTCCGTCGCAGTCGCCCATCCGTAAAACAACTCGAGAAGCTGAATAGTCTTTTTAACGCGTTTTTCTTTAAAAAAAAATGTCTTACCTGTTGACTCCACACACTTTTTCCGAACACAAAAATGATCCAACATAGGAAATAGGAGAACGCTTCGAATACTAAAAGTGGTTTATAGAGGAGAACGTCGGTGAGAAGGAACGCGGGAATGAGGAACACCAGATAACTGTACGTCCAGATGGGGTAGACCTGAACGGATTTTTTGTGATTTTCTGGAAAAACTGGAATTTTTGTCATGCACAAAATTGTCAGCAACTTTCGATGAAAAAAGTGCTGACCGTTGCAAATTCTGAAATTATCGATTTGTGTGCGGCCTACCTGACTGTTCAACGTGTGTTCGGACATGTTCAGAACGGTGTGCTGATATTCGTACATGTACGGTTCCGTCGGTCGGAACTCTTTGACCGCTCCGTACAAACAAATCAACAGCATCACCTTCCATTGCTCCATTTTTTACCTCAACTAACTAGTGTGCTATCGAACAACAACGCAAAAACTAGAAACATTCGCTCCTCCCAAAAAAATAGATGATAACAAAAGAACAAAAAACGTTCAATGTCATCAACAACAAAAAAAAAAGCGAACTTGCGAGGAATGAGTTTGATTTTCTCCGTTTTATACTCAATTTCTTTCGGGTGTGTCTGTCGCTTATCACTAACTGATAATCCTGGAGACAAACACCAATTTTGACGCTTTTCTGATGAGCATTGTGGGTGCAAAGGGGAAAAATCGGGAAAAGGAGTGGACGATAACAGATTGGAGATCATAAATGCAAAGTTGGAACGTGATATGGGTGGTGAAAATGGGCGTCTTCAAAGAAAGAATACTGACAATTCATATATTCTATCAATTACTGAGTTCTAACAAAAAGAGATCATTTCAATAAAGTGTGTCCAGATTTTTCCCGGCCGCTTCTTCCTTTAACAGCCATTCTTTGATCTCGGCAAATTCGCGCATCAGTTGAGTTTTTCCGGTCGGTTTGTCCGGTCCGTACCGTCTGGAAAAAGTGGGAAATTGGAGGTTCCGTCTTTTCTCGCTCACCTGTACCACATTTCGACGACGCGTTCCTCTTCGGGCGTGTGTTTCCAGTTGCACTCGTGGAACGATCTCGTGTATTTGAGGCAGACAATGCAGTAGACGGTCCGGTGCTGACGGATGAATCCCAGCTGTTTCATCGGCTTCAGACGCTCCAAAAAGTCGTCGACCACCTCGCTCAGCCGTTTTGGGCGCTGAAAAACACGGCGGTTGAGAGCGGAGCAAATTCTACATAATGCTCACATAAATGACGTTGTCGCCCGCTTCCACGTCATCACTGCCCGTGTGCACGTCTTCCGGTTCCACGCCCATTTTATTGTTCTCATTTTCCATCAAATTCTGCCATTCTTCTCGCTGATTTTTCTGAACCCTCCGCAGCAATTGTGCCACGACCGGAAATTGTCCCTGACTCATCGGAGTCACTCGAATCGGCGGAATCGGTTCCGATTCGGCCGAAGAATGCCAGCTGGAGCCTGTTTCGGCCGGAGGACTGACATTCCGATGCGAACTCGCAGGAATTTGTGGAGCAACGCGCGGAAATTCGGATTTTGGGACCAGAAGTAGGTTCGGGTGGGCAATTGTCGGTTTCACATCCTCCTGAGGCATCGGAACTGGATTCGTCGTCTGAAAATTGGAAAATTGTTATTTTTCTTTAAAAAATGAATGAAAACTTGCAATTTTAAGCGTTTTCTGCCGAACGGGCTTTTGACTGGCCGAAGCGTCGAGATTTTGCACAGAAATCGGAGAATTCGGCTCAGTTTGCACGACAACTTGGGAAATCTGCAATATTTTCGATTTTTACGAATTTCTCATATAAATTTACCTCTCTGGCGGCTCTTTTGCGGTTGTGAGCTCGCCGATTGAGCACAAACTCTCCGTGTTCTAACAATATCATGTGATTCATCATCACGTGCATATTCATGTCGATTTCCGAGCCGAAAGTCAGCGCGCAACCCGACCAACCACATTTTATCTGCGAAAATGCTGATTTTATCGATTTTCCTATCAAAGACTTACGTTTTGCAGTGCATTTAAAAGGTTATCCATGGCGAAATAAAAAAAATGAAAACGGGGAAATGTGGGTGGCCGAACAGAGAATTCTAGACCGCGGCCACGGCGGCCATTTGAACGGATGGCGTTCGGGAAGAGCGTAAACCGTAAATTGCAGGGTCAATATTCAATATTAGTGTTTGTTCTATAGAAAAACACGTATATTCAAAGGTAAATTGTTCATTTTCCGGAAATTGATGAAACGTGTTCGATTATACCGTAAAAAAAAGAGACCGGATTATTGAAACCTCAATTTTTCTTCTCCGAAGTCGTCACTCGGATGTCGTCATTTCTCTGCGGGCACAGAAACTGTTCGTGGTGTGCCAAGTACTTTTCCGGAATGATGTGCGTCTCGTTGAACCGGCAGATCTTCGCGTACACCGGCGTCAGCTGATCCAGCTCGTGACCTTCTTTCAGCGGCTCCTCGAGCACCTGGAGGTGAAAAAATGTTTGAAATAAGAGAAGAATTCGAATTTTCTTGCCAGGTTCTATGAAATTGCAGTGAAATGCACTCACAATAGAATTTCAAAAAGGTCTAAAAGATACCCGATTGGTCAGCTCGTACTTCTCATCGTACGTCCTCGGCGGCTTGTACTGGAACGTCTGTTTCGGAGCGGGTGCCGGCCGTGCCTCGCTCGTTTCCGGAGCATTCTCGATGCTTGTGATGCTCGTGAGACTCTCGATGCTTGCGGCCCGGTCGTAAGGGACTCCCTGGCCCACCAGCAACCTGTCCAGATAGGCCGAGTCGTCTGAAAATGGAAATAATTGTGAACAAAGCTTGTAATCGGGCATTCAGTGTATGTTTCGTTCCGTTCTTGCATTTTTGCAACGCTGAACGTTTTTGAAAGCTTTTCGATTAACCCCATAAAGAAATAATGAAGTCTTACCACTATCCACGTCACTTCCGTCGCTCATTTCGAACTTCGGCCGGCAGTTGTGCCACCGCTACGCTCTGCGCAACGCGTCCAATGGAGCGTGTTTGCATTAGTACTGCATCTATCCTTACCTTTGTTTTTTTTCCGTATTGGGATCACTCAGGGAAGGTAGGAAACTGGTATTTTACAGATTTTTTTAAATGATGGCTTATATATGTACGAGTGCGCAATATTGAAACATTTTCGAAGCAATGTACTCTTCAATTTGTCCGCTGTTCGATAATATCGATGTTATTGATTTTTGTAGTGCACAAATGGCTAAGGAGTCGCTGACAAGTTCGTCAATGTACGATTCTCATGAAGTCGGCGGCGACGAATTGTACGCCGAAGAAATCGAGACTCACAACAAAGAATGGATCGCCTTCGTGAATGTAAGACACAAATATCGATTGAAGTCCGAAATTTCCACATTTCGTCGCAGGAGACGAACAATTTCACTCCGCAAGACGGTAGTTACATATCGCAAAACCACGTGCGAGCGGGCAAATCGTCGAAAATGTACCTGTTGGAGAAGGGATGTGTCGTGATAGCCAACTACAAGAAAGAAGTGATCCCGATCAGAATTGTGGTGAATTGCATGAGAGCATTGCAAAAAAAGAAAGAAAGAATGTGTTGTTTTAGTCGTTGAGTCCCGATGAAATCCACGGCGAATTGGTGAGCGGTGTCGGTGGAAAAGCGGTCAAACGGACCGTCGCATTTAAGGACATTGTTCTTGATGGAGCGATTATCAACAGTGTTCTGGCGTTCGTTTCGTTTTGTTTTTCAAACAATTATTGATTTTTCGGATTCTTTACTTGCTGTTATAGGGGTACCGCACAGAAATAATGGCGCTCTGTTGAGAAACTCTTTTTGTAGTGCAAATTAAGCGACCTCGGGGCCGAGTTTGAAAAGTTAGGCCACGTTTTCAGTGGAAAATTACTTCGCTGTCTAGAAATTCGCCCAGATTGCGAACAGCGCGCCCTTTCTGTCCGGTACCCCTATAATACTATCGGTGCATTTTTAGTGTAAACGCGTGTAAACGGGTCAGGGAGGGATGGAAGAGAAAAATGCACTAGTCCCTCGGCCGCGTCGATTTACTGGCATTGAAATGATAGTGAAACTCTCTAAACAAAGTCGCAAAATTCAGCTACTAATTATTGATTTTCAGGGAGCACAAAGGCGTCGTAAACCCATTTTCGCCCAAATTCTACAAAGTCGGACTTTTGTTGAATGCGAAAAACCACATGGATACAGCGATGTGGAACGTGGTCAAAGTCGGTCAGGTGTTGGAGTACGTCATCCCCGAGTGCCCGAAGTTTGTCGCGATCGCCGAAGTGCTGAAGAACCAGCGCGGACTGCTGCTCGTCAAATACGGAGAGGTAAGCGGGCGGAAGAGAGACTCTCAACGAGAATGTACGCATTCAGGAAGTTCGATGGGTGCACATGTTCGACCAGCACTGTCAGGCGGTCGGATGGTTGCAAGATCAGACGACAAAGAAGCAGTGGGCTCCGTTCGCACATGATGTAAGCAGAGAGAAAGAGAGAGAGAGAGAGCACATGTGCAGGAATTGATGATGAATACTTTTAGAAGAACTACGTCCCCGGATACTCTTCAGAATTCCTGATGGAGATCGCGAACAGGGTCGTTCCGAAGTTCGTCTTCTGCCGAAACACTTTCCATAAGCATCGCCTTCGGGTGAGTTATTGTATCCCTATTGGCCCGCCCAGGCTTTCAAAAGCCTAGACTTTTGCAGTACTTGCAACTGAGCAATCTTGGAGCCAAGTTTCAAGTCAATCAGATTATCTGGACCCGAGATGTGTAGATCAGCGGGTTTCTCGTGGCCAGATGATCCGATCGGTCTGAAACTTGGACACGAAATACTTCAAACCAAGAATAATAGCAAGAGTTTCGAAATTGTTCCAGACGGGCGACCTTCTCTGCGTTGCCGACCACAAATCGACAGAGTTCTGGATTGCGCACGCCGTCGAAACCGAGAACAAGGACGCCTATCATTTCCACGTGAGCGTCGGAAAGAAGCTGCTGAAGAACATGCACAACGGAGCGCTCGTCTTCTTTCACATCCACCACCCACGCATCTTCAGCGTCGACTTCATCGAAGAGGCCGGAATCGGGGCGAAACTGGTGAGGACGGTCACTCCGCGCAAGAACGAAACGAAACTCGCGGCCTATCAGAGAGTGCACGCCCGCGCTGGAGTAAGATCATTAATATTCGGGGAGACACAACGACGCCGCATCATTTTTGCAGAGAATTGTGAACGATGTGGTCGGCTGTCACGGCAGATTCACTCTCAAACAAGAAATGTCGAACCCTGGCGAGCCGATTCAGTTCGAACCGGCGGAGAACCTCCGATTCGTCGAGGTACTGCAACCGATATTGTTGACTTCACACTTTTTGGCTCCTATTTTTCAGGTGCTAAGAACGACGTCGGAGGGAGAGCAAATGTGCGCGGCGGAAGTGACCGGCATGAGCAATTTCATGCTGCGTCTGAGAATTAACGGAGAGGACCGCGAGGTCTACATGCACTATGAGTCAGTTTTACAACCACCAAAAAGAAGCAAAATGATTTCGGGTTTTTCAGTGATCCCAGCATCTACCACGTCGGATCTTCGTTGGATATGAAACTGGCCGTTCTGTTCGACGAAAAGAACTTTGCGTCGGACGCGACCAAACGGTGTGTCTTTTCTCTTTTCAACGCTCTATTCAAGACGATTTATCTCAGCTGCCACAAAAAATATCAAAAAGTTGCCAACAGATAAAATATGTGAAATATATTCCTGAACAATTTATCAGTTGACAACTTTTTGATATCTCCACAGGCAGCTGAGATATATTGTCATGAATGAACGATGCTACATTTCTTTTAAAAAAAGGACATTTCAGGTGCAAGGGACGGGGAAGACAATACAACGAGCCGTTCTAACTAATGTCAATAGTTTTGCTCTTGACCAGTCTTGTCACCTTTTTGATCATTCCCCAAATCTTCACAATTACTCTTGTTCATTATGTTGCTGTAAATAATTCGTTCATTATGTATAATATCAGAAAACAACACTGGGCGGATTGATATTTCGCTGAATTATGTGCTTTGAGAACACAAATTTTCGATACGGCCGATGCACCATAATCATGACGATTGTGGAGCAGACGCCGTGCAGCGAGAGCGTGATGATCACAAAGTTGTTGAGCGTTTGATCGTGATGCCACAAAAGGACGATCGCGAGAGCTGTGAGCACTGGAGCCAGGATGACGAGGAGCATGTAGACGCTCTGAAAGTCACAAATGAAGTTTTATGAAGAAAGCCAGAGAGCTCTATGAAAAAGTTACCTGAACGGTCAACGCGTACACAAACTGCCAATGCATTTTGCACGTTCGGATCGAATACCACGAGTTGAGGCGGATTTGATGGATGTGGTACGCGGTGAGCATGCAGAAGAGCAGAATCAAAGTGGCCAGCACCAAAGTGCTTGCCGCCACGGACATGAGAGGAATGCGATAGTTGAGTGCGAGCACGAAGAGCTCCCGCTCGATGTAGGTGAACTCGGGCAGACACGGCAACTGGGCCAGTGCAAGCGTTCGAGCAGTTTGCTGATCGGGAAGGTTTAGGTAGGGCGGGAGGAAGAACATCGGAACCAGGGAGTAGACGAAGAAAAGGAAGGGCTTTCGGACCACCCTCCAACGGGTGTACCTTCCGCGAAGCAGATTGTAGCGGTTCTCGTAGATTGCCAGCACAGACGTTGTCAGTGCTGTAATAATATTGTCAGTTAGGAGTTTTGCTTATATTATTGATTGATACCAGGCGATATGGCAGAGGGAGACTCGTGGCCATTTCGCCTGGTATCGATAATACCTGTCACTAAAGTGATACAACAATAGATCAAGAACCCGGGCGAATTTATCAATCCGAGACCGTATCCGGCTGGAACCGGTAGCAAAATGAACGGAATTCCGAAAAGACTCAGAAAAACGTCGGAAAGAGAGCTCCAGAAGTGTAAATTGAGCATGAGCCACTTGACAGCGCTCATTTGGGCGGGCGTTTTGAAGAGAATGCAATAGGCGCCGAACGAGAGGATCGGCACTTCGATGCATACCAAACAATGAAGCGCGGTGGCCAGGAAATGCGGCGAAGAGAGGTAGCGGGTGTCGGGGACGCAGTCGGAACTCGTCATGATTCGGAATGCGGGACATGCTGAAGGGGTCGTACGTCTAATTAGATTTCGGCTTGACACGCATTGATGATCTCAAGACTCTCAACCAACAACAATACAAAGAAGAGCGGAGTTGATAATGTGATAATCACAAAAGAGCATACTTGGAAACTCGCTTCAAAATGATCTGATTGTAGATCTCGAGCAGTTCTACACAAGTGACAACATACCGAATTTAGAGCCGCCGGTTAACTACGCGTCTACATGATTTCAGGATACCATTGTACGAGCGTTTCTCATTTTTCAGAAACTCAGAAACCTATCATCATTTCTCATTGTGAAGTGGATTGTGAAGTCAGATGACTTCACAATCTAGACACTGACAACATGTTATTATTATTCTCTGACTCATTGGCCTAGCTGGGAGACCAGAAAATGCATGAATATTATCTTCTTTGGAGTTTGATGCGGCTCGGCTTCCCTCTTGTCACTGATGCACAACGCGTTGTTCAGTCAAGCGTGAAATCCAAACAAACTCTTGTGCAATGAACCTAACCTACATTCACACTCCCGATTTTCTGATCTCGGCGTATCACGTGATGACGTGTGTGGAAGTGCCCGTTCACATGTTCGCCTTCTATTGCATCCTGTTCAAAACTCCGGCATTCATGAGATCCGTCAAATGGAGCATGTGCAATTTGCACTTTTGGAGCATGTGCATGGACGTGTCGATCAGTCTGCTCACTGCTCCGTTTGTGCTCTATCCGTCACTCGCCGGACTCACTCTCGGCATTCTTAAGGATTCTCCGGTGCCCACCACCATTCAAGTCTACCTTATCGTCGGGTTTTTCAACGGTAAAGACATATAAGTGAGATTTCAAGTAGAATGTTGCATTTCAGCTGTCGATGTGGCATTCTTGACAATATTCGAAAACCGCTACAACCTCCTATTCGCCCAAAAATCCGAATGGAGTCGCGTCCGAATACCCTTTTTGGCCCTGAATTACACGTTGGCATTCGTCACCTTCATCCCTTCCTACTTGAAAGTTCCCGAACAGTCCGAGGCGGTGAAACATGTCTTCGAGGTGTGCATTTATATGCCATCTTGTTCTAATGCTGTGTTACAGACGCTCCCGGAACTGCCAAGTTACCTGTATACCGCTCCAATCTTCGTGCTGGCTTCTGATTTCATGGATGTCGTGTTGCCGGTCGTTTTCATGATTGTGTTAACGTCAACCGAGTCATTTGTGATCATTCGGAAGATTCATTCGAACATGAATGTAATGTCAAAGAGGATAAGTCTCTCGAAGCACACTTTCCAACTGCACAAGCGGTTTTTGATGGCTATTTGTGTACAGGTCTGTTAAAACACTGAACAATCTGTTTCATATCGATGAAATTTCAGATTTCCACTCCTCTTTTCATAATCATTCTCCCTTTTACCTATCTCGTCGTAGCTGTCATCTTTAACATTTACAACCAAGCCGCCAACAACTTTTGCTTCATAATATTCGCGAGTCACGGCCTCTCCTCCACCATCATCATGTTGCTCATTCATAAACCGTATCGAAAAGTTTGCTGCCGACCTTTTTGTTGCTGTTGTTGTTACGAAGACTTTGAGTTGAAATTTGTTATCAATGAGCAGAAGGAATAGTGACAAAATGTCCAGAAATCGTTTTCATGTTTCTCTTGCTTCGAAAAAAACATATACATTTCTGGAGAGACTCTGGAAAAAAGCATGTTCCTCTCTACATATTACTCTCTGACTTTTACCTATGAGCGCCTTCCGATAGGGCTGAATGACCAACATATTGGGCAACGGATCGATGGCCGGATACATTGCAACTGTGAGACAAAGAAGGCGTCCGAGCGTCTCGAATGAAGAGTCGGTATTCATTAACAACTTTCTGTGAACAGTCACCGACATGGATGATTTGTCAAAGTTCCAGGAATTATAGAAAAGGCTGGAGCAGACTTCGTGAATCAAGAGCATGCTGACTGTGGACAGTAATCCGTTTTGACTAAATGATGACAACCAGCACACTGCTGAATTGTCATCATTTCTTGCGCAGAGCATAACTGCATCAACACGCATCCATAAATCTTTGAGTGTTATTTCTTTTGTCTCCCCTAAAGGAGACTTTCCAAAATTAGAAAGCTGACGCTAAATTTCTTTAGGTCATGTCAAGTCGGGCGTACCTCAAACTTGGGTAATTAAACCGACGCTAACGCTGCGTCGCTGCTCTTCAACAATGCGCGCAGCCGACACGTCCGAGGGACGGCGAGAGCGAGGCCTCACCACAGCACACAACATTTAGTGCGGCCGCCGCCAAGCGATTTTTCGAAGGAGACGAGGTGGAAACAGAGGCGGTGGCTTCGAGAATATGGTGGCGACGGCACAGGAACAATTTCGCTTACGAACACATCACGTTGAATACACGCCATCCCGTCACAGGTGAATCGCGGACGGTCCATTATGGATACTCCGTGGATGAAACGTGGATGAGCGCGCACATAGCAGGCATAATGGATCCGTGGGGAAGCGACAGGGCAATATGCTTCGCGCGTGTGTGATATATGCCTCTGCTGGCGACGCCCGAGCGTGGATCGCGCGTGCCCCATCTTACCCAGCGGCTGCCGCAGTGCTGTTCGCTGCTGCCGTTCGCGGGGGATCCATAATGGGAGTTATATGCCTACACAGCGGAGAGAAAGTGCTAGCGTCGCCGCCGTTACAAGGCGACTATTCTGCAGAACTGCGAGCAGAAATATAGCCGATGCAGTGTATTCATCACGAATCAGATCATGAATTACAAAATATATTGCTTAGATGGTTTCTCTTGTCAAAAAACTCTCTCAGTGATGTTTCGTAGCGATAGACAGTGAACGCTTGTTCTCTGGAGAAAACGCATGAGTTCTGGCCCTGGGTAGAGTATATCCCAGCTTCAATAGTATCCCATTCATAAAAGTTTCATACAAAATGCTCCGTGGATTTGTCTAGGCTACAAAAACAGTTGACTCGTTCAATCTGACTTTGAGAACGTAGTCATTTGATTCTCTTCCTGCTGACACTCCGGCAGCAGCATGAGACGGTCCTCTCAACAGTTCGTCTGAACAGAAGAACATCTACTAGCCACAGCAACAATCAGTAATTTGCTTTCAAATGATGCTGATAGTCAATAAGTTTTTCGGACGGAGTGTCTTCTGCTATACATTGAACATGTACTTGTACTCTATCTCTAGACCATTCCGTTCTAGCCTGTCGCTCCCCTTGGCGAGAACACGCGCATTTTGTCATGCAAGCCCCTGCTAGCAGTATCAGCAGGGATGGGAAAACACGAAAGCGCGCGCAGGGTACGGTAATAGGGGCAGGGGATCGAGTTTGCGGGGGGAGCGCATGGGCCGTGCGCGACCCATTTTTCATTTCTGGCTGCGCGGCGTGCCTCCATATAGCTCGCATATAGCTCGCATATATCCTACTAATGAGTCGCATACTCGACACACGGATGCCCCACGTGGCGTCCATAATGGACCGTGCGCGATTCACCTGTGGTCCGATCTGGCAAGTTAAGCAACGTTGAGTCCAGTTAGTACTTGGATCGGAGACGGCCTGGGAATCCTGGATGTTGTAAGCTTTTGCCTTTTTCATCACAATTTATAAATAATATTGTTCTTTCTGTCATTTTCTAAACTCAGGCCCTTATTAAGCCATTTATGCCCAAATGCGGGCGCCAAAATATTAGGATAATTAGATTTCAGGTGAGGATGATCATGGACAACTGCTCCGTCTGGTTCACCAGGCACTCAACAACCTCAGCTTCTTCACTTTGCCCTCTCACGGATTACTGTCCACAGGCATCATGCTCTTGATTCACAAACCTTATCGCCAAGTCTGCTCCAGCCATTTCCGTGATCCCTGGAACTTTGACGTGTGACACTATGCACAAGAATCGCTGAAATCTAAACAAAAAAAACACGGAACGTAATCGAATTCCGTTCAATTCTCGACACCGCCGTGCGGCGCCGAACACTTCCCAGCCAAGGTACCAACCATGAATATGTCTTACTTCGACTCGCCCGCATTCCTCTGTCACACCCTACAAATGCTCACCGTCCTCGAGGTCCCCCTTCACACTCTCGGCACCTACTGTATTCTGTTCAAGAGTCCGGCCTCGATGAAAACCGTCAAATGGAGCCTGCTGAACTTGCACTTTTGGAGCGCGTTCCTCGACGTCTCACTGGGCCTCCTCGCCACTCCGTTAGTGATGTTCCCGGTGATTGCCGGCATTCCTCTCGGTCTTCTTACGCATTTCGGTTTTCCGCCGGCGGTACAGACGTATTTGGTGTGTTCTTTGCTGGCAAGTGAGTCAATCAATCAACCCCACAATGTTTTGTTGTAAAACCAAATTTTCAGCGGTCGCAGTAGCAATTTTGCACATTTTCGAAAGACGCTATTATGTTCTGTTCGGACGAACGACTCGCTGGCGATATTGTCGTGTTCCGTTCCTGCTCCTCAACTACACTTTCACTTTTGTCTACTTCATCCCTTCATGTCTTCATATCCCGGATCAAGCGTCCGCTCGAATCATTGTGCTTCAGGTTTGAGAAGCTTGAGGTGTTTACTAGGGCTTACACTTTTCCAGATTCTAGAAAACATCTCAAGTGAAATGATACAAGAACCCAATGAAATATTCGTTCTGACCCTTGAAGCAGAGAATACGGTCATTCCGGCCACCGCAATCACACTTTTCATCGTTGGCGAGTTGATCGTTTTCAAGTATTTGTTGGAAAAGGGTCTGCGGCGACAGGTTCAAACTATGAAATTATCTGGAAGAAGTTATAGACTGCACAAGAAGTTTCTAAAAGTTATAAAGATTCAGGTAAGCTAATCAGATTTCACCGAAATTCAACACGTTCAGATCCTGATTCCCGCGCTAATCCTTCTCGTTCCACTCTTCTACACGGCATCAGCGATGCTATTCAATTACTACAATCAAGCGCTCAATAACGTTGTGATCATAATTCTGTCGGCTCACGGACTCGCTTCCACCATCACAATGTTGCTCATTCAGACGGACTATCGTGAATTTGTGATGCGTCGGCGCAGCAGGGCCAACAAGAGATCGGTGCCGTTTCCGGTCGTTGTGGATTCGCAGAAACTGAAAGCGTAGGATGTTATTACCCGTCTTCTTACTACTAGTTAGCATGTTATTATTAGCTGTTAGTTCACCATCTTTACTTCTGTCTGACTTTCCAATTTGTGATATCTTATAAATCCTACGTTACTCGAGAGATAACTCGTTTAACCGATCACATAAACCACTTTGGCCTTTGGACGTCAGTTGATATTATGAGCGCGCCCCACTACTTCGACTCTCCCCACTTCCTCTCCACCGCTCTGCACGTGATGACGTTCCTCGAAATCCCCGTTCACATTTTCGGCACCTACTGCATTCTGCTCACAACGCCGCGATCGATGCGTTCCATCAAATGGAGCATGCTCAATTTGCACGTTTGGAGTGCATTTCTCGACTTGGGCATCAGTCTGCTCACCACTCCGTTCGTATTGTTTCCCGCGATTGCCGGCTATCCTCTGGGCTGTTTGAGAGAGGTCGGAGTGCCAACTGCCGCACAAATCTACCTGATTGTTATGCTGTTTGCAAGTGAGTTCCACAAAATCCTAAATGGCATGTTCATTTTTCTGTTTTTTCAGCAGTCGGCGTCGCCATCGTCACCATCTTCGAGAACCGTTTCTTCCTCCTCTTCGCCGAACAAAGTTCATGGAAGAGTGTACGAATTCCGTTTCTGACCGTCAATTACACACTGGCGTTTCTCTTCTTCATCCCGCCATACCTACACATTCCGGACCAGACAACAGCGCTAGAACACACGTTCAAAGTTTGACAATATCTCGATTATAACTCTCTCTCTCTCTCTCTCTACGTGCACTGTTTTCAGGAACTGCCAAGTCTGCCCGCGTACATCTACGAGAGCCCCGTTTTCGTGTTAACCACTGACGTCACCTATCCGTTCATTGCAGTCGCTTCGCTTACAATTCTACTTTGTTTGGAGATACTCACATTCAAGACTTTGCTCTCTTGGAATATGAAAAAGAGGATAAAAGTGATCACGGTGTCGCAAAAGACGTTCCATCTCCAGAGAAAGTTTCTAATAGCGATTCAGTTTCAGGTACTTGAGTTGGTACCAGAGATGTTGGGAATTCCGTGTTCCGTGTTCCGTGTTCCGCGTTTTTTTCAATATTTTTTCCGTGTTCCGTGTTCCGTAAAAAAAAAAATTTCCGTGTTCCGTGTTCCGTGTTCCGTAGAAATACGTTTTTTCCGTTTTCCGTGTTCCGTGTTCCGTATAAACTATATTTTCCGCGGAAAAAAATTCGATCACAAATTTTTATTTTTTTCATTATTATTTTTGATTAGGACAATTGACGTTTTGTGGTCAAAATTTGAAAAATTTTTCGGATTCGGACCATATTCGTGAAAAAGTGGATTCCATTTTTCAGTCGTTTTTTTACTGTAGTTGTTTACTGTTGTGTTGTTGGTTTTGTTATTTTTTTATGAAATTTTTCAGTAAAAACTTTCACATGAGTCAAACAGCTGCCTTGTCAGTCAGATAATCGAATTAAACAAAACATTATTTTTTTAAAAAAATCACTGGAATTCTCTTGAAAACGCTTTTTTTCCGTGTTCCATAAAAATTTCCGTGTTCCGTGTTCCGTGTTCCGTAGAAATAAGTTTTTTTCCGTTTTCCGTGTTCCGTGTTCCGTAAAAAAAAAAAATTTTCCGTTTTCCGTGTTCCGTGTTCCGTAAAAAAAAAATTTCCGTTTTCCGTGTTCCGTGTTCCGTAGAGTAAAATTTTTATTCCCAACATCTCTGGTTGGTACCCAGTAAACATTACTTAATACTGGTAGTTTTCAGGTCTACGTTCCACTCGTCATCCTCATAGTCCCCTTGATCTACATCGGTGTATCCGTCTACTTTTCAATTTACAATCAAGCTGCCAACAACATCTGTTTCATTATTATCGCCTTGCACGGCCTGTCCTGCACAATCATCATGTTGCTCGTTCACAAACCCTATCGAGATGTGGTCCTCAAATCGTTTTTATTCAAATCCCTTCAAGAATCCCACAAACCGTCGCCCTACAGACTTTCGCGGAGGAATACGCCGCATTTGGAGCACAGCCACGTGTTTAGTGTTGTTCAAAAACTTTGAATGAAATTTCACAACTCCATTTCCCCACTTTCATCCGTTATCCTCAAGCTGATCCTTTTTTATACTGTTGTAATGGACCAGAGATGTTGGGAATAAAAATTTTACTCTACGGAACACGGAACACGGAAAACGGAAAATTTTTTTTTTACGGAACGCGGAACACGGAAAACGGAAAAAACTTATTTCTACGGAACACGGAACACGGAACACGGAAATTTTTTTTTTACGGAACACGGAACACGGAAAAAATATTGCAAAAAAACGCGGAACACGGAACACGGAACACGGAACACGGAATTCCCAACATCTCTGTCACACACAACAAAAGACTCTCATTAGTTCCGCTTCTGATTCGCGTTGTGTCGAGTGTTGATGTGTTCGCACGTCTCCGACTCATCATAGACTGACGTTGTCATTTTCTGAAAACTCTTATCATTATTATGATTTCCTCCGAGTCCCCGCCGTTCCTATCCACGTCTTTACACGTGCTCACATGTGTCGAAGTCCCTCTCCACTTTTTCGGCTCCTACTGTATCCTTTTCAAAACGCCCGCCTCGATGAGATCCGTCAAATGGGCCATGTTCAACTTCCACTTTTGGTGTGGCCTACAAGATTGGGGCGTCAGTTTTCTGACCGTTCCCTACATTCTGTGGCCCGCGTTCGCCGGCATTCCAATGGGACTCTTCTCGAAACTGGGACTGAAACCCGTCTTCCAATCCTATCTCGTCATGTCGTTTGTTGCTCGTGAGTGTCACACTTTTGACCCCCAAACTGATCGAAATCGATGCGCGTTCAGTGAGCGCCGTGGCGATTCTCACCATCTTCGAGCACCGCTTCTATCTGCTGTTCGCCAAGAACACTCGCTGGCGCTACTATCGTATTCCGTATCTCGCCTCGTTGTATTTATTCGCAAGTACAATTTATGTTCACTTTGGACTCAATAAACCCGATCAGGATGATGCAAGACGGCAGGTTCTGCAGGTAGGCCAAGGATTGAATGTTAGACACCTTTCAACTTTTTAGCTGCTTTAGATTCTACCCACACTCCCGTCCTACATCAATGAAAACGAAATCTTCGTGTTCACATTGGACGCCCAGCTCCTCACCGTATTCACAGCGATCGCACTGCTCCTAGTTGGCGGCGGAATTGCTCTTTTTTCCGGTCTCTTGTACCACAATATGCACAAACGATTGAATCGAATGCAACTGTCCAGGAACAGCTTCAGGATGCAGCAAAAGTTTTTGACATCTGTCAAAATTCAGGTGAGCACTTTTGTATACTATCGAAAGAGTGAAAACGAACGTTGGTTGTGTCAGATCTCAACACCGCTGCTCCTTCTGATCGCTCCGTGCGCGTACGTCGGCTCTTCCAGCTGGTTCGTCTATTACAATCAGACGTTCAACAACTTTTGCGTTATAATTGTGTCGTCTCACGGAATACTCTCGACCATCATGATGATTTGCATGCACAAACCGTATCGAGAGTTCTGTCACGGATTGATTCACTCGGAACAGAGCACTTGTAAACAATCGGTGCCTTCGAGACGGAGAATTCACACAAGTGTTATCAATTCTGTACTTTGAATGAATCGATTGTTTTTAATGTCCCCTTTTCGTTCCAATCTCTTCACGTACTCACTTGCCTCGAACTTTCCCGTTCACTTATTCGGAGCCTGTATTGTATTCTGCTCAAAATTCCGGATTTCATGGAATCGATGAAATGGTGCATGTTCAACTTTTGGATTTCGCTCTAGAAGTGTTCTACCAGATCCTTCCGCCTTTTTCACTTTCACAACAGCTTTTCAACTATCACATATTCGTCTTCTCCATGGAAATTCGGCTAATTATGGTGTTGTCCGCCGCCGAACAATTTTCAGTTATATTTCAAGTGCTTGTGTTTATCGGGTTGTTATTTCGGAATATGATTCATACTATATGAATGTGTGATTCAGTTGACCTCAAGAAATGCATTCTATTTTCAGAACAAGTTCATACAGGTAAGAAAAACATGGTTCTATTATTGGTTCAGACGCAGGAGTCCCAGTCCCGAGAAACTACATAAAAAGTGTTTGAAAGTCAAACTCAACTTCTAGATCGCCACAAGAGATATCACCAGCATATTTAAAAAACGACAGAAAGAACAATATTATTAATAAATTGTGATGAAAAAGGCAAAAGCTTACAACATCCAGGATTCCCAGGCCGTCTCCGATCCAAGTACTAACTGGACTCAACGTTGCTTAACTTGCCAGATCGGACGGGATGGCGTGTACACTGCCGGTCATAATTATAGGTTCACTTCAATTTTTCGAATATTTCGAAAACTAGGCGCTGTATTCAAAAAAGTTCTTAAGGGGATTTTCGGTCACCCAAGGTACCACAAATGTACAAACTAAACCATTCGACTTCAGTGAGAAATTTTCCAAAAATCGTGATTTCTCGAAAAAGTGACTTTAGCGGTTGGTCATAATTATAGGTTCACCACTGAAATTAGCCAGAGGGTCAACTGAATAATTTTTAATTTTAGCCATAACGTCTTCTAAGACTGATTATGACCGTTTTACATCGATTTCCGACAAGCTTCTCGGTTCCCTGATTTTTTGAACCAACTTTCATTGAGTTTTGGGTCAATCATAACTTTTCGTCTTAAAATCGAACCTAACTTCGGTTTTTTGGCCGGACGACAACAGGATCATTCTGGAATGAGTATTTAGTGAGGTTTTGTGAAGTTTCATTGAGAATCTACGAGAATTTGATATCTTTCTCTAAAAGTGCTTTGGTCGACTAGTCCCAAGTAAGTTTACATCTGGTTTTTGCTCAAATTTGGAGCAATCTCTGAGAGACTTGACGGCAACATGAAGGACCCAACCAACAATGCACTTGCCAAGTTTGGTACGAATCCGATCATTCTGACCAAACTTCGGAGACGGTTGTCAGTTTCGATCCCTCAAAAAATGCAGAAAAATTTCATGCTCTGGATTTGCTCGGGACTAGGGGGGAATGAAAGGCCCTATAAAGGGTAAAAAACGCGAAAAAGGTTTCATCTCTGTTTTGGTGTTTAGCCGAGATATGATCAAAAGTATGAAAAAACGGTACATCTTTTTCGAAAAGTCGCATCTCCGTCAATTTTTGAGTAAAACACTCGGTAAAAAAAGGAAAATGTAGCTAATGAGATGGTCTTTAAGCATACAATTGATTATCTTTGACGAAACAAATTCTTAGAAGAGATATTCAACAAAATATGAAAACGTTTGTACTTATGTACACTATTTTGCGAATACAGTTTGACGGGACTATCACCATTAGATTCAGCGTCTAAAATAAGGGCCGTATGCAAAAATTTTGCCTTGGGAAATCGCTTTGACGGAAAAAAAGTTATCGACAATATGCTTTGCCCCTGTTTTCTTGTGGTTCTGTCTGTTTGCTAGCCTGTATCTCCTCAACCGGTAGAGATACCAAAACGTTGTCAACTGTAAAGTTAAAGGTACATGTCCAAGCTATAAAACTTTAGTTGAACGCTTTTTTTTATCTCTACTCGTTCACATTTCGAAGTGTGACTCTCCTACCGTCAAGTAGAGAAGGGTGTTCGAAACAAGCATGAGTCATAAAATATTTCGAAAGAGATCGGATCAACACAGGCTGAACGACATTTGATGTCTAGCCTCTTATTGAGCATTTTTTATGTTGAGACCAAAATTGTAGGACCACTCCTTAAATGCGATAATATCAGTTTTTGAGTGATCACTCGGAAACGGCCATAACTTGTGAACGAGTAGAGATAAAAAAAAGCGTTCAACTAAAGTTTTATAGCTTGGACATGTACCTTTAACTTTACAGTTGACAACGTTTTGGTATCTCTACCGGTTGAGGAGATACAGGCTAGCAAACAGACAGAACCACAAGAAAACAGGGGCAAAGCATATTGTCGATAACTTTTTTTCCGTCAAAGCGATTTCCCAAGGCAAAATTTTTGCATACGGCCCTTATTTTAGACGCTGAATCTAATGGTGATAGTCCCGTCAAACTGTATTCGCAAAATAGTGTACATAAATACAAACGTTTTCATATTTTGTTGAATATCTCTTCTAAGAATTTGTTTCGTCAAAGATAATCAATTGTATGCTTAAAGACCATCTCATTAGCTACATTTTCCTTTTTTTACCGAGTGTTTTACTCAAAAATTGACGGAGATGCGACTTTTCGAAAAAGATGTACCGTTTTTTCATACTTTTGATCATATCTCGGCTAAACACCAAAACAGAGATGAAACCTTTTTCGCGTTTTTTACCCTTTATAGGGCCTTTCATTCCCCCCTAGTCCCGAGCAAATCCAGAGCATGAAATTTTTCTGCATTTTTTGAGGGATCGAAACTGACAACCGTCTCCGAAGTTTGGTCAGAATGATCGGATTCGTACCAAACTTGGCAAGTGCATTGTTGGTTGGGTCCTTCATGTTGCCGTCAAGTCTCTCAGAGATTGCTCCAAATTTGAGCAAAAACCAGATGTAAACTTACTTGGGACTAGTCGACCAAAGCACTTTTAGAGAAAGATATCAAATTCTCGTAGATTCTCAATGAAACTTCACAAAACCTCACTAAATACTCATTCCAGAATGATCCTGTTGTCGTCCGGCCAAAAAACCGAAGTTAGGTTCGATTTTAAGACGAAAAGTTATGATTGACCCAAAACTCAATGAAAGTTGGTTCAAAAAATCAGGGAACCGAGAAGCTTGTCGGAAATCGATGTAAAACGGTCATAATCAGTCTTAGAAGACGTTATGGCTAAAATTAAAAATTATTCAGTTGACCCTCTGGCTAATTTCAGTGGTGAACCTATAATTATGACCAACCGCTAAAGTCACTTTTTCGAGAAATCACGATTTTTGGAAAATTTCTCACTGAAGTCGAATGGTTTAGTTTGTACATTTGTGGTACCTTGGGTGACCGAAAATCCCCTTAAGAACTTTTTTGAATACAGCGCCTAGTTTTCGAAATATTCGAAAAATTGAAGTGAACCTATAATTATGACCGGCAGTGTATTCAACGTGATGTGGTCGTAAGCGAAATTAACAGTGTGCCGTCACCATCATATTCTCGCAGCCACCGCCTCTGTTTCCACCTCGTCTTCTTCGAAAAATCGCTTGGCGGCGGCCGCACTAAATGTTGTGTGCTGTGGTGAGGCCTCGCTCTCGCCGTCCCTCGGACATGTCGGCTGCGCGCATTGTTGAAGAGCGGCGACGCAGCGTTAGCGTCGGTTTAATTACCCAAGTTTTGAGTCAGTTCATCTTGGGATTAAACCACCCTGCCTTCTGGATCTATTCCCCCCCCGCCATATTCACACTATGACCGAGCTAGGTACGACCGAATTGCTCCAAAACAGCATTATTCGCTCCTCTGCCGCCCGTAGGTCCCAGTGTACTTCCCCGGAGCACATGTTGTTCCAAACCCTTGATTCCCTTAACGGAATTGCTCACAGGATGAGCTCCGCCCATAACGGTGGAAACCCCAATTCTCATAACAGAATTGCTCACAGGATGAGCCCCGCCCATAATGGAATGGCTCACAGGATGAGCCCCGCCCATAATGGAATTGCTCACAGGATGAGCTCCGCCCATAACGGTGGAAACCCCAATTCTCATAACAGAATTGCTCACAGGATGAGCCCCGCCCATAATGGAATTGCTCACAGGATGAGCCCAGCCCATAATGGAATTGCTCACAGGATGAGCCCCGCCTATAATGGTCTAAAAAGTGCATTTAGTATTCGCATAAACGAATATTATCTGCCGCCGAAGTCAAATGACAGAAGCTCCGCCCCCAAAAAGTGGAGAATTGAAGTCAAATGACGGAAGCACCGGCAATCTCAAAAAGGAAAGCCTTCCAAAGATCCTCTGTGAAGTGGAAAGTCTGGGAAATTGTATAGTTGTAGGTAAAACTCCCGCAACTCAATCGATTCTCTCGTCTGACCCCTCAGAAATCGATAATCTGGCAAAGGACCAGGCCGACTCCCAGGTCTCGTGGAAGACCATCTCTGACCATAGAATTAGAGGTGGCGCAATGAGAGAAAAGAGTAAGGAACGATCAAACGTTTACACGATGGTATTATTGAAAAAAAGACAAGCGACTCCCAAACCGTCGTGTGTCAACTACAATATCCAACAGATAAACTGGTTTGTTGTTACCACCGGGGATGTGAAACCCGTTCCCAAGCAGGACTTGGAGCGGAAGAATTGAAATACTTGACTAGACATTTGGAAAAGGTCCATGCTGTCAAAAAGGTCAAGTGGACTTACATTTGTACGATCTGCGGGGAGACCCCCAATGAAAATCTTGCATACCCGTCCAGATGGATGAAAACGCATCTGGAAAAAGTCCATAACAAAGAAGCCGAAAAGAAATTTAGTATCGGAAGCGGTACTAGATCTCGAGCGGCCAGTGCACTGAATGATTCAGCACCATCTTTAGCACCTCCTAGGAAGACAACGTCCAGAAAGACCGAGTCCAAGGTGATAGAGTTTTCGACTCCTGAAAAGATTACAGAGTTGGAAAGCAAGATTCAAACGAGAGGAGTGGCAAAGTCCCTCAGTGCTCTGAAAGAATCGGTAACAAAGAAAGAAAGAGAGGAAGTTGGCAAGAAACCAAAACTTGCTCCTATCCTTGAAAAAGCTGAAAAGAAAAGTGCTCGGAAAAGCCTAGCGAATGTTCTGAAAACGGAGACAACATCAAGTTCCAGAAACAGCTCTATCGGAGCGGACTGCGACCTGAAAATGTTGACCGGAATTGAGAGAATAAAAGCGGCTCGAGAGCAAAGCTCAAAGCAGGCTCGCCTTTCTACTCAGAAAAGGATGAGTTTGTCAGCAGTGGGAAAATCTCCAAAAAGGGAGCCACAAACAAAGGAATTGGAAAAAGAAACCATTCCTGATCCAGTAGTGACGACAATGGAAAACCCCATTGAATCGGAAGCGCTGGAAGAAGAAGAAGACCTGAACAGAACTTTTGTCATCGATGATGATGATGAAATAGTCTCGAGAAGGTTCAACACATGGTGCCTGGACCATGAAACCTCAAAGGAGGCATGGTTAAGTGACGACATCATATTCTGGTATCTGAAGCATCTTTGCGCAAAAAGCACAAAGTATGAAACTTTGGATCCAATTATGTGGGAAATGTACAAAAGAGAAGGAATCATGCTCATAAAGCAAAAACTTTGGAGCACGAAAACCTACTTTTTCCCAGTTTGCGAAAATAACCACTGGATCCTTTTGGTGATAAGCTTAACTGGAATCTGGTACGCAAACAGCTTCCTACGTGAACCCGAAGGAAAAGTTCAACAGTTTATTGAGGAATTGGGGACTGAACGGAAAAAGTTCGACACTCCAAATCCCTGCCAGACAGATGGCATAAACTGCGGTGTTCATGTATGCCTGATGGCAAAATCATGTCTAAATGACGACTATTGGTATACCGAAAAAGAGGTCCAATCGTTCCGAAAAGATGTGAAAAAGATGCTCAGAGCAAACGGATATGACCTGTACTCTGAACAATACCGTGATTTCCACCAAACAGATGAAACCACGAAAAAACCAGAAAGTCCAGAAAAAGTGGACACTTCTGAGGTGTCAGTTGAATCCCCAATGGATATTCCACATGTTGGTCAACCGGAAGAAGTGGATAGAGTTTCCATCCCAAAACTGATGGACCTAAAACTCGAATGCCCTCCACATCTTCTACAAAAAGTTGCTCCAAAAGTGGTCAAACCAAAGGAGAAACCCACTAAACAGATGGGTAAAGCACGCAAAGTGCCAACTGGAAAACCAGAGGAACTGGTCGTGAAAGGTACGAGAATGGTTCCAAAAAGAGTTCCAATCGTACATTCAAGACGGTAGAAGCTTCCAAAGATTGGAGTGGATCACCGACGTCCTGACAGCCGCCATACAAAAAGGCCTCTGTTGGGGACACCCAGGCAATCGAGAAGATTGTGAAAAAGATGCCCACCCTTGGAAGTGGAAGAGGGTGAGATGGCAACGCAAACGGATCCAAAAAGGATTCCCAAGAAGGGTAACAGCAACCCGACTGGAGATGGTGACAGCCGCAAAGGGCCACCAGTCTCTCAAAGGGACTCGTACTGGCAAAACCGGACGAAGACCTTTAACCAACTGATCGGCAAAGAATCGAAGCAATGCGAGATCCCGATCAGTCAACTTGAACAGTTCTTCAAAGAAAACCACCTCTGTCACAAATGTAACAAAAAGAGGTTCTGGAATCAAAAAAAGTTCCAAAATCCCAAAGATAAAAAAGTGGGACAGTGGATTGTAGACCCATTCACTGAACAGGAATTGGCAGTTGCTCTTAAGAAAACCAAAGACACTGCTCCTGGAGTTGACGGACTGAGATACCATCATCTAGAATGGTTCGATCCTGATCACAGAATTCTGACGCCCCTGTACAATGAATGCAAGGAGCATCGGAAGATTCCATCACATTGGAAAGAGGCAGAAACGATCCTTCTATACAAAGGAGGAGACGAATCTAAGCCCGAGAACTGGAGACCAATCAGTCTCATGCCAACCATCTACAAACTATATTCGAGTTTGTGGAACCGAAGAATCCGGTCAGTGAAGGGTGTCATGAGCAAGTGTCAAAGGGGATTCCAAGAGCGGGAGGGTTGCAATGAAAGCATTGGAATCCTTAGAACCGCGATTGATGTGGCGAAGGGCAGGAAAAAAAGAACCTGTCAGTCGCCTGGCTCGACCTTACCAATGCGTTCGGTTCAGTGCCACATGAGCTCATCGAGCACACTCTGGAAAAGTTGCACTTTCGGACTCCCGAAAAAAATCACTGAAAGACATGATGCAGTGCTCATGAAAGTGAAAAACTCATCGAAGCTGGTTCAAAGAAAGACTGGAAACTGAAAAATAGATCAGGAAATACCAGGATTCACCAGACTTCGACCAGACATCTACATGAGAAGTCCAGATGGAAAAAGAAATCATCATGGCCGATGTAGCCTGCCCATATGAGCATGGTGTGGAAGCCATGAAAAAGAAGCTGGGACAAAAAAAGGTTCAGAAGTACTCTGACGGTTTCAGCAATCTCAAGGCTCAGGGCAAAAAAAGCTTACTGTCCTACCAATAATAGTTGGATCTCTCGGAAGTTGGTGGAAGCCCACAACTGACAGTCTGAAAAAAAGTTGGGAATAGAGGATGCAGTGATCCGTAAAGTGATTCCTGAATTGTGTTCTACAGTATTAGAATACAGCAAGAACGCTTATTGGAACCACATCTTCGGAGACTCCTACACTGAAATTCCACTCAAATTCGGAGACGAGAAACCAAAAAGGCAACTCCTGGAAAAAAAGGAAAGAGCAAAACATGCTCCGACCCTTCCGGGGACGTAGCCGGGTTCGAAGTCAACATGCCAAAAAGACCTGGCTCTGAATGGACATGGATAGGACTGAAAACGAGACTGATTAATGGAATGAGTAACCTGAAAAACCAATCCAAATTGATCGATATATCGATATTGTGAATTTCCAGGAGAAATCGCAATAAATTTCTTTCAAATTACCACCTGATTCCCAAAAAAAGGAACAGACCATAGCCACAAAGATGGCAGCTGACCCTTAAAAAGGTGTGATGACAGGATCATAAACACAAGAGTCACAAAAAGGCATCTAACTAGACAAAATAGTTGGGTGCCGATCCCCTCTTGAGACTGTGCAAAGAACACAGTCTAGAACAGACGGGAAGACTGATCTAAACGCACAAAGGTGCCAGGTTGGTATTACTGTTTCATGAAGCTTGTTCCCAAAGTTCAGCCTCGCCTTTTTTTCTCTTTAGTACTTCCTAACCGAGTACGTAGGGTAAAAGAAAGGGTCGAACGGGAAGGAACAAAAAGAGCTGATTGATCAGATTCCTCATTCCAATGCGAATGGGATGGCCGTGAGGCTACAGGCGGGTAACTCAGTCAGATGCTAGCGATCTTCGGATCCAACGGCGCTGACACAGCATGAGGAACCCTGGGTTCGTTGGAGATAAAACTCAAATGGGCTGGAAATGGCTTAATCACAATGGATGACCACTGCCTTGCAACCACTTAAACCAGTGGGCTATGCGGGTGGGTCAATCTGAAATTGTGTGACCATATCCTGACTCGGCAATATCTACTCAAGGCTCTGAGAGCAAGTACATAATGGCCCTTCCCTACTATAAACTCCCAAGCAATTGGTGGCCCCGTTCGGCGGGTAATTACCACTGTTGCGCCCCAGGCTCGCCCCGACTTGACATGACCTAAAGAAATTTAGCGTCAGCTTTCTAATTTTGGAAAGTCTCCTTTAGGGGAGACAAAAGAAATAACACTCAAAGATTTCTGGATGCGTGTTGATGCAGTTATATGCTCAGCGCAAGAAATGATGACAATACAGCAGTGTGCTGGTTGTCATCATTTAGTCAATACGGATTACTGTCCACAGTCAGCATGCTCTTGATTCACGAAGTCTGCTCCAGCCTTTTCTGTAATCCCTGGAACTTTGACAAATCATCCATGTCGGTGACTGTTCACAGAAAGTTGTTAATGAATACTTTAGGAAACGTTTTTTGCCTTACGTGTTCCTCCTTTCTGCGAAATCTAATTACGAAAAGGTAGGGATCAGGAACCGAGCGTCTGGGCGCAAAAAAAAAAAACAAAAAATTCTGAGAACTCACATCTTGTTACTCACGTGCCGTTTTTTTTTGGGGTTTCATCAAAAACTTCATCACAAATGTACCTCGACACGCCCGAATTCCTCACGCTGGCGCTACACGTACTCGCCGGCCTCGCCATTCCGGAGCACGTCTTCGGCGCCTACTGTATTCTGTTCAAGACCCCCGACTCGATGAAATCCGTCAAATGGCCCATGCTCAACTTTCATTTCTGGTCCGTTTTTCTGGATTTCGGTCTCAGCACGCTCGCCGCTCCGTTGACACTCTGGCCCGTTTTCGGTGGTGTTCCATTCGGAATTCTCACGAAATATTTCAATGTTCCGCCGGCGTATCAAATTTACCTGCTCACTTCTTTGATTGGCGGTCAGTTTTTCAAGAAGCATCAACAGTGGGAAACAAGTTGTGTGTTTCAGTCGTCGCCGCGTCAATTCTCACCATCTTCGAGCATCGCTACTACTCATTATTCACAAATAATGAGACGAACAACGTGTGGCGCCGTCTACGCATTCCGTTTTTGAGCGCCAACTATGGGATGGCTATCACTGTGCTCGTGTACCCGTGCATGAATTGTCCCGAACAAACGTCGGCGCGGCAAGCGGCTCTTCACGTATTAATGGTCCGTTTCAGTTAGACGCTCCACGAAAAGTGTTCAGATCCTGCCGAAACTGCCCAGCTACATTCACGAAGAGGACATATTCGTGTGGTCCGAGGACATTTGGCTCATAATAATATTGACGACTGTCGCCGGACTGCTCGTCATTTTCGAATGTCTTTTCTTTCTCTGGCGTGTTTTGCGCCGCATGAATCTTCAATTCCAGCAGTGTTCGCTGTCGTTGAACAGTTACAAACTTCAGCAAAAGTTCATTCGAGCTATCAGAATTCAGGTAACGTTAATGCGTTAAAACACTCGAAACATTCTCATTTTCAACAGATTGGAATACCAATAGCCATCCTAGTGGGACCGATGCTCTACGTGGCGTTCTCTTCCGTTTTCCTCTATTACAATCAAATGTTGAACAATCTGTGTATTATAATTGCGTCAACTCATGGACTACTGTCAACGATTACGATGCTCATCATTCACAAACCGTATCGAGACGTGTGCTCTGGCCTTTTTCGTGCTCTTCTACGTACTCGAAAAAAGAAGCTCAAATTTCAACCAAATTGTTTTCAGCTTAGTTCAAATTAGAATGAATATAGTAATGAAACATTCAAATATGGCCCCTTTTTCTTATTAGCCCACAGGTTTATCACAAAGTTCATTGTAGTATTGTTGAACTGCAAGCATTGGAGTTCGACAGACTAGTTTTGACTCAGTTTGACTTAGAAACCAGGGCCTTGAAGAGAGTATGAAGCTTCTAGACAAATCATAAAGTCCAGGACTACTAAACCGAGAGGGAGTTCGATTCGGAAACTCGTCTTGTTGATGCAATCAACTTTTTGAATAATAAGATAACGGAAATTAGTTGCCCCCTCCCCCTATCGAATCTCATTCGACGATACACTGCGCTCGTGAGTCGTCGAATGGAATGGGAAACCGTTCGAATTGCAGTCATCAAGTACTGTGCCATCGTCGCTTTCCTCACCAATACCGTAATCATTGTCTTGATATGCTTCAAATCGCCCAAATCATTGGGCAACTACAAATATCTCATGATTTGCATTGCCTTCTTCGAGTTCTTTTACGCCGTTCTCGACGCTCTTACCTCACCGGTAACTGGCATCTTTCTTTGAAAATTTAGAAAATCAATTAAGGAAGATCACACTGAATTCTCTGGATTCGTCATAGTAATCGACTCGAACCACACCGTCCTACCTTCTTGGCTTTTGCCGATTTGCGTGTGTAAGTGGCTTGCTTCTAGTATAACACAACAAAACGAATCTATCATTCAGTGCTCTATTGTGCAGCTTTTGGAATATCTCTTGCCATTTTCGCAGTTCATTTTGTCTTTCGATATTTAGTTTTGAGTCGGTAAGTAGATTTCCACTTTTTTGTAAATCAAAATAAACAAAACGAATGACAGCAACAACAAATGGACTTCCTCGAAACCGTCAAACTTCATACTCTGGCTCTCAGTTCCACTCGGCGTCGGATTCTTTTACACAGCCGCTTGTGTTTACTTTCTGGGACCCACGGAGACGACAAATGGACAGTTTTTGATGTACATTCCAATGTTAAACCGTTGTAAGACACCTAGTTTCAGTGAGCACGTTTTCAACGGTTCAAGTGAGCGGATTCATGAGTTCGCCTACGTTGGTCCTTATTTGTATCCTAAAGATGAGGATGGAGAAGTGTTTGTCAACTGGCATCATATAATCGGACTGGCGGTTGCTACCGGACTGTTGGTGAGTTCACATAAACTAATTGTTAGGATTGATTAAAGGAGGCAAGAGTCCGAACTCATGTACTTTCTTCAGATCTTCTCCTGCCTCTTCATGCTCTACTTCGGCTTCAAATCCTATCGTCAAATCCAACTTCTCGCCCATCTCTCCACGAGCTCCTCCAGTTTCCGGTCCCTCCAAATCCAACTGTTCCTCGCGTTGATCATCCAAACCATCATCCCACTCGCATTAATACACGTTCCCTGCGGCCTCGTGGTACTTTTCTGTCTCGCCGACTCTTCATTCGAGACGCTCGGACGCCTTCTTTGTCTCACAGTTGCAATGTATCCGGCCATCGATCCGTTGCCCAATATGTTGGTTATTCAGCCCTATCGGAAGGCGCTCATAGGTAAAAGTCAGAGAGTAATATGTAGAGAGGAACATGCTTTTTCCAGGGTGTCTCCAGAAATGTATGTGTTTTTTACAAAGCAAGAGAAACGTGGAAACGATTTCTGGACATTTTGTCACTATTCCTTCTGTTCATTGATAACAAATTTCAACTCAAAGTCTTCGTAACAACAACAGAAACACTGTGGAATGGAGTCAGTGTGAATTCACGATAAGGCCGATGTATGAAGATCATTACCATAGCCGACAAAAGACCATGAACCGAGATTGCAATGAAAACCCAATTGTTGAGGGTCTGTGCCGCAAGTATATTATAATCAAGGGTAAAATTTTCAAGAGATACACAGAAATAATCAAAATTTTCAGCGCTCAACAACTTATCATTCATCTCCTTCTCGTTCCACGGCCTGCTTTCAACAATCGCAATATCGATTGGCCACTTTCAATTGGCTGGTGCAAAACTGACAATACAACTATCATAAAATGAATAAAAGATTGTGTTCGAACAAGGACAACTTTATTGTAACTTGACAACACTGAGAGCACAGACTTCACTGCTCGTTGATGATTTTCGAGGGTGACACGGAAAAATGAGAACGGACAGCGCGTGACGATAGGGCTGATGGATGAAAAGCATTGCGAACGTGGACAACTGGCCGTGGACGGAGAAGATTATGAAGGTGATGTTGTTGAAAACTAAAGTACTGACCGTAAATACTCAGCCATGCCCCACCCATTTTCAAACTTGCGCCTACCTTGATTGTAGAACCCTTTTGGTACGATAACTGCCAAGTACACAAGCGGACTGGCGACGACGAGAACCGGAATACCCGTCTGCACCACCATCGCCATGATAAACTTTCTCTGAAGTCGCATAGTCTTCTGTGATATTGACGCCTTCCGAGTGCGTGTCAGGATGTTGTGCAAGGCTAAGAGTACGATTGCACCCATTTCGAAAGCGAAAAAAGCGAGCAGAACAATGAGTGTCACGGCGGGAAAGTGTGCATCGATTGCGTACACAAAAACGGTGAACCTCTTTGTGATTTCGGACAGACACGGCAGCAGCTGAATGACTTTTTCTAGACCTTTCTCCTGTTCGGGCACCGAAATGGTGAAGGGTATTGCGAAACTGACGGCCAGAAGGTTGTTTGCGGTCAGCACGCAGAATTTGATGAACCGGAGACGTCGAGTCATTTGCGTGGAGGCCAGCACCAGGTATCGATTCAGAAACACGGCGAGCAGCGAGAATATCATCACTGAACATCTTTAATTGGTATTTCTTCAACAAAAATCAAGTTGTCTTACACCCCATGATTGTGATTACCAGATGAACCTGAAGGACCACCGGGACGCCCAGTTCTTTGAGGTATCCCATTGGAAAACCGGCCAGCACTGGGAACACAACGAATGGCGCCGTGAGCAGACTGATCGCAACGTCGAGAAGCGAGCTCCAGAAGTGCAAATTGAGCATCGGCCATTTGACGGAGCACATCGACGGCGGCGTCTTGAACACTATCATCCAGGCTCCGAAAATATGGATTGGCAGTCCGGCGATTCCTGCGCAGTGCAGCGCAAGCGACAGGAATTTGGGCGTGGCAAAGTAGGAATCTGTTAGAACGCAAGCAGAACTCATAGAGGAATGTTATCGAGAAAAGAAAATGGACGAATGATAAAGTGTGCAGGTTTTCTGTGATTTTATTTGCATATTTTCAGCTGTTATTGTTTTTCGATTGCTAATGCGATATCTGAGATATTAATGCGATATCGCGTTAGCAATGGATAATTTTTAAACGTTCATTTCATAGAATCACACCCGGAGACAGTTTATGAAGAATCCGATTTGAAACCTCCTGTTTCACATTGAAAAACAATAGCATTGAGATGATGAACTCTCGATACGGTCGATGCACCATGATCATGACAATGGTGGAGCCGACTCCGTGCAGTGAGAGCGTGATGAACACAAAGTTGTTGAGCGTTTGATCGTGATGCCACGTGGCAATGATGGCCAGAATTGTGAGCACTGGAGCCAGGACGACGAGGAGCATGAGCGCCGACTGAAATGGGCAGAGACTTTATATTGAAGAAACTTTTTCGCCAAAAAAAAACTGACCTGTACACTTAGGGCAATCATAAAGTTTTTCTGCATTTGCCAGGTTTTTTTGGAGTAGAGCGAATGCATGGAATGTTTGACGATTTGCCAGACGGTCAGCAGACAGAACACACTGATCAAAGTGGCCAGGACGACGGTACCGAAAGCGACGCATGAAAACGGAACGGTGTACGTCAGAGCGAGCACGAAGAGCTTCCGATCGTTGTAGATGAATTCTGGATGGCACGGCAACTGGGCGAGCACAATGCTCCGCGCACTTTCTTGTTCCGGAAGGTCCAGGTAGGGTGGGAGGAATGCGAAAGGGACGAGGCAGTAGATTAACGTCATGAATGGTTTTCGAACACTTTTCCAGCGTGTCGTTTCGCCGAACAGAACATAATAGCGGTTTTCGTAGATGGCGAGCACTGATGCGGCCAGAGCTAAACAGTAATTCAATATAAATCTGGCATCAATCTCTAACCTGTTAATAAAGTGACACAACAGTATATCAAAATCGCTGGCGCGTGGATCAATCCGAGACCACAGCCGGCTGGAATCGGCAGCAAAATGAACGGAATTCCGATGAAGCTGAGCAAAAGATCGGAAAGAGAGCTCCAGAAGTGTAAATTGAGCATGAGCCACTTGACAGACGACATTTGGGCGGGCGTTTTGAACAGAATGCAATAGGCGCCGAACGAGAGGATCGGCACTTCGATGCATGCGGAACAGTGGAGTGCCGTCACCATAAAATCGGGTGACGAGAGGTAGCGGGTGTCGGGAACGCAGTCGGAACTCATCAAATGTCATTCGGCTGGTGTGAGGTTAGAAGATCATGAGGTAAAAGAAAGAAAGAAAGAAAGAAAGAGAGAGAGAGAGGCGTCTAATTAGTTTCTGTTCGAATACACATCGTCAGACTGCTCCTTGATAAGGAACGTTTATGAGGAGGAAAATATGTGGAAAACGTACAAAATTTGGAGTTTAGTCGAATAATGATCACGGTCGCTTTGGTTTTATTGATCTTGAGGATGTGATTCTTTATATTATCGTGTTAGTATTCTGCGTCATGCAACCTTTTTCAAGAATCGTGTGACGACGTTAGTAAAGCAGAGACTAACGAGCAAGGTGTAAACAAAAAACTGTGTTCCAAACATGAATGAATCAACTCTCTCTCTCTCTCTCCACGTCATTCTCCACAGGCCAGATGATCTCTATTTCTGATTTCTAAAGAATGACGATCATAAAATTGTCATGCTCTATGCGTAGCACCTTCATTTCATAGAATCACACTTGGAAGCATCCTAAGACTATTTCGACTTGAAACTTTCTGTTTAATTTTGGAATGCAAAGCCGTTGAGATGGTGAACTCGCGATACGGTCGATGCACCATGATCATGACAACGGTGGAGCCGACTCCGTGCAGTGAGAGCGTGATGAACACAAAGTTGTTGAGCGTTTGATCGTGATGCCACAAAAGGATGATGGCCAGACCTGTGATCACTGGAGCCAGGATGACGAGGAGCATGAGCACGGACTGAAATGGGCAGAGACTACAGATAAACGATTTGAAAAAAAAACCAACCTGTAAACTTAAGGCAATAATAAAGTTTTTCTGCATTTGCCAGGTTCTTTTGGAGTAGAGCGAATGCATGGAATGTTTGACGATTTGCCAGACGGTCAGCAGACAGAAAACACTGATCAAAGTGGCCAGGACCACGGTACCACAAACGATGCATGACAGCGGAACGGTGTACGTCAGAGCGAGCACAAAGAGCTCCCGATCGTTGTAGGTGAATTCTGGATGGCACGGCAACTGGGCGAGCACAATGCTCCGCGCACTTTCTTGTTCCGGAAGGTCCAGGTAGGGCGGGAGGAATATAAAAGGGACGAGGCAGTAGATTAACGTCATGAATGGTTTTCGAACACTTTTCCAGCGTGTCGTTTCGCCGAACAGAACATAATAGCGGTTTTCGTAGATGGCGAGCACTGATGTGGACAGAGCTGAACAACAATGAGTTTAGAAAAGCCATATGGAAAATATAATAACTTTAAATGTACCTGCTACTAAAGTGACACAACAATACATCAAAAGGGCTGGCGAGTAGATCAATCCGAGACCATAGCCGGCTGGAATTGGCAGCAAAATGAACGGAATTCCGATGAAACTGAGCAAAAGATCGGAAAGAGAGCTCCAGAAGTGTAAATTGAGCATGAGCCACTTGACAGACGACATTTGGGCGGGCGTTTTGAAGAGAATGCAATAGGCGCCAAACGAGAGGATCGGCACTTCGATGCATGCGGAACAGTGGAGTGCCGTCACCATAAAATCGGGCGACGAGAGGTAGCGGGTGTCGGGAACGCAGTCGGAACTCATCAAATGTCATTCGGCTGGTGTGAGGTTAGCATTGATCATGAGGTAGAAGAAAGAAAAAAGAGAGAGAGAGAGAGAGAGACGTCTAATTAGTTTCTGTTCGAATACACATCGTCAGACTGCTCCTTGATAAGGAACGTTTTTGAGGAGCCAAATATTTTAAAAACATGAAAAAAGTGGAATCACACGGTCACATCTTTTGTCTCTTCTAACCCCAAAAATGAATGAATCAGCCGAATTTCTTGTCTCAATACTGCACGTCATCAGACACAAAACCAGATGATAGATGTCATACATCACGGAGCCGGCTCTACAATTGTCAGCAGTAGACAGTGCATTTGTAATCTCGGCATTCGTGAAAAAGCTGAAACGAAAACGCAAAAGAGATTTGGAGGAATGGGGGATCGAACCCCAGACTTCTCGCATGCAAAGCGAGCGCTCTACCACTGAGCTATACCCCCGTCCGGAAATGGACTTTCCCGGGGACATGTTGTTCGCGGGAAAAATAGAACAGAAATGAGACGGACAGACATCCGCGTCTAGAATTATTTCGATTCGAAAGTTTGAAAGTCTCTGATTTCCCGCCATGTTGTCACAAACCCCAATTCGGTTTTTCAGGTGGATGCGAAATGGGAACGGTCAGAAACCAGGCTGGTTGCAAAGCGTCTTGTCCGTGAAACTTGTTGCGCTGCCTTTTTGACTAATAATCGACGTGAACCCGTTGTCCGTCGCGTTGGCAGAAAACAGACGTCCCGCCGGCAAGAACAGGAAACGTTTGAATCAGTTTTCGCAAATATGGCCGGCTGGGACGATCTTTCGCTGTGCGCCAAACAAGAAATCATTCAGCGATTGGAATTTCGGACCAGGTAAAATCGCTTCATTAAAGCAGACTTGCCAGATTTCGGGCCGGCCATGCGGGCCGGCCCGGGTCGGCCCGGGCCGGGCCGGGCCGGGCCGGTAAAGTGCCGGCCCGGGCCGGGCCGGGTCGGTGAAGTGCCGGCCCGGCCCGGCCCGGTCGGCCCGGTTCAAAAAGGCGGGAATTCAAATGTTCGCGGAAATTTTTCGTTATTACAAAAAAAATTTTTCGAACTAAAGTTTTAGTGTTTCTTCTTTGTTTTTTTGCTATTATGAATTTTTTTATGAGAAATACATTTGTTTTTTTCAATGTTCGATGCTTGCAAAAAAACCCCTAATTCTACAAAAAAAATGGCTTCATGCGATCAATAATTCAAATTTTTGAATTCCCGCTTTTTGAACCGGGCCGACCGGGCCGGGCCGGGTCGGGCCGGGCCGGGCCGGGCCGACAGGGCCGGGCCGGGCCGGAGTTTTTGGAAATTTCGGCCCGGCCCGGCCCGGCCCGGCCCGGCCCATGGCAACTATGCATTAAAGTTCGGCCAATGCACTCGAAACTCGCTCGCAGATTCCGTTTGCGACACGTGGCAAAGTCGACTCGATTCGCCGTCGATTCCACGCCACTCTTCATTCCACGTGTCAACCTGGAAATCAACAGAAACGATAATATCAAAATAACAGTCTACCTGGGCATCGGCAAATACATCCAGTTGGATTTCGCGAAACGGGGCAGAAACGATTCGGTCATCAAGTCGTACGTTTGTTTTTCTCCTTTTTCAGTATTGCGAATATTTGAAATGAGCATGTGTTTTTTTTCTGGATTTTCAGCACGATTCGTGGCGCGAAAGTGAACAGAAAGACAGTGAACAAGAGCAAGAGCGTTCCGCAAATCAGCCCGCTCACGCTGGCGTTCACCTGCTTCAAAACAGTGACAATGCTCGCGGAAACTACGCTCGGCGCCTTCGAAGTCTGCTGTCTGCTGCCTCCCTCACAATTTATGGACCTCGAATCGCACCTGAGCGGCTCGAGGATCCGCACCCAAGTGCTCAAATTCAGCGGATTCGCCGACGCGCTCTTCTTCTTTTACGTGGATCAGACGTATCTTCTGGAGGTCCAAGGTGTCGATGGTGGCCAGAAAATGATCACGAGCACCAGAAAACTCAGGTTCCGAAGCAAGAAGCATCACGACGGATATCCGGAAAACAACGGATTCGGTGGGTTTCGGTTTCCTTGTGATTATCGATTTTCGATGAGAAACGCTGAAAACATGCTGAAAACTTCAAAAAACGCGAAGTTTTTCCACCCGTTACATCTATGTTTTCATCCGATTCTCGCTAATTTCATAATCCATTTCAGACACGACGTACTGTTTCTCGAAAAGAGCGAAGAACGGAGCAGTGCCGGTGTTAGTGGAACGTGCCAAACGGAAGGGATTTCGGGTCGCCGAGCCGTTAGTTTTTATGGATTTTTCAAGAATAATTTTAGAATTGCAGCGATCCGTATGGTATCACTTGGATCCAACACAATCCCAACTTCTTCAGCTACATTCGCACAACCGAATGTGGCGTCGTCATCAGAAGACTGTCACGCAGGTTCGAGCCCGAGGTTTGGTTTTTTTTAACGAACAAATGCAAAAAAGTCCGATTTTTCCTTCGACTTTGTGACCAATTTGAATTTCCACCGCCAAAAGTGCGGTGTAGCTTACTTGAACTATTGCAGGACATGAGCGCGTGCGAAATGCGATGGACTTGCCCAAAACACGCGGATCCGTTCGACCACTGGTACCAGATGAACGTCGCAAAAGTTGGTGGCCGGGGCCTAGAATTCCATCAGTCTTTTTTCTTGCAGAACACCGATGAAACGGCGGCGGAGCACATGATTCCGATGATCGACGGAGTGTGCCCGGTGCAATTAATCTATGAAAGTCTGGGAATCACCTACGAAATATTCAAGCAAAGAGTGGAAAACGAGGCGATTTTGGGAAGAAGAATGCAGGCGATGAACGACTGGAAAATTGGGTTCTGCGAGCGATTTTTGACATTTTTCGGCGATGGAACTCTCGCGAAAACCTTCATCAACATCATTGCACCGTTCATCGAAATTCCCTGCGTTTTGCTCTTTTTTTTCTGGAAATTACAAATCAATTTCGGATTTCTCTTTCTTGTTTCCGTTTTTCTCTCTGTTTTTGTCGTTTTTTGTGCTTTTACGCACGTTTACTTGTGATTAATAAAAGGGTTGTTCAAAAAGCCGACATTTCCGTGCCTTTCTCTGCTCCATTTGAGTGAAAATTCACCAGAATTTGTCAAGAAACAACAAGAGAATCTCAATTTTTCAGTGAAAGTGCAGCTTACTATGCAAACACGCTCCATTGCACTCGGCGCCAGTTGGCTTTAATTCCACGTGGCAAAAACACGTTTTTCCAGCTTTTTTTCGGCAATGTCTGACAATTTACTTTCGTTTTCATAATGATTTTGTTACTAATTTACTTTTTCCAGCTATCAATTCCTCAGAAAACCCAGAAATTCTCCCGAAATTTGAGGTTTGTCTAATTTATTCCCTTTTTCCGTCGACATTTCTTGTTGGTATTAAATTCCGAAGAATTCCATACATTCTCAAAGTCAAGTCCGTGAAACTGTGTATTTTTGACCTAATAGCTTTTAGTGGCTACAAAAACAACCCTTGTAAAATTTTCAGACGCTCGGCAAAAGATGATCGGCTGGAACCATCTTCCACTTGAAACGAGGCATGAAATTATCAAAAAGATGCCGTTGCGCACCAGGTATTTCGCCTTTTTTTGGGGAATCTGTGAATCAAAAATTTCGATAAAATTCCGTCGGGTTTTGCAGATTCTGCTTCCGCCACGTTGCAAAATCGGCAAAATTGGCCGTGGATTCGGTACCGCTCTACATTCCGCGAGTCAGTCTTAAGACAAGCTCCAATGATGCCGTCGATTTGCTCATCTTTACGAGCATCGGAAAAGTGACGAAATTGAAGTTTCTCAGAAAGACGGACCGAGTTCTTCTCCACGTGTAAGTTGGTTGATGGCTCGTTGTCGATGACCGGCGCAGTCGGTGCAGCAGCAGCAGCGGCCGGCTTGTGGAAGAAGAAGCAGCCGGTGTTTCGGCAGTTGAATCCGAAGCTGCATTTCTTCAGATGTTTGAAGTGGCAAACCGGATTGCGGCACGGAATCATATTCTCGAGAGAAGCGATTCTGAAACCTTAAACGATTGTTTTCTACTGAGAATTTGTAATTTTCTTACTCTGGAAGTGATTTGCTAGTTGGCTGCTTGATCGAATTGGCACCATCCTTCGGCGGAGTCAATTCTTTCGACGCTTCCGCTTCCCCCTCCTTCTTCTCATTTTCCTCAGTCTTCTGCTCCTTCTTTTCGGTTGGAGAGCCCTTCCTCTTGATTGAAGCGGCCAACTTTTCTGCGAGATTTCCGAGAGCTCCACGAACAGTCGGCTTGGGAAGCACTTCGGGTGTCTTCAAGAGCGCAGAAACTCGGTTCGAAGTGAGAGGACTCCAGGTTGACTCCAGTTTGAACTCCGCCGGTTCCGTGATGAGTGAATGGACAGTGTTTCTTCGTGCAGAAACGGTCGAAACGGCACGGTGGATGGATAAACGGCAGCGGATTCCATAAGTGCAATTCGGGAAGTTTCTGAAAAAGAAAGGTTTTGAAAAGTAGAGGTAAGCCACACGCACATGTTGCGTCAGACCCGAAGCGCAATCGCAGAAACATTTGAGAACTTCGCAACACTTTATACTGTACAATTAAACATTTTTCTTTCAAAAAACGCATTTTAATTAAAACAGAACAAACAAAACAGCAAAGATAAGAGAACAGATTGCGAAAATTATCATGATTCTCTCAATAGTTCCGATTTGAGCGGTGCGCTCCGAATTGATCGTGTTCGCTTTGATCAATTTTTGCTTCGGCTCGACTTTCGGCTTCGCGATTTTTGCGGCTTTTTTTTTAGTTTTCTGGAAGAAATGACAATTTCTCGTAATTTTCACAAACGCTTCAGTATTACCTTAGAATCGGCCGACTTTTTTGTTGCAAAATTCGGAAGCTTATTCAACAAATTCGGCAGTTTTGCGAGTTCGATCGGAAGTTGCTTCCACGTGTTGCGATCACATGCGAATTGTTGGAACATCTCGGTCAAGAAGCAGTATCCGTCGAGCGTCGGAACGAACTCGTCGGAGCTCTCGACAACCACTCCGCCCCGCCGAACTTTGTCCTGAAAATCGATTTCGGAAGAGATTTTAGGCGCTGAAATCTCACCTTCCAGATGTTTCTGTGATACCAGAAGTCGAACGGATCCGCGTGAGTTTGACAAGCCCAACGCAGCTCACAATGTCCATCAAAGTTCTGAAAAATTGAGATGTTTTCGTAAATGTTTCAACAAAAAACCTCCTCTTCTATCTCCCGATCCGTATTTCGAAGTAGTCGTCCGCACTTGGTGGTCCTCATGTACAGAAACGCGATGCCGAACGCGCACCGAATGATTTCGTCGTCAGGCCCGCTGAAAAATATACTTTTTGCAGATGTTGCATGTTTTTCGCTCACCGACGCTCCACTTTTCCCATTCGTTTCACGTCGTTCACGTATCCGTCGTAGTGCTCGCGCACTTCCTCGTTAGTCATGTACGAGTTGGCTGAAAATACGGAGAATTATCGAACATTTGTACTTAATTAAGAAATATTGTTTACATTCTTCCGGCAAAAAACTTACAAAGACGGGGAATCGTCGGACGACCATAAAAAGGACTCTTGCTCAATCGATCCGCTGCGTTCTTCGTCCGAAATTTCAGCTGTTTGCAATAGGATCGGCCCGGTCCCACCGGACGTGCGAATTCCTGACCGTTGGGGATCGGCAATTCATCGTCAATCTTGGTTTGAATCACAAATTCCTGCAGATCAGCTACCGTGCAGCGAAGAGCAAACAAGTGCGCCCGACGTTTACACGGCACTTTTATGAGCAGAGTCCGGAATTGCGAGCCCTCGAGAAGTTCCTCGATTCGCCACGTGGCCCGCGCGTCGAGCTCCATAAACACTTCGAGACCGCCCAGAAGGGTTTGACGGTGCGCCGCCAGGTTTATAATCACTTTTGTGGCCAGAAGAACCGGCACCTCGTTGGTCGAGAACAGATTTACTACCTTTTTGGGAACAGAGCTTCCGAATCTGAAAATAAATGAATATTTTGAATTATTTTGAGCCAGTCGGGGACTCACACTATAAGCCGCGTCTGTCCGTTCGGCGCCTTGTCGAATTTCAAATTGATTTGTTTCTCGATTCCGAGAAACAAGGCAATGTAGACTTCGTCGGCCGTTTGCGCGCAAAAACGGACTCTTTGCACGAAGAGCGGTGTCGAATCGACGACATTTTTCACCGATTTAGCCACGTGGCGGAAGCGGAATCTGAAAAATAGAAATTTGTCGTTTTTTGTTGAATTATCCAATTTTCAGGTGAAAGCAAGCGAAAAAAATCTTTTCAACACGAAAAAGGCACTTTTTTTGAAAAATTTCTCGAACAAATCCGAGAAGAATTGCGTCGGCAATTTTCAGACAGTTTACCTGCTTCGAAGCTCCAATTTTTTGATGATTTCCTGCTGAATTTCCAGCGGACAATCGCTCCATCCGCGCATTTTCGAGAAACTGATTGGTGGGCGACGGGCGGCGCACAGGCGGACCACATGACCTTGCCACGTGACAGAGTGTCACGTTTTTTTTTGCACTAGAGCGCTTTTGCAATATCCGCGACGTCGTCGTGATCGGTGGTCCCGCCGGTCGCGGAATTGATTGTGTTCTAGGAAGAACGTGTCGCGTGAAAAACATATAAATGTTCAAGATTTATTGAAAAAAATAGAAATAAAGATAAAACAGAGTGACTGTTAGGTCGATTCCTTCTTCACAATCACCCGCGTCTTCTGATATTGAGCAAGCGTTTTTCCCTTGTAGACCACGTACCGAGGATACGGTTGCGGCGGTAACTACGCTCGGCGCCTTCGAAGTCTGCTGTCTGCTGCCTCCCTCACAATTTATGGACCTCGAATCGCACCTAAGCGGCTCGAGGATCCGCACTCAAGTGCTCAAATTCAGCGGATTCGCCGACGCGCTCTTCTTCTTTTACGTGGATCAGACGTATCTTCTGGAGGTCCAAGGTGTCGATGGTGGCCAGAAAATGATCACGAGCACCAGAAAACTCAGGTTCCGAAGCAAGAAGCATCAAGACGGATATCCGGAAAACAACGGATTCGGTGGGTTTCGGTTTCCTTGTGATTATCGATTTTTGATGAGAAACGCTGAAAACATGCTGAAAACTTCAAAAAACGCGAAGTTTTTCCACCCGTGACATGTATGTTTTCATCCGATTCTCATAATCCATTTCAGACACGACGTACTGTTTCTCGAAAAGAGCGAAGAACGGAGCAGTGCCGGTGTTAGTGGAACGTGCCAAACGGAAGGGATTTCGGGTCGCCGAGCCGTTAGTTTTTATGGATTTTTCAAGAATAATTTTAGAATTGCAGCGATCCGAATGGTATCACTTGGATCCAACACAATCCCAACTTCTTCAGCTACATTCGCACAACCGAATGTGGCGTCGTCATCAGAAGACTGTCACGCAGGTTCGAGCCCGAGGTTTGGTTTTTTTCAACGAACAAATGCAAAAAAGTCCGATTTTTCCTTCTTTTTTCTTGCAGAACACCGATGAAACGGCGGCGGAGCACATGATTCCGATGATCGACGGAGTGTGCCCGGTGCAATTAATCTATGAAAGTCTGGGAATCACCTACGAAATATTCAAGCAAAGAGTGGAAAACGAGGCGATTTTGGGAAGAAGAATGCAGGCGATGAACGACTGGAAAATTGGGTTCTGCGAGCGATTTTTGACAGTTTTCGGCGATGGAACTCTCGCGAAAACCTTCATCAACATAATTGCTCCGTTCATCGAAATTCCCTGCGTTTTGCTCTTCTTTTTCTGGAAATTACAAATCAATTTCGGATTTCTCTTTCTTGTTTCCGTTTTTCTCTCTGTTTTTGTCGTTTTTTGTGCTTTTACGCACGTTTACTTGTGATTAATAAAAGGGTTGTTCAAAAAGCCAACATTTCCGTGCCTTTCTCTGCTCCATTTGAGTGAAAATTCACCAGAATTTGTCAAGAAACAACAAGAGAATCTCAATTTTTCAGTGAAAGTGCAGCTTACTATGCAAACACGCTCCATTGCACTCGGCGCCAGTTGGCTTTAATTCCACGTGGCAAAACACGTTTTCCAGCTTTTTCGGCAATGTCTGACAATTTACTTTCGTTTTCATAATGATTTTGTTACTAATTTACTTTTTCCAGCTATCAATTCCTCAGAAAACCCAGAAATTCTCCCGAAATTTGAGGTTTGTCTAATTTATTCCCTTTTTCCGTCGACATTTCTTGTTGGTATTAAATTCCGAAGAATTCCATACATTCTCAAAGTCAAGTCCGTGAAACTGTGTATTTTTGACCTAATAGCTTTTAGTGGCTACAAAAACAACCCTTGTAAAATTTTCAGACGCTCGGCAAAAGATGATCGGCTGGAACCATCTTCCACTTGAAACGAGGCATGAAATTATCAAAAAGATGCCGTTGCGCACCAGGTATTTCGCCTTTTTTTGGGGAATCTGTGAATCAAAAATTTCGATAAAATTCCGTCGGGTTTTGCAGATTCTGCTTCCGCCACGTTGCAAAATCGGCAAAATTGGCCGTGGATTCGGTACCGCTCTACATTCCGCGAGTCAGTCTTAAGACAAGCTCCAATGATGCCGTCGATTTGCTCATCTTTACGAGCATCGGAAAAGTGACGAAATTGAAGTTTCTCAGAAAGACGGACCGAGTTCTTCTCCACGTGTAAGTTGGTTGATGGCTCTCCAATGCGGTCCCAAGTTTTTCAGAATTGATCCCGTTGTCGATCTTACGAAATCGGTTGGCAACGAAAGCCCGATGCTCTTGGCCATTTACGTCCTCAAACACCTCGCGATGAACCCGAAAACCACCCTCGGAACTCTGGAGTGCTACATTGAAAACTGGAGTTCGGGTCACTACGATTGGCCGGAAATAGACAGAGTGCTCGGAAATGCTCAGTTCCGCACCAAGGTCGTGCATTACAGTGGGCGAAATGTCCGTGTAAGTTGAGCTGAGACCTTAAAATGCATCTTTCAAAAGATTCGCGCTTCCTTTTAAAAAAAATATTGCAGCCGCCCGGTCCGATCCTTGCCAGCCGTCTCCATCCTGCCCATTTAGTCGAAGTTCGAACGACGCGACCGCCGAGTAATAAGGAACTCGCCGAAATGCGTCAATTTCCGATTCTGAGGGCCGAACAGATTCCGCTGACACTAACGAAGACAATAAGGGTGCGATGCCGGCCGGAAGACGTGCCCAAATTCAAGGAATTCGGTACGGCTTACTAGCCGGGCATAGAAAAGAAAAACGACTTTGAAAAATTCAGTTTCTAGAACAACGGTACACTGGAACCGGCTTATGTCCTGCCGAATGGCAAAATTCGGTTTCCCTATACAAGTCAAGTATTCCAAAAGAATACTTTGTGAAAGAAGAGCAGTTGTAAGAGAATGAAAAACAACATTTCCCCACCAATCAACCGTTTTTAGAGGACCGAACGACGTTGTGCTCTCCTACCTCACCGCCTACAGGAGCGCGATGATGCACACTCGAGTGACCGCTTGCGGATGTATCATCAAAAAGATCAAGAACGGATTTGAACTGGAGAATGTGAGAACAGAATGAGAACATCAAATTTTACCCGAGGGAATAGGCCCACAAAAAGGCAGGCGTTTGAGAACATAGTTACAATTGATTCAAAAAGTCCAAAGCTTGAAAATCCTTGTCTTTTTCTTGTTAAACGGTAAACTTTTTCAGCCGTACACCGCCGGAGTCTGCGCTCGTCGGTGGGCATGTCAAATCCACGGAGATCGATTCGATCACTGGTATCAGAGACACAAATCAACGGATATCACTTGGGAACTGGCGGACAGCACCGTCGAGCACATTATTCCGGTGCTCAATGGCGTCTGCCCGGTCACAAAGTACATTGATGACGTGGCGGCCGAGTACAAATTGTGGAAAAAGACGATTAAAAACAAGAAAACGGAGGAAAGTGAGCGGGAAGAGCTTCGAATCGATGGGAACTCGGCCGAATACTCGCAGCCCGAACGAGATGAACAAACGATGGAGCAATGATTGGCAGAAACGCGCCCTGGTCTCGAGAGGATTTAAATCATTTTCGCTCTTTTTTCTCTCATCCTTGCACTTTTGTTTTCTCTCCTGAAAATGGTTCTGAAAATCGATTTCGGAGGAGATGCCTAAAGGCGCAAAAAAAACCTCTTCTATCTCCTGATCCGTATTTCGAAGTCGTCGTCCGCACTTGGTGGTCCTCATGTCGACTACTACCATGTTCGGTCCTCGATTATTTTGCTTCGGTCCTCGATTTTAGACCAGTGCCGAACTTTGATAACCGCTTGTGAACTGATAGATTATATCGAATTATATCGAACACTTTCTTCGGTTCCTGCTTCCTCTCGCTCTCCTCATTCCACCGTTTTCCCCTTTTCTGCGCCTCGAATTCGTCGTGATCCGCCTTGAATTCCAGCAGTTTCTCCGGGGAAAGCAATTGAGCAAGGTACTCGTCCATGCTTTCGCGGACCATTTCTTCGTCCGTCCCCGCGAGATGGTCAGCAGAGATGATGTTGCAAATTGAGAATCTTGTTTGGATTTGGGGCATTTTTGGACAAAACTTATGACGCAAATAATGGAGAAACGGGATGTATGAACATGTTCGGAAATGAATCATCGCTGGGAGTGGGTGGTAGGAGAGAAGCTCCAATTCCGGAATATTTAGCTTAGAGCTCAGAGAAGTCAGGAACGGAAGCGGCTTCTAACAAAAAGTGTACGCTACAATTATATAATTAGAATTGAACAGTGTCATTCAAAGAAATATCGGGGAGAATTGCAAAAAAGAAACTACTAGCTCGGTTGGACAGATAACTAAATGGGAAAAGCTAATGAATGCTCTGCGATACTTATATAATTCGTATTGACAAATCGCTAGATAAAAGATAAAGTTTCGAAACGAATAGTTGAGAGGGACTACAATAGGAAGACAATGAGGAAAAGACACTGAGAAAGAAAGGGTATGGAGTGACACGTCAGATCAACGGGAGCTTGAGAGTGGAGGACTAGGGAGCGGCGGCAGTCCACTTGTACTTGGAAATTTGCCGCGGAGTTGTCGATGACCGGCGCAGTCGGTGCAGCAGCAGCAGCGGCCGGCTTGTGGAAGAAGAAGCAGCCGGGGTTTCGGCAGTTGAATCCGAAGCTGCATTTCTTCAGATGTTTGAAGTGGCAAACCGGATTGCGGCACGGAATCATATTCTCGAGAGAAGCGATTCTGAAACCTTAAACGATTGTTTTCTACTGAGAATTTGTAGTTTTCTTACTCTGGAAATGATTTGCTAGTTGGCTGCTTGATCGAATTGGCACCATCCTTCGGCGGAGTCAATTCTTTCGACACTTCCGCTTCCTCCTCCTTCTTCTCATTTTCATCAGTCTTCTCCTCCTTCTTTTCGGTTGGAGAGCCCTTCCTCTTGATTGAAGCGGCCAACTTTTCTGCGAGATTTCCGAGAGCTCCACGAACAGTCGGCTTGGGAAGCACTTCGGGTGTCTTCAAGAGCGCAAAAACTCGATTCGAAGTGAGAGGACTCCAGGTTGAACTCCGCCGGTTCCGTGATGAGTGAATGGACAGTGTTTCTTCGTGCAGAAACGGTCGAAACGGCACGGTGGATGGATAAACGGCAGCGGATTCCATAAGTGCAATTCGGGAAGTTTCTGAAAAAGAAGAGTACTGAAAAATAGAGGTAAGTCACACACACGCACACACATGTTGCGTCAGACCCGAAGCGCAATCGCAGAAACATTTGAGAACTTCGCAACACTTTATACTGTACAATTAAACATTTTTCTTTCATAAAACGCATTTTAATTAAAACAGAACAAACAAAACAGCAAAGATAAGAGAACAGATTGCGAAAATTATCATGATTCTCTCAATAGTTCCGATTTGAGCGGTGCGCTCCGAATTGATCGTGTCCGATTTGATCAATTTTTGCTTCGGCTCGACTTTCGGCTTCGCGATTTTTGCGGCTTTTTTTTCAGTTTTCTGGAAGAAATGACAATTTCTCGTAATTTTCACAAACGCTTCAGTTTTACCTTAGAATCGGCCGACTTTTTTGTTGCAAAATTCGGAAGCTTATTCAACAAATTCGGCAGTTTTGCGAGTTCGATCGGAAGTTGCTTCCACGTGTCGCGATCCCATGCGAATTGTAGGAAAATCTCGGTCAAGAAGCAGTATCCGTCGAGCGTCGGAACGAACTCGTCGGCGCTCTCGACAACCACTCCGCCCTGCCGAACTTTGTCCTGAAAATCGATTTCGGAAGAGATTTTAGGCGCTGAAATCTCACCTTCCAGATGTTTCTGTGATACCAGTAGTCGAACGGATCCGCGTGAGTTTGACAAGCCCAACGCAGCTCACAATGTCCATCAAAGTTCTGAAAAATTGAGATGTTTTCGTAAATGTTTCAACAAAAAACCTCCTCTTCTATCTCCCGATCCATATTTCGAAGTAGTCGTCCGCACTTGGTGGTCCTCATGTACAGAAACGCGATGCCGAACGCGCACCGAATGATTTCGTCGTCAGGCCCGCTGAAAAATATACTTTTTGCAGATGTTGCATGTTTTTCGCTCACCGACGCTCCACTTTTCCCATTCGTTTCACGTCGTTCACGTATCCGTCGTAGTGCTCGCGCACTTCCTCGTTCGTCATGTACGAGTTGGCTGAAAATACTTAGAATTATCGAACATTTGTACTTAATTAAGAAAGATTGTTTACATTCTTCCGGCAAAAAACTTACAAAGACGGGGAATCGTCGGACGACCATAAAAAGGACTCTTGCTCAATCGATCCGCTGCGTTCTTCGTCCGAAAGTTCAGCTGTTTGCAATAGGATCGGCCCGATCCCACCGGACGTGCGAATTCCTGACCGTTGGGAATCGGCAATTCATCGTCAATCTTGTTTTGAATCACAAATTCCTGCAGATCAACTACCGTGCAGCGAAGAGCAAACATGTGCGCCCGATGTTCACACGGCACTTTTATGAGCAGAGTCCGGAATTGCGAGCCCTCGAGAAGTTCCTCGATTCGCCACGTGGCCTGCGCGTCGAGCTCCATAAACACTTCGAGACCGCCCAGAAGGGTTTGACGGTGCGCCGCCAGGTTTATAATCACTTTTGTGGCCAGAAGAACCGGCACCTCGTTGGTCGAGAACAGATTTACTACCTTTTTGGGAACAGAGCTTCCGAATCTGAAAATAAATGAATATTTTGAATTATTTGGAGCCAGTCGGGGACTCACACTATAAGCCGCGTCTGTCCGTTCGGCGCCTTGTCGAATTTCAAATTGATTTGTTTCTCGATTCCGAGAAACAAGGCAATGTAGACTTCGTCGGCCGTTCGCGCGCAAAAACGGACTCTTTGCACGAAGAGCGGTGTCGAATCGACGACATTTTTCACCGATTTAGCCACGTGGCGGAAGCGGAATCTGAAAAATAGAAATTTGTCGTTTTTTGTTGAATTATCCAATTTTCAGGTAAAAGCAAGCGAAAAAAATCTTTTCTACACGAAAAAAGCACTTTTTTTGAAAAATTTCTCGAACAAATCCGAGAAGAATTGCGTCGGCAATTTTCAGACAGTTTACCTGCTGCGAAGCTCCAATTTTTTGATGATTTCCTGCTGAATTTCCAGCGGACAATCGCTCCATCCGCGCATTTTCGAGAAACTGATTGGTGGGCGACGGGCGGCGCACAGGCGGACCACATGACCTTGCCACGTGACAGCAGTGTCACGTTTTTTTTTGCAGTAGAGCGCTTTTGCAATATCCGCGACGTCGTCGTGATCGGTGGTCCCGCCGGTCGCGGAATTGATTGTGTTCTAGGAAGAACGTGTCGCGTGAAAAACATACAAATGTTCACGATTTATTGAAAAAAAATAGAAATAAAGATAAAACAGAACAGAGCGACTGTTAGGTCGATTCCTTCTTCACAATCACCCGCGTCTCCTGATATTGAGCAAGCGTTTTTCCCTTGTAGACCACGTACCGAGGATACGGTTGCGGCGGTCCAGTCGACACCTTTTCTGACGGACCATGCATCAGTTCAGCCGGTGATAGTGGTGGCGGCGACGGGTATGCGGGATGGAACCGCCCGAATTGATAATGTTGAACCGGAGGACATCCCGGAGCTTGAGCTGATGATGTCGGCGGTCCACGATATTCCGGTGGACCCGTCTGATCTGGATCCGCAACATTCGGAGCAACTTGTGGTCGATCTGGCCCGGCTGATGATGTCGGAGCCAAGCCATCCATATATTCCGTTATTGTGCCTTGGTTGCAATGAGGAGTCAAAAAAGGCGAAGAAATATAGATCGGTTCATGAAAACCAAGACCGAAAAAGAAAAGAGAAACTGTAGAATGATTGCAAGTTTATTGGTTGCAGACTGCTCTCAGCAGTGGTGTGAAAATCAACGTGAATTCAGTTACAGATTACATATTTTTTAGTTTTATATACGGGCGGCATCATCGCCTACGCATCCGGATTCTCGTTCTTCTTGAGGCCGACGGCGAGGAACTTTTCGACAGCCTCCACCAGTCTTTCCTCCTCCGCCGGAGCTTCCGCCGCCGGCTGGACTACTTCCGCGATCGGGTTGCTCGGCGAGCCCGCGGATCTTCTCCGCACGGCGACAACCTGTCTGCCTGCCGCCGCCGGAGCGTTTCCGACGTCTCGGGGCCTCACGACGACGACGACGTGATGGGAGCGACGGTGGCGTTCGAGGGTCGCCTTGTGCTTGAACGTCTGGTTGCAGTAGGTGCAACGGAAGTGCTCTGTAAATGACATGTCTTGTGAGGGAAAGACTGGACATTTCGCAACCAAAATTATGAGACTATTGTAGGTCTATTCAGGAGTCAACACTAACCTCTATGGTCGGGACGGGCGACGCGACGAATCACTACGTTTGGAAGCATTATCGATCGATTGATTGGGTCGAGTGAAGAGCAGAAACTGAAAAAGGACAATGCGAGAGGGTGGACGGAAAGAAAATGAATAGATGGAGACGAGTACGAACGACCAGCGACCAGGAACCGCAACGCGAAGCGGTCCGCATTTCGCGCGCAAGTGTGAGGGCCACTCGATCGATATCATCTGCAAGGGACACCTGCAAGGCAAGTGAGAGAGGCGGTGGTCGCGCGGGAAGCGATCTGCCAAGGTCCCTATGAGGTGGCAATCTTGGCCAATAGGAGCACGTTTTGGAGACTTGGGCAACATTTTTGAGGGTCTGTGTGCTCTTGCGCTTTTGACTCACTTGCAATATTCAGATTGGACCCATACTTTGCAGGCTTGTCAATTTGTCAACTAATGATGAACAATTAATCAGTTGACAACTATCTGATACCTTTATCTGAAGCCGAGATACATAAAGAATCATCGAAAGAACCTTCCGGAAATAATTGACTGATAAAAAGTTCGAAGCGAAAGTTTTGAATGAATGAATACTGAGACGTATATTGATTGAATGGTTGAGAGTGACCAGTGATGACAACAACGAAAGAGTGTTTCGAAAAAATCAATCTTTATTTATTGGTTACTGTTCATTTATTATTAATGTTCACTTATTCATACTCGATCTCCTTCTTCACAATCATTTCCTGGTTCTCCTTCTCCTCGGCTCCGACGTCCTGCTCCATAATCTCCGGCTCCAGCGCCAACAGCTTCTGCGTGACCGTCAACAGATCGGCCAGAGCTCCCGAGTCGCCTTCGCTCAACGCCATCTCCACCGACTTCACGAAGCGGGCCTTCAGATCCGCCGGCGACTCGGCCCTCGTCATTCTTCTGGACGGACGGAGAATCGGCCGGAATGGAAGCGGCACAGCTTTCGGAGCCGGCTCGGGGCTCGAGCTGCTCGAGGAACACGATACGAGGGATGCTGCTCCGGAGCTCAATCGCTGTCGGATCGGAGTGACCGCCTGCTGAAGGGATCCGGGCGCGTAGCGGCTCTTGGCAATCGGCTCAACGTCTCCGGGAGTGGACGTCTTCCGAATCGAGGCCATGTGGGCGATCATATGCTTTTTGTTGACGAACGTCCAGTTGCAGCATCCGCACGTGAACACGGGATGATGATTGTGCTTGAGAAGCATGTGGTTCGAGATGGTCAAGGATCCGTCGAGCTGCTCGTTGCACAGAAGACACGTCACGTCGGCCACGTGGCGGGTGAGACGGTGGCGGTTGAGCGAGGCGTTGTGCGTGAATTTCTGGTTGCATGTCGCGCATTCAAAGTTTCCTGAAGATCATGTTATGATCAATGAGACTCGATGATTGATAGACAAACCTTTGAGGTCCGGACGTCTCAGCTCTTCGCCTTTCTTTCGGTGGACGCGCGGAATCATTACGGAAAGCATTATTATCGATCGATTGAAGAGCAGAAACTGAAAGAGGACAATGTGAGTGAGCGGATGAGTGAATGAATGGAACGGACTACGCTACGAATGTCCTTTTAGGGCTAGGGCCGCGTCGCGCGGAAGTGAAGATGGGACATGTGTGGCAGGGGCCGGTAGCTCCGATGTGCTAGCATGACTCGATCGATATTATGCAGAAGGGACCACCCGAAACTGTAATAAACAAGGGAAGAAATGACCTAGCGGATCGTGATGAATAAGTAGATTGAACGGAGAATTTATAGAAGGCCAATATTAACAATATGTATGTAGTACATCCTTTTTTAAAGATTCATTTTTACGGCCTCTTTTGACGCTTCGAAGTTACACACTTTCCGAGAAGAACCATAAGTTTGTAATTGATCATGTTCTTGAGTGGCCTGCCAGTACAAGTTCATCACAATCAAATCTAGCAATTCTAGCAAACTTTATTCCAATCAGAACAACACTACAATCAATTTATGGACACTTTCAGCCAACGTCACTCGATTGTCTGTTCATTTCTGGAAGACGTACAAGTGTTCCCGAACATTCAACAACCTGGCTCACCTATTCTGATCATCTGAACCCTCCGAGCATTTTCTTGGCCACTTTCCGATATTGAGAAGAGAGAAAAAAGCAGATGAGCATGTGGGTGGTCCCATTTAACACCATCAACACTTGAAATATGGACGTGAAAATGCCGAGTATCGTGCTGAAATTGATGAGTTGTCTATGGGATGCGATTGCATACTGTGCTCACGTCAGGGTAATATTATCGTAGACAATAACTTGAGCCAGGTACAGTAGTCCGAGTGGAAGTACGGTGAGCAGGAAGGATACGGTCATGAAGGTGACGAGTTTCGTCCGTCTCGTCCCGCTCTCAGTTTCACTTTCCGTCACCTTTGCGCCCACCCGCTTCTTTGCTTTTCCGATTTCCCAGAGAAGAAGACACGTGGCGACGGGCAGGATGGCGGAGGGCAACAGTTTGAACAGGAGTCCCTGATAGAGCAGTATCATCTTGTTCTCGTACTCGTAATTCTGATTGAACACGTTCGTGAACTCGAATGCGTACTGCTCTTGCGTATAGTTTTCCGGAAGATTCGAACACGTTTTCGGCGCCACCCACACAACTTTAAGTGTAATGATATCGGTGGCGGCGAACGAGAGGAACCAGAATGGGAGAATGATCAGAGTCACTAAGAGGACGGCTCGGATGCCGTACCGCGATTGTGAGAGACGATTGTATCTGCAATTCTAGCGTCACCTCTTCCTGTTCTGTCAGTTTTGACTCACTTCGGGTTCATCAAGTTTTTGAGAATGACAGTCCGGAAAACGGCCATGATGACCGCGTACCAAATCGAACAGCACTGGAGGAAGAGGAAGAAGGAGTAGATGAATTTGGTGAACAACATCATCCAATAGGAGATTGGCGGAATACTGAACAATATTTATTGTCTTGCTTCAAACGATTCACGGCGACCAAAAGTGTAGAAAGGGGCGTGGCCTAATCTGAGACGCGTTTTCTGAAAATTGCCGCAATTCCAGCACACTTTTCCGATATTTTGTGTGTTTGATATCGACGAGAAAAGAGACATTAAAGTGAGAAAACATTGAAATTTTCGTGAAAACGCCGCCTTTTGAGACGTTTTTGGCATATTTCGCAATACGCTCTCCGCGGCCAAACGCCGCCGCAATTTCGGAATTTTCAGCACGTTAATACAAGTATTTTAAGCGTTCAAACGGCAAAAAGTATCGGCGAATGACTGAAATTCGCGCATTTTCAGCACAAAACTTGAAAATCGATTCAATTGATTCATTCTCTGAATGAAACCTGCTCGTTTTAAGCTCAAAAAGTGCGCGATGATTAGTTTAACAATGCTATGCAATTACATCGTCGAAATCGTACAAAATTTGGGTAATTTTTGACGAAAAACATGAAAAATGGGGTTAAATTTCGAATTTCGCGCCAAAATGGTGATAAACCGTGCACGCGCTAGGCCCCACGCCCCTTTTTACGTTTTTGGTCGCCGTGCGATTGCATTTCCATTACCACTCAAACGGAGTTCCTTCCAGTTTGATTCGAAAGTAGTACGGTGCCGCGAGGATAATATTACAAATCATGACGGTCATGTCACAAAAGCAAATGGCCGCTAGGAAAGTGTTTATCGACAGTTTGCGCATATATTTTCGCGTTAGCACCAAAAAGTGGAAAGTGTTTGCGAAAAGTCCGATGAAACAGATGATGAGGTTGGCTTTGGAAATGTAGTCGGTGTAGGAGCTGAATGGTTCGGTGAGCTTTAGGGGTTTTAGGCGAACTTACTTCAAAAAGAGAAGAATTTCGATCCATTCGTCATTGTCGAACATTTGTTCTTCTGTCTTCTGATGAGCACCAACGAAATGAGACGTTCGTTGTGGTATTGTGATGTTTTGATTCGAAAATAAAATTCGAAAATAATTAGTCTGTCGGCGCGGGAAGAATAACAATCTTACTTTGAAAATAATAAAAAAGATTATGATTCATTAATTCACGATTGTTGATTCGATGACGTCATCGCCTTTTCAGACGTCTTTGTTTTTCAGAACGGACCGCCCGGAGAGAATCTCTTCGATTTGCGCCGGAACGGAGAAAAAGCGAACGTTCGATACGGCCGATGCACCATAATCATGACGAGAGTGGTGCCGACGCCGTGGAAGGAGAGCGTGATGAACGCGACGTTGTTGAGCGTCTGGTCGTGGTGCCACGTGACGATTATCGCGAGGATTGTGAACACCGGAGCGGCCACTATCACCAGCATGAACGCCGACTGAAATCTATTATAACTCAAAAGTGACAGGGTTTGGGATGAAATAATCAACTACAAAGTTGTTGAGCACAAAATTTGCAACAACTTTGCAGTTGAACACTTTTTGCAAATATCCTTGATTTTCTAGATAAGAGTCCCCAAAGATAAGGTAAAATAGATGTTTTATGCGGATGCACCAAATGATCTTGCGACCAGACATAATTGACGCTTATGTAAGTTTTATGAAAATTTCAACACTCCTTTCTATTTTTACTAATTGGCTCTAAAAGTTGAGAGAAACGAAACAGCTCTTTGGAGCCCAGAACACAACGTAGATACTGTAATAGAAGGGTACCCCTTATATTGTATATTCAAGACGATTTATCTCAGTTGGCGGTAAACATATCAAAAAGCTGTCAACTGATAAAATGCTCGCAAAGAGATTGTGCACATTTTATCCGTTGACAACTTTTTGATATCTCTTTATCCAACTGAGATATATAGTTTTGTTTCTCGAAACGCAGAATCATTCAGCCGAAAATGAATGCTATTTCTGGAATCTTCATGAACAATGCTTTTGAATCATGCAAGATGCATGCCTAGTAAACACGTGGAAGAGTTCTCACAATAGAGTTTTCTAGGCCACCATTTACCTGAAAAGCGAGCGCCAACGTGAACATCCTCTGCAAATGATGAGTCTTCATCGAAAACGACATCATTTTTCCGAACCACAAGTTGAAAATATTGGCGAAAAAGAAGAGAATGAGGAGTGATCCGAGCAGTCCCGCAGCCGCAAACAGGCACAAGAAGAGGGTACCGTAGTCGAGCGTCAGCACGAACATTTCACGATCAGAGTAGGAGAAGTCGGGAAGACACGGCAGCTCGCGGAGCACAGTCCTTCGAGCACTTTCCTGCTCGGGAATGTTGAGGTACGGAGGCGTGAACATGAGTGGAACCAGACAATATACGACCGTCATTGCCGGTTTTCTCGCTCGACTCCACCACGTGTTTCGAGCGAATAAAACGTAGTATCGGTTCTCGTAGCAGGCGACGACAGAGGCGCCAGACGCTGGAAAAACTATTGTTTGTGTTCATTCATAACAACATATCTCGGTTGCGTGAAGAGATATCAAAAAGTTGTCAACTGATGAATTATTCAAAATGAGATTTTACATCTTTTATCTGTTGACAACTATTTGACATCTTTACAGACAGCCGAGATACATCGTCTTGAATAAACCGACTTAGTTAGTTCTTCTATAACAGTATTGCATTTTCAAGTTCACCTGCCAAAAGAGTCAAACAGACGTAGAGCCACAGTGCGGGAGCGTCAATGAGTCCGAGTCCGTAGCCGGCCATTGCGGGCAGACGGAGGTACGGAATGAAGAAGACGCTGAGCGAGACGGCGTAGAGAGCACTCCAAAAGTGCACATTCAGCATGAGCCACTTGACGGATCGCATTTGCGTGGGCGTTTTGAACACAATGCAATAGGTGCCGAACGAGAGAATCGGCACTTCGAGACACGACATGCAGTGGAGTACGGTGGCGAGAAAATCGGGCGAGGAGAGGTAATGGGTGTCTGCGATGCATGCGGTGGTCATCGATGAGATCTTTTTCCGATACTTTTTGAAGAGGAAGTCGAAAAATGGACGAATACAATTCGATTGGAGTTCCAATGCAAAAAGGGCGTGGGGAGCTCGCTCATTCGATTTCCAAATGTGATTGGGAATTTGCGTATGATCACGAAAAAGCTGGATTTTTCTGCGAAAACTGTGTAGCAGGGGTGTGCGGAAAATATTTCGATTTTCCGAAATTTTCCGATTTTCCGAGAAATTTTCGGAAAATTAGTGTGGATTCAAGGTCAATTTGTCCGAAACCACCGTATGCTTTTTAAAGGCGCATCACAAAATTTTTGGAAGGGTCTAGCAGCGAGCGTCTTTTTAAATTTGATTTTTAAATTTTACGCAATTTCTTTCGAAATATTCCATTGCTTGGCTTCCGCCCACTCAAGTGATTTCAAATCATAATAAGCATTTTTTTGTATTAGAACGTTGTTTAAACACTTTATTGAACCAATGAACAAGTGAGTTTTCCGATTTTTCCGAAATTTTCCGAAAAAAAAATTCGGAAAACCCGATTTTCCGAAATTTTCTGAAAAAAAAAATTCGGAAAAACCGATTTTCCGAAATTTTCCGAAAAAAATTTTCCGCACACCCCTGCTGTGTAGTCTGGGGCTTTTTAGCCAATTTCGATTCAAGTGGCTCATCGTTTCTCGGCCCCAATAGTTTTGAAGAAATGCAAAGAACATCTCTGTCAATTTCAGGAACTCTATGAGTGAAAGAGAGAGAGGCCATGGAGTCATTCGTTATTCATTCCTTCCACTTTTGTTTTCTCCGTCTTGTCTCCTCTTAATTCGCACCTTATCCAAGCAAAAGAACAGAGACCAATTTCAGTCATGTCTAGCGTTTCCTGCTTGTTCATTACATTATCCACGCGCGTTTGAGGTCACAATTGGTAATAACCAACCAGTTGGCTGCTAGCATGAGTGCTCCATGTCCGCCCGAATCCCCATTCTATTTCACAACTGTTCTACATTGTATTGCGGCGTGCAGTGCGCCCATTAACCTTTTCGCGCTCTATTTGGTCCTTTTTCAGTCGCCCGCACTTCATGGCTATAAATATTGTGTGTGCTACTTGCAGGTTTGAACACGTTTAGCGCACAATTCATCGTATTATTGCTTTTTAGTTGGCCTCATTTCTCACCGAACTCCAAATGTCCGTAGTCTGTCCCGGATACTATTTCTTTCCGATTTTGGCCGGCTACAACACGGGCACACTTTTCGGCCGCTTCTTCCGAAGTCACATCTACATGACCGTCTGGACGTTCTTTCTGAGCTCCGAACTTCCGGCTATCACCTGGTGCTTCATCTACAGACACAACGCCGCAGTCGACATGGGATCGGTAAAGAAAAGACGATCAAAAGTATGAACACACTGTCAGTTTGGGATTTGCAGAGACGAACGCGAAAGAGGCCGTTCAAAAAATCGATATTCGTCCTCGTCCAGTCGTTTCCGTTTCTATCCTCCTTTTCGCTGTACATGTCGGAAATTACACCAGAGCAAGCGGTCAGCTACATGCAAAAGGTATCTTACATACATTTTACTATATAATACATACAAAACAATGTCTTCTTTCAGAACTATCCACAATGTGTCTATTGGCTCGACAGTCCGTTGTTCACAGTTTACGATTACAATTCGAACGCGTGGATTGCAGTGTGTGGAGTCGGATCTTTGATCGTTCTTTGTATTTACATAATGTCAGATCGACTAAAGGGTACAAGACAGCGAATTTTGATTTTTCTTCAGACTCGGTGGAATACTGGGTGTCCATACAATGATGATTCTTCAAAAGTTGCAGAAGAACATGTCCGTGAAAACGTACCGAATGCACCGGAACGCCCTGGTCAGCCTCTCGCTCCAAGTCGTCATTCCTTCAGTTTTTCTCATATGCCCCCTTTACGTGTGTCTATGGGTTGTGTTGTTCAATCTGATCGAATATCAGTCGTTTGCTTCGAACATGACCGTCATGATCGGATGCCATTCGGTTTGCTCCTCGATTGTCATGATTTCAACCAATCCACGATATCGCGCACTTATCCGCGACTATTTTTGTGGGTTAGTGTGGAAAGATACACAAATGATTGTTCAGATATTATTGTTCAGAAGGCGAAGAGTGGTCCGTCGAGGAACCGTGGATCCTGTTTCGAGCATGCCAAAGAGCAGTTTCACTTTGACTTGATATGGATAGGGGGCGCAACAAAGGGGGCGTGGCCTGCCTAATTTTCTCCCAAGTTTCGCGCGCGCATGTTTGAGGCCATGTACCGAGGTCCACAAATGAAGTACCATACTTAAAATGATTTACTTTATGTAATCGACCGTGCTGAATCCAATGAACAACTCAGTTTCCCGTGAAAACGCACCGTTTTTCTAAAAACCGGCGAAAACGAAAATGGAACTCAGTCTGAGAGCTCGTGTGGCCGGAGTTTGTGCAACACGCGGCTAATTTTTAGTTAACTTACAGTTTAAGTGATGGGGAATCCGTTTTTGAAATAAAAATCAGATTTCGTCTTCTCCGTTTTTTTTTACAGGCCCTCAAACTGGCACAAAAAGTTGTGAAAAAATTTCAGCGATGACCATACTTTTTTATTTTTGGAATCTATAGATAAACTCTCTGAGAACTCAAATATAAATTTTCAGAGCCCTAGACCCCCTGTGAGCACTTTTGTGTTCATTTGAGTGGAGCCGGTTTCGCCGAAATTTCAGTTTTCGGGGGATTTAGCCGTCACAGGTACCTGACACGCGGCTAATTTTTACAAAATCGGATTCAGCATCCAATTTCCGATCGATTCATGCTAAAATTTTCAATTTTCTAATTCTCCGTTTTTTTTAAGTGACTTTAAACAGTTACAGTTTTGGATTTGTGTGTGCAAAACCACCGATGTCACACCTGGAAGGGGGCCGCGCAAACCGACGTTCTCAATGCCATTGGTGGTCGGCGCGCCCCCGCCCGTTTGGCGCAGTGGCAGAGTGCTCACTCGGCAGTCTGGAGGTGTCGGGTTCGAAACTTTTGACCTTGAAAGATGTTTTGCTCTTTTAGAACATAATTTTTCTTCAATTTATATGTTGCCTCTTTGGTTTCAGCCTCCAAACAGAGGCGAAAAACGCGTGCGGCGGACTTGCATTAGAGACTCCGCCCCCTCCTCGGCCGCCGACCGGGGAGAAAACAGACCAACTTTGAAGGGGTGTAACTCGGGATGTACCGAAAATTTTGGAGAAAAAAATTGGGAGCGTACTCATATAGAGTAGGGGAACACATTCCAACAAAAATTTTATGAAAATTCGGAGTTTCGTGAAACCCGTTGCGGTCCCTAGATATGGAATCGAATCAAGAGTTCATAGTATTGGCGGCCTACAAATATAGCTTGCCACCTGGCTATATACTTCCGTGTACCTCGTTTCATTTCCTTTTTTAGTATTTAAAGTTCTAGGAACATGACATAAATGTGTAATTATGCAGCACACTTTTCCCAGTATTCCAATAATTGCATGTTTGTTCTCTAGCCACTTTGGCCCTTCATTGTACCGATGCCTTCAGTGCGCCCATCAATTTGTACAGTGAAACGGTATTTTTCACAGAAATAGTCATTGTTGTCTTTCAGCCTATACATACACTGTGCCTCCTTCAAAAGTTGCGCTTTTAGATGCCAGTCCTGACGTACCGGATACGCCTGAACGTGATCATCAGTCTGTGCCTGCAAGTTCGGTTCGCTCCTCGATTGTCCAGGTTGGTAGTGAATAAAAAGACAGAATTGATTCGAGAAATGTTTCAGAAAAGAAGAAAAAAAACTGTGCCGGAGAGCAGTTAGAATTCGCCATTTTCTGGAATAAACGTGAGACGAAGGCAATATCGAAAGCTCAAAGACCACACCGATTTCAGCTGTCAGCCTGCACGGCTTCTGGCATGGAATCACCTGTTCGCACACGCTTTTCCTACTCCTTATCCAGTGAAATCATGAGCGCGCCTTGTCCGCCTGAAGCTCCCGACTATTTCCTCACTGTCCTTCATTGTATCGCCGCGCTGAGTGCTCCCCTAAATGCTTACAGTTTGTTCTTGGTGTTCTTCAAGTCGCCAGCTATCAAAAATTATAAATATTGTATTTGTTACTTACAGGTACGCCGTTTACTTCACAAACTCTCAAAACAACTTGCATAGTATGTATTTCAGCTCTCTTCCTTTCTCACCGAACTCCAAATGTCGATAGTTTGTCCTGGATACTACTTCTTTCCGATGTTAGGCGGTTATAATACGGGCACACTTTTCGGGCAATTCCTACGAAGTCACATCTACATGACAATGTGGGTGTTCTTTTTGAGTCTCGAGCTTCCCGCAGTTGTTTCGTGCTTCATTTATCGCCACAATGCGGCAGTTGACATGGCGGCCGTGAGTTGTTTTTTCCTCGAAATTCGAAGATACTGTACTTGAAGTGCGAGTACAATCGATGGCTACGCATACATTTCAGAGAAAGAAACCGAAACGACATTTGAAGAAGACTGGCCTATTTCTAGCTCAACTCTTCCCTTTCCTCACCGCATTTTCTTTGTACAAGTCGGAGATTACACGCGATCAGGCAGCAGTGTACTTGCAAAAGGTTTGCGACATTGTATGCTGTCACAAAAACAATGATAACGTTTCCAGAACTATCCACAATGTATGTATTGGCTTCATAGCCAGGCGTTCACCGTTTACGACTACTACTCGAATCCCTGGATAGCGGTTTGCGGAATCGGAGCCCTTTCGATTGTTTGTGTTTATACTGTGTAGGGTTTTGAGTGACTATGACAGTAAAAGGTCTTCCAGAATCTTCTTTTCCCTAGGCGTGCACACGATGATTCTTCTGCAACGATTGCGTGCTCACATGTCGTCGCAAACGTACCGAATGCACCGGATCGCCCTGATCAGTCTGTCTCTGCAAGTCGTCATCCCGTCCGTTCTTCTCCTTTGCCCACTTTACGTCTGTTTCCTCGTCGTGCTCTTCGATCAACTCGAGCACCAGACATTGGCGGCCAACATGACCATCATGATCGGGTGCCATTCGCTTTGCTCTTCCACAGTCATGCTTTTGACGAATCCACGATATCGGTCACTGACGGCCACGTATTTCTGTCGATTGGCCGGGTGAGAAACTTGAAATGAAAAAAAAACGACGATTTCCAATTTTCCAGAAAAGAGACCCAACGCAACATGAGACGAGGTATTGTCGATCCGACTTCGACGACTCACAGAAGAAGCTTCACCCTTTGATACTTCAATTTCACATAAAACAAATTCGAACTCGACGTTTGGAACTGAAAGAATTGCTAATCACTAAATTGTTTACAAGAATGATGCGTGAAAAAGTGGGGATGAGTCGTAGAGTGACTCTGATAAGAATGCAATAAACGGGCGAAGGAAACAAAGTCACTCAAGTTTACAATTTGCTCAAAAAATTCAGAAAGAAGCATGAAAAAGAATGACTGATTTCATCATGCAACCACTGATTATTCAAGTTTATCCCTTTCATCGCATCGTTGTTCATTTTCATGTTCTCTTCCTGACAGATGAAATCTTTACGTGCTTGTTGCAAGCGCTGCAAACCGATAAACCCCGCAGTGTTTGGCCTTTTCTTCCTAAAAACCATCTTCTTTGTGTGCCGCCATTCTTCCTCACAAACTTCCACAAAACTGATAAGAGTTGCGAAAAGTGGGGCAGTGCCACGGGACTTGTGTGAAACGGGCATCATTTCCAGCCATTCTTCTCCACAACATTAACCGCTTTTCACTTCCAGAATGTCTTCCTCTTACGGCTCGTCTCATCGAACACTCGTCGTTGGTTCCGCGGCCCCTCTGGAAATGTCAGCCGGCTCATTCGTGAGCGGGGAAATTCCGCTGAAATCGGGCGCCGACAGCATTTGTACGACGCGCATCCGCGACGATCGGGAGAGAGAGAAGCGGGAGATCGGACTGCTGAACGACCGTTTGGCCGATTACATCGAGAAGGTCCAATTCCTGAAGGCGGAGAACGAGTGTCTCAGCCATGAAATTGAGATTCTCCGTCGTGGATTCTCGGGCGGCGATTCCATTTCGACGTTCTTCAGCGAGGAAGTCTCGGTGAGCCACTCCCATGCAATTACTTTTCGACTCGTTCCAATCTATTGCAGAATGCCAAACTCCAGGTAGAAACCATTCTTTCTCGTCGCGTCGGCTTCGAAAAAGAAATCGCCGTGCTTTCCGCGGATGTGGAGACGTACCGAAAGAAGTCGGCGGAGGCCTTCCAACTGTTGCGTGCTCGCCGAGCCGATCACGACGTCGACATCGACAAACTGCCGAAGATTGAGGCGGAAGTTTATTTATTTATTTTTTTTGAATTTATTTTTTTGTTTTCAAGAGGAAGATCCGAATTGTGGAGGAGGACGTCTACCGCATCCGCCAGGAAAACGACGGAATCTTGCTCAAAATCGGACGCCTCAACGCGGCCGTCCACTCGGAGTTGGCGACGAAGAAAGAGTTGAGTGTGAACGTGCAAGCCCTGCTCCAGAGGGTCAAGCACGCGCAGACGGAGAACTGTTCGCGCATCGAGCAGGAACTCAATTTCATCCGTCGCGACCAAACCGACGAGAACCGAAACTGCTTCCGCGCCGAGCTGCAGGCCGCGATCCGCGAGATCCGCTCCAATTGCGAGGAGATCATCTTCCGAAACAGTCAGGAGCTCGAGTATTGGTACAAGTCGCAGTTGGAGAGAATCCGCGTCAACTCCGGACATGTCCACGTGGATGTGAACGAAGAGGAGATTGTGACCATCCGAAAGACACTCACTTCGGTTCAAAGTAGCGTGACGACACTTCAAACTCGAGTGAGTAATGAATGTTCGGGGGGTGGAAATGATAATATTTTTTGTTTTAGAACATTTACCTCTCGCAACTGATTGAAGAATTCAACAGACAACACAATGAAGAGGCGAGAATCTTCGAGATTTCCCTGGCTGAGAAGGGCGCGGAAATCTCGAAGATCAAGCAACATTGCACGGAAATGACGATCCAGATGGAGAAGTTGTACGACGATGCAATCGTAAGCCACGCACACAGATGACCCATACTCAACGAAACATGTTTCAGTCCCTGAAAGCCGAACTCGAGCGTTACCGTGTCCTGCTCAACGGAGCCAACGTCACCGTGTCAACCACTTCTAACACCTCCAGTCTGTCCTCCCGTCATCTAGTTAGAGATGACATCGAAGGAGTCTTGCTCGGAAGCCACGGCATTTGAATTGTAAAAGTTGTAACCTAATGAATAATTTTTTCATTTTTCTTTACTTGAAGCAGTTTTCTCAGTAGTCTTGGCGCCTTGTTAATGCTCCAACATCTTCTGCAATTCGTCTTCTTTATCCATCTGATCATCGTCAATCTTCTCGATCGCATTATCCGTTTCTTGGCTCAACGTCTCCACAGCACCCCGGATCGCCCTCACCTCTGTCACATTTTTTCTCTGAAACTCATAACTTATTTTGGCTGCTCACACCACCGACAGTAACCTCAACAGCGGGAATCAGTTCGACAGTGACCTGCTTCCACTTCAGGTCCTCCGGTTGAGGGCGACGGAAAGATCCTCGAAATCCTTCGGTCCCTCCAAGGCCCATTCCGGCCTGTCCTCGATTTTCTTGATCCACTCCAAACTGTTTCTCGCGCAAACTTTTATTGAAATAGTCGACCAGTTGGCGATCGGCATCTACCGTCGAACACATTGCACTCATCGCGCACAAATTTAACGTATCAGCCAACGAACTTTTATATTCGTTTTTTCGCTGAGCGCTGCAATATTATCAATTATTTCGAAATGTCCTACACAATGCAATTACGTGAGCATCCGTGCGTTCTCTTCAGCGGCCGCCCGAATTTCCGCGTCGTGAGCCTATTGCATTATATCCATTTGCCGATTGTATTCTCGAACGAATTCTGGACGCTCTTTTTGGATATCATCGTTTTTCTAAATCAAACAAAGAACTTCTTAAAAACACCACGGATAAAAACCTTTTCGGCAGCCTCGACCATCAGTTTTCCGTCCACCTGACGGCATCCAAAATTGAATTCCGCCTATCCTCCTCGATGTTGAATTTCTCCATCAGGGCTTTTCTCTGAATAAAACAATTTTTTTCCATTTGTGTTAGGAACTCGATTTCCTTTCCAACTAATTAAAATCTTACCCGTACAAATCTAATTTCAGATAATTGTTCTAGGCAACAGAGATGTTAATTCTAGATGACTAATTCTCAAAATTACAAAAAGTCACGATTTAGAAGTCATGTTTTGGGCCGACACAGTCTACAAATCAGAAATGCTTCAAATCATGTTCTAGAATAGCGAACTCACTTCAGCGGCGGCGGCCGTCTCGACGGCCCTCATTTCTTCGACTCCTATCTGCTTTGCCTTCTCGTACTTCGCCTTCTCGTACCTTGTTTGGCATTTACGTATTCTTGTCGAAATATTTCCGTTGAAAAACGCGGTTCTATGATCGGAATTCACGAGGGAACACGTCGAGAATCCCTTTTTCCAGTCACTGTCACAGCCGATCCAACCTCTGCAAAAAAAACTCTAAAAGTTTGACAGAATAACGGGAATCTCACACCTCTTTCATTGCGAATTGGCAGTCGACGCCGCACGAATTCAATGTTCTCCAGATGTTCCGTCTTCTCAATCGACACGCTTTTGAGTGCGTCTTTGAGCTCTGTGTCCAGTAGCCCTCCTTGCGTCTTTATTGAGTTCGGCAACTCGGCAACCCACTCTTTTAGCAAAAAGTCAGGTTTGAGACCGACGAGTTCCTGAAAAAAATTGAATAAAACTGCAAACTTGCAAAATTCTCACTTTTGGATGCGGAAGATTGGTGCTAATTGGAACTCAGCTCGCTCCGAACATGCCCACGCTTTTCTTATTGCCAACGTTCGACTTTCCGGTGCAATTCTGCAAGATTTCTGAACTGAAAACTGAGAGTGCGTGCTCACCTGTCATTCATGCTCCTTTTTTTACAAGAATTTTAGCCGGAAATCCGGTAATTCTTCTGAAATTCGGTGAAATGAATGAAAAAGAGAAATGCCAGATTTGTCCGAGAGAAGTACACAAGAGTGCGGTGGAGCGAACTTGCTGTCGTCTTGGTGGCAATTGGTAAATTTAAAAAAACCATTTGAGCAGTTTCTACATCGAAGTAACGTTTATCAAAGTTTTTTATCAAATAAAAATGATGATAAACTTATACAATTTTATTCAAAAACTCGGACGCGACTTTCAGTTTTCCCAACATTCCCTCGTTCTCGTCGAATGTCCGATTTTTGTTGCAATTTGAGGCGCCGTACTGCGAAACCTGCAAAAGTATTCAAAAAAATTGTATGGATTTTTCAATTTTTCAAAAATAAACCATATATCCGAAATATTTGCGATGATCGGTAATTCCCTTGCCGAAATTGCTCATAGTCACCAGATTTTTGTCGGAGCAAAAAAGCTCTTCGCCTTTCGATCCGTTACAAATCACGTATTTGGAGCCTTTCTGCATTCCGTCCGGGTACCACACTTCGACGCTGTGGTGATAGGGACCGGTTCGACTCGTCGCGTCACACGGAAGATCCACGCGGGGCCAGAAACGGTAGTCCTTGTGGCACGGGGGCAGGTGCGCCAGCGCGTCCAGTCCGTTTATCACACGAAAACTGAACAAATTTAGGTCGATTTGTGCTCAAGTTTGCCCAATAAAGCTATCGACATTAATTAAAAGCGAGACCGCACCTATACTTGACAAATCGATCGAAATTCTTGGCGAACACGAGGTTTCCGGTCCTTGGCTCGGCCAAAGAGATCATTTTGACCTGAGAACTGTTTCTGATCTTCGATAGAACCGTCTCGAATGCGGACAGACTGGCCAGTGAGCCCCCGAGAGAATGCCCGGTGAAAATGACGTCATGCTCCTTGTACTCATCGCTTTGCAGCACTTTTTGCACTTTTTCCCATATAATTTCGTGGGTAATCGCGAAATAATAGTTTATCTGTCGAAAAAACAAATTGAACATCGAAAGACGATCCGAACATTTATTTATACCTCTCCGAGTCCATGAAAAGATGTGTCTGGAATGAAGGCGCTCATAAATTCGAAAAAAAATTGGCTCATCGATTGAGTGCCACGGATTGCCACGATTATTTGCTTTCTATGCGGAATCTCCACTGAAAGTATATTTATCCAAGAAGTATCCATAATTATGGATAAGTGTTACTTACACAATCCAAAGGTGCATTTACTGTTCAGAAAATCGCAACGAATGTCGTAGTAGTCGATTAGTTTTGGTCGAGTTTTTGGATTAGGAAATGACCTGTTATCAATTGATAAATCTATCGATAGAATTGATAAATCTATCGATAGAATTGATAAATCTATCGATAACGTTTATCGATAGATTTTTCGATAAAATGTTCTGCGATAAACTTACGAATTCAAACAAAATTTTGGATATTTGTCATGCACGGCCGCAATCATTTCGAACATTTCTCGAGCCTCCTCCTCGTTATAAATTCCGTCGAATTCATCGAAAACACAATTTGACGAGCCGATAATAGAGATTAGAATCAGAAATTTCAATGCGTGCATCGTGAAAAAAGTATAAATAAAGTGTGATATCGGAAAATTTTCCTTAAAGTTGGCCACGTCAGAGCTCTTCTTTTTGTGAGACTTTTTCCAGTTGACACCTTTTTTGTACCATCTCTTTCTGGAGTACTGTAGCTCTTGGAAGTTTGGATTGGACAATAGCTAGTGGATTTCGAAAATCGCAGAGTTCTGGTGCATTTTTATAGGTTCCGGGGGTCAAGTTGTCTTTGAAAACGTGCATTTCCATCACTGCACACAAAATGAACATGAAATGAGCACGCTTTATTGGAATTGCGCACGCATGAATATTATCAATTTCCAGTGTAATCCTTTGTACAAATATCGATGACTGGATGATAGATGTCTTGTGGAGCACGCAGTCCCCACGTGAAATCCAGATGATTGTAGTCCGGCAGGTGATTGTTTTGCTGCAAAAATTGACGCGGTTTTCAGGATGGAAAAAAAACTCTCAGATTTAATTTAGAAAAAAAACGCAAAATTCTGCGTCGGCTACTGTCATCAACTGACCGCAATGACAGCGGGGTTCAATCGGGTCAACAGGTAGTCGGTGACGTCAATCTTATCGGCCAACCAATCGGCGTCGCTCCAGTACAGATAAATTTGAGTGCCCTTGATAGCGGTGAAATCGTATTCGGGTGGATTCGCCTGCAAAACTCGTTCCTTCACAACATTCCGTGTCATCAAATCGCCCACCTGTCCGTACTTCTTCTTGTTCTCCTTGGTGCCCCAGTCGTAGGCGGGAACACCGCCGTGACGGACCATTTGCATCCAGTGGACAATGTTCTGGGTGGAGGTGCCCGCCGGATCATGCGTCGCGTACACTGGCACTCGAGTCGAATTCCACTGATCACTTTCGGGACCGGCGATGAGGAAGAGCACGTTGTCACAGAGGTCCGACTCGATTTGAAGCCCGCCGCAGATGTCCTTGGCCGCCAATTTCATCGCCCAGTTGTTCGGCAGGAATTCGCCGGCGCCGAACACGTCGAACCAGCCCTGCAAAGTTTAGTTTTATTGGACGTTTCGCAACTGAAACATATGGGGGCGTTAGGACAACGCAGTTCTCAAATAGTTATGGAATGGTTGCGAAGTGTCTGGCTGCAAGTGTTAGAAAAATCGGCTATTGTTAACTTCGCCATCCAAGCGCTAGAATACTTTAAAAATATGAACTGTTAAATTCAAGTACTAGTATATGAAGTGTTCCTAAGAAATTGAATAGAACGCTACCGTACTCACATCAAACTCCACCGAGAAGTAGTGCGCGAAAAAGCTCAAAAATCCCTTGATATTTTTGACGGATCCGACTGGCGCCAACGCGAAAAACTTTTTGATCTTCTTCGCGAAACTTCCATCGTCTTTCGATAAGTGACTGAACATGGTCAGGGTGCCCTGCGAGTGTCCCATGTAGTAGACGCTCTCCTGTCCGGTCACCTCGAGCACGTGGTTGATCTGCGCGTTCAGGTCGTACGTGGCCATTTCGTCCCAGCTCCAGTCCCAGAAAGCCGAGTGCGACGGCTTCAGATCCTTGTGCTTCATGCTGTACGTGTTGCCGCGCATGTTGCCGAGCCACACGTCGAAACCGGCGTCGGCGAACAGAAATCCTGATACGGTACATTCAAAACGGTACATCTCAGCTGACAGTTGAGACAGCGAAAAGTCGTCAACTAATAAAATGTTTCTTAACATATTGCGCACATTTTGCTAGTTGACCACTTTTTGATATCTCTTCCTGCAGCTGAGATACACAGCTTTAAATAAACGGTATCAATTTGGGCCACGTACCTGCACTCTGATCGGGCAAGTTGACGACCCAATCACTGGAGGCGCACAGCAATCCGTGTTGCATAAAAATCACCGGTCTCTTACCGTTCGGCCACGTCACGTTTGCTGGAAAAACGGAAAACTACAATAGCAACAACAAGACATGTTAGAAGAACCAACTTTTTCCGTACGGAATACGGTGCATTTCGAGAATGTACCCGTCGTCGGTGGTCACCGTGTAGATCATGGCCGGATATCCCCAACGTTCGATGATTTGCGGCTGAAAATGAGCAGTTAGGGTAGCGAGCAACTTTTTCGGATCCTAGGCCACCTAGATTTCAGTTTTCGGATGCTAGATCTTGCTCAGGCCACCGCGCATCGCATACATCCTACAGTAACCTACCGTAGTCATGTGCAGCTCGGGATCGCCCTTCGCTGCGACATCACGAACGAAAACGGCCGCAAAGACGGCGGCGGCGACGACGGCGAAAAGCATTTGGTGCATGCGCCGAATGAGCCGATTGCTCTTATCATTTTCCGTTAAATATGCGCACCACGTGTTTGAAATGCTTATCAGTGGTTTCGTGACGAAACTGTGCGACACTACTGAAGAGTGATTTGTGAAAAGATAGACTAGAGTACACCAATTGAGAAAATTCGGCCACGGCCATCCAATCAGAAAGTCGGAAGCCGGAATTGATGAAAATCCTCGGCGAGACTGGAAAATGTCGAGTTTGAGCACAGAACACACACGTTTTATGCGTGCACAATACGCATAGTTAACGGGAATTAAGATAGCAAAAAGAAAATGATGAAATGTTTCTAGATCACACCACTTTTGATTGATAACAATTTGAAATTGAATGGAAACGTCTTTATTGTGACCCATGAATGTGGTACAAGTCAAAGTTACCGAGAAAAAACAAACAAGTTGAGATAAGAAATGAAATGGATAATATACAATCACTGGTGTCTAGGAATAAGGCAGAAGATTACCCGCGTCGAACATTTTTTGGGTTTTGTACAATACCGTTTATGAAAATTGATATATCTCAGCTGCTATTGGAGATATCAAAAAGTGGTCAACTGATAAATTGTTGAAAATTTCTTGATGAGCAACTTATTAGTTGACAATATTTTGATACCTTTACCGGCAGCTGAGATATAATGGTTTGAATAGACGGTATTTCTGTTTAAAATTCCTCGTCGAGGGTCTCGTAATGACTCGATTTTTTGCGCTGTTTCGCCTGATCCAATTCCATGTTCGTCATCGTTTTTTCCATTCGCTTAATTCGACGAGTCTCGAAAAAGAAGCACACGGAGGCGATGACGCATAAAATCGGAATTCCGATCGTATAATAGTAGATGTTGAGGAGCGGCGAAATGAAGAAAATGACACAGGTGCCGATGGACTAAAAATGAACAAATAGGCGAAGAGGTACGGTAGGATTACGGTACCTGATAGAATTTAGAGACCGAAACGCTTGGTCCCTTCGAGTTGGCATTGCGATCGCACAAATCACAGATCGGACCGAGCACAGGCAGCAATCGGACATTCCGCCGATGAGCGCGATGATGAAGACGAGGAGGCGGCTGGAAAATTAGGAAATTACTGTTTTTTGTACCGTAAGATCTACCAGAACAGTTTCTGGTTTCGAAATGTCCTGTGGTTGCAAAACGGGGCCAAAAACTCACGTCGGCTGGAATAGGAGCGGTTTCTCGGAAGTTGGAGCCATCGGAGCACTCGGCGGAGTAGTCATCACGATAAGTGCACAATATAAAGTGGTCAGGAAGCATCCGATGAACATTGTGGGACGCATTCCGAAATTATTGATCCTTTTGCTCAGCGCCGAGATCAACATTCCCACTGAAAACATTGTTTTTAGATGATTACCGAAAAACGTGTAGTAGAACGGTAGCATGCGTTCAAAACGGTATATCTCGGCGGTCGGTAGAAATATCAAAATGTTGACAACTGATAAAATGCGTACAATATATTTCTAAGCAATTTTCTAGTTGACAACTTTTTGATACCAGCTTAGGCAGTTGAGATATGCCGTTTTGAATGTACGCTATTGGGTGTCCGAGGAGTTTCGTGAGTACTGTCTATAAATAGGATCGTAACTTGATAACTAAACATTTTGTGATAAAATGATCAACTACAAAGTTACTCAGCATAAAATTATACACATGTTTTTCAGTTGACAACTTTTTGAAATAATCATTGGTTCTTGAGGTTTTGACCTTCAAATGTAGAGGATCGATGTTTTTTCATTCATTTTCAGGTAACTCACTAATAGTCTCTCCGAGCCCGACGCCCAAACTATAAATGGCGGGAAGATAGATCATTTGGGCGAGATGCGAGTTGAAAGTGAGCGTCGTCGGGTAAATGGAGACCCAGAACGAGGTGTGCACTCCTGTCAGCATGAACATTGGAATCAGAATGAACATTTTCGGCGAGCGGAATGCGCGGTACATGAGACGGATTCCGTCGCGGAACGCCACCGTCTTCTGGCTCGATTCGATGCAATTGTCAATGTCGCTCGAGGGCATCAGGAGGAAAGTCACATTTCCCAGAAAGGAGATGAACGCGAACACCGAGAAGAGCAGGTAGCTGAAGAGAGACATAATCTTCAAAAAGCCGTTCTCAAAAGTCCATCGAAACTCACATTTCCGTATTACTGAATCGCCTCTCAAAGTGTTGCGCCGCCTCCGTCAAGTTCGTCACACTCGTGTTCACAATTTCGTGAGCCACGGCTCCTCCTGCGCCCGCAGTGAAATACGTGATGATCGCAATGATTCCGGCGCCGACGATCATACAACTCGAGCCGATCGCCCATGAAATCGAGACGTTCGATTCGATCGTTTTGCGCGTCGAATGAGACGTCAGGTAGCCGCCGTTTCCAGTGTAGTACACTAGAATTACCATAACTACTATGTGTAGCCATAACTGTAAACAGTTTACATGCAAATCCGACGCCATTGAGTGCGGCGGAGAAGAAATAGTAATACTGATTGGTGTACAGGAATCCCAATGGAAATGAGGTAAAGCAGACGGACGCTATGAAAAGCGTCGTCTTGGCGCTCGTCGAGTAGAGGAAAGTCGGAGAGAAGAGGCAAGTGATGACGAACGCGAGGTAGCACGTGGCTTGTCTGGAATATATTGGAGAGTGGTCGGCGAGTAGTTCCTTAGTTTTAGCGCCATTTCCATGAGTTACAGTACTATTCCCAGTGGAAAAGTTCAAGTTCGAACTCACCCATAATAGCCGGCGTGTGAATTGATTCTACCCGGCTCTCTTTCATGAATCGAATGAATTACCGACTCCAAAATGAACGCCTAAAAGCTCGAACCGATATTGTCGGTCCGGTAGAGATGGCGCGCCTACCTGCGAGTCACATCCGGTCATAATGCACAAATGGCCAAAGCCGAGCATGACGACACAAAGGAGTTCGAATCCACGTGGCGACATTCTCGAAAGCCATGATCCTCCAATCTTTTCGGACATTTATTAGGGAGCACTGAAAAATGAGGATGTTTGATTTTTAAAGCAAACAAAAAAACACAGAGAGAGAGAGAGAGATAACGGTTCAGATCTGTGACGAGAACACAAAAATCGTGTTTATATTGAAGAAGAAATGGATGACCCGCCTACGCGAAAATGTGATTGGTATTTGGGTACGAAATGAGTTCAACATGGAGTGTCTGGGATCAGCGAGACTTTCTCTCCCTCTCGCCAACTTTCAGCGGCTACAGTAGTCTTCAGAGTGGTCGTTGAGAAAAATGGTCAATTATAAAATTGATCTACGTGATTTGAACTTTATTTTTGCAGTAGTAAACTTTTCGATACAATCATTGCCTCAAGAGTTATAGGCCTTGGAATTTAGCATTAAAAACCACAGTACTCTTCCAAGTGGGCGCATTTCCGGGCCCACAGATCGTCAAGGGACCGTAATAAACCGCCAGACAGGGGGATTCCCCCGCGAGAAACTCGCCAAACTTCAAAAACAAATGGTTTCGTCATCGAGAAGAGAAAGAGGAACTTCCTTCCGTATCTTCTTCGAAAAAGGAGTCCCCCAAAAGTTTTTGGGGGGGAAGACACAGAAAAAACCGGTTTTAGACGTGTGATAACATGATAACGATCCGATTTTTCTTCTTTTTTGTTTCATTTCAGTTCCTTTTGGGCACGAAAAATCAAAATTTTCGATTTGATGGTTTTCAAGGTCACTGGGACCGTTTGACAGTGATCACGGCCTCTGATTTTGCGGTTTTTATGTTAGTCTGGCCTGTTCGCTATGACAATCATTCTAGAGGATTGTGGAAAGGTGTGAAAGTGAAAAAGTCTGCAAATGTACAAAAATCCCCGCCACTTTTCAACATATCCCGACAACATTTCGATCTCGAACACGACAAAAAGATGAACAGGTGAGGTGAGGTGATAATTGGATTAACAGAAAGTGAAATGACCACATTACTTCCAAGTAATGTCAAAAGTCAACAATGAACGAATCTGGGTCAGCAAAGCTTTGAGGTAAAAACAATTAGCACTAGGTATAAATAGTAACACTAAAAGGTTTTCCTTTTCACTTCCTATCGACACTATGACTAATTTTAAAACTTTTTTCACAACCATCTTACTACTAGTTTCAGCGATTCTCAATGAAAATGTTACTGATAGTAAGTTGGACATTGATTTTTTGTTTTTTTTCGAAACAAAAAAGTTCCTAGACCCGTTCAACTTTCCCTGGCTGGAAAATGTGCCGAAATTGGAGTTCACCACGTCGAAACCCAATTTTCTGATTGAGGAGATGAAAAAGGGACGGATTCCGCGACAATTGATGCCGTTCGTCAATTTGACAGCTGTTGAGGAGCTCAAAAAAGTGCATAATGATGTGAGTTTGAGGTTTTTGGCGCTTTTTTGCGGGAAAAAAAACACAAATCTTAAGACACTGGACTTTATAATTCGAGACGAGGACGTGGCAGACATGCCGGATGACGATGGGCTTTCCGACGAGTCGCGCAGAGTCAATACTTTGAGCCACGACGGAAATAAATCGATAATAACCATTTCGGATGAGGCGAGGGACGATTTGTACAAACATTGGATGGATCAGAGCCTCGCCGGACTCATGGGCGCCGTCGTGACAGAAGTGTGAGTTTATAATATTCGTCGTTTCAAATTTGGGGCCTCAAATTCTAGGATCAACAAGCGAAAGATGTCGAAGGCGGAGAAGAAGGAGCACTACACGTGTATCCACGCGTCGAAGAATGTGACGGCGCACGCAAAGTGTGTCGTGATTGTGTTGGATCAGTTGAAGAGGAGAAATGAGAAGTTGAAGGTGTACAGTACTCTTTCGGCCAAGTGTAAGCTTCGAATCGTTGAATATATGAGCCAAATGGATCTAGCTTTGGAAAATCTTCGGTTCAAAACGATTTATCTCATTTGTCGTTGAAAATTTCAAAGAGTTGTCAACTGATAAAATGTGCGCAATGTGTTTTTGAGTAATTTATCAGTTGACAACTTTTTGATATCTCTTACGGTAGTTGAGATATACAGTCTTGAATGAACGCTTTTTTTGGCTTGATTTTTAAAGTTTGAAATTGGAAATTAACCGCCAAACCCCATTTTTTCCAGTGAACGCTCATCGAAAACAGAACCGTACCTTGTCGGCGCTCTACAAATCCTCGCTGCTGAACCAATACGACAAGTACGTGAAAAGCGGCGGCGAAGAGTTGCGAGTGAAGCGCCAAACGCGCGGCTTCACAATATTCGACGAGATGGAGAACAAGAGACAGGCGGCGATCAGGGAGCACGTGACGGCGAGGAAGTCGTACACGATCCGCGAGCAGAAGAGCCTCAGCCCGTTGGCGGTCATCGCGCGCAAGTTGACCGAGCTCGTGAGGGCCGCCAAGAACACGAGGGAACCGCCAAAGAGGTGAGCAGCGGTATTAAAAAGTTGCTCCTGAACTATCAGGGACCAAGGTTCGAAACCAAAATGGTCAATGTACTGATGATATACACAATATGTAGGTGTAATGTGTCACGTTTTTGCGCGCAAAGGGAGATCCCCCCCCGTTTAGAGAAGAAACAAAGAAGTGTTTCGGGCAGAAACCAAAGGTTGGAGGATTGAAGAAAACGATGATATCATCGAGTGAGAACGGTTTTGAGAGGAAGTACACATAAAAGAGGAATGATATACTGTCGGCAGACAACAGAAATCAAGATTCAAAGGATCATGAGAGGAGTGTAAGTGAGACTGGGCTGCATGTGTACAAAATGATTGAATGCCAGTTGGAAATGGATAATATAATGTGTGATGTGTGTCATGGGATGTGTACACTTCCTAAGGATAACGATTTGCGGATAATATCATTGCGGCTTGGCAAACTATTAAGATGTAAAAGTTGTTGTAGATGGCAACAAGTGATACAAGAAATCAAAGACGAAAGTTCGCGCATCAAAGGAAAACGGCGCAACAAGGAGCGAATGAAGCGCAAATTCTCGAAATTCGTGACGGCAATGAAGGAGACGGGCCTGAATGCAAAGTCGGCGTTGCAAAGTATTGTGAGTGACAGGGTGGGGGGGGGGCAAGTCCGAAACGGTTTTATTGCAGGGAATGGACGATTTGTTTGCCGACGAACCGATTCTGAGCGAAAAGGAACAGGATGAGCGCGATGTCGAAGAGATGATGGCGACGATGAGTCCGGAGGACAAGATCATGAATGAACCCATCAAACTGATCAGGGAAGGTACGATTTTCCGAATGTTAGTGTAGCAAATGTGTAGGGGGAAAACTACAAAATACGCACCAGATTTTACGCGAAAAAAAAGAGTCGTAAGCAGACCAGCGATTTGGTTGCTTTTTATCCATTTTTTTAGGTCATATCTCTTTTGCAGCCATCAAAATCGGAATGATGGCGACGGGCAACAAAAAGGAGCGGCGGGCATTGATAAAAAGAAGAAGATTGCCCTGTTATCGCCGCAATTTATGAGCATTCTGCCGGATGAAGTGGCCAATGATACTGTACGTAAAGTGATCGGAATATTGAGAATTCCGGGGGGGGACATTTCCTAAATTTTGCAGTTATCCCTTCTCTCTCCATCGATATTGTCGCTCCACGGCGAAGGATCGATGCTGGACCGTGAGATCAGTCTGACGAAAGCCCTCAATCTGATGGAATCGACGGGCCAGGAGGAGTGGATGAACTTTGTTCTCGAAGCTTCTGGAGTGACTGAAACTGTGGACAGAATGCGCAAAACCGAGATGGAAGAGGAAGAGGAGGAGCGGAAAAGAGATTTTGTGGACAAAAAAGGACAGCCCATGTATTTCTCGAAAAAAATGTGACCCAAATATATGGGGAATATGAGGCGGGCAAGTTGGATTTATTGGAAAGTATCTATAAATCGATGGATGATCGCCAGGTTTGATACTGACTTATTCAAGACGATGTATCTCTGTTAATATTATAGATGTCAAAAAGTTGTCAACTAATAAAATGCGCACACTGTTTTTTTGAACAATTTATTAGTTGACCACTTTTTGATATCTCTTTCGGCAGCCGAGATATACAATTTTGAATATACGGTAACGGGGTGTCTGATCAGTTTTGTGAGTACTGTCTATAAATTGGAGCATAACTTGAAAACTAAACATTTTGTGATAAAACGATCAACTAAAAAGTTATTCAGCATAAAATTGTACACATTTTCTCAATTGACAACATTTTGATATCTGCACCGCCAAATGAGATACATCGTTTTGAATGAACTGCCCACATTTATCCTTGTTTTTTCAGATGGAATCTATGAATAAAACAGGTTACGCTATTATGGATGATGCCCAATTGATGATGTTATACGGTCCCGGATCGCCTTACAACGATTCCGAAACTCTCGATAAATTTCGAGGAATATCGCCAGAAAGTATGCCCGAAAGGATTCAGGAGAATATACGGATGATAGCCAGGGAGGAGATGAAGTTCGAGATATCCAGAAAGGTAATCCAATGGCACTCGTGGATAGACGTACTAAACAATTGGTTCCTGGTTTCGAGAACGAGATAAAGTCATACTTTTGATGACCAGGAACTGAATGAATGATCGTAGGTGAAATGTGTCTTGCTGACGTGTTTATAACAAACACTTCCATCTAGCACCATGATTTTCGGTGTCTGGTGGTGGGCTAGAATTGGATTTTACTCAATTCCCTCCAAATTTTGCACCTGCGAGGAGCCGAATGTACTATAGAATTTCAGAAAGACCTCGTGCTGACTCCGACCATTCTCACTTCGTTCATCGGAGCTCCGGCGGCCGCGTCCCAATCGATAATCCTGTCGCCGCTCGTGTTCGCACCGTTAGTACTCTCCCCATCGATCTACGGAAACGTCATTCTGTCGCCGTGGGTCTTCGTGCCAGTCATCGTCTCGCCACGTGTTTTGGGCGCCGTCGTCCTCTCGCCAATCGTCTTCTCGCCCGTAATATTGTCCCCACTCTGTCTGGTCCCAGTTATATTGTCCCCCGGCGTCGGGCTCCCGCTCATTCTCTCCCCATTCGTTTTGTCCCCGTTCATTTTGTCGCCGGTCGCTCTGTCGCCACTCATCCTCTCGCCGTTCTGTTTATCGCCGTTCATCGGAGTGCCCAACCTGTTGACGCCAATCATTTTGTCGCCTTTCGTGCTCTCCCCGTTGATATTGTCGCCTCCGTTCATTTCCGCGTTCGTGCTCAATCCATACGCGCTCTCGCCGGCGATTCTGTCCAATGGCGCCGTGTTCACTGCGGTTTTATCGCCCAGTTGGTTGAGCACACTTTGATTGATCGAATCGTAGCTTTTTCTCATTGGGTGTATCCCAGAGATTCGCGGAAAAAATGAAGCTTTGTACATTTTCTGGGTTTCCGCCTTGAGTCCGTCCAATTTTGCTTCCTGCTTCATCAGAACAGGAAGAATTGTATCAGCGGCTTTTCAGAACTCTTAGACTTGGATTAAAGTATTTATTGGGCCCAAGCGTCTTGAAAACCAGGAAACGAATACAATCTTTTATTATTTTGCTTCAATCTCAACAAGAACAAAAAAATTATCGAAAAAATGCTACAAAATTCATTTGCCGATCGCCTCCGACACTTCCTCGGCGACCAGCACGCCTTCGGCCACTTCCGTTCCAATTCTCGCTGCATTTTGAACGTTCCACGCTTGTTGGCCGCCAAATCCACCTGCAATTGCACTCACATTTTCATAGAAGTCTACAATATTCATTACCTCCTCCATACTGTCCACCGTATCCACCGTTTCCTCCTGAAAAAAAAGAATTGGCGAAAGAAATGGAGAAGAGAAATGTGAAAGTACCTCCATAATAACCGCCGGGACCACCGTAACCTCCTCCGTTATTCCATCCGCCGCCGCCCCATTGGCACGATGCGAAACCGACGAAAATGAGAACGAGAAGAAAAGTACGAACATGATGAGATATCAGTGAAAACGTCGTGTACAAATGTTCCGTTTATATACACTTTGATAAGATAATAATAGCACGTCACCCCGTAATTTCCATTGTTCGAATGATCATCGGAACAACTCGCTCGATGACTATATTGGCCTTTGAACTTTATTTCCAGTGAGTCATTCTCATTTTCTGTTAACATTAGAAGAAAATGGATGTTTTATTCTTTTTCAGTTTGTCAAGACGCTTCAGAAAAGCCTAATCAAGCCGGGGACACGCCACGAAAACAAGGAATACTGTAGTTTTCGTGGCGAGACCCAAAGTCCACGGAATGAGCACTTTTTAGAACAAGATATCATTCAGTTTGAATATTTATTCGGACAAAAAATCAGTGCACTATTTTCCAATAATCTCTTCAGCCACAAGTACTCCAGTCGCCACTTCGGAGCCGATTATAGCTGCAGTGCCAATATTACGCGCTTGTTGACCCCAACCACCTAAAAAAAGGCGTATTCGAACAATGTTTCGAATTAAAGTCTACTCACCATATCCACCATAACCGTATCGTCCCCATCGGTTACCGTATCCGCCACCGTAGCCACCGTACGGTCCTCCGTATCCTCCATACGGTCCCCATCCGCCGGGACCACCCCACTGTGACGTGGCAACGACGAACAGTGCGAAGAGTAGGGAAAGGAAGAGAGTTTGGGTGGAATGAGGCATTTTGACAGAGGATCGATTGGTTTTGCGTCTTTTATGCGTGTTTTTCGGTGAAATCAAATTGTGTCATGATGTTGTTGACCTAACGGATGCGTGTGATTCGGTGAAGAATCGGATAAACTTCTTGGGACCGGGAGAGGATCATCGAAACAAAGTTGAGTGGAGTATCCAAAACTTGCTTTATCTTCAGAGGCCTATATCTCGATAACCAATTATTGTTTCAAAAAGTTGTCAACTGATAAATTGTTGCAAATGTTGTGCTGAACTACTTTGTAATTGACACTTTTATCCAAAAATTGTCTATATTCGGCTTATGACCCTTTTTCTTGACAGTCTCTATAACAGCGAATCTACTGTTTATTCAAAACATCATATCTCAGCATGTGATAAAGATATAAAAAAGTTGTCAACTAAAATATTGATCATTAAAGAATAGTGTACATTTTTACAGTCAACCACTTTTTGATATCTCTACAAACAGTCGAGATATGTCGTTCTGAAAGAGGGGTGTTAGGGTGCCCTTCTATTTCAGTATCTTTATCCGGTCTTCGGGTGTCTTAGATTCATTCTACATTTAATTTTACACTGATCAGTGTCCATCAGGTCACATTCTAGCCTCTATTGTCTGACAAATGTTCAATGATCTACTATCTCTTTCCGGTGTCAGTGATCAAGATAACAACATACCGTAGAAGGGTCTATTCAGGTAAAGATATCAAAAACGTTGTCAACTGATAAAATGTGCAAAATTATTAAAGGATCATTTGTTCACAACTTTTTGATATCATCATCGGAAGCTTGTGAGATACGTCTCTTTGAAAAATTCTTGTTATCATCGAGTACCGTGAAGAACCATTAGTTTATCAACAAATTAACGTTTCGAGTTTGAGTTTTAGAGGCATTTACTTAAAACTAGCTAACGGTGATCAAGGAGTGGATCTACTTTCAGTGGTGTCCGCCGTGACCTCCCTGCTGTGGTCCCCCACGGTTTTTGGCTCCGATCTGAGCGCGTCCCTGCTGCTGACCTCCTCCGTGTCCTCCGTGTGGTCCTCCACCGAATTGGGCGCTGACGAGGGTGGCGAGAAGCACGAGAAGGAGGAAGAACAACTTCATTCTGGAAAATTGAACACTTTTCGATCAATTTCGTACAAAATTGATGAAAACCAAAAGACTAGAAAATGTTTGACTGTGCAAGTACGGGTCCTCGACCTTATATACCGGGTCCAGGAGACATCAGCGTCAAGAAAAGAATAGAAGACGCTAGGAGACGTCGAGACACGATTGATATCGAACTAAACGGTAGAGTTCAGCATCAAACCGATATAGTATCACTCACTAGAATTGAGATTTCAAAGAAGTTTCATTGTTGATTCGTTTTGTTGTCTTCAAACTCATACTCGCAGTTTTAAAATCATAACTAATTTCAAAAAAATCGTACTGACTTGGTTCAAAGCTCAAATTGTAGATATTTGGATTGTTCATCAGGGAAAAATAATTTTAAAAAATTCGGAAAATTTCAGTAGGGCCCCGGGCCTCGAAAAAGTAGTCGGGCCGGGCCGAGAGCACGTTTTCCCGGCCCGGGGCCTTACTGAAATTTTCCGAGTTTTCTAATTATTTTTCCCTGATGAACAATCCAAATACCTACAATTTGAGCTTTGAACCAAGTCAGTACGATTTTTTTGCAATTAGTTATAATTTTAAAACTGCGGGCCCGGATTGGGCCCGGCGACAAGTATGTTCAAACTTTATATTTTTTCTATTTTCCGTCGGTTGTTGTGCATGACCCGCGCTCTGCGGCCCGCAGTGAACCGATTGATCAAACACTGTGTTTTTTGTCTCAAACCATTTGTTTTCTACTCTTTTTTTGGCGAACAGTTCGCCGCCACTCTCACCGCTTTCAAGACATGCTGCAGAGCCAATTATGATCGTTCCTTTTCTTTTCTCCTCGTCGCTGTTTTGTATTCGTTTCAAAACTGTCGTCAGAATGACATAACCGTTTTCTCCGTGGTAAGTTCGGCTCACATTCTTTCAAACCATCAATCAATAATTATAATTAATTAGCAAGCCCTTTGGATCACTTACGAGTTTTGGAAAACGTCGTTTCCCACGACACGTGGTCGTCTTGGTTCTCTGCCGGCCGGAGCTCAGTCTGGGCTCAACGACAACGTCTCGTTCCTTTGGAATTCCGTTTGCCAATTCCATTTACGTTTGCCGACAAGAAGGTACCACTCGTTCCGATGCATGGCCCTGCCGATTCCTCGGTAAGATCACAAAAACCTTGACAGACTGGCCAAACCAAATTCCAGAAGGCCGAACGCATCGAACACTTGGCTGGAATCATGACGGCCGAAAGCTAGACCATACAATGCGGCAACTAGACTCAAAAAAAGTCAATTTCATACAATTTTATTATAATCATCATTATTATCATCATGACAAATCATAGAAAAACGGTACATAGAATCGCAAAAGAAGAAGAAGAAGAAGAAGAAGATCGTTTCAAATTTGTAGTATATGCCATACAATCCGTTTACTTTCGTCCTCCGAATCCTCCGAATCCTCCCTGTTGTCCGAACTGTCCTCCGAAGCCTTGCTGACCTCCGAATCCTTGCTGACCTCCGAATCCTTGCTGTCCCCCGAATCCTTGCTGTCCAAATCCTTGCTGCCCTCCGAACTGTCCTCCACGTCCGCCGCCGAATTGTCCGCCACGTCCTCCAAACCCTTGCTGACCTCCGAATTGTCCGCCTCTTCCGCCTCCGAATTGTTGCTGGCCTCCGAACTGTCCCTGGCCGCCAAACTGGCCACCTTGACCGCCGAAGCCGCCGAATTGGCAGGAGACGAAGCCGACGAGGAGAAGCGAGAAGAGAATGAAGAGGTTCATGGTTCTGGAAGTGTTCAGTTGAATGTTGATGTTGAGGACATCATTAGAAGTGAAAGGTTTGTAACTACGAACGTACGCAAGTAAGGATAATCGTAAAAATCAATGTGTATAGAATTACAAACCTTCTAAAACATATAAATCTTTAAAATGTATGTATGTAGAACTAGAGGTCCGTAAAATACTAGAAAATTCATAGAAAGCCAGTTTAGTGAGGTTCATAAACATTCAATTCAATAATTTTCCTAGGCCTGTGCCGTGACGACAATTTCTATGGCCTGGCCCGAAAAATCAAAAACTCTGCGTCATTTTCGAAGCCTCTCAAATCAAAAAATGTCCACAAAACACAACAATTTTCGGGTAGCTATTATACGGTCACACCCTCGTGACTTTACACTGTAAAAAAAGAAAGCGACGGAAAAAAAGAAGCGGAGGACAGACAAAAGTATGACGGTGAATCGAACAAAAATTTTGGGAATCAGCCATCTTATATAGTAGCCAACGGAGGCAGCAGACCTTAATGAAGAACAGAATGTAGTGGCAAATTGATGCGGAACTTTGAGGAAATAGTATGGAAAACAGTGGAGACGGCAGAGAGAAAGAGAGAGAGAGAGAGAGAGAGAGAGAGAGAGAGAGAGAACGCACGGAAACGGAAGATGATCCGTCTGTCCATTTGACGAAGAATGACGATGAGCTACACTTGATGTGTTGAAGAATGGAAGAGGATACGGATCTTCGACTTCCTTGTCGCGCTATTCGGGAACTTGTGCGTGTTTTGGTGTAGTTCACACTTCAGTGGTCACATTTTTAGTTAACCGGGCTTCTGAGCATGAAGGAGGCATGGACATTGTGCAACTATGTCAGACACTTGGCAACCAGTACTTTCCCGATTGAATTCCTTCAGTACTCTAATCGCTACTTTTTTCGTCATCCATCCAATCACATCAATATCGTTATCAATGTCCTTCATCTCGCTACTCGCAAATTATTTCTTGAGTGTCCAAGCGGCAATTTGTGTGACCGAAACGAGACAAAAACCGGTATTATTCATTTGCGGTGTGTACTTGACGAAAAAATACGAAATAGAAGAGGGGCGGGGTCAGAATGAAAGAGATCAAAGTTCCGACAGAACAAAAAAAACATTGGTTGCATAATATCTATCCTAAAAGTGATCCGAGCACACCTTCAGCGATTCGGACTCCGGCCGAGTCTCCTCCTCTTCCACCGCCACCGCCACCGCCTCCACGACCACCGCCGCCGTCTGCAAACAAACAACAAAACAATAGTGATGTACTTTCAGCAAAACTCGTACTTCCACCCCAGTTTCCGTCGTTCATAACGCCTCCGTTTACGCCTGGAGGTCCTCGTCCGCCACGGCCACCGCCTCCGTTTCCACCCCAACTTCCTCCCTGCTCATTTCCCCAGTTGCTGCCGCCGCCGCCGTTGTCTGAAACAGAGGTATTGATAATAGCTTTCTCACACAACATTTGTACTCACTTCCACTCCATCCGCCTCCATTGCTACCACCACTTCCCCAGTTGTCACCGCCGCCGCCGCCACCGTCTGAATCACAAATGTTTCATCAACAGTAGAAAAAAGACGACGAACTTCCACCCCATCCGCCTCCGTTTCCGCCTCCTGGACCACCGCCCCAATTTCCGCTTTGACCGCCACCACTGTTCCAGCCGCCCGGACCACCTCCACCGTCTGAAAATGAAATTAATGAAGAGTTATAGTTGTTTGGGACGTTGTGAAGCGCCAGGACGCTACAGTAGCGATCAACTCAACTTCAAAGGTCTACAGTAGCCTTAGGAGTAGCGACGCTAAAAAGTTGTCAATTACAAAAATGTGTTTCGTGTCTAGTACTTTATTTTTCTAGTTGATCATTTTTCTGTACAACCACTCCTAAGGCTACTGTAGCGCTTGGAAGTTAGAGTCAACACGGCGTTTCGATGCCAACTTCCAGGCGCTACAGTACTCTTCGGAGTGGTCCTAGAGAAAAGTTGTCAACTGCAAAAATGAAGTACTAGGTATGAAGTTTTCACAAAAAATCTTGAAAGATCATAGACAACTCACTTCCACCCCAGTTGCCTCCTCCATTTCCTCCCCATCGATTGCCGCCCCATCCGCCCCATCTTCCGGGACCGCCACTCCATCCGCCGGGACCCCATTGACACGTGGCAAGTCCCAGGATGGAGACCAACACGATTACGGTCAGTTTTCGCATTCTGAAAGCAAATACTACACCAGGAAGTTTGAAAGAAACCAGAGAGAAAATGAGAGTACAGTACCCTCTCGGCACAACAATGAAACAAACTTTTCGCCGTATTTATACGCTCGCGTGATGTCATGACCGTCTTTGTGATTTCTTGATTGATCATGTCAGAAACCCGCCTACGCATACCGAATCGAACGAGAGAAGATGGCGTTTCGAGAGGCAATTCGATTTGATAAGGGCCAAAGACTGGCCGTTTTCGTGCGCAACCCATTCTGTTTTGTGTCCAATCGAATCGAAACAGCGAAAAGTCTTTTGTAGAAAGACCGAAAAAGCATTGAGAAGTAGAAGGGAAATTTTAGAGGAGGTTACGAATTCATACAAGTGAGTTATCACACACACACACAAAAACGAGACAGCTTCAATTGTTCTGCGGTGCCACTGCGGCCACTTTTTGTCCGGCATATCTGTCGAGATAGTCGTAGTGCTTTTGCAGAGATGCTCGCACACTTTCCACTCTGAAAACATTCAAAATTGTGGACATTCACAGATAAAAACGGGCAACCTTCTGTGTGTATTCTGATTGGAGTTGTTCATTCCGAAAAGGTGCTCATCGAGCGCGTCTCCGGAGTTACTTTGAACCACTGTCGCATTCCGAAATTCACTTCTCATCCGATCAATTTCCGCACACTCGGCCACCGCTTTGATGAGAAGTTCGTCGAGCTGAACACGAGAACATTTACAAGGCGTTCAAAAACAAGAAAAAGTAAAAGTGTTTCACGAGACGGACCCTTCGTGCCTCATTCTCGACGACCGCTTTCATTTGGCCGACGTGTTGTTCGGCGCTCATAATCTGTTTTATCTTCAGATCCATCTCGAACGCTTCCGATTTGATTCTCTTCAAGTCCATGTCTCGTTTTCTGAAATTACACAATTTTTTTTTGCTTGCAAAACAATTGCGCATACGCATAAAATTCATTCTTCTCCTGCTCCAAAAACTGTCGTTCCGTGCTGATTCGGACCAAAAGTTCGTGTTGACTTTCGTGAAACGATTTCTGAGAAATGGATAATATTTGTCCAAAAATTACAACAAAAAAACGTACAGTCATTCTCGCCAAACTCTCTTTTTCTTTCGTCAAGCTTCCCAAAATGTGATGCTGATCCTCTTTGAAAATTTGGCGTTCCGACTTCAAACGATTCCATTCCTCTTTTAATTTCCATTTTTCCTTAAACTCTCATTTGTATCATTTTTTAAACTGCATAAATTGATTTCGGCACCTGTTCGGTCGAATCCTCTTGTTTCCGCAACAAATTCGACAGGCTCGCGTTGAGCTCGTGAATTTTGAGCTGTTCCGTTCGAAGAGCCGCCATTTCTTCTTGATATCTACAATAGTTTTGGGTGAAAATTGATTACGAAAAAAAAACAACAAAAACAAAGTAAAACCCACTTTTCCTCTCTCATCTTCAACTTTTCCTCTTGAATTTGAAGCATCGCCAATTGTTCCGAGCTCACTTTATTCGTGCTGGCTCTGAAAAGAATAAAAAAGTGGCCGCGCGGTGGCACCGCAGAACAATTGAAAAAGTGTCGTTTTTGTGTGATAAACTTGAGCTAAACAAGTTTTCGGTTCATTTTTCGACCCGTCAACCCGCGGCCAGCCGCCACTTTGTATACGCCCTCAGCGCGAGTGGCCATCGCCGCCCGGTTAGCTCAGTCGGTAGAGCACCAGACTCTTAATCTGGTTGTCGCGGGTTCGAGCCCCGCATTGGGCTTACGTTTTTGACGTTTCTTTTTCTTCAACCTACACAATATCCGCTGAAATTCTATCGATATTCGTGGAAATTGTGTCCACTTTTCCGACAACCGCCACCAAGTCTCCGACTTGACTCGTCGACGTGGCCATGTTTTCCAATTGACGCTCATAATTATGTTTGAGCCGTTCGATTTCCGTTTTGTGCTCGTCTTGAAGCTGAGCGATTTGGGATCTGGTGAAAGTTTTTGAGTGTATGTGTGTGTGTTGGATGACTTGACTCACTTGTGTGCATTCTTGACCGTCTCCAAATTCGCCAAGTTCTCCCTGTTCTGCTCGTCGATTCTCTTCTTCCAAACTCTCTCGTTGTCCTCTTCATCTTCCCGCTTCCTTCGCTTCGTTTCCTCCAATTCTCGATTCACACGTTCCAGTTCGGTTTCGAGTCTGCAAATGAGGAGAAAGTGTGTGGATGGATAGGCACACGATTGGAGAGTGACCTCAAAATGCGTCCGGCCTCAAAACTATCCTTGTCGGGCGCCGGTGCACTCGCTGCTGTTGGAGCCGTCGATGAAGGCGCTTGAGGCGGCGGCGGAGGAGGATCGCCGAACAATGTGGCAATACTTGTTTGGCCACGAGTCGGATTGGATGCAGGAGCAGGGCGGGTTGAGGTCGACGACGAGGTGTTGAAGAGGTCGTCGAGGGTGGATCCGCCACGTGTCGCCTACAAAATGCACTTTCTTCACTGTGTTCGTGAAAAAATCACAAATTGATGTGTTAAAACCAAACCAAAAAAGTTGCAAAACGTCCCGAATGTCAAAGACAGACGTACCCTCAAACTCATAGTTGCGCTGTCCGCTCTGCTCGCCGCCGGCTGCGCTAAATCGCTAAAATTCACACTTCTCCTCGCTGCTGCTGCTGCTTCTTTTGGTTCTTCCTGAACGTTGTTTCTATGAGTATGTATTTAGGAACAATGAGCCATCACACGAACCTGTGCGTTTCCGAACAAACTCTGCAACGCTAAACTACTTTTGACAGGTGTCTTGGTCGGCGAACTCGATGGATTTCTGGATTGTCCGCTTGTCGGTGCTGGTATTTCGGTATCCAATCCCTAAAAAGTTCAGTTTTTTTTTGAAAATCATAACAATGTGGCATACTTACCGCTAACAAATCGCCAAGTTCATCGTCGGACATATACTTATGGGCGGATGAAAGTGAAAAGAGGGCGCCGAGAAGGAGAGGGCGAGAAACAGAAACTTCTCCATAGCAACCGAAGGAGGAGCTCACGGCTTATGTGCTCGCGGCTGCCAATAATTGGAATGGGAGGAAATGAACATGGTGTGGGGAATCAGAAGGATACGATTTGTCTCCAAATCTTTCTTGTAGCCCACAAAAAGTCGTCTCCGAATATCGTCCCTCAATTCATTATTATCGGGCCCGAAAATCGAATGTGTACGTACATACTCAAAACACCTTTTCCATTCGTCAGTGTCCGTCCGCGTCTCGCCGCTTTCTCACTATTTCTCGCTCGCTCGCGCAAATAGCCATAGTAGTGGTGTCTCGTAAATTGTTGGCAGCCGAAACAAATTTGGGTAGAAAAGAAGAGAAGAGACGGGGGGCTGTTATTGTGATAATATCGATGAAATCGAGATGATAGTATCGGTGTGGACGTGCGCTCGCTGAGTTGCCGACCATACACGGTGTTTTGAGCCAGCACGGCCCCTGTACACTTTGCCGGTTTTTAAAACAGTTGGTCCGCTCGGGCGATACTGTTTCACAAGAATCCGTCGTGACAAAAAAGCGTTCGAACTTGTCCGTCTTCTCTGAAAACATTTCCGTTTTCCCATTTCCCCCCCTCAACATATATGAAAATTGTGTTGAAATGAATGAGTCACGGAAAAGAAGAAAATCGTCTGAATCATGTGTTGAATTCGGTGTGAAGAAAAACTGATCGCACCCAAAAAAGTTTCAGACCGATTCGATCGGCCGGTGACCGTGATTTTAGGCCCTAAATGTCTGTATGTATAAAAAATTTCAATTCAAGTCGAAAAAGCCTGCAAATTTTAACAAATTACAATTTTCTCTCTCAAATTAGCTGAAAAGTCGAATATGCGTGAAGCGTCCCCCCGCCGCGCCGTTTCACCCGTCCGCTCTGCCGCTCTCCTCTCTTCCAAACTGACAATATATATACACATGCGTCTATCTATCTTCTTCTTCTTCTTCTTCTTCTTCTTCCTCTCTTCCTCTGCGCGTTGTGAGCGCCCGCGCTCACCAGCCGCCGAGAATCAGAGACGCAGTCGTTCTACCGCACAGAAATAAGGCGTCAGTGGTCGATCAGCCGGTCGGCGCGCTCGCTCGCTCGCACACACATCGACGAACAACACAATATTCGTTCTCTCTCCGCGCTATCTCTAACTTTCTATTTCTCTGCCTCTATTATGTCTTTCCGCACACTCACACACACTCACACACACGGCCGCCCCACACACTCAGGCAGACACCAAAACCCTGCCTTCCGCCGCCGTCGCCGCCGCTCTCCTTCTACCCCTCCTCACTTTCTCTCCCCTACCTAGATCGTCGTTTTCTCTTACTTTCAGACTTTCCAGCACAACTTCTTGAACGTCGCCTTTTTTGGCGTGCTTGTAGTGGACGTGTCTCGTTCGAAAATGGATGGGTACGAAGAGGAAGAGGAGGAGATTCAGGTGAAGTACCGTCTGCGCGGCGAGTCCGAGTGGATCGTCAAGAAGGAGGCCGTTATGACGTTGGACAAGACACAATGGTAGGTACGGGCCCTACACGGACTATATAAGCGTGCATACGTCAAATAGTCGTAGGGCCAGGCCTAAATTAATTCATACAGGCCTACAGTAATCTAACCAGGTTTCTGAAGACCTGGAAAGAGTGTGTTTATTATATTAAATTCGAAAGAAAGAAAAGCATCAGTGTTCAGGGCGATCCGTCTGAAGCTCAACAAACAGGGCGAGGGCCAGCAGTACTACAGTCTCCACGTGGCACTCCTCACGCCCGGAATCACCGCCCGCACGCACATCAAATGCCACCGCGAGGGACAGGACTCGAGCGACTGGGACCAGGAGTACACTTTTGGCGCCCACCAGTCGGTGCTCGTCAATCCGTGTCTGATGAAAACTGATAATAAGGTGAGTGGATAGTATTTGTTTAGCTACAACTTCCCTAATTTCAATGCGGTTACGGTAGCTTGAACGGTAGGGCCACAGTTGATTTTGACTCGATATTGTAGAGTTCTAAAACGTCCTATGAGCCTGAAAATTTTTTCCCAAACACTTGACATCTAGTTCTTTGTTTTGGTAGTTGATCATTTTTCGGTACAACCCGTTTCAGGACTACTGTAGCTCTTGGAAGTTGACAATAGCTACAAGCGTATGAATTTGAGAGCAAACTTCGAAAGGCTACAGTTATTTTAGAAAAAATGATACAAAAAAAGTGTCAACTGCAAAAATGATCTGCTCAATGTGTTCTTTGTTTCCATAGTTGATCATTTTTCTGTACAAGCACTCTCAAGATTACTGTAGTTGTTGGAAGTTGTGATCTACAGTAATCCTGGAAGTTGTTGTGCAGAAAAATGATCAACTACAAAAAGCGAGTACTAGATGCAAAGTTTTTACAAAAACATGACCCATAGGACGTTTCGCAACCGTGCAATCCGCATTCAAACTTGGCATTGTCTTTTGAACAACTATTATAGATCCCCGACTTTAAATTTCGCACCATACCAAAAAATTCGCCGATTTTTCTCCTCACAGCTCATTTTCCGCTCTCTCTTTTATCAGTTGACAGCGCGCTACCAAAATTTTATCTAAAAAAGATAAAATTCATTCATTGCCCAGCGCCGATCGGCCGTCCCAATCGATGTTCGTCGCGTGTCTCGTGGGGGGTGTCTAGAGGCGCATGACCCACTCTCTGACTCTCTGTGCTCTCTCGCCTCGGCGTGCTCTCTCGCCAGCCGCGTGAGCGCACACTTCCACGGCTTTTCGGCGCGTTTTTAATGGAAAAATGGGAGAAAGGAGGGAGCGACGAAAATGGAAAAGAAAAACAGTTGTACCGTAACCTACAGTAACCCAAGAGCACTTTTTTTTAGGAAAAGGTGACATTTGTGGTGGTCCTCCAGTTGATGTGGAGCAAGCCGATTCCGTTTGAGCTCACAAAAGAGCTCGTGTGGCCGAAAGGCGATTTCACACTGAAAGCGGACGGTAGAACGCTCAAAGTGGATCATGAGGTTGGTTTTTTGAAATTGTAAAGCTTCTAAATGAAATATTGGCATCGAGTACTGTATTGTTGTAGTTGATCATTTTTCTGTACAACCACTTACTGGAGTACTGTAGCTGTTGGAAGTTGGCACTGAAATCCAGTAGCTATTGTCCACGTCAACTTCTAACGCTCACAGTATCTTTGGGAAAAGCGATTCAAAAATGTTATAAACTACAAAAGTTTCGCATCAAATGTGAACTTTATTTTTGTAGTTGACACTTTTTTTCTACAGTCACTCCTAAAAGTGCTGTGGCTCTTGGAAGTCAGGACTGATATCCAGGTGGCTATTGTCAACTTCAACTTCCAGCAGCTACAGTATCCCTGAAATTGGTTGTACAAAAACTGTCAACTACAAAAATCAAGTACTAGATGTGAAGTTTCCATAAAAAAGTTTTGAAAACCATAGGACGTTTCGCAACTCTACAATATCCATTCAAATCCTATCAATTTTCGACTAAAATATGCAAATTCCCCAAATTCTTGTCTAAATCGGCGATTCATACTAATTGATTGAAACTGACACCGAATCACTGGGGCGGCGATTTTTCGGAGATAAAAGCCGCTCTGAATGAATGGGATTACTGTATTTGCGGCCCTTGTTACAGTACCTGAAACGACGTGCTCCACTGCTCGCCTACATGTTCGAGGACGACGAAAAGTGCGAGTACGAGGTGAAGGACGTCAAGTTCGAGGATCTCGTCGACGCGCTCGGAGCACTACAGCACAGATGGGAGTTTGCGGGTGAGCAGCGCTTTTTTTCTGAGCAATTTTGGCTCAAAACTCCCAAACTGTCACTCGTGGAATTATTTAACGGCTCCAGGCCGATTTTTTTCGGTGACCGGCATTCGATAGCCCGTTTTGCAGCGGACCGTCTCGTCGAACTGATCCGATCGCGCGCCGACTCGGCTTCGATCTCTGGGGAAAGTCGTTGGACCGCGAGTTCTCGCAGCTCGTCTTCCGTAACGACGTCGTCCGAATCACCGAATTGGCAGACGAGACGGCCGAGCGGCTCGACTTTGAGACGCCGTTCACGTGGACCATCGAAGAGTTCTCGACGTTGAAATCGTCGACTTCGAGCCCGAATCAACACGTTTTGCTGGCGTCCGATGACGGTGTGCACAAGTGTATTCTCTACGTCTACGTGCAGCAATTCTCGGGCACCAAGTACGTGTCGTTTGGCATTCAGATGAACACTTTCGAGGACGTCGACGAGAACGAGGATTCGAATATGTTCGCCGAGCGGGAGGAGGACGACGACGACGAATTCTTCGACGTCTACATCAACGCGATTTCGGAGAGCGGCGATCGAGTGATTCGCGATCAGATTCATCGCATTCAAGTGAACAATAGTGTGATCGTCGGCTCGCCAGTGTTCGCCAAACTCGACGACGTGCTTCCGTGGGTCAGCGCCGACGACAAATTGACGATCGAGTTCGGATGGACGCAGAATTTGGGAGAGGTGAAGCCCGGCGGCACTTATGTTCTGCCGGGCACTGTTGACGCGAAAATCGTGTGCGATGATACCACTTTGCGCATCAATAAAGAGGTATTGAAATGACTATATGATATTGGAAAATTTATCGACAAAATTTGCAGTACCTGTGCCACCACTCCGACTACTTTTCCGGGCTCTTCTCGGATCGTTGGGGCTCGCGGGACAGCGTGAAATTGCCGGCGGAAAAGTTGAAAGTGCTGTCGGTCGCGCTGGAAATGCTCTACAATCGGCGGGTGAGCATGAGTCCGGTGCTGTTGTCGCAGGTGCTCGACTGTGCGGATCGGACGTGGATGAGCCAGCTGACCGAGGGCATCCAGCGGATGTTGTGGAGCTCGCAGATGGAGATCGAGGACCGCGAGTGGCTCGCCGAACAGTTTCAGTTGAAGGACTTGGAGGTAACCGTTCGATTCGAAACCTTACGATTTACTGTTTGTTTTTCAGGTCAAATGCACACTGGAGCACAAAAAAGAGCAGCTCAAACTCAAGAAAGTGTCTCGGAAGCGCGCGCGTCCGGCGGATTTTAAAGACGAGCCGCCGATGGCGCCGCCGCAACCGGGCCGGCCTTCACACGACCAGGAAATGGAGGACTCGGCGCCGATGCTCCAGCAGGAGGCGCCCCAGCTTCCGGAGCAAGTCAGCTCGTGAAACAATCTGAAAATATTGCATTTTTGTGTACGACACCTCCGAAATTACGATGCTTTTCGGAAAATTGTTGTTCGGGAGCATCGTATTTTCGTTTGCTAACCAGCTTGGTTATGCAAACGCGCTCCACTGCACTCTGCGCTTTGTTTTTTTTAATTTTCGCCTCTAAATGCATTTCTCGCTGTACTTTTATCAAAAACTCTCGTTTTTCTCACGTTTCTCCGCTCATTTATTGATTTTTGTTGCATTTCGCACGTTTTCAAACCAAAATGCCTAGTTTTAGCAGAAATTTCGATGGAGAAACCAAAAATCTCTAATTTTCAGCAATTTTCTGGGTTCCGCCGCAAATCGGACACTTTTTCAACTGAAACTGGCAATATTTGAGTTCAAAACGTGAGAAATATAACAATAAGCATCCAATGAATGGCATTTTTCGGCTGTTTCCGCCGAAAAATGCCGTTGACATTTCGAAGTTGAAATAGGCGGATTTTTCGCAACTGCTGTCAATTTTCGCTAGTTTTTCTATGAAAACACGTGCAAATGTGTTCTATGTACGATTTTTGAACTAGGAAAGTAGGAAAAACGAGAATTTTTGATAAAAATTCAACAAAAATGGAAAAAAAAACGTGCAGAGTGCGGTGGAGCGCGTTTGCATAGCCCATCTCCCATCTCCTCATTCCCCTCCGTACCTCATCCATTTGCCAAACGAATATTGTAAAAATGTCTGTAAAAACCGACATCCTCCTCCACTTTTTTCGCTTTCATGTAAATTTCGAATTTCCATCACCAACTGCCTTTCTCTAGGGTCTTTTAGAACTTTCTTTGTTGGAAACAAATATTGTCGCCTTGTAAAAATTTCCGCATTTTTTCGCTTAGTACATTGTAAAAAAAACATTGAAAATTAGTTGTACATACATTTGAAATAACAAAACATTGCCAACAATGGTTATTCGATGCTAATAAAAATAAACATTTGAGAAGTAAAGAAGAAAAGTTTCAAGAAATTTCAAGAATCTTGCTGTGGTTTTCGCCAACTCGATGGGATCAGTGTGGACGCCGGTGGGAGTAAGTCTGAAAATTGAATGATGCTCAGAAAATGGGCTCTGTTCGGAAATCTGTCTTCATTTTTCACCGTCGCTTTGTTTTTTATGAACCCCCTGAAGTTTAGCTGTCAAAAAATCGGTACTTCACTGATCTCGAAGTTTGTTAACATATTTCTGAACACATCTGCGCTTGTATACAAAAAAGTAGTGAAGAAACGCTAAAATCTACCATTAGTCTGGCTAAGTATCACTGAAAAAGTATGAGAAACAGAGCAACAGAAACTCGGGCTCCGCTTTCCGAACAGGGCCAAAAAATGCACGTATTTTGTATTAAATTCATTAAGCTATGAGGTCGGACATACGGGTGAATTTAGAATTCGACGAAGAAGAGGGAAAAGGTAGTACTTGGACAATTGTTTGAACTTGTTTGCAGCTGAGGTTGAGAGGGTACAAAAAAAATGGAAAATTCTTGCTTGTTCACTAAAACGTTTTAAAATTCTAGTAACAAAGACAAGCGAAAAAGGGTTCGATAAAGGGGAAAAATTGAAGGGAGGGTAGGACATTGATCGGTAAAAACGAGAGACAAGGGCACTTGGAGGGGAAAATACGGAGAACAAATCGGGGGAAAAGCAGTCATTTCATTCTACAGACGATCACTGTGGCCGACTATACAGATAAATGGGTGGACACTGTGAATGGAATATTCGAAAGGGAAAGACAATTGGGTGAGAATGCGGGAAATGCACGGAAAACGGCGTCACTGAAATGTGTAGTATTCTGAAAAAAAATTGAATGAGGAAATTGCGAGATTTTTTTCTATTAAACAATCGAGAAGCGCATTTTTAAAAATCTCGCAATTTCCGCACATTTTTCGCCAGAACACTACAAAAACGCGTTCACTAAATCATTCGTCATTGAGTATGAGTGCGCCGGAAGCGGGTTGCAGGGTCAGCGCGCCGCTCGTCGGCTGCTTCAGCTTTCCGAGCATTTGCGCCGGCGTCATGAGCCGTGTGGCCGGCGCGAGACGCGGAGGCGCCGCGGAAGACGAGGACGTGGAGGCACCTTGCGACTGCAGTTGCGGCATTCCGGACGGTCCCGGCGACGACGACGACGAGGGACCGCCGCCCGATCCGATGAGGACCGTCGAGTTGGAGAGCGAGATACCGCCGCCCGCGGACGACGACATCGGCGCCACTGTGTACCGCGTCGGGACCATTGTCTGAAACGACGAATCAATCCATATTTTTTCCCTAATTCCGATCACCTACCCTCGTGGTCATCATCGTCTTGATCGGCTGCATTCCGATCCGTTTCTGTGCGAGTGGCACCGCGTGTCCGGTTATCAGTCCGCCCGTGTTAATGGTCGTGTAAGTTCCGCTTCCGCTGCCCGACACTCCGCCCAACGCCATTCTCTTTGCTGAATTTCCCGAATCGTCCGTGATCAGGTGCCGCCTTTTAATGTCGTTCTTGATGTGTTTTCTGCAAAAAAACCTTGTACTTTTGTTAGAAATCGATATCCACGGTGAAACTATGAAAAAAGTGCAAAAACTGATCCGTACGTTGTCCGACTCGTTACACAGGAGCTGATCTGATCGAGTTCGTGCGCGAACCGGGTCAGCGCGTTCTTGAGGCTATCGACCTCCTTCTCCGACCATTTACTCTCGTCCGTGTCGGTCGTCGTGTGCAGTTGCAACGTCAAATCGCCCAATTTTTGGAATGCGTGACCGGCGGTCAGAAACACTTCGGCCACTTTTGAGGCCAAGTTCACCGGCGCCGGCTGATCCATCGCCATCGATGCTTGATTATTGACCGAAGAGGTGGACGGCGACGGAATCGCTGACGTCGACGGTCCGCCGCCACGTTGATATTGTTGGAAATTGTTGGAATTTCCCGACGGACCGGCTATCAGGGGACCTGAAGAGGCCGAAGTCGACGCGGTTTGGTATTCCAGACCGTCCGGATCCTCTTTTATTTGGTGGTGCAGGTACTGGAGGGGCGTCGAACCGCCCGTATCGTGTACCACTTTTCGGATGGGCACCGGTTGCCGCAGCGGGACCGGCATCTGTCGGATCTGACCGCTTGACGATATTCGCATCTGCAAAAAGATATAAAACTGCAAACTTTATCAATTTTCTCACCTGCGGTGCCGTCGTCGCAATTGTCACCGTGTTACCCACTATGGGCGGCACATTGTCGTAATTTCGTGAGTTCATTCTACAAAGATTCACGCCAAATTAGCAGAAAGATGGGAGAAAGTATGAAAGCTGTTCGCAAAACAGCTAAATTATGGCCAAAAAGAATGCGACAATAAAAGATCTTGTATTTTTCTTATCAAAGGAAAATACCCGAATTAAAGCGTGGACTTTTGGGGAACATGAGGAAAAACGTGAATAAATAGGCAAAACAATCTAAATGTTCTATTTTAGACATTATTATCATTCTTATTATTGGGCTGCGCCTTCTGCTCCCGCTTCCGGATTCACCGCACTCGAGATGACGGCGAAAAGGACGACGGGCACCAGGTACATCCACTGCAAAAATATTTAAAAAAAAATATACTGTCATTTTCGTTTTTACAAGATAAAAAATGGGGTATTTCGCTAAAATCGCCCCCGTTTTGCTTACATATTTGGCCAGAAAACTGCGATTATCCGCGTCGGCGCCGTGTTGTTTCGCCCGCTTCTCCCGCTCTAATTTGGCGACGAACGAGGCCGTGTCCGGGCTGAAAAATTCAAATTTTTCAAACATTTGGATTAAAAACGTGCCTGGGAAGGGTGGTTTGGCCCAACACCTGCACCACTCCCTTCGGCGTTCCATTCTCCAAATCGACAGTCAACGGGGCGCCGCCGGCACGTGCCTCACACGTTTCCGCTCGAGAATTGTACTTTCTAAAGTCAAAATAATGAACTTTTTCGTGATTTTTTAGAGGGAAAACTCACAAATTTTCGTCTTTATGCCACGCGACCGGATCGGGGAACACTGAGATCGTGAGCAACCGCTGTTTCTCTTGCGAAATGGCCACCCAGAAGACGTGGAACAGGTTCGAGTGCAGGAACAGACACTGAAAATGACGGATTAAATATGAAAATTACAAAAAATCCTACACTTTCCACCCCAAACGCGCGTCTTTTCATTTCGGAGCGCGCCCTCCAACATCATAGGCCGGTCGGCCTTCCTCTCGCTCGTTTACGCGTGGTCTTGGCGGGACGGCGCACGGCCGCCGATCTCGAGGTCGCCCGCGAGTTCGATACCCACCCATGGCAACAAATTCCAATCGCGCGTTTTTCCAGCACGATTGAGCCGACGCCATGGGAAAGCATTGTCTTGCGACCATTAGATCCCACTTTCAATACGATTACTGATTGTGGTTTGCACGTGGTCCACAATTTTCGTTTTCCATTGAGAACCCACAAACGTTTGCTCTATTTTGATTTGAGCAAAAATTTGAAAAATTGCCTACCGAATCGCTAGTAGTCAAAAACGATTCTCCGGGTTGAGTGGAAGACTTGGCACGCACCGAATACGCGCTTTCTTTCGCCTCAAACAATCTGCAACTCGAAAAATTACAAAAAAATTGGAAATCTCCGCACTTTTGGCCGAAAGTCTTGTCCTGTGCGGGTTTGAACGTTCCGGTATAGTTTCCGTCGAACGAGCGTCTCATTTCGATTATTCCCAGCGGATATCCATTGGTGAAACCTGCAAAAATCGGTTTTATTTGCAATCTTATCGATTTTTCGGGCACTAACCGTTTAAACTATATTCCAGGCTGATTGTCCACTCGGCGGAGACGCAAAGTACGGAAATCCATAGAAAAATCACGTGGGCAGGTCTAATTGGCATTCTGAAAGTAAAAATGTACAGAAAGTTATCGATTTTTTCAAAATTAATGAAATCGAGGTAGCGACCGATTTTTCGGTTGGTGTACGGTCGACATTACACTGTGCGGCGTGTTTGCACACTCGGCATTTTAAATGACGACACTTTGCATTTAGTCGTTTCTCAGTTTTATTTCAGCGGTTTTCAGCTCATTTTTACGCGAAAGACTATAATTTTTTGAAGTAAATATAAAAAATATTGCTTCAAGATATATTTATTGTACAATTGTCGATTTTTGCAGATGTTGCGAAGTTTTCTCGGCAATCGAGCCGTTTTGAGAAACTTCCGTGTTCGGATGTCGACAGAAGTTCTCCCCGGCGACGAGAGCATCATTGACTTTGTGGACACAATCACCGAAACGTCTGAATCACAGGTTTTATTGAATTTTTGCGAAAAAATGGTAAGTTTTCGATTTTCAGAACAAACCGTTCGCCACGCTGCTGCGCGAGTCGAAATTCATGCAACTCGGCGACTTCAACGGGCGGTTCGTCGTCGGAAAAATTGTGCAACGCATTCAAGAAGACGTCTACATTGATTTTGGACTGAAATTCAACGCCGTCTGCAAAGTTCCGGCCATCAATTCAGAGTACGCGCCCCCGATCAAGTGTTATGAAATTTTTCGCAAGAAAGCCTTAGCAATTATAGAAACTTTCTATTTTTGCAGAGCGTACCGCAGCGGAGCCCGTGTTGTCATCCGATTAATCGATCCGGAGCTCAGCGAACGATTCCTCGGCTCCAAAAGGGATCTGACGCTTCTGGAGGCGGACGCCGTCCTCGTTCGCCTTCTTTCCAACGTTCCCGGCGCCCAACGACGTGCCCGTGACGATAAAAAATTGTCGAAAGCGCCGGAAGACGTCGTCGTTGAAAATACGCCGAATTTGACAGAAAAAACGATGCCGGCCGAGCAAAATCTTTGAAAAACGTGTAAATTCCCGATGTTCACTAGGCTAGCACCTTGTTTTATTGTTCGTTCTTGTTATTTCTTGTTTTGTCTCACATAACAACAGAGTTTCAAAATTTTTTAGCGAAAAATGGCGTTTGAACCAGTTTTATTTCAAGAGCTCCACAATTTGTTGTTAAACATATGATTCTAGTCCAAAGTTTTAAGAAAATCAGAAATCGCTTGTTTTTCTGTTTCTTTCAAAAAGCCCGCCTGAAATGTGCAAAAAGTGATGAATTGTGTCCCCCCTCCCCATTTCTGGTCCCTAACCTAACAAAACGCGGCATCCGAAACGTGCATGTTCCAATAGAAATCCGAAAAAAGCGCAGATTTCATCAATCCATGCCTGCGTCTCCGCACTTCGCGCGCTCTCTCGTCCGCCGAAAACTGCCATTGACCACTGAAATATGGCCAGTCTGTTTTTCCGCGTTTGCGGACCGCATCTGGTGCTTCTGGCCCCCCGGAACACACGGACACGGAATTAACATGCAGATGGAGGGCACGCACAGTGGAAGCATTGATCATTTGGCGAATTGTGGTGAAAACTGGGAAAAGAAGATATTTATTAGAAAGTTTGCTGAAAAAAGAAACATTGTAGAACACGATAAGTTGTGGAAAAACGTAAAAATACAGAGTTTACGACATTTCAAGTACCTTTTAATGTGAGACCCCCCTGAGCCACAAACTTTTCGCGTCCGTTCACTCTCTTCCATATTTCATGTCTCGTGGCCAATTCGGTTCGCCACCGAAATGTGTCACACGCCGAAACAGATGCAAATGTGACGGGGGAGGGAGGTATACGGTAATTGGTTTCTTCCGATTCGAAAGTCATTTTGGGGGGTGTCTTGTCGCTAAACGCTCATTCGTACATGTGTGTGCATGCACACACACATTTATATATTTATAATAACGATTATGATAATTGCGAGCTCAATTATTGTGTGGTTTTTTTGCATTCGAACAAGATTGTTTGGGACAAGGAATGTGACGGATTTTAAAGGCCGCTGATGCTGTTCCACTATGCACCATGCAAGAGAACACAAACAGTTTGGGAAAGCGGCTGAAGACGTGAATGATGCCAATACGAATATTTGCGATGAATTTCAGTCGAAAACCAGCGGAACACAGGCCTTGGCGGGCGATCCGTTTCCCCCTGTTTGAGAAAATGATGAAAAATCTGGGGACGCAGACGGTAGACAGTTAAAGGCGCATAGCAAGAAATTTCAATTTTTTTTCATGCTATGCGCCTTTAAATGTCTACCGTCTGCGCCTCTCTATTTCTCTCGCCCCCCAGACTTTTTCTCCGTTTCAATCGGTAATCCGCCTCGGAAAAGTGTGTTCCAATTGTTTTATCGAAATTTCGCCCAAATTTATTGAGCCATCCTGCTCCGAATGACGCAAAGCGCCACGGAACAAGATATTTTATCACTTTTTCCGCACAAAAAACAGTTGTCCCTCTCGCCCGCTTACACAAATCCGAGTTCCCCGTCCGGCCGGCTCCAACGAGTTGCAAAGGCATTTTAAAATTTATGTAGTTCAAACACACAATAGTTAGACGGATAAATGCGAGAATTGAGATGAGATGAGAGATGCAAAACTAGCCTAAAAGTCGGAAATTTCGAAATTCTTTTGAAAAAAGAGAAGTTGGCGAAAAAACACGTTAAAAAAATGGTGGGGGGTTTCTTGGAAAAAAATATAATTTTTCGGGGGAGGGGAAGAGAAATGAAAAATGCAATTATTGTACACATCGAGCACTGGAAGTGTCCACAAGTGATTGAATCACCGAGAAACTGGTATTTTTCAGAGAATTATCGCTTTTAGGCGAGTTTTTGGACTTTGAAATTTTTGAAATTTCACGAAAATAACCCTAAATCGGGGGGAAAATCGGGGGAAAATTGGGGGAAAAGTGGTGTCGAATCATTCGTTTTTGTGCGGGCACGCGGCCAAAATCGCCGAAAGCGTGATCATTGGATCGGCGGCGGCGGACGGATCGAGAAGATTCAGAAGCTGTTGGTAGCCGATCACTTGCTGAGCGCATTTCAGGCACATTGGGGCAGAAGAGGACGAGTCCGAGGCGGAGGTGATCGACGTGCCTGCAGATTTTCACGTTTCACTAACGTTCAGATGACCCATAAGTATAGAGAGATATTGAGAAAGTACGGTTGGTTACTCGAATCTAACGGGTTTCAAACAGTTTATCAAACGAAAAAACTGACCGGTGGGCGAAGGCGTCATACTGTGCGGAACGGGCGCCTCGCGCTCACTATTCAAATTGTTCTTCTCGCGCTTCTGACGTCTCCGCAGCTTGATCTGATCGGCCATCAACTTCTGACGCTCGACGACGACCTGGCATTTGGCACAGAAACAGTCACGGAACGGACACGCCCGTTTGTGGCCCTTTAGACGGTTCACCACACTGTGCTGCGCGCACCGTTGACAGTTTGGACGACGTTCTGCGAAAAAATTGCAGTCAAACACAGGGATTTTTCAGTTGAAGAACGTCTGACAGGCTTTGAATGGATATTGTCGAGTTGCGAAACGCCCTATGGCTTTCAAAAGTGTCTTGTGAAAAGTTCGTACCTGGTGGTACATTTTTGTAGTTGATCATTTTTCTCTAGGACCAATATGTGGCCTACTGTAGCTCTTGGAAGTTTGCCTACGCATTTAGACGGTCTAATCTAAATTTTAGACCTACAGTAGGCCAGAAAGTGGTCGTAGAGAAAAATGATCAACTGCAAAAATGCTCTATTAGACTTGAACTTTTCACAAAAACGTTTTGGAAACCATAGGACGTTTCGCAAGCAGACAATACTCGTTTAAAGTTTGCTGTACTCTGTTTACCTGCAACTCGTCGTTGTTCAACCATTAAGAGGGGGCAAGAATAGCGGCTAACTCCTTTTTTTTTGTTTTGGGTGCCTTTGACACTAAGTCTCATTTTATTGGACCCCATTGACAGCTGCTTTTCGAGAAAGAAACGCAGAGAAAAAGTGTGAAGAGCCGAAATGACCACCCACGGGAAATCATCGAGTTTCTCGGGTCCGAGTTTCCGATTATTTACCCTATACTGGATTCGGTTCGAATCTCTGCACCAAAATACTTGAACCAAGTACAAAAAGTGTTCAAGACGGACCGAAAAGTCCAGGCCCTGTTCCATTGCGGACGGACCCCCATGCGCTTTACACCACTCATCGAAAAGTTGGACGTGCCGGCGCAACACTTGCCGTTCTCCTAATCTCAACTTTCATCATCATCATCATTCCTCTCGTTCTCGTGTGCTGCTTGTCAAAAAGCAATAAAATCCGGTGGCCGCCGCGTTTTCTATTCTTCCTATGCGAAACAGAGAGAAAGAGAGAGAGAGAGAGAGAGGAATTCCGATGAACGTGTGCTCATAATCGTTAAAAGTGTCTCTCGGCGGAAAGTCATAAGGGACACTCAAAGAAACAATTAAAATTGTTCCTCACTCGCTCGCTCGCTCGCGCTTCTTTTTGGTTTTGGACCCAGGCGGCTCCTGACACGGGAAAAGCGGCGCCTTCCGCTTTTTATGAATCCTATAGTGATAGTAGCAATAAAAGTTGGTTTTTTTTGTTGGTTTTTGAGCTTTGACATGATAAAATGATAAACAAAGTATCAGACACTCACGTTTTTCAAGTTCAACTGACCAGTACAAACAGGACAAATTTTTAAACTTTGAACGAATATTGTAGAGTTGCGAAACGTCCTAGAGTTGCCAAAATTGTTTTGTGAAAAGTTTATACCTAGTAGTACATTTTTCTAGTTGATCATTTGTCTCTACGACCACTATCTGGCCTACTGTAGGTCTTGAAAGTTGGCACTGAAATTTCTGTGCTCCTGGTGAGGCCCAACTTCCAAGACCTACAGTAGGCCAGAAATTGATTCTGGAGAAAAATGATCAACTGCAAAAATGAAGATCACACCTAGCACTATATTTTTGTAGTTCACAGCTACTCTGTATCACGTCTCCCAAGGGTACTGTAGGTCTCGGAAGTAGAGGTTCACAATAGTACTACGGGACTTGTGCTTTTCACAAAAACATTTACTAGCAACTCGTCAAATGCTCATTCGAACCTTTCGGCTTGCCATCGTCCTTGTCCTCGCCGCTGCTCTCGTTCGTCGTCTCCGATTGGCTGGTGCACTCGATCTGATCCTCTTCCGATGACGTCATCAACACGCCCACGCTCTTCTCCTGACTTCCCTCGATTTGCATAAGACGCGAGTTGAGTTGACGGCGTCGTTCGACCATCTAGAAACACGACATTCGATTGGAGGCGAACAACGAAAAGATGTCACTCACTATGCAATTCGAGCACTGACAAAAACGGAACGAGCACGAGAGCTTGTGGTTTTTGCGCTTCTCGCGGAGCCCGTGGTTGAGACATCTGCAAACGCGCTTTTTCGGTAAAAATAAATCTCCAAAGCTACCGTACTCACCGCTGACAATAATAAACTCGCTTCTCGCCAAATAACTCTGGTAGAATTTCCTCAATATTCATCATGAGCACCTCCTACCTCCTGCAAAAGGTCAAGAAAGAATGAGAAGTGATGCGGTCGATGCACCATGTAACGAATGGATGGGTCTCGGAACGAAAAGTCAACAGAGAGACGAGGCGAGAAATAAAAGTACAAAGCAACCCGAAAATGTGTTCCCAAAGGTAATTGAGTCGGCGTCAAGAAAACAAAACAAAACAAAAAGAAGAAGGTTCCCAAGTCGATTAAAAGTCAGATTGTTTGCAATGGGCGGCTACAAAAGAGGTGATAAAGTCGGACAAAAAGTACCGTAATCTTCGATTTGACCTCCCTTTAAACCACACACAACTTCTTTCGGTGCGGCGCTTTCTCATTGGAACCGGGTGCGGCAATGACGAGGTTCACAGCATCATAAATTTACGCGCCAAACAACTTTTTTCGACAATTTACTCACACACGCACACGCTTATTTTTCTCGATAAACGCAAAATTGGATTGTGCGCACTGTGCTAAAATATTGTTAAACTTGCAAAGAGCAACAAGAGATCCACGCAAGAATTTCATTTTTTTTTGTCAGGTTCAGCACGAAACGACTGCTCTTTTTGATAGTTTACATCATAATGAACTCATTTCAGAAAATCAAGTGAAATGAATCGATATTCTTCGAGCCAAGCAGCCGACAGTTCACGGGACAAGGCCGTCGAACTTTCTGCCTCTCTAAAAGTTTGGCGGCATATAAAAAGGGACCCAGTTTTTCGTTTCCTGTCATCTTAATATAGGTTCTCAATCAAGGAAGCTTCAGGGAATCTTAAAATGCCAAAACAAGACGAATAGTGGTGGATTTGTCGAGATTGAGAGAAAAAAGAAAACAGGAAAATTAGTCAAGCGTGTGCGTGGCTCGTCCGAATTGAATGTGTGCGATGGAAAAATGGGAGATGGCAACAAATTGTTTCTCGAATTTCCGGCCGGGATTACGGTGGGGTTATGGGTTCTGCGAGGGGTGGGGGGCGACCAAAAAGGGCTATGGGAAAGGGAAAAGAAAGGGCCGTTTTCGTTTCCGGATGAGATTTGGAGACGATTTGGGCGATTAGTGGGCTCGCGGAGCTCTATTGAGAAGAGAAACAACATGGCGCCGATTACTGTACTTTGAACATTTGACGTTTCGCAACTAAACCAGCGAAAATCATGAAAAAAACAGTTGGGGCCAAGGTTGCGAAACGTAGCAGTTGCGAGACGACTTTTTTCATCCAGAATGCTATCGAAATTGATCGAAAAACCAGAAAAAAACAGTAACCAACTACAGTAACCCGTTGAGGAGAAGCCCGTGACGAAAAGATGTTATTACTTTCGAGGAAAAAGCGTTCAAAACAAATATTGTCCACTTTTTTTGCGTTGGGAGGCAAAGTGATCAAAAAAATGTGTTCAAACATTGGATGGAAAACCGTATAGGATGCAAAATGCGTGTAAAATGATAGGTTTGACCTTATACATGAAATGTTTTTTTTTTTTTTTTTTTTGGATTCATGGTATCGCGCGGGGTGGTCTTGAGAAAGAGAGAAACGAGAAGAGTTATCAATCGGGGGAGAGAAGGTCGGCAAAAGGACGATTTTGATTGATATTTGAGACTTTCGACATGCAAAATGGGTAGTTTCTGATATTGTAGGTCAACGTGAAGAGGTTTGAGGGCTTCGGGTGGGTTTTCGAGTTGTACCTATCAAAATTAGGGAGGAAAATCATTTGGCCGATGCACCATGCACCTTCGAAGAGTTTTCGTGGCTGACACCTTTGAAATGAAGGGAATCGACGATAGAATGTCTCGAGAAAGGACTACTGTGAACCGAGGCTCCGCCCACTAGAGCCCCCAATGGCTCCGCGCCTTTCATGACGAAAATGGGGAGTGAGAGAGGAGGGAAAAATGGAAATTTTTGTCGGATTCTTACACAGGTGCAGACAATGACTAATATTGGAAACGTTTGATGAAACATGGTGGGTTTAAGATTGTGCAAAAAATAGATTCAAAAAATGAGAAAGAAGAAGAAGAAGAAGAGAGAGAGAGAGAGAGAACAGCTGTTCTCTTTTCCGTCCCTTTCTACCATAAATTCAATGGATCCGTCCTCTCTCTCAGATCCTATCTTAATGGCTGTACTCTCTCCTTTTGCTTTTTTGAAACGTTTTGGAAAAACTGAAATTTGCTGACGAGTCGTTGTACCCTATTCTCCACACACGATTTCCGTTATTTTAGGCCTAGGCGGGGCGCTGTAGCATTCATTTTTTTGAGAAAAAAAGTTAATCATCTTCAAAACCTAACAAATCCAATTACCGCCAAGTTACTGTAGCTTTCTGGAAAAATAGAAAGTCCAAAAACGATCGCGTCCAAGTGATATTATCAATTTCACAAAAAAGACAAGAGACCACCCGTCGAAATCGTCGTGGAGGTCCTTGAATCGGTCGTGTGGGGGTCTGGCGCTGCTAAATGCAAAACCTCGACAAAAGTGGGCGGAGTCTGGAGAAGGAGAAGCCAGGCGGTCGCCAGAGAAGATAATGGCCGAGAGATTGGCAGAGACGCAGGCACGTTTAAAGGGTGTTCGTCGCGACAAAAAAACCAGGCAGGGCATGTGTTGGGGGTCATAAATAAGCGAATTGCACTATGGACACTGGCACCAGAAACATTTGGAACCGAACCGAACCGAACGGAAACGAACACACATGGACCTGTTCTGCTGCGCCATTGTTTCAATCGAGGAGGGCGACGATGCACCATGTGTGGACGGATTTATGATGATGATGATGAAAAGTTGATGAGGGGAATAGAGATGTACATGAGGTTTTGTTTTGTTCGCCAGCTACAATGGCCGATGCACCATGAGACATTGCCAAGTATCTTCATATGAAAGTCTTGTTCAGGTTGACCGTGTGACTTTGATGATTTGATTGGGGAAATAGTAGAAATAAAGTTTTTGACCAGGCCGATGCACCATGTGGAATTCGATTGTCGTGGATTTCTAGAGAATGCCTGCTTGGCCGATGCACCATGTGTGGACGGATTAATGTAAATGTTATAGATGAGAAATTTTGTTCAGGAATACCCATAATTTGATCCAGATGAGGAAAAGGAAGTTTTGTTCAGATAGAGCGGCCGATGCACCATGTGGATTGGATTTTTGCAGATTTCTTGTGAATACTTGTTCAGATCATGTTCGTGCAATTGTTTCTTGGCCGATGCACCATGTCTCTGTTTCAGTTTCCGTTCCAATCGGCAGATGCACCAGCTGGAAGCACAGGTGAAGTGTTTCCCGTCGATGCACCATGTGGAGAAAAATTTCCGAAATTTCTAGGTTAAAAATCTAGGAAACAAACTAAAACCTGAAAAAAGTGTCCACAGTTCATCTTTCCAAATCGAGACGACAATGCGATGCGGTGCCAGACACGCCCACAATATTTTTTTATATTTCTCGTCATAAAACGTAACGTCCATTCCATTCTTGATCACTTTTCTCTCTCTCTCTCTCTCTCTCTCTCTTTCCATCTGTGTTCAACCCAAAACGACCACTTTCCCAAATTAGGGAGACGAGAAAAAAAAAGTGAATAAAAGTTTACTCGGAACCAAAGTGCGGCCAGCGAAAAAAAAATTTATAGACCGCCTTTAGGAGGGCGCCACACACGACCGAAAGGACATCAAGAAGAGCGATAAAATGTGTCGGTTTTTTTTTTGCTTTTTTTCGGGCCGAAAAGGGGCAGATTTCTCATCGGGTTAATGTACTACTTGGAGCTGGAGCTCGAGCACAAAAAAAAACGGACGAAGAGGAAAAAGTGTTTGGAGAAGTGGATGTATAGTAGTTGTACTACGAGTTTGACCCCCCCTATCCCTTTTTGGTCCCTAAAAGTTGGAGCTTGAAGGGGTCTCAAATGACAGTGGAAAAATTTATTCACTAAAATCTAGAACATTGAGTTAGCAAATCACCGATGCACCATACTGTAACATTCTGAAACAAACTGTTTTCCGTTTCAAAAACTCTGAAAAGTGTGTACGGTAACCTAAAAAAGCGCTGCCTACTGATGATGACCCAGTGAGACACTCTATATTTTATAGTTGAACCGACCTCAGACGCTCCGGTTCCTGCAATAATAAATCCTCCTCAATTCTTCCAATTCTATTCGTTTCTGTGTGTGTGTGTGTGTTGGCTGACTAATGAGTGTTCCTCTCCTCTCTTAGCACCCAAAAACAAGGCCAATCGTTGGCCGCTTATTACCGTTCATATAATATTAGTGTCTTTCGGGGGAGGGGGAGGCGGAATCTCGAAACGAATCGGTGTTGTGTATGGTGTTGATTGAAACGGTTCTTCTCGAACGTTTTCAAGGGACTTTCCAGACAGTTTTTTGAGCCACAAAGGGCCAAGCTGCAGCTGACTACTGAGCACTCTTTGAAATACAGTTCCTACTAGATTATCGTTTTGAAGCAATCCGTCTGGAAACGTTCCCAATCGTTTCTTCTGTTTTTCGGTTCCCAACCATCTCCATTGCCATTCGTTTATAAACATTTGATGATGAAATGACCTTTACCGCATAAAAACCAGAAGTTTTTGGCGAACAACGCATTCGGCCATCGCCCGAAAACGAGGTTCGTTGATAAAAAGTGCGTGCAGGCGCGCGCGCGCGCATGCTTGTCCCCACACTGTCTGGGCGGTCGAAAAACGGAAATCGGGGGCGCGGGCCATTTTTTGACAGATTTTTCGCATACCTCTCGGGTGGTGGGGTCACATTTATTGAGAAATAAGGAAGAGTTTTGGCCCACTCGAAATATTTTGGATCTTGGGTCAAAGTTTCAGACCGATCGGATCATGCTCACTGTGACTATGCGCGTTTGAGATGGACCATTTTGTGAGCATTTTAGGTAAGATTTTGAGGATCAACAATAGGATCGAAATGGAGGACATCAGCTGACGCGTACTTTGTAGCAGAGTAAAGCGGAAGAATTTTTATCTTTTTTAGAAAATTTTTTCATGGAATGTGATCAACTGACGAAATGTATAGAAAAGTGAACTCTGCTCATAGAAAAATAATTGTAAATTTAGGCTTTTCATACAAAAAAGTTATTCGAGTTGTTCCGTGAAAAAAGGGCTAACGGGCAAGACGGAAGGAATAACTTTTTTGTATGAAAAGCCTAAATTTCCAATTATTTTTTCATGGGCAGAGTTCACTTTTCTCTACATTTCGTCAGTTGATCACATTTCATGAAAAAATTTTCTAAAAAAGATAAAAATTCTTTCGTGTTCTTCCGCCCAACTCTGCCCACTACGCGTCATTTTTTCGTCGTCTATTTCTCTACAGGACACGAAAACTTTGTGACTTTGCCTATTTCTTTACAGTGATTCTACTGCTGAACTGCTCTCCCCAATGGCTGCACGCTTTCAGCGAAAAGTCTTCGGACGCCAGACTGCTCTTCTCTTTGCGAACGAATGAGCCAAAGTGAGTGTGTGACCACCAGGTGGGTCAAAAGTCGATTTGGCCCAGACCTCCTTGTTTCTCAATAAATCAGTGGTGGTGGTGGTGGTGGTCACGAATGACAAAAAATGGAGAAAAAGAAAGAAAACAGCTGCTGCCATTCATTTCATTCGTCCGTCTCCTCAGGCGTTGAGGGGAGGAAATCATAAAAACGTGCGCCTCGTCACACACACACACACACACAGTTCTTTTTCTTCTTCTTCTTCTTCTGGCCGAACACTTTTTTTCACCGTGTCAACTCAAGGACGACGACTGCCATCTGACACACTGTGAACAACCTGACAATGAGAAATGGGAAGAAAATGAATAAAAATGGGTGAGGGGAGAGATTTGATAGGTGTTGGAAAGTGTGTCCATGTGAACGGACGGCATGGAAGCGGAATAATGGGTGTTGAGGGGGACTATGCATCGATTCAGCATAAGAATTTGCTCCTTGCTATTAGTGTTCAGTTTTCGAGAAAACTTGTAGAGTCTATCCGTCCAAAATGGCTCATAAATGAGCCCTAAAACTCAGAAAAGTCACTTTGATAAATCGCTTAAAAGTGCCTTGCCTTTTTGCTGAAATCTCCAAAGTTATTAAGAGTATAACTTGATTTGAATGCACTTCAAAACGGTTTAGGATTCTTGACAATTCTAAGAGCGTCATGGGTACCGCCCCACTTTTTTTGCAATGACAAAATGGGTAGACCACGCTAATCTATGTTAAAGCGAAACGATTTCGGTAAATCCTCATCGTAAAACTCCTTTTCATTGCGTTTTTCTGCATGTTACTGTGGTTCTTCGAAAAAAAAAACATATTTTAAATACACCTGTTTTCTCAAGAAGAACATGCGTTTTACATCAAAAATCTAGAAAAATTAATGTAAAATGTATAGTTTTTATTACATCTCAAAAATCTGTCGTTCGTCGTCGTGGGCTCCCATAAAAATGTAAAGTGTTTTCACTTTTTAATTGACCCCCTTCCGGTCCGCTTCAAAATCAAATCGCCAATAAAAATGGAAATTTCCGTTTTCCTCTTTCTTCCCAATCAATTATTTTTATTTCGGTTGTTTTGACTGACAATTGATGACTAATAACATTCGCCAAACTTTGAAAATGTCGTGTTTTTTTTCGGGAACACAAAGAATAATCCTTAGTTTTCTGATTCGTAAAAGGGGGCGGCGGGTAACTATAGTAACGTATTTCTGATTTTATAATCCCGTCTTATGTTATTATAATACCTATTCCCGTTTGCTCATTTCGCTCTCCGATGACGAATATCATGAATTTCCAATAAGTGCTCCTCCCTCTTCTTCTCTCATTTCTCGTTCCGAAAGAGCTCATGTGAGCACATGACACAAAAAAGAAACGGAGGAGGCTCTAGAGGACGTGCAAAATAGCCGCATAAATGTGTGTCTCGCTTTCGTTTTTCATCGTTTTTTGTGCTAATGGCCCTTGACCTGGACTTTTGACCGACTTGCAATGATCCGATCGGACCCAAACTTGGCAGACTTCTTGGACACGGATTGAAGTATATTGCAGTCAATTTTCAGCCCGATCGGTTCATCTGGTCCCGAGATATACTGGTTTTGAGGCCGAGAAGGCTCTCCAGCACTATATCTCGAGAGTGAATTATCCGATTGGGCTGTAACTTGGACCCAATGGCTCTCAATCCAAGACCGCGCATCGGGCCCAGATTAAAAAAAGTCGTGTAATCACTAATTTCAGAAAAGATATGGATTTCCGTGAGGTCTGGATGAACAGCAACTCGATCGGATCCGATGAGAATCCGCACGCGGTGGCCGCAAAGACTTGTGCTCAAAATTTGAAAACGGCCGAGGATAATTGCATTGTGAGTAGTAGTGTTTCTAGAAATAATCGCCGTTTTCCAATGTTCAAAAATCGCTTTTTTCGATATCAGTTCATCGAAACTAAATTATTTTTGACCATCGAGAACACATGATAATATTATTCGAAATCATCGCCAAACTCTAATCCCTAATCCGATCATACGCTCTTTTTTGTCTTCGCAAAGTTCAAATATTCATTGCTGACTAATCTCTGTTATAGGCAAAACTGACAAACAATGTCAATCGTCTAGGCCTCAAAAAGCCTGGGCCGAAATTTGCCTCTTTGAAAATGTTCACGTTCCCGGTCCTTTTTAGCTCCGAAATGGCTGAAATTCCAAGTTTTTGACACAAAAATCATTTGCAGTACCTGTTGGCGTTATCAATAATTCTGCTGACACTCAACGTGCTCGCCGTGCTCTTCTTCAACCGCATCGAGCTTCTGAAGGCGTTCCGCGCGCGTTTCCAGCCGCTTCCGCACTCGGAAACCGCCTCGTCCGTTTTCACGGCGCCTTCGATCACGACGCCTTCGACACCGAGCTAAAGGGATAATAATGATTGTTCACTCAATTTCTTTCGTTTTTTACATCGCTAAATTATTGCATTTTTTTGACGTAAAACACGAAAAAAATGAAATTTTTTACACAAAAAAGTGAATCTTCACGACTCGGACGATTAAAAAGGTAATAATGTGAGGGGAAAAGGGCAATAAAGATCTAAAAAACAGGAACAAACAAAAAATGAGGGATCACACAATATCTCAACAAATTTCTTTAAAAAACAATAGTAGCACCGCGTTTCATGAAGAAGTGAAACTTTGAAAAATTGGACGGGGGAAAGTGAGCAAATTCGTTAAAGCTGTGAATTTTTGAAAAGTCTGGGCAAAACCCGTTGAAATTAGTTCTGTTGTTTGTCCTGATCCGCCGCGTCGGCCACCATTCTCGCAAACGCACTGTTCTTGTCGGCCATCAGCGCGTCCGGAGAGTCGAATTCCAGAATTGCGCCCTTGTCGAGCACCATTATTCTGCAAAAACGCATTATTTTGTGGATGAAATTAACATAATCAAGAAGAACTACAGGACACTGAATCATGTGAACACAAGCCGTTCTAATCTTAACTGGCAATGAGTTGAAACGGATCCAAATGTCAAAAATCCTGTTGAGTGTCATGGCGGCCATTTCATGACGCTTTCAGACGAGAAACTGTTCTCGGCAAAGGCCGAATTCAATTCTCAAAATTGTCAGGGGCTTACTAGGAAGCGTATGAAAACGGCGGGCCAAAATCCAGGGATGACCCACTTGCAATATTCTGATCAGTACCAAACTTTGCAGGCTTTTTGAATTAAATTGAGCTGGGTCTAAGTTTCAGACCGATCGGAGCATCTTGTTTGAGGCTGAGAATTTGTCACGGCGGCCTACCGAAACAGGAGGCCGCGGCCCTGTTTTTGACAGCCTTGGATCGGAACTACTTCAATTCAAGTCCGAGAATCATGCATAGTTTGGGTCCAATCGGATTATTACTGGCCTCAAAAAGCGTGGACCGGCCTGTTGCCCCTGCAATTGTTCTTTTGTTCGGATGCTAACCTGTCGTAGTCCATGATAGTGTTGAGGCGATGGGCAATCGTGAACACTGTGCAATCTCTGAATTCCGTCCGGATCGTCTCCTGAATGAGCGCGTCGGTTGCCACGTCGACAGCCGCCGTCGCCTCGTCCAGCACGAGCACTTTTGTGTGACGGAGCAGCGCACGCGCCAGGGCCACCAGTTGCCGTTGGCCGACACTGAAAAATTAGGAACATTGATGAATGTTCTATAGTTACACACAGAGTTTGAACAACTGTTTGAGTAGTTTTTATTTAAAAGTTGTTTTCGTCCTTCATCAATTGTTTTCCCAAATTTTACCTCAAATTCTCTCCGGCCTCGCTGATTTTGTACAACAATCCGTCGGGCAGATTGGCGGCGAACGTCTTCAAATGTGCCGATTCCAGCGCTTTCCAAAGCATTTCGTCCGAATACGTCGAAAACGGGTCCAAATTGAAGCGGAGCGAGCCGGAAAAGAGCACCGGATCTTGCGGAATGATCGTAATGTTCGAGCGCAAATCGTGCAGTCCAATTCCCGAAATTTCCACGTTATCAATGATTATCCGGCCGTCCACCGCTTCGACCATCCGGAATAGGGCAAGCGCGAACGAGGATTTTCCTAAAATGTCACATTTTTGGAAAAAATTGTTCGGAAACATTTGACAAAAACATCACAATTACAACATTTCTGACCTTACCATCGTGGTAATAAATTCCTGAAACTTGGAGGAATGTTTTTATTCGCGAAACAGCTCTAATGAATGTTCCATAGAAATGTGAGCAAGAAAAACGGTTAAAAACGTTTCTACCTGCTCCAGTGCGTCCGACGATTCCAATCTTTTCGCCGGCCGCCACGTCGGCAGAGATTCCGTGGAGGACGAGATCGAGTCCGGCGCGGTACCTCGTCGAATATCGATCGAATCGGACGACTCCGCGACTCGGCCACCCCTCCGCCGGCGCTTTTCCGTCAATCCGCCACGCCGCCTCGTTCGGCGTGTTCGTGTACTCGTTCACTCTTTCCACACTGACAATGTTCGCCTCGATTTCCGAGACTTGACGCACCGCAAAGTTGAGCACTTCTGTGATCTGCAAATTTGGCGGGGAATCGGATTTTTTTTTGGGTGGGATAAAGCGTACATTGAGAGCGTACGAAACGGAGACTCCAATCACTCCGGCACTTTCGACCCATCCAAACTCTTTGGAGAGAACGGCAAAGAGGGCGGCGAAGAAGATCTGAAAATAGAATTTTGTGAGATTATAACGTGTTCAAGGACTGTTGGAACAAGTGAAAACCATAGATTCAGTTGTTTCCAATTGTTTCATTGCCTCTCACGGTAAACCTCTGTAACTTCTCCGCAAACGTTGGGGTGTATAACATGAGCGGCTTTTGAGCAGAAGTTAGGTAAAAGTTGCAGAGGGAGAGGCCGAGAGCAACTACTCACAATGCAATTTCCGACAAACTCGAGGCGAACGGCGAGCCATCGATTGGCGACGAGACTCGAGTAGCGGCAACGGATAAAAGTGTCGACAATTGTGGCCGAGTGGTCGCGAAACTCTTCGACCTTGTTGAATGCGCGGATCGAGGCGGCGCCCTGAATGGTCTCCCCAAAGTGCGAGTAGATTGGCGAGCGGTGCACACTTTCCAGCCGTTTCAACTGCCGCGATGTCGGCACGTAGTATTTCTGAAGTAATTCGCAATTTAAGGAAAACATAGAAAATTGTTTGAATTTAAACGTGCCGGCCCGAGCCAGGCGACGTTTTCTTTCACGCTTCACGGTCTCCAGAACTTATAATATGATCGCGGCCTCCTATTGTAAGATATGGAGACTGTGAGAATCAATTCTTCCCTACCAAAAAGACCAAATAAATGAGCGCCAACGGAAGAATGACGACGGCGAAGAGCGGCGTCGAAATGATGATGACGATGAGCGTGAAGGCGACCTGGAGCACGCACATCACCAGATATCGGAAGTTCATCGGCAGCAGCATGTCGACCGTCTCAATGTCCTTGGCGCACCGATTCAGAATGCGTCCCAGGGGTGTGGTGTCGTAGAACGACATCGGAGAGCGCATCAGGTTGTGGATCAGCGGTCCGTGCAGGTTTTTCGACGCTCGTTGGCCCACATAGACGAGCGCGAGGAGGGCGACGAAGAAGCAGCCGACTTCCGCGAATCCCAACGCTCCGTACACACCTGCAATCGAATATTTTTGCTACGGGTAAATTGAGAGTAGACGGAAAAACACTGTGTTCTTTCCTGTTTCGAATTTGCTTTTCTCGACCGATTATCCATAAAATTTTGTGAGAAATTAGCTAGAAAATGTGAAGAAACCCTAACCCAATCTCCATCCGACGGCCATCGGATGCGCGGCCGGTTCTTCCGGATCGTACTCGTCGGACCAGGCGGACAGCCAGAACGATCTCAGAATCTGCATGGTCATGTTGAAGACGAAGAAGGCGATGAAGGCGACGCTCAGCGAGTAGCCGGCCGCTTTCACGTACAATCGGTACGTGGCAACTTCCACTTTTCCCTGCGCCACTTCCTCTTTTTTGATCAGCTTTTCTGGCGATTTTTCCGGCGACGACATTGTCGAAATTTGCGTCGTCAGCTCGGGAGTTCGCATTCTGAAACTTTAAAAAATTGAAGAAGGTATTCGGGGAGAAAATTGAAAAGTAATCTGACACTGCAGAAATGCACGTTGAAAAAAGGAAATAATTATTTTTTAAAAAGGATTATTACGTCTCATCCAAATCGTTGGTGACCGTCAAAACGACGTCCTCCGGATTCACATAATCCGCCTTTTCTCCGCCAATTTCCTCAAAGTCCGAAATTTCGCTGCTCGCGTCGCTGTCCGACGACGATTTGTACTCTTCCATGAAATCGAAGAAAGCGCCGCGCTTCTTCATTAGCACATCGAAAGTTCCGTTTTCAGAATTTGACCGTCTGGAATTGTTCAGTTGTTTGCCGAAAAAGTCATGTCAAAGATGGAGAATTGAATGATGAATTTTAGAAAATTCTGGAATTTCTAAAACAAAAAAAAAAGGTTTTTACTCACCATGCATAACGATAATCTCATCGGCAAACTTGGTGAACGTCAATCCGTGCGTCACCAAAATCCGCGTCTTCTCTCTGAGCATTCCGTTCGGCCCGATCACCTTCTCGAAAATGTGCCGTCCGACGTGCGCATCGACCGCCGACAACGGATCGTCGAGCAGATAGACGTCGAGATTCTGATAGACGGCCCGTGCGAGCGAGACGCGCGCCTTCTGCCCGCCCGACAAATTGATGCCCTTCTCGCCAATTTCTGTCCGATCGCCGGCCGGCAATATTTTGATATCCGCTTTCAGGGCGCACGCGTACAACACTTGATCGTAGCGTTTTCGATCGAACGGCCGTCCAAACGTGATATTGTCGCGCAGTGTCATATTCTGAATCCACGGCTGTTGGGGCACATAGGCCACGCGTCCGTTCACTCCGATCCGTCCGCGCAGTTTGGCCATTTCGCCGAGCAACGCTTGAAGCAGACTACTCTTGCCGGCTCCAACTTTGCCCACAACTGCCAGCAACGAGTTGCGCGGCGCCGTCAGCTCCACATCTTCCAGCGTCGCGTGTCTTTCGACGTCTTCCGGATCCTCCCAAGTCGCCGTCAAATTCTCCACAGTCACCGCGTTATGACTTCTATCGATGTTCTCGGAGCGATCAATGCCATTTCGGTCAATCTCCTCGGCCACCAGAAATTCTTTGAGTCTCTTGTTCGAAACCACCGCCTGGACCGTCTGATTGATGAGCAACGCGATCATAGTCATCGGGGAACGGAGTTGGTTGAAAAGGGTCAGCGAGACGAATGCGATTTGGGGAGTCAGGTGATGATCGGGGTTGGAGAGCACAAAAGTGCCAAACGAGAAGAGTGCGACGAGGAACGGGCTCGCGGTGTTGAACGAGTCCAAAATGTTGCGGACCATCGCGGACTTTTTGATGAGCGCCAGCTCTTTCGAACGAATCTCCTCAATGTAGGCCTCCATCGGCACCTCCCACGCGTACAACTTGACCACTTTTATGCCGTTCAACACCTCGTTCACCATTTTCGTCCGATCGTCCTTCAACTTCATCTGCTGCATTTGCCACTTGCGGACGACCATCGACGAGATAATATTCATCGGAATAAAGATGATCATAATGACGACGCCCGGAATCGCTGAATAGCCCAGAGTGATGAAGAGGTAGACGAGCGCAAAAGTGATTTGATAGGGACAACTCCAGAATTGCTGGATTTGAGGCGTGATCATCTGAAAGCGTTCCACGTCGATCGCCATCAAATTCACAATTTCGCCGACGGTCCGATCGCGACGCGCCGCATTCGACAGAAGCAGCGTCTTTTTGTAAACGGCCGCCGTGAGGGCCGTCTGGATTTTGGTGCCCATTCGGTACATAATGTAGAAATAGCCGTTGAGGATGAGCGAACGCAATTCGGACGTCGAAAACATCAGAATACTCAGCGCCATTCCTTTCCAGAACGGCGCGTGAGGCGTCGAGACGAAATCGAGGAGTTCGCTGCAAAATGTTTTCCCTTTTTTGAAACAAACATTTTACGTACTGTAACAAGAAGGGACTGGCGAATTGCATAGTGTCCGAGGCGAATTTCAATGTGGAAGCGAGCAAAAATTCCCATCGGAAGATGACGAACAGTGTGGAAACGACGGACGGAAGCATCACCGGCGCTTTCCGATCGGCCGGGTCCGTTTTCGCCCAGATACTGTTCTCGTGGATGTATTCTGAACAACAACACAATTTTTCCGGCATGTTTTACCCATTTGCTGATAGAAATTATTCAATCGATTCTTTTTGGTTCGATCCTGGGCCTGGGCCTGGACTTTTGGACTAGTCGCAATATTCCGATCAGGCTCAAACTTTGTAGACTTCTGGGACTTGGATTGAAGTATTTTGGGTCCAAGTTTAAGACGGATGGTCCCAAAATATAATAAATGATTTAGGGCCTAAAACTCCAGGCTTTTCGCAAAAACTATGAGTTTTAGGCTTAAATCAATGTCTCGGGACAAGATAATGCTATCGGTCTGAAACTTGGGGCCGAAATCCTTCAATCCAAGTACCAAAGTCTGCAAAGTTTGAGCCTGATCGAAAAATTGCAAACGGTCCAAAAGTCCCGGTCATCGAACAGCGAACAGCAAAACGTCTAATTTCCTACTCAATCTCTTTGGCTCCCAGAAGAATTCCCATGTTTCGCTGAGAAATTGTGTGCCACTGCGTTCGTTCAGCTCGAAAATATCGTCAATCTGTGAAACAATGATCATTTCCAAATATTATGCAAATCTTTGTGGGGATACCTCCAAATCCCGTTTCGCTCCCGTCCAGGGCACACTGTTGAACCACCACAAAGTCAGTCTATTGATAAAAGAGCTCTGGAGCTCCGGCGATTGAGCTCCCTTCACATCTCCGGCTCTCGGATCGGCGAAACAAAGGAAGAATGCGTAGAGAACGAGCGCCGAGTACCAGCTGAGATAGGCGATCGAGAGCGCCGAGCCGAGCACGCCCGCGATCTCGTGGCCTTCACGGACCCTTTGGTAGAATTCGGGGCCGCCGCACACGACGAACACGAGCGCCGTCACGTGTTGAATGCCCGACGAGACGAGACCGCAGCGGAGACGAACGAGATGCACCACTAGTGTACCCGTCTGGAAGAAACGCAATTAATCACTAAACCGGGTTTTTTGCAGGGCTGGGCATTTGACCGGCCCGAGTTTTTGACCCACCTGCAATGATCCGATCGAACCAAAACTTTGCAGGCTTCTTGGACTTGAATTGAACTGGTTGTAACTTATACCTCAATCCTCAATCCAAATCCTAAAAGCTTGCAAAGATTCGGTCCGATCGGATCATAGCAGGTGGATCAAATGTCCAGGCCAGGGGCCAGCCAACGAAAATGACACGAATACCATTCTATTGAGCTTTAAAACAGGCATTTTCAGACTTTCCTCGACTGAAAACCGTTTTTTACTGCGCTAAACTCGAAACGTGCTCAAAAACATCAGAAAACAAGGTGTTGCCGATTTTTCAGCCAATACTTTTATTTTACGTACCCAAGTAACAACCCATAATGCCGGATAAACGTAATATGCGGGCGCGAAAGACTGCGACGAGAAGAGCACATAGCACCAGGTGAACAACGAGTTAAGGGCAAGAAACGAGGTGAGTACCTGCAAAAAATATTAATGTTTTTTCAATCAGTGCATGTTTTTTTCCGATTTTTACGGTTTTTACGTCGAAAACCGAAAAATCGATAAACTCACCAATTTGAGTATGAAATGAAAGCTGAACGGAAGCCTATCGAAACGCTGGGCGTTCAAGTGGCACTGAGCGGTCAAAAACGGCAGTGTGAGCAGGAAAAAGGCGGTGGGAACCCAGACGAGCCACGTGTGTTGTGCACATAACGACGCGTTCGGCAAACCCGTCGTAAACTGCAAACAATTTAGGGGTTTTTTGGCAGGACTGGGCAAATTTCAGCAAAGGCGCTTGGACTATTGGCTCACTTGCAATGATCCAATCGGACCCAAACTTTACAGGCTTCTTGGAGTTGGATTAAGGTATGTTGGGTCCGAGTTTCAGACTGATCTGATTTTCTGGTCACGAGATATACTGGTTTGAGGCCGGAAGGGCCGCAATTTTTGCAACAACCCGGCATTTCGGCCTCAAACCAGTATATCTCGAGACCAGATAATCTGATTGGTCTGAAACTTGTACCCAACATACTTGAATCCAACTCCAAGAAGCCTGCAAAGATTGATCCCGATTGGATTATTGCAAGTGGGTCAAAAGTCTTCGAAAAGCCTGGGCCGAAATTAGTCCAGCCTTGGTTTTTTAAGAAAAATGTTTCTGAAAAACGTACCGGACAGTTTTCACCACAAAACGAAGAAAGCATCTATTTGCGTGTGTGTGTGTCGCTCGTATGTTTGGTGCTGAACAAGATAATCGTTGCTATGGAAACGGAAAAAATTGGGGGAAAAGCGGGAAAAATCGGAGAAATTTTACTGGGCAATGAAAAGAATGCGGGTCAAACTATTTTATAGCGGGATCAAAAATTGAAAAGAAAAATGACGATCACAAGGAATTATGCAAATTTTTGGAGAGAGGGCGGAGAATCGGGCCCGGAAATTGTCATCATTTCATGGTCGGCGGTTCAGGAGACCAATGTTATGAATTTCGCAAAAAAAAGAGCGGTTTTTGAGCTGATAAGCACCCGCTCTTATCGCCACATTTTTCTGTGTCGGCGTGTGTCTGACAACTGGGTTCCGATAGAAATTCAAAGAAAGTGAAGAACTGGGAATAAGATCGAACAAAAACAGTACAAAAATGGCGGGGTTTTCAAAAGTTGCAGATCAAAAATGTTTTCTCGAAAAAAACAGTTCTGAAAACAGTCGAAACACATTTTCTGGGTTTTTGCAACGTTTTAGCAGAAAATTGTGAGAGCCAAAGAGACATTCGGACGAAAAAGACTCAGAAATGAGCAAAAACCCTCGGAAATCCTAAAAATTGGGAAAAGAACAGCGGTTGTTCTTTCTTTTCTAACAAAACCGAATTTTCGGGTTTCTGTAAAGAAAAAGCTGTATTTTGCATCACTTTCACGTTTTTCAACTACTTTCGCCGACATTTATGATGAAAATAACCCAGAAACCACGAAAAAAGACTGAAAATCACGATGGCCGAGTGGCCGTGCTTCTAGAGTTTTCTAGGCCACCGCGCTGCGCGGTGTTTGAAATACTGATTTCGATGACCGGTTTCCGTGATTTTCCGTGTCGAATTTCACGAATTTTGATCAAAATCGAGAAGTTTGATCCGAAAAATGCGATTAAAAAAGTTCAGCGCCAAAAATAAATGATAATGGAGTGTTCCGGAGGTCACCATGTGCTCCCGGTGCGAAAGAGAGAAAGAAAGCGAGAGAAAACGAGAGATCGTTGTAACAAAATGATGACAAAATGACGTTATCAGAGGCGCAAACGATGATTTGAATGGGGATCAACGGAGCACAAACGTTTTGTGTCCGCTCTGTGACTGACTGCAGAGATTCGCTTGCTCCAAAAAACGACGGATTTTTGAAAAATAGTTTGTATAATATTGCATTACGAAGAAGCCCTTCGGCACGTTGCGGGGGTTAGCGATAAGAAGTGCACAATATTTATATTGTCGGGGTCTTATCGCTTCAACAAATTTTCAGCGTTTTTACGAATTTTTTCCGTAATTCATTGCAAAAAAATTTATCAAATTTGGCCCTTAACAGTGTTTAGTAGCGCCGCAAAACGGTGGAAATCGCGCTCCACTGGACTCAGGCCTCGGCCGCTGTGTCAAACTTCGGCCATGTCATTATTCTTGCGTGTTGTTTTTTTCTTTTTTTTTTAATACATTATTTTTTTACACAGTGTTATCACTGTTGCAAATTAAAAATAATAATTACCATGATTTCCGCCGACTCGAACCGTGTCGATCTGAATACTTGTCCGTTTTTCGTGATAGCTTTCTCGCATGTGCTCGTTGCGCTGTAAACACACGATTCTTGTCTCTTACTTTCTATTTATCAGCTCACCATCACTGTTATCGGCGGATTCTGCTTTGCTCCGTGTGTTTTACATGAGTGTCACCTAGCTCAGACTGCTGAAACACAGGAGATTCCTACATGGGACAACTGGTGAAGCTCGTACCATTTACTGTGACCAGTCCTCGTCGGCTCGATATCAGCCAGTCGCCCATCCGTCATCTTTTCAATATCTCCGCAAGAGATTCTCGTCAAATGGTCCCGCGATTAGGTGAATCCTTCTAGGTCCGCATGAAGAAGCTGTCTTTGACTCGACCGCAGTCGATGCATCCAGGGCTGGGCAAATGGCCGGCCATCAGAGTTGAGCGGAAGAACTCAACGGAAGAAAACGGAAGAATTTTTATCTTTTTTAGAAAATTTTTTCATGAAATGTGATCAACTGACGAAATGTATAGCAAAGTGAACTCTGCTCACAAAAATAATTGTAAATTTAACTTTTCATACAAAAAAAAGTTATTCGAGTTGTTCCGTGAAAAATGTCCTTCCGTCTTCCGTTGTCCTTCCGTTAGCCCTTTTTTCACGGAACAACTCGAATAACTTTTTTGTATGAAAAGCTAAATTTACAATTATTTTTCTATGAGCAAAGTTCACTTTGCTATACATTTCGTCAGTTGATCACATTCCATGAAAAAATTTTCTGAAAAAGATAAAAATTCTTCCGTTTTCTTCCGTTGAGTTCTTCCGCTCAACTCTGCCGGCCATGGCCGGCCATGGCTGGCCAATGAAAAGCCCTGGCCGGGCTAGTTGCAAGCGCGCTCCACTGCAAAAAAGCCTTGGCCGGCCCTGGCCGGCCAAGGCCGGCCAATGGTACGGTAAGCAATTCGGTTCACTGAGCGGTGTTTGCACACAAAGCATTTTAAATAAAGAAAAAAACGTGTTTTCGAAAGGGTTTTCTTTTTTTTTTCTAAGTTTTTTCACATCATGATCAAATATTTTCACAGAAAAATGCTCAATTCGATGAATTCGATTCATAACGTTGTTCCCATACATTTTTTTTCTTTCGTTTCGTTCTCATGCATCTCGTTCTCATTAATTCTGTCGTTTTTTTTATTTTTCTCTTCACTTCTGCTAATTTTCGAAATTTGTCAGCTTTCATTTCATCGAAATTTAACTCACTTACTTTCTCCCCCTCGAAACTTCTTCTTTTTCTACTTTCAAGCATGTCTTCTTCTCATTTTAAAATAATTTATGCGATTTTTTCTTTATTTAAAATGCTTTGTGTGCAAACACCGCTCAGTGAACCGAATTGCTTACCGTACCATTGGCCGGCCAAGGCTTTTTTGCAGTGGAGCGCGCTTGCAACTAGCCCGGCCAAAGCCTTGGCCGACCGCTGGCCGGCCAAGGCCGGCCAATGTTTTGCCCAGCCCTGGATGCATCCATTCTGCAACAAAGAAAAAGACAGAAACGACTTATCAATCTGATAATCCCACAACTTCCGCTTGTGTTTTGTTTCGTTTTCAAATCCTAATCAAGTTTTTTTCAATTCCAACATTATTGCACCCAACCGAAAGCGCGCAAGAGGTGAACCCCTCGAGAGTGCTTCACCGCCACCACGCCCCTCTAGGTGACGATCAGAAAGGTGGGGGAGGCGGGACCCTCAAAATTTTCAAATAGGGTAGTTGTACTATGGTACTGTAATACATTCATTAAACATGTATCACACATAAGCCTACGGCTCGCTAGTTTCTCACAAATTTACATAACAAATGCTTTTGTTTCAGAAAGATACTTTTCTTAAATAACATTTCATTTCTTTCAAACATCATCTGATGGCAAAAATGAACATTCTTCTCTACTTCATACTTTTCCGACAACTACCACCATCCCAACAATTTCCATCGGAATCTTGTGCTCCACTTGCGAATCGTTCATTGCGAATGTCCACGAAAAGTTTCAGGACTATGCGCCATGTTGGTGAGTTTGAAAACTCCACAATATTTATAAGACGATTGAAAAAAGAGAATTCAACGTGATATGGTCGTAAGCGAAATCATCGGCACTCTATGTCGATGACATTTTCGCGAACAATGTCTCAATGGCCAGTGTGTGTGTTGGCCGATATTGTCGGGAAAGTAGACACTCGCGGTCCCTCGGACATGTCGGCTGCGCGCATTCTTGAAGAGGGGCGACGCAACGACAGCCTCGGTTTAATTACCCAGTTTGAGGTACACATTGAAACTGACCCAAAGCAATTTGGCGTTAGCTACAAATTTTGAATCGTCTTCTCTAGGGGAGACAAAAGAACTAACAGTAAAAGATTTATTGATGGAGTTTCCCGGGTTCATTGGAGAGATAGACTCGAATGGGTTGTAAATGGCTGAATCTCAAAGGATCACCACGGTGTGACCATATCCTGGCTCGGCAAAATATACTCAAGGCTCTGAGAGCAAGTGCATAATGGCATAAATTCCCAGATTGCAACAAAATCTGGTATTTAAGTGGATTGAATTGAGTGAAAACTGCAAAACATTCATTCACTGGTATATCGAAAAAGTCTCAATTTTCAATAAAAACTGACTATTATATCACAGTACAAAAAAGAGCGATTATTGTGGAGAAAACGAAATGCGAGGGCAATATTTGAGTAGCACCAAAGGGGAGGAAGAAGGTAAATGTCAAGTAGAAAATGAAAAAGGCACACCCGGGTTGGAGAATTTTAAAGGAGGTAGATGATTGAAATGGTGAGGAGAAGCGCTGAAATCAATGAGAACGACAGGCTTGCCGAGCTGCTGTGACGGAGCTCTTCGAGCAAGAAATCCACGGCAGAGTCGCCTTTTTTCGAGACGACCACGTTGCGCAGGTTTCGATGCCTAAACGAGTTTACGTTGAGCGCTTTCACAAAAGTACGATCATTTTCTGAACGCTTTGAGTGCCGCCACGAAAGCTACCGTACTCTTTCGTGGCGAGACCCGATTGTTCGCTCTGAAATCAGTAATCCAGCGAAACACGTACTTTTTGAAGGGTGTATCCAATTCTAAAGTGACCGTTCTCCTCTTCCGCATCTTCTCGTCTCCGCACTCGGCAGTCCACGCGTCCAATTTGACTCGCCAGCCCATATCGGTCACTGAAAGTCGTTTGTAAACACAATTTGCCAGATGCGGTACCTTCAAATCCATAACAATCGCTTTCGGGTAACTGTCCGATTGATTTTGTCTCGTAGTACGGTAGATTTTTGACTTCTCCGTTCGTTATTTTCACTTTCCCGTCGAATCCGATGAAAACCTGCAAAATTCGACAATTTTATCTCGACAAAAAAGCGTGTACGAACCTCCAAAGAGTTTGTGATTTTCGGCGAGTCAATATCCTGTATCTTGTCCATCAAATAAATCGAAACGCCGCTATTCTCGTCCAAATTCACACTCTCCGCCACTTTTTTCGGCAGAAAATGCACTTTTCCCGTCACTTTTTGCTCCGACGGAAACTTGGGCGGCGCGAGTTTCGAGAGCAGAAGGGCTGTGGGCTCGCCGAGAAATGCGGGGCCTTTTTCCGAACGGACTACGGTGGATAATTGGGATCCGGCGGAGGAGAACTCGACGGCTTGCCAGTCTTGCAGTGAGAACGTGGCGGGCGTCTGAAATTAGGTGCAACTCGTTGAGAGCTTTCGGAAAAGTATAATAACGTTATCGGGTCCCGCCACGAAAGATGGGCCTTTTTCAAAAGTGCTCCAGAACATTGCTCACTCACCACAATCGGCTCGTTCGTCTCGGTTTGCAAGAACTTTCTGTGCTTCGGATCCAAATCGTACAAGATGCGATTCTTAGTCGTCGAGCGTCTCAGCTCGAGAATCGGTGCCCAATTCGTGACGTGATCGTCGGTGTCGCTCCACAAAAGCAGCGATATCGATTGATGCATTCCGAGTAGCCAAAGAAGTTGCTCTTTCGAATGGGCGGCCACCGAGAGCCGAACGGAGAGCATGACCGGTTGGTCGAGCCGACTGATGTACTCCAAAATGTGGAACAGTTGGCGCCACGACATTTTTTTGTATTTCGCGTGCAAATGACTGAAATTCGCCTGCTTTGTCCAGCCTAACGATAGCGTGGCGTCCGGGAACAGGTCCCTCGTTTTCTCGACAAAAGTCGACGGGTCCACTTCGGTCTGTTTTGGAGATGTAAAAATTTTCTGGCTAATTATTGAATGTCACCTCAACACTTCGGGGTGATCTGAAGACGTTCGCGTGAAGAATGACCGGATATTGTAGGACCGGAGACGTCGGATCCGCCTGACTGGCGTACAAATCCTGAAGGACCGGACGGACGACCTCGTTCGAGCGGAAGTTGATTTTGATCGCTGAAAACGATTCTCGTTCTTCTCCGTCCCTCTTCAAATCGTCCCATCCGTCCACTTGTGCTCATTGTGCACCTGTCCCTTCCCTCCTCTTCATAAATCACCTGTGAGCACCTCAGAGCAACATGATATGCTCCGACGCGCGCAACAAAAAGTGTAAAGTTTGTCCTCACCGACAGCTTCTGCCACAAACCCAAAGTGTCGATAATGTCTGGGGAGGGGTGGTCCCCCCGAGGAACGTATAATAGTTGTTGTAAGATTGGACGGAGAGAGAGGGGACAGAAACATGATGGATTACTGTACACCGGTCGGAAGAGGGGGGCCAAGAATGTATCATTGGAATGTTTTTGGTATCAGTTGCCGATCGAATTAGTTGATTCGGACTGATTCGAACAAGAAGAACAAGTTGGCGATGTTTTGGATGTGGAAATTAGCGAATTGGGTGGAGAACTTTAATAAAATCTAGTGCTCGCTAGGACCTAATTACGTAATACGTACCGTTCAATTTCACTGCCCCGTAGGCTTTAGAAACTAGGCCACAACTGAAGAATGACTAGTTTTGGAATAAAATCATCAACTACAAAGTTGTTGAGCACAAAATTTGCAACAACTTTTCAGTTGAACACTTTTTGAAATAATTATTGGGTCTCGAGATATAAGCGTTCAAACTTTGAGGCCTCAGACATTTTTTGTTTTCACAGAATTGCCTACCTTTGTGCATAGTGGCCACCTCCCTGAGCCATTCCTTAAAAGTGATCCGATCGGCGATCTTCGTGTCGGCCTTCATCACCGGAACCGCTCGATGACGTGGCCGACGGTGGGCCTGCATGAACACGTCGCCTTCGATCATCATCGACTTGTTTAGGAACGGCTCTGAAACATTGTTAGCTTTGAATTCGGCGCTTTTTCGATTGATTCGTCCGGGCCGGGACTTTTAAGGACTCGCAATAATCCAATCGGGCCCAAACTTTGCAGGCGGCTTCTTGGGCTTGGGTCCAAGTTTCAGACTATCTGGTTTCGCAAAACATGGTACAATTTCATAAAAATTTCTAAAAGCATGTCACAATTGTTGGCCTGAAATCACCGAAGCGTGTCCTCATCCGGTTGCCTTCTAATCCGCCGCTCTTAATTAACGTCTTGGCCACACGAAAACACTTGCCGCCAGTCGGGTTTTGCTCATTAGCTCGGCGAGCTCCGTGTCCGGGGATCACAAAGATCCGCGGATCCTTCAGACCGATCCTAATTTCCGCTAGGTACGCTCATGCACCGCCAAAGAGGACGATGATTGCGTAAGTGTGCTCCTACCGTGCAGTTGATCGACGAGATCCGGCCAGCTGTTCACGCCATGAGCCACGCGCACGTTCAGCCCGTCGCCTTTCGTTTCGTTCTTCCAAAAATCGACCACGGACATTCGTGTGGCACGCATCTCACGACCATAATCTGAAAACTTGCTGGGCTTTGTTGGCGAGAAGAGCGGAATTGGTTTTTCTTGGAAAAGCCTAATTACTCTTCTCATCCTCAACCCCTTTCAAATCGAATCATTTCATGTGCGCGTGGTGTCAATCGGATTTCATCGAAGAGATATATGTTTGCCCAAACAATTGCCCCCATTCCTAATTGTTTCATTCACTTGGTCCGTCCGAATCCGTTCCCACAACACAAAGATGAGCTCATTTAGTCGCTGGGAGATTAACCCACATGCCCATTCTTGATTATGAGAAGAAGGGATTGAAATTCGAGATTTTGGAAATTTCGGCGAAAGATGAATATTCTAAATGAGTGTGGAAGTACTTTTCGAAAGCCATTGGACAATTTTTCAAGTGGGTACCGTTCAAAAAAATGCTCACAACTCGAAAAGAGCACGTTTTGGAGGACGGTGGTCAACTGAAAAGTTGGTCAGCAGACGATTTACAACAACTCTTCAGTTGACCGCATTGCCTAAAAATAACGGGTTTTTGAGATGCGGGTCGCGTAAATATTCATATTTTTCAAACTTTCCGCCAAAAGTACACACCCTTGAAACGTTGCGCTTCACAACAACTTTTGACCCGTGGGACCAATCTCACCCATCACTTTTCCCTCATTTTTCCATGCTGCCGGGAGGGTATAGAATGGGAAAAGGATGATATTTATATATATATATATATACAAAAGAGCCATATGGACGTGACGGGCACCTTATGGGCAATGAACTAATTGGCACGCATTACTATTCGAGGACCTATCGGATTAGGTGAAAAGAATGGAAATTTTTAAAATGCTCACCTCTACCCGATCCATTCTGAATGCAATTCAGAAGAATTGAAAGCAAAATTGAAGAAGACCGCATCGTTCTCATCTTGGCTGCATTTTTTGTGCGAATCGACAATGTCGGTTGGGCGGCGAATCTGAAAAAAGGCAAATTTGACAGGAGGATAAGTTTTCGAGGTGGGACGGCGGTAAAAGACGGAAAATTGGAGGAAAAAGAGGAAATGCCCGGCTATAAATCACTTTTTTAATTGAAAAATCTCACGTTTCCATTTCGCAAAATGATAAACGCGTATATTATGCAAATCTGGGGGCTCCGCTCGTTTCACTACTACTTTTCCGCTTTTTCGCTCGCCGCAAAAAAAGGGATGAAACGAGAGAAAAGCGGGCAATAAAAACGGATTGAAATCATCGAAAAACCGCCACCGACAGAGAGAGAGGATGGCCGGTCCCCTCCAAAAAGGGGCGGAGCTTAGTGGATCGGGGCAGAGAGAGAGAGGAAGAGAGAGAGAGAAAGAGAGAGGGCAGTAATTGTCGGCAAGATTTGCATACATAAAAAGGAAGTGTTCGGCAGCATAGAAAGGGAGACAAACTCTGGTATCTGGGTTTTGACAACTTAGGACCACTAGCTTCTTGGAAACTATCATAACTTGCGAACGAGTAGAGATGGCGAAAAGCAATCAACTGAAGTTTTGTAGCCGAGACGTGTATCTTTATTTTTGTAGTTGACAACTTTTTTATAACTCTGCTCGCTGAGCAGATACAGGCCATGAAACATATAGAACCTTAAGTAATCATGGACACAAAGTATACCTTATTTGGCGCGCAAAACGAGAGGGTGTAATCCGGGTGCATTTTTTTTCAGAAAACGTGTAGACCACGCCCCTTTTCTTAGAAAACCCGAAAAGCAACAACTTCTTTTCGTCACTTTCCCAACCTTCCGAAAGAAGAGCTTCCCCACCCTCCTCCCCCTAATTAAAATTGCGCGAATTGGAACGAAACGAACGGAAACGTACTAATTACCAATTCAAAGTAACCGCCATTGACACCGAAAAAAAGCAAAGAGGGGGTGTCAAAGTCGAAGAATAAAATGAAAAAAGAGGCGTCGTGGACCCTATTGAAGGTATTCTGGCGTGAAATTCGATATTCGAGGGGGGAACAACAAGGATTTTTTTAGAGGCGGGGAGAGCGCTATTTTAAAAGTTCGAGGAAGTTGTCAACTAAAAACCGATCGAGAATGTCTTCAGCAATGTTTTTTTAGTTGACAAGTTATCGAGATACAGCACGTTTTACAGTACTACGTTCAACCGCCTGTATCTCATGAATGAAAAATTGCTGAGGAAAGTGTTCAACTGCAAAGTTGGAGTAAATGTTATGCGGAGCAAGTTTGCAGTTGACGATAATACTCTAGAAACATTTCTCTTTGAGTTATGAGTCAAAGAATACATTGGACTCAATCTACTCGAATGAATTGTCTCAACCCCCTAGTTTTTCTAGAAGAAGAAGAAGGAAATTAGAGGGTACATTGACTAGTACACACAACGTTTTCGTGTCTTTTTTTTGCGGATGAGGGCGCTTTGGAGGTGCCTTCTCGTGAAAAAGACGAATCGGACCAAAGGTAGTAATCAAATCAGGCCGATTCTGAATGGGAACAAGAAGAAGAAGAAGAAGAAGAAGAGGGAGAGGGAGAAGAAGGCGAAAAGAGACGTGAAATAGGATTTGTGCGGGATTCAGACATTTTGCAGTTGGGACTTCAATTTAGACGCGGAAATTGGAGAAAGAGGTACCAAAAAAGGTACATTTCTCAACTTGTTCCAAAAAATGGCTACAAAAGTCTATGAAGCCTGCTCAATTCGAGTTTTGGTGATATCTCGGCGTCTGCCAAAAGAAAATACGGCGGGATAAATGTATAAACGGAACACAATGCGTGAGCGGGACGACGATAAGATGGATGTCATAAAATGTCACCTCGGCCACCGAAAAAGGTCACCTCCGCCCCGTTTTTATGAGTTCTTCGCGCCTTTTCGCAACATTCGGCCGGAAAATGCGTTTCCCAATTTTTCCGGACAACTATTGTATTTTTTTCAGATTCTCCACATGATTTCTGTCATTTTAAGCGCAAACGGGAGTGTGTAGGATTTTTTGGAAAAAAGTTATGATTTTTTGAAAAATTCAAGCAAAAAGTTGTACTTTCGAATATTGTCGAATTCCGAAAACAGCCACTAATTGACCAGAAAACAACAAGCCATTAAGGGGGAGTAAACTCAAGTATGTATTCTTGATTTGAAAGGGGAAAATGGTATGGTATGCCGACGACACGAAAGGAAAATGGAGGGGGGGGGGAGGGGGTCTGGGCAATAAAATTAATGGTTCAACCCCCCCTCCCTTTTTGCGGTATTCTAGGTATTCAGGTATTGTACTGGTATAATTGGAGAAGCTTTCGGGGGGTCTAGAAATAGTTTGAGAATTGTGTGGAAATTGCAGTTTTTTTGGAAAAACAGGTAAATCTGGCAGTTGAAAGATTGAATGTGAATTGATGGAGTTATGCCCTATTATTTCGGCCCAACAGGCATAAAAAATGCTAAATTGAGATTAAAAAAGGCAAAAGCTTACAACATCCAGGATTCCCAGGCCGTCTCCGATCCAAGTACTAACTGGACTCAACGTTGCTTAACTTGCCAGATCGGACGGGATGGCGTGTATTCAACGTGATGTGGTCGTAAGCGAAATCATCGGCACTCTATGTCGATGACATTTTCGCGAGCAATGTCTCAATGGCCAGTGGGTGTTGGCCGAAATTGTCGGCAGAGTAGGCACTCGCGATCCCTCGGACATGTCGGCTGCTCACAAAACATAAGTCGTTATGCGCGCTGTTAGTTTTGGTTTCATTACCCATTGGCCAGAGGTGATAACCTGGGAATGACCTAAAGCAATTTAGTGTCTACGTTATTTTTGAAGCGTCTCCTTTAGAGGAGACGGAAGAAGTGATTTCAAAAGGGAAACAATTGTTAGAGTTGCGAATTCTGTTAATCTCGAGAATCCGAAAATTGGTAGTGTGCCAGCACAAGAAGGGAATCCACGTTGAAAACTGATATAACGAAGTGAGAACAGAAAACAGTGGACAAAGAAATTAAGCAGAAGAAAGTGCGTCAAACTGTGCAAAAATCTGCGAGATTATGCAAATTTCGCTTCGTTTTCCCTAACCTCTTCATAAATCTTGATCGGAAGCGATTAGTCGCGCCGTATTATCCAAACATTATTCTTCTGATGAAAGAGACAAAAAAAACGGGAATGCTGTTTTCTCGAATTTGATAATATTCATTGATCGACTTGAAATTCATAGGAAAGAGAGAGAGAGAGAGAGAGAGAGAGAGGGGGAAGAATGATAAAGTGATAATATATAATCGAAGGAAAAGGATAATACGGAAAAGGATAATAATAATGACACACTGTGAAATATCATTTTGACAATACATATAAACTCTAGAACCCCCTCGCCCAATTGTTTGCGCAAGACAAAAAAAAAGGTCATGCGATTTACGCGTACTTTTCACGAGAGAGACAAAAAAAAGGATGAGGAGAACATCTCAACAGTGAAAATGAAGAGAGATGGGGGGAACTTGCTTCTTCTCTCTCTCTCTCTCTCTCTCTCTCTCTCTCTCTTCTTCTTCTTCTTTCCATTCCAAATCAAATTAATCGAATGTGAACGGTGAACTAGCAGCAATCAGTTGGAAAGATAGAGAGAGAGAGAGAGAGAGAAGAAGTGATAAGGCCGATGAGAAAATGAGAAAATTGGAGAGGAAAAAAGTACTGATGATGAACCTGTCCTTGCGAAAACGGTCATTTTCATTCACAGACAGGCACCGCCTAGAACGGATGTGGACACTTTGCAACCGACCTCAGAGTGCTTGGGACGTTTTGAAACCATGGGGATACTTTGCAACTATTGAGTTTCTTCGAAAACTTTGAAAGCAAAGGCAACACTCTTGTTAGTTGGTTCTTGTTAAAGATATTGCGGGAACTGGCTCAGGGACACTTTGCAACCAGCCACTAAAGGTTTTGGGACGTTTTGCAACTGCTAGACGCTTTGCAACCAAATCATAAAACCAAACAAATAGCAAAAATGTTGTGAACGACACCATGTTCAGTTGAGGTTGCATAGAACTGGGCTTTCTGCAAATCGATGGTTTGCAACTTGGACACTTTGCAACCGAGACGTTTCGCAACTTTCAGAAGATGGTTACAGACTGTCCAGCAAACGAAAGAAAGGAAAGAGAGCTTTGAAAATGAGCAAAACGGTCCGAAAAAGGAAAATAAGAAGAGACAAAAGCAAATGAATGAGATGGACGGCCCGTGGAAGGCAATAGAAACAGGTGCAAGCGTCGCGTTCCCTTCACGCGCGGGTATTACCTCACTGATGGTCCCTTCCCTTACCTAAAGGCTTGGCAGGTTGGCGGATAATTGTCATGAGAAGGGGGGGGGGTGAACAGAATGAGTCAACAATGATGACGATGTGACATGGATACGTTGTCGAGTCGAGCAGATGGATGCGATGCGATGAGAGGGACGTTTTGCAACTCGTCAAGGCTTTGGACAAAACGATGAACACAGCAGAATCAAAGAAAAGACGTTTCGCAACCAATACCATGGTTCTTATCAGATTTATTGTAGGAACGTATGGGAGATATGATTGGATAGGCTTTGGACGTTTTGCAACTAGTCATTTTGCAACTAGACAACTCTGCAAAATAAAAAAAAATTTCGTAACCAATACGCAACCAACACCATGAGTAAGAAGCAGAGTTGAGCGGAAGAACACGAAATAATTTTTATCTTTTTTAGAAAATTTTTTCATGAAATGTGATCAACTGACGAAATGTATAGAAAAGTGAACTCTGCTCATAGAAAAATAATTGTAATTTTAACTTTTCATACAAAAAAGTTATTCGAGTTGTTCCGTGAAAAAGGGGGATAACGGGGAAGACGGAAGGAATAACTTTATTGTATGAAAAGCTAAATTTACAATTATTTTTCTATGAGCATAGTTCACTTTGCTATACATTTCGTCAGTTGATCTCATTTCATGAAAAAATTTTCTAAAAAAGATAAAAAATTCTTTCGTGTTCTACCGTTGAGTTCTTTTGCTCAACTCTGCTTCTTAGTAAGAAGTGAGAGATCTTTAAGAAACGTATGCGAGCCAAAGTCCGATAGGTTATGGACGTTTTGCAACCGATCATTTTGACCCGAGATTATCCGCCCAAAAAAACCGTAAAACGTCTTTGTCAAGGCTACTGGCGCGGAACATGACACACTGATAAGATCTTGGTTAGCACTTTTTTACGCCAACCTCGAATGGTTGTCAACAAATGAAAAAACATTTAGTCGGCGTGTTGAACCGTGACACCGAAACGGCAAAAAGTCAACCAAAAAATTATAATAATTTTATGATGATGCCACGAGATGACCCATCCTATCCGGTAGTGGCAACTGGTTTCTTTGGGGTAGTGGCTTGACTTTGCAACTTTGTGCCACACACGGATTTCGATTTACGTCTAGAATCGTCTGGTGAAAAAAGTTCGGCGAGGGGTGCGGCGCGCGGCGCGAACCGATGATGTTCATTAGAAAATTGCCGGCCGTCTCTCACTAACAACTACTGCTTTTTCCGGCTTTTCAAGTGTTCGAAAGTGTTCGACGGGCGGAGAGACGCAGATCCACGTGTCAAGAACATAATCGGCCCGCGCCCGTCCGTCCGTCGCCGTGGAACAAAAACGAAAAAGAGTTTTTTGGTGTTGGTTCCCCTCCTCCTCCTCCGAATGTGTCAATTTGACGGAAGGGACGAGAAGACAGGGGGGAACAATTTGGAGAAAAATTTGTACACTTGGCAACTGCTGGACACCAGAGTTGGGCGGAAGAACTCAACGGAAGAACACGAAAGAATTTTTATTTTTTTTAGAAAATTTTTTCATGAAATGTGATCAACTGACAAAATGTATAGAAAAGTGAACTCTGCTCATAGAAAAATAATTGTAAATTTAGCTTTTTATACAAAAAAGTTATTCGAGTTATTGCGTGAAAAAAGGGCTAACGGGCAAGACGGAAGGAATAACTTTTTTGTATGAAAAGCTAAATTTACAATTATTTTTCTATGGGCAGAGTTCACTTTGCTATACATTTCGTCAGTTGATCACATTCCATGAAAAAAATGTCTAAAAAAGATAAAAATTCTACCGTGTTCTTCCGTTGAGTTTTTCCTCCCAACTCTGGTCTGGACACTTTGCAACCGAGCCCCAACGTCCGTAGCACAAAATGTTGGGCTGTTGGGAAGACTGGCCAATAACTGGGACACTTTGCAACCACCGCCTCCAGTTTTAGCTCAGAAGTGGTCGAAAGTCACAATTTGACAGCCTTTTGACACTTTTGCCTTTCGCGCGCACTACGCGTACAATATCTATGCGCGTACGCATAAATATGGTCGTTATACCCGTGGGGGGGGGGGACAAAGTACTACAGACAGCTGTCACAATTCTCTCACACGTAATGGCTCCTCTTCAATTGGTCCAGAAAGTGCCCATTAAAATTTTTATGCTCTTAAAGGCGCGGGGGGGGTGTCTTGGATGAGGATGTTCTGAAGTTGACACACGACACAATGTTTATATTATAAAACTAAAAATATGATCGACGTTGAAAACTGTGTGCGTTCGAGGAAGGGGGGGGGGCTTACACATTTACGTTAAGCGTAAACATTTTGCAAACATTTTCTTAAATGCTCGGTCAGTTTGAAAGCGTTGCGACGGACAGAACATGACATAAATTGTCAATTAGGAGGCAGAAGTGAAAATGAGAATGAAAATGAGAATTGAAATGTGACTAACTAATATTAATGGCCTTTGCCCTTCGAATATTCTCAAGAAATTCTGAACCGATACAATATATTGAATTGAACAAAAACTGTCGTCCACTCACGACAAATTGCTCGAAATCGTCGACAAAATGGGAAATTAAATCCGAAAAGCCATAAGTGTAATTGATAGCTCTTGAATGTGTGCTCAATGCTCACAGATTAGGTTATTCGAAGATATGTGCACAAATGCGACACGGGTCAATACGCAATTAGTCAAGTGGTTTTCGAGGAGCGCGCTGTCAGACCGTTTTTTACGTTCCGGCCCAGGGACCACAACGCACACGAAACGGTTCCTGGCCCGGTCAAAAACGCGCTTTGTGTTTGAGCACCCTGGAGCACCTACCGTACTACCGTAACCCGGAGCCAGGGCCCAATACACTCATGAAAGCCTACTCTACAAAGTTGGGTCCCAGCTCCCTCCGGGCTACGGTAGTACGGTAGGTGCTCAAAGGTGCACTTTTCTCGGAAACCTATAAAGACATCATTTTTGACATACATACAATGAGAAGCCCAGACGGATTACTGTAGAATAGGAGGGAACTGGTCTCCTAGAGAAGCGTGACGGCCTTCAGAATTTACATAATCATCGATGAAGGGGAGGGATTTGTGATCATAATTATACATCTCGTGGGCGCGATATTACTAGGCTAGCATATCGAATCATTTCCGCCGAAATGAACACCGATACAGGAAGCGCGCACGTGTTTAGTAGGGCATACAATAGTTATAAGGACAGATTTCGGCAAGGGAAAGGGATGAAATCTGAAAATTTCACCGTTTTTTGCCCAGTGAGTGAAACGGATTCCATCCGTCCGTGATTCATGAAGAACACACAAATAAGTATGCGAATATATATATCTCTTCTCGAAACGAAGAAGATGATAGCACTTGAGAATCACTTGAGAGTGTAAATTGCCTAAACACCCCCCACACACACACACACACACACGGGAGCATTCGTTCGGAAAATGACAAACACATATGCGCCGGCGAATGTTTGTCCAGTACCGTAATGAATAGCATTGCCCCTTATTTCATTAACCAACGGGAGGGGGTTCAGATTTGTTCCACGTCATACTGTGCACAGAATGCGTCAGTGTCTTCATTTTGACTTCAGCCTCACGTGAGACACGAAAATTAGAGAAATTCCTAAGCTTAAACGAGAAAAAAGAACAGGTGAAAAGTGTCGACTTGTCGGCCGACCACTTAACTTCACTTCCACCTTTTTACATTCCCACATTCGTATGTTTTTTTTCTTTTTCGCCTTCACCATCCTCAACTTATTCTCGCTGTCGTTCAATTTATTGCTATGTATGACTGTTTATTTTCACGTGGATAAAAGTGAGTGGGAAACTTGACAAACGTCGAACACAGTCGGAGTTTTCAGCAAAAATACCTACAGTATACATGTACAATATGATTTTGGGCAATTCCGTCGACATCATCACACTTTTTCTTACTTTTTTATTGCCAATGTGCATGGATGATAGCACTTATCAAGGTTTTTCATCAAAAAACACTTTTCGAAGCCACTTGCAATTGTCAGATCGGACCCAGACTTTGCAGGATTGTTGAAGTTGGATTGAAAGATGTTGGGTCCAAGTTTCAGACCGATCGGATCATCTGGTCCCGAGAAGGCCGAAACTTTGTAAAAACCCCGGTCTTTTCGTCTAACTTTCTCGGGGACCAGATGATCGGATCGGTCTGAAACTTGAACCGAACATACTTCAATCCAAGTGCAAGAAGCCTGCAAAGTTTGGGCCCAATCGGATAACTGCAAGTGGGTCAAAAGTACGGGTCTCAAAAAGCATTCGAAAAGTCATTTGCCCAGCCAGCACTGCATCTTTTTTTTCAGATTTCCGAAACATTTTCGGTCCGGTACTCACGCTATTGTGCTCTTTTTCGTATGAACACCCGCTATATCTAACTTTGCTCATGATAACTCAGAGAATTTTTGCCGTTTTTGACCCCATGAACAGATATTTCACAAATTCCAAATTATGGATTTATTGCGCTATTATTGCTGTAAGTTTTCTTCTCCTATCTCTGTCAATTTTTAATGTTTTTCAATTGTTAAAAAACAATTCGAAAGATAACATCCTACTCTACACTTTTCTAGTTGAAACATTTTTACGATCATCATCCTACGTCGAGATATTATCGATTAACCGCAGAGGTTTTAGTTTTGATGGGACGGGCTTTATTCAAACAATAGTATCTCGACGTACAGACAAGAATGTGGAAAATAGTCAACAACAAAGTTGTAGAGCTTAAATTATCTATCGATTTCTTTTTTTACATTCAAAAAATGTTCAAAACTGATGGAAATACGGTAGCTTAAAGTTGACAGTCTTCAAAATTTGAAAGTTTCAGGTGTTTTCTTTAATTTCGCTTCTAATTCCTTATTTTTCCACGTGTCCCGTGAATATCAATCAAAGAACGTTCAGTTTCGAAGCAGCTTGCCCTGAAAGACACCCGGTAAACCGACAATATCTATTTTTGGATCCTGCGCTTTCCAAATTTAAATCCAGCTGTCTAACTCGAATAAAATCATTCAGGTTACCAACATTCAAAACAAATATCTGATTGTGATCCCTCTAATCTCCATGATTCTCAATATTGGATTGATAATACACTTGGGATCGAAGAAAGGCTCGATTTTTCGGAATAGCATGAACAATAAAATTAGTGGTACGGATTTTCGAAATCTACGTTTCAAGAGCTATCGAATGAGTATAATCATGCCAGGGTTCTGAGCACTTTGGGTCCCACCACGAAAAGCAGGGTTACTGTAGTTTTCGTGATAGGACCAAAGTGCCAGAACCCTGGCATGATTATACTCATTCGAAAGCTCTCGACGAGCTGAGTATGATTCCTACAATGTTTTCTAGTAATTTCAATATCCTCCACTAGCAACAATCCACGTTTGCCGCCAATCCAACGACCTTCGAGACTTCGGCAGAAATTCGAGAGAGTCCTTCTCCTGCAATCCTTTTCCACAACTACTTTTCTGCTTGGCTACGAGCTCAGCGGACTTTTTATTCGCATTTTTTCGGTTTGTCAACGAGCGACGGTTGCTTGAACGAAAAGTGTGTGAAATTTCAGCAGGACTACGCGTTGTTATCAGAGGAAATTCGTCGATTTGTGTTCTACACGAGAATATCCGCATCTTCGCTCCTTTGCTTCCTCGTTTACCTAGTGGGAACTCCTTCGATCCGTCGGATTATTGTCGAGAAAGTTTCGTCAATTTATAACTCACACAGCGACGTTTCGACGGTTCTTATTTGAAGAAATAAACGTTTCCCGAGATTTTAACACAATATTCAGATTCAGCTCGTTGAGGGCTTTCGAATGACTATAATCATGCCTAGGTTTGAAGCCTTTTGGGTCTCGCCACGAAGAGTTGGGTTACTGTAGTGAAATGAACCTATGGACATGTCCAGATGACTTTAACGATTTTCCACACGAATTTTTTATTTCTCAACAACATTTTGCGGCTTTACACTTTTGTTAAACATGGCAAAATAGACGTCTCCCTCGTTCTCGGCTCTGATAATTTTCGGTACGATAAAAATTGATTTCCGTCTCGGTTTCGGTCGAATCGAGCGAAAAACGCGATGATAATGGTCGAAGAGCACTTTTCTGAAGCCCTCCATCAAAATAACGATGGCCGGCACGACGAGAAGTGCGTTTCTGAAAGCAGTGACACAAAATGTGATTGGGGCAGGTGAAAGCGGTGTACGTGTGAGTCAACGTGTCGAAAATCAGATTGCACCAGGATCTCCACACGTCCGGAAAGTCCAAAATGACGGGTAGACATTCGGTCAAAATGATGATGACGATGAGGATGCCAATCGTGACGACGGCTGGTCGAATCAGCTGGAAAACCAGATTTTTGTGTTCAGCGCGTTGAGAGCTTTCGAATGAGTATAATCATGCCCAGTGTTAAAATGCATTTTGGGTCCCACCACGAAAACTACAGTAACCCCAGTTTTCGTGGCGAGACCCAAAGTTACCGGAATCATGGCATGATTATACTCATTCGAAAGCTCTCGACGAGCTGAAACTCACCTTACAACTCTCGACATTCTCCTGCAACTGATACCGTATACTCAGAGTATACTGTACCAATTTGTTATGCTTATTGAGCAAATCCAATCGTTTTCTGTTTCGAAAATAGATAATTTCGAGAATGACCATCGAAGATATCGTAATGATCAAAGTGTTTACGAACAAAAAGTTGAGCATGATTTTCTGATAAACGGCTAGAAATGCGTAGGTTGTCGAGACGAGGAAATTCGAAAAAAGCATTAGAATCGGTATCCAATATCGCGTTTTCTGTTCGTAGTCTCTGAAACAGCGAGTGAACGTTTTGAGCCAACAATATTCTCACTTTATAAATATTGTGGCCATGCCTCGTTCGACGGCCACCGAAAACACCGAGTTCACTCCGAAAAACATGTAGTGATAACGAAAAATAGCCGCCCAGAACAGAGATTTCGAGGTGTGTTGGGATGGATCTGGACAACAAAAAAAAACCAAAAGTTCAAGAGCACACAATTAGGAGCCGTGCCACCTTTAGTGTACTGAAAGAAGAACACGAGAAATCGACTGAAAATGAGCTCACACCAGCACAGAATTCCGCCAATCACGAGCAGTCGATTATTTCGGTGCGGTGTGCTGAAATTGTATTTTCGCATCGAAAATTCGCATCTTCGCGTCATGACGCAGCTCACTTTGATTTGACGGCACAAAAAACGCCGACGACGGTGATGAGCAGTGAGAAAAGAAGCAGAATCGAGAGGATCGCGAATTCGAGCGTGCAAAAGTTGCGATTCGAGTTGAAAGTGAACACCCACACGACGTTCACGTCGCCGTTTTCATCTGCAAACTTCGGAACCTCGTCGTTTTTGATTTAAAATGCCAACACAAAAAAAACGCACTTTCAACGTCCTGCTTCGAAGCGATTTTCACCGAAAAACAATAGTCGGTGCCCGAAAAAGAGCACATTGGGCACGCGACAAGGAAAAAGATAATAGCGGAAAAAGTTGACCAGCCGAAAAATAGAAACACGTATCGATAATCACCTGTTTTTGAGACTTATCGAATCAGAATTTCATATTTTTCGTCTCAACGGGAGGTTTTGCAAAAAAAAAGAGCGAAAAAGTGAACAGACATAACATGTTTTCGATGTAATTGTGTTAGTCTCAATGATTTCATTCGTTTATTGAAAAAAGTGTCAAAGTTTGGACGGTGGCACAACGGATTCGACCAATTTGACGGCTTCCGCGGCGGTGCCCCAGCCCAGAGTGAAACCGTTTCCGCCGTGACCGTAATGATGAACGATCTGCAATTTTTTAGAACTGAATATCATAATCATCTTCAGCTCGTCAAGAGCTTTCGAATGAGTATAATCATGCCAAGGTTTTAATAACTTTGGGTCTCACCACGACCACTACAGTAATCCTCTTTTTCGTGGCAAGACCCAAAACTCACAAAACCTAGCCATGAAAACTCTCGATGAGCTGTAAACCGAAAAAAATGCCCCTACCGTGTAAATTCGACCAGTTTTTTCCGATTTCCTCTCGATTTTTTCGATTCGAACGCTCTTCCGGCCCGGCCGCAATCCAGACCATTCGCCAATGATTTTCGGTTCCTTAAATTCATAATACAAAGAGTATTAGTCAAAGTTGGCAAAAGTACCCTCATTGCGGGATGAAGTGCCACGTATCTGTCCAAAATGTCCTTCCGATCCTCGTCGGTAATCGCCAGATCCCATCGATTTTTCTGTTTTACCGAACCGATCACAACACTGTTCTCTCTGAAATTGTTCTGTTCTGCCTTCGTCCTGGTCTTGTCGAGAACTACAGTAACCCCAGTTTTCGGACCCAACGTGCTCACTTTGGAATGGTGAACGTGTGGAAATCGCGATAGTTAAAGTGTTTGTGCCAGTGTGCATCCACATCCAGAACGACGCCACGGATCGGGTATACGGTATCATCGTCGGCGGCCAATTTGGCTCCGTCTAGACCGGCACAGTTCACAATCACGTCATAACCCTCATTAGCCAGCTGCAAAAATGCGTTTTTGTTGCAACTTTGATCACAAACTCCACAAACCTCCTCGAGGCGCCGTACACGTTGCTCTCTGAACACCACACCCTTCGATTCGGCCAACGATCTCAGGTACGGCACGTACTTGTTCCCTTCCGACGCGAACGCCGTGTAGTGAATGCAATACCTGAATCAGGAGAGTATGTATGTATATAAAAACTTGTGCGGTACAAACGAACTTTGACGGATTTGGGAAAAGATCCGTGATTTCTCGATGGTCCAACCACCGAAAATTGTAGACAAAGTCTGCGTAGGCGTTCTGCTGCTGTTCCAATGTTTCACGAGACTCCGATTGGATGTGTCCGGATAATAGTTTGACGCCCGTCTCGTCTCCCTTCGCATTCCTGTGAAGATGGGCGAACCAGGCGAACGTTGCTTTGCCATACTCTCTGGAATTCTACAATATCGGAAATTTGTGTTGCAGCGAACAATAACCGACCGATTTGCCACGTCATCAATCCGAAAGAGGCCGGCCGGGCCGAAACTGCAAGTCTTCTCGAATGGACGATCAAAAAGTACAGTAATCTTGAGGTTTGGAAGTTTTTGAGCCAATTGCAGAGCGGTGGAACAGCCGATCACGCCTTCGCCGATAATTGCCACGTTTTTGGTCATTTTCTGGATTCGGATCAAATTTTATTCAAAAAACCGATTCAAAATGAGCGTTATTTTATTAAACTAGAACGTACTCTTGGCCGAAAACGTGAAAAACCAAAGGAAAAAGAAGAAAATGGTACTGATAAGGGTCAATTGGATCAATGTCTGCCCTTATCGATATTGTCGCCTTCACGGTTTTCGTATCTTTCGATGTTTGCGTCGACTTCCCTCCTTCACACTCAACTGTTGATTCAAAACGTTGAAATAGTGGTCGGACGAGGTGGCAAGCGACGCCTGAAGAGTGTTGACGACCGTGTCTCGGTGCTGGAAAAGATAAAATTGTCTTGGTTCATGCGGACACATTTTTGACTGACCCGCTTCTGAAAGACCCATAAATAGAGGGGCATGACGACCGAATAGAGCGGCACAAAGTTGATCACTGCAAAATTCGCGTCTATTGGCGGCTTTTGATGCGTTTTTGCGGGTTAATTGCTTGCAACTTTTACACTTGTTGGAACCGGTTTTGAAAGAGCTTTTTTTGCAACTATTTGCAACTTTTTGCAACTTTTGCAACTTTTTGCAACTTTTTTGCAACTTTTTGCAACTTTTTTGCAACTTTACGACTACAATCCTAGATGGTTTAACCTTTTGAAAGAATACCTTCAACGAGCGCGTGATACGTGGGTGGATCCATCGACGAACTGTAGTAATGGATGGGTGCGGAGAGAGAGAAACATGTGAAGACGAAGAATAGATCGCAAAGGGAAAGGATTGCATTAGTTTGATGTTTCTCATGTTCGCCTCCAATTGGTACCGATTACTGAGCGTGGCGGTTACGGAGCGCGCGCGGATCCTCTACAAACGGACAATAGTTTCGTTTTGTCTCCATTTTCTACCTTATTCAATCGCAGCAAGCAATGATTGATACTTCGCGCCAAAATTTGAAGAACTATTATCAAAATCTCGGGAATTATCACAAATAGCGGAAACCTCACTGAGATACTCTGAAACAACGATTTTCTGCTCGAAAATCGATTAGTTTGTGGATTACCGAGCAATAATAGTGAGGAGCGTCGAAATCGTACTCGTGGAACACTGAAGCCATCAACAATAAAGAGCATAATATCTGACAATTGTTCAAAAGGTTTTCAAGAAAATCGGAGAGACAAACAAACCTGAAAAAGTGCAAGAATGACGCCGGTTGCTTTGTGTCCGTGTTCATAAGTTTGACTATAGCCAGTCGCGAATCCACGTTCTATCATCAAAAATATTGTAGTCGTACTTGAGAGAATCAGGCCGAACATGTAGGGAAAACGAAGCACAAAGCATCTGCAATTGTAGAGTTGCGAAACGTCCAATGGGTGTCAAAAAAGTGCTTGCAAATAGTTCACATCTAGGACTTCATTTTTGTAGTTGATCATTTTTCGGTACGACCACTCCTAAGAGTACTGTAGCTCTTGGAAGTTAGCACTGAAACAGAGTCGCTATTGTTGGCTTCAACTTCCAGGGCTTACAGTAATCCGGAGAGTGGTCGTAGAAAAATATTGTCAATTGCAAAAATACTTTCACGTCTTGTACTCTATTTTTGTACTTGATCGTTTTTTTGTGAAATCACTCCTAAGGCTACTGTAGCGCTTGGAAGTTGAGGATTCACAATAGCAACTACTTTTCAATGGCAAACTTCCAAGCTTACAGTACTCCAGAGAGTGGTCGTACAACAAAATTATCAACTGCAAAAATTGAGTACTAGATGTGAAGATTTCATTAAAACAATTTTCAAGACCACACGACGTTTCGCAACTGAAACCAACCTCAGAGAACTCGGCTGCATACTGTAACAATCGCTTGCGAAAAAGTAGAAGTAAAGGTCGAAAAGATGGAGAAATAGTCTGAAAAAGCACGATAAATTTCGTGAATTGAACAAATTGATATCAACCTGGGAACACAATGAATAAAAAGTGCGGCACAGTGCACTTTCATGAGCAATTTCAGATTGAAATGGACGAGTTTCGAGCGGCGAATTGAGATCCACGTGTGCGTGAGACAGATGAACGCGGCGGCGCTGCAGAGCAAATTGAAAAAGAGCACGGATTGGAGGAAGCGCGAGCCGGCCATTTGGAGCATCGTCGAGCAGTTGAACGAGAACATTTCGCACTGAAAAATGTGCAAAAAGGTCCGTTTGAGCCATTTGCACCTTTTCGATCATTCGGATTGTGAAAATAGTTCACTGGAAAAATCAGAAAGAAGCTAGGAATGAAATAACAACGAAAAACGTGGAAATGTATGGATTTTCGACAAGTCTTGAGAGAACGAGTTGAAAAGTGAAACAATAGAACCGGAAAGCGGCCATAAAAATAGAGAAATGGGAGGGGAAAATTGCTCGTTTTCGAATTTTACTCGCCACTTTTTGGCCAAAAGTTTTTAGAGAACTAGAAAAAGACTCTTTGGACGCAAAGGGAATAATGATGAGGAAATGAGAAGGTTACAATATATTATAATATCTAATTTAACGCCCACTCTTTTGAATAAAAATGCAAGAGAAAAGAGAATTGGTCTCTCTCTCTCTCTCTCTCTCTTTCTCTTCCTCATCGATGAAAGAAGACGCCGTTGGATGTGTCATGAATAAAAAATTGGATCGCATCCGTGTCTTCCACGCATTTTTCTCCTTCCTCATTATATTTGTGCACTTATTAATGAGCCTACGCTGTCGAGCGCCACATTTTAATTAGGCTTTGGATGACGAGCGCACGGCGGCCCGTTATCCCCAACGACACAATTATCGAACTAGAAAAAGGCCATTTCTCAAAAGTGTGCAGTGCAAAAAATGAAATAAGCGGAATGCTTAACGACGGATTATGGGAAAGGATATACGGAAAATGTGATCGGATAATATTTCATGACAATCATTTGGCCGGCCAATCACATTAGAGCCATTCCGGTAATTATATTGTTTAGCCACTTTTTCGTGTGGCCAAAGTGTTCAGTGAGATGAGGAAAAAAGGGGAAAAGTTTGTGTGTGTGTGTGTGTAATTGGGAACTAATGAGAGACCGCAAAAAAAAACGCACAAATATTCGCGGTGAACCAACGAAAAAAACACTGAATATTCGATTATGTGGGCTTTAGAAAACAGCGAAAAAAACGCATTTTAATCCCTGCGCTCTATGAGTAATTGGACAATAGCGGAATTGAGCAATTTCAGACTTTTGGCGATGATTATGATTTTTCTGAGCAAAAATTGAGTGTCCGCTAGATCTGGCAAGTTATGCCACGTTGACTATAGTTAGTACTTGAATCAACTGCCACGTGTCAAAGAAAACGTCATCGAAATACTGAGATGCACAAGAAAAATAAAACACATTCAAAAGCGATTCTTTTGAGCCTTTTCTGAGCAAAAATTGAGTGTCCGTTAGATCTGGCAACTTATGCCACGTTGACTATAGTCAGTACTTGCCACGTGTCAAAACAAAGTGGTCCGAACGTCGGAACACAACTTTTTGCCAGAAAAATCTAGAAATTTGTCGGAAAAAGAGAAAAGGAGCAAATTGTTGTGGGGGGGATTCGTCGAACATCCCGTTGTGCACTATTAGTGTTGTTTTCCGTATGTCACGAAAATTGGGTTACTCAACGATTCCTCTTTTTTTCCGTAATGTCAGAATAGTCAAATGTTTGTTCAGAATAATGTTATATCTTAAAATAATGCTCCAATAGCTGACGACGGGTTTCCAGAGATTCAGCACTGATCGCTTCACGTTCGGATCTGGAAAAAGTGATGCTCAACTTTGAAAAATCATAACTTTTTTCAAAAAAATGCCACAGACCCCAGTTTGCGCTCAAAATGACCGAAATCATCGTGAGCATTAAGAACTATTCAAAAGAACTATTGAAAAAATTGCTATCCACGTCAAATTCTCACCGAAACTCTTCGCGCTCCCACAACTCGTCTCTAACCCGGTCCAACACTTTTCCGAGCCAATTCGAGCCTCGCCACGTCTCCTCATTTTCAGCCCTTTTATCGTTTTTGCCAAACCTGAAAGTTATTCGATTTGCGAAATGAATATTGTCGAATTACGGACCGATTCCCCAAATTGTATCGCTCGGAGACGCTTCGACCAACTTCATTCCGTGAGTGCGGAACAAAAATGCGCGGATGTCTTTGTTTTGAGCGAATTTAGCAAAACACGCATTGTACATGGCTTCTTGAGATATTTGGGACCATCTGAACATTTTTTAGATTTTTTTTCAAAAAGCAAATTCCGAGAAACTTGTGCAACTGCTCCTTGCTCATTTCCAGCTTTCTTCCCAACACTTTCATTTTCATCGGATTCGACTCTTCTCGAATTTTTCGCGCAGTCTCCAAATCACCGACTAACACGGCTTTTTGGTACCTGTGAGCACCAGTTGTTTTCTGAAATTGTTCTGAAACTCACATGAAATATTGTTCGCTACAACTGAATTTCAGCTCTTTTTCCCCATCTTTCTTCACTTTTCGCTCGATTTTCTCGCGCTCCTCAACCGGTTTTATTTTGAATTCGGCCGGATAGAAGTTGGAAAAAACACAGGCGGCCTCGTAGAAAAGCACCAGAATCTGCTGACCTTCACGGGTTTCGGAGACAAAAACACGGGTGTGCATAGCTGAAAGAGATCTGGAATTCTTACATTTTTCGGCTAATTTCGGCCCAGGCTTTTTGAGGCCTCGACTTTTGACTCACTTGCAGTTATTCGATTGGAGCCAAACGTTGCAGACTTCTTGAAGTTGGAGTGAATCTGGCCCAGAACGCACTGCTAATGAGACTAATTCGATTGAAATTGCGTTCTTCCAAGAGAATTCGCAACAAATTCGTTCAATTTACTATCGATTGCAAGAAGAACAAAATAACTAAAGGGGGAGCAGGTGTACAGAGGAGTAGACTCATTGGACACACATTTAGAACCGTAACACTATGATTTTGACACATAAAACCTACAGGTAAATCTGGCAGTAGAAAAATTGGATGTGAATTGATGGAGTTATGCCTTATTATTTCGGCCCAACAGGCCAAATTAGGGGCCCGAACGGCTAAATTTAGAATCGTCTCCATTAGATGAGACAAAAGAACTGACAGTAGAAAAATTGGATGTGAATTGATGGATTTGTGCCCTAATATTTCGGCCCAACAGACATTAAAAAAAATGCTAAATTGAGATGAAAAAGGCAAAAGCTTACAACATCCAGGATTCCCAGGCCGTCTCCGATCCAAGTACTAACTAGACTCAACGTTGCTTAACTTGCCAGATCGGACGGGATGGCGTGTACACAGGTAAAATGCGGAGGAAGCATATGCTTCAAAAATGCCTCAAAATGCCATATGCTCGCATATAGGATCCACATAGGATCCTCCGCGAGCGAAAAGCAAGATATGCCTCGCGCGTGCGTAGAAAGGGGAACTTCGGCTGCCGAATCGCGCACGGATGAAATATGCTTTCAGTCATGCGGTATCACTCGCTATGCGTCGCGGCTTCGAGTGCATTGAGCGAGTTCCTCCATAACTCGAAGAGCATAATTCGTAGAAAATAATGGTCAACTACAAAGTTGATCAGCATGAGATTTACTACAACTTTTCAGTTGACCACTTCTTCCCGCAACGTTTAGTTCTTGAGATACAGGCTGTTGAAATGGTTAGTGGGTCGTATCACAAAAACGAGCGGACTTGCAAACAGGTTGTCAACTGAAAAACTATGCACAATGTCTTTATCAATAATTCATTAGTTGACAACGTAGCTATATCTTTGCTAGATTTCGAGATACAGCAAGATTTAGAACTATTGTTTTCATCGGCCTGTATCTCAAGAACTAAACGTTGCGGGAAGAAGTGGTCAACTGAAAAGTTGGAGTAAATCTCATGCTGATCAACTTTGTAGTTGACCATTATTTTCTACGAACTATGCTCTTCGAGTTATGGAGCAACTCGCTCAATGCACTCAAACGCAGTTCCTACATGAACCGAACGGCAGCACGAGCGGCACCACAGAAGCGGCGGGCAGCGGCATGCTTCCCAATCATTTTTCTCTGCGTCGAAACTTCTGGTGCGTGCCGTCGGAAGAAAACTGATTTATCTTACCCGTTTTCTTCAGGATCGTGTTTATAACGATAAAAACTAACAAAGAGCAACAAGAAACTCCCAGAAATGTATATAGGTCACTGGGAAAAAAACGTTTTCGAAATATGGCAGTTTCGTGCTTGCTTTTTGTGTCTCTTTGTTAGTTTTCATCATGATGAACTCGTTCCCAAAAAAGCAAGTGAAATGAATCAGTTTTCTTCCGACGGCACGCATCAGAAGTTTTGGCGCAAAGAAGAAGGCTTGGGAAGCGCGCCGCCGCCTGCCGCCTGCCGCCCGCTCCGTGTTCCGAGACTTTAGATGCGTGCCGTCGGACGAATACCTATTCGTTTCACCCGTTTTCTCGGAAATGTGTTTATAATAATCAAAACTAACAAAGAGCAACAAGAAACACGCAAAAAATTTCCGAGGTTCAGCACGAAAACAGCTGAAATAAATCGGTATTCGTCCGGCGGCGCAGAGAAAGAGGCTTGGGAGGCGCGCCGCCGCCCGCCTCCCGCCGCTCGCTCGCGCTCTCCGTGTTCCGAGACTTCTGATGCGTGCCGCCGGAGAAATACTGATTCATCTTACCCGTTTTTTTCAGGAACGTGTTTATAATGATCAAAACGAAGAAGGAGCAACAAGAAACTCGGAGAAATGTCTATAGGTCACTTCATTATGATGTAAACTAACAAAGGGACACAAAAAGCGCTCACGAAACAGCCATATTTCGAAAAAAGCTATTTCTCCATTGACCTATACACATTTCTCCGAGTTTCTTGTTGCTCTTTGTTAGTTTTTCGCGCTCTCCGTGTTCCGAGACTTTAGATGCGTGCCGTCGGACGAATACCTATTCGTTTCACCCGTTTTCTTCGGGAACGTGTCTATAATAATCAAAACTAACAAAGAGCAACAAGAAACACGCAAAAAATTTCCGAGGTTCAGCACGAAAACAGCTGAAATGAATCGGTATTCGTCCAGCGGCGCAAAGAAGAAGTCTTGGGAAGCGCGCCGCCGCCTGCCGCCTGCCGCCCGCTCCGTGTTCCGAGACTTCAGATGCGTGCCGCCGGAGAAATACTGATTCATCTTACCCGTTTTCTTCAGGAACGTGTTTATAACGATCAAAACTAACAAAGAGCAACAAGAAACTCGGAGAAATGTGTATAGGTCAATGGAGAAATAGCTTTTTTCGAAATATGGCTGTTTCGTGAGCGCTTTTTGTGTCCCTTTGTTAGTTTACATCATAATGAAGTGACCTATAGACATTTCTCCGAGTTTCTTGTTGCTCCTTCTTCGTTTTGATCATTATAAACACGTTCCTGAAAAAAACGGGTAAGATGAATCAGTATTTCTCCGGCGGCACGCATCAGAAGTCTCGGAACACGGAGAGCGCGAGCGAGCGGCGGGAGGCGGGCGGCGGCGCGCCTCCCAAGCCTCTTTCTCTGCGCCGCCGGACGAATACCGATTTATTTCAGCTGTTTTCGTGCTGAACCTCGGAAATTTTTTGCGTGTTTCTTGTTGCTCTTTGTTAGTTTTGATTATTATAGACACGTTCCCGAAGAAAACGGGTGAAACGAATAGGTATTCGTCCGACGGCACGCATCTAAAGTCTCGGAACACGGAGAGCGCGAGCGAGCGGCGGGAGGCGGACGGGGGCGCGCTTCCCAAGCCTTCTTCTGTGCGCCAAAACTTCTGGTGCGTGCCGTCGGAAGAAAACTGATTCATTTCACTTGCTTTTTTGGGAACGAGTTCATCATGATGAAAACTAACAAAGAGACACAAAAAGCAAGCACGAAACAGTCGTATTTCGAAAGGAACGATTTCTCCATTGACTTATACACATTTCTGCGAATTTCTTGTCTCTCTTTGTAAGTTTTCCTCATTATAAACACGTTCCCGAAGAAAACGGGTAAGAAGTCTGAACTTTCTTGTTCTCTCACTGTCTTCCCTGAAAAATCTCGATGCTACTGTAGGGATGCAGAACAATCGATTTTAGGAGCCTGAGCCTGTTCTGCATCCCAGGCTATGCTACTAATATGCTGGTTAGTCGCTGTTCTTGGCGAGCTCGCCCATTTTGTCATGCAAGCCTCTGGTAGCAGCATCAGCAGGGACGGGAACACAGGTAAGCGCGCGCATTAATACGGGAAGGGTCACGGGTTCGGGTTTGTGGGAGGTTTCGTGGCGCGCGCGTCGCGTTTTCCATTTTCGGGTGGGAAAGCATAAAGCATCCGCCGCGAAAGCACAAAGGATCCGGCGCATTCCAAGCATAATGCTTCCATATGGTATTCCTATGTTTTCCACGCGCGATCCGCGTTGAAAGCACATTAGACCCATATGCTTCCTCCGCATTTTACCTGTGTATTCAACGTGATGTGGTCGTAAGCGAAATCACCAGCACTCTATGTCGATGACATTTTCGCGAGCAATGTCTCAATGGCCAGTGTGTGTTGGCCGATATTGTCGGGAGAGTAGACACTCGCGATCCCTCGGACATGTCGGCTGCTCACATAACATTAGTCGATATGCGCGCTGTTAGTTTTGGTTTAATTACCCAAGTTAGAGGTGCGAACCTGGGAATGACCTAAAGCAATTTAGCGTCAGCTTTCTAATTTTGGAAAGTCTCCTTTAGGGGAGACAAAAGAAATGATTTCAGAAGAAAAACAAGTGTTAGGGTTGTGAATTCCGTTAATCTCGGAAATCCCACAATTGGTGTGCCAGCAAAGGAAGGGAATCCACGTTGAAAACTGATATAACGAAGTGAGAATAGCAAACAGTGGACAAAGAAATTGAGCAGAAATAAATGTTATTCTTGGATTACATGAAGTGTGTCTTATTGCATCTTGTTAAAATTGTGCGAATTGAAAACAAAGCTACACGGTGCTCGCGAGCAAATCGAAAAATCGCTTGGCGGCCGCCATACTAACTGTGGTGAGGCCTCGTTCTCGCGGTCCTCGAACATGTCGGCTGCGCGTATTGTTGAAGAGGGGCGACGCAACGGCAGCCTCGGTTTAATTACCCAGTTTGAGGTAAAAAATTGAAACTGACCCAAAGAAATTTGGTGTTAGCTACAAATTTTGAATCGTCTCCTTTAGGGGAGACAAAATAACTAACAGTAAAATATATATTTCATTGGAGAACTCTGGTATTTCGTTATTAATCTAAGGGCGGCCAAATAAGATTGATATGACACCTAATTGGATTAATAAATTATCTAGCTAGATTAATTAATCTTCTAGCTAGATTAATAAGTGCTCAAACCGTATGCTGGCTCAAATTTCGATTGCGCCAAGAAAAAACAGTCGAATCTAATAAGGTCGCTATTAGATCAGTAACTTTCTAATTAGATTAATATCGAATTGCCAGAGGAAAAGAGGAATGATGGGTTAGTTGAAGAAATAGACTCGAATGGGTTGGAAATGGCTGAATCTCAATAGATGACCACTGCCTTGCAACCACTAAATCAGTGGGGTATGCGGGTGGGTAAACCTGGCAAAAAGATTGGAAAAAAAAACAGAAAAAGGTACATGTCGAAATGTCGAAAAGAAAATGTCAGTGTGGCTGCGTCTCCGTCACTTTCTCTTCCCAATATTGTTGACTCGACTCTTTTCTTATCTGACGTGACGTATTTCGAAATATTCGCGTTTCACCTTATTTCTCCATTTTTTCCAGCAATGCATACTCGCGTTTTTCAATCTGAAAATGCGTCCGTCAAGCCATTGGTCCTTTTTTATGAGGACGACAGTGTCTTCTCGAATTTCCATCCGGCCAAATTCACAACGAATCCGTTGTTTGGAGAGGACGACGGAAAGTCGATCGATTTTACGTGTAGTGAACAATATTTCATGTAAGTATTTCATAATATTTCATAATATTTCATGTCACACCCTTTTTTTCTGAATCCTTTTCGAACAAAGCGAAAAACCGCGAAAACATTGGCAGCTGTTCCGAAACAAGTTGTTTCCAGGTATCACAAAGCTCTCCTCGTCGACGATTCCAGTTCGGCAATGCGAATTTTGAGAGAAACTGCTCCGTTGACGATGAAAATGATCGGAAGACAACTCGAAATGAGCAGGGAACAGTTGAGAGAGTCAGTTTCGGAAACAGATAATTTTCCCTTGAAGCCAAAACGAATTTTGACACTGAACATGTTTGGCTCTCGATTTTTGTGCAAATACTTTCAGATGGTCCGTAAAGTCTCGAGAAGTCATGTACAAAGCATGTCTCGAGAAATTTGCCCAAAATCCGGCTCTTCTGATCCAACTGCTCCGAACTCGTGGAATGATTCTGGTGGAGGCATCGGCAAACGACGCCATCTGGGGAATCGGTTCGTTTTTCGATAAAACTATCGATAGATAAATGAAACAAATCCACAGGCCTCGATAAATTTGATGAACGTGCTCAAAAAGTCGAAAAATGGATGGGAAAAAATTGGCTCGGCGAAATTTTGGACCGAATCCGCGAGGAACTGTGGTCCAAATCGGAATTTAGGTACTTCGACGATAAAATAAAATTGTGTCATGTTTTAACTGAATTTCAGTGCGGAAAGACGTCAAGCCGAGTCGGAAGACCTTCCGACAAGATGTCGCTTTTTGCAAAACCCTTAATATACCCCTGAAAACAGTTCCGTGATATTGTTTATTTCCGAAAATTTCCGCTGATACTTTGAACCCGGTGAAATAAACAAAAAACAAGAAAAGTTTACGAATTTCTGGAAATTTGATATCGTAAAAGTATTGGGCCGTATAAAAATGGACCCAACGAGAGTATTTTATCATTTCCAAACGAATATTATGAAGTTCTTGCTCGTCGCCTATTTTCATTGGCTCAGCCATCAGTGCTCCGGCTGGAAAAGACGTGGAGCCGGTGGCGGTGAAGAGAAACGAAAAAGCGCTGACTGTGGAGGCGTTTGACGGATACGTCGGCCTTCTGAAGATGTTCAAGGACTTTTTCCCCGGAGATCTCGTTTCGGCTGTTGACAATGTGAGTTTATCGAATTCTCCAGATGATTTCGGTTTTTTTGAGCGTTGGCGGGAAGCTGTAGCATTTTTTTGAAAAAAGTTACGATTTTTCAAAGTTGAGCAACGTTTTTCTCGAATCGCTGGGTCAATCGGCAACCGGGACGCTTTGCAACTGCCCATGCCGGTTGCAAAACGTCTCTCTGACTGAAAAATAGCCAAAAAAAGAGGAGAATATTGAACTGAACCCAATTTTCCAGCTGAACATCACGCAGAAAGGCGAAGTGGTCTCGTTCCTCTCCAACTGGTTCCAAGATCATCTGCAGACGCCGAACACGACTTCGGAAGTGGTGGATCTGCTCAAAACGCATCTTCCGTCCGTCTACGACCGCATTCACACCCTCAACACGACGTTCTACACCAAATTCAACGCGCTCAAGCCCGAATCGCAGACGATGCTGCGCGAGTGGAAGGCCAAGGCGGTCGGTCTGTTCGGGGACCGTCCCGCCGGCGAGTCGGCCGCCCAGAACCTCCAGCTACTACGCGACTTTGCCACAAGCATCCGCGACGTCGATCCCAGCATCCGTGACGACCTGAAGACGCAGTTCCCGTCGGCGGTCGCTCTCACCGAGGGCTTGGGCTTCACCGTCTTCACCACTCTGGTCATGGTCGTTCAGAAGATTCTCGAAGCGGCCGCACAACCGGCGCAGGCGATTCTGGCCACCGGAATACCTGTCGAGTGCGCTCTGCCCTTGGACTGATTTCGATTTTGCATTTTATTATTCGATGGGATTTCTATTTTGGTGCATGGTAATAAACAATTTCAACGTACTTCTGGTCATTTCACGTTTTTTAGCTCCAGATCAGTGTTGAGCGGAATTCCGTCTTCCGTCTTCCGTAAAAAAATTTTTCTTCCGGGATTTTTTTTTGTTGCTTTAGTTATTTTTTTCAAAAAAAAATAAAACCAGAGGAAAAGGTTCTGCATTGACGATTTTTTTGTTCCGTCTTCCGTCTTCCGTCTTCCGGGAAAAAAGTTTTCTTCCGTCTTCCGTCTTCCGGATTTCAAAATTCCATTTCCGCTCAACTCTACTCCAGATATAGGTGACCAAAAACGAGTAGTAGTCATTAAAACGTCTGCAAACTACCAAAGCCTATTAGCAAACCTAATGGTTGCCAAATGTCCAGTTCGAAAACAAACGAAGAGAGAGAGAGAACAATTTGATCACGTGAAAACCAAAAACTATTATCAGAATGTCAAAAAACGACCATCTTATCAATTTTGACATGTTCGGAGACGCAGACACTCTCCGATTGGCTACAACACACACTTCTATCCTATAGTTCGCAATTTGCAATTCTCCATTAGACCCGAAACGATGCGCGGTGGCAGTATATAACACGATTTGATCTTTCCGCTGATTTCCTTTTTCGCTACTGTCCACCTAGAGTTGATGTGCGTTTTTTTTTCTTCGAAAATTTTGATTCGTCCACGATGAATTTGAAAGTTTTCAGCTAGTTTCCCACGATCATCAAAAATGCGATTATTGACAATTTGTGCACTTTTTGTGCATTTTTCCGACTCTGCCAAAGTCCTGCTGACCGTTATGGATCAGGGAAGGTGTGTTGGGCGAAGACGTTCTCAACTTCTTTTCCAATTTTCCTTTCAGATCGCACGCCACCTCGATCACACCTCTTTTGCACCGATTACAAAAAGACGGTCACACGACCGCTCTCGAATTTGCCACGTACAAACCGGAAATGGATTTCGGAGTGGAAGAACGATTCATTAATATGAGCGGGTTCGAGAATCATTTCGTCTCGAAAGACTTTTTCAAAATCGCCTTTGAGGGCGAGTTCACTTTCCTCCATCAGGTCAGTGTGCATGGTGCATCGACCGAAACATTTTTTCCACCATTTTTCAGGCGGTCCCCTTCATTTTCGGCTCAATCTCGTGCAATAACATACTGGAGCACAAGAAGCAGCGGTTTTTGGAAATTGCCAACGAAAACTGGGATCTTTTCCTCTCGGATTCCCTTTTTTCGCCGTGTGGCTACGCGATGGCGGAGGTGGCCGGCAAGCATCACGTCATGATGCACTCGAGCGACGTCGAAAGTGCTCATGGCACTTTTAAGGGATTCAGCAGGTTTGTTGCATCAGTTACTTGTCGTCAAACTTCGGAGGGGCATATCTCGAGATCCAATGATTATTTTGAAAAACTGTCAACTGCAAAAATGTTGGAAAATGTGTGCTCAACATGTTTGCAATTGACACTTTTTGTTGAAAACTCTTTATTCTCAAGTTACAGGCCTATTTCTGAACAGTACCGACAAGCCAGGCTGGATATGGGTCTAAAAATCGTCCATTGGCTCAAACTACCCCTTCAAGTCCATCAATTTTTGCAGAAACTACGCGCTAATGGTGCCCAACTTCCTTCCCTACTCCATGTCGGATTTCTCGGTCGACCACTGGTGGCACCGTGTCGTCTCGACCGTCGACTGGTTCGGAAGCATGCTGATCACGGGCGGCGTGGCCGGCCTCGCTCAAAAATGGGCGTTGCGCAGTATTATCAAATTTCCGTTCTTCTCTTTCTACGACTACAATCGCAAGAGCACCTTCTCGTTCACCGACATGCCCGATCCGTTGTACCGGTCGGAGCGAGGACTAATGACGTGCGATTGCACTATTTGTACCAATGGCAAAGCACCATTTTTTGCAGTTCTTCTCGTTCGGCACCTATTGCAAGCAGCCGAAAAACGAGTTGGACGACGAGTGGAAACAGTTTGTGGAGGACCGCCGATCCAAAGGGACCATCCTCGTCGCGTTCGGCACCATCATCGATTGGCGATTTGCGCCCGAAGACAAATTCGAAATTTCTGAACGTGCTCAATCGACTCACCGACTACCGCGTCGTGTGGAGCATGAAAGGCGACCGGCCCGACGGACTCGGCGCCCACGTGAAAACCGCTTCGTGGGTCCCGCAGCATCAGCTCCTCGCGCACAAGAACACGGTACTCTTTGTGAGTCACGGAGGTCTCAAAAGGTGTGTGTGTGTGTTGGTAGTTTTACAAAACAAGTGTGTTCACCGTTTTTAGTGTAAAAGAAGCGGTTTGCTCGGCGACTCCGTCTATTTTCATGCCAATGTTCGCGGAGCAGATGAGGAATGCGTGGTTGGCAAAGAATAAGGTCGGTTTTTATCATTTTTTGACTGGATTTGGCCTAATTTTTAGCACCTAGTAGCCTAACATTGAAGTTTTTACACAAATGCAGTGCTACCGTTTGCAGGGATTCGCCCGTATTCTCAACAAATTCCACCTGTCCGAACGGTACCTCGAGGGCCACATTCGCGAAGTGGTCGAGCACAAATTCTACCAATCGAACGCCGAAAAACTGTTGTCGACGTTCACGGACCAACCGATGGACGCACTCGACGAGGCGGCCTTCAAATTCGGCAGACTCTTCAAGTACAACGGCAAAATGCCGGCGTACTTCTACCCGCAATCCATCGATCTGTCCTATATTACGGCCCTGAATCTGGATATTTTGATTGTGGTCCCGCTGATCATCGGCCTGCTCGTTGACAAATGATCGTTTCCAGTTTTATTGTACTTATCGGTCTCTGTTTTGTGAAAAAATCAATCGGTTTAGAGGGGAGCAAACAATGCGCTTTGTTTCATGTTTCTTGTTCTTTTCCCATCAAAATAACGTGTCAAGGACAAGAAGCGTTTCAGATGCATTCTTCTAACCATGGAAAACACCCAGGAAAAGCGGGTGATTCTCACGGACAAGGGCGAAAAGGAACGGATGATCGGCATTGAACGTGATTGGTTCCCCCATTCTTCCACTCATCGGAATCGCCTTTGCCACGGTGGCGGCAGCGGCGACGGTCCCCAGTTCATTCACCTGAAAATGTTCTCTTTGTTCAGTGATATTAAGGATCTGAACTAACCTCAATGAGAGCCTTGTGGGCAACATCGGAGATCTTGATGTTCGGGGCGATTCCAGAGAGATCGGCTGCGTCGGAAAAGATTTGAGTGATTCCCAACTTGCTCAACACATCCTTCAGTTTCAGCTCCTTCTGCACTGTGAACTTTGGAATGAACGTCTGGAAAAAAGATAGTTTCGACCGGTTTTCAGAAAACAAAAACGCACGTTCATAAAAGTGCTCTTCGAAGCGACCAACAACTTCTGGAGTCTCGCCGCGTCCAACTTCTTCACAGCATCTCCCAGACTGTTTTTGATTTTTGGAAGGAAAATTGCGAAACGATAGGCTGGATCCTTGTAGTTGAGCACGAGAACTTGGAACAAATCGTCGGAAGCGTAGCCGCGGTCGGACATCCAATCGCTCATGAATGGGATCTGAACATTCACATTGACACACGGAAAACGTTGTTTCCTTCGACTTTTGATGCGAAAGTTATTGAAACTCGAGCAAATGGAAGGACATGTGTTACTAATACACGATTTACGGTACTATGGATTCACCTTCTTGACGACTCCCGCTTTCTGGGTGAATTCCTTGTCGTGAGTGCTCATTCCTTCGAATTCGTTCTCCCAGTCTCCCTTGAAGTACAGAGCGTTCACGAGCAGAGCGACGGCGTCCTTGATGGAATCCTGAGTGACCAGGTCTCCGATTTTGCCCTCCGTCGCATCCTTCACAAATTTGTTGATGGTCTGGACGGCTGCCGGAGTCGTCAGGTCGAGTGATTCGGCAGAAGCCTTGTAGTTCTTGAGGACCGTCGCCAAATAGGACGGCGACGGGGTGACGCCTTTTCTGGAAGGACAATATCTGGAATACCGTCGAATTGAAATCAGGGACTCACTGCAAGTACACTTTGTTGGCGACATCGACCTTGATCCCGTTGGTTCCCTGCCTCAACGCGTCCGAAATGAACTGAAAGTGATTCACGAACTGCTCGTCGCTGGCTCCGCTCAAAAGAGTGTTGCCGATCTGGTCCTTGGATGCTCCGCGAGCTCCGGAATGCACGAGAGAGAGGGCGAGCGCGATGGACAGCGGCGAGAAGACGAACGATTCGTTGGTGCGCAGCGAGTTGAGCACGTTTAGACCGAACGAGGTCTCCGCTTGAAGGAACATTCCTGGAAATTGGAAGGGATTAATGGAACGAGGAAACGGTTGAGTAAAGCTCAATGGCAGAATGAATGACCTCGAACAAACACTCGGTTACTTTACACTGAAAGAGAGAAGAGAGCAATGTTGCTGTTTCTCTGAAGAAGATTGATGAAAAGCAGATGTTCTTCTCCGTCTTCGTTCAACACACAAAAACAAGTCAGCCGACGGGAGTGCACGATTGCTTAAACAGATTGAAAAACATTCAGGAACAGTGATGGTCACGGAGCAACGCGAAAAGGAACTGATAATCGGCCTCGAAATCGACCTTTCTTTGCAGATAAAACTCATTTGTTAATGAAACTTGGCAAACGTTAGTTCGACACCTATGGCTTTAAATGAATTTGGATCTAATGCGACCATACAATTTGACCTGTAAAATTCGATAAACTACGCGTTAATTAAGCGGGTTAGAAATCATTGTTTTTTCGAAACTTTGGCGTGACCGTCTTGACGAATAAGTAGCTATTTATTATTTGTTCCGACCAAAAATGAACAACGACATGGATCAATTGACAAACATGGGATGCGATTGGCACGCCGCCAATTATCCCGCTTTCAACGAACTTGTAGGTCAACATTTTTTAATTCATAAGAACACTTTATTTTTCAGCCCTACGAACAGCGAGCGGTGAGTTGTCGGTTCGATTTCGAAAAAATCAAATATATGCGGTTTCATGCAGCAGAAAAAAGGTATTTAGGCTATGGGATGCACGACGGCAACGCCGTTCTACGTTACCGTCTGGTTCATCGTCCTGGTAATCTTTTTGGTTTTGTCCGTTTGCGCATCCGGAATCGCCGCCTTCGCCTTCTTCTATTGCAATCGCAAGAGGAACGTGATGGGAATGGGATCCGGAAGTCATGGCAACCTCACCGTCGTCTAGAACGGAATAATATTACGAAGTGAACACCGTTTTTGTCTGAAAACAGAATGTGTCTGCATTTAATGAACACGTTTTTTGATTAATCCGAATGCGTTCAAACAATTTTCAGCGTTCACATCGATTTGAAAGAGTCGAAAGAAAATGCGGCGAAATTTCGAAATTTGCATTGCCGGCAGAAATGTGGATTTTAGCATTTTTGTTACAAAAATACACGTCGTGGACTGTTTTTCACCGGATTTTCAGATTTTAACAACAAAAACGCACTCGGCACGAACGTTGACGACCACGTGCGACTGACAGTCCGACATCTCCCGAATTACGGCTCTTTCGGTGCTCGAAGTGCGCTTTTTTCGATCGGTGCCGATTTGTGAGCCACGTCAGACGGATATCGTCCTCTTGGTGCTCGGGCTGCAACATTTTATTGATTTTAACGAACAACGGAGCTTACCGGTGTCAAAAGCCCAGAAATCTCGGATATCTGCTTTTTGACCAGCGATTTTCCGAAACTTTTCAAAATTTTGGCCAAGCTTGAGCCCTGTCCACGCAGAGATTCTACCAGACCAAACGCCGAAGTCGTGGCGTGCTGAAATCAATGTTTTCGGGAAATTTTGCAAATGTTCGTATCTGCGACCATTTTTCGAGCGGATGCGATGAGGATGTGTGCTGCGGCCGCTCTTCGACTGAAATTATTGACTTTTGGCATGAATTATGCTGAAGAATGACAAAAACGTTCGAAAATTCGAGGGAAACCGGCAGAATATGAATTGGTGGCCGAAGTTTTGCAACGTGAAAAACCTCGGTCACCGGTAAATTTCAGCCGTTTTCGACAGATTTTCAGCCAATCACTAGTTTTCAATCGGTTTCAATGTTTTTTCGCAACTCATTTATGGGGCTATTCTGTTGCGGACGAGGAGAGTATATAACCCTCTCCACCGCAACTCCTTCCATATTTCTCCATCAACCAGCCTTAACGACCTGCAATTACTCTTAACCACAGGTTTCAGATGACCTCGTCGAACTCCCGCGCAGGCGCCATTTAGGAGCGTCTTGTGCGTACACTCGACGCACACTCGCACCTAAATACGCCCCATTCAGGAGCGTCGAATACTACGGTTGTGCGTCGAGCGACTGGCCTAAACCACTCGCCGAGTTTTGTATCACTTTTATTCGTTTACTGTCACTTTTGTCGAACCAGAGATACGGAATAACCCGACGCTCTGTCCGACAGACTTTATTGACCTTTTGATAATAATTTCAACACTAAATAAACGTTTTTATTATCTCTCCGCCCTCGCTTCGCACTTTTCCCACTCACCGTTCACGACATATTCAGCGTATGTTTGTTTTCCGTTTTTTCGTTTTTTTTACATCGCTGAATTGGATCTTTTGACGTAAAAAAAACGGAAAACATAGTATTTTTTTCACAGCCTGAATAACCCCATTACTGCAAAACATTTTAATTAAACTTGTTTTCCTTATAGAGAGTATGTCTGAAGCGAAGATCAGCCATGATAGCGGAATAAAGCTGGTTTCGCCCGTGGCAGATATCAAACATGAAGACGATTCGAAAAACGGCTTGAAATGGTCAGTCGACAGCAGAAAATCGAAATTTGATAGCAATTTTCAGGACGTGGAAAGTGTCGACCGAAGTTTCTTGGAATGAGATCACGAAAAAATTGGACAATTATGTGTACATGTCGTGGGCGTTCAACTGGGACGAGCTCCGCAATGAGAAGGGCGTCGAGGGTCTGAAGGGAATCATCTCCGTCAAAGCGTTCGACATAATGCCGAACTACCTGTTCACTCGAGATTTCGACGTTGTGCTCACGCGTTCTGGCGCCTGGCTCCATAGACGATTCCACACAGTCGAAGGGTCTCACACTCCCGGCTATTGCTTCCGGTTCAACCACAGTTTCACTTTTGAGCCATTTCTAAAATCGGACAATTCGCTCGTCTTCGAGAACATTTTCGCGCCGTCCGAGTTCTCCGACGTGGCTCTGCTCATTGAAGGACAGAAAATACATGTGAACAAAGCGGTTTCTTGTTTCGATGAAATTTAAATAATTTCTCAAATTTCAGATGCTCTCCATTCACTCCAGCTTCTTCCGCGCTCTTTTCAATTCGGATTTCAAAGAAAAGTCGATTACCGAGATTCCGATTGAAGACGTGGCGTACGAGGAATTCGCAACACTTTTGAGCCTGATCTACCCGATTCCCGTCATGCCAAATCGTACGATTTCTTACAGAATTTGAAAAAGGGGCATGGGCTTAGCTGATACGCGATTCTTTTCGAGACGTTTTTGCCATATTTAGAAATAGCCATTCGGCGCCGAAATTCCGAAACTGTCATACCGGTGTTTTGGGGCTATTCAGCCTATGTTTGTTTTCCGTTTTTTTTGTTTTTTTAACATCGATGAATTGGATTTTTTGACATAAAAAAACGGAAAACAATCTTTTTTTTTCACAGCCTGGAAAACCCCATTTCCTTTTTTTGCGATGAATAAATGAAATGTGAAGACAAAGACGGTGTCGTAAATGATTGAGCGACAGCAAAAATTATAGAGAATTAAGCATTTTCAGCACAACACGCTTTTTCAATAGTTCCAATATTTTTCAGCAGACAATGTTGCCGATCTTCTCAAGCTCTCCGATCGTTTCACGATGGCATCGGTGCGAAAGATCGCGGAACCAATGCTCTCGGCAACCGAGCACGTCAAGTTTTGCGAAATGTTTTCGTTGGCGGACAAGTACGGAATGGAGACGCTTGTGAAGCAGTGCACGGACTATCTGAAGAGCCACGACGAGATTAAGGAACTCTCGAAAAGCTCGCACTTCAAAGAGCTCTCCGATGCGACCAAACTCTTGATTTTCGAGCGTTCCCTGTCGTTTTAACCTTTTTTGTTTCAAATTTTCCTCACGCGTGAGATTTTAAGTGTAATTTACGAAGAATAACCTCTTTTCTCCCCCCAACACCCAACATTTTACAATCTCACATTACTTTTGCACTTTTCACCAGAACTTTCGTTTTTTTTTTCCGACGAGAACTAAATCACTGATGGCTTCCATTTTCTAGCCTGCTGTCATCACTTTCTCGCGAGAGTAGTTGGTTGCTGTATGAAATCTCTCCTGAGATTCATACTTTCATTTCCCCCTTTTCTCTCGATGTTTGTCTTTTCTTGCTTTGATTATTCCTTCTCCTCACAATTCTCACAATCCTCACAAAGACTCACAATTATTTGGTATAAACAGTCCCGGCCCCATCTCTCTCCCCCAAGGCCTCCACGTTTTGCTTCTTCTTCTACTTTCTTTCCCGTTATCATGCTTCTCCTTTTTTCTTTGTTCCCGTTCCGATTCTTCCCCCTTTCTGTTGTTATTGTTATTCGTTACACACACTGCGAACTGCCGCCATCACTTCGAAAGTAAAGCATAGCTCTTTTTAAAATATCATCCGTTATCAGTAAAATGCATTCGTCAACTCTGTTAACGATGTGCACTTTTGATGATTCGTCGCCACGCACAAACACGGATACATTATCGTTAATTTGACGAGCACCGTCCCACTTTTTTCGATCATGGGAACTGGCTCGTCCTCCCATCCTCACAGCCAGTTTGATAGAAATGGACATGCAACGAAAAGTACGTTTTTTTTCACTTTTTTTAAAAATAAAATTGCTCTTCGAATTCTAGCAGCCAAGTCATTGGTACCCGCCGGAAATCGCGGCGGCTCTCGAGGCTCAATACCAGAAAACCAAATTTTGTAGCACCTACGACATGAAGGCTCTCGAGCGGAGCACAGGAGTTGGAAGACCATCCGTGAGCACATTTTCACTGGAAACAAAGCATTTTGAGGACTCGTGATTACAGCTGAGAGTCTGGTTCACGAGACGTCGGGAGCGTGAGCGTCGGGAGAGTGGAAATCCGGACGTCGTGCCCAAATGTGAGAAGTTTCACTTTTCGGATCGGGTAATTTCGATGCTTTTGGAGCATTTCACAAATGTCAATGCTCATCCGCAAAAGCAAGAAGCGAAAGAGTTGGCGGAGAAGGTCGGGCTCACCGAGCATCAGGTTTGTACGGAAATTGAAAACACGCACAGAGGGTCGGCAAAAACGATTTTTGAACTGTTTTTTCAATTGCAGGTGATGAATTGGTTCCAAAACCGACGAAGAGGCGAGAGTAGTCGTGCGACGAAAAACGAGGAGAATACGGCAAAAGTCCTGGCGCGCGAACTTCTGGAAACGTACTTTCAAGCACAAAAAGACGGCGAAAAAGATGTGCGATCCGATTGCAATGCGCCAACTCGCAATGCTAACCGGGCGAATGGAGTGTTCGGTTGGCGATTGATTGAAAAGTGCGACAATGAGCTGAAATTTTGAAAATTACAGGTCAGAAATTGGATGTCGAGACGTAAACGATTGGAGGGCGAATGGACCGGACGGCGAGAGAGAAAAGATGCGGCAGGACACTATTCGGAGAAGGCGAAGAAGGTTCTCGTCGAGTTTTACGTGCAAAAAAGGAAATGTCCGGATTGGGAGGAGGTGGTTGAACTCGGCAAAAAGAGCGGATTGACTTGGAAACAGGTTGTTTTTTTTTTTGGAGAGTTATTATCAGTGTTACTTATCGATTTTTCTCCAGATTCAACACTGGTTCGAAATTCGGCTAGTCAGAGGCGGAAACGCAAAAATCGATAATGTGGATGATGAGGAGGCTGCTGGAAAAAAGCTGAGAAAAAGCGACGAAGACGAGAAATCGGTCACGCCGATTGTTCCAGAAGCTCACAACATTCTCGGAATGCCCATCGACCCGTTCATACAATATCTGTCTGCATTTTACTAAATTTTGTTTTCATTTTCAGTTGCTTTGTTGATAAAATGCGTTGATAAATTGATAAAATCAGTCCGAATTCGATCCACTAGATGCTGCTGAAACAAAACGTTAAAAAGTGAACCCAATTTCGGAATTATTCACCAGAAGTCTGCGCAAATTTTTAAAAACGGCGAATTGGAAGGGATCGTGAAAATCGGAAATTCCGATTACACCTAGTTGTTTTGATGTGAAATTCAAATTTTGACCTAACACGACGAAAATCAACAAGTTTTATTCGAATTGTACAACTACAATTAATCGTCTAAATTTAGAAAACGTCGCTGAAAATTATCTCTGGTGGCATCGGAAAGGCTCTCGAAGCGCACACTTGTCATGAATTCTTTCATTTCGAGATGTTTTTGGAAACTGGCCAGACAGTCCGCCATGATTTCTCATCGAAACGAAAAAGCGTCTGTTAATATAAACGCTAATTTTTTACAATTTCGATTCAAAATTGGCCAATTTGATCTTGTTTTGTTTATCAACAATTTTTGTTGATTTCAACAACAAATTGCAGAAATTTTTTTTGTTGAGGCATGGTAGGCGAATCTGTGCAAACACTCTGCGTACTTTATCTTCTACAGTACCCCAAAACGTTTCAAATAAAAATTGCGGAGAAAAAAAATAGAGAGAAAACGTGAAAACGTGTTCTACATTTCAAACGACGTGGTTTTCGTGGGAAATCGCAGAAATTCGATTATTTCTATATTTCCACCGACTCAACTAAACAAAATGCGCGGTTGGAACGAGTGTCCGTTAGAATTAAAACACGAAATTATCAAGAGGATGGAGTTTCGAACGAGGTACACTGCAAAATTGGTAAATATTTATTCAATTTTCTGATTAAAAGGTTCTGCTTCCGCCACGTGGCCAAATCCACGCAACTCGTCGTCGATTCGGTTCGACTCTTCGTGCCGCGGCTCAGGATCGACGTGGAGAGTGATATTGACGCGAGTTTGAGCATATTTATGGGCGTCGGAAGGGAGCTGAAGTTGAAGTTTGGCCGAGAGACATTTGGAATGACCCAGATAAAAATGTGAGTGTGAAACGGGCCTCGCCACGACTTCTTTCCGTTAAAATCGCGAAAATCTATCGAACACAGCGCAAAATTTGAATGCGCAAATTTTGCCGATTTCGAACTCTTTCAGGTCGGGCAGCGAAATCATCACGGGCCGGAAGAAAAACAAGAAAAAGATTCGAAATGTGAAGTTTGAAACTCCGGCACTGTTGGCGATTTCCGTCTTCAAAACACTGGCCACCAACCCGAAAACTCTTCTCGGTGGAGTCGAGATTTTCGAAAGTGCTCCACGTTTTTTGCTCGAAAAAGTGGACGAAATGCTGGAAGGACACTTGATTCGTGCCAAAATAATCACGATCCTAAAGGCGAAGAAACCGTACGTTTTCCTGCGGCGATGCGTGAAGGACGAGGTCGACGAAGTGCAATTTCTGAAGGAGGACGAGTATGAGGACGAGGACGAGGACGAGTATGAGGACGAGGACGAGTATGAGGACGAAGAACTGGTTGAACCGAGAAACAATATGCTGGTGTACACGCATCGAGTGCGGTGCAATTATGAGCTATATGAGGGGCTTATCGGTGTAATGGGTTAGTTGGAAAAACTTTGAAAAGCTTTTCTTCTTTCTGTGAAGACTTGACGTTCAGTAGAGTTTTTTTGTAGCCTAGTACTTTACTTTATCTGTTGACAACTTCTCTGTGTAGCTCGATGACTATTGTTGACTTCAAATTCCAAAAGCTACAACAACTACAAAAAGTGAATTGGACGTACATACAATACTCAATTTCAGATAACTACTACAGGCGCGTCTCCGACGATCCCGACTTTCCAAGTGTTGTCGCCGGCGAAATGGCGGAAGACCATCTCAAGTTCGAGCAAAGGCGAGTTGTGCGCAAAAAGTTGCGTTGCCACGTGGACAGTCTTTGCAGCGGTCCTGCCGATTATCGGATGCATCTCTACGACAAGGATACGTTTTTCCAAGGGCGGATCAATTGGTGCGGCTGTGCGATAAGCGAGTGCCAGAAGGATTACGGCGTTGAAAAGGTTCATCCGGTAACAAATTGTTTTGAACTTTTTCACTTCGGCCAAAGTAGGCAGTTTCCGGACAAAAAATCAGCGTCGGAAATAAACAAGCGCGTGATTAAAAGCATTTTGAGCCTTCGAGAAAAAAAATTATCACTTTTTTAGATTCTTCACTCTGAAAACTGCTTCTTTAATTAGAAGGGAATTCACAATTGCAAAGAATCCCGAATTTCGAAAAAAAATTCAATCCATAAATAATGAGGAGTGCGGTTTTGCGGCGGATTCCATAATAAGCGAAATCCACGAAAAAGGCACCAGAACGTCAGAAATTTCGAAGAGTATTGTGTTTAAATGTCAAATTATCATTTTTCGTGGCTTTCGACCACAAAAATCAGAGAAAAACTGCTTAATTTTTGGAGGAGCTGCGCAGACCGACGGCGCATCAAGAATGTTAAAATTGACAAAAAGAGGTATTCAGCCGCCGGGAACGTGCCACATGCGTTGGAGGTGTGTGCAACACGCGGATCCGTTCGAATACTGGTACCAGAAACGCGTAGAGGACGGAGACACAACTTACGAAGAGCTGTACCCACAGGTCAACGGATACGATTCGTTGATTTCTACGTTTTTCGAAAATGTCGAGACGAATTACGAGCGATGGAAGTGCGGAATCGAGAAAATGAAGACGGAGGAAGAAGAGGACGGGGAAGAGACAGAAGAAGAGAAAAAGGACGAGAAGGAAGTGTCTGGAGGGCAGCCGGAAGAAGAGGAAGTACCCAAACTCGATGATAATGAACAAAAGTGGTCGTACTGCGACCACTTTTGGAACCTCTCTCTCACTTTGCCATGTTTGCTCACATTCTCTATTGCTCTTATGATGTTCTTTTACAAATGTTCATTTTGAACTAATGAAATTCAACACTTTTAAAGGTTTTTACAGCTGCCTGGAAGGGGTATCGAAAAGGTGGCAGCGTATAAATTGAGATAAATGGTTTTCAAAGCCAGAGAAAATATATAAAAATGTAAACTTTATATTTAAATGAACTTACAACTTGAACATCAATCAATATACAGAAAAGTTGTTAATTACAATGTTGTTGAGCACAAAATTGTGACCAACCGCAAGGGACCGCGTCGACTGACTTTTGGCGCGCGATGCGGCTGCGTCGCGTCTGCGGTTCTTTCTCTCGTTTTCGGGCCAACTCGTGCACCTTTCTCCGTCGGCTATCATTGAAACGATGAAACCGAGCAGCGAGCTGGCCAATGGAATCGCAGATTTACGTAAAAACATTTTAAATAATTCATTTTGACAATAAATATTGGTTTTTTCAGTGAGAAACTACGAAATCGAGCACGAGAAACGAGTCGCCGCCGCTGAAGAAGGTACTCTGGAAAAAAAGGCGCATTCACCGTTCGAAACGGCGCTGACGCCTTTTTTCCTTTTATTCACACCGCTTTAAACGAAAAATCTTGAATTTTCAGTCATTTTATATTGCAAACGCGCTCTATCGCACGTGCGGTAGAATTTCGAATTCTTCGAGCTAGAAACTGAGAAAATGTACGCTTTTTCAGAGGTGAGAAAAGCGAGAGAAGAAATCGATGAGCTCAAAAAAGGAAGCAACCATGTCGGATGGATTTATAGAGAGCTGGAGAGTATCATGTCGACGCCTCACGAGTATTCCGACGAGAACGATCGAGAAATCGCAGTGCTGATGAAGATGGTCGAAGAGAAAAATAAGGAAATTGAGGAGAAGGATGCGAAAATGAAAAAGCTGATTGGAATGTACGAAGAGGATCTGACCGAGAAGGACCGCCAACTCGGGGACCAAGAAAGGAAGCTGACGGCTAAGGACCGAGCAATTGGTGATCTCGAGCGGTTACTTGTGGCTAAGGTGAATTTGGAGAAAAATCAAACGCTTGTTGAGATTGAAAATAAACTAACTTTTAAGGACCATAGGCTCCAAACCAAGGACCAAGAAATTGAGGAGCTGAAGCGGTCCCTTGTGGCCAAGGACAATGAACTGAGAGTCAAGGACCAGGAGTTAGGCTACCGATGTAACACGATTTTGGAGCAAAACAAGAAGATTCATGAGATTGAAAATGAACTGATTGTTAAGGAACAGGAGCTGAAAGAGTGTAAGAATGAAACCATGTCAACTGGGGGCCGGGAGGAGCACATTCGGACGCCGGAGCGACAATTATCGGAAACGGAGGAAAAGTGGATGCAGTGTCAGAAGGAGTTCGATTGTCAATTCAAGTGCAGACTCGAGCAACTTGAAGTGCTCGAGGCGAGAGTCCGCGAATTTGAGAGCCAGGAAACGACGATCGAACCGATGACGATCTGGCTGAAGGACCCGGTGGGCGGGTGGAACAGGACGAGTCGGCCGACGGAAAACACGTGCTCTACCATCCGTCGATCCATCAGTTGCCGGAAGAGGTTCGAAGTAGGCCCGTAACTCGAAAACCAATTGATTCATGCGAAAGTTGTCAATTAGAAAGTTGCTGAGCATAAAATTTGCAACAATTTTGTAGTTGACAACTTTTTGAAAGAATCAATAGTTTTTGACATATCGGCCTTCAAAGTTGTTCGATCAAAAAGTCACAAATTCCAGACGTTTCAATGGCTATTGTCGATCCGAAACACTCGACAGCAGATTCAGGCGGGAGAAGCACGAAAACGAGGTTGTCGGCCCGAGAAAAGAAGGTTTTTCCGCTGGCGCAAGTGAACGTGACCGGATATCTGACGATCAACATTGAAAACGACGGCGGCTCTTTCTTTGTGAGTCGTGTTTCGCCACAAAACACCGCCCACACACACGTTTTCAGCCGTATATTGTCGAAGTGATGGACGTGGCGCAACGAAAAGTGCGAATCAACTGGCTCTCCGAGGTGAAGCTGAAGTCCACGCCGGCCCGAAGTGCCAAGACGCCAAAAAACAGAAAATGAGTGGCGTGGATCAGTTCTAATTGTGAAATTATAATTATTATTCTCCGGTATTACAACAATTCATATTATAACTTTTCGGTTTCTGCTCTTGCTACCCGTTTTGAATATCATGACCCTGAACGCCGCGCCGCATCCGTCGGGGGTATAGCTCAGTGGTAGAGCGCTCGCTTTGCATGCGAGAAGTCTGGGGTTCAATCCCCCATTCCTCCAAACCTTTTTGTCTGGTTCAAATTTAAAAAAATGTGTTCCATGTACAATTTTGAGACAATATAAAACCAAAAAAGCCGCTCTTTTTGATGGAATTTAAAGAAATGCATTGTTGACATTTATTCAAGTTGGTGCCAATCCACAAAGATATCCTTTGAAGCAAATACTTGTCGATCCGTTATAAGTTGGGTTAGCACATCTGGAAACATTTGAATTTGTAAAAAATCATGTAAACTCATGCAAACTCACAGGACATCGTCAATTCCACACGGCGTCGCATTATTCGCCCTCAAGTAGAGACAATTGGAGACTGTCGGCGTGGTTTTGATGCCGTCCGGCTGATTTGTGAACCAAACGTATCCCTGAGGACTGCTCGAGAGTGTCGGATCGGTGAACGTGAATTCCTAGACGAGTACGGTAGGCTACACGACGGTACCATCATTCGATTACTGTAACTCACGTTCGTACCGTTACACGTGGCGCTTTTCGAGACGGGCTTCGCAGTGGTCGAAGTGCACGCGGATGTACGCACCCCGTTCACCCAAAAACCGTACGCCGGATACACGCTACTCGTTTGCCAGATGACCACACTTTCAGCTGCAAAAAATGTCGAGTGGATCACAGGATTACTGTAGATTACGGTACCAAGGGCTTGGTAAAACTCATCTTCAGAATCGAGCCCACTCAAAACACCGCTATAACTTGACACGGCCGCGTTCGAGGCGTCAGTCTGATTGACACACGTACTGGTCTCGATGACCTGTAAACTACAGTAATCCACGCGGGACCTACCGTAGTGCTTACCTTCATACACCATGGTCCCTTGTCCCTGACGAATAGGCTAAAGTCTTGGGGACAGTATAACATTTGAGACGAGGTAAAAGTCCATGAAGAATTACTGTAGGACACTGAATACGCCTGGTAGGTTGAGACGGAAAGCGAGTTGTCGACAATGTAGCTCTGAAATTAAGTACGCTCACTTTGAGCGGATATTGTCGAGTTGCGAAACGTCCGAAGATATTGAAAAACGTTTTTGAGGACAGTTCAAGTTTTGTAGAGCTGTTTCTGTAGTTGATCTTTTTTTTTAGTTCTTGGAAGGCTATTGTTGGCTTCTCGACTTCCAATAGCTACAGTAGTCTTAGAAAAGGTTGTACAGAAAAAGTGTCAACTACAAAAATAGAGTACAAAATGTGAACTTTAATTTTGTAATTGATCATTTTGATGTACAATCAATCCTAAGAGTACTGTAGCTCTGGGAAGTAGAAGTCAATAACAAGTAGCCAATTTCAATGCAAACTTCCAGACGCTACAGTACTCCAGAAAGTGGCTGTACAGCAAAATCATCAACTACAAAAACACAGTGCTAGATATCAATTTTCATTTAAAAAATATGCAAAGACCAAATGACACTTCGCAACTATACAATATCCGTGTTCAAAGTTCGATCGATATTGTGAACTCACATTTTCACCGCTTGTATCGTCGGAAGGGCACGAATCCGAAGAGCTATTGATCGAAATTTTATAAGCCACCAAAGACGCGTACGCTTTTCTGACACTACTAATTTGGCCAATCGTGAACATCAAACAACTGGGCACTTGCTCGTATACCAACTAAAACAAATGTTTTTTTTTTGGATTTTGGGTCTCGAAGCGAAAAGCCGTACAATACAAGTGGTGGTATCGTAACAATAGTCGACACACTCATCCCATGTCAAATTTAAAGTTGAATAACCGGAATATGTTTCCGGTTCGCCGTTGGTGATCATCATTTTGAAGTTGGACGATGATAGCACCTAAAATATTTAAAACTGAAACTTCCAGAGCACTTTGGCAGCGTACCTGCTGCACTTGTAGACCGACAATAATCGTGAAAGTGAGCATGATTTTGGTGGAAATGCTCATCTTTTGACAATAGAAAAAACATAAAATGCGAAATGAAGTGGCCCCCTCCGAACGCCCGGTGCCGCCATGGATACCCGACGATGATGAGACGAAATTCGAAGAATAATTATTCCGTTGTTCACTCTTTTCCCGTCTCATAAGATGAAATGAGGATGTGGTGCTTGAGACCGAAAATTTTGATCACGCCCGACTAGACCGTGTTTTGAGAGTCATTAAAGGAATATTGTAGAGTTGCGGTTGGACATAGATCAAGTGTAGTAGTCTGGTCAAGTCTAGAAACATGAAACTGTAAATGTTGAGCAATTCAAGGCCCGAATGTTTAAAAAACGACAGCATTTAAAAATTGAGGTTAAAAAAGGCAAAAGCTTACAACATCCAGGATTCCCAGGCCGTCTCCGATCCAAGTACTAACTGGACTCAACGTTGCTTAACTTGCCAGATCGGACGGGATGGCGTGTATTCAACGTGATATGGTCGTAAGCGAAATCGTGTTAACTCTATGTCGATCACTTTTTCGCGAGCAATGTCTCAATGGCCAGTGTGTGTTGGCCGATATTGTCGGGAGAGTAGACACTCGCGATCCCTCGGACATGTCGGCTGCTCGCAAAACATTAGTCGATACGCGCGCTGTTAGTTTTGGTTTAATTACCCAAGTTAGAGGTGCGAACCTGGGAATGACCTAAAGCAATTTAGCGTCTTTTTTAATTTTGAAGCGTCTCCTTTAGGGGAGACAAAAGAAGTGATTTCAAAAGAAAAACAAGTGTTAGAGTTGTGAATTCCGTTAAGCTACACGGTGCTCGTGAGCGAATCGAAAAATCGCTTGGCGGCGGCCGTACTAACTGTCGTGAGGCCTCGTTCTCGCGGTCCTCGGACGTGTCGGCTGCGCGCATTTTTGAAGAGGGACGACGCAACGACAGCCTCGGTTTAATTACCCAGTTTGAGGTAAAAAATTGAAACTGACCCAAAGAAATTTGGCGTTAGCTACAAATTTTGAATCGTCTCCTTTAGGGGGGACAAAAGAACAAAAAGTAGAAGTGGAGATTAAAAAAAATGGTGGAGATTAAGAAAAATGGTGGAGATTAAGAAAAATGGTGGAGATTACAAAAAATCAGACTTGCCAGATTTCAGAAGACATGGTGGACGAGTAAAAAGAAATGCTGGGCCCAGATCAGAAAAATGGTGGAATTGATTTTTTCGGAAATTTTTTCGTTATTACAGAAAAAAATTTTTCGAGACTAAAAGTTTTAGTGTTTCTTCTGTGTTTTTTTGCTATTATGAATTATGAGAAATACATTTGTTTTTTTCAATGTTCGATGCTTGCAAAAACCCCTGGAGATTCTACAAAAAAATGGCTTCATGCGATCAATAATTCAAAATTTGTGAATTTCCCGCTTTTTGAACGAAAGAAATGCCGGGTCGGGACGGGCCGGAGTTTTAGAAAAATTTCGGCTGCCCGGCCCGGCCCTGTGGCAATGCAAAAAATGGTGGAGATTAAAAAAAATGGTGGAGATTAAGAAAAATGGTGGAGATTAAAAAAAATGGTGGAGATTAAGAAAAATGGTGGAGATTAAAAAAAATGGTGGATACTGTTTTAGTTTGCAAATGATCAGAAATACTACCACAGGCATCAGAATACACTCTCCGCATGCTGATGTTCGATGCCAATGCCGATGCCGTAAAAAAATGTCTCGATGAAAGCTTTGCATCAGCTACAAATTTTGGAATGTCCCACATTAGGGAACAAACATGAAACTGACTATTGAGCAATTCAAGGCCCGAACGTTTAAAAAACGACAGCAATTGAGATGAAAAAGGCAAAAGCTTACAACATCCAGGATTCCCAGGCCGTCTCCGATCCAAGTACTAACTGGACTCAACGTTGCTTAACTTGCCAGATCGGACGGGATGGCGTGTATTCAACGTGATGTGGTCGTAAGCGAAATCAATGCCACTCTATGTCGATGACATTTTCGCGAGCAATGTCTCAATGGCCAGTGTGTGTTTGCCGATATTGTCGGGAGAGTAGACACTCGCGATCCCTCGGACATGTCGGCTGCTCGCAAAACATTAGTCGATACGCGCGCCGTTAGTTTTGGTTTAATTACCCAAGTTAGAGGTGCGAACCTGGGAATGACCTAAAGCAATTTAGCGTCAGCTTTATAATTTTGGAATGTCTCCTGTAGGGGAGACAAAAGAACTAACAGTGAAAGATATAAAATCTCATATATTCTATCTATTCTATTGCCATTGTATAAATGCTCGTAGACTTTATTCACTCAAAACAGTTACAAAAACTATGTGATAGTGTAGTTTTGTCCGCTGTTTCCACAAATCGGAATGCAAATGTAGTCGCGGAGTGGGTGAGCAACGTAGTAGAACGGACGATAGTTGAAGGAGAAAAAGGCGGTGAGCGTGTTGACGCAGTAGTCGAGTTCTATGTACGGATACCATTTCGGACATTCTGTATACTGCAAACACCGTGTTTTCCAAAGTTCCAAGCGCTACAGTAATCCAAGAAATGATCGTAGAGACAAAAATAGTTGAGGGCCTCATAAGAAGTGCGAGAAGTCGACATAATCAGTTGAAAGTTGGCGAAAGGCCAGCAAGAAACGTGTGCTTCTGAACAAATTACCTGAAAAACCAACTGGATCGCACTAATCAACACTTCAGAATCATCGGAAAGTACGACTCCGTACACCATTTGTCCGCAAAAATTGCAAGCCGTCGTCCGATTGAACCAAGACGGATAGGTGGAGGTTAGGCGAGAGGGCACTCGGGCACACAGAACCAACAATATCAGACGAATTGTTGACATTCTATCCAGATTTGAGTGTGTTTCAAATCATGCACAACACCACTTTTATTCGCTGCAATCTATTATTGTATGACAACGGCTTTTCAGATGCAAATTTGACGTTTTCTACATTTTCAGAGAACATTTCACAAAAGGTCCCGGTTCGGCAGAGGTTAGGAACGGGAAGGGGGCGTTGAAGACGACGACGGCCACAGAAACGATGAAGAATAGTTGGGACCACTGCAAAAAGGAATAATGATGAAAGGAAGGAAGATTCAATTGAATGCACCTCTTCTCGAGTATTATCGGCCACCAAAATGCCTACACCAATCGGAGCGACAAATTGAATGAGGTAGGCACAGAAGGAAATGACAGAGATGGCAAAATGCACGTGTTGACGGCAGCGCTCAAGAATCGGCGGTGTTAAAGTGAATCATGTAAGCTGCTCACCAATTGGACACATTTAATCGTACCCATAATATTCAAACCCGACGCGGTTATGGCGAATGTGTAGGCGAGTTGAGCGACAAATCGGTCGGTTGTCTGACAATTTTGTAAAAGCAACAATAGTTGCACGCTCGCTCGCAACACTCACCATTGCCATGACGATGAAACCGGCGGCCACACCGACTTGAGAGACGATTGCGCAAAATGTGAAGCGGGTCTGAGAGGAGAGGATGTTTTTGTTGCGAGAACACACAATATTTGCACTGCTCCGAACCTTTTGCGACACAAATTGCATGCGGTCCGACAATTGTCCGGCGCCAAATTTGACAATAGCGGAAAGGAGGAACGGCAAAGCACTCGCGAATCCGGTGCGTTTGACGTCAAAGTGCAGAATGTCGCGTAGATAGGTTGGACCGTAGAGGACGAGGATGAAGAATGCAAAGTTTGCGCCGAAAACCGAGAGCCACGCCATGAGCACGGTGGTGTCCGTGCAAATCGCCCCGTACGGAACCGCTTCCTTCTCCCGCCGCTCATTATCGATTTTCAGTTTTCCCTCTTCGATTCTTCGCAGCTCCTTTTCCGAGACATTTGTGTGAATGTCGGGCGAGTCTGTATAAAACACATAGAATAGAGTGTAGGCGACAAATGTGAGCACGCCGAATAGATAGTAAATGGACGTCCAGCCAAACTCGGATTCACATAATAGAGCCGAAACGGGCATCGAAATGATACTGCTCAACTGGAAGGCACACGAGAGAATCGCCAAAAAAGTGCCCATCTCGTCATTTGGCGCCCAGACGCCCGGAATCACGCCGACGACGGTGAACACGATGGAAATGCCGAGGCCTTGAAGGATGCGACACGCGAGAACCGCATAATAGTGGAAGGCGACGGCCGGCGGGAAGAAGACGGAACCGGCGGCGGAGACGAGACCGGAAGCGGTGAGCATGTTGCGGATTCCCAGCCGACTCATCAGCGGCACCGACGGGATCAGGCCGATCATGGCTCCGATGGCTGCTCCCGAGAAGAGCACCGACTTTTGCGAGGGCGATTCCATCCAGTGGGCGCCTGAAACACGCTCAAAGTTGAGTCGTCTAGCTTTCCTTTCTAGTTTCGTGGCCTAGTCCTCTTCTTTTGATCCGTCGCCTAACTTTCCCCGCTCCCAAACTCTTACCGCTCAAATTGCGGGCGTGATGATCCGAAACAATGTCATCCATACAAATGACGGTGAAATTGAAAGTCAACGAGTTCATTTGAGCCAATGTCAGACATAATAACCTGAAAACAAACACACATTTGGAAAGTTAGGCCACGGGGAAACAGTTTGGCCACTCACGATAAAAGCATAATATAGAGGCGTGCCTGGTTCCAGAACACGAAACTTGAGGTTTTCCGCTTCTTCGGAAGTGCATAAATATTGTCATTCTCAGCCATCTCCATCGAAATGTTCGTCGTCATTTCGGATTCTGGATAAGAACATTCTGGATATTGTTCGGTTTCCAAAAAATGCGAATCGTCATCATTTCGCAACGCCGTGTAGTGTAACGAAGACATTCGATGCGAATAAGAAGAGGAACGGAGGTACGAGGACATTTTTTGTGTTAGTGTACAATAGCAGAAGAATTGGTGTTGTTTGGAGATGGGAATGAGAAGAAAAGAGCGAAAAAGTTCTATTTGTGCCCTTTTTTAGTGCTGGGAAATTGTTTGGAATGGGAGAAAAGAGGTTGGCACGAGAAATGTTCAGAAGTTTTTGGATTTTGAACGAGACGGCCGGAAGCGGATTCCCCGGGCTACTGATTAAAGGATCCGACGGGATCAGGCTGCTTCGAGATTAAAACAAGTTGAACGGGTGTGTGCTTCTGATTTATTGGAAGGAAAATAATGTATTTCGAAAACAAATCTGGATTCCTATGAAATAGTTGAGCTGTCTGAATAACGATAACATTTTGAATGAGTATACATACATTCAATTAATTTAAATAGATAAAGCCGATGTTTGAGTACAAAAAGGCGATTTGTGATGTGAAAACATGTTTCTAAATGGTGCATTGCTCTAAAAAAAACAAGTTCTAGAGGCCAAATGGTGCATCGGCCACATAGCAAAACGTTTTGAGACAAAGCCGTTTTAGAACATTTTTAGGACAGAAAAACAGTTGCAAAGACATGTTACTAGAATAAAAATAATTTAGGAAACACGTTTCTGCTTTTACATGGTGCATCGGCCACAAAACGTTTCTTACGGATAACCGTTATACTTGCCTAACATCACAGGCAAAGTGTCATTCATGACTGCGAAGAAAAAATGGGAATCTATCACAACTTTTGGCGTTTTCGGGTCTTGAATGGTCGAAATGTCTGGCTCCGTGTCGAAGGAACGATATTTCCAGCTGACCCCGAGATTGTCGATCTGAAAATGCGAAATAGTTGCGAACTGTCAGGTCGGGACGTTTTGCAACCAATACAAATCAATTCGCATCTGGAGTAGACCACTGAATTAACAAAACTTTGAGGAAACGTGTCTGGTTGCGAGATGTCCATCCCGAATCATGTCAAGATATCAAAGTGGCCGCTATTATCGCTCAAAAACATACCGCAATGTGAGCCGCATGCTTAGTCTCAACTCCCGCATTCCGCATGTTCATTGTCGAATTGAATCGGAGCATCGGCATTTGGATGATGACATTATCGATTGATTTGAGCGTTTGCCAAGCCATCGCAAAATTGGCGGGTTTCAGAAGTGTGGCGATTCTTGAGACGGGTCGGAATACCGCGAATTTGAAATCATTGTCGAACGGAATTGTGAGGGACTAAATGAAGAATATAACTTTTCAAGCAGATAGTTTAATTTCAAAAGCGTACCTCATAAAACTCATCGATGCCGTATTCACAAATCGATTCTGCGCACTTCACTTCCATAAATGGCAACGTGGTCTCGGTTTTTTGGTCCGTTTCGAACGATCGATTGCCGATTGGATGGAAGTTTTCGGTCCAGTTACCCGAAAAAAACGAGCCCGACGAACGGTTTTCCTGAAAAGACCGAATCGAGTACAGGGTGCGGCGAAACAACTTCAAATTAATATACGGGGACAGATTATGTCCCCCTCAACGAGAGCGCGTGCATAATCGAGAGACGCAGAGAAAAAAGTGACAGGTGAGTTCATGTACACTCTCTCGTTAATGGCCAATATCTGTCCCCTGTACGTATTCCAGACATCCTGACAACAAAATCTTATGTTCTTCACAAATTGGTAAAGTAACGGCGGCCTAATAAGATTGATATGACACCTAATTAGATTAATAAATCTTCTAGCTAGATTAATAAATCTTCTTGCTAGATTAATAAATCTTCTAGCTAGATTAATAAATCTTCTTGTTAGATTAATAAATCTTCTAGCTAGATTAATAAATCTTCTAGCTAGATTAATAAATCTTCTAGCTAGATTAATAAATCTTCTTGCTAGATTAATAAATCTTCTTGCTAGATTAATAAATCTTCTAGCTAGATTAATAAATCTTCTAGCTAGATTAATAAATCTTCTTGCTAGATTAATAAATCTTCTAGCTAGATTAATAAGTATTCTAGCTAGATTAATAAATCTTCTAGCTAGATTAATAAGTGCTCAAACCGTCTGCGGGCTCAAATCTCGATTGCGCCATGAAAAAAATACAGTCGAATCTAATTAGGTCGCGTTTAGATCAGGTAACTTTCTAATTAGATTAATATCGAATTGGCAGAGAGAATGGTTGCAAAGTGTCTCCGAAGCGAAAAAATGTGGAAAAAGTAGACGTTTTCTGCTCAAACTCACATCGAACATCAAAACTTTCGCTCCTTTGTCGTAGGCAATGAAGCGCTGATTATTCAAAAAGTCGACGTCCGGAATGGACACATTGAACACTGCGGACAATGAGAGCAAAACGGCGGCCGGACAGTACACCACTTGACGGGCTCCAAAGTCTTTGAGCACTCCGAGACCGAACGTCACCTCCATGTTTGTGTAGTTTTGCAGTGACATTCTTCACAGAACGCTTTTTTTTGTTGAAAATTTCGAAAAAGTTTGGATCGGAGCGAGGTCGACCGATCAATCTTGATGGATGTTGTAAAAAGTGAGAGGAGAAGCAGGCGCGGCGGCACAAAGTGTAAACTGACCAACACATTTTTGCGATCGACTCGAGGAGCGCGACACACTTCTTCTCTCTTTTCTCAACTTTTCTTCGGGGGGCTAATACAATTTTATTAGAAACCAAACCAAAGAGAACAGAAAAAAAAGAACAGATCTAGATATTTGTGTGTCAACTGAAATCGAATAAATTGAGGTAGAAACAGAACAGAGAACTAGAGCTAACCAGATGTGCTGGCAAAAGTCAGTCGCCACGGAAGAGGCCCATCAGAAGCGGCGTCGGCATCTTCATCACCGAAAAGAAGAACGGATCGTGGGCGTAAAAGTCGAATAGCGTTTCGATGTCTTTCGAGGTGATCACATCTTTCGGATCTTTCCCATTCCAGCTATCATCCCTGCTCGACTTTTTGAAAGTGATCCCTTCGTCGAAGAGCTAAAACATTGATCACGGAATTTGGTTGAGTTTTGAAATTTGGCTATAACTCGAACACAACAAGTGTCGAGTTAAAATGATCAACTAAAAGTTGTTGAGCATAAAATTTGCTACAACTTTTTAGTTGAACACTTTTTGAATTAATCATCGGATCTCGAGATATAATTGTCCAAAGATGAAGTGCTTTGAAAGTACATCGGACGGCGAGAAGTAAAGTTCCAGATCAGGCCCTAGCTATGATTTTTTTAAAGTTATGTACTAGAACCGAGCGTAAATGCTAGGACAACCACTTTCAAATCAAACTCACATCGATTCCGGCGAGGTGGTCCGTTTCAATGCCAGTGCCCTTGGATAATCTAAGAGATAGAAGGACTTTTGGATCCTGAATTCCGGGATCCGAATTCTCACACTCTCCACTGGCTCGAGCCGTTCGAGCACCCGCGGAAACAGAATGACGTCGAAGAACTTGTCGACTCCTGGCAACTTTCGGAAAATGACGAATTCGGTTCCGTTCTCCAGCGGGATGGAGAGTGCCTGAATTGGAGAAATATTAGGTTTACTGTAGTTGAACATAATCTACACAATTTAAGAGCTTCATTTTCAAATTGCACACTTTGTTTGTACAACCGTTTAAAAGACGCGGTAGCTCTTTGAAGTTGTCACACTTTCAAGAGCTACAGTAGCCTTAAAAGTGGTTTTGCAGAAAAATGATCAACTACAAAAATACAATACTAGATATGACAAACATTTTTGTAGTTGACAACTTTTCAGTAAAACCACTCCTACGACTACTGTAGCTCTTGAAAGTTAACGATAGCTTCTGTGGGTCATAGAGAAAAGTGATCAACTGCAAAAATATAGCAAAATGTGTCAAGTTTTCAGAACATATGAGTTATTTAGTAAGACAAATGCAAATTAAAAATGCAAACCTCGTAGCCCTTGAATTGGACATAACTGCACTTGAAATCCGAGCAGTTGGCCTCGAGGTATGGAAGTTGTATAGTATCACCGAATGACGTTTTGAAAGGCGCCTCCGGAATTCTCGAAATTTCATCTCCCAGTCGCTGGAGAAAAAGAAGCCGGAACGCGTATTTTCCTGAAATTCTTGAGTATTTATTATGAACAATGCGTTCGTTTTTCGACTAGAAGAGCGCGCTAAAGACGGCTCGGTGGCACAAATTTGAATAGGGTCAAGAATGGCTTCAAATTTAGGCCCTAGAATTACAAAAATACTTGTATGAATAAGTGAAAACTCGCTCTTTGCAGGACGACTTCGACCGCATTGCCGAGATGGAATGCGAACAGACGATTCTCAATCTCCTCCACCGCTCCCGGCTCCTCCTCTTCGTTGAACAAACGGCCGATGACGTGCAACTTGGCGAGTGATGTCAGGCAGGCTTGAGGCGAAAAAACAAAGTTGCCGAGCTGATAAGTTTGGTGAAGGTGATCAATTTCTCGATTCCCCAGTTCAATTCGAGCAGATGGTAACTTGGAAACTCGGACGGCTCACCGCCAACTTCCACGTCTTCATAGGAGTCTTTCTGACGAAAAGAGTTGGTTTAGCGGATTAAGGGAATTGAAGGGATATTTTAGAGTGGCAAAACGTCCCGCACTGGCCTCTGTGCACTTCTAAAAATATAGAATCCCTTCAGCTAGGCGTTCAGCTATTGTCAACTTCCAAGAGCTACAGTATCATTAGGAGTGAATTTACAGAAAAATGTTGAATTACAAAAATAAAGGTCTAGAAATGAGAAACAATTTCGTAGTTGACAAGTTTTCAGTAAAACCACTCCCTAGACTACTGTAGCTCTTGGAAGTTTGCACTAGCTGAAAGCCTAAGCTATCTTTCAACGCTTACAGTATTCCAAATAATGGTTATAGAGAAAAGTGATCAACTGCAAAAACAAAGCTCTAGGAATAAGAAATATTTTTGTAGTTGACACTTTTTTTGTAGGACCATGTTTAGAGATACGGTAGCGCTTGGAAGGTAACAATAGCTAAAGGTCTACTCCAAGTGCTACAGTACCCCAGAGAGTGGTTATACAGAAAAATGATCGCCTAGAAAAAGAAAGCGAGTACTGTAGCTCTTGAAAGTGGCTATATTGTTATCGTTTATAAAAATAATCATCATTTCTAGAGCTCCATTTCTATAAGGACACGCTTTTTGTTAACAACCATTACAGTAGCTCTTTCAAGAAACTTTCAAGAGCTACAGTACCCTTGGGAGTGATTGTATTAAAAAATGATCAACTACAAAAATACAATACTAGGTATGACAAACATTTTTGTAGTTGACAAGATTTTCATAAAACCACGCCTACGACTACTGTAGCTCTTGAAAATAAACAATAGCTGAAAGCCCATGCTAACTTCCAAGGCCTACAGTACTCGAAGGAATGGTCATAGAGAAAAATGGTCAACTACAAAAATACAGTTAAATGTGTGGTGTTTTCAAAAAACAAGATCTCAAAGCTCTATGACAATGTTAAACTCTACAATACTCGCTCAAACTTGAACTCACGATCTGACTTCCATTTCCGAGCGTGACCAAAACGAGAGTTGTAGCGAAAAGAAGCAGGAGATGGACAATTTTCATTTTTCGAGAAGATCCCTCGGTTCTTCACCGACACACGGACGTAAATAAAGGTGCCGCCGTGCGCGCGGGGAGGGCGGGAGGTAAAAGAAGAATAGAGCCGCCGTCAGTTGTTCTTCTTCCTCGTTTCTCGGCCCAGTCTCCACTTTTCGCCCACTGTTTCCGTCAAAATCGCAACATTTTCGCGGCTCACAAACATTTGGCAACATTTTGTGAGAACGGATAATAGTGGAAAAGAGTAGGGAAAAAGAAAAGAGATAAGTTTGTTACACCTTGAACCTCCCGGGACCTTCGAGAAGAATGCGGGGCCGCAACGACTTTAGCGCTCTGACGTCAGACACGTATATACACAAATTATAGGGAATATGTACAGTTTAGGACGTGTACAATAGCGCAACTGTCGGGAGAAACGGAACAAAACTTTGGGAGGGTGTAACTCTGCCGAAAATGGTCACATTCACACCAAAATTGGCCAGAACGGACTTTAGACCTTCCGTGTCAATCCGATCGTTTTTGGCAGAGATACGCGCACGCAAAGTTGCAATACAATAGCTATTATCGATACACGGGAAAGCACTGATTATATTGATAATTGGGACAATCACGCCGCTCTCACTTGCTCACAAAAAAAGTTCAGAACCAGACTTGGCAGATTTTGGGCCGGCCATGCGGGCCGGCCCGGTCGGCCCGGTTCAAAAGACGGGAATTCAAATTTTCGCGGAAATTTTTTTTTCGTTATTACAAAAAAAAATTTCGAACTAAAGTTTTAGTGTTTCTTCTTTGTTTTTTTGCTATTATGAATTTTTTATGAGAAATACATTTGTTTTTCAATGTTCGATGCTTGCAAAAAACCCCTAATTCTACAAAAAATGGCTTCATGCGATCAATAATTCAAATTTTGAATTCCCGCTTTTTGAACCGGGCCGACGGGCCGGGCCGGGCCGGAGTTTTGGAAATTTCGGCCCGGCCCGGCCCGTGGCAACTATGTTCAGAACCACCGACGCGAAACGTTGGCTTTTATAGCACAATACAGTCTGTTAATTGTCAGCGGTTCGACGAATCAAACTACTTTTGCGAACAAGAAAAGTCGGATAGACGACTGGTCTTCTGACCATTTCACACTCTTTTCCTTATATTTCATAGCACAGACAGCCGCGAAATACGTTGGAAAGTACACATTGGAAAGTCATGAAAATTAGTTTCGAATATTCCCTACTGACTCACTTGGTCCAAAACGACGCGGCGGATGAGCAACAGGCAGGGAGACGAGACAATTGGTTTCGCGGGAATTCCAGCCGGAAATCACCGTGTGCAGTGGAGCGCGTTTGTTTTTCGCGCGCACTGTAGAGCAGGAAAAACATCATTTATGGCCGGGACAGGGATTTTCACACCAGTCACTGAAAATGATGGATGTTTCATCGATGTTTGATCACGTAAACAGACCATCGAAACACGTGTCTGTAGTCTGGTGGCCCGCGTTCTGCGGTCTGTCCATGTCAGTCGGACTCCTCCGCCAGAACCATCGTCTTTTTTCTTTTCTTCTTCTTCTTGCCCACTGTCTTCCCAAAGGCCACACTCGTAAACACCGCAACGCAGTGCGCGGAGTGTCGTTGAAAAGAGTCTTCCGGATATTTTTACATTTCCTCGTCATGCGTGTTGTCCGTTTTTCGATAAAATTTCAAATTAAAAAAAATCATTCGAAAATTGTTTCATTTTTGCAGCGTCCATGTATTTGTTTTTTACTGAAAAGCGAGACGAAAACGGCTGAAAATGAGCGGGTGGCCGCCAAATTCTCCAAATGGCCTAGGTTTTGCACACTGAAAAAGCACGACCGCCAGTTAATTTTCTACAAATTTTCACGCTTTTCCGCAAATGTTCCATAATGTTTCGCAGTTTTTCGTTATTTTTCAGCGTGTTCTACTCCGACAGTTGATGTCTTCGAACGAGAAGCCGATTTGGCTTGAAAAATAATGGCAAGTAAGAGAAAATGCGAAACTTTTCAAGAAAAAATTAATTTCAGCCCGATGCGACGACGGCGTTCGGTCCGATTGGACCCGTGCATGTATATGAATCTAGTTCAGCGGAGATCTCGAAAAGATCAGGTGATCTGTTGCTCAAAAACCGGAAAAATTTCTCGCCGGTAAGCGGCTTTTTGCATTTTTCAATTACAAACGGTCAAAATGTTGCAGCCGAGCACCGAAATCGACCTGTCTCGAGCGATGAAAGAGCCGTTTTCCATGTTCGGTACGGTTTTAGTTATATCACCACATTCTTCATGTTTTTCATCAAAGTCGCCAAATGTCTGCACGATTTCCGCCATGTACTGCCATAAATCCGGGAAAATAATGAAAACTAAAAATCTATTCAATTTCCCATTTTTAAGCAAAATCTGACCGTTTTGTGCTAAAATGTGCGCACTTGAGAGAAATTTGCGTCATTTTTGACAAAGATATGCTGACATTCGACATTTTTTACAGATCGGCCCCGCCCAGCAGCTCTGCCGAATAGAGAAACGATCCGGAATGGCTGGAACACTTTGGAAATTGAACGAATCGATTCGGAAACTGAGAGACGACGACGAGAAAATGGCCGATGAGGCATGCGCTAACTGAAAGACGCATTTTTGAATAACTCCTCCCTATTTTCTGTTGATTTTGTTGAAAATTGTCATTTTTGTCTCTTTGTTGCTTCCATTTTCGCGTTTTTTGCTTTCTCAGATCAAGAAAAAGGTTCAATGAGAACTTTGCGCGGAACATTCACGAAATGGAACAACTGGACAAGAACACCAAATTAGGAAAAACAGATGCGAATTATGAATCATCTGGCCGAGCACGCAAGTTTCTTAAGACGAAGAAGCAGCGTTTGCTGCCCGAGCAGTGCGATGAACTCGCAGTTTCCAGCACACGCTCGTCGAATTCTATTCGTTGAAGGTGGGTTTCTTGCGGGTTTTCACTGTGGAAAAGTACTTTTACAGATTTCGCATCCACCTGAAACAGAAAACCTTCGAAATGGACGAGTTCAACATCGATACGAAGGTGCTGATGATGTTCTACTTCAACGCACCAGTGACCGAGCAGTTTTGGAGTACTGACGAGGAATCAGAGAAGGAATCGACGGAAGATATGGATGTTGAATTCGACAGTCCCGCTCCGAATCCCGCTCTTCCAATAAATGTGAAACAAAAAGAAGCCGTGTCAAGGTTGCAATTAACAAAATCCTATTATTTTGAAACGTGTTCTGTTTCTCCGGCTCTTTCTTGCTTTTTTTGCATTTCAATCTTGCAAAACCGTTCAAACGTGAATCCTCACCACTGTTTTCGAAGATTTTCGAAGAATTTGTCGTAAAACCGAGCAATTTCAGCGGCGCTCATACACCTCCACAAGAAGATCCAGTTGCTGTGCCGAATGAAGTGATCGCAACTCAGAACACGCGTGCGCAGATGTCGCCGAACTCGTGGCGACGCTCAAATCGATCGCCGAAACTCTGAGCACTCTGGCTCCGGCCGCTGTCAATTCTTTGAAAGAACTGACGAGTGTGGTGCAGAACGTGGTGCAGTCGCAGGCCACTCGGTACGCTCTAGTTTCTGCACTTTGCTGTTCCTTATTCGTCTCCAAATGCATTTTTGCTACCGTTTAATCGAAATAGCTCGTTTTTCCACTTTTTGTTTAAAAATCGTACGGACGACACACTTCCACGTGTGTTACTAGCATTACCCCACTTGTTCCCCGTTTTTCTATCAACGTTTTGTATTCGCTTCCTGTCTTTCTGTCGCTAAGCGGCATTCTTAGCATCTTTTGAATATTTAACAAACCCTACAAGACCCCCCCCCCATTTTTGTTTCCGCTTTCTGCACCCGTTTCACCATTTATCCGATTTTAGGTAACAATAGTTAGGTCGAAGCGGGTTGATTGTAGACTTCGCCACGATTTGGTTGAATCCGAGAAAACGCCTTTCCGGGCCAAAAAAGTGTTTTGAGCGCTACTTTCAGAGACCATTTTTGGTAAAGCTGAACGTTTCGCTTGTTACAGCACAAATAGGAGACTTGAATGAGAAAGGGCACGGTTACGGTGTCGCTTAGTGTTGAGGAGATGCACGCCTGAAAGAACAACTTTGTGAAGGTGGAACTACGGTAAATAGACGGGCACCCAATTTCAAGACGATTTATCTCTGTTGTGGGTAAAGATATCGAAAAGTAGTTAACTCATGAAACGTCACCTTTTTGATATTTTCACTCACAACAGAGATAAATCGTTTCGATCAAACAGAACTAGAGTGCCCTTCAATTCCCTCACCTCCATCAACGTGTACGAAAACCAGCGCATATCGAGTGTGCTCGAAAGCTGAAAAGTTATTGTCACAATTTTGAAAATGATTATGAGCACGGCCTGATAGAAAATGTAAATTTGAGGTTGAGATTGGATCGCAGTGGCGAGACGGCTCATTTTTTGAATACTGATAATAATTGGAATGTATAATAGGGCCGACATAATCAACAAGAGATTTATCAAGGCGAAAACAGTCTGCAACTTTCTGTAAAAATCAGAAAAACCGTAATAGCTTACAATTAGAATCCAGTGTCCAGAAAAGATATCCTCCAAGGCGAGAACTTCCGCACCATATACTGTTATTGTATTCGCCGTCAGGTAATAGAATGAAAATGCGCCAAATAGGGCGATAAATGTCCAAATCATAATAAGGACTGTTTTGAGCGTACGGTGGTTCCAGTGCATCTCGGAGCACATTTGAAAATAGAGTACAAATCGTTGAATAGCCAAAATTGAGGTCAAAACGCACAAAACTTGGGCGCCTATAGTTAAGAACGCACTAAAGATTTCCATTTGTGAGTAGAGCAAAAAGCGGCACCAATCCGATGTGAAATTTGTGAAAGCTGTGTTAAAATGTCTGTCAAAAATGAGAAAAATACAATAGAGGAGTGCTTCGATGATCTGGGAAATTGACCAGAAGAATAAGAGTCGAATGATTTTGAAAAAATGATCGGTGAGCGGAAAGACGGCTGTCTGAAAGTTATACGAAAGTGAGAAGATTATTTTTGTAGTTGACCATTTTTAAGGATACTGTAGGTCCAGGAAGTTGAGGTCAATAAAAGCTACTGTATTACTGCGTGAACTTTGAAGCGCTACAGTCGCTTTAGAAGTGATTGCACAAAAAACTTGTCAACTACAAAAATAGTCTCCACGACTGGTATTGTATTTTTGTTGTTGATCATTTTTCTCTACGACCACTCCTAAGGTTACTGCAGTTCTTGGAAGTTAAGGTTCATAACAGAAAATGTATTTCAGTGCAAACTTCCAAGTACCCTTAGGAGTGGTCGTACAAAAAAGGTTCTACTTGACCCAAACTATCTACTTGAAACTCGAAACAATTTCAAAACTCGAAACCAATTTTCAAAGCCTACAATGCTCGTTTAAAGTTCGTACCGGCTGATCGCGTGGGCGGTTGACATTATGAGCGTAAGAATAGACGGGAAATAGCAGGAAAGATGAGACCGTACAAATCAAATCGATCATTTGTCTGATTAGAACCAAAATATGCGTGTTGGAGCCTTCGATATTTCTGTCCAGTTTCAAGTTGACGTCTCTCAAAACGGCATCAAATTCAACGAATAGAGGATATTTAGTGGTCGTCATTATTCATCGATTTATGTTTTGTCTAGCAAAAGTCGAGAGAGGTGTAATGTCTCGAGAAACACCTGCCGGACAAAATGTTGAAATGCCAGGAAACTAAACTTTATATCTCGGCCAAAAATAGTCGGCGATTGACACGGAACTCGGTCAAAATGCATTTATAGTTTCTAGTTGTGCTGCAAACATTTGCGAAGGGACACAGGACACATTGGAGCACTTTTTTCAATAATAGCACACATAATGTACCTTTCGACTTTTTTCAGTGTACTTTTTAATGAAATAATGAGTTCAACGTCGTTTGTTTTCATGTGAAACAGATGTTTGATGAATTTCTCACAGTCAGACATGTGGTTCGTGAGCACATTTCCGCCAGACACTTCCTCTGCGTCATGCCTTTTCTCTCGGTATCATAATAATCTCATTTCACAGTTCATTGAAGCGAACTGAAGAACAAAAAAGAAGAAAAAATAGCATTCGGCTCAAAATTTGTCACACTTTTGCCTAGACTATGTACCTGGACACTTTATTTATAATTTATTACACTCTCTATTATATTTTCACAATTTCCTCACAATCTTTTGTTTTCTACCTTATTATTCGGCATAGCCCGTCGAGTTTACACGATTTGAAAAAATTGATGATCGCCACGTCATTGTCACAAATTTTAATGTGCACTTCGGCGTTTTTGACGCAAGTCAGGTAAATGCATACTTTTTCTGTGAATAGTTGACATTTAGTAGAATCGTTTTGTAGTTGACCTTTTTTCTCTACCACCTCTCCTAAGGCTACTGTAGCGCTTGGAAGTTTGCACTGAAATACAGTAGCTATTGTGAACTCGAACTTCCAAGGCGTACAGTAATCCAGAAAGAGGTCGTATAGAAATTTTTCAACTACAAAACTACTCTACTAGACATGAACTATTTACTCAAAAAGTTCGAAACCACAATATCCGCTCAAAGTACACTTTCAGAATCGTGCCTATTCAAACTTCAATAGCCCTACTCTCTTTCGGTCCCTGCTCACTTTTTGGCCCATATTCGTGTCTAACCACCTACAATTTGTTGAATGTGAGTTGAATTGGTAAATTTGGAAAAGTTGTTCAACGGTTCAGACGTCTGGATGTGTGGTAGTTGCTTCACTTTTGCACATGATGTACTATCGACGGCGACTTTTATCGTCCCGGCGATTTTCAACGAAAAAGTTCGTCTTCAACTGTATTTTCGTGTATTTTCCGAGTGTTATTGTCTTGGTGAGTGAAAAGGTTCGGCTCTCGCATACGAAAAGTTTAGCCCAAAATGGTTGTTTCTTCTTAACTGATTATGTTGTACATTTTGTGTTTTTCCACGCAAAAACTATTCGATTGTTCGAGAAAAAACAGTATTAATGAGTATCCTCCAGGTGTTCTCGTTCCTCGGTCCCACCGATTTCTCGTTCATCCGTTCGCTGCTCCTCTCCTCTTACAACAAATCCGTCAATTTACGTGACTATACCCTTTTCGGATTCTCGGACATTACCAATATTTTCTGCTCCTCGTCCACTCTGATATCTGCCACCCACTCCTACATTCCGCCGTTCGTGGCCATGTTTTGGAGAAGGTACGTTTTTTATATTTCCCAAAATGAAAATCTAAAAAGATTCCAGAAAAATCGTACGCGAAATCAACAGCCAACAAGCGGTCCTGTCTTCCCGTACCCAGGCACAAACTCGCAATTTTGTGCAGTGCTTGACGTGGCAAACATGTTTGCCACTCTTTTTTTACGTTCTGCCCTACACTTTTTATCTGCTTCAACAGGCTTTCGGTAAGAGAAGCGATTAAACATTTGAAAGTGCCTGTGCTCTTCCAGGAATCGGCTCCGTGCTCACCGAATACCTCATTTTCCCGCTCAACACATTTTCCGCCACGTTGGATCCGATTTTTATGCTCTACTTCATTAAACCCTATCAAAAACGGGCGAAAATCATAATTTCCGAGCTTTTCGGCATTACGATGCTATCCAATACTGTGTCGCTTGCCACTGTTAACAGTCAAACTTCTCAGTTTTGAAATAAAGAAATAGCATAACATTTTTCTGAGTCAAGTGAACGTATTAGTAAAAAGTTGGCAGCTATCAAGATTTGTGAGTAACAAACAAAATGCCAAAAAATGTAAGCGGGTGGGGGGTCCGAATGAGGCGAAAATGACAATTTGCAGCAAGCGACCCGTGGGCGGTAAATTCGTAAATTATCGGGAAAAAATCGACAGAGAAAAATTAGACAGGATTGGCGCCGATTCCAAAGAGTTTTTGAAGGAAATCCGGCTCTTTTTCGACCGCCACTCTCACTTTTTTCGACGATTTCGACGAGAGAAGCAACGGCGGTGGTATAATGGCTCGTGGGGGCGTTTGGGCGACTGCAAAAACACATTGAAAATATGTTCGGAAATGTATTATCAATTATTAGTCAGGCACAGCCTCCTGCGACAGTCAAATCGAAGACTTTTCCAAAGCAAACCGAAAATAAGTGAAAAGTCGGTCGGACCCCGATCTTTGATGATAAATCTTATATCTTTTGTCTTCAAATGCCATTATTATTTCTAGAGCAGCTTTCACGCTCCTTTTCTTTTCCTTTTCCGATCGGTAATAGCCCCTATATGCGCAGGGCACACTTTTCAAATTGACTGTCGCAGGAGGCTGTGCTAGATGTTGGACCAGAATTTCACCTTTTCGCGGCGACGGTTTTATCTGCCGCGGGGGCGGTTCTCGCACATTTTCGGCATTTTGAACTCGTCCGCCGATCGTTTTAGTGATCTGAAATTAAGATTTCAAGCAATTTCACGCACTCTAGTTTCGTCCAAACAAACCTCCGCTTCTCCTCTTTCTTCTTCAAAATCTCAGCATTTTTCGGCAGTTCCGACTCGATTCCAATCGGATTCTTATTCATTTCTCCGCACAATCGGCATTTTTCGTGTGGCCCGAGTTTTCTGCAAAAAATTTATCGATTTTCAATGGGTTGAGACGAGTTTTTGGAGCGTTCAAACAGGAAAAATGAGACCTCTTCGTTTCGCAACGTGATGTTCCACAACCGTCTTGCATGTAACGGGGACCATTTATTTCTGCTGGCTCGTGGTACCCAGTGCAGCATTTCCCCTACCTGGTTGTGGAACATCACGTTGCGAAACAAAGAGATCTCCAAAAAATAATCGATAAATGACTGAAATTCGAGCATTTCCAATACAAAACATGAAAATCGATAAAACTTTCTCATTTCTCATTGAAATTTGCTCACTTTGTTCTCTCAATTACACATTTTACGGATTTATGATGTTACATTACGGAAATCCCGTGATTTTCAACGAAATTGTGTTAAAACTTGAATTTTGCACCAAACTAGGCGACAAAGTGTTTTTCCACATACTCTATCGAATCGATGGGCGGCGGCGGAGGCATTCCGCATTTCTCGCAACTTTTATACTTTTCGTCGCTTATCGTCTGAAATTTTGCAATTTTTAGATTATTTCTGACCTCGATCACGTTCTTACCGCTTGCCAAGCCTTTTCTTCATAAAAAGCGACGACACAATCCGGCAGACCGCGCTCTTTTCCGTTCTCGGCGATTTTGTGCAGGAATTTCGCCGTCGGCTCGTCTTTTTGCTCCAGCATCGATTTGTCGACGTCGTCGTCTTCGAATTTCGACATTTTTCTGCGAAAAATCGTAAAGATTGAGCAAAAATGGCAAAAGAAGCGAAAAAGCAAGAAACAACGACACTCCAAAATTGCGTACACCGCTCCGTGTTTAGCGTGATGCGGGAATTTGAAACACAACGTTTTTATATTTATCGATGATTAAGCTCAATATACGTTTTTCCGATTGGGTTGCGACGATTTGCGACGTTGCCAAAACGTTTATGCAGGACCTGAACCTAGGGCGTTTCGCAACCGTACATTATCCGTCCAAAGTGTTGTCTGCCTATGAGCTTATCAAAATTTTAAGCGTCGACGGGAGTCTGTAGCATTTTTGAACAACGCTACGACTTTTCAAAGTTAGACCAATGTTTCGCACAAAATATTTTATTGTTATTACAAAAATGAATAAACCTGACATGAGAACCCTTATTTTTCTCCTTTTTAAGGCAGGGAACAGTATTTTGAAAGGTTACAATATAACAAAAAACAGATTTTTGTTTTCAATTAACATGAGAAAAAGTGTAGACAATTTCCTGGCAGTATCGATCTTCCGGGCGAAGCGAGACGTCGGCGAAATTGTCCTGAAACGATTTTTGTAAACAATGGAAATTGATGAGAGCAGCGCCCAAAGCTTGTATTTTGTAGTCTAAGCAGCGTCTAACAAGTGTAGTTTGTAGTCTAAGCAGCCATAAATTTAAGAGAGCAGCGCCCAGAAATTGCAAGCACCGGCTCGTGGAAACTCACAAAATTGGGTGCGGCCGAGTGGAATTGCGGCTCGATTGCCAACGCTTTGTTCGGTTTGTAGTGCTCTCCTTTCTTTCCGATCACGTCCAAATGTTGGGCAGTGTACAGATGAATGACCGGGTAGGAAGTGGTGATCAACAGCTCGATTCCCGATTTTTCACTCCAGAATCTGAAAAACTGCATTACTATGTTTTGACTGACTACTTGAACGATTTCCACTTAAAAATAGAGCAAGTTACACAAGAAATAGTTTCGAAAAAACGTTGCTCACCTCAAATTGGAGGTGGGCGTCACAGGCGGGTCTTTTTTGGCAATCACCAGGTCGTTGTCGAGTTCCACCAATTTGCCGGCTTCTCCCGCCTTTTTCAGTTGCTTCGCATGTTTGAAATCAAAAATGGTGCCGGCGGACGGTCGAATGGCCCCGGTTGGGCAGGCGCTTTCGTCTACTTCCACAAATTGGTCCGAGTCCATTTCGAGCCAGTGCTCCGTGACGTCATCCGAGCCGTCAAGATTCCAGTAGGCGTGATTGGTGAGCGCCAGAAAGCCTGGACGTTGACACGTGGCGTAGTGCTCGATGATCAGCTGATTACGGTCGTTTACCGTATAGGTTACCTTTAAAAATTCAGATTTTTAGATGTTTTTTCTACAGTCTTACGTCAATTTTTGCGTCACCGGGCAGTCCGTCCTCCTCTTCGTTGGCACGGACACTGAACGAGACGGATTGCGGAGCATGTCTGACCACTTCCCAGGTTTTCTGAAGAAAAAAATGTTAGACGACTTGTGGGCGTTTTCAGGTCTACTAAAATTGAAAAGGTAAAGGAAAAGCGCTACAGTAATCCAAGGAATGGTCATAGAGAAAAATGACAAACTACAAAAATTAAGTACTAGGCATGAACTGTTGATTGAAATCAATTTAAAGACGCTTGAACGTTTGACAACTGTGTAATATCTATTCAAAGTTAGCACTTCGCTTTTCTTCAAAATATGGATATTGTAGATCCACTCACATATCCGATTCCATTTTTTCCGCCATGCAAAAAGTGTTGTCCGTTATTCTGCTCCAATTCATACGTTTTTCCGTCGAAAATCACTTCGGCATTCCGGATTCGGTTCGCCACTCGACCGACCGTTTTTCCCAGTGATGCAGTGTCTTTTTTGAATTCTGCACGCAACAATTTCTTTGAAAATTTTGATGGTCTGGAATAAAAACCAACCTTCAATAGTGTCGAATCCCAGTACGAGGTCCTGATTTTTTCCGTTCTTGTCCGGAAATGTCAATTTTGTCAACGTGGCGCCGAAATGGGTCAACGTGGCTGTGAGACCCTGTTTGTTGGCGATTTCGATGAATTCTGACAGTGGACTCATCTGAAAATTGTTGGAAATTAATATCATTATAATTGTGGCAAATTGTTCAACAACCACCAAGAGAAACATTTCAGTTTTCTACCAGAAAGATAAGAAAAAAGCGTCAATTTTTCGTCAACCCACGTAGATTGATCAAAAATCACTAATCCGTATAGGAAAAAAAAACGTGTGAAGGGGTGACTAGACCCACTAAACTGATAAGAAAAGTGTTAAAGACGGGTGGAAAAAGTGTAAGATCATATTGTAAATGTGGAAAGGGAGGAGAAGAAGAAGACGAAAAAGAGGGGGAGAAAGAGAAAGAAAAAGATCGATGTGTGTGTGTGTGTGTGTGTGTACGTGTCACTGTTGTTTACCCTTGGACCACTTGGAACTGAGGGGGTCTGGTGGACACTTGTGTGACGAGCCGATTATCGATTGATTTGGAAACGTTTCTTGAAGAAAGTTCTGGAAAAACCAAACTTGCAAATTTCCGGGTCGGCCTGGAAATTACACTTGAACCTTTTTTATTATGCAACAAAAACCATAAATATAATGTACATGTAAAGTGCAAAGTCCAGCGAGAAATGATCGATTCGCGCATTTTTCAGCACTTTTCCGCTGAAAACGCTCTGGAATCTTTTCTTTTCGTGTATTCCGCCGCGTCTTGAGTCGCCAGCCACGGAAATGGTGCATTTGTGACGAGCATCACGACGACGATGATGATAAACAGGCGGGACCACTGAAAAGTTGAGAAAACGTAGAAACATTAGAGTTTTTTGTTTTTGCTCTTGTGAATTTAGGGCTGCTTAGACTACAAACTACACTTTCTGGGCGCTGCTCTCGTGAATTTAGGGCTGCTTATACTGCAAACTACACTTTCCGGGCGCTGTTCTCGTGAATTAAGGGCTGCTTAGACTGCAAACTACACTTTCTGGGCGCTGCTCTCGTGAATTTAGGGCTGCTTATACTGCAAACTACACTTTCCGGGCGCTGTTCTCGTGAATTTAGGGCTGCTTATACTGCAAACTACACTTTCCGGGCGCTGTTCTCGTGAATTAAGGGCTGCTTAGACTACAAACTACACTTTCTGGGCGCTGCTCTCGTGAATTTAGGGCTGCTTATAGTGCAAACTACACTTTCCGGGCGCTGTTCTCGTGAATTAAGGGCTGCTTAGACTACAAACTACACTCTCTGGGCGCTGCTCTCGTGAATTAAGGGCTGCTTAGACTACAAAATACACTTTCTGGACGCAGTTCTCGTGAATTTAGGGCTGCTTAGACTACAATACTTTCTTTATAGTTTTTAGCAGAAAAAACGAAAAAAAAGTTACCTGTTCTTGAGTGTTATCGGGAGCCAAGAGACCAACACCCAGCGGGCTCACAAATTGCACACAATACGAGAGGAACGAGATGGCGCTGACGGCAAAGTGGCAATGTTGTTGGCATCGCATCGTCAGACACTTCACAGTCGCCATTATGATGAGGCCGGAGGTGACGATGGCAAATGAGAACGCGCCGAACGCGATCATCCGATCGGAGGTCCACGCCATCACGATGTAGCCGATCGAGAGACCGATGATCGAGGAGAACAGCCAGAATGTGTAAATCGCCTGGAAATTCGGGTTTTCAACACAATTTTTAGGTCGAGGAGGTAGAAAACTTAATTCTGAACACTTTTCCAGTTGATCGTTTCTCGCGGGACCTTCTAGTTTTCGAGCAAAAAACGTTGTGCGCCTTTAAATTATGGTCAAGCAAACGCGGTCCTTTAATCAATTTTCTGGGAAGATTTTCTCAAGGTGATAAATCAATGTTCAAATGCATAATTTCCAACGTGTACCACCCAACAAATCCACAAAAGGCGTACCTTATGCGTGGCAAAAGTGACGCGGTCGGATATTTTGCCGGCGGCGAACTTGTAGACGGCACAGAGCAGATACGGCAGAGCGTTGATGTATCCGGTGGATCGAACGTCGAACTGAAGCACCTCCCGCAGATAAGTGGGTCCGTAGAGTAGGAGTGTGATGAATCCGAGGTTGCCGCCCAGAAAACTGACCCACGCCGCCACGACGCAACGGTCCGCACAGATCTTGCGGTACGGAACCGCCTCGCGACACGTGTTCTCCGGTTTTTCGTGCTGGATCTTGCCCAGCTCCTTTTCCGACACGTTTCTGAATGGCAAACATTAAATTTTGGCCGAAAAAGCCCCAGGTTTTTCTACATTTTCGAAAAACTAAAATGCAAACGCGCTCCATCGCACTTACTTGTGTATGCGCGGAAGATCGGTGTAGAAAAAGTAGAAGATGAGGAAGAAAATGCCGGTGACAACGCCAAAAACGTAATAAATCGAGCGCCAGCCGAACGAGGAATCGCAGAGAATTCCGGAAACTGGCATGAAGACAATGTTGCTGAACTGAAAGTATATTCGGATTTTTGGGGGATTTTTTTGGCCCTTGTATTATTTTCTGAAAATTCCGCACCTGCCAGGCGCACGATAAAATGGCCAAATAGGTACTGTACTCGGATTTTGGGGACCAGGAAGTCGGAATGACGCCGAGGATGGTCAGAAGAATGGTGATGCCGAGGCCCTGAAGCACCCGGCACAGGACGACGAGGTAGAAGCTGATGGAGACGGCGAGCGGGGTGAAAACTGTGCCCAGTGTGGAGCAGAGACCGCAAAATGAGAGGTTGAGTCTGGAAAACTCTTTCTTTGAAGTCGTTTTCTGACCTAACATTTCTTGTTGATAATTTTTGATTTTTCAGCATTTTTCAGCAACGAAAACTTCAAAATCATTGAAAGCCTTTTGAAAATTGAATTTTCTGCATTTTTCTGACGTTTCCAGCTTTTTTCCGGCTTACAATTGCGCATTTTCAGCGAATCCCCTTCAAAATTCAAGCTTCCGCCTACAGTAATATGCTTCAAACTACAGTAACCCCAAAGTCGTGGCGAGACCCACGGACTGCTCAAAAGCGTTTTCTGGTCGTTTTTTGCTCATTTTACACCAAATTTCGCCGTTTTTTCGCTGTAAATGTTTGTTATCTGCTGAAATTTATGAAAAATGTAATAAAATCCTATAGTTCCGTAACGTTTATTGTTCAATTTCTATTTTTCACTGAAAGTTACCTTGTTCTTCGTGAAACTTGTTTTTTAGAGATTTTTTCGCTTTTCAGACGACAAAACGAACATCGCGGACACTATAACTGCATGAACACGAAAGTTTACGTGAGTTTTTACTTAAAAAATCGAAAAAGGAGAAAAAAGGAGATTTTTGATTGCAAACTGATATTTTTTGCCGAACACCGATAAAAATGCTGTTTTCCGAGTTCACACGCATTTTTCGAATTTCTCGCAAAAATACCTGACACCCAGCCGGTTTAGCAGCGGAACCGACGGAATTAGGCCAATTAGAGCTCCGATAGCGGTTGCCGAGAACAAGATCGACTTTTCCGTGCTTCCTTCGATCCAGTGTGGCTCTGAAATGCCCAAGTTAGCGATTTTCCATCACAATTCCCTGTAAAACCAGTAGAATTGCTCATCCGTTGCTCCAAAATCAGATCATCCATGCAAATGACGGTAAATGTGAAGATTTGAGAGTTTATTTGAGCCAGAGTCATACATGCTAGGCTGAAAGTGGATTTTTAGTGATTTTGTCGAAATTAGAGGCAACTTACGATAAAAGCAGAATAAACAGTCGGGTTTGATTCCAAAACACAAAATTGGAAATTTTTCGTTGAGGCGTTTTTTGCGACCCGAAACTCGTATCCGAATCGGCAATATGCACCATTTCAAACCGTTTTCCGTCGTATTTCGGCGCATTTTCGTCGTTTTTGTACGCCATTGCGGCTGAAATTTCGACAAATTTGCATTTGCGGTGGTTCTGTGAACTTGGCAAAAATGCAACAAACATCATATGAGGCAAAAATGAACTCGTGAGCCGTGGAAAAGTTCAAAACGGATAGAAAATCAAGGTGGAAAGGAGCGAGAGATTTGAGGAGACGCCGAGAAAAATCAAGAGAATAGGACAAAGAGCGCACATTTGTCACCCTTGTGGATGAAATATTTACGCGAAAGAGTTCTCACGAATTTCACAATTCGATTGTGAATCAGTGATCATTCAGTGCATGCAAAGTTCGAGTGTTTTTTCCGGAGTATTGTAGATTTTGAAAGAATGCTGTCCGAAATTAGTGAGTTTCCAACGAATGTTGCTTGTTCTTCTAAATTGCACAACGTTTCTCCGAAAACTACAATTTTTGGCTAAAATGATCTCTGTGATCAATTCCCTGTCATATTTTGTAGCCTTCAGCGAGAAATTCTGGAATTTTGATGCGTCCCGAAATGTCGTTACAGAATTTGCTTTTTGAACATGTTTGGGTATATTTTTAAAAAGCTTTCCAAATTTAAGTCAGTCTTTTTCGATCCCGGATTGTTTTGGCCGTAACTTGAGAGCGAGCTACTTCCCTATGAAAAAATTCAAATAAAAAACCACAATAATAACATTTATTGAAAAAAGTTGAAGAACGAGATCATGAAATGAAAACACGACAATCTCTATGCGCATTCTTCCAATTCTTTCGCTTTTTTCTCCCTCAGCTCCTTGGGAAAAGTGTAATCGGCCGGCTCGGCTGTTGTAAACCACGGGAACGGTGCACTGGTCACAAACACGACAACACCGATGATGACGAACGTTCGAGCCCATTGCTCGGCGGTGTTATCGGGGCAAAGGATTCCGACGAGGATCGGAGCGCCGAACTGAATCACATAGGCCATAAGAGCGATTGCGGAGACGGCGAAACTGACGTGCTGCTTGCAACGCTGAAATTTTTAGGGTATTAGGTGGAAAATGAAGTTTTTCTGGCAAGCTTACCAGCTGCAAACACTTGACTGTTCCCATGATATTCAGTCCGCTGACAGCGATGGAAAAGGTGAAAGCAATTTGAGCGACAGTTGTATTGGTAGTGAACGCCATCGCCAAGTAGCCCAAGGCAAGGCCGGCACGAGAAATTACTCCGCAAATTGTGAATCTGACGCGTTCGGAGACGAATTCGCAACGGTCTGACAATTGTCCGGCTGCAGATTTCGCGGCAGCTGATAGTAGAAATGGAAGAGCACTGGCGAATCCAGTTCCCCGCACTTCAAAGTGTAGAACTTCACGGAGATAGGTCGGACCGTAAAGGACTAGCGTTAAAAATCCCAGATTCCCGCCGATATTGGAGAGCCAAGTGACCAAAACGCATGGATCTTTGCAAATTTCCCAGTATGGCACCGCTTCACGACGATTGGAAGTTGTCTTATCTTGCAAGATAAGATTTAGCTCCTTGCTCGACACGTGTCGATGGTCTTTTGGAGAATCAGTGTAGAAAAAGTAGAAAATGAGGAAGCAGATGATGGTGGCAACGCCGAAAACGTAGTAAATTGAACGCCAGCCCAAAGAGGATTCGCAGAGAAATCCGGAGATTGGCATGCACACCACGTTACTCATCTGGAAAATGTTTAGAATTAGTTGCCTGTATAGGGTTTCTAGCTCCAACCTGAAAAGCGCATGATAAAATGGCCAGAAAAGTGCTCGATTCGTTTCTTGGAGCCCATGCAACTGGAACAGAGCCCAGTGCAGTGAAAACCAAGCTGATTCCAAGGCCTTGTAGGAATCTAACTACAAGAACACTGAAATAGTTTAGGTCGATAGCCAGCGGGAACAGCATTGTGCCGAAAATGGAGAAAACGCCGCAGATGGTGAGCATGAGGCGAACTCCAACCCGATGCATCACTGGAACCGCTACTACCAGTCCAAGAAGCCCACCAACGGCCATTGAAGAGAAAACGAGCGATTTCATTGAGCTATCCTCGAACCAATGTGTTCCGTTGGGGTAGATGGCGTGGTAATCGTCCACGATGTCGGACATGCAAATGACGGTGAAATTGAACGTCAAGGAGTTGATTTGAAGGAGCGTGAGACATGTTAATCTGGAAAATTGAGAGGAAGGCAAGGGGTGTCTGATTCAAGTACTTCCGGGCGTTTTTGTTTTAAGGTGATCGATCTGCTTCCAGAACGCTAAGTTTGGGAAAGTTTGAGTTAGGGGGGGGGGGACTATTTTTGAATGTTCCAAAATTCGATTCAAACTGACTGTAGAAGCCTGTGAACTTACGTCAGAAGAAGAATCAGATGCCGCGTCATATTGCAACACAATATTCGCGAAGTCCTCCGCGGAATCTCAATCTTCTCGTCGCTACTTTCAATTTGCACCATCTAAAATGAAAAGTTTCGAAGCAAAGCGACAATAATGACGAAATTATGACGAGATCACCGGAATCATAGGGAAAAAAACGAACAATAGAAGAGTGACGCCTGAGTTTTATTCGGAAAAAGGTCGTGCTCATTTGCATATAATGTGTTTTCGCCACACTGCAATGATTTGTGATGCGAATTCGGTAGAATTGTGAACTCTGAGTTCGGATTACTTGTTCGAGTGGCCACATGGAGAATTGTGGTGCATGTTTGTGTGATTCTGGTGTGGCATCAACAACAATGACGGCATCTGGAAGACTGTTCTCTGTAACGTTTGGTTTTTAGACGGTTGGGCGTGAAAATCTGGATTTGAACAAAGGATTGCTTCGGAAAATCTGAAGTCCCACGTTTTCTGCAAAAGAGACCGTAATCCGCGAAGAATTTGGTCAATTTCTGTCGGAAAGCTCCTTTGATGTCGGCCTTTCAACTCTGCAAATAGAACAAATATATTTTTCCGTCCTCAATAGCAATCCCATAAAAAAGTGTGGAAATGTGATGGAAACATTCGTGGTGATGAATCATCCGATTTCTTTGATTTTTTATTGTTTTGACCGTAACCCACCCTTCCGAAAGTATTTTGTGCCCATTTGCCCACGCAACTATACGATTTCGCCGAATGATAACTCCTAATCAGTTGCCCTAATCTTGGCGCCACTATCGTCATCACCAGCTCATAAAATGCTGATTTGTCGACGAAACTGTGTTGGAAGCGGCAGTAGAACTGATAAGAATTGGTTAAAAGTGCGAAGTGGGGTGATATTGAGCGCTTGTACTTCAGACCTACGTCGGAATCATAAATCAGTTGGAGGTCGGAGTGATGGCGGTGGGCTCAGAGTAGGTTTAGTCGGAAAATGGGGGAAGTGTCCCTCAATTCGAATTCCCAAGTTTTCCCCCTTTCCACAGACCCAAAAATCTGTGAATCATCATTTTCCGGCCGAATCTCTCAGCTCCCATGACTCAGCAACAGCCCGTCTTGTGGTAAATTCGAAAAGAAATGGGTAGAGAACGGTCTGCGTCTGTACAATTTCTTCATTTCACAATCAAAACATTGCGGAAGACGAGACTCTGCGAAGACTCCGCCCACTTTCTGTGATTTTAAGGCGGCCGCGTCCTCCGCCCGTCTCGTTTTATCGGAAAAATAATGGTCGCTGATTTTCTAGCCCGTTTTTTCAATCACTGATCAACTTTTGTGCTTTTCTCAAAAACATGAGCTTTAAATCATTAAAAATGCTTTTTCCCCCAATTCTTCTAATTTTTCCCAATTTTTACAGGAAATGCCGACAAAACCGACCGAAAAACCGCCGGTTGTGCTGAACAACGAAAAAGCGATTGCGGCGATCGAGGAGGACAAATTAGAGCTGCAAATCGAGCAAGTCGGCAAGATTACGCCTCCGGACGGTGAGTTATGCGCGCATTTGGCAATTTTACTCAAAAAGTGAAAAATAGACTACTTTTGAGGAAAATTGGATGGCTGAAACTCACTTTTTTCAGGCGGCTACGGATGGGTCGTCGTTTTGGCGAGTTTCCTGGTGAATATGGCCGTCGACGGAGTCATCTACACGTGCGCGCCGATCGTTTTGCCGATTTGGGGTTTAAAGTTCGGATCGAAAACTCTGGCGAGCATTGCTCACTCGACGCTCGTCGGATGCTACTATCTATGCGGTTAGTACGCCTTTTTTGGGGTACTTTCAACGAAAATTGTGCATTTGCAGGACCACTCGCCTCGGCGTTCGTCAACGTGTTCGGCATCAGAAGTGTGGCGATCGGAGGCTCTGTGCTCGCGACGACGGGCTTTTTGCTCGCCCGTTTACCACCGGATCCCTGGAATTGTACGCGACGTTCGGAGTGATGGGCGGCATCGGATTCGGATGCATGTACCTACCGTCGATCGTCGTCCTCTCCCAGTATTTCGAGAAGAAACGTAGTCTGGCGACCGGAATCGCCGTGTGCGGATCCGGAATCGGAACGATGCTCTTCGCCGCACTCAACAACATCATCTTTCCGTTGGTTGGCGGAAATGTTGAGAACTTCCTCGTCTACCTTGCCGCCGTCGCCATTTCCGGAGCCATCTTCTCGCTCTTCTTCCGCCCACTTACCGCCTCTGACAAGCAAGTCGAGAAAGTGGCGAGAATTGTGAGCAAGTTTGAGGGAGAGCAAGGAGAGGCCACGAGAGACCTGCTCGAGAAGGTGCGCACCGATTTGGAGGAGCTGAACCGTCCCGGACATCAGCAGGACACTTATTATGCCGGAAACGCGGATGCTTGTGAGTAAACTGGAAGTTTATCTGAAATTTAGATCTTTCCAAAATTTGAATGTTTATCTCTATCCAAAGGTTTTTCGCGTCATTTTTTCATAGTTCTGTTTAATTTCTGTGAAACGGGCATTTTTAACGGACGTTTTAGTTTTTGTTCAATTTCGATCTACAACAACAAATTTGAAGTTTTTCTCAATTGTTCTCTCTAAAATCGTGCATTTCAGTGGACAAAAAGGAGAAGCACGTGGTGCACGTGACCGAACAGCACACGATCGAGCACACGCCGAAGAAGAGTGCGCTCGCCGAAATCAAGACGTCGCTCGCCTCCATCTGGGACACGGAACTGTTGTGCTCGCCATCGTTCATGACCCTGGCCATCTCGGGCACGCTCACCGTGCTCGCCTTCCTCGTCCCGTTCACACTTTTGTCCGACGAAATGAAGCAGAAGGGATACGAGAAGGAGCACACCGAAAAGGCGTTGATGGTGATCGGCGGCAGCAACATTGTGTTCCGTATCATCTGCGGAGCCATCTCGGACCATCCGAAGCTCTCGGCACTCCAAGTCTCTAACATTGCCTCCATCATCGCCGGAACCTCGATGCTCTTCGTTCCATTCTGTACCGAATTCTGGCACTACATGGCTTTCTGCGTCGTCTTCGCCGCTGGAGTTGGTGCGTTCATTTAGCCTTAAATTCTCGCTTCTTCTATAAAATTGGCAGAAATTTTGAATTCAAAAATGTAGAGTTTTTGTCGAGAATAGTGTCAATTTTGCAGCCTGCTTCGCCGCTCTCCGTTCGGTCATCGCCGTCGAGCTGATTGGAGTGGAGAAGCTGAACACGGCGTTCGGAATCATGATGGTGTTCATGGGAATCGGAGCGGTGACGGGCGCGCCGCTCGCCTCGGCTCTCAGAGACTTGACGGGCAACTACAACCTCAGCTTCTACGTGATGGGCGTCATTTTCGCCTTCTCCGGCATCATGACGATCCGTTTGCCGCAGATCAAGGCGTGGGAGGAGCAGCGCCGTCGTTCGCGTGTCGGCGTCGAAATGCGTGTCATCTCGCAGTCGTCGGCCTAACCACGAACTAACCACGAACGAATACTTTTATCTGTTTGTCCATCCGTCTTGATTTTTTTCTGTAATCCTCCCCCCTTTCCGAAAAATGACACATTTATACCGAGTTTGACTCTGATTAATTATCGATTTTCCTCTCTGAAATTTATATTAATTCCTTCATTCTTTTCCCACCCCGAATTTTAACGATCCCAGTTTCCCCATTCATCCGACGAATCTTTTAGCTTTAAGACTGTCTGTTTTTTGAGTAAAATTCAAATAAAAATGGTTATTTTTTTGCGCGGTGTAGCGCACTATAATAGTTGCGTAAAATATGCAAAATAGGTCATGGAAGTCACAAAATTTCCGATCTGTATAAATTCGGATTAAAACGTCCATTTCTGCACGAGCCGCGTTTTTTGGCTGAAATTTTCAAAAAATGGCGCAAATCAGCCCCGAAATAAGTGATGATTTTCCGGAAATTCGCAAAACTTCGACTTTTGTATTCTGGAATCAAACACGCATTTATATTATGATACTGACGTGAGAATTCTGGAAACTGTTGTGAACCTTCCTTCTGAAATTTTTCCAGTCTCGTATGTTTGACGTTTATCCAAATGAACACTTTGACGTTCAATTTCACCGTCATTTGTATGGACGACATTGTGGAAGATCATCATCGGGCCACCAATTTCACAGGTAGACTTTTTGACGCTGTCTTAAACATTCTGAAATTCTTTTTTGTCTCTTTTGATAGATCTTTTTATGCTGATCATTTTTGTCTCTTGCCACTTTCTCGTAGCGCTTCTAGTTTTCGAGATACGGAACGGGACGTCATCTGGCCAAATCTAAAATTTGTGTTGGCCGATGTAGTACGTGAAACCATGAAATCGCTGATCAAAAAAGTCTCTTGACACTTTTCCGTCTTTTAGTTTTCGAGTTAACCCTCAAAAACGAACACTCAAACTTTCAGACACCCACTGGTTCGAGCGAAACACCGAAAAGTCGCTGCTCTTCTCGGGAGCCGCGATCGGCGGACTCATCGGCCTGATCCCCTCGGTCCCACTGATCAGTTCCCTGGGCTTACGGAACGTCCAGACCATTTCCGGACTCATTTCCTCGGTCGGCGCCTTCTTCTTCCCGCTGGCCGTCTCCGCCGGTTTCTACACTTCGATGCTATGTCGTATCCTTCAGGCATGGCGTTGTTTCTTTTTTTGGGACCGAGATTTCCTCATAGCCTGACTAATTAATATCAAAAAGGTTTTGAGGGCACGTAAACTTTAGCTAACTTGACAACTAAAGTTTCAATGTTCATAAAGAACTGATAGTGAGCAAGATCGTGAAAATAAGACTTATTCTGCAGGGCGTCGGCTCGGCGATCATGTTCACGACGGTCGGCGTGGTCCCTGGGGTCTGGGCTCGCGGCTCCGAGGCCAACAGTTTCATGGCCGTCCTCTCGTGTGCTCTTCAGTTGAGCAACATCATTTGCATGCCCGTCTCGGGCATTCTATGCGAAAGTTCATTGGGTTGGCGCTCGATTTATTACCTTTTCGGCGCCGTCACTTTTGTCGTTTATATCCTATTCTGGACGACGTATTCGGACGATCCCAAGATGCACAGGTAAGACTTACTGGTCGCCTAACTTTTCAAATTCAAATATAGTTTATCTGACTTGTTGCCTAGAAAAAGCTAGGCCACCGCCATGAGATCAACAACCAACAACTACTATCGAATTTCAGAAATGTGTCGCGCAAAGAGCTCTCGAAAATCTCGGTGGGAAAAGTGGAAAAAGTGAAAGAGGCGGTGCCGTACGGGGCGGTCTGTTCGGACCCGACCGTACTCGTCACGTGGATGTCCTGTTTCGGCGGCAACATGGGATTCTTCGTCCTTTCCCTCTACGGACCGACGTATCTTCGAGAAATTCTGAAGTTCGACGTCAAAGAGACCGGATTTCTGTCGGCGCTCCCGTTCATCCTTTCCGCTATTGTCAAGTTCGGCGCCGGACAGATTTCGGATAAACTGACGTTTTTATCCGAGAAAGTGAGTTTGGATTGGGTCTTGAAACCGATAATAGCCAATAGATCTCAAAAAGTTTGTGCGGTATCTCGACATTTCACCAATTTTCAGGCCAGATTCGTATTTTTCGCGGCCGCCTCCCAAATCGGTCTGGCCGCCGGATTTCTGGTGATGGCGTTCACTTCCAATCGGCTCATTGCTCAAATTGCATTCAATTTCGCCATCGTCTCATCGGGACTCAATATTATGGGAGTGATAAAGTGTATTCAACTGGTTAGTGCGTCAGAATACGACAAAAATAGTCTTGAAACGTGCCTGACGCCCGTTTCAGCGTTGTCTCCAACACGTGCACTTTGCAATCGCCGTCATCTCGTTCACAGCGTATGTCGTTCAATTTTTGGCGCCCATTTTCGTGGGAATCATTTGTCCGGATAACACTTCAGAGCAGGTAGGTACAGTAATCCGGTACCGGAACTGAAGTACTTGGCGCTACAGTAATCCCGTAGACTTATTAGTCCCTAAATATAGTCGCGTTCTGAAACTCGGCTTGAGTATCTATTTTCGAAATGGGGTTACAAACCACCAAAAAAGAGTGAAAAATCATTGGGAAATGAGTGCAGTTGAACGTTTTTTTTCCCCCAATTGGAATGATTGTGTATACCAATCGATAATTACTTTGTTTTCGAGAAAAATCGACGAAAAAGCAAGCTTTCAGTGGACGCTTCTCTTCCTGCTAATCACTGGTTTCATCATCGTCTGCAACGTCGCTTTCCCATTTCTCACAAAATCCGAAGCGGCCGATTATACGAAAAATGCCTCAAATTTACCTACTTGATAATATTTACACTAAATTTTGAAAAACAACGATCTCCGAACAGTTTTTGGTAGTGACTCTCTATGCAAATAGATAAATCATTAATCTGTTCCTGTTTTTTTGCGTTCGAAAAATCTTTGGGTCATTTTTCAATCGAAAAATGAGTGAAATCGGTCCCGAAAGCGATAACTTCAAGTTTTGGAATAAAACCCGCTTTTTCGTGCTGTTTTTGACGTAAGCTAGGATTACTGTAGCTACAGTAATCCTCGAAAATGGTTTTCAGATTAATTTGTATGACATTGGCTCAAGTGAACTCGATCACCTTCAATTTTACCGTAATCTGTATGGAGCAACTGATTTCTGAGCATCATGCGGCTAATTTCAGTGGTAACAAAGCTTTTTTAAATGGTTTATCCAAAAATTGTATCCAAAACATTTCAGGAGTGCATTGGATGGAAGATCCGTCTCGAAAATCGATAGTTTTCTCCGGATCCGCTATTGGAGCGATATTGGGCTTAGGCCCAACTGTCTATTTTGTGGATAGATTTGGAGTCAGGTGAACTTGAACTTTTTTATAAATAGTTATCGAAAAATTTATCCATATTTCAGGTACATATTGACCGTCTGCGGGTGCCTCTCCGCTATTGCATCCCTCCTTTTTCCACTGGCCGTCCGCACATCTTTTTCTACCGTAATCCTGATCCGAATCGTCGAAGGAATCGGCGCCTCCGTACTTATATCTACAATATCCGTAATTTCAAATGTGTGGGCGTCGAGCGACGAAACGGGCACATTCTTTGCCATTTTATCGTGCGTCTTCCAGTTGAGCATGATCATTTGCATGCCAATTTCCGGAGTGTTATGCGATTCGCAACATTTCGGATGGCAATCGGTTTATTACATTTTTGGAGGTGCCACGTTCATATTCTATCTCGGTTTTGCATATTTCTATCGAGATTGTCCCGCCGCTCATCCGAATGTATCCAGAAAAGAGGCCGAGAAGATTCGAAGCGATAGAATTGGAGGATTTGGAGATAAACGTAGGATTTCTTGGATTCATACATCTAGACTCATTGATAAAAGTGAGGAGACAGATGGAGGATGTTTAGATAAGAAAGTTAACGAACTTATGGATAGATTTATGGATAAACTTATGAATAAATGTACAGATAAACCCCTCCCTTGGCTTGAAATCATCACCGATCCGACTATAATCGTTTCCTGGATATCCATCCTCGGCGCCGATGTCAACGTGTTGCTCCTAGTTTTGTACGGACCCACGTACCTCCGAAAAGTCCTCAATTTCGACGTCATCGGGGTCGGCATCGCGGCCGCCCTACCGTACATTTCAAGTATTATCATCAAAATATCTTGTGGATACTTTTCCGATACAATCGAGTTTATAAGCGTCAAAACGAGGTTTTGTATATTCGCGGGAGCGTCTCACTTTTTACAATGTATTTCTCTTCTCGTCATGTCGTGGACTTTGAATCGGACAATAGCTCAAATCGCATTCACAGTCGCCGTAACCGCGTGTGGTGTGAATGTTATGGGAAACGCGAGATGCATACTATTGGTGAGATTTATCGATTTATCGACGTTCATTTATAAAAACATTTAAGCGTTCTCGACAATTTGTCCATTTTTCAATGGGAATCACAACTTTCATCGGATGCACCATCAGTTTTCTGACGCCACTTTTCGTCGGATTGATGTGTCCGAATAATGCCGCGGAAGAGGTGAGAAAATGTTTGCCTCAAATTGGCTAATGATGTATGTCATTTGATAGAGAATTTCACGCTGATTAACTTTGTCTCTTGAAGTTTCTTGCCAACTATTGTAGTTTTCGAGATCGCCTTCTGAAAGTCTGTTCAAAATTTTTGGTGTGCCACCGAAACCAGTGATGGTGTATGTCAATCGATAGCAAATTTCACGCTGATCAATTTTGTCTCTTGACATTTTTCTCTATCTCTTCTAGTTTTCGAGAAAAGCAGCAAAAATGCACATTTTCAGTGGTCCCGCTTGTTCAGCATCGCTTCCGTCATAGTCGTCGTCGCCTACATCCCGTTTCCAATTTTCAGCAGTGATCAGCCCGGCTCCTACGTGTTTCCGAACGAGAATTGATAAATTCTTATATTTTGACCGTGTGTCGAGAAAAAGATGATAAAACGGTGGTTGCAAATCGGCTTTTTTTTTTGGAATAATTTCAGATGTATGATGTTCGCCGGTGATTGTCTGATCTGGTCTGAAAGTGATGAAAAATGAAGCGGGTTTTGATTACTATAAAAGGGACCCAATGGCAGTGGACTTTTGACCCACTCGCAATGATCCGTTCGGGCCCGAACCCTGCAGACCTCATGGAATTGGATTGCAGTGTATTGGGTCCGCGAAGCAGCCTGATCCCACCGGATCCTTTAATCAGTAGCCCGGGGAATCCGCTTCCGGCCGTCTCGTTCAAAATCCAAAAACTTCTAAACATTTCTCGTTCCAACCTCTTTTCTCCCATTCCAAACAATTTCCCAGCACTAAAAAGGGCACAAATAGAACGTTTTCGCTCTTTTCTTCTCATTCCCATCTCCAAACAACACATATTCTTCTGCTATTGTACACTAACACAAAAAATGTCCTCGTACCTCCGTTCCTCTTCTTATTCGCATCGAATGTCTTCGTTACACTACACGGCGTTGCGAAATGATGACGATTCGCATTTTGTGGAAACCGAACAATATCCAGAATCCGAAATGACGACGAACATTTCGATGGAGATGGCTGAGAATGACAATATTTATGCCCTTCCGAAGAAGCGGAAAACCTCAAGTTTCGTGTTCTGGAACCAGGCACGCCTCTATATTATGCTTTTATCGTGAGTGGCCGAACTGTTTCCCCGTGGCCTAACTTTCCAAATGTGTGTGTGTTTTCAGGTTATTATGTCTGACATTGGCTCAAATGAACTCGCTCACTTTCAATTTCACCGTCATTTGTATGGATGACATTGTTTCGGATCATCACGCCCGCAATTTGAGCGGTAAGAGTTTGGGAGCGGGGAAAGTTAGGCGACGGATCGAAAGAAGAGGACTAGGCCACGAAACTAGAAAGGAAAGCTAGACGACTCAACTTTGAGCGTGTTTCAGGCGCCCACTGGATGGAATCGCCCTCGCAAAAGTCGGTGCTCTTCTCGGGAGCAGCCATCGGAGCCATGATCGGCCTGATCCCGTCGGTGCCGCTGATGAGTCGGCTGGGAATGCGCAACATGCTCACCGCTTCCGGTCTCGTCTCCGCCGCCGGTTCCGTCTTCTTCCCGCCGGCCGTCGCCTTCCACTATTATGCGGTTCTCGCGTGTCGCATCCTTCAAGGCCTCGGCATTTCCATCCTATTCACCGTCGTCGGCGTGATTCCGGGCGTCTGGGCGCCAAATGACGAGATGGGCACTTTTTTGGCGATTCTCTCGTGTGCCTTCCAGTTGAGCAGTATCATTTCGATGCCCGTTTCGGCTCTATTATGTGAATCCGAGTTTGGCTGGACGTCCATTTACTATCTATTCGGCGTGCTCACATTTGTCGCCTACACTCTATTCTATGTGTTTTATACAGACTCGCCCGACATTCACACAAATGTCTCGGAAAAGGAGCTGCGAAGAATCGAAGAGGGAAAACTGAAAATCGATAATGAGCGGCGGGAGAAGGAAGCGGTTCCGTACGGGGCGATTTGCACGGACACCACCGTGCTCATGGCGTGGCTCTCGGTTTTCGGCGGAAACTTTGCATTCTTCATCCTCGTCCTCTACGGTCCAACCTATCTACGCGACATTCTGCACTTTGACGTCAAACGCACCGGATTCGCGAGTGCTTTGCCGTTCCTCCTTTCCGCTATTGTCAAATTTGGCGCCGGGCAATTGTCGGACCGCATGCAATTTGTGTCGCAAAAGGTTCGGAGCAGTGCAAATATTGTGTGTTCTCGCAACAAAAACATGCTCTCAGACCCGCTTCACATTTTGTGCAATCGTCTCTCAAGTCGGTGTGGCCGCCGGTTTCATCGTCATGGCAATGGTGAGTGTTGCGAGCGTGCAACTATTGTTGCTTTTACAAAATTGTCAGACAACCGACCGATTTGTCGCTCAACTCGCCTACACATTCGCCATAACCGCGTCGGGTTTGAATATTATGGGTACGATTAAATGTGTCCAATTGGTGAGCAGCTTACATGATTCACTTTAACACCGCCGATTCTTGAGCGCTGCCGTCAACACGTGCATTTTGCCATCTCTGTCATTTCCTTCTGTGCCTACCTCATTCAATTTGTCGCTCCGATTGGTGTAGGCATTTTGGTGGCCGATAATACTCGAGAAGAGGTGCATTCAATTGAATCTTCCTTCCTTTCATCATTATTCCTTTTTGCAGTGGTCCCAACTATTCTTCATCGTTTCTGTGGCCGTCGTCGTCTTCAACGCCCCCTTCCCGTTCCTAACCTCTGCCGAACCGGGACCTTTTGTGAAATGTTCTCTCAAAGTGTAGAAAACGTCAAATTTACATCTGAAAAGCCGTTGTCATACAATAATAGATTGCAGCGAATAAAAGTGGTGTTGTGCATGATTTGAAACACACTCAAATCTGCATAGAATGTCAACAATTCGTCTGATATTGTTGGTTCTGTGTGCCCGAGTGCCCTCTCGCCTAACCTCGGCCTATCCGTCTTGGTTCAATCGGACGACGGCTTGCAATTTTTGCGGACAAATGGTGTACGGAGTCGTACTTTCCGATGATTCTGAAGTGTTGATTAGTGCGATCCAGTTGGTTTTTCAGGTAATTTGTTCAGAAGCACACGTTTCTTTCTCGGCTTTCGCCAACTTTCAACTGATTATGTCGACTTCTCACACTTCTTGTGAGGCCCTCAACTATTTTTGTCTCTACGATCATTTCTTGAATTACTGTAGCGCTTGGAACTTTGGAAAACACGGTGTTTGCAGTATACAGAATGTCCGAAATGGTATCCGTACATAGAACTCGACTACTGCGTCAACACGCTCACCGCCTTTTTCTCCTTCAACTATCGTCCGTTCTACTACGTTGCTCACCCACTCCGCGACTACATTTGCATTCCGATTTGTGGAAACAGCGGACAAAACTACACTATCACATAGTTTTTGTAACCGTTTTGAGTGAATAAAGTCTACGAGCATTTACACAAAATCAATAGAATAGTTAGAATAATTGAGATTTTATATCTTTCACTGTTAGTTACTTTGTCTCCCCTAAAGGAGTCTTTCCAAAATTAGAAAGCTGACGCTAAATTGCTTTAGGTCATTCCCAGGTTCGCACCTCTAACTTGGGTAATTAAACCAAAACTAACAGCGCGCGTATCGACTAATGTTTTGCGAGCAGCCGACATGTCCGAGGGATCGCGAGTGTCTACTCTCCCGACAATATCGGCCAACACACACTGGCCATTGAGACATTGCTCGCGAAAATGTCATCGACATAGAGTGACGATGATTTCGCTTACGACCATATCACGTTGAATACACGCCATCCCGTCCGATCTGGCAAGTTAAGCAACGTTGAGTCCAGTTAGTACACAGGTAAAACGCGAGGCATGCATTATGCGAACACCGTGGAGAAACCGTGGAGGTGCATGCATATAGCATCCATTATGGATCCACAGCGCACAGAAACGGGAATATGCTTCGCGCGTGCATGAAATATGCGTTACTGTCCTCTAGAACGCACGGATCGCGCGTGGAAGGAATATGCCTTATCAGTTCGAGCGGCTGTCGCTGTTCGCCGTTGGCCGTGGATGCATTATGGAAGCATAATGCCAACATCGCCAACGGAAACAGCTCATTTGCTGCTATTGCAAGCAAGACGGATTCACAAAGTTCCGAGCAGGAACAGTGCGCTCCGTCCAGTGTATCTCAACTGTCTGTAGAGATATCAAAAAGTGGTCAACTGATGACATGTACAAAATGTTTTAGTGAGCATTTTTTTAGTTGACTACTTTTTGCAGCTGAGATATGCCCTCTTGCAGCTGAGATATGTCCTCTTGAATGTACGGGAAAGTATTTTAAGGAAAGTCAAGATGGTCATCATTATCAATATCGACTGTATCTATCACATTGATTAGGTAAAACTTAAGTCGTGCGGGAGAATCTATCACATTGATTAGGTAAAACTTAAGTCGCTCAGAGCATGGAGAAGGGAAAGACTCAGGTAATTTTCGGTAAGGGTGGACGCGAGAGCGACAAGTGAACATCAAGGTGCTAGCTGCCGATCTCCCGCTCCTAATGAGGCAAGCGTCGCCCGTGGATCGCGCGTGGAGGGAATATGCAGGGGAAGAGGGCCGGCGGCCGAAAACTCATGCCCCGTCCACATATTCTTGTTTCTAATTTCATCGGGTTTTCACTGTTTTTTCCACATTTTCGACTGCTTTTCTTCGCTTTCAGGTAATTTTCTCTAATTGTAATAGTTTTAACTTCAAATTGTTAAGAGTGCCACGAAATTCCGTCTGTAAGCCCCGAGAACATGAAGCGACTCAATGAAAAATGCCGGTCGAATGCAACGGTGTCGGCCAATTATCAGGTTACTTGGTCTCCAGTTTTTTTGAAATATTCTTATTTGATTACAGATGAGGCACGAGAAAAGCCGTCTTCGAGATCGAACACTCATGATTCTCGGACCGATTCAGAAGCAGAACATGGCGAGCGTGCAGATCGCAGCCAATCGGCAAGAGAAGTTGGGAGGACAGGCGGCAAAGTGCAAGAGTAAGTATTTTCGAAGACCGTTTCAACACACTCCAATTGCGCTTTTCAGGTGATCACCGAGAATCAACGGAAACTCGAGAATAGCGAGAGAAACGCCGACATGAACGACGAGCGATGCGCCAACTGGAACACGGAACGGAACATCGATCGGATCGCCGACTGGAGAAGCAACTGGAGAACCGAACGGAACGCTAACTGGAGCGTCGACAGGAAGGCCGACCGAAGCGCCAACTGGAGCACCGTGCGGAACGCCGACAAGTGAGGTGATCACTTCTGCTGCTTCCTCAGACAAATCAATTCGAATCTAATTAGAACAAATTAGGTAAAACCACGTCTAATAGGGTTATTCAGGCTGTGAAAAAAATCATTTTTTTCCGTTTATTTCGTTTTTTTACGTCAAAAAACCCAATTCAGCGGTGTAAAAAAAGCGAAAAAAGCGGAAAACAAACATACGCTGAATAGCCCCATAATTAGATGATCTTAGTTTCTAACGCAACCTATTTAAATTCGAATTGATTTGTCTGAGTCCGTCGTTCTGATAATTTTTCTTCGCATAACCTATTCTATTCTATTTTTGATGTAATTTTGTTGTTTCTACATGAAATTGTTCTCTAATCATTCTTTTTGTGTGGGAAATGAAGGGAAGCGGGGCGAGGAGGGGAGAGGAGCGGAGGGCAAGCAAGGAGGGGAGCGGAGGGCGAGCGTCGCTCCGCCGTGCCTCCATAATGCTTCCTCGTGCCACAAACGTGCGTTAGCTGTGCATGCGTTTACCGTACTAATAAGTTGCACGCGCGATCCACATGAGTTGCATAATGCATGCCTCGCGTTTTACCTGTGTACTTGGATCGGAGACGGCCTGGGAATCCTGGATGTTGTAAGCTTTTGCCTTTTTCATCTCAATTGCTGTCGTTTTTTAAACGTTCGTGCCTTGCTCAAATTGCTCAAGTTTCATGTTGTTCATATTATATCGTCCCGTGGGACATTCCAAAATTTGTAGCTGACGCAAAACTTTCATTGAGACATTTTTTTACGGCATCGGCATTGGCATCGAACATCAGCATGAGGATCCGACGAGCGGAGAGTGTATTCTGATGCCTTTGGAAGTATTTCTGATCATTTGCAACCTGAAACTGTCGATGGGAGGCTCGGGAACACTGGGAGAATAAAGGGGAAAGAACACGAGACTTTCAATTGCCAAACCTGGACACTGTTCCGTTAAAAAAAAAAAAAAAGAGATGCATCGTTTATTCAATTACAATATTTATCACACACGGCATTTCCGAAATCGACCATTTTCGGTCGGAACTTTTCAAAAATGTCGGCGAGTGGAAGTGAGTTGACAAGTCGCATGCACGTTGGTTTCAGTGTGATGTCCAGTTGGAAGCATGCCAAGTTCTGTTTCATAAATTTGGTGAAACTAGCGTAATACAGAACCTGTTACCAAGTATCCGGTGACTTCCGCCCACGTATTCGGCACGTGTTCCTCCCAGTTTTTGTTACAGTAATCGCAGAAGGTGTCCTGAGCGTGTTGAAGATCGGCGGCAAGGGTTACTGTGGCGAGAGCGGCAAAAACAATGAAGAATCGCATTTTTCCGGGCTGGATAGTATCGGTTTTGCACAAAATACACTGTTTTTGAGCGCTCAGCTTCGGATTGGTTTCCCACTCATCAGAAATTCAAAGGATATTATCATAGATTTAAATTTTCGGCGCTACCACCAAAAACCAAGTACAATATGCAATTTGGCAAGGAGAAATATCAAGAGTCTCGAGGAAATTCAGACGTTTTCTCAAGGCCCGCTCGAAAGTATAAAATGGGTTTCCGGAAGATGGAACGAACACAGACCAAAACATGAAAAAGTCTTCAAATCGTTCTGTTTACCGCTATTTTCTCGGTGGGTTTCGCCGCAAAATGCGAATATTGTACGGCTGCGGTGAAGGAGATCAAGGACGGAAAAGGGCTCGCGTGGATGGCCGATTTGAGCGCCAAACAGATCGAGGAGGAGATCCGGAATGCCGTCGAGGTGAGCTTGTACACTTAAAATGTCTGTACGGTTGTTTGACCCACTTTTTCAGAGGATTACTGTATTTTCTTGCAGAAACACTGTTCGGATACATCGATTGCTCCGAAACTCATCAAAGACCTTGTGGAAATCGCCGATCAACTTGACGATGAGCTCGACTCGACGCCGCAGCAATTGTGCAAATTCCAGCACTATTGTTGAACTGATTTCTGTGCTCTTTTCATTTTCCAAATAAAATCGAAAATGAATGTTATGCGTCTTCTTCAGGGTAAAGCAAAGAATGAACAAACATGGCGCGGTGAAAACGTTCAATTATTTCGACGAAAGTACTGTAGGACTGCATACTTTCGCCGCCACGCACAATTCCGTTTCGGTGGCGTTCGACAATTTCGGATTGATACGGTAGATGTGCGCGATTTGGCCGATCAAACGACGACAATCTTTGTGGCCGCAGGCTGTCTGGAAAAAGCGGTCGAAATTTGAATGGATATTGTACGGTTGTTTGATGTCCTGTAGATTTCACGTTGTTTTGAAACATTAGATGAAAACAAGTAGACTGTTTTTCTAGTTTATCATTTTTTTGTACGACCACTCCTAAAGGTTACTGTAGGTCTTGGAAATTGATGTTGACAATAGCTACAGTCAGGACTAAACTTCCAAGAGCTACAGTATGCTTAGGAATTATTGTACCATAAAATGGTCAATTACAAAGGAACAGTACTATGTATGAGCATCACTTTGAAGCAACAAACAAGCTGTACCTGAGCTCCACTCAAAAAATATGCAATTGTCCGCATATATTGTTTCTGATACAGTTCCTCTCGGCTCCACGGTCCTTTCGCGCCTCTCACAATCGTCTTGCACTGTTCACAGTTTTCGGGTGTTTCCGGAACGGTGTACTTGCGTTCCGCCAGCCAGGATCTCGTTGTTGCGGCGCCAGCAGTTGAGGACGCCGCGAAAATTGTGGCGAGCAACAGAAATTCGCAGAGTTTCATTATGACGGAAATTTGCAGATTTTTGCTCAATTCATGACTTTAATATGGTTTGCCGTTCTCATAATCATTATTTTCGCTCATTTGAATATGCAATTTGAGAATGACACTAGAGTGTACAAAACGACTAAAAATTACAGATTTATTTGAAAAACTGACACACGCAATGACGTTGGCTTGAAATTTCCAATAGAGGTCAAGGGGTACATGCCAATTTTTAAAAATTGCCGCGTACCCTTAACCGTCAAGGGTTCATGCCAATTTTTAAAAATTGCCGCGTATCCTTAACCGTCAAGAGTTCATGCCAATTTTTAAAAATTGCCGCGTATCCTTAACCGTCAAGAGTTCATGCCAATTTTTAAAAATTATTTGTAATTTCTAGTTTATATGAACTCTCTCAAACATTGCAATTACTACACAAAAAAGATAAGTAGAACACGTTCGATCAAAATTTATTACATTCTCAGCAATAAATGCATTTAACTCAATTTGACAAGGAATGCTGTTGGCAGTGATTATTGAACACTCGCGGCGCTTTCGTCGAAACTGTTTGGATCGATTAGGAAAAAGCATCCGCCGTGCGTGAACGTCACATTGTTTTTGGAGGTGATCTGACCGGTTTCCGCACTGCACTGCAGGCCCATCGCCGAGATGAAATCGTACATGCCGTTTCTTGGATTGAGGGCACAACATAGTAGTCGACCTGAAGTATTAGTAAGTGGGGAACGAAATTGACAAAAAAAACAAATCGTTCCCTGGTGAGGCAATTGCTGCATTTGAGTGCAATGTATTCTTCAACTCGTAGCTCGAAGGAGCATTTTTGTAGAAAATAACCGTCAACTACAAAGTTGATGAGCATAACATTTACTCCAACTTTTTAGTTAACGACTTCTTTCTGCGAATTTTAGTTCTTCAGATACAGGCTGTTGACCAAAGGAGGGTGTAAAGAAGTTATTTCAGAGTTACTACGATTTTCGTAAGCCTGTATCTCACGAACTAAAATGTGTACAACGAAGTGTTCAACAGAAAAGTTGAAGTAAATGTTATGCTCATCAACTTTGTAGTTGACAAATATGCTCTACAAAAATTATTCTTCCAGTTATAGGTCGAAGAATCCAATGCACTCAAACGCAGTTTGATTTAAGAGATCCGAGTCAAAACATCGATACTTTTGGAAATGGCGTGGTGAGAGAGAAAGAGAATGACCAAATCACGATTCACGATTAGTCCGTTGCCATTTTTCAGCACCTATTCTTACAATATTGTTGGTGGCGTTGAGAAGAACCACTCCGAAGAGGTTCGTGTTCGTCCACGTGCATTGAAAGTTCCAATCGCACTCGCCGCTCGTCGCATTATACTTCGACGAACTGGCCCATAGATTTCCGCAGTACGCCTGGTACCGCTTGTATTCAGGAATAGCCGCAAAGTACGGGTAGACCGTATTCAACACTATTCGGTAGAAATCGTTGTCCGACGGAAACACATCTCCGTTCGCACACTTTGAACATGCTGCGAAAAGGGAAAAAAGAAGTTGGCAAGGTTTTCGAAACGTTTTCGTCTCAAACCACCGTACCTGAAGCCGGACAAGAGGCATAGACGAGTGCCGGAAGCAGCGCGACGATGTACAGCATTTCGGACCGAAACGCGACAGTTTTGAGGGCGGACTTTTTGGAATCGGGGTGGTGGGCTTATATAACACGTTCCGGTCGCACATTTAATGACTGTTTTGACTTTTAAATCATGTGATCGTGATTTTCGGCCAGAATGAGCTAGTAGAGTGGAGTTTAACCCAATTTTTTCCTGTTTTCGGACTACTAGACAACCTAGCCCTCTATTTTAACAAAACGTACCTAAAATATGATGGTAATAGTGTAGTTCATCCCGTTATAAGAGTCTACAAGGTATCAAAATCGGGTGTGATCCTTTTTATGCTCGAAAAACACAAATCAATATGTCCAATTTGGCAATAGATGGGAAACTTCAGAAAATGACATCAAAAGTTGCATATTCTGATAGAGCTCGACGAGCTGATCACTCTCATATCATCATTTTCGATATATTTGATTCTCAATTGATAAGGTATCGTCAGATTTGTTTGTAATTCATTCAGATGCACCATATGAATGCGAATGAACGTGTTAATAGCCAAATGTTTATCATCAACAAAATGACATCGTTTCAGAAGGCGCTCATTTCCAGTAGTACGTGTAAATGCGGCCGCCGTCGACGACGACTCCATCCAAAGTGAACTTTTGTTTCGACGTGTCACAAATCAACGGGATTGTGAAGTTCAACGCGGGCCAGTAGTGTGTGTAAATCTGGAAAAGTGTGCAACAATTTTCAGGGTAAACAAAAGGCAACGGAAAAAAAATCGCTCACACTTCCATTAGTCCAATGAACGGCCGAGTAGCTGAAGAGCGGCGTAAAGTGAGAGTTCCGAGATTCGGGCGAACGTCCATCTCGCACGGTGTGAGCCAATTGACAGTGTTCGTGAATGGACCTTTGCTGACCAGGTACGCTGTCGCATTCGACACATTGAAGATGCTCGTCGAGGGAACGTCGTAGAGGATGTTAAGTCGAAGCCTGAGCATTGACAGCCTGCAAAAACGGAAATTCGTTAGCGGTAAGCTTGTTCGGGACATTTGTGACATGACAGGTCCCATCAACCATTCGGATCGTGTCTTTCTACTACTTCTCCAAGTTTTTTATCTCAATTTTGCTATCTATCTAGCTAGTACTCATAATTAAAGGACCTCGACGTTCCACAACTAACGTGAACTAGTTCAAGTGGGTATCCAGAAGCGTCCGGTTGCAAAACGTCAAGACCCCCAACTAATGTTACTCACCAACAGTTGTAGTGGTTGGGGTCGTTGTTGTAGTGGTTGTGGTAGAAGTCGTTGTTGTTGGAGTTGTGGTAGTTGGAGTCGTAGTTGTGGTGGTTGGGGTGGTGGTAGTAGTTGCAGGAGTCGTACTAGTTGTTGTCGGGGTAGTGGTAGTTGTTGTAGTGGTTGGGGTCGTAGTAGGTGTGGTAGTTAAAGTTGTAGTAGTTGGAGTAGTAGTTGTAGGAGTCGTAGTTGTGGTAGTTGGAGTAGTAGTTGTTGTAGAAGTCGTAGTTGTAGTGGTTGGGGTGGTTGTGGTAGTTGGAGTAGTAGTAGTTAAAGTAGTAGTAGTTGTAGGAGTCGTACTAGTTGTTGTCGGGGTAGTGGTAGTGGTCACAGCGCTCGTAGTCACCTCTACCGTAGTAGATGCACTTGTAATTTCAGCTGGGGTCGAAATCGGACCAGCTGGTGTTCCCGGTTTGCACGGAACGCTTGTCACATCCTTCAGCACAACGCTGAATACGAGGAGGAGAAGATGCATGGGGACGCGCTCTTTGTGGACCGTTTGCCCGTTTTGTATCGCTTTTGTACTTCATGTTTATGTAATTATGCTAAATTTTTCGTAGAGAGTGGGGTGATGAATTGAAATGAACCTTATAATGACTAGAATGGTGTTCAATTTCGGGGCATTTTCGAGAGATTCAGATGAATGACGTGGCACAAAAAGCCAACAAAACATACCCGAAAATTACCATAACAATTGTATCTAAACACTTTCTCACCGCCCTCTATTGTTGTCACTTTTCAACCCTTCGCCACAAGCCAACAAAACATCATATCACGTCAATGTCGCCCGCCAATATCATCCTCTTCTCAATTCTCGCGTCTACCGTAATCGTCGGCCAGGATTTGTCGTCGACGACGGCTACTGTAGAAGTGAGTACAGTAGCCACGGAAACTGCCACCGCCTACACGACTCTCTGCCAGTCTTGCCTCTCGTTTTTGACCACTTTGCCCGGATTTTTGGACAACTATACGCCGAGTGTTGCAATTGATGCGGTAGGCCTACTGTAGGGGTTACTGTAGTTTCGAAACCTCTGACATACTGTCATGAACTAACAATAGAGCTGTTCTAAAACGTAACTGTGATCCGAAAGTTTCCCAACTTTCCAGAACACGCTGTGCTCAGCCGTTGCCGAACGAATGCCGTCCGTCGGCGAACCGTGCTTCAAACTCTTCGCCGAATATTGGCCGTCCGTCACAAACGCGACAACTCTTCAAATCTGTCAAACCCTATTCTTTTGCTGAACCTGAACCGAAATAAAGAACTTTCGAGCATACAATAACAATTTGTGTTGTTATCATCTAATGTTGTGTGTGATAACGCCTCAAAACTCCGTTTCATTTCAAAACAACCGCCGTCATGAGTAGTCTCCTCACCTATTTTTTGCTATTTTCACTGATTTCGCTGCTATCCTCACAGCAAACCACTGTCGTCTGCCAAATTTGTACGGAACTGGTAGCGGCCGCCCAAAAAACCGATCCGGACGATTTGAAAGAGTTTTTGGAGACGAAAGCGGTTAGTATTCGAGAAAATGTGTCAAGTTTGAGTAGATTTAAAAGTTTCGTAAGGTCACCCCTTTGGAAACCAATTTTTTGAGGTCTTTTCGTCTGAAACCGCTAAAAATGGGTTCTGCGGTGGTTTTTGATGGGGAATTCAGATTTTCGGACAATTTTTGAAATTCCAGAAACAGTTGTGCTCCAATCTTCCGTTCATTATCGATATCAGTTACCTCTGCTACGATTATTTTGTTCCATTTTTATCCAGAATTCAAGAGCTCACGAATACCGGCGAGTCGCCGGAAGTTGTGTGTCTTCAAGTCGGAATTTGCAAAGCGTGAATCATTTATTTATCGATATATTTATCGATATATATTTATTTTTTTCGATATATTTCGATATATTTATCGATATATATTTATTTTTTTCGATATATTTCGATATATTGATCGATATATATTTATTTTTTTCGATATATATTTATCGATATATATATACATGTTTATAAATAAAAATACATCGTGTTAAGTTACGGAACAGGGACCACGGATACAGTAAGACTTTGGGATCCGCGTGGGCCGATTAGTGTGGATATTCGACGGCGCATGTCGGTATTCGATAAAAGGAGCATAAGGGGAAGGGATATCTCGGGCAGGTAATTGACAATATTCAAAACTGCCACCAAATCGATTTTCGTCACTGGATTCGCACTCCAATCTTTGGTGTTGAGGTACTCGAAGAGGATACACATCGCCTGGAGCATTTCTTCGAATACCCGAGTATCCATGAACAAGTATTCTTACCCCGTAGAATAAAATAGTGATAAACAACTGGATAAACACTCTCTGCTCTCCGTTCTGCGCGCTTCTTCTCGACATCACCTGCTGTGTCATTCGACGAATGTGAAAATATAATACAATGTAGCAGACTATCGATCCGAACGGGAAAATGTAGAAAAGACGGTTTATTAGCTGAAAAATTGTATCGCTGAGTTGTAGCGATAAAGTATAAAAGAAGTAGTACCATTTGATATCCGGGATTGCCACTATCCACAAATCCGATTCTTCGGATATACAATCGGCGCATATCAGACGTCTGGATAAGTACGACAGCGGCTATTGCCGCCACAATAACGCATAGGGACACGAGGATTATTATTCGGGATCTGAAACATTTATGGATACTTTTTGGATGAGATTAACGGAATTCACAACTCTAACACTTGTTTTCCTTTTGAAATCATTTCTTTTGTCTCCCCTAAAGGAGACTTTCCAAAATTAGAAAGCTGACGCTAAATTGCTTTAGGTCATTCCCAGGTTCGCACCTCTAACTTGGGTAATTAAACCAAAACTAACAGCGCGCGTATCGACTAATGTTTTGCGAGCAGCCGACATGTCCGAGGGATCGCGAGTGTCTACTTTCCCGACAATCTCGGCTAACACACACTTGCCACTGAGACATTGCTCGCGAAAATGTCATCGACATAGAGTGGACGCGATTTCGCTTACGACCATATCACGTTGAATACACGCCATCCCGTCCGATCTGGCAAGTTAAGCAACGTTGAGTCCAGTTAGTACTTGGATCGGAGACGGCCTGGGAATCCTGGATGTTGTAAGCTTTTGCCTTTTTCATTAGCATTTTTTTTGCCTAATGGGCCGAAATATTATTCACATCCAATTTTTCAACTGTTGGTTCTTTGCATTTTGTGCTTTTCCAATTTTATTTTTATTTTCTCGGTACATCAAAAAGAAAAAGCTCCCACCAAGCTTTCGTCGAAAATATAATTAGTAGAGAGTGGGTAACTGGAATATAACCGATTCCAAAAATATTACCAATTCCCCATGCCATTTCCAGCCCATTTGAGTCTATCTCTTCAATTAACCCAGGATTCCTCCTCTCTCGAGAAAAAGTCGCTATGGGAATCATGCTACATTCAAGAGTTATTTTGTTATCTTCTTTGTAGTCGAGAGTAAATTGAAGGATGGTAACGAGGAAAACCATGGTGCATCGGCCATTAGAATTGCGTAACGCGCCAAAACTCGTCAACTAACCGTGTGAATATAACGGCCACGAACTTTTCCAAAACAAAGTGAAGCATCGATTGAGCGACATCAACAATATCATCAGTTGCGAGAAAAAGTCGCCGAAAAAGTCCGAATACATCATAATTTGCATGCAACTTTCGCCACCCGCATCCAACTGATTTTGCGAGATCAAAAACGCCGACAAAAGTACATTTATAATAGTTCTCGTGGCCAACGTGACGCAAAAATACGCGTTGAGCACGAAGAACGAGGACTTTGAGGATTTGAGGCAGAAAAGTGTAAAAAGGAAGATGAGTTGGATGGAGATGGCGACGAATTGGGTGGAATGATAGAATAAGCTGACGAGGGGCAGAAAAAACATATTATTGTTGTTTTGTGAGTCTCCGACAATATCGATATAGATAGGATGGAGATGGGCCCGATCATCGGGCGCATACTTGACAATACTGTTCGTACTTGCCTCATTCGCTATCTCCACTTCATTCTGTGTGAATTTGATAAAGTACAGGGCCATGGGGACTTGGTAATATTTTTGGAATCGGATAAAATATTCCAGTTACCCACTCTCTACTAATTATATGTTTTTGACGAAAGCTTAGTGGGAGCTTGGTTTTCTGATGTTTGTGGCCTATCACGTGAAATCAAACAAGTACTTGGAAAAGCACAAAATGCGTCAACGCACCAAAAGTACGTCAAGACTCTGGAAAAGTGGAAAAAAGTCTAGAAAAACCCGGGTAGATTCGTAGCAGACAGTCATATTTTTGTACTTAGCTCGTTGAGCCCTTGCGATGAAAACTTTCTGAAATTGGTGAGACCTAATTTTTTTGACCCAAAGAAATTTTGGTAAAAATAAATTTTGGTAAGAAAAGAAATTTTGGTAAGAAATTTTGGCTAACTAGACTCAACGTTGCTTAACTTGCCAGATCGGACGGGATGGCGTGTATTCAACGTGATATGGTCGTAAGCGAAATCCCTGGCACTCTATGTCGATGACATTTTCGCGAGCAATGTCTCAATGGCCAGTGTGTGCTGGCCGAGATTGTCGGCAGAGTAGACACTCGCGATCCCTCGGACATGTCGGCTGCTCGTAAAACATTAGTCGATACGCGCGCTGTTAGTTTCGGTTTAATTACCCAAGTTAGAGGTGCGAACCTGGGAATGACCTAAAGCAATTTAGCGTCAGCTTTCTAATTTTGGAATGTCTCCTTTAGGGGAGACAAAATAACTAAAAATTGCATGTGAACTGGAAGAGTTATGCCCGAGACAAAAGAGCTAACAGTGAACGATGTATTGATGTACTACAGTAGAAATGGTACCAGGTTGGTATACCTCTGAAAAAAGCGTCCTTGCCAATAGGCCATGGTAAAAGCGGTACACCGATTGAGTGACATTAGAAATACCATGAGCACGGAGAAATAATCGCCCAACCAGTCACTATACATGGCGATTTCCAGGAAAATTTGAAGCCAAATAGGCTCGACTTTTTGTGAGCTTCTGATGAGAATCGTAAAAATCTGCGAGACGGCGGTGATAGTTGTGCGGGCGGATAAAACGGCACAAAAAGTGATGAGCAACTCGAAAAAAGTGCTGCGGATGCGGTGAATTGCCGGAGACCGATAATAGAAGACGAGAAAAAGAATTTGGGAGAATACTCCGATCAATTTGATAATTGGAAGGATGAATTCGGGCCACGGCACCCGCGATTTCTCCACTTCTTCATTATAGTTTTCCGGCATTCGGAGCGTACAGACTCCGGATTTCGTGCATTCCACGTCACCAAAATAGCCGGCTGTCATGAAGATGGTTCTTTGGATGATGTACAATACTTCGGAAGTGATTATAAAGTTGAGAGACATGGTTGAAATGGAAAATGTGTTGTTTGAAGGTTTGAGACTGGCCCGGAAATGCTAATGATAGCCTTGAATCATGAAAACATTAAGACGAGGAAGTTTGTCCACAAAAGCGTAGCAAGAATGTTTTGACCCCAAGAGGGATTGAACCCGAGACCCTTGGGCTGATGATAATAGTCTCGGGACCACTAGGCCATCCGGACTGACCTTTTATTTGTGATCAGCTCGTAGGTGTCAAGATACCCGAAAAATTATATTTCACATTTATTGTATGTTCAAACTTTGATCGAATTTGAACGCCAATAATCATTCGTCCCGTAAGATACATGGTGCATCGGCCATCTATTTTCAAAACGTAATGTTCTAGGTGTATCGTTAGTGCATAATATTATAATATATTCAATAATTGATTACTGCAAGTTACATCAGCCTGATATCGTACCGGCCGTGATTGCTACATGGTGCATCGGCCACCTATCACACATCATTCACGTGAACCTTTTCGGGAACACTCTCAATTGATAGATCAAAGGGCGAGGCTTGAAAATTGACAAGCCAATTTCATCGAAACTCTACAAAATTCGCCTGATAACGCTTGCATTTTGTGCTGAAATAAACAATTTTCTCGTGAAACTTTAACCTCCCTCGCGAGGAGTATAAAACCGGGCAACCCCCTCGCCGAAGTGATATTGTCGGGTTGCGAAACCGATATTCTCTCTTATCAGTGTATCAGTTCGACTGGTCTACACAGTGGTGTAGTCTATTCGATCATTTGAGTCATTAGACATGATACTATGATCATATCGATCAATTTTCAGTCCCTATTTATAGTAGCACCGGCTCCGACTTTTTTGCGCTCATATGGTGCATCGGCCACACGTGATTTGGCTCTTTTTGGTAGACATTCGACTTTTATTTCGAGCTAAAAAACTCCCTTGCGGCTCTAACCTCTTTCCTTCGAAAAAAAGCCATGTATTTGCAGAATGCTCAACTACCAGCTCCATCAGAAACTGACCAACATCAAGTGGGTCAACATATTCTCGCCGTGGGAACGCCAAAAAGCGTATTTCGCCGTGCTCACCTGGTTCGTGCTCATCTACCCAATTTGCTGCCTCTGCCAGTTGGCGCCACTCTTCCTCTTCCTCACCGGACAATGGATCGTGTTGGCCGCCTACGCCGTCTGGTACTTTTACGATCGGGACACGCCGAAACGAGGCGGATATCGCGACAATTGGTTCCGGAATTGGAGACTTCATCAGTGGTTCGCACAGTATTTCCCGATTCGACTACATAAAACTGTCGACTTGGACCCACAACAGGTAATTTCGTTTTTTTTTTTTTTGAAAAGTCAGTTGTCTGGCGATCGTTGAGACTATAATCAAGTCTAGGTTTTGACGCGTTTAGAAAATTCGGTCTCGCCACGAAATGATGATTACTGTTTTCTGAACCTAGGCATGATTATGCTCAATAAAACCGTGTTATTTCCAGAACTATCTTTTCGGCTACCATCCCATGGTATCATCGGTATCGGCGCCTGGTCGTGCTTTGGTTTCGACGGGTGTAATATTAAGAAGATTGTAAGCCTATCTAACATTTTCTTTCAAAAAATGCCATTTCCTTTTCAGTTTGCGGTCTCCGCTTCAACATCTGCACTCTTCCGGGCAACTTTTCCGCGATGATCCGTCGCGAGGTCCTTCTGAGTATCGGCCTCATTTCGAGCTCGAAGGAGTCGATCGAATACGTGCTGAACGATCCGAAGAAGGGCCGCGCCGTGGTGATTGTGATCGGCGGAGCAGCCGAGGCTCTCAATGCTCATCCAGGAAAACACACTCTGACGCTGGCCAACCGAAGGGATTTGTGCGAGAAGCACTGAAGACTGGCGCCCACTTGGTGCCGGTTTATGCGTTCGGCGAGAATGACGTGTACAAACAAATCGATAATCCGGAAGGATCGGTGCTGAGGAAAATGCAAGAATGGGGCAAGAAGAAGACGGGCATCTCGTTGCCTCTGATCTACGGAAGAGGCTATTTTCAAATGGCACTGGGTCTCCTGCCAATCAATACTTCTGTGGATGTGGTCGTCGGCGCGCCGATTCCTGTCGACAAGTGCGAGGGACCTTTGGAAGAGGAAAAAGTCAACGAAATCCATGAACGGTACATGCGGGAGCTCGGAGCGTTGTTCGATACGCATAAACAAAGATTTGGTGTGCCCGAGAAGACCAGACTCATCTTCCAATAACTATACGTATCATTGTTTTCAAAACGTTTTTGTTATCAGACACAGTTCTCCAATTTTTCGTGTATGTTGTATGAACACGGGTCTTTCGAATTACTCGCTAGAATAAACATGTTCTCAAGGAGTGACCTACTTTTTGCACATTTTGTCAACTAAAATCGGTGTCAAATTTGATCAAACATCACAGACGCGGAACTGCACAAGCTCTCGTGTTCTTTGATTTATTCCTTCTAAAAGAATTGCATTTTCGCTCCAGAACCTTTCTGTTTACCCCGAAAATGTTGCAACTTCAGCAGAGGCACAGCGAAAATCGTCATTTATCAGTGAATGTCAATGATTTGGCATTGTAAAACTCGGGAAGCAAAAAAAAGTGTTTGATTCGAAAACTGGAAATCGATTTTTCGGCGGCGAGAGGAAGAGGACGAAGAGCGATGGCGTCGCGTGTTTCCCTGATATAATACTTTCTTTCAGGAAGGAAAAGCTACGAAAGTGGCCTAGTCTCTGTGTTTGCCCAGGAAAACTTCACAAAAATTGATAAAAAGCGGCAAAATGTCAAGAAACCATCAAAAAGTGCATCTATCGGGGTTTTCCAGGGAAAACACAAACAGAAATTGCAGATTTTAGTGATTTCTCAATAAAAATCTTTTTTTCAGGGAAGGAAAACGTGTCGAAGTGGTAAAGTCAACCGGATTTATGGGAGAAACCGAAAACAAACTGATCGGAAATCGATTGATAGCCGAAACACCATAAAAATGTCGGTTATTCAGTTCTTCCGGAAAATCGCGATAAAAATTACTAATTTTAACACAAATCACTTGCAGAAATGCAAAATAACCGTCGGAGAATAAATTTCGAAAAGAAATCGTGGAAGTCGAGCGGGTACGAGCGCCGAGCAGCACTCCGGGCTCGAGTTTCCGCTGAGGCCCGAAGAAGTCGTTGTCTCGTCGATCAAATTGCCTGTAAAACGAAAAAGACTTACCTTGCCTCTTCTGAGGGCCTTGTCCGTCGATAAATTCCACATTTCGTCTAAAAAATTCGTCCTTGTCCACGCCGTCAGCGCACGCTGACGTAAATATCAGACACTAATTGGGAGTGAGTGCAAGCGCGCTCCACCGGGCACTCTTCTCTGTTTTCTTGATCTTTTTTTAGTAATTTTTGTTCAACAAACTCTTTAAAATTATTTTTTATTGTATGAAAAATTGTTTCAACGAAAATATAGAAAATTCAAACAAAAAATCCATGAAATCCGCTCATTCGTCGGAAAGAGCTTCACTTTCATCCGAATCGCGCTCATCCTCAAAAATCAGCGGGTAAAGCTCGAATTGAGCATTTTTCGAGCAGGGACAAATCGTTTCACTTCCCACACACGAAAAATGAGCCGGCTGTTTGCACAGAGCGCATCGCTTCCACTCCGTGACTCGACTTTCGTATTCTAAAGGGTCTGCATCCGAGGAAATCTCGGGATCAACCTAGAAAACTTTTATATTCGGGAGATATGACGGTAATATTACGTCTCCGCAAATAATGCATCGAGATCAGGGGTGTGCGGAAAATTTTTTTCGGAAAATTTCGGAAAATCGGGTTTTCCGAATTTTTTTTTTCGGAAAATTTCGGAAAAATCGGAAAAATCGGAAAACTCACTTGTTCATTGGTTCAATAAAGTGTTTAAACAACGTTCTAATACAAAAAAATGCTTATTATGATTTGAAATCACTTGAGTGGGCGGAAGCCAAGCAATGGAATATTTTTTTGCAAAAAAATTAGCCGAGAGAAGCTCTCCGGGTCCAGTGTTTTCCGATTGTCAGTGAGAATGAGACGCGCGGTTGAAAAGAGTCGCTCCGTTTCTGCAGTCGTTGCGTGAGTACAGAAAAAAAAATTTTGTGATGCGCCTTTAAAAAGCATACGGTGGTTTCGGACAAATTGACCTTGAATCCACACTAATTTTCCGAAAATTTTGCCGAAAATTTTCGGAAAATTTTCCGAAAATTTCTCGGAAAATCGGAAAATTTCGGAAAATCGAAATATTTTCCGCACACCCCTGATCGAGATAGAGCTCTTTTTGGAACTAGTGTAGTTTTTGATGTATCCACCGCGCTGCGCTTGGCCTTTGTTCGTTTCTGAATACTTCTTTTACGATAATTCATGCTGCATCCCACACCTTTAGTGCTGGCACGCAGTTCATACTTCTCCGAGAAGTTTTGCTGTTTCTCTCTTGCATCGAAACGAGCCGTGAGTCCGACCGATGAAGATGGAAGAAGGGGTTCCAGTGCCTTTTCCGCCGCTTTTAAATATTCTTCGAATTGCGAGTCGTTTCTGTTCATTTTTCTCCTCAAGTCCGAATAAATAGTCGAAAATGTCTGTAAAATTTTTTATTAATTTTTTTTATTCCTAGAAAATCTCACATTCTTCAATTTGTCCATTCTAACAGTAACAGAAGCGCTCCCATCATCGGGTTTCTCCAGCTCAGAACACGTGGCAACGATAGGAAGCTCAGGAAGAACAGAAACGGAACCTCTTCGTTTCGATCGTCGTCGAAATCGTCAGATGTGAGTTTTTTCAGAGACCGATTCCTCGCTAAAAATGTTTATTTTTAAAGATTATTGGAATCGCAGGAAGTTACCGATGTGCTTAAGAACACCGTGCACATGCTTACAGCACACTCCGACCGTCGAGAAAAGACAATCACAATGACATCGATACGCGCATCAGCCGCAGTAGTCACAGTGAGCAACGAGTAGTGAGAACTTTTCGCAGATGAGCCAAAACGAAGTTCAGAGTGTCCCCCTTTATTAGTAAATATTTTCTTGATCTCCTTTTCTCAAACCTTCAGATGTAATTTGGCATTCTTTTTCCAGGCTCGGAACATGTGCACATGCCAGCGGCAGAGAACACGTTGCGTCGCCGAGGGGCAAAGATTCGGAAAACACCACGCTGAAGGTACCGTAACCCGACTTAAAGGGAGGTAGCTACAAATTACAATTTTGGAGCTAAATTTGAATGAAATTTGTAAGTAATGAGTTTTTCGCGGGAGAACACTAATGTCAGTGAAGTTTAGCCGTAATTTTCATGTGTTTTTTTGTTTGAATGTTTTTTGTTTGAACCCCTGAAAAATTAAAAAAAAATGAATATTTTCTTCAAAGGCGCTTTGCTTTTTGTTTCAAAACTCAGCGGGTCCCGCCACGACACGACAGTGACCGTATTTTCGGATTTTGGGCCTTTCGTGAGAAATTATCCAGTTTTCGTGGGATTTCGCTGTAAAATTTCAACAATTTGACTTTCTTTCGCCCTTTCGTGAGAAATAATCCAGTTTTCGTGGGATTTCGCTGTAAAATTTCAACAATTTGACTTTCTTTCGCCCTTTCGTGAGAAATTATCCAGTTTTCGTGGGATTTCGCTGTAAAATTTCAACAATTTGACTTTCTTTCGCCCTTTCGTGAGAAATTATCCAGTTTTCGTGGGATTTCGCTGTACCTCTCGAACCCTTAAGTTTGTATTCTTTGTTGTTGTTCATTCGTTTCTCTTGTTACTGTTATCCGAAATGAATAAATATTTAAATTTAAGAAAAGCAGTAAAAAAAGGAACACTCTGTGAAACTATCGAGTGAAAATATCGAATTTCAAATTACAAAGAAATGATTTCTTTGAAAGAATCGGAGCTAATTTGCAGTGTCTCAAAACCGCTCGTGCAAATGTCGTAGTCGAAAGACAGAACGTGGCTGTTCGTTCCTTTCTGTGGCGTCCAAAGTTGAAAAAAACCCGCAAATCTACACGTTGTAAACGTGATTTTTACCCATTTTTTCCGTTTTTTCAGTGGTTTCTTTAGAAAATTCTTTCAAAATCGAGTCAAAAAGTCAATAAACGTTTCGATTTTCAGGTATTCCCTCACAAATGGATTTCGACGACTGCGAGGACTTGCTGGAGGAAGACGTTGACGTCCGAATCGTATCACCCGCAAACAAGGAAAACGATGAAGAGGATTTAGAAGTGAAAAGGGCGAAAGCGAAAAATTCGAGGATTTCTCTGACGAAAGGAGAAAATTACACCAAGGTAAGCATTTCATTATAAAAAAAAAGAAAAAAAAAACGTAATTTGCAGCTGTCGTTCACTCAATGCAGTCGCATCATTTCAAGCATTGAATTGAATCAGTGTTTATGGAACATGAGAAGCAGCGACTACAAGGACACATCACTGAAAAACGGACTCTGGACTGCTCTTGAGAAGTCGTTCGAATTTCTCAAAAAAGATCGCGGTATCACTGGTTGCCTCTAGAAAAGCCCATGTTGATTTTTCAGGAAGCAACATTAAGAAAGTGTGGAATCCTTTGGTGGCAGCATTCCGAACGGAACGAAAAGCATCCATTAAGCCTAGTGTAGCTCAAGTGTCAGAGCGAGTTCTTCATTCAGATACTATGAAGAAATGTCGTTTCTCGAGTCCACTTACAACGACAAAACGCCGCCACCGTAAGTCAAATGTTCGAAAACCTACTCAAGTAAAAATCCTTCAGAATATCCGACGAACTTCCGGGATATGTCCGCCGACACGTACAAGTGGAGACTCCTAAAAGAAGAAAATGAGAAAATGACGGCAGGAAAGCGGAATGCGACGGCGACGAGGATTTCAGAGCGTTCATGAGAGAGTCATGTGATGTGCTGAAGAAATTCGGACATCTGTCATCACTCTAATAAAGGAAACGCTAGGATCTCTCCCTACCTCTTCCCAGCTCCTTCGCTGAGAAGTGGAGGAGGAGGATGGGACGATATGGATCCGATGGCACTGAATTACTTAACGTTTCGAACAATCAAAGTAGAATTACATTTTGGACTACAAAATCCGCTAGATTCTCTGGAAACTCGATTGCAATCTAATTAGAAAAGTTTGCAATCTAATAAGAAAACGCTCTATTTCGCAATCTAATCAGATTTAATTGAAGTTCCAGTAAAATCGTATTAGATTACAATATATTTTTCCTGAATTGCAATCTAATAAGAAAAAATTGCAATCTAATTAGAAAACATTGCAATCTAATTAGAAAAATTGCAGTGATTGTAATCTAATTAGAAGATTTTGCAATCTAATTGAAGCGAATTCTATTTTAAACGAATTCGTATTAGATTGCAAAGTTTTCTAATTAGATTGCGATCGAGTTCCCAGAGTTTGCGGGTTTTTTTCAACTTTGGACGCGGCATTCAGAGGCGGAAGATTTCGCTCCGCAATGGATGAAAAGGTTCTGGAAGCTACACGCAGAAGACGTCCACAACTGTCGATTTCTAGGTTACTGCCTCATGCGCCACCGCGATGGGCAGAAGAACGAAGACTTGTGAGCAAAGTTCTGACTTTTCTGTATTCTATATAATATTTTTTTGTGATTTAGAAGTTTGGTCTGTTGCGACGAATCCAGAAACACCACGCCTGTCATCACTTCCATCGAATTATCGCCATTCTCACCGAAAAAGCTGATTATCGCCGAATGGAATGTGGGTGTAATTCAAAGCCGCGGCCAACTAATCAATATTTTCCAGCAAGGAGTCTGTCCTTTTCGGCACGTGCGGACCGGGAAGTACAGCCTGTACCCGCTCCAAAAACAACAACCTAACCAGGTAATAAAGTCTACGTGTTGCTCCGGACACCCTCGCCGTTGGTTTTTTTCAAAGAATTGTTTCAGGTGATCGGATTCGCCGCTCGTTTGCTGTCGCGGACGTCCTTATTGACCATACGAAACTTATTGACCATGTATGTCCCCATGCCTTTTACTAAATTAGATTATTTTTGAGCTCGTGAGTGTATAATATTTCATGAGTAAGGCGATGTTTGACACGTGTCTTGCATGCAACTTTTTGAAGAAAATGTATTTATAAATGATAAATCAATTCATAATTCAATACAATCGTCTATCAAAACCATTAGAGGGTACATTTCCCAAAGGATTTGGTGACCTAATAGCCAAATCATGATTACCACTGTTTCTCCGTATAAATGGAATACAAAACTTCAAAATCTCAAAAACTTGTCTCCAGATATTATCAATCAAGAAAAGTCTGATCGCTTTTCGATAGTCTCGAACAATAAACAAAACCGCGCACGGGTCTAGGATGGGATAAAAAACGAATGCGAACTGAATGATCCAATCGATATTATGTAAAGTTATTAGGAAAATCGGAGCGATTAACATTATTATGAGTGGAAGATATACGAGAAGAATCGGGATGAGGGTCTGGGCGATCAGGGCCCGAAAGAATTGACGTTGCATTTCCAGAGTCCTTCTTGATATCTGCTGTCGTTTATCGTTATTTTTCGCCACGTTTTGATACCGCAATAAGTGACGATCACGCAAGATATCATCTGAAAATGTTTATTTATAAATGTATCTTGACTTTATCCATATTTATTCCATTAAATAAGTATATAACTTACCACAATCTTCATCAAAATCAGCGATAGCAAAATCGATTTTCCACAGAACGTAGTCTCAAACGACGTGGATACCTGAACGTTTATCGGTAAATAAATCTGTCCAAAACGTTTTCATCAAATCAAACTCACAAAATATCGGATGCCAACGAATACTGTAAGATTAATATCCGCATCGAAATACTTCACTAGACTATCCCTGAAGAAACGCTTTTTCGTCGAATACTCTACATTCAAAACGACATATCTCATTTGTCAGTGAAGATGTGAAAAAGTTGTCAACTGATAAAATGCTCCTAATACAATTTTACACATTTTATCAGTTGACAACTTGTTCATATCTTCAATGACAGCTGAGATATACCGTTTCGATTGAACGGTATCCACAAAACGGATACTATAATTCCAGAGAAACGTCCAACTCACATATCGACTTCACACGTGGCATCACTCGTATTTCCCAGGTATAAAGTGGCAATGTACCATTCGAGACCGAAAAATACAAAAATGGAGACCCAGGTGAAGAATTTGGGCATTTCGAACTGACGGAGCCACGCTTGGTTGCTGAAAACAAGGATTTTGAAGCAAGTTTTTGCGTTGGCACTATATTACTTCAAAAACGTGCTTTAGACGTAAATTCTTCAAAGTCTCAGGTAAAACTCACTTGCAAACCGCCATGTATCGATAGAAAAAGTGAATGGCCAATAGCGAGATTATGATTCCAGAGCACGCAAAGTTCAATACTGCAAACATTTACCCTGCGATTAGGCTGAAAATAGCTGATAAACTCACAATTGAAATGTTTCGCCACAATCGTATTCAGATGAAGGGGGTTGGTGCTGAAGAAGAGGAACTCGCCGTCGTTTACGAAAATCATCTGAAAGAAAACTTTGCAAAAGTAGTTTGGCCTCATCGGGGATTGAACCCGGGACCATTTGCTCTATTTGCTCTAAGTCAGATTATAAAAAAGGATGGCAATTTACCGGTTGGTTCAGAACATCCACGGTCGAAAAAACGAGTTCGACAATTGAAAAGGAGAGCATAAGATAGGTATAGGAGCCCAATTGTTTAGTGGTTTTTTGCGAATCATATGAATAAGGATAGTGTTCACAAAGATCGAGAGACAGAATCCGACGTAGACGGTCACATTTTGCACGGAAACAGGCATTGCTGAAGTGAGTCTCTCTCTCTCTCGCTTTGAAATTTCTTCGGAATGGATGATATCAGAGTGTGTTTGGTGCACAACACCACTTCTCGTGATTTTCCATACATCTTTCCGTTCGAAGGTCTCAATTAACAAGGCACTCCACATAAATTGCTAGTTTCCCCTCTTTTAGCACTCAAGTTTGAGCCCGAAAAGGCTCAAACTTTTCGACGGAAAGGCTCAAATCACTACTAGTGTATAATAGTGCTAGGGGTGCTGATAACTGTTGAAAATTCGGGTCCGGTGATTATGAATTCAAAAAGAGATGCACAATGTTTATATTCCATGTTAAAATCAACAAAGTTTGAGATACTTTGCACAAATTGCGTTGGCCGACTCGTTTGCGCTCAGCGCACTTTTCAGAGTTTCCAAATCTTTGGTCACACACGTACGACACTGGTTTTCCATGAACGCGACGAAACCGAAAAAGCTGGAACACAACCCGATCTGAAAATAGGAAAAGTTAGGGAGATGGAGGCGACAAACGCCGTTTCATTCCGAGGCGTCGGCCCAAAAAAAATGTAGTACTAGACTTGAAATTTTCAGAAAAAAATTTTGAGAGCAATCGGACGTTTCGCAACTGGCCAGTACTCGTTCAAAGTTCACTACTTCTCTTTTTCTCAATCGACTTATAAATATTGAAGAGTTCTCAAACTCACCAACATTTCGCCCGTCTCCTCGGATGGCGCATAGTCCTGAAACTTTTCCTGAACAGTCCCAATGAACGATTCGCAAGTGGAGCACAAGATTCCGATGGAAATTGTTGGGATAGTGGCAGTTGTCGGAATTTCGATTGCGTCGGCGGTGGCGGTGAAAAGTATGAAGAAGAGAAGAATATTCATTTTTGCCATCAGATGATGATGTTTGGAAGAAATGAAATGTTATTTAAGAAACGTATCTTTCTGAAACGCCTTTGTTATGTGAATTTGTGAGAAGCTATTGTTATGTAAAATTGTGAGAAAGTAGGCTTATGTGTGATGCATGTTTAATGGATGTACTACAGTACCATAGTACATCTACCCTATTTGAAACTTTTGCGGTCCCGCCTCCCCCGCCTTTGTGATCGTCACCTAAAGGGCCATCGATCAGAGATGTTGGGAATTCCGTGCTCCGTGTTCCGTGTTCCGTGTTCCGCGTTTTTTTCAATATTTTTTCCGTGTTCCGTGTTCCGTAAAAAAAAAAATTTCCGTGTTCCGTAGAAATAAGTTTTTTTTCCGTTTTCCGTGTTCCGTGTTCCGTAGAAATAAGTTTTTTTTCCGTTTTCCGTGTTCCGTAAAAAAAAAAATTTTCCGTTTTCCGTGTTCCGTGCAGGGGTGTGCGGAACATTTTTTTCGGAAAATTTCGGAAAATCGGTTTTTCCGAATTTTTTTTTCGGAAAATTTCGGAAAATCGGTTTTTCCGAATTTTTTTTTCGGAAAATTTCGGAAAATCGGGTTTTCCGAGTTTTTTTTTTCGGAAAATTTCGGAAAAATCGGAAAAATCGGAAAACTCACTTGTTCATTGGTTCAATAAAGTGTTTAAACAACGTTCTAATACAAAAAAATGCTTATTATGATTTGAAATCACTTGAGTGGGCGGAAGCCCGGAATATTTTTTTGCAAAAAAATTAGCCGAGAAAAGCTCTCCGGGTCCAGTGTTTTCCGATTGTCAGTGAGAATCAGGGGTGTGCGGAAAATATTTCGATTTTCCGAAATTTTCCGATTTTCCGAGAAATTTTCGGAAAAAAGACGCTCGCTGCTAGACCCTTCCAAAAATTTTGTGATGCGCCTTTAAAAAGCATACGGTGGTTTCAAACAAATTGACCTTGAATCCACACTAATTTTCCGAAAATTTTGCCGAAAATTTTCGGAAAATTTTCCGAAAATTTCTCGGAAAATCGGAAAATTTCGGAAAATCGAAATATTTTTCGCACACCCCTGGTTCCGTGTTCCGTAAAAAAAAAATTTTCCGTTTTCCGTGTTCCGTGTTCCGTAGAGTAAAATTTTTATTCCCAACATCTCTGCCATCGATGTGCGACCGAGGAACAACCAAAGACCTCTAGAATGGCCCATCGGTGATCCATCGTCGTTCGTCCGCTCCCTTCACCCATTTCTTCTCATACAAACACAGCTGATAGAAATATCAAATTTATTGAAATAAAACGATAAAATACAATCAAAATTACCGAAAATATGAGGAATTCTAAAGAAGGCGATGTCCTCGTGGAATTGTAAATTGTTGATGGAAATTGCTTGTTGTGCTGAGCCGTGTACTTTTGTGGATTGTTGCTCGACGTTAGCTGATGAATTCCAAACTTTTTCCTGAAAATGCAGTTAATACTGATTGTTTTTCGGTAGCATTTTATTTATATTGCCAAAACGAAGTTGACTTTTTCGATCATGCCCGTGAGTTAAAAATCAAATATCCTTAAAAATTTCGGGATGTGAATATTCGATGCAATACACGTCGAACACCTCGGCAATCTCCTGTTTCCCGCGGCACTTCCAAATGTCTTCCTGCAAAATTATTTTGTTTTCCGGGGGTTATTGTATACACACCCGAATTTTGTTATTAATTTTCAACAGTTGACAAAGCCGTCCCGAGTAATTGTTCATCCGCAACTCGTGCACATAGTATTCGTGCAGCTCGTTGGCCAAAATTTGTTGGAATTTTTCGGTCGCCTCGAGGATTTCGCCCTGAAATCTCTGGCCGGCGTAGTGGAAACACGCCTGGCACATCATGAACGAGAGCTCGACGTCGTTCGGCTTCAGCTCGACCATCACATCCAACAGTTTGTAGAGGAAGTTGTTGTCGGTGTTGTCGATGAAGCTGAAATTCGTTCGGATTCGCGTCAAAACGTTAACCGTAAACACAAACGAACTGTTGCATTTGCTCGTTGCTGTACTTTGTGCACCACGAATAATCAACTCGATTTTGGTCAAATCGATTGCGGTGTACTGGCGCTCGTGGCTGATCATCAAGACTCGATCCTCACAAATCTGTCGTCGTTTTCCGGCGGCCGCAGTCGACAGTTTGTAGAGACGGGCGAACACGTGCCACATCGCCTGCATCATTGTCAGCTGGAAGAGGAAGAGGAAAAGTTGGAGCCAATTGTACAATTGACCATTAAAGATCCACCTTCTGCTGTTTGGTGAGCTCGCGAAACTCGTCGAAATACGTGAACCAGCGTGTCGCCTTCAGAAAATCCTGCTCGAAAAAGGAGAGCACCTCCTCCTTGCCGTACTTCAACACCATCTTCACGCCGTCCACGTGCGCCTCGTCGATTCTCCGCAACGCCATCGCCAACTTTTCCAGATTCGTTTTCGAGTGTAACGGAGACGCGGCGCCCTGAAAAAAACTTTTTTTTTCAACTTTTTCACGTCTACGCTCGAATTTGCCCTACGTCCGACCAAATTCTCGACGCTTTTCCTATCAATTCGCGGCAATCGATGAGCTCTTTTTGGGGCACAATCGCCTCGGGCTCCACGAATATTACACAGTGTGGACGGCCTAGAAATCGCTCGAAACTCTGCAAAATTGCACATTCTCTCTTAGGGATTTGCGCGAATTTGTTGGGCACCTGCGGAATCGCTTTTTCGCACAGTTTTGTGCTAATCGGGTCACGATCGAATTGAAAGTCTGCAGATTTTTTGGGCATTTCAAAGTGTGACTGAAAAAAATTCAGAAGCGCGCATACTTGTAGAGGTCATTCCGACATTGTAGCACTTTTGTAATCGGCACGATTTGCAGTCGAACCATCCGTTATTGTTCATCATTTCACACTTGTTCGCCTTTTTGCACGGCTTCACACTCGTCCGCGACGAATCCGCTCTTCTGAAGCACAAAAAGGGCGATTAGAAAACGATGAGATTTACGGCGCGTTTCGAGAAGCCTTTTCATAATCTTTTGAATTTGAATTCTTGAATGACCCGGCCCGACATGGCCTAGTGCCAAAAAATAAGACATTTTCTCAAATACCAGGGCTTTTAGGCCCTAGAATAGACGTTGTCCAGACAGTTGAGGAACTTTGACAAATCAACGCAACGAGACGGCTATCAAAGGTACTTCCCAATCCGATTATCAACTCCAGAAGACTACAGTATCGTGCTCACCTGAAAAACGCGGCACACGCCCTACAACTCAGGGCTCCAAAGTGTTTTCCTCGAGCCAAAACTCCGCACACTTGGCAAATGGGTCCATCCGCTGCCACTGCCATTTCCGCTTTCGAAACAGTGGAGATCTATGATATACAACAACAAAAAAGGTGATGTCTAATGATTATATTCGAATTGTTGCGCGTATGACGTGGTGAATGAGTGAACTGAGCAATGAACAAAATCAGCAAAACAAGTGAGAAAGAGAAGAAAAAGCGAGCGTACTACTTCTAAAGATTTCCCTCAAAAAGGGGTGTTCATAATAGGCGAGACGGCAGAGAAGCGAGTCGCAGCCGCCCGTAATTACATTTTTTCAAACGCCGGCGGGATTGGATTAAGATTACAATCTGAAAAGGCAGGTGTAACGACGTATACTTCACGAACCTACACTTTCCTTTGGAAAAATGTACTAGACCTTATCAGGATCGTTTTCAGGCGTTTTTAAAGATTTCGGGACTCGAAAATTCGATGGAATACACGTTTTTGAAGACGTTGTCAATCTCCTGACGAACACGGCTCTCGTTCGAATCGGATAATATTCGGATTAGCTGTGGTGAGCTACCGTAATGCGAATCTAGTCAAATGTCCGATGTTTTTGAAGACAATTCGGTAGTTTTCATAGCCGTCAGATCCGGCGCAAGGTTCGCAAACACCCGCAAAAAATGGTGATAGACAGTAGATGAAACTGTCGAAGAGGGGGGAGAGAAAACGAAGAAAAGACCGATAGGCTAGAGGAAAATTCATGTTCTTTGCATGCGACACACACGTTATTGAAGGGAACTTTCGAAGATCGTCTCTTGATAAACTATGAGGTCACTTTTCGCATCTGTCGTCAAATCCAGCACATGATCCGCAAACACCCAATACACCAGATCTTACGACAAATTGGAGAAAATCTCAATTTTTCAACAGAATCCGATCGCTGTTATGCGAATTTTCGCTCTCTGTCGTCAAATTCAGCGTTTCACGTTTTTCGCCAGCTGTCGCAACCTGGATTCCCGTGCATTTTTCCGTTTTCTCTCCACTTTTTCTCCATTTTTCTCCGCGGCAACTCTTTTCGATTCTCGTAAGAAATGTTTGTTAAAAATCCATTGGAAAGACAAAAAGCACAAAAAAGTTCATAGGATTTTCGGAAAGAAAAGGTAAGAGAGACCGGAAAAAGACAAAATTCATTTGAAGAACACATTTCAATTAAAATTCGACTTTTTCTCTCTCTTCCTCCTCCTCCTTCTTCTTCATCTTCTTCCTCCTCGTCCAGTTGTCCCTGTACATCCTCTGTTTCTCCTGCTTCGTCATCGGCTTCGTCTTGTCCGCTTTGCGGGCCGTCCAGTCGATCGGCTCTTTTTTCACGGCCACGGCATCCTTCTTCTTGCCGCCCTTTTCCTGATACTTTTTCCGCTGCCGCTCTTTTCGCAGCTCGTTGAGCCGATCACTGGCCTCTGCTCGTCGCGATCTGTAAAAAATAAAGTTCACAGCACACCAAACGTTTCCAATTTTTCGCTCACCTCCGTTCCTCCTCCTTCTTGCGTCGACACGATAAGCACTGATTGTGATTCGGGCACAAAGTGCATGCACATTTCATATTTTTCGAATGCTTCTCGAAAAGCCAGCACTTTTTATGGCGGTGACTACTAATTTGCGGTCATTTGAAAGGGAAATTGGGCTGTGGGAACTAGTTGATTTGCAAGTTTATGTACAAAACACAATTGTTGGCGGTTTGTGGTTTGAGCAACAAAGATTGGGAGTCATCAAAGTTGAAGAGGAGTAAAACTACAATCATTTTGCATTTCCGCAGTTCCTCTATTCCTTTCGTTCTAGACACAAATGTATGTTTGATCTATGATCCAGTACATACACACCGATTCCGTTCCTCCAAAATGACCTACTTTTTCCAATGCGATTGGATCTTCCGTCTTCTTCTTCGACAGCATGGGGGTACTTTGTTGGTGGTCATTTTCTCATTTTCAATGTGTCTGCGTCGTCGTCTGTCCCTCCTCCACCATGCACTCATTTATTTGTTCGCTTCGCGCCCCTCGGCCGTCACTCCTACCTCTTTTCGCCCGCCGACTTTTCGAAAAGACGCGCTGTTTGGAGACTTTTTTTTGTGCATTTTACCCATTTTTAGAGACGATTATATTGTGTACTTTCTTTTCCGCCGCCTGTACAGCTAATGTCAAACGTTTAGGTCCGACTAGGAATCGATCGTTACGCCATGGTAATTTTGAATGCATTTTTCTTCAATTCTTGAGCATAGAACACTGTTTCGTTTTCCGTTTCTGGAATTCCACACAGCCTTGATATCTAACACTAGTAGTACACAACAAACTATTATTTTCCTGTGAAAAAAAAAAACGAAATTTTACAGGGTGCCGCAGTGCTTCCCCACTGGGTCACAATTTGGTTGATCGCCTCCGGACTCATCTGCCTGCTCGACGTCATTTACACAATGTTCCGACCGTACACCAACTCGCCCGATGGATTTGTGGCCAACACGCTTTTCTATGGATGTGAGTCATGTGCGCGCAGTTAACGTTGTGGCCGTGGCCTAGAAAACTCTTCCTTGCACTTTGACAATACACAACTTTCGTGCTCACAGTCAAAATCAGACATGCCGTAGGCCAGTCATCTTGTAATAACTGGTTTCACTGAAAAACATCATGGTCAACTAAAAATGTTTCCAGGGAAACTGTACTCTTCGGTAGACGTCCGGTACGCAGACACTCGGGACGTTGTGACGTGCGCCACTGGAAGAGTCATGCTCATCGAGATCGTCTTGAACTTTTTCGCCGTTTTTCTGGTAAGTTTTTCACCACGAAGCCTCTACAATAGCTAAAAGAGCTCCAGTACTCTTAAAACCATTCCTCGGAGTACTGTAGCGCTTGACACTTAAAGTCCACGAACTACAGTACTCTTAAGAGCTTGACAAGCACAATTTTTCGATAAAAAAGGGTGCTGTAGCTTTTGAAAATTGACAATACTCCGTCAAACGTTTCCAGGCGCTCAAACGTTCCCGCCACGCGCTTCTGCTCGCGTTCACGACGAGCGCGTTCGTTTTCTGGAAGACGTTCTGGTACCTGGTCCTCTACATAAATCCGCCGGCCGGCAATCCGCCCTCTTTCACCGACAACTACGGATTCCTGGGCATGACGTTGATCTTCTGGATTCCCAACGGTGTCTGGGTCGTCATGCCGTTCCTCGTCATGTTCGCTCTCTGGAATCGTCTCGCTCTGCCTGTCGAGTACCAGGAACAGTAAGTTTCTACTGAAATCGTTGACCTTATCATCAATATTTGCGTTTCAGACACAACAACAGTTACGAGAAGCCGCCCGGATTGTCATCGCCTTGAATTCATAATAATGATAATTTATTGTGTAACAATATTTATAAACGGTATCCCAGAAGACGTTCGGATTCGGAAATCAGTGCCGCCGCGTCGTAATGCGTTTGTTGTCGACGTGGCAAAGATGAGGTTGCGACGGCGTCACGCGTCGGATCATCGAGGTAATAGTCGCAGAGCGTTGAGATCTGAAAATGAGTGGAACACTCGAAATCGGCACAAAAACCAGCGCGTTCTAGACGATTTTGGGGGTTCGAACCCACTCTAGTGCAAATCATTTTTACAAAAAGTCTACTCACCGTAATAAAGTTTTTGGGTGCAGTGCTCGGGTCTTGTCGTGCGAAATTCGAAATTCGCTGCGAAATCTGGGCAAACGGTGGTCGATCGGCCGGATTGTCGAGCCACGATTCGCGCATCAGCTGATAAACTTGTATGGTGCATCCTTCGGGCTTCTGGAGCCGGAATCCCTTCTCCACGAGGCCTCGGATGCCGATATCGGGCACGTTGTAGTACGGTCGACCGCCCATCGTGAATATTTCCCAAAGTACGACTCCGAACGACCAGACATCCGATAGCTGCGTGGCTGTTTCGCCGCGCAGAAGCTCCAGACTCGACCATTTGTGTTGGTTTTCGATGGGAGTGCTGGAAAGAGTGGTTTATGGTCCTGAACTTTGTTTACATGAAAAGTTTATGTTTGAAAGTGTATTACGTCAGTTGATCACGTTTCTCTATGATGTTCCTCTGAACAACTGTAGCTCTTGAAAGTCAGGTACTCTTGGAAGTTGACAATAGTTGCCAAACTTCTACAAGCTACAGTAACCCGGGGAGTGGTTGTACAAGAAAATGCTCAACTACAAAAATAAAGTTCACATCTGGTAGTTTATTTTTGTAGTTGACAACTTTTTTGTACCACCTCTCCCAAGGGTACTGCATGTGCTTGAAGTTGGAGTTGTCAATAGCTACTTCCAAGAGCTACAGTTCTTTTCCGTGTGGTTGTACAGAAAAATGGTCAACTGACAAAATACAGTGCTAGACCTGAACTTTCAATTCAGAACATTTTCGGAGCCCTAATGCCACTTTGAAACCCAGCTAACCAGTTCGGCGTGGACGGTGTCGAGATGCTGCCAAAGTCCGCCAATTTCACATTGTGATCCGAGGTTATCATGACGTGGCGGGCACAAAGCGCATTGTGCACAATGCTTTTCGAGCCCAGGTACATCATGGCCGTGCAAATTTGCGAAGAGATACGGTAGAGGTCGTGGAGCGAAATGACGTCGTCGAAGTCGATTTCGTTTAGGCTCGGCAGCGATTCGTTCAGATCGATCCCTTTTTCTTGGAGCTGAAAATGGTGGTCAACTAATTGAGAACAGTTTTTTTTTGTTTTTTTTTCAAATAAAATTGTATACCTCGACCATGTACTTCCTCTTCATAATCAGATAATCCAGAAGGTTTCCGTTTGCACAATATTCCATGACATGAAGTACATTTCCGTTTTTGACGACCGTTCCGATAAAACTCAAAATGCGCGAGTGTCTTCCCACCTCCTTGGCTCCTTCGATTTCATCGAAAAAGTCTCGTTTGCGAGTTTTGTCCAAATATCGATTAGTCTGGAAGATTTTACAATTTTTGAGTGGAAAATTCGAAATCAGCACTGAAAACTAGCCCAGAGGCCTGTATAGTCAGGTGCTAAAGTGGGTGGCAATCTCAAGGCCCGGGTTCAAAGCCACTAGGTGGCAAAACTCTTTTGCCAAGTTTATTTGTGTTTTTTACCTTAACAGCGACCCTCTGCTGATCATCTAGCACCGCAGTTCCATGCCAATCCGGAGATAGTTGGCCTAAAACAATTTATTTGGATCGATAATATCAATATTTTCTAAAGTTACCGATATAAACAGTTCCAAACCGTCCTTTTCCGATTACACGGTCTTCAAATAGTGTCAAACTGCTTTCATCCATCAAAAATTGATCACTTTAAGATTTTTGAATATTGTAGCTGACGCATTTTTTTGGCATACCTCTGCGCGCCGGCACCTTTACACCATCGTCCTGTCGCGCATTTGTAGCTGACGAAAATTATCAAAATTATCAGTAAAAACGCTAAAACGAAAGCGTAGCCGATCAAAGTTCGAAGGAGCGAATCGGCGGCCGGAGCCACTGACAGAGAGGCGGATGTTCGCGATACTGTAATCGTTTTTATGCGTGGGTACATCGGATTCGACGACAATTTACGTACCGGTCAGAGCGTCGGCGGCGATTTTGCTGATCCCGCCGACTATTGGCGGGCTCTCGAAGCGATGATCCAAAACTCCACAAATTTGAACTCCGTACCGTGTTGCCACGTTGTAATCGTCAATTGTGACCGAGAATTTTCGATTCTAAACGTGGCAAATAACGGTTTTTACATTTTGTTTTTTTAGCATACATATTTAGTACAATTTGCGCGGTTCGGAACACAAAATCGAGATATTGTCGATGTCTGCAGGTCGACGACACACTCTCCGTTCTTCGTGACCATTCCGCCCTCGCATTCACCGTGGTACGCCACAAAATAGCGCATCTTTTTCAGGCGATGATCATTTTTTTCGATCGATATCAACACGTCCACCTGATCCACGTGATTCTCGTGCTCCACCACTCGAGTATGATAGTTTCGCATCAGATTGCACACCGGATGATGATCGACTGAATTTTTGAACGTGTAATGTTTAGAAACTGGGTTATAACTCAAGAATAACAGATTGTGGAATGAAATGATCTATTACAAAGTTGTTGGGCACAAAATTTGCAACAACTTTGCAGTTGATCATTTTGTAAAATAACTATTCTATCTCAAGATATAGGCGTCTAAAGTCAAGATTTCTTGATTCTGACTAGTAGAGAACCACAAGATTCAAAAAATGTGCATACTTTTGATGGCATCTCTACAATCGGTTCCAATAATCCGTTCACATGCAAAAGTGACATTCAACGCTGCATGACTCGTCAAATCGAGCATCCGATCACACTTGGCGTCGTATATTGAACTTACCTTAAAAAAATATGTATGTAGAAATTGGTGACAAAGTAATAGCTACTTCTAGACACAGTTCTCTAAAGCTGACTCACCCGAATCTCATAAGTGGATCTCAACTTCATATTGAGCAGATCGAAGAGCAGTTCAATGACTATTGCACTCGTCTCCTGGCCAACATCCACCCAATGCACATTTTTGAGGGTCGGCGGTCTTCGCGATGATTCGACGACGTCGTGGGACATTGGGAGCCAGTCTATCGACAGCGAGGACTCGTTCTGTAGATAAAATCGTTTTGTTGAAATGGAGTGTACATTGGAAAGTGAAAGGGAACCCTTCTAGTACAGTATTTACGGTAACTCTCTTCAAAAAGTTTGGAAAGAATGAGGATGATACACGCAGACTACTTTAAAATTCCTATAAAATCAGGTGACACACTCAATTTTGCAACTTTTGCCAACACGTTTCAATTCGGATACTCTCCGCTTCGCAAGTTACCTTCAACACGTCGTATCTGCCCTCCTCGTACTCGATTCCCTCGACGTACACGACCGCGACGAGTGCCAACTTGGGCTCGATGGCCGGATTCTCCGAGTTCTCCTGCTGAATGCGTCCCTTCAACGCCATCGACGAGCGCCTCACGCATTTCGAAGAGCAATTGCACGTGGCTCCGAGAATTGGGCTCACCGAACAGAAAAGCAACACGAGACTATTGAGAATTCTCATTTTTGATCACATAGTAAGCGTCTGAAACGTTATTTTGGGGAGATTTTTGCAAGAAAAACGGGGAAAACTGAGGGAGGAGATGGATGTGTGGGCGTTGGGTACATAAACATGAGAAATTGATGCGGAAGCCTCCCCAGGTACCTCTGCGAAGCCTTTGGGTAAATATAGCATAAAACTGGGGTCGGATGGGGACCGTTTAATCGTTATAAGCAAACCTTTTCCACATCGAATCTGTTCTTGAAAACGTGCGAAACACGGCTGAAAATGCGGAAAATGACCGGGGGAAGGGAAAGGCGAAAATGAATCCGCGGGGGGGCTCCCATCCATTTCCTCTGAAATTTGATATTTCTGAGAAAATCAGAGCGCTGAACTTCTTTCTCTTCTTCTTCTCCTTCTTCTTCTTCTTCTTCTCACCCTCTCAACCACTTTTGGATGTGTGAAATATGATCGGATTTTCGAGATTTTCGAAATTTCGCGGCGGTCAAAAGCACAAGGAATAGTGGGGGGTAATGTCGGTTATGAACGAACAAGTGATGTAAAAACAAAGAGTGAGAGTGCCTTTCCGACGCGGTTTCGACGACGACACACTGGAAGCAGATCGATAACTTGGAAACAAGAACATCCTCTTTTCAGAAAGGCCCCCACCAGTTTAAAAATCAGAAATGTGGACTACTATAAAAACTCACTCTGCTGGTAGTCCCTCGGGACCTGCCGTGGGTAAAATCAGTCTCACCGGCGGGTCGGCGAGGCTGAGTTTGGGACATCTTTCGGCAAGAACGTTTAGCCCACGGGCGGCCAAAAGCGCTCATTCTCTCCAGTTCGCCCGCATTTCACTCGCACTTCATCTTCGCCGGTTGTCCGTTTAGGATTTCATCGATCGATTGGGTCGGAAATGTGTTTCTTTGCATTTTTATCGCTGTAATCGAATTTTCGAATATTAGCATAGTTGCCACGGGCCGGGCCGGGCCGGGCCGGGCCAAAATTTCCAAAACTCCGGCCCGGCCCGGCCCGTCGGCCAGTTCAAAAAGCAGGGAATTCAAAATTTGAATTATTGATCGCATGAAGCCATTTTTTTGTAGAATTAGGGGTTTTTTTGCAAGCATCGAACATTGAAAAAAACAAATGTATTTCTCATAAAAAATTCATAATAGCAAAAAAACAAAGAAGAAACACTAAAACTTTAGTTCGAAATTTTTTTTGTAATAACGAAAAAAATTTCCGCGAAAATTTGAATTCCCGCCTTTTGAACCGGGCCGACCGGGCCGGGCCGGCCCGCATGGCCGGCCCGAAATCTGGCAAGTCTGAATGTTAGTTATTGAATGTACACGTGAATAAACAATTCTTAACTTTGGACTCACTTTTTAGGTGTTTTTAGCAGTTTTAAAGCGAATAGTTGGCATTTTTATCACTTTAAACATTTCCAGTGTGTTCGCCTTTCGTATTCTTCGTTTTCTCTTGTCCTTTTCTTTTTTTTCTCTGCTTGTCGCGTTCGAACCGGTTTTTCGCACTTTCTCTTCTCCGCGCACGCCACTGACGTAACTTTTATCTTCATTCCTCATCATTCTTCCTTTTCCGTTTATTTGCGGTTGTTTTTTTGCTGAAAATGAGCTGAAAATCGACCGAGGACGGCTGAAAATGAGCTGCTGGCCGCCAAAATCTGCAAATGGCCTAGGATTTGCACGCTGCAAAACCTCGGCCTCCACCTCATTTTTGCCCGTTTTTAGCCGTTTTTTTTTCGATTTTCGCGCTTCTCTCATCGATTTTTGTCGTTTTCCAGCTTATTTTAACGCGGCAATCGATGGTGTTTGATGAGGAGCCGCCGCACCACAAACCTTCATCGAACCCGCTCGAAAAATGGTCGCAGGTACAAAGCATTTCGAAATTTGCTCGCAAAAATTGTTTTCAGCACGCCACAACGTCGGCGTTCGGTCTGATGGAGTCTCTGCGTGGTCAGGGCTCGAGTTTGGCGAAAAATTTAAAAAGTTTCGGGAAATCGCTGGTCAAAGATCAGAAATCCGCGAATTCGGGGCCTTCGACACCGGTAAGCTCCGTTTTTCGTGTTGACTTTTTGTAAACTACATTAAAATATTGCAGCCCGAGCACCGAGACGACGATATCCGTCTGACGTGGCTCACAAATCGGCTGGTGCTCGCCGACACGCTTCATCAGTCGAAAGAGGGTCTGTTGAGCGCCGAAAGGGCCGTTATTCGGGAGATGGTCGACTGTCAGCCGTACGTGGTCGTCAATGTCCATGCCGAGTACGTTTTTATTGTGAAAATCTGAAAATCCTGTGAAAAACAGTCCGAAAAGTGCACTTTTATGGCGGAAATGCCGAGATCCATCAATTTTCCAGTCCACGTGAAAATCACGTTTAGGTTTTAGCCGAATTGCATGAGAATTGGCTATTTTTTCAGTTTTTTCCAAAACATTCCACAAAATTCGATTCCAGACCGCTAAAATTGGACGGATACGCAAAATCGGTGCACGTGCCGCTCGGACGCAGTCCAAAAGGAGGAATTCCCAAATACCCGACTATTCAGGCGCTTATTCCGGTTAGTTCAACACATATAATCTTCTTTATTAATAAGAAATTGCAGATTCTCAACGAATATTGTCTTCTCACCAACGATGCGGCTATTGTGATTTTTGGAAATGATGGTAATTTTTGGGGAACGTAAAGATCTCTAACCGCTATGACGACATTGGGAGTTGTCACTGGGACCGGGGAGGGACCACTTCTCTGCTTGTCTTTTAATGTTCCGAGGTCTCAGAAACATTGCAAAGTCATATTAAAACAAGCAATCTCCCGACACCGAGCTTCCTAGTAATGAACCCGATAATTGCGGAACTATTATAGGGGCACCGCACAGAAATGGCGCTCTGTTGAGAAACTCTTTCTGCAGTGCAAATTGAGCGACCTCGGGGCCGAGTTTGAAAATTTAGGCCACATTTTCAGTGGAAAATTACTTCGTGGCCTAGAAATTCTGCCAGATTGCGAACAGCGCGCCCTTTCTGTCCGGTGCCCCTATAATAGACGATGACGGAGCCACCATTTCTCTCAAAATTGAGATAATTGTCTGAAACTAGGACAGATAGTCAAAAATGAAGTAATGAGGACATGTCAATGGTTCTGTAGGCGCCAGCGCTCACTATATTTATTCCCCTCCCTGTTAATTCTAGAAAATTTAATTTACAGAAAACGTGCAAATAACAGCGGCATTTTGCCTGATCGCCTCGCGTTCCATCTCGAGAATTGGCGATTTCTTGCGTGATTCGCTTCCGAATCGATTCGAACGTCTTCCGACCACGTATCATCTGTTTTCGGAGCAAACTAAGCACGTGTGCAAGTTACACACTCGGAAACAAGTCAGTTAAAAATGCAATATTCAACAGTGAAATGAAGAAACGACAAGTTCAGATTCCTTCCATCGGCGTTTCGATCAATTCCGTCGTTCTGGAACCCGGAAATATGCTCATTGACGGTAATTTTTTTTAAAGAATGCTAAGCATCCACAGTTTTTCCAATTTTTCAGGCGAATTGTACATTGCCATCCAACAGGGCATCAATGAGCTAAAAGTTTTGGAATTTTCGGCAAATGCGAGCCGAAATCGTCATGGACAATTGGTCTTCGCGTGCGAATCCGCCGAAGCGGTCGACGACGTCGTCATTTTTGTGGGAAACACAAAGAGTGTGGTCAGCGCATACATTTTCCACAACAAATGTTCAAAAATCGTCTAAGAGTCTAATCCTAATTGGAACTAGCCAAATCCCAGCTTAACAGTGACAAAAATAGCTGTTGAACTGCTTGGCGAAAAACGCGAATTTCCCATGAAAAATAGTGGAATAAATAACAAAAGAAGGACTGAAACCGGAGACAAAGTCTGTAAGATGAATGGATGTTTTTCGCCACCTCCTGCATTTGTTCGGTCCTTTCTCCGTTTGTTTTTCTGCCGACCTCATGAATTTTTTTCCCTTTTCCTTCAAACGCTCGTAGTTCTTCAACTGCAAAATCGATTTTCACGTGTCTTCCACGAAGTAGGCTGGCAGGTATCCAAACGGCTTAGGACGGGGGTGGTGCCGTCTCGTGGTACCAAAGAAAGTGTTGAATGGAGTGGGGACTATTTATGTTTTCTGGTTCATGGTATCACCCAGTGCAGCATCTCCTATTTGGATACCTGGACTGCACACATGTTCCAACTTTGTCCAGAAGTTTCCAAGTTCGTAAGAAAATATGTTTAGAATTTTGCAAGTCTCGAAAACACGGCAATTTTGATGAAAATCGCGTCCAATTCTCATTCAATTGGTACGCGAAAGCCCTTCCCCAGACACACCTGTTCTCCGGTCCTCCGCCGGCTTATTACCTCCCCCCCCCCCCTTTTCCGGTCATTTGACCTAGTGTCTATTTGGAAAGAGAGTATCGAACGGCCATTTCCAAATGAGCGACGAGTACCTATTGTTCCCCCATTCGTCTCTGAAGGAAAGGCGTGTTTCCTTCCGTGTGCGTGCTTTTCTCCCCCACTCTACCTGACACATAATGAGCTCGCATTTGACGAGAACGCGTTTTTACTCTAGTTTTTCACGCAAAATGTCTAGTCTTGTATTATAGGGGCACCGCACAGAAATGGCGCTCTCTAGAGAAACTCTTTTTGCAGTGCAAATTGAGCGACCTCGGGGCCGAGTTTGAAAAGTTAAGCCACGTTTTCAGTGGAAAATCACTTCACGGCCTAGAAATTCGGCCAGATTGCAAACAGCGCGCCCTTTCTGTCCAGTGCCCCTATAATAGCAAAAAACCGTTATAACCGACTTGCCACCTTGCTGTTCGCCCCGAAAATGTCGAAATTTTCAGAAGCACCCCCTATTGGCGGCCAAGTTCAACACTCAACTTTTGGAGTCGGAAGACACTTCGATCGTCTTAACGCCATCCGAAATGGACGTTTCTCGATTCGTCTCCTCGTCGCAGCCAGTTCAGGATTTGAGGTGAACATTCGAAAGGCCTTTTGTTTGTTGTTATTTTCTCTAAAAATCAAGAGACAAAAAGATAGAAGACAAAAACAAACAGAAAATTGTGGGAAAAGGTCCCACACACGGGTATCGAATTTCTAACTTTTTTTTTGGACTTGGAATCGAATTTTCGGACTCTTTTCCCATTTCCTTCAATTTCCGCGCCGAGAAGAGCCCAAGTTTGGGGCCTAATTCAATTTGAGCAAAAAGAAGAAAAGCCCGAATTTCCACCTAAATTAGCTTCTTTAAATGTGAAATCCTGAATTTCAACCTAAATTCTTGATTTTGAGCTTTATTTTTTCATTTCGACCGCATTTTCCGCTTCAGAATGATAGTAAACTTTGCCACTCGTCACATGCCGACGCGGAATTCGTTCAATTTCGACCGCTACAAATTGTTGTGCGTGCGAAACGAACGCGAGCTGGACGGATATCAACGGTCGTACGGAGACGTGGATTCCGAGGACGAGTCGCCGATTCTCAGCTCGCGGAGCACCAAAAAAGAGAGCACGAAGAGTCAGAGCAACTTTTTCGATTCGCTCCAATTCACTGATCACCATCACAAAAGCAACGAACCGACGCTTTTGGTACGTTTTTGCGCAGTGTCATTTTGTGTTTTTTCCTATGAATTCGAGATGGGCGAGGGTTGGGGAAAAGCAGAAATTTCGCACAAAATTTCCACGCGCAAATCTGTTTGGCCGTCCGCAATATTGCGATATTGCTATCCCGCAAACCGTCGGCTGCTTGGCTGGCTCGCCGCCGCCGCTGCCCTCTGCGATCTTTCCGGCTGACATTTTGCGAATACTCATTCATCTTTTCATTTTTTTTCCATGAACGTGTTCTTCATGACCAGTACTTGAAAAGAGCAACAAAAGAAACGCGAAACAATATCGGAGGCGCTACGAAAACTGCAATTTTCGATTAGCGATTGATTGTGCGTGATACTCGTGAGAATCGAATTCATTTCACTATTTTACACTGCCCTTTGTTTTGAGAAAGTGTATTGATCACTTTGAGATTGAAATCATTCGAAAATCTGTTGTATTTCTCCGGTGGCACGCATCTAAAGTCTCCAACGGCATGCGTTGGCTCACCCCAGTGTTATATGGGTGCGCCGATGGGACGCACGATTCATTTCGGTACAATTTTGATGTTGTGCCAATGAGAAACCCTTTGCCAACATTTTCATAATAGAATAATGTAGAATGAATTCGATTCTCACGAGTAGCGCGCATAATCAATCGCCACTCGAACATTTGCGATTTTGTAGTGATCCCGAGATTTTTTGCAATTGTTTTGCTGCTCTTTGCAAGTAATGGGTATGATAAACACGTTTAAGAGGAAAAATGGGAAGATGAATCAGTATTATTCCGGCGGCGTCGCAAAATGTCAGCCGGAAAGCTCGCAGAGGGCGGCGGCGCGCCACCCTGAACCAGACGCGCAATTGCAGACGGCCAAACGCGCTTGAAAGTTGTCGTTTGGCCTCCAATCTCTCGATCATTTTCGCTGTTCGAACTATTGTCGGAAAACTGTTCAATTCGGCCGTTATGACAATTCCGACTGTAGTGGCTATTGTGAAAACATCTAGAATGTTGCGTTTTCACAAGAATTTCAATATTTTCATCGTTTTTCTTGCAGAGCCACGAAGAAGAAATGGCGACGACAGCAGACCTCCTCGACGGTTTTTCGCTTTCCGACCAGACGGAAATCCCCCCGGTGGCCCCACCGTCCAAGTCCGAACACGAAACTCCGATCCTCTCGGCGCCGACCCCGCTCAATTCGGACTACGATCAACGGAGAACGTCGCCGGCGCCCGCAATCGACGATCTGCTCGGATTGGGCTCAACGGACAGTGTTCCGGTGGTCCCAAAGGTCCAAGAGAGCAAAAGTGCGGCCAAGCTGGTGGATTTCGACTTTGGAGCACCAATTCAGCCCATAAACTCGGCGACTGATCTGTGAGTGGCTCCGAAAATGAAAAATTATACAAATGCTATTTTTACAGCTCGTCGAGCCCGAATCCGCAGTCCTCCTGGTCCAATTCGGACCTTCTCGGCGGATTTTCCACTTTGAAGCCTTCGGCCACCGCGACACCGCCCAACTCGAGGGTCACATCGGCAGCAAGTGAGTTTGCAACTTTTAAAAGTGGAAAACTATTTTTCATCAATTTTCGATTTTTATACTTTCCGTGTTTTGCAGACTCAAAACCAGTGTCACAGGTGAACTCTCAAGCCGATTTCGATGCGTTCCTTTCGAATTATCCCGAAAAACAGCAGCAGCAGGCGCCGACCGCCCCTTCGATGGCTCAAAAGACGTCGACGACGAGATGTGGGGAATTTTGACATTTTGTGAGGGAATTTGTAACGAAAACGGCATTTTTTTCAGCTCAAAATGCGTACAAACCGGCGTTTGGTGATGCGCCGACGGGCGGAGCCAAAGTTTCGTTGGACGCGTTCAGCGATCTGCTCAATCAGGGGGTTAGTCGCCTGTTTTTATTGAACAACGTTTTTGGGCTTCACGACGTTTCGCAACCGCGACGTCTTGATACCCACGTGAACTTTGACAGCGCAATTTAAGTAGTTAGCGTTTGTTGCGGAACGTCATGGTTTTGAAATGTCGGGTTGCGAAATGTCGGGTGGCCATTTTGTGAAGCAAATTTTGATCAAATCCAGCTAGGACACAGAAAAATGAAAAGATTTATTGAGAACAAGACTATAAATCATAAAGGTCAATAATTGCGGACGACTGAAGATGTTATTCCAGTCTTTCTAGAAACACCAATATAATTCAAGACCAACAAACGGGTGGACCTCATTTGCACAAAATAGACGAAAAAATTTAGGGAACAAATGGCAAAAAGGCGGAAATAATAGGTGATTGCCTGGATTTCTTGTGGAAACGACTCGAAATGTTCCTGAAACAAAGTGAGGATAATGGCAGCCTTTCTGGAATTCTTTACGGGATAAATCCTCATGTACAAGTAGCCCAACTCGTAAACGGATAAATAAGCGGCAATAAACGCCGCCTGACGAATCATCACATTTTCGCGTTTCGAATGCGAACTAGTCATGTGAAACGGCTGATTTCCGCAGATTCTCGAGAATTTCAAGTAGAAAATGATGGAAAAATTGATGCACATTGAGAGAATCGGCACATAAATCACATATTTGTTTTGGATCAGAGTGAACTGGAAAGTGAAAGCTTTTTGGTCCTTAATCAAATGTTTGGAGCAGCTTACAGTATGCCTTCCAGGAGCACAAGCCGCTAAATAAGTACTAGTTATAGAGCTGAAATTCACGGAGCACGACGAATAATAGGGAATGAGCAAAGTGATGAGGACGAAGATCTGGATTTCTTTTTCTCGATTTTCTTAATAGTTAGGGGAAAAATACCGAAAAACAAGTACAATAGGCGACCAGCTTGAAATCGCTGAACAAAGTGTTGGTCCGCATTGGGAACAACACAATTGAGACGCGATGAATGGTCATTAGCAAGTTCAGAAATAAAGGGGTCAAATAGGAGAAGGTGGTGATCAGAGACACTTGTTTTCCGATTATTTGACGATATTCTAAAAAAGACGATTCTCACTGACGATTCTCACATAAAAGTATTGAGTTTTACTCACTCTCATACCCATCAATTGGATTAATCAAATTGGCGATCGGCCACGCGTCAACCATGAAAAAATCGGCACATTTGCCGAGAATCCCGAAAAATGTCATGAAAACAATGTAAACGAACGGTGTGGACGCGTTTTTATGTATCGGCTTTGAGAATTTTTGCTGCCAAACGGCAGAAAGCAGAACAATGTCGAAAATCAGGCAGAATAGGGTTAGACTTGTGAAAATTATTTGGGAAATTGGCAAAAGCATACTCATCTTCTTTTGTGTTGAGAGAAAATTGACAAAACGTACACAAAGCACTAGGTAATCATGGCCAAACGATAATTTTTCTGTTTTCGGAAAAAGACCTGGAAAAAATTGATTTATTATGAGGTTTCTAGTGAAAAGTGAATAGCGAAAATTTACGAGCACCGATCAGAATCAAATGTTTGCAGGGATTCAAAGCGACGACGCGTGAGGCACAAAAAAAGTCGATCGGAACGATGCTCAAAGCGGAGCAGTCGAAAAATTTGACACCCGAGGAGATTAAGGTACTGTAGATTTTTGAGAAAAATATTTTTTTTTAACTCTGTTTTCGGGAATTTTCGCGATAGACGTATTGTAGGCAATTTTTCTTCGTTCATAATAGGTCCACGTTCTCAATTGATTTACCACGATATCACTTGTGGTACGCATAAGATGGCCTATCATAGGCCCATTTACCCTGAAAAATGCTCGAGGTAGAGGGGTGGGTGAGCGCCCCGAAATCTCTGAATAGACAGACCATCACCTGTAATCTGTGTTAAACTTTTTTTGTTGCAGATCCGCGATTGGACACAAGGAAAAGAGCGCAATATTCGTGCTCTTTTGGGCTCGCTGCACAATGTGCTCTGGGAAGGAGCCGATCGATGGAATCAGCCGACGATGGCCGATTTGCTCACTCCTGATCAGGTACAACTTATTTTCTCCACAAATGTTTAGAGAATGTTGTATGTTTCAAATTTCAGATCAAAAAACACTATCGCAAGGCGTGTCTCGTCGTTCATCCGGACAAATTGACGGGATCTCCGCAATTGGAGCTCGCGAAAATGATTTTCACCGAGCTGAACGACGCCTACAGCAAATACACAAATGATCCGAGTTCCATGTGACAATGTGCATTTTTTCCCCAATAATTTCTAGTCTGAAAATTGTACTATTCCCGATTTTCTGATTTTCTCAAGCTTCCCTCTTCGACTATCCGCGGTTTTCTGTGATTTTTTCTTCAAATTAATTTATGTTTTCCCTTGCTTCCTCTTCCCAATGTGTCCTGTGGTTTGTTGAGTAAAAATGTGTGAAACGACGATTTTTTCTGGAATTTTTCTGGTGGGTTTGCCTCGAATCCTCGGTTATTTTAGTAGATTTTCAAAACAACAATCAATCGAACCATTCTTCTTTTTTTTCTTTTCGGAAAATGAAGAGAATGCTGGAACTGAGAAATCTCTGGAGAAAAAAGCCCGAAACATTCGAGAGTGGCGCCGAAATGCAGTGGAGCGCACTTTCTAGGCCACGCCCACTTCACGCCGCGATGGCGCAGGAAGTGTTGGCGCGCTGGACGGTCGAGGACGACGAAAACTTTTTGAGTTTCCTTGCCGAACACGCGAAGACGGCCGAAAAGCCGTTGAACGCGTTGGCAGTGCTCAAAGAGTACACGGAGAACGGAAAAACGACGAGAGATTTGCAGGCGGTCTTGGACAGGTTTGTATGCTCGAAAAGGCGGCGTGCTCACTCAATGTTTCATATTGCAAAAATGGGGTTGAAATTTGAATTGCGCGCCAAAATGCAGATTTTAAAAAAGTGCGAATTTTTACACAGATTCCGTTTCAATTTGGCGCTCAAAGTGCACGAGTTGAAGCGATTCGATAAGCACACAAAAGTGCGCATAATATACGCATACGGCATTCCGGTCGCCGAGCACTATCTGATCGAATTGCGGAAAGAAGCGGACGTGGAGTTGGACGAGCGACGAAAAATGGAAGTTTACATTGAGAAGGAGCCGGGCGGCCTGAAACTTATCGGATACGCGGCGAGTTTGCAGTTCACCGAGACCGAGGACCGACAGATGTTGCATCATTTGGCACGAAAAGCGAGAGAATCGAAAGAGCCGCTGTCGATGGACACTCTGTGGAAGGACGTGGCGCCGTTTAGCAAACGGAGCTGCTCTGCCTACCAGTATCGGTTCGTGTTATGGCGATATTTCACTGCAATCTTCGGGAAAAAAGCCCGAAACTAGGGTGGCTTTATAATGCGTTTGCTTTTCGAGGGCCTGTCTAGGCCTGTATTATTGGACCACCCGAAAAGCAAGCGATCGATTTGCAGATTCCACATGACATTGCGTCACCGTATCGTCTTGACGGATGAGCTCGATACGGAGACGAAAGTGCTCATGTTGTACTGCTCCGGCACGCCGATCAATGGAGAGTTTCTGCAAAAGTTGAGAGAAGAAGCGGATGTGGAGGTGGATGAGAACGGAAAAATCACAAAGTATCGGGAGAAGAAGCCGAACGGATTGGAGTTGAATTTAAAGAATACGGTTCAAAAGTACATTGAAAGCCGAAAAAGATCGGCCGCGTTGGCAGAAAATTACGATGACCCGTCACATTTTGCAAAAAGACAGGCGGTTGCGATGGTCGGAGCAGAAGTTACAAACAGGGAAAGTCAGTCTTTGGGCGCAAAACAACCGGAAACAATTATATTCTCAGATACGCCTCCGGAAATGAAGGTGAAGGATATTCTGGAGAAGCAATCCACGTCAGCTCCGACGAATTCGATGCAAAACAAGTGGCAGATGCATATTCGGTCGCAGACAAAAATGAACTGGCGACAGTATGGGAATATAGCGAAGCAAACGCGCTCCGCTCCACTCTGCACTGGTATCTAAATGCATTGTTTGCAGAAATTTCAGCAAACATGCATTTGGAGACAAAAATGAAAGAAAGCAAAGCGGCGAGTGCAGCGGAGCGTGTTTCCAAACGGCTTGGCAATATAGAATTTGTGTGTTTTTCAGGTCCGTCCTCTCTCCGAATGATACTGCAGCCACAGAATCCGACGTCAGCAAGAAAGTGCTTCTGACGCACTTCCGCACGCTCATCCAGGAGATCGATCATCCGCAAATGGATGGTACACTGCAGAAATTGAAAGACTCGATTCGAAAACTGAAGGACGGAGACGAGAAAATGAAGACGGGCGACATTCGGAAAATTATGACGGCTCTCAATTCGATTCATGACGTTTTCGGATAATAATTGTTCTCTTTTTGAATTGTTTCTCATGTTTGTTATCCTAAAATCAAGATTTTGCTGTTTCACCATCATTATTTTCGAATTTCAATTTGACGACAGGTTTCTAAAACCTATAAGCTATTTGTCTATTTTATTGCATCCAACTCGAAGTGCCAGGTAAAAGCGCACCGTTGAGAATCGCCAGGTCATGTCTATTTACGGGATTTGCAATTATTTCCAGAAAACACGGAGCTTTACGCTTTTTCAAGAACTTTGGCCCAGGTTTTTTCGAGCACCTGACTTTTGGACCAAACTTTTGCCTGCTTTTCCGACTTGGACATAGTTTTTGCGTAAATTTCGGATGTCTCGGCCTCTGATCCATATAAATCCGGGCCGGATAATCCAATCGATCTGAACCTTGGACCCAATAGACTTCAATCCAAGCCCAAAAAGCCTGCAAAGTTTGGGCCCGATCGAATTATTGCAAGTGGGTCAAAACTCGAGGTCGTCAAAATGCCCGCCATGAGCCTGCCATTGCTCAGCCCTTCCCTGAGTCAACATGGCCGGGGGATTAGTGCGGTTTTCTCTTCCATCTGTGTATACTGTTTGAATAGGTGTCGACAAAGTCCAAAAACGACGTGAGCAACGCGGTTGGCGCCGTGCCAATTAAAGTTTGAATGAATTCAACGGAGCGCATTTACATTTTTACGCGCACTTTTTTTTTTTACATAAAAACGCTTGAATTTCAGTCAATTTCTACACAAAATGAAGTACTGGACGGCCGATGAAGACGACGAACTTCTGAAGTTTGCGGTCGAAAAAGCGAAATTGGAAACGAGGGTGTTGAACGTGGAAAAAGTGTTGCAAGAGTACACGGAAAGCGGAAAAACGACACGCTCTTTGACGTCGATATTGAGCAGGTTTCGGACAAATCTAATGCTTTTAAAATCGAATTTATTCGCAGGTTCAACAAATATTTGGCGCCGAACGTGTATGCAATGAGTCAATTCGATACAAATACAAAAGTACGGATGATGTTCGCATTCGGCGTCTCGACCAACAAGAAGTTTCTGGAAGAACTGAGGGAGCGGGCGGACGTGGAGGTCGGCGAAAACGGAAAAATCGAAAAGTATACGGAAAAGAGAGAGGACGGATTGAAACTCGTCGGATACGCAGTGAATGCGCTCTTCACCGAGGAGGAGGATCGACAAATTCTAAATTTTTTGGCGGAAAAAGCGAGAGAAACGAGGGGCTCACTTTCGATGAATGCTCTCGCGAGACAATTCAAAGTCTCGGAATCGAGCAGACGCTCACCACGATCCATTGAGTCTCGGTACGAGTTTTCAGAGCAAAATTCTTGAGGAAATGCGTTTTTTTAACAGAATTAACAAATACTTGAAGCCGAGAATCTATTTGATGGATGCGTTCGACACGGAGACGAAAGTGCTCATGTTGTTCTGTTCGGACACGCCAGTCGACGGAAAGTTTTTGGAGAAACTGAGAAAGGAAGCGGATGTGAAAGTGGATGATAGCGGAAAAATCACAGAGTTTCGGGAAAAGAAGCCCGACGGATTGAAGCTGACCATCAAGAATTATTACGGCGGAAATGTTATAGGTTTACTTTATGTGCAATTTTGTAAAAGCATCGAAAAATCTCTAATTTGAGTCGGCAAGATATTGATTTTTCAGGGAAAAGAAAAAGAGCGACAATAGCTGACACTTCCGATTCGGAAGGAGAACTTGCGCCGCCACGTTCCGCCAGAAAACAGCCGAATAGGCGCAAAGTGTCTTCTGGCGAGAGTACAGAATATCAACCGTTCGACGGATACGGCTCTCAATTCGAATTTAGCGCATCCGAGCAAAAAGCAGGGAAAACGAAAAAAGGTACTTTGCCACACGCGCTCTACCGAAATGCCATGAGAAAATCTCGGTAGAGCGCGATCGCAAGACTTTTTAAGAGATTGGAAAATCGTATTTTCAGAAAAGTGAACGAATCGATTCGGAAACGAAAAAACGACGATGCGAAATTCGCAAATACTCTCTTTTTTCTTCATAATAATTTTTAATAAAACGTGTATATTTGCCCATCCCTTTCAAAATTGATATTTTGCGACTAGCGAACCTGTGGTTAACTGTGAGATACATTTCCTCTAAGTTGAACGGTCAAAATCGGACCACTACGAGCCGAGATGTGCGTGACGACCATTTGGCGCAAGTGCGCTCTAATGAAATTAAAAAAAATTTTGCTTTGTGCTTTAAGGTGCCTAATGCTTTAAGATAGGGGCGCTGCGCAATTTACCGTCGGCGGAAGTTCAAATTTTAGTTTTCGATGTACCCGTCTCGACCCCGTGCTCTGGTTGGATATTGGAAAGTGACACATTTTTAATCCTTTTCGAAAACATAAACCGATCAGTAGCACCCTTATCAATTGGAAATCAGCACCCGAAATTGATTGCATCGTGCTCAGCTCGATGAGATCCATCCAACCATGTAACTTTTACCCCTCAAAATTCCAGACTTGCAAAATAAAGGCCGGGCCGAGAAATTTGTTTTAAAGCCTGGCCCGGCCCGTTGCAAGTCTGCAAAATGCAAATCCACCCCAAACATGGGAAACTGAACCGGCGCGGCCGTTTCGCGCCGCTCTTCCCGTGAATTTCGCAACTCTTCTCTCTCATTTCTCCATCTGTTTTTCGTTATTTTCTCTATTTTTCTCACTGGCCTCCCGCGGCAGCACCCGCACACAAAACAAACACATTTCTCGCATTTCACTCGCATTTTTACTGAAAAACACCAAAAAAGTAGAGAAGAAATGGGAGTTATCGCGTTTTTCTCGAATTTTTGCTACGCCGTGATTCAATAAAGAATGTTGAAATATTTGTTAACTCTTAATTTTTTTCTGCACATTTTCAGCTCAAAAAATGGCGTTCACAGGACTGAATTGGAAGCACGTGAAAGACACATTTATGGACGTGAGTGAAAGATTATTAAACAAAGATCCAGGTATTCAAATGACTTGGGACGGGGGCGGTCTTTATTTGGATACCTGACAAAGATCACAGGCGGGGAAAAACGGAAAAAAAGAGAAAAGGAAAAGAAAGGAGAAAAGTGGAGGGTGCGGACGGAAAACGGAACGTTTCGGCGTAAACAAATGTGTTTTTCTCGTTTTTCGGCCACTAAAAATGTTCGGCACAACATTTTTGTTCAGTTTTTGTCTTTTCCGCTCGCCGCGTTCGATGTTTCATTCGCCTTAAAAATTTAAAAATTGCAGCTAGGAACAATGGTGACAATGATGACGGGAAGTCGAGAAGGGTCTTCCGACTCGACGGCGTCTTCCGAAGGCTCTTCGATCGCAGTGGCCGGCAGTAACAATCGGGTTGTCGTCCTGAAGCGAAAAAGTGCGGAGGAGGAGAGCAGCGACGGAGAGACGGCGACTAAAAAGGCCAATTCCGACTGTCCCGACGATAATTCGCCTGGAAATGGCAGCGAGGCCGAGGATCGCGCCTCCATACGGTTAGAAATTCGGAATAAATTGGATCTTCACAAATTTCGAATATTCCGCCAAAACGAAATGTTTACCTTTTTCGATAAGATTTCAAAAAACGTCCAGAGCATTTCTTGATAGCAATTATAAATTTCAAGTGAACTTTCCGATTTTCCACGTTGTCCGCGTGTCATTGAAAAAAGTTAAGCTTATTGTTTCCCGCTATACTTGACTGAAAATTCTAGAATAATGACAACGACAGAATTGAGCATAGAAGTCGAAATTCAACCAACCTACGGGACCAGGTACCTGATTTTGGTTTCGTCGAAAAAAGGTCCTATTCTCGTGATGTTCCTTCAAAGAATTGAAAAAATTCCAAAATGTTCTAAATTGAACGTTTTGCAGATTTCTTTCGAGCCTGACAAACGTGATCATAAAACCGACACAGCTGCTGAAAAAGACGGCGGCATTTTCGGGCGCCGATCAGTGGGTACCCAAAGAAATGGAGGAGATTGCCGAATTTCCGACCGACTCGCTCGATAAGTACAAAAAAGTGCATCCGAACGTGGAGGCGCCGAAGAAATTCAATCTCGTCAACGGCGAATTCTCCGTTCTTGCCAGTGTTCAGGTTCGGTCGTTTATGGAATTTTTAAAACTTCCCTATAATTTATAGGCTATAAATCCAATTGTTGAACAATCTTGTCTGTAAAAATGCGAAAAAAAATTTGTTTTCAGACGCTCTCCAAAGAAATAGTGTCGCCGAAAACGCAAAGAGCGGAAAAATCGCGAGAGGAGAAATTGACGCAGAACGAGCTGACGGACAATGAGAAAAAGAAGGAAAAGTGAGGATTAGTGCTATAAATTTTCGGAAAAATTGAGGCAATCAATTTCAGCGCCGAAGAGGAAAAGCCCAAAGTTTTGTACCATTTGGCAATCACGCTCTACAATGAGAAGCACGAAAAATACGTGATGTCACTGTTCAGAAGCCATAAAGTGATTCTCTTTAAATAATATCGATTTGTTTGAAAATTTTGACATTTTATTTTCAGCTGGCCGATGTGGTGGCACTTTGTGAGCGATGTCGTGAAAATCCGGAACTTTTCCGCGTCTTCCCTAAAAGTTTGTGTTTTTCAAATTTTGAAATTAAAAACCCATTTTTGGCAGATGTCAATATCAAAGAATATCTGCATTTAATTTTCAACGAACTCCGCGACAACATGACCTGGAAATCCGTGCATATTTCCGCAAAAATCGGTCTTTTGGAATTTTTCGAAAACTTGCAACAGCACAAATTGGAGAAGAATTTCAATGCGATGGCTCAGCCGGAGGGGATGAGTCCGCTCCTCATCGCCATACAAAATGATCAGTGCGCTTCTGATTTTAATGACTTTTCAAAGTTATTCTCGTTCAGAATCGAGACGGTGAAATGGATGCTCGAGCACGGCGCCGACATCAACTGCATGACTGCGGACGGAGCGAACGTGCTCCACGTGGCGGCCACGTCATCCGGCGAAATGCTCAAATTGCTGTGGGACACGAAAAAGTGCGCGACGATGCTGAACAAGGGCGATTCGAACGGAAACTCGCCCACTTATATTGCACTCTCGAACGCGTGCATCCTCAATTGCTCCACGCTTCGAAGTTTTGGTGAGCGCAATTTTTAAGAGAAATTTTAAAGCTTTTGCCATCATTCTGATTTTTTTAATCGAATTTTTTCTCGAAAAATGTTTCAGGCGGAACGATAAACTCTTCGGATGCGACGCACGCAGCCACTCCCGTCATCGGAGCAATGAAACGTGGCAAACTGGACGAGACGTCGCTGAAAAAGATTCTGGAGCTGAAGCCGGACGGGCTGGCCGAAAAAGAACCGGCCACCGGAAATTCGGTCATTCATTGTGCGACCAGCAAAAAAGCGCTCATTCTGTTGATGGAGAAATTTGTACGGTTTTACCCTTTTTAGGTCCCTTTTTTTAAAGAAATTACACTTTTGAAATGCCAAATCAATTTTGAAGTTGAACACAAAATTTGCAGAGAGAGCAAACGGATCCGGAAGCACGTAACTCGTGCCAACAGACGCCTTTGCACGTGTTCGTGGCCAAAGACGAACTCGGGCTGGTGATGACGATATGCGCGTACGGAGTGGACAAGGACGCGCAGGACATCAACGGAAACACCCCTCTTCACTGTGCCGTCACGGTTTGTGATCTATTTTTGCGAAAAAAAAGCAATGTTTTGTTGAGAAATGATTCGGTACGGTTACGAGAAAAGCGCCCAAAAGTGTAGAGGTTGTTAGAAACAAAATCTAAAGTCTCGTGATTAGTAAAAACAATTATCAAAACAGTTGCTTTCTTGCAGAGAGGAAACGTCGAAGTGGCCAGAATGCTGTTGTGCCTCGGAGCCAGGACGGATATCAAGAATCGGTACAAGGAGACGGCGAGACACATTGCCGCCCGCCTTTCCGATCAGTTAGTTGCATTTTTCGCTCGCTTTGTTTTTGTTTGTTTCAAAGTTTGGCAAAAAATCGTGGCGCACGCAAATCGCTTCTCTCTCGCCCAAAGCTCGACAAAAGCTGGACAAATTGTGCTCGTTTTTGCAGAGAAGCCAAAATGGACCTGGTCCGGGCGCTGATAATCTGCGGTGCGCCGGCGTGCGATGCGGGATTCGTCGGCTGCGCGTTCGGCTGCATGCACAATCAGGGACTCGGCGCCTGCCGGGCACAAATGGGCAACAGTGCGTCGAGCAGTTCGTGCGAGGAGGGCAACGTGGAGCGGAACGTGAAGGAGAACAGAGTGGCCGAAGAGGCGGCCACCGGCGCCTACGAATTCGTATTGGACCCGGACACGCAACTCGTCGAGGAGGCCTACGCGGAGCGGAACGAAACGAGAGGATTCCCGCACGATCAGGCGATGGAACGGGTGAAGAGACGGCTGAGAGAGCTCGTGGAGCGGAAGGAGACCTCGAATGTGATCAATGTGCTCGGGTTGGACGGCGGCGGCATTCGCGGACTCGTCACCGTTCAGGTTGGAACCACAAAAGTGCTGAAAAATTGAGAGTTGTTCGTTGCACGGCAGGGATAACGGCTTTTTCGGGGTCCTCATCGTTACCCCATGGCGTTTTTTCTTCGCGACTAGCAAACTGTCCACGATCTCATTTTGCAGATGCTCATCGCCCTGGAAGCGTACCTGGATCGTCCGCTCATCGACTACTTCGACTGGATCGGCGCCACGTCGACCGGCTGCTACATCATGTCAACTTTGATGACGGGCGGTTCTCTTCGACACGCGCAGAGGTACTATCTGCAGTTCAAGGACCAACTGTTCGATTGTTGGAGCCGTCCGTACGACACGAAAACGCTCGAGGGGTTCATTAAACGATCGTTCGGCGCCGATCGGCTCATGGGCGACATCAAGTATCCAAAGTGAGCATTTAGAAACAAATTTGGGATATATAGGACAAATTAGGACGATTTTTAACCTTCACGTGAAAATCCTCACACTTCCGCTATTTTTTCGTGTTTTTAGGCCCCTAAAACGATTCTTTTTTCAGGTTTTTCTGCACGACAGTCCGCGCCGACACTTTTCCCGTTCAATTGGACCTCTGCCGCAACTACCGTCTTCCGGTCAGCCCGAAAGAGAATGAGGATTTGGGATTTTCGGATCCGAATGGTAAGCTATTAGAACTTGTGAACTAGTCGGATTTTTTTTAAACTGAAAAACAGAAGAACGCGCGCGTCAAACATTTATCGATAAATGTTTCGTGCTGGATAAAGTTATACCATGCGAAATGCTATAAACAAGTGTCGATAAAAGATTTATCGAAACATCTATGTTTCCAGAACTGACAATGTGGAAAGCGGTCCGTCGGAGCAGCGCGGCGCCGACGTACTTTTCCGCGTCCGAAGGCAAATACATTGACGGCGGAATGATCTCGAACAATCCGACACTGGACCTGATGTCCGAGATTTGCTTCTGGAATACGACGTGTCAGAAAATGAAGGTTTCCACTTTTGTCCTCTTGTTTTTTTCTGTAAAGAACACTGAAAATATCTGTGAAAAATTGTAAAAGTGTACAATTTCAGCTGCCCGAGAAGATGGTCGACGTCGGATGCGTACTTTCGGTCGGAACGGGTGTCACGCCCATCTGTCCCGTCGATCCGTCGGTTTTCGAAATGAACGACTGGATGGGACTGTTGAGGGGCATCCGAAATTTGTCGTTAGTCGTTATCGATCAGGTAACTGCGCATTTTTCGCACAAAATAAAAATGCTTCGCTTTTCCCGCCCGCTTACTGAAAACGGGAATTTCAAATTTTTTGAGGCGACCGCCACGGAAGGAGCGCCGATTACGAGGAGTCGATCGTGGTGCCATTCACTCGGAATTCCGTACTTTCGACTGAATGCGCCCATTTTTAAGGTGTGTGATTTTCAGACAAAGTCAGTGTCGGAAATGAGAAAGCACGCAAATACAACCATTTTGAGCGTTGGAACAGAGAAAATGGTCGAGAAATGACTGACTCGAAAATCGATCGATTCAATTTTCTCGTTTCTGAATAAAATCCGCCTTTTAAGCACGAAATATGGGCAGGTATTAATTTCGCGGAGTCAATTGTGTAGAAGCATTGTGAATTTTTGAATTTCGCGCTGAAAAACTGGGTCAAAAGGCGAATTTCAGCATTGCAATCTTCTACAAATGTTTTGTTACAGGACGTGATTCTCGACACAAATGACGATCAGGAATTGGCGAAAATCATGTGGGACTCGGTGGTCTACTCGCATACGCACAAGTCTGTTCTTTTTCCAATTTTTTTTAAAGGGAAAAGCAATTTTGTTTTGCAGAAAAGATTTCGAAGAAATTGCCGGATTGCTGAAAGCCGTCGGAACTGTGGACGAGCGGAAGAATCGATTGACGATCTAATGTACGCTTTTTCGCTTTAATTAACAATACCGGTTTCTTTGTTTCTGGAAAATTTTAATCAAATTAACAATAAACTTGTAAATGCACTTATTTGGGGGTCTTGCTACGAAAATAACTTGATCCTGAACTTGGCAATTAGTCAGAAAGCATTAGGAACAGGTGAAAATGAATATTATTAATATGTCACTTGCTTACTACTTGATCAACTTGTAGTCTGTTGTCAAGTTATAAAAACCGAACTGATAACCGACGGTTTGAAACTTGGTCTCGTCCGATATAATTGTTTTCCAGAACTTATCAGCATTTCTCGGATACTTGGAGTTCCGATAAAATAAACTAGAAAACAGATAATCGAGGCCGATGAGATTCGCGTATAAAATATGAATCTTCGAACTTCCAGGGGTAAACTCGAGTATTCTTGCTGAAAATTTTGTTTATAAACGTCTATATTCATGGATAGAACTACTACCTGAAATATACGGATAATATTTGCGCTGACCGAATAAATCAACATAAAAGTGGTCGTTGAGACGGATTGTAAAAGTAAGGTTCTCTCCAATTTTTGACGCATTATCGAAGAGATACTGTTCACGGTCACTGTAGATTTGTTGATAAACACAAATTTATTTGGATAAACCAACCAGCGACACTCATGGAACGGATTAGAAAGTGTTTTTGATAGGAAAGATACAATATCAGTAGGATATTTAAGATCATACAAGTTGTAGGTATTAAAAAGAGCCATTGGTTTTGCCAAAGGGTTATCTGGAGATATGAGTTTATGAAATACAATGTTGTTTGTATATTTGGAATCAGCTCGTCGAGAGCTTTCGAATGAGTATAATCATGGCTAGGCTTAAGCAAAAAACATTTTCGCTCGGGTCCCACCACGAGAGTTTCGGGGTACTGTAGTTTTCGTGGTGGGACCCAAAATTGCTCGGAACTCGGACATGATTATACTCATTCGAAAGCTCTCGACGAGCCGAATCCGAATAAACCGACCGGGTGTCTGGATGGTGCACACGCGGCCTCATAGGTAAAAGTTCGTTGATTCACGTTGACCTGACAGTCCGAAAAGAATGGGATGAATAATAGGATAAGTGACAAACTCTGAAGTGAACAAATAATGCGGAAAACGGAAATTTGCTCTTAAAGCTACCCCCAAAATTCCCGAATAAATCCACAATTTTCTATCCGTAAACAGACGATTCAGAGGCTTAAACACACAATAAATTCTCTGTATTATCATCAAAACCGTCAGAAGAAGTGGGTGGTAGTAGGAGAAAGTGCTCGAAAGTGTGATGATCGCACCGACAGAGTTACGGTAGGCTGAAAAACGGTTTCTCGCATACTAACAGTTTATCGACACTTTTTCGATACCCAAATACACTTGATCGCTCAACAAAAATGGCAATAAAAGGTTGAAGAAGACGGTGATAATTTCCCAACAATTACTAAAAACCATGTTGTAAATGTAGACGGTCGGGATTCGCGCTGAAAAATTGTTTATCCATAAACTATCGATATTGTTTGGACGGATAGAAAAGTATAAAATCGACTCACACTGGTCGCTGTTATAGAAAATTATAAGGAATAGAAAGCAATTGAAAATTAGTGATAAAAGGTGGATTAGAGTGAAAAATAGAAAGAATAAGATCATTTTCAGTTGTTGAAGAATTAATCCACGTGTTTTGAAAAAAAAATATATCTGAAATACTGGTTGACTTTGGTCTCGATGCTCAGTGGAAAAGTTGTTTCACCTGTCGCACAACGTAGTGTCTTGTGATTTTTTGTGCCTTAAAATGGCGAAACTTTGTAAACAGGTAATTATGACAACAAAGATTACGAGAAGTTGATCCTGTTCAATACAAAAAAAATGAACACGATATTCGAGATCAGCTCAAAAAGAGCCTTCAAATGAGTATAATCATGCGCGGGTTTCGAAAACTTTGGGTCTCGCCACGAACATCGAAGGATACTGTAGTTTTCGTGGTGGGACCCGAAATGCTCAAAACCCGGGAATGATTATACTTTTTTGAAAGCTCTCGACGAGCTGATTTTGAAATCGAAACATCCTCCTAGCTCTTGAAAAAAGTTATTTTCTCAAAAACCGAGTTGAAAAACTGAATTAGAATCCAAAACCAGAACAGAGAGAGAGAGAGAGAGAGCGAGTGAAAATATGAACACTTCAAGTACATGAAATTCGAGCTAAACCGTTGTCAGTTCTTGGAAAATTGCAAGTTCTATGTCTAAAATTAAAATATAATTATATAGGCGAATCTTTTCTGCGAATTCGTGTGCAAATCCGAATTCAGCTCGTAAAGACCTTTGGAATGAGTATAATCATGGCTAGGCTTAAGCAAAAAACATTTTCGCTCGGGTCCCGCCACAAGAGTTTCGGGGTATTGTAGTTTTCGTGGTGGGACCCAATAACTTCCCCACCTAGCCATGATTATACTTACATACAAAAAGTTTTTAAACTTTTGACTTAAAATGATCGCTATTCAGGTGAATTACCAAAAAAAAAAAAAATTGAAACCAAGTGCCAGGAGATGAATTGAGATGAAAATTAGGAAAAATAAGAGCATTTTTGAAGTAAGTCAAGTAAAAGTGACAAATATTATTTATTCATGAAAACTTGGCATGCCTTTCAGCTGTCCCATATTTTGGGTGCATAGGCTACAGAGAACAAAAAGTTGGGCGGGGGGAAACAAATTAAACGGCATGAAATCACACATTATTATAGATTCCAACTTTTTCAGCTCAAAAAGCGCTTTGGAATGAGTCTAATCATGCTACGATTTGAGATACTTTGGGTCCTGCCACGAAAGTTCAGGGCTACTGTAGGTTTCGTGGTGGGACCCAAACACTTTGAAACCCGGGCATGATTAGACTCATTTGAAAGCGTTTTTAAAGCTGAGTTCAAATATACAAATATACAAACAAGTGTCGAACAAAACAACTCAATCGAGATACTTGCAGTGCGAACAGCTTGACCGGTCAATTTTAAAGTATACATTAGTGCCCAACTTGTTCGGAAAATGGAATTCGTTGAGTTTATAGCACTCGGAAGTGTGCTCCTCACTCGAACGTCGCTCCAATTTGTGAAGTTGCTCCAGAAACTTTTCAAATTTCCGCTTCCTACTCGGACCATTCGGAAGGCTCTCTGCAATCTTTGTTCGGTGACACATTTTGCACAAGTTCCAAGTGTACCTACCTCTCACAGAGACTCTAAACAGCCGTGGTCTCCCGTCGATCACCTGCAGGACAGTGTTCAGCGCGCGAGACAAATCGTTGTCCTCCAGACTTTTGAATCGCACAATAACTTTGCGCTCGAGGACCAACTGGCAACACGTGTTCAATATTTCCACTCCGAACACGTTCTTTTTCTCGCCACAAATGTGTGGTTTTACGGCGAGCATCGCGAGTTCCGCGTCCATTTTGAGAAAGTTCAAGCGGAAAACGTCGAGGGGTTCTGGAAAAATGTGGAAAAATGCGGGTGTTATTGCGAAAACGGCTCGATACTAACCTTTTCTGATAATTTCCGTCACTTTTTGTCGAATTGTCACGTCGTCCAGCGCGTTTCTCAATTGTCGATGCGAAATTAGACGAAACAAGCTCGTCGATTCGTCCTTTTCGAATTCTTCGATTATCGCAAACGGAAGTGAGGGAATGAGATGGTGGTCGGGCAGGCAAATCTCCAATATTTTCATAATATTTGAGGCCGTGGACATTTTGCGAGACACGAACACGCACACACCCGCCCGAAATCGATACCACGCGCTAAACCCGGTGCGGAGTGGGGGTGGAAACGGAGTGTCGTTTGGAGAGTGCAAAAAAGGAGTGGCACTACTGTATCTCCGTCAAATTTTGAGTAAAACAGTTGGAAAAAAAACGAAAATGTAGGTAATGGATCAACTTTTGACAACACGTTTCTCAAAGGAGATTTATAACAAAATGTGATCAACTAGAGAGCTATAACTTTTCTGATCAACTACAATATTGTACCAAGTGCATTCCCTGCCACCATTCAATTTCCCTTTCCCAACTTACAAACTTTGCGATTGTCTTTGGCATCGCTGGGAAAAACAGAACCGGTCCTCATCTTTTTGCGTGGTCAGTCAGTGTGCTCTCGGAGCAAATGGCACTCTCTCTCTCTCTCTCTCTCTCTCTCTCTCTCTAGGCTCTTGAGCACTCGAAGAAGCATCCGAGGAGCTGGTCGGAGCAACATTTGCTCTCGCGCGCGCCGGCCATGTAAGACACACTTATCACTCGAGACCGAACATTTTTGATGAGGAGCATGAGAGGAGGTGCCACGTCATCGAGTGCCACGTCATCAAATGCAAAGCAAAAACTCTAAACCCCCCGCTCTTCTCGCATCCGAGAGCCAAAAAGAGAGCACAAAACACAAAAACAAACAGATATTGTATGGTTACCACTGATGTCGTCGTGCGCACTGTTCTCTCGCTCGCCCACAAACGAGTGAATAAATATGGAATTGAATTGAGTTGTGCACATTTTTGTGCATTGTTGCAAACTGCGAGATCGAGTACAGGTCGATCAGTCCAAATATTTCCGTTTCTTTTTTTCGTTCGTCGGTCAAGAGGCGCTTTTTTGTAGAAACTTCTCGCACGAGTGGCTCGATTTCAAGAGGATCGGCGCCTGTTTATAACGGTTTTGAGTATTGTCGGTATGCGCAAAAAGTACTATACGTTTCTAAATTTTTATGTTAACATTTCATATTGCATGTTGTAGTTGACCATTTTTCTGTACAACGATTCCTAAACGTACTGTAGCTCGTGGATGTTGATAATAGCTGAAGGCAATACAAACTTCCAAGAGCTACAGTAGGCCAGAGAGTGACTGTGGTAAAAAGTTGTCAACTAGAAAAATAAAGGTCAAGACATGTACAATATTTGTGTAGTTGACAACATTTCACCAAACTCATTTCCAGAAGTACTGTAGCTGTTTGAAATTGGCGTTGAAGTAGAAGTGCCTTTAGATATTGTCAACTTCCAAGAGCTACAGTAGCCCAGGGAGTGGTTGTACAAAAAACATGTTAACTACAAAAATGAAGTTCAAGACATGTACAATATTTGTTCAATTGAACTTTCTTGGTACGATCACTTCTAAGGTTACTGTAGCTCTTGGAAGTTGAAGTTGAAAAATGCTACCTTTTCTTGTGGGGGATTGTCGGGCTTTTTTCCAGCCACTCCGAATCCGTCAAGACTTTCCAAAGCGCCCACAGATCCACTTCACACTAAACTTTTTGTGTCTCAAAATCGTGCGCGCCACATGCAAACAATTGAGCCTCACAGTATAAATTTTTTTTTCTATTAAAAAAGTTCCCCCCACTTGTTCCACGTCATCATTCACTTTTTTTGGGTGGCTCTCGCAAGGTCACTCGCGCTATTGTACTTTTCTTTGTTTGTTGTGAAGGCAGATATCTCGCAGATATTATATGTGTTCGTGGGTGCGCAAGACGACGAAAGTTGACACTATGACAGGCGGAAGAACGCGCTCGAGAGAGCTCCTCCACACGGTCCCGCATAGATAACTGTTCGGCCTTTTTGAGACCCCTTTTTTCCGACTGAAACTCTGCTTTTTCCACCTGAATTTCTTATATCATAGTATCATTTTCCTCCTCCTAAACTCTCCTGAAACCCTACTGATTCCGCGCAAAATTGACAAAAAGCATCGTCGTGAAATTAGGTAGATTGGTCAATTTTTAGCCAAACTTTGAAAAATCATAACTTTGTTCAACAATTAGCTACCGAACCCTATTTGCGCTCAAAAAGTCGCAAATCTTGTGTAGAATTTATAAAAGCCCTGAGTATGGCAGTGGCCATCCATTGTGATTTTCTACTGTTAGTTCTTTTGTCTCCCCTAGAGAAGACGAGAAGACGGTCAGTTTCAATTTTCTACCTTAAACTGGGTAATTAAACCGTCGCTAACGCTGCGTCGTCGCTCTTCAAGAATGCGCGCAGCCGACATGTCCGAGGACCGCGAGAACGAGGCCTCACCACAGTTAGTACCTCCGCCGCCAAGCGATTTTTCGATTCCCTCGCGAGCAAACCAAGAATCACATTTATATCAGTGGATTCCCTTCTTGTGCTGGCACACCAATTTTCGGATTTCCGAGATTTACGGAATTCACAACTCTAACGATTGTTTTCCTTTTCAAATCACTTCTTTTGTCTCCCCTAAAGGAGACATTCCAAAATTAGAAAGCTGACGCTAAATTGCTTTAGGTCATTCCCAGGTTCGCACCTCTAACTTGGGTAATTAAACCAAAACTAACAGTGCGCGTATCGACTAATGTTTTACGAGCAGCCGACATGTCCGAGGGATCGCGAGTGTCTACTCTCCCGACAATATCGGCAAACACACACTGGCCATTGAGACATTGCTCGCGAAAATGTCATCGATATAGAGTGCTGATGATTTCGCTTACGACCATATCACGTTGAAAACACGCCATCCCGTCCGATCTGGCAAGTTAAGCAACGTTGAGTCCAGTTAGTACTTGGATCGGAGACGGCCTGGGAATCCTGGATGTTGTAAGCTTTTGCCTTTTTTAATCTCAATTTAGCATTTTTTATGCCTGTTGGGCCGAAATATTAGGGTATAACTTCATCAATACACATCTACTTTTAGTTATTTTGAATATGATGGCACAGAGAGTTCAAACCCTTGAGTATCTTTAGCCAGATTTACCCACCCGCATACCCCACGATCCGTTCTTCAAGTGCTGGCACACTGCGGATCTCTGTTTTTCTGTATCCTAGATATAAATGGTAGTGAACCGACTTGAGCCTGATTTTATATAAAAGTAACGTGCGGGCTAGGGAGTGTATCCGAGTAACCTCCGTAGTTCTGTCCACTAAATGGCTTCTGGACTCAAATGTTCCGTTTCCTCTTCGACTTTTCACTTTCGGTCTCCAAATGTCTCCGTTTTTCCTGATTCCTCCTCCTCCTCCTCCGACCGCACCTTTGCCTTCTCGTGCTAATCTTTTCCGTTTTTTCCGTCGATTCTTCCCTCCAATTCCTTTCTTTTATTTGTTCTCATCATTCCATCGCCCCGCCACCCGGAGGAGGAGGCCACACCTGAAGAAGCAGAAGAGGGTGTTCGGGAGGGGGGGGACACTCAAACAAATGTGATCTCATTATATTTTTCCGCGTTTTTGCAATGTCTCCGAATAGTTTTCTCGTAATTCTCCAGATGATTTCTGTTATTTCGCCCCACCATTGTGCACATGGGGAGTTATGCTTCTCTAAGACAATTATAATATTGAGCCGCAAAAAAAAGTGTGCCCCTGTCTGTACCGCCTCAAAATGCAAACATTTCTTGACCAGCACTTGTCAAGTCACTTCTGAAGGGGAGTTAGGTAAAGAAGTGGACAGCGGCGGCGCAAAAAACAAATATTCAAAGAGGTTACCTTTGGTTATCCCTCTTTCTCTCTCTCTCTCTCTTTCTCTTTCTTTTATCCGTGCACCGGCTCAAAACTCGCCAAAAAAATGGAGGTTTTGAGTGCAAGAAAGTCAATTTTTCTCACTCAAAACTTCCGGCTCACTCCTTCACTTTTTCGGGGGGAGTCGTGGGAAAGTTGGAGTGCTCTTTTATTATTGTTGTGTTCAAAGAGTTCCGCAGCTTTTCCTGCTCTCTCGGTTACTGTAGAAAAGCCTTTTATCCCTCTTTTCCGACCCTTGTTCCTCGGATTACTGTAGCTCTTGGAAGAATTGGAGTAGCTCCTACTTCCAAGAGCTACAGTAGGCCAGAGAGTGACTGTAGTAAAAAGTTGTCAATTGCAAAAATAAAGTTGAAGACATGTAAAATACTTTTGTAGTTGACAACTTTTTCATACAACCACTTTTACATGTACTATAAGCGCTGGAAGTTTGTACTCACTGACAAACAGCCGGATTTATCTTTGTCATCTTCCAAGAGTTACAGTACTCGGAGGAGTGATTGTACAAAAAAGTTGTAAACTACAAAAACACAGTTCAAAACATGTACAATATTTTTGCAGTTGACACCATTTTTGTACGACAATTGCTAAGGTTACTGGAGCTCTTGGAAGTTGAAGCTACCCGACAATAGTTTCTTTTTGTCAATTTCCACTGTTTCTCCATATTCTCTAGACTTTTATGGTTATTTTTAGCGATTTTCTGCAAACTGCGTTCTGTGGCTTCCCTCGGATATTGTAGATTCCACACTTTCGTTCTCCTTCTGCCCAGACATTCGTTTTCAATTTTCCGGCCGATTCCGGTCGGTTCCGTTGTTTTCCGCCCGTAATTGCTCTTCCACCTTCGCCCTCCCCCGAACTATCGAATTTCGCAATTAGTGGCAAGTTTGCACATTGTTCTGTGTGTACAGTATCGAATTTTAGTCTGTTTTGGCGCCACCGCAAGAAAATTCCGCATTCTCATCACTTTTCCGCTCAACATTTTGACCGTCTCTGAACACTTTTAGCGTTTTGTTCGAATCTAAACGTTTTTCTCATGAATAATTTTGTGTCGGCGTTCAAAACGATTATTAGAACTTTGAACATTCGGAAACCGGAACCAAAAAGTGTTCCAACTGTTTCCAAGGTCAAAAACTTGCTCTTCACTCGTGTGTGTGTGTGCTCACGCAATTTTTTTCCCCTCGTCAAGATGAGCCCAATATTTTTTGTGTCCCTGCTGCCGTGAGGACTGTGTGCGCGCGCGCGCGAACTACTCATCTTTTCCGCGCGGAAAACCGTCTCCCCTTCGTTTTTTTTTTTCGCGGGCGCGCGTCTTGCTTCCGCGCGGAAACGACGTGACGTGCAACAACCAGTCAGGCCGGGAGGAGCAACTGAAGATGCTCATGCTCGTGGAGCACCGGCTCACTCTCGGAGCACACGGCAATTGGTACTGCTCATCTTTTCAAACAATTGCTCCCCGTTTTCCCATTTGCTACATCATTTCGCCTCAAATTGTGGCTTATTAGGGTTAACTATACTTGGGACATGAAGAAAGTTTTCCGAGTATTCGGTTTACTCAAAAAATACCCATAAATCAGTGTTTTTTTTGTTGCATGTCGTTGAAATGTTTCGAAACTTGTGCCGACATGTTCGATGTCATCGCACTCCCAGACAGGTTCTCCGTTACACCCCCCTCCCCTCTGAGCTTCTCCTCCTCCCTCCAGCCTAATACTTACCGTCAATAAACACCCCATCTTGTGTGTGTGTGTGTGTTGTCAAGTGGTTCAGGTTTGAGTGAGAGCAACATTGACTCATCTGGGTGTGTACTACTATCCACTCTTGATATCTGACTGATTCAATCATACAAATTTCGGGCTCTTTGTGAACTTTTTCAAGACTCAACTTTGAAAAATCGTAACTTTTTTCAAAATTTAGCTACAGAACCGAGTTTGCGCTTAAATTAAAGCTTGATTGTTGTAGAATATGATTACAAAAAAATCTGGTGACAGAAAATTTTTCTAACGCCTGCACGGTTTCAATTTCTAGACCATACCCAAGTTTTTCGTTTGTCCTTCTTGCTTCACTCTTCTTCACTCCTCTGGAATATTATCCATCAACAATTGTGAATTTTTTGCAGGACGAGATGCTGCCTCAGTGCAGGTGGCCCCTTTTAGTTGTACTACTCGTCGTCGTAGCAGCCGAAAGCGTCGAGGATGCGTCGTTCATCGACTCGTTCAAGACGATGTTCTTCGGAAATGAGCCCCAGCGGGCACCAAACGACACTGCTACGCTGAATAACCCTCCGATCAGTTATCACCAATATTCGGCATCTGCCACGTGTGAGTCATTGAAAAATTGAGGCAAAAAACGAGAAAAAGTGATTTTGCGTTCGGGGGGAATCGAACCCCCGTCGAATGCTTGGAAGGCATCCATGCTGACCATTACACCACGAACGCGGCACGGCGTCCCAGGGCGTGAGGGTAATGACATTATTGCTTGCAGCCAGTCGCTCGCAGCCGCCATCCGGCCAATCGTGTACTCTTCCCCGCCAAATCGGAACTGGACCCTACCGAATTCCGAGATGGTTCGTCCATTTTTATCGTTTTCGATTGGATTTTTCGGTTTTTAGGTACTATAACCCTGTGCGTGGGCGCTGCGAGCTCTTCTACTGGTCCGGATGCTGTGGAAACGGAAACAATTTCCAAACTTTCCAAACGTGCCAATCGACCTGCGAAGGTAAGCCGTTTTTTGGGTTCTTAAAGTGTTTTGGTACGATTATATAGTCGGAAATTTGCGATGTTACCTTAAAATTCAGAATTTTTTCTGAGAAAGAGTGTGAAAAAAGTTTGGAAGCCAAAAGGTACGCTGAAAATTCAATTGAATTTTTTCACAAATCACCAGTAGTTTCCCGATATTGTCCACTCAATTTCGGTCATTTTAAGCGAAAACTGGGTGCTGTAGCATTTTTTTGAAATTTGCTATGATTTTTTAAAGTTGACACTAAAGTTGAACATTTTCACTAACAACCAGTTGTAAGAATACGCTCTGTCTGGGAATCATTTTTCAGGATGACGTATTCAATATTTACAGATTTGAAAAAGGGAAAAAAGTTTCGACAATTTCTAGCATCCTCCTCCTCTTCCGTACCTTCTTCTCCATCTCTATCACCCTCTTCCTCGTCATCCCAAATAGTGTTCTCGACTCCACAACTGTCGGTTTTCCAACCGTCAAGCACCCAAATCGACGTGTTGTTCCAACCGAACCTGCTCCTCAACAACCATTACCTCTCGATGCCGCCCGTCCTCTGCCCGTGCTGTCTCCGACCGTATTCCGAGGGTTACGGTGGTCAGAACCTGCTCCGCTTCTACTACGACGCGCCGAGCAAGTCGTGTCGTCAGTTCATCTACCGCGGGCTCGGCGGCTACGGTAATCAGTTCGAGACGGAGGCCAAGTGTCGCAACTCGTGCGCAGTCACCGATTCGGGCGGCCCGCAGACGTTGGCCACCCCGCCGCCCACGCGTTTCGTCACGTCATCATCATCGTTGCCGACGACGAGCACTTCGACTTCTCTTCCGCCAGTCGTCTATGTGTCCACAGGTTCAGAGTCTGACTCGTTTGTGCTGGCTTCCGCTTTTCCTTCGGCTTCCTCGAAATGTGTGTCTGCGTGTGATATGTGTGCACTTCCCTGAACAGAAAAAATGACATTTGACCTACTTTCTAGAGATTTGACCTACTTTCTAGAGATTTGACCTACTTTCTACGAATTTGACCTACTTTCTAGGGATTTGACCTACTTTCTAGGGATTTGACCTATTTCTAGGGATTTGACCTACTTTCTAGGGATTTGACCTACTTTCTAGGGATTTGACCTACTTTCTACGGATTTGACCTACTTTCTAGGATTTGACCTACTTTCTAGGGATTTGACCTACTTTCTAGGGATTTGACCTACAGCATCAAAAACTTTAAAAATGTTAAAATTCCGCTTTTTTGCGTGTTATCCATGCGTTTTTTGCGTGCCCCCCATTGCTTTTCATCAAAATTACCCTCCCCCCAACTGTGTGGTGCCGTGTTTTCAGTCGATCCGTGCTCACAAGACAAGGAGCCCGGCGTGGGCGCCGTCCAGCTGCCCCGATTTTTCTTCAACAAAGAAACCCGGATCTGCGAGCAGTTCACCTACTTTGGCTCGGGCGGAAATCGCAACAACTTCCAGACGCTGGAAGAGTGTCAGGCGCAGTGTCCAGGTTTGAAAACGATGATGATGCACGGCTTCTATGGAAATCAAGTGGAATGGAGTCGGGATGCATGCCACTGGAGTTTGTATGCTTTTAGTTGGATTTAACACACTAAAATTGGGTCAGAAAGCAACGTTCTGTCTTAAAACATGTCTTGAAACAAGTTTTCGGTCTGGAAATCGTTCCAAAACAGTTCTTAAACACTTTTTGCGACAAAAAAATGTTTGACTAACCACCCCGTTCACTTTCAACTCCAAATGTTTCACTTCACGCTCTCCGGTTACGGTTTTACGGTAGCTTCTTATCTCAATTCCTCATTTCTCCGGGACTTTTCCTCAATTTTATCCAACGGTGTCGGCCAGTGAACAAGCATGTGCAAAAGCAAAGCAAGGGATCCCTTTTTCTTTTGGAGCGGCTCTCTTTTGCATCGTCTCTAACCGATCGCATCATTTTCAGAGACGCCGAACCCGTGCGCGGTGAGCAGCGGAGCCAGTCTTGCTCCGTGCGCGCCCGGGACAGGGATGCGGCACCGGAAGCTATTGCCACGTGGGCGCACAGTCCCAGACGACCGTGTGTTGTCCGAAGCCGGCCGCCGTCGACCGCTGCCAACAGCCACTCAATATCGGCATCGGAAACTCGAACCTTCAGAGGTACCCTAGTTTTACCTACTTTCATCTACTTTGCCATTTTCAGATGGTACTTCAACCCGCTCACTCAACAATGTCAATCGTGCACCTACCGCGGACTTCAGGGAAATGAGAACAACTTTTTGTCGCAAAACGAGTGCGAACAGTCGTGTTTGGGTCAGTTTTACCCGCTTTTTTTCGGAGTTTTGACGAAATCGAGCGTTTCAGTGAACCCCTGCAAAATCGGCTCCCCGTACCGCTCCCAAGGAATCACGGTCCAATGCTCGGCGTCGAGCCCGACAGTCTGCCGGCCGGATACTATTGTCACATTGGAGCCGATCAGACGACCTCTGTCTGCTGTCAGGCTCTCGGTACGAGATATTATCGACAAAAACATTTATTCTGACGTTTTAGAATTTTCGGTCAAACTAACCACCTCCAAAGTGTGTTCTAATCGCTTGACACAAAGATTCTTCCCCGCCACGTTTCTGTGCATAACACATGTACTTTTTCGTGTCTCGACTAACCACCCCCCTCTAATTTTTGGTGCAATTATTTTCAGGGCGGTGAATGGAAAGAATGTGATACTTGGTTCTCGGGTTACGGTACTTTTGTTTCTGCAAATGGTGGGTTCTCGTCGTGATTGTGTGGTGAAATGGCATGTGCTAGAAAGTCTTTTTAGATCCCTAAACAACACGTTGTTTCTCGATTCCAGAGTGTTTTTTGCTGTTCAACCCGAATTTTCTTCGAAAAATGAGCTCTAACTTCAGGAAATTCGCCATGCGAGGAGGAAATGACGCAGGGCGAGGGAACCGCCGCACTGACCCGATTCTATTACGATGCCACGCAGAGAAAGTGTTTGGCGTTCAATTATTTGGGATTGAAGGGAAATCGGAACAATTTCCAGTCCAAGGAACACTGCGAAGTGAGCTTTGACCCACTTTCTAGGGATTTTACCAACTTTTTCTCAACATTTTTTGCAGAGCACGTGCCCGGTGTGGATCAATCCGTGCGCGATCGGTCAACCGATAATGTCGGTGGAGCAGCGTCCGTTCCAGTGCCATCAGGGCGCGCCGTGCTCGACCGGCTACTTTTGCCACCTCGGATTCGACGACGCGACGACCGTCTGCTGCCAGTCGGAAGGCGATCCGTGCTCGCTCGTCGTCAAGGAGGGACACGGCAACCATCATCTGTCGCGGTGGTTCTACAATCAAAAGACGCGACAGTGCCAGCCGTTCACCTACACGGGCACCGCCGGAAACGAGAATAACTTTTTGCTCCGCGAGCACTGCGAGGCCACGTGTCCCGTCTGGATCAACGCGTGCCCGTCCGGCGAGCCGTACCTTTTGCCCAACGGAAAACCACAGCCGTGCGAGTCGGACAACACCAACTCGTGCCCGCTCACTCATTGGTGCCATCCGGGTCCGGACGCGTCGACCACTATGTGCTGTCCGGGAAGAGTGGATCCGTGCACGCAGACGCTCGCTCAAGGAGAGGGTCCTCTCAGTGTGACCAGGTACTTTCCCCGCTAAAATGCCGAATTGACTCCTTTTTTCCAGATTCTATTTCAATGCCCAATCGCGTACTTGCGATGAATTCATGTTCCGCGGGCTCAAAGGAAACGCCAACAACTTCAAATCGCTGGCGGAGTGTGAACGTCTGTGTCCGGTTCAGCAAAACCCGTGCCCGATCACCATGTCCTCACTGAAACACTCGGTACGGCTACATTGACCCTTTTAGAACTTTGAAAATCACTTTGCAATTTCGCTCTGAAAAAAAAACGGCTCCTAGGATCAGGTTCTGATTAGAATTTGAGAATATTTAGTGGGTTTTTATTAAAAAAAAATTGAATTTCAGGCCAAACTCGCCCCATGCTCCGCCACAAAATCGTGCCCATCCCAACAGTGGTGCCACTACGGAGAGACCAAGGAGACGACGGTGTGCTGTCCGAACGGTCAGTCTACACGATTCATTTTCCGCGAGAAAAGCGATATGATATGATAAGTCGTCAACAAAAATTGGTCTGAACCATGATGGGATGCAAATCTTCCGCGTAGCCGGGTTGTAGCCAATTGAACGAAATCGGATAGTCCGCGCTGGCTTCCGCCGCGATCTTCTGCTTGTTTTCGTGGATCCAAAGAGTTGTGATGATTTTGTGGCCCTCGTAAATCGGACAACCACCGTGCAGGGAGAGGGGTTCCTGCAGAAAAAGTTTCAAAAAGTTCCCGATTCTCGACTCACCCGCTCGCCATCCGCACGCATATTGAACCAAATGACAGCGTCGCCGGCCATGAGTCTTACTGTAGTCCGCAAGTGCGGAAATACCGTAGCCCCACCGCGCAGCGGCTCTCGGAGCATCACAATAAGAGTGGCCATCCGGTTGCCCATCGTTTGCGCCCAGAAATCTCGGGAATCGACGTGTTCGTCGTAGGTGAGGTAGTCGAAATGCGGCGCGTAATGGCCGCCCGGGTGGTAGGAAAGCGTCTGCAAGTTTCCGAACAGTTTTTGCGACAGAAACAGACTCCTTTTCAGACGAAAACATGTGTTCCAGCCTGAAAAAACTGACACTAAACGGCTCGGCCATCTCGAAATCGATGCCCGGAATGAGTGTGGAAATTGTTGAGAAAACCGAATACGTCGCCTCATTTTCGTCGTGCTCGAAAAACGATCCGTTGGCTCGGCGCGAGTCGGATTGCGTGCTCGATCCGTTCATTTCGTGGACTGTCTGAAATCGCGATTCGACACAATTAGTAAAGATTTCCGCCGTACCTGCAGATACGTTTCCGCGTCTTCAAATTCGTCCAAAAAATGTTCAACCTGTTCGGGTTTGAGTAGATTACGGTAGACTATGAGGGCGGGAAACCAGTTGAGCACTTCCACGTTTACTTGATGGAATTTGTGGATGTACGAGTAGCAGAGGGCGTCTGAAAGTGAAAACCGGTGTCTTTGGACTTTTTTCACATAACGACATACCTTTGGTACTTGTAAACTCGTCCAGTTCGGGATGATCGCAAAGTTCCAACTCATCATCGTCCCAGTGCTCTTTTCCAATGAAGTGAGCAGAAAAATGATGGAGATTTAGAATAACAACTAGAGAAACAAGGACAATATTCATTTTTCCCCCACGCAAAACACTGAATTACATAGAAAAAGACGAGCTTTTCGGCCGTCTCGATTCCATTTTGGCTAGAGAAACGGACGAAGATTTATCGCCTCGCAACGGCGCGCAAAAATGGAAAATTTATCGAGCGTGTCCTCCTCCGTTTTATATTCAAATCCGCGGAATGAGCAGCCGGGCGGATATTGAGCCGTTGACGGGCGTCTTTTCCAAAACGGCTTGGTTCTTCATTCGGATCCACACGGTCGCTATCACTTTTTGACCCGAATACACTGGACAGCCCGCGTGATCGGTTAGGTCTTCCTGCAAAAATGTTTCGTCACATGACATCAATGAAAATGCGCACCTGACTCGAATCACTTTTCGCGTCGAACCACAAGAACGCGTCGCCGGCGTTCGCCTTAATTGTGGCGCCAAGCGACGGAAATATTGTCGCTCCGCCGGATGCGGCATTTTTGAAGACGATAATAAAAGTGGCGAGGCGGTTACCGTACTCGCGCATCCACCAATCCCACTCGTTCTCCGACGTGTACTCGAGAAAATCGTTGTGGACGGCGTAATGACCGCCCGCGTGGTAGGAGAGCGCCTGAACCCGCGAGCACTCATTTTTTATGGGGGGAACCTACTGTAATATCCTCGGCGACTGTGAAATCAAGGGCCGGTATCAAAGTGGAGAACGTTTGGAATAAGGATTTGGAAGCCACGTGTTCCGAAGAAACGATTGGCGTTCCATTTGCTTTCCGATATTTCGAATACGTTTCCGAGCCATCATCATTCACTACTTGCTAAGCAAATGTGTATTTTTGTTAGAAATTTTCAAGCTTTACCTGTTCCTTGAAAGTTTGTCGCTCGAGGAGGTCCAAAAAATTGTCGACTTGTTGTTGTGTGAACATGTCCCTATAGATGACGAGCGCCGGCTGCCAGGCAACGATTTCCATTTTTACTTTTTCGAAATTCCGAATGTACGTCAGGCAGATGGCTTCTGAATAACGCGGCCCGGCTCATAAATTGATGAGGAGGCCCCAAAAACTAACTTCTCCACTGCCAAGTCTTGTCGGAATCCACGTCATCACACTGCTTTCGTTCGTTTTCCTCCCAATACTCTGCACCTTCAAATTCTTCGCTTTCCGGCTCATTACTCTGTGCGAAAATCACAAAAATCGATAGTAAAATTGGAAAGAGACACGTGGACATTGGAATTGAGGAGAAGGCGGAAAAGCGGAACGTTTTCTCGGCGATGCAATATAATTTTCCGCTGAATATCAGTTTTATGAGCCCGCAAAACGAACCGGAAATGGAACGGAACTTTTTATTCTGTCGTTATTATTCATTCGAAAAAATGTCTTGTGTCAAACGATTTTTTGTCCAGTGAGCACGGAAGTGAGAATTCTTGCCGTTTCGAGTGGACCCATAAAGTTGCGCCTGAAAATTTATTGCATTTTTGTGTGATCGTAAGGCATCGTAGTACCAATTTTCGTTCCATTTTTGATCGGGCACGCTGCATGCAGAGTTAGAGGGTCCGACTCTCCGGATGTTTCGAAATTGAGCCAGACGACGACGTCACCGGCTTTCGGCCGGATGTTTAGGTCGATTTTCGGGAAGACGGTCGCTGAAATTCGTCGTAAGATCTGATGTGTGCACTGTAAATCAACTCAAAATCGACGTACTTCCACCGTTTTTTGCGATTTGAAGAATGACGAGTACGGTGGCAATTCGGTTTCCTCTCTCATCTAACAACATGCGATTGGTGGCCGGATTCAGATAATCGTAATGTGGCGCATAATATCCGTCGGCGTTGTAGCTCAAAATTTGCCACGGCTCCGCTGTGCTCAAATCCAACGCGCCGATTTGCGTTTGCAAATTGCGAAAGATTCGCGCAAAGTGTGGACGGTCCTCGTGTCGGAGCCACGTGCCGTTGGCCGCACGGATCGCCGATTTTTCGGCGTGTTTCGGTCCGGTACCAATGATCATCGGAAAATGTTACGTGTTGGGGGATAACTAGACGTATTTTGAGCGAAAAACGTTACCAACTGCTCCAACTGCAACTCTTCCGCCTCTCGCACTGCTTTTTTGCACACGCGCCGATGAACTTGATTGTGATATTGTAGAATAAAGGGCTGCACGCTCAACACCTCGATTTTGCGTATCAGCAAATGTTTGTGGATACGGTAGCACACCAAGTTAGCTGGAGCGAATGGTTTTGGGGCCTAAATTGTTCACAATGAAACTTACGATTGGTACTCGTCGCGCCGCGCAACTCTTTTCCGCACTTTACGAACATTTTCTCGCCAAATTCAATAGTTTCGTCGCAGAAAATTGAAGCAATTTTTAGGAGAATAAAGAAAAGCAGCGAAACATACATTTTCGATACAATACCAATAATTTGGGAGGGAAATAGATGAGTTTGCCGTGCTTGCATGAGCTGAGCAAACATTTGAGGGAGGCAATTCTCTTTACACAATAATATCCGTCTCATTTCAGCCGTCGACGATCCATGCACAGCGCCGCCACGTAATCCCGGCGTCGGAGACTTCCACGCGACACGCTGGGCGTTTGACGGATCGTCGCGCAAGTGCGTTCCGTTCGAGTATCGCGGAATGAAGGGCAACGCGAACAACTTTTTGAGTCGCGAGACGTGCGAGAAACGGTGTCCCGTCTTCCAGAATCCGTGCAAAATCGGCGAGCCGCACATTGTCAACAATCAATATATGCAGTGCTCTCCACAACAGGTATTGTTTGTTAGTGAAATTTTTGAAAAATTTGTGGTTTGAATTGCTCGATTTTCACAAAACAACTTTGCAGGTGTGCCCCGGCGGATCCTACTGTCACATTGGCGCGGAGGCCAACTACTGTTGCAAGGCTCTTGGTATTTTCAAACGTTTTCCGTGTGATTTTGCAGTGTTACCCTCATTCCGAAGCTCTAGATCGATATTATTATTATTATTATTATTATTATCATTTTTTTCCAACAAAAAAAACAAACCAATTGCAGGAGGTGATCCGTGCGGACAGCCGTTGGACCGCGGAACCGGCGGATCTCAATTGTCGCGCTGGTACTGGAACCAACAATCGCAATGCTGTCTTCCGTTCAACTATTGTGGACTCAAGGGAACGCAGAACAACTTTTTGAGCAAGCAGGACTGCGATCGCACGTGTTACGGTTCGTTTTGGTCATCTCGATGCACCATAGAGTTTTATGAAACAGTGAAAACCAAATTTATTCCTAAATCCCAATCCCCAAATGGCCCGCCGCTTGCTGCCTAGCCATCCCATTTCCAGAACTGGACAATCCGTGTGCCCTCGGAGACCCGCAAATGTCGCAAAACAACCGGCCACTGCAGTGCTCGTCGAATTCGAACACTTGCGGCGCGCAATTCTGGTGCCATTTCGGCGCCAACTCGGACACGACAGTCTGCTGCCCGGGACGAGGTGCTTATTGATTGAGATCCCTTTTGGATGATCCTCCCACCCGCCGCATTCCTCCCGTTTTCAGTCGAATCGCCGCAAATTTGTCAGCAACCGCAGGTGGTCGGATCGGGCGGCGCCACGTTGCCACGTTGGTACTACAACGCGACGACGATGCAGTGTCAGCAGTTCAACTATCAGGGACGGCACGGAAATCAGAACAACTTTTTGAGCGAACAGGCGTGCGAGCAGACGTGTCCAGGTGAGAAGAGCATGATTTGTGCGTGCGCGCGACGGAGACTAGACTAAATGGGATGGAGTTGAAAAAATTGACCCATTTTCCTAATTTGCCAACTCAACTCCATCTCGTCTCCAAGAACCGAGTACCCTCCCTCTCTCAAAAAAAATGACGTCCCTCCCCCCACCAAAAAAGTGTCTTGCCCTCTCCAAAATGTGATCCTCTCCCGCAGTGTACGTGAACGTGTGCCCGACCGGATCGCCGCAACTCGACGCGGCGACGAACAAGCCCGTTCCGTGCACGTTTGGCTCCAACTCGTGCGGCTCCGACCACTGGTGTCACCTGGGATTGGTGCCCGACGAGTATCAGTGCTGTCCGGGCACCCCGACCAATCCGGGCGCCTGCCAGGCGCTGCCCGAGGCCGACGGAGTGATTGGAGCGGCGGCGGCGCCCGCGCAACGCTGGTGGTACGATCAGACGGAGATGCAGTGCAAACAGTTCACCTATAACGGCCGCAAAGGAAATCAGAACAACTTTTTGACGAAAGAGGATTGTGAAGCCACGTGCGACGGTTTGTTTGTGATATTGCATGATGCTTCTTTGTTTGTGTGACTTCTTCTCTCTCTAACCTTTTTCAAATTTCACTTCACTTTCACTAGAAACTTGGGTTCCACTTCTTATAGAAATCTTTCTACTTTTCAGTTCTTCTAGTGCTCGCTTTTATACAGACATGTGTACGTACAGGGCTGTATAAAAGCGTCGATCTCCTTCAGTTTTGCTCTAGACAATACCGTTTTCCAGTCTTCACGAACCCGTGCAACCAGCCGATCGCGCTGCCCGCCACACAATGCTCGGGCTCCGGCTCGTCGGACACGTGCGGCGCCAACATGTGGTGTCATCTCGGCGCGACACAAGACTCGACCGTCTGTTGCCCGTCCGAGGGCGATCCGTGCTCGTTGCCGCTCGCCCGCGGCACCGGAAATCAGTTCGTCGACCGCTTCTACTACAATCAGCAGACGGGCTCGTGCCAGCAGTTCACCTACTCGGGACTGCACGGCAACCAGAACAACTTTGTGTCGCAGCAGGCGTGCGAGGAGCAGTGCGGACCCAATCCGTGCTTCGAGGGACGGCCGTTCGTCGGCGCCGACGGCCGCACACAGACGTGCTCCGCGTCGGCCAACTTCAACACGTGTCCGCTCAATCACTGGTGCCACATCGGCTCCGATCTCTCCACCACTGTCTGCTGTCCGGGAGGTGAGCCGCCTAAATTCTGCAGATTTCACCGAATTTCTATTGATTTGCCTCGTTGTTGGCCACGTTTTCGAATGCTCACTTCTTTTCCTATCTACACTGTTTCCACCGCAATTTCCATGAAATCTAGTAGACAATCTAGTAGAGCGGAAGAATTCAACGGAAGAACACGAAAGAATTTTTATCTTTTTTAGAAATTTTTTTCATGGAATGTGATCAACTGACGAAATGTATAGCAAAGTGAACTCTGCTCGTAGAAAAATAATTGTAAATTTAGCTTTTCATACAAAAAAGTTATTCGAGTTGTTGCGTGAAAAAAGGGCTAACGGACATTTTCACGGAACAACTCGAATAACTTTTTTGTATGAAAAGCTAAATTTACAATTATTTTTCTACGAGCAGAGTTCAATTTGCTATACATTTCGTCAGTTGATCACATTCCATGAAAAAATTTTCTAAAAAAGATAAAAATTCTTCCGTTTTCTTCTGTTGAGTTCTTCCGCTCAACTCTGAAATCGACTGTACAATACTCGCATTTTGTAGCCTCCACAAACGTGTGCAATCTGCCAATGTCGACGGGCGAAGGAAACGCCAATCTGGACCGCTACTACTACGATCAACAGACGAAAACGTGCCGTCCGTTCGTGTACAATGGGCTGAAGGGAAATCAGAACAATTTCATTTCACTGGTAGGGAGGGCACACTGGATTCTTACAAGTGAAAATTGTTGTTTCCTTTTGCAGAGAGCGTGTCAACTGTCTTGCCAGCCGCTCGACAATCCGTGCATCGGACAGCCGGCCACGACGGCCGCCGGCCAAGTCCTTTTCTGCTCGATCACCAACAAGGACTCGTGCCCCGTCAACTTTTGGTGCCACATTGGAGCGACGCCCGAGACGACCGTCTGCTGTCCCGGAGCCACCAATCCGTGCTCGGTCCCGTTGGCGCCGGGCACCGGAAACGCCGGCCTCGCTAGATACTATTATAATCCGGATGATAGGGTCAGTTTGGATAGGGTCCGTAGCTCTAAAAAAACGCTAAAAATGTTTCCAGCAATGTCTTCCGTTCCAATACAACGGAAAGCGCGGAAATCAGAACAATTTCGAGAATCAGTCCGAGTGCGAGCGCACGTGTCCAGGTAACATCTACAAAAAAACGTTGTTGAACAATATATATTTGATCGGCGTTGGGTACGTACCTTCCAAAAATCCAAAATTGTTGTGTCACGTCGCTTTTTTTTCGTTTCTCCAAAATTCCCGCATGCTTTTCACTCCCCCCCCACCCCACTTTTCCTGAATCTTCGGGAAAAGCGGTCGAACAACAACGGTTTAGTCTTCACGAATCCGTGTCTCGGAGAGGTGATCCGCGGAAGCGACGGATCGCCGAAAAAGTGTCGACCGATGCGCAAAAACTCGTGCGGAATGCTCAACGAATTCTGCCATACCGGCAATCCGGCGGATCCCGATTCGAGCTTCTGCTGTCCTCGAATCAATCGTGCGTTTCAACGAATCAATGTCCATGATGCGCCTATCGATTTTCAGAAGATCCATGCGACGCGTTCGTCCGTAACGGCGAGGGCAACCTGAACATGACCCGTTTCTACTACAATCCCGTCGAAGGCGACTGTTTCTCGTTCCAATACAAGGGTTTTAAGGGCAACGAGAACAACTTTTTAACGCTCAAAACGTGTCAGGAGACGTGTAAACCTTGTAAGTCCACACTCTGACAATTTTAGATCCACAATATCGCCGTTTTCAGTGACGACCGCGTGTTTCGGTGGCGAATCGCCGTTGCTCAATAACGGCCGCGTTGTGCAGTGTCACAATTTCGTGTGCCCGCCGACGCATTATTGTCATCGCGGCGGCGACGTGCGGTCGACCGTATGCTGCGCGCGACGTGGCAACTCGTGCGATCAGCAGTTGATGTTGGGCGTCGGCGACGTCGCCATCGAACGCTTCTACTACGACACGACCGACGACACGTGCGTCGCGTTCAACTACACGGGCGTCGGCGGAAACGAGAACAATTTTGTGACGAAGGCCGAGTGCGAGATCGCGTGTCCCGGATATCGCGGATATTGTCCGCACGGCAAACCCGACGTGACCGATCATCGACTGACCGCATGCGGAATCGACACCGGATGCGCCAGGGATCATGTGTGCCACGTCAGCAAACGTGGCGCCAAAACTGTGTGTTGTCCCGACCCGGGTGAGCTATTCATTCTTCATTCTCTTAAAGGTGGTGTCCAACGTGACATACAACATATTTTTAAAATAAACTTCGAAGTGGGGCATTCACTTTCCCGAAGTCCCGAATTACGAAAAAAAATCTCCGATTTTTAAGATTTTTTTCAAAAAAGTTAATGGTACCGAGAGAAGTTTTTTTTCACTGAGCACACATATTTGCAATATTCAAAAAAATTTATGATTTTTTCTGTGCCGTGACGCCAAAAAAATCGATAATCTGAAACTTTCAAAATTCAGCAAAATTCAGAAATTCAGCCACTTTTTGTAAAACTCTATTTATTTTTCAGCGCGCAAACCGAAGATTGAGCGAAAAACCCGGAAAAACAACAAAAAAAAGTTTCAGATTATCGATTTTTTTGGCGTCACGGCACAGATAAAATTATAAATTTTTTAAAATATTGCAAATAAGTGTGTTCAGTGGAAAAACGATTGAAAATTTAAGAAAATTGCATGAAAACGGAAACAATTCGGAAGAAAAGGGGAATTCCATCCGGGGACTTGAAAAATCTAGGCCGGCTCTTCCATTTCGCCGTGTACTTCTCTCGGTACCATTAACTTTTTTGAAAAAAATCTTAAAAATCGGGGAATTTTTTTTGTAATTCGGGACTTCGGGAAAGTGAATGCCCCACTTCGAAGTTTATTTTAAAAATATGTTGTATGTCACGTTGGACACCACCTTTAATGCATTTATAGGAATTTTTTGCAAATCTATCCATAACTTTTGCAGCCGCCTTCTGTCTGGTCGGCGCCGATCCGGGCCCGTGTAATCGAGGAATCGCCAAGTGGGCGTACGATAAAAGTTCAGGAAGTTGCAAGAAATTCATGTAAGTCGTTGATTTATAGATAAAAATATCCGAACACGAACTTGTTTTTCCCTTCAGGTTCGGTGGCTGTCAAGGCAATCTGAACAATTTCGACACTTTGGAAAAGTGTACGGAAATTTGTTGCGACAAAGGCTACAACTGATTTATATCGAATCGTCGTTATCCGAAAAGATATTATTATATCCACAGATCTATCTCACATCCACACGGGCCGCCGCACCCTTACCCCCCTTTTTCTTTGCTTTTTCACCCGAAATCTACCGTATACCAGACAGAGTATACAACCAGTTGTACCGTATCCCTGTGTGGTGTGCATTTTTGTGTGTGTGCAGTGTGTTTATAAATAAGGTGAGTATATCCGCTAACAAGGGACCGTCTAACTAGCGGGGTCCGGAAAAAGCTTGTCAAGCCTTTTTATCTGAAAGTTACACCGTGAAAACTGTGAACCGACGTATCTCTGGTATTGTTGGAGATATCAAAAAGGTGTCAACTGATAATATGTTTAGCAAACTATGTTGTTCATTTCATCAGTTGACAACTTTTTATAATTTTCACTAGCAACCAAGATATATCGGTTTCAAAAACGGTGCACAAGTGGTACACTGTTTCTCCCTTCAAACCGACGTATCTCAGCTATTGTCGGAGATATCAAAAAGTCTTCAACTGATAAAATGTGTAAAATATCTTGCTCAATAACTTATCAGCTGACACTTTTTCGATATCGCCACCCAGAGCTGAGATATATTGGTCTGAAGGAACAGGACCTACTCATTTCCGGTAAAATAACAAAGAAAAATGCGTCTAAAAGTGCAAAAGTCTTGACAAGTTCTAGAAGGACCCTCACAGTTAGTGGTCCCTTGAAGTTATGCATATCTGCACGTGTCTCTATCGCTTTGCCTGCAAAAAATGTCTATCCCACGGGCACCTGATATCTGGTCGATTCTCTATCTGGTATACGGTATATTTTTGCATGCACTCACCCGATAATACTTAATTAATTTCGTTTTCCGATTCAGTTCTAACCCTAAAACATCTCAAATATCATTTATGTAACAGCGCCGATCAAATAATCAGAATTGAAAACACTATGCGTTGAGAATGTGATAAGTTCTTACGGGATTTTATACTTATCGATACATTTATCGATACTTTTTCATTTTCAGAACAATTGTGCTTGCTATCGATCGATAGAGGAGCGTGCGGAGGGCGACAGACGAGATATGCGTATAACAGGCAGACGGTGAGCTTTTTTTATTTTTTTAAACTTTTATATCCATAAATTTATGGATAAAGTAGTGTCCTCCATAACTTGCCAAGAAAAAAGCCACTTTTCAGAACCAGTGCGTACCGTTCGAGTACACCGGCTGCGGCGGAAACCTCAACAATTTCGTGTCGATGGCCGATTGTATGTCGACGTGCGGAAATGTCGGATTCCGATAAATTTATCCAAGAATGTTATCGAAAAAACACGATCAATGTCTGAAATTTCTTTTTTGTTGTATCTCTCCTCGTCTGCACCCTCTCGATTTATGCCACACTCTTTCCACACAAAAACCACCCACGCTGTCCCGTCTTTCTAGGACCACCCGTCTTTTTTTTTGTTGTATATTTCTGGAAATTTATTTATAAACAAGACACCAGTACTTTACTGCTGCCCCTCCTTAATATATATTTTATATTGATTGATTGATAATATAATATTTTCCACTTCTCCTTCTCCCAAAACCCGCCTTTTTTTGTAGAACAATAATGATGAATGAATGAACAAAGTGATTTTTATCTCTATTTTAAAAATATACAACCGCTTTCAAATTCCCCTCCGAAAAACTTTCAACGACACTCCGAAATGCCGCCGTCGCGCGCTGTTTATCGTAAATCTAGCCACATTTTTGCAATTCGAAACCCACCGTTTTCCGCCTATTTTCATGAGTTTCAGCTCGGTTTTTGCGGAAATTTTCGAGCGTAAGTGATTGAAATAGTTACTTAGCAACTGCTTTAAATAGGACATTTGCAGAATTGTCAACGGAACACGTCAAAAATGACTGGAGAGCGATTCGAAACGTGGCTCTCGATGAAAATGAGGTGGAGGCGATTCAGCGGGTGATTGCGAGAGTTTGTGCTCAACATTTGGAATTGTTCGATGCCGGAAAGAAGGTTTTAATTGATTATCATATAAAAATCATTAAAACATCAGAAATTTTTAGGTAGAATCGTTAAATTCCTCCCAAGCCGCTGTTTTCCCCCAATTTCTGTTCAAAATCGTCAATCTCTTTAACGGACTACCCGAAGAGCACAAAAACTACACAAATGCAAGGATTTTGCTGAAATGTGTACACGAAAATTCGAAATCTTCGAATAATTCTATTGACTTTTCCGAGATAGAAGAAATTTCACGGATTATCGACAGGGCAGGTAATGTATGCTTTTTGCAGTGCGTTTTTAACCTGACGCCTCGATTTTTATAGGTTTTAATCAAAGATTTACTCGAGGATGCGCTAAAATTGTACCCGGATGATGGGAAATCGCGGAAAATCAGCGCCAGAGACATTTTGGACGGCGTCATTCTGTCGGACAACCCGGAAAACGGAATTTTCAAAGAAAAAGCGTTTGTAGAATTGAAAGAAAAGGTTTGAGTGATCAAATTTCGATAATTTTAATAAAAATCTAATTTTTCAGCTGATGAATTTGTCGGACAACGCCTCAATTTCCGAATTTGAACGCAAAATTCTGGCCGACGAGAAGACGGGCGGCACTTTTTACCCGACATTGTACGGACCTCACCACTAACTGATTTTTGTACTATATCTTGAATTTGTAAAAATATTTGCTTGATTTGTTCTTGTTTTTCTCGAATGTTCCGGTGTATAACCGATTTCCCTACTTATCCCTCATTTTTTCTCACAATTGTTTTGCTGTTCTCTAATTCTATTACATTTTTCCAGGTAAACATGGGCGGAGCTTCCAAAACTCCACAAAAAACGCACAAAAATGCGAAGAAGGCGCCGGAATTGGCGGTGGGAGCCAATTCGGGAAAAGCCTCGCGTTTCACAATGTCCGAAAGAAATTTGGGATTGATGCAGGAAATTATCCGAAAAGATCCAGAGTCCTACAAAGAGGTGAGCCGGGTTTTCCAATTTTTCACGTTTTTTGCTAACTTTTCCCGTTATTAAGGAATTTCTGGAGCAATTCAATCATTTTGTGCAAACGATGAAACTTCTGCACCTGCAACCGGATCTGACTCGTCAGGAAATGCAATCGCTCATGGATTCCGTCCTTTTTCTGTCCGGACTCGCGAAACACTATCCGACGGAGGCGAAGCAGTTTTCCAATAGTCTTTTCGAGCTGCTCCGCGAGCAAGGAGCCGGTTTGGATGCTGATGTGCGTTTTTGGGATTTATTACTATTTTTTCTAGGGCTGGGGAAAGTTTCGGCCTGGACTTTGAACCCACTTGCAATTATCCGATCGGACCCAAACTTTGCAGGTTTCTTCGACTTGGATTCAAGTATTTTGAGACAGAGCTTCAGACCGATCCGATTATCCGGTCCCAAGCAACTTTCCCAAAAACTAGGCCTTTTCGGCCTCTGGTCCACATATCTTGAGACCAGATCGGTCTGAAACTCGGACCCAAAATACTTCAATTCAAGTCCAAAAAGCCAACAAATTTTGGGTCCGGTTGGATTATTGCAAGTAGTCAAAAAGCCTGGACCGGCGTTTTGCCAATCCCATTTCGCACAAATTCCAGGTCCGAATGTCTTTCTGCAAGGCCCTCGTGCTCCTTCGAAACCAAGATATGGTCGACCCGATTGAACTTTTGGAAGTTTTCTTCGAGCTGGTCAAAGTTGAGGACAAAGCACTCAGGTACATAAATTCCAGCATTTTCGATTAAGAAATCACCATTTGCAGAAAATTCCTGCTCGCCTCGATCAGCGCCCACCTAAAACGCGTCTATCACAAGAAGAAGGACGTGAAAATGTTGGGAAAAATCCAGAATTTGTGTTTTTCAAAGCTCAAAGACTCGCGTTCGATTGTGGCGCGTGCCGCCCAACTCGTGTGCATCGACGCGTTCCGTCGCAAATTCTGGAGAGACGCCCGCACGGCCAACGTCATCTCCGAGGCGTGCTTCCATAAGATTCCCAAAATTCAGGTAATTTTTTGTAATAGTATTTTTGCATGATTATTCGCATTTTTCGCAGGTGACCTCGATGAAATTCTTCCTGGGATCCGAAGAGAACGGCGAAGACGAGGAGGATGAGGACGCGATCGATTCGGACGCGGAGGACAACACAAAGACGCTGAAAGAAGTGATGAACTCGTTCCGAAACGTGAAAAAGACGAGAAAACGGGCGAAGAACGTGGAGAGAGCGAAGAAGATGATAAGCAAGAAGAAGAAGCAGAAGAAGGAGGGCCGATCGAAGGAATGCAACCTGATGGCCATCCAGTCGCTCTACGATCCGCAGGAGTTTGCCGACAAACTGTTCGGAATGCTCGAGTCGAACAAAATTGGCAAATTCGAAGTACGACTCTTCAGGTAACCCGCCCTTGTTTTTATCGATTTTTGTGTACTAGAACGCCCGGTTGCGAAAATGGGAAAATTAACTCGAAGTTTAAAACATCACTTTAGAATCGCACTCGTGGCCCGCATCATCGGAATCCACCGTCTGCACACGCTCTCCTTCTACTCGTACCTCCACCGATTCCTCCAACCCAAACAGCGTGACGTCACCAAAATCCTACTGTACGCGGCGCAAGGATGCCACGAAATGGTGCCGCCGGACACGGTCGAACAGCTGATCCGCGTGATCGCCAACAATTTTGTGACGGATCGCAACTCGCCGGAAGCAATGACGGTCGGAATTAACGCGATCCGCGAAATTCTCTCGAATTGTCCGTTTGCGGCGACCGAAGAATTGCTGCGGGATCTGTCCGAGTACAAAACGTACAAAAATAAGAATGTTTCGATGGCGGCGAGAAGTCTGATCACCCTCTTCCGTGCGGTCAACCCGAAGCTCCTCGCGAGAAAGGACCGCGGACATCCAAAGGGCCAAGGAGAGGAAAACGCGGAAAAAGTGAAAGAGTACAACGGATTCGCGCGTCCGACCGTGCACGATTATATCAGCGGCGCCGAGATCCTGGATGAGGACGAAGTGGGCGGGGAGCAGGGACAAATCGACGAGAAGGACGAGGAAGAGAGCGATTTGGACGTGTCCGACGTGGATACGGATGATGTGGATACTGATGAGGAGGAGGATGCTCCGGTCGCAAAGAAGAGACGTGTTGAGGGTAGGTTAACTTTTTCTGTTTAGAAAAAAACCTATTTCCAATCGTAGAAGATTCTTCTCGGAAATTGAATAAAAAATGTTTGCAGTAGAACAAGAAGAGGAAGAAGACGAGGACGATGATGAAGACGTGGACGACGAGGAGGACGTGGAGATTGACGATGAAGACGAAGAAGTGGACGATGAAGAAGACGTCGAGGACGAAGACGAGGAGGAAATTGACGGAGAAGAAGAGGAAGAGGAGGACGAGGAAGTCGCCGCCGAGGCTCCAGAATCCGCGGAAGCCGTGTCAGAAGAAGATCCGAAGAAGAAGGCGACGAAAAACTCGATGGACCGCATTCTGACGCAGGAAGACTTCAAGAATATCCGAGCGTATCAGCTGAAAAAGCAGTTGATCGGAGAGAAAAGACTCAAAAAACAGATGGGAAAAGGAAGATCGAATGCGGACGAACAGATTGTCGAGGAAATGACCGAGAAACTCGAGATGTGAGTATAGAGTTTCAGACCGATCAGAGCATCTGGTCCCATGTGGATCGGATGCCAAAAATTGCGGCCATTCCGGCGTCAAACCACTATATCTCTTTTCTACAAATTTCTTTCAGGAAGCGCTCTTCGGACGGACTGGCGCGCCTCTCGGATATCGAGCACTTCTACAAAAAGAAGCGGCAGACGAAGGAGGAGAGATTGGCGGATGTGGCCGCCGGACGCGAGGACGCCGACTACAAATTTGGAAGACCCAAAAAGAATGTGAGTCGTCCTTTTCCAGAAAAATTACAATAAGTCCATTTTTCTTTGCAGGGACCATACGTCGGACGAACCAACGAGCAAAACGCAAAGAAAAAGGTGTTTGCGATGGTGAAGAACAAGGTTCGCGGTCGAAATCGTCAACGATCGTTCCGGGACCAGCAGAAGTCGCTGCGCAACTATCTGATGCGCCAATCCGGACGCAAACCACAGTAAAAACCGATTGGAATTGTTGTTTTTCTACTGTTTCGTCCATATTCATTGTTATTCGAAGTGAATTGTTGGATTTTTTCTGGGATGTTTCATTCCCAAATATTATTTTTCTGTTGTGTTCCCTATTTCTATTTTCTTCCGAAAATTTATCAAATCGTTATCATTGTTGGCTCCCTTTGTTGTAATGAAATTCAAAAAAACAGTTAGCCCCTAAAATTAAAAACTCTAGTTGAAAAAGTTCACACTACTTTACTTTTCTTTTTTCCCCACGCTTTCTATATTCCTTCTGTATAGCCAATGGACTCGCTTCACTGCTTCAATTGCCACTCGTTTCCGTCGAAAGACACGGAATTCTTCGTCACAAACTGTATGCACATTTTTTGCGCCACGTGTAAAAAGAGCGCCGAACCGGAACCGCCCGAAAATGGAGCACAAACAGGTTGGGCGTGATTTTTAGGAATTTTGTTTTCAAAGCTATAAATTGAGTCATTCTCGATTGAATTTAAAAAAAAAAGTTAAACTAAGCTTGACGATTTTTAGAGCCGTCAAAGTGCACGGAATGCGAGAAAGGACCGCTGAAATTCATGAAAATCGGACCAGATATGCCGGCACAGGTTTGCACATATATTTAAAAAAATTAATTCAAAAAGCACAAGCTCTTACAATGTTTGAATGAAACGTATTCAAGAAACTCATCAATTTGATCGAAAAAAAAACTGCAAAACTATGGCGGTACTCGCTAGAACATTCAAATTTATCTGAAAAAGTGTTCAAATTTCAGGTGAAACAAATGTTCCTGCCGGTGACGGACGACATCCAGACAATTGGCCGCAATATGAACCGAATAATCACTTTTCAAAATTGGCAACGTGCCAATCTATTGAGTGGATTGACGAAAAAGGAAAGGGCGTTTGATAGGCTGCGCACCGCCTGGCAGGACGAGAAAAGTGAGAAAGAGCAGTACAAGAGGTAAAAAAAGACCTAAGCGAATCGCAAAAGTTCTTACGCGCTTTTCCTTGTGTTCAGACAACTTTTACTGTTAAAAACCTCAACGTTTTGCAGAAAATTGGAGGAAATGAGAAAAATGCTGAAAAAGCAAAAATCGGAACTGACGGAGCTGAAATCGATTTCAGCCGAACGTCCCGCGAGCCTCAATTCGACAGTGACGCCGTCGATGGTCCGCGTTTTCAGTGACTCCATGTACAACACGCCGAAAAATGCGAAAAAAGCGCTTCCCGCTTTTTTGAAGTTTGTCTTGTCACGAAATCTGTAAAAAAAATGATTTTCATGAATTTCAGAGCAAAATCGATGGCGTCGCAAGCGGCGAAAAATCAAGAAATGCTCAAAACGCCAGTGCATCCGCCGAAAACGTCTATGGGGTTGGGAACTCTGAAAAAATGTGAAAACAGATTTGAATTTCAGATTTGTAACTCCGAAAAATCCGCCGCACATGTTCCCCCATCTCAACAAACAGCCGGTGCCAAAAGTGACCAAAAAATCGAGTGCGTAAATGTTTATTCTACTCTATCATGTTCCTTTCCGTCTCATGTGTTATTTTATCGATTATTTTTTGGTTCAATTAATTTTTACGTTTCAAAACCGACGTGAACTTTGTCGGGGAGCCATTAATTCAATTCTTTTGATGGCAGAAAACTATGATAATTTAGGAAAAATTGAAGAAATCATCGTCCTCATCATCGTTCCCAAACATTGCCGATTGCTTGGGTTTCGCCGTAAATTTCGGCTCATCATCGTCGTCGACACTGAACGTGCCGCGCATTTGACTCATCATTTCGTCGTACGCCGATTTTCTGGAAATTTTGAAGCAGCTACTAATTATTACGAAAAGCACGGTCTTTCTAGGGGCGAATGCTCAATGCAAGCTGTTTCGATTAAACTAAATTTAACAAAAAGACTCACTTTTGTGAAACAGCGGGCTTTGGCGGATTATCGCTATCCGAATCGCTTTCAGCATTTTGCTGTCCTAACAAATCTTTCATCAGCGATGAAATATTCGAAGTTTGCGGGGCTGGCGGCGGCGGCGCTTCAACTGGAACTGGAACTTCCGGAGCTCGTGGAGCAATTGCAGAAGTGGGCGGAGCTTGAGCCGGTACATCGGGCTCCTGAAACCTCACTTGAAGAGGTGCTGGAGCCGACGGAGCCAAAATCTCTGGACTCGGCTCGAAAACAGTGGCGCCCATCGGAACCCGTCCGTTTCTCATCTCGTCCATCAGTTTTTCGTGCTCTTCGCTCATCTGAATGTCCATTCGTCGTTCGGCCGTCGGCGTTTCCACCGGCGACGTCGCCGTGAAATCGATTGTGGCCAGACGGGCACGCGCCTCGTCCAAATGATCCACGTGGCCGTCGGTGGAGTCCAACGAGAGACGGACTGCAAATTTCAGACCATTGTTTCGGCGCTACAACGGATTTGAACTGGAACGGAATAGAACTGTTACGAATTAGAACTCGCAACGCTAAGAAACAACTAGGAGTTCTAATTCGTAACAGTTCTGTTCCGTTCAAGTTCCAATCCGTTGTAGCGCCCATTGTTTCCCGTGTTCGACTGAAACAAAACACATTTTCAATTGAAAAGATCTCAAAAACCCCCCGTCATTTTTAGTTGGAAGAGAAAGCAACATTTTGCCGACAAGCTGACCAGGGCCGGGATGATTTTCCACAAGTCCAGGCCTAATTTTTAGTTTCTGAACATTTTTTGCAATTTTTCAAACTATAAAAAAGAATAGAATTTGGGTCAGGTGACTTTGTGCTTCCAGGCTTCTCTTTTTCTCACTTGTTTCTCTGTAAAGCCTGTTTTAACGTCTAATTTGTAAATTTTTTTTTCTAGAAACGCAAAATATTGATTTCAATTTAAAAAAAAAACTAGCAAAAGTAGCGACTAGAATGTGCCGAGCAGGTACTAAACCCTCATAAGCAGCGCCGAAAATGGTCGCGATCAGCGGCGAAATAAAATCGAATTTCGACGTGAACGTGAAAATGCAGTCGAGCCGCCTGCCGGAGCCCTAGATTTTCGAATTTCCGCCGTGACAACCCATTTGCCCGTAGGCCTTTTGTGCCTGGGTTTCTGGGCGTGACCCTGTCGATCCGTGCCACATGTGGCCAATCCACGACGAGAAGTCACTCGATTCTGAATCCTTATTCTCTGCAAAATCAACAATGATCGCCGCCGCCGCCGCCGCCACCGCCGCCGCTCCGACAATGAAGCACTTTTTGGGCACCGAAGTCGCGCAGGACATCTATCGTTGTCGAGTGTGTCCCAACGAGTACAATATTCGAAGTGAGCCTTTTTCTCAGCAAATTTAAGTAATTTTACGCAGGGTTTTATTTAGCTTGAACACTGAGAAAAGCTTATGTTTTCAGAAAACGCTGAAAGAAAGCTTTCGAGAACCACAAATAATTCTAAATTTTAAACTAAGCTAAATTTAGCAATTTTCAGCTAAATTCAGCTTGAAAACCATAACTTTTTGCTGCACAATTTTGACGCCAGAAATGTGAACAATGCAAATGTGCTCAATTGCGAACATTTTTTGAATGAGAAAAACGCGCGAAAAGCTTGGCTAATTTAGCTAATTTTCGCAGAAATTTACAAGTTTTTATGTAAAAATTATGTTTTTCCGCTCAGAAAATGTAGTTTCTATGCATTATTATCGGGAAAATCAAATATATCACTGCATTTTCACGAAATTTTCGTTTGTTTCCTTCCAACTTCATTTTTAGACGGTTGGAGCTCGCTGCGAAGACATTTCAAGAAAAACCACTCGATCGATTATCAAAACATTCTCGATCAGGATATCAGACCTGTTTTCCGTCGCAATAATTCCGATTATAACGGTAAAAAAGGTTATTTTTACTTTCTACTCGACAAAATTCGCGTTTTGTTGAAAGTTGCAAGTGCGTTCACCCGATTTCAGCTGTCTTTTTTGTACTTGGCAAAAACTTACATCTCTGTCGAAAGGGCTCCGTTCGAAACCATTGCTCGGTGCTCAAATTCATCCGATTGATTCGTAAACTTTTCAATTCCTCCGAAATTTCTCGAAGCCGAATCCTTGTCCTTCTTAAATCCGATTCCAAAAGCGGTCCATACGAGGGAATTTCGAATTTTGACGGCGAATTTGTTGAATTCGAATTTCTCAATAAAGCATTGTTGGAATTTCGCGGAAATCCCGGCCCCGGCCTCTGGCCAATATCCCAATGATAATCCGCGGTGGCAAGACGGTTTAGCAGGGGTTCACGTTGGAAATTTGCACGCAAATTTGTCGATGTTCCCGCGAAATTCGTCTAAAAATATTGAAAATTAGGTAGAACCCAAAAAAGACGGATGATTTACCTCTTTATAAGCCAACGCCGGCCGCGGAGCACTCCAATTCGGGTATTTTCCTTGTAAATGTTCCACGTAGGCGTCACGAGCCATTCGAGCATTGTCCAGTCGTCGTTCCAACGCCAAAATTTGATCTTCGACGTCGTGAAGCGCTTCTTTATCGTTTTTACTCAACATGTTGAGCGGAAAACGGCGAAAATGGGTCGGAGTGCGTCGTGTGCGGGCGGGAGGAGGCGGTTGCCATGGAGTTCGTGGGGCGTAGAGAATACCATGGGATTATGAAATCGGGTGAAGATTGGGGAAAAGCGGTTTTTACGCAAATTATACAGACGAACATTAAGATTAGTGATGAATGGAAGACTTTTGAAACGACGACGAAGATTTTTCAACGCACCGCCGAGAAATTGCGATTTTCTATTGTCTAGTTTCAAAAAAGTCTTGTGCTCATTCAGTTCGGTAAAAAAGCAGATGAAAATCCACTCTTCCGTTTAAACATAAGTTTCTTATCAATCTCTGAGTCCAAAAAAGCGTTGCCCCGAACCAGGATCGAACTGGTGACCTTTAGATCTTCAGTCTAACGCTCTCCCAACTGAGCTATCGAGGCGTCCACTTCTGCTGCCCTCCGAGGCGAATGACATGACAGCTGCAGGCGCACTCTCGCCGTCCGGCACCCTCTCACTCGTCGCGCTCTCTTGCTCCTCCTCCGACCGACCTAGAGCGTAGTCGGCCTGAATTGATCGGGCCGTCGTCGGGCCGTCTGCCACCTCCGTTTTCGTGTGCTTCCTCCCTTAGTCTTCTCTCGCTCGCACGGCCTTACCCGCCCGTTCTTCTCTTCCTCTTTCCCCCATTTTTCTTCTTTACCACCCACTACCACCAACCAACCGACCGACGCTTTCAATTTCGAACCGCCCGTTTCATGGTTTATTTTTTTTTAAATTACCAAAGTTTTGAAATGTTTCCCACGTTTTTCCGTCGCGACAATTTCCTCCGAATACTATTCCGTATTGTGTAGCATTTCAAGAATGAACCGAGAAATAAAGCGCGAGACGATGGAACCGGAAGACGAGCATAACAATGATCCGTTCGTGGAGTACACGTTCGACACGGGGCCCACATCCCGTATTTCGCCGAATCATCCGGATTTGCGGACGGACAATCTGGCTGAAACTCTTGCGGCCGTACACAATCACCGTCATGATCATCATCATCATCACAACCATATGCATCAGAAACTCGATCCTTCGCATCATCATAATCATCATTCACAGGATGACTCGTCGGTGGACATCAAACCGACGTGGTATCCGTCGGCGAAAGGACGATCGATTGTGTGGGAGCACATTACGTGGGTGGCCGAAACGCAGAGGGCCTCATGCAATTATTGTCAAGCCGAATTTCAAATTAAAGGTTGGTGACTGAACATTAGAATTTTAGGGCATCTAATGTTGAATAAAACTGGAACTGATGTTGAAAAACGAGAAAAAAACGGTGCAATGTTATTTTTTCCAATTTTTGATATAGCCGAATAACCCCGTCGGAAAATCAGAACGTTAGTGCTAAAAACGGCGCTACAACGTCATAGAACTTGAACGAAGAGGAACTGTTACGAAATGGAGCTCTGTTTTCCTGATTTTTTGTTAATAGATTACTTTTTCGTAACACCTTTTTTTCGTTCTAGCTCTACCACATTGTTGCGCCGTTTTTAGCACTAACGTGCAGATTTTCCAACGGGGTTACCGTGATTTTTTCCGTTTTTTCAACACTGCTGAACAAGCTCATTTCGTTTACGTTTGTTTTTACTTTACTAACGAACACTCGAGATATTTTGAGTGTTTTCTGATCAATGACTTGCTAAACTCCGCCCCTCAAACGCCCTCTCTTTTCCAAACAATGTTTGATTTTTGAAGTGTTCTCTGGTGCTTCTTTGTTTGACTACAAAATAGGGCCTTTTTCTCGATGCATAAATTTTTGTTCCCGACTTTTTGCGGGAAAATTTCGATGCTTTCTCAATGCCTTTTTCTTGAGCTTTATTGGTTTTGTTTTCGGGCATTTCTTTTTGTGCATCTTTAAAAAGCTCTAAAATTGCCGGTTTGAAAAATGAGACAAAGCCAAAGATTCAAAGGTCGAATGTGTGTCAATTGTTGTACAATTGTTTTTCTCGATAATATTTTCTCGCAATTTTCAGGCGGCACTTCGGCGCTCCTCCGTCATCTAAAAACGATACATCCGGCGGCGATTAATTTCGATCCAGATAATCCGCCGCCAGTGGTGCGGCGGAATAAGCGCAAAAAGTTGGAAGGTAGTTCGATTGAGCGCACTTGCAACTGGCCATTCAAAAAAGTGAAAATAATAGAAAATAATACACGAAAACCACGATTCGGCCCTTGATCCGCGTCCGTGGCCAGACAAAATGCTGGAATGTCTCATTGTCACTTTTTCAGATTACACAATAGTCACCGAGGACACGAAATCCTACATGGACAACCTTCTCGAGCAATTTTTGCACGATGAAAATGGTAATTTTGAGAGAAAATCGAAAAGAAAAAGTCCACATTGTCTTGTTTTCAGTGCCACGTGCCGATCCGCAACCGTGCTCGTCGGCTCAAGTGCACGTTCCGTCGCAATCGCGTGCCGATTCGGAAATCGATGAGGTGATTCGAAGTTTGCAAAAGGTTAGACGAGTGTGCACATTTTTCGGAGATTCTCAACGGTTTTTTATAGTGCTTGTAGTGAAAATTGCATTTTTGTAGTTAAAAATTGATTTCCCATGTTTTTCGATGATATTGACGTTTTTCGTTTCAGGAAACTGCGCAAAACGGCGGAGAAGAGCGGGAACAGGACACGGACCTCCGGAGGCTGCTCGGAATCGACGATGAGCCGCCGGTTAAAGAGGAGGTCATCGCCGGAACGTCTTCGGCTCTCGAAGAACCGCCCACGCAAAGAGAAACGTCGATTATTCTGCAAACGGCGTCCACGACGACGACGACGACGACGATTGGAGGTGTTGGAGGAGGACACGCGGCGGATGAAGATGTGAGAAATGAGAAAATCGTTTAGTTTTCCAATTTTCCCAGAATTTACTGAACATTTGTTTCAAGTGTTCAAGAAACCATGAAATTTGCAACATTTCAGAAACAAGTCTCATCGAGCTCTGGACAAAGTGCGAAAAAGCGCAAAGCGGAGGATCCGAAGGATTTTAGCGGTGCGGCTAACGTTCCAGACAATTACAAACATGGAAAATGTGAGTATTTTATTCAAATATGCCATGTTTGGGCCCACTCTCTGCAAATCGAGTATTTTCGGCACAAAACACGAAAATCGATTCAACTCTTTATTTCTCATTGAAATGTTCTCGTTTTAGAGCCGAAAAAGTGCGCAATCATTACTCTCACACATTTATGCGATCACATCACTAAAATTGTGCAGAAAACGGCGAACGTTTGTGAACACGGTTTGAATTTCTCGCCCTTACTTTGTCGCTGCGCAGCGACTCATTCGCGTGCTAAAGGGATACTGTTTGCGATACGGAGCGATAAAAACAGGTCCGAGCAGCATATTCACAAATGTTCGCCATGCAGAATTTGGGTCATTTTCGATCAGCAAAAGCGTGCTTTTTCTCTAGAAATTCTACAATTCTTCACGTTTGCAGTCTCCCTGTCGCTGATGAGTTCGATGCGTCGCCCGACGCCGCATCCAATCGGTCAGCAACCGGTGATCGCCGTGTCTGCCCATCTTCCGCCACCACCGCCGGCTACGCTCGTGGCCCCGCCCACTTCATCCACGATCGCCGGACCTTCCACGTCTGCGGGCCCGGCGTCTGCGCCGACGATTCCGGCCAAATTCAGCTCGGCGGCCGTCGCGTGTCTCGATTTTGAGGCCAAAGTGCTCTACAATCAATCGATGCACTCTACTATTGCCAGGGTATATTTTTGAAGATTTTTTACTATCGGGGCATTTGAATGTGAATGCGCTCTGTTGAAATTGTGGTCCCCAGGCCGGCGCCAATTAAAAATAGAGAAAGTTCTTCCAGAATTCGGATAAAAAACAACTGAATCACAAAAAGAAGGGTATCTCAGCAGAGCATATTCACATTAAAATGCCCCGATAGTTATTTAGAAGAAGTCATAAGAAGTGAAAAATGAAAGCCTCTGGTTGTTTGTGGCAAAAATTAACTTTCAGGAGGACGCAATGGCAGCATACTACCGCATGAAATCGCGCAAGCTCGAATTGGAAATCAAAAAATTGGAGCGAGAATTGGGCGAAGGATCGCGTGCCACGTCGCCAGATGAGCATGACGAATAACCAACAAAAATTGAACATTCTACTTGTATGAACGCATGAGGCTCTCTCTTTTTCCCGCCTCTCCTTTCCCTCCCCCACACGCGCAGATTTTCCACGTCAATCCCCGTTTCTGTTTGTTTTGGCTCTCTGTATTTTAGAAATATTTTATGGCCCGCATCACATCAACACCATTTTGCCTCCTGTACAAAAATTGTACGTTCTTCATTTGATTGTCTTGTGTAGACAAAATTAACAGGATTTTTATGAAACGTTTCACGTGAACATTTATTCGTTTGCAGTTGGCAGCTACGTTTTTTGATTAGTTTCCGAAAAAGAATGGACGGATGGGAGGAAGTTTTTCCAATATGTCTCGGCGCGCCGATCTCAAATTAGCATTGACATCGGAACTGTTGGAAAAGTGCTCCGGTAAGCAAAAAGCGACAAAATTATTTTTTTTTGCTTTTCAAGAACCTGTCCGCAACTCTTTGCGTTAAAATTCCTGCCAAATAAAAGAATTGTCTATGTTTTTTTGGTAAAAATAAACAGATTTCAAATTGTTGAAGAGTTTCCGATTCCTATTCATTTTCGCCGCCTTTGGGCCTTTGAAGTGACCGCCTCTTCAAAGAGTAAAGGGTTAAAAATGTAATTGATGAGAGTATACCCCCCCCACAGACACAAATACCCTCTCACAACTCCTTTCTGGGGTCTTCCGATTATTATCGAGAATTTGTTTGGGTCTCGGAATTGCTAAGAAGGGCAATTTTTTAAGTTACAACTCTTTTCTCGGGGATTTTCAATTTCCCAACATCTCGTTTGTCATTGTGAAGCCATATGTATGATTATAAGTAATTTTTGAAACCTAAAGACAAAAAATTGCAACACACACACACATAAGTTTCTCATTTTCTTTGTCGGCATCTCCGCTCGTTTTCAATTATTTTTTGCTTGTCTGTTCCAAATCGCACCATTTTCTTTTTGAAGTCGGCCGCCGTCCTAAAAACTCAAGACGGGGGGGGGCTCCCCTCTTGATTGTCCAATTTTTCAACGGGTATTAAGTTTATGTGTGCGTGTGGTCGAGATGGCGGCACGCTTTCATCTCTTCCCTCAAATACCACATGCGCTTCCCCCGACTACTGGTTCCGTTTCGTACCGAAATGTTCCTGAAAGTGTCAGAGTTCGACTGTGTTAGAGACGTTTTGGTCAAATTCTGTAAACATTTGAGCGTGCTATAAATGAAATGCATTTTCGGTCAGCTACAATCCATTTCCAAAACAGTTTCTCAATTTTTCCAATGTTCTTTTCATTTTACCGCTCCACTATTGTCTCTTCAATTTTTGCCGCCTTTTTCTTTGAATTTTGCCGACGTTTCCCAAAAAAAGCGGCACGCTTATAGACATTTTAGCCACGCCCACTTGTTTGCAAAATATTTCATTGATTTTGTTTCAGAACTTGTTCATCTCATAGCAAAATAATGCTCGCCTTTCTATATTTCGTCCAAATGATTATTAATCTGCCAAAAATGCTGGTCATCAGTTGGAATAACATGGTAAACTACTTTTTTCAGGACTACCGTATAATTTAGCGATTTTTTTTGCAGACAACACTCCCCAAACACCCATACACTTTGAAAATGGATAAAATTTCCGAGAAGTTACCAGAATTGTGGCAAAATTCGGAAAATGTGCTACAAAGAAGTTTGCTGATGAATTTTTCGATTTGTGAAGAGCAATTCGAGATGAATGACGTGTATTTCACCTGGAAATTATATAATGAATCCGAAATTTTGGAGCGGAGAAGTGGAACGAATTGTAGTCAGGCATTTAGAATTGAATCACAGGTACTGAACTTTATTTCTGAAATTCACAAACAACCACGTGTTGTCGTAAGATCCTGCACATTGTGTGGTGCTTGCGGACAATGCACACTGTCTTACGTCACTTGAAAAACCTTAAATTTTTTCAGCACACCCACAAAATCGTCGTAAAAATTTCGCGAAGAAACAGCGACGAGGCTCCGGAAGTGATTTCAAAAGTAATTCCGAAATCTTCAAAGATCTTCTGGCTCGCCTCAATTGGCGACTCATTTTCTTCGGGTCAAGGCAATCCGGACGTGCCGGTCACCGACGGAAAACCTGCAAAATGGTTGAATGGTACGGTAGCCTACAGTAAACTTTTCAACAACAAAAAACAAAAATGGTTTCAGAATCCTGCTACCGCTCCTCGAAAGCGTTTCCATATCAAGTGTCCAAAAAACTTGCAAACTCTACAGTTTTATCGTTTTTCTCGTGCTCCGGCGCTACTGTAGACAATGGAATATTGTCGAAAAACGGGCAGTTGGAGGCATTGGAAAAAATGATTAAAACTCGAGGAGATGCTCCAAACGCTCTTTTGCTGACCGTCGGCGGGAATGACATTGGATTCACCGATATCATTTCTCTAATGCAACGTGGCAGTTCATTGGAATCTTCGTTTGATATGAGGTAGTTACAAAATTCGTTTTTTTTTCCTAATAGTTTTCAAGAATTCAGATTCTTCTACGTTTCCCATCAAATCGATCGGGTTGCTTCGAAAATCAAAGAGCTCAATATTACACGTGTAATATTGTTGGATTATTATGACGTCACCAGAAATGAGAAAGGAGTCGTCGATGCTTCCTGTGGAGCTTTGGGACAAGTACGCTCCTTTTTCAAGTTCAATTTTCGAATTAAACTATTTTAAAGGTATCCTTAGCAAACCTCCAACTTGCACAGAGGAAACTGCTTCAACGGCTCAATAAACTGTTACTCAAAAAAGCCACGCAACATGGCTGGATTACTGTAGATTCTTCTGAAATATTCCGAACACACGGAATATGTTCGACGAGCCCTTTGATACGGTAAGCAGCACTAAATTCATGAGAGCAGCGCCCTAAATGCGTAGTTTGTAGTCTAAGCAGGCTTTAATTCTCGAGAGCAGCGCCCAAAAAGAGTAGTTCGTAGTCTAAGAAGCTCTAAAACTCACGAGAGCAGCGCCGAAGAATTGTAGCTTGTAGTCTTAGCAGCACTAAATTAATGAGAGCAACTCCCAAGAAGTGTAGTTTGTAGTCTAAGCAGCCCAAAATTGAACTTTCCAGGTCGCCAAATGAATCTCTGGCCATCCAGGGAAACGAGTACGGTAGTTTTCATCCGAACGAAGAAGCACATCGACGGATATCAGAGGCAGTTTTAAAAAAATTGAAAAACTTTTTATGAAAGAGAATATGTTCGATATTGTCCAACATTTCGATCTCACTCTTCCCCATTCGATCTTGTCCTTTTTCGGCCGCCTAAATAAAACGCACCATTAATTACCCGACATTATTTCTGATTTTTGAATCTTTACAACCGAAAAGTGTTCCGGATGTGTCTGCCAAATACACAGGTTTCTATAGAAGACCAGAGATCCGAAAAAAAAGTGAAAATATTGCGTAGCGCTATATAATTATTGTGTGATGCAAGCACGGATGTGTTTTGGATTGCACTGACTTTGAGAAAGAAAAGAGAAAGAAAAACTTGAAACCGTTCAAAATCAAAAAAGAAAATGGTGGGGAACCAATCAATCTTTGTTCTTTTCTTGCATTCTGAAACGGCGGAACGAACGGTAGAACGAAAAATTGCATTATTGAATGGAATTTCCGATTCAACTTGATCCGGCTTCTCAAGGACTTCTCTCTTATAATTGTTGCAATATGCATGTGGGGAGAAGAATAGAAGAGATTTGTTTATTAGATAGAATGCAAAAAAGTGGGCGGGGCGTAAATTTTTCGGGTAGATATAATATAGAACGCTCTTCTTTCGCTGCCTGTCTTCCTTCTCAATTGGTGTGACAGAAGCGTTGCAAGTTATTAGCACTTTTTCCAAAAAAGTAAAGCATATTTGTATCCATCTATTATATAAACTATGACCAGAGCTACAGTAATCTCTTTATTATCAACCACACTATTCCTATTCTCATCGATATTCGCAAAAGTTATTATTGTCGATCCGAATAATAACACAGAAGGTAAGGTTGTTTTATAATGAAATGAAGTCAAGTACTCGGTCAAATGGACACTTCACATTGAGTGGGCGTTTTGTTTTGAAATTTTTTGATTTTTTGGTCTTATATTCAAAACTTAAGGGAATATAAATAAAACTTGCAACGATGGTTTTTTGATTTTGAACACAATATTTATGCCGCCTCAAAACGAGTCAAAAGTGTTCGGAAACCAATTTTTTACAGAATTGAAGTGTCTCGACGGAAAATTGCCACTTCTCGACGAGAATCGCTCACTTTTTCCGTGCCAACGCGGCTGTCCGCACACGTTCTTTTGCGAAAATCAGGTTTTTCGATGGAATTATCCAGAAAATTGGAAGATTTTGACCTTTTTCAGTCCTCCACATCACTTTGTTGCCCCAACATTACTGCGATCGTCGACGCGCAATTGGCCGGCGGCGAGGAGGTAAGCGCACTCTTGTCTATGCTCTCGGCCACCTCCCTTTCGTAGTCCCATGTGGTCTAGTGGTTAGGATTCGTGGTTTTCACCCACGCGGCCCGGGTTCGATTCCCGGCATGGGAAGTTTCTTTTTTGCTTTTTTGCTCTTGCATTTTTTGGGTTCTTATCGATTTTACTCTTCAGATAGACCTTCTTCGCAACAAAAAGGCCACTGCGTTCCAGTTAGAGAGTTCGCAAGAGCTGGAAAAGTCAATGTCATGCGAACGATATCCGTATAAGTGAGATTTGACAAAAAACTTCAAAAAAGAAACAGTTCAAAACGTGATTTTCAGATCAATTTGCAACAATAATAGTACCGAAAACTCGTCACAGCCCCAAGCTAAGTGGTATTTTGACCTGCAAACTTTATCTTGTGAATTGTACCCGTTGGGAATGTGCGAAGACGACCCGCTCGAAAATTTGGCACTTCGGACCAGGGATGAGTGCGAAGAACGGTGTGACGTGGCAAAAGTGAAAATTGCGTTGGAGAAGTTGTCCGACGGAAATTCCATTGAGCCCACACTTTACCATTTCAGCCGATTTCCAGTGCGGCCAGTTCAGAACGGTAAGTGGAGTGTCTAAAATTGATTGATGTGTGGGGGCTTCTCGAACTTTTAAAGGGCTTTTGTATGTATTTTTATGAAAGTGTCCAGATGATTTCCGTCATTTTAAGCCAAAGCTGGGGTCTGTAGCAGATTTTTGAAAAAAGTTATGATTTTTCAAAGTTTATCGACACTTTTACAGCTCAAATCGCCCAAATCGCGATCGACGACGTCGTCCAAGAGTCCAAACACATTCGTGGCCGCCCGTTCGCCGTCGAACCGCCCACAGACCTTTTCCACGTGATCCACGTTCCGTCCGACGCCCACGTACTCAGAAATTCCCGAAAAAATCGCATGGAGAATCAAGTGGAAATTGACGAAAATCAACTGCTGACGACGGATTCGTCAGACGAGAAAATTCCGGAGAATCTCGCAGAATCGCAGAAATTCTCGACAGTCACCAGCGACATTTTGCACGTTTTGGAAGACGCCAACGACGCTCCGGAAGCTGCAGAACACTCGGAAGGCTCTGGATTTCTGGAGAAAGACGAAGGATCCATTACTCTGACAGTTTCGACAGAACCGGCCACGTCACCGGAAATTCCAACCGAAATCTTAGAAGACGAGCTATTGTCGAGTTCTGAAAGTGTGACTGAAAAACGAGAGGACCGGACAACAAGCCTGAAATCGATGGAGAACAGTTTTGAGCGATTTTATCAGAGGAATAAAGGTCTGTTGGCTTTTTTCTTCAAACATTTTTCTATTTAATGCATTTTATTGAATTTCAGAAGCGGTAGTGTGTGCTCAAACCGCTTATCGACTAGTTTGCCCCAGTGGAAATCCGTCCCAATTTGTGTACAGATGGGAAAAAGTGGATGGAGTCTGTCAATCATTCCCCTATGGATATTGTTTGGTTAGTTTTGAGACAAATGCTTTTTCACTTTCCTGGCAAGAGTTTCAGCACGAAAAAAACAGTGCACATCCGAGGACACGAGCCGAATGTGAACAGTTTTGCTAGCAAATTATGCTTTTGTAAAATTTTAAAAATTTTAAAAATTTCATTTTTTCTTTTCGTGTCGGGACCTCCTTGTTGATTTTGCAATCGTCTATTCACTGTAAAAACATGGCTTTAATTTATTTTCAACATTATTATTAATGAATGTGTTTTTTGAACTGTCAAATGAATATTGCCATTACTAACACAAAGTCAGAAGTTGTTCGGGTAAATTTCCTCGGCTCTGGCCTAACTTTTCGCGGCCCTGATTGAATTCAGGTGCACGCAGAAAAATGACAAATTTCTTCGATCTTTGAGGAATCTGAAAAAGCTCAACCACATTCCATGTTTTCTTTGCAAAACAAAAGTGATGGCTAACTATGATTCATTGGGCAAATTTCAGGAGAAAAATTGAGAAGAAATGGGGAAAACCAGAAGAGAAACGCGAGCAAATCAATAGTAAGGATGTCCGTACTCGGATCCGGCTTCTTTCGATCCGTACGAGCTCTTCTGTGCCTGGTTGACCCATCCTTCGTCGTGTCCTTGTTTCGCGTATCCTCCCTGCTTCGCTCCGTACTTTCCAATGTCGTACTTGTCGTGATGCTTCTTGTGTCCCGCGTCTTCCTGAACAATTCCTTTTTTCCTTGTTTCAAAGTGTTCTGTTAAAGTACCTTATCATAACTGGTGTACTTGTCATCGTGTCCGGCGCCGGCTCCGTCGTATCCCTTCTTGTATCCGCCTTCCTCGTTGTGCGACGAGTATTTGCTCTTGTGGTCGTCGTGCTCATATCCGTCGGATCCGTAATATCCCTTCTGGTAGGATCCGTACGGTCCCGAGCCCGAGGTGAAGTACGAGAACTTGCGGCCACCGTAGGCGTCTGAAATAGAATAACTAGAAAGATGTTCTTTGAAATTCCCTAGAAAATGCGTTCAAATCAACCGTACCTCCTTTCTTCTTGAGTCCCTTCTCCTGTGCCTCGTCTCCATGACCGTGTTCGTCGCCCTTCGCATAATACTCCTGTCCGCTCTTCTTTCCGGCCTCTCCGTACTTTCCGTCGTGATGCCCTTGGGCGCCGTACTCGGTACCGTAGTCCGACATTCCGTTGCGGCTACCGTATCCGTTCTGATCCGCTTCGTATCCTCCGTGCTTCTTCTCGACACCTTTGTGGTAGCCGCCGTACTGATTGTAGTAGGGTTCGGGCGCGTAGCCGGCGGCGGCCAGGAGTACGGTAGCCGAGAGGAGGAGAAGCACACGACGGGTCATGGCTGCAAATATTTTGGATTTGATTGAAGTATCTCGGGTTCGAATTACAGGTCAATCAGATCCTCCGGACCGGAGATATATTGGATTTAGGCCGATAAAATCGGGTATTTGAAAAAACTGCACAAAGGCTTTCGGTCTCAAATCCACATAGCTCCGGACCTGATGATCTGATCCGGCTGAAACTTGGATTCAAGATATTTCAATCCAAATTCAACAAGTCTAAAAAGTTCGGGCTGGACAAAAGGCTCGTCCAGGCTTTTTGAGGGCCAGTCGAGGCCGGAGGACTTTTGACCCAATTACAATAGTCAATAGTCCTATTGGAGCTAAGCTTGACAGGCTTCTTGGGCTTGGATTGAAGTATCCTGGGTCCAAGTTTCCGCTATTTTGGGTCGAAAAACGAGAAGGCTACATAACTCCGGACCGGATGCTCTGATTGGGCTGAAACTTGGACTCGAGATACTTCAATTCAAATACAAAAAGTCTGCAAAGTTTGGGTCCGATCGGATCACTGATTATTGCAAGTGGGTCAAAAGTCTTGAGGCCTTCAAAAGTGGATACTGTAGAAGACTTGATTAAAGAGTACAAAAGGAGGATAAGAAGAAGAAGAAGAAGAAGAAGAAGAAGCTGACACGATTCTCCCCACCGCGCTCTTCCGCTTTTATACGTCCGTCCGCCCGATACCAGTTCACATCTCCACACCGTTTTTCCGTGCCCCTCTTCCGGTTGGCTTCCTGCGCGCACCCGCTTCCACCCACTATTTCGCCTCATCTTCGTCAAATGTACTAGAAATGTACGTCTCTCTTTTTCCCGTCCTTCTTTTTTTCACTGTCTTGGGAATACGAATACACACACACATCTATCATTATTTATTAGTATTGTGTGTACACGGGAGGACATCAAATCGTGTTATTAGCGTTGAATGAACAAATGAATGACAATGTCTGTGCTATTGAGGACTATATTCTGGACGAAAACTCTTTATTCAATCAGTTCACTTGAAAATTCACAAACAAAATACAGCAAATACCAAACGTTTCATATTTCACATTTCACATTTCACAATTGAACCACAAAGCGTGTTCGCCATTTTTCAGAATCAAAAATTCCATTTCAAACTCATCGGCCGCCACGTTCTCCCACTCGGTCTTGTTGTGTCCGAATTCCGCGACCATTCTCCTGATTTCCGTCGAAATTCTGCGATTCTCGCACATTTCCTGGGCACTAATCGGCTCCGCGAGCACATAAATCCACGTCAGCGAGGTGGGCGTTTTTTCGAGAATTTCCGTCAACGTTTCCGTCAGTTTTTCCGCAATTTCCGGCAATTCCATCACTTTCAGTTTGCGTCGTTTGATCGCAATTCTCGCCGTATTCTCGTGGCTCGACGCGTGGTTCGTCAGTGTTGCCACGTCACGAAACGTCACGAGAAAAAGGCGTTTTTGGGCGGACGTCATGTACTCGGCAAGCGTTTCTCCCAGATTTTTCGAGATTTTGAGCAGCGAGACGTGTGAGGAGAGCTTTTGAACGGCGAATGGAGGCTCCGAGGGCGTCTGCAAATTCGAGGAATTTATCTTTGGTTTGAGCCACATGATTAGGGACCGTTCTATGAAATTCTTCTTGTTAGAATGTGTTCCCCTACTCTAGAAGAGTGCGTTCTCAATTTTTTTTTTCGAAAATTCACGGTACTCCCCTTCAAATCCCTTCAAATTTGCCTGTTTTCTTTCAGCAAAAAAACTTTCGAGGTCAAAAGTTTTGAACCCGATACCTCCAGACTGCAGAGCACTCTGCCACTGCGCCAACCGGGCGGAGGCGCGCCGGCCACCAATTGTGTAGAATAGTCGTTTCTCTCACCTCCAAAAATTCCTCAAAATTCTCGGGTTCCTCTGGAATTTTGGCCAACTTTTTGTCCGCCGCCAATTCCGGAAATTTCTCCATTTTGGGGGCCATCGATTTGTCGTCGTCGTCGTCGTCCGATTCTTCGGTGTCGCCGTCGATTCCAGAATCCTCTTCCGACGGCGATTTTATCGATTTTCCGCCGTTGTTGGTCGTTTTGAGTGCTCCGAACGCGCGAATTGCTCCAGAAATGAGGACGATCGGGAAAAAGAGGAGAATCGATGAAATCGTGGATACAATCAGTGTGGAAATTAACGAGACGGCCAGGAAATTTGTCTGAAAATCAATGTTTTGTGAAAAAAACGTGTTTCTCTCAAAAAACGCACAATTTTAGAACATTTTCGCTCTGTCGTCGGGTTAATTTCCTCCATTTTGGCTGGAAATCCAACCTGAAATGCGGAAATAGGTAAATCAATGAAAAACAAAATCGAATGAGCGATCGATGTACCACGTTGTGAGCGGAATGAGCGGACCAATGAGACAAACAACCCGGTTTTCCGTTTTTGATCTACCAAACTGCATTGATTGATGAAACGATGATTGCGGGTCTAGAATTTGGTTCCTGGTCGGAAAAAAACGGTTTAATTTTCCAGAAAAATGACAGAATATTGGGAAAATTTTCATTTGGTTCATCTTATTGTTAGGTCTAGAATGTGATCAATGATAAGAAAAACATTGATCATTTCAAAAAGTACATTCGTCTATTTTTAAATCAGAAACCTTCCAGCGATGTCACTTTGGGAAGGAAAAACGAGATTTTTGGGGGTTCGCCATCAACTCATTTCCATGTACGTGTATATAATTCCGGCCCAGAATTATATATTGCTTACGTTAACAGCAGAGTTGAGCGGAAGTGGAATTTTGAAATACGGAAGACGGCAGACGGCAGACGGAAGAAAATTTTTCTTACGGAACACGGAAAACGGAAGACGGAAGAAAATTTTTCTCACGGAAGATGGCAGACGGAAGACGGAAGAAAACTTTTTTCCCGGAAGACGGCAGACGGAAGACGGAACAAAAAATCGTCAATGTAGAGCCTTTTTTCCGGTTTTTTTTTTGAAAAAAATAACTAATGCAACAAAACTTTTGGATCTGGGTACTGCCCATGGAAATTCGCGTTCTTCGGGGCTAGTAAATGGCTTCTGAAAAGCTATTACTCTTTTACGGTAAGAAGAAAAAATTCCGGAAGACGGCAGACGGCAGACGGAAAAAAAGTTTTTTTACGGAAGACGGCAGACGGAAGACGGAACAAAACTTTTTTCCCGGAAGACGGCAGACGGAAGACGGAACAAAAAAATCCACGGAAGACGGAAGACGGAAGACGGCAGACGGAATTCCGCTCAACTCTGGTTAACAGCGCCGGTCGATGAGGGTTTATTTTTACAAATTTATTTAGATTCACTGAAAAAAACCAGCAAAAGAAAAGAGTTAGAACTTGTATGAATAGTCGAAGAAAGGCGTCTTGACACCAACTCCATTGCCGTTCCCATGGAATCCAAATCCGAGCACATGAGCACGAGCGCCGTCCGCATGCAATTTCAGGCCCGTGTCCAGACTCAATCCGCCGCCGATCTTGTGATGTTCGGTCTCGTAGGAGGCGCGCAGCACGTCCGCATCGATTCCGACGTCCAGTCCGCTCGCCGAGACGTCTCCACTGGCTCCGAGGCTCCCGACCGCGTATCGGCTCGAGGTGTCGCTCGCCTTGTGATGGTTGCTCGAGTCGAAGAGAGCCAAACTGGCGCCGGCTCTGGCGCCTCCCCGGATGCTCGCCTCTGCGTTCGCGTCGGCGCAGATTAGACCGCCGTGCTGGCCCACGGGCAACACTGCCACCTTCTTCTCCACTTTCTTCGCTTCATCGTGAGGCATGTTTGATCTGAAAGAAAACAAGTTTTTTCAAGGAAAAAAATGATTTCATACCTTCAAAAAACCCGGTCTAGCCGGTTTTATAGCGAGGCAAGCGGGTGTGACTTGCTCACCTTTACATCACATTCTTTTGTGATTTCACAATATCCTCATGATTCGACTGCGAGGAACTTTTGTGATGAGGAAGAACTTGCAAATGCAATCATGTGAGTTTCACGTGAAGCCCGCTCGACTCTAATTCGGATTTTATTTGAGCGATGCACCATGCTGACTTTGATGTTGTAAACCTACGGCCCTCGCAAGAATGCTATAATTATAGTAGTCCTCAACAATTGAGACCTCCCGTGGTGGGTATACAATTTCTTTGCGCGGAAAAGGCAAACACTGGGTTGCATGTGCCATCTATTTGCATACAACGTACAGAACGGAAAGGTGAGTCACAAGCACACGCACACTCACAATTTATCGATTTTTCTGGTGTTTTTCACATTCTTCTCTGGTTTTCTGAAAATTGACTCTATTTTCAGACTAGCGAATGGCACGAGGAGACCGATATCGAACAGATCCGAATCCGAGGAGGGTGTACTCACCGGTACCACCGGCTTCTTATCACAATGGTAATTTTATTCGTCAAGTTGTCAAAACGCTCAAAATTTTGAACATTTTCTTTCAGGAAGATCCGTGACTACGGCCTCGAGTGACATGTACACCTACACAACTGACACAAAGTTTGTCTCTTCTCCAAAAAAAAAAATTCAAACACATTAATTCTAACTTAAAAACATGTTCAGTGTAACAGAAGAGCACTCGGAAGACTACGGATGTGGTGCGTGGGCAAAGTACGGAATTTTCACCGCCAATATTGTGTTTCTGGTACATTTTCGCTTTTTTTTGCTCTGAAAAATTGCATAAAAGTATTGTTTTAGGTGGTCGGAGGACTCCTTTTGGCGATGGGAATCTGGCTGAGAACTGACAGTCGGTTTAGGAATTTTATAAGTGAAAGGTCAGCATTTTAAACTTGATTTTAAAATATAATACTTAATGTTTTGGGTATCGTCAAGCGGTTGAAGACGCTTTTTGGGAAGCGCCCACACTTTTCGCATTTTCCTACATTATAATAGTTATGGGAGCGGTTATGATAGTTGTGGCCATGTTGGGTAAGTCTACAACGCTTTGTGACCTTTGACAATATTGATTTTTTTGTTGTTGCAGGTTGTTGTGGTATAACTGGCCGTTCCAGACTATTTCTGGTCATTTACTCAATGGTCGTTTTTCTGCTCTTCGTCGCCACTCTCAGCGCCGGAATTTATCTCTTGTACAAGAAAGATGGAGTGTGTTGAATGAATGTTTCAGGTGGAAATTTGAACAAATTTGCAGCTCGACGTGGAATTATCGGATGCACTGAACTATATGGTGCAACACTATTACATGGGCGCCGGAGTGGTACAGGAGGCGCTGGATAAACTTCAAACGACTTTCCGGTGTTGTGGTAAGCGTCGAAAACTCGTGTGTAATGGAGTGTCGGCTCGCCAGAATTTCGAGAAGACTCGCACATTTCTTGCATCGTCTCTTTATGGGGCTATTCAGCGTATGTTTGTTTTCCGTTAAAAAAAAATTTTTTTTTACATCGCTGAATTGAATTTTTTGACGTAAAAAAACGGATCATTTTTTTCACAGCCTGAATAACCCCATTATGGCAGACGCTCGCACTTTCTCGCTTTTGTTTTGTCGTCATTCTTCAGTTGCTTTTCAAAGAGTTTTCGGAAGAGCGGCCTAAATGTTTCGAATAGCCCGAATGGCCCAAACGGAGTTCAGGCCGTTCGAGTCACTTGCCCTTACTAAAATCAGTCAAAAACCGGAATGTGCCAAAAAGAGACGCGAGCGGGACGATGCGAGAAACTGAAACGAAAACGAGAAACATTTTTTTTAAGGAAACGCTGGCTGCTCAGATTTTCGTGTTTTCCGAATGGATATCCCAAGATCTTGTGACATTCGATGTGATGGATGTCATTTTAGGTAACCTTAATCCTGGTTTTAATTTCACACTTGAGACCACTTTCAGAATAATGGTCGCCTTGAGAATCGGATTTTCGGTTACTTTGATCGTTTTTTTCGCAGTGGTACTTTGTCAACTTTTGGCAATATGTTTCGCATTGTATTTTGTGTTTATGCGGCAGAAAGAGGTCAAAATTGTGAGTTGTATTTGTCGGAACTTTGAAATGAAATGAAATTTCGATTAAAAATTCAGATCTACGTGCAGCCGCCGCCAAAAAGAGAAAGATCGCGACTGACGCGAGACACCCTACGAGACCATGATCTTCCATTTCAACTCCAACCAAAACGATATCAAAAATATTAACTTTTCCCCAATGTATTTGCTTCGAAACGGGTCTGATCATTGAATCAATCAAAAAAACATGAATAAAAATTAATTTAAATTCACGAATTAACATTTAAAATTAAGTCATCTGGTTGTGAAACGCCTCTCCCAAATCTAGTTCTCAAAACAACACTCGACTATGAGACAAACGAATTTAATTCTTATTTTTACGATTTTTCTGCAATTTTCTAGAATTTTCTCGGAAATTCAGTACAGTACGGATTCATCGAGTGAGCTTTTCTTTTCAAATGTATAATTATAGGTTGAGAAATTAATTTTTTAAAGAATGCTCTGGAAATTTGGCTTGTAAGCCGTGGAACGACGTGGAGAAAATCGAGGACGGAACAGCGATTATTGAGTGAAAAACACTTTGATAGGGAGGAATTTGAAACTGTTTTCTGATTTTAGGTACGACGAGAACTGTACAGTATCCCGTATTCAATGCGTGGCTAAGCCCGGTCGAGATTGCGTTTATACGACAGTTTGGGGAGTTTTGGACAACGGAGACGGCGGTCCCTTGGGCACTATGGGCGATTATAATGCTACCGTCGAGTTCAAGTGCCAGAATTATAATTGGAATTTGAGCAACCAGTTAGTTTTTTTTTGAATTAAGCATTTAAAAGCACGTCAACAATTTTAGAGTTATCAAGAAAGCTGCCTGTTACTTCAATTGCACGGAAAAAGTCGAAATTATGGCGAGACCTCAAATTGTTGAAGTTGTCACGTCGACATCTTCCGAATCGCCAAGTACTGCGGAGCCGACTACAACAACGAACAAGCCGATCGGAAATCATTGCCACGTTGGCAATGCCTGAATTAACATTTTTCACTGCTTCTCAGTGAAACACTGAAACAATTTTCACTGAAATTATAGTGAAAATTTGAATAAACTCGTTGCGCATTAAGTTTTTTCTTTATTTCACACGGCGAGCATTTGTGAACATGGCTTGAATTTCCCGCGGGCTAAAAGGGTACGTCTTGCGATACGTATCGATAGAAACGGGCCTGAGCATGTTCACAAATGTTCGCCGTGTTTCGTCTGTAAAAATGGTAAAAAAATTTTGGCATCCGTGGTTTTCGTGATTCCCCCTGTTTTGGCACGGCCTCGGAAATTTTAGCTGTTTCAGCTTTTCTCCAAGCGATTCTCTAAAATGTCGTGAGGTTGTGCGCATTGTGTGCAAACACGCTCACGCGAAACTACGTACATGGCCTAGTCTTCACGCCGCGGACTTCTCTCGCAACAGCGCCATTTTCGAAATTAATCTGGTGCTCCTAGTTTTCACCTTGAAAATTTGTTCTTTTCCAGTTGTTTGTATCAAATTTCATTGCAGTATGTCGTCCGAATCACCAGAGAAAAACGGACACGAAAATGTGAGCGAAAAAGTCGATGAAAAGGTAGAGGAAGTAGAAAAAATTGAAAAAACTGAAGAAAAAGAGAAAAAGCGCTCTTCGCGTGAGGAAAACGAAAAGCCGACAGCGAAAAGATCGAAAAACGAGGAAGACGAAGAGAAAGATCGCAGAAGATCCAGTGAGTTATACAAAAAATCGAGGAAATTAGAAACAAATAAAAAAAATGCAGAAGACGACAAAAAATCGGACAAATCTGAGCGTCGGAGCGATTCGCATCGTGATCGCGACCGGAAAAGACGTGATCGTAGTCGTTCAAGGACTAGGTCCAGGTAAAATTGAAGAAAACTTTATTTCGATGAAATATTTCAAAAAATTGATTTCAGATCGCCAAAACGAAGCAAGAAAGAGCGAAAAGAAGAAAAACCGGAAAATGAGGAGGAAGACGGAGAGGTAAGGCTCAAAATTGGCTGAACATAATTTACTTTCTAAATTTAAGATACGAGAGGGTACTCCACCGCCGGTGACGCCGGTGGAAGTTCCGCGAAAGCTGACGGCCAGGGAATTGGAGCGACAACGCATTATTGCCGAGGAATTGGCGGTATGTTTCTCAAATTATAAAAAAAAAAGAATTTTGTGAGAAACCGACAAGGAAATGTACAATTCATGGCCTTACTTCGAAATTTCACAAGAAACACACAATTTAAATGAATTTTCAACTGTTTCAGAACGGAAAACTCGACGAAGATTCCGATGAGCCGGTGTGGTCGATGAAAAAGGCTCAGGCGGAGAAGGCGAGTCGAATGTGCCCTTACTTGGATACAATCGACAGGTTTGTACAACTCTAGCTGCTTTCTCATATTTACCTCTCTCTCTCATTAAATAGAAAAGGTAAAATTTTTAAAATAAAATTTACAGATCCGTCCTTGATTTCGACTTTGAAAAGCAGTGCTCCGTATCGCTTTCGCATCAAAACGTCTACGCGTGCATGGTTTGCGGAAAATATTTCCAGGTAATTTTACTTTGAATTCTTGAATGCTTTTTTCTACATTTAGAAACTTCTATTCCCTTGAAATGTTCGAAACATATATATTATAAATTTCAGGGCCGCGGAACAAACACGCACGCGTACACACATGCTCTCGAGACGGATCACCACGTGTTTCTGAATCTGTCGACGCTGAAATTCTACTGTCTTCCGGATAATTACGAAATTGTCGATCCGTCGCTGGAGGACATCAAATACGTGCTTAAGCCGACGTACACGAAGGAAATGATTGCTTCGATCGATAAACAGGTTAGAAATACATTTTTTTCAGTTCCACGTGCAAATGGACAGTGTTAAACGCACGGCGATCCGTGGACCGTCGGCTGCTTGTGCCGCCGTGCGTTTTAACACAGTTCATTTGCACACTCAGGATTTACAGCGCTCACCCACCCCTGGTGTTAACTTATTTTTCAGTCGCGCATGGTGCGCGCCTACGACGATTCAACCTATTTTCCGGGAGTTGTCGGACTCAATAATATCAAGGCGAACGACTACTGTAACGTCATTCTTCACGTAAGTTTTCAAAAATAAAATTATGAAAACCGTGAAATTGATTGAAAATTCATTAAAAATAACATTGAATAAATTAAAATGACAAATTCAGGCGCTCTCGGCAGTCCGACCACTCCGTAACTGGTTCCTGAAAGAGGCGAATTACACGTCGATCAAGCGTCCGCCGGGAGATAAACTCACTCTGCTCCCGCAGAGATTCGGAGAACTCATTAGGAAACTATGGAATCCGCGGGCTCTACGAACACACGTTTCCCCGCACGAAATGCTCCAGGCGGTCGTTGTGTGCTCCGACAAAAAGTTCCAGTTCACGAAACAGAACGATGCGGCCGCGTTCATGACGTTCCTCATCGATACGTTGCACAGAGCTCTGAATGGAAACAACGAGCGACAGAGTATCATTTCCAAGTGAGTTTTGAAAGATAGTTTCTAGAAAATGCGATTTCTGCACGGTTCTTCTAAAAATCACGAGAGCAGCGTCCAAACAGTGCAGTTTGTAGTCAAAGCAGCCTCAAAAGTTACGAGAGCAGCGCCCAAAACGTGTAGTTTGTAGTCTAAGCAGCTCTAATGTGTTGTTTGCAGTACAAGCAGCCCCATAAATTAACGAGAGCAGCGACCAGCGGTGTAGTTTGCAGTATTCGCAACTCTAAAGTTACGAGAGCAGCGCCCAAGAGCGTAGTTTGTAGTCTAAGCAGCACTAAATTACAGTTTCCTTCTCCGAAATCGACTTCAAAATTTTTCATCCGTGTAAATTGTGAGTGCACGACCACAATTGGCTGTAGATTCGAGCACGATTGACCGTTCGCGACTAGCGAAAGTTGACATGGCGCCTAAAAATTAATGTTTCTTTTATAAACAGATTTGTTGAAAAACTAACATAATAAATTGCCCACGCGGCGCGAAGCAACAAACAACTACAACAAAACAGTTTTGCGTCTACGTCTCTGCCTTTTCGCGCGCAATTCGCTTAGCTCTCGTCTCCTGTTCTTTTTCCGGTTGAACCGCAAACTCGTCCACCCCTGGTTTGTAGTCTAAGCTGTGATCAACCTCGGTGCTGCAAATTCTAATTTTACAGATTCGGTATGCTTTCTTGTCAAAAAATACTTTTTTGTAAGATCTTCTAAAAATTCTCAAAAACGTTACAATTTGTAGAACGTTCCGCGGAAAAATGCGTCAGTACACCCGTCCGGTGATTCCGGCGGAAGACACGGAAGAAGAGCGATACAACAAGATGCGGATGCCGGAATATCAGGAGAGAGTGACGGAGCACCCGTTCATGTACCTTCCGCTGGACCTGCCGCCCGCGCCGCTCTACCGTGACGTCCAACTTCAGAATATCATTCCGCAAGTGCCGTTGACCACTCTTCTCGAGAAATTCAACGGTAAAACGGAAAAAGTGAGCGACTGATGTGTAAAACTGTAAAAATCATACTCTTTGCAGGAATACCACAAGAACAATACGAATATGATCAAACGGTTCGAGTTGCTGAAACTGCCCGACTTCCTGATCATCGCCTACAAACGATTCGAGAAAAATCAGTGGTTCATGGAGAAGAATCCGACGATTGTGAACTTTCCGATCGGAAACGTCGATTTGTACGATTGTCTGGCTGATGACGTGAAGGCGGAGAACAAATATACGACTTACGATCTAGTGGCGAACGTGGTGCACGAGGGAACTTTCGAGGAGGGAAGCTATCGCATTCAGATTGTTCATCAGGTACAGTGATTTGGAGTACAAACTATAAATTTAGGGCGCTGCTCTCGTGAATTTAGAAGCTGCTTAGACTAGAAACTACATGTTTTGGGCGGAGCTCCTGTGAATTTAGGGCTGCATAGACTACGAACTACAAATTTTGGCGCTGCTCCCGTGAACTATAATGAAGATGAACAATTTCAGGGGTCCGGAAAATGGTTCGAATTGGAAGATTTGCACGTGAAGGACATGCTGCCGCAGATGATTGTGCTCGCCGAGTCGTACATTCAAATTTGGCGCCTCAACAAAGAGCAGACGAGAGAGGAGCGGAATGAGGACACAATTGACGAGAAAATGGAGGCCTAACTTTCCCCGTGTTTCGATAATTTTATTGCTATCTTATTCGTTTATTTATTTCATTGTGCTCTGAGTTTGAATAAATGTGCACTAGTTTTCCGCCGTCAGTGATTCCTACGAAGCCCTGATTTTTCAAGTTTAGAAATGTGAAATGAAATCGAACTATTTCTCCAATATTAAATCCCCGTCCCGAAAATACTTTTTGACAGCTCTGGATCAAAAGGTGCGAAACCAACGAAAGCCGCTGCTCATCAAGTGAGCACCCACGCGCGAGCTCCCTAAGTCTCCTGGCTCCGAGTGCTCTCGCGGGTTTCCGCTGGCTCACCGGGCTCCCGGGGAGGCTCTTTGAGGGGGTGTCTGCGATCCTCATCATCGAAAGCTCTAGTTGAGCGCGAGAGGAGCTCGAAAAGAAAAACCATAAGGGATCCCGAAACAACTGACGGCCCTCAGGATCCTCCCCAAACAACAAACATTGCTCACGGAGCAAGCGCACCGGAAAAAAACACATTCGATCACATTTGTTTCTCTCTCGCTCTGAAAATTGACCCAAACACTCCAGGAAAGAAGCAAAATGCCGGATACAGGTATGGAAATGTACAGTAATCCTCGAGGTTACTGTAGTTTTGGCGTTTTTTTGCTGGACTAACTTTTTTAGTTTGTTAGGCATGGTTTTCAGAGAATAACGATAATTGAAAACATTGGATTAAAACATTTTTTGTTAAATTGTTCTGAAGTTATGAAAGCTCTGAAAATTCACAAAAATTATGTATTCTTTTGAAAAAACTTCCTAGTCACCTGATATTTTCTTCTTTACCCCCGGAAGCCTGACATGACACGAACATGTGTTGACATGAAGATTTTCGAGGTTTTTCATTGACGATTTCTGATTTTTGATCTTCAGCAGCTTCAAAAAGACAATTGTTTTGAAATCAAAAATTTTCGAGTAAAACTGTTTCACCGATCACCTTAATGATTTTTCCGTTTTCCCTACTAACCTTTTCATTTACGAAAAATCATTCTAATCCATTTTTCCCTGGCTTCAGTAATCGTGGTAACCATGAAGAAACGACCTACTACTACCACTACTACATCAGAAAAATCGAAAAAATCATCAAATTCAGGATATGATCGCGCCGATGGCACGTCTTCTGAAGAAGAAGAGTCGGACGGAGAGGTGGAATTTCTTTTTTGCTAATTCTTATGCTCTAAAAATTGTTTTCCAGGTCGTCGTAGCCACTCGCAGAAAGTCGTTCGGAATCCGTGTGGCTCAAAGTCCCCAACAGGCTCAACAGCAGGTTTTGAGCCAAATTGGAAATTTGGCCAATCAGAGACAAGGTTAGATTTTTTTTAAAGAACTGGGGCTTTCTATGAAAATGTCTGAAAAACCTGATAATCTTTCTTTGCAGCCAATGAAGTTGTGGTCCAACAAACGGAGCAGCACGAGAAGACTGAAGCCGAGAAGCGAGCTTTGGAGCAACATCAGAAGCTGCTCGAGGCCCAACAGATCGCCAAGGCTCAACAAGCCGCTGCTCTTCAGGCCGCCGCCGCTCGGGTGGCCCAAGCTCAAGGTCAAGCTCAGGCTCAACCCCAATCGATCGATCAGGCCAAAGCTCAACAGGAGGCTGCTCTCCGGGCTGCCCAAGAACAGGCCAAGAAGGCCCAACAAGAGGCCCTGGCTCGGGCTCAGGCCGCTCAACAAGAAGCTGTCGCAAGAGCTAAGGCTGCTCAAGAAGCCCAGCAGAAGGCCCAGCAAGAGGCTTTGGCGCGGGCCCAGGAAGCCCAGAAGAAGGCCCAAGCTGAGGCGGCGGAGAAGGCCAAAGCTCAGGCCGATGCGCAGAAGAAGGCTTTGGAAGACGCTCAGGCCCGGGCCGCGCAGGCTCAACAAGCGGCTCTGCAGAAGGCTCAGCAGGCTCAGGCTCAAGCTCAGGCGCAAGCCCTACAAAAGGCCCAACAGGCCCAGCAGGCTCAGGCTCAAGCTCAGGCGCAAGCTCTACAAAAGGCCCAACAGGCCCAGCAGCAAGCCCAAGCTCAGACTCAACAGGCGGCTCTACAAAAAGCTCAGCAAGCTCAGGCTCAAGCTCAGGCCCAAGCCCAACAGAAGGCTCAACAAGCTCAGGCTCAAGCTCAGGCTCAGGCCCAACAGAAGGCTCAGCAAGCTCAGGCACAAGCTCAGGCCCAGGCCAAAGCCCAAGCCCAACAAAGACCTCAAGCTCAACCTCAACAAGTCCAAAACGCTCCAAAAGCTGTTCAACAAGTCCAGAATGGTCCTGGAACACAAAAAGTTACCGGTGCCCCAGCCCAGAATCAACAAAAAGCAGCTCCGCAAAAGGCAGATCTCACCGGAGCACCACAAAAAGGAGCACTGGCTCAGGTTCAACCGGCACAGCAGGAAATTCAAGGTAAGGTTCTCATGCGAAACGAGTACTACGCAATACGTTTTTTTAGCCGCCGCGGGACCAAAATGGAGCCGTACTCCCGGAAAAGTGCAGACTCAAGGACCCCAACCGGAACAAGCGAAACAAGTGACCGCAGTGGCACCGCCACAGGGAAAAACCGCTTTGAGACAGACCGCTCAGGTATGAGACGAAAAATAAGAGAAAAGTATCATTCTTTGGCCTAAAGTTACTTTGTAAATATAGTTTATTTTCGAAGCCAACACAATATCTATCTTCTTTCCACTTTTCACACTTATCCGAGCCCTCGGAGCGTTTCTCTGAGAGCCGGGGCTCGCGGAGCACATGTGTTCTCTTCTCCGTTCGCTTATTGCCCGATTCTCATACCCAATTCCCTTTTTATTACGATTCTTTGCATAACCAATTCGCATTTTATTACGATTCCTTGTCACTTTCTGCGGAAGTTTTAAACAAGTTGTTGTTGCTGCTTGCGAAAAACTTCCAGAAAAATAGAGATTTTTCGTTTACAATCATTTTCAGGTCCAAGAACAAGAATTGGCCAACGAGAAAGGAAACGTCATGTCTTCAGTTGTGGCCCGAAAACCACAGATTCAGGCCGATCATTTGGTTGAGCGATTTGTAGAAAAACCCGAAGAACAAAGAGAGAAATTGGTGAGCGCAGCGCCCAAAACCTGTAGTTTGTAGTGTATGCAGCCCTAAATAGACTAAAGAAGCTCCCAAAAAGAATAGTTTGTAGCGTAAGCAGTTCCTAAAATCGCGAGAGCAGCGCCCAAAACTTGTTGTTTGTAGTCTAAGCCGCCCTAAATTAACAAGAGCAGCGCTCAAAAAGTGTAGTTTGTAGCGTCAGCAGCACCTAAATTCAAAAGAGCAGCACCCAAAATGCTTTATAAAGACAACCAAAACTCAATGATCTCGAGGGGAAATAATCGGAAGGCGGAAAAAGTGTTCTGATGTGATGCGCGAGTGAGTAATCAATAGAAAAAGTGTCAAGAAGGTTTGCTCACTGGGCTCCCCTGCTCACAGAGCTTCTCCTCGATAGCTCTGCAAACATCCACAGATTTTAGCCCCCTCCCCATCCGAGATCTCTACAATATTTCCCATTTTCACTTTCGAGCGAAAGATATGATGTGTTCGTATTTTTTGTTGGAAAACAGTTTGACTCAATCTATAGATATTGTAGGCGGTACAAAAGGGACAGCAGTTGGAAGGAGCGAAACGGTGGGTGACTGACTCGCAACTCAGAGAGCAGCCCAACGACATGCAAGGACAAGTCGAACGAGGTCCCAAGGCCACTATTCTTCAGGTTTGTACCCTTTCGCTTACTGAGAACTCCTTTGGTACCTAAAAAGTATTCTTCAATGAAACAGACTTTCAATTTGAAAAAAAATTGCTTACAATACTCGAAAACCCACGCATTTTCCCGAAATTTGAGCCAGGGAAATTCCCACGGGATGGAAAATTTTTCTAATGAAAGAATGCTCTTTTTTCATCACTTTTTTCATTTCAACTTGTGCATTGCTCACCAACATTTTGCAACAATCTGAAATTGTTCACTGAGCTCAGAAGGTTCCCAAGACTAATAAAATTATTTTCCAGAGAATTTTAGGCGAATCCAATTTGCTACCCATGTTTTTCATTAGTCGCCGCGGTCCTTGGTCTTTTTCAAATAGTTTCAATTCCAATTAGTAAGAAAATAATCCCAAACCCTCCAAATTGCGTCACCACACAAAATTTCGAGCAAACTTCCGGTGCTCTCTGAGCTCCCACTGCCTTCCAGATCAACGCACATTCACACTTTTTTGTGAACAAATATTGCAGTCTTCCAAGAAAGTATTCGAGGTTTTTCGAAAGGTTACTCGCCCAAGTTCATACGAAAATCTTTTGGATGTGACAAATGTTTCCTCGAGCTTTTCACACTAATTGCTGCCGGATTTGCCGGCTTCGAGCTCCTGATTTTACACTATTTTGTGTGCCGGACAACATTTGGCACGGACAAAGAAAAGAAAAGTGGAGTGGAGGAGTGAGGAGCCGGCAATTGCTCCGCCGATAAACAATTCAGTTGATACAATCGTCGGTGATATAATTTTTTGGATTGACGTGTTTACTCTTTTCGCTGTAAACCTACTCATTTTCTCAAGGGATACAATTAGAGACTTTGCTTTTAGAATTCTATAAAATCAGAATCACTTTTGCTTTCGGGTTTATAGTTCGATCATTCGAGCGCTGGAGCATTTCACGTTAGGTCGAAAATTTTTGCAAAACGTTTTCTATTTAAGTTTTCCGTTTCCCACACGAGCTTACTCCCCCTAGTAAAGTTCTCCAAATCTCTGGTTCATTAAAGAAAACAAAATTGGTTAAAAACATGGAATACATATTTCTTCCAAAAACGCACGAACTGGGATTAGCGCCACGTCACGCCACTTTTTGTGTGATTATCATTTCCCAATTTGTTTCTGACCCATTCGGAGGGATTTGTGTGCTCGCTGGGGGTGTAATCCACGTGTATTAGTCTGAAATGTATTGCTACAGAACTCATTTGAACACAAAATTATAACAACTTGTTACGAAAGTTGACCTTTCCAAGTCAACGGAGCAGTGTATGACTCAAAAAGTGTGACTTCGCGGCGTTTTGTATCTTGTATTCTCGAACAAATTTTATACGAGCATACAATATTTGCTCACTTTTGTATGTTACCTTACACGTCGTCGTCAGAGTGCTCATCAGAAGTCCTAAAACATGTCCCTCTTTTCCACCTCCAAATTTTTTTGTCGGTGCGGTTCCGCTCATGAATAGCACTTGAAATTGCATAGGACACCGATTCGTGGGGATTGGCTTAAAATGCTTTTCTTTGAAGTGACCGGAAATTGGAAAAGATTGCCTATGGCTTTTTTAGCCTAGAACCGAACCTCGTGATATCGCAATAATGTTTACGAAAATATATTGTTTCAACTCGAAATTTGCTCACTATCATAACGTCACTAAAAAATTCATCTCCGCATCTTTTTTCCCTTCGCTCCTTCCAAAAGCTTCAAGAAATTGAAATTGAGTTTATTTCACACCCTTTTTTTGTTTGCGGAAGATGCAACCAGCCAGTTGTTTTCTCAATTCTCCCCCTTCTTCCCTTCCAATTTTCCATCCATTTTACACTTCTTGCCCGTTCAAAGCTCAGAAAATAGTGTGGCAGAATGAGAGAGAAATAGAAAGGACACTGAGGGGAAATGGGGGCGGCAGAAGGGAGCAAAAGCTTCTGGCTCACTGCAGAAAACAATGGGATCCGCTTGATCGGCTCGAGTACCAATCTTCTTTTCAATTATTTTCCAGAAAATTTCAAGACTCCTATTATTTGCCCCACTTTTGTTTCTTTCCAATTTTTTTTGGCTCCAGAGATACAGTACATGATTGTACTACTGTTTTCAGAAAGTACTTTGTGCGAGATTCAGAAGATGCAAAAGATTCCTTTGACTCTCCTTTTCCGCTCCAAATTTTTCAATTTCCGTGTTCCAATTTCATGACCAATATCTCTTGTTTTTCATTTTTTTCCCCTTGATGATTATAGAGAAAAAACAGGGGAAAATTGGGGTGGAAAGTGCCAATTTTCCAATAATTTCCTGGAAATTGTTCATCTGAATAATATTTTTTCAAACAACCAGAAATCATAGAACCTTTCGTACTTGTAGGAGTTTGCCGCCCTTCTCACCCTCATTTCAAATTTATGACTTTTTTTCCCGTATTTTTCCCACCTCCTTGGTCCCATTGACCTTCTAAATTTCTATTAGTCTGCTCTGCCCTATGACGTGGTAAATAAGTTTTTCCAGAAAAAGTCTTCCCCCCCCCTAAAAGCCTTCCTATACGCTTGTTTTCTTATTTTCCCTGCCCTCGAGCTATTTGCTAGGATTTTTCGCTTCCTTTTACTCGTTCTTTTAGCGCACAAGTCTTTTAAACGAAAAAAAATTAGGCAGCAAAATGTTGGCTCATCAACAGGCTCCCTACTTGAATACGACCGATTTCAATGGGAAATCACTCAAACCAATGGTAAATGGGGGCTTTTGAAAGTTTCAAGACTATTAGGCGAAAATTCATGTGTAAAAATCAAATTGCAGGACGATGCGTGCTGGCAAACTCAACGTCGTGTTCCAGTTGAGATTCAGCAGCCACAAGTGGGCAAAATTCAGATTCCGGAGCTGAGCGAGAAGGAGATTCAGGTAAGCGATGATTTCTGTTTGAAACTGAAACTGTTGTGTGAATTGTAGATCACAAATTGTAGATCAAAAACTCGTTTGCAGCGCACAATTGTCGCCCAGCCAGCCTCGTACCACAAAGTCGCGTGGAACGAGTTTCCGGAAGAGGCCAAACTCGAACTTTCGGCGGCCCCGAAGACCAAAACTCAGGACTGGGTGCCAGTGAACAACGAGCAGAACGAGCTGCAACGGAGCATCTACAAACCGGCCCGCATGTCGGCCGTCTGGCCACCTCCACAGGACGAACTGGTCAAGGAAGGGTAGGGATACTGTAGTCGGCGGATGGGTTACTGTAGTTGTGAATGATTGCAGACAGGCTCCACTGGTCGTCAAAGCCAACGAGGATACTGCTTGGATCCAGCAGGTAGGAGAGAACATGTTCGGAACGTGTTTTAGGACAGACACCTGTTTTGAAACATTCTTCTGTTCCAAAGCTGTTGTGAAACTTGTCTTACAATACCAAAAACATGATATTTGCCCTCAAACCTGTTTCCAGACATAAATCCAATTTTGCAGGACCAAAACGGAGTGCTGAAACAGGCGGTCTGGGGCAAGACGTCGCGCATCAACCGTGTGTGGCCGCCACCGGAAAACGAGTCGGCTCTCAGCGACTTTGGTAATGATTTTGAGAATCCCATAATATCCCATCACATTCCTGTAGCATGATACCCGTCCAGCACATTTCCTTTCTCCCCTCCCCCCACCAATTGTCCCTCTGTCACCCAGAACCCAGAACAGTTTTTGATAAGAAAAACGTCACAAAAAAGCGTACTAACCCGTCGTGTCCCGTTTTTAGGACCGCAGCACATGCCTGTCGTGCAGTGGCCGCCACCGGAATCCGAGATTCACGAGCGTGAGCAGATCGAGGTGCTTCAGAAGCACATTCCGACGAAGAAGATGGAGAGACAGTGGCCGCCGCCGCCCCCACAATACCAAGGTGTGTCCGACCGTCGAGAGGAAGTGCGCTCCGATAAGAATTTTGGTGTGGGAAACATTTTTCGGAACAGTTTTCAGACCAGAAGCATATTTTAGAGAGTGTACTTGTAGTTTTGAAAGAAGTTATAAATTGACAGCTGTAATGGTGCTGCTTAAGGCTATGGACTTCCTGGGCTTTCTGGGCGCTGCTCTCGTGCATTTAGGGCTACTTAGACTACAAACTATACTTTCTGGGCGCTGCTCTCATGAATTTTGTTTATTAGAGTTCAATAGTTGTTTTACCTTTAAAAAAAATTGAGATATTATTTGTTTTCAGTTGTCGAATCCAACGGTGAAATCGAGACCCGTTACAATCCGGCTGAGGTACAGAAATACTTTTAAAACTTGGAAATCCTGAAAAAAGTATTTTTACAGGTGATCGAGCAACAAGCGGTGAATAGCCTTCGCATGGGACACATTCAAGTCTAAAACCCTCTCGACTACTATTTTCTTTTCCATACTCACACACTTTTTCTCTCATTTTGCCAATGTAATTGATTTTAATAATTTTAGAAATAATCTAGACAACGAAACTAATCTCTTATCAGCTAAAAATGTTTGCAATTTGCAAATTTGCATTACCTTTTTCCAGGACGGTCAACAACAACAACAGGTCATCCGCACGGTCATCAGATCCCAGTAAAGTAATTGTGTGCTGCCAAACCAAACCAAAAACCAAAAAAAAAAACGTTTTTTCGATGACTCGCCAAATGTGTTTCTCTAATTTTCTGTATTTTTCGACACCATTCACAACTTCTCTGTAATTAAAAGAAAATGAAAAGGATACTTTTTTATGTAGTGAAATAAGGAAACATTAACATTTTCAGTATTTTCCCGGTTTCTTCTGATTTTTGATGAATAAAGTGTGTTCTTCTTCGTTTCTTGACTTAAAAAAAGGAAACATGATTCGTGTTGAAGAATATGAAAAAAAGAGATACTTGAGATGAATGTATTGCTAATTGGCTTAGCTTATTCACGTACATACATATTACGTGAATTTCCGGTACACTGGACATTTTCCTTCCTTATTTTCATGTGAAGAAGAGATTCTTCTTTTACTCACGTATTTTATGAGTTTTCTGCAGAATATCTGAATTTTAAGAAGGTCAGTTCATTTTTTAAAGGTGGCCAACTGATGAACCCTAAAAGTCCCAAAAAACGAACTCGTCGCTAGTAGACAGAGAATCGTTCTAGTTCTTTATCTCGGGTCCGCTTCCGAAGGTCATAGGCACATCCAGACGGCTCCACACTCTCCAGATTCCTTCACTCTTCTCTTCATTTCGGCTACTCACCGCATCACTGATCGACCTAGAACACGTTTGTACTCTAGTGGCATCCATTCATCTCCGTTGGCGACCTTTCCGGCCCACTCGACTTTACGCAACCACGCAGTCCTCGACACTTTTGGCAGCCTTTCGCAAACTCCTCGTTCCTGATCTTGTCCAGCCGCATGACTCAACCACGGCACGTTCCATTCTTCTCTGGACCACGTCCAGCTTCCTCCCTGGTTTTTGAGATACAGGTCGCTAAAAATGGACTTACGATCTGCACTGACGGAAGCTCCAGTCGAGCCCACGCTCATAAGCTTCAACGCAATTGTTCCGCATGAATGCATTCCTTTTCTTCGTCATGTTCTCTGAAGGTCCAACTCAACTTTATTCCATCCTTTTTTTGCCGATCTCTTTGCTCTGTTTTTTCCAGAAAAACAACACTTCACCATCGGAAAAATCATCGATTACACATCTCGCCAGGGCTGGGAAATTGGAAGGCCTGGACTTTTGAACCACTTGCATTATTCCGATTGGACCCAAACTTTCCGAACCCAATATACTGCAATCCAAGTCCAAAAAGCCTGCAGAGTTTTTGTCCAATCAGATTGTTGCAAGTGGGCCCAAAGTCCAGGCCTGCAAAAAACCTGTGCCGGCCTGTTGTCCAGCAGTGCTTTTCTGAACTTTCAATCTCTCTGAACGTTTCTCAATTCGCTCCGGAAAAAAAGCGAGCCTAGTTAGAAAAAAAGGCAGTATGTGGAAAAAACTGCGAAACATTCTGACATTTATTTCTTTTTTGCCCTTCCGGGGCTCCTGCTCCGCGAGCCCTCAAGTTCATCTTCTTTTTTTCTCTCTATTTGCGTGACTATGTCAATATTTTCGGGAATACTTTTTCTGTTTTTCATCATTTTTTTGCAGCTTCTTTCCTCCAAATTGCTCCAATGTCGTCTTTTTTCTTCCAATAGGTAGATTCGTTAATTTTCAGATCATTTTCTAGGCTCACAAACTTGTAGTCTTCAACCCCTCTGCATTCTCCGCATGGCATGGACCTTCCTTTTACACCCCCCCCCCCCTTTGATGACGTCACTCACCTTTAAAGGCACACTCTTTTTCTCTGCACTCTCTCATTTCTCTATTTTCTTTTTCCGTCCGATAGTACACTTGATTGACATCCTAAAGTAGATAAGAAAATGTGATAAACAATCTTCAAAAGGCAAAAGTGATTGATAGGCAATCGTGTGTTCTTTGGTGCCTTCTTACATTAGTCAAAGTGTTCTTCGAACATTTTTTGGACTGGGAAGTATTGGAATATAGGGCAGAAAAACTGAAAATCTGAATATCTGAAAATCCACTTTTCATCCAAACAAATCCCATTCGTCATTAGAAACGTTTGTATTATTCCCCTGACACTAATCTTTTTCCCTCTAATCCATTCTCAGAATACACCCAATAACACCTGCCAATTCTTTTTTTTGACTTCCAATTCCATTTTCACCCAAGTTTTCTTCCATTTCACACGTCCTCGATTCAATTTTCGCTATTATTGAGTTCCAAAAAAAGATGCGCTCTTCCAGAAGTCATCATTTTCCATTTCCGTCTGGCAAAAAGGTAGGAAATGATAAGGTTGTACGCCTAAACATTCGTTTTTTTATTTTTCAGATGCCAATTTGCTCTTGCACAATTCGTTGCGAATGTATGATTAGCAATTTGAGTGAAGATACTCTCGAAGGAGCTCCGGAATATTTGAAAAAAGAGTGAGTTACCCGGAAAATATGAATTTACAATCTTCTAATCTTTAGTGCAATTCGTTGGAGCTCGGCAGCTCAACTCTATGATGAACTGCAGAGAAACGAATCGGGAGGACACCAAAAAGAGAGCCACTTTTCGACGCACCATCGAGTTTTCAAGAAGAAAAAGTGCAGAAGTCGTGAGTGAAATTTCCATTAACAAATTTCTCTACATTCTCCAGATGATTTCCGTTACAAACTATACTTTATGGGCGCTGCTCCCGTCAATTTAGTGCTGCTTAGACTACAAACTATACTTTATGGGCGCTGCTCTCGTGCATTCAGGGCTGCTTAGAGTACAAACTATCTTTTTTGGGCGCTGCTCCTGTGAATTTGGTTGATAATTGTCAATTTAAAATGAAAAATAGTGCTTTCCTGAGTATTGTAGGTCCACAATATTCTTTAGCTGCTGTATAACTCCCATAATTCCAGAATACCACTCCCCGGAACGTCTGTCCCCCGGCCATCGCCGTCTGTCGCACAATCACCTGTTTGGAGGCAGTCTGATGGAAATGACCGCTCATTTGAACGGGTATGTTTTATGATTTTATTATTTCAAAGCGTACAATAGTAGTTCTGATTATGATCGCCACAAAGAATGGGTCTAAACTAAACAACACAATACTTTGGTACTGTACACAAAACAGTAAATGAACAAAGTACGTTAGGGCAGTGCCTGCAGCCATCCAATACAAACTTTGAAGAAAATAGAAAACTGTTTGAAGAGGTAAAATTGAGGCAAAATGTACACACTGATAGCACATGATAGCTACGTGCACAAAGCAAAAGAAAATGCCTATGGGTAGGGTGTGTTCTTCATTTTTTCTTCCGGCCATCCATCGAATTCGAGTCATCCATCCGTCTTGAGAGCTCATCGAAACACTCTTCTCCTTTTTATGTGATTTCATAATATTTTCACTTGATATTCTCCAGATAACTCCCTTCATTTCAAGCCCAAACTGACCCTTGTAGCCTTTTTTAAAAGTTATAATCGTTCAAAGTTTGGTGAAGTGTTTCTTGGTCTTTTTGGTAATGTCGATAGATATTGATATTGTCAACTTCACTTTTGTTCGTTTCCCTTCTCATAGTCATCTGTTTGGCCGATTAACCGGTCGGACCACCAAGCGCACCCAGAGAACGCATCAAGTTTCTTGGTTTCGTTGATTCGTTGTGGTTCGGTTGATTTCGATCGAGGTTGTGGATGGACATTTTGCAACCACCTGCGACATTCCAGATGCTTCCAGATGCTTTGTAGTTTCTTCTTGCTAGAACGGAAAGTTGTGTCCTAGCAGTATTGGTTCGAAGATTCGGTTGCAAAACAAGAGCTTTCAAAGCTAGATTGCAAAACGTCCTTGGTTGCAAAATATACTTTTCAACTTGCCCAATGTATGTTTCAAAGGTCTCCGCGTTCTTTTGAAAAAATATAATCTTTGTACAAGTCCTTACCAAAAAGTACACCCCCCTTGTCTCGATGGCTGGTCATCGTCATTTGTTTTCTCATTTGCCCCCCGCTTTCGGCCGTTCGTTCAATGTCTGCGTCTCTTGCCAATTGTGCACTCTCTCGTGGGCATGTCAACGACAAGACAAGGATTTCGGTGCGCAATGCACGTGAATCATCGACCTCCCCACCGCTAAGACCCCTTTCTGTTTGAAGAGAAAAGTGACGGTGGTCACGTGGCGTCACATTGTGCAGACGGGAATCGGAATCGTTGTCATAATGCACGTGTTATTACCACGCGAAACTGGATCAGATCAGAAGGACAGAAGATCAAACACTAGGAAAATAAAAGTGAATGGAACTATGACGTCATCGAAGGGTAAGGTTGCGAAATATCTCTTAGAGACGATGCAGATATCAATATGAACATTTTCCAACCAAGCGTGTAGGTATTGAAAAGGTAGTTACAGGTGATTTCAAGCGTCAAAAATGTACTTGGAGTGGTTGCGTTACAAAATGACTTTTTTTGACGTTTTGCAACTGAAAGGAATGGTCTGACAAAACACTTTGCAACTGGATATAGACATTTTGAACCTAAGCGGCTAGACACTATGTAACTAGAAACTAGGAAAAAATAACACCTATAACGTTAGACAGTTGAAACCAAGACGCACGTTTTGCAACTGGTCATCCTCCTTTGGTTGCAAACCAACTGGTTTCAAAATGACCTGTTGCGAAATCGGTTGCGAAACGTCCAAATACGTCATTGCAGAAACGAATGGAAAAGAAAGGAGCCGCCTGGAAATTGCTCCCAGAGATAATTAACTTTTTCTCTTCTTTCTTCTCCGTCTGTCCACTGCCTTTCCCCCCCCCCTCCCTCAAAAAAGAGGGAAAAGGGAAAACTCCCCAAACTTTGTTTTATTTTATTCGCTGTGAAAGCCATCCTCCAAACTATGTATAGCTGGTGACGAAATCGAGAGCAGCGCCCAAAAAGTGTAGTTTGTACTCTAAGCAGCTCTAAATTCAACTATCTTTCATTAAAGAAATGTTCTGAATACTATTTAGACACTTTTTTACTTGCTACCACAAATTCCGTGTTCTATTGGTAGCTTTTTGCCTCCTAACTCAAATTCATTTGACATTTCTGTTCAACTTGCGCGTTTGTCCATGAAATACAAATTATCAGCAGCGGTGACCCGTCAACTCGTTCTACCGGAAAATCACATGAAGGCATAGAAATAGCCACGTAAATTAGAATTACAAGCAACTGATAAAGCTAGAATTGATAACAGTTTCCAACCGATCAAATGCCCAGAAATTTCACTCGAAAATTCAAACTTTTCCGGTTTTTCTAGCAATTTTCGAAAAATTGCGAAATCGAATAACTGCCCCTACGAGCCGAGAAGACGTGCCGCACTCTTCTCACGGCCCTCCGCGGCAGTCAGCAGCCGCGGGGGCATAGCTCAGTGGTAGAGCGCCCGCTTCGCATGCGGGAAGTCCGGGGTTCAAACCCCCGTGCCTCCAAACCACTTTTGCTTTTGTAGATCCTTCACCTCCCAGCTGATTTTTTCTTTCCAATCAAAACCGGTTCGAATCGTGATGTACCCGTGGTTTGGTTAATCGAATTATTCGCATTCTGATCTTTCATCCCACGCGCAGATGGCCGATGTGTGTATATAAAACTTTGTGTTCTTCACATGTCCTCTCATTTTCTTTTCATTTCCATTGGAATTCCGTCGGGCCAATCAATCTTCTTCTATCTTTTCCGACTTTTATAATATCTTTATCTATTTTTGGACGATAGACGGGCTATCAATAGCTTGACGAGAAAGGAGACCTTGAGTAGTTGACTGACTTTGATTGAATATTGTACAGTGACCTATGGTCTTAAAAGTCTTTTGAGGAAAATCTTGGCCAGTATCATCTTCTCTTGGAAGTTAGCGCTGAAAAGCAATGACTTTTTCCGTCCTCAACTTCCAAGAGCCACAGTAACTCTAGGAGTTATGGTAAAAAAAAGTGACCAACTACAAAATGACAGTAAAAAACATGAGGAACATTTTTGTAGTTGACCATATTTGTGTATGACCTCTCTCTAGACTACTGTAGCTCTTGGAAGTTAGTGCTTAATTTCAGTGTCAACCCCAACTTCCAAGAGTTACAGCATTCCAGCAGCGTGTCATAGAGGAAAATGATCAATTAGAAAAATGCAGTAAAAGGTGTCAATATTTCACAAAACGCACGTTCCATAGGGTTAACAAAGCAGATCATCAAGATCAGAAAGTGGAACTTGATCATTTCCCTCTTTTTTTCTTTTCACAAAGAGAGAAAAAGAGAGAGGAAGAAGGGTACACGGAGAGTTCAGTTTCGTTTGCAAAGACTGATAAGAAATCGGAAAGAGCCACGTGGAGAGCACGTGCCTCCTCGGGTGGAAAACTTTCAAAAATTGCGCCCCGGGGACCATTGCACTGCAGACCACTATTTCTCTGTTTCTCGCCCACTTTTCGTCGGTCTCACTTCCTCAGAGAGCTCGGCGAGCACTTTCGTCACAAGCACATCGCTGGCCAGGACCCCCTTTTCCCTTTTTCCTCAAGGAGGAGGGTCCCACACTACTATGCTGCGCATTTGTCACTTTCTCGCACCTTCTCGCAACACCTACGCCTTTTTCTTTTCATTTCCCGTCAATTCTAGTGTCAATGAGAAATTTGTACCCAAGGTATGATAAAAGTTTGCTTTATCAACTCTATTTTTCATGAAAAAAACGTTTTTGTCCCCGAAAATTGTTTTCCGGATTATGTTCTTTGTAAGTAAGTAACTTTTTCACTTGGCACGTAACTGGTTGAAAATTCAATTACACCCCCCGAGCTTATTCTCGGAAAATATGAATATAAAGTTGAATTGGTTAGGCGCCAGGTGGGTGTTTGTGAACTAATATTATATAGAGATCTGCTAGCCCAGGAACCGAGATAGAAAACTAGAAAACAAGGAAGTTTTTCTATTTCTTTTCCTTAAAGCAGAAGGATAATAACAGGTTTTTAGAGCGCAAGATAGATGTATGATGTATTTATGTTAATTTATTCATAGTCATAGGGGCGTAAATTTCATACCCATGTTGCACATTAGCCAAATTTCAAGTCTGTAGAACTAATTTGAGACAAGTGATGCTTTTTTCAACATTCTGTGAACATATTCATATTTATACCTTGGATATATACATACTTTTTCATTAAAAGTACAGTCTAACTTGTTATTCGTTCGTATTTTTTCGATCCTATCCCCTCTTCCCGTCTAGGGGTGTCTTAATGACCAGTGACATCATACACATTGTGTCTGTGTTATTACCCCCCTTTCTCCTTGTTCTCTCACTCTCTCCCACTCTCTCTCGCTCTTTCTCTTCGCCTCCAACACCTTCTAGAACTCTCTGCGGGCCCTCCCCCACCCGGGATAACCCCTATATAAACCCCCCTTTCATTTGCCTTACATTCATTCATATTTCTGTTATTATCGCACCGCGTAAAAATGAGCACGTCCGTTCCGCCACCGCAACGTAACCGTAGTGCAAGTCTTTTCGAAGGTAGCCAATTCGCTCCCTCCGTCCACTCGTCCACACTGTCCAAAATGCTCAAATCCGAACCGATACCGTGTCTGAGGTGTGGAAATGTCGGGTCTCCAACTGGGTATGTTTAAAGAATTGAAAAAATCCTTGGTGTTGGGCTTTTACGGCTTCAAAAATTGTTAATTTTTGAATGACTTGATCTAAACTTTAAAAACTAGGGTCTAGGCAATCTTGAGTAGCAATTTTTAAAGGAAAGTGTCTTATCAACACTTCCTAGTGACAACGAAGAAAGAAAAACCGGTATTTCCCCAAATGTTTCAAAAAAAAAGTCGCACGTGACCCCAACGTGATCGTTGATGAGAAACAAGGTCACCACGTGGTCACAATTATTCACGTTTTTCCACTCAATTTACTATTTTCAGATCCGTCCCAATGTCCCTGCACAAGGTCTCGTCAATCAATCGATCGGCAGGAACGAACCCCGCCAGTCGAGGAGGCGAATCCTCTTTGGAACTCGAGGCGATTGGTTAGTTTTTCGTTCACTCATAAAACGATTGTATAGTTTTCACATGTTCTACAGAAATTCGCGTAATTTCAAGCGTGGGCGCGAGTCAGTAGCATTTTTTTGAGCCGAGTTATGCTTTTTCAAAGTTGACAGATCAAGTTTTGGGCGCTGCTCTCGTGAATTAAGGGCTGCTTAGACTACAAACCACACGTTTTGAAACTGTTAGCAAGAATAGCGAACATTGCATTTTTACACCCTTATTTCGGTTTCTGTGCCTTCTAAAAGGTCAAAAAGCTTCTGCACTCTATCTTCTGACCACTGAAACACACCCCATTACACCACTCGGGTACACTAGAGTGATGCAAAAGTTTGACAATTTCGCAATACTTTTTCGAGGGACACGGAAGTGGAAAAGCGCAAAACAAGGCATAAAAAAGACGAAGCAACACATTTAAAATGCAAACCGACAATATTTATTTCTTTCCAGCCGCCGTCCACGAGCTCTCGTTCGCCGTCCAATCCATCAGCGTGTCGGAGATGTTGCCACGTACCCCTGACCTCATTTTCGTGAACGTGACGACCTTGGAAGCCCAGCCGTACTGTCTGGAACTGACCCTCAAAGGATGGAGAATCACCTCGCTCCGCTCCGATTGTATGGTTGGAGATTTTACCCGACTCGAGTTGTTCACCAAGTACTATGACAGTTTGTACATGTTGATGGATGACATCTCCCCCGGATACAGAGAGCGATTCAGCGAGAAATTGGTGCAGAGACTCAAGCTTATTGAGGTGAGCATTTGGAACTATTTTTGAAACGTTTTGTATTTCTTACAGGCCGGAGAAGAGGACCAAGTGGCTCCGTGCGGATCCCTCCAATCGCCGCCAATGTCGGTCACCTCGAAATCATCGGATTCCCACTACTCTTCGACGGACTCGCTTCCGATTGTGACCCCAGTCAGCACTCCGGCCGTCGATCCGGAATTCAAACCGAATTTCCAGTAAGAATTATATCCCTAAATTTATTGTGTTTTTATATCCATGCTTCTATGCTTTTTCCGCATTGCCCCCCACACCCCCATCATCCTTTTAACCGTCCGGGTTCAGGAATACTGTAGCACACCTACCGAAGACTTTGCTTATAAGTTAATTTGTATTTATCCGCATATACATATATATTTGTAAAATAGAGATAAAAGTGATTTTGTGATAACAGTGTCTTGAGACCTTCTTCATTCTGTCACCGTATTATTTCAAGGTCTCACATCTCACATTGTCAAAATTCAAAAATGAAGTAAGACTGCTTGAAAACGAATTCATTCGAATGTAAATCAACCGACAAGGCCGGAAAGCGACTGGAGACTGCTGAAACCCTCGGAGATGATATTGGAATTGATGCAGGCGGCCGTGCAAATGTCCGCTTTGTTCGTCAGAATGAAGTTGTAGGGTAGCAAAACGACGGCCGCGTACGGAATGAACAACCCGGCCAGACAGTAGGTGCTGGCCGTGTCGGAGAACGAAAAGAACGTCGTGCAGAAGTTCTGAAACCGCAAAGATTACACGAAGTACTAAAAAAGTCCTCTACAGATACTTACAGTAATGATTGTTAACCAAAAACGTCTTACGTTACTGCCCTTCACTAGTTTTACTAAAAACTACCGTAACCTACCGTAGCCGCAGTACTGTACGTCTTCGTATCCAAGTCTCCCGAGACGAACGCGTCAAGAACCGGATTACACCAGCACGTCACATTGCAGGCCGATTGAGCGCTGATTTCGGGAAGTATCTGGAAGAAAAAAGTGTTATTTCAAATTTTTTGAAGGACCACTTACCACGGCAAAAGCCACCAGGAAAATCAGAGTTTTCGACATTTTTTGTGGCTCTCAAAGTTTTTGGGGTGGTTTTTGTGGAGAATGTTGACAGTTGGTTTTGAGTTTTCAAGTTGGTTTTCAGCTTTTTATTGACAAAGAAAATTTGAATATGAATAGAATGTTATTGATGTTGGCGTCTGAGATCTTTTTTTTGGGTAAACTGTAGCTTGATCTTCAATTTTTCAATCTGGAAGTTAGAAACCCATTTCTGAAAGTAAATGAAATGTGAAAAAATTGAGAGAATACAAAAGTCGATGGAACCTTAAACCTAAAAAAATATTTATTTTTCATTTTTCATTCCCTTCTAAAATTCTCAACTCTAACCTTCCTTTCCTTGAAAAATTCATCCAGAACATCTTGTCAACTTGTTGTACACGCACTTGTTGAATATTGTCGACCCACACATTTGTTTGACAATCTCGACCGGCTCCTTCTCTAACATAAGCCTGACATAAACGGTAATTATGTGTATGTTTACTCAATAATTTTCACGTAAAGACGCGGCGGACTAGTTTCTTGAGAGGTTGTCCGAGATTCCGAGTTGAGGTAAACTAAACAAAAATCTTTTTTGTTTCTTGTGTTCCGAAATGCCTGGAGAAGCTCTTAATTGGACCCGAAAACAAGAAATTAACAAAAGCACCGCTCAAAAGTGTAGTCTGTAGTCTAAGCAGCCTTAAATTCATGAGAGCAGCGCCCAAACGTGTAGTCTGTTGTCTAAGCAGCCTTAAATTCACGAGAGCAGCGCCCAAACGTGTAGTCTGTTGTCTAAGCGGCCTTAAATTCACGAGAGCAGCGCCCAAACGTGTAGTCTGTTGTCTAAGCAGCCTTAAATTAACGAGAGCAGCGCCCAAACGTGTAGTCTGTAGTCTAAGCAGCCTTAAATTCATGAGAGCAGCGCTCAAAAGTGTAGTCTGTAGTCTAAGCAGCCTTAAATTCATGAGAGCAGCGCCCAAACGTGTAGTCTGTAGTCTAAGCAGCCTTAAATTCATGAGAGCAGCGCCCAAACGTGAAGTCTGTTGTCTAAGCAGCCCCTTATTTATGGAAAGTCATTAAAAGGACTTTCGAGTCGTGTTTTACAGTCCCGGAAGGCCTACTAGTCTTGAGAATGTTCCCTAGTAACTCACAAGTAGTAGTTGCAAAGCGCGGCGGATGAGCAATAGGTGGGAAGACAATCGTTTAGCCCACGTAGTGTCGGAGACAGACGGCTGTGCGGTTTTTGCGCGAACCTTAACGACCGGGGCAGGAACCGTTCGACGTAAAGTTGTGCGTAGAACGTAGCACAAGAATTCTCTTGAAAGCCGGTCTAAAAATAAATTTTAAAGCCACAATTCCCAATTTTAGAAGTCAGCTATAGTTATTCCCAAACTTGTAGGGGCTAAACAAACAAGAAATGAGACGAATAAAGTGTGACGTACGTGGAACACAGTCAGAAATGAGCCAAAGTCCACAAAGAAGGACCAAAGCACGGCCGGCTCATTGAGAACAACACGAGAGCCCCCAGTCATGCGCCGAATATCCGGCCGGTGTCAATTTACACAGATTTCTGGGGCTGGCATCCGCATCCCACTCATTTTTTTGTAGTTCTTACCTACTCAAATCCTTTATTTTCTTCGAACTGGACAACATTTCACTTTGCATGTGTCAATCAAAGAAGACAAGTGCATTTCCTTTTCCGGATAGCAAAAGTAGTGTATTGAAATTATTAGCAGCCTTTATTTTCGGATAATGCTTTATTATCCTAAAAAGTGCCCTGCCACGTCATTCTCCGGCCCCTTTTGCATGAAAATAGATGTCTAGACCCTAGACTCTAGACTCTGTTCCTCTAATTTAACTCAATTTCCGCTCTTCTCCGAGATTTCTCAAAAAAAGCTCAAATCCCTACACTTCTCACTCTTTCCCCAGGAAAAAGTATTTTCTTAGGCTTTCAAGAGGCTCTCCAGATTTTTTTGGATATCAAAAGCCAACTTTACGCTTTGGCTCGAGCCTAAACGTGTGATAAATGAGCAAATAAATATTGTAGCTCCACATAAAGTGTTCCCAATTTTCGAAGGCGCTCCGAGATGTTTGCCCTCTTACTGTGTTTACCCGAAAACTCTCTGAGTACTCACTTTCCTACGCCCACACATTTTTTGGCAGTTTTCGGGCGTTGGCAGCTAATGAATTTTAAGAAAAATGGTGCTGGAAGCTCCGAATGCGTGCTCATTGAGCCCATAGAGTATCATTCTGGAGATGCCATCCGGTTAAATGGGATGTCTCCTTTTCAATTTCCGCCCCCCCCTCTAAATCTCAAAAATCACTAGTGCACTTGATTTCTGACGTCCTTTCTTGTCCATTCAAGAGGTCCGCGAACCCACTATGAAAATCCCTTTTGTGCTCATTTTATTGGTGCTCCAATGTGCACTTCCCGACTATTTTTGTTTGCATTTCAAATTGAAACACCCCCTTTTTTTTTGAGCATGTCTGGAGCAATTTATTTTGCGAGTGATGTGTGTGCCGGAAGTTTGGTTCAGGTGGTCACTCAACTGGAATTCCAGACGATTTTTTTGACGTACCAAAGGTTTTTCGAGTATTTTGCACAGCTTGATGTCCCCAAAAAACGTTATCTTGCGATTCTTGAGCAATAACAACACATTACTAATCTTTTCTTTGCTCAACTTTTCCATCCAACTCTTTCTTGCTCTCCTCCTCCCCCTCGCCGCCCGAACCGAAGCATACCACACCCTTCGGATCATCTGTTTGACTTGCTTCACTCGGTTGAATTGCACACACATGTGCTCTTTTGCCCCCGCCGGAGCAAGTTTGAGCTCTTCCGCGCGGCACGGCTTATCCTTCCTCCTTTTTTTTGCTTCTGCGCGGCAAGTTTTGCAAAGGTTTTCGAAGAATTATTTGGTAAAACACTGTCATTTCAGTCTTCTGGATTTGATAATCTGATTAGGAAAGTATCTTTGATAGCTGCCTCGTTGTTGTGGTTCGTCAAAGTTCCTCGATTGTCCGGATAATTGTCTGGTCTCGAGATACATATATTCTAGGGCCTAGAAGCACTGGTTTTTGAGAAAATGCCTTTCTTTTCGGCCCTAGATTGAACACTTTCTCACGACTTGGCCCGACCAGTCACAACTATGCAATTTTCTAGGTGACTAACCACTTTTCCATCACTTTTTGTTCGAAAACAACATTAATTTTTTAAAGAACTTTAATTCCAATTAAAAACTTCTTCCCCACTTCCTTCTTCTTCGTGTTCGTTTTCTTCGATATGCAAATTAAAATTGAATATTCAATGTCTTGCTATTTTTCCAGAAAAGTCAAGTTTTCTGAAAACAAAGATGTCCGAGTGGAGCTGGCAAAATCGAGAAAAGGCGATTCACGAGAAGGTGATTGAGAAATGAAAAACATTGCCAATTTTGAGCACAAGAAAAATTCAATTTCCAACAATACTTTCAGGTATTTGACACTCTCTCCCGACCGCTTTCGCGTGCCAGCAAGGCGAATTCGAACGGAAATCAGTCGCGCGAAAGTCCATCGAGTTCACCGTGAGTTTCCAGAAGAATAAATAAAACATTTCGAAACACAAACGTATCCATGGTGACTCTTCGACACTTTCACACTTCCCCCACGCTCTTTTTGCCACTTTTTCCGTGAAAATGCACACATTTTGAGCAGTTTCTCTGAGAATACGTGACAAGTGAACAATTGCAAAATGCGAACATCTCGGCACGAGCGCGCTCTTGTCACTCGCCTCCAGTCGGCCTGAGGATGGACGGGGGCATAGCTCAGTGGTAGAGCGCCCGCTTCGCATGCGGGAAGTCCGGGGTTCAAACCCCCGTGCCTCCAAACCCCTTTTGCAAAGTTTGAATCGAAATAGAAAAGAAATGTATCGAAATAGTCTTGTATTTAAAGATAGCAAAGAAAACACGTTCTTTTTGGTGTTGTTGCGTCACAAAACATTATATTATGAGGCGCGGTGACTCCAAAAACAGCACGGCAAAATCTCATTAGTTGTCTTTTGTTCTCCTCAAAAAAAGTAGTGAAAGCATCGGCCCAAGACACCCCCTAATTTACAATTTTTGACCTGTTTCCCATCACATGTGTATACGTAATCCATGTCACCAAGACTTAAAAGGGTCAAAAATGAATGCTTCCCAAAAAAAGTACAGTAATCCTTTTGCTCGGGTTAAACCCCGCATGAAAAATGGGCAAAATCATTTCCAGGATTATGGGAAACTGAAAAATGCGAAATGGGACGGTTTTTGGCGTCTAGGCACGTTTTGTTTCACACATTTCCCGTGCCCTGGCGCACTTTTGGAGCATTGACCCTCTTTCGGTTAAAATTTTTCCAGGAAGCAGAAAAAAGGCATTAATCAAGGAAAAGAGCGTTGAGAAATGTTTCACCTTCTACCCCACATGGGAATTCAAGGGATTTGTGTTGGAGAACTAAACGGAAGAACATTTTTCTGTGCAAATTTATTTTTCACTTTAATCGAACTGGAAATGAGTTGATTGGGTCATTTGAGAAGTAGTTGCCATCTCGAAATACTCTGTGCTCTTCCTAATATCACAAGAAATATATGTACAAGACTAGAATCGCTCATCTCTCGTTTAGCTAACCATTTTTCTTCAAAACAAAAAACAAAATAATGAGCTCGTCATTTCTCATCTCATTTCCCTTATTTTCTTTTCCCTTTTCCGCCGAAAAATCTCATCAAATCCCATTACGTTTTCTTGCATTTCCTCTAGGATGACCGCAGGCCGCATCGCCTTGGAGCCGGCGGCCGACGGTCAGCCTAACCCATTCTCCAAAGAACTTTCTTGACGCGAAACTTCACATTCCAACTTCATGTCCCCCTTTGGAACCTTACCGAAAACTGGCACGAGCCGTACGTCCACGTGAAGTGTGAAATTGTGCCAGACACTGATCTCCCACTGTTTTCAAGCCTAGAGTAGTAGCTTCCCACAATCATTTGAAACGATTCTATATCTTTTGGTGCTGCCTTTCGTGGCTCGCAAAGAAACGGAAAGAGATCGTAGATCATGCGGTTTTTCAACTTTTAACCCAATTAGCCGTCCCAGTTATGTTCCCCCCACCCAGAAAAGAATGGCAAAATGAAAAGGAGTGACGTGGCAAGTGAATAACAATTTTTATTAGATTCTGCAAAAAATTGATGGTGTTTTCACCCGTTTTTAGCAACGCGAGGTTGTAGAGCCTGTAAAGATATTTAGGGTTGGTTGATACAATGATCAAGTGGCTCAGTGGTAATTTTTATTGGAATGATAATGGGTTACAATGAAGGTGGAAGGGATGTGGAACGGGTGATAGTGTGATGAATGATGAAGAATGCTTTGGAAGATGATAGTGAACTTAAATACTGTTTTGTGACATCGTTGATACCTTCGCCAGTTCAGCTAGGGTACGCTGCAAATGTGACAAACGTTCCCTAGAAAAAAACCGTTTTCGATCATTATAAATTTGTGCGTGTTTCCACGCGAATAACCGCCCATAAAAGGAACTTTTTCGTGCCCATTTCTTCCTTTCTCCCTCGAAAAATATTATCCATTCACACCTTTTGTCCAGTGTCTCCAGAAGCTTCTTATTCTTCTTCTTCTTCTTCGAACTTTTTTTTTGCCTTTCACTAGCCCTTGTTGTTCGTCCGCAAATAGTTGTTTTTTTCCCCCGGTTTTTTTTTGTGAAAAAAGCGAAAATGTATTCAGACTACTGTAACTTTTGAGCGAAAACACTTTTTTTGGACAAAAAGAAATGTTCGACACATTTTGGTGCATGGATACTTGGTGAGTTTTGGTCTAGAAATTTCCGAGGAGGAAATAGCATTTTTGATGATAAAAAGTGTGGGAAATAGTGTGAATAGAGTGCTAATTTTGTGTGTGTCCGAGAAAAATCGGAAAAAGTGTGTGTCACCAGTGCTTACGTCAAAAGGATAAAGAATAGATGTGGGCCATGCGGATGTACCAGATAAATATTCTAGATTCTATTCTGAAATCTCGCACCTCCAAATTTCTCGGTGTTTTCTCGGCCTCGTCCGATTAGCAATTTAATCTCACCCGATGGGCCCGAATAGCTGGTCATTCTGGCAATTCGGGCCATTTGAGGGTCGTTTTGGCCGTTTGGGCCGTTTCGATGAAATTGCTAATCGGACGAGCCACCGAGACACCAAGAAAAGGCCGAGAAAGAACGAGACACCGAGATTTCTCGTATCTTTGCGAGAAGAGTCGCTCTACTTGATACTCACTTCAAACTCCGTACCAACCCCCCTTTGTATCCATACATTTATGGACAAAACACTTTCTAAATTTAGCTAAAAATGACGAACATCGCATTTCATTTGAAATTCCCGAAAAAGCCATAAAACGCAGTGACACGCCACGCCTGCTTTCACGTTTTCTTCTCTGCAAAAAAGTGTAGTAGTATGTATATAATTCTCATTGATCACATCATTTTATCAATGTGACGTACTTCCTTCTCGGCCCCAATTCAATTTTTGCGCCGAGCACGTGTAACTCTTTTTTTGTTGTTGCAACATATCACAGATCGGATAGATTCAAACGGTTTTCGCGAAAAAAATGTGTCCATAGTTTATGCCTATATTTCTCGATAACCGAAAACGAACCGATTTTCGATCCGACCCGGACAATAATCTTTGTTTGAAAATTGGAAACACTTTGGCCCATAAACTGTTTAGTGCTCTATTCGTGCGCAGTCAAGCACGGAAAAATTTCCGCACATTTATCCGTGAGACCAAAAATTTGTCGACGGGGTCCAAAGTTTGGGCGCATAAAATATTCGCATCATACACTCATCGCCCCCATAATTTCTTGAATTTTTTAGGGTCAAATTTTGTGCTTGCGTGATAAGAATGTTTTATCCATGGAAAAAGTCCTATGAACTTCGGTGATCTGTGAATTTCTCGAGGATTACGGTAATCTTGTGGTCAAAAATTAGGCCACGACCTCAAAAACTAGGTCAAGGACTCTTAAACTTCTAGTTTGGATTCTATTTTGGACAGATAGTACATATATTCAGAAAACATTGTCCAGTGTGGCTTTCTGACATATTCTGGTCGGAGACAGAGTGTACTTTTTGTGTCATTTCCAAGCCACAAATAACATCTTTCGGACAATGGGTCATGTTTTCGCAGGAAGAGCAACAATGTGACTGAAAAAAAGTGGACGAACTTAGTTCCTGAAAACTTTTGTATTACCACTCAACCTTTTGCATTTCCAATGGAAATCCTTTCCATTTTCTTTATTTTTTGTTCTCACTTTTTTCCAGAAACCCCGTGTAAACATCCCGGGGGGACACGTGAACAGCAGAAAAACCGAGAAAAAAAGTATCGAATGTCTCTGCTGCTGGAAGCGTCTATCCGTCGGGTAATAATGAGAATAGTTAGTTAGCGGATGGACAATAACAGACCATGTGAGAAAACAATAACAAAGCGATGGCCTTTGGTGTGAAATTCCAGGCCGTCACCTAGTTTCCGAGCATGTTTCCTATACTCTTGTTACCAATCAACTTTCAGAAACTCTCTGGAAATGTCACACGCTCAGAGAGATCGAATATGTTTAGGCCAAAACAAATTCGATTGACCTTTGCACTTTTTTTGTAGCTTTTTCTGCCAGAATCTTCTTCCTTTTTAATCCGAAATATTATTATAGATCCTCTTGGGGCCTCACCCTGACCACTCTCTTTTCTCTAGAAAACGGGCGGAGCTTTCGGCCAGGGAAGCCCCGCCCACTTTTTGTGTCGGCCGCCGCGCCAAGCCAACGCGCATTAGCAAGAAGAGCCCGTGAAGTAGTAACGGATGTTCTAGAAGAGTTTTTTTTTTCATAATTTTGCTTATCAATTATACTTTTCAGTTTCAACATGTTCTCCGGTGGTCGCAAAGTGAAATGGAATCATTTCGGAAAGAAGTACGCGTTGAGATTCTCGGATTATGAGATGGAGTACGCTGACTTGTACGATGTAAGTACCCATAGATTTTGCATAGATTTCAACTATAAATTATTTTTTCAGGCGCTGCTCAAAAAAGTGCACGAGGTCCGTCCGGATTTCGAGGGTGACTTGGCGTTCATCGACCAGTACGGAAGACAGGTATCCCTATTTCGCTCTGAAATATCTCTAGTTTATCAATACTTTCTCCTCATTTTCTATTCATTGTTCATCCACAGTTTATCGATAGCTTATCCGAAACTTATATTCGTAACTAATAACTTATCTCTAATTTATCCACATGTTTTATCGATAGTTTATCTAAACATTTGCAGGTCATTGTGACCAGTGACAAGGACGTGCGCGAGGCGATCCAGCAGTCGAAGAACAAGCTGAAATTGCACACGACCCTCCGCGACGGACACGTCATCGCGGCGGCTGATATGGCCGACGCGGCGGCACGTGGAAGACCCGCCAGATCGCAGTCGGTCCCACCGGTTAGTCATGATATCATTGTATAATGCCCTCCTTCAAAATGTTCAAGTAGTTGAGGGTGGACAGAAAAAGCTCAAGTGATATTGTATTACAACAATTTTTTCTTCCACCACTCGGAACACTTGATTCCGAATGATCCCCACTAGATTAGTCGGGTTCAATTTGTTAGAGAAAACATGGAGAAAATGTCACTCACAGGCATTTGTAGCAGTGGGCACCAATTAGTCGGAGCGGTCCGAACAAAATGTGAAGGGAAAACATGAACACTGGCAGAAAGTTGTCTGAAAGTGAAAGGAACCGTGCGTTTGGCAAGTGCTACATTTTAGGACTTTGAAAAGTAGGTCACGGCCCTTAGGAACTAGGTCACATCCTTCTAGAGACTAGCTCACGGTCCCAGAAAGTAGCTTATGGTTCCTGGTTCCAAATACTAGGTCACACTTTTAGAAATTAGGTCACGTTCAAAAACTTCCAACATTTCCGCAATTCTTCGCCACTATCACACGACGCAGGTGATATTTTTCCACTTTCCCTTCCAAATTCTCTCGCATTCAATACTAGACACTTGGGCCGGTGTCGATTTTCGATTACATGAATGGGGGAACGTCATCAGTCTTGTGGACAAGTTTTTCGAATGAAAGAGTGAGTAAGAAACTAGGTCATGGATCCAAAAACCAGGTCATGGCCTCAAAAACTGGGTCTCGGTTTCAAAATCTAGGTCACTGGACCGAAGTTTAGGGCAATACCTTAGAAACGAGATATCTTCCGACATTTCTTGACATTTCCTCATAATGCACACCCGCTAAATCGCATCCAATCGCGCCTAAGATGTTGTGCATCCGCTTCCTGCTCAAGTTTATCCAAAGTTTATCCTCTTCTCAAAAAGCACGGACGGACGGACGGGCAATCTAATCTCCTGAAAGGAAGTGGTGCTTCTTGGTCTACCACCCTCCCGACAACCCAGAAATCAGATGTTTCATCTTTTGGGGGGCATCGGGAAAAATGCAAATCTCCGTGCGCGTATGTATATGTAAACATTTCTTTCTTGTTCGAAAATAGAAAGAGCAAGAAGATTGTGAGACTGGGGGCTTATAGGGTGTTATATATCATTTCCTTCCCGTTTTACACCCCCTCTCATACATACATACATACATACATACATTTTGTGGGTGTTGAAACATTTCCACGAGACATACCAGGAAGCTTTTTGGAACGCAAGCGCAATAAAAACATATGTTGAGAAATGAAACGCATTCAGGTGGAAGTGGGGAACGCGCAAAAATGAAGGATCTATAGAATGACGCACTATTTTTCTGAAGAAAAAGAAAAAGTATAACATGTGGTCGAAGGGTGTTTCGGAGACAAACAAATAAACAAAGAAAGAAAGCGACGTGGTTTTCTTTGTGAATTTTTGAACAGTTTGTTCTGGTCAAAGTTGACTACCTAACCTTTGTTAGACCAATTTGCTAGTAAGTAAGTAAATAAGGGACCGTGGCTTACTTTTTGAGGCCGTGATTGAATCTTCGATGTATTTTTTCATTCTTCGAAATTCTCAGAATGTCCTGGCATTGTGAAAATATGTTCGAAGGAATAATATTTACCAGCGAAAATATGAAATCCAAGTGCGTGGGAAGAACTCACTCTTTTTAGGATTGGGACAATATTTCATGTTTTCACTATAAAGGCGATTAATTTGACATTTGAAAACAACAATTCATGTAGAAGAAAGGGTTTTCTTCGGAATTTGAAAGTTTATAGATGAAAAACTGATCCAACAACATCAATGCAATTTTAGGAGCGCTCCTACAACACCTACCCACAACGGTCGCCATCTTCGATGGAAAGTGCTCCGGAAACGTACCGTCACCATCAGATCTCGCGTGCAATGTCGCCGCCACCCATGTCCACCACCACCGCAACCACTCATTCTCCGCCGTTGAGACAAATTGGAGAAACCGTCAAAACGACCTATTCGCGCAGTGGAAGCTACGGAGGACTGGTCAGTCGTTTTTTGAATTGGTTGGATGATGTGTCGTTTTTTTTTTTGGATTCTCCAGATGATTTCCGTTGTTTTGTGTGTAAACGGGGGTGTGTATCTTCTTTTTTGAGCCCGGTAATGCTTTTCCAAAGTTGAGAAAACTTTGTGAGCGGCTTTCGCTACTTACACTACAAACTACACTTTTTGCGCGCTGCTCTCGTGAATTTAGGGTTGCTTAGACTACAAACTACACTTTTTGGGCGCTGCTCTCGCGAATAATTTTATTTCCAATCTCTATGCTTGTTTTCTTGTGGGATTTAAAATTATTCTGCTATGATTCGGATAATATCTGATTTTTGAGATTTTCAGTAAGCTACTAGAAAATTCTGACGAATCCAGTCAAAAATTTCGGAGATAAATTAATTGAACCGTGTAGAATAACCAATGCGATTAGATTTTCGACCAAACATTATTTTTTGTACAAAAATTGTTCTAATGGGCTCTTGAGTGATCTAAAGTGTTTTCCGGAGCACGGCTTCCGGATTCTCGACTAATTCTTGATTCAGACGAATGTATACTAGGCGGTTGATTTATTTATATCATAAATAAATCATTTTGAGCAGGATGTGCACTTAAAGCTCATTTGAAAAGAAGTTTTCGCATTTTTAGGGATCCTAAAATGTCAATATCAATTCAATTCCCGAGAGCAGCACCCAAGAAGTGTAGTTTGTAGTCTAAGCATCCCCAGAATTCACTTTTGTTTTGTCAACATTGAAAATGTATAACTTTGTTCACAAAAAGCTACAGGCATTAGTTTTGGATTAAGATAATCAAAATAATCTGAAGAATATAATAAAAATATTATGAAGTATTAATAGAACATTTTCAGTACCCTGGAGGAGGAAGATACCCGTATGGTGGATACTCAAACAGCATTCTTTATGGAATGCCGCCACACAATGGAATGCTTTGGAGGTGAGACACACTTTTTGACTGCTCATGCGTGCTCTCTCGATCCCGAAAAATCAAAACATATTTTGTTCAGATTCCTGGCGAACCCGTTCCCGTTCGGAAATCAGTCCCGTTCGTTCATCGGACCCAACAAGTACCATCACTTCGGCGGATACAACCACATGTACTCTTCCGGATTCGGCGGACCAGTTTGGTGAATGACAATATTCTCTCTTCTCATATCCTTCTGAAAATCAGTTATGTTTTGTGTGTAAAATTACTTTGCTTTTTTCTTGCTGTAACTGTATCTAATTCGTCCATGTAACTGCTTTGTGATGTGTCTGTGTGTACCTAAAAATACTTCTTTTCCTGGAATAAAGTTTTAAAAATAAACACAATCTTGCAAGTGAATCTTTATTAATTTCATTATGTTTTTCAATATCCTGGCGCAACACGAGGTGGTGGGCAGTGATCGCAAGATCCGGATCCTCCGGAAGATCCATCTTGTCCCGGCCCTCCGTTCTGTCCCGCTGCTCCCGGCTGTCCTGGCTGTCCATCGTCTCCTGGCGGTCCTTGAGGTCCAGCCAGACCAGCAGATCCAGATCCCGGACGACCGTCTGGTCCAGCCGGTCCAACAGGTCCTGGCAGTCCTGGTGCTCCAACGGTTCCCGGTCCTGCGATGACTTGTCCCGCAGCTCCCGGCTTTCCTGGTTGTCCTGGAGTTCCGTCGTTTCCTGGCTGTCCGGCTGGTCCTGGTGGTCCTGGTGGTCCGGTAATCGAGGTAGTGTCGGCTTGTCCCGGCTGTCCGTTCTGTCCCGGAGCTCCACGTGGTCCTGGTGGTCCGGGTGGTCCTTGCCTGGCCGGTGCACAAGTCTGGCAATCATTTGCAGGAGTCGGAGCGTATCCTCCGGCCGCGTCTCTTCCCGGTTGTCCCGGCGCTCCGGCCTCTCCGTCTCTTCCCGGCTGACCATCGGATCCTGGGAATCCTGGCGGTCCTGGTGGTCCGAAGATGCAAATGGAAGAGGATACTTGAGGCTGTGGCTGATAAACTGGAGCCGCCGGGCGGTATACTGGAGCCGGCTGCTGGACGAATGGTCTCTGGGCGTAACCACCTCCGTATCCACCGTGTCCGCCGCCATAACCTCCTCCGACTGGTCCAGTCACGTACTGTCTCTTCACTCTGCTGTTCTTTCCGCTGATCATCTCGACCTGAAGGTTTTTTCATTATTTAGCAAATTATTTTTCAGTATTATTGTCGCTTACCTTGTGAAGTTCATCCCAAAGATCGTGAGATCGGAGAGCGCAGAATTGGAGTTCATGCTCGAGAGCCGACTGGACGGTCTGGGCATGACTGAACAAAATCGGGAGCATGAGGATCGAGGTGCCGATGGCGAAGGCGGTGATGGCGACGGAGGCGAGGGCCAGACCGCGCAACTTGCTGATCTCGTTCTCTTTTCGGCAATACTCCTGTTTCTCGTCCATCCTCTGAAAAAAAGGAGTGGTCAGATAAGAAAATGTTGGGAAAACTGTCCAAAGAAGACGTGAGTACCGTTTATATACGGTCTCCCAATCGTTCCAAGGACGTCTGACCCTCTTCCGATTCTCTTCTCTTTTTCGTTTCTTCGCCAAACAACCGGTCGGTCAGCTAACCGTTTTCTGTCCGCAAAAACAGTTTGCGAGCGAATTTGGGAATCTGTCCTTGAAACTGTTTTTGATTTTGGTTCTTCTTCTTCTTCTTCCTGTTTCGGAATTCAGAAACCAACTACACAACCAAACCGCTGGACCACACTTTTTGACCACCAGAAATATTCCGATCGGACCTATACTTTTTGCATTCCGCATTTCGCGAATGAAATTGAATAAGAATCAAAATTGCAAAAATCTTTATTATAGGTACATAGGTGTCTAGTTCTTTCTGGTCAAGTCTGGGATTCCGGCGACGGCGGAGTGCTCGATTCCGCACTCGTTGACGCCACGGAGGATGCGGAAGTACCCGTTCTCTCCCCAGTTGACGTTCCACGAGTTGGCGACCAGCCAGTACGGGGTTCCGTTCTCGGATCCCCATCCGAGGATCTTCACGGCGTGTCCTCCGAGCGATGCTCCGGCCGTGTGCACGTAGATTCCCGTCTTGTACTGGTAGAAGTCCTCGTAGACTGTGAACGCCACCTCGATCGGTCCATTCGTCAAGATCTCCGTTTGCAGTTGCTCGACCTTCTTTCCTACTGCGTATGCGGTCGATCCTGAAAAAAAGAAGGGATTTTGTTTTCGGGAACTTCCAGACAAAAGAGATTTTCCCGAGAAAATCACAAAAACTTCCCTAGATCAGAAGTTTTTCAGGTTTCCTTCAAACTTCCGAGAAATGTCACGAGAAAACTGACCAAAGTGTTTGTCCTGAAGATAGGCGGTCGGATAGTTGTTCTTGGAAGTGCACTGATCGACGCACTGCGGAGTCGGGTACTCGTCATCCGGGCACGCCGGCCACGTCACGTTTCCGACGGTCTCGCCGCACGGGGCGATCGAGTAGGGCTTGCATCCGAACTGTGATTCGTAGGATCCTCCGGTCACGAGACCGTGCTTCACCCACCACTTCCACGCTTGGATCGGGTATCCTCCTTGGCATCTGAAGACACAAAAAACAGTGAAAAATGTTTTTAAAGACTGGTTTTTAGGCTGGTCTAATTTAGGGCTTCGAAGAATTGTTGTCGTCTTTGAAAATACTATTCAGGAGCAAGGATATAACTTAAGAATGAGTGGTTTTGCAGTAAAATGATCAATTATAAAGTTGTTCAGCATAACATTTGCAACAACTCTTCAGTTGACCACTTTTTGAAATAAACTTTGAATCTCGAGATATAGGTGTCCAAATATATGAGGGGTTTTTAGAGTAAGTTGTTCAAATTGTCCGAAAGATTGCTGATGAATAGAGCACATTCTTTATCAGCCGATTTGGAAAGTTTGCATCAGCCGCCAAATTTTAGACAAGATAAAATTGAAATGTCTTATCAGTTGCTAACTTTCACTATAATCTTATTAACTCCCCTAGACACTGAAAATGCGTACCCAATTGATGTGAAAGAGCCTAATAATAGTAAGACTCTAAATTCACAAAAAACCACCAACCCATTTCCGCAGGAAAGGAGTCCGACGCAGCAGGAGAGAAGGTCTTCGGAGGAGAGAAGCGTGTTCACGGCTCCGTTCGAATGAATGCACGTTCTGTCGGAGATGGCCTCGGCGGCGGCGAACGCCCAACACGATCCACAGTCCGACTGGTCTCTGAAAATGTCATTTTGAGGATGATTCTCGAATATTCGAAAAGTTTCTGCATATTTTCACTTGTGGAATCGCACTCACCTGATATTATCAATGGAGACACAGCTGGCCCACTTTTGTCTCGCATCAAAAGTGTCCGGGATTGAGTCCAAGACTTGTGTGGCGACAATATCCTCGTCCTTGTGCGGCACCAAGTACTGCACATCCATCAGTTTCTTCTGGATCTTCTCCTTCGGGATCTCCTGATGTCCGGCGGTCCACAGTTTTTGGGCCGAATTCACATAATCGATGAGGGACTGGCCCGAAAGTTGCGGAGCTCCGCGTTGAGCCGGGAGCACGAGGGCCGAGGCTGAAATGGTCAATGCGAAAAGAGCGACGAGCTTCCACATTTTTGGAAAAATGGAGTGAAAGTGCTCTTTGCGAGGGGCTAATACCCTTAAGTACTCAATTTCTTATCATGGATGGTACCGAGTCTCCCGGAATTAGACGGATGACGTAAAGTTCATGTTAATCTTGTGATTAATTGATCATTGATGCAATTTTAGGGGAGGCAGTTTGGAAGCGAAGTTTTGAGGGAAAATGAATGTTGTCTCCGAATAAAATGAACAATTGCATCACATGTCAAGAAAAACCAAAAGTTCAGCACCAACGCCTTTCCTTATCTCTGGAAAAATGTTTGATCATTGGGTAATTTTCAAAAATCATGACTCGGCTCAAAAAAATGGTACAGCTTGCGATTGAAATTATGGAAAGCATGTAAAAATGTTGGCTCTGTTCGGAAATCGGAGGCTCAAATTTACTATTAGACTGAAGAAAGAAAGATGCGCCGTAAATACGATTGAATTTAGGAAAACAGACTGGGTAGGAAGAAAAAAAACGGACGGTCTAGGCAAAGATGGTCCTCAGAATGGACCGAGAGAAAAGACCGAAACGCACGCCAAACTACGAACACGTCAGTCAACCTCTGTGACACGTATGACATTCTTTAATGGTCCCTGACCCTGACATCCACAAACGGGTGCGTTGTGGCGGTCTTTCCGCTCTTGACGGATCCTCCATTGCTCCGTGCGGAAAGACAGTCGGAAATGTTACCTATCCGGCATGCACCAATACGAGTTTGACGACTGCGAGCCGTAAGAAAAAGCGCAGAAATGGATATTGACAAGGATCGACATTTTGGTGAGTGTGAACACTTTGAACTTCTACACAGACTTTCAAGAGCCACAGTAATCCAGAAAGAGGTCGTGTAACAAACCGGTCAACTACAAAAATATACTACTAGACCTCATAACTATATTGTAAACAAATTTGAATCAAATTTTCAACCAGGTACGTCTGTGGATCAAATCGCGAACAGTCAAATTCAAATCCAAAGCGACGTGATGCTAAACGGACCAATCGACGCCGTCTTCGAGGTTTACGACGATTTTTTGCAATGTACAACTGGAATATACGTACATTTGACTGGCAAAAAGCAGGGACATTTATCAGTTAGGGTCCTCGGATGGGGGTCCTACGAAGGAGTGCCCTATTGGTTGCTCGCCAACTCTTGAGGACGGCAGTGGGGTGAAAATGGTAGGACTTTTTCTGAATATTGTAACATGTTATCCAATTCTATTTTCAGGTGCATTCCGTGTCCTAAAAACAGTTTCAAAAAGTTGAGTCAACAACACAACCTGATCTCAAAAGTCTGGCGATTTCGATTTCGATTTCGATTTTCCTCCAAAATTCCCGTTCCTTCCCCTTGTTTTTCCTCGATTTGACATGGATTGCGTGGGCGGGAATACGTAACGCCAACGCAACAAGAATCGTACCGTTTAGCCTTTTGTTTCTTTAATTCGGACTAACTTTTCGGGGCCTCGGCCCGTCGGACCAGATGGAATTCTTCGATCGGACCCAAACTTTGCAGGCTTCTTGGACTTGGGTCCAAGTTTCAGACCTCCCCCCAAAGATCATCTTTTTCGAATTATTGCAAAGCCTAGATTGCGGACTATCGAAGCCTGGAGTGAAAAGACCCCGGATCCATGAATTGTATTGTGTTGCGTCGTCGGTTGGCAGAATGCGTAACGCAAATGTCAACGCAACGAGATCATCATCCACATCTTCATTGACAGCGACGTTTCGCTTCGCTTCGAGACAGTTTTTTCGATCTTTCTCTCTCTCTCCCCCTGTCCCTCTTTTTTCGTTTTTCCTCCTGATCTTGGAGGCCCCGCCCTTGCCGCCAGCTAGCTAGCAGAAAGCCAAAAGCCACCAGAAGAAGAAGAAGGAGAGGAAGAAGAAGAAGAAGAAGAAGAAGAAGCGGGGGGGGGGGACGGCTTTTGACCATGTTGATCATACACAACAACTAATACTGTCTGTCTCTGTGTTTGTCTCACTCTTCTTCTTCTTCTTTCTCTTCTTCTTTTACTCCATATTCACCATGTTTTGTCCTCATCTGCGCTTTTCTCAACTTTTATTTTACATTTATTGATACATTTATTGAAGTTTGTACGGTTATCCAATTTTTTATTTGATTTTCGCTAAAACGTTCGGCTTCAAACAAATGTCCCGTTCCTCAAATGCTGCAACAGTGCTTGAAAAAAATGCATAAACTGTTTCAATGAAATTTAGGAATGAAGTCACCGGGAGCGGTGATCTCCCTCTACATTCGTCAATTTTTTCGGTGGACTGGTGTTCAGGTGTATCGGTAAGCACACCCTTTTCACTTTTTTTTCAAATGGAAAAGTGTAAACCGATGACGAATATGCAAATTTTTTACGATTTCCGATGTTATCCCCGACCCACTTTTTCTTCGTCATTTTTGCCACAAATAAGAAAGTTTGAAATGAAAACCAACAAGAACACTGAAAAAGGGACAGGGAAGATTACTGTAGCTTTTTTCAATTTTCAGGCACCCAGCACCATTTTTCTGGATCCCGGTGACACTCTCATTTCTGGCAATTCTTGGGCTCTTGCGATTTTATGAAGAAAATCGGATATGGTATTTGTACAGGTATATTGTGCAATTCTGAATAGTTGAAAAATCGTCTTTCAGTCCCGAAAAAGCAGATTCACATTTCGAGCATGCAGTTGCCAATGAGTTTTTCAACGATCGAGGAGGCAAGTTTTGGTTGGAAGTGAGTTTTTTCTCATTATTTTTATTGAGTTGTCAAAAATTCCCGACTATTGATTTCCTCGTCTAGAATGTGTCACTATGATTCACTAGAAATGAATTTGCTTAAATTCATCCTAATTGTTTCCAAATGTTTCAAAAATGCACAAAAAATCAGCAATGCACCCGATGATAATTCTCGTCATTCCTCATGTCCATATATCATAAATTGTTCCTCGGAATTGCATCAATACCTGATTTCCCTCCCCCCCACGAATCCTTTTCCACACAATTCGTGGCGTCGTTTAAGCAGATAAGCTGGTTTTTTGGTGGCGGTGACGATTGGATAAGAATTGCGACGGCACTGGATTTATCATCGCGTAATACCTGCGGGAGGGGATGAAAGATAAAAGATTCGCTATTGTCTGTGTCCGAAATTAATTTGGCCGGAGACAATGAGGAACTATTTTGTAAAGGAAGAGAAAGTAACCGTGTAATCATTTTTCCTTCAACTACTATGAGTGTTACACATTCTCCAGATGATTTCCGTTATTTTAAGCGCTAGCGGGAATCTGTTGCGTTTTTTTTTAACAAAGTTATGCATTTTCAAAGCTGGCAATACTTTTGGGGCTGCTAAGACTACAAACTACACTTTCTGGACGCTGCTCTCGTGAATTTAGGGGCTGCTTAGACTACGAACTAGAAGTGTTGGGCGCTGCTCTCGTGAAAAAGGGAAGAATGCGTTCCTCCTGTTGTTTTTCGTCCGTTCCGTCTCGATTCGTTTCGTTGATCCGCCAGTACACATTTTCTCTCATTTTTTTTCGGTTATCCGCCGTTCCAACTAAACGAACGGCATCTGATTGGACGAATTCAGCGAAGCATCAATACTAACTGGTCTCTTATGACTTTTTTGCGCCGAAAACTGGTGAAAAGTGAGAAACCGTTGACGATCTGATGAAAACGAAAATTAGTGGGCGAATGTCCGCTAAAAATCTTCAGCTAATATTATACACCCACAAATCACACAAACAAATTTCCTTATCGATATTGTATCACTCTTGAACGCACACTTTTTGGTCAGTATTGCGTGTTGTAGACATTGTCGGAGATGGCGCGTAACATTAGAATCGCCGAAAAAAAAAAACTGGATAAAATCCCGCCGGCCGAGAGAATAGTCTCTTTCTTGCGCAATTTCAACCCGCGTCGCCGCCGATTTCATTTCCACTGGAATTGTTTGGGAAGAGAGAGAGAGAGAGAGAGAAGAAGAGAAAAAGGATACAGAAAATTCTTGGATTAGGGACGTAATAGTACAAATTACTTCATTAGAGGGCATCAGTGGTATGCCGTGATGCCGTCGAATGCGGCCCACGCTGCTCGTCTTCTCCTGTGGATTCCCGGCTACAACTCGTTCTAGTCTACCAAGTTAGATGTACTCGTTGACGCCCTCGATGATTGTGCCATTTTTGATGCAAACCGGATGATCTATGGCAAACGTGTATCGCAACACTTTCGTTTTGTTAGTATTGATTCGCCAAAGCTGTATTTTTGAAATTTTGCGCGATTACGCGATTTTCCACCGTAACAACGTAACACACATCATTTTTTTCACTTTTTTCCATCCAGAAAGTGAAGAAAAGGCTCTTCAAAAGTCAATGACCACCTTCTCCTTCTCCTTCTCCCTCTTCTCCCTAATCTCCCTCTTCCGATCTTCACTCTCTCTTCTGCCATACCGTTCCGACCGGTTGCGACCGATTTGGAGGAGAGGCAAAAGCCAACGAAACGTTGGAACACTTTCGGGGGGGATTTTTCATAGAGTTTCACAATATTATAGTGGAAACTGGTCAGAATGACACCACATCTTGACAAAAGGTAACTTTATAATTGTTTATTAGAGCTCAAAACGTTGAAGTGTCTGACACGAAGAAAAACACATTTCAGGTGACAATAACAGCAAAAGACATGAACAACTTGTTGCGTCGGGATTATTTGGACGGTGTGGACTCGCTCACCGAATTCCTACAATACAATTTCACTGTGAATTGTGACGGAGTCAAGGACGGAAAGGACGAGTGCTCTTTTTCGGATTTGTGCTCGGGACAGTGCAATGATAATCAGGTACTTTTATGGTTTCTGTAGTTTTCCTCTGGTAACTCGACTTTGATATAATTTAAAAAAAAGAGCAGAAATTATTTCGAGCAAAACCGATAAGTTCTAGACATACAATATCAGTGCATTTCAGGTGATACCCCTGTTCAACTTGATCTACCGTAACGCTTCCTCGCGTCTTCATCCGAATTTCCGTCTGACCTACCCCACAATGCACCTTTACAACGATGAGTATTATGTTGGTGAACACTTTGCCGGCGTCAAAATCGATCCAAAGACTAATGTGTGAGTTTTAAAGCTGTTTTGAAATCCAAAAAACTGGTTGCGAAACCGTCTCAAGTCGCTTGTAGCAATTTTATTGAGTTTTGAGATTTAGAGAGTAAATTTGGCAATTTAGAGAAACATATGAGCTGAATAAATTCACAACCAACAAAAACAGTGTATTGCAAAATGTCTTCAGAATCTCGCGTGTCAAAGTGATAGTGCTCTACTTCCGTACGGACCGTCAAACTCCTCAAATCTCGCGAGTCATCGACCGCTGGGAACAGAGTCTGTTCGATTACGTGGAACATTTCGACCACCCGACCCTCAACATGACCCTAAACTCGGACGCGATGATCGCCCGCGAGGTCCGAACCAACGGACTCACCTGCATTCCCTATTTCTCGTTCTCTGTGATGTTCGTCGTACTTTTCATCATGGTCACCAACAAAAGAGAGCATTTCGTGTTCTCCCACTCGGTCGTCATGAGTATTCTCGGAATCGCGGGACCGTTGATGGCCGTTGGGACCACGTTCGGATTCCTTTTTCTGTTCGGACTTCCCTTCAACTCCATCACTCTCGTCATGCCTTTTCTGATCATTGGCGTTGGATGTGATGATGTTTTCATTATAATTCATGCGATGAGGAAGACGGACAAGTCGGAAAGCCTCGAGGATCAGATCGCGGAGACGATGGAAGAAGCGGGACCGTCGATTACCGTAACCTCGGCCACCAATATTCTCTCGTTCGGCATCGGAATCGCCACTCCCACGCCCGCCATTTCCCTATTTTGCCTGTACACTTGCGTGGCCGTCGCCGTCGATTTCATCTATCAATTGACGTTCTTCGTAGCGGTTTTGGTGTTCGAGGAGAAGAGATTGGAGAAAATGAGAAGGGATTCGGAGAAACCGCCGATTGAGGAAGCCCCACAGCAGAAAAAGCAGGTGCTTTGTGAGTTTTGTACAATCTTTCGATTATTTTCAATACTTTTCCTTTTTCAAACAAATTTTTCAGCCGTTCAAGCGTCGCTCCGTTCCGCCAAAGCCCTGGAGCAGCCACTTCCAGTCAACCCGGACGGAATCGTCAGCAAATATTGTCGTTTTCTGAAGGACTGGCGCACTCGTCTCGCCCTTTTGCTGATCCTCGTCGCCTATTGGACGGCTTCGTATCACGGGTGCAAAACGATGGAGATCAAAATGGACACTACGAATCTGATAATGAGCGACTCACCACTGAACAACATCGCGTGGATCTATGAGAGATTTCTATGGAGCGAGGGACAATTGGTACTGGTTTTTGTGAACAATCCCCCGGATTTATCGATCGAGGAGAACCAGCATGAGGTGCTGGAGCTGGTCAATCGCTTCGAGACCCTTCCCTATTCGATGGGCAAGAATTCCACGTCGATCTGGCTCCGCTCATTCCTTTATCAGAGTTCACTGTACCACAACAAACTGGGCTTCTTCAATTTGCTCGACGAATGGCTCGGAGACTCGGAAAACGGGGGAGCCCGATGGAATGACATGTTGAGGTTGGAGAGGGAAAACGTAGGAAACGGAAGTATTCGGGGAATCGACAAATTTATGTTCGCGACCGCGTGTGCGATGGGCGACGATGCGAACTGGTCGACGAGGGAGAAGTTGCAGAAGCAGTGGAGGAAGGTGGCGCACGAGTACGAACACTTCAATGTCACTGTTTTCCAGGTACGCGGCGGTTTGTTATTGTATGGAAATGCATAAATTTTAACACTTTCAGAGCTATTCGTTCTACATTGACCAGTTGGACTCGATCGGCGGGACCACTGCCTCTACCGTAATCTGGGCGGCCATCACAATGGACTTGGCGTGTCTCCTGATGATTCCCGGCATCAACTCCATCCTAACTTCCACAATTGCGATGATGTCCATCAACGTGGGCGTCTTCGGACTTTTATCGGTGTGGCACGTGAACCTGGACCCGATCACCATGTGCACCACCCTCATGTCCATCGGATTTTCCGTCGACTTCACCGCCCACATCTCCTACCACTACTACCGTAATCCGACGAGCTGGACCACCGACGAACGGCTCGCCGACGCGTTGAAATCGATCGGATGGCCGATGATCCAGGCGGCCAGCTCCACACTACTCTGCATGGCTCCGTTAGTACTCAACACGAGTTATATGGTCAGTGTGTTCGTGAAGACCATATTCTTGGTTACTGTACTCGGCATTCTACATGGCATCATCTTTTTGCCGGCTCTCTTGCTCACGGTTAGTCGTTTTTTTGTGAGAATGCAAAAATTTAATATTTTCAGTCCGGTGACCTATCTCGTCTATTCGCTGGAAACAAGAAGATCGATCCGGCAGATGATGAAAAGAAACCTGAAAAAGAGAAGGAAATTTCTGGAGAAATTTCTCAAGCCTCCAGTTTTTCAAGCAATAATAGTCAGACTGCTCTAGTCAAAGAAGGTAACCGTTTTCAATTTTTCAATTTTTCAAATAAGGCTTTTTTTGCAGGTACCGAACTGAAATCATTGCCACAACAACAACGAGGATCCGGTTGATTTTTATTCAAGCATGTCCAACAATAATTCTAATCTTTTTCTGTTTCTCCCCTCTCCCTCCCCAATCCATCTGAATTCCACGGGTACCACATTTCCTCCGACTTCCATTGACTTTTCTTTTTTTGAATTGATTTAAAAAAAATGAATACTTTTCTGAACTTTGACCCGAAAAGTCATACGATTTTCCAATTCCGGCTTCTCGAAAAAATCGATTTTCTGATAGAAGCGCAATTTTATAATTTTATGATCATTTCGTGGTTTTATCATACGATTTTGGCAAATTAAAAACGGAATTAGATGATAAGAAAACGGAAAAATCGTCATTCTCCGCACCATTCAACCTTTTTTGGAAAAGTATAAGAAGTTGACAATGATATCAGACTACCTCCTTTTTTGTGACTCTTTTTTTGTGGTCAATACTTGGTCAGATATGTCTTATTTCATATCCAGTCGACAAAATATTCTTCATTTACCATAGGTCTTGAAATGTTGCTTAAAAAACCGGAAATTGAATCATTTATGTCAACATTTTTTAGTATGAAGGCCTTCCTGCTCCTGACGGTTCTTCTGCCCCTCTCCTCGGCCTTTGTGCTCCCAGAGCAGTCCCAAAAAGAGCAACTCTCGTCGGGAGTCTACACGATTCCCTATTCGGACGCGCTTTCCCGCAAACAACTTCTTTTCGCTGCCGGTGCCGCGTACGGTACCGCACCGCAACAGTGTCTGGACAAGGTTTTCACGGGATCGCAAGTGCGTCGAGTCGTCGAGACGCGTTGTGACGTGGATCCGGCGGACAAGTGCCTCGGGTACACGGCCGTCAGTCCGGCCGACAAGGCGATTATTGTCGTGTTCCGTGGCACCAACAATAATGTTCAACTCATTTTGGAGGGTCTTGAGACCGTTTTCGAGTACCATGTAATCATCACTTTTTTGTTGTTGAAATCTCTAAGAAAAAATTGAATTTAGACCCCATGGGCTGCCGGCGGTGTCGTCTCCCAGTACTTTAACGACGGATTCCTGAACATTTGGAACGGCGGACTCAAGGACGATTTCAACGCGTTGGCCGCCAAGTACCCCGGATACCAAGTTTGGGTACGTTTTTGTTTCTTTCGAATGAGTATATATAAAGCCTAAGTTCTAGAAACTTTGGGTCCCACCACGAAAAGTACAGTAACCCCCAGATTTTCTAACTTTTCTAGAGCCTAGCCATGATTATACTGAATCGAAATGGATTATTCAATTTTCAGGTAGTCGGACACTCTCTGGGTGGTGCGATGGCGTCTCTGGCCGCTTCCTACATCACCTACAACAAGTTGTACGACGCCTCGAAGGTTCTTCTCGTCACTTATGGTCAGCCACGTGTCGGAGACGCCGCCTACGCAAAGTCCGTCGATCGGGACGTGACGAACGGATTCCGAGTGACGCACGCGCATGATCCGGTGCCTCATCTTCCGCAGGAAAACATGCAGGGATTCACGCACCATAAGGCCGAGGTGTTCTACAAGGAGGCAATGACCAAGTTCCTGATTTGCGACGACGTCGACGAGAGTGCGTTCTGCTCGAATGGACAGGTTCTTCCGGACGCTTCCATCAAGGTACCGTTTTCTTAAATCTAGAAGTTCAAAAATAATTAAAAATTTCTGCAGGATCATCTCAACTACTTCGACCACAACGTCAGCGATTTGGGATATTCCAACTGCGCCAATGTCAAGGCCTAAATTTTTGCTTTTTTCTTGCTTTTTTGCTATGAAAAGAGTAATTTTTTTTTTCAATTATCTCAAGATTGACCACTAGGTCATGCGGGCATTATTACTCAAGAAAAGTGTACATTTGTAGTTTTCAAACTAAAATCTAGTTTTGCGAGTGTCTAGACTCGGATTTCCATTCTCATTAAACGTGTAATCCCAAAGGGACCGATGATAGCTGCTCGTTAGGCGATAGCAATTTCTAGAAGCCTACAATAGTTTGGAAAAAAAAAAGAATTTCTAGTTATCCGAGCCAGATGGCTGAGCCAATCCGAGTGTATCCGGCCGCTTCTGTCGTTCAACTCGTCACATGGATATTCTCGTTTATATCCATAATCATAAATACACTTTTATCGATGAGTATCCATAGAGAGCGAAGTACGGATAACCGATATCGTTGGTTCAACTCAATGTTTTTCTATACGGTCAACTGTAATTCCCTTCTAATTTTGCTTTACGTACTCATTCAACCGGTTTATATTCCTGCGCGCGGACTCGTTTATCTCGTTTTCATCGGACCGCTATCCTGGTGTATTCCCTCGTTTATATCCAGAATGTTTTATATACTTATCATATCCATCATTTCTTATCAAACCTTTTTGGGCCCGATATCCTTATTTTTGAAGTGGCTGGTGGTATTAAAGTATGGCTAACTGATACCCTTATGGATAGATTTACGCATATTTATAGATATCTATCCTGCACATTTCTGCATCGAAAAACTGTGCGAAAAGTGTTCGTAGTTTCAACTATTCCCATATGTATTTTGTCCACAGTTTATCTTCATCTTCCCGATAATTTCTATTTACAAAGCTATCAAATGGAGATAAATAAAAAGTCGGTGGCAATATTGGCTGGAAGAGACTATGAATTTCTGGTGCTCAATAAGTTGGTCTGTTTTTTATTCCATTCGATAGGAAATTTCACGCTAATCAATATAGCTCTTCTAGTTTTTGAGATATTCTCTGAAAAAGCGATTTTACAATAGATTCCCCGGTCTATCTCGAAACCTAAAAAAGCTGGAGCAAAATGTCAAGAGGCAATATTGATCAGCACGAAATTCTCTATCGAATAACAGTAATCATTAGCAGGTTCTGAAAAATGTTACATACTTTTTTAATAGAAATTTGCATATTTCCTGCTTATTCTCACCGCCATCTATCTACTAACATTCGTGTTCGGGCTGATATTCCACAAACTCTACATGCGTTATATTCGAAATATGAACAACGATATTATCGAACTCGGATATCACGAGTCGGCCAGAGTCAACCGCACGTTCGTCTTCATTTCCATCCTTAATTTGAGTCTTATCACTCTTCCACACATTCTATTAATTGTATCGATTTTTGTGAAATTCGATTTGGGCGTCCGAGCGCTTCCAATTACTATGCCGTTTTTCGTCTTACCACTTTTCACGTCGATTTACTTTTTTGCAAAGTTCCGTGCTTATCGGTACGTTGACAAATATTGTATGAAAGGAATAATCTTAAATTTTTCAGACGCCAAACCGGATTTCTAGTTTTGGAGGTTATGCAACGATCCAATGTCGAAATGCCAATTTCAACTGTCACTCATCCGCTTTCAACGACTGGCGCATAATTGTTTTTAAATCTTTCTTATGTATAGAACACAAGAGGCGTCTGTCTGTCTGTCTTTTTGTATGTTGTGCGCAAATGCTCCCATAATGGATCCACGGCGGTGAGAATGTCCTCCACGCAGATCCAATATGGGCACGGATTGTAAATGGACCATAGTGCGCAAATAATAACACATGTTTCAAAAAAAACAATGTTGCTTACAAATATATATCGTGATTTGTGTCTTTCTATAGCAAACAAGCCCACTGCGCTCAGCGGACATCCAAAGACAGACAGACAGACAGACGCCTCTTAATATTGTCTCTTGGCATTTCTGCCTAGCTCTTCTAGTTTTCGATATATCCATTGAAAACGTGGGTTTACAATACATTTCCAGGTCTATCTCAAAAACTGGAAAAACTAGGCAGAAACGTGAAGCGACAATATTGATCAGCTTAAAATTTTCTATCGAATGACAACAATCAAGACGACGTTGGATTTCCCCATAAAGCACTATTCTCTGGATCTTGCCAGTGAACCCAAACATGTTCTCACGTTTTTAACCAAAAATTTATAGAATTCGAAAATTTAACGTGTAGGGGATAGGGTAGGGTATAGAATATTCAAAAAGAGAAAAGAGCATAAGGTTCGGTTGGTTGGTTGTTTGGGAAAGGGGGGCAAAAGCGAGATAATCCGAGACAGAGAGCGCAGAAATTTTAAGAGACAATTCTCAAGGAAATAATTAAAATCTTACAATAAATTGCCAGGAGACGAAGAAGGAGGGAATTTTCATCGAGAAGGAACGGGTCAGCCAAAAATTGCAAAAAATTGAATTCTCCAAAAAGTGCACTTTTTGCAATTTTTGGCGGCAAAAAGGAGCGAAAGCAGTGCAAGGTGACGGGTGATTCACTAGGCGCCCCAAATTTTCAAAAGCGAACAATATTCCGCTCTCAAACAATTCAGAGTTTACAATTTCCGAGAAAAAAACGGCCCGTGTGACTGGTGTTGGGGGGTGTGTGTGTGCGTGTGTGTATGTGGGAGGTGCTAGAAACTTCTAAAAAATTGGGGGAGGAGGAGGAGAAAGCCTTTTTCGTGGAATACATATTTGGGAAAATTTGCGTGTGTGAAAAGACAATAATAATAAGAGGAAGACGAACAGAAAAAGAAGCCGGGGGTTTTGTAGTTATTCAATTTTTTTGGGGTTTTACGGGGCAACAAGACACTTTTTTATGGGCTTTTTCGTTTTCACCAGGTAGCCGCACCTTGAATGGGTCGGACGCCGATTAGGGCATCCGTGGGGGGAGGGGGTCAACCACAGAAGTAGTCGGGGGTGGAGAAGGTACAAAAAAATGGAGAGGGGCTGAGGCACACTGTTTTTGGTCCCAATGGTTGGGAATACATTTTTTTGAGTTTTCAGAATTTTTTAAACATTTTTTGGTGAAGTTTTTGCGCGTGCTCAGCAAAAGTATAAGAACAATCAATCAATACATTTATAGGACAATGCTTTTTTTGGGGAGAAGAGCAGCGAGGAGACAAAAAGGGGGAGATGGTGGAATTTCAGAGGGAAATCCACATAGAAAAACAAAAATATCGCAAGGAGGGTGTCAAGGCCGCGGGACTTTTTCGGGTCGACTCCTCAGCTGCAACTTCAAACGGCTTCTTTTTCTCTACGCATTGCGCGTCTATTTGGTCGTCATCATGGTGACGAACTCTGCAAAAAGAACACAGTTAAAACAAGAAGAATCTGCAAATTCCCAAATTGCTTGGAAATATTTCATCATTCATCATTCAGTGGAGTAGAAAACATTTTTTAAACGTTCTAGAAATTTTACCAAGCTACCCAGGCCTGGGCAAGCGATTCGGTGGGCGTTGATTGAGAAATTGCTTGGTGAAAAAACGTGGGGCGAGGAAAATACTATTTGTAGACAGTTAAAGGCGCATAGCATGAAATTCATTTCTTTGCGCTTTTAACTGTCTACCGTCCGCGCCTCTCTCTTTTCTACCGCGCAAATGGTATTTCCCACGCCCCGCGTTTTTCGTCATCATTTTATCAGGCAACGGGAAGCAGATCGCTCGTCCAGGACTGGGGAAAACTGATCATTCTGTGGTGCAACCAATGTCAAAAATTTGCAGCAATCCCTTACCCTCATAGTTGACCTGACCGTCGCCGTCAATGTCCGCCTCGCGGATCATCTCGTCGACCTCCTCGTCGGTCAGCTTCTCTCCCAAATTGGTCATGACGTGACGCAGCTCGGCGGCCGAGATGAAGCCGTTGCCGTCCTTGTCGAACACCTAAAATTAATCAATTTAGGTCACAAATCATCAACACGAAAGCCAGAAAAGCTTTAAAAACGCACTCGGAAGGCCTCGCGAATCTCCTCCTCGCTGTCCGTGTCCTTCATCTTGCGGGCCATCATCGTCAGAAACTCGGGAAAGTCGATCGTGCCGTTTCCGTCCGCGTCCACCTCGTTGATCATGTCCTGCAGTTCCGCTTCCGTCGGATTCTGTCCCAGCGATCGCATCACCGTTCCCAATTCTTTCGTCGTGATCGTGCCGTCGCCGTCCTTATCGAACAGGCTGAACGCCTCCTTGAACTCTGAAAATTAAACATGTTTCTCCCCTTTTTCAACAACTCCTAGACTTTATTCAGCAGCGAAACCCCCGGTTCATTTCCAAAGGCAATAACCAATCAAATTAGGAAAAAAGCTCGGAAAGAAAAATGTTTTTCCAGCACATAAATTCTATTCGTTGCGAGACCCACTGCCAAAAATCGTATTCCTTTTCCAAAATTCTTGCACAAAATGCGCGCCTTGGTCCCTCTAATATTGCATCCATTAAATTTCTTCTTCGCAGGGAAATGAGAGACGATCAAATTTCTCGTCGTCCGTTTTCTTACCGGCAATTTGCTCCTCGGTCAATTGATCGGCCATTTCGTGTCTAGTTCGGGAGCGGGTTTAGTGTGAGACGAACCCTGCAAAGAACAAGAAATTTGATAAGATAGAAGTGCAAAAAACAACAAGAACGTCGCAAATAGACGAGAAGAATGCGAAAAACTGCACGTAGTAGAGATTTTTGAGATTTTAGGGAGGAAAATTGGAAAATGTCAACCAAACTTCATCAATTTCGACCCAGAAAACGGGAAAATCAGTTTCGAGAATACGTAACCGCGATGTTCGAGATATTAATTGGGAAAAAAGGAAATTCCAAAAAATATGTAGTTAACCATTTTCGAGCCAGAAAACGAGAATTTTTCCGCACAAAAATCGCTCGAGTACCACTCATTTTTCTCTCAAATCGCACGTAAACGATCCGGGCGAAAGAGCGAAAAAGAGTGGTCGAAATTGTGTTGGCCGAAGGAGAAGAAGAAGAAGAAATGGCGGATGAAATGTCAATGGGAAAATCGACGCAGAACAATCACCGTTTCTGTTCTACTTATCAAATTATCTTTCTCCTAATTGATTGATTGCCATTTTCACTAATAACTTACAAACGACTACGAAACAGAGGGAGTGAATATCATCCAATTCTCGTGATTGACGCTGTTCGACCAAAAAATGAGAACGACAAAAAAGCAGCGAAGAAGAAGAAGAAGATGTCGGGACGTGAAAACTAGTTCCTCTTCTCCTTCAAGTGCTTCCCAATTCTTGTTCAGTCACTGGGGAAAACTAGGCGAAAACTACAACAATGATGATGAAGATGGCGGACCGACACGACGGGATGGGGATTGAAAACAAGACAATTCTCAGTGGAGCGCACTTTCTGTCTACGGCCTTCGTCGGAACAACAACAAAACGAGAGGGGATTGTACTGTTCCGATTCACGGCGAAACGATTACGACAAAATAATCCCCTCGCTGCGGGTTTTCCCCAATGAAAACGGTGAAAACTGGCAAGAACAGCAACAAAAATCCCGTGTGCAAAAGATCGATGCAAAAATGTACTAAAAGTTTATCGGTTGTTAAAGAAGGTTGTTAAAGGCGTAATAAACTAATACTCTCAAAATAGTTCCTAAGACTATTTTTTGCGCAAAACTTGCAAACTACGAAGCTAATTTACAAGTCTTTAAAAAAAGAGCCAGACAGTGAAGTCACCGAAAAATAGCAAAAATCAATTTCTTACAAATTCTCGTCACATGTTTTTTTGTCTGTTCGGTGGGCCTCCTCTTCCTTCGCCAAACACCGGGGAATTCAGAAAGGGCTGTGCAAATATTTGTGTGTGTGTGCAGCACAGAGCCCCCTTTCGTTCCCCCAATTTCGTCGCCCAAAAATGGAGGGAGGAAAAATCTCCAAGAGCAAAAAAAAATGGCGAGGAGCAACATTTGGGTGCCTAAAACGTTTCAGACGGCGGCGACGAAACCAAATGTGTGTATGCCTCCGCGGGACCGATTAATCGGTCAATGTGCGTATGCTGCACACGCCCGGCCGCCAATGTCTTTCGCATTTCGGTTCTTCTGCCTGCCTGCCTGCCTGGTGCTGGTGGTGTGTGTCTCTATGCGCAATGCGTCGGTGCGGCATTAGAAATTGAGAATGTGTGTGTGTATGTGTGCATGCATGGCTTTTCCACTTCGCCAATCGTGGTGGCTTGGTGACCCTGATGATGAGAAAAATGGCGTAAAGGTACAAATTATTATTGACGGCTTTGCGCAAACAACTTTTTTTCCGGTGGGAGTTGAGAACACGAGGGACAGAGAGAGAGAGAAAATGCAGCTAAACAGACAGACACACAATTTTTGCAATTTTTCACGGAGTGCATAAAAATCTGGGGCTCTTTTCGCAATTATTGCACTTTTAGGAACAAATTTTAAGAATTATTGGTAAAAATGCCAAGCAGTCCGCAAGCGTTTTTGCAAGACATGAGAAAATAGCAAACAGCTCACAAATTCTCAGAAAGTCTCGGAGAACTTTACAACAGCGGCAAAACCATACAAAATGTCGTTGGCCTACGTGAAATCGAGCAAATATATAGCCAAAAATGGGAGGAAGAGAGAGAGGAAAATGCAATAAAAGTGAGTCAGAGCGCTCTGTTTCCCAGCCCTACCTTACCGAGTGAACGAAAACGAAAAGGTGTTTTGTGTGTGAGTCAGGACGGAAGGGAACACTCAAAAAGGGGCGGCGCGTTGGCTTCAGAATCGATTTCCGAAGACGTCGTCGTCGGGTGGCGCGAAGACACGCCCACATCCCACCACCAAACCCGCAAAAAATACAAAGTTTGGACGGAAACAGCTCCTTTTCTGACACGGAACACAAAAAACATGTGACCTTTGTTTGAGGACAACCGGCCAGAAAAAGATGAGAAGAACGAGATTATTGCGGCGGATTTTCTGGAAAAAAAGTGACGAAATAGCTCACGTTTGCGGTTTGTTGATCGGATTGCGCAATAATCGCTAGTTACTCGCCCCGCCGCGCGCTTTTCAGAGATCACACGTGGCGACGGTGGATTTGGGCGAATTTCAAGGGTTTCACGTGGAAATGGGCGGATTTTTACGAGAAATTGTGAATTTTATCAGCAATTCGGCAAATTTACACTATTTCAAAGATCACGAACGCGAACGGAGAGGTGAACAAAAAATTAGGGTTTTACAGATTTTTAGAGGAAATTACAGATTTCAATAGAAAATGTAGCGATTTTCAGGTGGTAAAGCAAGTTTTATCGGCAATTCAGCAATTCTCAATTGATAGAAATTCAGAAACGGCAAAAAAAAAGAGGTTTGACAAGTTTATAGAGAAAAATACAAATTTGAACGGGAAATTTAGCGATTTTCGTGTGAAATTAGTGAGAAACCATCACTAATCACTGATTACACAACATTTTTGCTCGAAAAATAACCGAAAATGAGTCAGAAATAACGTTTGTTTGTCGTCGAAATCGCCTGCCGACAATTGGCGCCGCCCGGAGTACGGTGGTCATTTAAAGGCGCATGGCCCGAGATTTCGGCGGGTCTCGTAACGAAAAGCTTATTTTGACGGAATTCGAGATTAAAATTAATTTTTAAACATAATTTTGATGTATTTATAAATTATCCGGGATCTTTTGTTCAAATAAAGTGTTAGAATAATTCAAGCAAGTTTTTCAGCGGAAAACTCAAAAACTCCTGCCGCAAAAGCACGAAGAACGGCAATGTTCGCGACGAAAAAGCAAGTTTTTTTTCTTAAAGACGCAGGCTAAACTTTTGCCGTCGCAGCTCGAGTAAAATTTTGTGATGATTTCGATTTTCAAGCGCGAAATGCGTAAAAAAGAGAATTGTACTCGTAATATAATGAGAGCAAAGTCTCTCGCCGAGATTTCAGTGTTTACATGTGGTGTCCGAAGTCGCATGGACTCGCCGAGACAGGCAGCTGACTCGCGGCACACACTATTTCGTCGATGGAAGGCTCGGCGGTCGGAGATCCCTCTTTTCTCACTTTTCACCCGAAAACCTTCCCCCCGAGGGAACAGTCTTGTGTAGAGTGACGTGTCGACATGAGAGTTTGTCGAAAAGCCGATAAAAGTCGAGGAAATTTATGTCGACAGTATCGACAAAAGTAATGTCGATCGACAGCGGACTGTCGACAAATTATCGATCGACAACACTTGCCCAATTTACTTGTCGACAGAATGTCGATAGTCGACAAAATATTTTTTGTCGACAATCGACAATGTCGATTGTCGACAATCGCTCATTGTCGATAGTCGACAATCGCTCAGTGTCGATAGTCGATAAACTGTCGACAATTTGTCGACAATTTGTCGACATTCCCGTGGCCTGGAAGGGGGCCGCGCAAACCGACCTTCTCATTGCCATTGGTGGTCGGCGCGCCCCCACCCGTTTGGCGCAGTGGCAGAGTGCTCACTCGGCAGTCTGGAGGTGTCGGGTTCGAAACTTTTGACCTTGAAAGATGTTTGCTTTTTTAGAACATCATTTTTCTTCAATTTATATGTTGCCTCTTTGGTTTCAGCCACCAAACAGAGGCGAAAAACGCGTGCGGCGGACTTGCAGGCGAGACTCCGCCCCCTCCTCTGCCGCCGACCGGGAGAAAACAGGCCAACTTTGAATGGGCGTAACTCGGGATGTACCGAAAATTTTGGAAAAAAAATTGGGAGCGTACTCATATAGAGTAGGGGAACACATTCCAGCAAAATTTTTTTTAGAATTTTTGAGTTTCGTGAAACCCGTTGTGGCCCCTAGTTATATTATAGGGGCACCGCACAGAAATGGCGCTCTGTTGAGAAGCTCTTTTTGCAGTGCAAATTGAGCGACCTCGGGGCCGAGTTTGAAAAGTTTGGCCACGTTTTCAGTGGAAAATTACTTCGCGGCCTAGAAATTCGGCCAGATTGCGAACAGCGCGCCCTTTCTGTCCGGTGCCCCTATAATAACAATTGTCATATGTACAAAAAAAGTAATAAACACAGAAAAAAAGTTTCGAAAAATGATGATAATTTATTGTCCTCTCGGACTACACGTGATGTTTTCTAGGCCACGGGAATGTCGACAAATTGTCGACAAATTGTCGACAGTTTGTCGACTATCGACAATGAGCGATTGTCGATTGTCGACAAAAAATATTTTGTCGACTATCGACATTCTGTCGACAAGTAAATTGGGCAAGTGTTGTCGATCGATAATTTGTCGACAGTCCGCGCATTTTTTGTCGATCGACATTATTTTTGTCGATCATCCCCTTCGATAATCGACCCGACAATTCCTCGATTTTCGTGTCGACACGTCACTCTAGTCTTGTGATATTTTATATGATCCGACTAGAGCGCGCTGTTGCACAAAAAATTTTAGGCAGGGCTGGGAAATTGGCCGGCCCGGGCCTTGTTTTTGACTTTTGACCCACTTGCAACGATCCGATCGGATCCAAACTTTGCAGGCTTTTTGGACTTGGATTGAAGTATGTTGGGCGATATATAGTGGCTGCGGGCGGATTTTGGCTGAAAAGTCCGGGCTTTGGGTCAATGTCGGCCAATGATACATTTATTTCGGGACCAGACAGTCCGATTGGGCTGAAACTCGAACCCAACATACTCCAATCCATGTCCAAAAAGCCTGCAAAGTTTGGGTCCGATCGGAATATTGCAAGTAGGCCAAAAGTCCAGGTCAAGGACCGGCCAACGAAAAAGTGATTTGTGGGAATATCTCGATTCTTTTCGACAAATATGTACGTTTTTTGTGTACAAACGTCATTTTGTGTTGATACGGACGAAAGTGTATAAGGAAAACGACGAATTTTGACAAAAATCGCTTTTTTCGATAAGCGAAAGGGATGGTGATAAGAAAGTACCGAAGGACTCATGGAAGACTACGGAAAATAGGCCTAAAACCTATTTTTATGATTAAAATGGGCATTTTTTTGAGAAATGGAGGGAAAATGAGAAAATCCCGTAGCAACGATGAAAAAATCGATAAAACTTGCGATAACACCTAGATTTTTATCGATCGAAAAAATAATGAGAAAATGGGGGATTTCGAAATGAGAGTGGAAAGGGGGAAAGCAAAGAGCAGAAGCATTGAGCAATGAAATTAAATTTCATTTCTCTATCTCTCTCCTTCTCTCTCTCTCTTATTTCGATAAAATCGGAAATCTCGCAGAGACGCAGAACGCGGCATCCGCGGGCGGCCGGGAACGCATTGCGCGCGCCACACACTGCTAGACACGCTCGCGCCTGGGCACACTATTTCGGTGCGCAATGCGCATGGGACGCACTGCGGTTACCCCCCTGATGATTGCGGCCGGCCGGCGGGCAAGAGAGAAGAAACGAAAGAGAGAGAGAGAGACGGGGAAAATAAATTTTTGATTTGAAATGCATATGAGAACCTGGTAAGAACCGACTAAACCGCTAAGCGCTAAGCGTACAATGCACACAAAATATGTAGAGGGGTAGTACTTTTTTCAATGTTTTTATAGATTCTCAGAAGAAGATGTCAAACAAGATGCGAGAAATCGAATGGCGTTGAGTAGGAAATCGCTCGGGACCCCACTTGGGACCGTGATTCGATGAGGGACCAAAATCGCCAACAAGTTTTCAAAAACACAGACTCGTTCTAATTTCCCTACTTTTTCGGATATCAGGGCCGCCCGGGCCGCTGCCAAAATCGTTGCCAGTCTGGCAAAACACCTCGAAAGCACCTGCATAAGTTGCAGAACAAAACAAACGTTTGTTTTTCAGCGGCTCTTCTCCCAAAAAAACAGAGTCCGCCCGCCGTGACAAATTGCATTACGGCAGGCAAGAAAAAGGAGAACAATTTCCTTCCGCCTTTTCTTTTCTCTCGCCCATTTTTCAAGTTCCAAACTAACTGCCGAGACACACATTTTCGAACGAAAATAATGGGAAATGTGAAGAGAAATGTGAAAATGAGATGAGGAGGAGAAGCTTTTGAAGTCGTTTTTTGGGGAGGGGGATAGGAGCCAAACTAAGCATCCAAGTGTTTTCATACATGATCTCTGTAAAAAAAAACAACGCGATTATCCGCTTTTTTGAAAAGGTTTTTATGCACCAAATATCCCTGTGACGCCATGGAAAAATAGGCTCCGCCCGCTTTTTTTTTACAAGAAAGACGACAATAAATTGTATTAGTCACTCGGGGACAGAGAGCACGAGCCAAATAAGTAATTTGATAATATCAAGAAAAAGGGAGGGGGTATTTGATACCTACTGGGAAATGAGTAATTCACACATGTTGGAGGGGGCCAAGGTCGAAAGTTGAACGGCAAAAAGACATTTTGAAAATTGGGGAAGCTTCTGCAGAATTAAAACGTGATTTTTGGATTCTAGCATACTTGCAAACGCGCCGGCTGATAACTCAATTCAGAATGAAAGAAGTGCGTAGAAAAACATATCAGATTGTAGATCTCGATGAGTTCTACAAATGTGACAGACAACATGCGGACCAAAGTTGAGCGGAAATGGAATTTTGAAATCCGGAAGACGGCAGACGGCAGACGGAAGAAAAATTTTTTTACGGAACACGGAAAACGGAAGACGGAAGAAAACTTTTTTCCCGGAAGACGGCAGACGGAAGACGGAAGAAAACTTTTTTCCCGGAAGACGGCAGACGGAAGACGGAACAAAAAAATCGTCAATGCAGAACCTTTTTTTCCGGTTTAAAAAAAAATAACTAAAGCAACAAAAATTTTGGATCTGGGTCACTGCCCGTGAAAATTCGCGTTCTGCGGGGCTAGTAAATGGCTTCTGAAAAGCTTTTACTCTTTTACGGTAAGAAGAAAAAATTCCGGAAGACGGCAGACGGCAGACGGAAAAAAAGTTTTTTTACGGAAGACGGAAGAAAACTTTTTTCCCGGAAGACGGCAGACGGAAGACGGAACAAAAAAATCCACGGAAGACGGAAGACGGCAGACGGAATTCCGCTCAACTCTGATGCGGACCGGCAAAAAACACATTCTAGGTCATCCCGAGCCACAATATCGGCTCACATTTGTAAAACTCACCGAGATATACAGTCTGTCAATAAGAAAAGGTCAGACTTTGAACAATCCTGATTTGGTTCGAAAAATAGCAACAGATTTTTTTTGGCCTAAAATAACTCTTTCGAACAAGGTTTTGAAGATCTGGAACTGTCTAGGGGAGTATTTTGGGAAATATAAACAAAAAAACAGCGTAGGCTAATGCCGAAAAGTGCAATTTGTCAAGTTCTTTTAAAGCGGAAGCTTTCCGGCCGTCATCATCCATCTTATGCAAATGTTGTACATGTTATATATTCCGTCCGTTTCGTTTTTTGCATACGTATCAACATACAACCCGTGCCTTGACAAAAAAAGAAAAAAAGGGGGCACAAAATTCAGTTAACGGCCCCGCGACGCACTGCCGCCGCGTCGCATTCGACGTGCGTCATAGGAGACGGATTATTATTATTATTTTATACATGTGTATGTATGGGCAACCGATTTTTGGACATGAAGGGATGTTTGAATTTTGTAAGTCGAAAACCGAAATGAATAATGAACGTACAGTTGCAAAACGTCCTATGATTTTGGAAAACTTTCTTGGGCTATCTTGACATCTAGTTGGACGTTATGCAACTTTACAATATTCATTTAAAGTTATTGTTGTTTTCATGCCTTTCTTTCCTTCTCCTGCCCCTAATTGCCTCTTTTCTATTGTCTACCCACTATTTTCCCCGCGTGGCTCTCCGAAATGAATTTCTCAATTTCCGCCAACCGCCCAACCAATTCCCTGGCCACCTTGAGCCGCCGAGAGGGCTAAAAATGTCGGAAAAGTAATTTTCTTGGAAAAAAATAGAAAACAGAAAGCAATTAGGTTTATTAGTACACAAATGCGGTTATGTTGGAAAAAAGACCGCATGCTTTACAAGAGAAAGTAAAGGGACAATATTTTGATGAGTATTTCTCAGATTCCCCGAAAATAGAGTGTATGAAGCCAAAAAATGTCCAATTTTCTAGTACCACTCAGTCGCCGGGTGATATCGCTCATTCTCTCCCCCTCAAAAACGTCATCAATGTTTATTTGTCCCTTTTTTGCATTGTGAAAAGGGTTGAAAAGTAAATATGAAAACGACAATAGAAATGATGATATTTCATACTTCTGGGAGACTTTTTGTTATTTTGAAACCGGACAAAAAAGAGTCGTCGACGATTCGAAGCTCATGTCGAAATTGATACCACGACTTTTGGCTACCCGACATTCAGAAACCACAACAAAAGGACACGGCGTAGTTTCGCAACCAGTCATTTTGCTATATTATGCGCGTGTGCAACGGACGCTGCAGTTGCGAAATGTCGCGGTTGCGAAACGAAACCACGTGGTCTCCTTTTGTCACGGTTTCTGAATGTCGGGTTGTGAAAACTTGTGAAATTTGTTGAAAGAATTGGGAATACCCAACAAAAAGGTATTAAAAATTCAGTGGCACTTCATAGGGTCAGAAAACACAAAAAAACACAGACATCTACGGGAAGAACTATACATTTTCATGGGGCGAAATAATTAGAAATTCAAAAAGGAACCCGTCGGAAAACAGTGTTCGAGGTGTCCTTTATATCCATAATATACTTATTTTTGAGCAGTCGAAATGTGACCAGAACACACAAAATGACGAGGAATACGTTGAGGGCGCAGAGAATCCATGTCCAGATTTGATAGGTTCGAAGTACGTGCTGGTATTTGATGACGTCTGCAAAATAGCACGAGCGTCAAAAATGAGGTAAAAAAGCTACCGTAATCCGTGGTAATAATGCTCAGCGGCTGTGCCTCCACAATTACCCCATTCCGGGCATTTTCCCCTTCTCCAGTTTGTTCCAATGTGAAATTCTGCGCGTTTCTCTCCGTTTTCGCCTTCATCATTTCATGAATTCGCAGCAATCTCTGCTCGATCGTCATTTCCTCCGGCAATTGTCTCCGCTGCTTTTTCGCGTGTCGTTTCGTGCATTTCGGAGGCTGAAAAATGAGTTTTCAGTGTCGGAAAGGCGAACAAAGGTACTTACTACACTATTCCGACAATCGGGCTCGTTTCCCGAGCACACCGAGATCATGCATTTGAAATGAACGTGGTTCGAATTTGCGAATCTACAATTGTCGGATTTGTTTGAAGGGGTCGCAAAATTGGACATACAGTGCTGGCCATTAATATATGAAAAAATGGATTTTTAGGATAACTTTTTTACTAGTTGTCCGGGCACCCTGAAACTTATACGGTATACAAAAAGTACCGTTACGCAAAGTTGCGGACTTTCAAACTGCATCATCATTTATTTATTTTTCAGAAACTGTTTTTGTTTCATCATCAAATTCAACATCAAATTTTCTTGTACAGAAAAATGGTCAACTACAAAAGTGTAGTACTAAATGTCAAGTTTTCAAAAAAATAACGTGTATCCCCAATGGACATTTCGCAACCGCACAAAACTGACCGAAAAGCGCGGCTCGGCGTATAAATGAGTCCTTTGTCGATATCGTACTCGGGAGTGGGTATAATCTCTTCATCCAACGAACATCCGTTCTCATCGATTATTGTGTACGTCCGGTTGTTTTCGTCATGCACCACACATGCATACACTTTAAAAATATAACTATTCTGATATCCATCATCACGTAACGGCGCCGCACATTTCCACCGGTGATAAATCTGGGAAAAACGTTTTTTTTTTATCAAAAACATATTTTGTTCAAAAATACCACTTCTCCAACATGAGCTTGAGCCGTCTTGGGACCTTGAACTGTTCCGAAATGTAATGAATATTTGCACTTTGGTCCTGGTCGTATTTTTGGAGCGTTTGAGGATAATACAGAGTTGGTAGGTGTACTGAAATATGTTAGAGAATTATCGAAAAGTGATTTGTAACTCACATAAGATCATAGGAAGCTCGAACTTCCATAGTCTTCAATTGTAACGAGCAGACGACGTCGTAGATTTTATCATATTCAGTTATTTCTTCAGGATTATGGGAAACAATAAGACGGAGAGAATATTGAACCGTTTGCGATGGAACGCCCTGGAATTTCATACATTTTTTCAAATAAAAAAATTCTACACACTCCAGTTTTAGCATGAAATGCTGGAAATCACCTTGAAAACGCGTCGAACTCCACACGGCCCATCAATAGTGGTCACAAATTGCGGATCCAAATCCAGCGAAAATCTTCTGGTGCAATCTGGATTGAGTGAGTGTTCAGAGACGAAAATCCGAATGTCAGCAAAGTTCTCGTTGAGCTGCAGACCGATTTTTTCGGCAGTACATATGGCGACGGGGGTGAAATTTCCGGAAGCTGAAAATTATTAGCTTTTAAACTATTTTAGTTAGTACATGACACTTGGTACATTATTTTTGCAGTTGAGCAATGTTCTCTAAAACCACTCACTGGATTACTGTAGCTCTTGGAAGTTGGGACTACTCAAAGGTGTGTTTTTTCTATGCCAACTTCTAAGACCTGCAGTAATCCAAGGAATGGGCGTAGAGAAAAAGTGTCAACTACAAAAATACTCTACTGGACCTTAACTATTCACAAGAACATTTTTGAAACCCATTGGACGTTTCGCAACTATACAATATCGATTTAAAGTTCGACTCACCTTTAATCTCAAAGCTCTCTGCCATTTTTTGAGGTGATCTTCTGAGCTCGTAGAATTTGGCGCCGTTTAGAGTATTTTGGGTCATATGCACAATTCCAGCCGAATTGGTACTAACAAATTTTAAGAAAAGGACAATCGTTGAACATATTGTGAAAAGCATTTCAGGCAAAAATCTGGAAAAAAAAAGCTTTTTGGAAAGTGATGAGAGATTGAAACGACGCGGTCACTTGAGAATGTGAAATGTTTCAAGGAGGAGAAGAATAGAGACGGAAAATGGTTTCGGGATGGAATGAATAAAGCAAAAGTCCCCCTACTTCTCCTTTTCTATCGGAAACGGTGGTTGATCGGTTAGAAGCTTCTTCTTTTTGAAAAATTGGGATTTTTAGGGTCTTAGAGTGTCAAAAATGTGTTCAGTGTAAGCATACAGAAAGCATTTACAATATCGAATTAAAATCTAAACATTAACCATGCCACCCTCAAAAGTGTACAATATCAATAACAACAAAGGAAATCTTCTTCCGAACGAATTGCGTTCAAACCACAACCACTATAACACACGAATAAAAATAAATAAATAACATAGTAATAGTATAATAGCGTTACACTTTTGACACCCCTCCCACTCAAGAGAACGACGTCGAAACCCAGTTCACAAGAATACAAAAACCATGCGAAACGGAAAAAGTCAGTGGGGGAAATGGAAATGAACTATGTAATTACTAGGTGACCTCTTTTGCATAAAACATTTTACGGAAATTTCGTTCAAAACATTTCATAAGAGACTGTACGGAAAATGAGGGCACATGGTAACATTTTTGCGAATTATTCACAAAAATGGTCTGGATGAAAATCCTGGAACTTTTCTCACTTTCACTACTGAACAAGCAAGACCTCACGATGGAAGAATAAACACAAATATTACTAGACTTACATTGATATTGTGTATGAATAAAAATAAATAAATGTGTAAAAAGTGCTAAATAGTTCAAGTGCCGCAAGTTTTCACATTCTTCGCCTCGCTTTCACTTCTCATACTTGTTTCTTTTTTTCACAAAGTTTATGGTAAAAAAGGAGGAAAGGGATCGAAATGGATTTTATCGATAAATTTCTCAAAGAATCGTTACTTTCAGTAAATAGTGTTGAGAAAGCGCAGTTTTGAACGAATTCACCAGAGCAGCGCCTCAAAGGTATAGTTTGTAGTCTAAGCAGCCTTAAATTCACGAGAGCAGAGCCCAAATAGTGTAATTCGTAGTCTAAGCAGTCCAAATATTCACGAGAGCAGCGCTGAAAAAGTGTAGTTTGTGGTATAAGCAGCCCTGAACATTTCCAATTGTTTTCCGTTCATTCCGTTCTTCTTGTTCCCTTTAATTTCCTTTCCTTGCATAGGATTCAAAAAATATTGTTGTTCCCTTTAAAGTTTCCTAGATGACTCACTTTCGAGTAGAACTTGTCTTCTAAACTATTTATAACCGTTCTGTCGTCATTTTCCCGTCAAAAACCAGAAAATGTGCTCGGTGTAGACGCAGAGAGTCTTTAGAAAGTAAATCAAACAAAAAAGTGACAAATAATTGTGAGCGCACAATATCAGACTCTGGAACACACTTTTGCTCTTTTTAATCTACTGATTTGTTCGTTTTTCCGATCAAATATGTCCCTAAAACTGTGCATCATTTTTCTGATGTTTTCAACTAGTATTCAATTGTTTTCTACGACGCCAACTCAAAATTTGATCGAATATTCGGATAGTTTGGCCCGAAATAAACTAATTTTCGCTTCAATAGCTGCGTACGCCGAAAAACCCGAACTTTGTCTGGAAAAGGGATTCCAGCAGGCTATAGTAAGACGTCAGATTACTGTACTTTGTGACGTGGATCTTAATGACACGTGTTCTGGATACACGGCTGTTAGTCCCACGGATAAAGCGATTTTAGTGGTCTTCCGAGGGACCACTAGTAATCAACAGTTATTGGTCGAGGCTGTCGAGACTGTTGTCGGCAATCATGTATGTCAAATGTTGAGAACTTTTTCTTTGGAAAATGGCTAGAATGAAACATTTTTAGGCACCCTGGCCAGCAGGTGGTGTGGTCTCCCAGTATTTTCATGATGGATTTTTCAAAATGTGGAATACTGGCATGAAGGATGATTTTAATACACTTTTGGCCAAATATCCGGGTTATCAGGTTTGGGTGAGTTTTTTTTGAATCAAAAAATAATAGTTTTTGAATTTATCTCAAACTTCTGTTTAATTTCTGGATATACCGAAATACTATCAGTAAATGTATCTATAAAATATATCCAGGTGACCGGCCATTCCCTGGGCGGTTCCCTGGCTTCTCTGGCTGCTTCCTACATCTCCAACTCGTCTCTAACTGCCCCAAATTCTCTTCTCCTGATCACTTTTGGTCAGCCGCGCACCGGAAATGCGACATTTGCGTGGGCGGTGGACAGGGACGTGCCGAATGCGTTCCGAGTCGTCCACTCGCACGATCCGATTCCGCACTTGCCCGGAAAAGGCCATCACGGATATTGGCATCACAAGTCCGAGGTGTTTTACAATAAAAATATGGGCGGATGGGTGATTTGTGAGGAGGATGAGAGCGAAAAGTGCTCCGACGGACAAGGGACCGATACGGATATTAATGTGAGTGGGCGGAAGGGAAAAGTTGGGGAAAGTCTAGGCCACACTGTACACATGAACAGAAATACGGTTTTTGGATAACTTGGGATGACAAAAAACGAACAATTCAGAGAAAAAACCGGAGGAAATTGAAAAAGTTGAACTTTGACCTATCATATTGATATTCCAGTATTTCACAATTATTTTTCAGGATCACCTCCATTACTTTAACAAGGACATTCTAACTCTGGGCTACTCAAATTGTCAAAACACCACAGGATCTACATAGAATTTGTTTTCTTATCATTTCATATCAATAAAAAGTTCTTTAAAATTGTATAAAATTTTCGTTAAACAAAGGCAATAAGTGTGAAAGGGCAAGCACCTAGAGAGGGGAAGAAATCACAGAAATTACGTAGAGAAAAATGCAAAAATAGGACATTATTTACAGAAAATGCTAGAAACAAGGTTAGAAAATGTGAGGGGAAATGAGGTTAGAGTTCAAAAAGAGCACACGTGGATTGTTGCTCATTCGCTTCGGCAACTTCTGATTCCGAATAGAGCTCGTCGCCGATCGATTTGTAGAGCGAAACTGAAAAAATAAATTTCAGAGTATTTTGGCTCGGGAGTTTTACAGTTTTTTACGGATAGAAATCGTGCTTTATTTTCGGGCAAAAACGTACGTTTCGCTTTTTTCTCGCTCAAGTGCTCCTTGATTGCGTGCCGGGTCTGTCGGGAACAGTGATGGTTGGCCGCCTCGACAACTTTCGGAATTAGCGTGTCGTTCAGGTTTCGAACGTCGATAAATCTGAAAAATTGTATTATTTAAGAGATGATGGGCATTTGTTTGAAGTCTTACCTGAAAGCATCGACAATTTGCTTCTTTTCGAGCATAACTTCGACAATTTCGTCGTTTGCTTTATTTCTGGCCAGAATATCGACGCCGCTTTGGAAAAGGGTGGAGCAGCGGGCTTCATAGGACAAAAGAAGGAATGCGAGTGGTTTCGAGTCGTTGATCACCTGAAACAACTGCACATTTTATTAAAATCAAGTTGTCGACCGTAGCCGCTCCAACTCGCTTCACTTCTCAGATAATTTTCGGCAAGGGTTCGGCATGAAAGCAGCAGTTAGCTGTGCTATTCGCCAGCTTGCTTCCAGAAACGGCAAATTGGCCGATAGAAAGGATCGGGAAGGAGGCGCAAGGAATCGACGGCCAACGGCCAGTCGGCAGCCAGCTCATTTGATCGGCAAACTGCCGAATTTTGCAGGAACCTGCCGAAAATTACCTGAGCTCGCTTCAACTCGCCGTGTGGCATAACGAAAATCAGAAAACTGAGAATGCACGCTATAAAATGTATTATAAATAAGACCGCACCCGATAAGTGACAATTTGCTGTAATTTGTCCATTTCGCCAGCATCTGCCAGCGTTTCGACGACCATTTCAATGAGATACGCTTCCGGAGTCATTTGCGCGTCAAAAAGGCATCGCAAGTACTGGAGCATGACGTTGGCCACGTACGATTCGGGTAGAGTAGTGTCCTCCTAAAAGAATGAATATATGACATTGAAAAACTGAAAGAAAAGGAATATTCATTCTTTTTTATTCAAAACATTCAAAAAATCGTAAAAAACTAACCCTCAACGGAATAAGCACAGCACTTTGCATTTCCTGCTGGCTAACGCTCAAACTTTCGTATTTTTCACAGCCGAGCACCGCTTTCACCGCATTCTCCGTGGCTCCGCTTACTTTTTTCGCATTTGTTACCATTCCGAACACTTTTCGGACTTGTCGGAGGCTTAGAGCACGTGCTCGGAGGCACGTTAAAAGTACCGTAACGAATAATTTTCGTTCATTTTTCCGACGTGCCAAGTACTCGAGCATCGTGTTCTTTTCCGCGATTTCCAGTTGACACTTCTCGTTTTTCAGGCCGAGGGAGTACATTACACCGGCTTGCGAGTCAATTACGGTTGACGGAAGAAATGTGAACCAGAACGTGGTGTAAAGTGACGGAGGTGGCTGGTGTTGGACGTGTGCTTCTGGAAAACACTTTTTTCGAGATTTTACAGGGAAAAGAGAGCTTTGAGCAGATTTTTAGCTCTCTTCTCGAGTCGAATTGCATTTGCAGCACTAAAATCTTACCTATTGTTGTGGTGACAAGTGGCGAATGGCTTTTGCTCGGCGAGCTCACGCGAATGTCGAAAATCAATGATTTCTGAGAAAATTGGTGATGGACAATCACCAAATTATCGATGACGTGGATTCCACACCCACCATTGAAACCTGAAATTTTAAAGAAAAAATGTTTTTGAACGTTTTGCTAATAAACTTCTGACAACTTACCTAAAATGAGAGAATGTTTGAAAGTGGGTACAGTGGTCGCATCGAACGGTAATTCATACAAATCGAGCATTGTCGCGTTTCGATTACTGTAGCGGAACACAAGAACGTACACTTTTCCGTAGCTGAAAATGTTTGATTTAAATTAGGAGTTTTTTCACGAGAGCAGCGCCTAAAAGAATAGTTTATAGTCTAAGCAGCTCTAATGTGTTGTTTGCAGTACAAGCAGCCACTAAATTAAAGAGAGCAGCGACCAGCGGTGTAGTTTGCAGTATAAGTAACTCTAAATTTACGAGGGCAGCGCCCAAGAGCGTAGTTTGTAGTCTAAGCAGCACTAAATTACAGTTTTCTTCTTAACTAACATTGTCGCAATTGCCGCATCCTTTTCTAAAAAATTCTCTTTCGAAATGGATCCTCCGAAATCGACTTCAAAATTTTTCATCCGTGTAAATTGTGAGTGCGCGACCACAATTGGCTGTAGATTCGAGCACGATTGACCGTTTGCGACGAGCAAAAGTTGACATGGCGCCTAAAAATTAATGTTTCTTTTATAAACAATTTTGTTGAAAAACTAACATAATAAATTGCCCACGCGGCATTCACATTTGTCGCTTTTATCACTTTTGACGACTTTTTGTCTTCGTTGATGTACAATAACTCGGCGCTGTGGTTATTTACAAGAAGAAGCTGAAAATCAAATTTTTAGTCTTGCTTCAGATTAATTTTTGTGACTTTAGAGTGGAGAAAATATTGAATAACATTAGTTTTCAATGAAAAAGTGCTCAACCTGATTATTGGTGACCCACTCAACAGCGAGCAGCGGTTCCTTGCTTTTCGTGCTCACAGTCATCTCGACACACAGTGAATTTTCAGTTTTTTCGAGAAAAATCACGTCGGCAGTGTTGGCGGACCGCTGCATGGCGCATAACCGGCCGTCCGGCGAGAATTTCACCGTCGACGGTTCTCCGCGGTCTTTCGTCCGTACATTTGTGCATTTATCACTCAGCAAACTCTTCGCAGTCAGCCCCAGAGCTCCGTTATTCCTCATTGTACATATCCGTTGACTGGAGCAGTCGAAGAAATTGCGCGTGATGTTGCCGTCGTGGGCGGAGCGGTCCGGCTCGAATGGAATAAATGTGGCACCAAGTTCGAGCATTTTTGCTGAAGAATTTCCATTTTTAGCAATTTTATTGTTAGAAATGAATGGACATTAATAAGAACTCAGCTAGCGTTTGTGATGGCCCCTGCAGACACTCGCCGGTTTTTGAAGCATCGTACTGCGCCTTGTTTAGCAGAAAGTGGCATTTGTTGGATTTTGACAGAAATTAAAGTAAAAATCAAAGGAGAATTAATGTGAAACAGCCAGAAAGCATAGAAGTAGATGAAAGAAATACAAGATTAATTGGCGCCGACCACCAGCAGCGTAGAGAAGCTTGGACGCTCGGACGGCAGTCACTCCGAGCTATCAGAGCCACTTGCGTGCGATCCTTCTACTTCGCCGTCCTCCTTGCCTTCTACGTGCTTCTTCTGCTTTCGGCAGGTATCTATTGCCTTCTCCAGGCTTCTCTAAATCCCTTCTCATTGGAATTCCACCATATTACGCTGAGAATGCGCAGGTGTCGTAAAATTGAATGCGAGGTACGCAGAGTTGCGCCTGCGGTGTTTGCAGACTTCGCGTTATTTCGGAGCGTCGTTGGATAAAGTTGTACATTTTTTAGCTTTTTTAATTGAAAATGCGCGGTTTCAGTCAGTCTTTCTCAATTTTTTCAGATGGAAGACACAAATGCGGTCGAAATCTCTATTATCAACGTCACCGCCGTCGTTTTCTCTGCCGTTTTCGCCATTTACAGCGCGAAAATCATCTCGGCAATTTCTTCTCTGGTAAAAAATTCATATAATTCCGAAAACCATCAATTTCCTCTTATTTACAGGTCAAAAAGCTTGCAAAAAGCAAGGAGAACCCGATGATCACACAATTAAAAGTAAAAATCGCAGAAACGCGGCGAGAATTGAACGGAATTTCGCCGACTGGAGAATTCGCAAAATATTTCAAAAAAGACCGAGAATTGAACAAATTGACGAATGAATTGACGACCTTGGAGGCTCAAAACTCTTCGGAAACCACGAAAAATCTGAAAATCGATACTTGTGTGCGAGTTATCAGCCAGGTCTCCTCGTTGGTGCTTTTGCGCTACGTTTCGTCGATCACCGCCTACTGCATTCCGGATACTATTTTTTGGCCGTTCAACATCATCGTGCGCTTCCCAGCTGTGTTTGGCAACGATTCTTGCCCTGCCGGTACGTTTTTTTCTTGCAAAAAATTCGAAACATTCATAATTTTACTGAAATCGCCGCAAATTGTACAATATTTTTTTCCAGAATTTGCTGAAGTTTCCGGATTCGCTCTGGCTTTTCTGATGCTCCACCTTCTGAATCTCATCTACAAAACTGTGCGATCAGCAACCAAAATAACCGATTCGGAAAAAAAATCGAATTAATTTACCTTCCCTCTAAAAATTATTGCTTTTTACTTGTTTCATCACTTGTTTCCATGGCGTTCCGTCGATTTTCAGCTTCTTATTCGGGTCATAAATATTTATCATTTTATTTTATTCAATCTGAAGTATATTTTTGAAGACAGTTCTGATCCTGTAGAATATTTGTTGTAAAATTTGAAATAATTAAAAGCAACCCTTTTTTTAGCGAAAATGAGTGAAATTGGCGAGAGCTTCAGTGAAGAACCGAAAAAAAGCAATAGAGGAAGAAAAACGAAGAAAATTAATATTCTACCGGAAGTAAGCTTTAAAAAAGGCATCCGTGGAGAAAATCGTTCTTATATGCAAAACACAAAAGGCGTCTGTCTTTTTTAAGGGTTTCCATGCGGGCGGGTGAGAGTCCGGGCGATTCACCGTCACGTCAGATTGCAACCGGGCGGGGACCACCCGGTAGAGCAAAAAACACCAGCAGGGAAACAATTTTCTTGACGACTGACCGGTGGAAAGGACCCTTATTAGAATAAGCAGACTTGCCCGGTCGGCCCGGGAGGATGCACCTAAAAATTCAAAGCGAACTAGAACTTCGAAACGAACATAATTTTATAGACTTAAAATTTTATAGACTTAAAAAGGCAATGTTATAGCATAAAAACCTGTTAAAAAATAGAAATTGCTGTTTAAAGTCGCAAAATTTTCACAAAAATTACGAAAATTTTCTCAAGAGTGGGCGGAGCCGGGCCGACCGGGCCGGGCCGGGCCGACGATTTTCTGGCCCGGGATTTGGCAAGTCTGAGAATAAGTGATGTGTCCAGAGGGAAAACATTTTTAAGCGTGTGAATCTGGAGAAAACATGATCTGTTTCGGAAAATTTGAACAGCAATTTTCTGCTGAAAAAATTGAGAAACATCGGGGAGCAATTGCTAAAGTCTGTGCTTTTGGAATTGATAAAGTTTACAGACCGGAATTCTGACTCCAGAAGGCTATCCGTTCTACCACGTTCATTGCGTTCTACTCACAGAAGAACAGTATAAACGAGTTGAAGAAAACGGTATTCTTTTTTAGAAGCGAAAAAAATAATCGCCACGGTCTCCAGCGCTTACAATGGGCGCAAGTGCGCCCCGCCAAATAAAGCGACATTTTGGCGCGATTGTTCCCATATTGTAAGCTCTGGAGACCGTGTATCCAGAAAATATTGTGAAAGGCCTATAAAAATTACCTTAGAAATTAAATTGCAGGGGTAAATCTACGCACAAAACGACCGTTCACATTAGACGAAACTGTGCAAATATTCAACAATTGGAAAGAATTCGCCGATGAGCACAATTTGAAGCGGTACAAAGCGACAGAGTACATTAGGGCGAAAGTGAAGGACAAATTCGAGCGATTACATCAGACAGAACATCATTTTTGGCCTAAATTATGTTAGTTTTGCGTTTACAAGAAAACATTTTTCTATCAAAACATTTTAACATTTATAGGTAAAGGATTACCACATCGAGCCGGCGTTCGTATCAAACTCCGCGCCGAGAAAATGATGACAGACTCGTTTTTGAAAGGTTTTTAAAAAAGTTTCGAATAAAGAAAACAATTTCTAGACCTAAACTGGGACGATCCGGCACCTCAAATTTCTGCCAGATATTTTGCTCATGATGGATATGACGCGAAAAAGCTTCAAATTGCACGAAAATTGGCAGAAAAGGGATATTCGTCGGAATATATGGCCGAATATCTTGACTTAACGGTGGCCAAAGTGATTGCGATTAAGAATAAACTGAAAACGTTTGACGATAGAGACGATCCGATGTTCCGGAAACAGTTTTTTGGTGAGATTGATTCTATCGGTTTATCCATTAAAATATTGGAAAAAATATAGACACAGCTATAGCAGCTGCTAAATAAGCATTTGCAGCCCCTTTCGTCGCTGCTCTCATAAATTTACCTGCTTAGATCACAAACTACAGTTTTTGGGCGCTTCTCTCGTGAATTCGGGGCTGCTTACTTTACAAACTACACTTTTGATCGACTTAATTTTAATATTTTCCTTCTTCCAGATTGTGCTCTCTCATGCGGCCTGGATTCTGAAAAACTTCGCAATCGTCTTGTAAAGAGAAACGAAGAAAAGTATAAAAAAGTACAGGGACAAGTTGATATCGAAGAATTGGCAATGAAAATGAAAGTTTCGGAGACCAGAAGTGCAACACTTTTAGAGGAACTTCTGGAGAAAATTTGGATTTCATTCCGGAAGAGTGTGGACGAAGGAAAAGGCGAGGAAGAGGCGTTCAAGGAGGCGATGAAAGTGGTACACTTTCGACACTTTCGTATAAAATGAAACATATTTTAAAATAATTTCAGACTAGTTCAATGCCATTTTTGACTTTTGAGCAACAAGTCAAAGCTCTCGAGATCTTCTGTCTTCACATGGATAAAGCGGATACCAGCCTTACTTTGGCAAAAACAGAGGAATTCACACAAATGTGAGGAAATTTGCGATTCGCGACTTAAAAAACATTAATTACAGATTACATATTCACAAAATAACCGGATTCTCTTGTAACATGCCTGAACAGCAGTATTTGCATAAAAGGATCTGTAAAAATTTAATGATACCGTGAGTTTTTCTCTCAGTGTCTTTTTTTGAGCAAAAAATAGTTCTCAGATTGGAAGATAATCTTTTCCAACATTTGCGTCGTAATTTCCCTTTTCGACTCAAACTTCACTGCCTCTTGTGGAGCTGGAAGAAATACGATGAATGGGAAACGTTGCCAGTCGGAACAGGTTTGAATATCTTTTTTGAAACCAAATGAATTATTTTGCAGACGAGACCCGCTATGAGGCAGTGCTCCGCTCCGAGCTCTCTAATCCTTTGGCGACGAAACTTACGAAGAAATTTTTGAAAGATAAACTGGTTGCCGAATGGATTATGGTACATTTTTGTTGTTTAAAAACTGAGTTGAATAGAACGAGAGCAGCGCATAGACGTGTAATTTGTAGTGTAAACAGCCCTGAATTCACGAGAGCAGCGGCCAGAAAGTGTAGTTTGTAGTGTGAATAGCTCTAAATTCACGAGAGCAGCGCCCGAAATGTTTAGTTTGTAGTCTAAGCAGCCCTGAATTCACGAGAGCAGCGCCCAGAGAGTGTAATTTGTAGTGTAAATAGCCCTGAATTCACGAGAGCAGCACCCAAATAGTGTAGTTTGTTTTACAGGAGCCGCGCCCAACAAAAACATGGCGTAACAAACCGCACCTTCGAGTTGAGGCCGGTTACGAAGCGTTCATTCTTTACGCTCATCAGAGGTCGTTCAAATTCCCGCAGAAACTGCATCATCTCACTCCGAATCCTCCAGGAGCTGTTCGGAAAATTCTGGAAGAAGAATCGGACGATTCAGAATATTTGACGGCGAAAGAAGTAAAAGAAGCGGTGAAATCGGCGACAGAAAGTGCGTTGGGCGTGAAAGTGAAAACGAAATTGTGCGTGATGAAAGACGAGCAGGCTGGATGCTCCGACGAAGATTCCGAAGGTCCAGACGACGTGGATAAGATTCTGAAGCATGCACGTCATCTGAAAAAGAAGTGGAAACAAAAAGAACGCCTGGAAATCGACGAAATTGTGCAGAACGCGGATCCGTCGGGACTCCGCAAAAAATTCCAGAAAAAAGATGTAGAAGAAGATGAGAATGCGGAAAATTTGAAAGTTTCGAAAAAGTTGCTGAAAGAAAAAAAGGCGATGGAGAAAGCGGCGAAAGCAAAGAAGAAAGCGGAAAGTAAATCGACAAAGCTGAGAATTACTTCTAAAGAGTTTGTGACGACTTCTGACGACGATTCTGATGAGGAAGAAGGTTCGGAAGTTGTTCATGCCCGAAAGGAAATAAAAATGAAAGAACCGAACGCACGAGAAGACGTTCCGATAACGGTTGAGGTGAAAGAGTCGAGAAAACGACGGACCAGTGATGTTGTGGATTCCGAAGAAGTTCCGAGCACTTCAAAAACGAAAAAAATCGAAAAAACGTCAATCAAACTTCGAACTCGAGCAAATAATGAAAAAAGAGATGAAAATTAAGGATTTTATATGTAAGAATTAAAAAGAAATTTAAAAACATGATTTTTTCAATTCAAATTAACTCCGTTCCGACAACTTCACAAGCACCCAAAATGGCATGATTTGTTATTTTTTATTTGAAACAAAATAAAAATTGATACAACAACAGAGAATTCGTTATTCAAGTTCTGGCGCACTGCGGATCTCGGTTTTTCTGTATGGTGAAACCGACTTGGGCGTGATTTTATGTTACGTGCGGGCTCGGGAGTGTAGCCGAGTAATCTCCGTAGATCTCTCTACTATCCAGTGAGAGGCTGGCTGAACCGGGGGGTTGAGGGTGGAATCATTTTTCATGTATTTATGAAATTGAGCGAGCCCTATGTCGAGTGGTCCTTCGAATAATTGAGTGCTTCCTTGGTCGATTTTTACGCGATTTTCGCCGCAATTTCATTCCATTTTTTGAGCAAATTCTGGCGATCCGCGAGACGTCGGGAGATGGACCCACGAAGTGGCGCTGACCGCCCTTGATTTCCGCGCCGACGAGGCCCTCAAGTACGGGCTCAACTGTCGTTTCCGAACACCTTTTGGATGAAGTTCTTGTTGTTCGGGTTGCTCTTGTTGCCACGTTTGCGCTGAAAAATTTCGATTAAAACACAGAAAAAGTAGGCAAAACATTAAAATTGTTGAATTTTCATCACATTTCTCGAGTTGAAAACGCCAAAAACGAACCGAAATGTAATCGAGGACAATTGCATAGATGCCGGCGTAAGGGGCGAACGATTCGGTGGCTCCTGGTCGTTGTTGCTTGATGTTCGTTATGATTTCACAGATCTGGAAAAGGGACGTGGCTTTCTTTGCAAATACTATCAAATACGTACATTCGGTTCGATGCCCTTGTTGAGCTGGTTGATGGCGATGAGGGCGCCGATGAAACTGCACGCGCGGCCCGATACGAAGACGGTCATCGCGCACACGCCTATCGTTTGGATCTCTGGATATCCTTCTCCGTGAGAAATTGATGGATCATCTTGACGATCGGCCGCGTCATGGGCGGCTGTTGCAAGTGTTGCCACGTGGCGAGATGGTGCACCTGACATATGACCGAGTCCGAGTCGCCCTCCGGTAGCACCGTCCTTTCCGGCTAATTTCATTTGAATCGTCAATGTGAATGAGTTTAGATTTCGGAATTACGAGGCGCCCCGAACAAGACGGCGGACCATAAGAAATTGCTATTTGAGGCGGCGGTGTCTAACGGAACGCAAGTTGAGAAGATCAAGCCGGTGTGGGTGGGATGAGGAGACATTTAGGAAAATTGCAACATAATACTCCTCCTGTTGTCTCGATTTTTTGCCCCCTTCTCTTCTTCATGACGTTTTTTACTCCGAAAATATTCACAGGTGAAAAAGTGTGTTTCCAGATACTCACGAACAAGTTTACCTACAAAATTGAAAAAGATGTGGTATGAATTTGCGCAAAAATGTGTCAATTTTCTCATTTCCTCGCTTTATTACTCTGTTTTTCCAATATACCTATTTGTAAGCCATCGGAATAGAAAGTATGGCAAGGTTTTATTCAGAAATTGAATACTTTATTCAAAAAATGTGTTTTTCAGTCAAGTATCTCGCCAATAATCACACATTTTCATTGTTTGATTGTCATTAATTACTGCTTGCTTGGAACAGGATATTTTTTTATAGTTTTATCGCGTTTATACGAGGCGTCCACTTTAATATCCAAAACTATGTGCTCTCTATCCTACATCTACTTTATTTTTGTATTCACAACAGTTCCCGTCTGTACTTTTCTCATTTCATTATTATCCGTTCAACGTGTCACTTCATTTTTTCATCCGAAAATTGGCAAATTTATCAATCCTGAAAAGTGAGTTCACAAATTGGTTTTTAAATGTTCTATTTGTAGACGCTTAATTTACCTGATATTGTACATGCTAGCAGCTGCTTGCGTTTGTCACCCAGTTCTAGTAGTCGAATATTATTGGAATTATTTTAAACTTGTAAAAAATTGTCATATAAAAGTTGAAATTTCTGGTGGTGATTACATTATTTTTAATTTTGTAAGATAGTTTAGATACCAAATGAGAAAAAAACCGTTTTTTTAGCGTATGCGTACCGTACTCGACATTTGCGTTTTGCTCTCGTGTATTCCTTACAGCGTAATGATCCTTAAAATCAGAAAACTCAAGACATTTACAAATAGTTGTAAAAGTGTCCGCCCGGAACGTTATTTGATATGTCAAATTTGTGGTCAGCTGATTTCACACATAATTTCAATATTGTACGTTCCAATGCTCTTCAATTTTCATCTATATAACGAGCTAAAGGTATGTGCAATGTGAATTGTGCATTAAAAAAACAAATTTCAGTTTCACTTCGCTCTACTGCTTTCCAGCATCATTCTGACATATCCAACAGTTCAGCTATGTTATGTTATATCCAATGCTGAAACTTATAGAATTATTGCCGATATAAAATATGTCGGTCAACAAGTGTCCACAGTATTTCAACGGAGAAATAGGATAAGACCAGCTGTGAACGTTCAACAGATCTATCATGTTACATAACTTTTGGATAAGTGTTTATACTTGGAATAGCAAAAAGAAAGACGGACCGGACAAAAAACGCAACCTGCACCGCGACCTACCCAAAAATGCATATATTTTATATTCTATCCAATACTCGAACGCATCGAATAATTTCTGAGGGAGCGTACTCATATAGAGTAGGGGAACACATTCCAACAAAAATTTTATGAAAATTCGGAGTTTCGTGAAACCCGTTGCGGTCCCTAATTATGGTACATTTTTGTTGTTTAAAAACTGAGTTGATTAGAACGAGAGCAGCGCATAGAAGTGTAGTTTGTAGTGTAAACAGCTCCAAATTCACGAGAGCAGCGCCCAGAAAGTTTAGTTTGTAGTGTAAACAGCTCCAAATTCACGAGAGCAGCGCCCGAAATGTGTAATTTGTAGTCTAAGCAGCGCTAAATTCACGAGAGCAGCACCCAAAAAGTGTAGTTTGTTTTACAGGAGCCGCGCCCAACAAAAACATGTCGTAACAAACCGGGCCTTCGAGTTGAGGCCGGTTACGAAGCGTTCATTCTCTACGCTCATCAGAGGTCGTTCAAATTCCCGCAGAAACTGCATCATCTCACTCCGAATTCTCCAGGAGCTGTTCGGAAAATTCTGGAAGAAGAATCGGACGATTCAGAATATTTGACGGCGAAAGAAGTAAAAGAAGCGGTGAAATAGGCGACAGAAAATGCGTTGGGCGTGGAAGTGAAAACGAAATTGTGCGTGATGAAAGACGAGCAGGCTGGATGCTCCGACGAGGATTCCGAAGGTCCAGACGACGTGGAGAAGATTCTGAAGCACGCACGTCATCTGAAAAAGAAGTGGAAACAAACGGCTACACTTTTGGATAAATGTTTATACTTGAAATATGATGTCATTTTCATTGATAATAAATAAAAATAACTTCGAACCCAGGTGAAAAAGTAAAAGGAATTGGAAATTTAGGCAACAGGTGGCAGAAAAATAATCGATTTATGAGTCAACAAACCTTTTTTTCCAACTAAAAAAATGCCAGATAGTATATATTATGAAATTTCTGCTCATTTTATAAGAACCATCATTCGCCTAATTACTTTGGCAGTGTTTCCAATTTACATATATGTTAGCACCCGTTATCAGAAAAACGGGAAGGTAAATGTCTTTTTCTTTGAAGACCTGAAGAAGACATGGAAAAACGAATATGTACATTTCACAGATTTCAACTTCTATTATAATCAATCATTTACATCACTTGATACTCATGAATTATAGTTTTATTGGCTCAGAATACATCCTCATCATATTAACTTATTTGTTTGGTGAATTGTAAGCTGAATGCAATGAAATAGTCTTACTAATACTTCCAGAAATACCATAATCAAAGAGAAATGTCTTTTGCTGTTTGCTAAAAACATTTTTGACTTGATCACAGTACCAGTATGCACATTTCTCATTTCTATTTTATCACTGCAACGTTTCACCTTATTCTACTTTCCAAAAATTGGCCAGACTCGCAATCCAGATGGATTCAGAAGATTCATGGTTAAAAACACGTTCCAAATTTCTATGTTCCTATTGTTTTATATCACAGCATTAGAGATATTTTTTCCTGCATTATACGTGGAGCAATATTATGCGAACACCCTTTTCTTTCAAAAATGTGGAATCAAAAACATTGGTCGGTTTGACGATGATTACGTTCTCAAATTATTTGTGAGCATCCAATTTCTGATTCGTTTTGCCACGAAAATTTCAGCGCATTCGAACCATGCTTGACGTTTTCACTGTCATATCGTGCATTCCTTACATTGCAATGATCGTTAAAATCAGAAAACTTAAAAAATTGAATCGAAATGCTAAAAGGACCCGTCCGGAACGATATCTGATATGCCAGATCGGCGGTCAAATTGTGACGCATATTCTTTCACTTTTGGGTGCTTTTTTCCAGGGCAGATTCCAAATCGTATATGAACTCGATGTTTGTCAAAAAATAAGAAACACATGAAGCAACACTTTCTATACATTTCAGTTCCATTATCATCTGTACATAACGAGCACCTTGCTGACCTACCCAACAATGCAGATATGTTATATCCTATCCAATACTGAAACGCATCGAATAGTTTCTGATTTCAAAAACATTGGACAACAAATTTCTAGCGTGATTCATCGGAGAACTATTATAAGGCCTGTTTTGAATGCCCAACAAATTTATTCAGCGTCATAACTTTATAATAGACCCTTAGTTATGTTCAATGAAGTTTTGTTCAAGATTTGAAGGATGTTTACATTTTTGCATCTTCGAAACAAATGACATCACTAGCAGGGGATATTTTGTGTTTCCAGTAGAACAATCTTATTCAGATACCTGACAAAATGTCGTTTAGCGGTTTAACAAACTTATACTTTGCAATTTTTCCATTTTGTTTCCTTTCCCCTTTTAGCACCCTTGTTATTTTCTCTTTTGTCTCGGACACAACTCCATCAATTCACATCCGATTCCTCTACTTTTACTTATTTTGTCTCCCCTAAAGGAGACTTGCCAAAATTAAAAAGCTGACGCTAAATTTCTTTAGGTCATTCCCAGGTTCGCACCTCAAACTTGGGTAATTAAACCGAACCTAACACTGCGTCGCCGCTCTTAAACAGTGCGCGCAGCCGACACGTCCGAGGGACGGCGAGAACGAGGCTTCACCATAGCACACAACATTTTGTGCGGCCGCCGCCAAGCGATTTTTCGAAGAAGACGAGGTAAGAATAGAGGCGGTGGCTGCGAGAAAATGATGGCGACGGCACAGTGATAATCTCGCTTACGACCACATCACGTTGAATACACGCCATCCCGTCCGATCTGGCAAGTTAAGCAACGTTGAGTCCAGTTAGTACTTGGATCGGAGACGGCCTGGGAATCCTGGATGTTGTAAGCTTTTGCCTTTTTCATCTTAATTTAGCCATTCGGGCCCTAATTTGGCCTGTTGGGCCGATTATTAGGGCATAGCTTCATGAATACGCATTCACTTTTTTACTTTTAGTTATTTCGTCTCCCCTGAAGGAGACGATCCAAAATTGATAGCAAACCGTAAATTGGTAGCTTTAATGTGAATTCACTTGGAAGAACGCACTTTCAGTCAATGCCCTCAGTTCTACGGGATGCAAAGAATTGTCTGGCCTCGCTGGGCCCGTTCCGTTTTGTCGGGTCCGTCGTTCTTTGTGATGCTCTCAGCGGACATACAAAAAGACAGACAGACAGACGCCTCTTGTGTTGTATATATATATATATAACAAAGATAACGTTATCATTGTTCAGACTGTGGTTTTCTTTCAAATAATTTTCCTTCCAAGAAAATCAAATCACACGTCTATTCAATAATCATATTCTTCAGCGATGAAAGTACAAAATAACAGAATGACCACCCTTTTTTGTTATAAAATAGTACAATATTCGATATTGTCACATTTCGAATCGAAATCATGCCAATGCCGTCGGTTTTCCGTATTCTACAATACTCTGGATTTGTGCTAACTGAAATTTCCAGTCTATTTCTGTTATTTCTGCTCTTCACCAGGGCTTCAAAGAAAATTGGAAACTATAAATACTTGATGATTTCCTTTTCAATGTTTTCAGTGATTTTTGCGATTATCGAGATTCTGACACAACCGGTAAGTTGTAAGAAAAAAAAAATTTTTTTCATCTGTTTGCAGGCAATGATAGTTTCCGGAACTGGCCTCATGATTTGGGTGGACAGTTTTTTGAGATATGAACAATATTGGGGCTTTCACTTGGCAGGCGTGTACAAAACGCGCTAAAATTGACAAATAACCTTGACTCTTGCAGCTCTCGACTGCTCAAGTTTCGGAATTTGCATTTCGCTACTCTCCACTCACTTTTTCTATCGATATTGGGCGGTTTGTAAGTGAGTTGATCGAAACATTGTCCAACTATTCAACTCGATTTTTAGGCCGCACCTAACTCAACGATTCACCGGAAAACGTCTGGGTTTCCTCTTATTTCCGGCGATTCTGTATGGGATTGTATGGTTTTTGACGTTGGAAATGTGTGTACAACCCGTGGATTTTACAAAGAAATACTTCAAGTTTGAGAATTATGAAAATACACATGAATAGATGAGTGTTTGCCAGGAAACGAATGCGAGAGTTGTACAATGAGGATAGTTATGCGGTTGCTCAAATTTCTGCAGTCTATTATGTGAGTAGATTTGATGGCCCTCACACCATTTGCTTCACTTTTCCAGTACTACACCCCATCCGGCGCTCTGATAATAAATTGGCTTTCGATTTTCGGAATTCTCATTCTCAACCTCATTATGATGATCTCAATAACGTCAATAGTGTACTTTGGCCTGAAAACGTACCAAAGTGTGAACAGTAACTCGAAGATGAGTGCGCGCACGCGGGACCTCCACAAACAACTCTTCTACACGCTCGTCCTACAGTCCATCGTCCCTTTTTGCATACTTTTCACTCCCGCATGCCTCTTTCTCCTACTTCCCCTCTTCAACGTGGATATCGGTGTTTGGGCGAACACTCCCGGCGCCACCGTCAGTTTTTATCCGGCCATTGACGCCCTCATCGCCGTTTTCATGATTCGCGATTTTCGCAATACCGTTTTGTGTGAGTGCAATTGTTTTTGTCTATAATACTTAGGGACCGCAACGGGTTTCGCAAAACTCCGAATTTCCATAAAATTTTTGATGGAATGTGTTCCCCCACTCTATATGAGTACGCTCCCAATTTTTTTTACCAAAATTTTCGGTACATCCCGAGTTACACCCCTTCAAAATTGCCCTGTTTTCTCCCGGGTCGGCGGCAGAGGAGGGGCGTGGCCTCGCTTGCAAGTTTGCCGCACGCGTTTTTTCTCATTATCTGGTGGACCAAACCAAAGAGTCAACATTTTAAATGAACAGAAATGATGTTCTAAAAAAGCAAAACCACTTTTGAGGTCAAAAGCTTCGAACCCGACACCTCAAAATAGCCGAGCGAGCACTCTGCCACTGCGCCACCCGGGCGGAGGCGCGCCCACCGCCAATCGCGTTGAAAAGCTCGGTGTGCGCGGCCCCTTACAGGGGTGAAGTTAGTGCATTTTCGCGCTGAAATTCGAAACATATCTGACTGTAACTTTTTTCGGCAACGTGGAAAATTGTAATTCTAAACGGAATTTTGTCTAGAATTTCACGCAGAATCCGATTCCGTAAAAATTAGCCGTGTGAACGGTACCTGTGACCCTCAAATCCTCGAAAAACTAAAATATCGTCTGAATAGGCGTTACTCAATCGAACACAAAAATGCTCCTAGGGTGTCTAGAGCTCTGAAAATTTATATTTGGGTTCTCAGAGAGTGTATCTATAGATTCCGAAAATAAAAAAAAGGGGTCATCGCTGAAAATTTTCCGCTAACTTTTCTGGCAGTTTGAGGATCTGTAAAAAATTTCGGCAACGTGGAAATTTAAATCTGACTTCAAAAACGGATTCCCCATCCCTTAAACTATCGGAATCACTTGAAAATAGGCGTGTGATCCCATAAACTTGGCCACACAGGCTCTCAGACTGACTTCCATTTTCGTTTTCGCCGTTTTTTGGAAAAACGGTGCGTTTTCACGGGAAACTGAGTTGTTCATTGGATTCAGCATGGTCGATTACATAAAGTAAACCGTTTTGGGTATGGTACTTCATTTGGGGACCTCGGTACAGACCGTCAAACACGCGCGCGCGAAAATCGGGAGAAAATTCGTCAGGCCACGCCCCCTTTGTTGCGCCCCCTAATAATACTAAGGCATTTACATGAATCGATGCAGAGTTCGACGTACAACTCAAAATTCTTGAAGCTAGGCTTGAAAATCACTTTGAAAGCCTGTCGACGGTTCTTTCACTTTTGATCCTATAACTGACTTTTTAAATTTCAGGAAAAAATCGATCTGCAACTGTCAAATCGACTACGATGATAATTGATAGTGTTGTTAATATATCGGAAAAGCATAAAGTCTCAACATAATCGATTTATTCAATATTTAGCGACATCCTGACAAGGAATGTACCCAGAAATGGACAGACGGCGTCAGCTCTTTATTAAACAAGAATGATGATAAGGACGATCTACATAAATAACTAAAAACAACTATTTCGGCAGCGGCAGCGGCAGTTGCTGGTCCGATTGTGGGTAGTCCACAATTCCGGTCATATTGAAGCCGAACGCCACGTAGTCGTGATAATAGGTCCGATGAAGATAGTGACGGATGTACGGGTCGGTACGTACCTGAAAATTTATAAATACTAGACTTTATAGACTTCTAACCAGGGTTGAGAGCAGACTTGCCAAATCCCGGGCCGGCCCGGCCCGGCCCGGTTTCGGCCCGGCCCGGCTCCGCCCACTCTTGAGAAAATTTTCGTAATTTTTGTGAAAATTTTGCGACTTTAATCAGCAATTTCTATTTTTTAACAGGTTTTTATGCTATAACATTGCCTTTTTAAGTCTATAAAATTTTAAGTCTATAAAATTATGTTCGTTTCGAAGTTCTAGTTCGCTTTGAATTTTTAGGTGCATCCTCCCGGGCCGGCCCGTTGCAAGTCTGGTTGAGAGGAAGAACTCAACGCTAGAATACGGAAGAATTTTTTTTTTCTTTTTTAGAACATTTTTTAATGAAATGTGATCAACTGACGAAATGAATAGCAAAATGAACTCTGCTCATAGAAAAATAATTGTTAATTTAGCTTTTCTTACAAAAAAGTTATTCGAGTTGCTGCGTGAAAAAGGGGCCAACGGAACAACTCGAATAACTTTTTTGTATGAAAAGCTAATTTTACAATTATTTTTCTATGTGCAGAGTTCACTTTGCTATACATTTCGTCAGTTGATCACATTCCATGAAAAAATTTTCTAAAAAAGATAAAAATTCTTCCGCTCAACTCTGCTTCTAACCCGTCTACAGGCTTTAAAACTGATTTTCTGGTGTCGCTTCAAGAGAATCGTTTGTTCTACACAAAATTCTGCATCGATTCATGACGAACCTGCTTCAAAACCTCTTCGCTTTCCCTGGAATCGTACGTGGCGTGTGCGGTGTCTCCTTCCGCCGAATCGCGCACAATTTTCTCGATGTGATGATGTGGAATGCCGGCGAACTCTAGCACTTTTCGCAATTTTCGCATTGCCACGTCACGAGCCTCGGGAGCGGTTCCGATCGGAATGAGATGGAAATCCGACAGATATTGATTGAAATCGCAGTTCCACGTTTGCGGTGCCGCGTGCCATTCCAGCCAATATTTCGGATTGTCCTTGAGAATCGAACTCTGATTGTGTACCAGTGTCATCAGTCTGAAATTGGTCTCCGTTTCGGATTACTGTAGCTTCAAAACCATTCGGGTGATCAGATCTTTCCCCGAAACGCCGAAAAGCTAGCCAAAGCCGAAAGATTGGAAACGGCGATTTAAGTGGTCGAAAAAACAATGATCACGATCAGATTTTCCCGAAAATTGCCTAATAACTCGCTTGGAAATTGCACACACAATACGCGCGGTTTTTGCAAAGTTAACAGAAAAGCGTCAAGGCACCAAAAGTGCGCCAAGTTCCAGGATTACTGTAGAACATGTTCTCCGGAGAGATCATGAATCCATCTTGGGAAATAACAATAATGGGCGACGTTTCTAAGTCGGCGCAGAATTTTCGCAGATTTTAAACGAAGATTGGGGATGATCGCGTTCAAAATTGACAATTTTGGCCGAGGACGTCTTTTATAAAGTTGATTTATCGATAAATTTATGGATAGATTCAAGCGACTCACTTGTCATAAACCAATTTGCTGGCACACCGCACATCTGTACAATTTTCACAAGCGCCTGCTCTGAAATGTGTTTCGGATAAGCGTTTATCCATAATTTTTTTGTTTATACATACCTCATACATTTATCCACATAAAACGAGGCGAATCTCTCTTCTGGATTTCGGATAAACGCGAACTTTGTGAGCTTACTCATATCCACTTGTCCGGCGCGAATCATTTGATTCCAAATGGTCCAATGAATTCCAGGACAACTTATTCTGCAAAATTCTATCGATAAATTCTTTTTTTTTTCTTGGATAATTATAAATACCTGTCAATCTTCCAGGTATCCAACAAAGTTTGATTATTTTGCAAGAATCCTTCGGTATTATTCAGATAGCACATGATATTGTAGCTGAGCTGTGACATGCTTTTTCGAATATTACATCCTAGCAGATTGTATCCACCGACCACCTGAAAATGGAAAATTATAATATCATAGTCATGCTTAGATTCTCCGAACTTTTAAAAAATCCGGGTCCCAAGGATACTCTCTAACTTACCGCATAATCGTTGAGCAGTGGAATGAAGGGCGGCACAAATTCAGTGATATTATCTGAGTTTATCGAAAAATGTTTATCCATTGAATAAAGTGTGTGCGCACTTACCGCCCGGCAACAACACCTCCTCCTCCTTCTTCTCCTCCTTCTTCTCCTCCAAAGCCGTCAAGTACCACGTGCATTCGAGAAGCACAAAAATGCAGCCGACCGCCAGAAAAACAAACTTTCGACTGACCAAATTCACGCTCATTCTTGCGCAAATACTGTCGATTCACGCTTTTATACCGGGGGCGGTATAAATTTTTTCTCAAATTTGTTCCTGATCTTCTTCGAAATGGCACGGAACCTCCCATTTTCCGGATTTCTCCACGTTTTTTGATCATTTCGAACCTAATTTCCATGTGGGCGGAGTCTCGGCGGATTACTGTAGAACATGTTTCGGTGAAATGCTTCGCCGATTCAGTCGGGGGGCAAGGAAATCAAGATGGAAAGGTGGAACATCGGGATCAAGTTTACCGCCGCGATCTTTGAAGATCCGAGGTGCGTGTTCGAGGAGCATGGGGAAAAAAGAGAAAACCAACCAAAAACACGCATGAATAATCGATGAATCCACTCGAAATACGTCAAAATTATCAGTCTCCAGAGATCTCCAATTCAGTGTCATCTTTTTGATCTTCCTAGTGTTTTTCTAATGTCCATTTTTGCGATTTTCCGATGCGATCGCCATCTCCGACTACATGTTCCACGTCAAACCGAAAAAGACGAAAAGTGGCCAGCTACGTCGGCGAATCTTGAGTAAGAAAGATGTCCAGCAACTTTGGAAGGTTTGAGTTTTCGAAAGTGTATGTATAATATATGCATTTTCAGCACTATCGATCGTCTGGCGCGTTTTGGAAAACTATCATCGAATTCGCAGGAGAATTGAGGAATTGGAGAAGGAGTTGAGTGCGATGGACCAAGCCGAAAATAAAACGGTGGCGTCAAAAAAGACACCGGTCAAAAGGCCGCCTCTCAAAAGGACCCCCGGCTGGAAAGTGCGAAAGTGAGGAGCACGCACTGCAAACAATTTTTGATTTCTCTATGATTGTCTTGGTTTGCATCATGATTGTCTCCATGTGTTTCATTCAATTCATTTTGTTTCAAATGTAATTTTTTTTCTAATGTCTTAGCTTATTGAGACCTTTCAAATGACAGGTTTTGCGAACATTGGGTCCCACCACGAAAAGTACAGTAATCATTTTGTGGCGGGACCCACAATTTTAAAAGTATTTTGAACTGGCTCATGATTATACTCATTTGAAAGGTCTCAACAAGTTGAGCACAAAGGTTCCGTTATTTTCGTGGTCCCTCGACGATTATCAACCGAAAGGACGAGCAGACGAGCGACCGTTGATCGATGGTGAAAAGAAAACGATAAGGTTTGATGAGGTGATGTACAAATGGTAAAAAATGACCTACTTGGGAGAAAATAGACACAGTTGCGAAACGTCCTGTGGCTCAAATAATTCTCGAGTGAATAATTCATATCTAGTAGAGTATTTTTGTAGTTGACACTTTTTCTCCACGACCTCTGCCTGGATTACTGTAGCGCTTGGAAGTTTAGCCTTTGCTTTTGGCTATTGTCCATTTCAAAAGGCTTCAGTAATTCAGCGAGTGGTTTTACGAAAAAAGTGTCAACTACAAAAGTGTAGTACTAGATGTCAAGATATCCCGAAAAAATTTCCAGAGTCATAGGACGTTTTGCAACCGTGCAATACTCGTTCAAAGTTGATCAAATGTGGTGCCCCGTGAATATCGCATGTTTCGCAAAGTGTGTGCCGTTCTTTGCATCATTCACAATTTCATAACATCAAGTGAAACATGATAACCGATATCGTATGACCGAGTGAAAAAAGCAAATAGTTTCCCCCCAAATCACACATTGAAAAGTGAGTTCTCTGTCTCTCTTTTTTTTTCTCTCTCTCGATATTATCGGTCTCCGATAATGTACAGTGTGCTCGACGTGTGGTTTATGCCGCAAAAGCGAGCGGAGTTTATGCCGAAGACGAAAATTTGGAATTTCGAGCCATAAAACATGCACAAATGCGTTTCTTTCGCCGGAGAATTAGGGAAATGGAAAAGGGGCGGAGCCTGGAGAGCTTGCTCCGAGAGCATCATCATTCTAAATTCATCTGAACATTCTTCAACACTTACTTTATCATTTATTGGGGCTTTTGTGTTTGCTGAAACCAAGATCATTGGGAAAAGAGACCAAAAAGTTTGCTTACCCCCCTCCCGAAATCATTGGGATATTGTTTGTCTCCAAGAACGTCCCCTTCACCCCCCCCCCCTTTCCTAGACTATTCTCCGGGTTGTTTCAACAAACTAGAGATGCAATTTTTTGTGCTCGCGCTCCGCGCCGACGCTTTTATGAAGACAATGATAGCGATAGGGGTGGTGTCATTTCCTTTTTCGAAAATGAACAATTTCAGTGTGCAGCTAGAGTGTCACGTCTAATACCACATTTTCCGAGTTCTCACTGGATTACTGTAGCTCTTGGAAAGTGAGCTCAAGAGTTTCCGGATTTTTGTAACGCTAATTCATAATGCACACTTCAAAGAGCTACAAAAATTGTGACCATTGGACGTTTCGCAACCGCATAATACCCGTTCAAACGTTTCTGATATTATACATTTCCAGGTAATGGGTCTATTCAAAAAGAAGCCGGACGACTCATCGTCCGCGGAGTCCGAGAAGAAGGAAGAAGTGCCGCCGCCTCCGAAAATCTCAATTTTCCAACTTTTCCGCTACACAAGTACACCCGATCGGGTCATGTTGATTATTGGAATTGTCGTCTCTTGTGCCACTGGTCTGGGCCTTCCATTAATGTCGATTATTATGGTAGGTCTGCACTATACTGATATTGTGAAATTCTAATAGTAAGCATCCATACAAAAAACCACGTTTTTTTAGGGTAACGTCTCACAAAACTTTATCGAAATCGGAACGATATTGTTGAACAGCACTGGTACGTTTCTCCGTCAAACTTTCCACGATTCCGCTATTGTAGATCCGGCGGTTATCCAAAAAGCAAAAGATGACTTTTCGCACGCTGTCATTCAAAACTGCCTGAAATACGTCTATCTGGGAATCGGAATTTTCACAGCCGGTTTGCTTCAAGTGAGTCTGAAATATCGAGGAGAATTTTCTATTTGACTCGCTCAATCCAGGCCTCGTGCTTCTTGATCATCTGTGAGAACTTGTCGAACCGTCTGCGCCGGGCGTTTTTCTACTCGGTCATGAGGCACGAGATTAGTTGGTACGACAAGAACACTTCGGGAACATTGTCCATCAAACTTTTCGAGTAATGCTTTCAAAAACCCGTTGTTTGACCTAAACCGAAACATCTACAGTAACCTGGAACGAGTGCGTGAGGGAACCGGCGACAAAGTGGGCCTCGCGTTCCAGATGATGGCGCAGTTCATCGGCGGATTCGCCGTCGCGTTCACCTACGACTGGCTGCTCACGCTCATCATGATGTCGCTCTCGCCGTTCCTGATGATTTGCGGACTGTTTCTCGCCAAACTGCTCGCGACGGCCGCCACGAAAGAGGCGAAACAGTACGCGGTGGCGGGCGGAATTGCCGAGGAAGTGCTCACTTCCATCCGCACCGTCATCGCCTTCAACGGACAGGAATACGAGTGCAAGCGGTTGGTCTTACGGGTTGGCGCAATTTCCTGCAAACTTGCTCAAATTCTCGCAAATTCCTGCAAACTTGCTCAAATTCTCGCCAATTTCCTGCAAACTTGCTCAAATTCTCGCAATTTCCTGCAAACTTGCTCAAATTCTCGCCAATTTCCTGCAAACTTGCTCAAATTCTCGCCAATTTCCTGCAAACCTGCTCAATTTCTCGAAATTTCCTGCAAACTTGCTCAAATTCTCGCAATTTCCTGCAAGCTTGCTCAAATTCTCGCAATTTCCTGCAAACTTGCTCAAATTCTCGCAATTTCCTGCAAACCTGCTCAAATTCTCGAAATTTCCTGCAAACTTGCTCGAATTCTCGCAATTTCCTGCAAACCTGCTCAAATTCTCGCAATTTCCTGCAAACCCGCTCAAATTCTCGCAATTTCCTGCAAACTTGCTCAAATTCTCGCAATTTCCTGCAAACTTGCTCAAATTCTCGCAATTTCCTGCAAACTTGCTCAAATTCTCGCAAATTCCTGCAAACTTGCTCAAATTCTCGCAATTTCCTGCAAACTTGCTCAAATTCTCGCAATTTCCTGCAAACTTGCTCAAATTCTCGCAATTTCCTGCAAACCTGCTCAAATTCTCGCCAATTTGCAGGTACGAAGACGCGCTGGAACACGGAAAACAGACGGGAATCAAAAAGTCGTTCTTCATCGGCGCCGGCCTCGGCTCGTTCTTTGTCATCATCTACGCGTCGTACTGTCTGGCGTTCTGGATCGGCACCAACTTTGTTTTCGACGGGCGACTCGACGGAGGTACGGTTCTTACCGTCTTCTTTTCCGTCATGATGGGCTCAATGGCTCTCGGCCAGGCGGGGCAGCAGTTTGCGACGATCGGAACGGCGATGGGCGCGGCGGCCAGTTTGTATGAAGTTATCGACCGGACCCCTGAGATTGATGCGTACTCGACGGAGGGAGTGACTCCCGAGAAGATTTCCGGAAGGATTCGTGTGGAGAACGTCGAATTCACGTACCCGACACGTGCGGACGTACAGGTCCTCAATGACGTGTCCCTGAACGCCCAACCCGGACAGACAATCGCGCTTGTCGGCTCTTCCGGATGCGGCAAAAGTACCATAATCCAACTGCTCCAACGTTTTTATAATCCCGACGCGGGCCGAATCTTCATCGATGACATCCCGATTCAAGATTTTAACATCAAATACTTGAGACAGCTCGTTGGAGTCGTCTCGCAAGAGCCCAATTTGTTCAACACGACCATCGAGCAGAATATTCGGTACGGAAGAAGTGACGTCGATGAGGAGGCGATCAATCGGGCGTTGAGGGAGGCCAATGCCTTGGATTTCATCAAGACTTTCCCCTTGGTTAGTCGGGAAAACGCTTCTTTTTTGGGGAGATTTCCGCAATTTTCTGGCATTCCAGGGTCTGAACACGCTGGTCGGTGATCGTGGAGTCCAAATGTCCGGGGGTCAGAAACAGAGAATCGCGATCGCCCGAGCGCTCGTCAGAAATCCCAAAATCTTGCTGCTGGATGAGGCGACGAGTGCTCTAGACGCCGAATCGGAGAGTGTCGTGCAAGTGGCTCTGGAAAATGTGAGTACAATTTTTGAAACGAGATTTGAGACAATATCCTTAAGGCCTCCCGTGGCCGAACAACAATCGTCATTGCGCATCGTCTATCGACAGTTCGAAACGCGGACAAGATTATTTGTATGAAGGCGGGAAAGGTTGTGGAAGTGGGCACCCACGAGAGTCTAATCGAGAAGAAGGGACTGTACCACGAACTGGTTCACGCGCAAGTCTTTGCCGACGTCGACGAGCAGCCGAAGGTCAGAAAAGAGGCGGAGCGTCGGTTCTCGAAGCAGATTTCCGAGAAGCGGGGCAGTTTGGCGAAGATCAAAAGGCAGGAATCGGAAATCGATGAAGGAAAGAGCGGAGGAGGACCCCCACAGCCAGAAGCCGCCGAGAAAGAGATTAAACGTCTGAAGAAAGAGTTGGAGGAGGAAGGAGCCGTCAAAGCGAACCTTTTCCGAATCCTAAAGTACGCCCGACCCGAATGGATGTTCATCTTTCTCGCCATCATTTCGGCGCTAATCCAGGGAGCCGTCATGCCCGCGTTCTCGCTGTTCTTCTCGCAAATCATCAACGTTTTCGCGAATCCGAACAAGGCGCAAATGAAGAAGGACGGTCACTTTTGGGCGCTCATGTTTCTCGTTTTGGCCGCTGTCCAGGGACTTTCGATGCTCTTCCAATGCGCGTTTTTTGGAGTTGCCGCCGAGAGATTGACGATGAGGGTCAGGAGCAAGGTGTACAGGTTCGGGTTTTGGCACAGAATAGTCGGGAGGCGATTGATGAAGCGCTCGATGAGCTGACGCCTTTCATTTTCATTTTTTGCAGAAACGTTCTCCGTCAAGACGCCACCTACTTTGACATGCCGAAACACTCGCCTGGCCGAATCACAACCCGTCTGGCGACCGATGCTCCGAACGTCAAATCGGCGATCGACTACCGTCTCGGCTCCGTTTTCAACGCGGCCGCCTCGATCTCGGGCGGTCTCGGCATCGCCTTCTACTACGGCTGGCAGATGGCCCTGCTCGTCATGGCCATCTTCCCGTTGGTCGCCATCGGACAGGCCCTCGTCATCAAGTATCACGGCGGCACGGCGACGGCCGACGCGAAAGAGATGGAGAATAGCGGGAAGACGGCGATGGAGGCGATCGAAAACATCCGGACCGTCCAGGCGCTCACCCTCCAGACAAAACTCTACAACCAGTTTTGTTCGCATTTGGATGCGCCGCACAGTGGGAACGTCTCAAAAGCGGTGCTGCGCGGTCTGACCTACGGCTTCGCCAACTCGATTCAATTCTTCGTCTACTCGGCCGCCTTCCGCTTCGGCCTATGGCTCATCTTCGAGCCGCACGTCCTAATGGACCCGCAAAATGTGCTCCGCGTCCTGTTCGCCATCTCGTTCTCCTTCGGAACCATCGGATTCGCGGCCTCCTACTTCCCCGAGTACATAAAAGCCACGTTTGCCGCCGGATTGATCTTCAATATGCTGGAAGAAGAGCCGCGGATCGACGGAATGACTTTGAGCGGGAGCACTCCGAGACTCAGCGGAGAAGTGAAACTGAACAAGGTCTTCTTCCGATACCCCGAACGACCGGGAGTACCCATTCTACAAGGTCTGGACGTTCACGTCAAACCCGGACAGACTTTGGCCCTTGTCGGACCCAGCGGTTGCGGAAAGAGTACTGTCATCTCGTTGTTGGAACGATTGTACGATCCGATGGATGGTTCTGTGGTGAGTGCGCGAAATAGACAGCATTTTTTACTTTTCGTGGTGGGACCAAGACATGATTGTACTCATTCGAAAGGTCTCGATGGTGATACTCAAAAAGCGTGTAATCTTCCAGTCGGTCGACAACAACGATCTCCGTCAAATGAACCCGAAACATCTGCGAAAGCACATTGCGCTCGTGTCGCAGGAGCCGATTCTCTTCGACACTTCCATCCGGGACAACATTGTTTACGGACTCGAACCGGCCGAATTCACGGAACAAGAAATCGAGACGGCGTGTGTCAAGGCGAATATTCACAAGTTTATCGCCGAGTTGCCCGACGTGAGCTTTTTTTTCTTCTCAATGTTCTATAGTTTTCTGCACATTTTGAGGGCTACCAAACACGCGTGGGCGAGAAGGGAACCCAGTTGTCGGGCGGTCAAAAACAGCGAATCGCCATCGCGCGCGCACTCATCCGAAATCCGAAAATTCTGCTGCTGGACGAGGCGACGAGTGCGCTGGACACGGAAAGTGAAAAACAAGTGCAAATCGCGTTGGACGCCGCCGCCAAAGACCGTACTTGTATTGTTGTCGCGCATCGATTGTCGACTATCGTCAACGCCGGATGTATTATGGTGGTGAAGAACGGAGCGGTTGTCGAGCAAGGTGAGCGTTTTGGCGAGCGAAAAATGCACTTGATGTTTGTGCTCTAGGTTCTCAAAACTTTGGAAAATTCGGGTCCCGCCACGTAAAGATTACTGTACTTTTCGTGTTGGGACCCGCATTTTCCAATATTCTCAGAATCTAGGCATGATTATAGTCATTTGAAAGCTCTCAACGAGCTGAATTCGATAAAACCATTTTCACACTCTATAATTTGTTCATTTTTTGCAGGTACTCACACAGAATTGATGGCCAAACGTGGCGCCTATTTCGCGTTGACCCAAAAACAGTCTGTGAACCAGACCGGCGGCGAAGTTGACAACGGCGACGATGATGCGGTCAAATTTTAATCACTTCTGAGATTGCCCCTGTTTTCTGCGACAATGAATGATCTCTATTTTGTGTTTTACTCTCTTCAATACCAGAATTGCAAAAGCCTACAGTAATCCTTATCCAAGTACATACTTTTTCGTGCTCTTTGATGCTCTAGTCGTCTGAAAAAGGCGAAAAAGGGATGAAAACAGCCGGCGGGACATCAATCTTCATCACTTTTTTCCCTTCTTCTCAGCAAGTGCTCATCCGTCCCAACTCACTCAGCTCTACGATTTTTGATGTCCTAGACCCCCCTCTCCCCCTCTTATGGACGGATAATTGTATTGTTCACTTTTTCGGCCCTCCGATAATTCGATTTGGCACGTGTCACTCGTGACTTTGAGTCAGAGGGGGGAGGGGCGGAGTCTCAACGAAAGCCCTCACTCGATGTTCATCCAGTTTTCTACTGACAGCCATGTCGCAACCGCTTCAAGAAGGCGCTGAAGTCCAGGTCCCCGTGGTGCATCGTCAATCGGACGGCTCGAAGATTCATGAGATCGCCGGGCACAAATTCAAAGCCGCCGTGCTCCATCAGCCGACGTTCTGCGCGTTCTGCGCCAAATTCATCTTTGGCGTCGGAAAACAGGGCTACAAGTGTCTCGGTGAGCTTTTTTTTGCTCACAATGCAAGGGCCTAGGCTCTGAGAAATTGTGAAACACGAAAAGTACAATAGTTCAAGGTCTCAACGAGTAGATCACAGATTTTGACATTCAGGTTGTGAAACCGTCGTCCACAAGCGGTGCCACGCGTTCGTAACCGGTCGATGCACCTTCGGACCGTCCTCGCGTGCTCCTCCGACGGCCGCGCCACAAGATCTGGAGGTGCGTCGGCGTCGATCGGCTTCCGAGGAGCCGTCCTCCAACAATCATCACTTTTCGGGACATTTCTACAAGCGGCCGACGTTCTGCGATCACTGCGGCAGCCTAATGTACGGAATCACGCGTCAGGGCGTCCGGTGCACGCATTGTCACGCGAACGTCCACTGGAGATGTCAGGAGAAGGCGGTGCACAATTGTGGCATTCAAGTTCAGTGATTCCCCGTCGAACTTTTTGATCGTTCCTGATGAATTTGTGTCCGTTTTTGTCAACCAATAAACGCAAAATCTGACAATATTTGTTCTTGACTTCCTAAAACCCTAAAATCGGAATAGGATTGAACTTTGATGTTTTCAGGGGATTCCCGCCAGACTCTGACATTCCATTTTGACCAATTTCTCTTCTTTTTGCACCCAAAAACACACACAGACGATGTTTTTCTCTCACTGAAAAGTCTGCGCGTTTTCAATGCTATTTCTGTCGTGCAAGTGAGGGAGACACACGGAAAATATCAAAAGATCGCGGGGGTTTTTATTATTGTTGACTTTGAAAAAAACTCAAGGCGGCGTAGGCCGGACCCTAAATCCATGAGCTCCGGATACGGTATGAGCGTTGTTCATCAGATCACCTCTTCTCAACTGAACCCGTCCGAATCCGCCGCCGTAAACGTCGTGGTTCGAGCGCATAAACGTGGCGATCGAGCGGACCGTGAATCCGTTCATTAGGTCGTTCCGACGCCGGTCGACGGTCTGAAAATTGCGAAACATTTTGTGAAAATCTCGCCAACGATGGTTCTAACACTAAAATTTGCTTCAAAAACCGAGTTTGCGCGCAAAATTTGGAAAGTTAGGCCACCAAGTTGGAAAACTAGGCCACCAACGAAAAACGCTCCGAAAGCTACCGTTCTGCATAGAATTTCATGGAGATTTTGAAAAAAAAACATCTTTACCAGGTTTTCAGAAGTTTCAGACGAGTTAGAGCTGGAAGAAAGGCTGGAAGCGTCGGATGAAGATGCGGAAGAAGAATCCGATGAACTTCTGGTGACAACTCCTGGTCTAGCACACTTTTTAGCCGGTCTGATATTGTGCACTTCTTTAGGAGAGCGTTTAGTGAAAAAACTATCGATTTTGGTCTCGGCCAACGTCATCAAACCTGAAAACGTCCACTTTTTGCCCATTTCCTCTACACAAGCCCACCGAAAACACCATTTTCGACGGCGATGAACGTGGCACGATTCACCACTTTTGTGACGGCCATCCCGACGAAAAAGATGATCGAAACTGGCGGAGCGTACTGGAAAACGTTTTTTTTTTGGATCTACAATATCGATTCAAACTTACAGGCACATTATTCGGCATAACATCGCCCAAACCGATAGTAGTCAGAGATATAAATGAGAAATAGAAGGCTGTAAAGTACGGTAGGCCATCGTCCCATTCTGGACCCATTACTGCGTCGTAGAGGTACACAAAAGTGGTGCAAAGTAGGAGGTAGGCTGGAAAATGTGAAGCGACAATATCGGTAGAGTTTGAATGGATATTATACGGTTGCAAAGCGTCCTATGGTCTTGGAAATTTTTTTTTTGTATAGAACATGTCCAGTAGAGTATTTTTGTAGTTGGTCATTTTTCTCTACGACCGACTTCAGGGTTACTGTAGCGCTTGGAAGTTCGCAATAGTTGAAAATCTACGCTAACTTCCAAGGTCTACAGTAACCCGGAAAGTGGTCCAACTGAAAAATGATCAACTACAAAAATGCTGTACTAGACATGATCTATGCCCAAAACAATTTTGAGCCCTTTAGGACGTTCCGCAACCATACAATATCCGTTCAAAGTTTTAACTTTGCTAATATTATGAATCCACTGAATTATGCGACTTACCCGCCAATATAGCCATACAATATTTGATGGGCAACTGAATCATCTCGTCCTCGTCAATTTCCCGTTTTCCCTTGATCCTTCGCACAAAAGTGAGTGCGTGGGCGTATAATTTTGTAAAATTCACCAGAAATAACTGTCCCAGATCTCTCAAAATGACCAGTGTCATTGGCACGAAACAAAACGCGTAGATCATTGTGAAAAGTTGTCCGGCGGTAGTTTGAGCCGATATTGAGCCTAATAGTATTGTCGAATTCTCAAAATCGCGTTAGATGACACCTACCGTAACCCGTCGTTGTGTAAATGTTCATACTGAAGAAGAAAGAACTCGAGAAGGTCCATTTCAGGTGCGCCGGATCTTCCAAGCGATAATAGGTACTCCATTTGTATTGTTCTTCTTGTTTTTGAAGCTCTATGTAGGATTCCTGAGAATTGTTCATCTGTTTTATCGAAATCAGCTCGTTGAGAGCTTTCGATTGAGTATAATCATGCCTAGGTTCTGAGAATATTGCAAAATTGGGTCCCAGCACGAAAAGTACAGTAATCGTTTCGTGGCGGGACCCGAATTTTCCAAAGTTTTGCAGAGTACCCTAATAAAATTCTTCATTCTCTCGTGGGTATAAGTCTGGCTCGGGTCATTCACGGCGTCCGAGATCACTGTGGCGAGATGATCCAAAAGTTTGTCCAATTTTTGTTCCCGCATCAAAAGCCGCTCCAATTCATGACTTCCTTCGATCCAATAAAACGCGGTCGCACCGAAAAGTGTGTAAATAGCCGCCAAAAAACAGAGGGCCAGGTAGCGGAATCCGAATTTCTTCCGATGCATCGCAAACCAATAGAACGAGCTTTCAAAGTCTGGAAAACTCGTTTTTTGTTTAAATTTTTTAGCGTTTTCCACGTCTTTCAGTGGGAATAAGCGGGTCCGTGAGGGCTCCCGGAGCACTTTTCCGACTGCAAACTTCGGAAGCTTTGTCGACTTGGAAACGATGTGCAGACACATTTCTCGGCAGTTTATTGAAGGTGTTTTGTTGGGCTCCTTACAAAAAAGTTGTTTTTTAAATTAATCAAAATTAGAATCAAGTTACCTGTAACCGTATAATGATTCCGTTGATAATATTGTCCGATTGTGCTATTCTTCGCAGTTCCTTCACTTTTACAACTGCTATTATCGTCTTCCTCGTCGTCGATGTCCGTTGAATCCCTAATAGTCACCCGATTCCTCTCAATTTCTGCTCCGTCATGAGAAGTACTACGTTGTTGAAAAGTTAAATTTCTAGAAGTTTTCCGAGATCCTGGCAGGCTCAAAATACTGGCGTTACTATTGCGTTTTCTGGAAAAATGGTCAACTTTTGAATAGATATTGTACGGTTGCGAAACGTCCTATACGTGTAACAAATTGTTTTCTGAATAGTTCATGTCCGGTACTGTACTTTTGTAACTGATGATTTTTCTCCATGACCACTCCCTGTGATACTGTAGGTCTTGCAAGTTGGCGCCAGCAAAAGCCCTTTTCCAAGAGCTACAGTAACCCGGGAAGTGAGTATACAAAAAAGTTGTCAACTACAAAAATGTTGTACTAGATGTCAAGATACCCCAAAAAATTTTTCGAGACTTTAGGACGTTTGGGAATTGTACAATATCGATTTGAAGATGGCTCATTTTTCAAGAAAGCCAACTCGCTCAAAAGCTGATATTGTGCATCCAGTTTTTTCGAAAATCAACCAACCTAGCACCCGAATCCAACGGTTCCTCCATAATGTGTTGAATAGTGTCTTTCCTCTCCACAATGTACTTGTTGTTGATTGAAATGCTCTTCAAATTGGTACTTTCTGGAAAAAAACTTTTTTTCAACTTTTTTCAGATATTATCCACTCACTTTTTTCACTTTCCTTTACTTTATTCTCCTCCGATCTTTTTCTAGACTTTCTGAGAGAATTCATGATATTATCGATTCACAAAAAATGGTGTTATGTTAGGTTTTTCGATGGTGATAGTAAAAACATGACTGGAAGTGAAACAAGGAAAAACAAGGAAAAGTTTGGCCTAAAACAAGGTACTCGACAATATTTGCAGACTGAAAGGAAAAAAAAACCGGTTAGGCACGTCAATATGCAAATAAGTTTGACCCGATGATATTAGCGGGAAACTTTGATAAAAATGGATGCACAATAGTTGTCAGAGAACATTTATTCAATGAAACACAACTCTCTCTCTCAATATTTAGTCATCTCACCACGATAATTTGGTTCAACACCTAATTAGAAAGTTACTGATCTAAACGCGACCTGTTTTTTCTTGGCGCAATCGAGATTTGAGCCAGCAGCGTTTCGATAATGAAATGCTAATGAACTACTTCCAATTGAGTTCCGGTCTTTTGCTATAAACGTTCAGTTTGTGGTGGAGAGTGGCTAAAGTGTGCACTTATTATTAAAGGATAGAGAATCGCGGAAAATGGGCAACTGAAATCCGTATTTTCCCATTCGAAGACGAGCAAGTTACGCAGCCACCATCTTCTGGGATAATTTTTCGACAGTAAACACATAAATTAATAAAAAACTGTTCATTTAAACAGTAAAGTTTCCAATTTTGACAACTTCTCTGGTTTTCGGCTTTTCGTTTGACAATTTAACAGAAATTTTAATTTTAACAACGCCCCCACGTCATTTCAGCTGTATAAACAACAACTTTCTGGGCAGGTGAAAAACGTTTTTTGCAGAGTGAATATTGTCAATTTCTCGAAATATTTCGATGGAAGGAAAATCGAATGGAATCGAGCCAGAATTTGTCCGGTTTTTCGTCCGACCTTATAATGACTCCGACCGCTTTTCAAGACCAACTCGGCTTGCTTTTCGTGTACATTGGCTACTTTTTCGTGCTAATTTTGATGATTCTCTTCCCGTTTTACCTGAAAATCAAACGATTGAATCGACAACGTGATAGTGAGGTTTTTAAGTTTCTAAAAGTTTTTCTATGTTTTTAACATTGCTTTTCAGACTGCAATTTTTCCAATCATAGAGCATTGTCACAAGGCCCTTCTGTTCACTGTTTTCGAGTTGTTCTTGTTGGCAATCCTTGAAATTTATTCGAAAATTTCATCCGAACCCACATCGTACTATATTATCAGTTTGAGAGCTTTCAAAAGAGTATAATGATGGCTGGGTTCTGAAAATGTTCAAATTTTGGGTCTCGCCACACAAAAGCTTCCAGAACTTGCCCATTATCATACTCAATCGAAAGGTCTCGACGAGCTGAGCACAAAAATATAGGTCAAGACAAAAGAAAACTATTTTTACAGAGCTCTCACCCAAATAACCATTTTTCTGATCGCTTTCCCGTCGCTCTTCCTCCTAATTCTTCAAAATGAGGTCTACTATCATTTACTGATAACTTTGGCCCTTCAAAGATTTCTATTATACTTTTTCGATTCTCTCGAAGACAAAATCGTGTTCTCTGCACAGTTTATCAAAAAACTTATCATATCCTTCTACATTTTTGCGCTTTTCAAGTTTTTCTCGCTCTATTTCTGGTGGTTCCACGTCTACAAAGTATCCGATTTACCGCTTTTCGAGCTATCATTACCCGCGTGTCTGTTTTATGTGAGTTTATAATACAGTGCGTTGGACACTGCCACGTGGCGCTCGAAAAGGGGGCCGTGAACTTTGAAGCGATATTGTAGAGTTCTGAAACGACCTAGGGTTTCAAAATTTTTTCAGTGTATTTTTGACGTCTACTGCAACAATTTTTCAGTTGACACTTTTTTTCTACGACCACTCCCCGGAGTACTGTAGGTCTTAGAGCATGCGAAATACAGTATACCAACTTCCAAGCGCTACAGTAACCGTAGGAGTGACTGTGGACAAAAGTCGTAAACTACAAAAGTATTGTCCAGGTCTTGAACTTCATTTTTGTAGTTGACACTTTTTTTGTACAACCTCTCCCTGGAGTACTGTAGTTCTTGGAAGTTGGCAATCTGAATGTACTGCCATGTATTTTGAATAGGAGCAGAGTTTTAGAAAGTGTACAGTCAGGGGAAGCTCTCCACGTGGCAGTGTATTTCACAAACATTTTCAGGCCTATTTTCTAATTCTAAACTTTCTGCTCTTCTTCTCCGCCTTTCTCTACTTGCTCATCCGGAAAAATATCAAAAAACGGGCGGCGCACTTGATTTCGGTGGAGAACAATAAACCCCAAAAATACATTTTCTATCAAATAATATCGATAGTTGTGCTGAAGACGGTACAATATTCGAAAGCTTTTATTCATAAAAAATCCAAAAAAATTCAGTTCACATTTTCCGCGATCTTTTTTGCTCCAATTCGCACTGCGCTTCCATTCTTCTCGATTATGGTGGTAAGAAATGTGGCCTAGGAGTTTCCTAGGCCAGTTTTTTTTACATTTTCAGGTGTGCATTCTGATCATGCTCCTCGACATATTCACAATTCCACTCATCATCGAATTATCGTATTTGTGCTCGAACAAACGGAATTTCGAAATGATATTGTCGTCGTTGAAATTGACATTCATGCCATTTTGGAAGCAGCAACAAGTTGGTCCAGTTTCGTCGGATCAAAGTTCAAGTTCTTGAAAAATGTCAAACTTTGAGTGGATATTGTACAGTTGCGAAACGTCCCAGTGCTTTGAAAACTGGTTTATGAGTAGTCTATGTCTAGTACAACATTTTTCTAGTTGATCATTTTTCTCTGTGACAAATCTCTGGATTACTGTAGCGCCTGGAACGTAGCCTATGTTTTTAGCTATTGTTAACTTCCAAGAGCTGCAGTAGCCTTGGGAGCGTTTATACACAAAAATTATCAATTACAAAAATAATTTCCATAATTAGTACTCTATTTTTGTAGTTGACACTTTTTCTCCATAACCACTCGCTGGATTACTGTAGTGCTTGGAAGTTTGCACTAAAATCGCGAAGCCACTAACTACACTCAACTTCCAAGAGCTACAGTAATCCAGCGAGTGGGCATCGAGACAAAGTGTCAAGTACAAAAGTGAAGGTCTAGACTCGAACTGTTTTCAAACGATTTTTGGGAACCATAGGACGTTTTGCAACTGTACAGTAAGCATTAAAAGTTGGGCATCGAATTGCGGACACTTTTATTCGCCAGTATTATAAATGTACAACCTCCGCGTATTTATTCGGGATTTCGGCTGTGACTCCTCGGGCTCCTCATCCCAAGTTTGTTCGTATCGATCCGCCGTCTGGACACTGGCCACCTAAACTCATTTTTCATCTCAAAAAGTGCAAAACCATTTGACGCACCTTGATCTGCGACGTAGTCTGTGTCCCACTATTTCGCATTTTCGCACGCTCATCGAATTTCTCGTTTAGCATCTTTTTTCTGCAATTTGTCTTCTCGTTCATTTCATTTCATCCAAAAAAAAACTGACTGATGATTGCTCATAAACTTCATGAGCAACTTGTTGCCCATTTCCATATTTTCCGAATATTTTTGGGCGACGTCACCGCCCTGGCTGTTCATTGTTCTCTTGCGCGACGGATCGATCGAACCCAATTCGGAGACGCCGATCGACTTTTTTCGGCTCTCCTCGGCTGCAAATCGTCCGCAAAACTCATTGGCAACTCGGTTCATGGACTCACCCGCCACCGAAAGAGTGTTCTTGAAGTCGGTCTCGATTCGTTGCACAATTTGATTGAACAGAAACTCCAATTGCATTTGTATCACGTTGATGCACATCGAAACGACGGAGAGGCCGCCCAAAATGAAGACGATTCCGCCGACGGCGACCGAATGATTCGGGGTGAAGTCTCCGAATCCGATCGTTGTCATCGAGATGAAGAAGAAGTAGACCGACTCGAAGAGGCTCCAATTCTCGAAATAGGCAAAGTAGGCGACGCATTGGGTCATCCAGAAGAAGAGCACAATAATGACAAGGAGTAAGGGGATCGGACGCGTTCCGTCCGCGTTTTCCGGCGTTGTCGACGTGTCCATCAACGGTTTTTTGTCGTTTGAGCCCTGAAAACGATGACAAACTCATAAAGTGACCATGTTTTTTGTGCTCAGCTCAAATTTTCGCTCTGTTAACATCAATATTACACACGACGAACGAGTCTATGATCCTTTGAGACAGCTGTCCCCGAGCGCGGGGGGGGGGGGGATATTTTTGACAAATTACTTTTTGACACAATTTGCCAAAAACACCTCAAAACATTATCAAATTTCGTTAGTGATGGGTAGTTTTGGCAGGTGCCTTCTCCCGCGGGGACACGCCAAACATCATGGGCTCGGAAACGATGCGTGGATCCAATGGACCGCTCGCTGCCAGTTGGCGCGCCCAATGAAAAATGAGTGCCGCGAGGTGTGACACATTAATAAAATGAGAGAAAAACGATAATACTCAGCGACTCACCTCTTCCAGGCTCTGCACTCTTCGTCGCCGCATCTTTTGGCGCAGTTTGAGCATCCACACACGGCCAATGTTTTGCCAAAAGTCTGCAAGTTTCAGCGAAACCTTTGATATGCACTGAAATTGCGCCAGGGCACCAAAAATGCGCAAACAACTCACTGTCGACAAAATAAAAGAGCATATTTCCCCAGTCGTTCAGAATGTTGATGACGATCGGAATGCCGATCATCGCGTACAACATTGTACATATCCGCCCCGAAATTGTCACCGCCGCCAAGTCACCGTAACCTGAAATTAAATGCTAGACGTTTTGGTGGCGAAAAAGCTTGAAATTCGATTAAAGAAAAGGTTCAAAAACTCACCAATAGTGGTGTAAATGGTACCGGAATAGTACAATCCACCCCAAATGTCCCATCTCGTCTCCATTTTACTATCGATCACGATTCCCATCGCCGCATCGTATTCGGACAGAACGCGTCTCAGCCTGGTCTCCGAGAACGCCGACGTGTTTGCAAAGTTGAAGTACATTTTCTGAAAGACATTTGACGCAAAATGCCGAGATAAGAAGTCTGCAAAGTTTGGACCCGATCGGATCATGCGCGACATCTTTCTAGGTCTTCAACGTCAGATTTTGCGCGGACTCACCTGTAACCGGTGCACAAACACCTTCTTCGCCTCGATACTCGTCCTCAACACGCGCATAGACTCCTCGCTTTTCGCCAACTTCTCGTTGTCGGCCTCGCAAAGCATAAATAGGCCGGCGCCCAGAAAACTGTACAATATCAGCACGAATATTTTGGCGAGATGGTGCAAGTGGTAGCGCTCATAGTGAACTGCCACCAGATTCCAGAACATTCTGCAAAAAAAAAGGGTTTTTGAACAGGTTTCACATCATTTTTTTTTTTTGGCTAAAACTGAAAAAATCGGAGAAAAATCGGTAAATACGAGTAGTTGAAAAGAAGCGAGCGTAAAGTGAACTCAGTGATGTGAAATCTGAGAAAAGCGTACTTTTTTCATCTTTTCGTCCGTCCCCCGTCAAAAATTTTCCAATGATTCTTTGATTTTTCTGCTTATTTCCCTAATTTCTCAAGAGAAATCTTACGTTTTCTTCGCAAAAAAGTTCGGCATTATTATAGGTTCAGTATTTTTGTGCGTTCAATCGCATATTTTCCACATTTTTCACACTCCTCGTTTTTTCTCTCCGATTTTCCAGGTGTTCGCCACATTTATCAAAAGTGTGGAGGGTGGGTATTAGGACATTATTTGAAACTCACTTTTTTACTCGTACTCTGTCACTTTACAAAGATTTCATCGAAACCGAACAAAGAAAAAGAGGGACAGGGGGGGTGTCTAAGTGTGCTCCGGGAGCAAAAGTGGGAGGCTATCAGAAGAAAAAAGAGTGTGTGATATGTGTCTGGATCTCTTCAGCAATCCGATAATATCCCTTTTCTTTTATCACTTTTCCCCTGACCATCTACTTGAGAGAGAGAGAGAGAGAGAGAGAGAGAGAGAGAGAGAGAGAGAGAGAGAGAGAGAGAGAGAGAGAGAAAGAGAGAGAGAGAGAGAGAGAGAGCACTGGGCCGAGATGTTTTCACAAACAACTTGTCAAAAGTGGTGCAACAATGTTTTGTGGTCAACAGGAACGCATGGAACTTTTGTTCACTTTTCGGACGGCCCTTCCCTCCTTTTTCGGTCTTTCGAGCTGTTTCTCTTGCTCTGAGACACTTTCAGACTGTCGTTCAGGCCATTTTCATTATATTCTTGCAGTGCAGCAACGCACACTTCTTTTCATACGTCTTTTTCGCTGCCTTGCGTTTGGTGTCCAACGTTTTTCATAAAACACTAGACAATACTAAAGAGTTGATCATGAAAGAATGAAGCCAACAAATGAACTTTGTATAATATCGTTTGCAGCTGGATTTTCTATAAAAGTGCGACTCACACGAATGAAAAAGGTAAAAGCTTACAACATCCAGGATTCCCAGGCCGTCTCCGATCCAAGTACTAACTGGACTCAACGTTGCTTAACTTGCCAGATCGGACGGGATGGCGTGTTTTCAACGTGATATGGTCGTAAGCAAAATCACCGGCACTCTATGTCGATGACATTTTCGCGAACAGTGACGACGTCATAAGCGAAATTCTCGCTGTGCCGAGGCCTCCTTCTCGCGGCGGTCCCTCGGACGAATCGATGTCTAACATATGCTCAAGAAATGACGTTGCCCGGACAGGTGAAATGTTTCGCTTCAACTTTTTCAATAAGCGGACTGTCAAATCGTTTTTCGGAATTTTCTGGAAACTTATCATATGTTTGAGGAGGAAGTTATGTCGATCCTATCAAATTGGTCCCAGCTCTGATGGATCTGAATTGACGACTCGATATTGACAGGTTTCTGTTAATATTTCCTTTCTTTACAATATGCATTCTTAAAGTCTAGCCATAGAGACTAAAATTGAATGAATATTAGAGGTAGCAATAGTTTCGAAATAGAAAGAGTACAAACATTTCCAATTCCGTCATCATTTTCTTCCTCACTCGGAAATTGTTTACGCACTTTTCTCTCTATATAAAAGCTGATAACGGAGCACTCGCAGTCAGTTTATTTCCCTTTTTCCCGTCTTAGTTTGTCATTTCCAATTTTCGAATGACTTTTTTCAGAAATGTCCGTCAATTCCGAATTCAACTCTCGCGTCTATCCAATCAAACGGACTATTCAATCGGAAATCGACGATATTCAGAGCTTGAGGGGTTACCGATACGGAAATACGCATCAAATCGGAACAAGTAAATGGTAAATTGTAACAGTGATTCAGAATAAATTGATGTTGTTTAGGTGCATTCGAGTAAAATCGGAATGCTCAGAGGACACTGACAATCAAAAGTATTTGGGTGTCCATCTCCGTTGTCTTTCTGAAATCAAACAAGGAAAAACAGTACACGTATCTCTTTCATTTCGTTTGATAAATTTGAATGATCACAAGAGTCACAGTGCTGTCTCGAGTGGTGCAAGTCAATTCACCAAAGAGGACAAATCTTGGGGATATTACAAGTTTCTGAAATGGGATGAGATCGAAAAGTATTCGAAAGACGGAAAGATTCTAGTGGAATGTACTGTTGAACTGCAATCAGAGGACGGAATTCCGAGACGGACTCTTGATTTTGAGAAGGAGAGACCGAATACTCAAGACAAAATGATTATTCTCAAAAATGAAAGCGACGATGTAAGATTTACAAAGAATCATCCCTACTTTCAGATTAAAATGATTTCAGAACTGTTCGAATCACGGTGAGAAAATGGAATTCACCGTGAATATTAATCAAGTTACAAACGATGACCAATTCACCGATTCATTCACAATCAATGGACTGCCATGGTATTATTTTCCACTTTCCCGTGTTCTATACAGATTTTTATTTTCAGCAAACTAGCCTATAGAAAGTCTGACGATTGTGGCGTTACTTATATGAAAGTGTACTTGTACATAAACTCGGACGACAAGAGTGACTGGTGGATTTGTGAAGCTAATACCGATTTCCGAATTGCCAGCTCGACGGGAATACAATACTCGAAAAGCATTAGTGTTTCTTGGTTCAACAAGTCGTCGCCAAACCGGGGATTTCCCGAATTCATCGAATGGAATAAACTACTCGATCCCGTGAACGGATATGTGAAAAATGGAAAATTCGTTCTGGAAGCATACGTTCGAATTTATCGTATTCTGGGAATTGATGAGAGAACAGGAAAAGGAATTGATAGACCAATGCGGAAAATGACGGATGTTGTACTCGTGATTGAGGGAAAGCAGTTGCACGTATCCAAAAAGGTATGCTATTCATTTCAAACTCTTTTTCTCTCTCCGGTCGTTCGGATATCGATCTTTTTGTGGGTAGATCAATTTGTTCAGATGTTTGGCCCGTAGTACACAACAAAGAACACAGTTGTACATAGAACACCAAATTCGTGCTGATAAGATGATGAGAGTCACTTATGCCCTCACAGTACCAATATTCAGATTCTCGCCCAGCAATCCGCTCACTTTGCGCAAACATTCCGTTCAGGAAATGGTGGCAACATTACTAACGCAAAACTCGAAGATTTTGTTCGATTTCTGGAACTCGTCTACAATTATGACACGGACATTTCAGGTGAACATTGGAAGAATACTTATTACCGACTGTTGATCATTTTCAGAGGAGAACATTGAAAGACTACTCAAACTCATCGAACACTTCAAGGCTCCCGAGTGTTTCGAGCGGTGCGATGTCATTCTGAAGAAGATGGAATTCAAGGATACGATGAAAATGTTGCACTTGGTGGATACGTACCCGCTGCCAGAACTGAAGAAAGTGTTTCTGCGTAAACTGAAAGATGAGGCGTTGCTGCAATCAGTGGTTGAAAATCCGAAGTACAAGCAATTGAGTCAAGGAATGAAGGTGGCCATATTGGAATGGAAACTTGTGCCGAAGGTAAGTTCTTACTTGAATTCAATATCGAATCACGGAACCGCAGCATTCCAATGCGCAAGCGAGTTGTCAATGGGGCGCGCTTGCATCCACCGTCGACTCGGAGTTTCTTTTTTCAATTGAAAACCAGAATTCTTTCGTTTTTCTCTTAATCAACACTCAAATTTTGTTCTTTGCGAACCGTAGGGCGATTGTCTGAGTTAAAAGCATCGATTTAAGCGCGAAACGGAGCAGATTCGTTCAGAATTGACCAAATTGAGGGATTTTGTCGAAAACTACTGAAAAAACGGAGTTTTAACGATCATTTGCCGAATCGAGTTCGGGCACTGCCATTCGAACCGTCTCCAGTGAACAAGGAGTTTATTGCGCATCTTTTAAGCGCTCAACCGTCGAAAAATATACAGAATTGAGATAATTGAGGCAAATTTTCGATTCCAAAAGGAAACAAATTCTGTAATTTTCACATAAAACATTTCGAAATTGATGACGAAGCAGTTAAAATTTCATTTTTTATTCATTTCTAATCATTCTTCATAAGTTTTGACACTGATTGGTTCTGAAAAGATGGGGATAATGCAAAAAATGGGAAAATTGAAATGAGAAACTCTACAACGACGCTCCGGAATTACGCGTTACGCGCCTTGTCTAGCGCACCTGAATTGCGCCAAGGGAAATTTTTATTGGAAGGCTGCGTTTCCGTGCGAATGATTTCATGTTGTTTAGGAAAATTGTACGGAAAAAGAGGAAATCACTGAATATCGGTTCAGCACTGATTTCGAGAAGAAAACTGATTTGACGGATGTGGAGATCGAAGTGGAAACGTTCCAGTACTACGTCAGTAAACAAGTGGGTCTAGTCTCAATTCTGTCCAATAATTCTTCATTCAGATACTGGCCAATGCATCCGAATACTTTATGAAACGCTTCTATGGTCCATACTCTGAGCATGTTCCAAAGATTGAACTATTCAATGTTGAGCCGTTGCAATTCGAGAAACTGCTGACTCACATCTACCATCCGACCAGACCAGTTACCGGTCAGTGTTCTAGCTATTGTATTTGCGTTACTATAAAATATTCCCTTATTTCAGTGTTCAGCGTGGATTCCCTTCTTGTGCTGGCACACCAATTCAAAGTTCCCAAACTGTTGGATAAATGTGAGGAGTACTTGGTTCTCAAAGACGGAATGGATCTGATGGATAAGTTGGCATACGCTGGAAAGTACGATCTTCCATTACTCTTGGCAAGTTCGACATTCCGAATGTTGTTGATATTGTTTGTGATTCAGGAAGCTTCTCTCAAGGCAGTGAGATCTACGGGATCGTTCGAACAAATCTTCAGTCATCCCACATTTTCACAACTTCCTTCCCATGTTCTCGGGGAAATAATGAAGCTAGGGCTGTGAACAATACATCAGCTTTTAATTCATTCACTTGTCCTCTAATTTCCTCTTATCAATCTTTTGTTCTACTTGACAATCGTTGTGTTCTTGACTGGACACCCCCCAAACTTTATTTAAAATATAAATGTTTATTGATACATAAAACCTCTTATTCTTATTCTGTTAAAACAAAAAATAATGAGAGGGAAGAGAGGCAAGAAAGAAAATCGAAAAGTTATCTACACCAAAGTTGTAGAGCTCGAAATTGTCTTTCAATCAATTTTTTAATCCTCAAAAAATATTGAAAATTGATCAAGATACATGACTTTGAAAAATGAACTAGACGTGACCCATTTATTTTTGAGGATTTCTCATCGAATTTTGTCAATTTCTTCCGATTTAGGTAGTACTCATAGGCCAACACATATTTCTGCTCATTTCTTCGCTTCTCTACATTCCAATTATTATCAGTCTTCGAAAAAATGCGCGCCTACTTTCAATTATGAAAAATACACCGGAAAAGTACATTCTCTATCATACGATTGCAGTAATTACACAACTCTTGTCTTTGTGCCACTGCCTAGGGCAACAAGTTCGTTGGCCTACAGGAATTTCATAAAATAATTTATTCACTTTGGAAATGATAGGAAAGATCAAAAAGCGATGTGAAAATACCGGTAAACAGTTCAAAATTACGCATATATTAGTAAGAATTGGCCTTGAACATTTATCGCGAAAAATCCGGAAGTGGTAGTTTTCCTTTTCGCTTCGAGGCTTCTAAAAAACAATTTTCCAAATGTTTTCTTCGAATTCGTTCAAAACTTTACCTTTTTCAGTGACTCTGCTCATGATAATGTACATGAGCGATACGGTAACAATGGAGAGCGCCGCCAAAATGAGCATTCCCAAAATTATGTTCGTTTTTGTGAAACACACATCCGACGAGGTGTTTCGCAAAGATCCACGTGTTTTCGGTTGTTGGGGACCGCCAACTTCTGTAAATTTTCGAGAAAAAAAACGTTAAACTTGTCAGTATGGCCTACCAGTGTCCGGCAAATCCTGAACATTAACCGAAGGCGCTGCCACGTCAAAATCGGCCAATATCTTATTGTCCGTCTTCTCGTCGACATCCCGCCGAATCAATCGATTCATTCTGGAGAAGAAACAACAGTTGTATTCGGTTGCGGAACGTCCAAACTTACGCGGCAGTCGGAATCTTTCCGATTTTATCGATTTCAGTTTCCAACTCATCGTCCAGAAAATCGGCCGAATAGTCCGTGTTCGAATCGGCGATTTTTGAGGACTTCTGGAGAAAAATCGAACAGTTTTGACAACAATTCAAGTATTGTAGACTTACCTGAAGTCCAGTGGCATTCGGAGGTCTCGGAAATCCAGCTGGAATATCGTCTGAAACTTTCGGATCCGTCATCACATCCAAATTTTGATTGACGCCAGAGGGACGGTTTTTGCACGTTTCTGTGGGACGCTGAAACCCTCAAACTTTTCTCATGCATACTTCATGTCTAGTACTGTATTTTTGCAGTTGACACTTTTTCTTGAAGACCCCTCTCTGGATTACTGTAGCTGTTGGAAGTTGGAGCGCACAATATCTATTGCGCTTCAGTGCAAACTTCCAAACGCTACAGTAATCCTAGGAATGGTTGTAGAGAAAAATGATCAAATACAAAAATATAGTACTTAACAGGAACAATATATTTGCAGTTCACACTTTTGTCCTAACATCACTCCTAAGATTACTGTAGCGCTTGGAAGTTTGCCCTGGAATACAGTAGCTTCCAAACGCTACGTAAAGAGAAAGATATGGTCAAATTCAAAAGTTACAACTTACCACACAAGACATCTCCTCGGATTCCTTCATTTCCACGCGAATCATGCACGAAAAAAAGACGGTTGGCTTGTCGGCAAACTTGAAAACACTGGACATTTGGCCGGCCTCCAGCTCGTTCTCCTTGTACTCCAACTCTTTTAAAATGAACGAGTCGAGGGTACATCCGTCGCGATCCACCAGTTTTTGACCGAATCCTTGACCGTCGTCGACGACGCACGAGTGAACAGTCATACAGTACATTTCTTTGTTACTTCCCTCGCAGGACCATCTGGAAAACGCAAAAGCATGTAGGGTGTTTCTCTGTGAAACATTTGTTGCTCACTTATGGTAGACCGAGTCGCCGACAGTCGCATGTGAGAGTGGCGCTCCGTGCGCGGATTCCATGAGCACTTCGTACTTGCACACGGGCGCCGAGGCCTCATCCTGTTGCTGAATGCTCTGCGGCAGCTCCGACGCTGGTTGCATGCTGAAAAGAGCAGCACATTGCGCCTAGAAACGGCACATTTGCTGGTAGCATTAGGTCGGCAAGAGGGCGGCAAGAAAGCGGCAAGGAGGCGGCATAGCATTTTGCTTTTGCCGTCAAAATCGGCAACGAAACGATTACTGTACTTTTCGTGTTAAGACCCGAAACAATGAAACGATTCCTACCTAACATCCAGAGCATTTGTGACGGTCCGTTCGGATTCGGTGTACTGGCACTGAACGTGGTAGCTTCGATCGGTTTGCGTCAGAAAGACCGGATGGAACATGAGAATTATGATGGTGTCGAGGAGTATGCCACGCGGATTCACCATCCTTTTTCGACGAATTCCACAATCCGAGTCGACCGGCAGCACAATTTCCACCGAGTTTTGAGAGGCGTTGCCGCGCATTCGACACTCGGATTTGTGGAAAAATCCTTTGGAATAGAGGTTTCCGGTGAACGGTTGTACGGTTCTCATCGTGATTTTGATGTGTTTGATGTCGCAAATCACTTCGGGTTCGCCTAAAAAAAAAACGGATATCGTCTGACAAATTTAGCGCGAATAGCGTCCATTCAAGAGATGATATCTCAGCTGGACGAAGAGATATCAAAAAGTGTTCAACTAATAAAATGTACACCATTTCTTACTGCTCATTTTATTAGTTGACAACTTTTTGATATCTCCACCAGCAGCTGAGATTCTCAGTAAAAAAGGTTTCTTACCAACTATTCCATTGGGAATTTTCGGAATTTGGCCATTCGCCGACGATTTTCCACTCAAAACTTGACCAAACAATAGGGAAATGATCAGAAAATGGATCATTCTCCGAGCGGGTCTGAAATGATATTGTATGACCACTAGGGAGATGAAATGTAGCGGAAAAGGGAGAGTAGGTCAGTTTACGGTCATCGGAAGAACACGATAATAATGTGCTTTTTTGGTGCGACGACGATGATGATGGTGTAGAGGAAATGGCACTAAATTTGGTGAGACATTTGGAAACGCTGCCAAGAACTCGACTTTGTACAATGCATTTCTATACAATCTCTCTCTCTCTCTCTCTCGAGAAATGCCAATTACGCGTTAGCCCATCATTTACACTTACCCGCCTACGCTTCTCTCAATGCTAACTGACCGGATGCTGGGCGGTTGAGAAGAGCGATGAGAATAGGTGTGAAACGACCTTCGAGAAGCCGACGAACGCTAATTACATTCGCAAGACACACACACACACTGATTTATAGCCATTCACCGACTGTATGCACTTTTTTGGCAAGTTTCGCAATCTGGTTCTATGTATTCTAGGAGGGGTGGGGTGGGGGAACTCCAAGGCTTCGTGGTGCCTTGATGGGCTACGTACTTTGTAAACAATTGCCAAAGTTCTAGAAGAGAGTAGAGTACAACAATCAAGGAACAAGGGGGGGAAAATGGAAAACGTACTAGATAAGGGTGAATGAACTGGTCGGATTAGGATGGGAAACATCATGTCAGCAGACATGAAGCCGCCTTTTTTATGGTCATCGGATCAAGAGAAACCAAGAAGAAGGAGAAGGGGACAATAGTCGTACTTTTGAGGAGAAATGCGAAAAGTTGGTGGCGATCATTGATGACAAACAGACTACAGTAGTCCAATGTTGAAAAAGCGGCAAAATGTGGTTGCGGAAAGATGATAGAAACACAGTATGATGAATGATGCGGATCCGTGTCGAAGGGAAATGAAGAAGCGTATGCTGAACATGGTTTGGCAACCAATTAACAGTTGGTTTCACTAATTATCCCTCCTCTTTTCGCCTTCTCATTTCTCCCCTCCCCGCCATTCACATTTATTCGCATTTCCGATCCGCGCGAACCGCTATTGTACAACATCCGGACGACGGTGGTGGCTTTTGAAGAGCTTTTGCCCGATATTGTACAGCCAATTTTTCGGTGTGTGTGTGTGTCTATAATTGTTGCGCGCTCTGTGCAATAATTTGTTCACTCACGCCGCAACATTATGCGTGTACTTGAGAAGCGAAAGTCGTGGAGAAAAATTATTCGCCCAAATACGTTTGTCAGAGAGCAAAAAGTGCGGAAATATAGTGCCAACCAGCGGCAAAAATTGAGATAAACACCAAAGTTCAATAAAAATTATCCCAATTTCTGAAGCATTTTGTCGCGCTCGGTGAGGCATCCACTTCGTTCGCACTGCCGCTTAATCGCCTCCTCCGCAGTCGTTTTCCGATCGTAGACCATGCCGAGAGCGGCGCCCAAATCGATGAGCACGCGGGTCCAGTTGAGCCACGAGGCGTGCTCCGAAGTGCGGTAGTCTTGCGGGAACGCGTGATGATAGTTGTGGCCGCCCTCGCCGACCGCCGTCACCGTCGTCCACAGATTGTCGACGGACGTGGCGTTGTGATCGTAGGGTTGCCAGCCGATCCAGTGCGACACGCTGTTGATGCACCATGTGACGTGAAGTGTGAAGCAGTAGCGGAACAGGGCGGCCGTGTAGAACGCGATGAACGCGGATTCGCCCCACACGTAGACGGGGATGAAGGTGGGCAGAACGAAGCAGAAGAGAAGCACTAGTGGTAGGTAATTTCTGGAAAAATTGGAGTAAAATGAGGGGGGGCCTCGGGGTCGGGCGACGCGTACCTTCTCTGAAAAACGAGCACCGGGTCGTTGTACAAATCGCTCAAATCGAGCTTGGCGCCCCGCTTCCTCACCTCCTCGTGCTTCTTCACCAACAACCAGCCCATGTGGGCGAAGAACATGCCGCGCAGAGTGCTGTGCGGGTCCGCATCCGTGTCGGTCCACTTGTGATGGCACCGGTGATCGCGCGCCCACTCGATGATGTCGTTCTGCAGCGCAATGTTGTTGATGCACATGAGAAAGACGCGGAACGGCGTCGTCGCTTTGTAGGAGCGATGCGCCCAGAGACGGTGCGCGCCGCCCGTCACACCCATCGAGCCGAGCGTGTGGAGCACGAACACTGAAACGAAACATGGTTGTTAAAGCTTCATAGAAAAAGTGAGCGCTCACCCCACACGACAGTCGGCCATTTCGCCTGGAACACCAACTGATAGAGGCCGATGAGGGCTCCGACGTGAAGAGCGGAAAACAAAATCACGTTCCGCCACACAATATCGTATTCGGATTTTTGCTTCTTCGACTCCTCCTGCATCTGACGAATCTCGTCGAGATCCGCCGCCAGAAATTGCTCGGAAATGAGAGCGTCGACTCGAACCGACATTTCTGGAAAAAGGCAACAATATTAGAGACTAAAAGTAGGTGAGACTTGTGAAAAAGTGGAAAAAAGAAAAGATTTTAAAGGAAACCGAACAAGTACCGCCCCCCCGCCGAGTTTGTACGGAACTTTGACGTGATCAACAATGACCGCACGGGCAGCAGTGGTGTGATTTTAAGAGAAACGAGAGCGGAGGCGGCGTCCATTTCGCTACAATTTGTATGGGTTTCGAAGAAGCGCGCCAACGACTATAATGTAGGTATTTTGCAGAAAAAAAGAGGAAGCAAGTGCTATGAAATATCGTCTATTCAAAACGATGTATCTCGGCTGCCGATGGAGGTATCAAAACGGTGTCAACTAGTAAAATGAGCAGTAAGAAATGGAGTACATTTTGTTAGTTGACAACTATTCGATATCTCCACCAGCACCTGAGATAAATTGTCTCGAATAGACGCTATTGTTTACAGTGACCCCTTAACTAGTTCCTAGCCTCCAAAAAAGCGGTATAGCACACAACAATTCAGTTGGCATTCCGCTTTTATACACATGTTTTGGCGGCGAGAAAAGTCTCGCCACCACCGGTGTACCTTTGTAGTCTCAAAGACCCAGAAAAGTGGTGTAGTACCACACCTTCATCCACTTTTTTTTGCTACACACTGTCGTGTGTACCTACGTACTCTCGGGCGCGATAAGAAAGGGGAACATAGAATGGTCTTTTTGTGTTGCAAAGTGTTGTCAAGTAATACTCGTTTTCCGGGCGATAAGCAAAGGATTATTTATGCTCATCATCCGGTGATGATCAAAGACTACACGTTCTGGAAGTTCTGGTTGCTTTTTTTTGGGCGTTTTTTAAAAATTCCAGCTGGATTTAGCTTCTCTTCCCTTCTTCTCCGATCCGAATAAAATTGCGTGCTGTGACCATCAATTTGCTATGCTTATGATATATTTACTGTTTTTGCTCATCTACAACTGTTCTATGATAAAACTACTATCAAATTCGGCGTGTCGCAAAGTACGTCGGAGGAGCAGGACGACGGTGTCTGTCCGCCTTCTCGTTTTCCGGAAAAGTACACCCCGATTGCCGGACACTCTTCCACAATAAAGTCATTTCGGAGACGATCGTCAGACTTCCGAATAGAGTCCACGCAGACTATGTTCTCTTATCACTGACACAAGTGGCGGCTATCAGACAACATTTTCAGATAACACCTTTTTCTCGTTTCGGCTACAAACCGTTTTTGGGTGATGTCTTAGTGATCAGTGGAGGGTTAGTACGGGACTGGGACCGAATAATCGGATCGGTCTGAAACTTTGACTCAAAATACTTTAATTCAAGTCAACCATACTTTGCGAGACACAAAAAAAGACGGGAAGAATCAGCAAAATCAATGGAAATCGGAAGTTTGTCGTGTTCTGTGGTCAGTTGACTAGTTGAAACATGCCATTTTGGGGGGGGAAATGAACAAACAATGAACAATTTCGAAAAACACATTTTTATTGCAATTGGACGGCTCCAGAGAACGGAACACACCCGATTAGGGGTGATGTTTCCTTGACAGAAGCCCGGAGCGTACTGGAATTCATTTGATGTGGACTGCAACTCGGAATAATTGCGATTGCGAAAATTGCGACAGTCAGAATTTCAGTATTTCCAAGTTTCCGTACTGCTAGCAAAAATCAATGAAAAGAGGAATAGTCGCGAGCCCGTTCGGTGTGTCGGGTGCACATTCGAGTGAAGACGGGGTCTGGAGTGTTGTTGATGGTTTAGTTACCCTAAGTTAAAGGTAAAATCTCAATTCCGGCCTGAATGAAAGTTTAGCGTCGGCTTCAAATTTTTTTTTTTGAAAAAGGCAAAAGCTTACAACATCCAGGATTCCCAGGCCGTCTCCGATCCAAGTACTAACTGGACTCAACGTTGCTTAACTTGCCAGATCGGACGGGATGGCGTGTTTTCAACGTGATATGGTCGTAAGCAAAATCACCGGCAATCTATGTCGATGAGATTTTCGCGAACAATGACGACGTCGTAAGCGAAATTCTCGCTGTACCGAGACCTCCTTCTCGCGGTCCCTCGGACGTGTCGGCTGTGCGCATTGTTGAAGAGCGGCGACGCAGCGCTATGGTCGGTTTAATTACCCAAGTTTGAGGTGCGAACCTGGAAATGACCTATCTGTGAATTGATGGAATTATGCTAATGATTTGGGATCAGGGCTGAGATTTTACGTTTACGGTGTTTTTTACTTTTTTTGCGATAACAGAGATTTTGCGTTTTTACGGATCGTTAAAAATAAAATTTTACGCCCCGCCCTGACGGTGATCCCAAACAGTTGGCCACGCCCACAAGTTCGGATCTGCCGCGGCGGAAAGCCACGCCCACGAAGGTATATAAGGTCGTCGAAACATGACAGTTGCACCGTCTCGTACGGTCTTGTGAGAGCCCTGAAAAAGGCCCGGAAGGTTGTCCTGAAAAGGAGTATCTTTGGAGACCGTCTGGTATGGTCTATAAACTCCACATGGAAGTGGAAACATTTTTCGACTCTTGGTATAAGTTGTACACTTTAGAAGGGCCTCAATGGATAATAAGGGCCTGAGTGACAGAATAAGGGCCTGAATTGCCAAGATAGCACCTGCATATTTAGAAAACGACAGAACGAACAATATTATTTATAAATTGAGATGAAAAAGGGAAAAAAGCAAAAGCTTACAACATCCAGGATTCCCAGGCCGTCTCCGATCCAAGTACTAACTGGACTCAACGTTGCTTAACTTGCCAGATCGGACGGGATGGCGTGTTTTCAACGTGATGTGGTCGTAAGCGGAATCACCAGCACTCTATGTCGATAACATTATCGCGAACAATGACTCAATGGCCAGTGTGTGTTTGCCGATATTGTCGGGAAAGTAGACACTCGCGGTCCCTCGGACGTGTCGGCTGCTCGCATTGTTGAAGAGCAGCGACGCAGCGCTATGGTCGGTTTAATTACCCAAGTTTGAGGTGCGAACCTGGGAATGACCTAAAGAAATTTAGCGTCAGCTTTTTAATTTTGGAAAGTCTCCTTTAGGGGAGACAAAATAACTGAAAGTGGAAAAAATCTGATGTGAATTGATGGAGTTATGCTCAGCGCAAGAAATGATGACAATTCAGCAGTGTGCTGGATGTTATCATTTAGTCGTATCTGTTAGTCAAAACGGCCTTTATTAGACCGTGATATTTTGGCGCCCGCATTTGGGCATGAATGGCTAAATAAGAGCATGAGTGACCAGTGAATATGGGCCTCAAAATACTTTGGCTGATCCGTGTGGTTTACCTATTACAACCAGGCACTCAACAATCTCACAAGTCAGCATCCTCACCAGATTTGAGCGGAAATGGAATTTTGAAATCCTGAAGACGGGAGACGGAATAAATTTTTTTTTACGGAACACGGAAAACGGAAGACGGAAGAAAATTTTTCTCACGGAAGACGGAACAAAAAATCGTCAATGCAGAACCTTTTTCTCCGGTTTTTTTTTTGAAAGAAAAATAACTAAACAACAACAATTTTGGATCTGGGTCACTGCCCGTGAAAATTCGCGTTCTTCGGGGCTAGTAAATGGCTTCTGAAAAGCTATTACTCTTTTACGGTAAGAAGAAAAAATCCACGGAAGACGGAACAAAAAAAAACCACGGAAGACGGAAGACGGAATTCCGCTCAACACTGATCCTCACTTTATCGTCTCACGGACTACTGTCCACAGTCAGCATGCTCTTGATTCACGAATCTTATCGCCAAGCCTTTTCTGTAATCCCTGCAACTTTTACAAATCATCCATGTCGGCGACTGTTCACAGAAAGCTGTGTTATTAATGAAAACTTTAGGAAACGTGTTTATTTTTGTCCTGCATGTTCCTCCTCCTCTCTGCGAAATCGAACTATGAAAAGGAAGGGATCAGGAATCAAGCGTCTGGGCGAAAAAGAAAACAAAACATTCTGAGAACTCACATCTTGTTACTGACGTGCCGTTTTTTTGGTGGGTTTCAGCAAAAACTTTATCACAAATGTACGTCGACACGCCCGGAACTCCTCACGTTGGCCCTAACTTTCATTTCTGGTCCGTTTTTCTGGATTTGGGTGGGTCTCAGCACGCTCTGGCCCGTTTTCGCCGCTGTTCCATTTGGAATTCGCCCCTCGTTAGCAGTTCTTCAGTAGTTTTTAGCTTCTGACGGCCTTAAATGTGATTTTTAGACTGTGCTGTAAGAGGATTTTCAGATCTTGCATAGATCATGTTCCCCTCAATGCATCTTTACTAAACCTACAATATCTGAACCACTTTTTGCATTCCTCTACAATAGTTCGCGCGATCAAAGCGCCGTAACATCAAAGAGACGAAAAACCAATCGAATCGCCCTTTTTTTTCTTTTTTCTCACCTTCACCTCAAAACGCAACAAAACCAAAGACTTCCGATCCTAATCCTATTCAGAATGTAACCGACCGAATAACTTTTCAACCTCTGACACTGGTAGGGTCTTAGCGCGCTTAGGACTACGGTAGTCTAATGCGATTTTGAACGAAATTTTGATATAAAAAGGTGTTTGGAGGGGCGAGAATTGTATAGAAAAGTGTGAAGGAAATGACCCTTGCCAATGATTGATGATCATATTTTTTTGTGTTGTACAATAGTCCCGCTGCTTCTTCTTCTTCTTCTTCTTCTTCTTCTTCTCTCTCTCTCTCTCTTTGTCTTGCATCAACTTTGTCACCTTGAGATTGATCTGATAATATCCAAATGTTGAACTGTGAAGTACAGTTCTCATTTTCCCAGTCTCTACTCGTTATGATCGCTTATGTTTAGGCGGGTTACTGTACTCCGTTTTTCGCCTCCAAAAAAGTTGTCAGAACCAGAAAATCAGTACTTTAATTACCACTAAAATTACCGCCATTTTATCACTCTGTTTTTCAGCAGTCGATTCGCATTTTCCCATTTTTTTCCCCCCGTATCACGTCATTCATCGAAAAATTGCGCAGAATGGTCTTTTATCGAAGATTAATTGCATTTTTACAGCTTTTCTGTGGTTCTCTCTCTCTCTCTCTCTCTCGAAACAGCTCACGTCATTGAACGAAAAGTTGCAAGAAAACGGAGAGAAAGAGAGAGAGAGAGATATTGTAGCTTTCCGCACAAAACTGCATCCACGTGTCAAAAACATTCAGCATTTTCTGTGAAATTCTCGAACGGTCCCCGGCAGTGTTGAGCGGAATTCCGTCTTCCGTCTTCCGTGGATTTTTTGTTCCGTCTTCCGTCTTCCGTCTTGCGGAAAAAAAGTTTTCTTCCGTCTTCCGTTTTCCGTCTTCCGTGGATTTTTTTGTTCCGTCTTCCGACTGCCTTCTTGCGGAAAAAAAGTTTTCTTCCGTCTTCCGTCTTCCGTCTTCCGTGGATTTTTTGTTCCGTCTTCCGTCTTCCGTCTTGCGGAAAAAAAGTTTTCTTCCGTCTTCCGTTTTCCGTCTTCCGTGGATTTTTTTGTTCCGTCTTCCGACTGCCTTCTTGCGGAAAAAAAGTTTTCTTCCGTCTTCCGTTTTCCGTCTTCCGTGGATTTTTTTAGTTCCGTCTTCCGTCTTCCGTCTTCCGTGGATTTTTTAGTTCCGTCTTCCGTCTGCCTTCATGCGGAAAAAAAGTTTTCTTCCGTCTTCCGTCTTCCGTCTTCCGTGGATTTTTTAGTTCCGTCTTCCGTCTGCCTTCATGCGGAAAAAAAGTTTTCTTCCGTCTTCCGTCTTCCGTCTTCCGTGGATTTTTTTGTTCTGTGTTCCGTATTCCGTTTTCCGTGTTCCGTAAAAAAATTGTCTTCCGTCAGAATAGTTCCGCTTTGCCGAAAAGGCTTGCAATTCTCGCAAAGGTGATCGGATCGGTCTGAAACTTGGACCCAACATACTTGAATTCAAGTCCAAGAACTTGCGCGGCTCTGTCTGATACCTGAATCATCTCAAAACCTATTTCAGGTCCTCACGACGTCAGAGTGATCAATCTTCTTCTTCTTCTTTTTTTGCAAACTGACACTATCAATTTCGGTGTGAATGACCAACGAGGTACGGTTTTGATTGCTCATTTTTCAAGCTTTAGTTTAAACCACAAAACGTTCAGAATCATCATTTCCCGAGAAGCGGCGTTCCAAAACACACTACTGTTCTCGAAGGTTGGTCAGAAATTTACATCATTTTTTTTTGGTGAAAAAAGACGACCTTGAATGTTGCAAGCGACGATTTGTGGTGATCAGAAAAACATGAGTCAGCTGGTTTTGTTATTGTAGGCCTAGAATATAGTAATACATAGGATAATTGGAACTCAAAAAACACTGTTCGAACTTTATGTGTACAAACGACAAAAAAATCGCGACTTTTTGCAGAGATTCATGAAGAACGGGACAGTTTGCCGGATGAGGAGAACAGTCTGGACGAAAACGGTTCGGCTCAGCGAAAAAACGCGGTAGCCGGAGGCGAATCGCCGGATATTGAGCCGGTGGATAAGAAGCTCGAGGATCCGCTGGATTATGAAGATGAAGGCCTGAGAGTGTAACATTTTTTTGGGGATTTTTACAACAAAAACGTGTGCGTTTTGCAGTAGAAGCCACAGCGTGAGCACTGCCGACTTGGAAGAGAAACATCGTTTGGAAAGTGGTGTTCCGGACGTGTCACAATTGAGTACGCACAGATATACAAGACACGCGTCCATTGATAGAGGGTACCATAACTTTTTGTTATTTTTTTCCAATAACTTAACAAAAAACGTTTCAGAAATGCTCCAGGGAAGGCAGTTGGTGATGAGGCTGTGGAGAAATACTATGAAAGAAACAATTATACGGTTACAGGTACGGTTTTTTGGGATGGATAATAGTGAAAGTGTTCTGAAATTTTGTGCAATGTTTCAAGAGCTACAATACTTTTCAAAGCAATTTTAGAAGAGAGTTGTCAACTGCAAAAGTATTGTACATTTCAAGAACTTTATTTTTGTAGTTGACACTGTTTCTCTAAACCCACTCGCTGGGTTACTGTAACGCTTGGAAGTTTGCTTAGGCGTTCAGCTATTGTCAACTTCCAAGACGAACAGTACCTCAGGGACTGGTCTTACAGAAAAATGATCAACTAGAAAAATAAAGGTCTAGACTCGAAGTATTATCAAAAAAATTTTGAAACCCATTGGACGTTTTGCAACTCTACAATATCCATTCAAAGTTCGTGCACTTTAAAAAAAAAAGAAATTTGGGTAAAACTTGTTCAAAAACCCCAGAATTTTTGTCAGGTCGTGACCGAAACGCAGACTTCTACAACAAATTGCCCGGACACCTCCAACACCGTCTCAGCCAGCACAACGTCGACGGAGTGAGCCGCTTCTCGAGCCCCGGAGCGCTAGGCCAGCCGGTGGTGCCCACTTTGCGTCGATTCGACAAATCCATGTACTGGTTCGCGTTTCATCGCAAACAAATCGGATTCCGGCACATTTGTGTCGTACTTTTGGTCCTCGCCTACACACTTTTGGGCGCCGCAATGTTCTGGTCCGTCGAGAGCCGTCATGAGAAGGCCGTGGGTTACTGTAGCTCTAAAAACTGGGCCGTTTTTCACAAATATTATCCATTTCAGAAGACGTTGCGCCACGTGCGAAACCTCGAAGAACTACTGACGACAATCGCGGAAAATGTGACGGAATCGGTGAACGACATCAACACGACGACGACGGTTTCCGAGATGAAGATTTATATTCGGGTAAGGCGACGTCGCGAGAATACAAGTGATATCATCTTTCCGCAAAAACCGGTTTTCATAGACTATTCTCTATAGGAGGCCTACGTGGAACTCATGAAATTGGAGGGACAGTACAAGGGAAGCACCTATTACAAACTCGAGGATCCGGAGAACAATTGGAAGTGGACGTTTGAGAGCGCCTTCTTTTTCAGCATGAATGTTTACACGACGACGGGTTACGGTAGGGTACTTGTACCCTGGGTTACTGTAGCCGACAGTACCGTTTCAGGTTCGATTGCGCCCGAATCCAGCATGGGTCAGTTGCTCGTCTGCGTCTACGGCTTCATCTTCGTCCCAGTGACCCTTGTGGTTCTCCGTGACCTCGGACAATTCTTTCTGGTACACCTTACCAAGTTGTACGCCCACGCAATCCAGAGATTCCGGTATTTTCCGTCATTTTTCAAGGCAAAAACGAATGTTTGCAGAGAATTGAACGGTGACAAGCGAGTGGACGAGGACGAGCTCATCCAGTTGCCGATAAAAGCGTGCTTCCTTCTATTGGCCAGTTACCTCGGCGCATGCACCATATTCATTTACTTCTACGACGAGCTGAGCGGAAGTGAGCCGGGCAGCGGCATCTCCATGTTCCTCTGCTTCTATTTTTCGTTCATCTCGCTGAGTACCATCGGTCTCGGCGACGTTATGCCCAACAACGCTACCGTAGGCTTCGAAAACATGGTTCCCGCTATTATAGCTCTACTTTTTTCCAGTTCTCCCCGATTATCTCGATCATTTTCTTCTTCGGAATGGCCGTCACCAAAGTGGTCAATCGAAACACGTTTATTGCGGTGGAAAATGGCATTTTCGGTGAGTATTTGCATTTTTTTTTGTTGTATGTATGCATACTTCATATTCAGGAACGCTGACACTTGTGGAGAACAAGCTGGACGGTGTGGTGACACGTGGCAGTGCGGTGAAGCCCGTGGAGAAGCCGACGACACCGAAAGTGCAGAGAGCGTTCAGCATGGACGCCGATTCGGCCGCCCAACAGGTAATTCCGGCGAAAAATCTTGAAAATGCGGTTTTTCGCATACTTTTTGCAGCAGGACGAGACGCCGAACGAGATTCTGAACAACTTTACGGTCCGCTCAATCGCCACGTTCATGAAGTCGAACGCCGACATTTACGGAGGCGGCTTCGGACGGGTTCAGTTGAGAAGAGGTGATCTGATGAACTCGGACAACCAGAACACGGTTAACTCGGTCTCGCAGCTGAGACATCGCGCACCGAGCCAGCCGAATAATGTGTGACGCTAGTTGCCTTTTTGTACATACTGTAGAGACTATGATGATAGTTATGCAATGAAACGTTATATTGTGCTTTTAGAGTCGTGGTTTGAGCGTTTGAATGTGAAAAACAGGTTGATAATACTTTGATTCGATTTTATTCTACTTTTTCTGCTTCTCATCGATCCGAGCGTACGAGTATTTAGACGGTTGAGTGTTCGGTGGGACTTCGTGTACGTGGGCAAATTTCTGGAAAAAAGAAAACATTATGTTTGATGAAATCGTTGAACAAATCGAGTATTTTACCTTGGAATCTTCCTGATTTTTCACTTTTTCCGCCGCCAAAAGAACGTGGGCATATCGAGAGAAGTACATGGAAGAAAAGGACAAGAAATGGAGGTTGGGGGGTTGTGAACAATCTGGCAAACGGTCAGTAGATGGTGGCAACAGATGGGGGGGAAATGACGAGAGAGAAACAGTGCACGAGGTGAAGAGGGCCCAGAGAGGTCACACACAATAGAGGAGGTGACGGGCAGACGCAGAGAGAGAGAGAGAGAGAGAGAGAGAGAGAGAGAGAGAGAGAGAGAGAGAGAGAGAGAGAGAGAGAGAGGGAGTTTGGCTGGCAGCCAACATTTATTGAATCCTCTCTGCGGGTTGCAAGTAAGGTTGACTATAAAGGTCCGGGAAAATGTCTAAAGAGAATGAGTGGCATGACTGGAAAGTGCGGCCATGTGACGAGTTGTTTGTATGAATGATTATCGAGCTTTTATTATAAAGCTCCGTCAAAATAAGTGTTATGAAACAGAGATGTTGGGAGAAAAAATTTTACTCTACGGAACACGGAACACGGAACACGGAAAATTTTTTTTTTACGGAACACGGAACACGGAATACGGAAAAAACTTATTTCTACGGAACACGGAACACGGAACACGGAAAAAAGCGTTTTCAAGAGAATTCCAGTGATTTTTTTTTTAAATAATGTTTTGTTTCATTCGATTATCTGACTGACAAGGCAGCTGTTTGACTCATGTGAAAGTTTTACTGAAAATTTCATAAAAATAACAAAACCAACAACACAACAGTAAACAACTACAGTAAGAAAACGACTGAAAATGGAATCCACTTGTGATCGAATTTTTCCGCGCAAAAATAAATATAGTTTATACGGAACACGGAACACGGAAAACGGAAAAAAACTTATTTCTACGGAACACGGAACACGGAACACGGAATTTTTTTACGGAACACGGAACACGGAACACGGAAAAAAACTTATTTCTACGGAACACGGAAATTTTTACGGAACACGGAACACGGAAAAATGTTTTTTTACGGAACACGGAAAAAAAGCGTTTTTCAAGAGAATTCCAGTGATTTTTTTAAATAATGTTTTGTTTAATTCGATTATCTGACTGACAAGGCAGCTGTTTGACTCATGTGAAAGTTTTACTGAAAATTTCATAAAAATAACAAAACCAACAACACAACAGTAAACAACTACAGTAAGAAAACGACTGAAAATGGAATCCACTTGTGATCGAATTTTTCCGCGGAAAATATAGTTTATACGGAACACGGAACACGGAAAACGGAAAAAAACTTATTTCTACGGAAAACGGCGGAACACGGAACACGGAAATTTTTTTTTTACGGAACACGGAACACGGAAAAAATATTGAAAAAAAAACGCGGAACACGGAACACGGAATTCCCAACATCTCTGTTATGAAACTGCAGCCGGTTCCGAGGTTTCATCGGACATCTCCTGTTCGTCAAGTATAATTGAGACTATTGCTCTCATGTGTTCAGATGTTCGACACGTCAAAGTGATGTCATCCCAGTCAATTGGATAGGCGATCTGGAAGCAAGTGCACAATAGCTTTAAAATTCTCCTGTCAGAGGCCAACCATAGTGTTCTCGAGTCGGTAATCGCTTGCAAGTTGCTCTTTCTCGAAAGGGAAATGCTCTCGACTGGCGCACAAATACCAATCGCACCGTTCTTTGACGCCCGGAGCATCGAGATAGTCGGCAAGTCGGAGCAGCGCCTCGAAAGTTGTGCGAGTGACCGGACGAACGGGATCGTGGATCATGTGCAGAAACTCTTCGAATTCGTCGGCTTTGATGCCGGGCAACACGATTCGGGATCGATGATATTCGGTGAAGTGGGGGGTGAAGAACATGGTGTTAAAGTATGGAGAGTGTGCGGCGAGCAGCTGCAAAGAATCTCCATTTCTAAAAGTTCCCCGCTGCCGTTAGCCGTACGTACCTCTTTGATGACATTAAATTTGACGCCCTCGACGATCAATGCGACATTCGTCAACTCGTTGCTCATCCAGAACGTTGTCTTCTTCTCGAACATTGACTTTTTGAACTTTTGCACGCGGATATCCGCATTCAAACGCACTTGCTTCGGCCCTTCCTCTCCGGAAACGGGCATGGATTCTTCGAACGACGTGAAGCCCGTCGAGACGCTTCTGCTGACCGTCCACGTGCAATTATCGTACTCGTCGGGCACGAAAAGGGTGAACGCGGCGGTGACGTCACAGTACCACTCGGTGTGAGTGCCGTAGTCGCAGACGAGACTGATCTTGAGGATCGTTCCGTAGCGGTTCTCCGTCAGCTTCAACTCCAACCTCCATGGAACATTGTCGATCATGACGAGTCCGGAACGATGCGCTTGGCCGTTCAACAAGACACACGAGACGTCGACTCTCACCGACTTTCTGCCCAACTTCATCTTCTTCTTCTTGAGCACCTGCTTCTCCATCCGTCTCTTCAGACACCAACGGCCCAACGGGCGTAGGCAGCGAAAATTCGACAACGAGTCGAGCCCATCGCAAGTGAGAATTTGACGAAGAAGGATCTTCTGCAATCCGAAACGATGTGCACCATGTGGCCGAACAAAAGACACACCTCCAAACGTCGCAGTTGATACGTAACCGCGTAATGCAATTTGGTACTCGGCTCCATAAACTTGCTTCGTATCATAAATTGTTCGCATAACTCGACGCACGTCTTCGACTCGTATCTCTTGGCGATTTGAATCACACTATTCACATTCTCGACTGAGATTTCTCATGTTTTCTCCCTTGCCAATAATGTTTTGAGACTTACCGTTCAAAACGTCCGAATGTCCGTAGATGATCTGGAGGAACGCAATGAAATCGTCGACGGTTTCCTCCTCATCCAAATAGATCTTCACAACATTCCCCTTTTCCACATAAAATGCTCTCCTGAAGCTCTTGCAATACCTGGCCATGATGCGAGTGTTCACGTATAACTCGTGACCGTACACCTTCAGCATCGAGTCTGTTCGGTCGCGGTCCGGCATCGAAAAATCGCACAGTTTTCTGCCCAAAATGGCCACGTTCTTGATGGTCACTCTGAACTCGAACAACATGCGCACACTGGGAAATCGAGCGTCGTCGTGATACTTGAGCACATCGTCCCATTGTCGACAAGTCCGAAACGCAGTGTTCGGCGTGTTGTTCCGAATGATAATATCGAACGTTTCGGGCTTGTTTGTGTACTTGGCGGCGCCTTGGTAGTGGCGTAGAACTGCCGTCACACTGACCGCCCACGCGGACTGCACCTCGAGACAGCACATCAGGTAGAAGCTCAGTTGTTTCGTGTGGTCCGTGTCGCTGGCGTAGTCGATGTGGGCGTAGAATTTCCTGCAAGTTTATCGACGATGCACCATGTGGTTCAAGTACGAACCAGGGAACGCCTCCGATGACTTGGGTCGGCGTGCACTCGGACATTTCGGTACGCCTCCGACTATTCACCACTTTCATCTCTTTCGGATGATCGATAATCAGTTGAAGAGAGCCGTCTGGCTGATCCCGTTCACATTGTCCGAACATTTTACTGAAAACAAAAGAACATTTGTTGTAATATACATAGAAGAAGGGGTTTGAGTTGGGTGCGCGTGAGCAAAAGAAAAAAAAGAGTCGTTGTCATGGGTGACGGCCGAAAAATCTCTCTTGCAGGTGATCAGACACTTATCGATTTTCGGCTAAAACAACTTTTTCCGGATTTCCGCATTCCGCATTCCGCAAACGTACGGATCAGTGTGTATTCTTCACAGAAAACAACAATAGTCATGGTTTGTGGCACACTGATAAAAATGCTGTTTCGAAACATGTTCTTGTCTTGCAAAACTGTTCTGAAACATGTTTCAAAGTCTAGAAATACTCATTTCAACGAGTCAATTCGAAAACCAAAAAAAAGTGGAGTGGAAGGAAGTAAAACTGCGTGAAATGAGAGTAAAATGACCGGGAAAGCGAATTGAATATGAATATTAAAACGGGAGAATGAACAATTTTATGCACATGGTGCATCGGCCAACACTATATTGTTTATTCGATCCAGAATGTCTCAAAAGAATCAGTGGGGGGGTAATCAAATGAAATCACAACGAAGAAATGTGAAAAATGGCCGGGAAATGGTGGGTTGAAACTGAGAAAAATTCGATGTGACGGCTAAACAAAATACTTTTTTTTCTTGGCGAGATTAGCGGGACAAACAACTAAAGCGTGGGGGAAATTGAATTGTTCTCAATGTTCTACAATATTAGTTAGTCAGAAAATACAAAAAAATGTACTGTAGCTTCACCACACATTGGTGTTTTCGAACAAACAAAGGAAAAGATGGGAGGAAAAGAGAGGAATGGGAAAAGGGTTAAAATGTTTATTCATGAGCATCATCCACTTCCATGACATCATGCTGGAGCTCTGGAGCATCCGGAGCTGGAATCGGGACTGGAGCCACATCTGAAAATATGATTTGAGAACATGTTTTGAAAAGTGGTTCTAAAGGCACAAAACACGGTACCTGGAGCTGGAGCACGATTCGGATCCACGTCAGGCTGGTCAATGTCCTCTTCGTGAACGTGAGCCAGTTCCGGATGCGGATGTGGCGGCGGAGTCGGCGGAGGGGACAACGGCGGCCGGATCGGTTGCTGGCCTCCATGAGCATAGCCGTGAGCATAGACTCGGTAGCGGCCGTTCTGCGGTCCGCCATCATTGTCGCCACGATTCGGTGGTTCTCTCAGCTCGATGTGCCACTGATTATCATCCATTGGAATCTCTCCCATCCGATTCCGAGCTGCTTGCGCTGGAGCCAGAATAAGCTGCTCTGGAATCTCTTGCGGATTCGGATCATGCATTATATGTCCTGCCACTATCGGATTCAGATTCATAAGGTGCTCTAAGAGGCGACGATCACCATCGGGTGGCGCGTCAAAATTGCCGAATGGAGCTGGAGCCGGCTCTGGATCCAGATCTTCCTCCACACGCGGTCGAATAACGTTTGCGAGATTTTGGCGAATCTCGTGCAGCTGTCGCTCGTGCGGATCCCTGAGCAGATCCGGAATCGCTTCGGTTAGTTCGGTACAAATGCGCAAAAGGATCGTCAGCACGTGAGACACCTCGTTCACGTTGCGACGCACCATGCGCATCAGAGCGGCGGCCAATCGTCGGTCGCGTGGATCCTGTTCCGGAAGCGCGGCGGCGGCGTTCAAGCCGGTGTAGACGTGCGAGAGTTCCATCACGACTCTGTGCATGTTGTGCAGTTGTTCGACGAGCGGATCGTTAATGATCGGCGCGGGCGGCCCAACGACAACAGGTGCCGGACCTGCCAAGTTGGCCAGACGTTGTAGCGCGGCCAGACGATGCAGATCGTTGAGCTGACGATCCTGAAGATCCATCTCCGGAGCCGGAGCCGGTGCAATTGGCACCGGAACCGCGTTGGCCAAGTAGTCGCGGAGTTGTTGGAAGTTTTGGATGGCTTGTGCGAGCTCCGGATCGTGCGGATCCAGCGGGACCGGCGCCGCAGGAACTGGAGCCGGAGCCGGAGCCGGATTCATGTCCACTCGGAATTGTTCATCCAACATACGAAAGATGAAGTCGTAGAGTTGTCCGACGCCAAAATCCATTCGTTCCACGGGCACATTTTGTGGGTTCTGCTGGGCAAATCCAAATTGTGCACGGAATTGAGGAAGGTTCACTTGCGCTCGAGGCTCCATCGGCTCGCGTGGGTTCGGAACGAAGACGTGCTGACGGTTGCGGGCTCGGATCAGGTTGATCAGAGCGGTCAGATGGTTCGCCTCTCGGACCATGTGCTCTAGGAGACGTTCTTGTGGAAAACGGATTTGCGCGCCATGAATGTAGTGGAGGATGTCATCGAAACCGTCGAGATTGGTCGGATTCGTCTCACGCAGCAGGTTGAGTATGAAGTCTCCGATTTCAGGCGTAAAGTTGCCATTGTTTCGATTCTGACGCGGTCTCTGACCCGGTCCCTGACCGTCGTCATCATCATCCTCATCACCATCATTTCCCTCTTCCTCCTCTTCTTCTTCTTCCTCCATTCCCTCTTCTTCTCCTTCTCCTTCTTCTTCTTCTTCCTCCTCTTCACCGCCAACCAGTGGAACCTCGAATTCCTTTGTGGCGAGCAATTTCATGCCCTCGGATCCGTGAACACGTTCGGTGCAGGATAGCTAAAATTTGGAAATTTATAAAAGTTGGACCCCTTTGTCCACTTACCAAAGTGTTCGTAAACAAATATTTTTGGGCCATGGCGATTTTACGGCGATCTGTGTACGGGGTTCGCACCATATAGATATCCATTTCTTCGGTGACACGATCCGAACGGAATCGGGTGATGAACTGTTCGAGTTGATCGAATTCTTCGCCTGAAAATGGAACAGTATTGTTTTCTGGTTCAAAAAAACGAGGTTTGTACGTCTATAAAAGGTCAAACTCACCCTGAATATTCCGTCCGGCAAAGTAAATGTGCTGTAGCCCCTCCTCCATCACTGCCTGCTCGACTCCCTCGATTCGATGAGTGTTCTGCGGCGAACTCTTGAACATTGCCTCGAAAAACGGCGACGCTTCGGCGAGTATCTCCTTGTGCACGTACAGTTTCGCATCGTTATCCAACACGAGCTCAGCGTTCACGAACGGCTCATCCGAGTGCGTGAACAGTTGATTTTCGGCGGCGACAATCTGGCAATCGTTTGCGGCGTCGGTCACTGTTATCTTGACGCGGATCGTCATGTTTTCGACAATGTCCGCCGCGTTTCGAGGCGCCATCAATTTCGTCGTCGGATTGTGCGTGTCGACGAAGAGATGTGACGAGCGGGTGTTGTAGTGGGCGGGTCGCGCGAGCTCGCCGTCGCCCAGTACGTCCACCGAGCAGATGAACGAGGCGTGGAAGTAGTCGGTCACTTCCGGCGGTCCCTCGCACCGAACACTGATCTCATAGCAATTCGGCGTCTCGGCGACCGCCCACGCACTCCACCGCAACTCGCCAATAACTTCGATGGCACTTTTTTCGATTTCGCCGCCGCCGCCGTCGCGCACTCCATACGCCACAAAAATCTCGAGTTTGCCGTCGTACGGCTTGTTCGAGCAGTCCGGATCCGGCAAAACTGTGTGGATTTGATTCTGGGTGACGGTCGGAAGATTCTTGAACTCGGCACGTCGCGCATACTCGCTCTTCTTGTGCGCCGTTTCGATGGAGGCCACAAACACGGACTGAAAACCGGCGATTCTGGTGATTTGCATAGGAAAAGAGTGTTGGCGAGTACCCGAAGTTTGTTCAATCGATACTTTTGCACCAGCTCCAACTTTTCCATCACGTGCATTTGTTTGGATCGCAGCAAAAACTTTTCGAGGAGGTTCACGCACTGCTCGGCTCCGTATCGCTGCGAGATTCGAAGGAGACTGCTCACGTTTTTCGCTGAAAAAAATATCATGAGTTTTTTTAGCGCTACACGATTTCCAAGATCATTTTAATGCACCTCTCCTTCTGTGCTCGTTGCTCCGCGAGCAATGCAGCTGTCCGTGCGGCGGCTTCTGTTTTGCACTTTTCCCTCTTTCCCTCTCTCTCTCTCTCTCTCTCTCTGTGTCTCGCTCTCGTCCCTAGACCCCCTTTCCTCTTTCTTTCTATTTCATGCTGTCCTGTGAGTGCGCACACGACGCATTCACTCAATCGATCGGCGGCGCTCACGCGAATACGTTTCGCGTGTGATATTGTCGTTTTCTGACTACATTCCCCCTGAAATCTCGTGCCTTTTTCTGTCCGGACGTGAAAATCCGTGGAAAAACAACGTTATTTTCTTCGTTTTCACTCTCAAACCCGCGCATTTGGTTCTAGAGAACGTGTTCAGGACACAATTTTTGAAAGAAACGTTTTTTTTTTGAGGTTTTTGTTGTTGGAACATGTTTGCGACAAATTTTTCCAGAAAATGACCGATTTGGCGCACGAGGAACCGGAAGAGAAGAAGAAGGAAGCGGCGAAGCGAGAATTGGAAGAGGAGGAGGAACTGGAGCTGCCGGAAGTGAAAAAGCCGAGAAAGGAAGAGCCGGATTCGACGGAAGAGGTCAAGAAGGAGAAGAAGAAGGAGCGGCGACGAATGGACGTGGAAGAAGTGATTGCGAGATGCAGAGTTTGTAAGTTTTTCGGCTAATTTTCACTAGAAATCATCATTTTTTCAGTGGGCGGCGACGGATTCTCGGCCGAGCAGGAACGTGTGCTCCGTGAGCTCGACAAGCAAAAGGACACGATCAAGGCGCTGTTGGACGAGATGCAGGCGGCGAAGAGGGAGCGACAAACCCACAATATCAGCTCTATTCTACAGAATCCATCGCAATAATAAATGTTCGACAAACAAAACCGACCATTGATATCGGAAGTGTACTGATTGAGAAGTTTGAGCCATTCTCGGAAATCCTCCGCGTTTTCGTCGTCCAAATGCACTTCTCCATTCACTGCTTTGTCCGTGATGCGCTCGTGGAAGCGACAACGCATTTTGAGAGTCTGCAATTGAAGTAGTTGACACTTTTTCTGTATAGCAAAGCCTAGGATTACTGTAGTTGGAGCATTCAACCTGATATTCTGATGTTCCCTCTGTGCTTACTCACCACAGTCGAAACGAAAAACGTTGCGTCGTCCACTTTGATGCACAAATCGTGGAACCAGCGCTTGTGATCGGAAACTGGCGGCCCGAGAGCCGTGCTCATCGCTCCGGACACTTCGATGTTAAAGTCGACAGTGTTCTGCTCGTAATTCGCATCCAAAAATCCTTGATCGTGCAACTCGATCCAATTGAAGTCTCTCGCCGCGATGTGCGTCGGTTGCTTCCATCCGAACACAAAGTTCTCCTCGATTGTCTGCGAGAACTCGGGCACTCTGTGCACAAACGTCACCCTCATTCTGGCCTTTGCCTTATAAAGGAGCCGTGTGTCGCAGAAGCACGTCAACACCACTTTCAGGCGATTCTCTGCGGTGCGTCGGAGTGCGAACTTCCACGGAACACCGGCGACCGTCTGGAATGGCGACTGCCAATCGTTGCACGTCTCCTCGAGCGGCACGGCGACGCGAAGTGAGTTCAGGGAGACACTGGCTCGCAATGAGTGCTGCTTGCCATGACTCGGATCGTTCAGAGCCGACATGGTTGTTACCCCTGAATGATGGCAATGTTTAGGTGGAAATTGTGGAAGTCGGAAGTGGGCTTTTTGAAAAACCGGAAAGATTGTACGAAAATGTGTGCAAGATACAGAGAAGTAAACTAAAAAAACGCAGCTATTGTAGGAGGTGTCTTTGCCAGCACATCATCCAACAATAGAATAATTATCTCGTTATGCGTGCGTGTGTGTCAAAGAGAGACGCAGACATCGCAACAAAAAAACGGTTGTTTGTGTGTCCCTTTTCACTCTGATATTGTTGTGTTCTCGGACAGATAAGAGAGAGAGAGAGAGAAGCAAGAGGGAAGAAGAATCACGAGACTGATCACGAGGGCAATTCAAGTGTATCGAACGTTTCGTTTCTAGAGATGCTTTTCTAGGAAAGCGCGCACAGAACAACCACTTGGACTCGAAAAACAGCGAAAAACGAGGCCCAAAAAAGAGGTTTTTGGCTAAAAAATTTGCCAAACGGGACCCGGAAAGCAGTCAATTTGGGCCCGATTTGACCCGGTCTAGCAGGGACCGAAAACTTTGTTTGTAGGCCAAAAAGGGGTCTGGAGCCGAAAAACATGCGAAAACAAACAAATAACGTTCGAAAAACGGGGTGCGCGCGAGAGCGCGGAGGGACATGTAATAATAATAAGAGAGAAGGGCAGCAGGACGCCGGCACCCACAAGAGAGAGGGAGAGAGAGAGAGAGAGAGGGAGAGGGAGAACGTGAAATCGATAGAAAAAGAAGAAGAAGAAGAAGAAGAAGAAGAAGACACTTTGGGCCGCGCCGGCGACCAGAAGAAGAAGAAGAGAGAGTGGGCAAAGTGAGGAGACACACGGACGCCACGTCATGCCTGCTGGCGGCGCTAGAGACAAAAAGAGAGAGAGAGAGAGAGGGGGGGGGGGTACTTTTTGCATGGAAAACAATAGACGAAAAAGTGATTAAATGATATCGGATAAATGACGATTTTTCAACTGCCGTCTGTGAACTTTTCAGCACTGGTCGATGCACCATGTGGAGCACAGAACCGACTAAATTCTCAAATCAGAATGAAATGCGCGCAACTCGTGTCCGATGTCCTTTCGGTTCTCATGGCAACGCGAGCAATTGGGACAGATAAACGAGTAGGCACCCAGACGGACAGGAGAGTGCAAATGAGTGGGCGGCTATGGAGAACAGAAGAGGAGGCCTGAGCTTTTCATCCTTTTTTCAATTTTCAGACCGGGCCAGGGCTGCGAATTGTCAGGCCAAAAGTTTAGATCCCAAACCCAAAACCTTCTGTCATTTGTATGCATTTGTTTAACATTTCTCGAGAATTTCGAAAATGATAAGAGAAATCAAAAGAAGAGGATTACTCGTCCATTTCACACTTTCCAGTCAGAAATGCGCACTTTTTCAGTGTCTTTTGGCCGATGCACCATGTGGATCTTTGTGTTACATGGTGCATTGACCACTTTTGCAGTTCTCTCTGTTTGACCACATGGTGCATCGCCCAATGTTTGTTATTTTGCTCTCCTCTTTGCGTTGATTTCCGCTCACATGGTGCATCGGCCTTTCAAAAAAAAAAGTTTTGAGAAGAACTTCCAAAGTATTATACGGTCACAAATTAGAGTTTGCACGTGTTTCAATGCTCCCCGCCGCCTTTTCCTCTCTATTTCCTCTCTATTTGCTCTCCACCTCTCACTCTTTCCAATTTCATCCGTCTCCGACCAACCAGACACTACAAATGTTCCATTGATTTTTTCCTGATTTCCTCATCATTTTTTTTCTTTGCAGTGTCGTCAAAATGGAAGTGCCCACTTCATCGGCCAACTTGACACATTTCACGACAAACTGTAGAATTTGTCTGAAAGACGGTCACGGACAGCACTTTGGATTGGAGACTTGTCGAGCGTGTGCCGCGTTTTTTCGGTGAGCAATTGTAGGGCCAATATGTAGGCGAACGTGTTTGTATTTCAGCCGAACAGTCGTCTTGAATCGAAAGTACAAGTGTAGCAAAAGGACGGGAAAGTGTGAAATCGGGACGGCCGACGAAAAGCTTCTCTGTAAATTTTGCCGCTTCAAAAAGTGTCTCGATCTTGGAATGACGACGGAAAGTGAGTTTTTTCTGAAAAACCGCCAGACACGAAAACAATTGTTTCTTTTACAGACGTGCGAACAGATCAAGTGATAAAAAACGAAGAAGAAGTGGTTCCGATCACGTCGCCAGCTTCTTCTTCTTCTTCTTCTTCTTCCTCTTTGTCAATATCAACTCCAGAATTGGCTGGAGGAGTCGATCGGGTCGAATACAGTATTATCCATCCGAAGACGAGAGCGCCCGCCATGCTCATCGACGTCAACGCGATCATAAAAAGGAGTCGCGCTATTTTGGAGACTGTAAGTCGATAGACATGTTACTCTCCACATGGTGCATCGTCCAGCTCTTTTTTTTGGTATTGTGCCCAACATTTGAGATGTTCTGACTTTTCCCACATGGTGCATCGTCCAAAACTTTCACACTTTTCAGTATTTTCTGGAAGACGAAGACGCGATCGGCCACCTGAACCCTCTGCAGAGAATGGTGCATTCGCTGCAGAAGATCCGCTCGAAACAGAACTGGAATCCCGAGTTTTTTGTGAACATCAAATTCTACGACATGTTCGCAATGTGGGAGAAACAAATGCTGGACACGGCCGAATGGCTGATGCATTCCAACGAATTCCGACAGTTGCCACCTCACGAGAGGGTTCGTGTTTTCCACAAAAATGCCCCCCTGAAACAACTGTTTTAGGTGGCAATATTCAAAATAGTCTGGGCGGTGTGGCGACGATTCGAGCGCTACACAATGACGGCCGAGATTTTCGGACAAAAGTGTTATGATGAGAAGGTGAGCGACTGTTTCAAGTCGAAAATCATGTCTTAGGACAGTTTGGCACAAAGTTGCGCTCTGGAACATGCACCATAGCAAGTTTAGCTCAAAAACATGTTTCCTGCCCTATTTCCGCGTCAAATTCCCATTTTTTCCGATTCTGCTTCACTCGCACGAATGCGCGGCTCGTTTCGGCGACTATTTCATCGACTACTCCAACGTTTCCGATCACGGTTTCGAGCGTTTCAACAAGTACGTCCATCGCAGACGATGCACCATATTTTCCATCGTCTTTTTGCAGCGTATTCGGCGGAAAAATGATCCAGTACTACGATATAATTGTGAAACCGTTTCTCGAGATGCGATTATCGATTACCGAAGTCACCTACGTGCTCTGCCAAATTGTGTGGAATTACGCGGGACGACGTCTTCAGGGACAGACCCAGACGGCCGGCGAGCAATTTTTGGAGCAGATTTCCGATAATCTTCACGAATACTATGAAACTCGGCCGGAATCTCAGAACTATGCGTCGCGCCTAACCAAAATGATGCAGATGGTCAATCAGATGCTGGTCAGTGCGTTTTCTGCAATTCCCCGACGATTTTGAGCGTTTTAAACTTGTAAATTCTCGAAAATCTCATGAAAAATTAGTGCGAGTGCACCGGAATTGACGACAAATTGCAGAATGTGCAGCTGAAACGTGAGGCGACAATGGACATGGCAATGCTGTTCGATATGTTCAATATTGTGCTCACCGAGCCCGAATTCTTTCGAGTTTGAAGTGTTTTTTATGAAAATTGCTTACAATTTGGGCAAATCACATCCGGAAACGGCAAAAATAGTTCTAGGGAAAGGTCAAATTGTAAAAAACGGTCATGACGAGTACAATTTGAGTGATGACAAAATAGGCTCGTTCGACATTCTTCCGCGTCACACTGAACACGTGGATTACTGTATTTGTGGTCCGATTGTGAAGCGAGCGGTCGACCATCATACGGTAACTTTGATAGACCGACGCGTCCGGCGAGTGTTGGAGTGACGCATCGCTCATCAGAATTGTCGACGTTTTCAGCATCTGCAATTGATTGGTTGAGAGCGGAAATAGATTTTGAACACCCGGAAGACGGAACACGGAACACGGAACACGGAAAATGTATAGAAAGTGGCTCTTACCGTTTCTTGAACGTACGCAGGCGGGTAGAGAAGACTTGAAGAGATCAGAGTGCAAGCGATCATTTCGCCGAGCAGACAGAACCAGTAGAGAAGTGATGATTGAGAGCTCACGCTGAAATGTATCAATTTCAGACCCGGACATTGGACTAGAACCAAAAATGTTGGCTTTATGATATTCAGCGTTAAATTTGCGTTCGAAAAAAACCTAAAATGTTTTGAAGCGGCGACGCATTCCGACTTTACCTGAACACCAAAAAAGTGACGTTCGCTGTGGCGGTAAGAATCGAGAATGGAGCGTAGTTCATCATCCGGGCTGCAAAAAAAAACGCATTTTTCGTTAATCTACAATATAACTCACTCAATCTGCTAGTCATATGATTGGTAAACTCGAAAAGTTGGACCTGTCTATCGCCGAATGCTCGGATTACTGTAGGGCGCTGAAAAATCGTAACTTTGCTTAAAATAATGCCAATTTTCCGACGACTCACACTCAGTTCTTTATTTTTCGATGCATTCTCGAGTTCCTCGTTGAAAACCTCGAATTCGCGCGCCATTCCGTGATGAAGAATCGAATGAACGGGCAGATAGAGCACGTTCACATAGCCACACAATAGCGAAACTCCGGCGTCGTAGTAGAAATACCAGGCGCTTTGTTGAGTTCTGAAGCAATGTTTTCGAAAAGGAAACCCGGAGAACGGTGTCGACTTACGTGTCAAAGAGGACAATTTGATTGGCGACCAGGTAGGTTGAGGTGAGAATGAAAAAGATGGGAATCAAGATGGATTGGATGAGCATTCGTGTTCGAAGTTTACCATAATCGTCATGCACCATGTGCACAGGAGTTGTCTGCAAACATTTTACACTTTTGGGGATTTTTGTGATGATACCCAGCTAACTAGAAACAGGAAGTTAAACCGCCGGATTTCTGATTAATATAAGTTACAATTGTAAAAAAAAAACTCACCCTCAAACTTTTCAACGCACTTATTTTCTCCTCAAATCTCTTTAATGTTCCCATAGTTGTGAAGCGATACAGGGCAATGATACACGCAAAAGATTCGATAGAAACGAAGGCGTACAAGTTGCGTTCCGACCAGCCGAACGACAATAGCTAAACATGCGTTTTCTCAATTAATAAACTGTTTTCTACACACTTACCTTCGCGTCAGTTCGATAAAACATCCAATAAACGCGAAAAATCATGGCGAAGAATGAGGCGAGGGAAAGAAGGCAAAAAACGAATCGAACTGGACCTTTTTCACAATTGAAGGGCGAAAATTTTAGGAGATATCGGAAAATTCCGAAAATATTCGAAGACGGGGCTCTAGAGTCCATTTTGGAGTGAAAATGGACTCATCTGCAGGTTTTTATAAAAGAAACGTTCAAAACAAAATCAGAAAATCGAGCACACTTTTCGCCTGTTTGCTTATCGCATGATTGATATGAAATGACGGTGAGTAATCGGCGGGTGGCGGGTGGCGGGCCCAAAAAGTCACACAATCGATCAGACACTGAAGAACGAGGGCTCCGAGATGACGACGCTGAACATGTCGAATAGAAACGCCATTTCCATCACTTTCTCGTGATTCGCCTGGATTTTCTGGAAAAATCGTAAGTTTCAAACTCAACACTTGACATTTTAGTACTAAAACCATGGCGGACCGAATTTCGCCGCATGGTGCATCGACCACTACATGGTGCATCGACCACTACATGGTGCATCGACCACTACATGGTGCATCGACCACGCGTAACACAAGTACGATTTTTAATCAATTTTCTGAGAGAACAATAGCAAAAACATACCAAAACACTGGTGACCATCGTCATAATGCCGGCCAACCTCGGCGCGTAGTTGTGAATGTGTCGTCGTCGATAGTATTCGTGTAGATCGTTGGATATCCGCTCCAAAAACAGTTCGCCGGCCGCGAGAGTCTGTCCGAGCAGCTTGCGACCCGCGTAGCTCCACACGATCTGACTGATGGCGAACGAGATCTCGATCGGGCTGAACTTCCACTCGAGACACGGTCGCACGACGCCCTCGAAGTATTCTCGCAGGTTTTTTCGCATCATTCTGCTTTGAAATACATTGCTATCCAAACGTTTCGAGTACCTGTTGTACTTGTCAAATCCAGTCTCACAAATGTCGGACACATCGAGCCGAAACTCTTCCAGACGCGTTGCCACGTCATCCGAAATCAGCAAAATCTTCTCGTCGTAGCATTTTTGCCCGAAAACCTCTGCACTCATTGAATTCCTCTCGACACGTCGCCACACCGCCCACACGATTTTGAAGAATGCCAGCTGCAACGAGTATTGTACAGTTGCGAAACGTCCTGTGTGTTTCAGATTATTCTTGTAAAAACTTGACATCTAGTACTGTATTTTTGTAGTTGAACACTTTCTTTTACGACCATTTTCTGGGTTACTGTAGCTTGTTAAAGTCAGAATACCCTTTTGGTTATTGTCAACTTCCTAGCGCTACAGTAACCCGGGAAGTTGTCGTAGAAACAAGTTATCAACTACAAAGATAAAGTTCAAATTGTGAAAAGTATTTTTGTAATTGACCACTTTTTCCTACAATTATTCCCTAGAGTATTGTGACTCTTGGAAGTTAGCACTGTGAATTTCTTAAGCTATTAGGTACTGTAACTTTCAAGAGCTACAGTAGCCGACTACGTAGGCGTATAAAAAAGTTGTCAATTACAAAAATCATCGTCACACTTTGAACTATATTTTTGCAGTTGACCACTTTTTTCTAAAACCACTTACCGGGTCGCTGTATCTCTTCGAAGTTAACAATAGACAATCGCATGTACTAACTTCAACGAGCTACAGTAACCCGGGCATTGGTCGTAGAAAAAAGTGACCAACTGCAAAAAAAGTGTACTAGATGTGAACTTTTTGAAAAAGTTTGCTAGACACCCGTACAACGCTCCAGAACTCTTCCCACCTTTTCATGACCCGGCAACTGTCGGAACTCTTCACAATGCATAAGCCATTCGGCTGCTTTTGTCATGTACATCTCCCAAAACGTTACATAATCATCGAAAACCATAAATGTGGCGAATTCGGGAGTTTTCGACTGTGCACATCGCATTTTCATCAGCGAAAACGTCATTCGTTCGAGTGAGCTCATCGCTTGAAATTCTTCACTGGCCGGCAGGTTGTACTGTAAATGTTCTTTGAAAAATGCAAGCTTTTTCGCAAAAAAAAATGCTACAGACTAGTGTGTCGTCTCGGCGAGAAATTTTTGAAAAATCTCGGTGTCTCGCCCTTGTTTCGTCTCGGTTTTTTCTCGTCTCGGTCTCGTCTCGTTCCATTATCATCTCGGTCTCGCCGTGTCTCGGTTCTGTCTCGGTCTCGCCCTTTCTCGTCTCGCCGTGTCTCGGTTCTGTCTCGGTCTCGCCCTTTCTCGTCTCGCCGTGTCTCGGTTCTGTCTCGGTCTCGCCCTTTCTCGTCTCGCCCTTTCTCGGTCGTCTCGCCGTCTCGCCCTGTCTCGTCTCGCCGTGTCTCGGTCGTCTCGCCGTCTCGCCCTTTCTCGTCTCGCCGTGTCTCGGTCGTCTCGCCGTCTCGCCCTGTCTCGTCTCGCCCTTTCTCGGTCGTCTCGCCGTCTCGCCCTGTCTCGTCTCGCCCTTTCTCGGTCGTCTCGCCGTCTCGCCCTTTCTCGTCTCGCCCTTTCTCGGTCGTCTCGCCGTCTCGCCCTTTCTCGTCTCGCCCTTTCTCGGTCGTCTCGCCGTCTCGCCCTTTCTCGTCTCGCCCTTTCTCGCACCTCCAAAATGTCTCGTTCTTTTCTCGGTGTCTCGGTGTCTCGTTCGATTAGAAAGTTCATTTCATTTTTGAAAGAGTACTTCCATTTCTTCGCAGAAAATACACGTATCCAATGCATATTTTCTGATACATTTGCAATAAAAAAGTACACCGCGTACAGTGTCCACTGTCTTATTCAGCCACATAGGTGGGCCGAACGAACGAACCGGGTTTTGGAATAGAGGGAAAGAACAAAATCTTTTTCCAGCATTCCAATGCGCAAGCGAGTTGTCTTTTTTTCTTTTTTCAATTGAAAACCGGAATTCTTTCGTTTTTCTCTTAATAAACACTCAAATTTTGTTCTTTGCGAACCGTAGGGCGATTGTCTGAGTTAAAAGCATCGATTTAAGCGCGAAACGGAGCAGATTCGTTCAGAATTGACCAAATTGAGGGATTTCGTCGAACGTTTCGAAATTGATGACGAAGCAGTTAACATTTTATAACGAACAAGAGGGAACATTGAACGGGAATATTTCATAAGGCTTTCATAGGGAAGAACTGAATAGGATTGAAATGGTACACGATAAAATTAGGGAAATTCTAGAGAGTCGTCGCTGTTCACATCTGGAAGAGGAGTTGGCACACTTTTCTTCGTTTTCGGAGGCATCGGTTTTGTTGACTTCGGCAACTTCTTATGTACATTTGTACGGAGGCGCAGTTTCGATGTCCCCGGCTGGCTCGAAGGACCTGGCTGGCTCGATGGACCTGGCTGGTTCGCGGGATTCACCGGGCTCGAAGGACAAGGCTGGCTCGAAGGACCTGGCTGGTTCGAGGGATCCGCCGGACTCAAGGAGCTGGAAGTGTTATCTGTTGTCCGCTCAGTTTCCACGTCTTCTTCATCGTCGATACTTTCTTCGTTCTGCGTGAACATTTTGGAATTGACGCTGAAAATTAAAAGATTTTAACTGGATTATAACGGTTAGAAACGCTTACTTTAGCAAGTTTGAATTAGCCATCACCTGCAAGATAGCGTCCAGTGTAGCCGACTTCATCCGATTGCGTTTTTGATTATTGGTTAAGTATGTCGCGGATCTGGAAAAGACTCCATTTATTTGCGTTCTAAATAACAAAAACGTACGAGAATAGCCGTTCTGTGGCTGCTGAGCTGCTTGGCACGGCCAACAAGTTTCTGCTGATCGACGAGAGTAGCGGATATTCCTTTTTGTGCGTCTTCCAAAAAAGAAGCGGATCGGAAGATGACGTTGGCCGAGCCAATTGAACTCCCGTTCTGTACTTCATCATCTCCGTCTGTAAATCTACATTAAAAGAGCCGTAATAAATAGAAATTCACTTTCAGCGATACGTTCACTGCAGAACTGTTGACGTCGGGATTCATGAGACTGTCTAGAGCAGAAAGGCGACTTCTCTTTGGAACGGGTGGCGAGTCTGACACCGAGGGCGTCGAGCTGTCAGCCAATTGAGCAGAAACTGAATATCTGTTATCCGAACCAATATCTTCAAGACAAACCTGTGTGAATATCTATAAAAAGCTTCTCAATAACATTCCAGGTGGCAGTGGGAAGGATTCCTTCGTGAAATGCGAACCTCGAATCGGACAGGCACAACACTTGTAAATCAACTGACGCGATGAGATCGGCAGTTCTGAACAGCGTTCAATTTGAAATTGCTCAGATTTCACAGTCTCCAGAGCTGACAATATGGGCGTGGCCTCGGCCAAATGGCGTTTTTATGAATTGAGCAGGTTTTCTATGATTTTTGTGGTCAACGGCGATGAAAAATTATTGTTCGACATGAAAACACACTAATTCTCAGAATTAATGACGTTTTGGCGCATTTTTCGCGGATTTCGCTTTTTCGCCTTCGCCGCCGATCGCCGCCTAAAAACCGCACTTCTCATTTTGCGCTTTCTTGACCGTTTTCAGACAGAATTGGTTTTGAGAATGATAAATCACGTAAATACAAGCGTTTTGAGCGCTCGAACCGCTAAAATTACCGGAAAGCAACTGAAATTCACGCAGTTTCAGCTTATCGGTTTTTCGTGGCTAATCTGGCAGAAAACACAAAACTTGCTGTTAAAATTTTAATTTCGCGCCAATGTATCGCTCTATTTGGAGGGGCGCACTTGCGCCCATTGTCAGCTCTGGAGACCGTGGATTTGAATACCTTTTCTGATAGAACGACTTAATCGACTTTCCAATTTGTGTACCGACGTGTGCGTGGTTATCGAGGTGCTTCTCCATCGCGACAAGATTTGGGATGATACTGGAGGCTGTGGAGCTATCGCCCTCGAACTGGAAATGTACAGTTCTAAACGGAAAGGTCAGAAAATTCACAATAGTCATGGTCCCGTAGAGCTCGTCCAGAAGGGAAATGCACTGGGCGCTTATCGTCAGTTCGTTTGGATTGGGAACGAAGAGCGCCAGCTCGGGGACACTGCGAAGAACATTCTCCTGGAAAATATACTTTTGATCGCAGGTGGATGTGAATCTCCTTACACATGAAATGTAATCTTTCAAAAGAAGATAGGCTCCACCCCATCGGGTCGGCGAATAACTTTTCGGAACTTTCACCGGCATTTGTAATGCTATTGAAATCCTGGAATGAGCAGGATCGGCTTTTAAAGAAACAGAAAATGTTACGCCCGGAATTTATCTCGGATTATGGGACTTCGGCTCAGTGTTGAAGCAGTTTTTTGTGATTTCTCTACGGCGCTCGCCAAGTGGCCTGTGGCGCCGGCAAAGACGTCCTTGAAACAAAGAGACAGTCTATGGCACAAGCAGGGCGTACTGGAAAGTTATCGTTTTTACGAGACGCTTGGTTGAATACTCACTGTGTCCACTTCTGGGCTCTGCACGCGGCTAGTACGTTGGTTCCGGCGTCAGTGACTGCTCTGGATATTTGGTAGGGAGGAACACTCACTCCCTCAAGTATTCCGCAGAGCAAACTCGAAATTGATTCAGCTGTAGCCTTTCCATTTAGGTGCCGACACCCGATAAACTGAAACATCAATGTTCTAATGAAAACAATATCATTGAAATACTCGGATCTCTCGTTCAAAATCATTGTTGACAAACATGACGAAAGCCGCAAACACATGGAAATCGGAGCACTTGGATGTCCAGCCATCGAATGTGATAACCAGGTTCTGCAAGTAAATAGTACGCTGAGCATTTAGATTCATTTCCAAACCTTTTTATCTTTCAATAACCGCTCGACTTGGATTTTGGATTCATCTGCAGCTTGAACGATTTCTCTTTTGACAACCTCTCCCGTGAGAACCACATTTCCGCCAAGTGACTTTATGAATTCACCGAAATAATAGTTTTCGACGAAGGAGAACGGAATCCCAGACGTGGCTACGGCTCTACAACAATTATTATCGCCTTATAGTTTGTGAGAATAACTCACAGAGAGAGCAGGAACGACGGACTTTTTGAAGCAAGCGCGGCATCACGGTCGTGGGCTCTCTCGGCCTGAAATCGGAGGATAGGAACGCAAAGAAACAGAGCATACTTCCTCAAGATGATCCTTATGGAACCGTTGAGCATGTTTATTAAGACCGCTTGTGTTGTGGTCGACGGTCCCAATCAATTTGGCGCATAAGATGCACTCAGCTTTCTCTTGATTTACTCGACGGTACAATCGCCACACTGCCTTTTTTCTTGAAGTGAACATCTGAAAAAAGGGCGGAAACCGCCCACGGGAGTGGTTAGATGAGGGGAAAAAAGTTTAGTGAAATCCTCATCCCTACCACGGCGCGGCTTTCGCAACATACGCAGCCAAATGTGTTTTTAGTTTTTGACGAATTTTCTCCAAATATACATCTCTTTAAAGCGTTTTTCTCCACTTCTAACTCAATTAGACCTTTTTACAGATTCAAGGTGAAGTAATACGCGAAGAGAAGTCGATGCGATGTAAAGAAACGCGTAAGTAAATGGAAGTAATGTTTTATTCAGAAAATATACGATTTCTCAAAAAAACTCTCTAGATCTTCTAATTTTTTGATTTGAAAAGTTCACTAACATGACTGTGAATGTCTTCGAATAAAAAAGAAGTAGAGTGACAGCTCGCTTTCGCGTAAAAATTGGTTCAACAGTGACATTTCGTAGAAAAATTTTTTTTTTCAAAAACCGTCTCTAGATTTTCTACTTTTTTATTTAAATTGTTCACTTACATGACTGTGAATGTTTTCGAACCAAAAAAAATTAGGGTGACAGTTCTTAGAAGCAAAAAAAAAAATTTTTTCAACGAAATTTCACTGTCTTCCGGCAGACTATCGGTTTTTCCGCGAAAGCGAGCTGTCACTCTACTTCTTTTTGGTTCCAAAATATTCTCAGTAATGTAAATAACGTTTTTTAACTAAAAGATTAGAAAATCTTCGAGAAATCGTATATTTTCTGAATAAAACCTTACTTTCACTTACTTACGCGTTTCTTTTCATCGCATCGACTTCTCTTCGCGTATCACTTCACCTTGAATCTGTAAGAAGGTCTAATTGAGTTAGAAAGTGGAGAAAAACGCTTTAAAGAGATGTATATTTGGAGAAAATTCGTCAAAAACTAAAAAAAAAAAACTTTGCGCGTAACATAAAATGCACTGTACGCAGAGCAACACCGGCGTGTCGAAATGCACAGACTGAGGATCAAACGTTTGGTCAACGTCGCAAAAGCCGCGCCGTGCTACAAATTAAAAAATTGTTTTGAAAATCTGACAAAAAGTCCAGAGTATGCTATGAAAACGGTGAACTTTTTGTTAACGAATCATTCATAATTGATGCCGCCCGTTCACGGCGGGCTCCAATCGTGGCGAGACCCGCCGCCATGGTTACGGTAACAGTCACCGTGAGCTGTGCAGCATTTGTTCTTCTTCCGTTTTTCATCGCCATTACACATCATCTCCGCAACATCTCCGCAACCCCGAATTCGGAATGGCCAACTGGCAAAACGCTCGGCTAACACATTACAGATCCTCGTTCGATTCCTCTGCTGCTTATTTTTCCGTGGTTCCCTTCTGCTTTTCCCTTGCTCCTTCTTCACCTTTTTTCTTTCTATGTCTGATAAAATTTTTACTTTTCCTTTTCTTTATTCCTTTTCTGAAACACTCCTACCAATTAGTTAACTTCCACTCCATTTTTTCCAATCTCAACTCTAGCCTGGTCGAACAGACGTGTTCAGGCGCCTGTTAGACCAGCCTACTCAACACGACTGAATATCCAGGTGACTGAGTAAGATACGCGGTGTACTTTTTTAATGAAAATGTATCAGAAAATATGTCAAAAATTGTAACAAATGACAGAAATTGAGGTCGAATGCATTGGATACGTGTATTCGAAACGAAACGAACGTTTCGAAACGTTCGACGAAATCCCTCAATTTGGTCAATTCTGAACGAATCTGCTCCGTTTCGCGCTTAAATCGATGCTTTTAACTCAGACAATCGCCCTACGGTTCGCAAAGAACAAAATTTGAGTGTTTATTAAGAGAAAAACGAAAGAATTCCGGTTTTCAATTGAAAAAAGAAAAAAAGACAACTCGCTTGCGCATTGGAATGCTGGAAAAAGATTTTGTTCTTTCCCTCTATTCCAAAACCCGGTTCGTTCGTTCGGCCCACCTATGTGGCTGAATAAGACAGTGGACACTGTACGCGGTGTACTTTTTTATTGCAAATGTATCAGAAAATATGCATTGGATACGTGTATTTTCTGCGAAGAAATGGAAGTACTCTTTCAAAAATGAAATGAACTTTCTAATCGGACGAGACACCGAGACACCGAGAAAAGAACGAGACATTTTGGAGGTGCGAGAAAGGGCGAGACGAGAAAGGGCGAGACGGCGAGACGACCGAGAAAGGGCGAGACGAGAAAGGGCGAGACAGCGAGACGACCGAGAAAGGGCGAGACGAGAAAGGGCGAGACCGAGACAGAACCGAGACACGGCGAGACGAGAAAGGGCGAGACGGCGAGACGACCGAGAAAGGGCGAGACGAGAAAGGGCGAGACGGCGAGACGACCGAGAAAGGGCGAGACGAGAAAGGGCGAGACGGCGAGACGACCGAGAAAGGGCGAGACGAGAAAGGGCGAGACGGCGAGACGACCGAGAAAGGGCGAGACGAGACAGGGCGAGACGGCGAGACGACCGAGACACGGCGAGACGAGAAAGGGCGAGACGGCGAGACGACCGAGACACGGCGAGACGAGACAGGGCGAGACGGCGAGACGACCGAGAAAGGGCGAGACGAGAAAGGGCGAGACCGAGACAGAACCGAGACACGGCGAGACGAGAAAGGGCGAGACCGAGACAGAACCGAGACACGGCGAGACGAGAAAGGGCGAGACCGAGACAGAACCGAGACACGGCGAGACCGAGATGATAATGGAACGAGACGAGACCGAGACGAGAAAAAACCGAGACGAAACAAGGGCGAGACACCGAGATTTCTCGCATTTTTGCGAGACGAGTCTCGACGAGACGACACACTACTACAGACTAACTGACATGCTCCAAAATCTCGTGACTCCGCCTCAAAATCGGCTCCACATTGATCCAGCGTACAGGTTTTTTGGTGAGCGGATGATAGACACAATAGGAGACACGTTCCTCGTAAATTAGCGTCAAATGTTTACGCTTTTCAAACGTTGCCAACTCGTCAGGCGTTTTTGCACTTTTATTCGGCTCTAAACCAACTGATCTTCGAACTTTTTCGATAATTTTCGCTTACTTTGACCCATTCCCACTTGTTGACACTTTTGAAGACGACAATATTTGCACAAGGACTTTTGAAAGTCACAAGCACTATTCCACCGCTTACAAACGTATTCCTCCTTTCGATATTGTGCTCTTCTAAACGTTGGCTCTTTCAAATCTGTTTTCTGCAACAACAATCGCCTACCTAAAAAACGCGGCACACGCTCGACAAGTCTCGACTCCAAAGTGCAGGCCGTGGCTCTCATTTGCACACACCAAACATGTGGATGGACAATATTCGAGCGATGGTTTTGACATTTTCAGCTGGAAAATAGGTGAAGAAAAGCGGAAAAGTGAGTACAAAGTGAAAGAGTTATGGGGAAACGAAGGAAACGGAGGAGGCATAGAGAAAAGGGGGAAAAAGTCATAGAATCGGGCACGGAAACTGTTTGTATAAGGTTGGGAGTGAAGGACGGGGAATAGAGACATCAGCGACAATTGGGCGTCGTACCAAAGTTATTGTGAGCCTACAATATCTGAATTTTTCCCTTTGTTTCAATGATTTTTAGTAACGTTACTTCCAAGAGCTACAGTATTCTTAAAAGAGATTGTAGGCCAAAGTTGTCAATTGCAAAAATGATCGTCATATCAATTACTGTATTTTTGTATTTAATCACTTTTCTGTAAAATCATTCCCTCGAGTACTGAGCTACAGTAATCGAAACACTGGTCACAATCATAAACAATACATAAAAATTGATCTAGACACAAAAGAATTGAGGATCCGATAATTGAACCGACATCATATCGAACAACATCACCATCTCCATCCGTTTCTCGTGTTCCGCTTGAATTTTCTGAAAAAAAATACATTTTTCCTGGTTTTCTACATGCAAATGCAGCAGCATACCAGTACAAAGTTGACCATGTCCATGATGACCGACAGGCGTGCCGCGTAGTTGTGAATGTGTCGTCGTCGATAGTATTCGTGTAGATCGTTGGATATCCGCTCCAAAAACAGTTCGCCGGCCGCCAGAGTCTGTCCGAGCAGCTTGCGACCCGCGTAGCTCCACACGATCTGACTGATGGCGAACGAGATCTCGATCGGGCTGAACTTCCACTCGAGACACGGTCGCACGACGCCCTCGAAGTAGAGCTGCAGGTTTTCTCGCGCGTTGCTGCAAAAATTCGGTCATTTTCTCGTTCTTACCAGCAGAGTTGCCACGGGCCGGGCCAAAATTTTCAAAATTCCGGCCCGGTTCAAAAAGCGGGAATCCAAATTTTGAACTATTGATTAAATAAAATGTTTGTTTTTCGTAGAGCTAACGAATTTTGCAAGTATCGAGCATAAAAAAGAAATGTAGTTCTCAAAAATAGTTTTTATTGGCATCAAAGCAAAAGTTTTAATTTTGATCCCCGCAAAAAAAACGAAAAAATAGATTTCCCCCAAAAATTTGAATTCGCGCCTTTTTAGCCGGGCCAGCAAATTCTCGGGCCGGCCCGTAATCTGGCAAGTCTGCATACCAGAGTTGAGCGGAAGAACTCAACGGAAGAGAACACGAAATAATTTTTATCTTTTTTAGAAAATTTTCTCATGGAATATGATCAACTGACGAAATGTATAGCAAAGTGAACTGTGCTCATAGAAAAATAATTGTTAATTTTGCTTTTCATACAAAAAAGTTATTCGAGTTGTTGCGTTGGCCCTTTTTTCACGCAACAACTCGAATAACTTTTTTGTATGAAAAGCTAAATTTACAATTATTTTTTTATGAGCACAGTTCACTTTGCTATACATTTCGTCAGTTGATCACATTTCATGAAAAAATTTTCTAAAAAAGATAAAAATTATTCCGTGTTCTCTTCCGTTCAGCTCTTCCGCTCAACTCTGGTTCTTACTCTACATTCTCCAGAAAAAGAGCTGGTTTTTAGCAGAGTTGCCACGGGCCGGGCCAAAATTTTCAAAACTCCGGCCCGGCCCGGCCCGGTCGGCCCGGTTCAAAAAGCGGGAATCCAAATTTTGAACTATTGATTAAATAAAATGTTTGTTTTTCGTAGAACTAACGAATTTTGCAAGTATCGAGCATAAAAAAGAAATGTCACTGTCTCGGAATTAGATTTTCCATCAAATGCTGCAGTGAATCCAAGAGGGACTAGTTGCAGAGAGAAATTTTCGTCGATGAAGCTCCCGAAAATGCTCAAATAATTTTTTTTTAAATTTTGATCCCCGCAAAAAAATAAAAAATAGATTTCCCCCAAAAATTTGAATTCGCGCCTTTTGAGCCGGGCTTTTGTTAATTAATTTGGCAAGTCTGGTTTTTAGGGTATGGCCTACATTTTCTGTGCCGTCGCCTAGTTCTTCAGAGCCAACTCACTGTCTGTACTTCTCGGCGCCCTTCTTCCAATAATCGGACGCGTCGAGTCGAACCTCTGTCCACTCGGCCGCCCGTTTATCATCAAGCAAGTACATTTTCCGCTCGACACTTCTCTTGCCAAGCACGTCGGCGGACATGCTCATCCGTTCGAAACGCCTCCACACGGCCCACGTTATTTTGAAAAAGGCCAGCTGAAAATTGTCTTGTTTTTGACCGTTCAGAGTAGGTTAACGCTACTTTTTCGTGTGCTGGAAGTTGCCGGAACTCGTGGGAGTGCATGAGCCATTCGGCGGCTCTCACCATATTTGCCTCCCACGTCAGAAAATAGACGTCAAAGTTCATGGCGGTCTCAAGTTTCGGGTTCTGAGATTGTGAACTTCTCAATCGGTCCAGCGAAAAACTCATTTTCTCGAGTGAGTTTAGCAGCTGATATTGTGGATCTCGGGGCAGTTCGTACTGAAAAAGTGGTGGTTACTATAACGTAAAAGGACTTTAAATTGTTGAATACCGTATCCAAAACGTGTCGACTTCGTTTTATGATCGGTTCGACGTTGATCCATTTCGTTGGTTGCTTGGTGATCGGATGCCAAACACAATAGAGTAGACGATCTTGTGACGTCACTCTTTCAGCCAGGTCACTCAATTCAAAGACGGTTTTTGGGGGCGTCACTTCTGAAATTACAGATATTCACCGGCAAGCACAAAAACTCACTTTTGAAGCAGCGGCTCATTCCAACTTGTTGGCACTTTTGAAGTCGACAATATTTACAGAATGTGTTTTTAAACTCACACGGGCTTCTCGCTCTTTTACAGACATATTCGTCTTCTCGGTGAGCTGCTGACCGTCTAAAAAAGTAAAAGTCCAATAGATATTGTGAACTTTGTACACTTTTTACCTAAAAAACGCGGCACACGCTCGACAAGTCTCGACTCCAAAGTGCTGGCCATGAGCCTCGCTTCCACACACCAAACATGTGGATGGACAATAGTCGAGCAATGTTCTTGACATTTTCGCCTGGAAAATCGATAGTGAGTGCAGACGAGAGTGTGGAGAGGCTCGAGAGAAAATTATGTGCTCCTCGCATGATCAGATGTATAATATTTGGTGAGGAGAAGGAGAAGAAATGCAGAAATTGCGGAAAAGAAGGGAAAAGTAAGGGTAGACACGAAAATTCTCAGAGAATAAATCGATAACGTCTTGTTGACACAAAACACACTCGCAAGCACACAGACGCGAGGTCAAATAGTCAAATATGCGAACCGTATACTCGAATATTCACTTGTAACTTTGGTGTTCCGCAAAAAAGTGACGTATCGTCACAAAATGATCACCGACCAGTCAGCGGTGCTCAAAGATCAGTGGGCAAATGAAAAAGAGGCAATAGTAGGCAAATAGAGAACTTTTTGATCGTTGTCTTCTTCTTTATCACACTGAAAACGGCAAGAACGTCGACGGAAACGTGTAGAAATGTACAATATATGTATTATATTATCAATTAGCGTGTGGAATGAGAGTGACAAACTTTGCCAATTGGCCGAATCCAACTTGAAGTCCCTGTTGGAAGTCGTGCACGATGACCATCACAATTATCACGAGGGAGTGGACGAAAAAAGCCTTTTCAATGTTTTTGCGGGTCACTGAGAACACGTGGAGCACATGGTTCATCGTCCGATTGTGCATTGATCGATCGAGCATGATACGGTAGCATTGGAAGACGAAAGGATCATCGGATTGCTGGATCTGGGCGTCATTCATCAGGATTGAGGCGGTTTTGGTCATCTGGAACGGGGAGAAGTTTGGTATCCGAGTATTGTAGAGTTCCGAGAGGTTCTACAAGGGTCTAGTACACTTTTTTGTAAGAAACTTTCACTTACAAAAGCTACAGTAACCAGTGAAAATGATCCTAAAAGTTGTAAACTACTAAAATGATAATAATGTTTAGTACTTGACTTTTCTTGTTGACAACGTTTTTGTAAAATCATTCTCCGGAATACTGTAGCTCTTGAAAGTTGCAGTCGATAATAATTCAGTGCCAACTTTCAAGAGCTACAGTAACCGTATAAGTGGTCGTGGAAAAAAATTGTCAATTACAAAGATAAAGTACATATTATGAAGATCATTTTTACAGTTGACCACTTTTTACAATAAGCACTTTTAAAGATATTGTAGCTCTTTGAAGTTGGCGCCGAAATTTAGAGGATTTTTGATATTGTCAACTTCCAAGCGCTACAGTACCCCAGAGAGTGGTCGTACAAAAAAGTTTTCAACTACAAAAACCAAGTACTAGTTGTCGAGAATTTGAAAAAAAACATTTGAGACCTAGAAAACATGCCCTACTCACCGCTTCCTGAACAAAAGCGACCGGATACAAAAGGGTGAAGCTCATGATGAAACAGGAAATTGTCACAGAGATTAGACAGATCAGGTACACCGTTTTTGGAGTTTTATCGAACCTGTAACACAAAAAACTGATGTATACTTACGCTGTACTCACTCTGAAACTATATAAGTGCCCATGAGCAGGGCGATTAGTGCGAATAATGGAGCCCAAGTCATTAGGCGTTCTGAAACGAGCCACTTTTTCAGACCCAAATATTATCCAATTCAAAACTGATTACCCATTCGTCCAGTCATAAAATTGGCGTACTCGAACAGCTTCACTTGTCGCTCTCCAAATGTTCGAAGGGTTGGAAGGGTCTGAAATGATCTCGTTTATCGGCAATTCAAGCACACACGACAGTTTTTGTCCCAGAAAACGAGATTCCAACTCAATAAATTCGAACGCGCACCGCCAGTTTTTTGCCCTTCGACGCCTCTTCAATTTCCTCATTGAAAACGTCGAATTCTCGGGTGAGAGCGTGGTGTAAAAGTGAATGGGTGGGCAGATAGAGCAGATTGGAATAGCCGCAAAGGACGGCGATGATGGGGTCCAGAATCCAGTACCAGCTACTGTGCTTTTCACTGAAAAACATATTGGTTTTGTCTGGAAATTGTGTTAATGCAACGTACGCTCCAAAAGTGACCAATTTATGTGAGGACAGGTAGACGGCGGTGAGCAAAAACGAGACGAAAAGGAAGATTCCGGCGATGAAAAGTCGAATATAAAGGATACGGTAGTTGTCGTGCTTCTTATGCCGACTTTTATGAATTCTCAACGTCTGCAGAGCGCCCAAATTCCTCTCGAATCGCGTCAAACTGTCATTCGACGTCATCCGCGCCAGAGCAATGGTAATGACAAACGATTCGAAGGCGATAAATCCATAAAGTCTGCTCTCGGCCCATCCGAATGTGAACGTCTCCGAACCGCATTGCCAGAACATCCAGTAGACGCGAAACAGTTGAGCGACAATAGTCAAAACGGTGAACGCCCGGAAAAAGTATCGAAAAGGCGGTGGAGCGCCGCAATTGTACGGTGAGCATTTGTGATAGAAGCGAAAAACGCCGAAAATGTTCAAAGAGTCAGTGTCTGACATGTTGAGTTCGAACATGATTTGTTGGATGCAACCGACACGATGTACTACAATATTTGTGGGATTTAAATAAGCTACTGCCCCTCCTCCCCCCGATTTTGTCCGATGGCTCCAAAGTCAGAGAAATGAGCACACAGTCAGTTATTGCGCTTTGTTTGCAAGTGATCTGTGGAGCAGCAATTTGAGCCCCCGAGTGAGTCAGTGCGCGGAAATAGTTATTTCAAAAAAAAAGAGAAAAACATTCAACTGCAATCTTGTAGAGCAAAACTTGGCAATTTTGAGGATGTGCTGGGACTGTATGTAAAAGGGGGAACTGGAAATTCATGCACTCGTCCGTCGTGTTCATGCAGCTAAGAATCCACATTTGAGGTAAAATAGTTCGGGTTCCATTTCTGCTGGACCTCGTCTCACCTCTGTCCCACTACAGGATTGGTTGCGGGCCGAGATCCAGCACAAATCCAGCACGATACGTCTCAGGGACTATTTCTATTAGTAGGCTCTTTTAGTATGACTTTTGTTTCAGGGCTTTTGTTTCGACTTGTCAAGATCAAAGTACAGTTTGAGGAGAAGTAATTTTATTGCCACCCGTACCTTCCTCCGGCACTTTCTATCGTCCGGAGCACAACCCCCCAGATATGTTCTATTCTTCAACTGGCTTATTCTCTTATCAATAAAGTCATCACTTATCACTCTCTCTCTCTCTCTCTCTCTCTCTCTCTCTCTCTCTCTCTCTCTCTCTCTCTCTCTCACTTCCTCCTTTCCTTCGGATGTCCGTTGTTCTTAGACTTGTCAATTTATTTGATTGCTTACCACGCTTCCATTTTGCCGTGTTCCCCCCCTTGAAAACTCGGTGAGAATCACATAATGGTTACAGATTCTCAGATTTTCTCAAAAAAGTCATCATCGGCTGGCACGGAGAGCATTGCGATCAGGTCAACAAAAGATGGGAAAGACGAGAGAGAGAGAGAGAGAAAAAAAAGAGTGTTCCCGGCGCCTTTTGTTGACCGTTGTTTCCGCAAAAACAGGCGGCTCCAAATATCAAATGTCTATTGTCAATCGTTTCGAAACTGATCTTTGCCATTCACTGTCACCATTTCCGGCACTTTTCCGCGTTGCGACCGGGGGAAAAGGCCCACTTGCAATCCATCAACAATCCGATCGGGCCCAGACTGCTGCAGGCTTTTTCGGCCTGAAACTTGGACCCAATATACTTTGATTCAGGTCCAAGAAGCCTGGAAAGTTCGGTGGGTTGAAACCGTGCAGAATCGCACATTCTAACACGTATTTCTATAATATTGTTCCGTTTCAAAAGATCAAATCGCCTGCCGCCCGCTTGGTTTTTGATCCGTTATTTTCAAACAATGTTTTCAGTTCAGTAACTGGCAAGAGTGGAACTTTGCTTCCGCGTAAAGAACCTTTCTCTCGCCGCGCATGAGGTTTATTCAAACAATCGTATTGTAGAGATCGAAAGATCGGATTCGAATCCACCAGATTCCGATCCAGTGTTCGGATATTCATCTGAAACCCCCTTGCTTCATTTTTCAATAGAAAAAAGCATTAAAAATCAGATAATTTGTCGATCCGGGAGGAAACACATCTGTCGAAAAAGTTGTACATCTGGCTGTCACTCGGCACATGTTCTTTTGTACTTTTTTTTTTGCGAAAAAAGTACACGCTATACAAATGTGTACTTTGGAAGACTCTATGTGTTAGGTTTGGATGGATTGCCTGCCGATCGCCGTACCTCCTCAGCTCAAAAGATCAACTCAAATACACCGTTTTTTGTCGGACTTTTGTTTCTTCAAAGAAGAATCCCAACTTTTAAATGAGTTCTTTGCTCACTCTGGCGCCGGAGGCCCACGCATCATTTGTCGCTTTGCGCCCACTCGATTCTCCATTTTGACAGTTCACACGTCGCGCGCTTTTTCCCGCCGATCATCATCAATAAAGGTCAGCGAGTCCGAAAGCGCACCGTCTTCTTTGCGACGGTTTACGGTGTCGACATCAAATATTTGGGCTGCTTTTGATTTTAGAAAAAAAACGTTCATTTTGAACTCTGTACCGGGCACACTTTATAGCCGTCATCGTTGCATTTTGGAGTGAATGTGGTCTTTGCAAGGCTCTGGCTATTTGAAGGCTCATCAGGCCAACTCTTGCAATGATCCTATTGGGACCAAACTTTGCAAACTTTCTAGACTTAGTTTATCTGGCAAAAAAGGGGTTCACAGAGCTCCCGCCCACTCTTTATTTCAGACCACCATGTTAATTCGGAGATCGATCGAACAGAGAACTAGTTCGATTCGAGCGAACTTTTTCACCAGCCAAAGTCCGTTTCGTTCCTGTTTTTTTCTCTATTTTATTCGCCCGGGAGCGTACGGTAGTAGTACGGAGGTCACGTGCTGCGCAAAGCTTTCGGGGCAATCATTCCAGACACGATTCACTCAATTTCTCAAGTAAGTCTGTTATTTTGCTCCTAAAAGTCATGAATATCAAAGAATGATGTCTCAACCTTTGACGATTACCATGCTGACCTGGATTTTTAAAGATCTGCCGGAGGCCAAAAACGTCAAGACTCAAGATCCTTCAATCGAGGGCTGAAGAGCCTGAAAAGTTTGGGTCCAAGCGTCCAAACCCAGACAGGCCAGGCTAAATACTGTACTCGAGGTGTCTGAACGGTTTTTCAGGTTATACCAGGTAACAACTTCAACTTGAGCTGTCGGATACAAGGATCTACTAGGTTCCGGCAAAGTTGCCCGCCCTTCCATCCTAACTTTTCACCGATCCTTCTAGCTGCACGTGGCGGCCTAGTGATTTTTTGTTGTGCGTGGTCTGTCTTGTTCGCATCCTGCATGCAAAAGTACACGGCCGTCGCCGTCTGTGCGCGCCGCGCCTCCGCCCTCCGCCCACTCTCTCGCCACACGCACACACATCTCTTTTTCCTTCGGCTTCTCTGTCGTCTCCCCGGGCAATAGCGCCCCGCAATTTTTTCTATTTTTTGAAAAATTTGCCTTCATCTTCATGTATGTTCTCCTTTATTATACCGCCGCTGAAAAAGTTGGCTGTCTCGAGCCTTTCCTCCGTTTTTAATTTCCTCATTCCGTTCGGCTTCGGCGGCGGCGTTGTTTTGTGCCTGCCGCTTTCAATTTCTTTGCGATGTTCGAGAGAGAGGTTATTGTTTTTCTTTTCTTCCTTGTTACAACCTTTCCTGCAATTTTTTGCTGGCTTCCTGAAACTTACCGATTCATGCAACCAATCCTTACATTTAAACACTTATATCTCGAGACTCAACAATTATTTCAAAAAGTGAGCAACTGCAAAAATGTTGCAAATTTTATGCTTAACAACTTTGTAGTTGATCATGTTATCTCAAAACTTGTTACTTTTGAGTTATGGTCTAGTTTCTAAACAGTCTCAGTTGAAAGTTGTCTAGTGCCGTTGTTTTACACTATAATTAGTTGGATTGAAAGCCGTCTGCAATGCCAAATCCCAACTTCTCCGCCGTTTCCATAGTGAGCTCCTCCCCCTCTCCTCGTTCTTCTCGCTCCTCGCCACATTTCCCTCCAATTCTCCGTTTCCAGGCGGCACATGGGCGTCTTTCTGACCCTATTCCTCTACGCCATCACGACAGCCGTCTTCCTGCCCGTCTTTCAGTCGCTCGTCTTTTTCAAAGTGAGTCGAACTCTGTTTCACGTGTTTCACGGGTTTTCGGTTTGTGCGAGCGAGATTATCGCGATTTCGAATCATCGTTTTACAGGCTTGCGTCGCGCATTCCAATTCCACACACCATGAGTACTGCCATTCGGAGGAGGCCGCCGCGCGCGATCAACAAGTGCACAAGACCGCCAACTTTATTCTCATGGCATCGTAAGTTGTTGGGGTTGGATAGAGCGACAATAGTTACACCTCGAAGTACTGCTCTCAGAAACGTTTATCTTTAGTTACGTATATCTCTAGATCCAGTAACAATTTCAAAAAGTGTTCAACTGAAAAGTTGTTGCAATTTTCAAGCTAAACAACTTTCTAGTTGATCATTTCACTCCAAAACCCATCATTCCTGAGTTATGCTCCAATTTCTAAACAGTGTCCACTAGAAACTGACAAAACAGAAAACGCGTGAAATTTATCAGTGAGAACACGCGCCTGCTTTAAGTAAAATCTTGAAATATTCAAGTAGGAGGAGTTTATGTCTTGCCTGCTCCACAGTTTTTGAAAAACGGTGTCACCACCAGTGGTGGCCGACTACAAATAGAGAGGAAAGTGAGCCACGGCTACACAGAGAAATGAACTAATGCGGACTAATCACGCAGTCGCTTTGACGTAGGAGAACGGTGTGATGAAGTGGAAACATGAAAATTCTTCGTGGGGATGAAAATAGTGAGAGAGGGCTGATAAGGAGTCTGATTGACGTAAGCACGTCGAGAGCGAGTGAGAGTTGGAGGTCTGAAAGAGTGCAGTTAGGGGGCTAACCCGTCAATTTGGTTGATTTTTGAAGGCCTAGGATACTGTGGGGACACTGAAGAAGACACTATAGGATAGAACCGTTGAAAATAGCGTAACAGCTGATTAACTTGAGATTTGCAGAAGCACTGGCCTCTGTCTGACGGCCTTTGTCACTTCTCGATGGATTGGTCAGCTGAGTGACATGAAATCGCGAAAACTCGCGTTCCTCATCCCATTCACCGGCCTCTTCATCTCGGATCTCACCATTCTCGTACAAGTTATATGGCCTACGGTAGGAGTTTGCAAACTTTATCTTTTTTTTGTTAAGAATTAGAATAGTTTACAGTTATCCCCATACTTTTTCATCATTTCGGAAGTAGTTTACGGATTCTTCGGCGGTTACATGTCCATAACTTCGGGAGCATTCGCTATTATCAGCTCAATGTACAAGGATAGTAGCGAGCGGGCGAAAGCGATCGGAAGGATGGAGGGCACGATTGCGTTGGGATGTGAGTGTCGGCGGCGTTGTGATCGATAATAGTTGTAACATTTTCAGCGACCGTCGGCTACCTAATCTCCTCGCAACTCGACAAGATCAGCTTCCTCGGCATGGCGATCTTCTTCCTCGTCACCCACGTGATCGCCTTCTTCTCCGCCTTTTTCATGGAAGATCCCACCGATCATCACTACGACGAGGTGGATCTCGAGCCGAAGAGCCTCTTCTCCGTCTGCACCGGCACTCAGATCGTGAAGGGAAAGCCGAAAAAGACGCGCTACAACTTGTACGTCCTCTTCGGCTCCTTCTCCCTCTCCTACTTTGCGTTCATCGGATCCACCCGCATTCTACTGTTCTATCTGAAGCACAAGTTCTTCTGGGGACCCGAAAAGTACGGATACCTCAAGGCCATCAACCAGGGCGCCACTTCGATTGTGTCGCTGACCGTGTTCCCAATGCTCAAAACGTATGGGCTCAGCGATGTGAGCCTGGCCATTTTCGGCCTGTTGACGAGGAGTATGGGCCGACTTTGGTACGCGATATGTTGGAGTGACGTCACCGTCTATATGGTCGTCTTTTGCGAAATGTGGTCAAAGTTTCCGGCGACCGCATTGCGAAGTCTCATTTCGTCGAATGTCGGAGAGCACGAGAGAGGTAAAAAGGGCACTGTATTGTGCTTAGACACCCCAATTGTTCAGGAAGCGCGTTCTCGTCGGTCGCCATGGTCGAAGCGATCTGCAATCTCGCGAGCTCGTGGTTCTTCCACGGCATTTTTCCGTTCACCCTCAACACGTTCCCCGAATTCTCGTTCGTCATCATGCCCATCATCATTTTGCCGGCCGTTTTTGCCATGTTGTAAGTTCTAGTCGCCTCCGAGCGCCTTCAAAATTCCGCCGGTACACGTTCAGCATCCGCCGAAGACCACTGCGCGCCAGTCAATTGCCTCCAGGACACGAGCACGAGGCGCTAGCGGTTGACGACGAGGAAAAGCAAGAAGTACTGCCTGAAACCGATACGCTAACCGAATGTTCCAGTTCTCAATCTTAATTTATTGATTCTATAACGTTCCTCTTAAAAACTGTGATTTGATTCCACAGACACACCTCTGACACCGGTCTTTACTTTACCGTCAAACGGGATCTTTAATTGTAAATATATTATATATATAAATATTGTAAACAATACATATAAAGCCAATAAAAGAGAAAAAAGGAGGCCAATTGATGGTAGGTATATATCGGTGTTAATTTGATTAATGTAATCTGATAGGCGAAAAAAGAGAGTGAAGGTCACTTCTTCGTCCCTGTTTTTCTCCCCCTCATTCATTCTTCTAATAGGCGCAAATTCTCGAGAAACAACCGCCTCTTTCTCTCTATTTATCGTGGCGATAAATCAAAAATGAAGAAAAGAAACTGGAAACTGGAAACGCTATCTGATTTCGAACTTCCCCCCCCCTCAAAACAACCGTCTAACACAATTCTACAAAACTTTCTGCCAATTTCTTGGTACTCACAGAGGTACTCAAACTAGTTCCGACTCGCACATTATCGGTTTTAACGACCCACACACACACGCACAGTTGTTAGTGATAGTGATACCAGAAGTAGAAGAGGAAGGACCGACTTTTATGTGAGTGTTTTTTTTTTGTTCTTGGAGTCGGGTCTTGAATTGCCACATTTGCTGTTCAAGTTCCAAGCCGAACACTTAAAGTTGTGTGGTCGTGGCCTAGAAAACTCAGGTGTGAAAGCTCTTCCTTGTTAGCAGTCTGTTGCTCTTGCTCTTTGACAATCTGTGAATGTTCGGCAACGTCTGAGGATTGTGCCAAATGCAAAAAAGATCCGATCCATGGCCTAGGAGCTTTCTAGGCCACGACTATAACTTTAACTGAGAGTTGGGAAGCGGATAGTGTATGTGACAATAAGAGGCGATTCAGACAGACACGAAAACTTGGAGGGTTTTCTGGTCCTTTAAAGAAGGGGCTCTAGTTTTGTATGTTGAAAATTTGTCACTACGTTAGTGTCTTTCTGACCAATTTAGTTTCTTTTAGGGCTGCTCAAAGCGGTCCCAAGCTTTGCAAGCTTATTAGACCTGACGTGAAGTGTGTTGGGTCCAAGTTTCAGCCCGATTCGATTATCCGGTCCCGAGATATTTGGGCCAGAGTCCTAAAAGGCCGCAACTTTCGCAGGGACCGAATGTTCGGATCGGTCTGAAACTTGGACCCGATATACTTCACTCCAAAGCCTAGAAGTCTACAAAGTTCGGGCCCGATCGGATCATTGACTATTGCAACTGGATCGACAGCTCAGGCCTCATTTTACAAAGATTTCTAATCTTCTTGAAGAAAACCTTTCTGTTTAGCTGAAATTTGAAAATACAGACTAGTGTTGAGCGGAATTCCGTCTTCCGTTTTCCGTGGTTTTTTTTGTTCCGTCTTCCAGGAAAAAAGTTTTCTTCCGTCTTCCGTGAGAAACATTTTCTTCCGTGTTCCGTTTTCCGTGTTCCGTAAAAAAAAATTGTCTTCCGTCTGCCGTCTGCCGTCTTCCGGATTTCAAAAATTCATTTCCGCTTAACTCTGATACAGACCCCTTACGCTCAAAATATCGGGAACCATCTCAAAAAAAAGGCGTTACTCTCTGTGCCCGAGTTCCTCTGCACACACAATTTCCAAATCAATCTTCCATGCTAATTCCCAAACTGTTTCAACAAAGACATTTTTGCGTGTTATCAGTAAAACGTTTCAATAATTTTTCGCTCTCCGTTTCTTCCATCACGATCACTTTTTTTTTGCCTTTCGGCCGATGATACACAATCATAAACACGCACGTTTCCCAATTTTACATGTGTGAATATTGTGTCGTGGCTATACTTTTCGTAACGTATCATGCTCACAAAATCAATAGGAAACAAAACAAAACAAAACAAAATGATGATGACGTGGCGCGTCGGCGCCACCATTTCTTCATCTTTTCTGTACAACAGTTTGTGTGTGTGTTACACCCGCTCTTTTCCATTGTTTTGTTTCTTATTCCTCTTCTGTCTCTTCTTCCAAGACAAAAAGAGATGGGAAACGGTGTTTGATAAGGGGAAAAAGTCTGGAATTTCCTGGCCTTCTTCCCCTTTTTCCCCCCGCAACATGTTCGCACATTTTATTCGTTTCTTATTGTGTTCTCACTCAATTTTCGCCGGACGCTCTCTATTGTGCGTGTTCAATGGCTTTTCAACTCGATTTTCACTTTTTCCTTTTCCAGAAAAAATGTTCCTTTTATTACAGGTAACATCGTCGTCCGTCCTATGCACAATGTCCCTGGACGCGGTGAGTTTTCTATACAATTTGACATTTAAATTGTTTTCGGCGTATTGCTGTGGAGCAGAGATGTTGGGAATTCCGTGTTCCGTGTTCCGTGTTCCGTGTTCCGTGTTCCGCGTTTTTTTCAATATTTTTTCCGTGTTCCGTGTTCCGTAAAAAAAAATTTCCGTGTTCCGTAGAAATAAGTTTTTTCCGTTTTCCGTGTTCCGTGTTCCGTATAAACTATATTTTCCGCGGAAAAATTCGATCACAAATTTATCTCCGGAAAGATTAGGACAATTGACGTTTTGTGGTCAAAATTTGAAAATTTTCGGATTCGGACCATATTCGTGAAAAGTGGATTCCTGTTGGTTTTGTTATTTTTATGAAATTTTCAGTAAAACTTTCACATGAGTCAAACAGCTGCCTTGTCAGTCAGATAATCGAATTAAACAAAACATTATTTTTAAAAAAAATCACTGGAATTCTCTTGAAAACGCTTTTTTCCGTGTTCCGTAAAAAAAAAATTTCCGTGTTCCGTGTTCCGTGTTCCGTGTTCCGTAGAAATAAGTTTTTTCCGTTTTCCGTGTTCCGTGTTCCGTTAAAAAAAAAATTTCCGTTTTCCGTGTTCCGTAGAGTAAAATTTTTATTCCCAACATCTCTGCTGTGGAGCGCTTCATCGTAAACTTTTCTCTACAGACTCTGGAGAACATCAACGGCACTCTGGAGCAGGTGGCTAGCCTTCTCAAGGCCGTCGAAATGGCCGTTTTCATTCTGGCCATCGCCGTCGGCATCGCACTCGTCGGTAACGAATTTTTTTTTGTTGCATTTTCGAATGAATATCAAAAATCGTACAAAACGATGCACGTGTGCTTCAGGATGCACGGGCACCTTCTTCTACTCGAAATACAATCAGAGAAATCAGTACAAAGAGCTGCAGAATAACAATAGTCCGAACACGACTTTCGGCCGCCGAACCCCGCCTTTGAAAAGCCAACGAGTCTAGAATCGGTTATTTCTTTCAGTTTTTACAGTGCGACGGCGACCAAAAGTGTAGAACGGGGCGATGACTCAAATTCTGCACAGTTTCGACGATGTAATTGCATAAATTTGTAAAGTTAATCAATGCGCACTAGACTGGTCGAACAGGCGCCCGAAATCGCCTGTTCGACCAGCCTAATGCGCACCTTTTGGGCCTAAAACGAGCAGATTTCGTTCAGAAATGAAAAAGTTGAATCGACTTTTAGTTTTGTGCTGAAAATGCTCGATGTTCAGTAATCACAGCGCAGACCACGCCCTTTTCTACACTTTTGGTCGCCGTGCTGCGTAGTGATATTCAATCTGTGATTTTTTGCTCACATGTTTATCTAAAATGGGGGGGGGTGGATAATAAATGAGAATGTCAATATGGATGTAATAAATATTTCTGGTGCACACACAATTGAGGGGCGGGGACAAAAATCAAAGAGTCGAGATGCGAGAAACACAGACCGGAAGGCTCGGGAAATGGAGAAAAAGAAACGAAATTAACGCAACGAGATGACGCCGGCGTCGCGGAGCTTCATGAGCTTCTGGAAGATTTCCGGATTCTTGAGATGCTCGCGTGCCGCTCCCGGGTCGTTGCTCATCTGCTCGAGGATCATGCGCATGCTCGGATCACGCAGAATCTCCTGCACTTCCGGGTCGTTCATCAGCCGCTCCTTCGCCTTCTCCGGATCCTCGTCGTTGTTCGCGATGCAGTTCGAGAGGCCTTCGCGTGCTTCGTTGTTCGACGGATCCACCTGAAGCGCGTCCTCGTAGGCCCTTTGCGCCTTGCCCCACTCCTTCATCGCCTGCAGAATCGATCCTTTGCGCACGTATCCTTTCACTGAAATTTTTAAATTGTTTTTTTAACTTTCTCGGGAGAGGAAACAGGCATAGAAACCTCTAAAAGACTAACCAAACTTGGGGTCCTTCTTGATGCACGTCTCGCAGTCCTCAAGAGCTCTCTGGAATTCGAGCAGCTTGGTGAGGCACGCGGCGCGGTTTGAGTACAGAATAGCATTCTCCGGGTCGCGCTTGACGGCCTCGTTGTAGTGTTTCATGGCCGACGGATAGTCGCCCTTCTTGAAGTACTCGTTTCCCTTGTTCTTCTCCTCTTGCGCCAGCTGCGGGTCGATGTACGCGAGGCGTTCCTTCTCCTTGATCGACTTCTCGAGCTCTTTCACCCGCTTCACGAGCTCCGGATCGCGCGATTCCGAGAGAGAACGCTGGAACCAGTTTAGCGCCAACTTCTCGTCGCCCTGCTTCAGAAAAGCGTTTCCGGCACGTGCCATCGCCCTGAAATGTGCAATTTTTTGAATTTTTCCGTAAAATTCACTCACTTGGCGATGAGTTTGTAATCGGCGCGAGTTTCACGTCCGATCGCGATCGCTTGCTCGCACAATTTCACGCACTCCTCGTATTTTTGCTCCTCGAAGTAGGCGGCTGAAAGAAAATCGATGAAAAATTTGAATCTTTCCGTATTTTCCGCGCAATCTCACCAGCTTTGTTGTTGTAGAAGGTGACATTATTCGGATCCAACTCGATGGCCTTGTCGTAGTGCGCGTGCGCGGCTTCGAAATCTTTCAGCTTGTACGCAGAGTTTCCGAGGTCTTTCTGAGCGAGAGCTTGCTGAAATTCGACAATAAATCGTCGATAATTACAAAAAAACCGATAGAAACTCACAACATCCGACATTTTTTCGAAAATCGTCGACTTCGGGCGAAGAAACTATCGAAAATGACGACGAAACGACGAGAACCTTCGTGCGGGTGCAAGTGCGCTCTATTGAGAATTTTCTAGAAGGTGCGTCGAGAGAGTGTGTGCAGATCGGTGAGACGCAGACAAAATTGGTGGGAATGAGCGAAAATTCGAATTTAACGGATGGGAAAAAGCGCGAAAAATGAAGAGAAAGTGGAATGGACACGACGGTATTCGACCACAGGTGTGGAATCTGAGAGAAGTGAGCAACGATGTGCACTTTGACGCCGTCGACTGCAGCAGATTCCACTCGCGAAACGGCAAAAGGTCGAAAGTGGCCGTGTGGAGGTTGCGAAATCCGAACAGCGTTCGACAAAATCCGATTCCAAGTGTTATTCAGATAGCCTTCAAAGAGGTCCTCTTCATCTGTTCGCAAATATTTGATCTCAAAGGGCGCATCCGGGTCCCGGAACGAAAACTGCACAGAAACTTGAGTTTCTCGAAACATGTTGTTCTACAGGTGTGGCGCGCGGAAGAAGTGACGTATTTTTGAAGTGACCCTCAAAGTAAGCCATTTATTTATGTTTCTAAAGTCTCAAATTCTGGCAAGTGGAGTTTTCAAGTCCCCCGGGGGCCAAATTTGAAAATTTCGTTTCGGTATCCTCGAAGACACAAAAATGTCGAATCGCATTTCAGAGTCAACACGAAAATCGTGTTTTTGATTGTATGCGCAAATGTTTGGGTAGGCTTGGCCTGAAAAATAAACAATGACTCATTTCGGCTGATAAAAATCGTCAACCAACTCCCCCCGACGACAAATTCGATATAAAAATGCAAAAATATCGCGCATTCCTGTGTCTTATCACCATTTTTCTAATTTCGACGAGTGAAAGCATGAAGTGAGTTGGAAATTTCCTTGTTTTTCCCCAAGAACTGGTTTTTTTCCAGCAATCAATACATTCCGTCTGAAAGTTCAGCTCCGGCGTACATTCGGGGCTCCAACATGATCGGAGCGGGACGTGGAGCCAGGGTGAACAAGTGGAAAAATGAGCAGAACACGAGCACGACATCGCGTAATTTTTATCATTGTTTAGCTGGAAAAACGAGCTTACTTTTTACGATATTTTCAGCTGGAAATGTATTTCTTGAGCGCAAGAAAGCTACATTTTGGCGCAAAATTCTAATATTAAAGGCGAATTTCGTGGTTTTGCCAATTCAGCCACGAAATGCCGATAATTTCTCACTTGTGCCTTGTCAAAATGAATTTTTTAAGCGCAAGAGCGCCACATTTGGTCGTCTTTTTCAAGTCGTCTTTTCGGCGGCGAAGGCCAAGGCTTTCAGGCGGCTTTTCTGGTCATTTTTGTTGTCCGAGCGCTCAAAAGTCTTGTCTTTACGTGATATATCATTCTCAAAACCAATTTTATCTGAAAACAGTCAAGAATTCGCAAAACGAGAAGTGCGGTCTTTCGGTGGTGATCGGCAACGTTTTTAACCGTTTTCCGCCAAAATTGGTTCTGAAAATGATCAATCACGTGCATACAATCATTTTGAGCGCTCGAACAACAAAAATCATGAAAAAGCAGCTGAACTTCACGCAGTTTTAGCAGAAAAACTTCAAATTGCCCTAATTTGACGCTCTTGCGCGTAAAAAACTTGTTTTGGCCTTTAAATTTCTCTATCGAGGCAGAAATGAGAAATTTGTGGCCAATGTGGCAAAAAAACACAAAATTTGCGTTTACCATGCGAATTCCGCTCCAAAATGTCGCTTTGTGCGGCGGAGCGCACTTGCAAACCGCATACACTTTTTTCCATTTTCAGCGCAGTCTCAACCCGCTTCCACATCGCCTTCGCCTCCATCTTCCGTCAAAAAATAGCATTTCTTTCAAATAAAAATTTATTCACACACAAAAAAACATCCAGAAAACCCGTACTAATCATATCCAAGAAAAAGTGGTTCTAAAACGGCGAGAGACAGAGAGAGAGAGAGAGAGAGAGAGAGATCAGATTGAGTGCATAAAAAGGTCACAAAAACGGGGGATGGGAAAGACTCATGAGCACAGCAATATCCGATGTACAAAAACGAGGAAGAAGAGGAGAAAGAATGCGTGGGAGGGCAGTGCCACGTGGCTCGAATTGCATCGATCGCCGTAGCAGGAGCACAGTTGGACGTCTCCGAGAGCCGGCGGATCCGTCGCGCGGGCCGGGTTGAAAAGAGCCGATCGGCTTAGCGTTCGGCAGTGATTCTGAAATTCCTTAGATTATTGCATTTTTTCCAGGGCTGGACAACATTCGTCCCAGGCTTTTTGGAGGTCTCTCGACGCCTGTACTTTTGGCCCACTCACAATAATCCGATCGGACTCAAACTTTGCAGGCTTCTTGGACTTGGATTGAAGTATTCTGGATCCAAGTTTCAGACCGATCGGATCATCCGGTCCTGAGATATGTGGATCTGATTCTCGCGAATACTGCCCATTTCGGCCTCTGATCTACATATCTCGGTACCGAATGGTCCGATCGGTCTGAAACTCGAACCCGAAATACTTGAATCCAAGTCCAAAGAAGTCTGCAAAATTTTAGTCCAATCGGCCTGCTAAAAGTGGGTTCACAAAAAAGTCAAACTTGACTCACATTCTGATGAAATCGATGCGTTCTGAGCGCCGATTGATTGAATCCGTGCCTGAGAACTCGGTCCAAACAGCCTCGAATGTGTTTGAAACCAATGAACACACCTGAAACAGAAATTATTGCCTTTTCCGATAAAAACACGTTTATCTGACCCGCTTCAACATCGGGTTCCATCAACGAAACACAAACGCTACTGCACATCACCGTCGGCATTCCACGTTCACTGTTCGGGTCCCGACATCGATCCGTGAATACCTTAATGAAAATTTGAAACTTTTCTTGAAAACCTATTGATCTCAAATATTTCATGTGAAAACTTTATATCTAGTACTACTGTTCAATCACTTTTACGAGCACGGTGGGTTTTTGAAGTTGTACAAGTAAATCATTGATCTTTTTTTTCAGTTGACCATTTTTCTGTACGCCCACTCTGGGCAATAAGTATTGTACACGTCTTGAACTTTGTACAACCGTTCCTAAAAGTAGAGTAGCTCTTGGAAGATTTGGTCTGAGCGATCTACAGTATCCTTACAAAAGTGGTTGTATATAAAAGTGCTCAACTGAAAAAGTGTAGTACTACTCGTAGAGTTTTCAGCGAAAATAACATTTTGAGACCCAGAAAACCATAATTGCAAACGGGCCGGCTGATAACTCGCTTCAAAATCAAAGTTGTGCGTAGAACAACATATCAGATTATAGATCTCGATGAGTTCTACAAATGTGACAACATTCGGGCCGGTTCTCGAGCCGGTGTTGTGGCGCCGGCCGACAAAAACCTGCAAAAACACATTCTAGGTCGGCCGCTTTCGTTTTGAAGCGAGTTATGAGCCGGCCCGTTTGCAAGTATGCAATAAAACGTCATCTCATCCTACAGTCCACACTTCTCATTCTCAACCGGGTTACTTTAGTCGGTTTTCGATTAAATTTGTTTGAGCGTAAACTCACTTTTGGATAAATATAAGTGGCCTGAAGGTATTTCCAACTCGTCTGATAGGACAGCGACATGCACGAGTAGCATTCCACTTGTCGAGGCACGGGACCGGCGCCTGCAAATCAACTTTTTATAATTTCTTCGGATTTTCTCGTGTCCCCCCTCCCTTTTCTCTGGAATTCATTAAAATACGCTCTTTTCTCTGCAGCTAACAAGAAGTGCAATAAATCGGCGAAATGAGCTCATTCGGCGCGGCTCACTCATCGCCCAACTTTTAATAGGACAACTGATTTATTATCGGCTCACTTTGTCTACCGAAACTCTCATCGAAATTCGAGATAGAGATGGCCGATTTCGAGGTGGCCAGTGCCACGAATGACGAGAGAAGAAGCCGGAGAATCATTACTGGCCGAGCATCTGTGACGAGAACCATCCACTTTTTATGAGAGAGAGAGAGAGAGAGAGAGAGACGGGAGAAGAAAAGATAAAAAGAAGAAAAACTGTTTTAAAACGAGTTTCTGAGAGCAAAAACAGACAAAACACACTTAACAAGGTAGCTTGAAAATAATACACGTTCAAAAACATGGTGCATCGAGCGGAAAAACAAAAATGTGTTTAAGGTTTGTTCAAGCACAAATATGTTTCAAGACATGTTTCAAAGAAATCGAGAGAAAAGAGGGATGAAGAGAACGGATGTTAGGTCACATTTCCGGAATTCGTAAATTGAGTGCCATTTCAATGGCTGGACGTTTCGCAACTGGAAATTTCGCAACCACCTTACAAAAAAAAACACTTGGTGGCACTTCGAGAAGAGAGCACAATCAAGTGCGAGAGAGAATTGTTATGTGCTCCGTGAGGAGGTGTCTGTCTAATGGCTCGACTCAAGGTGGCGGAGAAATGGGGGATGAGCGGCCGGCCGTGGTATTTCCGCGCTCTGATCGATGATGAACCAGGTGTGTCACTTATTAATGCTGTTTAGCGAGCTCCGCGCAAATCTTTACACCTCTTCCGACAAGCAGTCGGCTAAGTGCTAGTCGGAAGTGAACAGGGGATAATGGACGGGTTGCGGTCACCGTTAAAGACGTTTGTGTTTCAGAGAATTCAAGCTAGAAAATGTTTCGGAACATGTTTCTAGGACCGAAACTTGTTTTTACGCTAGTACACGTTTCGGGGTCATTTTTTCAGCAAATTCACGTTAGAACATGTTTTAGAAGCACAAACTTGTGTCCGAAACTCAGGCCAAAGTGCACTAAACAAAAATCGCAAGTTAGCGGCGGTGGGAAGTGGGTGTGAGGATGAGAAGGAGGAGAAGGAGGAGGAAACATAAAAGAAGACAATGATTGTGGTTCGGCGATAAGTTTCTTCGGAAAGGCCCCCAGAGACGTGGCGGCAGGAAGCCGAGAGAAATGGATGCTAGTGGTGGTGGTGGTGGTGGTGTGTCAAAAAACGGGACACATTAGGGGGGTGTGTTCCTCCGAGAAAGTTTGTTGTTCTCGAGCTAACACAAGTTTGACAAGCGCTCATTATTATGCGTTCCCTGCTCTTGCTTATTTGCACAAGAGTTCTGGATGAAAAACATGTTTCTGAGTATTATTGGTAGTTGGAACTGCAGATGCACCATGCCGAAAGCAGAAACTTCTTTCAGAACTAGTTTTGCTCCAAAACTATCCAAATTTTCTACCAGACGCACTATGAGGACGAGATTTTTTGTCTAAAACAAGTTCCAATCACAAAATGCTCCCCTACAGTACTCCCAGACCCTCCGGATGCCACGAGATGTTCCTGCTCCCCTCACTCAAACGTGCCACTCTTCTCTCGTCGGCAACATCACAGAGCCATTTGGTGTGGCCGGTTGTAATGTGCGGCAGGTTGATAATAGCTAATCCATCAATGTCGTTGCCCGAAATACTATGCGATTCGCGGAGAGAGTGTTTCCGGAAAGATTACGGTAGTTGATGCGGTAACGAGAGGACGTACAAATCACTGGCCGCCTTGTTTTACACCAATCGGATATTGATTTATTGTTGAGGGGGTCGGAAGGGGGTAAAGTGGTTTGTGGGTAGTAATGTGATAAAAGGAAGGTACAAATTGAGGCCAGGATGAATGAATTTCAAATAAACTATCGGTAAGTCTGTCTGGAACATGTTTTCCAAACAGACAGAACATATTCTTGAAGACAAAATCTGTTTCACAACATTATTTCTTAACAAAAACAGTTTCTGAACGTGTTATTGTCCTAAAACTTGTTCTAAACATGTCTTCTCCATTCCACATGGTGCATCGGTTGGTTGGTTCATTTCCAAGAACCTCCTAACCCTGAATCCCGGCAAAGCGAATCAAGAATTCTGTGTGGGAAAAAGTGGGGAGAATTCAGAATGAAAAATGACATATCAAGTAAGTGCACTCCCTAAATATTACATTCTTTTGGGAGAAAAGAAGAAGAAGAAGAAGAAGAAGAAGAAGAAGGATTGCGAACGGGTAGGTTATTGTGTGGGGGGATAAGTATAGAAAAGGTAGGAGAATAGAGTGGATGTGTTATTATTTGGAGGTAGAAAATGATCGGAAACTGGCAGTTGGGGGCTGTTCTTTTTCGTGCTCGAATAGAAAGTGGGAAGTTGAAAATTGGAGGGGGGGGGGAGCAAGGGTCGTAGCAAGTTTCGAAAACAAAAAACTGTTTCGGAGCATCGGCGATAATATTCAATTTCTCACAAAGCATGTTTTCAGGGTAAAAGCAGTTTTGTAACAAGTCTGCAACATGTTTTTTGAGACAAGACCAGTTTCCAAATAGGTTTTCAGCACAACAATTGTTTCAAAACAGGCTTTCTCGGCTAAAAGTTGTTAGACATGTTTCCGAGCCTAAAACTATTTCAACACAAACGTCGGCACCTCCCGGACAACCAACTAAACCCGACTCAAACAAAAAAGAGCTTGGAAGAATCTCGAGGGATGCTTTGCGGAGCATGAAAGTGATGTGATTGGCTGCCCGATGAGCCGTGGAGCATGATTAAACAAGAGTGGGCGGAGTCTCCGAGCACTGGACTTCCAAATCACATTATTGACAAGAGATTGGAAAATAGTCCAATTCACCTCATTCATTTCACCGTAGAAAACTTCTTCTTCTTCTTCTTCTCTTTCTTCTCCTTCTCCGCCTTTTTTCCTTTAAAGAAATGGACAAAAGAAACGAGTAATTTGAGAGAGTCTCTATTGGTATTCCGAAACGAGAAAGTGGCGGTGGCGGGGAAATGAGAAGCGGCGAGGGGCAGACGTACTTTGAAATGCATAATAAGCCGGATATTTGATAGGAAATTGGAAAATTGGCGGCCTCCGGAAAAGTGGATCATCATGTGATAATGTTTTGGCGAATTTTTGGGCTCCATGGGGGTCTGCGTCTATGATTTTCTGGCGGTTTAGGCTGTGAGAACATGTTTCTAGATGATACACCGTTTTAAAGTCACTAAAAAACCAAGTTCTGGAGATCAAATGGTGCATCGGCCACATAGCAATACGTTTCGAGACAGACCGTTAAACCGCTTCTAGAAGACATGTTTTAAAACAGAAAAACAGATCCAAAGACATGTTCCTAGAAGAAAAACAGTTTCCGAAACATGTTTCTGTTCCTACATGGTGCATCGACTACAAAAACGTTTCTAAAGCTGAAACCTGTGTACAAACACTTTTTGCACACAAACAACGTTTTTTGAACTGAAAAAAGGAAATCAGAAAATGAAGAGAACCGAAAAACAAGAGAAACTTGATCAGACACACATACACGCCGCGTCGGTCGGTCGGCCAAAACATGCTAAAAAATTCTGGAAAATCTTTTACGTTTTCTCCACTACTTCTATGTTTTTTGCAAGGTTCTAGAAGACAAAAAAAAAGGGTTCGGGAGCTCCAGGTGCTCAAAAAATGGGGGAGAGTCAGAAAGAAAGTGCAATAAAATAAGTGGTGCGGCAAGGAAATAGACACATTTAACCGGGCGTGGGTAAAAGTAAATCGGCGCGCGCGCACAAGGGGGGCGGTAAAAAGTGTGAATGCTCTTTTTGCGCAGGCACCTGGTCACGGCCAATTCTGGCGACACTCTCACGGGCAGGCGGGAGAAATGAAAAATGAAGAAAATCTCGGGAGCCAGTCGGTTAGTTAGTTATGCGCTTGTTTTGACTCAAAAATTGATGGAAATGGAAACAATAACACAAAATTTGAGGTGGCAGAACAACGAGCGCGTTTCTGTCTCACACATGGGGCATCGGTCCCGATTTTCACGCTTTGGCAGCATGCATCGATCGAAATAGCAAAAATGTGTTGAAGGTTTGTTCGGGTGCGATTGTCACAGAAATCAAGAAGTCCAACATGTTTCTGATTTTCATATGGTGCATCAGTTACAAAAAACATGTTCTTTGTCTGTTTCCTGTCTAGATTTCAGAGAAAAACGCGAAAAACGTAGTGGTAGCTCGATTCGCTCAAAGGTTAGCTCGTCATCTCGGGGCCCCACTTCTTGTCGGTCGGGGAGGAAACTTGTCGATTATGTAAATGTCTAGTGGTCGGGTCTTCTGGTGGTAGGAAGCAGAAATGATTATATTTAACCGAATCATCGCGAAATCTTCCACTTTGCCGACACATTTGTGAGTTTATAATATAATAATCAGAGAGGTTCAAAATTCGAAAGAGAAAGAATAAGCAGTACATCATTCGGATGAGTTTATGAATATTTCAGTTTTGTTGAATATTCTGTAGAGGTTTCTACTTTTACACCCAGAAAAAATAAAATCTGGGGGGTTTTGAAGGAAAATGAAAAGGAGGAGGAAGAAGAAGAAAAAGAAGATGTGGATGTTTATGAAAAGGGGCATCCGCGTGCGGATATCCCAGAAAATAGTGGACGCGCTTATAATAATTAAATTAATTAGGTTAGTACGCACACTTTTATACAGAGAAGCTTGCTTATTTGAAGGGGGAATGAGTGTTTGTCTGGAAAATCAGTATTATCCGTTTTGAAGGAGACCTTTCACATTCACATAAATTACAAAAACTTTTCAGTTAATCAGCGACAAGCCTTATATGTACAAGATCTCACAAATGCTTTCAGATACTGGAATATTGGCAAAAGTCCACAAATGATAATGAGGGAATTAAAAATGTAGAAAGCGATAAAACTATGGAAAAAACCAGAAGGTTATGTTCAAATTGTTTAAAAGATACAATTCAGAAGTCGACAATATCAGACCAGGAATGAAACGCGTCTAGATTTTACCCGAAGCCTACAATTTCAGTTTGGAAGCTAGAACCGGTCAATAGAGCTCAAAACTTGCAAAGGATCGACAATATCGTTTCAACTCACTATAAGTCCTGAGTTTCTTGTACTCCTGATCCGTGTACTCGGTCCGCACAAACTCGGTCTGTTCATTGTCGGTGCCACCGCCAGAATACCGTCCTTGACGTCGTTCTGGATGTTCCGGATTCTGCCAAACCACACTCTTCTCCTCGTCGTTCATCTGATTAGGTGGCGGAGGCGGCGGCGGGGCCGGAGCCTCTCCGATACCGTCCGAATAGTCGCCGTCGTCCTCATCTTCCGCTTCTTCTTCGTCCTCTTCCTCTTCGTAATCATTGTGACGGCGACGTCTTCGCGTAGAAGCGTTGGATGATGATGACGTGGCGGCGTACGTCGTTAGAATCGAAGTGGACAGTATTAGGAACAGAACGACGGTGCTCAACCGCATCGTCGCATTACTGATCGGAGGCGCGCACTGGAAGACAGACGAACACACACTTGCAAGAGAGAGAGAGAGAGAGAGAGAGAGAGAAAAATGAAAGAAAAAAGTCGAGGGGAATAACATTAGTGTTTTTATGATAATGAGAGAAAAAGTGTGCAAGTGACAAGAAAAGGAGCGTCATGGAGAAGAAGCGGCGGAAAAGAGTTGACCTTTAGTTGGCTATTTTGCAGATTTTTCGTTAAAGACTAAAGAAAGTGTTCTCTACGTGGAGCGCCACAAATACAGCGAAACCAGTCATTCACATGGCGCATCGGGCCTAGTACTAAAATTTGGATTTTGATAGAAAACGTCGGTGAAAAAGAGGAGACGAGTGAGAAGAGAAAGGTCAAAATGAGAAAAACGTGTCAGAGTCGGGGGGGAGATAGATGGAAAAACGTAAAGTTTAGAAGGACTCTTCGCAAATTCTTGACGCCCACGCACTTTTCGGCGGAACTGCTTAGTGACACATGATTTATAGGGTGCGTAGGGTCGGGAAAACGAGCAAGAAACGAGACTCCATGACATGTTTTTAGGAGAATTGAGGACACATCTATCATCGACCCGCTGACAAGAGGTTTCGAGGATTTTAACGAAAATTGACACTTGGCCGCCGCCGGTGCACCATGTGGAGAACATGTTCTGTTTATTTTTGCAGTTCAGTTGGAAATCATTGAAATTTGCAAGGAAAAATGTGGAAACTAACTGAATTTTTTGTAACCTAAAGGAACTATAATCACATACGAAACTAGTAGACTACTGGGGGGCTGGGCGTGCGGGCGAAAAGTGACATACGGAACCCATCAAATAATCCCGTCGACGAGCCGCCGAGGACCTTTTTTTCACAATTGGTCCATTTCGGTTCCTTTTCTAATCCACATAAAAGCATACACCTTCAGAGCGGAAAAAGAGCGGAAAGTGCGAAAATGTTTTTGTGTGTGTATGTGTGAAATGAAACCAGATGTAGAGTTTGAAAACTAGGTAGGCAAAAAGTAGGCCAAAAGTGGCAAAGATAGGTCGAAATTGGCAAAGCGAGGCCAAACTTGATAAAAATACGACAAATTAGCAAAAAGTAAGTCAAAGTTAGGATGACAGAGTTCGCACCAACTTTTAGCTATCACAAATGCTAGAAATTGGCCAAAAAAAAACCAATGAAAACATTTTCTCTCCATTTCTCCCTCTCTCCGCCCCACCAAGAATCCAAATTTCGTGACAAGCTTCTCTCAATCTTCTTCTTCTTCTACTTCTTCTTCTTCTTTTTCTTCTTCTTCTCCGACCCCCCTTCCATTTCTGTGTTGCCTAACGCCGGAAACATTGTCGACGCGGAGACCGGCAGACTTCGGAAGCATAATTTGGGCTCCGAGAAGGAGAGAGAGAGAGACAGAGAGATAGAGAGAAACTTGTTTCTGAACATGTTTTTGAGACAAAATCTGGGTTTACAACATGTATTAGGAGAAGAAACTGTAGAGCGTATTATTGGAGAAAAATGATCAGGAGCACGTTTCTGGAACAAAAACTGTATTCAGAACATGTTTCGAAATTGTTTACGACAAACGCATGGTTCTAGAAGGAAATGTAGGCCAAATCTGGGTGACCTAGAGAAAGCATAGAAGGTAGGTCAAATCTAGGTAACCCTGGTAGTGAACCGAACTTGTTTCCCGAATTGGAAATGGCCCGAAAAGCGCCGAAATTTCCGTCTTGAAAAAGAATAATTTGAATGTCAACACACACAAGAAGTCGATTATTACTATTATTATAACTGCGGGGCGGCCCTCCGAGCAAGAGCAATTATGTATGATAATGAGCGGGGGGCAACCTCGCTCTATTGGACTTTTTTCATTCATCGGGGGGAAAAAAATGGAAAGCAGGGTGAATTCGTGAAAAATTCATCGAGTTGATGTATTTTTTAGTGCAAGTTGGTCAGGTAGATGTTTGGCGGAGTGCTAGCTGGGAAAGGACATGCTTGGAAACCGTTTTTTATAAGGAAAGAAGTTTCGAATGGTTTCTGAAGCGATGTTTTGTCATAGAACATGTTCCGAAGCTGTTTTCGTGTTTTCAAACTAACTCCGAACTAGAAATGTGTCCCAAAACATTTTTTGGACCAGAAACATGCTCTGAAACAAATGTTTGACTAAAACATATTTCCAAACAGTTTTCCTGTCTCCGAAACATGTTTCTCCACTAAAGTATACCAAAAAATTATGTTTTTCCAGAAAAAGGAGGATGATCAACAAAGACAGCATGAATTTTCGAAACAAAATTGACGAGACAAGTTGTTGTGTGCGAAAAATAGCAAAAAACCAATTGAAGAGAGAAAGATATGCAAAACGGGCGAGTAGGTGCTCCTTCTCCTACTTCTTCTTCTTCTTCCGTATTCGCCAACCGCCCTTCACATCTTCTGGAGTCGGTCACGCCCGAATGAACTTGTTGCCGCGTATGTTGGCTCAACGAGTGAGAATATTATATCATCACACTTTTGGTGACATTTGTGTGTGTCTGGAGAAGGCACTTCGACTCGTGAGGCTTTTGTTCGAAAAAGTAAAGAGTTTTCCCGTATTATGTGTGTTCACATACTTTTGTCGCTTTTGTTTGAGCAAAATTGAGGCAGTTTGGTCTAATTTCAGGGGAATTGACCTACTTTTTGTTAGTTTGATGATCTACTTTTGTCAATTTTTGCTAGTTTGGCCTAATTTTGAGGGATTTTTCCTACCTTTGAGGGATGTGACCTACTTGGACGAGAAGGGACCAGATTTACGATTTTGGATGTTTTTTCTTCGACAAAACAATGAAATTTTCAAATGACAAAGAAACTAGAAAATGATGTTGAGAAACGTGGAATGGGAAAGGTAGGCTTCACACTGGTGTGACGGTGGAAAAAAAACACGTAAAACACAGAGGTTGTGGAGACAAAATGAAATGGAATGAGAGAGAGCAAAAAAATTAATTGTCTATCTATGTGCCCCGTGTACAACAACTACTACTACTCTTTTTTTTTTCAGAAGAACAAGAAGAACAAGAAGAAGAAGGAGAAGAAGGAGGAAGAGGAAGATGTCAATTGGAATTCAGAACACAACGATACATTTTCGTTCGAGGGGGAACTATGTGAACATTTCATGGAAGAAAACACCTATTTTTTCAATGTCTCAATCGAGGCCATCAGGAAAAGTAGGCCAAATCCAGGCCATCAGGAAAATTTCGCCAAATCTGGGCCATCAGGAAAAGTAGGCCAAATCCAGGCTATCAGGGAAAGAAGGCCAAATCTGGATGACCTAGAGAAATCATAGAAAGTAGGTCGAATCTAGGTTACCCTAAAAGTTTCGAAATTTAGACCATGTCCAAGAGACTCTTGGGAGCCTGTTCGGACAAAGTGATGAATGACAGAAACACGGGGCCCGCCTTGGAAATGATAGGCGATGACGATGACGGTGACGATGATCATTGGGGAATACGACAAGTACCCCTCATTCGCACACGACTTCTTCACTTTTTCGCCGTCTTTATTTAACTTGTCTCGACATTGACGAGCGTCGAGAGAGAGAGAGAGAGAGAGAGAGAGAGAGAGAGAGAGAGAGAGAGAGAGAGAGACGAGGAGAAATGATTGTTTTTTGTGTGTTGTGGGAAAGTGCGCCAAAAATAAATTCTAGTTTGACAGATTTTCTGGGCGTTCGTGAAAGTGCAAAATTGTAAACATCTACTGAGGCACAAAAGCAAGTGTGTGCCTTTAACTTTGAAGGGGGGGGATACGGTAGGTCACACCTCTTTTTTTTCTGAAAACGTGGAAAATTGTGACTACCGTATCCCGCCTCAAATTCAAAGGCGCACAACTCGTTTTGCTCCGTGCGAGACCCGCCATCGAGGATCGTGTCAAGTCCGGCATGTTCCAAAACAGTATCCATTAGAAATTGATCCGTTTCGATTCGAAAACATGTTTCGAAACATGTTTTCGGCGTGCAAAACCCGCAAAAATATCCATACACATCCGGAGGTCCAACACCACATTGAAAAGCGGAAAATATGCAATTACCGGCCTAATATCCGGAAAGCGTAAGCGAGGGATTTCAATCCGTTTGAGAGGTATCAATGCGCATCCATTAGCCGCCGTCGCCGCCCATTCAATTGGACAAAAACAAAGGAGATGGCCGAGAAGCGGACGGACAATATCGGAAGATGAAGGTATAAAGGGCATTCATAAAAGTGGGAAGAGAAATGTGATACGCGGGAGGGAGAAGCCGGAGAAGAAGAAGAAGAAGAAGAAGAAGGAGAAGAGGATGATGATGAAACTCGAGATGGAGCAACTTTTGTTTAGGCGCTAAGATTTTCTGGAGTGGTGATGAGGAGAGAAGTGGGAAATGTTACGGCACTGCATCATTCGCGCTTTTTCAAACGGTTTTCTCCTATGCACCATGGTTGGCTATAAAATTTTTTTTTTAAAAGTGTGATAGATCATTTTCGAGTGTGGCGAATGTGGTCTTTGCCGAACCGAATGTATACTTGTATATATTCGTGTTGCATTCGTCCATAATGTGAATAAGCGCATCATGTCCCATGGGGGGTCGTCCGAATGTACACCATCATCATGAGCACCCCCCCTGCTAAACCACACAAAAAGAAACACACTAATAGCAGAAAATGTTCAGATCGCATGATGAAGCGTTGTTGAACTGATCGCACCCCGGGGAAAATCGCCGCCGCGACTATTTTTTGGGAGGGGGGAGTGAATCGAGTGATAAAGGGACTAACCTTCGAGCGTCAGGTTCACACTGAGATGATTGGCCGCCAGGATCAGGTTCGTTAGTGGCAGGTACAATCCGGCCATCTGAAAATGCTTTTAAAAATTTTAAAATCGGGCACCGCCGCGCGAGCCGAGCTGCCGCTTGTTCGAAAGGGGCTCTGCTATTTCCAAAAGTCCAGGTATCCAGACAGTTAAGACGCGGGCGACGGGAACCACGTGACGGGGCAAGATGCTGCACTCGGTACCATGATCGCGGAAATATAAATGGTCCCCAGCCCAGGCAACACTTCCTTTGGTACCACGAGACAGAACCACCCCGTCCCAATCCGTTTGGCTACCTGTCCAGATGTGCCAATGTTTTTACATAGATCGACACAGAATTTTAACTAGATCTTGGGCCGAGGTCTGAAAATCAGTCTCGGGGGAGCGAGAGGCCTTTTTTGAGACGTGTTTTGCCTCTAACGGCCATGCGACTGATTTTCAGACCTTGCAAAAAGTCTGCGTCGATCCATGCAAAAGCATAGGCACTTTTGGAAATAGCAGAATTGCATTGAAAAATTTACCTTTTTCCGACGTCGAAACGCTCTCTGCTCTCGCACGTATTGCTCCGAATTCCGCGAATAGCTGGAAAAACGACGAAATTAGAAGGGGCGTGGGAGTCATTTTTCGGTGGGAAAAAGTGACCACACAAGATGTCCTTTTGCGAAAATTGGTGTTGAAACGAGGCAAAGGAAAGAAATCAGGCATGAGAAGGGACAAAAACACGGCGAAAAAAAGGGGTGGAGGGAGGAGAATCGCATGAAAAATTCACAAATTTTCTCAATCAATTCACAAATTCTTTTCTTGCTCTTTTCTACGGCGACCTCGATCATTTTGTTTTAAAAAAACGAAAAAGCGTATTGAATGTGATGGTGGTGGTGGTGGTGGTGGGGAGGGGGTAAATAGAGTTTGTCCCCCTTCTTTTCTCTTCAGGTACCACCTCAATTACACCTCCCTCTCACGCTCATATTTCTCAAGAATGGACGAGGAGAGCAGCAAATTGAGTGTGAAATAATAGGGAAATCCCAAATTCGGGATAATAATAATAGTTTGGCGCGACTATTATACAAGTATTGTATTACTCGTTCTTCTATTCTAGACAACAAGAAAATATTTACAAAAAGGCACACGGCTCGCAAGGGCCCACGGACCGATATAGGGTTGGTTGATTCATTCTCAAAGTCCGCCGTTTTCAACTAATCAGATTATCAAATCCAAAAGACTGAAATGACAGTATTCCTATCGAATAGTGCGTCAAACATTCATCTGAATGCGTTTCTCTTCACACCGGTCGAGTTCTCGGAACATTTTTTAAAACAATGTCTCAAAAACGTTCGAAAAACCAATCAAGCTACCGAAAATAGCTTTCTTTTCTCAATTTCTGGACAAGTATGCGAAAAATTATTTTTTCCGTTCCATAAAAAGCAGTGTGCGGAAGTTGTGCGCGGAAAGAGCGAAAGAAAAGCGAACGTACAAGACATGGAATATATATATAGCTAGTTGTCGACTAATAAATAATAACAAAGGGTCAACCATCCGGCCCATTTCGGTGATTTATTTTCGCGGGTTTGTTCGGGGTGTCAAAAAGCGAGAGGAAAATGTTAATCCACGATGGTCAAATGATGAATGACAAAAAAAACATTGACAACTTTTGTTTTTCCCCGGCGAGGAGATGGAGCGGGTTTTACTATAAAATACACTGGAAGGCAGGGTTGATAGTGAACCTGTACTTTTTACCTACTTGCAATGATTCGATCGCGCCCAAACTTTGCAGACTTTGTGGACTTGAATTGAAGTATATTGGGTCCAATTTTCAGTCCGATCGGATCATCCGGTCCCAAGATATACTGGCTTGAAAATTGCGGTCTTTTCGGGACCAGACGATCCGATCGGTCTGAAACTTGGACCCAATATAAAATCTGTTACGTCGTGTAGACGTATGATAATAACTTTATGATCTATGTCTAGTGATCTCTATTGTGATCTACCTTAGTGATCTCTCCCCGCGTTGTTTTATATTTTAATTGTCATCATTCGGGTCGCCCTCCTTCTGAGGACGAACCCTCAATATTCTATCTGCCAGCCCCGCTTAGGTTTCTCTGCTCGGAATAAACCTCTTGCGGAAGCTCTCTTGTCTGTTCCGACTCTTCCCTACCAACGCGGTGGAAGACTTCACAAATACAACAGTGGCGATCAGGACAGATCAGGATCACGATCAGAATCGGACGTCAACCATGGATCAGGCTCAACTCAAATATTTTTTCGACCAACAACAGAAGACGCTGAAGGCTCTGCTCGACGCGTTCAACAAGACAACCCGGCCCGCTGCAGACGCGAATTCAATCGTGAACTCGCTAAGCAACCGGATTGCCTTCTTCTCGTACGATCCGGAAGACGGAGAGACGTTCGATGCGTGGTTCTCTCGATACGAAGATATCATCAGGACAGACGGAGCAGAACTCGACGACGCAGCTCGTGCGCGGCTCGTTGTCAGCAAGCTCAACAAAAGAGAGGCAGAGCGGTATAGAAACAACATCCTGCCGAGAGCGCCAAAGGATGTGACGTTCGAAGACACCATCACCGAACTTCGGAGGCTGTTCAACGAAACGAAGTCAGTCGCTCGACTACGTTTCGAACTCCTCACCACCAAATTCACCGGACAGGATTTGAAGGACTACACTGGAATGGTCAAGAGAAGGTTCAACGCTGCAAAGTGGACCGATTTTTGGACCAGACCAGGCCCAATGTCTCCTGTGGATCATCGGACTCCAGTCACCAGACCAAATGGAGCTCCGACACCGAGCTCTTCGGGAACTCGAGATGGATCCGAGGATCACGCTATCACAACTGACGGACAGGCTGGAACAGGCTGTGCTGCTCAGGTCGGATGCCATAGCCATTGGAGATCCTGTCGCTCAAGTGAACGCGATCACACCGAGACGCAATGAGCCGAAGTCCACGAAGAAGGAACCGTCTACCCCTTGCTTCAGATGCGGACTCATGCATTGGTCTCGAGACTGCACTCATCGGAAGACAACCTGTCGGGAGTGCAACGGGAAGGGACATCTAACGCGGATGTGCCCTGAACGTGAAGTGGAGTCGGTCAACTCCATCCTCATCGCAGCAACGTCAGCAACGGCTCGAAATCGGATCTACACCGATGTCAGCATCAAGGGACAACCGGTTCGGATGATGTTGGACACTGGCTCGGACGTTACGCTGCTCAGTCAGAAGGATTGGATCCTTTTGGACAAACCGGAGATGTCGCCGTCAACGCGAAGACTTCGGTCAGTCACCAACAAATCAATTTCAGTTCTCGGGCAATTGAAATGTGATTTCGTGCTCAATGGTCAGCCAGGATCAGGGACATGCCAGGTCACCAACACAGAGTCGATCCTGGGCATGGACTGGATCAAACAGGATCAGTCGCTCTACGGACGTTTGCTCAAGGGATCCGTCAATCCCGTCGCAGCGAAGCAGTCCGGAAAACGAGTTCCAAGTCGCCAGGCACCGTCGACCAAGCAGCAAGCAGGCCGGCATCACGGATCGAAGTCAAACTGGTTTGGCATCGGAGAAGTGGTCAAGGTCAGGGACAAGCACGGATCGTCGTCACCAACTGAACGCCAGTTGCTGTCGACAACGCCTTCGCACACCTACTCAACACCGATGATGCCAAACATCGGCTCATCGAGAAGAAACCGAAGCTCAACACCAATTCACCGTCAATCGTCACCAGTTGGAACGCCCAACGGGACGTCTGGACCATTGTCAACGCCGTCAACGCCGTCAACGCCGTCATCGCCGTCATCGCCGTCTCGTCGTCAAATGTCAGTGGGACCTGGATCGTCACCTGGACCTGGATCACCGTCTGGAAACGGATTGGCCGCTGGAGTCGCTTCGCCTTCGGGAGTCGTCGCATCTTCGGGAGCAGGATTGTCAGCGGGTCAACCAGTGGTTCGCCGAGCGGATCGCACAACGCGTGCTCCGTCGCGCCTCCGCCTGGATCCCCGCCTTTCGTCCTACCAATGAACCTCTCAACTTGGTCGAGGGAGATGTTACGTCGTGTAGACGTATGATAATAACTTTATGATCTATGTCTAGTGATCTCTATTGTGATCTACCTTAGTGATCTCTCCCCGCGTTGTTTTATATTTTAATTGTCATCATTCGGGTCGCCCTCCTTCTGAGGACGAACCCTCAATATTCTATCTGCCAGCCCCGCTTAGGTTTCTCTGCTCGGAATAAACCTCTTGCGGAAGCTCTCTTGTCTGTTCCGACTCTTCCCTACCAACGCGGTGGAAGACTTCACAAATACAACAAAATCCAAGTTCAATCCAAGTTCAAGAAGCCTGATAAAGAATGAAACAGAAAAAAGAAGAGGCCGCCGAAAGAAAATAGGAGAGGAGAAGAAGAAGAGAAGAAAAACAACGAAAGAGAAGTGGTAGCAATGAAAAACTGATTGATACTTTAAACGATTCCCCCACTACTTTTCCCGCTCAAGAACAACAACATTTCTGCTCCGTTTTCGCCTGTTGTTCTTCTTCAGAATGTGCATAATATCGCGAAAAAAGGGGGGAAAACGGAGGAGAAAAGGACCAGATGACAGCTCGTTTCACACAATCATCACGATCTTTTTACACTCAGTCTCCTGGGAACAACCTGCGAGAGAATGAGAGAAAAAGAAGAGGAAGAAGGGAAAAAAGTTTGGAAATGGACAATATTAGAAATGCAAACGGGAACGGGTGCACTTGTCACTTTTTGCAGGTTTTTGGTCGTTTCCATTTTTGCAGGTGACTGAATTTTTATGGGGTTATTCAGGCTGTGAGAAAAATGATTTTTTTCCGTTTTCGTTTTTTTACGTCAAAAAATCTGATTCAGCGATGTAAAAAACCGGAAAAAAAACATACGCTGAATAGCCCCATTAGGAATGCACAATTTCCAGAGCTTACAAACGATATTTTGGCGCGAAATTCTAATTTTGAAAGCAAACGGACAATGCTGGAACCGCTACGATAATCGAGAAATAATATTGCAGACAGGTAGAACGGGGGACCATCGAGCTCGGATGAAATTCGCACAAATTTATGAAAAACTGAGATTTTCGGTGTTTTTTCTCGAATTTCTGCAATAAAAACGTGTTCGGCACGACAGTTCAGTGCTTTGTCGCCTTTTTTAGGGAAGAATCGGGAAACTCTGGGGGTTTCAACGAGAAAAACGTTTTTACACACTTTTCTCCGCGGATTTTTAATTTTTGCGATAAAAAACGTACAAATCATGGGAAACTGCTCTCCGGACGCATTACAATGCTTGTGCTGCAATATTTTGACAGTTTGTTGAAGAAAAACGCAAACAACCGGACTTACCGCCGAGAATTTCACTTTTTCGTTTCTTGACCAGAGATTTGCGAAATTTCTACAAATTCTCGCTGAGCTTAAGTCATGGTCACGCACATATCTCATCGGACCAAACGGCGACGTCGCATCGAGCTGAAATAAAAAAATTTCCAGCGTTTTGCAATTTCTCTTACCTGCGGCCATTTTTCGAGCCAACTCTGCGGAGATATGCGGTCCGGCGGCTTCTCGTTCGAAAAAATCGACCATCGGAGTAGAACACGCTGAAAAATGAAGAAGAACTGCAAAAATCCGTGGAAAATTAGGGAAAAAGCGTGAAAATTAGAGGAAAATTAGGTGGCGGCCGTGGTTTTTTCAGTATGCAAAACCTAGGCCATTTGTGGATTTGGCGGCCACCCGCTGATTTTCAGCCGTTTTTCGCCGCCTCTCAACTATTTTTCAGCAAAAAACAAGCACAGCCGAGAAAAAATTGTCATTTTTTTCGATGAACAGTTTCAGTCCTAAAAAATATTCGCGCGAAAACCGCACCGCCGTCTGTCTCCACCACTCTTTCGGCCAATCGCTCGGCAGAACGCTCCTCTTTTTTCTCTCCTCGTCCACTGTCTTCCCAGAGGCCAATGAGTTTAGAATATGCTTCTTTTGCTCTACACTGTCCGCGAAACGTAAACGCGCTCCACTGCAATCTCCGTGAAACAAATTGCATGGGTATCTAAACGTCGAGGTCTCCAATTTTCTTCAAACGTCCACTCTCTTTCACTATCACTCAACATTTCCTCTGTCATTCTGTACCTATCGGCCACTGTTCTTCGGAAAAACGGCTGAAAATGAGCGGGTGGCCGCAAAAATCCGCAAATGGCCTAGGTTTTGCACGCTGGAAAAGCACGGCCGCCACTTGATTTTCCTTGAATTTTCTCGCTTTTTCGCAAATTTTCCTCGGATTTTCGCAGTTCTTCGTCATTTTTCAGCGTGTTCTACTCGGATAATCGATGACTTCGATCGCGGAGCCGCCAAACCGCCCGTCTCCGCAGAATTGACTTGAAAAATAGCTGGTAAAGGAAAATGCAAAACGCTTTTAAAAAAATTAATTTTAGCCCGATGCGACGTCGGCGTTTGGCCCGATGGAATCCGTGCATGGCCAGGACTCGAGCTCAGCGAGAATTTGTAAAAAAAATTCGCATGTCGCCGGTCAAGAAACGAGAAAAGTGAAATTCTCGGCGGTAAGTCCGGTTACTTGCGTTTTTCTTCTACAAACTGTCAAAATATTGCAGCGCGAGCATTGAAATGCATCCAGAGAGCCGTTTTCCACGCTGGGTACGTTTTTATCGCGGAGATTTGAAAATCCGCAGAGAAAAGCATAAAGACACCGTTTTTCTCGTTTCTAAAGGTTTGTTCCGATAAAGTGTTTATAAATATAGACTTTGCCATCGCTTATTCCATTCCCACACTATATATATATGTTTGTCTCCCTCCGAATCTTTAATATGCTCGATTTTAATTTCAATTTCGTTTCCATCCTCCAATCCTCCAATTTCTCGCTTTTCCCCTTTCAAGAGTATAGAAAAAAGAGAATTTTGTGGTGTCGGCCCAAGAGAAATCCGTTTTTCGGCTGTTTTGCCGGTGGGACCACTAAATTCATGCAAATTTATGTAATTGGATGCCGTTCTTGCCCAGATTTCGGGCATTTTTGCCAATTGACATATTCACGTTTACATGTAAATTGTTTGTAATTGTACGGATTGCTTACACCCCGCTCAAGGTACGAAATGACGTGCGGCTTCGAAGATGCAAGTGGGCGGCGGGTTTCCTTCCGTTTTAGTCGTATTTTAGTAGAAATCCAATTTATTCTACAAATTCTCGCCCACTTTCCGGTCTTTTATTCCAACTAATTAGGCTACGCCATTTTAATTGGCCTCTCGATTACTGTAGGAAAGGGGCGGAGCTCTGGTCCAGATTTTCGAATATTTATGATATAGCCTTTTCATTTCTATTTTTCTGGATATTCTGGAGCTCGCCGCGCTAGTCTTTACACCATCTTTAACGCGAAAAAATGGCGCAAAGATGTCCGTAAAGACTGGCGCGTCGGTGTACGCTCACGCATTTTTATATACTATTCCTTTACAAGACTTTTTTCTGAATCCTTTAGATATTTGAAGTAAATACGTGTTTGCAGGTAAAATGAAGGTGCCACTGATAGCTGTGCTCATGTTCGCCGTCATGCAAATCGCCGCGGCAGCGAGCCTCTACTTTGCAGGTAAACAAACGCGCTCCACCGAACTTTTTGGTAGATTTTGTAGTGTTAAGACACTATACTATCAATTAGAGGTAGTTGACAACTGTTTTCTACGAACACTTCTTGGATTACTATTGCTCGCTGCAGTTGAGAGTAGCATGAATTTTAGTGTAATCTACCAAGAGCTACAGTGCCCTTAGGAATGATTTTTCACAAAAGTTGTCAACTACAAAAATAAAGTACTAGAAATGGAACACATTTTGACAGTTGACAACTTCTGCGTACAACCTCTCCTAAGGTTACTGTAGCGCTTGGAAGTTAGCAATACCTAAAGTCTCCAATTTTTGCAACTTGACAATACTCAATCAAAGATACGCTTTTCAACGTTTCCACAATGTTCTGACCGGTATTATGGATTCTTTAAAAAGATCTTTGCAGGATTCCCAGCAGAAAGCGAGCGAACAATGAAACGATCGATGCCGACAGATCCGGACTGGAATCAGTTGGGATGGGCGTGGGGGAAGAGAAGCGGCGTCGCTCTGAACGAGGTATGTGTGATAATATATATCTACAATATCAGTTGGATAATAAATATTATGCAATTAAGATTCCTCGTCGTCTCGTTCGCGCTCTTCATCCCGTCAAAAAGAACCCGGACTGGCAGGATTTGGGCTTCGCCTGGGGACGACGTTAATCGCATTCCTTTTGTAAACCCACTATATTATTTGAAAGAAAAAATTGAAAAATTGGGCGTTCTCTCACCCCTCGTGTTTTCTATTTCTGTCTACTGTGCCCCCCCCCCTTCCACCCGCTCTCCTCTCTTTTTTTACTTCCAATAAACTTTTGGAACTTGTTAAAGTTGTTTTCTCTCAAAGTTAACGTCTTTTAGAGTATTTTTCTAATTTATCTTTTTTCTCTACGATCACTCTGTCGATTACTGTGGTCCTGGGAAGTCGGCATAGGCTTTTAGCTATTGTTAACTTTCAAGAGCTACAATACTCCAGGGAGTGGTTGTAAAAAACAGTTGTCAACGACAAAAATACGTGTCAAGTCTTGGACAACATTTTTGTAGTTGACACCTTTTATGTAAAACCACTACCTGGATTACTGTAGCTCTTGAAAGTTTGCGCTAATTTGTAGTGACTTCAACTTTCAGTGGTCGTCTAAAAAAGTTGGAAAATTAAGGCACTAGTCGTGAATGTTCCGATTTCACGTCTTCTACGTGTATGTACCCATTTTGCATGTTCATAGTGGGTCTTTATCCAGGCCTTTCATCAAAATCGTTGCGTTTTCGGATCTCTTTTCGATAACCGGGCCGGGCCGATAAGCATCTGACGGAGAATCGTTCTTGCGCGGTGCCATCCCTCGTGCCGCCCGTCTTTCCATTTCACCTTCCTTCCTTTTTCAATCTTTGAAGACACCATTCCAATTTTTCTGGGCGCCTTCTCATTTTTTACCACATTCTCTATGCACTTTTCGTTATTTTAAGCGTTGGCGCGAGTTTGTAGCATTTTTCTGAACAAAGATATGATTTTTCAAAATTTTTGATTTTTTTTCTCAACCTGATCATCAAGATCTTGTCAGTCAAAGTTTAATGTGTGCAGAAGAACCGGTCCGTGTGGACGTGTGCCCGTGATCTTTTTGTGAAAACTCATAATGTACTTTTGGTTGAATGTCTTCTTCAAGGGAATTGGTATCAAAATACAAAAAAAAAGTAATAGTAAATCAGGGGTACACACAAATCCGCGTACCGTTTTCTCGACAAACATTCATTCAGTGGGGGAATCGAAACGATAATTGAAATTCAAAGTCATTGGCCATTTCTGGGCCTAAACCGGTTCCGCCTTCTTCTTCTTCTCCTTCTCCTTCTTTCTTTCGAATGTGTAGCCTTCTGGAGGCGATAAGCATCTGGCAGATAGGTCCGTTTTCCAGTCGAATACTGTCCACTTCTTGGAATGTTCCCCCCCTAATTGCATCTTCTTCTTCTCCTTCTTCTTGTCCGACTACTACTGTACTTGTTTCTGTTTGGTCAAGTGGCCAGCTATTGTACAAGCATCCATAAAAGTCTCATTTCGACCTAGGCTTTTTGAGGCCTGGACTTTTGGACCAGTGCTGGCTTCTCGGGCTTGGATTGAAGCATCTTGGGTCCCGAGAGATGTGGATCAGAGACCAGCACGATTTTCAATGAAAAATCACCACCCCAACCACTTTTTTTCGTCTATTTCTAGTTCCAATTTCGGTTCTGATCATCTCTAGACCCCCTCTTCTTCTTCTTCCTCTTCTAAAATCGTTTCCGTTGATTTCTCTCTTGTTCCTGTAGTTTTGTGGCCTTGACTAGACCTCCGGAAGAGAGAAGAAGAAGGAGAAGAAGAAGAGGACAAATGATAGGGGGAGAGAGAGAGAGAGAGAGAGAATTGAACAGAAACCATGTAGACATTGAGATCCAATTCCCCCCCTAATCTCGTGAAGGGGGGGGGGGGGTCATTCAGGAGAGGGCTGTTGTGTGTACTTGTCTTCAGATATTGTATCTTCCTGGTCTGATTTTCCTCGGCTAAAGTCTAGCTTTTAGCCATAATTTTGTAGGCTAGATGCTCGAAAATATTTACTTTTTTTGCAACCCTACAATAGTCGGAAACGTTCCACTATTGTCCAATTCTCCTTCAATCCTTCTGTTGATTCAATTAGTTGCACAACACGCTCATTTTCCCATTTTTTTTCCCTCATTGGCAAACATTTCTGACCTAAAAACAGTCACTTACTCTTTTTGGTCTACCGCATTACCCCCTGCGCTCTTTTTCGCAACGAATATTGTTGTTCTTACTAAAAATTGAAGCCTGGCAATGCCCTGAGCTACAGTACAATTAGGAATGATTTTTCACAAAAGTTGTCAACTACAAAAATGAAGTACTAGACATGAAACACATTTTGACAGTTGATCATTTTTGTGTACAACCACTCCCTTGAGTACTGTAGCTCTTGGAAGTTAACAATAGCTAAAAGCGTATGCTGACTTCCAGGGAGTGTGCAGAAAAGTTGTCATGAGATATACCTAAAACACTTTCAAAACTAATTTGACATTTTGCAACTTTCCGATACCAATTTAACGTTCGCACTTTGCAGAATGGGCATCATAACGGCGACAATAATAGTGCTGACAATCACGTGGATAATCCATTATGCGTTCCGAAAAGGAAAGTTCATCTACGACAAACTGACGGTGATGCAAGGCCCGGCGGCGTTTCCGATCATCGGCAACTTTCATCAATTCCACTTTTCGCCCGAGGAGTTTTTCGAGCAATCGCAAGGCATCGCCTACATGATGAGGAAGGGCGACGATCGGATGACGAGGATCTGGCTCGGCGGACTGCCGTTCGTGCTGCTCTACGGAGCCGACGAGATGGAGGCGATTCTGGGGAGCCCCAAGATGCTCAACAAGCCCTTTTTGTACGGCTTCTTGAGTGCGTGGATTGGCGACGGATTGCTGATTTCGTGAGTGACTTTTGACTGTACTTCAAGCGACTATTCGTTTTTCTTCCAGAAAACCCGATAAATGGCGTCCCCGCCGCAAGCTTCTCACGCCCACATTCCACTACGACATCCTCAAAGATTTTGTGGAGGTGTACAATCGACACGGCAAAACTCTGCTGGCAAAGTTCGAAGCGCAAGCGGAATCGGGAAAGTACGAGGACGTGTTCCACACGATCACGCTCTGCACGCTCGACGTGATTTGCGAGGCGGCGCTCGGCACGTCGATCAACGCGCAGAAAGATCCGCACTCGCCGTACCTGGACGCGGTGTTCAAAATGAAGGATCTGGTGTTCAAGAGGCTCATCCGACCGCACTTCTTCTCCGACACCCTCTTCAAACTGATCGGTCCGGGCAAAGAGCACGACGAGTGCGTGCGCATCCTCCACGAGTTCACCTCGAAAGCAATCTATGCGCGCAAGGCGAAAGTCGACGCGGCGGGCGGTGTCGAACAGTTGCTGGAGCAGGAGACGGCCGAGGGACGGCGGAGAATGGCGTTTCTCGATCTGATGCTCGATATGAATGCGAAGGGCGAACTGCCGATGGAGGGCATCTGCGAGGAGGTCGACACTTTCACTTTTGAAGGTCAGCGGTCGTCAGTTGATGATTGAAGACAGACAATTTTCAGGCCACGACACGACATCAGCCGCGATGAACTGGTTCCTTCATTTGATGGGAGCCAACGCCCATATCCAGTCAAAAGTGCAGAAGGAAATCGATGAAGTGCTCGGAGAAGCGGACCGTCCGATCACTTATGAGGACCTCGGAAAGCTCAAATATCTGGAGGCCTGCTTCAAAGAAACACTCCGTTTGTACCCATCGGTCCCACTTATTGCTCGCCAGTGCGTTGAGGATATTGAGGTAAAGCCTTGACACTTTTTCTCTACAACCCCCTCCCTGGATCGAGTCTTCAGCTATTGTCAACTTCCAAGAGCAACAGTACTCTTAGAGATGGCTGTAGAAAAAAGTTGTCAACGACAAAATTATAGTTCTAGACTTGAAAAATAGTTTTCTAGTTGACAACTTTTTTCTACGACTACGTCTAAGGCTTCTGTAGCTAATGAAAACAAATTTCAAAGCCATCGACGGTTGTAGGTCCGCGGAAAGACTCTTCCGTCCGGCACCGCCGTCGTAATGGTTCCGTCGATGGTTCACAAGGATCCCAGGTATTGGGAAGATCCGGAAATTTTCAATCCGGAACGATTCATCTCGGGAGAACTGAAACACGCCTACGCATACATCCCGTTCTCGGCCGGCAGCAGAAATTGTATAGGTGAGTCGTCAGGTTCGCGTACACCAATACCATCTATTCAAGACCATATATCTGAGTTGTCGGTGGAGATATCAAAATGTGGTCAACTGACAAAATGTAAATAATTTCTTACTGAGCAATACATCAGTTGACAACTTTTTGAAATCTTCAAAGACAACTGAGATACATCGCGTTGAATAGACAATATTAGGGTTATCTTCTTATACAGTGCTTATAGTCCATAATTCCAGGCATGAGATTCGCAATGATGGAGGAAAAGTGTATTCTGGCGATGCTTCTGAAGAACCTGAAAGTGAAGGCAAAGTTGCGGACGGACCAGATGCGAGTGGCCGCCGAACTGATCATTCGTCCAATGTACGGAAATGAGCTGAAATTCGAAAAACGCGAATTCGGAGACTACAGTCCGATGGTCCATTGATCGTCAGCGAATCGAAAAAAGTATGAAGAATATTGATGATCTCGTTTGCAATTTGTTTAAATGTTTTTCTGATTAGACATACATATGCGACACTTTTATCTTAAAATAAAAAAGAGAACCCGTGCTTCTCAAAAGATTTGTACAGATATCAAGTCAAGATTGTATAGTTGCAAAACGGCAATACCTACAGTACTCTTGGGGATGGCTGTAGAAAAAAGATGTCAACTACAAAAATATAGTTTAAGACTTGACAAATAGTTTTGTAGTTGACAACTTTTTTCTAGCGCCAACTCTAAGGCTACTGTAGCTCTTGGAAGTTGACAATAGTTAGCCAATGCATTTCGCTATTGTAAACTTCCAAGAGCTACAGTAGCGTTAGACGTAGTCGTAGAAAAACGTTGTCAACTACAAAAATGCTCTACTTGACATGAAGTACTTATAGAAAAAGTTTGAGACTCATAGGACGTTTCGCAACTGTACAATATCATTTCAAAGTTGCAATTAAACCTTTTGTGGTCCTAAACTGTTGACGCTTATCCTCAAAGGCAGATTTTTGGTAGAAGTCTGAGGTGAGCTTCTCAATGCGTTTTCAGACAAATCGACACTGTCATGACGCCTCCATTTCCTGCAATTTTGGATATTCAGGCCGAAACACGGCAAAAACCAACGTTATTTGGCCGGCGATGTCGCTGAACAACGACAAAAACACTGGCAAAACGATCAATCCGTGAAGAAGGCCGAATGTGGAGACCAAGACGACTGTCTGAACGGGGATCGGATTACTGTAGATCGAGGAGAAAAGGGAATCTGAAACTGACTTTGAAAAAAACCATTCCGAGGTAGGAAGGACACAAAAGGATCGGAACCATTGCGATCATTGTGGAAAGGCCGCCTTGAAGGGTCGGCCAGCCGATGTGTGTGTACGCGTGCTCCAGTTTTTGACGGGGTGTCTGGAAAAACGTTTTGTAATTTTGAAGAGCCTAGATAGTATATCTCGGCTGCTTGTTGAGATAGCAAAAAGTTGTCAACTGATAAATTGTGCAGGAAGACTTTTTACACAATTTATCTGTTGACAGCTTTTTGATATCTCAACAAACAGCTGAGATACATCGTCTTGATGGAACAGTTAGTACACATTTTGCAACCAAACGACGTTTCGCAACTAATAAAGTGTTTTCAAATATGTCTACTAGGACGTTTCGCAACTGACCGGCTCATCAACTTGATAATAGTGATAACTGATGTGAGCACTAATATCGACCGAGAATCCGATGGACATGAGAAGCGAAGCCGTCGAGACCGGATCCATGCCGACGCCCCAAAGGGACAGAAAGCCGAAAACGCCCAAATTGACGGAGAGCAACGAGAAGACGGCGGCGAAAATCGAGACGAGGTCGGGAACGAAGAAAATGAAGGTGAGCGCCATGCAGAGCACCTCGGAGACGACCGTCTGCCAAATGTTCGCCACCATCGCGTTCGTCTGATCCACAAAATTGCTGCGTTCCGTGTAGGCGTAGACGTCGAGCGCCGGATACCGTTTCGCGATTCGCCTCCACTCCCGCAACACCGGGTACATGTCGTTGTACTTGACGACCGACGTGAATCCGGTGGTGAACACGAAGCTCGTGAGGCATTCGGGCCGGTTTTGATCGCAGGCGAGCGCGTTGTAGCGGAGCATCGGTTTGTATTGCGGACTTGAGGATTTGAGGAATTGCGAGAGGTCCGAGTAGGTGAAGTTCGGAGCGGTTGACGCGTCTTCCGACTCCTGCAAAACTTGAGACGTTCGGACACTTTACAAAACTTTTTAAAGAAACGTACCTGCTCCTCCTCGTAGAACGCCAAAAAGTCCAAATAGGGTCGCAGCCAGCAAATGGTCGATTCGCTTCCGAAACTGTGCAATGAGCCCTCGAAATCGTGGATGAGACTCTTCAAAGACTCCAAATTGGCGGGCACCCGGAGATCCGCCGGATTTTTGACCAACACGGCCACCGATTGCATCTCCTTCAGCACCTCATCCGCCTCGTTTTTGAATTTCACAATTCGCGCCTCCTTGTTCGCCATTTTCTGTATCGACAAGTCGGTTTCCATGGAAACGATGCCGGAAGCGGACAGGTACCAATAGCCCAACAATATCGAAATCGTCATGATCCGCATCCAATAACTGCCGATCACCGCCGCCAAACAATGCCATTGACGGTCGGCCCAGGCGGAGAGAGACTTGACGAGTTCATAATAGTTCTGCCCGTTCGTGTCGTCGTCCAGACTTCCGGAATACTCTTTGGGAGCCGTCAGAGCAATGATGGCCGGGAAGATGAGGAGTTGGTAGATGTAGCAGACGACACTGGCCACTGATGAGTAGATTGCGAACGTCTGAAAATCAGTCAACGCTTTTGAGAGAATGCCCCGGTCCCTAGTAACACAAAAAGTTTAGAAATTGTTCAATGATTGCCCCATCAAAACAAAGAAGAGACCTGTAAGACGGGCGTCGTGGACAGCACGCCGTTTCCAAACGAGACGAGATTGGTGACGGTGGTGACAGTCATCGAACAGCCAGCGTCTTGAAGAGTGAGCGCGACGCGATGCGGAACGTCGAGCCGGCGGTCGGAACGGTGCCACGCCGACAAAATGATGAAGACGTCGTCGATTCCGATGGCGAGCACGAGGAACAGCGTCGAGACGATGATGCTTTGGAACGCGACGCCTGTCGCCGACACCATTCCGATTGTCGTCACGCCCGACAGCACGGGGATCACCGCGCCGAGACACGCCTCGACGGGCTTCGATTCCGAGCGACGATATCTGCAAATACATATATTTTTTTTAGAGCGACGATGTCTGCAAATACATATATTTTTAATACAACATATTTTTTAAATAAACTTCTTCGAAGTGAGGGATTCGCTTCCCCAAAATCCCGAATTACGAAAAAAATTCCCCGATTTTTAAGATTTTTTTCAGTACACGGCGAAATGGAAGAGCTGGCCTAGATTTTTCTAGTCCCCGAATGGAATTCCCCCTTTTCTTCCGATTTTTTCCGTTTTCGTGAAAATTTCTCAAATTTTCAATTGTTTTTTCACTGAACACACTAATTTGCAATATTAAAAAAAATTTATGTTTTTTTCTGTGCCGTGACGCCAAAAAAATCGATAATCTGAAACTTTCTTTTGTTGTTTTTCCGGGTCTTTCGCTAAATCTTCGGTTTGCGCGCTGAAAAGTCAATAGAAAGAGATCGCTCAATCATTTTTCTGAGTCTTAATTAAAGTTTGCGAGCTACAGAAAGATCTATTTTTCAAATGAAATGCGAAAAATCCAAAACTTCCCATTTTCGGTTTTTCACAAAAAGTGGCTGATGATTTTTTCTGAATTTCTGAATTTTGTCTGAATTTTGAAAGCTCGGTACCATAAACTTTTCTTGCAAAAAAATGGAATTTTTTTTTCGTAATTCGGGATTTTGGGAAAGTGAATGCTCCACTTCGAAGTTTATTTTAAAAATATGTTGTATGTAATGTGGTTGTTCACTTGAACGACGACCCTCAAAATGCCTCAGCTTTCTCAGTTTTGTTTTTTATCCATTTTCAACTCAACTCAACTCACCTCAACGAACAAATCGTGAGAAACGCGCAGAGCAACACCAGTGACAATCCCAAGTACGGCGCGGTAGAGGTGCCCAACTTTTTCACCTCCTTCGCCACAATATTATCGCTGCCCGCTTGTGCGTTTAGCAGCGGATACTTGTTCGACTCGTAAAGCAGCTCGACCACTCGGTCCTCGAAATCAATCATCGGCTTCAGTGTGGGATGTGTGAGGTAGAAGCGGAGCACGACGGATTTGAACGACTGGATTTGGTGGGTTTCCGGGTCGGTCGTCACGCCGTACAAATTGTTGGCTAGCAGCATTTCATGGCCCAGAATTGTAGTTGTGGGGTACGTGATCTGGACGTTTAGGCTTTAGATATTTGTGACTTCCAATTCCAAGATCCGAGGGTTGATTCTACTATCAAAGCAAAGTCTAGAACCCTCAGAGACGCATTCAAAGAATCCGTTCCAATTCACTCTCTATTTTGTTTCAACCCCCACGGATCACCTCAAAAGTTGTCGAATTAGTGTCGAAAATGTCCATAAGCGCGTAAAATGCGTCGTTCTTCTCGCAGTACGGTTCGCACATGTCCGTGTACCGTCTAATTGTTCCGTCACGGTCATTCTCCTCCACCACACTCAGCCCGTTCGTGATCTCTCTTGTCATTTCGGACAATTGACGAAGGTGCCCGCGACGGAGCAGGTTCCCACCGTCTTCACTTTTTATTAGGACCTGCAAACAGAACGTTGGTATTTGATGGGATTCCAAGTTTTTTGATCGTCTAATGACGTGACACTTTTGCGCGAATCTCTCCGCAACGATATTGTATGTATCTTGTTTGGGTGTGTGTGTGTTCATGATATATTGTGTAACTATTGTAGTGTCCGTCACTTCTCACTTCTCACCTCGATCATGTGAAGAGTGCCGTTCTGTCGCAAAAACTCGAAAAACATTGCGCCCTCGCGATGGCTCGGCGAATCGTGAGCGGTGTACGTGACGCGTGCGTTATTGATCTGAAACATTGCCAAAATGTTATGTCCGATTTTACGGGCTGAATTTGCTCTAAACGTCTCAATTCATGCCCAGAAACTATTGATAGCTTAGCAAAAATTGTTTGCAACAGTTTTGTACTCGATGGGATTCGAACCCTGGCCGACAGATTGGTACCGAATGGCGCAGTGGGGAAGGTCGTTGGCTATGAGCGCTACATAGGCTACATTGATTACAGAGTGTAAAAGGAATGAATGAATGAATGAAGGCTACAGAGATAATCTGGTATGACGAACAGACCTACAGTAATCCTTCACAAAACATTACATATTAAGCTTACGAACCTGATGAAACCTCAAAAATCCAAGGCACGAAATGGCGGTGATCATGAGAAGAACGACAATATATCGTTTGGGATGGCGGCCGATGGAGAGTCCGAGCCAGTAGAAGAATCGTTTCATGTACACCTCGTACTTGGCAGTGCACAATCGCATTTTGCTGAAGAGATTAGTAGTGAAAAACTGGGGAAAAAGGGTCCAAAATTCAGCGGGAAAGTCAGAAAAAGATCAAGCGACCGTCTAGACATGTGATAAGGACACAAAGTGGAACGGGACAATGTACCGCCCCGCGCGGGCCACGTTTTTGTAGGCCAGACTAGAAAAGACACGAAATCTACACGGATTTCGCGACTGAAAAGTACATTTGTTGGACAAATGCGACCGTTAAAATGACAATAAGTGTGGCCGACAATAGACAAATGAGAGGAACATGTAACAATGACAATTATGGACTCGTCTACGCCGAAACCATTTTGCCACCTTCTTCTTTTCTTTTGTGGACCCCCCCATCGTGGTGTTCTTCTTAATGTACGATATTGTGGACAGCAGAGAGTAGGTACATTGAAGAGTATTCGTGCACAACTACAATATTTCCTTTTTATACTGCAAAATGGGGGATAAACTTAATGTGGAGCGTCAGCACGAAAACGAACAAGACCTCATTGGCCGAAGAACATGCCCACGTGTTCTGACGGCTAACCAATCCTCCGAATCAGAAGATTAGGATTCGGCGAAGAAGCGGCGGGCAGCGGAAAATGACACATTATCAATGTTACGGTTGGTCAGAAATATTGTGTTCATAGTATTTGCTCATAAAACAGACAAAAGCAATCACATATTCGGGGGAGATGAATGAGGTATAGTCGCATAGTTATTTTTCAAAACACAATCAATTTGGCCAGGTTTTGTTGTTTTCCAACGCGTATTTCTTGCAGTCGTTGAGGTATTGAAGCTGAAACAATAATGAAAAGAAATGCCATAACGAACAGGTATACTAACCACAAGTTTCGGGCACATGGCCGGCGGATCCTTGGCCGATTCGTTTAAGAACCTCTTGAATTTCTGCCGTCGTTCGTTCCCTTCGTCCACGCGGATCAATTTCACGTCCGCCTCCTCCTCCTCCTCTTCGACTTCTTTCTTTACTTCCTTGAATATCACCCGCAAGTAGCCGTTCTCTTGAGGCTTCTGCTCGTCCTCATCAGATTGTTCGGACCCTGAACTGCTGCTGTCCCGCAGTAATCCACGTTTCATCGGCGGCGGCGACGTGGACGGTGACTGCGACGATCGGGAACTCATGTCCGACTCCGACTCCGACTCGACATCACTCGCCCCTTCTTGGTGCTGAAAAAAACTGGATTTTTGTGGAATTCCTCTAACTTCCGCTCGGCTTTCTGCTTACGAATGCGCAAGAGGACAGAAATTTGACAGGACTTTAGATGCGTGCCGTCGGAAGAATACTGGTTCATTTCACTTGGGAATGAGTTCATTATGATGAAGACTAATAAAGAAACACAAAAAGCACGCACGAGCAGCCACACTTCGTTTAAAAAAAGAGGCTTTCGTGCGGAACCACAAAAATGCGTGCGAGTTTTTTGTTTCTCTTTTCTAGTTTCGATAACAATGAACGCATTTACGAAGGGCATCTGTAAAGTGTCACAAAAAAAAAAGACGAAATCATCAAAATGGCCTAGTTTTCCGTGGCTTCAACAAACTGGGAAGATATTGAAAAAAAAGAGAAGAATGAACCAACCTCTGTGCTCATATCGACTTCTCTTGAAAAATGTTGCTCTGAAAAAATGCGTATTTTCAGAAGCTAGCAAAACTAATAGTTTTAATGCTAGCCTAATATTAAAGATGAAGACGTCTAAAACAAGTGGAAGAGTTTCGAATCGGAGCACTAACAGCGTTGTCGTCATGGAGACACCCGAGAGAGCCCTTTAATCTCGCGCCGACGGATAATAATAATGAAGAAGAAGAAGAGGAGAGCGAGAGAGAAAGAGAAGAAGAAGACTTTGAGAACAAGGGCATTTATGTTCGCAAAGTCCCAAATTTTTCACGACGCCGGGTGGAGTTTTCTAGTCCCCCGGTCGCCAAATTTGAAAAGGTCTCTCATAAAGTCACAAATGTCAAATTTCAGACAGAGTTATCCGAGTGCCGCACGAAAAATCGATATCCGCTGGGACTTTTTTTAAAAACAAAGTTTTTAAAAATTCATTTCGAAAACAGTCTCTCTCAAATCTCAAAAAACTCTTCACTTCCTTTCGAGTAATGCGCGTGACACGTGGCGCGATAAACGTGATTGCCACGTGGCAAAGTGTGGAACGCGCGTGGACGGTACACATCGAGTTGGTGGCAGTTTGCGTCGATTCCGGCACGTTTCAGGCTGAAAAAAAGAGCAACAAGAGTGGGATAACTGTAGCCAAAGAGGCCCGCGCTTACTAGTTGACCATTTGATCGTTGATAGACGAGTCGCGCTGACCGTCCACAAATAGTTTCCCGCGTAGCGGAGTCTGGAAATTTGGAACATTTTGAGGAGATAAGCATCACTTTAACGCACCTGTTTCGACTTTTTATCCCACCGAAAGTGCACTTTGGCGCCGTGGCGCAGTTTTTCGCGCAAAAACTGCGTTTCCGAGTGATGGGGCGTCATCAAATTGATGCCACGTGTCATCGAGATGACCGTGATCATCGGCTCCTCGGCAAAAAGTCCTTCGGCGGGTAGGGACCGCAAATCTGCCGACGAGCAGCATCTCACAAATCGGCCATAGTCGACCAGCAGGACCGTCGTCGGGTCCTCACAAATGATGGCCCTTCGGACGACGCCGCCAAGTCGCGGATTCCGGATCGCACACACTTGATCGGCGACTCGAAATTCGCGGGGAAGAGGTGCCAGCCGGTGCCACGTGGCACAGAGCAGTCTGTCGAGTTCGGCGCGCTTCTCGTGTTGCCACGGATATTGTAGGTAAACCAGTTGCGAGTTCTCAATGTGCTCGACGAGGAGAACGTCGTGCTCGAAGCGCGGAGCACGCTCGCACTTTGGCAGACGCTTCATGAAGCGACGAAGATGGTCGCCCGTCCCGACGTCGTCCGCGTCTAAATCCACGTCATCTTCGAATTCTTCGTTCTGGAAATTGACACTTTGCCACTAGCCCAGGGACACTTCGCAACCGTACTCACCATTTTCTTGCAATGCGCCTCCCAACTCCTCTCATATCTCTCCATTTTCCCGACGTCTTCCGGCGGCGGCATGAACTTTGCGCAAACATTCAATCCGGAAATCGTCGGATGGTACAAATCGACCTGAAAATTGTTTTTTTTTTCGATCCGACAATCTTATTGACCAATCAAACGGCCTCTCTTCGATCCCCATAAAAATTTATGTTCTTTCACGAATACTTGCCTGAAAACAACAAAAAAATCCGGCAATTTTCCAAAAATTTCCACTGTTTAAATCAATGCACCAAAAGTGCGCAAAGGCACGCTAACGGTCACATTTCTCGTGCAGCCCACCGCGATTTTCGAGTTTTTCTGGTTTCGCCGTCGAAATTTCGGCTAAAACTAGGCATTTTTGCATTCAAAGCATGAGAAATATGACAAAAATCATCAAATTGTCACGTTTGTAAAGTAGAAAATATGCGAAATTGAAAATTAACGATTTTTCGCAAACTCCATCAATTTTCGCTATTTTCAGGATAAAACCATTTAGAACCGTGTGCAATGTACGATTTTAAGAACAAGAAACAAGCATTTTTGATTGAACTTCAAGAAAATCCGAAAAAAATCCCTACTTTGAACGGCTCCACGCACGATTTGAGTTCGACGCGAAAAAGCGCGTTGCAGCCGGCGACAACGTCTTTGAAATCGTGCAAATCCCGAATTTCCAGGTCGTTTATCGAAATTCCGTCGGCGCGGCACTTCAAACAGAGCGGCGGAGCCTTGCCGAAACGACGAAAAAGCGGAAGAATCTGACGGCGTGGCACCAGGATTTGCGTGCCGAAATCCACGAGTTCCACGACCACGCTGAAACAAATTTTTCTGAATTTTTAGATTTCCTGACGCGGAATGTGCGAATTTCTGGAGTTTTGCACTAAAACAGCGAAAATACAATGGAATTTGATGGGCAAAAATGTCGTTATCCTTTCTCCGATTCGCCGTAAAAATTAACTTGTCAGCGACTTTAAACGTGCATGAAATTGTAAAATTTGCATATTTTTTGACGTTTGAGCTCTCAAAAGTTGCGCATTGAAAAGCTCCATCACTTTGCCGCTCAATTGGCATTTTCCGAGATCAAATCTGTCGTTTTTCAGTGCTAATTTTGAAAGTGTGCGTAATTCGAAAATTCCGAGCGAATTTGCTCCGTTCAGCGCTTAAATTGAACATTTTAACACGGACAATCACATCCGGACTCTCGACGAACGAAGTATCAAAGATAAAAGAGAGAAAGTTGAGAATGAAACGAATTCCAGTGCAAACTGATGCAAACGCGCTCTATTGACAACTCGCTTGCGCATTGGAAGTTTTCGATCAATTTTGAATGTTCTTGATGTAAATTGTAAAACAAAAACGAACTGCTCTTCTCCGGAAATTTGCACAATCCGCCCACGATACCAGAATCCAAGTTCTTGAACGGCACACGCCACAGGCACGAATATCTGAAAAGACTCACATTTGCCCACGCACTTCCCATCAGAAAACTGTACTTGTTCATCGAGAAACGGTTCGGGTCTCGTGTGCTGATAGCACGCGTTCATCTGTCCCATCAACGATTTGCGGGCCGACGACAAGTATTTGGGTTGGACCGAAATTTCGACGGGCGACATAAAGTGCGACACTTTTGCGTAGAACATTCTCTGATTCTCGTCTTCTGGGCTTTCACAATTCTGCAACAACACGTTTCTTCTTCCAGAAAATCAGCTTTTTTGTATATAAAAACAGACCTGTAATCTCTTGAAATGATAATTGACAATGACCGAGCTGCCCGGATACTTCCAGCAGAATTCTTCGTGAATCTCTTGAAATTTGCGAATTTTCCACTCGGCGCCGCCCGGCACCTCGACCAGTTCGCGACAAGTGTTCACTTCTGACGGACACGTGACAAATCTGAAGTTTTACAACAACAAAAAACGGGTTTTCCCCCCAACACACCGCCCAAAAATGTGTTACCTAGCCAGACCGCCTCCAAACTCGGTGCTCATTTTGAATTTCGAAACTAATATTTTGGGGGGCAGCTTTTTCCAGACACGTGTAAATTTTTTGCCACGCACTTTGACAGTTCTCGGGTAAGTCATCACGTACGTAAAATTTGTTTCGGCCCAATCAATGATCAATTTCAATTCCAATTTTGCATCAGTTTTCCGGTTTCTTTTTCCAACCCGATTCTTTATCAGTTTTACCATCAAAACCTGCAATAAAAGGCGACGAAATGGCTTTATTTTCGTAAAAGTCTGTGCATAAAGTGTACACTAAAGCTTAGAAGCTGTGGTTGGCCTGCGCGAATCCGATGCGCGCGTTTCCAATGTCGTAGATGTTGCAGTACTGGCGAATGAACGTGTCTCCGAGGATCCACGACGGTCCGAAGCCTCCGGATCCCATCGAGAAGACGGCGAGCGCGCACTTTCCTCCGCCGAGCTCGAGATCGAGAATGTACTCGACCGACTTGACGTTGTAGGCGGTTCCTCCGATCGTGAACACGAGGTCCGGCTGCGTCTGCATCGTCGAGCAGTCGACGGTGTAGAGCTCCGAGGTCCAGTCGAAAGTGGCCTTGGTCTGCTTGACAATGGCGGAGACGACCGAGTTCGGGGCTCCGAGCCACGAGGTTCCGGTGTCGGAGATGACCTGCAAATGCATCGATTTTAGATTTTAATACCACGACCAACACACTCACCTGATCCTTCTTGCTCTCCGAGTAGGTTCCGACGGCGAATCCGTCAAGAGCGAACTGCCAATAGGTCTGAGCGGTCAACGGCACGTAGGTGACGTTCGAGGCGCAGTTGACGGTGTCGACGGCTCCGTAGGTGATGAGACCGCCGGATCCTCCCTGCGAGATGTTGAGTTTGCGGTCGAGCCACACGGTGAAGAGCGGGGCGTCGAGTTGCGGCAGCAGGTTCTGCATCGGCGGCGTCACCTTGTCGACGGCGAGTGCTGGCCATCCGAGTCCGAGGATTCCGTCGACTGGCTGATAGCCGAACACCTCGGCGAGATGGGTGGCGACTCCGAACTCCTGCGTGGCGATGGTCAGTCCGCCGAACGTGATCGTGTCCTTTCCGAGGTATCCGTTGCACGATCCGGATCCGTATTGGATCGAGAACTTGCGCGTCTCCTTGACGAACGTCGTCGACTTGGTCGTGTCGAACTTTTGCTTGGTGTATCCCGAGTCTGGGTATCCGTTGCACGCCTGCGAGGTGCACGCCGCGTCAATCACCCACAGGTTCGAGGATCCAGTGTCGAGGACGATGGTGGCCGGCTGCGCTGGCGTTCCGAGAGTGATGTTGCCGAGGTAGAAGTCGTCGTAGTAGTCGATGAACGGCTGCGAGCCGGTGTTGAGCTGCTCGATACGGGCGGCGTGTTGTTGGGCGAGGAAGTCCGAGTACTTTCCTTCGCGGATGAGCTTGGCGCGGAGCGATCCCGTCTGCTGGGTCGACATCTTTACGGTCACGGCGGAGCATGCCGCCACGAGGGCGAGCAAAACGAAGGTCTTCATTACTGCAAGAGAAAAGATGTGTTAAACTTTAGATTGTTTCAAAAAAGTTGAAAATGAGCGCCTCGGCGTCAACCCACACTTTTATACAAACTCTTTTACGTCACCAAGGACACTTGTCGCCGCCCACTTTTTATCACCACTGCAACTGATTTCATTTTGTGCGCCGACTGCTGATAGCACCGAAAAGGAAAGTGAAAAAGAGTATAATCGGTGTCTTGCCGACGCACTTTCGAAAAGATCCATTGCAATTGACAATCGATAAGAGTGCAAGGATTGATTAAAAATCCGGCGAGATCCAGAATTGAATGGTTTTCAGACTTTTGCATTTCCTTCCAGACTTCCTTCCAGAACCTTCGAGACGCTCGACCGAAAGTTGCTCTCTTATCTAAAAAAAAAGATGATTCTGGTAATGAAATTGCGTCGAACCGGAAAATGATCTGAAAATTGGAATTATCATCGATTCGGTTTTGAGCCATAAATATCGCATGACATGGTGCATCGGCGGCAGTTCCGGGACACATTTGCGATGCGACGAAAACACGGACAAAGTGTCTCGTTTCAAGAAGAAACACGTCATTTTCGGTGGCTCCAGACAAATATCCGGTTTCGGTTGAGATTTTAGGTTTTCCAAACCGCGTGACCTAAATTCGCGTGACCTAAATTTGTAAAACTAGGTCACTAGGTCACGTTGACCCCGTGACCTACTTTTTCAAAATTCATACTACACACACCCGCCTCCTTGTGATATTGTCATTTTCAGAACGAAAAAAAAGTGTACACGATGTTTCAGTTTGTCCATTTCCATTTCGTCAGCCTACACACACAAACTGATAATTGCCCAAATATACATACAAAGCGGATTTTCGCTTATCATCACTTTTTCTGTGGAAAAACGTAATTAAAGACGAGCGGTCACGAGCACACACCCACACTTTTGTCATCAGCAAACACGAAAAGGAGACGAATGAATCGTTGGTGAAGACAATTTTAGGCGAGTGGTTTTGATGGCACCAGAAATTGGGTGGACGGGACGGGGATCGGAAAGGAAGTATGTGAAATGGAATACAGACAAAAAAAATTGTGTCAACCCGTGACCTACTGACCTCTTTTTTCAAATTTTTGACCCAGTGACCTACTTTTCTTGGCCTAATAATCTTTTTTTTCCGGTCACATCCTTCCAAACGTTTTCCGCGAAAACAACAATTCCCCCGGGTGGAAATTATCTGTCATTCTGCTCTTTTTCGCCCGCCTCGATGTGCTCTAGATATGAATATCTTTAAAAATAGCGAAAAACCACTTCAATATATGCGTTTCCCTCTCCGAGATTGCCTTCGATGACGAAAAAAAAGCAATTTTATGGAGAAACCATGGAAATTGCCCTCCGAATACACACTCTCCGCTCCAAATTCTTTCTCCACATGGTGCGTCGACCAAGATTCCATTGAGCACCTAACTGCGTTAACACTAACAAGACGCCCCTCACTTGGCCGCTTTTCTCGGATTCGCGCGGCTATTTTTCGCGACAAATACATTTTGTCCTACTGGTCCAACACTGGGCTGTTCCCTCTAACTATAAGCGTCGCCCATGACCCCTCGTTTTGTGTTTCATTTCTTCCCCCCTCCGGCTCCATGGAGTATAATCGCTCTGCGCGGATTTCCTTCGTTTTCGGTCCCTCTCTCGACGGGCCACCACAATTATCCAATCGAATGACTGCTATCGACTTGCGAAAACACGGCGGCCAAAAGTTTAGAAAAGGGGGCGTGGCCTAGCGTACAATGTATTTGCATAAATCGACGAAATTATAAATTGCGCACATTTTGGGCCTAAACCGAGCATATTTCATTGAGCAATGACAAATTTTGAATATCGGCATAGCCGCCACGCTTCTTTTTACACTTTTGGTCAGCGTGGCACTGTACTATTCCAGAAAAGCCCTATAAATTGCTCAATTCCCTTCTAAATCCAAAATGCCCTTTCCACACACACACACACACACACGCATCAATCTTTTCCTCGGTGCCTTCCCTCCCCAACATTCGTTGTCTTTTGCACCCCTTCTTCTTCCATTTCACTCCTAAATTCTTCATTTCTTCCCCCTTTTCTGTTCCTCTTCAATTTTCATAGTACAATGCAGAGAGAGAGAGAGAGAGAGAAGATGAACCCTCCCGTTTTCGAAAAGGCGAAGAAGAAGAAGAAGAAGAAAAGGGACTCGTTTCGTCATGATGACAAGAAGAGCTCTTGACGCCTTCCTTCCCGCTTTCACCAATTTTTCGGTGCTCAATTTCGGTGGCTGGCTCCTTTTTTCTTCCTAGTTTCACAAACTTTTGGCAAAAATCCGCCCCTAACATTGACTTGTTTTTTGATGAGCTCACAGTGCGGTACGGTACTTGAAACGCGCTTCCGTTTTTGATTTTAAATTCGTTGGCTGTGTGCGGTCTAAATTTGTGTTTCTCTAGGCCACGTCATCAAAGCAATGCACACCAATCCACTAGCCCAATCTTCTATTCTCGTTCTTTTCTCACATCACTTATTCACACGCCTCCTCCTCTTCCTCGTCGCCACGTCTATTTGTACTTTTTTGGACACGACGATCACACATTTTTCCGTGTCTTACACACCTACACAAATACTCAAACATTACCCAAGACAACCACAAAAAAAGGGAAACCTATAATAAGTGGTGGTCGTGAATTATCCATAAGATATCCAACTCCTTTTCTCTCCTTTTCCGGGGGCTCACCTTACTTGGACACAATACGTCATGAGACCCATTTTTTCCCTTTTTCCCTCTTATACATTTCTTTGTGTCAGCCTCTAATAGTGTCCAAATGGTGCGTCGACCGTCAAAAACGATGTTTGCAGATACAAATGGGGCTGGAAATGTTTTCGTTGAACAACAAGGTGCTGAATGGAATGGAGGGTCGGATGAGAGAGTCAAATTTACGAATTTTGGTCGGGCTGGCCGTCGCTTTTGTCTATTTGCTCGTCGGAGCCATCGTCTTTGTCAGGTTCGCATATTTTCTTCGGAAATACTCTGATTCACACTATCCAAGTCAGCACACAGTCGAAGTTATGGCCGTGGCCTAGAAAACGCGGGCGCGAAAACTCTTCCCTGCTGATACTTGTGCCGAACGCAAAAAAAGATCCCGTGGCCTAGGAGCTTTCTAGGCCACGGCTATAACATTGACTACGCGCTGCGATAAATCGCAACCCGAGAACGCTGTTTTTCATGATGTTCCCGTTCCAGAATCGAGTATCCGCTGGAGAAAATCGAGCGAGAAGTCCATCTGACGTATCAAAATCAATGGCGCCAACGACTTTTGGCCCTGGACATTGACGGTATTTCTGAAAAAAAAACGAGCATTTCAAACATCACTCGATCCACGTTGATAACGAAAAGGTGATAAGAGAGCAGCGGTGCGCAAAAAATCGATAACACACTCGTCACAGTCAAATGTGTCTGTGGTGGACGTGTAGTCGTGTCGAGCACAAATTCTCTCGGCTCAATCGAGCAATTCTCGTCGGAGCGCTCATTTTGGCGTTCTATTTGATCACCGGCGCCCGCCTCATTCAGCTCATTGAGATTGGCAATGATTTGAGGGCTAGGAATAAATTTCAGGCGGAATTGCAACTGTTTATGACTAGGAATAATGTGAATCGTGAGTACATTTTAGAAAGTTGTATCGATTTTCGAGTTTTGCGCTGGAAATGTGTGTTGATTTCGTCGGAAACGTGTTCCGGAATATGCGAAAAGCGTGTCGAACCAATGTTTTCCTCGTCAAATATCTTTTTTTATCGATTTTTTGCACAAAAATAGCGAACGCTTCGATTTTTAAAGAAAATCCTCAAAATTTACCGTCCAGCAAGTCCAAATCGTTTGCAGAAACCGAAGTCGACAAGCTCTTCGTGAACATCCGCGAGGCGGCACTCAATGGCATCTGGATGGACCGCAACCTGACCTCCGATCCCAATTGGACCTTTGGCCAGGCGTTCTTCTTCGCCGGAACTCTCATCAGTACTGTCGGTTACGGTCGGGTCAGTCCGAGGACCGAACACGGAAAACTCTTCACCATTTTGTACTGTATTATAGGTGAGCGAGCGGCGAAAAAATAATGATATCGAAAAGTGGTCAACTGATGAAATGTGCGCAATGTATTCCTGATCAATTTATTAGTTGACTACTTTTTTATTCGTCCACCGGCAGCCGAGATATATAGGTTTTTTTTGCTAGGAATCCCGTTAACCCTGGCTCTTCTCTCGGCGATTGTGGCTCGGATGAGGGAGCCGTCACACCGGTTGCGAGGAATTTTGAATCAAAAGCTGGGACATTTGTTCACTATAAATCATATTCAGGTTGGAAATAGTTCTAAACACAGAGGTCACACACACACACACACAAATGTCATTTTCAGCTGATCCACGTGGGCGTTGTGCTCGCCGCTCTACTCATTTTCGTCTTCGCCATTCCTGCCTGGATATTCTCATCAATCGAATCCGAATGGACCTATTTAGGTACACGATTCGGCAAAAGCGATTATTTTCGAAAAGCGTCTTTTCGACAAGAACTTGAGAAAATTCCAGACGCCTTCTACTACTGCTTCGTCTCCCTAACCACTATCGGACTCGGAGATTTCGAGCCGGGTGACGATGCGGATCAGTCGTTCCGCGGCGTTTACAAGATTGCGGCTACCGTATATCTCATGGGCGGTCTGTGCTGTATGATGCTCTTCTTGGCCACACTCTACGACGTTCCGCAATTCGATTTGACCGCGTTTTTCGTGAAGAACGACGAAGAAATGCGGATTAATGAGGTAAATTTGAGAAAAAAACGATTGTTTTCAATTTTGTGCCAACCAATTTCTTTTAGGAAGACGGAAAATACGGAACTTTGGACGCGAACGTCGTCGAAAATGGCTACTACACCCAATAACGGAAAGAGCAATTAGAAGAGAAAACAACGCTAATATTGATTTGCAAAATACCAAAATACTTATAATTCAACAGATATTGTGATGATCTCATTAATAAAAATTTGGCATATTCAAAACTACGAAATTCTACCGAAAAAAAATGAATTTTATGGCTTCCCGCGGCCGTCGTCAGGTGTGATGCCGGGTACGCAGTCTTGCGTGTGCGGTGTTTGCACACAAACCGAGATATGAATTCAATTTCCGTCTTCTTTGGATTTTTTCTGCAAAAATGCAGTTTTCAAGCAGTTTTTTTCAGATAAAATGCAAAAATCGATATTCTCCACGTCACCGCCGTCATGCTATCGACCACTTTGATCGATTACAGCGCCAAAATCGCCTCGGAAAAGAAAAACAAAGGTAAGAACGCGTTTTTAGTTGAAAAAGTGTTGAACATCTAGCGTTTGCAGAGTAAAAACGTAATGGAGACAAGGAAAAGTTGGAAATGCATGAAAAGAATGTGATTCTACCAAAAATCGGACAAGGAAAACGCAAAATAAGACAACAGATAGTTCGTCACGAAACAAGAGGATTCCGGAGCTCCCAATGATTCAAAGGACAGGACGTGCCGACCGATTAAGAAGCTAAAGATCATCGAGAAGCGAAAAAAGCGAAAATTCCGAAACGAGCAATTTCCGGAAGATTCGGTGCCAATTTCACGATAAATTCATTGATCTCTTTTATCTCTTGAGTTTATTTCTCTCAATTCATTAAAGGATTCACAATTTACAGCCGTTTTTCTATATAAAAACTTTTTGAGTAGTTTCAATACTTGGTCAACTCAAAATGAGGTTAATTTGCACTGAATTTTTTGCAGCCATTCTCCAAGTGTCAAACATGACGGAAAATGCGCAAAAGTAAGTTTTCTTGCTTAAAAAAATTGCAAAAATCGTTTTTTAGTCTTCCACGAAACAAAAACGGTTTCCTCTATCAGCACACCAAATTGCTGCCGTATTCCGAAAAATCGGGGGCCGTTTTCAAACTGACCGGCCAGAAATTCGACATGAATCCGTTCAATTTCACCGCGGAAGAGGAGGAGAAAATTCGCAAAAATTGGGCGAAATTTCAAAAAGAATTCAAAATTCCCGCCGATTGGCACATTTGCGATGTGATCGGATATCCCGAGAGTTTAAAGAATGAGAAAAACATTGAGAAGGTAACTTAATATGGTTTCCTTTAAAAATGATTTTTTTTAAATACAGAAAATCTTTTCAGAAACCCGACCTTCCGAATCAAAAACAAATCCGAAAGTATCTGTGGCCACTGCTGTGCGACGGAATGCCCAATCGGATGGCCGCCACGGTGCGTAGAATTATTTGGCGAATTCACAATTTCATTCCGGATCCTGAGTACGCGTTTCTCTTTAAGCGTTTGTGGAAAGAAAAGGAGAAAATTTTTTACAGAAAAAGCGTGCGCAACCTGAACGGCTTCCTCTACCAGCATTCGATGGTGGGAAAAGGCGGGCAGCAGAATATCAAAATTAGAAGAGTGGGCGTGAAATTGGATTCGGACATTCGAACGTTCACCGAGGAAGAGGACGAAAAAATCCGAGAGAATTGGAAGAAGTGCACGCAAAAATTGGAAATTCCCGATGACGTCAGCATTTTCGACGTGGTCAAATCGAATTTGCTGGGCGAAGATCCGAATGAGGTACCAGAGATGGGCGGCACGTTTCTGAGTCCGCCACAGCGCCTAGCTATCCCGCGGACCGTCGGCTGCTTGATGGGCGCCAGTGCTGCCCCAAATCGGAACTTCCCGAATCAGAACTGGTACGAATCAGAACTATTTTCAGTGCTACTTGGTTCTGATTCGTACCAGTTCTGATTCGGGAAGTTCCGATTCGGGGCAGCACCTGGGCGCCGCGGCCGCTGATTCATCTTACCATTCTTTCTTTATGAACATGTTCTTCATGACCAGCACTTGCAAAGAGCCACAAAATCTGCAATTTTCGAGTGGCGATTGATTGGGCGTGAGAATCGAATTCATTCTACACTATTTTATGTAGAAAATGTTGGCAAAAGGATTCTCATTGTCACATGCGCGCCGAGTCGGTCAACGTATGTTGTCGGAGACTTCAGATGCGTGCCGCCGGAGAACGCACGATTCATTTTGGCCGAATTTTGATCATCATATAACAATGAGAAACCCCTTGCCAAAATTTTCATCATAAAATAATGTAGAATGAATTCGATTCTCACTTGCTCAAAAAGAAGGAAAGGGAAGATGAATCAGCGGCCGCGGCGCCCACCAAGCAGCCGAAAGTTCGCGGAAACGTGTTCGTTCTGCAAAAACTATTGATTTTTGCAGCATTTGCCGATTCCGAATTGGGTGGAAAAGAAAAAGTACCTGTGGCCGACGTTGTGCGACGGAATGCCGAATCGGATGGCGGCCACGGTGCGCGAGCGGATTCGCTGCATTTTCGATCCGAATTTCGAGGGATTCGACGAGAAAATCGAGGACATTTGCACAAATTTCGAGGAGGACGACGACCGGAGAATACGGAAAAATTGGAAGAAATTCCGAAAATCCCACGAAATTCGCGACGATTTGCATCCGTTCGCATTGATCTCACTCAACAATTCCGATCCGCACTTCTATGAGTCTTATTTTGAAAAGGTTTTGATGTTTTCTGGAATCTGTCTGGAATTTCTCACATTTTCCAGAACTCGCCAATCGAGAATTTCGATGAGATTCGCTCGAGTTTCCTGCCGGAAATGCGCAACAAACTGGTGAATCGGAGCGAAAAAGCGGTCGAAAGCCGCATTGCGAAATGCTTGAATTTGCGATTTTTCGACAAAAACTATCGGGCGGACGAGGAGGAGAAGAAGTGATTTTTTGAAATTTTTCTGAAATTTGTTTGTCTTTTTAGGTTGCCACGCGACAAATACGGACAATTGCGACAGCATTCGAAAAGAAGCCAAGTTTTGCCGTACGGCGACAAGGATTGCTGGAATTTCAGCCGCGAAGAGGACGAGCGAATAAAACAGAATTGGCGCCGAATCTGCGAGATTTTCGCCATCGATCGACCCATTTTCGACTTTGTCTCCACGGAGGTTCGTGCGTTTTTTTTTGTTGTTGGCGAGGATGCAATGCTGTAGATCAAAACAGAGGGTTTTTGCAGAAACACAGTGACGCGTCGCTTCCGCATCCATTTGCCGAGCGTCTTGGCTTCTTTTTGTGCGACGGACTGCTCGAGCGCAATTTTCAGACAATTTCCAAACGTGTTCCGTACATTTTCGATCCGTTCTACAAAGAAAATGATGGTTATAACACGGTAGAGCTCACAGAGTTTGTTTCTTTCTCATTTACTTCAATGTTACCACCTCAAAAGTCTACTGTCACTCTGGGTGGCTCCTAATTACCGACAAATGTTTGATGACGTGTAAATCCAGAAGGAGAAGTCCGAAAGATTACAATTAACAGCCACTTAAAGTTGCTAGACTCGCCAACGTTTCTTCAGCCGTCTTCGGCTCCTTTGCCCATTTCTTAGACCCCAGAAACGTTAGATTATATCATAAACGATGACATGGTTGTTTGGCTTGGTGTCACGGTACAATCTAACGTTTCTAAAGTCTAAAGCCAATCTAGGACAATACCGGACAAGCACCTAAAAATCAATGTATGTACCGAAAGAAGCGCAAAGGTACGGTAGATGGCATGACTTATACAATCTAAAACTTGCAACAAAACCAGATTAGCATCGCAAAGAAATGCTTCTCACTCTATTTTATCATGTGAAATTGCAGAACGCTCGAAAACCTTCATCACCGTGGAATCCACTCGAGTCCGGAAGAAATGCGAAAAGTGTCGGAAAATCTGAAAATTCCCCTCCAATACGTGCTTCACTACGACCGGAAACAGAAATGGAGAATCAGACACCAAAGGTTCAACTTTCCGAATGATTTCCGTTTTGGCGTCCTCAAGTGTATGATTGAATCGGTGAACGAAAAGACCGCAGGAATGACCATGTCCAGTTTCGACGAGGACGTTTTCAAGAAAAAGTACTCTTTTTTTTAAAATGACTTTTGAATAAGTGTCGATGTTTTCACATGGACGCGGAATCGTAGGAAAGAGCGAAACGTCTTTTGAAGCATATTTTTTCAACTGCATTCATTTGGTAAACGGTCAAAATTCTCTATAATCTCTCGCCTCTGCGTCTCTGCCCTCTCACACGCTACTCGCCTTTCTCTCGCTCGCCCAGACCTGGTCAAAATGAACGCAGTTGCACGACGAAGCGTCCTTTTTCTGAGACTTTCCGCTCTTTGCCTCCATCTAACTAATTTCCGGTCCGTTTCAGACTCGTCGAATATTCGGTGGATCCGGTATCGCTCGCAGGTGCGGTCCGACTCTACCACAACATTTACGATTCGAAAAAAACGTTTCTGAGCCATGTGCCGGCCAATTTTCAACAAAAACTAATGTTCATTTACGAGGGACTCGCCAGATACACGTATAACGTCAGCAAGACTGCACTGAAAAACAGGAAAAAACAGGTTCGTTTTTTTAAAATGAATTTTGTCATATTCTGAAATCGAGACATTTTTTTCATTTAACAATGAAATCTGGTTTTTTGCAGAGACCCATGCTCCGCGGAACCACTCTCTTCTCGGTGATTCTGGAGCATTTTCGAAAAGAGAATAAAGATTGGCAACCGCCGGAACCGCTTCGATTCTACATGAATATTGTGGATGTGCCGGGCATTATGAGCGGAATTTCGCACGTGGAAGAGCACCGAAAACGGAGAAGCACGGAGTCGCCGCGAATTACGGTAGTTGCGAAACGGGTCAAATTGGAGGAATTGGAGGAGGAGGAGGAGGAAGACCGGGCCATCCGAATGATCGACGACAATCGGTTGGAGGTGAGAATTCGATTTAAAAAATGTTTCGTACTGCAGAAATATGCCTTGACGTTGGTCCGTATCAACCGCAAGAGGGCAGGTTTTTACAATTTTTTCTCGATTTTATCTGAAGCAAGTTTTCAAGATTCACACGGTCACATAGCTTAAAAAAATCGGGGAAAAATGTAAAAATCTGTGCTTTTGGGCTAGATACGGAACAACGTCAAGGCACATTTCTGAAGTGTCAAATTCGGAAAAGTCATCAGAAAAATTGCAGATCTCATCGATTGACGCGGCGAATCGGACGGCGAAAGACGAGTTGACGGAAGAGCAGGAGCTGACGAATCTGGAGATTTCGTCGCTGGACTCGTCCGCGCACGCATCCGCCGATCCGCTGCTCATCCGTCCGGACGAGACGATTCTCGCGGGCGGAGGCCGCGATTTTATAATGTACGATCCGGACATGCCGACGGAAGAACGGAAATTGCAGAGGAACGAACTGCTGACGACGAGTTTCCAGCCGGATGACACTCTCGATTTATGGGCACAACTTACACAATGATTTTCGATTTTTGTCGATCTCAGGCAAATCGTTTCCAATCTAACTAGCTAATTCTCGTTTCTAACCGGACCTAGTTGTATTGCTACCGATTTCTAAATCTAGCTAGCTGATTTTGCAATCTAAACATAATCTAGCTAGGTTTGCCCGAAATTTTAATCTAATTAGATAAATTTTGAATCTAATATCAGTGTTTTGCAATCTTGGTTGATCCGAGTGTGCTCACTTCATAGATCAAACATTTGCAATCACTAATTTCACATCACACTCCGCCTGATCGCTCCAAAACTCATCACACATTTCCACTGATAACACTGTCTGGCACTATAAAATGTACCCCCCGAGCACATGAAGATATTGTGCATTTATTCCCCCCTCTCATCATGCTCTTCCATCTATTTTTGGGCCTTTTGGCCTTCGGATCCGCTTTTTCTGCGCATTTTTCGATTCCGACCCGAAGTACCGGGTCCCTGATGGCCAAAATGATTCGGGACGGAAGTTGGCCTGAATTTTTGGCCCGGCAGCACGACGCTCGAATTCATTTGGAGTCCAACTCGTCCAGTCAGCCGCTTATTGACTACTCTGACGATTTCTACCTCGGAAACATCACTCTTGGCACGCCAGGTACGCTTGGCTGAAAAGTACTCGAAAAATGAGTCGGAAAATGTGCTTTACTGCAAAATTTGTAGCGCTTCTGCGTTTTGTCGTAAGATCCGGTGCATCCGGTGGTGTTTGCGGAGCTTATGACACAACGCATGGAGATTCCGAATAAGCGCATCATTTTCAGCGCAAAACTTCACCGTAGTCATGGATACGGGATCCTCGAACCTCTGGGTGATCGACTCCGCGTGCACCTCGAAAGCCTGCAACGGAAACAAGAACTATTCGAAGCGAAAGTTCGACGCGAAGGCCTCGTCGACGTATTCCACCGAATCCACAAAGTTTTCAATCTCCTACGGCTCGGGCTCGTGCTCCGGACACCTCGGAAAGGACACGTTGAGCATGGGCGGTCTGACGATCCAAGTGCAAGAATTCGGGCTCGCCGAGTCGGTGGCGTCCGTGTTTTCCGAGCAGCCGATCGACGGAATTCTGGGGTTGGGGTGGCCCGAACTGGCGGTCGACAAGGTCGTCCCACCGATGCAAAACCTCCTGCCACAACTGGATTTGCCACTTTTCACCGTTTATTTGGACCGTCACCTACATGGAATCGAGGGCGGAAACGGCGGGTTGATCACCTACGGCGCACTGGATACGGTCAATTGTGCCGCGCAAGTCAACTACGTCCCGCTGACGTCGAAAACGTATTGGGAGTTCGAGCTGACCGCGTTCTCCGTCGGCTTGTTCATGACGACCGGAAAGGCGAAGGTAACCAAGTCTAGAGAGCGTTTGAGCAAGATTCTCCGGGCGGGGGACGTCAAATTCCATCCTTCAACGCTATTTCCCAAATGAATTTCTATGCGGATTCGTTTTTCAGGCCATCTCCGACACGGGAACCTCGTTCATCGGAGCGCCGTACAAAGCGGTCTCGGAAGTGGTGGTTGCCACCGGCGCCGTCTACGATTGGCTGAACGAAGTGTACACGGTGGATTGCTCGAAAATGGAGACCGCCTCGACGCTCGTCTTCAACATCGGAGGCGTCGGATATCTGGTCAACTCGACCGAGTACATTCTCGACCTCGGCCTCGGCTACAATCGGTGCGCCGTCGCGTTTTTCGGAATGACCTCCACCGGATTCGGTCCCTCGTGGATACTCGGCGATCCGTTCATTCGCCAACTGTGCAACGTCTATGATATTGGAAATGAGCGAATCGGATTCGCGCAGGCGTTTCATAGTTTCTAAATGTTCTGAACAGTGTACAAGTGAATGAAAGAAACGTGGCATCATGAAAACTTGCACAATATTGTCAATGTCCACACTTTCCGTTCAGTGCACCCGTCGTCTGCACGGCGATTACGATTATTCAAATGTTGAACATTTGAATTCGAAAATAAAGTTTACGGGTTATAAACTGGCTATTCCTCCACACTTTTCGGCCGATCATTTTTGCTTATTTCGACAAATGAAGCAGAAATCATTCGAGCTTCTATGCGCTTTTATGCTCGGATTTGGCCAACTTTGTGTCATGGTCGGATTTGATGCGGAATCCTTTATTTTGGAATCTGTAATCCATTCGATTCACGAACGGGAGCCGGGAATTATCAGTCCGTATGCTGGCTATTATGGGTTTGTTTGTTCGTTCGTTCGTTTCTCACTTTCTTTTTCAGCCAAGCCGTCATCTACGCCGCCTACATGACCACATGCCTGTTCGCGCCGTCAATTTTGAACATAAGCACTTCGAAAACGGTTTTGGTGATTGCGGCCGTCTGTTTTACCGGGTTTCCGCTCGGATTCCTCTTCACCAACTCGTATTACTACTTTTTCTCGGCCGCATTGCTCGGAGTTGGCACGGCGTGTGAGTTTTTCGGCGGGAAATCCACGGGAAAGGGGCGTGGGGCCTAGCGCGTGCACGATTTATCACCATTTTGGCGCGAAATTCGAAATTTAACCTCATTTTTCACATTTTACGTCAAAAATTACAGAAATTTTGTACGGGTTTCAACGATGCGATTGCATAACCTTGTTAAACTAATCATCGCGCGCACTTTTTGAGTTTAATCATTCAGAGAATGGCTCAATTGAATCGATTTTCAAGTTTTGTGCTGAAAATGCGCGAATTTCAGTCATTCGCCGATACTTTTTGCCGTTTGAACGCTTAAAATACTTGTATTATCGTGCTTCGTCTCAAAACAGATCCAGATCGGCCAGTATGAAAATTCCGAAATGGCGGCGGCGATTGGCCGCGGAGGGCGTATTGCGAAATGTGCGAAAAACGTCTCAAACGCGGCGTTTTCACGAAAATTTCAATGTTTTCTCTCTTTAATGTCTCTTCTCTCGTCGATATCAAACACAAAAATGGCGGAAAAGTGCTGAAATTGCGGCAATTTTCAGAAAACGCGTCTCAGATTAAGCCACGCCCCTTTCCACACTTTTGGTCGCCGTGAAATCTGAAATTTGGAATTTTTTTTTTGCAGTTTTCTACTTGGGTCAAGGCAGCTATTTGACTTCTCATTCTACCCGACAAACTATCGAGTCGAACGTCTCATTGTCGTGGTCGGTTGGATGTTGTTGGTGAGTGTGCACGTGGCCTAGAATCCGACACGTGTGACACTTTTTTTCCCCAGCATGATCATCGGATCGGCCATTTTGGCAGGAATTACATCGTTGAGCGCAACTTCTTCGCAACCCACTTTTCCTGCACAAAATTCCACATCGGACCATCAACAGGAACGACGTTTCAGCGATATGGAAATGTGCGTTTTTCGAGAGAAAAAAAATGGACAATCAAATGAAACTCGTTTCCAGAAAACTAATATTCGGAGCGTTTTCGGCAATTTCCGCCGTCGCCATTGTCACTTTTGCCCTGTTGCCCGCAAAAGACGTCGATAGTTGCATTGAGAGCTCCGAGAAACGTGGCACTTTTTGGACGGCTTTCAGTTAGCGCCCCCCGTCGCCCACTTCTTTCCAGAACTTTCCTATTCAGAGCTGACATGCTCTACAGTAGTCTCTCCGAAAATGCTCCAACTGTTGCCGTTGACCGTGCTCGGCGGTTTCAACGTGTCCTTCTGGCTGGCCATTTTTCCGACTGCCATGAATTTCACGAAACACAATTCTCACATGATCTACATTCCCGCCGTGTATTCTCTGGGCGCCGGACTCGGAGAAGTTATCAGTGAGTCGATAATAGACATCTGCACACAAGTAGTTGTCTCCAGAAGCGTGTCTTAAAGGTGGTGTCCAACGTGACATACAACATATTTTTAAAATAAACTTCGAAGTGGGGCATTCACTTTCCCGAAGTCCCGAATTACAAAAAAAATTCCCCGATTTTTAAGATTTTTTTCAAAAAAGTTAATGGTACCGAGAGAAGTACACGGCGAAATGGAAGAGCTGGCCTAGATTTTTCTAGTCCCCGGATGGAATTCCCCTTTTTTTCGATTTTTTTCTGTTTTCGTGCAATTTTCTTAAATTTTCAATCGTTTTTTCACTGAGCACACATATTTGCAATATTTAAAAAAATTTATGATTTTTTTCTGTGCCGTGACGCCAAAAAAATCGATAATCGGAAACTTTCAAAAATTCAGCAAAAATTCAGAAATTCAGCCACTTTTTTTGTAAAAACTCTATTTATTTTTTTCAGCGCGCAAACCGAAGATTGAGCGAAAAAAACCCGGAAAAAAACAACAAAAAAAGTTTCAGATTATCGATTTTTTTGGCGTCACGGCACAGATAAAATTATAAATTTTTTTAAAAATATTGCAAATAAGTGTGTTCAGTGGAAAAACGATTGAAAATTTAAGAAAATTGCATGAAAACGGAAAAAATTCGGAAGAAAAGGGAATTCCATCCGGGGACTTGAAAAATCTAGGCCGGCTCTTCCATTTCGCCGTGTACTTTTCTCGGTACCATTAACTTTTTTGAAAAAAATCTTAAAAATCGGGGAATTTTTTTCGTAATTCGGGACTTTGGGAAAGTGAATGCCCCACTTCGAAGTTTATTTTAAAAATATGTTGTATGTCACGTTGGACACCACCTTTAAAACGGTTTAGACTCGACAATACATGTGTCAGCCAACGTGTCGCGTTTTCAGTGGGAATAGTGATATCGTCGTTGAGCAAACGCATCAAAGGATTCGGTCTGAAGCCGACGATGCTCATCGGAGCGTTTTCCACAATTTCGTACTGTGCTCTCGTCCACGTTTCCACTCCGTTCGAAGCGCCGATGCGGCCGACCAGTCAGCAACCGATGCTCGTCTATCAGTCGTGGGTTTTTCTGTAAAGATCTGCTGAAACGTGCTCAATTTCCCCCTCAAAATATGGACCCACCCATTCTAGGATTTGTCGTAAGATCTGATGCATCATTTCCAGGTACCCACTCATCTTCGTGATTGCGTTCATTTGCGGCATCAGTGATTGCTGCATAAATGGAGTCCGATCTGTGATTTGTGCACTTGTGCAGCCGGCTCGACGAGCTCAATCGTTTTCGGTGGCACGAATGTATCATGCGGCCGCCTGTGTCATTTGTTTCTTCTTCAGGTATACTGTTTTAAGTCAAATCTCTGCTGCTTCTGAACGTGCGTGTTTGCAGTCCGTTCACCCCTTTGTACGTCTACACAATCGGCCTCTCCATCCTGTCCGCCGTAGCCACTATCATCTTTTTCCGAGTGGCGGACAACACAAAAGTCATGGAACGGAAACTGACACAAATCAGTATGGAGAAGAAGAGAATCGAGGAGTTGGAGAGGGAGTTTCATTGATATCTGGGTTCTATTCATAAATTTATCTGTAAAAATTCATAATAAACTGAATATATGTAACTCGTTTGTTTCGATTCTCTCTCGAATTGATATCATCGATTTCAAGGCCATCAACCTCTCCACACTCGGTTTTCTTATCATTTGCCAGACAATCAACGAAACTTTTCTCGCTTATCAGTCTACTTTTCGTCTCAAACCCATTTTTTTCTCAGAACATGCCCGAAAAAGAGCTGGAACTACTGTTGAACCCGCCTCAAGAGGTATTCAACCAGCTCATCGACAAGGTATGGCGTGGACGGGAATTCGAAGTAATGTTTTCAAGTTAAAAAGTTCACCTCAACTTTCAGTCGGCTGCCTCAGACGGATGGGCTCATCAACCGTACGACTATCAGTTTTGGCGTCAAAATTTCGCGGGCTTCTGGTTTTTCGCTATTGTCGAGAAAGGTTTTAGGGAAAAACGGCTGGGGTCGTGGACCGTAAAGATCAGTGCCAGTTTGCAATAAACTTGCGTGTCCTATTACAAACATGAAAGTTTAGACTAATCGCGAAACAGACGAAATTAATAGATGACGAGCTTTTTCTTGAATTTTCCCTTCCACATCTCTAATTTCTCTATCGATTTTTTCCGTTTTGCGATTGTTTTTGTGCTCCGTACTTGATGATAAACCGTGGTCAAGTTTTCAAGTTTATATAGTTACGATAACTTGCAGACACTCAAAATCTGGTCGTCGGAGCGTGTCTGGCGCGTTGGGACCAGAAAAATGGAGGCCGACCACTTTTCTCGATCGGATTATACTATTGTGTGGAAGAGTATCGAGGAGACGGACATGGCTCCACGATTTTCAAAGCGGTTATGGATATTATCGGAGATTCGGACGCGTGTCTGACCGGATGTCAGTATGACTATTGTAGTAGCTTCCAAAAACAACTTTTTTTCCCCGGTTCAGCCGTCGATATGGTCGAAAAATATGCAAAGAGTTACGGTTTCGACAAAATGCAACCCTACTGGTACTATCATAGCACTATTCGGATGAGCGATTTGAGAATCCCGACCGAAATTGCGAATGACGTCATCACCAAAGTTTGTGAACAAAAATGCTCTCGAAAACTGATATTATCGGTTTCAGAATTGGAGAGAAGTGGATGAGAATGCACTGGAAGCGTACGATTTGACCATTTGTCCGCGTGACCGAAAGACAATCATGAGATCTTGGTTTGAGATGGATCAAGTTTATACTCGGGTGAGAAATTTTGAATTTTTCAGCCAAATTCAGTGTGAAAACGTTATTTCAACATTCAAATAGCCTAAAATCAGCTTTGTCGTGAAATTTGGTGCATCCGCGGTGTTTGCGGACCGGGCACCATATCTTACGACACTTTGTGTTTTTGGGCTCGAATTTTTTGTAGATTCTCAATATTCAGGTGGCTTTCGACGAAAAAGGAACAATAGTTGGCTACGGAACAATTCGAGTTGTGAACCTGAACCGCCTGTGTGCCTGCCCATTCTACGCGGAAAATCTGATGGTTGCGGAACGACTATTATCGGATATTCTCTCGGAAATTCCAAACGTCACCTCCTACGAAAATCTATTCTTCTGGCATCCGGAAATCAATGAAAACGCGACAAAGTACGCGTTTTGTCTGATGAACAATTTTTTCACGAACGAACCTTTTTCAGACTATTCAAACAATTTTCAAAGGACGGAAGATTCACAATGGAAAAAGATTTCAAGACGCAGTTCCGGAACACGTTGATTATTGTGACTCCCGATGAAAAAGTGTACTCGGTGGCCGATAGTACTCATCAATTTGTTTAATTTTCCACGATTACCATCACAATTTCCTAGTTTTCATGTTAAGAATCGTAATCTACGCCTCTAGATTACCCTATAAACCCGTTTTCCCGGTCAATTCCGCGAGATGACGTAAGATCTGGTGCCTAGTCCGCAAACACCACATCTTACGACAAATCGCAGAACCGGCTGGAAAAACGGGGTTTTTGACTAGTTTTTAAATGAGGATTCCAATTTTCACAAGGTGATGAAACGGTCTGCCGGGCAAATGATCAAAATCACATTTTTGCACCTAGCCCCTTTCAGATTATGCAAATGTTGGGCCGATTTGACGATTTTTGGTTTAAAAAGGCGAAACGAATTTCGGGAAAATGAGTTCAAACTGTTGAAACTTCCACATTCTTGACACATTTTTCCGAAAAAAAAATGACCACCCGAAAATATGAGCTCGTGAGTGCCGCCATGTTGGGCTTCGGACACCTTTGTGTGATGGTCGGATACGATTCGGAGGTTTGTAGATCATCTTTTTTTTTGTTGCGAATCCGAACAAAATTTTCAGTCGTTTGTCCTCGAATCGGTCATTCATTCGATTCACGAGCGCACTCCGGAGGTTATCAGCAAATACGCCGGATATTATGGGTTAGTCTTTTTGTTTGGGTAAAATTTTATTTAAAATTTCGAATTCTACACTGAAATTGAGCCAGTTGGCAATTTTTTTGAGCCTAAAACAGTGTGTCTCGTAAGATGTGGTGCCAGGTCCGTAAACATCAGATCTCGCGACAAAATGCAGAAAAAGCTAGTTTACCGTGGTTTTTGCTGAATTTTTCAGTTTTCAAGTCTAATTTCGCATAAATTAACGATTTTTTCAGGCAAGCAGTCATGTACATACTTTACATCATCGGATGTCTCTTTTCTCCGTCAATTTTGAACGAAGTCGGCTCGAAAGCAATATTGATATGTTCGGCAGTCTGTTTTGCCGCTTTTCCATTGGGATTCTTCTTCACCAATTCCTATTATTACTATTTTTCGCAATTATTGTTAGGATTCGGGTACGCGCGTAAGTTTTTCGACGCAGATTTTTGAAAAAGTGAATTCACCGCTGAAAACTAGGTTGAAAAGCCGAGGTGTCGTAATTTTTGGTGCCTGGTCCGCAAACACCGCGCAAATGCACCAGATCTTACGACAATTTCCGGAAAAGAGCCGGTTTTTCATTATTTCCACATCATTCTCAACGAAAATTCCCTTTTTTTCAGTGTATTATCAAGGTCACGGCGGTTACCTGACCTCGCATTCGACGCGTAAAACCATAGAGTCGAATGTCTCCGTCGCGTGGTCTGTCGGTTGCTGTTGGTGAGTTTTCGAGGCGACGCCGCTCTTCTTAAAATGCCTCTTTTCAGCCTACTTCTGGGCTCTGGTATTTTGGCCGCAATCACGAGTTTGACCGCGGCCAGGGAACCGAATTTCGCCCACAATTCCACGGAAATTGGCCAATTCGAACGGCGATTCAGTGATATGGAAATGTGAGAAAGGAAACGTTGGCGCGTGAGCCGATTTGAGCAAAATTTTCAGACGCCTACTATTTGGAGCGTTTTTCGGAGCCGCCGTGATGGGAATTCTCAATTTCTCACTGATTCCCGGCAATGACGTCACAAATTGCATACAGGGCACCGAAAAACAGGGCACTTTTCTCGGCACTTTTAGTAAGTAATTCGGCATGTCGATATTGTGTACGCCCAAAAAATGCGGTTTTCAGAACTAACGTGTTCGGCGTTGATTTCCACAAAAATGCTCCAACTTTTTCCGCTCTTCTCGGTGCTCGGAGTCAGCTCCTCGTTCTGGCTATCGATTTTTCCGACCGCTCTGAATTTCACGATTCACAATTCGAAGATGATCTATTTGCCGGCGATTTACAGCCTTGGCATCGGGATTGGCGAAGTGTTTAGTGCGTTTTTGAAAGTGTACACAAAGTCTGACGTCCTCAAACACTATTTTTGTTTGCAGTGGCCATAATCATCACTCAATTGACTCGCCGAGTCAAGGATTTCAGTCTACAACCGACTATGACCATCGGCACCATTTTCACAATTCTCAGTTTTTTGTTAGTACACCTGTCGACGCCTCAAGAGTCGCCAATGCGACCGACTCTCGAAGAACCCATTCTCTTTTATCATTCGTACGTTTTTGTGTGGAAAATTGTGATCTTCGCGCCGAAATTACCCATTCACAACACATTTTGCAGGTACCCGTTCATCTTCTTCCTCGGTTTGCTCATCGGAATCGGTGATTGCTGCCTGAACAGTAGTCGTTCGGTGATTTGTGCGTTGGCGATGCCAGACCGACGAGCTCAGGCGTTTTCCATTTCGAAACTCTATCAGGTACGGGTAAAAACAAGCGAAGCGTAATGCTGCAATATTTTCAGGCCCTCGGCTCGTGCATTCTCTTCTTTTTGAGCCCCATAATCCCACTGTACGTGTACACAATCGGAATATCCATTCACTGTTTCATCGCCTGCGTCTTCTACTTTTCCGTCGCCAAACGAACGCAGAGAATGGAGAGGAAACTGACGAACGCGACGAGATTGGCACACGAGATTGAGCAGAAATAAATGTTATTTTTTCTGGATTACATGAAGTGTGTCTTATTGCATCTTGTGAGAATTGAACACAAAGCTACAGGTTGCTCGCCATTCTTCTCTTCATCATTTCCGAATGAATACGAGCGGGAAGTTGGGAGAACTTGAAGTGCTCGGTGACTTCCTTGAACGCACTCTCGTCTGACATCGACTTCAAACAAGATTCCTGAATCGGAAAACTATTTGGAGCTGATTGGGAGTTGTGGAAATACCAATAATAATGGAAGATCGTACTTTCCCGCGTATTGCAACTTGTCAATCAGAGACATTTCATGTGTGAGAACCAAGTACTCCTCACATTTATCCATCACTTTTGGGACATTGTATTGTTGTGCCATCTCAAGCAGATTTTCCACATTCCCATCTGACAATTACATTCTTGTAGTAATAAATGATACAATTCGAACTCACTGGCAACTGGTCTGGTCGGATGGTAGATGTGAGTCAGCAGTTTCTCGAATTGCAACGGACGAACATTGAATAGTTCGATCTTCGGTACATCTCTAGAATATAGACCATAAAACTGTTTCATAAAATGTGGAGATGCATCGGCGAGTTTCTGAATGAAGAATGATTGAAGATTGAACAGAATTGATTGAAACTAGGCCCACTTGTTTACTCGCATAATACGTGTAATCCTCCACTTCGATCTCCACATCAGTCAAATCAGTTTTCTCTTCGAAATCAGTGCGGAACAGATAGTCACTGACTTCTCTTACTCGTGTACAATACTCCTGAGCAACAGTTTTTAATCAGATACTGCAGCAAAGTTAATGCTTACCTTCGGCACAAATTTCCATTCCAGTACTGCCAGCCTCATTCCGTCACTCAATTCCGTGTACTTTGGAGTTGCAATAACTGATTGCAACAACGCCTCATCTTTTAGTTTATGCAGAAACACTTTCTTCAGTTCTGGCAGCGGGTACGTATCCACCAAGTGCAACATTTTCATCGTATCCTTGAATTCCATCTTCTTCACAATGACATCGCACCGCTCGAAACACTCGGGAGCCTTGAAGTGTTCGATGAGTTTGAGTACTCTTTCAATGTTCTCCTCTGAAAATGATCAACAGTCGGTAATAAGTATTCTTCCAATGTTCACCTGAAATGTCCGTGTCATAATTATAGACGAGTTCCAGAAATCGAACAAAATCTTCGAGTTTGGCATCTCGTATTTCATGATGAGCTCTTGAAGATGACGCGAACATTTGTGCAAAAACAGCCGATTGGTGAGAAAGAATCTGAAAGCAATCACTTTAGCAAAATAATCAGGAATGAGTAATAGCATACCTTTTTGGATACGTGCAACTGCTTTCCCTCAATCACGAGTACAACATCCGTCATTTTCCGCATTCGGCTATCAATTCCTTTTCCTGTTCTCTCATCAATTCCCAGAATACGATTAATTTGAACGTATGCTTCCAGAACGAATTTTCCATTTTTCACATATCCGTTCACGGGATCGATTAGTTTATTCCATTCGATGAATTTGGGAAATCCCCGGTTTGGCGACGACTTGTTGAACCAAGAAACATCAATGCTTCTCGAGTATTGTATTCCCGTCGAGCTGGCAATTCGGAAATCGGCTTTAGCTTCACACATCCACCAGTCACTCTTGTCGTCCGAGTTTATGTACAAGAACACTTCCATATAAGTAACGCCATAATAGTCATACTTTCTATAGGATAGTTTGCTGAAAATAAAAATCTGTATAGAACACGGGAAACTGGAAAATAATACCATGGCAGTCCATTGATTGTGACTGAATCGGTGAGTTGGTCATCGTTTGTAACTTGATTAATATTCACGGTGAATTCCATTTTCTCACCGTAATTCGAACCGTTCTGCAATCATTTTAATGTGAAAGTAGGGATGATTCTTTGTAAATCTTACATCGTCGCTTTCATTTTTGAGAATAATCATTTTATCTTGAGTATTCGGTCTCTCCTTCTCAAAATCAAGAGTCCGTCTCGGAATTCCGTCCTCTGATTGCAGTTCAACAGTACATTCCACCAGAATCTTTCCGTCTTTCGAATACTTTTCGATCTCATTCCATTTCAGAAACTTGTGATATCCCAAAGATTTGTCCTCTTTGGTGAATTGACTTGCACTACTCCTGACAGCACTGTGACTCTTGTGATCATTCAAATTTATCAAACGAAATGAATCAGATACGTGTACTGTTTTTCCTTGTTTGATTTCAGAAAGACAAAGGAGATAGACACTCAAATACTTTTGATTGTCAGTTCTCTCTGAGCATTCCGATTTTACTTCAATGCGCCTAAACAACATCAATTTATTCTGAATGACTGTTACAATTTACCATTTACTTGTTCCGATTTGATGCGTATTTCCGTATCGCACACCCCTCAAGCTCTGAATATCGTCGACCTCCAATTGAATAGTCCGTTTGATTGGATAGACGCGAGAGTTGAATTCGGAATTGACGGACATTTCTGAAAAAAGTCATTCGAAAAAAGGGAAATGACAAACTAAGACGGGAAAAAGGGAAATAAACTGACTGCGAGTGCTCCGTTATCAGCTTTTATATAGAGAGAAAAGTGCGTAAACAATTTCCGAGTGAGGAAGAAAATGATGACGGAATTGGAGATGTTTGCCGAACGCTCTTTTAAAGAAGTGATTTCGAAATGAAATCAATTGTTAGAGTTGTGAATTGTGATCCGTCAATCTCGGAAACTTCAGAAATTATGACAATTGTGTAGCAGTTTCTCGAATTCGGCCAAGTTTTTGTTACATAAAAGTCAATGAAAAGAGGAGTTGTGGTAGTGGATAGTCGCGAGCCCGTTCGGTGTGTCGGGTGCAAGTACTAACTAGACTCAACGTTGCTTAACTTGCCAGATCGGACGGGATGGCGTGTATTCGCACAGGTAAACCGCGATGACCGAAGCATGGCCGAATGGTGGCGGAACGAGCGGTATGGCCGAAGAATGGCTAATGCCGCGTCCAATGTCTCGGAAAAACCGTAAAAACCGCAGATTTTTCTGTCCAAAGTCGGCCGAAATTTGCGTGAATGAATGTAGCCGTACCCCTAAAACTACGGTATTTTTTGAAAATCTGTTTATTTCTTGAGGATATTTGAAAATATTCAAATTTCTTGCGCAAATTTTCAAAAAATACCGTAGTTTTAGGGGTACGGTTACATTCATTGAGCTGTGCGCACCCCCGTTTTTCACGCAAATTTCGGCCGACTTTGGACAGAAAAATCTGCGGTTTTTACGGTTTTTCCGAGACATTGGACGCGGCATAACGGATGGCTAATCCTTGAGCAATCAGCGCTCGAAAAGGCGCTACGCCTGAAAGATGGCCGAGCAGTGGGGGAATTCGCCACAGCGCGACTTTTTTTCCGATTATCCTTTACTTTTTCTGTTTGTAAAAATTTCTCCTATTCTTTTTCGAAAAGTTTTACAGAAATGTTGCTTATCCGGAGCTTGTCATATCAGAAAAACAATTTTTAGGCCCAAAAACAAAATTGTTCGAATTTTCTTCAACTTCTTTCCCCATTCGAAAACGTTTGTATTTAAATGTATTGAATGCGAACCGTCTCTTATAATTGATAACGGACAAAGAATTCTGAATTTTTTCGAAAAGCATTCTCCGATTGCATCACATTGTTAACAACTCCTAACTACTCGTTCGTTGTATATGTTCTACACTTTTCCTTTCTATTTTCAAACTATGTTTTACAGATTCTCCAGTTCTTCCTTCAACACCGTCGGCATCTCCGACATCCTCTACATCTCCGACAACTACGAACTTCAACTGACTCTACAGGACAGGCACGGGAAAAAAACGACAAAGTCCGGAAAACAGGGATAATTTATTGTTAAATATTATTTAAATAAACTATTATTTAGCACATACATTGTTTTCTGTGTTACTATCGATCAATTTCAGCAGAAAAGCCAAAAGAGGAGGGAGGGGCCTACATTTTTCGAAAACCACGGATGCGCGAACGATTGACAATCAGTGTTGAGCGGAATTCCGTCTGCCGTCTTCCATCTTCCGTCTTCCGTGGATTTTTTTGTTCCGTATTCCGTCTGCCGTCTTCCGGGAAAAAAGTTTTCTTCCGTCTTCCGTCTGCCGTCTTCCGTGAGAAAAATTTTCTTCCGTTTTCCGTTTTCCGTGTTCCGTAAGAAAAGTTTTCTTCCGTCTGCCGTCTGCCGTCTTCCGGATTTCAAAATTCCATTTCCGCTCAACTCTGTTGACAATCAGTGAACCGCTCCTTCGGCCACGAATTGTCCCGCTTTGAGCAATCGGTATAGCAACTGATTGCTAATCCTTCGGCCATCGCGGTTTACCTGTGTGATGTGGTCGTAAGCGAAACCTTCGGCTCTCTTTGTCGATGACATTTTCGCGAAAAATGTCCCAATGGCCAGTGTGTGTTTGCCGATATTGTCGGGAAAGTAGACACTCGCGGTCCCTCGGACATGTCGGCTGCCCACAAAACATTTGTCGATACGCGCGCTGTTAGTCTCGGTTTAATTACCCAAGTTTGAGGTTCGAACCTGGGAATGACCTAAAGCAATTTAGCGTCAGCTTTTTAATTTTGGAAAGTCTCCTTTAGGGGAGACAAAAGAAATAACACTCAAAGAAATTCGATGTTTAGTCGTATCTTAGTCAAAACGGCCTCTATCAGAAAGAAGTGATTTTGAGAGGAAAACAATTGGGACTGCCGAAAGCCGTTGGTTTTTTCGGATCGGTTTCGGCTCAAGCATCCTCTCTCATCGGCCCTTTCTCCCAGAATGACTCTTCTCCACGCCTTTCGCCGTTATCATTGTTTCTTCGGACACTCTGCCGACTGATAACAAATAAAAAAAAAACTATAAGAAGCGACTGATAACCTAAGAAATCGTTTCATTTCTTTGTCGAAATGAGCACGCACTTCTTTGCTCTTCTATTCCTAACATTTGGACTGCTCAACGCAGATCCATGTATGGATTGTGTGGGCTCTGGAGAGCAGTGAGTTCGTCAATGGTTCCGTAATGCTCACAATGATTCATTCAGATGGTGCGTGGAGTCATCCGAATGTAATAAAACCATCAGCTCGTGCGCGACTCTCATCAAAGTAGTTGCCTGACTTTCAAGCACTCATCAACTAACGTGTCATTCGCTTCAGCTTCCTCTAAATTGTCCATCTCTGCCCGATCCGAAGAACGCGTACGACGACAATTTCATGCGAACGCAGCAAATGGTCATAACGACGGCGACTCAGTGCTCGAATCCGCAGCTTTGTTTCGAGTGAGTTTCACCCCTGAAATTGTGTTAAACGTAGTGCCAATTCGTCACTGATAAGATGATTATGACTTGGTTTGTTTCCAGCAATCAAATACCGACAATGAAATTGTATCAGCGAAGAACGGCCAACTGCTCCACTCATTTTTCCGGTCAGTTCGTTCGAAATTGTTGCCGCCGATTGAGCGCAAAGTTTAGACGTGACATGCGTCGGATACACGGCTTTTGATGTTACGCAGAAAGCAATTGTGATCGCATTCAAAGGGGCGCACGGACGCGATCAGATAGAACTACTTTTAGAGGAAGTGGCGAGATAGTGAGTCGCGCGAGAATGAGGTGGAAACGAGTCTCCTTTTCAGCGGAATGAAATCGTATTTCAACAACAACGCAAAGATATTCATCGTGATTTACGATTGGTTTATGCTTCTCTGGAACGGAGGAATGAGCAAGGATCTGCGAGAACTCAAGTACAAGTATCCCGATTTTGAGCTGTGGGTGAATGGACATTCCCTCGGCGCGGCCCTCACTTGGACCGCCTCTTCGTTTATCGCAACTAGCGGTCTCTACAAACCCGAGCAGATGAAAGTGGTCGCGCTGGGAGCGCCAAGGCTCGGGGACTACAATTTCGCCGTTTGGCACTCTGCTACGGTACGTTCCCTGATGGGGAAACGGGTTTGATCAGTTCAATTACTCTCAGTTTCCCTACTGCTATCACATTGTTCATCGACTCGATTCGGCCACTCGATTTCCGTCCATCGATCCACATTCACTAACAAAATTGTATCATCCGAGAACCGAAGTTTGGTAGGAATTAGTTCTCTCTCTCTCTCTCTCAAATCATGCTTTTTTGCCAGGTACGACAATTACATGAATGTCAGCGATCCGTACACTATTTGTGAAGAGTCCGACGGTGATTACTGCAGCGATGCGGTCACGACAGGCTTGATCGGCATCGATCATCTCTACTACTTCAACATCAATATTCCGGATTGGGGGCGAGATGGTTGCCCGAAGAATAGCAGTGATTACGCTCAATCTTAAACCCTTAAACGAATAAAACATTGACAAATTCATACGTTTTTGAGAAACGAGTGCTTCAAGTGCGTGTAGTCTTTGTGCCATTCTCCTCCGTCTTATGACGGGTTTTACAATCACACATTTCGCTTCACAAGTCACAACTAGACACTCTTTGACACGAAGAGGGCATCCGAAAACGATAGCAAATCATCGGGAAACAACGATTTTATACGATAAAACAGATTTTCGAGATTTCAGTCAGTCGAAAGAGCGCTGCTCCGTCATCACAAAATGAGCAATTCGGGTTGGAGCCTGAACACACCGAATTTCAGAGAGACACGTGAAAAGTGTGTGTGCATACCGTAGGCGTTGGCACTTTGACGCGACGAGTTTTCAGTTGACCGTTAAAGTCTTTGATGTCGTTGTTCATTTCTTCGACACTTCTCTGCAAGTTAAACGCACAAAATCACGGTTTTTGGCACGTTTTTCGAGGAAAACTCACCAATTGCATAGATGTCGCCGGGAAAACGGCGGCCGACATGAATTTCAGACGTTGCAAGTGTCTGGAAGCGACGAAAAGATGGGCGGCCACTTGCTCCGAGCACTTTTCCGCCTCAACTGTGCCGTAGAAGCCGGGCGTCGCGTTCGGATCCTTGGGAACCTTTGGAACTTCGACAACGTCTTCCGAATCCATCGATATTGTCGTTTTCTTCGAGAACGTCTCAATATTGATCTCGTCGCTTCGACGATTGTTGGTGAAGAGATGGCTGGAAACGTTTTTGAGCAAGTTGCCTTCCAACAAGGCTCCCAAACCTATTCTCATTCCCAATTATCGTTTCGTCAAAAGTGACCCGTCTTCTGGCCGTTTTCTGAGACATTGGAGCCAGTTTTTTGGCGCTCAACCGATCAATGTACTTGTTGAAGGCGCAGGAGAACGACTTCGGATCGTACTGCGTCTTCTGAGCTCTCTGCGGCTCAAACTTCCACGGAGCCAGTCGATTTGGGCGCTCGGCGAGCTCTCGCTCCGACTTTATCACGCATTCGCCGGAGTTCTCGTGTGGACCACGAATTACAGTAGTTATGAACGGCATCTTTAAAGTATTTGAGGAAATGAAATTGAAACGTTTTGAAAATGAGTTTGCGTCAGAGAAACAACTGACATTTCCGACGAAGATATTGACGTGGGTTACTGTATAGTGTCGAGGTACAGTAATCCTTTTCCGCGTCTCGTCCTCCGCTTCGAAAATTTTGCTGTTTTTTTAGAAGCCACTCATCTAAAGTTTATTGTGAGAAGGTCACGAACACGACAAGACATTTAAACAATTATGAAGTTTTTTGCAGACAATTTTGCAGGATGAGCCTTCTGAATTCCTGAATTCAAGTAGATTTGGACGTCTTCCGATTCTTTGTTCAAGCAATATTCATCACAACTCTTTTTGTGCTTTTTCAGAATATCCTGAGCAAGTTGATGGATTCTATCTGCAAAAACTTGAGAATCGGCACGAGACCAGGGCCACAAATTCACCTTCATCCTCCAAATTGGTCACATAAAAATCTGCCGAGCATCTCATTGGAAAAACGGTGTTTCGATGAAATTTCCGAAACGTTTCCATACTTTTTGCGAGTTCCGCTTTATCGCATAGTTTTCGGATTGGCAGAGAATTCACTGAAACAAAAAGTGTGTTTGGCTCCGATTTCCGAACAAGCTGTTTCTTGAAAAATCACCATAATTCTCCAGAAGCTCATCCAACGGCCGGTCTATATAAACTTTATAATCCACGTTCATCTCCTCGCCCCCCTGTTTCTCCATCGTCTTCAGCGGAAAAATGTCGATTTTCTGATTTTGAAGCCTTGAGAACTGTTTTGGCAGCTTTTGAGCCAGTTTTTGCTGAAAAAAAGTTCAATACTGCTTCAATACATATTTTAGGACAAACCTTTCCAGCTCCAACACCTCCTAGAATAGCCACAGAGAAGCGGGAAGTCATTTGTTGCTCGAGAAAACAAAAAAAAGTGAGGGTAGCGACACCTCTTCCCTTAATTAGTTTCCCCTAGTCCCTGGGGGGTGCAAAACGACTCCGAGCTAATTGAATTCGGTGCATTCGGAGCACAAATCATGCAGATTGGCTCGAGGGAGGAACAGTTGACGCGGAAACATTCTTTGGAATATTTAAGAGTGTCGGTAACGCACCAAAGTAAAGTTCTGTGACGCGGAAGAGACGATAAATCACTATCAAACCGTATCTTTCTTTTTTCGGAAAAAGTTTCACTTTCATCCAATGAATTAGTAACTAGTCTTTTAAACTAGACGGTCACTAACCAATTAGGGTCGGATCTAATAGCCATTAGCCTCCCCCCCCCCTATCATTCTTCTTTTCACTTATGCTTTCAACCGCTCATATCATCCTGTCACTTTTTTCGACCGTCCCCCTTATTTATACCATTGGTAGGGATAGATTTTTGTTCGTCTATATTATCGGTTTCCGTTCAGACCTGTCCGAACAGAAAACCCGTCTAAAGAGCTCTCTTGAATCCGGAAAAATCCCTCAGAATCTGATTCCCTATTTGAATTTGACGGCGGTCGAGGAGCAAAAGTCGAAAAGCAACGGAAGTTTGGATTTTATCATTCGTGACGATGACGTGGCAGAAGATGACGTGGCAAGCGGTCCGCCCGTGTTGGACATCAACGAAATGTACTACGACGGCAATAAGACGGTGGTGAAGATCTCCGAGGAGGCCACGTATCAGCTCATTCAGAAATGGGTCGATCAGGCCGCTTCCGGCTTCATGTCGGCTATGATGAGTTCCAAGTACGTTTTCTTTTGTGTGAAATATTGTAGGGCTAGGGATGGGCTCGAACCATGGTGTCTAGATTGATAGCCTAGTGTGCTAGCCACCTTACAATCCGGTCATATGCGAATAAAATTGACAAAAATGGATTGGCACTCTTGGATCCACGAACTTGTTGAGCTTTTTGGACTGAGAGGCAAGCATCGTTCTCTAAAAGTGCCAAGTTCAAGGATCGAAGAGTGCCAATCAATTTTTGTCAATTTTATTCGTGTTATGACCCGAGGTCAAGTGACTGACACACTTGGCTACCAATCTAGACACCAGGGTTCGAACCCCACGTGGGACAAAACCTTTTTGCAACCCTTTTCATGACATTTTTCCAGAATTCACGATAAACGTCTGACAAATCACGATCGAAAGCGGCACAATAATTGCACAAAAGCGGCGACTTCGATCGAAGAGCACGCCAAGTGTGTCGTGCACATTTTGAATCGATTAGACGATCAACGACGCAAATCGAGGCGATTCAGAAAGTTGAAGTTTCGGAGGACACGATTTCGGAGGGATGTACTCGCCGAGCCCGAGTTTGTGGTGCATCACAAGGCGAAATACGAGCTGAAGGAGAAGGCCGATGTGATTTCGCCGTTTTCGATGATTGCGAAACAGCTGACGAATATGGTGAGGGAGCGGAAGAAAAAAGAGAAGGAACCCAAGAAAAAGTGAGTTTTTATCCACCTATTGTCCAATTAAGTTGCAAAAAAAAAACCAACGCGAATGATATTGTCGTTTTCCTCAAACAGATGGCAAAACGTGATTTCGGAGATCAAGGACGAAGTGGAGAGAATAAAGCGAAAAAAGAAGAGTCGAGACGATTTGCGGCAAAAGTTTTCGAAATATTCAAGAGTCATGAAGTCGTTGGGAATCGATCCGAAGGAGGCGTTCAAGAAAATGGTACAGTAATTTGATAGGCCAAACTACAGTACCCCCAGGCAACAATTTGCAGGGATTAGAGTCATTTGGAGACGAAGTTTCAGCCGCTAATGAAACCGGAAAAATGACGGAAAATGAGAGAATGTTGAAGAAACCGTTGATGATGATTCGAGACGGTGGGCTGCTACAGTAACCCACCTCCTACAGTAGCCCAATGATTTCCAGGCGTCAAGCTCGGAATGATGTTGGCCGGCAAAAACGTTTCGAATTTCGATGAGCGTAAAATCGCGCTAATATCGCCCCAGTTTATGAGTGTTTCACCCGACGAACACGCCAACGATACAGTAATCCGAACCGGCAACTCTGCTTTTTTTTTTCGGCGCAAGTACAGTAGTCCAGCAATTTCAGGTCAATTTACTATCGCCCTCGGTATTGGCGCTTCACGACAAAGGAAGTGAACTCGAAAAAATGCTATCGTTGTCCAAGGCCGCGAAATTTTTATCGGAAAACGGAAACGATGAATGGATGAATTTTGTGTTGGAAGCTTCTGGAGTTACCGAAGCCGTCGAGAGGCTCAGGGTGAACTTTTTGCGGTTTTACAATATCAGTTTTCCACACATGTCTCTATCTCAGTTTTGAGCGAATATTGTCGAGTTGCGAAACGTTTTTGTGAAAACTTCATACCTAGTGCTTTGTTTTTGCAGTTGACATTTTTTTTCTACGACCACTCTCTGGAGTACTGTAGCTCTTGGAAGTTGGCACTGAAATACAGTAGCTAGGAGTTGATCGTACCAGAAAAGTCTCAACTACAAAAGTACATGTCAATTTTTCACCATTCAAAGTCGCTTTTTGCAGAATGACGAGCAGAAACAGGAAATGGAAGCGTATCGAAAGCATTTTTCGAACGAGAAGGGTCAACCAATGTATTTCACGAAGGAAAATGTGACGGAAATGTACGGCGATTATGAGGCGTCGAAAATCGATTCGATGGAACGATTGCACAAATCAATGTCGGCGCAGCAGGTTGAGTTGAAAGCCGGACTTTGACCCCCTCACAATGATCTGGTCGGGCCCGAACTTTGCAGGCTTTTAGGGCTTGGGTTGAAGTATTTTGGGTCCGAGTTTCAGACTGATCCGATTATCTGGGGAACTCGGGACTTCAGATGATCGGATCGGTCTGAAACCTGTCCAAGAAGTGTGCAAAGTTTGTCCCTAACAGTCCCAAAATGCCTCCCTTCTCTTTCAGATGCTCGAAATGAACACAACTGGCTACGCGATCATGAGCAACGAACAAATGAGCCAATTGTACGGTCCGGGCTCGCCGTACAACGATTCGCATGCGTACGAGAATTATCGAAAGTTGAGACGCGACGAGATTCCGTACATTTTGGAGCACAACATTCATCGACTGGCCCAAGAGACGAACGCGTTCAAAATTGCCAGGAGGGTCAGTCATTTCGAATCGCCGTTTCCTTTCGGCAAGATTTCTAAGAAATTGCACATATTTTGACGTGTTTTGCACAGTACAAATGCAATTCGTGCACAACTTTCTATCAAAAGTTGCTCAAAGTTTGCGCATTTGCAGAAGGACATCATCTTGTCGCCAGTGCTGTTCACGTGGATCACACTGCTTCCGTCGACCGCCTCTCAACCGATTGTCCTTTCTCCGTTGGTCTTCAGTCCCCTGATCCTATCTCCGTCGGCTCTCGGCCCACTTATCCTTTCTCCCTGGATATTCACTCCTCTGATATTGTCGCCCCGTGTTCTTGCCCCGATCATTCTGTCTCCCACCATCTTCTCGCCTCTTATCCTGTCTCCGCTCGCCCTGTCGCCACTGATATTGTCTCCCGCCGTCGCTGTCCCGCTCATTCTGTCTCCGTTCGTTCTAACTCCGTTCATATTGACTCCACTCGTAATGGTGCCCGTGATTTTGAATCCGTTTTGTTTGTCGCCGTTCATCGGCACTCCCAACACTCTGTCCCCGCTGATATTGTCGCCTTTCGTGTTGTCCCCGCTGATACTGTCGCCTCCTTATGTGAACGCGTTCGTCCTTTCTCCCTACTTCCTCTCGCCAATCTTGCTTTCCGACGGATTTCTCTTCACCGCCGTTCTTTCGCCTGCCATTTTAAGTTAGCCAACTTACTGTCTCGGGTTCAAATTCAAATTTTAATAATAACAATTAGTAATAGAAAACAAGTAAACAACAAGAAAGTAACAGTGACAAGTGATCTACTGATAACCGTATCCCTCGAACGGCCGCGACTTCTTCTCCTTCGCCGACTCTTTTTTCGCTTTTCTCTGCAGATACTTGTCCAATTTGTTGTCCTTTTTCAGCTCCTCGTACTTCTTTTCGGCGTCGATGCGACGGACTTGCGCTGCAATAATTGACATTTTTGTCTGAAAGGGAAATGTAACGCTAAAAACATGTTAATAATCAGTCCATCTTTGGTGGCCTGTATCTCAAGAGCCAGTCATCAATTCAAAAAGAGGTCAACTGGAAAGTTGACCGAAATTATCCCCCAGGCCCTAAAAGTGATTTCTGACTACTACCACAACAGTCGTTTCGGTGTAACTTTGGACGCTCTATCCTATGGTGTAAATAATTGATACACAAAAATTGTTCACTTCAAACCGTACCTTTGGTTCTGAAAATGGGCGCCTCTCCGCGCAACATTCTCTCGATATTGTCGTCGTGCAATTCTTTGCGAGTTTCCGCCTGCCGACGCTTCTCCGCACGCGTCTTTTCGCGAGTTTCCATCTTTTGAATCGTCTGAAAGTCGGATTTTTGTGAAATTTTTTGAATAAACAACGGAAAGCCCGTCAACTTCGTTTGATTCTCGTCGAACATCGGTCAAACTTTCCGTACATTTTTGAGTCGGGCCGCCTTGCGCTCGTCTCCTTCGGATCGTGCCGTCGAGTATTCGTTGCGCAGATCGGCCATTTCGCCGTCGCGAATTTCGTCCAAAAATTGATAATTGTTCTCGAAGCACACTTCTTTGAATTCGCCGGCTCTCGAGTCGAAACGCGGATCCCAACGCCTGCAAAATGCTTTTTTTTTCGAATGAAACGTGAACACGTTGACATTTCCCCCATTGACCTTTCATTCTTCCCAACATTTTTACGTATTCCCGACTTGTCAAAAAATTCGTCGCTGCCAAACACAATGAGCGGTGAGGCGGTGAGTTTCCGAGTATCAAATCTTCAAAAAAAAGGACCTTTTCCAGGAATTCAAGGTGATTCTTAGTCCGGATCCTGCGATTGTCCCGCTCAAAGGTTCGACGACGTTCACGCTTTCGACGACGTCGAAGCGGAAAGTCTACTTGTTCATCTACTTCAATTCGTATCGACTCAAATTGACCGGGCTCGCACACTGTGTCGGCCAGCAACTAAAGGACCGAGTACGGTACGCCGTACTTGAAGGTACGCGTTTGTCGGATATGTGTGTTCAGAAATTCTTGAAGGTCTGGACTTTTGACCCGATATTGCAAGTGGATCAAAAGTCTTGGCCTTCGAAAAGCCTGGCGAACTACAAAGTTGCAACTTTTCAATGGAATTTTTCAGAAAATCAGAGTGTCACGTTCACCATTTCGGATTCGGTACGGGTGGGCCGATCTGCACATTTTCTGGAGGGCAGTCTCGCCGTTCGTGCCTCGTTCACGGATCCATGCGTTCCCCAAGAAAAAGTGGACGCCGAGAATGAGCTCGGAGCCACGTACTTCAACATTGGAATCGATCCGGAAACCGATTCCTATCGGGCGCAAAAAGCGCACATTGCGGAGGCCCGGGCACCCGCTCCGCCGGGACGGATGGTCAAGGTGCTGCGAGAGGTAGATGACCGCTATTCGGAGGATAGAGTGGCGATGAAGGAAGGGCTCATAGTGAAGAATTCGGAGAAAGAGAAGCCTGCGCGGCCGGAGCCGGCGAGCTCAGTGAAATATGTGGTGAGCTCGAAGCTTTTTGCACGTTGTTGGCTTATCTGGGCCGATCTGGACAGTTTTTTTTTAATGAATCACGTAAATACACACTAAGTCCACTTTGGCCACTGTGAAATCAGTTTTCTATCTTAAAGAATCCTAACGTCATTCTGCGACCGGATCCTCCGATCGTTCCGCCCCACGGTTCGACAAAGTTCACGCTGTCGATGGCTGAAAAACGCAAAGCCTACGTGACACTTTTTCTCGATTCGTATCGGCTCAAAGTGAACGGAATAGCGGATGTGAAGGAGAATAAAGAGTTTGGCCGCGGATACTGTCTCGTACTCGAAGGTACCGTTTTATCAGAAATCGGTGCAGCAGGGGCGGCGGCCGTACTCTCGTTTTACAGAAAATCAAAGCGCGACGTTCACGATTTCGGATTCGGAGAACGAGCCGGTCGACAAACGGTGTCCAAAGTCCGAAGAGGGCGTGCTCATTGTGCGCTACTCGTTCTTGAAACCATGGAATCCCGCGGAGGACTATAAAGGTTACAAAGCGGCACACTTCAACGTGAACGTCCATCCGGAAACGGTCTCGTATCGTCAGTTGAAAGTGTGCATTTACAAAAAGAAAAAGGCGCTTTTGGAGCGGCGTCACATGACGCACGCTGATGGAATCGACGATTTGACACGGAGCGATTTGGAGTGGACCAACAGTGAGTTTGAGAAAAATGCGCCGTACGTCTACTGCAATCGAATTTCTTCAGGTCGTCGTATCCGGGAGGAGAGAGAAAAAAAGCGGAAGGAAGCGGAGGAGGAGAAAAAAGGCGGAAAGAAGAAGAAGAAGAAGAAGAGCAAGTCGAAATCGGTGGAAAAGGAGAACAAGAAGTGCGTGATTATGTGAAGCAGCGTTCTACTCGAATAAATAGTCTTGTTCTCACTATCTTTTGAAGTGTTGATTTTGAGCTTTTTCGAAAAAAAGATGAACAACTGCCAGAAAAGCGTACTTTTTCTTGGCGCCAATCTCGTGTTCGCCGTACACATTCCGGAACGTCGAGACGGGTCTTTTTGACGAAATCTCCTTGGGCCGGTGCTGTCCGCCGTTTTCCGTTGTTCTCATCTGCCTCTTCTGCTCGATTTTCTTCTTTTTCTCCACTTCCGACGTGCCGAAATAGGTCTTGTTGAATAATTTGATGCCCAATTTCTCTTTCATTTCTCGCACTTTTCCCAGCGGCATTTGGGCCATTTCCGCGCGAAATTTCAGCCTTTCCGCTTCGTCATCATCTTCAGACTCTTCCGATTCTCCGGCGACGTCTTCTGGAGCTTCTGGAGCTTCTGGAGCATCAGAATCGTCAGAATCCTCTGTTTTTTGCTTCTTTTTCGGCGGCTCCTCCTTTTCGTACTCTCCGATAGCGTTGAATCGATTTCCCGTCGAAAACTTCGAGGTTTCAACGGAATTTTTCACGGTTTTCGTGGAATTTATCATCGGAACTTCGGAAGCCTCTTTCTCTTCGTCGTCGTCCGACTTCTGGAGCATGTCGGTGACGTCGATGACGTCATCGTCGTCTTCTCCGTCCGAATTGGCGAGTTGCGCGTATTCTGTCGACGTTCCTTTCACCGGCTCGCCTTTCGCTTTTTTCGACTTCTGCAATAAAGGTTTCATTGGAAAAATTGACAATGAAAGACCCACCTGATTTTTGTTCTTTTTCCCGGCGTGCTCCTTCTGAGATCGCTTGTTTCCCTTGACATTTTTCGTCTTTTTCTCTCCGTTTTTCTCGATTTTCTTCTGAAATCGCTCGCCGCCTTCTCGATATTTCAGACGCGGAGTTCCGCCGAAATGGATCTTCTTGTGCACAAATTCGCCCGATTTCGCTTGTTCCCTAAATTGAGCCGACTGAAAACTTTGAAAAATACAGACTGTTCAATATTTCTCATACTCACAACTCTCTGGAATTTATTATGACACATCGGCTTTGTGGGCGTCGGTTTTGTGGGAAAAGTCCCGTATTTCCTGATTTCCGGGACGTTGTTCATACTCTTCGGCTTGAAATTATCGACTTTCCGGGCTAGAATCGTTGACAAATAAAGCAAGAGTATCCGCTCAGAACGGCTTGTGAAACAATCGATAAAAACACGGTTTTTGAAAATTTTTTATACAGAAAAACATGAGAAAAGGTTGACAAGATCACACAAGTACAGTAGAAAAAGAAAAAAGAGGTGCAGGTAGAGAATAAAAGGAAATTTGAAGAAATTCGCTCATAAAACATGAAAACTAGTCTGTTTGCAACTAAAAACACGTGCGGGGCGCAAAATTTACAAAAATTCGACAAAAATGTACATTTTACACGAAAAAATATCAAAACGTTTCAATTATGCACTTTCACTGTCTAACAGGTCGAAAATCGAGAGAAAAGGCTGGGGAAATTGCAGTTTTTGGGGGAAATTCTCAATGGAGCGCACTTGCAGAGTGCCTTCACAATTTCGGAAAAGAACGTTTTACGGCGGTTTTCAAGGGAAAATTGAGGGGAAAATAAAATCAGGACTTGAAAAATTGAATTTCCGAAATTACGAGCTGAAACTGAGTGGCGGCGCGTCGTCCTCCTCCTCCTCCTCGTCCTCGTTTTCCTCGTTTATCTGTCGCGTGCTCATTGCGAAACGCGATCGAGCCGGGTGATCGACGTGCGGCCCGGAAACCGAGCCAGAAGGACCGGCCGCCAGTTCTGAGAGATCCGCCAGAGGCTCGGGAGCCGGAGAATGTTCGGCCGCCGACTTTTGATGCGATTCCCGACGGTACGTGGGCGTTTCGACGTCAACGATCACCGAATCGCCGAATCCGTCGGGCATTGCGAACACGCTCGCCGTCGCGTGCACGTTGAACGCCGACGAGCCGTAGTTTTGACTGTTCCTGCTGAAAAATGAGGAAAATAATTGTCGCTTAAGCATAATTTTTTCCCCGAAAACATTTTCCCGTGATCTCTTCAATTTTCCGTAAATTTTAAGCGGAAATGTGAACAATTTATTGAGAAAGATCTTTAAAGAGTCAAATTTTCGCTGCAAGACCCAGAAAACTCACAAAACGCTCTCATCGTGAAGTCCTCTGAGGAAGAGCGCGTTGATCCTCATCTCAGCGCCGGCTCCATCGATATCAACGCCTGAAAATTGGCAAAATTATGACAAAACTTTAAATTTCCACAAACCGCTAGCCCTCAAACTGTTGCTCAGCGACTCGGCGGCGCGCGGCTGTTCGTGATAGAGACTCGCGAGCACTCCGCCGCCCTGTTTGCCCTGAATTCCCTGGAACGCGTTCTCGAGCGGTCCGTCGATGCGATGCAGTCCCTCGCCGATGAGCGGATGGCGTCCGGGCGCCGCGCCCGCCGAAGTCGGCACAATTGAGTGGACCGACTCGAGGAGGATGTTGCGATGATTGGCGGGCGGCTGCTGCTCCAACGTGGAGGCGAACGGTGCCAGCATCGACGCCTCTTGTCCCAGTCGGTTGCGGAACTTTCGCAAGAACCGTTCCGACGCCTTGGGCGGCTGCCACTCGGGATTCGTCGTCTTAAAGTGCAATATCGACAGCTCGGTTTTGCCGTCGAGCGCCCGATTGTGCGAAGTGACGATGCCGGAAGTGTTCTCGTCCTCCTCATGTATACTCTTCAGTTCCTTAATATGATTCCACTTCGGATCGCCATGCTTTCCGACGTCCATCACCGCGAACGAGCAAACGTCGCCGAGACCGTCGATGCGTTCCGTGTAGTCGTGGAAGAAGTTGACGAGTTGGGCACATCTCGGCCGCATCCAGAACAGAATCACGAACGGCGTGAAGATGGGCGAGGTGAGCTCGAGCACGAAAAAGGTCCATTTCATCTGGAAGAGCTGGTCAAACTCGTGTCGGACCTGTGCCGTGTGCGCTTTTCCCTTCCAGTTCGACGGCAAATAGTGGAGTTCCGATGCGACGTGCGTCATGAGAATCTCGGGTTGCCACACGAGATTCTCGTCGGGAATCATTCCACGACAAATCAGAATGACGACTCCGCAGACGGTGATCACAGTGAGCACGTGTTCGACCTGAAGTACGTCCTCGTCCCACGCCGACAAAATTGTCAGAATTCCGACGATGGCCGCCGCCACAAAAGTGACATTTTTGGCGACAATTTCGAGGACGGGCGAGAAGAATTGATCCATATAGGCGGCCGCGTAGATGTGCGATCGGTTGAGCCGCGCCGAGAGCTCGTGGTCCAACTCGTTGAAGTGACGGACGAGGTAGCGGCCGTAGTTGCTGTAGCGACGCATTCCGAGGCCGTCGGGCCGACGCTTGATGAGTTCGGTCAGCGAGAAAAACGACTCCATGATTTGGAAGGGCAGCATGAGTGGCATCAGAACGAGCGAGAGCAGGCCGTAGAATTTGCACTGCAAAAATTGAGCGTTTATGAAATGCCGTTGTGACGCCGAAAACTCACATCATATTTCATTTTTTTGATCGCCTCCTCGAGTTGCTCGTGATTCTTGTACTCGTCGCGCAAATCCGACGCGTTTTTCCAGGCGGACGTCGAGCTGAGGAACAGAATTCGCTCGATTTCGTGCTTCAAACTGTTCGGCAGATAGGCGATGGGTCCGATGAACGGCACATCGAACACCGGGTGAAGGATGCGCTGAAAATGTTCGGCAGTGGCGCGGCGAAGTTCTAGGCCACGCTTACCTTGTTCACCATTCCGATCATGTAGTTGCGATAGCGAAGGATGCGGTGGTAAATGTAGATTGAGGTGATGTTTTCCTGGTGGATACTCAGCCGCACCTTTTTTTGAGCCTAAACATTTTTGCTTATGATCAATTCTAGGCCCGCTTCTAAATTGCGTACCTCACAAATCTTCTTGACAATCGCATGCCACGTCATGTTCGGCAACTGATCGTCGGTCACCTTCAACTCGTGCGCATAGAACAACTGGATATCGGACATTTTCAACACGTACTGCGCGTGCTTGATGACCCGTGTGCACCAGTAGACGATGGCCGCCAAAATGGCGAAAATCATCCAGACACTCAGATGGTCCGGACAGTGTTCGACGACCGCGTCCTGCAAAAGCAACGGGCGGTTCGATTAGTGGAGAGGAACGGAGAGGAACGTGCCGAAAAGTGTCGTTTGCCGATGTTCACATTTCCGTGACTCGTCACATTTGTGTTGGCAAACAGGAATTCGTAGTTGACGCATTGGGTGAAGAATGTGGTGAAACTCTGCAAAAATTGCTACCATGTTTTGCATGCTCTCCCCTGGGCAGCGACAAAACGGACCATAACAAACACAAATTGGAGTAGACTGAACACTTTTTGCATGACGATGCACATGTATCCGCCGCACTGGTGATACTCGTAAATGTGCGTGAAAAACTCGTCCAAATCCTTGACATGGTCCCATCGCCGTTCGCCCAACTGCGACGACGAGGCCATTGTCGGCGGTCCGTGATGGTTCGCGTTGAATTGCTCGTAGTGCACTTCCTGTGAATTTGGTTTTTTTTTTGTTAAGTTTTGCAACTGCTAGCGTAGCGCGTAGCACATATTTTATGCGAAAATCATGTAAAAACGTCAAGTAGCGAATCATGTGGAAAATGCCCGGTTTCAAAGTGTCTGCTTGCGAAAACATAAAAATGCTTACCGGCTGCGCATCGACTGGCGAATCGTGGTACGAGTGTTGAGACGAAGAGCTGGCGATTCTGAAATTTCGATTATTTTTTGCTTTCGTACGAAAAAAGAACAACGTACAAATTGCGGTGCTCTCCCTCGTCGTGATTTCCGAACAGAATCGATCGGGTCGTCGATCCGAATCCCTGCATGAAGCGGGAAGTGCACGTGCTGTTCCGCAGCACCTCGTCGTCGTAGTCATCGTCGATTTGCTGGAATTTGTGTTTTGTTTTGTTGTTGTTGGTATGTTTCTTTAAAGTTTCGCTCGAAATTTGTTCGATAGGCCCTGGAATTTTCGCCATAAGACAAAACCCCGGCCTTTTCGGCCTCTGATCCACATTTCTCGGGACCAGATGCATCGATCGGTCTGAAACTTGGACCAAATAAAGCCTGCCAAGTGTGGACCCGATCGGATTATCACAAACGGGTCAAAAGTTCAGGTATTTGGGAAAAAACCAAATTTTTGCGAAATTTCGTCAAAATAACCAACCTGATACGCGCGTTTTGAGTGCGAACTGAACATGTCATCAGCTCGCAATTTCTGCAAGATATTTGATTGTTTTCGAAGAAAATTGTGATAAAAGCGGAGAAAATGTTGCAGAAAGATGATGAAGAAGAGGAGCGAGACAAAAATCGATCAATTGTAAGAGGGCAGCTGAGAGAGGGGGGCTCTCACGCGACGACGAAGCGGCTGATCGATGCAAACGCGCTCCACCGAACGGCGGCGGGGGCACGTGAACGAGAGCGAAACGAGGGGCGAGTAAACGAGGAGCGGAGGCCAAAAAAAACTGGTATTTGGGCAGAGAAGGCCGAGGGTGAAGGTTGGCAAAAGTACTAGAACCTTGAAAAGATCAGACTTGTCGAGAAAACTGGAAAAGCCTATCGATTTTTCATTAAAATTAGCATTTTGAAGCTGAAAACTACTGAAAGTTACAATGCAAGACCGAAAAAATGCGAAAAAACGTGCCGCTTCCCTGGAAAGTCGTTATTTTTCGTCAAAAACCCGCTGGTGGTTTGCACAAAAAAAAATAGCAAATTTGGAAGGTTTGGAAGGAAATAGAGAGGAAAACGAGCAGATGTTCGCATAGGACCGCATCAATTAAGAGCACGGAAGGCCGCGCACAGAGCGCACACCTCATTGCCATCGATTTTAGTGATCGATCGGTGGGCAAGGACAGAAAATACCGAGAAATTGAGCAAGAAACTCACAAAAAAGGCTTCTTTCCCGGCTTTTTACAGGGCCTGCACGTTTGAACCACTCGCAATTAGCCGATCGGATCCAAACTTTGCCGGCTTTTTGGACTTGGATTAAAGTATATTGGGTTCAAGTTTCAGCCATGGTCCACATATCTCGGTCTGAAACTTGGACCCAACATACTTCAATCCATGTCCAAGAAGTCTGCAAAGTTTGGGGTCAGATCGAATCCAAATTGCCCAGCCCTGATTTTTTCCTAAATTTTCGAACCTAAACAGTACAATTGTATGATTAGCGTATCAGTCGACTATATTATCAAAGAACACAGTGGCGTCACGGGGTGCAACAGCTGCCGGCGGAGGCCAAAAAATCACATGATCGACCCTGAGAACATTGGGTTTTCACTACCTCTGCCGTGTGTCCGATTGGTGGAAAGTACAGCGGATGAATAGATAGAGATATTCGGCGTTTGAAATTGTTTGGTGTAAAGTTCGATAAAGATCTGACGATTCGAGATTTAGCGAAAAATGTGTTCACTGTTCGAGAAATGCGCAAGCGCAACGTTGAAAAGGGGGCCAATCGGGCCCAAACTTTAAGGGCTTTTTGGGCCCGGTTTTGCGAGATTTGCATGGCTTTTCGGCAAAGCGGAACGATTCTGACAAAAAATTGCAAAAAAAGCGTGGAGGAGCAGCGGAAAATAGAAAATGAGCCGGCCATTTGCCGTTGGGAGGAGAAAAGAGGACCGTTGTGCCGAGAGAGCGGCCAATAGAGTGTTGCTGACCGGGCCGGGGACCGTTCAAGAGTTTCACACAAAATGATGAATGTGTACGAGGGTTTTTGAGTGAAATAAACACATGTGGATGCAGTTTGCTGAGCTTTGCGGTCTATTTTTGTGATTTGCGACTCCCGGACGTGTCGAAACTAACGAAACTTTGACACTACTCTGTGTTGACGAGCTCCGGATCAGGCTGAATTGAAAATATTCAAAAACCCGTTGACAATTAGTACAACAATTGCTTATTGTTAGTTGAAAACCATGTTTCTACGCCAACTTCTTTGATTTCAGTGCCAACTTCTAAGAGCTACAGTACTCCAGGCAGTGGTCCTAGAAAAAAGTTGTCAACTGAACAATTGTAGTACTAGATGTCAAGTGTTCACACAAAAAACTTGAGAGTCATACGCATTTTCCGAACGATTAAAAATCGATCCATTCCTGGCTGATGTCGTTTCTCGAAACAAAGTGTCCCTTTGCTGATCGAGTTTGTTTCCAAATGTACAATGTTGATCATCGGGACGGAGCCGCCAAGTTCATTTTCCGCGCCACTTGAATTTCGCCTCTGAAAACGCTGAAATGCGTGTCGAATTCGGCTCGATTTCCGCCCAAACGCACACGTTTTTAAACACAAATCTGTCACACGTTGTCATTGTTTTCTCAGAAAAATGAGGTTGATGAGATCAGCAGCAAGTGGCCTGGAAATTCTCGGAAGTTTTCAGCCTAGAATAGAGTGGGAAAGTAGAAGGAAAACGATTCGGGAAGACGAGAAAACCGGCGATGTGGTTTGTTTCACCTGTCGTTTATGCGAATAACTTTTTGAACAACAACAACACATTCTTCGCATTTTCAAGCGGCTTTCAACACTTTCAGACCAGATCAGCGACAGGTGCAATTTCAGATTTTCAGATCACATCACTAGGAAGTTGGGAAGGCAGCTGGACCCGCAAATCAAATGATATCAGTTGAGCTGAAATCGAGAATAAATGGGCGGGGCGTGGCGGGTGTGCACAGCTCTGAATAAAAGGAAACATGTACGCACGGTCTTTCATTTCTTTTTCCCCCCATTTTGAGTAAAGGTTTCGGGTTTTGAGACGCTTACCTTAGTCCACTTGGATTTCTAGGCCACACTCGTTTCCGGGCGGCAGATTGGATTTCTAGGCCAGCTGGGGAAAAGCTAGGCCACGTCTGGATCGAGTTTCTAGGCCGCCACTTGTTACAAAGCCGAAAAATTGAGCTCCCTGGCTGTTTTTGGATTCCTAGGCCACAATTTAGCAATCCTAGGCCATCATTTGCTTCGATTGGCTCCAAACTGTCTATCCGGTCAAACATGCGCCCAATTCTAGTGATAAAAAAGGTGTAAACAGGCCGCGAATGCCACTCAACTTCTACCGACTTTTCGGAAACTTTTTGAGACCGTTCTTATCACTGATTCTTTGTGCGCTCCGACCTCATTTGATTTCAGGTAAGTGGAATGTTTTTTTCGAGCGGAATCTGTCTAAAAATGGTAAAAATATTTACTTCGTGACTCGAAAAAGGAGAATCGACCCGGGCGGCCGGCAGGCAGAGCAGGTGCGCAAATGTATCACTTTGCGTGCGAATGCCAACACCAAAACGTTGTGTGTGTGTAAAAATTGAAATTGAAAAGTCAAAAATGCTGGCCCTAACTGTGTTCCGATCAGTTTTTACAATCTTCCAAATGTGTTTGGTGTATAATCTTTTCTATTTTCTAGTTTTGTCTCAATTGGATAGCTCTTGGCGCCGAACCGATGAATTTCTACAAACCTTCCGGTTTTTGAAGGACCAGGGAAGCGTCCGAGCTTTCGGGTCTGTCTAAATTGTCTCTTACTGCGCCACGTTCACTGTCCGAGCCCCAACTTTTGCTAGAAATGCCTATAAACGGCACAAGACAACCACCGGAGACGTGAGTAGTATGTCAAAACCTGACTAGGTCAGGGCGTTTCACAGAAACGATGAAAAATTTCGAAAATCGTGTCCTTGTTCCGAATTCCATTTTTTGTTCCGACACTGAAAAACTGCACAAAAAACGGTGGGAGGGGTGTAAAAATGCGCGGCGGCGGCGGCGCCCGTGTGGAGATACGCATCTCGTACCGGGCTGTACGGCTGGAAAAGGCTGGCTGGAAAAAAAGCACGGTTGGAATGGATGGCCTTGCGAAACAATCTCTTTTCGGTGTCGCACTTTTCGAGACTCGTCGCACCGAGACTTTGTTACATCTTTCCGTCGCCCTCCCCCTCCCTTCTCCTCGTGTCTCAATTTTTGCGGCTACTGTAGATCTGCGTTGGCGGTTTGGGTTTCTAGGCCACCGTCTAACTCATCCTTATTCTCCTGGTGGGGGCCTAATCGATTTGGATTTGGATTTCTAGGCCGCTCAAGTCTCACTATCCATTCGTTTTCTCCTCGCGATTCTCGAGCCTCCGTCATCGAGAAGCAACTAAAAAATCAGTTGAAAGTTGAAACTATTGTGTGCAACATTCTCAAAGTTGTACGAAATCGGATCCGGACTTTGAGAGCGAGAAAAGGTACAGAAAACTGATGCGAGTGACCGAGAGGAGCAACAACAAAAAAAAGAAATGAAAAGATGAACATGCGGGGGCGCTAAACTCACTTCAGATCTTTGTGACCTGGGCAGTGGCACTTAATTTGGAAGCTCGGAATACACAGTAATAATCCAAATGAAAGTCGCTGGCCTCTAGAAGCCCTAAAAGTACTCTAGAACCTTCCAGTTTATTTCATTTATTCGCCGGAGATCAAAGAATGGTCATGATTAGGTTCAAACTTTCTTTGCACCCAAGTGGTTCTGCAATTTTTCTGCAATTCTTCTGCAATTCTTCTCTTATTCTGCAATTTTGCGCGATCCGTAACACGTTTCAACCTTGTTCGCTTTGCAATTTCTTCGTTTCGTTACCCTGTCGAGTCTCGTGACTCCAAGAAGCATCCATTTTTCTCTGTGCCCCACCCAGTTTCCTCATTTCGAAAGTGAACAGTATTCCTTTGGTCCGTACACCCTTTGAGGTGTGCGGACGAAGGGGAATGAACTTGTTGTTGTAAAAAAACGTCCTCCAAGCCTACCGTAACCCTACAACGCCCCCGTTAAAGTCAAAAGTTCGATGTGATCCAAAATAACGCACTATGTAAACGGAACGATTTCCCCATTCCACTCAAAAAAAAAACGGGTGTTAGCTAGCTACGTCAAAAGGTGTTTGTTACAATCGGCGGACGAGTGTATACACGGATAGTCACACTTTAGAGGCGAAAAGCGCTCCGGATAATTTTCAACTTGTAATTTGACACCCACACCGTGTGTGTGTGTGTGTGTGTGTGTATGTGCAAAGAGTGAAAGAGAAAGAGAGAGAGGAAATGGAGGAGGGCATGTTGCGAACAATCCGAAACAAAACTATCTCGAGACCCCTTTTTTTTCCGATACCCAACTTTTCAGGACATGTCCCCGAAAAGTTTGGGCATTTCCGGTTTGCCAACGTTGTCCCGTCAGACGTTTCCCACCAATATGAGCCTCGTCTTTTGAGACGCTCAAAAAAAAGCAGAGTTGTCCCCTCCCGTCCCGGCCACGTGCACATATTTCAGTTTTGAGTCAACACTGACTGTTTGACGCACTCTTCGATCTGTAATTTCAGTCTTCTGGATTCGATAGCTGTCTCGCTAGTTTCTCTATTGTCCAGAGAAGATTGTCGGTCCGTGGGCCGTGCGGAAACGCATAGTTGTCACTGGTCGGGGGCGTTGTTTCGGCCGTGGGCTGGCCAGGTCTAGAGCCAAAAAGGAAGGCATTTTCTCCAATACCAAGGCTTCTAGGGCCCTAGAATAGATGAATTTCGGGATCAGACAGGTATCTGGACAATCGGGGAACTTTGACGAATCATAACAACGAGACGGCTATCAAAGGTACTTCCCTAATCGGATTATCAAATCCAGAAGACTAAAATAACAGTTTCCCAATCAAAAAACTGCGAAAAATAGCCTCAAAAACTGAACTAGGTGAGGAAATACGTCGTTTCTTGATACTTGCAAACTCCAAAGTGTTGTACTAGATTCCAGCCCGTAAAAACTCCGCCTCGATGCGGCGGATACGCCCTCACGGTTCTTCGGGGACCTACCGTAACCTTTTTCGTTCCCAGAACATCACAATTCTATATTATTTTCGCGATAACCGATCACGTACAACTATTATTGAAGCGGAAATTTCTGCTAAATCTGAACATTTTCTGTGCTTCGGGGAAAATATATAATGTTACGGAGCACCTGCTAATAAGAACTTTTTCCAAGTTTGTGAGGATTTGGGGCTCTAGAGAACGGGAATACTTGTAAAAATAAAAAGTTCAGTGAAGTTTGAGCACCAGAGGTTACTGTAGCCAGAATCGCAGTTTTCGGATCTGGCTGGGAATTCTAGGAAGAGTACATTGAAAAGGGGTATAAAATGGCTGGAACCATGCTGCAAATCGCATCTTTTACATAATTTGAACGCTTTTTGCATGGACATTCCAAAGGCACCCTGAATAGTGTAATAAAAGTGCACTATAATAGATGTGTCCATTCAAAACGATGTATCTCGGCTGTCGGTGGAGATGTCAAAAAGTTTTCAACTAGTGAAATGATCAAAAAAACTTGGCCTACATTTTGTTAGTTGATAATTTTTTTATATCTCTAACGGCAACTGAAATATATCGTCTGGAATAGATAGCATTTGTGTGCCCAACCGTAACGAATCATTTCTGTTTGTATTTCGGGCGTAAGCGTGAAACTTTCCAATTTTTCCAATTAGCTATGTACCAGCAAGATTATTAGTACCGAATTTTCGGTTTTTTTTAAAACAATGTTTATTTCGGGGTTCGGCAGGCCAGTGAAGCGAATCGTCATGAATGTCACAAACAATGTTCCCGAACAAAAGTCGTCATTCCTGTCCAGAAGGTTATAATAATTGATACCGGCTAGTGTTTGTACTCAAAAGTCCGCTGAATAAGCTCATAAAGCTTAGGCAGCTCGATCCATCTTGAACTCGGGAACCTAGAACAACTTCCGACTGATAAACTTCATCAACCATATCTGTGACATCTGAAACGTCATAGTTAGATCTCTGTAAAGTTTTTGCATCACTAGAACTTCAACTCAACCGCCGCAACCCCGCCCATTTCGCCAGTTACCCAATAGGCTCGGTTCGAGGGAATTACCATAGTCGCGGTCTATTTCTGGCAAACATTTGCACACATGTTTACAACAATCTACAAATGCCACGCGTACGCTCTTTAATTGGAGAGGCGAGCGCGTTTCGTTTCGGTTTTTTTTGAAGAGCTCGCGCGGCTCTAGAGAGATTCTCAAAAGCGCGTGCAAATATTATTTCCTAGGAATTCGGGTTCGAATCGTTTCCGCAAATTCGCTTCCGCAAACCGTTTCTGCGTGTGCTTTCGTATTTTGCAGAAGCAGCCGCAAAACCGACGTCAGCAATCGGAGATCCAAGTAAGTATGGATTAGCCCGTGTGCCGAACTCGCATCACTTCACCCACCGAGTTATGACTTTTGTCAGGACTCTGTTTTTTCCCCCTCCCCCTAGCAACATTATCAAAGTCGTCGTTATTTCAAGCGTAGGCGATGAAATTTCCAGCCCCAGAGACTAGATGATATCATCTTTTTGGCACCCCAAACGCTCGCTTTTTCGATGGAAACACGTATCAAATGTTATCCGAAAAGGGCAACGGCGTGCTCTCCCTGTGAGAAAAGTCTGGGGGCAAGAGTGTGACAGAGACGTTTTGTTTATCACCTCCATTTTTTTTTTGCCAGTACGAGGATTTCACAATACTTTGTTCTTCCTGACCTCAATCTTTTTCAAACGATCTCCATGATCGGCGTTTTATTTATAAAGGCACACATTTTTTGATCCAGTTCCGGATTATCCGATGGGTTAACCTCAAGTGATGTCCATCCAGCATCTCCGAAAGATCCCTACAATATTAGTGCAGACTTGAACGTACACTCTCCTACTCATAAAGCGATAATAGATAGTGAGCAGAGTATTTTATCGAGTCTCTGTGTGTCTACAGTATTCCTTTGGGATGTCTGGGGCAGGCGCGGTTTACGTGAGAAATGGAAAAATATAAAAAATAGTCTCTGTGGACTTTTTTTAGTTTTCAGTCTGTCCCTCCCACACCTCTTTTGAATCATTAGCATTCGGCTTTTTTTTGTCCGATTTTCTCTCGAAAAGTTCCATTCATTCATCCAAATGACGTACATCCCGGCGGTGCTCATCCTGTTCAAGGGCTCAATTCCATTCTACGTCAAATTTTCACGTCGGTCCAACGTGTAAGCGTATTTATTTGCATTTATTTCCGTTTCATCCGAAGAGCCGATCAGTTTTGTGATACGTCAGTGAGGTCGAGCATCAATAACTAACTACATACTACTGAGAAACAGGACCGGGCAAAAAGGAGGCCTGGACTTTTGGCCCACTTGCAATAATCCGATCGGATCCTAACTTTGCAGACGTCTTGCACGTGGATTCAAGTATTTTGGGTCCATTTCGGGACCAGATGATGATCCGAACGGTCTGAAACTTGGGCCTAATATACTTGAGTCTCTGCAAAGTTTGGATCCGATCTTCTCGACGACACTCTGCAGTCTGGGCAAGGAGAAACGGAGAATGGGCCTGGCCTAAAGCCGAAAAACCATGCAAATCTCGCAAAAACTTGGCCTGTTCGGCCTCTGATTCACATTTCTCGGGACCAGGTGATCCGATCGGTCTGAAACTTGGACCCAACATTCTTCAATCCCAGTCCAAAAAGTCTGCAAAGTTTGGGCCCGATCGGATCATTGCAAGCGGGCCAAAAGTCCAGGCGTCGGGCGGCCTTTTGCCCAGCCGTGCTATGAAACAAATAATAATGATAATTGTTATTTTTTTCATCTCTATGGCACGTTCTATGAATCTTGAATCCCCTGGATGATTGTTTTTAATGTCATTAACTATTATCTTTATTTTGATATTCAGTTATTTGGGTATAGTTGTTTTTCAAACCCAAGCTGCCATAGCAACTTTGTTCAGAATCAAGATTTTCGAATGTTCATTCATCGCGACGAGTTCTATTATCAAGCAACCGCGCCTTGCGATTAGATTACTGTACCTGTAATTCAAATTCATAACTACATCATTTCTTAGACACCCCCATAAAAAAAGTGGCTTTAAAGCGAATTCGCCCACATTTTTGTCAAGTCACATGCAAAAATACAAAGCTCCAAATGGCGGCAATCCTCGAAATCTATTATCAAATTCATCACGGATAGTGCTAAGGCAATGCGAGAAAAAGATTAGGAATTGGAAAATGAAAATCCGACCGGCGGCACACAGATTTTCCCACTTTCGACGATTGCCATGTCACAATATTTTGTTGCTATAAAACGTTCATCGCAACGCGAAAAGTGACCATTTTTCCGTCTGCTCTTGCCTGTCTGAGAATGGCAAACTGTTAGAGAAGAGTGTAGAGTATGTCTTAAAATCAAAAAATCCGAAATCCGCTCGCTTAACGATGAAACGTAGATCCGTCATGTTGCGCATGTCATCACGCATTTCGAAAATAGAAAAAAAAGAAAAAGTCGCTACAAGTTTGCCGTGGGGAATTACATAGAGCTCTTATTTACGAGGATGACGACGCACGAGCCGCCGCGTCAGAGAACAATCCGATTGAGAGAGCGGCGAGACGGGTCAAACAGCAAATCCACAGATAGTATATTAAGAAGTGGTCGATAGATAGATACATATATATATATGTTATTCCTTTCTCTCATTTCAGTTCCCAGAGAATAGCTGCTGTTTTCCTCTTCATACGGGTTACTGTAGCAATTGCCGTTCGATATTAGTATCGCTTTCTTTGTTTGTGACACAATCAATTCAAATTTTCAGAATGACGTCGTCATCTGCCTCACTGTCATCGCTGAACGTCACCTCGAGAGACGAGAAATCGCCGAAAAGTGTGTCACCGGACGGCGGAGCTCAACGCTTTTTCGGACAGGGAAAACGTATTCCCAAAGGTGAGCGAGAGAGAGAGAGAGCGCCAACAAAAACAGCGCGTTGAACGTGTGTTTCAGACGTGAAACGTCACTGCGGAATGTGTAAGCAACACGGACTGACCGTCGAGACACGTGGTCACACTTGCGAGTACAAGAACTGCAATTGTGAGCATTGTGATCTGGTCCGTCGGCGACGCGAGATCATGTCCACACAGATTCGTTTGCGTCGCGAGCAGGATAAGAAGTTTCAGGTAGATTTCAACGTGTACAATAGTAGTACCATATAGCTGACAATTTCAGCGCACCACGGACATCAACGAGGCGAACGTGTTTCCGGGGTGCAACGGAATGGAGCAGCCGGACGAGAAGACGCTTCAGGAGAACCTGAACATGTGCTATTTCTGTCAAAAGTGCAAGAATCACAGTGTGCTCGTGTGGAAGAAGAACCACAAGAAGGAGTGTCGGTACGCGAATTGCGAATGCGAACAGTGCGGGCTCATCGACTCGCGGCGAGCCCTCGATCGTCACATTAAGAAGCGGCGAATGAGCATGAAGGCGAGCACCGGCGGCACCGCGCCAAAGAGCCCCAAAAAAGAGATGGACTCCTCGGCGAACGGCTCGTTCTCGTCGCTCTCGTCCGTCTGCAACTCGGACGAATCGTCGTCGTCTTCTTCCTCGTCCGATTGCTCCTTGTCCGGATTGTTGTCGGAAAAGCTCAATGTTGCTCCACAAGTTCACGTCAAGTTCGATTTTAGCACCGGCGGATTCATCACGCCTGTCGGCCAGCAAATCAGTCCAGTTTCTTCGCCCTATGAGGTATTTTAGAATAATTGCCAGAAGTTTGCACAACCAATTGCAGAGCACTCCGTCGCCGTGCCCACTCATCCTGCCACGCTCTCCGATGACTTCGACAATATTCCCGACTAGCGTACCGCCACTCTCCTCATTTCTCTCGGTTCCCTCGTTCCTCCCGACGACCACCTCGTGCGCCTCGTCGCCGTTCCTCTCGAATCCGTTCCTCTACAGTAATCCCACGTTTTTCTCCACCTTTGCCAACCCGTTTCTGATGTCGATGACGCCGCTGGAAATGCAAATGCTCTTCCAGAACATTCAGTGTATGACCGCCGCAGTCAGCCTCGGTAATAAGGACTGAAACGCCTTCTTCTTCTTCTTTTTTTTGTCGGTTTCTCCGCCCCCCTATTTTTCTCATGTTTCATGTACAATTTCTCCGAAAACTTGCTAATATTTTTCCAAAACCCACACTCGAAATGTACGCAGCGGGTCGATTTCCGACACATTTACATGATTCTGATTTTCGAACCAGAGATAATATTGTGATTTCCTTCGATTTGTCTACTTGTCTAATAATAATAACTATTTTTGCCGACCTCTTCCACTCTTTTTCTCGCCTTCTGCACCCAGGATGAGTAAGCACGCGAACTTGACAAAGATCAAGTCCTCTTCCTGTTCCGATACCTCGTCATGTCATTGTTATCAGTTTTTGTCAAACCAAAATGTTCATGAATCACCGCACAATATGCATGCAAACTTTCGATGATTTCATAATTTGGCGCTTATCATCCATCCACTTCACTTTATCAGGACGGAATTCAGAATCCTAGACTGTCGTGGGAAAAGGATGATATCAGAAGGAAATAAAATTAAATTGCGTACTCCACACAGTCAGGATAAGGAGCAGCGAGAAGGAGTCGGAGAAGACGAAGAATGTAGAAGGTAGAGGAAAGGAAGAAGAGTCGAATCAACGCGAATGCTCTGTTCTTCTGCGATCATTGATCATTTTTCTGGACCTTTGGCCCGCTTGCAATAGTTCGATCTTGCCCAGACTTTGCAAACTTCTTAGACATGGATTGCACGGAACCGCAGCATTCCAATGCGCAAGCGAGTTGTCAATGGGGCGCGCTTGCATCCACCGTCTACTCGGAGTTTCTTTTTTCAATTGAAAACCAGAATTCTTTCGTTTTTCTCTTAATCAACACTCAAATTTTGTTCTTTGCGAACCGTAGGGCGATTGTGTGAGTTAAAAGCATCGATTTAAGCGCGAAACGGAGCAGATTCGTTCAGAATTGACCAAATTGAGGGATTTTGTCGAAAATTACTGAAAAAAAGGGATTTTTAACGATTATTTGCCGAATCGAGTTTGGACACTGGCATTCGAACCGTCCAGTGAACAAGGAGTTTATTGCGCATCTTTTAAGCGCTCAACCGTCGAAAAATATACAGAATTGAGATAATTGAGGCAAATTTTCGATTCCAACAGGAAAAAAATTCTGTAATTTTCACATAAAACGTTTCGAAATTGATGACGAAGCAGTTAACATTTCATTTTTTATTCATTTCTAATCATTCTCATAAGTTTTGACACTGATTGGTTCTGAAAAGATGGGAATAATGCAAAAAAAGGGAAAATTGAAATGAGAAACTCTACAACGACGCTCCGGAATTACGCGTTACGCGCCTTGTTTAGCGCACGTGAATTGCGCCAAGGGAATTTTTTATTGGAAGGCTGGGGTTCCGTGGATTGAAGTATATTGAGACCAAGTTTTTGGCCGAAAAGCCCGGACGAAGCCTGCAAAGTTCGAGTCCGATCGGATCATTGAAAGTCGGTAAAAAGTGAAGGGCAAGAAGAAAATCGATTTTGCGAGTAAACTATCTGAAATATCTGATTGAAGAAGGGTATGTTTCTAGTCGTAGACGTCAAAATTTCAGCGCCAAATCACAGAATGATTCACCGGCACTGATCACATTCTGATAAAGAAAAACGACGGTCTGCCGAAAAATGTTTGCCGAGGCGGCAACAAACTTTCGGCCTCTTTTTAATGTTGAATTGTCAACAATCCGCAGAGCACATCTTGATAAGGGGGTGAAAAGTGAGATGTCATTTTGTGGCGCACACTAGTGTCCATTGTTGTTTTTTTTGCAATTAGGTACGTTTTTCCGAACAGAAATGGTTGATTGTCTAGTTTGCTCATTCGTTTTTTTTTTCGGTTTCGGGAAACTGGATTTCTTGAAGAAACCGTCCGTTTCATCTAGTTGAGTGATGATTCATTTGAAGTGATGTTGGGCGTCCTCTTCCTCTCTGTGAGCACGTTTCGATTGAAGACAATTTTAAAGATCCCTTGTTGCTTGAGAACGTGACTTACTAGACCACGGACCTGGACCCCGAAGGACCGACGGGAAGAGGAGAGCATCGGTGCTACCTCCCAATCATTAATAATACAATTATGTAGTTCCTGAAACATTGCCTCATTTTCAGACGCCACTGTAGTCAAAGTTCAGTGTCTAGTCGAGTTGTGATCAGTGTCATTATCATCGATTTTTTTTTAAATCAGAAATAGCTCAAAAATAGTTCCGTTTTGTTGATCTCGGAAACAGTTTCCTTTTTTTGTGTACACATCCTTTCACTCTAAAAATGTTCCGTTCCGTTTGTCGATTCTGACTCACTTCTCCTCTACATTTCCAACAAAAACTGTTCTTTTTGTGCCGCTATCATCGACTTCTCAAAGTACACGCCCCCAATTCGAATCGGTTTGATAACCGATTTCTCACTGTGATGGGCTCTTTCGAGCAAACGACGAAAATTGGAAAGGGGGGGGGGGTGAGGAGTTTGAGTGTGTTTGCATTATTCTTCCCCCCTTTTCTTTCTCTATTTCTTCCGTCTTTTCGTGCCGTGTTTGTGGTCAACTTGTTAGTTTTGTTGGACAATAGTATTTGACGTTTGCATAATTTATGTTCATGCTCAACTTTGAGCTGTCGTATCTTCCTGGATTTTTGCTATTTTTTCAAAGTTAAACAACGATTCGACAGATTTTTTCACGCTCTCAAACTTTGTAGTTGATAACGTTTTGCCATTCGGCTTGTGTTTTCTGTTATTTTCAGTTAAAACTACAACTCCACAACGCCTTGAGATTTTGAGTGCAGGCTGTTAAATCGAAAATATCGCGACGCACAAGCGTGCTCATAAAAATTACTTAACAGCAAAGTTTTAGAGCATAAAATTGTCGCTCAAATCCTTTTTTTACTTTTCAAAAATATTGAAAATCGACCAAGATATGTCAGATCAAAGCTTCTCTACTATTTCAACATTTTCCTGCAGAATGGGTGCGTTGAGCCAACTGCGGCTTCTTCTCTGGAAGAACATGCTCCAGCAGGTGCGGTCCCCGTGGTTCGCACTCTTCGAACTCGTCGTCCCACTCATTCTCATCGGCGCCAGTTTTGGACTCCTCATCGGGGTGAGGAGCACCATGGGGGGGGGGGGGGCTTGTAACTAAACAAATGAACGAAATGTTTCAGTTTTCTGGAAAATTCGAGAAAACGTACAGCGAGCGAAAGTACGCGGCGTGGCCAGTTTCGGGAAGTGCGTACGACCTCCTAATGCCCACGAATCCCAACGATTCGATCAAATCGGCTATTGTCGAACCGTATTTTCTTTTCAACTCCCAACTGACTTGTCAGTTTCTGAACACTTATACGATCGGAGTGAATAAGTATCAACTTGGTGCGTATAATATACTTTATAAATAAAATGCATAACTACATATTTTCAGATGTGGTACTGGCCTACGCGCCCACCAACAACGACACCACCGATCAGATTATGGGAATTGTAAAAGATCGGTATACGATTGAGGACATCCTCGCGCCACTCGGCTCTTTGGTCAATTCCACGTACAATATCACGACTGTGCCGGTTATGAATACCAATATGACTATCAAAGGTTTTTGTCGATACTTTTGTGGATTGATGAAACTCTTTATCCATATTTGTCAGGCTTCGCCACCGAATCGGAGCTCGTCGCGTACATGGTGGCCCAATTCCAAAGTGAATGCGATAATCCGTTACTCGCCGGAATCGTTTTCGATGATTCGATTGTGAAAGGACTCAAAACCGAAACCGACTTCAAATATACGATTAGACTGTCGAATACTCACAGGAGGTCGAGAAATGTGAGTTGAAAATACAAATCGTTATCCATAAATTCATTTATAAGCGCAATATCTCTGATGAACACAATTCTATCTATAAATCAATCCAAGATATTGTGGATAAACTCAAATGAATCGATATTTTGCAGTCGTTCGGAGACGACGCCTATCCGTGGGACACCTCGGTCGCTTTTGCGATCCAATACGTGAGTGGTCCCATAAATCCGGATGACAGCGACGGAGGATCGCCCGGATACTGGCAGGAAGGATTCATGACCGTGCAGAGGGCCGTCGACGTGGCAATCACTGAGATATTGTCCAATGAGGGACCCTCTTTGTCGCCTCTTTTCGATTCCTACTTTGTGAGTATCAGTATTGTGGATCAACTATATGGATATTTTCAGATCTCCCGCTTCCCGTTCCCTGGATACTCGACCAAGATCATCGAAGTGGGCGCCTACTTCATGCCGGTTATCGTAATTTTCTCGTTCATGACCAGCGTCATTTATATTGTCCGTTCGGTGGTCGTCGAAAAAGAGGACCGTCTGAAGGAGTACATGCGGGTAATGGGACTGTCTCAGTTCATCAACTGGCTCGCACATTTCATCATCAACTACGCAAAACTCACGTTCGCCGTCGTCATCCTCACCGTTTTGCTCCATTTTGTCGCGTTGAAGTGAGGATGTCTGACAAAACTGTCACAACGCTCTTTTTTGTCCTCAGATCCGACATGTCGGTGATGTTCGTGTTCCTGATGGTCTACGCGTTCGACGTCGTCTACTTTGCCTTCCTAATCTCGACGTTCATGAACTCTGCCACCTCGGCCACACTCATCTCCGTCGTTTTCTGGATGCTCCTCTACTTCTGGTACGCCTTCTTCTCGTCGATCGATCAGAGTTCACCGTACTCGCTGGCGGTCCGACTCGTCAACTGTCTCAATCCGGACATTGCGCTCAACTACGGACTTCAGCTGCTCGCCGCCTACGAGACTCAGGCGCACGGACTCAAATGGGCCGAGCTGTTCACTCCGCCGAGTAGGGACAACAATCTGACATTCGGACACGCACTCGGAGCATTGCTCGTCGACGGACTCATTATGGTCATTCTCACGTGGTACATCGAAGCGGTCATTCCGGGCGGCGACGGAGTTCCCCAGAAACCGTGGTTCTTTGTGTTGGTGAGCACCTTTTTATCTGTTTAGAAAAACGTTTGCTGATTTATTGCCAGCCGTCCTACTGGTTCCCGTACTCTGGCTCCAAACAAGTGGCCGCTTCCGGCCAGTACGAAAATGTTCAATACGCGAATCATGTGAGATTGGAAGGCGATCCCGCTGATCTGCGGCCGACTATCAATGTGGTCAACTTGACGAAAACCTACGGAACGTCGTTCTTCAAGAAACTGTTCGATTGCAAATTCGGAAAAAGCGGAGAGAAAAAGGTTGGTTCTAGTGAAGTTTCCTGCAAAATCTTTCCTCTTCAAATCCAATTCCAGGCGGTCAGCGACTTGAACCTCAAAATGTACCCGGGTCAGTGCACGGTCCTGCTCGGTCACAACGGCGCCGGCAAGTCGACGACCTTCTCGATGCTGACCGGAGTGGCTTCTCCGTCCGCCGGCTCCGCCTACATCAACAACTTTGACATCCGCACTTCGCTTCCCTCGATCCGCAGGGAAATGGGTCTCTGCCCGCAGTACAACACACTTTTCGGATTTATGACCGTCCTCGAGCACTTGGAGTTCTTCTCGAAGCTCAAAGAACGGGAATGGAGTGCCGACGAGGCCCGCGAGATTTTGCAAAGACTTCGCATTGATTTTAAGGCCGACGCGCGGGCCGCAACTCTTTCGGGCGGCCAAAAACGAAAACTCTCGCTGGCGATCGCGCTGATCGGCGGCTCTGAAATTGTGATGCTCGACGAGCCGACGTCGGGAATGGATCCGGGAGCCCGGCACGAGACATGGACCCTCATTCAACGCGAAAAAGAACGACGCACCATACTATTGACGACGCATTTCATGGAAGAAGCGGATTTGCTCGGCGATCGCATCGCTATTATGGCTCACGGACAACTCGAGTGCTGCGGGTCGCCAATGTTTTTGAAGCAACAATACGGAGACGGATACCATCTGACTATTGTCTTTTCCACAAATTCGAATGTGACCGCGACGACGGACATCATTCGGGAATACATTCCCGAGGCCCACGTCTTCTCCTACATTGGTCAGGAAGCCACGTACCTTTTGTCCGCTCGACATCGCCCGATTTTCGCGAGACTGTTCAGGGAACTGGAAAATCAGCAGACAAGGTGTGGCATTAGCAGTTTCGGAGTTTCGATCACGACCATGGAGGAGGTGTTTCTGAAGGTGGGACATCTTGCCGAGGAACGATACAATCGCGAGCATGGCATTGAGGACGAGAGCCACGAACTCATCGATAAGGACGATCCGCAGTTGCAGAGTGAGAGCTTTATATCAGAAACACTAGAAACTTTATCAAAAAGCCGCCAATATCATTCACTTTTCAGACCTAAAAGCGCCGATCCGTCTGACGGGAGCGGCCCTCCAAATGCAGCACGCGAAGGCAATGTTCTACAAACGGGCCATCTTCTTCTTCCGCAAATGGACGCAATTCCTGCCGCAACTCGTGTTCCCCGTCGCCTATTTGATGCTGATGGTGTTCACTTCGCAAGTGATTCCGTCTGTGAAAGAGCAGGACCCGCAGACGATCTCTTTGGACGTTTTCTCGGGCACCGACAAGCCGGGACACTTGGTTTCCGACGCGGGCAGCTATGGAGGACAGAATTTGAGCAGGTTTGTTGGGAATGTCAATTATAGAACTCTAAAAAGTTCAATTACTTGGCAATCGCTCGTTAAAATCGATAATTATGTTCCAGCATGGTTCGAGACACGATCACCGCCCTCGGAGTCAACGAAACTGTCGTGGATGTCAACTCCGACGTCGACAAATTCATCATGGACAAGACGAACGACGAGGGGTCGCGAACTTTCGGTCTCCACTACGCGCTTGCCTTCGCACCGTACGCCTTCAAGTTTAGCGATCAATTTTCGCCTATTGACACTCTTAAAAGTGGGATTTTGGAAAACGTTTGAAACTATCATCTGGCTTCTTTCAGCAATGTTCAACAATTTCGGACTCTACACGCCCGCGCTCGCCATCACCTTCACCGATTCGATGATTTTGTCGCAAAAAACGAGTAAGCAGTACACGTTCACCGCCGTCAATCACCCACTTCCACCGTCGACGCAGGACACGTTGAAGACCACCAATACCGGTGATGCGGCCGCGTTTTTGATCTCCTATGGACTTATTGGTAAGCGCGCTTTAGAATATATAGGTGACGACTTTTGAAAATAGATTAATGTTGTATTTCAGTCGCGTTTGCCGTCATTGTCGCCGGCTACTCTCAATTCCTGATCACGGAACGCAAAAAGAAGTCGAAGCACATGCAACTGCTGTCGGGAATCCGTCCGTGGATGTTCTGGCTGACGGCGTTCGTCTGGGACGCCGTGTGGTTCGTCATCCGAATCGTGTGCTTCGACGCCATCTTCTACATCTTCGACATCACCTCCTACACGCACGACTTCGGCGTCATCCTCACCCTCACGCTGTCGATGCTTTTGTACGGATGGACGACGATTCCGTTCACCTACTGGTTCCAGTTCTTTTTCACTTCCGCACCCAAAGGATTCATGATGATCACAATGTATCACATTTTGACGGGAATGATCGGCTCGATTGCGGTGCCGATTATCGCGCAGACTTCCAGTCAGGACGCCGGATTTTTGTGGAGCATCATTTTCGCGTTCCTCTTCCCGACCTACAATATCTCACAAATCGCCACTGTCGTCAGTTTCTTTTTTCTCGTTCAAATTGTCAATCGATAGCAAATGGCTATGCGCAAAATTCGCGAAATTTCAGACGTACAGCAACGAGAACATCCGAATGGCGTGCAAGAAACTCGACTGCTCGGTGCCCGTGTTCAAATCGGTTGTCGCGTGCTGCGGAACCTCTTCCGAACGTCTCTACGTCGACAACGTTCTGCTCGTCGGCAATCGAAAAGGAATCCTCGTTTTTGTCATCTTCCTCGCCGTCCAGGGATTCGTCTACTGGATCTGTGTGTTTATGCGCGAAGGCGGTCAGTTCTCGAAGAGGTTGTCGCTGCTGCTCAAGTGTTGCTGTTGCTACAAAACGGACGAGGACACGATTTGGGACATTGACGAGAACGATAAGGCGGCGATGAGGGATGTGGAGGACTCGGATGTGATTGCCGAGAAGGCCGTCGTGCAGACATTGGCGAATAGTAGTCAGATTGCGCTCGTCACCAATAATCTTGTCAAATGGTCAGTTTTCTAGTGGGGCAGATCAACACGAGTGGCTCAGAAAGTAGTCGATTACACTAGAATTTCTAGATGACAGCGTCGCCCGAAACAACAATATTTTCAGGTACGGAAACTTTAACGCAGTGAAGGGCGTCAATTTCCACGTAAACTCGAAAGACTGCTTCGGTCTTCTGGGAGTGAACGGCGCCGGAAAAACGTCGACATTCCAAATGCTGACCGGCGAAAACTCGATCTCGTCGGGCGACGCCTACGTAAACGGATGGAGTGTGAAGAACGACTGGCGGGAGGCGGGCGCCGCCGTCGGATATTGTCCCCAATACGATGCGGTCATCAAGGAAATGTCCGGCGAGGAGACGCTGTACATGTTTGCGAGAATTCGCGGAATTCCCGAGAAGGAGATTGCGGTTAAAGTGCAAGCAGTGATCCACGCGATCGGCATCGGCATGTACGCGAAACGCCAGATCAAAACCTATTCGGGCGGCAACAAACGACGTCTCTCGCTCGGAATCGCTATTGTCGGTCTGCCGGACGTGCTGCTCCTCGACGAGCCCACTTCCGGAGTGGATCCGAAGGCCCGTCGCATCATCTGGAACATTTTGAACCGCGTGCGCGACCTCGGCACCGCCCTCGTACTCACTTCGCACAGTATGGACGAGTGCGAGGCGTTGTGCACCGAACTGGCGATCATGGTTTACGGTAGGCGTCGGGTTACGGTAGCTGTTATCATGAAATGACATTTCAGGAAAGTTCCGGTGTTACGGTAGTTGCCAACACATCAAAAGTCGGTATGGAAGTGGGTACACTTTGTTGGTCCGGCTCAAAAATCGGGTGGATGCCGAAAGGACTAAAGCGGTTGTTCGGGAGACGTTCCGAGGAAGTCATCTTAAGGTGAGACACTTTTCAAAGAGGTCAAAAGTAGGTCACGACCTTAGAAATCAGGCAAAGTCCTCAAAAAACTAGGTGACGTCTAGTTAATTTTTCAAAGTCATGTATCTTGATCAATTTTCAATATTTTTTGACGATTAAAAAATTGATTGAAAGACAATTTCGAGCTCTACAACTTTGGTGCAGATAATTGTTCACCGTCACGCTTCTGCGCCGAGATAATTGCGTTTTACTTGAGGAGGAGCACATTCTCCAACTGAACTACGACATTCCACGTGGCGGAGACTCGTGGTCGCGTCTCTTCGAAAAGTTGGAATCGGTGTCGACGTCGTTGAACTGGGACGACTACTCGCTTTCGCAAACCACTCTGGAACAAGTTTTCATCGAATTCTCGCGAGATGCCGGCGCCGGAGCATCGACGCCCACGCACGAAGAGCAGCATTCGGTGAGCTCACGCGGAAAGCGAGCATTCGATAATCGGGCACTGACAATCGAGAGTGACACCGAAAGTGCCATGTACTTTTGATCGGGCTTCCATGATCTGTGTGTATTCGATGCGATTTTCTTTCTTGCCTCTCTTCCCTCTCATTATTTTTTGTTTTAACAGAATAAGAATAAGAGGTTTTATGTATCAATAAACATTTATATTTTAAATAAAGTTTGGGGAGTGTCGAGTCAAGAACACAACGATTGTCAAGTAGAACAAAAGATTGATAAGAGGAAATTAGAGGACAAGTGAATGAATTAAAAGCTGATGTATTGTTCACAGCCCTAGCTTCATTATTTCCCCGAGAACATGGGAAGGAAGTTGTGAAAATGTGGGATGACTGAAGATTTGTTTGAACGATCCCGTAGATCTCACTGCCTTGAGAGAAGCTTCCTGAATCACAAAAACAATATCAACAACTATCGAAATGTCGAACTTGCCAAGAGTAATGGAAGATTGTACTTTCCAGCGTATTCCAACTTATCCATCAGATCCATTCCGTCTTTGAGAACCAAATACTCCTCACATTTATCCAACAGTTTGGGGACTTTGAATTGGTGTGCCAGCACAAGAAGGGAATCCACGCTGAACACTGAAATAAGGGAATATTTTATAGTAACGCAAATACAATAGCTAGAACACTGACCGGTAACTGGTCTGGTCGGATGGTAGATGTGAGTCAGCAGTTTCTCGAATTGCAACGGCTCAACATTGAATAGTTCAATCTTTTGAACATCTTCAGAGTATGGTCCATAGAAGCGTTTCATGAAGTATTCGGATGCATTGGCCAGTATCTGAATGAAGAATTATTGGACAGAATTGAGACTAGACCCACTTGTTTACTGACGTAGTACTGGAACGTTTCCACTTCGATCTCCACATCCGTCAAATCAGTTTTCTTCTCGAAATCAGTGCTGAACCGATATTCAGTGATTTCCTCTTTTTCCGTACAATACTCCTGAACAACAGATTCTTTATTTCTGCAAGTTTGAAATCAGATTAAACCTCCGGCACAAGTTTCCATTCCAATATGGCCACCTTCATTCCTTGACTCAATTGCTTGTACTTTGGAGTTGCAATAACTGATTGCAGCAACGCCTCATCTTTCAGTTTATGCAGAAACACTTTCTTCAGTTCTGGCAGCGGGTACGTATCCACCAAGTGCAACATTTTCATCGTATCCTTGAATTCCATCTTCTTCAGAATGACATCGCACCGCTCGAAACACTCGGGAGCCTTGAAGTGTTCGATGAGTTTGAGTACTCTTTCAATGTTCTCCTCTGAAAATGATCAACAGTCGGTAATAAGTATTCTTCCAATGTTCACCTGAAATGTCCGTGTCATAATTATAGACGAGTTCCAGAAATCGAACAAAATCTTCGAGTTTTACGTTAGTAATGTTGCCACCATTTCCTGAACGGAATGTTTGCGCAAAGTGAGCGGATTGCTGGGCGAGAATCTGAATATTGGTACTGTGAGGGCATAAGTGACTCTCATCATCTTATCAGCACGAATTTGGTGTTCTATGTACAACTGTGTTCTTTGTTGTGTACTACGGGCCAAACATCTGAACAAATTGATCTACCCACAAAAAGATCGATATCCGAACGACCGGAGAGAGAAAAAGAGTTTGAAATGAATAGCATACCTTTTTGGATACGTGCAACTGCTTTCCCTCAATCACGAGTACAACATCCGTCATTTTCCGCATTGGTCTATCAATTCCTTTTCCTGTTCTCTCATCAATTCCCAAAATACGATAAATTCGAACGTATGCTTCCAGAACGAATTTTCCATTTTTCACATATCCGTTCGCGGGATCGATTAGTTTATTCCATTCGATGAATTCGGGCGATCCCCAGCTTGGCGACGACTTGTTGAACCAAGAAACACCAATGCTTCTCGAGTATTGTATTCCCGTCGAGCTGGCAATTCGGAAATCGGCATTAGCTTCACACATCCACCAGTCACTCTTGTCGTCCGAGTTTATGTACAAGAACACTTCCATATAAGTAACGCCACGATCGTCATACTTTAGATAGGATAGTTTGCTGAAAATAAAAATCTGTATAGAACACGGGAAAGTGGAAAATAATACCATGGCAGTCCATTGATTGTGAATGAATCGGTGAATTGGTCATCGTTTGTAACTTGATTAATATTCACGGTGAATTCCATTTTCTCACCGTGATTCGAACAGTTCTGCAATCATTTTAATGTGAAAGTAGGGATGATTCTTTGTAAATCTTACATCGTCGCTTTCATTTTTGAGAATAATCATTTTATCTTGAGTATTCGGCCTCTCTTCCTCGAAATCAAGAGTCCGTCTCGGAATTCCGTCCTCTGATTGCAGTTCAACAGTACATTCCACCAGAATCTTTCCGTCTTTCGAATACTTTTCGATCTCATTCCATTTCAGAAACAGGGGATATCCCCAAGATTTGTCCTCTTTGGTGAATTGACTTGCACCACTCGAGACAGCACTGTGACTCTTGTGATCATTCAAATTTATCAAACGAAACGAGCGAGTCACGTGTACTGTTTTTCCTTGTTTGATTTCAGAAAGACAAAGGAGATAGACACTCAAATACTTTTGATTGTCAGTTCTCTCTGAGCATTCCGACAATACTTCAATGCGCCTAAACAACATCAATTTATTCTGAATGACTGCTCCAATTTACCATTTTCTTGTTCCTATTTGATGCGTATTTCCGTATCGCACACCCCTCAAGCTCTGAATATCGTCGATTTCCGATTGAATAGTCCGTTTGATTGGATAGACGCGAGAGTTGAATTCGGAATTGACGGACATTTCTGAAAAAAGTCATTCGAAAATTGGAAATGACAAACTAAGACGGGAAAAAGGGAAATAAACTGACTGCGAGTGCTCCGTTATCAGCTTTTATATAGAGAGAAAAGTGCGTAAACAATTTCCGAGTGAGGAAGAAAATGATGACGGAATTGGAGATGTTTGTACTCTTTCTATTTCGAAACTATTGCTACCTCTAATATTCATTCAATTTTAGTCTCTATGGCTAGACTTTAAGAATGCATATTGTAAAGAAAGGAAATATTAACAGAAACCTGTCAATATCGAGTCGTCAATTCAGATCCATCAGAGCTGGGACCAATTTGATAGGATCGACATAACTTCCTCCTCAAACATATGATAAGTTTCCAGAAAATTCCGAAAAACGATTTGACAGTCCGCTTATTGAAAAAGTTGAAGCGAAACATTTCACCTGTCCGGGCAACGTCATTTCTTGAGCATATGTTAGACATCGATTCGACAATTCAAGCAATATTAGTGTGTAGGGTAGGGTACGCTAGGGGAAGAAGAAGAAGAAGAAGAAGATGGTAGTGGCGACTGAGAAAGCTGGTCGCCGATCCTGCCGAATGAGTTTTCCACTTCATTCTGAAAATTACGAAAAATAGTTTTTAATTACCAAATAAGCTGACAGCCTCATTCAGCAGCCGAGTTATTCTCTCGATCAGGCGCTCCAGTGATATCTCCGCCTGTCAAAACGACGTTTCCTGCGTCGAAAGAGCAAACTCGACATCTTTCGTTGGTTCCGCTCCTTCCGTTGTCGTCGTCTTTCTGCCTTCTTCGTCACAATTTTCGGCCGTTTCTCTTGCAACAGTTCCCATCGGCAAAACCAATTGGAAAACGCCAAGTACACACTGGAAAGGATCAACATGGACTTTTGTTATTCATTTTTCGGAACACTTCTCTTCGAAAACCAATCCGCCACCCCCCCAGTTACTTACTTATTTCTGCCGTCTCCCCCGCCAATCAGACCGCCTATTCAATTCGCATTCAATGTTCATTTCTGAGAACTTTGAGACGGCCTAGCCTCTATATAAAACCATCGAAAATTATCAGCGCGAACATCGAAACCGAAATGGTGATGCCCGTTTTTTTGCGCTGCGCACAATATTTCGGATTCGTCTCCACCGAAATTTCAACCTCGCTCTTACTTTGGCTCATTCTCACAAAAGCGTCGAGTCGCTTCGGAGACTACAAGTGGCTGATGCTCTCCTACGCGATTTACTCGATCATTTATGGATTTGTGGAAATTGCCGCTCAACCGGTTAGTTGTTTAGCACGTTGCTTAGCTTTTCACACGTCCTGGCCTAGAGACGTTTAAAATCTTTCAGACGCTTAGAAATAGGGTCCCATGGCCTAGAGAAATAGTGTGTAAAATGAAGAGACACAGAGAAAAGGACTGTCATAACTACCGTATCACGATTCAATCGATAGTTTTCGGTTACTGTAGGCTACTCCTACGACCCTTCCTTCATCTCTTGTTTTCAACTTTTCCAGATAATGCACGTGGACGGAGCGTGTATGTTCATGTACGCCGACAGTTTTCTGAAACACAACAAGACCCTCGGACACCAGCTGACCTCCATATATTGTGCATCGTTCGGACTGTGCGTCTCACTTCTCGCCACCCATTTTCTGTATCGATTTGTGGCGGTTTGCAGGCATTTCACACACTTTTCTATAATCACACCTATCAAAAAAATGTTCAGACCAAACGATTTGCACCGATTCGAAGGCGTCAAATTGTTGAAATTGTACATCTTACCCACTTTCGCAAGTGTTTTATGGTATTTAGTGTGTGCGTCGTTGGGACCGACACAACTCAAATCGGAATACATGAGGTACACAAAACAGTTGGAGATTTTGTGATATCAACTCTTTCAGGGATGTGATCTGGGAGAACTATCGTGAAAACACGTCCGAAGTTGGCTACATGGCTGTTTTGTATTATGTGAGTGTAACTCGGTTATTTTCGAATATTTTTAGGGAGTTAAAAACGATTTTGAAAGATAATTTCATGCTCTACAACTTTCTAGTTGATTATTTTTCACGATTAAAACTCTCCGCCGAGGTATTTGCACTTTTCTGAAACTCATTTTGTGACAATTGTAAGGGTCGCGTTTTTGTCGAAATACTATAAGACAGAGACAATTTAACAAAACGTTGTCAATTGGAAAGTTGTAGAGCTTGAAATTATCTGTCAAACTCTTTTTTAACTTTGAAAAAATATTAAAAATTGACAGAGAAACAATGTTTTTCAGTACACCGATAATCTCGGAAACTTGGTGATTCACTGGTGGGACCTTCTTTGCGTTCTTCTTGTTTTTTGCATTATGGTACGTCTACTGAATGATTTGTGCTAATCGAAACGTTTTTCTAGGGAAGCTGTATAATGACAATGTTGACGTGCGGCTGCAAAACGTTTCATAAAATGGATAGTGTCGGCTCGTTGAGCAAAAAAACTAGAGAACTGAACCGACAACTGTTTCGGACTCTTGTTTTGCAGGTTTGTCCGATTTACACGTTTTTTTTTTGTTTTTTTTGTGCTCGACCCTCTTCAAAAGAAGGATTAGACACGCTAAAACCCGCCCCAAAAAAAAAAAGACCAGAGAAGCCCGGCCAGTGAATTGTGAATTTGCAGACGCTGGTCCCGTTCTGCACAATGTTCGCCCCGGTTGGATCCCTACTGATCGTTCCGATGTTCTCGATAAAAATCGGAAAAGCGGCGAATATGCCGAGTATGTACGCCTCTTTGTACCCGGCTCTCGACGCGTCGATTGCCATTCTAATGATCCGAGACTTTCGCGAAACTGTACTCTGTAAGCGTTTTTGCTCTGAATTTTCGCTTAAATGAATCGAATTTTCAGGTCGCCGAAGATTCGGAAGACGGAAGAACACTGTGAATACAACGACGGAATCCACGAGTCACATGCCTGAATAATATGTTTATATTGTTGTAGTAAAGCTTTACTTGGCAAAATTATGGAGCAACTTTAAGTTGATGTATCTCATTCATTTTTCGAGATTTTTTGAGAGTTAAAAGATAATTAGAAAGACAATTTCATGCTCTACAACTTTCTATTTGAGCATTTATCACGATTACAACTTTTCGCCGAGATATTGTCACTTTTCTAGAACGCATTTTTCTTTTTGTCGAAATACTATAAGACAGAGACATTTTAGCGAAACGTTGTCAATTGGAAAGTTGTAGAGCCTGAAATTTTCTTTCGAATTGTTTTTTAACTTTGAAAAAATATCAAAAATTGACGAAGATACACGGAAAATTATAATGGCGGCGTGTCGAATGCCTCGAATTTGTCCAACTTTCTGTCCTCCTCCCACACGTTGTAATCGCCGAAAACTCCGATGAAATCATGGTCGATGAGCACCAAAAGAGCACCATTTTCCGATCCGATCCGTTTGTAAACCCGATAATTTCGCTCATTTCGGCAGATAAATGCACTCGATCCGAGCATTTCGTCCACTTCGATCGCATCGAAATTGTGGCATTGCAGTTTGAAATCATTGAATGATGGGGTGATTAGTGCGTGCTGAAAACATATGGGAATTGAAAACCATGTTCGAAAAGTGGACATTTTCTATTGATTTTGAACCAGGGCTGGGCACAAGGCCGGCTTTTTGAGGCCTGGACTTTTGACCCACTTTCAATGATCCGATCGGGCCCAAACTTTGCAGACTTCCTGGAAGTATATTGGGACAAAGTTAAAGACCGATCGGATCATCCGGTACCGAGAAATTTGGATCAGAGCTCGAGAAGGCCGCAATTTTCGCAAAAACCCGAAGCGGTCATACAAATTTGGAGCCAACATGAAAAGTGCGTGTAAAAAGCTCACCCGAATGAGTTTCTTCACTTCCTGCACTGAAATCTCCGCCAAAGTCGCTTCAAAATCGTCCAAATGCAGCAATTGTTCGATGGAAATTTGCACTTGGAATCCATCGGCCACGTGGAACTTTTTGAGCATTTTCCACTGATCCGTCTCGATTATTCTGCTCATTTTCACCGTCTTCACACGAAAACTATTGTCCTCTTCTTCTTCTTCTTCTTCTTCTTCTTCTCCATCTTCATTCGAAAAGGTAATCGATTTCAGAGTTCCCGGCTCGAAAAACGGCAAAATCTCCATTAAACTTCGCTCATTTCCCTGGCATCCAATTGTCAATTCTTGAACTTTCAGACGGCGTTTCGGGTCGAAAAATCGATTTTTTATCGTTTTCATCGTCTTGTTTTTCTTCGATCCAAACTTGATTTCATCTTTTTTCTCTTGAATTTTATGAAAATTCCACACGGATTTTGTTCGTTTCGACGGTTTCGAAAACGAAATTAACAGAGAGGCCACCGAGATTTTCGGCGTTTTCAGTACGGTTTTCGCCGCGTCGCAAATGGCCATTTTCCAGCAATCTCTGTGCGTTTTCAGCGTTTCGAATTCGCCTTTTCGCACGTAGACCTTGTCGCTTCGAAGCCGATGATATCCGATCCGATGGTCGATCTGATGAGACTGTTCTCCGAAGCCGAGCGCCGCGAATTTCGACGAAAAGTGCAATTGGAGGTAGCCGAATTTCATCGGAATCGAGTTGACCGCACTTCGGAGCGTTCGGCACGTGTTGCGGAGGGATCGTCTGAAAAAATATTGTTCAATTTTCGGTACAAAACACGGCGCCCCCGTCTTTCAATGCGCAAGCGAGTTCTCAATAGAGCGCGTTTGCATCAGCACTGAAAATCTGTAAAACAACAGTTCCGAGGCAGAACTGTCGCGGATAAGAACCTACCTGCAGGTGGTTCTTGTTAAAAAAACAGTTCTGGCTCGGCGTAGCCTTTATTTTAGACTCAAAAGTGTAAAAATTACGGTAGTTTTTTAAAGGCGCAGCATCGATAATATTTCGCTATCTTGACTCACCTCGAGTTCCAATCCAATTCCTCTATTATCGCCGTCATTATGTGCGGGGGCATTTCTTCGAAAATAGGCTCTGCCCTTTTGAAAATCATCTGAAATATGTTTTTTTGCGAAAAATAAATTGATAAATTACGAAGTGGACCCGAGAAACGATGACTTTATGGTGCCCCGGGGGGGAGAATCGTGTTGTGTGCGCTAGAGCGCATTTGCATCATTTCCTAGAAGTGTACTTTGAAAAATCATAAGTTTTTTCGGAAAAATGCTAGAAAATCACACTTGGGCTTGAAAAGCAGAAATCGTCTGGAGAATTAGGGAAAAATACGAAAAAAGCGTGCAAATACTTCATCTAATGACTCAATTTGATCAGCTGGGACATATCACACACTTCCGCGCATTTTGTACCCTACTCTATTGTCTTTGTTCCATAATTGTGATTTTATATCATTTTGAACATACTTGGCAAAATCCGGGCCAAAAAAAAACAACAATTCTCCCAGGCGAATAAACATACTCGCAAATGTTTGTCATTCCGGTCTGTCTCTCACGTGCAACAAGAACATTCACTCCGGACGATGAGCAGAAATTCGTGGAAGGCAAGTATCGATGCGTTGACTGTCGCGTTGGAACCGTGGACATGAACATCAACCAGAGAAAGGATCATCTGCGAGAGCTTCTCGATTCCCTGAGTGCACAGTTAGAGAATAATGTGGATGTGCTGCAAGATGTGATTGCTGAACGAGAGAAACTCGATGGGATTCTTAAAGAATTTGTGATGAGTCAGACCGACAACAAGATCAAATCGGATGCGAATATCGATCGCATCGAAGAAGTGGTCGATTTGCTCGATTTGCAACCTGATGCTTCTGTGACTCCGAAGCTCCATCTTCTCAACAGCCTCGCGAGTCGTTTCGCTTCCGTCCGGGACGTGAGGCTCCACTTCGTTCCGTCCGAGAGCATCATTCCGCCGTCTCCATTCTGTTCTTCCAAACACTGCTTTTCCCCAGTCTTCGAGGATACCTAGAACAACGTTTTTCCGGGGAAGCATTTGGAGTTCACCCAAACTGACCCCGATTTTTTATTTTTTCACTTCTTCAAACGGTCACTTCCGTTTCTCACGAGCAGCAAATCAAGTGTTCCGCGTATTCCTCAATGTTCTCGCCTCTGAAACAAGGGTTTTACGGAGAGTATCTCAAGTTCCTGTCAAACTGACCGCTTTTCATCAACTTTATTCTTTTTCCATTATTCGAATCTGTAAGAAGTAGAAAAAGTGATTAAAAAATCGAATGAAAATTGATTGCGAACATGCATCCGAAAATAACTAAACAGCAGCCGATTACGCGAAATGATGCAATCTTGCTACGACACTCCGTCCTTACACCGGCGCCCTCTTTAGCATTCGCGCTCTGGGAGACCGTGGCGTCTTTCCGGTCTCGGAAAGCAAAAATCAAGTGGTTCTGGACGAAAATATGATTGAAATGAAAGAAAACGAAGCCAAGGAAAATATGGAAGAGTCAAGCAAAGCTGAACACCAAAAATTTGAACGTTTGGCTAAACTTGCAGCGAAACTTGCATTTCCAGGTGAAAACGAATTCAAAAGTCTCATTGACTGGGCAAATGTTTATGAATACGCTATGTACAAGATTTTTCAAGTTTTATGTGAAAAAAAAACGCGACAAAGTACCGGATGAAATGCGTCAAGAAGACATCCAGATTCCGCTGTTTTTTCGTCTCCTTCGTTTTCAGGGCATGGTACGGTTTTTGAGGGACCTTGACGCTGCGGAATGCGGAATGGTGTCCACTTGGATGCAAGAAGAAAGTCCGAGACGCAGGGCAACTCGGCGGAAGAAGAAGTTTGCAGACTTTTCGTGGCTTCAGCATGAAAACGGAACTGATCGAACCCAATCATGACCTGATTGACTTCCTGGTTTATAGCCTCAATCGTCTTTTTGTGGACTTTTTCAAAATGATTCTTATTCTGAAAAAGTTGAGCTTTCCGACGTGTTTTCAGCGAAAAGTCCGGTCCCCCACACGCGGCAGATTAACAAGGAAAACGAGGGCGACGCTCCGGCAAATACTTCTTCGTGCGCCATTTCGGCGACGAAGACGCGGTGCTCTCGTTCGAATTTCGCTCTTTTGCGCTTCCTTCACACACGGTCTCCAGAGCTGACAATGGACGCAGGCGCGAAATTCAAATTTTAACAGTAAAATTAGTGTTTTTTGCCAGATTAGCCACGAAAAACCGATAATTTCCGATTTGTCTCTCGATAGACCGATTGTATAGGCTATTACGAATTTTTTAAGCGCTAGAGCGTTAAATTTGGTCAAGTCGAATGTTTTTGGCTAAAACTGCGTGAATTTCAGTTGCTTTTCGGTAATTTTCGCTGTTCGAGCGCTCAAAATGCTTGTATTTACGTGATTTATCATTCTCAAAACCAACTCTGTCTGAAAACGGTCAAGAAAGCGCAAAATGAGAAGTGCGGTTTTTAGGCGGCGATCGGCGGCGAAGACGAAAAAGCAAAGTCCGCGAAAAATGCGCCAAAACGTCATTAATTCTCGAGAATTAGTGTGTTTTCATGTCGAACAATCATTTTTCATCGCCGTTGACCACAAAAATCAGAGAGAACCTGCTCAATTCATGAAAACGCCATTTGGCCGAGGCCACGCCCATATTGTCAGCACTGGAGACCGTGAATTCAGCACAATTTCACGGCGTTTACTAGGTTCTGAACAATTCGTTTTTGCACTTTCTGCTAGTCTTTAGCCGTACGGTTTCCCGATCGATCGATCGCAAATTTATGTTTCTATGTTTGTGCGTTGTGTCCACCACTGTACACTTTTCTCTGCGTCTCGCCAATGTGTGTACTCTCTCTCTCTCTCTCGTTTGTGTCATCATTGCGAGACGGTCGGTAGAAACACGCGCACTTCTTTTCTTTCACTCTTTTTTTTCATTTCATTTCATTTCATTTCATTTTATGTTTCCGTTTGTTTCAGTGCATTTTTGCTTGCGTCTTCATTGATTTTGTCGACTTTTGAGAGTGTGCCCGTATATTTGTTGAGCTGCATTTATCGAACAAATTGTGATCTACCCATTTTGCCACGTCATTTCCCTATGCCTTTGCGACGAAAATAATGCAAACCAAAAACCACATCATCCTCGTTTCTGGGCCTCCCCGCCGACGCGCGATTTGTGATCACAAATTTTTGTGCCCTGTGCCTAGACTCTCTCTCTCTCTCTCCGATTCGCAATTTGTGCCCGAACACAACTTTTTGAATGGATATTGTCGAGTTGCGAAACGTCCTATGGTTGCCAAAATGATTTTGTGAGTAGATGATATCTAGAACTTTACTTTTCCTGTTGACACTTTTTCTCTACGACCAGTCCCTGGACTACTGTAGCTCTTGGAAGTTCGCACTGTAATCCAGTGGCTACTGTGAACCTCAACTTCCAAGCGCTACAGTAATCCAGGGAGGGGTCGTACAGAAAAAATGTCAACTACAAAAATGTAGTACTAGATGTCAAGTCCTCACAAAAAAATTTTGGCAACCATAGGACATTTCGCAACTCTACAATATCCATTCAAAGTTGTGCCTCTCCATTTCTCATTGAACATTTTGTAGCAGTTCTGTGATTTTTGTTGCTTTCGCGACTAGTAGCCGAACTTTTCCGATGCTGGCCTAAGTTTCACAATTACGACCACGTCATCTTTCTGATAAAAACTTGATCGTTTGTTTGACTAACAAGTGTAAATTACAATGAAACACAAGTCTTCTGACGTTACTTTGTCAAATTTCTCGGGAATTTGTAGAAAAATCTCAAATTTCAGTCCATTCCAATGCTGGAGATCGATCAAATCGAACTGCCGTCGAGCTCCGCCTCCAGTCCTTCGGACCAATCGATTCGCAGTGGAAAATCCGAGAAAACGCTTCGAAAATCCGGAAAACCGTTTCAATTTGTGCCGAGCGCGTGTCAAGTTTGTCTCGGAAAAGCCACTGGACACCATTATGATGTACGCCGTTTTGTTTGTGGTCATCGTGGTGATCGTTGCGGGACCAGGCGATTTTGGGCAGACCAATTTGAAGACGGTTTTCAGGTAGCCTCCTGTAATGGCTGTAAATCGTTCTTCCGGAGGGTGACCATCGAAAAACTGAAATACAAGTGTCAGGCGGAAAGACAATGTTTTGACGGCATGAAACCTGGCGGTGAGTCTTTATTATACACGAAAATCGAAACGAAAAACCACATTTCGAGATCCGGTCCCAAAATGTCGAGCGTGTCGATTTCAAAAATGTCTGGCGGCCGGAATGAATCATTTGGGAATTCAGTCGGAACTTCGGAAACTTGGCGAAACTTTATCGAGTGAGAAGACAAGGGAATGCACAGATATTGTCGTTTTACCGAAAGTGAGTGTTGTTTGTCTTTAAAGGACTATATCTCGATAACTAATAAGCATTTCAAAAAGTTGTCAACTGCAAAATTGTTGCAAATTTTGTGCTAAACAACTTTGTAATTGATCATTTTATCCCAAACTTCTTCATTTTCGAGTTGTGCCTCTTTTTCTAAACAGTAGGTGTTCATTTGCAACATTTCAGATTGTGGAACCGCCAAAATCGATAGAAGCCCAAGTGGCCGACCTCATAAAACATCTCGTGAATCTGGACATGAAAACATCGGCATTCCGAGACTGTACATACAATCCGACGAGTTTTCCGTCCCTAAAAGATGCCATCAGAAATGAGCATTCGATAATTGGTCTCGCCGATCGAATGCCGGTGAGTAATACGACTTAAACGTGGTGTCCAACGTGACAAACAACATATTTTTAAAATAAACTTCGAAGTGGGGCATTCATTTTCCCAAAGTCCCGAATTACGCAAAAAAAATTCCCCGATTTTTAGGATTTTTTTCAAAAAAGTTAATGGTACCGAGAGAAGTACACGGCGAAATGGAAGAGCTGGCCCAGATTTTTCTAGTCCCCGGATGGAATTCCCCTTTTTTTCCGATTTTTTTCCGTTTTCGTGCAATTTTCTTAAATTTTCAATCGTTTTTTCACTGAACACACTTATTTGCAATATTTAAAAACATTTATAATTTTATCTGTGCCGTGACGCCACAAAAATCGATAATCTGAAACTTTTTTTTGTTGTTGTTTTTCCGGGTTTTTCGCTCAATCTTCGGTTTGCGCGCTGAAAAATAAATAGAAAGAGATCGCTCAATCATTTCCTGAGTCTAAATTAAAGTTTGCGAGTTACAGAAAAAAAAGAAAGTTATATTTTTCAAAGTAATGCGAAAAATCCAAAACTTTCCATTTTCAGTTTTACAAAAAGTGGCTGAATTTTGAACGTTTCAGATTATCGATTTTTTTGGCGTCACGGCACAGAAAAAATCATAAATTTTTTTTAAATATTGCAAATAAGTGTGCTCAGTGAAAAAACGATTGAAAATTTAAGAAAATTGCGCGAAAACGGAAAAAATCGGAAAAAAGGGGAATTCCATCCGGGGACTAGAAAAATCTGGGCCAGCTCTTCCATTTCGCCGTGTACTTCTCTCGGTACCATTAACTTTTTTGAAAAAAATCTTGAAAATCGGGGAATTTTTTTTGCGTAATTCGGGACTTTGGGAAAGTGAATGCCCCACTTCGAAGTTTATTTTAAAAATATGTTGTATGTCACGTTGGACACCACGTTTAAACCTCGACGCGTTTAGCGCAGTAAGAACGTCCGAGATTGTTTTTCTGTTTTCAGCCGATGCCCGGATGGCCACTAGCGCCCGACGTGATCGCCGAAATAAAAAAGCCGAACGCGAGTCCGGGAACGCCGCGAACGTTCCCGCCGCACGTGAAACGGTGGCTCATGTACGATCTGCTGACGATTGTCGAAATGGCGAAGACGTTTGACTTTTTCAAAAAGTTATCCGAAAGCGATCGAGTGAGCAGTGTTTGATTATTGTCGGATTCCAAAAAAGTACAGTGTTCCAGTTCTATCTGTGTCGTGACACCGCGCTAATGGTTTCCAATTTGACGAGAGCATTTTTCTGTTTCGAAAAGAATCGAGATGATATGATTCGGCCGGATGGACAAGTTTTGAGCCAGCAGCCGCCGACTTGGTAGGCATTTTGAATTGAAAACGAGGAAGCATTGAATTGTTTAGGTTGCCGGTGGACATTCATCAAAAGCTCATCCGAGACATTCTGAAAAGAGCAATCGGGAGCTTGATCCGGCTGAAATGCTCGAAAATTGAGTTCCTCCTCCTTCGCGCCATTGTGTTGTGCAATTCCAGTGAGTTTTTGTAAATGCGAACAACCGATTGCGAGCAAAAAAACACGCATTTGAATCAATTTGCAGCGGCGCCAGAAATCTCGGCGGAAGCGCGATCGATTCTCTCGCTGGAAAGATGCAAGTACACGCGCGCGCTGCTCAACTACGTGATGGCCAACAACGGAATGGACGGTCCCGGTCGGTTCGCCCAAGTTTTGAATATTATCGATGTGCTCGAGCATCAACAAAAGGACCAGAGGGACATTAATGTGTACCTTGCATTGTACCGCCCGAAATGGGTCAAAGTACCACTGCTCGATGATGTTATGCTCACTTGTTAGGCCTCTTTTTCTTTTTTTTTTGTTGTTCAAACTATCGACTATCATGGGTATCCTCAATTGTTGGCTTTAATCCCCCCCAATTTTCTCGAAAATTCTGCACCGATAGGTTGCTCGGCTCTTGCCCCAACTTTCAAATAAACAATAGCGTTCCCAAACTATCAGATTTCAAGCTCCGCCCACTTTTGCACAAAAGTTTACACTTGATCTGTTTTGTTTATTCAATTTATTCAATTTACTCATTCGACACAACTCACCTCTCATGTTCCGGTCTCCGAAAACTTGTGGTCCCATGTGGCCCCTGTGGTTTGTCATTGGTAAGTGATGGGGAAAAAAATTGGCGCCGATTTTTTTAAAGGTTTTTTTTCAGGATTATTGCTTTCTGGAAATGTGCTCGGCGAGCTTGATCCGGAGAAAAATCTGACACAAGCATTGCTCGTCGGTTATAATCCGAAAATTCGACCGGTCAAAGTGGAGACTACAGTGACCCAAGTCACAGTTTTTCTCAACATTGCTCATGTGGAGAAAGTGGTGAGTTTTACGTAGGGGCCACAAAGTGATTAACAAAATTGTGAATTTCGGGAAAACACTTATCGGAATGTGTTCTAGTGCTTAAAAATAGTACATTCCCAATTTTTTTTTGAAAAATGTTCGGTACTTCTCGAGTTATGAACGTTTTTGGTTTGCGCGTTTGCACTGAAAATTCAGTGAGCGAAAGGGGCGGAGTCTATTTGGTGGCGGCGACGCGCTCCCACTCGGGGAACAAAATGGAGAGCGCGGACAGTTTTATCACAAAAATTAACTTTTTTTCAGTAAAAATGTTGTCTTTATCGAATCCAAAAGTAAACAACGAAAAATTTTGGAAGTGGGTTCGAACCCGCGACCTCTCGATTAGTGGTTTCAGCACTTGCCACTTTACCACCCGGGCGCGAGCGCGGCCGCTGCTCCGTTCAGTTGATGTGCGCGGTGTTCGCAGTCACTTTCTAGCATGAAAAAGTTACTGAAAATGCGCAGGAAACTGTAATTTGTGACATTTCGCCAAGTAAAACGGATGTTCCCTAAAAGAAATCTGGTGTAGTTTTTTGTGCTGAATCCGATTCTGCCGTCAAAATCCCGGTGCCGGACCAGTGTCAACCCGAAAACTCCAAAAAACTGATTTTTCGGGCGAACACGGTATGTTTGACAAAGTTAAAAAGTATCTTATAGGTGTCCAAATGATCTGAAATTTTGTACAGGGATACTATACGAGTTTCTTAACACATTCCGAAAATAAAAATCGGGGGTCACCGCTGAAAATTTTTTTCAGTTTTAAGTGGCAATTGAACTGTCTGAAATTGATGTTTCGCCAAGTAAATCTTTAATTCTGACTTCAAAAACGGATTCAGCATGTCAAGAACTATCGGAATGCATATTGGGAAGCCCGGTGCCGGACTTATATTGACCCCAAAAAGTTCCTCGAACTGACACTGTCCGAACATTTTGCTGTTTTCGCGCTTGTTCGCAAAAACCATGACAGTTAGGCTCAAACTGACTTAACCAATGGATTCTACGTGGTTGATTACATAAAGTAATGTTGTTAGGACAATCATTTATCATTCTGAGTCCGCGCCACAGGCTCAGAAAGACGGAAAAATGAAATCCACTGAAAAATTTCGACGCCCCGCCCCCTCCACTTTGTGGCCCCTAGTTTTACGGTTGCGAAACGTCCTATGGTTGCCAAAATTTTTTTGTGAGTAGATGACGTCTAGTACTTTATTTTTGTAGTTGACACTTTTTTTGTATGACCACCCCCTGGGTTACTGTAGCGCTTGGAAGTTGGCACTGAAACTTGACTGCGCTCAGCGAGGCCTAACTTCCAAGAGCTACAGTAGTCCAGCGAGTGGTGGTACAGCAAAAATGTCAACTACAAAATTAAAGTACACGTTGAGTAGATCATTTTTGTAGTGAACAACTTTTTTGTATCACCAGCCCCAAAAGTACTGTAGCTCTTGAAAGTTGAGGCTCGCTGAAAGCAATGCCAACTTCCAAGACCTACAGTAATCCAGAGAGCGGTCGTACAACAAAAGTGTCAATTGCAAAAATGTTCCACTAGATGTCATATAACCCCAAAAACAATTTGGCAACCATAGGACGTTTTGCAACACCGTACAGTATCCGGTCAAAGTTGATCATTGGATGCTCTCGAAATATTGTCATTCTCTCGGTTTCAGGACGAAAACGAGCAGACCGCTTTGGTGCACGGTCATCTGTGGGCCTCGTGGACCGACGAGTACTTGCAATGGAAACGCGGTTCGAATAATATCACAAAAATTCAACTTCAAGCTTTTCGCATCTGGCAACCGGCTCTCGCGCTTTATAACAGGCTAGTTTGTGTCTATATAAGTATTGTAGCGTTCACAAAAATTCCGATTTTTTTGCAGTGCTCGCGGAAACACGTGGCATTTGTACATGAACGGACTGCCCGCCACCGTCTATTATACGGGAAAAGTGTGGGCGAGCGGCACGTTCTCGTTTCACGTCACTTGCCAATTCGACTTTACCGATTGGCCTTTCGATAGACAGGTTTGTACGGGGGTTGCGATGAATTTATCGATGAAAATGTCTATAAATATATAGCGAGGACCGATATCATTGTTCAGAGTTGTCCAATAGTGCTGGCGGATTGGGTGTACGGTCTGGCACAGGTCAATTTGAGCGATCCGAACACGATCTCCGAGTACGCGAAGCCGACGATCCGATTGAGTTACGATCCGACGGACAAAACGAATAAACGGCATGTTGGAGGTGTGTAACCTGTCTTCGTTTGGTTTAACGAACTTTTTTTTTTGGAGGCTGGGAGGTGGAAGACGCGTGGAAGAAGCACTGTTACTGGGGACCGAAAGGATGCAAATCGGAGCAGCCGGAAGGAGAAGCCGAGTGGTATTGGTCCCTTTTGGAGTTTGGAATCATTCTCAAAAGACACCTTCCCTACCTCGGCGCCACTATTTTGCTTCCTTATGTAAGTGCACTTTGGAGGGCCTGAACTAGAAAATGAGGCATTTTGAGGTGAAGTTGTCAATTACAAAGTTGTTCAGCATGAAATTTGCAACTAGTTATGCCATGGCCTAGGAGTTTTCTAGGCCACAACTTTAAAAAAAAACATCGTTTTCAGTTCCTGACGACGCTGATCATCCTGGCGGCCTTCTGGATTGACACGTTCTCCGTCAACGTGGCCGTCATCATTTTCAACATTCTTCTACAGGGCATCTACGGCTGGAACATGATCCAGAAAATGCCGCCGGGCAGTGGAAAAACGCCGAAAATAAGTGGGGGGGGAATCGTTTCGTTATTCGCCCAACACTTCGATGTGTTTGCCTTACAGTCCAACTCTACACACTGAACCTGGTTTTGAGCTCGTTCAGCCTCGTCATTTCGGTATTCTCAAAGTTTTTGGAGGAGAGTCTGCCCAAGGAATTCGAGCTCAACTTTGGAATCGACATCACCGCAATTCCCAAGCAGTTGGGAGTCGATCGGTTTTTCGAGCCGAAAGGATTGTCGTTCGATCCACAGGCGTCAGTTTTTACAATAGTTATCTGTGGCCTAGAACACACCTAGGCCATTTTTTTGTTGCATTCTTTCTTCCCTCACCCTGAAACGTAACTAAATCAAAACTGTTTGCAGACTCCTAAATCCGGAAGAGCCCGAATCGCTGGAATCGATGCTGGAAATGGGCGGCGCCTCCGCGAGCACGTCGATCGGAATCGAAAACGTTCTGGAAACGGATGATATCGGAGTGAGCCGAGAGGGACCGTCGGAAGACACGATGGCACTGATCAGTCTGCCGACGAACGAGGAGCCGCCGTTTGAAATGAACGAAGATGACGTGGCATCCGGATTCTCGAAGATTCCGGACCAGGAGGAGGAGGATGAGGAGGAGGAGAAGAAGAAGAAGAAGAAGCCGACGGAGACAAAGTTGCAACTTCAACTCCATCTCATCAAACGTCTCATTTTTGTGCTCGTCGTTCTCGTCTACATCGTCGCCGCCCTTCTTTGCATTTATCTTTGAGCTCTTCGATAACTCCATTGTTTAATAAATTTGATGAATCGCAGATAAGTTCCTGTACCCTTTACTTTTCGGATAAACTAGATTGAGCGGGTAAAAAAGGAACAAATTTCACAAATCAATCGTTCATTCTCGCCACGTCCCCCAGCCCCACTGGAAATAGAAGAAATGATGACACAAAGATATAAATATACTGTGATACTTTTTATCGATCAATCAAAACGTCGTCGACGTCGAACTGTCGCTTTTGTTGTAGAGCGTGCGGAACGTTTTGCCAGTCGTACCTGAAAATGTTTATCGATAAAATCTAAATGTTCTATGCTTACCACTTCTTCGTCACCTCCAGATCGTTGTTCCACGTGTACCACTTCTTCATTCGAAAGTTCGAGTTGACAGCGCTGAATATAAATAAACAAGTATCCATAGATTTATGGATAAACTTACGGAGAGCAGAAACACGAGTTGATAAGCAGCAACCCCATCACAATCATCAAGATGGCCAAGTTGAGCGGTCGGAAACGCAACATTCTGAATATTTATCGAATAAGTTCTTTTATAATTGTGGATAGATATCGATAATTCTGACGTTGTCCAGTGGGCGACCACAATAGTGGAAGACTACAATATATTTACGAATTATTCATTTTTCCTATCGCGCAGAGTGCTGACACTACTGTCTACGTGGATCTTTGAAATCCGGAAGACGGAAGACGGAAAACGGATAACGGAAATAACTGGAGCATCAAGAATGCGAAAATTTCAGCGTTTCTCCGGCCTAAATACCCGAAACGCGGCTAGAATTAAAGCCTCGCCCCCTTTCCGATGTCACTCGTCATTTTGACCGTAAATCCGGCATCCACTTATGCAAAAATGGTGGAAAAAGGCACGAAAATGCGCTTATCGTTGCGGCGAAAAGTGGAAGAAAAAAAGGGAGAAGGAAAGCAAAACAAAGCGTGTGTTTCATTCATTCATTCTCATTTTTGCGCTGAAAATGATGATGGAATCCTAATGTATTCGATGGCGAATGAGAAAAAAAAGGGGACGGGAGAGTAATGGCCGGATAATGGATTTCTCATTTTTGCGACCACATCTCTGAATGAATGACAGAAGAATAGGATATTAGCGAAAATGAGATGAAAGGTGTGGGCGTGTTTCCTCTTTTTTTTTCGTTCAGAACGGGAAATGAAGGAAGTGCCAATTTTTAAAAATTGACGCGCGCCCGTGACCGTCAAGGGGTCCATGCCAATTTTTAAAAATTGCCGCGTACCCTTAACCGTCAAGGGGTCCATGCCAATTTTTAGAAATTGCCGCGTACAAATGTAGGGCCAAAATGTGGATTTTTCATTGGCCTATGGTTTTCAGAGGGGTTTTTTTTTGTTAAAACCCGTTACGGTCTCTCTATTTCCATGTAAACTTTGTCGTTGACTCCCAGATATTTCCAGAAGTCAAGAAAAAGAAGACTCGTCCGTATTTATTCATGTTTGGAAGAAATAATGACAAAAACAACGAAAAAGAATGGGATTTTTTGGGGAGAAAAAGCGACATGACCCGGATGAATCGCACGTTTTCCGTCAGAGCAAAAGAAAAAGACGTTATGCAAAACAAAACAAAAAATCATAACATTTCTCGGGTGGTGATCGTCGACGATCCGTTAGAAAGAGTTGCCTGCAGATCGGTTCGGATGAGCAGCGGACGCGAGCACGTCGTGTAGCTGGAGCCCTCCGAATCCAGAACCACCTGCTTTTTTCGCACTCTGAAACAAATACACTATTTGAGCATTTTTTGTGCGGATTTGTAGGGCATGTTTAACGTTTTTCGCGCATTTTCGCACTAGGAAACACAAAAGAGAAGTGGTTGACGTTTCACATTTCAAGAGACACTTTTTCGAGAAGTTTTCAAGCCATCAGCAATCAAGAAGTAAATTAGAGTTTGAGGGGAAATGTTAGAAGAAGTCGACAATATCAGTTTTTCAAAGAGAAGAACGAACCTGTCGATGTTGTTCCTTCGCAACGTGGATCTTCGGATCGAATTGCTGATGCGGCTGGCGAAAGAGGAGACGATCTGAAAAGGAGAAACAGAGGAATAGGGACGGGGGAGAAGAAGTTGAACACATTCAGGGGGGAAGAAGCAACGTACAGTAAAAAGTTGAAAAGGCGGCGTGGCCTACACACTTTTTCTACTAAAAATCGATTTTTTCAGTTTTCCAACAAAATTAATATCGGAAATACAAAAGCAAATCATAGAGAAATGACTGAAATTTGAGAATTTTCAGCACTCGACGAAAAACATGAAAAATTGAGTTAGGCCACGCCTCTTTTTCAACTTTTAGTCGCCGTGCTACTGTAGTAGAAGTTAGAAGCGACTAGGATTACTGTAGAGGAAGACATTCGAAATAGTACGTGACCAACAAAAACTGACCTCTGTGGAATTGAGAATCTTCGAGAGTCCCGATCGTTTCTGTTTGCGGGTGAGCCAGAAGAAGAGCAGCGGATTCCAGACGACCAACGACATTGCGATGACGTGCGCGACGATGGCCCAGAAAAACGGTTGACGCTTCAGCCATTGCGGTTCTTGTTCTGCAAATGTTTTTATCGATTTTTTTTTTCGAAGAAAAAGACACAAACGCAAGCACGAGCAGTCATACTTTGAAAAAAGCTGTTTTGGCAGTGCCCCCAAGACATTTCTGCGAGTTTGAATCATAATGAACGCATTGCCAAAAGATCAAAAGAATTGAGTCAGTATTCTTCGAACAGCACGCGATCTAAAGTTTTGGCGCACGGAAAACGGCTTGGAACGGGACGGAGGCCGAACTTTCTCCCTCTCCTCACTGCACCCTCGCAAAGAATCACCGTTCGTCAGCTCTTCAAGTTTTTTGCCTGCTCAAGCGTTCAAAATGCGTGTACACACGTGATTGATCATTTGATCACGCGAGACAGTCTTTCCAGTGTTTTCGCTATGCAATTTCGCAAGAAAGAGAATGAGTATCCGTAGAAAACTGACTGAAATCCTTGACGAGATTGAGTAGTGTCAGCGGGAACCAGCATCCGATGAAAGTGACGACCATGCCGATCAGAATGTAATTGACCTTCTTCTTCCGTGACGTCGCATCGCTCCGCTGCTTCTGTGTGAGTGATTGACAGAATTGCGCATTCTGGATTATCATGTCTTTCGACACTTTTTGCAGAATTTTGAAATAACAGTAGGTGATGACTGCCATTGGAACGACAAACTGCAAAAAGATGTCATAGAAGCAGAGTACAGAAAAAAGTGGTGCCAACCTGAAGAAGCATGACGGTAGTCCCATAGATCTTCCGGCTATTCTCGCTCTGCCAATTCGCCTCGTCGCAAAAGTGTCCGCAGTAGGGCGTCTCGCCGGGTTGCACGTAAAACGAGCCTTCGACGTGTTCGAACGACATCAGGTACGGCAGATTTATCAGTGTGGACACTATCCAGATGAGGAATGTGATCGCCAGCGCTTGACGGATCTGAAGAAGTGATCATTGGCTTTTCGGAGGGACATGTGCGCTTCAGAAGCTTTGATCGACTTACCGAAACGGGTTGTTTCGTGGGATCGTTGATATGGAGAAATTTGTCTAGAGAGATGGCCGTCAGACTCCAACTCGTCACGAACACCGAGCACGAGTTCGACAGCGGCACCAGATGGCACATTACCGACCCGAACGCCCAGTCCTTCGTCATCGCGTACCTGAAAATTGTGCGTTATGGCGCAAGAATAGTGTTTGAAAGGTGTCTCTCGTCCGAAAACTGACCATGGCGTGACGGGGATCGCAGTGAAAACTAGAATCAGATCGGTGAAGATGAGGTTGAGCAGAAAGACGTTCCGCGCCGATTGCAGTCGTTTATTGCGTGCAACCGCCCACAGAACACCGCCATTTCCGAAGATGCCTAAGACGAAGAGGAACCCGTAGAGGAATGTGAAAATCGATCGGATGTAGAAGTCTCTGAAAAGGGAAATGTCGGGTTATTGTGTACAAAACATGTTTCAGGATCGTTTTTTGTTGTTAGAATGTATAGAATAGTCTGTATCCAGAACACTTTCGGATGGCCCTCTTTTCACTCATCCTGTCACTTCTTGCCGACCGCAAAGCGATCATTTTCTGTCGACCTCTTCTTCTTCTTCTTTCGACGCCCTCCGCACAAAAAGTTCAGCCAACATTTCAACTCTTGACATGTGACAACATCCCATTCGCACGGAAATCAATGAGAAAACAGAGATAAAAAAAAGATATCCTCTTCTTCTTCTTTCACTTTCTTAAGAATGTGTTAGCAGTGTGAGTGTTGTGACACTCGACAACTGCTCCGCCGAAAAAATAGAGAGAGAGAGAGAGAGAGAGAAAGAGAGGGAGAGAGAGAGATTCATGTTCTTTGCGGAAAAGGTTGATATCGGAAATGTATTTGTGATGACAAGGATGAATCGAAACGTTTTTAGAACAAATTTTGGTTCTGAAACATGTTTTGTGCTTAAAATACGATGAAGAACCGTTCTAGAACATGTTGTTGGACAATACTTGTTTTAGAACATGTTTCAAGTCAAATTTTGTGTTGCGAAACATCGCCCAGAGCATATTCTTAGCAAATAACATGTTTTTGGACCGAAACTGTTTCGATACATGTGCCAACTCTTGTTGAGCAACATGTTTCAGAACGGCTCTTTAGCAAAAACTCCTTTCAAAGATGTTTTAGGACACAACAAGACACCCACATCATCTAAAAACTTACACTGTGATGTCATCGATGCCCTGCGCAGCAATCGCCTCGGCGATGTGAATACACGTGGCATTGTTGTTGTTTTGCTGGTGATTTTGGCTGCTCGAAGCCCCCGAACTATTCATGCATCGAAGGTTCTGAAAACCTGAAAAAGGAGTTGATATAGAATGAGTAAAACGTGCGCAAACGGTGAAGGGGCGAAATGAAGAACGGATGATTGTGAGTCAGAAGAGTGAGAAAAAAGGGGCTGACAATTGAGAATCACAAAAGAAGGATGATGAGACAGCGTTTTGGGGCACAGAACATGTTTTAGAGTACAAATTAGGTACGAAACATGTTTGAGTACGAAAATGTGTTTTTAGACATGCTATGGAACAGTGGGTTTGAAATAGACATTTGTTCTACAACACGTTTTTTGAGAATGTTCAAAACAAGAAAATTGTCTCAAAACGTGTTTCAGTGCAAGAGAGAAGATTCATGTCCTGGAAAACATCAGACACCAGCGGAGCAGAGGCAATCAATTGAATTGACCTGACGACTAAAGTTTCCGAATGCAACAATATCGCGCAAATTGAGTGGATGATATCTATGGAATGACGAGGAGAATTGACTAATCGTTCCACCTTTCCTCCGCACAAAAGTGACTTTTGTGAATAGACGCCCGGCTGTCTCGCCGATGAATGTCGCTTTGTTTTTCATAACAAAAATGTTCTCAGGGTTCGTTTCAGTCAACACATGCAGCCCACCTGGACACACGACATTTCAGAAATTTTCGATGGCTAAACATGTTTAGGGCCGAGGGAAACTGTTCTGAAACATGTTCAAATTTTTGTAACATGTAACATGTTAACTCGGCGAACATTTGTGCACACGGTTTGAATTTCACGCCCGTATTTTGATGCAAACGAGCCCGAGCATGTTCACAATTGTTCGCCGTGTTTCGTAAAAAACGAAAAACGATCACAAAACTTGTTCTTCTAACAAAACCTTTTCTGGAACAAGTTTTGCGACAAAAATATTGATAAGTGATAAAAGGTGGATTAGTTAGGACTAAACCTTTTCCGAGAATATTCCAGACAGCCCTAATGGGATTATCTGATCATATCAACACGATGACACGACTCTCTTGACTTCGACACTCTTTTCTTGCAAAAAGTCATGAAAGAAACAACAACGAAAAAAGACAGAAATGAGGGTTCAATAGGATTAGAGTGATCACACACACACACAAAGAAGATGAGATGGGATAATCTTTGAGGTTTTCGAGAAGAGTGTCTAGTGAAATTCGAGAAAGTTTTGCGAGCAAAGAGGGTATAGTATTGGGCGGTTGAAAGTCGCTTTCCAGGCTTCAGAAAAAGTGTTTCTCAGGTTGGCATGGTTTTTTCGGGGACTAAACATGTTTCCGGGCCAGTGTTTGGTTCAGGAAGTCGTTTTGAGACAAGAACACGCTTTCCAACAGTTTTTGTCTGTTAACATGTTTCACAACTGTTTTTGGGACCGAAACGCGTCGAGCAATTCACGGCGATAGACGTTTGTTTCAAAAAATAGATTTATTTTGTTTATTTTTTTACGTTTATTTTTAACGCGGAGAAGAGATTGAGAAAATTCGAAAAAAAAAATTCGAAAAATGTGTCAGAAACTGTCGTTCAGTCAAAAAAAAAAAGAAGTTTCAAACCAGCTTTCAGCCCAAAAACATGATTCGTACATTTCCTCCTCGTACATCACTTTTACTTTCTCATTCCAACCAAAGCACTCGCAATATCCTAAATCCGCTACAATTGCGCGCAAATCCGTGTTCGAGAACAGAGTCCCAATGTCTGACGTGCAAAAGCCCAATATTCGTGTTATTTAGAGCCGAAAACGTCATTCATTTTTTTTTCCGATCAGAAAGAAGGAAATTCGTCGGTGCAAATCCGTGAAACATGGGGCGTTGGCCGGCGGGGGAAAATGAGTGCTCCTGGAGCTCTGCGAGAGCAAAAGAGCCCCTCCGACAACTGTCGTTCTGGGCTTTCCCGCTCTCAAAAATTGAGTGTGGCGAGTGTGTCGTGTCGATTAAATCTCCACTGATTTTTCGACACGAGGAACAAGAATTGGGTGGAAAAACGGAAAAGAGAGAGAGAGAGAGAGAGAGATGATCAAGGTTCTTGAGATTCAGAAGATGAAGAAGAAGAAGAAGCGGAAAATGGACAAGGACATGGAGCATTTTGAGGGTGAAAACGGGCGGAGCATACGAGTTTTTCGAGTACTTACCCGAATTCGATTTTGAGATTTCGCAGGTTTTTTTGTGCAACCGAGAGTTTTCAGATAAATTCAGTCGAAGTGAATGAAAAATGAGAAACGAAACGGGTATAGCTCCTTCTTCATACCAAACCTAGGACCGTGATCCGAGCAGGGACCACGATGGGGGTGACTAATGGTTATGATATGCCACAAATTCAAGTATTCTGAAGAAAAAAAAGTGTGCATTCAGGTTCTCGGACTTTTGTGACATCGCCTCTTAAAAATTCACCTGGCCTCTTCGGCGCGGTTCGAAATTTGTTTTGTTCCGCCACTTTGGTTCTCGGAACGTTCCATTTTTTTTTTTGGAAAAGTGGACAAAACGTTGACTTTTGCGACCACCCTTTGTGGACTTTTGACCCACTTCCAATCATCCGATCGGTCTGAAACTTGGTCGCAATAGGCTACAATCCAAGTCCTAGAAGCCTGCAAAGCTAGGGCTTAATCAGATAATTGCAAGTGGGCCAAAAGTCGGGGCCTTAAATGTTTACCCGAAAAAGGTGTCAATCAAAAACAAAAACACGGAACGGCCCACCGCTCGTGTGTGTGTGTGTGTCTGTGTGTGATAAACCAATTTCAGTCGGAAATAACCCGATTTACATTCGAAATCTCCCCGTTTTTCGCTCCCCACGAAAAAGTTTTGAACGTTATTGAAAATCGTGAGCGAGATTTATAGTATCTGAGAACGTGTTTGGTTCAGTAATGTTTTGAAGAGAGACATGTATAATAGCACTACTTTTTGGGTGCTCCCGACAAGGAGCCAAACCTGGCTCAAAAACATGTAACATTTCCGGAATTTCCGGTCCTTTTCCGAGGACATGTTCAGAGTGAGTGATTGATGAGCACGCGGGCGCCGGCACACCAAAAAAATCCACTTTTTCTCACATCTTTCTAGTTTGATCTCGATCTCAACACATCAGTGATTTGGTCGGAAGAAGATCCGATTAGAGGTCTAAAAAAGATTGGAAATTTTGTGGGTTTTCTTTTCAAAACATCTTTCAAGGAACGAGTGTTTACCCGATTCACAAGAATGCATACAAAACCTTCCGTTTTGTTGACCAGAAGACCCTTAAAAAGGTCCGTATTCGTGCACTTTCCACTCAAAAACACTCAAACTGGTGCGTGATCAAAAAGAGAAAACGATTTCGGAGATTTCCAGGAACACCTGTGTGTCCTAAGTGACCTAAGTTCTGTCCTAAGTCTATGTTTCAGCCAAAGGATTTTTTTTTAAAGAATTAAGGACGCCCCCCCCCCTGTAAAATGTGTACAGAGTTCTGAGAATGCCCCCTATTTGGATGCCTGAATGAACTGTGAAAAGCTGAACAAAAAACGGGCAGAGAACAGCAATTTGTCGGTCCTCGATTTCTCTTTCCGACTCGGTCCTTGATTTTATAGACCAGTGCCAAAAAAAAACGAGTATGTAAAAACGCATTTCTTCTCGAAAATAGTAGGATGTGAGCAAGTGCGCGTCACGCAAGATTTCGGGACCTGTCATGTGACTGCAGCATTTTCAAGTACCCCTTTTTCAAGTTTTGATCATGGGTGGCCATTAAAAGTAGGAAAATGATTATAAAACTCAAGAAAAGTGGGTTCGTCTTTAAAGGAGGTCCGATTATCGCTGATGTTCTGTTTTAGTGATGTGTAGAGACATTATTTTTGTTCAGAAACATGTTTTTAACCTATAATCTAGTTTTGGAACAAAAATAAGTGCAAAAACATCTGTTTCGACAATTTCGGCTTCTAAAACATGTCTCAACACTATTTTCAATTTTTTTAGGCAAAAAAGTCGTACAAATTCGAAAATCAAGGATAGAATGGATCACAAAAGGGTTGATATCCGTAAACATTGCGAGCTTGTGAGCAAAAAGGAAGCGGAAAAGGTGGGGGATAGGAAGGAAGAGGACATGATGCTCTGACGTTCTCGTCTACGTGTGAAATGCTTGCCCGCAAAAATAAGTTTGATTTTACGCTGATTTTGAGCCGAAAACATGTTGAGGCAACAAAAAAAGGGTTCGAGTACGTGATTTTGGACAATTTGCTTTGAAAACTTGCTCTGAAACACAACTGTTTCGAAACATGTTTTGCGACAAAAACGCATTCTTTTGTGTTCCGCTCAGCTCGATATCTGTCAAAAAAGATCAAAAAGTGTATGAATATGTCTTTTGCCCCTCTCAAACTCGGCTATGCATGACTACACACTCTGGACACATCAAAAAATTAGTGGAATGTGTCCACTCCTTTTTCCGGGTCCGTTTTTTTGTTGCTAGAATACTGATGATGATGATGATGTGAGTGATATGTTTGTGAATAGAGAAAATTCGAATGAGAGAAGATAAAAAAAAAAAGGAATTTTTTATTGAAATAGAAATGACGTGAGTGGGCGGATGCGTGCCCACATGATATTATCATCTGTTTCAGGGGATATGCGAGAGAAATTGTGTGCCAAAAGTGGAAGAGTTGGGAAAAAAACTAGCTAGAGTCTAGTTTTCTTTCATGTCGCTTCCGAGGAACTTTATTCAACGGCCTCCGGAGACAGCTATGAAGAAAGTTTGGCTTCCGTCCCGTAAACTGTCGGCGGCACGTTCTCCAAGCTTTTTCCGTGCGCCAAAACTTTAGCTGCGCGCTGTCGGAGCAATACTGATAAATTTCACTTGGTAATGACCTTCGGTACAGTTCACTTTATTTTCTTTGGTCTCTCGGCCATCATCTCAACCATGTAACTTTCCGCTTCTTCTCATCGTTTAGCTAATTGCCGTTCCCTGCTGATGGTCAAGATACGGAAACGTCGGAAAGAAAATAAAGTAAACTGTAGCGAAAGTCCGCAAATGCTTCAACTTATAATGCTAAC